AACGAATTTGTCAGTTACTTCGAATTACGCGACGACTATCAACAGCATACCACCCAGAGACAGATGGAGCAACTGAGAGAATCAATCAAGTTGTGGAAAGTTACCTACGTTCCTTTACTACGTATTGGCAAGAAGATTGGAGCTCCTTGCTACCAGTAGCAATGTTGGCAATAAATAACCGGGACGCAACCTCCACTGGAATGAGCCCGTTCTTCGCGACACACGGATATAACGTCGACCTTATTTCCCTGACCGACCCTGACGAACTACTACGGACCAATGGCCGATCCCCAGTGGCAAGAGGAGAAACATTTGTTGCAAAATTGAACGAGGCTTCCCAGGTAGCGCAAGCCGCAATTGCGTCTGCTCAGGAACGACAAGAGGAGCATGCCAACCGAGTCCGACAAGTGGCGGAGCAATTCAGAGTGGGCGACAAGGTCTGGTTACGACTTAAGAACATCTCGACAGACCGTCCCTCTAAGAAACTTGACTGGCTCAACGCGAAATATACTGTTACGGAGTTGATTGGGTCTCATGCCTGCCGGCTGGATACGCCACCGGGTATCCACAATGTCTTCCATGTCATGTTATTAAAGAGGGCCGCCAATGATCCACTACCCTCTCAAGTCCAGGATGATGTTCAACCCCCTGCCCTAGTTCGCGAGGTGGACGAAACCGAGAACGAGTGGCAGGTCGAGGAAATTCTTAATGATAAAAAGATCCGAAACCGGACACAGCTCCTAGTCAAATGGACTGGCTATGTCCGCCCTACTTGGGAACCCCTTCAGAACTTCCTCGATACCGCAGCCCTGGACCGCTATGAAGCAACGCATGGCAACATAACCGATGATTAATTGTACGACAACAACAATCGTTAACGAAAAGAGGGGGGCTATTGTAACGGGCTGTGCCCGTAGGTGGCCTCGGGAACCCTCGGCCTTTCGTGGCCCACTTTTTACCTTTAAGCCACCATGGCGAGTATATTTATGGATGGACCTCCTCTACTCTCTTTCTCTTCTTCTTCTTTCCTTAAGTTTGGTATACTCTGTAGAGTGGCCTAGCTAGTTGCAATATACTACCTTGAGACCGTTACACTGAGAACTATTGGTAAGGGCTTAGATAAGCTCCACTTACAAATTGCCCAATTGCAAGACCAAATTGCAGTTCTACAACGAAATTCGAACCAATCAAAGGCTAGAAAGAAAGGACGAGTTTATAAAGACCTAAATAAGCTATTTTTAGGTATCCGGAATGTGAAGAGGGCAAGAAGGCGAATAAAAACGCCTGAGGTTGAAGATTCAGAATAGCTTGTTTTTCCTTTGTTTTTATTGGTTAATTTTTTGATATTTAGAAATTCTATTAGTTAGTTTATTAAAAATCAGTTGAAATGGACCAATTAGGTCTCTTGGTTGTTGTTTTATCTCTAAGTGAAGTTGAATTGCGATTTTGGTTATTGTGTAAGTGGGGCGGTCAGCTAAGCCCCTGATCCGTAAATGGGTGGGCTGACTTACGTGACGTTAGTTCATGAGTGAAGAGGAGTGCAAGTTGGGTCCGAGCAATGTAAACAGCTTTCATCTCATATAACCGTTCCTCCAATTTCCAATTCCCGCCTATAGGCACCTTTCAGACTGCTTCTTAAGATGAATGTCTGCCCTTTGGCGTCTTCCTTGCTGTCGGCTGGCAGATACTGTAGTGGATACAACTGTTAGCAGGTTTAAACATCAGATGGACCACCACGATCTCGCAGCACAAATATTTGGTCTTTACAAATGACCAAACTTCCATTTGACTCGGCTAATCGGCCCTCTAGCATGCGAAACTATCTCGTCCAAGGATGGGAGTGCCATGGAAGCAAGATCCGAAGCGGGTAATCGTGATCCGATTGGCTGGACACACAGCCCCGGCCATAAGGCTGGGGCCTCACTTAATTATGGATGATATATAGGTACTGACGATTACCGAACCACATCAGAAGTCGACCTGTATTATTAGACAGGTGGTAATTACCGTATCGACGCAGTCTAAATTCTTCCCCTACGTATTGCCTTCGGGCTTTTTTATGCCAAATGATTTAGGAAATCTACGCCTTATATAACTTGACTTTAGTCCATAAAAACAGTGCCAATTTATCGAGTCGATGCGATATTAATCATACGTAAAATCACTGCTATAATCATTTGATGCTGAGCCCTTGGAACGTTGACGAGTGGGTCATATGGACTCAACCCCATCCTCGTGTGTAGATGACGCCTGAAAACACCCAGCACAGCAGACTGGGCTACTCCTCAAGGGAATCAATAACTAATACCTCCTGAAAAATTCCCACACTAGTCTAAGAATCAGGAGAAGTCTTTCCCATTTTGGGCGTCGCGGTGTCGGGCAACTCGGCCCAGCCAGGCCCGCCCCAGAGAGCCGCAGATGGGATCCTCTGTCTGAGGACTCACTGATTGCCTTTTCTTCTGCTCACAATAAATGCCTGGCCAATTAAATAAATGGACGCGTCGATTAAATTAAATGGACACCAGAGGGGCTCCATCCACTTCTTTGACCTTCCCAAGTCTTCCAGGCCTTTCTACGCTCACCCTTATGTCTGCCCTTCCGGGTTCCCAACTCGCCCTTCCAGGTGCCAACGCCAACCCTCACGAAGCTTCATGGGAGATCAGTAAATGCCAGAGCAAACCCAAAATGAAGCCCTCTCGTTGGTCCATTCCTCGATTTTCATTCTGAGGCCGATTCAGCCAGAATTGGACCCACACCTTCGTCTATAAGTATGTGCTCGATTCCCCCAGTTTACGTTCTTCATCCAAAACAACTCTGCTCTTGATTTATTTTGAAAGCACAGTTGTTCTCGCACGCACACACTGTTACCGCACATTGCACTCTGCATTCTGCACTACAGTCACGCAACGCGAGCCTTGCTATACACACTCACGAGTCACTGCATTGCCAAGCACACTCTGAGATACTTACCACTGTCATACTCTCTAGAGTCCCTGACTGTCATCGAGTCACTGCAATATCACGCACACTCTGACCTACCCACACTGTCATACTCTCTCGAGTCACTGGCCATCCTCACGAGTCACTGCACTTCTAGCAAACTCTGAGATATATCCCACTGTCATACTCTCTCGAGTCCCTGACTATTATCGAGTCACTGCACTTCTAGCACACTCCGACTTAACCACACTGTCATACCTTCTCGAGTCACTGGCCATCATCACGAGTCACTGCACTTTTAGCACACTCTGATTACTTGCTCCACATTGCCATACTCTCTTGCGTCACTGACACTATTCTCTCTACTTTCATACTCTGGAGTCCCTGATTATACAAACTCCGAGTCCCTGTCTATCGTCACGAGTCACTGCACTTCTCGCATACTCTGACCAATTGCTCTACATTGCCATACTCTCTTGAGTCACCGGCACTTTTCTCTCTTCTCACACTCTGGGGTCCCTGATCATACAAACTCCGAGTCCCTGAGACTTTACGCTCATACACACACTCATAAACGTCACTGTGTCACTGAGTGACAACATACACACACACACTCTCTTCCTCATCTTCAAAGAGGAACTTAGCCCATCATCAAAATGGGTTGCTGTGGTTCCAAGCCTGCGCCTCGCTCCACTGTGAGCAGCGCAATGCCCCCACTTGTGCAAACTCGTGGGCCACAGCCTCTCCGTTCAGCCCTTGTCAAAGACAGGGCGGACAAGTTTGTCCTCGATGAACCATACCGAGGCATCAACGGGAGATTCCCCACATCTCCCATCAATCCTCCCCCCAGGGCAGTTACTGCCCCTGTCAAGACTGTTCGCTTTGCCGAACAGAGACGTTCTGGTGCCAGCTCTGGCAGCCAGCAATCGTCACCATGGGGCTCTACAAGCTCTATGAACTCGACCCATACATGGGCGGGTTAATGAGGCAGAGCATAAATTGCCGCCGCCGAAGAACGCATAAATTGCTTCTTCTTTATTATTGATACTGGCACATGGTGCCAAGTTATCAGACACACACACAAACACTCACACACACTTTGGTTGGAGTTCTGGGTCTTGTTTGGAGTTTTGGTTTTGATTGCGGCGTGGGTGGAGTTTTTGTCAAGCGTTGGTTTTCTTTTGTTCTGTGTTGGTTTCGTCAAGCGTTGGTTTTGTTCTGTGTTGGTTCTGTCAAGCGTTGGTTTTGTTTTGTCAAGCGTGGGGTCTGTTTTTCTGAAGCGTGGGTGTTTGTTTTGGGAGTTTTGGTCAGAGGAGACGGCTTGGTATTTCCTGGGGAAGGAATTCAATGTGGTGTTTTGTGTGTGTGTCAAAAGCTGTCCCTTGATGAGTTCCAGTGGCGGTCGTAGAGATTTTTGATGAACCGTGATAGCTGACGATACGTAACCTCTTTGGTGGAGCGTTCCACTCTTACCGGTCTATAAAGGTGGAAAATCACCCTAGACTTCGGGGCATTTACGGTTAAACACCAGTAAACAGGCCGCCATGGTTCTTACTGCAAAGTGTCCGTTCCAGTGTAGATCATGATGCCGCTGAGTCCTGATGAGTTCTGCTGAAATCCGAATTAAAGCTTCGCCAACGCTCGAACTTCAAGGCCTTTCACTATTTACTTTGAGGAAGTGACATACATTTAGACCGTGGAAACCTTCGCGCTTTTTCTGATATTTCGCCAGTCCTGATCCGTGGTTTTGCCCCCTGGTCTTGTACGGATATCACTGCCTGAACATGTCCCCACCGACAGCATCGGAGCAGTCACATTTTGTGATGGAGACGCTCGTGTTGAAGATAAGCATAACTTGCGGGGATACAGGGAATCTCCACTGCTACGCGCATGGGTGTCTCCGTCTAACGATGTTGCGGTATGATTTAGGGGCCAAAACCCGGCAAGAACAATAATTGCGTCTCGTCACCAAGCCTGAGCGCTCCTTGGGGTAACCTGTTAAGTTCACTGTCTATTCACTTGGTGCAGCCATGTAAAGAACGTTGGGAACGGATCTTGTAGCGGCCCTCTAGTTGCCTCTATTCATATCATCATCCATCATTACTATAATTCTACTCTAAGCGTTTCTATTTATTATCCTCGGAAAGTCCTTCTCCGTGCTACTTACCGATGGGCTCGCACTCGCCGGCGGATTTGGATACCGCGGATCACGGTCCTTTGAGTCGTCTACTTCCACCACTACGGAAGTGACGGTGTCCATATGAATAGCCGGCCCCCTCAGAGATTCTTGGCTGGTTGTCCTGGTCATTCCTTTTCGACCTCTTGGGTCTGATCCTCCTCCTCGATGCTTCCATGTCCACCATCCGCCGACGGAATCGCTTTCCTCGCTTTTTTGTCGGCCTCCCTGGATGGAAATGACATTGCCGAAGCGACGGTTCGTAGGAGTTTTCATGAAGGCAAAGGTCTTCAGGCCGAGGTCTGCGGTATCGACTTCATACTTGGACGCGAACAAAATGACGTTACGAGTTGTGCCGAAGAGGAGGCAGTCGAAAGAGCCGTTGGATGCAATCATGGCACCCGCGAAGCAGAAGTAGCCCAGCGGCACATTTGCTCCGGCCATCGTTGCAATTCGACCAAGTGCGAGCGGGAGGGTGCAGAGAACGTAGATGACCGGGTAGATAAGGAAGGCTGGGTTGTGGTCCAATCTAAGCTGGTTGGTAGAGTCGGCGTCATCGTCGGGCTTGTTAGAGCGTTTGGATTGAGCCTGACGACGAATCGAGAGGAAGATGAGGATGTATAGTAGTGATGTAACCCCGAGGGCGATGAAGATCCAGAGGTAGTGAGTAAAAAGTCGCAGGTTTTCGTACTTCCTGTTCATCCAGCACTATTTCGATGTCAGTAAGGAGTGTCGCGATGGAATGGAATAGACTCACCCAGCTGCCTGCACGGACGAAGAAACCTCCATATTCAGCTCCACCGCGAGTGGCGGCGATTGGAAGGAATGATATCGCGTACACGAAGACCCAGATGCTGGCGATGAGGAGGTATAGAACCTTTTGTCGCACGCGGCGTCGCTTTACGACGGCAAAGTACGTGTGAAAAGCAATCGCCGTGATGAACATGCTCGAAGACAAGTCGCCGAGAGAGACAAACAGGCCCTGGGTGAAACACGTCGGGCTGTCAACGTCGACGGCATTCTTGCGTAGCCATTCCACGTTGAGGAAGAATGCCACGCCCTGGTGCATGTCGGCAAGGAGAAGGTTGACGATCAGGATGAGGAACTGGTTGGGATGCTTTGGAGTATGCTGTACTGGTGCACCATTAGGCTGAGCTGCTTGGCCGTCGGCATTGTTGTTGTCGTTCTCCTCAGTAAAGATACCGTCGATTCCCAAAGTGAAGTCGACGGCTCTCTGGAACGAACCCGTCGGTTGAACTTCGCTGGCGCGTCTGTCCCTGAGAAAGAAATGCCATGACAGTATCTTGAAGGATAGATAGAAGAAGAGCGCGCAGGAGGCGAAGAAGGAGATGAAGGCGAGGAGGGTGATGGCGGTCAATCCACTCTTGAGGTTGGCGGGTAGTGGACTGAGAGTTTGACTCTCCACCGCAAGATCCCCCCAGGCCATGATGGATATTCTTAGCAGACAAAGATGGTGAGTCGATGAGATCTTCGGTCAACAATCATCGAGCCTCGGTCGACTTCTGCATGGCGTGGCTAGCGACTGTTATGCGTTGGTCTGCAGACGGCCGGGTCTCGCATGGCTTGCATGAGAAGCGTAACGGCCTTCTTTAATGGGCGTGCCGGTGAGAAATGATGCATTTGCCAAGAGCTAAACGGGCGAGGGACCCTTCGGCTCGATAACCTGGAAGGGCTAGCGTTTCAAGCTGAGCTCAGGGTATCGATGATCAATCGGCCGAAAAGGCGAAAAGGCTGGCCGTGCGCTTGGTGGAGAGGAGGCCCAGTAACGCCGAGAGGATGGTGCCCGGGGAATTGTGTTTATCCATGAACTCAAGGATTCCTTGATGACTTGTAGGGAGTAGGTTTGAACTGCGCAGCTTCACACGGACGTGGCGATTGCAGAGCGCAGCCGAGAGTCCCGGTGGCGATGATCAATTGGGCTCAGACTTCTGGAAGACAGTGTTGAAGATTGAATCTGCAGCATCTCATCCCCCTTCAACCTGATACGTAACAGACCCAATTGCTAACCGTCTTGGCCTGGTCCCCGAGATCTCCTAGCCATTGGTGGAGTCCCGTGGTCGGCCGTCGCCTACTCCTTAGCTCACGGCGTCCTTAGCTCACGGCGATGACTCGTGTAATCATCCGGATCCCGGCAACATGCTAGACCGAAGAGACCAAACCCCTTCGCCTGTCAGGTGGAGTATGCCAGATCTCATCGATCTGATCGCAACCATCATCCTGGGACGCTGAGAAGATAACTTTGCCTTGCGGATGCCCGGGAGGACCGAACCACAAAAGTTAGCAAGAACTCAATTCAAGATGCAGTCTTCCATCCAATCCCTCGAGTTTTCGCCTTCGCAATGCTGTGATCGACAGTGAAATCCTTGTTGGTGGCACGTCTTTAGCTTTTTCACTCGAGTCAGTGCCTCGCTTGGACCCCGAATCCTACATCCGACCCACCACCAACGGTCTTTGTACTTTGGCGTGGCCAAAGAAGTCCGTGGAACTCACGTTTCTCAGTCCTAGCGTCTAGGCGGTGGCTGTGATTGGCGGGTTTCACGAATGCTACCACGCTTGCTGGAAAGCAGCTAAGCTCTGTCGATAGCTTCATCTACGCCCACGCTAGTTCGGTTGACAGAGGCTAAATGCGGAAGGCTTGGACGAGCCCGTGGAGGCTGAAACGGCCGGTGACCTGGTTATGTTCGAATGGAGAATGGTGTCTCGAAATACAGTTACGTACTGCCGAGTGTTTTGAGCGCTACTGGTTGTAATTCTTCAAAAGATCCTAACCCTGGTCTCCTAGGTCCGTCCAACACGCAGGGGCCTCTGTCTAAACTCAGGAACGCAAAGTTATTATATTAATAAAGGTCCGTGATTTTGGCCTCTGTCCCCTTTCTTCGCTCGGATGCCCTGGTCTAGATATGTAGCAGCAAGGTCGATGGCAGCACGGCATTGCTCGAGGTACAGGCGGCCACGCGTCGGCCGCGAGGATCAGGGGGATAACACAAAGCTTCAGTGCCATATTTAAGGCGAGCTATCATGTAGAGTTGGGAAGCTCAGAAAGTGTGTCGATCGCAATCGCCGGCATCCCCGCGGCTCACTACATAATCGCTGGGAAGACTAGGCACGAGGAAGCCCCAGTTGCCAACACTCGAGGTGGGCGTGTTAGCGAAGCGAGAGACAAACCGACTTCAATTGGCGAGAGATTTTGAAGACAGGCCTGTTAAATTGAGCGCTCCAGGAGAAAGAGACAAGCAATTTATTAGCCGATGTGCATGCCTCCAGCTCCATCCTTTTACGCAATCGAAACGCAATGCTATTTGCCGGAGGAAAATTGGCAAGGAGAATGAAAGATGCGCTAGGTTCATAATCTCAATTCGCGGCTTCATTTGGGTTCTCACGGCACTCACGAATTGCTGTTCATCAAGGTGTAGACGCCGCATGATGCGTAGCAAGGGCTGTAGAAGAGGAGCTGCGGGGCAGTATTGGAAGCAGCCAGCTCCCGACCAAAGAGCACGCCGACATGACATACATCATCTTGAACACCGTTACTATTGTAGCGCGCGGCGTGGAGCATCGCCAATCGCACATTGACGGTATCTCGCGACGACAGCAACAGAGGGGCCCTTTCGGCTTGGGCGCAGCTTGGCGGATAGTTAACACAATGATCACAATTCGATTTTGGCTCTCGACGATGCGCCTCGGTATCAGATGCTCATCTTTGAATGCACATAGAAATTGCCTACCTGGGGGTAGCGGGGCCGGAGCCGGAGCAGGAGCCGGAGCAGGAGCCGGAGCAAGAACCGGAGCAGGAACCGGAGCGGAGTTTGACGTGGAGTGCGCCATGGTCCATCTCAGCCGACACCAAGTTCATCCTAATCTCAAAGTAGCTTAATTGAATATACAACGGCCTAATCTTTTGCCAATAGGGGACACGTTTTTAAGACAGTGAGCCAACTACTACGGTAGTGCGTGTGGCGCGTCTCCCGCACAGTATTCTCTCGACTTGACTCCTCGGGAGAGCGACGCTCCCATCCCTAATTCAGCAGAAAAGAATGGCTGAATACACCAAATGGTACATGCTCACCCTACAAGCGCATGATCATCGGCGCCCAAATCTTGAGTCGCCTCCTCACCCACGATCTCGCACACCTATCAACTCTTGAACAAAATACCTGGAGTATTCCACCCGCGGCAAGCACGCAATAGCCAGGCAACGCTGTTGAAGGGAGAATTTTACGGGTTTTATTAAATGCTCTGCTAATACGAACAGGCATTGGATTCTAGTCCTCTACACGAGTAAGGCACACCGGCCTCGACTGGACCATTGTTCGCCCTTTATCAGGACCACGCGTGGCCGATTCTAACATGCCGAAGTGAATTTGTGTACGCTGACTTATTAAGTCGCTGCGTATTCGTACCTGAAATTGTACTTTCCATTGTGTCCACCAATCGCTGCGCAATGATTGGGGACTTGTCCACATCATCAGCACGGGCGGTGGATGAGGAGCCGCCATACGTTGACGGGGAATAATTCGCAGCAATGAAGTTCCGACTAAATAGAACCTCGACACGGTCCAAAACCCCTTCGACCTTGCTTATATAGTGTTGAGAGGCCTGTGGAACGGCCAACCGGACATTGATGGGGTGGTCGCGACCACGGACAAAGCGGTCAAGGTTCTATGTATGGGTGACTTGGGCTTCGATTCTGTTGCATTAATAATTAGCATTCATGATGGACGATGGAGTATTGACTCCCGAAGAAGCAAATTTTTGCGTTTGAATCCATGATTAGATGAAGAAATCACCTACTTGGAGGTAGTCGGGGCTGGAGCCGGAACTTCAGACATGGTGGTGATGGGCTGCGGCTGGCTGCGTGTGGCTAGTGACCTGCGAGCTGTCTCCCGTCTTGCAGCTACTTTCCAATAGGCACTGGGAAGATTGTGAAGAAATCGGTAGGAAATTTTAGAGTCTCCCTGCGCGTGTAACAGAGAAAGATATGAGAGCATCTCCCACGAGGAGATACTGGTCTTTATAAAAAGTCTCAACGCGAAAAATGCAAGCCATCTTGTCCTCAACCAATTACGGTATTCTATATGCGCCTAGAGGGAAGCCTGTGACGACACGCATTCGACACCGTCGACAAGTAAGAAAATTAATTGGTCAGATGTGTGGTGGGATATTGTCAAGTCCAACACGACGCTGATAAGTCTGATCCGCTTACGGTTCACACTGCGCCGCGGTAGCCCATCGGCCTCATCCATCTGGGCCATCATACTCAAAATCTGACAATCTTGCCTGGTGTGTATGCCGGATCATTTTTTATCTGCCTTCTGGCATGTTTTCGAGGATGCCGCGAACTTCGCCGCTCCAGGAATCCAGCCATCGCTACGCGAAGCTCCCACCTCGTAGATTTCGAGGGCCCTCCATATGACTAACACCACAAAGCCCATGAATACAGTATAATCAGGTGTTAATTCTGGAAGAAGGAAATTTAACTATGTTTAATGAGTTCAGCTAGCTGCATCATTACTTGATCTCCTAAATGGTGCACCCTCATCAACGTCTCTTCGTGGGACCTTGACGTAGGCCTTCCTCGCCGTGTTTTCCATGTCCTCGACAGTCTCCGCGCCATCCAGCACATCACCGGCCTCGTACCCTCGACGCATGGTTGCCAATGAGCTGCTTTTCCACAGCGGCACATCCGCTGCCGACGCAGAGCTGATCAGCGTCATGCAGAGGAAGACGATGACCGAGAGCAGCATCACTCCATGCAGCGAAATCCATGCCCATTGTATATCATAGACCACCGTCAACGAGCCCACGTTGCCAAATTGAGTCATCGTTCCGTCCTGGAAGCGATCTGTGTCCTGTCCCGAGTTAGATTCCGCCCCGGGTTCGTAGTTTCTTCGCATCTTGTTAGTCATGCTGATGGCGAGCGTATTGAAGGCCCTCGTCATGTTTGTCCTTTTCCATGCCCAGACACCGTTGAGTGCCGGCGGAGTGGCTTTCATGGATAAATCCAAGGAGTCGGGCCCGAGAGACACGCCGTTGAAGCCAACAGCTCCTTTGCCGAGCTTCTTCTCCAATTCTTTCTTTATTTCAGATGCGTCGGTGTTGTTTAATCCTGTAGGTCGTTGGAAGTTTGTCTTGAAGAGGCTTTGGAAATGTGCGCTGAGCGATTTGACTGAAACTTGATCCACTCGATACCATGGAGCGGTATTATTATCCGGCGACTTCAAAACGAGGCTTGAGTAGCTGGCTACCGAATACCTACTGTCAAATTCCAAGCTGTCTACCTCGTCGTCTGGTGGTATATTTTCCGGTAGGTTGTTGTCAGGTTCGGGGCTACGCTCCCATGAGTCGGGGTCTCGAATAAAGTCAGTAGCCTCCGATATCTCTTCAATAAGCTGGTTTCCGTTGACGGAGGAGTCAACCGTCTTGACGCAGTAGTGGATGGCGCATTCCATGGCCCGCATCGGAACGTTAGGCCATTTGATGGATTCTCTCTCATCGCTGGCGGCTTGTGAAGTGGAAACATTGAGCAATTCCACCTCCGGATAGATGACACTCATCGACCAGATCAATGTATCAATATCCTTCATGGAGTTTGTCTTGTTTGGGTTTCCAGTGCCAAACGATGTGACAGCGTACCCCTCATCATAGTATATAACAAGTGGCTGTTTGCCATCGCATTCTGCATTTGCGCCATCGTATGGGGGGCACCCATCAATGTTGGCGATAAAGTGCCCATTGGGCAAATAGAAGGCAGTGCTTGGAATAGTAGCTGTAAAGTGGGAGCCGGTGAGGGCGACAAGCACATCTCCAAAACCATCCATACGCTTTAGGTCGGAGGTGATGTTGTTGCATTTGTGACACACTCCAAGAGTATTGAACTGACCCCAGGTGCAGTTCCCTGTAGGGCATTGCACCAAGGGTTCTCGTTCGACTTCCCAGAGAGATCGAGACAGCCCTGTAAATATTGCGGATTGCATGGACAGCGGTATCTCGGTCTCGATGGACCAGTTTGAGTACGACGAGTTCAAAAGTTGCTCCTCGGTCACTGTCATCTTGCCCATGGAGTACGATGGCGCTTGAGAAATGAGGGCGACGTTGTTAGGGTCGTCGTAGCCGTGCCGCTCGAACACGACGCTCTGTTGAAGCTGTACCAGTTGCTGCGCAAGCGGGTCGAGGCCGATGGCAAGCAATGTCAAAATTGCGCCAAACTGAAGATATGGACTATTGCACTTAGCACACGAGCTTGAAGACTGGAATATCTCAACTTACGCGCCCCTCGTCCGGATGAGGACCCTCAAGCTGCCGAGCGGGCCACGAGTCGCGGCGTCGATGCGCTCAAAGTCCATGAGCGACCGCGCCTCTCGCGCAAACAATATCCATTTCCATTGGGCCATGCACTCGGCCAGCACGTACGCGAGGGTTGCCTTGATGGTCAACGAGAGGATCGAAACGATGGTGTTGAGCGTCACGCTGTTCCAGGTGAAAACCACCTTGCCGTCGAAGATGTGCAGCAAGACTACCATGGCGACAAAGGACGCCACGGAGCCCAAAATGGCCCAGTATTCCAGGCCCCAAGCCGCCCATTTGATCCTGAGCGCCGTCTTGAACATTTCGACAGGTTTTTGGGCAGAGATGAGAGAAGTTGAAAACGCTGCAGAACCCCAGCAGCGGGCGACACTTGAAACCTGAACGGGACCGGATGATGCCAATAAGCGTGACCATCTCTTGCTGACGCACAGCCGCCAACATCTCTAGTCCTACGGAGTACGGAGTGGAGGGTTGCAGTTGCTAGCGAGATGCGACATCCTGGCCCCAGCGGTGGCGGTGCCCGAAACGAGGCGGCACAAGCTGAACCACAGGGTTAATATTGTGACTACGGTAGAATAATGGAAATAAGTTGGTGTTCTATCCGTATGTCCTTACGACTCCGTGGATACTCGCCGAAAGGCTTCTTCCGTCTCGTACCTTTGCCCCAGCAGTTGTCGCCAGCTCAACCTACAAAATGGATGCGTATTATTAGAGTTGATTGCAACTCTAATAATACCCGCTGCGCTTCAGTAGCAAGTAAAAATGCCAGAATTAAAGTGGCTGACGGCCTTTTAGTGTGCTTCAGCGGGTGAGATTCTCGATCCTTCAGAGGCAGGGGTACAATTAGGCTACAGATCGCCACTTCAGCGCTCCACACCCAACGGCTGACGGTAATACCGCTCGCTTGCGCCTCGCTTTAGAGATGAAGCAGCCACGAGTGTCACCATTGGTCATTTCCTTGTGTGATTTTAAGGGAGGACAATTAGTACTATGTATGAAGTGGGTAATTCTAGAGCTTGTATGACTTGAGTAGAACTCGGCCAATTCTTTTAAATGGCTCGCAGTGAGGACTCAAATGGCGGGGCCAGGCTACGCTGCCTGTTAGATGCCACGACTTTCAGAGCGAGGCAGCGTTGACCCTCCAATAATGCCCGTATCATCGCTGCCTGCTATTTTACCGCTTTCGTTCGATGGGGAGCGTGGGGAGCTCGCTAGTATTATTGATAGCTCTGTGATGGAAGTAGGCTGGAAACCTTGGCCAGTGCCATTGAAGATTGAACAGAAGGCGATTGTGATTTGGTCGGGTGCTATGACTTCACACGTTCCATGACATCCGGATATTGTCAAGGCCACTGGACACTCCATATAGGAGCTTAGCGGGATAGTTGGTGTGATTGTTGATCTTTCGGATACCGGGGGGGCAGCTGGGCACTCATCTCCGACTCAATGCTCCCTCCATGGCCATGTCTTTCACTGTCGAATTGTGGAGTAGGCAAATGAATATATAATATTATTCTACTTGGACCGCTTACATGTCAAAACTCCAAGACAGGAATCCGCGTAAAAACAGTTTCAGTACGTTGCGGCCGGGTCTCGCATCTCCGCATAACGCGGAGTGCCAAGGCGAGTGAGTTCCTCGATAAACCACCAGGCAGTCTTCCTGTACTCCTCTTCAGTATCGTACAATATTTCGTTTTGCTCCGTTTCAATGTATTCCCGCTCACAATCGTAAAATAAACGAGGCGGGGATTTTCGGTCTTTATCAGGTGATCGAGTAGCACCTCGATCGATCAGCCATATTGTGAAGTCCACATACTCCTTGGCGCGTGCATTTACAACTCGGGCAACACACCCACGAGCAGTCAACTCTCCAAGCAGCTTATGTATCCGCTTTGGGAGGTTAATATTCCAGCTTGGGTCAAATTCCATGGCGATGTTTTGGATAGAAGGAAAGCCTCCATCTCGAGAAGGGAAGGGAGGGTAGCCAAAAAGAGTCGACCAGCGTTTTGGGGTGAAGCAGAAGAGGTCTCGGGACGGGTGGACCATAATGTCCAGGGGTTGGCCATCATTTACTGCCATCACTGCTGACGGAGTGTCTGGCGAGTCTTTTTGTTTAGAGTACGTTGATATCACCTCCCTTGACTCCTTGCATGATGTCCAGAGACCAGCATCCCATAGGTAGGCGGACCGATTGCCACTAGCATAAGCACCGCTCAGTCTTTTCACGGCGATTATATAAGCATCATGTTCAAAGAACGATTGGCGTGTCAATATTGTCAAATCTTGTGTGGGGCCTCTCATGTCTTCATCGCCAAGGACAGCAAATTGGTGTAAACCCCCGTCGTTGTGTGTCGGCCGAACCGCAAACTCTCAGATTTTGAGGCGAAATTCGTACGGTAGGCTTGTAAAATGATGGAATGTTGACAACGCCATTTTAATGGTGATATTAGAGGTTGACGTTTGGTCCGGTGCTGGTCTGATATCATGCGTTGGAAGGAAAATAGTTGGAGAAAGGGGTTGGATGGGAGGCCCATATGAGTATTTGTAGGAGAAGATAAAAAGCAGGAATAACGGAGTCTGGGTGGCCAGCTACAAACAAGCCCGGAAATTTTAGAACAGTCATCGTTACCTTGATAATTTTAATGGGCTAAGCCATCGAATGCGTCATGCAAAGATGTGTCAACTGCTGCTTGCCTGACCTTTTTGGCCTAGACTCCGTCAAGACCATGGCACACTACAGCCAAGAACCTTGACAGATTGATCAATTAGTTCCCTTTTCAGGTAAGAGATTGAGGCTAGGGACTTTTCCTTTAAGGTAGAGGTTTATCACTATTGTATTTAGGGCCAACTTCCTTGGTTGGGGTCTATCTTTGGCGACAACTAAGGGTCAATTCAACTTGCAGAGGATGGGCGACATTCGTGGCGGGTAGGCTAGGTGGCTTCCAGCATACTTTTCCAGGTGTTTGTTTTGTCTTTCGTGCTTCTCTATTCACCAAAAATGTATCACTTTAGCCGCCGAAGGTCTACACGAGCCTCTCTCTCTCTCTCTCTTTCTTTTGCTATTAGTCCCTCTCATTCCTGCACTCCCGGGACCAGTGCGGCCAGCTTCCGATCATGAATCACGACCCCCAGGTCATTTAACTCTCCGTGCTTTCACTCAGCAAACCGATGGATGGGCTTTGGAATGTTGAAATAATCATGGAGTTTATTGGTGCTTACAGCGTCCCTTCCCGACGTGTTGTGGTTCAGCAGTCGCGACAAGCCCGCACGCATGAGTAAATGCTCCAATCTTAAAATACTCATCAATGCACAATGATACAGTAGTGTAGGTGATGGTATTTGATTAAACTCATTATGAGTATTTATTTGTCCCTATTTATTTATTCATTCATTTATCACGTTAGATTTAAGAATTAAAATACGCCTTTGGCCTAGGGTTAGGTGAAATGACCTTTCTTACGTAGGTACTTGTGTGCGAAGACCAAGACCAAATTAAATTAAATTAAACCCGCCACGCCGACAGTTCCCAGAGTCGTCACTCATCCCACCGCAATGAAGTGGCACCTTCACTTCGGAATGAGATTCCCGTGATGCAAAGTTTCCCTTCCAGCTGAGAGGCGGAGGAGTCCACTTTCAGTGGACTAAACCTCGGGGAGAATGGCGGTCAGCGTCGACGCTCGCCACCGGAGAGAAGTCCGGCGCTGCTCCGGCCAGAGCTACCCCGAATCGGCAGCAATTCTTTGGTAGCACGACATGGGTGCAGTTGGAGAAGTGGACTGTGGAGCTCAAGCTACTTACACGAACCGCCGATGCCGGTGATGGGAGACCAGCAGCTGGGATATTTACAGCAATTGAAGAAAAGTAGGACATTCATATAGCTCGTTCAATCCCAATATTCATCTTCTTCCATCATCAATTACTCTTCTCATCTTACGCAAATCTGCCATCATGAGTGACCTCTCAGCAATGGAGTCGGAGACTCCCAACATTCCCCCCCGAGAGGTTCGTTCCTCCACCCCAACACCAGAAATCATGTCCACTAACATGCCATCCTTCACAGATATTCAACTCCCCAAAGACGTCCCTCCCCTGAATCAAATCCTCTCCGCAAACGACTTTGCCCTCGCGGCGCAAAAGGCCCTGACCCCCAAGGCCTGGGCCTTTTACTCGTCTGCCGCCACCGACCTGGTCACCCTCAACCGCAACCGGGAAATCATCCGCCGAGTGACGCTCCGGCCGAGGATCCTGCGCAATGTTACCGACGTCTCTATCGAACGGAATATCTTGGGGTTGAAGAGCAAGGCGCCCTTCTTCATGTGTCCAGCGGCCATGGCCACGCTGGCGCATCCTGATGGAGAGCTTGGCTGGAGTCGCGCCGTGGCAAACGAGGGCATCTTCGAGATTGTCAGTCAAATACAACCCTGGAGTAAAGACGACACTAACACATCTCAGATCTCCAGCAACGCATCCTACTCCCTCCCCACCATCATCGGCGCCGCCCCGCCCAACTACCCCTTCTTCCTCCAACTCTACGTCAACTCCAACCGCGCCAAGACGGTCGAGCTACTGCGCAAGGCCCGCTCCCTCGGCATCAAGGCTGTATTTGTCACTGTCGACGCCCCGGTCCCCGGCAAGCGCGAGGCCGACGAGCGCACTCCGCAGACCACGACTGTCCGCTCCGAGATGAGCGGCGGCGAGAGCACCAAGGACAACAAGGGCAACGGGCTGGGTCGCCTGATGGGGCAGTACATCGACAAGGCGCTGGAGTGGGATGACTTGCGCTGGATTCGCGAGGCGAGCTCTGTGCCCATTGTTCTGAAGGGTATACAAACAGTTGAGGATGTGCGGTTGGCCGTGGGCCATGGCGTGGACGGCGTCGTGTTGAGCAACCACGGCGGCAGGTCTCTCGATGGGTGAGTCAAATCTCATTCTCAAACTCATTGAGGTAGACTGTTAACAAGCTCCACAGCTCTCCCGCATCAATTTTGGTCCTCCTCGAGGTCCGGAAGCTATTCCCCGAAGCCTTCAAACACCTCCAAGTCTTCATCGACGGTGGCTTCGAGCGAGGCTCAGATATCCTCAAGGCCATCGCCCTGGGCGCCACAGCTGTCGGCATTGCGCGGCCATTCCTGTACTCGCTCGTGTACGGCCAAAAGGGCGTCGAGCACCTTTCGCAACGTGAGTCCCTTCGTACCACATAATCCATGTCTTCACTAACTAAACCCCCAGTGCTCAAGGATGAACTTGAGACCTCAATGAGACTCGCTGGTATCACGAGTTTGGACCAGGCGACACCGGCGTTGGTGAATACGCTGGATGTGGATCACATGGTGCCATCCGGAGACGCTGGATCGTCTCCTGTGGCAAAGGTGCGGACTTCGAAGCTGTAAAGACTAATGAGTGTGAGACATAAAAGCGAGCATAGACAACGTTAGAGATTTAGAGAATATTGATGCATAATGCATCTTAATGACGGAAAAGACTGGACGTTCAATAAACTACCCATTCCGTGATTTCATAAACCATCGTAGCATTGAGGCAAAACATGAAGAGCGTTACAAAGCTTTGCTTCATCACTTCTTCAACGTCTCATAAAACGCTCGAACAGCCTCGATCAGCTCACCGTCGGGCTCAAGCCCCAGCCCGTAAGCTCTGCTGACGTCGAATCTCGGCGGCCAGCTCTTGACCAGTCTCTCAGTCGGGGGGTCTATCTCTTCCTTTACAAACCCAACCGCCTCTTTCCCCCCAACCTGCTCCACGGCGTCCAAGATGTCTTGGACCGCCACCGTGATTCCAGGCAGGTTGACGATTCGCGAGTCGCCAAACTTCTCGGCCGGAATATCCTTGAGCTTGACGAGGTTCTGGACCACCGTGGCCGGGCTGCAAATCCAAAGCCCAAAGTCGCGGCTTACGGGGAGGGCGTTCGGGATGCCCTTGAGAGACTCCCTCACGATGCCGGACACAAAGCTGGACGCTGCGGCAGACGGCTTGCCTGGCCGAACAACCACAGTCGGCAGCCGCGCGATGCGGCCATCCAGCAACCCCCGTCGGGAGAAATCATTCAGAAGTAACTCAATAATGAGCTTCTCCGCGCCGTAGGAAGATAGCGGCAGTGGCACCGTCGCTGCCTCCGAGACTTCTCCATCACAAGGCCCATACACGGCACACGAGCTCGCAAACACGACTTTCGTGCCGGGCTCGTTCTTGCGGAGGTAATCCAACACACTCCGGATCGAGTCCACATTCACAGCCAGGCCAAGTTCCAAGTTCGCCTCCGACCCGCCGGACATGAGACCGTGGAGAATATAGATGGCATCGAAGCGGCGGCTACCGAGCAGGTCCGCGACAGCTGCGGGGGAGGTCAAGTCGGCCGCGAGGGAAGTAACACGGATGCTCGCGTGCGCTGCGTTCGAAGGGACGGGAGGCTCGGCCACATCAGTGAGAGTAACATGGAGAGAGGGCGAAGACTCCAGAAGAGGGGCAACGATGGCCTGGCCAACGAAGCCACCTGCTCCCGTGACGAGAATGTGCTTGTCGCTGTCGCTTGTCATGATGAAAGTGAGGGTTGGCGGCGTACAAGACGATTCGGGATTAGTTCAACGTTAAACACTCGGACCCTAGTGTGACGTCCAGCTTGATCTTATCCAAGTGATAAGATTATCTTGTTGATGTTGTATCCACCTGAAGCTCGTCCAGAGAGGCCCGAGATCCACTCTCTGTTATGAGGCTGAGGTCATGATGATGCCCGATGTAGGGTTCCCCGCAGAGCTGCGGCTGCAGGGGTGGAACCGGAGAGAAGTCCGGTGTGTTCACGACCATCTCCCACGTGGATACCATGAACTGCTCCGGGAACCAGGACAGGACGCGAAAGCCATCGGGTCCGTGTTGGGGTCTCGGGACACCGCCGTTGAAGATTGAGTCAGCATGTCTTGGACAATCCCTGCGGGGAAGCCGTCACGTTCCACCCCGAGAGCTTGCCCAAGAGTTTGGGTCGGACAGGGATAGAGATGGGACGAGACGTAGGGCAACATGTCCGATGGCTTTGAGTCCGTCTTGAACCCGTCGTAAGTGGACGTCAGGCCATCCATTAGGTGACTTGTCCACGGCGACCATATGTAAACGCCGATCAGGCCAGGTTGTAGAGCCAGACGGCTTTCCCTCCGCAAACAGAAGAAAGAAGTGTCAAAGAGTTCCATTTTGCGCGCCTGTGAACTTGATATCCAAAAAACTCATGTCACACCCAAACCAACCCAACATCAAAATCCGTCCCACGCAAATTGCCTATCTTACAGGACCCTGTTTCGTCCAGACATACAAAAATAGCCACCTCGACGAACTCTGCCGCACCTAAACGAACGCGCGATCGATCAAATACTTTCGTCATTGACGCATTCCATAATCAGCTTCTGGGTAGCTAGGAATGGGTTGTCCTGATCCGTCAATGGCAAACATGCCTGGATCAAACCGGAATACGGGTGAGAGCCCAAAGCTCATATCATAGTCGAAGAAGAGGTCGCCATCCATGTCGGTGAATTGCCGATCGGCTGGGAGAAGTTGACCCGCGACATCGACGTTTTCAGTCATGCCGGGGCCAATTAGTGTCCCATTAGTCGGAAGAGGGACTTGTCCCTGCACGGTCGCGCTCAACGTCGCCGTCATCCTCTCAAGTCCACTAGCCATGAGATTTGCTAGGTGCCACTTGCCAGTAGACAGAGATCGAAACTGTCGCACAAGGTTGGTCGTCAACTCGTGTACATGCTGCCTCTCGATCAAGTCACCACCATACTTGATGGCAACTTTAATAAGAAACATGCAGGCAAAAGCCGTCATAGAGAGCATGTATGAAGGCATGCCTACGATTCCAACGGCGACATCGGGATCCGTGATGATGAGGTCGATGATGGCCGTCGCCGCGGCGACCGCCTTGCTCGCGCAGTCGAGGAAATAGTGCGGGATAGGGTCGTCTCCGGACAGACCGCGGAAGATGTGTGAGTAGAGGTGAATTTGTGCAAAGTTGTAGTGTAGAATTGTTCCTTTGCGGGGGAAAGAGCCGATTTGTGGCCATTGTTCTATGTCCTGTTAGTGGTTTTGCCCATAAGGATCTCTTCTTGCCAGACGCTAACTCACCTGGTAGTTCCTTCAGCCACCGATCGTACCATTGATCAAGCTGCCGGCGGAATTGTAAAATGTGGTTGAGATACACGCGAGGAATCGACTCTCCCTTGTCCGTTCCGAAAAGATCCCGGATATTTCGTAGGATACTGACCAACGCCACCTGGCCAGTTAAACGCTTGTCCTCTTCAGTCGCAACTGGAGACTCAAGAAACTTTTCCCATCCCTGGATCGACGGGTCTTCTTGCACGATTGAAGGGCGACCATATAGAGTTGCCAGATGCTGATCGCAGATATAGAGGATATACCACAGACGGGCGCAGTCGGCGGCGTCTTGATTTTGCCCCTTGATGGCTTGGCTATAACTGTTGTGGAGGTTGCATTCAGCCGCACGCCGGATTGCATACCCTGATAGCATCCAGGAAAGGTCGCTGAGCCAGTATGATGCCACACACATAGCGCGGAGATAATCACGATCAATCCGTCTATCAAACATGGACTTTTCCATCAAGCGGCGGAACTCGGCGCTGCAAACTCCATAGACACCATCTGCCTTGGGATCATGAAGAGCGGCTACCGTGAGGGTCGCCGCAGATAGGATAGGACTCTTGCGCCGTAATTCGTCGAGGGTCATGTATCGGCATCCGATGCCATACATGTAACGGTCGAGGCGATCTCGGTAGAGGGCGAACAAGCTTTCCGCATCAGCCAAGGTCAGCGAACCGCGGGCGATGAAGTCGTCAATGGCACGGCCTCGTTGGGATTCTGGGTTTTCGGGAGATCGTAGGGCGCTAAGTTTGGTAAGGGTGTAGAGGGAGTGGATCGGGACATAGGGGAGCCCTTCGTCCTCGGGCGTGGCTTTGGGGGAGTTGTCACAAGAGGGTCCAAGAGCTTCGTGGTCGTGTTGTGATGGTGGCTGGAGACCGCTGCCACCCGCGGGATTGTCGTCCTTGGGAGGTGTGCCTTCAGACTCTCGGCCGCCGGAGCTTTGCAAGGGTGGAAGTTCTGGGAGGCCGACCTTGTTCATGATTTGCTTGAGGGCGCTGTGCATCTGCTCCAAGTCCTGTACCACAGATTCAGAAAATCTAAGAGCAAAGTCAATGGTGTGTTCATAGTGTCAGTAGCTCATACAAGAGCCATCATGTAGCGCTTACTGCGACTTTTCATCAATGATGGTTTGTAAGCTCTTGCTCAAGACACATCCCAGGTTGCGCTCAGAACACCTTCGACATGGCGGGCCAGTCTCATCCATCAAACATTTAATCTGCACCTAAGGGTTAGCAGAGGTTCCGTCTGTAGAGTCTGGCGCATTTCATCTCACCTTGTGTTTGCGACATGCGGCACAGGCCTTGATCTTGCGTGAGATCTGAGGCAGCGGTAGGTCATTGGGCAACACGCCGCTGATGCTTTGCCGATTAGGGGCCTGGCGACTCCTGTTAGGTGTAGGTTGCTACAGATGTGTTAGTGTTATGCCTGCGGCATGAGTGTCGATGTGACACAAAAAAGATTGTCTACTCAGAAGGACAAGACAAAACATACAGCTGCGCCGTTGGGCGTGGGTTCAACGGCCGTTATGCCATTTGAAGATACATCCGGGACAGAAGTTGTCGCTGGACCTCCACCTCCACCTCCACCTCCGCCTCCTCCGTTGGACTCGGACCAGGTTCTCTTGGCCATGATGATTTGTGCGACTCTGCGTGGTGTTGCCTCTTTCTCTTCAAGGGGAAATGAGTCGACTTGTAGCGCGACAGGACAATTGAGTCACGCGAATTGCCAGGCGGCCGAGAGCGAGTTGTCGTGAGGTACCAGGTCAGCAGGCAACGTGGTTCTTCATCGTTTTGCTCTTTTTTGCTCTAGTTTCACGACCGCAAAAGATCAAGTCTTAGGGGGAGACTGGTGAGCGAGAAGCGCAGCGGCCTGAGGCACAAGGTTGTTCACGCGGGACGGGATGTGCGTGCGTGCGGAAGATGGGGGAGTCGATGGGGATGGGGAAGGAGCAATGGGGAATGCCTGAAGAGGGAAACTTCCCCCGAAGGCGGCGGAACAACTTCGCCTCTGGGCGAATCAGGGGGCCGCTATTTGCCAGAAACAAGCGCTAACGGCGAGGGAGCGTGACTCAGCACAGGCCGTCGCGCACTGAAGTTGCGCAGTCCCCGCAAACGCCAACGGGGCAACCTTCTGCAGCGGCGGGGAGAGTTGCTCCAGACAGGGAAACGACACCAAAACTGCGGGGTAGCAGTGGCATTTCTTCCCTGGAGCAGGGACAGCAGGGTCTTCCAGGGTCTGACTAGAGAGAAATGAGGATGGGGCAGGGCCGCCGTCACCGGGGATCCAATGAATTGCAGGTAGAGGGAAAAACGCCATCACATGGCTTTTCCCGATGTTCTGGAGCCGGGCCAGCTGGAGACGATTGGTTCGTTCGTCTCTGGGGGATCTGTCGGCGTTCTCGTTGTACAGGCTTCGGGGTATCCGGAGAAAAAGGTGAGAACTTACAGGTGTACGTGGGGAGGTAGGGAACTACGCGACGTCCATAAATACCATTGCAATCTTACTTGATGGGCAGTTGGTTCACAGGGAGGGCATCTGCTGAATATTTCTTTGTAGCGACAACTCTCTCATGGCAACTTGGTATGTTGCATTGTGGCGGGTGTACCAGCGCCCGTGGAGCTTGGAGCACGCCACCCAGCACGGAGAAGCCGGATAGATCAAAAAGAATCGCTAGCGGGACCTCAGCCTCTCCCCAGATTTCCCTTCAACCGGTATCAATATCACAAGTTTCCGTTCTAGGAAAGTTTACCTATTCTGGATTCTCCGGGGTAAAAGCAAGCTAAGGTAGTTCCATGCGCCGCATGAAGACCAGGGGACGAGGCAGAAGTTGATCCGGGCAGACTAGGCCGAGCCCATACAGGTCGTGGACACACTCCTCCAGCGCCCCGATGGTCACTTACCAGAGGCAGCAACTTCATACTCACTCAAGCCGAACTAAAGACTCCGAATTCCCCTGCCTCCAGATAAAAAGGCATACGATTAAACACAAGCAATGCCACGTGCACGACCAAGCATGCATCTACGTCACATCACGGGGGAGGGTCCCATCTCAGAGAGCAAATTAGGCCCTCCCCCACTGAGAGGACTGCGGGGCAGCACTGACCATCCCAACCAAGCCCTAAATCGGCGAACGCAGTGATAGAGAGCGTTATCGCAGCAGGCAGCCTCAACACCATAACTTCGCTCCGACATCATCGCCAACTGCCGCTACTCTGGTCTCTGCGCATCTTCCAGCCACGCTTTACTCGGATTTTCTCAAATCGTCTAGTCACATCCGCCAGCAACAATGCCGAAGAAGCTCTCCAAGAACTCGTTCCCCCCGAGCTCCTCCACGCTCTCCTCCCTCTCGTCCATCACGACCTCGTCCACGTCGACCACCAATGCCGCCCTCACGCTCCTCCCCGCCTCGCTCGCCGACCCGGCCCTCCCCCTCCCGAAGCTCGTCGTCTTCGACCTCGACTACACCCTCTGGCCCTTCTGGGTCGACACCCACGTCGCCATGCCCCTGAAGCCCAACAGCACCCACTCCGCCGGCATCGACAAGTACGGCGAGGAGTTTGCCTTCTACGATGACGTCCCCAACATCATGTACACGCTGCCCCGCGCCGGCGTGCGCATGGCCGTCGCCTCGCGAACGCCCACTCCCAACATTGCGCGCGACCTACTCAAGATTATCCACATCCCACCGCCCCCTCCCGCCGACGATGCGACCGCGCCCAGCAAGCCCGAGAAGCCGAAGCGCGCGACGGATTTGTTCGAGGGTGGTATCGAGGCGTACCCGGGGAGCAAGCTGAAACACTTTGAGATCATACAGAAGCGCACGGGGATTCGCTACGAGGACATGTTGTTCTTCGATGACGAACCCCGGAACTTTGAAACCGAGAGCCTGGGTGTCACCATGTACCTCATCCGGGATGGTACATCATGGAACGAGATCGAGAAGGGTGTGCTCAAGTGGCGGACGAGAAGAGGACACATCCAGGCACAAACTTCGACGGGGATGGCCGCATGAAGGTAGATTGAAACGAGGGACACGAGGGTTCATAAGAGTAGGTAGAGTTTTGAGATGCGAGATGCAAGAGATGCAAGATGCAACGATTCAAGAGATGGACGATAGATACAACGAGCGATCCAAGGATAAACGCAAGAATATGGAACGAAAATTATGCGGCGAGGGCCGTATATATACCTCCGGGTGTGGGATTGGTCGTAACCCACCCCATAGCGATATACATATAGATGTTCTATGATAGAATGTTCCAAAATGGTGATCCAACGATGTACCCGAGCTGTGTTGCATCGGCCGCTCCCGGTTCGGTTCGCGTCAACCAATCCACGTGTGCTTGATATCCAAGTCCGTCCCACCCGTGTGTCCTCCTAAAAAAGTAACCCCGTCCGGGTATCCAAAAATTGCAAATTTATATCCTTCACTCTAAAGAAATTGTTCATGTCTTTCATACAACAACCGTCTGGGCTGGTGCGGGGGTCGTGTCGATCGCCTTGCCCTTGTCCTCGCCGTTGATCTTGAGCTTTTCCTGGACGCTGTCACTCAGCAGGGTATCGTCGGTCTGCACTCCGTCATCACGGGTATCTGCATCAGCGGTTTGGGTACCCTCGGCCACCTCAGTCTCCGTCGCGGCGGAGACGCCGTTGGTCTGTGGCTTGACCTCCTTCGTCTCTAGGACCGGGGCCGTAAAGGTCTTTGGGATGGTGCAGATCCTCTCGTTTCGGAGCTTGCCATTCTTGGCGCCCCGGGCGACGCAGGCCAGTCGCTTGCCGTCGTCAACCTCCTCCCACAGCAAAGGTCCGCTGGGGAAGCCCTTGTATCCATTCTCCCACACTACAACGCCTTCCCAGGTCTCGTCTGGGATACTCAGCTGACCAAATTTGTAGTCCAGCTTGCCACCGTACTTCTTGGGGATGTTGCGGGGCTCGATGAAGGTCTCGAGCGTCGACTTGACCTCGTGGTTGCCGAGAATGAAAATCTTGGAGACGGTGATGGGGTCAAACCAGCGCTTGATCCAACCCCAGACGGTGCTGAAAAAGAATGGGGCGCCGATAACGAAGATGCGGTCGAGCGTCTCCGGGTAATGGGCGGTGGCTAGCTGGGAAGCGACCTGCATGTGAGCCTTGAGGTTCCAGAACTGCTTCAGGCCGACACCAGAGACGTCGACAATGTTCGTGCTCATGGTGATTGGGACCTCGGGGAACTCGCGGTCCGTGAGCTGCGTGCAGAATGGCATGTTGAAGCGGGTGAGATTCTCGTAGAGGGCAAAGAGGCGGAGCAGGCCGGAGGGCGTCTTGCCGTCTGACTTGGCCTTGGAGAAGGTGCTGGTGGCGCCGACCTTGTCATATTCGGCAACCGACTTGGCGTCGAGGGTGCGGATCTCGAAAACGTAGAGGGGGATTCCGCGGCGGTCGCGACGGCCGGTCCATTGGGGGTACTGAAGTTGTTAGCGACGGGAGTCCGGGGGTTTGATAAGCGTCAAAGGTGGGAAAGCGACATACCAGCCGACGGCTCGATTCATAGGCATCAAGCTCAATGGTGTTGTAGAGGACCTCAATGTCGTTGGCAACTCGCCATTCCTCGGTGTCCTTGAACTGCTGGAAGGCATCCTCGACGTTCCATCTACGGGCGCGGAGGTATCGGCTATTCCTCTGTCAGCATGACCGCTTCGCTTATCAATCCCGAGACAGCTTCGACGTACAGCAGCAACGGGTCGTCGTGAGACGCGGGAGGGCCTCGCTTTAGCAGGCCTCGCTCCTCGAGCACAGTCTTAAAACGCGTGAAAGCTTCTTCCTCGGGCTGGGTCAAATGGCCAAAGTGGCAGCGCGGGTAGCCATATTCGGTGAGGGTGGAAGCCGACGACTTGACTCGGGCAGCCGGGGCGGAGGTGGTAGGGGAAAGGGCGTCGTGATCGGCCGTCATGATGGCAGGTTGCAGTCGCAGTCGCAGTCGCAAAGATGCAGAGGATGGAAGACGGAGATGCAGATACAGATGCAGATACGGACGAAAGATGCGAGCGAAGTCGGAGTGGAAACAACAAAGCGAATAATCTCTGTCCCGGAGAAAAGAGAGCCAGTAGCCTCGCGCGGAAGTTGCGGAAGCATCGGATGCAGAAAAGTCCCAGTAAAGCGATAATCTCATCATCTGCACCAACTGCACCAACGTCAGCGAGTAGCGACCCGCGTCGATGTGGGCGGGTGGCGGGGCAGGAGCGGGTGTGGGTCGCCTTGAAATGACGTCTACGGGACTCTATTGGCACCTTGAACCCACTAAATCCACTAAACCCACTAAACCGGAGAGCCCTACAGCCCCGTGCCACACCTTGCAGCGCCTTCCAGTTCATCCGGCGCGCCTCTGCAGCGCTTAGATCGCCGTCACGTCGCACTTAAAATAAGGCCGATGGCACCTGAGATGAGATGTTCCGAGTCCCGGATGGCTCGGCCGATAGCGGGCCACCGCACTCGGCATCCATCAAAGACCCGTCTCCATCATCCAGAGTGTCAAGCACCAATAGTGGCCGGGGGTTTGAAATACGCAGTCCGGGGTAACCGCTCCAATTGTCGAATCATCTGTGACCAGCCAGGGTCTGTAAGGTCCGAGTGGATACCGGATGTTGCCTCTATTAGACTTCGCCAACCTTCACGGTACGAGCCGAGCTCCGGATTTTTGGGACCGGGTTTTCGGAATCCGGTTTTGAGGACAGAATTAGATTCAAGGGCTGCTGATATTTAGGGTTGGGACTTATACCTCAATGTTGGGACTTATACCTCAATGTTGGAGGGACTTATACCTCGGTTGGAGGAACTTATGCGTGAGGATTAGCCTGTTAGGGGGAACTCATACCTCAAGGTAAAGGTATAAACACTGAAACTAAACAAAGTCAGGGTAAGAGTTGCCTTAGGCTGATAAAGGCCGACTAAGGCATCAGGATTCCATCTCAACACCAGATGGCGGAGAAGAGTCGACATGGCAACCGTCGCATGCTCCAGATGCTCTGCTCCAAGACGCTCTGATTCACAGCCCTGTGTCATCCACAAGGCTGTTCAGTGATTCACTGCTTTGCTGCCTAGCGGAGCGCCTTCCGTTGCGTCGCGCTCACCTTTCTTCCTCGTGACCTCGTCAACAAGCAAACAAACAACAAACTGAGTCACCCGCAAGCTTCACGCTCACAACGCCCTCAACAATTCATCATCCGTGAATCATTGCGTGGCCTCAGTCGCGACGGTTGCCCAGACTACGGACTACTTCTGCCCCAACCTCCCACCGGCTCCTCCGTTTCCCCTTTCGCCAACTCTTCTCTCTCCCTCTCCCTCTCTTTCTCTCTCTTTCTCTCTCTGCCCAGCATGGAAGCAAAGGACTGGACTTCTTCTCTCTTGCTCACTCAGTCGGGCAAGCGTCCCATCAGCTGTATCTCGGCTGTCTCATCGCCGCCGTCACCGACTAAGCGGGCGTGTTATGACCTTGATTGCCAGAAACCGGATGCTCCTGTATGTCCAAACCGTCATTCATCTTGGCAATGGCTAACTTTGTGTTCCAGGAGATCCTTCAGCCTGTCCCTCGCCACGCCAGGTCCTCGACCGCCTCACTACTAGAGGCCCTGGTCACTTCTGTCGTCCCGGATCTCTCATTCAACGAACATCTCCAACCTGACGTCCGCGCTCACGTCGCGAGCTGGCTTGACGCAGTATTGCCTTGCCCCGAGTCTCATCGGCAAAGACGCCCAGAGTCTTGCCGTAATATCCAGCCACCACTAAGCAGCCCTCCACTCAGCAAGACGGCACCACCCACAATGGGTTCTAGACGTGGCAGCAGCCTGGCCCGCCCCAGTACTCCCTCCTCCTACCGGCCCCCAACAAACCCCCCTACGAACCCCCCTACGCCATCACAGACTGGCACCAGCACGCCCTACACCAGACTGGTTGAAAACCCTCATTACAGAGTGCACTTGGCTGTGAACAAGATCGAAGTTCGCCCCCCTCGGGACAAACTACCAGAGCCCATTTCCGAGCTCTGCAATCTTATTCAAACGGCTCGCATGTCTCCTCGCCCACCCATGACCGATCACGCTCTACAGACCTTGGAAGCGTTTGGCGACATGTCAAGTGAACCCCACCTTGAAAAGTTCTTCCAGAATAAAATCGCCTCTGATCTCTTCATGGAGGATGAAAAACGATGGGTCGAAAGACAGCCCATGGACAGACGCCTTGTCCCTTCGTTTTCCTCCAAGATGAAAGTCAGTACCCCCATCCCTGATACTCTCTACGGCTACCGCGTGCCCGACGACTTCTCTTTGCCGCAGCTGGAACAGCTTTGTGAGAGGAAGAAACCAGAAGATATATTGGTAGCAAATTCCGCAGGCTCGGTCTTTCCTTTCTTGGCCGTCGAATTCAAGGGTGACGGCCCCGTTGGCGGGTGTCTTTAGGTAGCGACTAACCAATGCCTCGGGGTCATCGCCACTTGTGTCAACAGCGCTGAGCGCCTGAACTCTATGATCGAACAATTCCAGCGTCAGGATGTACCGCACATCGACAGCACCGCCTTCGGCATCGCCATGAACGGGATGATTGCAAAGCTCTTTGTATCCTGGAAGAATGGCGACGGCTTGATTCTAGCGCAAAAGATCAAGGAGTTCGTACTGGAACGCCCTGAAGAGTTCATCGCGCTTCGCAACTGCGTCCGAAGCATTGTCGAATGGGGAATGGGTGAACGCTTTACCAACGTCAAGCGCGCTTTGGATATCTTCAGTGAGGAAGAGACGCGAGACGCTGGGGGACCCAAGACAAGGCCTCCCCCTGATGGGTCTTCTGCGCCGAGCACGAAGCGACCGAGAATGTCTGATGCATGAAGAGAGAGAGAAATGTGGCCGATGTGAACGAGCTTGAGAGCGTCTGCGTTGCGCACTTTTTGACTGCCTCGGGTTGCAAACACTGGATTGCGTTCTGGAGGGACGAGGGACGCGTCAAAGGCGAGCACACCGCCGGCTTGATGAATCTTCTGCGCAGCGAGAAGAGGCTGATAATGTCTAATGCATGGGGAGAAATAAGAAATGCGACAGCCAAATGTGATGCGGCCTAAGTCTTGTAGATTACTGTACTACTAATAAGAAATCTCCACTCTGAACCTCAACCCCAATCCTGCCTCTAAACTGCGCACTTCCAGCAACCCAGGATGTATCAGATCACCACTTGGTCAATACGCCAGAGATGCCAGACGCCTTCAGGTGACGTCCCTCCCCCTGGTTCTCAGTCTGCACCAGGTAGGTGCCCTTTGAGCCTCGACCTTTGCTAAATCCGACTCTCTTTCAGCTCTCGTCATTCAACATACCGGGACAGTGTCGATCAAAGGATGTGAGATGCTCTTTTCATTCGCCCTCCCAACAAGGCTCGCTATACCTCGCTCGATGTTCCCAAACTATCCCATCAATTACAATAATGCTACGTTTTCCCAAATCCCAAACATGTCTTTAGACAAGTTTATATATATGTGTATGATGCTTGCCGCCGAAAAATCCTCCCATTCCAAGCTTCTCGCCTGGTGCTTCTCGCTCCAAGTCCTTACTCGATGACAATGTCCGCACCCAGCCGTCGCAGCGGCAGGTCCTCGACCATTTTCTCCAGCTTCCCATATCGCCTGACCACCTCCTTGGCGTCTTCGGGGAAGCTCATACGCATGCGGCCCACGCGCTCCCACACAACCCGGCCCTCACGTTCCGTCCGCTCGACAACCAGCAGCATGATCAGCGCTTCTTCAACGAACCAGAGCAGTGTCATCTGCTGGCCCTTTGCGTGCTGTTCGATGTACTCGCGAATGCCACCCACGCCGCGGCTCAATCGTACATCGACGCTCACTCGGTTGAAGATCCAGCCCCCGGCGTGTGTCTTGGCCTTGACTCGGTCCAGCACAAATGGGTTGGGCACATGAATCCCATATGGCTGGATATTGAGAGCAGGCGGTCTCGGTGGCCTGCCTGAAGCGAGGTCAGTGGCGCCAAAGTCGTAAGCGACGCTGCCGTCCTGGTTAGTGAGGGTGATGTTGGGGGAGTACGTCCACCGAAGGGAGTTGGAGTCGTTTCGTGTGAATTGTGTCGCGGTCACATAGTGTTGGTTGTTCTGCTTCCGTTCCTTGGCCTTGCCGTCAGGGTCGGCAATGACAATCGACGAGAACATGTCAACGGCGCCCTTCCAGCCTACCCACGTCCAACTCGGCATGTGTGTGCGTCGCCGCGCGATCACGCCGTCCTTGTGGTGCCAGAAACACGTCGACAGGGCGAAGAGATCCCGCGTTCTGGCCGGGCCGGTACGCTCATCCATCGGTGGTGTCCAGACAGGGATTCCCAACAGGTTCATGACCTTGCCTCGGCCCATAGTAGTCTCCAGGCGTCGTGAAATTCCCAAGAAAGCATTCAGAGAGTCGTCGTCGTAGGTGAGATCGCGTCGCGTATAGTTACTAATGTGCTGATCCGACTCACGGAAGATGCTCAGCGTGCTCGGTTCCTCAGCCTTGCTGGGAAGTCGTTTCCACCGCTCCCAGCTGCCGTCGATAAAGGACACGCCGTTGAAGAGACCGGGTCGCATAAAGTCGCACATCCGCTGTTCCTCCATGTCATGATACATCTCCAAAGGCAGGACTAGCGACTCGGGGCAACACATGCCCTCGCACTCCCAGTACATCTGTTGATCGGTAAAGATGAGTCGCCTCCTCGCGAGCAAACCTTCCTGGTAGGTCCAACCTCGCGTGTACCAGGCTGAATTCTTGATCGCCAACCGCGGATCCTGGAGACTTGACACCAGCGTGATGTCGGAGTTGACGAACTCGTACTTCGGCTGAGCCTGTCGGGTCGTCGAACCAACTCCAGGCAGACCATGATTCGCATCCTCGCCGCAGGCCGCAATGATGGCAAAAATGGCTCCCTCAAAGATCTCGTCCATTCGAGCAATCTGATTTAGCTTGTCCCTCGGTAGTAAGTGATCCATGCACAAACGATCCACCCACAAATACCGGACTCCCATATCCTTGGTGGCGATGATGGCGTCCAATATGACCTTGGGCCACGTCGTCTCTGGTGTCGCTGTTTTCCTCCCCCACACGTAACTAAGTGCTGCATAGCGCTCAGAGATAGAGGCATCAACCACCCTCGGGGGGCTCTTTGCGCAATCTACCAGGCGGAATCCGGGGAGTTCGCGATTAATTGGCTTTCGTCCACATCGGCCTTGGTGGTAAAACTCGCAATAGCGCAGCCAGTCCTGCCCCACGGACATGTCGATAGCCTGGTGCATTTCACGACCCCAGATTCCCCGTTTGGCCCAGCCCTGGTTGTCGGACAAAGACGGTCCTCGCGAGTGCTTTCCTTCAGACCTCCCGCTAACCGCGCTCACGGCACTGAGAAGTTCTGTCTGGAACTCTGGCATCGTTCTGTATAGCATGCCAGCGCCGCGGAACCAGTCGGCATTTACATCCCAGCTCAGTGCACCATCGCCACTCTTCTTGGGGACGACTCCCAGGAACGCCGGGCTATAGCCCTTGGCTTTACCCTTGGCTGGGTGCTCTTGATCAAACATGGTGTTTGTATTGATCAAGTAGTTGGTATCACGGCTAGAGAAGCCGGAGAGGAAGAGGTCGCCTTCGCCCTCGCTGGGAATGTGTACAGAAAGGAGCAACTTGCAGAGCGGGCACTTGGTGGACCAACGGTTCTCCTCGAGCTCGTGCAGCCGACCCATGGAGTGCTCCTTGTTGTCAAAAGCATCAGCAGATCCTGGATTCAATGCTTTGAGGAAGGACGCGTCCATCTCATCAAAGGTCGAGTCAATATCAGCAGCCCAGCCTGCACATCCCTGGCATAGGGTGGGATCTTGCGGTTGGCCGCCCGATCTGTCGGAGTGGGCGGAAGGGCTGCGGCTCTTGCGCCAGCTGATGCGGCGGATCAAAGACCCTCGCCTTGGCTGTCTCTCATCGTCATCCTCAGGTGGCTCCACGGACAGGTGCTGCATGAGATTCTTGAGCGGGTTCCGCGACCGCCGCCTCTCGAGGACGGGCCTCTCGGGGGCGGTGGGGGTGGGCGGTTGTAGCATGTCCGACATGATGCGTCATGAAACCCGGACGAGGACAGATTGCGGAACGGTGGGAAGGCCGAAGTGCAGAAGGATCAGCGGAGAAGAGGTCGGAGGATGGTCGGAGGGAGGTCGAAGGAATGCCGTACGGACGTACGACCTCCGTGATTCTCGGGGGAGTACCGGCGGTGTCTCGCCCCGTCTCGGCTGCTCCTATCCGGTATCCACTCTTGGCGCCTAGGATGGAGGCGAAATGGAGCGATGGAGCCCCAACGAGCGCCTGCTAGGGGCCTACCGGGATGCTTTTAGGGGATGCCGCTCCACAAGCCAGGGTGAGTTCGTTGGACGTCGCCGGGAAAAGAAAATTCACGGGGAGCCGTGGGCGCGTAGAGGTGGAGGAGGAGGATGAGGAAGAAGGCGGTTCGAGATTCGACTCCAGTAATAGCTCAAGTAATAGCGGTTCGTCGACAGGCCGTCCTTGCCGGTATACCTGACTATCCTGACTATCGACGACGCGGCGGGCGTGAAGCGAAGGTAGAACGAGTCAAACGAGATGAAGGCGGCTGGTGGATGAAGGCTCGGACGTTGAGGAGCAGGGTGGTGGCGCTTGTTGAATTGCAAAGCAGGGGACAGTGAGTGGCCCGATGCGAGATGCGAGATGCGAGAGAGATGCGAGGGAGATTCAAGAAAGGATATGCAGCAGCCCTTGGAGCCTCAGACGGGAGCGGCTGATGGTCGTTGATATGTATTTCTCAGTCGTGTATTTTTAGCATGGAACGAGGCCCGGAGATGGGGCATGCATGGTACTAATAGCAGGCATCCGCAGACGGGGTCGAGATGAATCATGAGCCGCCTTGAAATGAACCATAGATGAGGTCAGCCGTTGGTTGGTTCGAGGTTGACGATCCTTGGCCTTGGCCTTGTGTTGGCCTTGGTCTCGAGGCTTCGTCTTGACCTTGCCGTTGGGTCGCGAGCAACAAACCTGGAAGCGTGATTGATTGATTGTTGTACGGCGAGCCGCCAGCGCATGCAAATTTCAGTGCCCAAATCCACTAATTCGAGGTGGCACTCTTTTGCCTATTGGTTCCCCATCCCTGTTTGACTTGGCGGTCGCCTTGGATAAAGGAATGAGGCTTGTGACCTGGGCACAGCCTCGATGCAAATGAACCCAGTTGGAAAAGGGGGGTATTGAATTTTTTGATTTTTTTTCCTTTAATAGGCTTGTGAACGAAAAATAGTCGCTCCTGTTCGCACCCAACTTGCAAGAAGAAGATATGTTCAGCCAGGCGCAGGTATTCACACAAAGAGTTTACGCACGGTCACACGCACGGTCATGTGAGGCTTGGGAGTAGCTATATCCGGCCGCTTTATGACGTCGGCGACGCTGCCAAACGAGGCCCGGCCCAGCCAACTAGGTATCACTGCGATGCTTCAACCCCAACGCGTTCCACAAAGGCGAACCCGTGAAAAAGGTGCAAATTCCAAAAGGATTCGGGCTGAGATGTCAGATGCCCTACTTTTTTGGTAATTCCCCCGCCTAGTTGAAGGCGCAGCCGGCGTGCAACACGGAACGTAGCCATGCCGTGTATCCGCCATCCCCGCAGGAATCAGCACATCGCCTCAATTCACCAACAAGTGCGAGCCTGAGCCTCATTGCACAGCCCGTTCGGGGTGAAAGGTAGGCGACACGTGTACAAAGGAGCACGTTTATTTGCGGCGGGTTTCAATGTGCAAGTTTCAATGCGCAACATGCCAAAATTCTCACTCGTTTCAATTCGAGAGGTCATGTGGTCGCTTACAGAAGTGGCTAAATTAACACTGAAAAACGTTGTGAGGATATCATCACTTACGACATACGACTAAGCGGGAAAACATCCCAGGGCTTACGGTACTGGAAGCGATATTCTCTGTAGTCTTCAAACGGCAATAAAAGATATCAGCAACAAGGATACTTACACACAACAGCTTACTACGTCACACCACTTTACATTTGCCTACCCTGTACCATCACGGATCCTGCCCAACGAGGTCGTCTGCGAGGTCGTTACGTGAAACTTAGGAAGAACATCCATATCCATGCAACTCAGCCATCTAACAATTTATGAGCCATTCAAGTAGACCCCTTGCGAGTGATCCTGCGACTGAAACTCCCAAGAAATGAATGATGATTTCCTATGCGGTCACGGAGCTTCTCCATTGACGTCTCAGATAGTCAACTACTCGTAGTCGTTCGGCAGCAACCATCTCAGTGGCGAGGGACAGAACAGTGAATGGGATGAGGTGATCAAAGTTACGTCACCAGCCCTTCACTTGCAAACAAAGCCGTTCCACATGGCCATCACAGAACCATTACCCTGTTTCGCCAAACACCGAAACACACACTCCGTCCTGCTTCGGCTTCGGTCCGTCGCCTCAAATCCCCTCTCCGAACCCACGCTCAACTTCCCGACGACGCTAATGGACCCTCGGAAACAAATTCCCCCACGCCAGCAACAAGACGAACGCCCCGTGGCACGCTAAGCCTGGTCACGACCGACGCTGATACGTAGCTCGACACCGCGGAGCCACTCCTCCGCTCTTCTGTCGCGGCCCGCCTTTTGCCCCCCATCCTGAGCGCGTATCATCCCGTGGTCAGCTTACCGTAGAAGGCGATAAAGTTTAAGCTAGCTTGGCCGATCTTGCGGCTGCGGCGGATAGATTTAATCGCCAAATCTCGCCGTCTCGCCCGTGCTGCTAGATGCGGCGCCACTCTCGCGGTTCTAACCCGAATCACGAGACAGCAAGCTGTCTTATTTTGGTAGGCATTCACGAAGAAATGGGAAACAGAAGATTCAGGCATGCAAGCTCAATTCACAATCCAGCGATGTGCTACCTCGGTTCCTGGCCGCGCCAAGTCGCCTGCCCGCATGTCTCTGTGCTACTGTGCTACTCCATCTCCGATATGTTGTATTCTGATCTAACAAGCTCGAGCACGGCTTGCGGCCGAAGACGTCTCCTGTTGAGTGTCCCAGAAACCCATCTTCAATATCCGTAGAGTCCCGAGTTGAGACGCCGAGATGTGTCGATCGGAAGAGGTTGAAGAAATTTAGTGCTATTTCCCCCAGGTGTTAGTGAACCCAGGCTACTGACGAGCACGCAGAAGTGTGAACTTACGGAGCAAGAGGAGCAGGAAGAGCAAGAGGTGCCAGCGCAAGAAGCACCGCAGCAGTTGGAGCAGTCGCTAGAGACACGAGTGTTAGCCGGGAAGCTTTTGAATCGATCGCAGCCAGGTTCCTCTCAGGGTATGCTCCTTGAAAAGGCTCGAGGCTGGGGGGTAGGTGCAACTCACCAAGGAGCCATGTTGATTGTTTGGGGTGGAAGAAGAATCTTCGAAAAAGTGTGAGTTGAGTGTTGGATGTTTGAGTTGAAGAGTAGATTGTTGGATGCAGAACAAAATCGAATCTTGGAGGGCGACGAGAGCGGCTTCTTATACTCGATTCCATCCGCACGAGCCTCTCATCATCCCACGCGCCGACCTCTTGAGAAACCTGTAGCATCCAACCATTTCCGTTGCCTGATTATCGTATGCTGGGCGTGGGTAGTCCTGAGTGGATGTGCTCCACCACCGATGCATGGAGCATGCCCATCGACATTGGGTCTTACACTCCCTCATGAAGTGGCCAACCAGGGCAAGGGGACTCCAAACGTCACGCGGCAGCCCTGAGCTTCACCCCGCACGCCGGCGTCATCTTGTTGGACTGTACAGTCCCGTCATTGGTTGGGATGTTGTGGTGTGGCAGGAGTGCCGCTTCACATTAGGCGTGAACACCCAGGAAGCTTTCCAACAGCGGCGAAAGACCATGGCGCCATAGAGTTTGGGGGGTGGACGTTCAAGGCGTGACGGCGTGGAAATGCATCCCAAGAGAGCAAGGTAAGAGGCCTCAAAAGCAAAGACGTCCTCGTAGGGTGCCAGATGTCCTACAGCTGAGGTGGTGTTGCATCGCAGTGCTCATCGGTTCAGCATCTCCTCCCCGGCAACGCGCACAGTGAAACCAGCGGCAAAGTACGGGTCTCTGCGTGGGATGGCAGGGAACATTGCCATGCCGATCGTTACTGGTGGAGGGTGCCACGTCAAGGCTTCCAGACGACCAGGACCGACAACCCAAAGGAGACACATGGACGGGAGGGCACCTGGGCTGGGCTGCTGAACCCGTTAGCTCTCCCTAGCTTCCAGGGACGAGGCAATTCTTGGAGCTAGCTTCATGAGACACGGAAGCTCTTGAGGGTGGGGGTCAGGAAAGGTGATGATAATCTGGGACATGGAACCGCCCGAGCCGGAGGCCGAGCTACGAAGTGTGGCCCCCGTCACCCACACCGGTGAACCGGAGCCGGGGGTGTGTGTGGAAGGGCCTCCGAGGGGGTGGTACTTGTTACACCTGGAACGACAGGAGTAGTTCCCACTTCGGGATGACGGACAGCCTGTATGTACCCGGACAAATGGGGGAATATGGAGAGAGATGGGTCGGATTGGTCGACAGGGGAGGATGGGTCCCGGTGTAAGAGAATAGAAAGAGACCCGTGGGGATAGGACAGAACATGACTGAATGTGACAGGACTGACAGGACATGTGAAAGACCTGCACGAACGACCAAGTGTACATTGTACATGGTACGGCACAGCGGCCGAGTGGAGGCTAGGCATGAGCAGGACATGGCCGTTTCGATGTGATGGTGGAGCCAGCAGACACTGGTGGATCATCGGGCACGACTTTGAGAGTGTCCGATGGATGGCTTCAACGAGACTAGAGACTAATCTAGCACGGCAAGGCGTGGTAGGCTAGAGTTGATCCCTGCGTGACGGAGCTGAGAGGGTGAAGGTAGAGACGGGGAGTGAGAGAACACGAGAGGCAACAACGTGAACGGGACTCGAGAGTGAGGGATAATATGGAATGGGGAACACGGGGAACGGGGACGGTGATGGGGCCACAAAGTGCATTGCCCAGCAGCCGCCCAAGGAGCCACTCGACTGGAACCGGATCCGTTTATGCATGCATCCCACGCATACGTATTTCTTGGGGGCGCGGCGTCGAGGATCAAGCATATCCGGCAATGCTTATTGGCTGTACGTGGGCAGCCGAGCCGGTGAGGAACGGGCAGAGACGGGGAGAATGGGGATAGACGGGGGCCAAACCATCACGGCGTAGGACTACTACGTCGGTCGGCTTTAGTCATGGGAACCATCCATGGCTGAGACGGCGTGGGCGTGGGAGTCTGGAAGCAGCGTGGCTGATGCTGATATGTGATGGGGATAGGCTTGTGACCCACGCCGATGAAGAAAACCCGAGACTAGTAAGAAGGATGGGGTGGCCAGAGACGGAGATGAGGAGACACTATCCTCCATGGGTGAAGAGGTAGATGGGGGTACAATAGCAGGGACAATAACGACGACAACAACATTCTCGGGAGCGAGAATGAGGGAGGAGATTTGAGGTAAGGAAAACACCAACATCAGCTTACCTGTGCGTGGCCATGGCTCGACAAGACAACAATCTAGTCAAGTGAGCAGAAGTATTCGAGAAATGGCTTCATCATGAGCCGAATACCGGGAATGGGAGTGGGGAGAACCTATGTGAGGGCAGCTGTCTTGTCTCTCTACTCCTTTCTCAGACCCTGCTGCGTGAGCCTACAAGCACAACGACAGCAGCAACATCAACAACGTCACCAACAACAACAACATCAACACAACGGTTAGTCTTTGTCATACTTCATGCTCAAGGCACCAACTGGCTCCAGCTGGATGCCTCCAGCCCAGTCTACACCCGATCAACAAGGGACACGCGACACTACCCCCGTCTGGTGGCCCAGCCCTTCCGGTTTCCAATGCAGGGAAATGAAGAGGCGTGGGACGGTGAGACCGAAAAGTTGACAGGCCGAATTCCAGGGGTGATCCTCTTTCGTGGGGGACAGCGAGAGAGAAAATTCTTCATCCAAGCATGGCCAGACCTTGGGCTGAACACGTCCACGGGTATGGGGCCATCGGCCAGGCGTTAACCGACCGGTGAAGCTGAACTGCGGGATATTTTCTTGTGATTCTTTTGGCTCTCTCGCTTAGTTGGATTCTCGGCCAGGAAGATGGCCAGGAGAGAACCAGCAAGAGAGGCGAAAGCAAAGAAAAGGGGCGCATGCCTCGTTCGGTTCGGTCGGTCTCGCTCGATGGGATAGTGGACTGGCGCTCTGCTGAAGTTGATTGTTGCCGTCGGAGACTTGATGCGGTGTTTTCGTTCTGGCGGAGTTGAGGACATGAGATGAGAGACTGTTGAAGGCTCCGCTCGTTGTGATGTGTAAGTCGATCGAGGTGAGTTGTTCCAGGAGAGTTGTTCCGGATGAAGTCCAAGTCGTCGCCAAGACAGCGAGCCAGACGCACCGAAACGAGTCGATCAGGAGGGAGCAGGCAAACAGAGGCCAGGCCGGCTCTTTCTTATACTCGCGCATCACCGCCAACGCCGGCAGGTCTCAGCCTCATCCCCTCTCCCAGGGGGTGCGCCGACATGCTGGGTTGCAGATTGCACACGATGCAACGACGTTTGGGATCTACAGCACCGCAGTCCTGCGGAATGCACGCCATCACCACCTCCTGCCACCGGTGAAGCCAGAGGGCGGAGAGGCGCCACGAGGCGTATCTGAGGACATCAGGGTTGGCCATCAAGGTGCGCCGTGGCCATCAGGGTTCTCACCGCCCCGAGCCCAATATCGCCAATCAATCCGTCGAGCTGTTAAGGTGATACCGGAAAACCTGGTGGTGACGCGGTAAATTCTATGTATTGAGCCAACAACTCGCCGTGGTGATATCACGACTTGGAGTTGGGCCTGGCTCTATGGCGGAGAGAAAGCGGTGTTGAGGTTGCCAGATAGACAATTCCCCGTATCTTGCTTGACTTGAAACTTGAATCTGGCCATGCCAACACACGCTTCTTCCACATAAATTTCAATGCTCAGAAAATCAAACTGGATAAAGAATACCCGGGAATTTTCTTATTGTTTCTCCCTTTTCGTTACTGTTATCTTTGCCTCCTAGTGCCTCAGCTTTGGTTGTGGTCAGGTGCCTACTTCCGACTCCATGACCGATCAATACTCGATGAGCCTTCCAACTCCCCACCGGATGAAATCTACACCCAAAATATTGATAACAGTTATAGACTTTGGGTCTTCCTGTGGATGACGCGTATTGCACACTGCTTGCCATGTGTAATCAATCTCTTAGTCCCAACGACACCGCCTGCGACTCAATTGTTTCACGATGCAACCCTCGACGAAAACATTGCCTGCAACTCTCTTGTTCAACACAAAGCTCAGTCATACCGTTCCGTTCAAATCCGATCGAAACAATAGATGTTTCCATTTCCACGGTCAATCGTTGCTCTCTGCTGTCGGAAATATCACGCCACTCCGACCCGATTCTCAATTGTGCCAACAACCTATATCCGAACGCCATGGAAGCAAATCAACAAGATAAACTCCAGGTATATTTTACACATGCCATCACGACAAGGCTTGTAGATGCTCGCCATCTCTTCGACTCCCTCCTTACCCCCTAACCAACTGTCAAGCCAGACCAGTAGTGTTTGAAATTATTTGACGTCTCTCTCAAGTTGCGCAGCCCAAGGCCACTTGATTTCGGTTATTACATCCAAAATACAGGCTTCTCTTCTTGTCTTACGCTTCTAACCTCGACATTCTTGTGTCTCACCAACATGCATTGGCTGGAGATACGTTGAGCTAAGGGGCGCTTAGGCGCCAGATCAGCCTTGCGTCACGAACCTAATGCATTTGTCTTGGCAGTGAAGACTTGCAGGCGGGTTAAGATATCTAACTTCTCCTCGTATGATATCATTTAGATCTTTCTCTTTTCTCGTAGTCCGCTTCCCGACCTCGAGGACCAGTCGGCATGAATTACGAGGCCGGGTTGCGACTCCTGCGACTGCATTCCTACTGCTTCAGGGCGACTCGCAGACGACTTCAAGCAGAGCACGCCTTATCCTAATGCGAGTACAAGCTCCTTTGCATCACTAGAGAAGGACTTTTCAATCCAACCACTATCAACATCGAATAAAAACCAACACATAAGATCAGCAATCATCTGACCAGGCCCGTCACTGGCGACCATCTCCGACCTCCAACCACAACCCAACATGCCCAATGTCACGGAATCGGTCGACAGCACCTCCTTCAGCCAAGACAACTTCCCCGCAACCCCTCCAGGTGCGTCTTACTCTCTCGAAGCTCCACCACACCTAGACATCTGAGCTGGGAACCTGGCCAATAGCATCGTGGCCAAACGGGCCTCATTTCATGCTCGACATGGCCTGCCGCCCGCGTCGCCATTTGGTCCCCTTATTCCGAATTGCCGTACATATTCAGTTGATGGCTGCACCATCTAGATTGGCTGCCGCCGGCAGCGTCCTTGTCGCATGACTTCTCTAGTCTGTCCTCGCGGTTTGAAGTGATATCATCACGTCCCAGTCTGGCTAGTCATGCAGGACCGACGGGAATGTGCCCACCTGACGCATCCCCGGGTCGCTGATTGATTGATTGCTTGATTGATATGCAGAAAGATAGGCACGTAGCTCGGATGGCTTCGGTCGTCAAGTGCATGGATGGATACACTCTTCCATTTACCCGATTTATCCCGGGTGTGACATAGGCAAGTTGGCTTCAAGATTAATGGCCAATCTCGGTGCACGTCAAGATGTGATCCATTCTTGACCTCAACTTGATTCATCTAGAGTTTTTCATCCATTCTGGATTACCTTGTCTTGCTAAACTCTGTGTTATGGCTCTGCATTTACGCCGAACACTTAACATGACAGGAAATTCATACATTGACTATAGGATAGTAGCGATACTCATGCTAGCTAGACATTCTGACCCGCCCACCCATCCTTAAAACCTGTCCTCCACTCCACAACTCATTGCTTACACCTAGACTTCCACCGCAGGGCGTTTGTCAATGCCAAGCTTAAATCTGCGCTTGACGGCCTTGTAAATCTCGAGGAGAGCAATGTATGTGACAACGCAACCCGCGACGACACCCCACTCCCAACTGAGACCCTTGTGCTTGAAAACTTCGGTATTGAGAACGGGGATATAAACGACGGGGAATGTGGCGAGGAAGCCGCCAACAACAGACCAGAAAAGGAACTTGTTGTGATAAATGGTCTTGAAGACCGAAAAGGGGCCAGTCCAACGCTCATCCATGGCAAAGAGACTTCGGTGAAAGTGCTTGACCTCCCAAGCAGTAACCAATAACAAGAAACTCAGGGTTGAGAAAGTGGTGGCTCGGGCACGGTACACATGGTCACAGCCATGTGCAGAGGGCTCGTTGCAACCCTCAGGCATTGCGTAGTAACCTCTGCCAGACGCAGCGTAGTTGACAAGCATGAAGGCGCACAGACAGAGAGAGCCCATAAAGGTTCCGTACATGAGCTGGTCACGGACGAGATCGGGGGTGAAGACTCCAGAACGCAAGCTGCGAGGGGGGCGGCGCAAGATGTCCGGCGCAGCTTCTTCTAGGCCCAAACCGAGAGCGAGGGGCGAAGACGTGATGAGGTTAGCCCAGAGAATTTCCAGAGGCGACAGAGGGAAGACGGCAACACCGCTTTCGTCTCTGAAACAAAGACCAATCAGAAGCAAAATGACTTGTGCCAAGTTGGACGTGAGAAGATGCAGTAAGAACTAGGGCTGTTAGCAACTGAACATTCGTAACGTGTCAATGAGCTCTTACCTTCTGGATATTGTCAGCGAGCCTTCGGCCCTCCTCAATACCAGTCACGATAGAAGCAAAGTTATCATCAGTTAGGACCATGTCGGCGGCTTCCTTGGCAACGTCGCTGCCACGGTCTCCCATGGCGATACCGACATCTGCCTGCTTGAGAGCTGGCGAATCATTGACACCATCGCCAGTCATGATACAAAAGGCCTTGCGGCGATGCAGAGCCTCGATCATACGGACTTTGGTTAAGGGGCTGCAACGGGCGAGGACAACGGGCAGGTTTTCCAATTTGTCGATTTGCGCATCGGTGAGATTGCCAAAGTCCGAAGCAGCCATGACGGCGTTGGCCCTCAGGGGCATGTCGCTCTTAAGAATTCCGACTTCGTACGCAATTGCAGTGGCAGTCTTGATATGATCGCCAGTGACCATGTGCACAGTTACGCCGGCTTCACGGCATTGGGCGACGGCACCGGCGGTTTCGGGACGAGGAGGATCATAGAGGCCGGCGAGACCAAGAAACTCGAGCTGGCTTTCAACCTTGGAACGGTCATGAAGCTCTTGCGCTTCTCCGTCCGCGGTCTTGGTCGCAATGCAGAGCACTCGCAGACCCTGGCCAGCGAGCTCCTCAGCCTTGGCTAGGATTTCGGCCTTGAACTCCTCAGTTTCGTTTAGTTTAGTTAGGAGAACCTCAACGGCTCCTTTGGTATAGACCTTGTAGGCCTTTTCGACATGATTTCCGTATACCACACTCATGAGCTTGCAGGACGAGTCAAAAGGATGCTCTGCAATCAGAGTATCACCAACCGGCCTGTTTTGGCCAAAACGCATAGCAAAGACCTTTAGGGCAATCTCGGTAGGTTCGCCAATGGCTTTCCATTCGGCATCTCCGGATGCGGTGATGACGCTACTAGAGTCAGTCTCCGGTTCCTTCTTGCCGTCGGATACCATGGCGTTGTTACAGAGAACAAGTGTGTTGAGAAAAGCGTTGAGACAGCTTCCGGCCAGATCCCTGGACCAGGAGACAGTTCCACTGCCGGGGTCATATGGGTTCGCGGTACCCTCAACCGTTCCCAGGAGATTTCCGCGAAGCCAGACCTTGCGGGTGATCATGCGTCCTTGTGTCAGAGTACCAGTCTTGTCGGAGCAGATGTTGGTAACACCACCAACAGCCTCGAGAGATGGCATTTGACGGACAATGACGTTGCCGCGGACCATTGCTTTAGTAGCAACAGCCATTGTAACGGTCAAGACAGCAAGCAGGGATTCGGGGATAACAGCCACACCGACACAGATTCCGTACAGCAGAACCTCGTCCCCTATTTTCCACTTGCTGACGGAAAAGACGATGATGGCGAGTAGGATAGCAAAGGCGAAGAGCAGAAGGGCGAACTTGCTTAGGGTCACCTGGAGGGGGGTGCCCTCGAGACCCAGGATGTTGCGAATAGAGTGATAAGCCTTGAAGACAAAGGTGCCAACGGGCCCCTTTCCGGTGGTGTCATTCTTGGTCTTGCGGAGAAGTTCGGCAATTTGGCCAACTTCCGTCTGCATACCAGTTGAGATGACGATACCGGTAGCTCGGCCACGGGTGACGGAGCTTCCAGAGTATACCAGGTTGGTTCGGTCACCGATGGGCATAACCGGGTCGGTGAAGACGGCTTCGGGTTTCTTGCTGATGGCAACGGATTCGCCAGTGAGGAGTGCCTCATCGGTAGAAACGTTGATGCCTTGGACAAGTCGCAGATCGGCAGGAACAACATCACCAGTTGCAAGGGAGACTATATCGCCTTTGACCAGCGTTTCCGCCTTGATAGTTTCACTGTGGCCATCGCGAATAACCTTGCACTTGGGAGTAGACAGAGCATACAGAGACTGGATAGTCTGTTCGGCACGGTAATCCTGGATCAACCTGATAGTATGGATGTTAGCGTCTGGTGAGGAGCAAGGAGTCGAGGGAGCCCTGGGAGCTTTGGGATTCGGCTTCGGCCTTGGGGGCTTGGGCATTGCGAATCACTAGGCGTCACCGAAAGGAAGAGAAAGCGGGACGGGGAGGGGATGCGCTAGAGATGTATAGCAAGCATGGCAATGCAAGGCAGAGCAAATAGATGGATGCGAGAGCAACTTCATCAAGTGCACAAACAGATGTGCGTGTGCGTGCGTGTGTGTGTAGCAACAGAACATACCCTACAACAATGTTGAGGACAATGACGGCAGCGACAACAGCGCCCTCGATGTAGTCCTGGATAGCAAAGGACAGGGCTGTCACAGCGATGAGGACGACAGTCAAGGCATTGGCGACCTGCTGGAGAAAGATCTCCCAGAGCGAGACGCCCTTGGCGCCCTTGATGGAGTTGGGGCCGTCCCGGGTCAACCGGGCGGCAGCATCGTCGTTGCTCAGCCCATTGAGGATGTCGGTGTTGAGATCCTGGGCAACGCGCTCAGGCGAGAGCGTGTGAGGCAGAGCAGACTTCTCTATGAATATGTCGGGGGGTTCCGCTATAGGCGGCTGGTCATCCTGGCCGCTGGCGGAGCTGGCAACAGTCGACGAGTCCGAGGTGGCGTTGGCGTGAGCTGCACCATTCGTACTTTTGCCTTCGGTTTCTCCCATCGAATGGGTGTTGGGTAAGCTAAAAGATGCTTGGGACGAGTTGAGGGATGGTTGTGGTTTAGGGATGCCGGTTGGAGATCAACCAGAAGAAGAGGTGAGGGTGTTGGTGTAAGAGAGATTGGCACGAGACCTAGGGAAGAAGAAGAAGAAGAAGAAGAAGGAAAAGAAGAAGGAAGGAACAAAGGGAAGCCGGCCTCTTTATTTCCAAGCTCCGGGGAGGGGGAGACGATAAGACAGGGACGGGAAGACGGGAAGGAGGTACAGTCAGAGTCCACAGAATCGAGAATCCAGGACAGCAGTCCGACTTTCGAACTGTGCGGCATGCGGCTCGCAGCGACGAGAGAAGGCGCGAGAACCGTGACAAGAAGCAGTAGCGGGGTGGCCACGCGCCTTCCGTTCCCAGTTCCACCACTATCCACTTTTGCACTTGGCATACGCACAGGTGAGGCGGCGATGGAGACATGTACACTGACACTCAAAAGATGGATAGCAGGTAGGTACGTACTGCACACCTTGACACTTAGCTGCGCCGGCAGCCATCCACACACGGCCACACGGCTTCTGAATGGGATCCTCCTTGTCTTAGTGGTCTTAGCGGAAGCCACCCTGGTCCATCTCCACACATGCTCACTCACCTCACCTCAAGACTCGCCCAAACGCGCCAGAAGCCCCCGCCAGTGCCGTTGCCGCTGTTCCGTAGCGATGTGTGCTCCCCGGCGGGCGTGGCAGCGTTTTGTGACGACCAACTGACGAGTCGCCTCCGGCCAGCCATCGCAGAGCCACGCTACGGAGCTCAGAGGGATGGATCGTCGAGATTAGGTTTGGTGGACCTCAGCGATGGAGTTGCTGCGATTCCGCGTTTGTTGAGGACCCGGGAGCGACCTGGGGCGACTCGTACCACGGCTTGCCAATGGTGGCTGCGCCGGTGCGTGGAGACGGACACACAAGTACCGGCATGTCGCCGCGAGTACTCTCGACTGGCTGCTTGGCAGCATGGCGGAGTCGGGCAAATTAGCTTGCAGCATTGCTAGGGTGTTATACTCAAGTCGAGAGCAGCAGGGGTCGGCTCGCGGCATCATTGCGTGTGCACGGAGGGCGAATCTTGTTGGTGGTGTTTGAATGAGTGTTCGGCCATGGTGTTAGTGCTCGTGTCGTCGGTGATGGTGGGTGGGTTTTCGTTGTCGTCATCAATCATCAACCGTCACTTGGCAAACGAGCACAAGACCGATCACAACAGGAAGGCCAAGCCAAGGGGACACAAACCCGGCAAACGCTTTGTTGGCAAATTAGCCGCCCAAACGGAAATGCAGCAGCAGCGAACAGCTATGTCCTACACGTGGGGTTGCAATTTGCCTACGGACAATAGCCCCGACCCAACCTCAGAACACTTTGCGGGGGAGGGGTCCAGAGGGGCAGACAGCGGCGGGGGGAATGAACCGGACGACGACACCATCAACCGCAATGAAGCTGAAAAGGATAAACAAAGGAGCCAATTGGGGCGTGCGATGGCATCTCCCGCAAAGTATCGTTTCCCGAGACCATCTCCTTCGCCTTCATTCCCCCCACGGGAGACGCTCGCAGTCTCAATTCCGCCAGGAGACAATGGCTCAAGACCCCACGTGCTCTACAAACTTCTTGGGCGAGAAAACAGTGGCGGCAATCTACAGTGGGTCAAGGCCCTGGTTGGATTGCCCACAGCGCATCCATCCTCCTCCGTTGCAACCACATGATCATCGAGCCAGGGTGCCTCACGTAGCCAATCACTGCTCCCTTTTTCCACCACCCTTAGTTTGCCTCCCACTGCCGCTGTCGACAGAAGGGCAATCCTCGGTTGGAATATTTGCTTCGCCTCGAAGCCAAGAAAAGCCAAGACGTCCTTCCTTCCCTGGCAGCAAGTCACAGACCCAGGACAGTGTAACGCCGACGGACTTGGCAAACTCTTATCGTTTGGTCAAACGAGCCGGTAGGAAACAGCACCATTCCGTCGTCGTCTGGCGTGTGCTCTCGCCTTTCTAACACCACGCGACTCGGCGGCCTAGATCAGACCGGGCTGCTGGATAGTGAATGGCGATAACGTTAGATACACAACATCCCGCCTCCGTTACGCGTTAGTTATTCACTGCGTTGGGAGTGAAGTGAGGGGCAAACCGAGCCGGATAAGTAAGCTTGCTGGTCCGTGGGAGCGCTAAACAGTTAAGCTTAAGCACTCTCAAGGCTTGGGTTTCATGGCATCATGGATTTGGCCTCTTGGCAGGTCCTGTTAAGACGGGGCAGTTTCCCGTCTTGTGCGTGAAAAGACAGAGAAAACATGGGCAACATGGGACAACGTGGGCGTCACCACTTGGGTCGCCTAGGGCGGCTTGTGCCCCGTCCGGCTCCGCTCCGGTCTAATGCGGGCCTCCCCCCGGTGAGTCTTGGCTGCCTCAGTTTTGGTCGGCATTGGCAAAAGAGAGACAGAGCAGTGTGATGCATACGTAATTGACGGTAGCATACAGGAATTTACCGTCCATGGGGTAATACGTGCATTCTTGGCGGTCGTCTTTGCCGCTAACTTACCTCGTCTCATGTCAGTCCACGAAACGCGGCAGCACCCTAAGAACCCAGGCTTAGACTGCAATGCTTGAACCGTAATAACAAGGTGGTATGCAACACATTAGCCATTATTCGGACGGAGTACCCACTTCACATCTAGTACGAAAACTAAGGCAGGAGTGCGATTTCTTTCGCCGGCAACCTTCGCTGAGAGCTGAGGGTGAGGCGGGCGTCGTCGGCCGTGCTGGCCCGGTCTCGCCGGCCCCCATTTCTCCAGACCGCCCCCGGCGCCGTGCTGAGCCGTCATCGGGAGCTTCGGCGCGCCAGCTAAGCTTAACCGACTGCTGCCGCTCCCCGAGGACCGGCATCCCGCTCCGGGCGCATTTTTAAGTATCGATAGAGTGAAAGGAGCGGTGGAGGAGTGGGAGTGCACGATATGATCGCCGCTGGCCGGCCCTCTGCAACATGCGTCTAATCGCATCCGTCAACGAGCTCTCTCACTCGGCACACGTCAATACCTCCGTCTCGGAAACCGACCTTCTCCTCCAAATCGTCCCATATAAGTCCCCTCGACACTAAAGGTATATTCGCGTACATTCTACTCCAAATTCGTACCTACAGTCCACTTGCATCCCTACGACTGCAGGCCCAATAACCCACGTCCCACACCCCACACCACCCACCCACCCACCATCCGGCTCTCAAGACCCGGATGGAATCCCCCCTCCACCAAGCAACGCCCAGCACATCCTTGATTCGCCGCCGGCGCTGTATGATCGTCCGCCTTGTGAAAGCAGCCGCCAGCAAGGGGGAAAGAAGCAAACGCGACGAAGGGGATTAGGAAGGTCCTGTGTACGTCGGGATAAGCAGGGAGCCCCATGCGGCCTCCCCCTCCGGGAGTCGGGTACATGCCGGTGGTCGGTTTCACGCCCAGTGGTCGGCACACTCCCGGTATGTCGATGTCGCCGGATTAGGGAAGACGATGCGGTAGGGTTGCGATGAGCAGGGAGGGTTTTGCATCGGTTGGGCTTGTGTTAGTTGGGGTTGTGGGAGCTAGGATACTCGCAGGCTTCAAGTTAGGAGCTGCAATCTACATCGAAAGACGGCAATTACATTGGATATTCTTAACCTGAGGCGCCTTTCTGTAAGCGTTCCTCATACCAACTATGGAAACAGGCCCGGGATGTACCAACATTGCCAGGATGTACTGTATGACGAGGGTGAGCATCACGGTGAGGAGTGACATCTCATCTCCTACGCCAAGACATATGCGAATCAATCAACTCGCAACCGGAGTCAGAAGTAACTCCGAGGGCATGCAACGGTATCCATCCGTCCACAGATCTTCTCGGCAGATGATATTCGCACGCTCACACATTCGCACATGCTGTAGATAGATCACCTATTCAGTACGGTACATCAACGTGTCAACAGCAAGCCCCTCGTCTCACAAGACCGTTCACAATTCCAAATATACTGTATTGCTCTCTGCCTTTCTACTCTATCCCAACAAGTTGATGTACGGCTCCGGCCACTTCCCCCACACCAGCGGCTGGTCGCCAAGGCGCCCGCTCACCGTAGCCAGGAGCTTGATCTTGCGGCGTTCCTCGTCGACGTCCGACACGTAGACGAAGCCCATGACGCTCGCCGCCCGGACCGTCTCTGGCGAGTCCTTGGGGGACGCATGCATGATGGCTAGCGTCCAGTGCTGCATGGGCGACGATGGCGCTTCGCGGACGAGAGTTTCCTCGCCATAGGTAGAATCTAGGAGGTGGTCAGTTCTTTGTCCAAGGTAGTGGTTTTAATCCCGACAATAGAGAACCGCAGAGAAAGAATGTAGGAGTCACGTACAGTCGGAGGCTTTGTAGATGACCACATTGTCAAAGTCGACCTGTTGGATCAGGGGGCTCAGTGTCCGCCTCGCATCGCCAAAGAAGTACTCCTTGATGGCAGCCTCTCTCCAGTGTTGCATAAAGACCTCGTCTCGAGCCACCACGCCGTCCGAGCGGTCCAGATGGACGACGCTGATGGGCTCCCCGAGACTCGTTCGTTCGCTGCCGAAGCGCCGCATCATCTCGGCGTTCGTCTGCGCAGGTCCCACCACGACAATGACATTGACTGCGTCCCAGTTAGCTCTGTGCCCGCGCCGCAAGGTTTCGGGTTGTGCGTACTTGAAAGTTCGTCGACGAGATGCGCGATGAGGTCCATCCCAACCTTGCTGTCGTCGCTGAACCCGACGGTATCCACAATGACACCGGAGCTGCGGACGCTCACGTCCTCGCTCAGGCGTGCGCTGGCGGAACCGGCCATCTTGCTGGTGATCTCTCGGTAGAAGTCGGGGTCGGCCTCGGGCGACTCGCGGCCGTAGTAAAACACCAGGGGAAGCTTCACGGGCACGCCGCTCGGTCCGCTGGTCGGGGTGCTGCCCCAGCCGTCCACTGCCTCGGGGTCCATGACGGTCGCAAAGACACTCGCGCTCAGCGTGCCCGGCAGACTCAGCATGCCCTCCCTCGGATCCGTGTTGACTAGTAGTGGCTGGTAGCCCTGTCGCGTCGCGTAGCTCGTCAGCGTCTTGACCAGCGTCGTCTTGCCGGTGTTGGCAGGGCCCGTGACGAGCACCCGCGGACCCTCCCTGCCCTCTCTCGCGGCCATGACGCGCATCTCGTTGAGCTGGCCGTGGAGGTTCAGGTGGGCATTTGCCGGGTTCTCGGTCGGGTTCGCATATTCGGTGATGAACTCGCGCTCGCAGCGGCCGTCAAGCTCGAGCTCGCAGCCGTGCCACGACAGGATCTTGGACTTGATGCCGGAGAAGGTGTAGGCGTTGCGCGGGGCCAGCTCGATGCCGTCCTTCTCAGCGGTGCCCGAGAGCAGTTTGAGGAGGAGCGGGGAGCCCAGGGGCACTTGGAATCGCCATTCTGAGGCGGGACGGAGGGTGATGACTCGGGTGGACGAGGCGGTGGGCTGTGGTTGAGCAGAGTCGGTCAGTCAAGCAGCTTCAACTCGGTGCTGGGCGCCTTTGTCGCTATGCTGGATAGCTCCAGCAGCACGGGGATGCTCACCTGCGCGGGAATCTGGCCCAGGCCTGGAATCGACATGGCCAACTACATCGATTGCGGAGTCGAGCCGTGAAGTTGGACTTTTTGCGCGGGCGCGCGGTGGACTACGGGGCGGTGCGTGGGGCCGATGTGGAAGCTTTCCAGAAGCCCACCCTTGGCAGTCTAGTATTTCTTAGTGGTGGTTGGTCCCCGCAAAGCGACAGAAATACGCAGACACATGATGAGTACATTGTTGTGAGTTCTTGAAATTCTTATTCTGTCGTCCTCTTCAAGTGTGTACACCGAACACCCAGAGGGTGCTCCTACGACCATCACATCACCGTCGTCACCGCCTCGCAGGCAAGATCTAGATCCCATCCCTCTGCATGCTGCATGATTAGGCCTCCAAGCGCCTGCGGATGAGGTCCCGGCACGCACAGACAAGTGCGCGCCACCACCCCTTTCGCACATTGACTACCTTCATCACTCTGCTTCACCTTAATAGTTCACCTTGGTGGTTCACCTAAACGGCGTACCTCGGCATGTTCACAGCGGACACGGATTGGTGCGAATATCAACTATGGCGCAGTGGTTTGTCGTGGATAGGCTGAAACCCGGGTCTTGCCCGTTCTCCTTTCGCCGTGTCATGTCTACCGATGAATGCTATGCTCTAATGTCCTCCATATGTATACATGTATTTGGAACTCCCTCCATGTCAACGCCGAGTCCTCTGCCACAAAGCCAAACAGGTGGCAGGCGGACTTGAAAGCAACAGTCATCATCATGGGCAACGTGTTGCCATATAATCTCCGCCGAGGAGCCTTTTCTACCCTCTTCCGTCAATCCAATTGCGCTGGGTATCGGTGTGACCGGCCCTCCGGTCCAACAAATGCATCCCTTGCCTTTCTTGCTTCCGCCCTTTATTTTGTCTTGACTTGGTGACCCAATGCATCTGCAATGCCATCACCTCCATGTCCATGCATGTTTATTGTGCCATCTCCTCGAAGATGCGAGCCAGGCTCCGCACGCCAGTCAGGGAGTTCTCGTCCGGGCCCAGGCCGGGTGTCCAGGCGGCGTGTGCAAAGTCGATCAGCTTCAACGCGTAGATTTGTGGCAGCGAGGACTCAATGTCTGAGTCATCGTCTACGTCCTCGTCCTCGTCAAGAGCGATGCCACTATCAACTCTCTTGGTGGTCCGGGCCGCCTGGCCAATGCCAGCCTCTGAGTCGACGAGAGCGTTATTATCCTCGATGGCATTGCGCAGGGCCTCGCCATCACCCTCGAAGATGAAGAGCAGCGATGATGAGTACATGCGGCTTTCATGTCGTGAGATGATGTCTTCAACCCGTCGCAGGTCCCGCGCGAATGCCTCGCAGACGGCGCGACCGAGCTCTTTATCAATACCGGCGGCGTTGTTAAAGACAAACTTGCGGAATTCGTCGACCACATTGTCATTAGTGACCGTTACCCGGCCGTAGTCCTTGTCGTAGATCTTGTACTCCTCCTCGTCCAGCTCGAGAGCGTCCTCCGACCCGCGGAAGACTCGCATGCCTGCTATCCGGAAACCCAGGCTGCCGTGGGTGGTTTCAGAGGAAATCTTGTCGAATCGCTGCTTCTTTTGCAGGGGGGCATCGTCGGCCCATAACCGCACGCCCAGCTTTACGTCAAGGATGTTGGGGTTCTTGAAACCGTACGTCGCATTCTCCAGCACCACAGCCTTGTCCGTCTTGATCTTGTTGTCTTTGCTAGGGACCCAAGTCACGCTGTCTTTGGAGGCATCGGGGGCGGCGAGGGCGACCTGCTGGGCGACGGTGGCGGCGATTTGTTCCTTGGCGGTCTCGATGCCGCCAGCCTGCGAGATGACGCCTGCGACGGCCTCGTTGATGTGCGTGTCGGCGGCGTCGGTGAGCGACAGGTCTCCCATGAACAAAGGCATCAGGTCGGCAAATTCGGGGTGTCTTCGGTTTGCGGATTGGTAAAAGTCAATCTCGGACTGCGTGCAGGGCTTGATAAACATCTCGCCATCGGCGCTGCACATGGTGCCGGCACTGTCGCTGGTCAGCAATCAAAGTCTACGCGCCGACGAGGGGTGCATTGCGACGCTTGGCGGGATGCACCGCGGCGCAAGAGCGCCCGCAGTCTGCGCAGAGTCGCAAGCCGCAAGCCGCTAGTCGCAAGAATCGCAAAGGGGACGGCGAAGTACTCACTGGCCGGCAACTGCGTAGTTGTAGTCGCGGAGGTCGTCGCGGTGCGGTATCTCTTTGATGACGGGCATCATGGTGGATTGCGTCCCCAGTGGTTGGTTAGTCACCGGGAGGGAGGGGAAGCGTGGTGAATGGCGGGGGAAGAGGCGCGACAAGGCGATAGAGAGAATGAGAAAGAGAAGTGAAGTGAGCAGAGAAGTCAATGACGAGAGGCCGGGTCAAACGGCGGTAAAGAAGGGAGAGCTGAAGGAGGAGGCGCCGGAGGGCGGAGCGGAGCGTGATGAGCGAGGGTGTGAGCGTGGGTGTGAGAGTGAGCCACAGAGCGTGAGCCAAGAGAGCGGGCGGAGCGAGGCGCAGAGCGATGTACAGTGGGCGTCGGCGTCTAGGCGTTTATTTGGTAGGCGGAGACTGAACGCGAGAGCGAAGTGCGAAGAGCCGGGAGCTGAAAGCTGAGAGCTGAGAGCTGAGAGCGAGAGGCGAGCTGAGAGCTGAGGTAAATATGCAAGAGAAAGATGAAAGTGGTAAAAAGAGTTTTGGCCACTGAATTCTCCCTAACAGAGACGTAGCCAAAACGCCGGACAATGTCTCTCGATGCTCGGGGCTTCAGGGGGACAATGACTTTGGTCACGATGGATCAGCGTTAGGATCCTCGCCCCCGACCAAACCTTGCAAAAGGCGGTGCAATTTTTTTTCTTTCTCCTAGGTTGGTTCTAGGTGTCTGGTCCGTGGGGAGCGCAAACAAATGCGTATACGTAGTAGGTGCGTAGATAGTAATTAAAGCGATGGGGACGGCGGAAAAGATCCCGTCGGGTAAGGCAGTGGTGGCGAAACTTGAAATTCCAACCGGTGAGCCAAGGTCAACCTTGCGATGGGCCAACTTTTCGTCACTGGGTGCCCTGACAAGACACAAGGGACACCACGGGACACAAAGGATGGGGCAATATAGCACATACGCTTGTTGCTCAGGGCTGGGCCTGGGCCTGGGCTTGGGCTTGGTGCCGGTCAAGTTTGACCGGAGGTGTAGGCGGTAAGGGCAAGGTACCGAGTAAGAGACTTTGAAATTTAAGGGCGACGAGGCCACACAGACAGCCAAAGCAAGCACCTAACTTGGCGCAACGGGAGCTAGAAGGTCGGGGGTCCACTGGAAACTTGTCTGGCAAGTCGGCGAAACAGACGGCGAAGTTCCCCGAGTTTATAACATGGCCGATGAGAGCGAAAAAGAGGGGGGAATGGGGGGGCCACAGATAGGACGACGACGGAGCAGGGCAGATTTTCACTGAGACCATTGCGAACAACGAGGCGGAGGCGGCAGCGATGCGATGCGATGTGATTTGATGCATGGGATTTGGCTGTGCCGCTGCTGGATAGGGCTCAACATGCACAACTGTCGCCAACCACGGCTTTCCGGGAGTTGCCAGTACAGGTCATCACAGTGGCCTCAGGCTCGGCGGGGGGCAGTACATTGCCTCATTAACTGTGATGAGGCCAAGGCCGAGTCTGTGATGGACCCCGAGCATTGGCGAGCCGTGCTGGTCGTTGGCGATGTGATGGCAGATGGCGGATGGCAAAATGCGGATCCCTCACTCACCTTGGGGTAGGCGGATAGCGGGCTTCCGTGGGCCACTCGCAGCGACCCTGCCACCCAGGGACCAGGCCGCCCCCAGCGAGGCCGCTACCAGCAAATGATGGGATAGGGCCCAACGTCCACTGAAACGAGCCGCTACGAATGGCTGCGCACCGCTCAGCCACCCCAAGGCCAGTCCCCCCGGGCCGTCAAGGCGCTGCCAGAGGGCCGTTTCCAGGGGGGCAGGCCCCTGGTCTCCGCCAATGGAAGCCGTGGATGTACGCTGGGCAGACTCTGGGCCCATTCCGAGAATCCGCCTGGAGCACAGCAGCGCAACAGCACGGCGCCGACCACATCATCTGTGTCTCACCATGGCAGCCATAGCCTAGGAGCACAAAGCACCAGCTGGACAAAGTGATTGTACTGCAGACATGGTGCGAGGCGGCATCGACCCAACGGCGTAGGACTGGTCTTGTAATTTGCACCTGCAAGCCTCGTCATTCCCTTCATGCTTCCTGCAAGGGACCAAGCGAACTGGCTGTGTCGTGCTTTGTTCACACTTGAGGGTGTTTTGCATTCTGCCCTGCTGGAGATCCCGGTCAGGTCAAGCAAAGTGATGTCAGTGTCCGGCTCCGTCTTCGGCTACTACCTACAAACAGCAATGCACATAGTTGATAGGGTCGTGCTTGTAGACGTGGACGGGAGGCAAATAGACGACCCAGGGGGAGCTGATTGTCAGCGGCAACATCTCCCACCTGACCTCGTTTATTACTCCCTTCCTCCCTCCCGTCTCCGGCTTATCCAACAGACTCGCACCACACACACCGGTCCCGTCCCTCCATGTGACAAGTGGTCGGGACTAGGACCGGCCGCTCACGGCTCGGCAGCGGGAGTGGTGAAAACAGAGGCGGCAACTAACGACAAGCCGGATGCTGTGCTGCCCTGGCACACGTCTCATTGGGTGCGCTTGTGGCGATCGAATGGCTTCGTCCCATTGACTGTGCTCGTATGGCCACCGACTTTTTGGGAAATCCGGTATGTCCACGTGCCTAGAGCTAGGGTGTTGGCTGATGGGGGCGATTTGTGATTTTGACTCACATATTCTGGACAACTCACGTCAGAAGTGCGGTTTGACAGCCACCCAAACACCAAGACACCAAAGGTGCGACTTGTTATCCACGTAGCGTAGATACACACCGACATGCATATTCAGGCAAGTTACATTTACAAACAGGCTTCATCTTTCGGCTACCGTGACCAATCCCACGAAGTGTAAAGTCCTAGCAGAGCTATCACGAAAACCACTCAAGTGACCGTCTCGTCTAAGCAACAGCCCGTACGAATCACAGCAAACACATTCTCCGCTCCCATCACCATCTTCCCAACGCCATTTCCACTAACCACCAATGAATTACTACGAGACGGGATGAGCCGTCCATTGCGCCGCCGGCTCTCTCTCCCGTTGGACGCCTCCGTAGCTGCCCACTCCACTTCACAACGCAACCAGCCCGTTTGGCCTTGGTATTCTCCTCGCCTTATGCCTTGTCCCACGCGGCTACACGCCTTAGCTGCAGCTTGTTATGGGCTCATTGGCGCTGACCCCGCACTGCTGCCTTGTCCCATGTCTGTTAGGCGATTCCTTTTGGTTAGGGCTGTTGGGCTGAGGTGGTTGTTGAACTACAAAGGTGTTAATTTGCGAAATTGGTGGAGGCTGAGCGGAGATGCATAACGCAGAATTGAGTCGACAGGCCTCTTTCTGCGTTGCTCTTTATCAGTTTCAAAAATCCCTATCCGTTGGGAATTAGGGCTAGGGTGTATGCGTTAGTCGTTGGCGAGGCTGACTCTGTAGACAACTCAACCCTAAGGCAAACAACTAGCTTCTCATCACTCCTTGAAGAGTCCTCGAATGCGCCAAAGTGTTTTTTGGAATGGGCAAAACTGCAAACTTATGATACCATTAGATAATTTACTTAGCAGGCAATTTTCAGTTACCATGTCTCATGAAAGCTCCCGTTGAGGCGCAGACAAACATGCCGGTTTCCGTGGCTTCCACCCGCAAGCGTGTAAGTGCAGGATGGCCAACGGCTGCAAACAGCTTGCCCTATAACCGTAACCTCACATTCCACCAGCTAGTGAGCCTCCCTTCCAGGTTGGTAGCTCCTTCTCTCACAGACATGGCATGGTCTCAAAAGTGCATCCTGGTAGGTCACTAAAATTGTTTGCTGCCGGAACCCGCTGCTGTGAATCACAGACTCACGGGCCCTCGAACAGCTCCTTTCAACTACTTCTCCTCTGAACATCAGGGTCGTCAGGGCTACAAAACATCAACCCATCGCGAATTCTAAGCCCCCGACTACATCGTTGATTTGAGTCGACTTCAACAATACAATGGCTTCCGCAGTTGCTCCTCAGCCAGACTTGTCCCTGCTACAGGGAATTGCAAAGTCGAAAAAGTCCAAGAGTAGCAAGAAGACTACAGCCTCGCGAGGCCCTACTGCCCTCCCAAAGAATCGCGGAAATGGCTTCGAAGGTTCGCAATCAATCCTGACGTGCTTTGTGACAGGCCGTAAGCTGACGGAGGCTCAGAGTACTTCGCCGATCCGCCTATGACCCCAGCCGAAGCGGAAGAGGAAAGAACCGAGATCTATGCCTCGTATGTCATGTACCTCAGCCCCAGTCTCGCCGGACTTGACTAACGCTCTCTTCTTAGGGACTTGCCTTTTGCCGAGTACGGATCCTGGTCGAGATGAGAACTACCACAAGTGCTGACACCTTGCAGACGCATGCAATCCTGCATCCAACGTTTCCGCTCACGCCGCCGTCTTCAAGCCGACCGTACTCTTCTGTTCAGCGAGTATCTCTTCCTGGGCGGAGTCGACACCAATCCCGCTGCCTTTGGCGGCCTGCATCGTCAAGACCTCCGAGATCTGACTCCTGCGCAGCGCCGCGAGGCCACCGCCACAGACATCATCTACGGCACCACTTCCGCCGGAGACCGCTTCTACAATGGCGACGAGGATGCCTGGTGCGTCGATTTCGCTGGGGTCGCCTCGGGCTTCTTCTCCGTGACGCTGCTGCACCTCACGTCGTTTGAGCTGGACAGGATGGTGCAGGGCATTGACGTGGTTGACAACTTCCTCCGATACGTGCTTCAACATGACGTGTGCCCGGAGTATGAAGACAACGTCAAGGCTGCTTTGGCGGTGTGCGAAAGCGCGCGGACGGAGTGGCCCATGCTGCAACAGCTGTATGCCTCCTTGCCTGGCCAGTTCAACCTTGCGGCGGGGGAGCTCTTCCGTCCAGATGACGCGGCTAAGAGTTGGTCGTTTCAGCAGTTCACCCGCCCGGAAGGATTCGATGCCAAGTCCGTATTCTACTCGGCCTTTGCGCTGATGGATGAGCCCGACATGTTTTCCAAGATTTGCGAGCAGCAGCCCATGGTTGTCCGGGAGTATACATGCGCACTTGAACTGGTCCAGGTTTCGCGACCCAGCGAGGACATTGTCAACCGAGTCAAGTCGCTCGTCATTGAGGGCAATGCAGCCGGACATGTCGCCGTTGGCAAAGCCATGTTCAAGCCAACGAGCATCGAGGATGACTGGGTCACCCCTGAGGTGCCATGGCCTATCCCACAAGAGATGATGACGCTCTACTTCGACGACGAGCTTCTATCGCACATGCCCGTGGGTATGAAGGCCCGGTTGACAATCTGCGAGCTCAACGTGGGCCTGAGATTCGTCAAGACGGTGGACATTATCGTTCCGTCGTTTTACATGTATCTACCTCAGGAGTTGATGCGATACTACAAGACGCCTCAAGAAACGGATCGTCCGGCGCCGTCAGTGCAGGATCCTGATGCAGAGGAGAAGCAGCATTCTATGGCTGCGAGGGACTGATAATTGGGTGCTCTAGTGTAGGGATATCCGGTATCATTTGGAGAAGGTGGTGGCAAGAGTTACATCCTGCATGAGCACAGGATGCTCAGTCAACATAGCATGGTATCCAGAGACAGGCCCCATTGAAGAAAGGAGGCATGGCATGAAACTAAGCACCGTTCCTAAATAAAAGGTTTGAAGTCATTTGATCTAAAGGAGTCGAATCCAACGCCATCCTTCCGTCGTTACAAAGTTCGTTGTCGCAGCTGTGTTGAAGCAATCGTTATAAATCAATTCCCAGTAAACTCCCCATGCACGTCCCAGCATTGTGTTGGTGACGCAATGCACATTCAAAGAAAGACCTCTCTCCTTGTCCCATCTCTACTCTTGGAACACCCGTGGTTTATCGCTTTGCAGCACTCCCAATTTAGTCCTTGGACTGGATCTTGTTGTCGCCAGCAACAACCTCTGCGTAGGATGGCGGGACGCCCTGGTGATCGGAGCTTCCCTCGCCGGCATTCGCGATGCCATGCTCCTGAGGAGCAGGAGCCGGGTTCGCAGCGGCGGCGCTCTGGGTGCCGTAGTTCATGCCTTGAGGAGGCTGCGGCTTGGGCTGCTGGGAGTGCTGGCCTTGAGGGCACTGGACGTAGACGTAGGTGACGCGGCCGCCCTCGCGATCCTGGGGGAGCGCCTCGTACTCGTAGGCCGGCTCGGGGTACTTGGCGATGATGTACCACGAGTGAAGCAGGCCGGGGATGAAGCCGAGCACGCAGAGGAGGATGTTAATGAGGGAGTCGGCGCTACAGATGCCGCACTTGACCCAGACTGTGCGACAGGGTTAGCAGTGATTTCAACAGGCCGATGACGCATTGACGGGCCATGGGAATAGACGCGGCGTGAGGGGAGGTGGGTGACTTGACTTACCCGGCAGCGGCGGGAAGAGGAGCGCGATAAAGGCGAGGAAGATGTCGGCGGAGCACATGGCGACGATGAGGATGGAGGATGGAGGATGAAGGTGAAGCGATGGATGGCGATCGGCAGTTGTGGTGTAGAAGAGTCGATTCGAGGAGGATTTCCAGGCGTTGAAGAGTGGATTGCGAGTGGCGGGTTTGGGACTCGTATTGAGGCTGAGGCAGGCCGCTAATGACGATTCCTGGCGAACGGGTGCCTGTGAGTCGAGCCCGGTACGTACCGCCCGCTGGAGGTCACCTGGGGCGCTGCACGCACTGAACGACAGCGGGGGTTGCGTAATGTGCCAGGGTTTTAGGGCACTTGATTGGCCGCTGAGGGGCCGTGGCAGGTGCTCCACCACGCCGTCGAGTCAGGTCATCCTGCAGAGCATTGTAGCGGCCGGTACGTACCGTGCTAGAGGCAACCCACGGATGGGAATTCGCTATCGCTGAGAGACTGCAAATGCGTTGTAATCACAGTGGTTCTAGGCTGCCGTTATTGAAATTTTCTCTCCGTTTAGCTCTCGGATGGATTTCTATTGCCGATTGCCGAGCACTCTGCAAACGTCAGGTTACTCACTGTTAGCGGGTCTTGCGCCACAATGCTCGCGCACTTACACCCGCGAATCGATTTGCACTTGTACTACGTAAACGTGAGATTTGTCTCCAAGACACAGGCCCGGTAATTTTCGGGTCTCTGGTGCTGTATGTCTCCTATGTGATGTGTTTCTAAAGAATTGGTTTGCCATGCTGCCAATATAAGCCTTCAGGTTGCCAACCCGGAGAGCATAGCTCCGTGACAGACCCAGTAGGGTTTCAGACACACGCCCCGTTAACTCACCAAATCCATATGCACGGAAGTGAATGGGAACCCGGCTGGAAATACCGAGTATATAATTCCTATTCTACAATTTTATTTGATGGTTAGCCTCATCAATTCCATCTTGTCTCGCCGATTATACACCCTACCCGGCGGCTCTAGGGTAAGAACTCTCACCGACGCTTACCGAACCAGATCGGTTCACCCGTACTTCTCCCGTGGTGAGAGGGGCGACCTACAACTTTTACAGTCCCGCGACTTCGCCGTCGCGCCAGGTTTCGAAAAACACCATCCTGCGTCCACGCAGGCCTCAACCCACCATGGACGACCTTTTGAACCTCGAGCTGCTGTCGCTCGTTTCAAAAGTCACGTCCGAACTCCAGAACCACGTCGGCGTCGGCGATAAGACCCTCGCCGAGTTCCTCATCGCGCAACGACTAGAATGCAGCTCCCTCGCCCAGTTCCGCGAGAAGCTCGCCGGCATTGGCGCAGACTTTCCGCCAAGTCTGATCGATAGCCTGGATCGCCTCGTTCTGGCCATGCACCCCAAGTTCAAGGGAAAAAACGGCGCCGCCAGCGCAGAGGAGCCTCACCATTCGCGAACCCTTCAGGAAAAGGAAAAGGTGTTTAGTGGCCTCGCCATGCCCGACAAGGAACCGGAGCGTGACGGCGGAGCAGATGCCATCGACGACACACTGGCGCTGCTGGAGGGTCTGGAAGGAAAGGCCAAGAAAGAGAAGGAATCGAGGAAGCGCAGTCGAAGCCCCGAGAACGACCACAAGGAGTCCCGACGGAGGAGGAGGGACAGATCTCGATCGCGAGAACGACGAAAACGAGACAAGTACCGGTCAAGATCGCGGTCGCAAGACCGAGGAGATGAGGACTGGCGAGACGGACACCGCGACTCGCGCAAGGAACGACGAGGCCGCACACGTTACGAAGACGAAGCCGACGACCGTTTCCGCAAGGCCCCCGAGCCTGAGATCGACGACTCGCCGGAGCTACACAAAGTCTACGAGGGACACGTTACGGGAATAAAGGACTTTGGTGCTTTCGTGAACATTCACCACGTCAGGGGTAAGGTCGATGGTCTAGTGCACGTCTCTCGCATGGCTGCCGGTCAACGAATCAACCACCCTTCGGATCTGGTGTCGCGAGGACAGCAAGTATGGGTCAAGGTCACCGCCATCGAAGGTTCAAGGATAGGCCTGTCTATGAAGGATGTAGACCAAGAAACCGGCATGGATTTAGAACCGCAAGAACGTATGACCACCGGCGCCAACATGGAGGCGTTGGGAGGCGGAGGGAGGAACGGCTATATGGATCCCACACCAGCCATGCCGCGGGATGCGCTAGGTCCCCCACGACGACAGAAGAAGAGGATGACTTCGCCCGAGAGATGGGAGATCCGACAGTTGATCGCCTCAGGAGTCGCCAAGGCATCCGATTACCCCGACCTGGAAGAGGACTACAATGCGACGCTGCGCGGTGATGGTGAAATGGAGCTGGAAGAGGATGTCGATATTGAAGTGCGAGAGGAGGAGCCTCCTTTCTTGGCTGGCCAGACAAAGCAGTCTCTTGAGCTGTCACCCATTCGTGTCGTCAAGGCTCCAGATGGCTCCATGAACAGAGCCGCTATGTCGGGGACATCCTTGGCCAAGGAGCGGAAGGAATTAAAACAACAGGAGGCTGATGCTGCCGCCAAGGACGAGCCCAAGGAAAACTTGTCGGCGCAGTGGCAGGACCCGATGGCGGACCCCGAGAAGCGCAAGTTTGCTAGCGATTTAAGGAACGCGAGGAACAACGCCAAGTCGGACGAGGTTCCGGAGTGGAAGAGGGCCGTCATTCCCAAGGGTGAATCTTTGGGCAAGCGGACCAACATGAGCATCAAGGATCAGCGAGAGTCGTTGCCTGTGTATGCTTTCCGCAGCCAGCTCATCAAGGCTGTTCACGGCAACCAGATCCTCATCGTGGTTGGAGAGACAGGCTCAGGAAAGACCACGCAGCTGACCCAATACTTGGCCGAGGCGGGATTCGCCAACGACGGCATCATCGGATGTACCCAACCTCGTCGTGTGGCTGCCATGTCTGTGGCCAAGCGTGTGGCCGAAGAAGTCGGCTGCAAGCTTGGAGAGGAGGTTGGTTACACCATTCGTTTCGAGGATTGCACCAGCCCGAGCACCAAGATCAAGTACATGACGGACGGTATGCTTCAGCGTGAGATTCTTGTGGATCCGGATATGAAGCGATACTCGTGTATCATGCTTGACGAGGCTCACGAGCGCACCATCTCTACTGATGTGCTCTTTGCTTTGCTCAAGAAGACGCTTAAGCGCCGGCCAGACTTGAAGGTCATTGTCACCTCTGCAACGCTCGATGCCGACAAATTCTCTGCATACTTCAACGAGTGCCCTATCTTCACTATTCCCGGCCGAACGTTCCCAGTCGAGATTCTCTACTCGAGGGAACCCGAATCCGACTACCTGGACTCTGCCCTAGTCACTGTTATGCAGATTCACCTCACTGAGCCCAAGGGTGATATTCTTCTTTTCCTGACAGGTCAAGAGGAAATCGACACGGCCTGTGAGATTTTGTATGAACGCATGAAAGCTCTGGGACCAAACGTGCCAGACCTCCTCATTCTCCCCGTCTACTCACAACTTCCTACCGAGATGCAAAGTCGCATTTTCGAGCCTGCGCCGGCTGGAAGCCGCAAGGTGGTCATCGCCACCAACATCGCCGAGACTTCCATTACTATCGACGAGATTTACTACGTCGTCGACCCCGGCTTCGTCAAGCAGAATGCCTATGACCCGAAGCTGGGTATGGACTCTCTGGTTGTCACTCCCATTTCCCAGGCGCAGGCAAACCAGAGAGCCGGGCGAGCTGGCCGAACCGGACCTGGAAAATGCTTCCGTTTGTACACCGAGGCAGCGTACCAGTCTGAAATGCTGCCAACTACGATCCCCGAAATCCAGCGCCAGAACTTGTCTCATACGATTCTCATGCTAAAAGCTATGGGCATCAATGACCTTTTGCATTTCGACTTTATGGACCCCCCACCTATCAACACCATGCTTACTGCCCTGGAAGAGCTCTATGCCCTCAGTGCCCTCGATGACGAGGGCCTGTTGACGCGTCTGGGCAGGAAGATGGCCGATTTCCCCATGGAGCCGTCACTCGCCAAGGTCTTGATCGCTGCTGTCGGCCTCGACTGCTCCGACGAGATGCTCAGCATCGTCGCCATGCTGAACCTCCCCAACGTCTTCTACCGACCAAAGGAAAAGCAGACGCAGGCAGACCAGAAGAAGGCCAAGTTCCACGACCCCCACGGCGACCACCTCACGCTGCTCAACGTCTACAACGCCTGGAAGCACAGCGGCTACTCGAGCCCCTGGTGCTTCGAGAATTTCATTCAGGCTCGCTCCATGCGCCGCGCCAAGGACGTCCGCGACCAGCTCGTCAAGATCATGGACCGCTACAAGCACCCCGTGGCGTCGTGCGGCCGCAAGACGGAAAAGGTGCGCCAGGCGCTCTGCTCGGGCTTTTTCCGCAACGCCGCGCGCAAGGATCCGCAGGAGGGCTACAAGACGCTCACCGAGGGCACGCCCGTCTACCTGCACCCCAGCTCTGCGCTGTTCGGCAAGCAGGCCGAATGGGTCATCTACCACACGCTGGTCCTGACCACCAAGGAGTACATGCACTGCACCACGGCCATCGAACCCAAGTGGCTCGTCGAGGCGGCGCCGACCTTCTTCAAGGTGGCCGGCACGGACAAGCTGAGCAAGCGCAAGAAGGCCGAGCGCATCCAGCCACTGTACAACAAGTTCGCCGGCGAGGACGACTGGCGGTTGAGTGCTCAGAGGAAGGGAGGTAGAGGCGGCGGCGGCGGCGGTACATGGGGTTAATGAGATGCCATATTATGAGATGGAAGAGCCAAGAATGGGATTGGCGAACTGGATTTTCCGGAGTTTGGGAGTTGGGATATGCTTGTGTACATCCATAGGCTATAGCGTAGCCGCCATCAATGTAACATGTCCCTGGTTCTTAGGAATCAAAGTCGCCTCATTGAAATCGTCAAAAAGTGAATATCATTACTTCATTCTAGCCCCGATCCCTCACGGAACTTCTACGGTTCCTATCCAAACGCCGAACCTCGTATCCATCAGCATTGATTGCTACCCAAGGGCCATGCCTATATCACAGTCTCCAAAATATTTGCTGAAATCCTCCCATTCCTTGTTATCCAATTATTCAACCAGCGTGACGTGCACAATCTTATTGGCAAGTTTCTTGCGGATCTGCGCAACGCGGCGGAGAACCGCGAGCTTGTCCTTGTACGTATTCCCTGAAGCTCTGATGTAAAGCTCATCAAGCCCAGGGAGTTTGTGAGCGCCCTTGCGAGGACCCGACCATAACTTGGTGGCTACCTCAGGTGAAGCGTCATCTGCCTCCTCGAGGAAGTTCCACTGCTGGTGGCGTCCGACTAGCAACCACCTTATGACAGATTTCTGATATCGTCCTGCCTTGAATACAGATCTGAGGACCCTCTGGCCACGGCTGTTTGTGGCGACGTAGGCGAGTCGCGCGCCGCGGCGGACCAGCAGGCTGACGACATGCAACTGGCCCACGCTGCAAGCCAACATGAGGGCGGAGCCTTCTTCGGAAATCTCCTTCTCCATGTCCCATCCAAAGTTGAGGAGCATTTCGAGCATGGCTACGTCCCCCTTGCGAATGGGCAGACAGGAAGGTTGCACGCTGGCGGATGGATCTGGGTGTAAGATTTGGCTGTGGCACTCTTGTGGAGCACGCTTCAGGACCTTCTTGACCTCGCTAGGTGTGCAGTGACGAGATATGAGCAAGTTGAGAAGCGTCGGTCTTTCGGAGGCGAGGCGGGCAAAGTCGATATCGGCGTTGCCGTTCAAGATGGTCATTCTTGTACAGGGCGTCACGACAATCATCATCAAGGCGATGCTCGAGTTTCCGGGGGAGGTTGCGTACCAGTCCAATCCAAGCTTGGAAACCTCTTTCATGTAGGCCGTGTTCGAGCTCGGGCTCTTGTGCAGAAAATAAGGTAATCCAGTAAACGTCGTGAGGTCAGCGCCATGTTCGATCAAATAGCGGACTGGTTCCATGAGAGAGCAGTCAATGGCCCGAGACAAAGGGGAGGCGCCCGTGTCGTCCCGCACGTTGGGATCGGCTCCGGCCTCGATGAGGATCTTGACCACGGCGAGGTTTCCCCTTAAACACGCCAAGTGGAGGGCCGTCATAGAGTCTCCGTCCTTGGCGTCGACGTCTATCCCGTTTGATATCAGGAGCTGGAGCATGCTTCTCTGTGATTCTTCCGCCGGCTCAAGGGTGGGGCCGAGCCCATCAATGAGTAGATGAAGGGCGTTTGGAAGGGTGCCGCCGGAATACCCCAGCCAATCCACTGAGCTGCGCCGAATGTTGACGACGTAGCGCTTGAGTCTCGTCGCCGTGTTCTCACCTTCAACGTAGTCGGACGCTTGCAACACTCCTGCTTCTTCCACCAGTTTCCTGCAATCGTCAGTATACTGAAGCTAGTTTCTGAGGGGGCACTTACCAATACTCGTCGGCACGCGCGTCGAGGTGGTTCAACAACACTCGAAGTGCCCTTTCCCGGATTTCGAAGCGCTCGCCGTGAGTGACACCCCCAAACTGTACAATTGCGTGAAGAGGCGTGGAGTCTACAAGAAACCATAAGATGCCCTCTGCTAGGTAGGCGTCCAGACACTTTCGAATGAAGATGATGGTGGTTTCGATGAGCTCCGGCTCCTCGTGGTCCAGTTGCCGGAGAAGGCCGAAACACGCATGATGGAGGACGTTGTAGCCAACGGGCCAGTGACTGGCGCAACCGGTAATGAAGCCTCCGAACCCCCCTTCGACGAGCTCAAGCATCATGTGGGTGCAGCCATGGGCGCCGGCGAAACTGAGAAGCGTGCAGCCACGGCAGGGCAGGACAGCAGAGAGCAAAAACTCCTTTGGGACGTGAGTGAGAACCTTTGCAATGACTCCCTCGCTCTGCGAATGGCAGTGTTCTATCAAGTCCGCGAGACAAGACCCAAGCTTTACAGGATCAGGTAATCTCAAGGGCTCGGGTGGAGTGACTCCGAGTTTGTCCGCCACAAATTCACTGATGAATCCGGCTGCGGCGCGACTCTTACTCGATGCGATGTGGATCCCATACCGATCGAGTTCAGTATTGACGCCGACGTCCAAGAGATAACGGAAAATGTCCTCATGCTCCCCTCGGATGGCCAACATAAGCGGCGTGGAACCATTTGAGTCCTGGATCTCCAAGTTTGCGCCGCTGTCGTCGAGAACCCTAACGCAGCTCAGCGACCCGCCCTTGACGGCTAGGTGAATGGGTGCGAGGCTATTTCTGGGAGACCCTCCATCTATATCAAAGCGTAGTGACGTCCGCTCTAGGAGCCACGACAGAGCGTTCGGCCGTCCATTTGCTGCAGCAACCTGTAGCGCATTGAATGTGCGCTCGCCGCTCACATCATAATAGCAATGCCAGTTGAAATCGGAACCGGCTACTTCGGCGACCTTGTTGAATATGTCCACGTATCCTCCCTTGGCTGCCGCGAGGACAGCGTGGTCTCCGTTCTCTGTCAAGGCTGGGTCAGCCCCATGGTCGAGCAACACTAGCGCTAGATCAGGTCTCCTATCATCTATCGCCTCTTGAAGCATAGTCCGCGGGTCTGGCTGACCGGTTGAGACTTGATTCGGATCAATTAGCTTCTGCACCAGTAAAGCCTTCAGTATCCTAAGTGAATGGGATTCCCGACGCAGTTCCAACAAGGCTCTAAAGAGTCTATGCTGTTGATCTACCAGGGAAAGTGGCTCAAGAGACTCTAGCAGTGTCTCTAAGATCGGCCCAATCAAGATGACATCTGGAATGAGATGCTGGAGCAGAGATTTGTTGTACAGGTCTGGTCGTTGAATGTGGACTTTCACGCCCTTTGCAATTAATAACTCGACCAACGACGCTTGGCCACGCCGAACCGCTTGGGCCAAGAGAAGTAGTCCGGCTGTGGAGTCGACAAACTTGGGCCCATCTCCACTCGGGGTAGAAAAGTCCAGGGCATATGGAATGAAAGGGAATTGCCAGCGCTCCCATGACGGACTGGCACCGGTACGATCGGCCATATAAAGAACTGCCCAACTCCCAGTGTCTTGCTCATAGGCTTCCAAAACTCCATGGCTATTGAGGGATGCAAGTGCGGTGCAAATGAAGCTTGACAAAAACAACAGCTGTTGTGGATGTTGGCATGACGGCCCAGAAACCATCGGCAAGACGTTATCGCAAAACCGTTCCCAAATACCCCGACCACGGGAGTCTCGAGATTTGAGGACCTCAGGTGTCAGAAGCTTCTCATAAGCGCTTTCCGTGAGCTTCGGATAACAAGACGGATGAGCCGTTGGATGGGCAAAGGTCGCGTCATTTTGACGAATGTCGAGTACAGTGTTGGTGAGAATTGTCTCTGCCACTGAGGCCCCGTCGTCAAATATGAGACTTGAATCCTTGCACAGCTCCAAAACTCTCTCCAGCATTTCGTTGGAAGCTGAGAGATTGAGGCTGCGAAGGAGTGGACCCTGAGACTTGTCTGGTTTACAGCCAAGCTTGATCAAATCGTCCAGCAAGTCTAGTTCACCCCACTCGATGGCACAATGGAGAAGTGCGGCTGTGGACTCCACAGGTGGGATTGTGTCGTAATCTGCGAGGAGAGTTCTGGCGGCCACTGGCGGTGTTTGTTTCCACCCCTTGGGGAGGCTTCTTAGGCTGTAGATGTACAAGAAGGCATCGTCTAGAGGCGTGCAGCCTAACAAGTTCCTCGTAGCCAGATTCTGTTGCTTGCATGGGTCATTTTCGCGTAGCCATTTGATAAGCTCGGCGTAGTTTGTTGATGCAGCGAGGTGCCATATTGTTCGCCCGTTGTTATCTACGTCGGTCGTTGTAGCGCCGTATTCCAGGACCAATTTTGACAGCACCGGCGGCTCCTCAACAACCATCATTGGGGTACGACCTTCGGCGTCAGTTGCTGTCAAGCTGGCCCCGGCCTTGATGAGGCTGTCAATAATCTCGACATGACCACCCTCGGTGGCCATATGAAGAATGGTGCCTCCAACCTGACGCTCGTCAAAGGACAGGTCGGGATCGAATCTCGGATCCAGAATTAGGCGATGAAAGAGGAATGAATCAGAATTCACAATAGACTCTCGGACGAGAAACCGAAACTTGGCATCTCCAAGGCCAGGCACGCACTGGCCATCTTGCGCACCAGCAAATATAATGCCCGACTCCTTCATAAGTAGGCGAACTGCTTCTCGAAGCTCTTCTGCGTTTGGGTCCTTTTCGGCCTCGGGAGCTAGAGTGAGGTCGAATAAAAAGGTAAGCAGGCGAGAGACCCTAACTTGTGATGCGACGGCTGGATCCCCAAATTTCTCGCGTTGGATGAGTTGGATTATGGCGCCGTCGAGGCCAGCGCCTCTGGCCACCGTGATATTGAAGATAGGGTCATGATCGTTGATCAACGCTGCCCACAAGCTTAAGCCCGCGAGTGACACCTCCTCAGCGTTCTTCCATTGGTACTTGTACCCGCAATCCGCGCCTTTATCAAGAAGCAAGATGATTGTGGCGGCGCGATCCTTACCAGCGTGGTCGCAGTTGAGCAGAGAGGCCCATGACTCTGGCTCTGCTCGTGTTGTCAACACTTTGGGGCCGACAAAGGCACAGAACAAGGGGCTACCGAGGAAGCCTATATCGTTGACGTCGGCCCCTTCAGAGAGCAGATCTTTGCAAAGGCTGGGTAAACCAAGTGCAGCAGCCATGTGAAGTGGCGAGATAGATCCATTGCACAGAGCATCTGTCAGTTCCAGCAGTGACTTGGGTGACATGGCCAAACTGCCAAAGGTGCGAGGATACGTCTCTCTGGCATACTCGAGCACCCATTGCACAAAGTTGAAGGGCCCCGGTTTCTGGAAAAGGGAGCAGATTTGAGATCCGAGGTCTGGCCAGTGAACCTCAGCGTAGGCTGGCCATCGGACTGCCGCCGTCCGATACAGCGGTGACGTGAGGCGACGGGATTGGACATTGGCCATTTCTCCCGCGTACTCCGCCGGCTCACGGTTGTGGTCAGGAGAGTTGAGAATTTCCATCCAAGTTGACAGGATTTTCGGGCTTGGGTCCTCTTTGACAGCGTAAGAACCAGAAAGAGACAAATCTTGAGCGTCTTCGACGCTTTGGTCCTTGCGGCGTAGCCGTGGCGTGGGCTCTTTTCCGAGGACGCAGAAATGGAGATCCACATCCTGAAGGGATTCCGACGAGCCAAGAATGAACCCAAACTTGGAGCGATATCCAATTAGTGCCGACTTGGCATGTTTGAGCCCATCGGGGTCTGCCATTGCGTGCAAGGTTTGGAGAGCCTGGACTAGGAGCTCGCAGCCGTCGACTGCCGGCCAGCTGGGCCGCTCAGCGGGACCAGACGCATTGGAAACATCCTCTTCAGTTCCTTGCAACTCAAGGATGAGCTGTTCGAGGCTGTAAAGGGATCCTCCGAGCAACCGCAGCTCAACGACCAGGGCCTTGAGGTCGTTGTTGTGTGTTGAGGTGGAGGCCTTGAGGTGCTTGTTGATGGTCGAGCACAGAGCAAACGTTGAGTTCTTCAACGAAACAATCCTCTCCGCCATCTTGGGATGCGCCAGGGGCATTTCAGACTCCTGGAGATGGGACTAATGGACGGAGCGGGAAGCAGTTGAAAGGACAGCATGAGGCTGAGGGCTGCGGCTGAGAATGGGGCTGAGACCGAAACAGCACGCTGTGCCAAGCAATGAGGGACAGAAGCACGCCAAAAGAACCAGGGAACGAAAACAATCCAAGATGATACTGAATTTTAATAAATGGAGGATTAATATGCTCAGAGGAATGCAGGAGTTGACGATTATAAGGTCAAGGTGGTGAAGCTATCGCCAGGGCTGAAGTCGAGTAGAGGTCGATGCCTAGAACGGGCACACGAAAGACGCTTGGACCACACAGTCCGAAATGACGCTAAACACTATGCGAAAAGTCGCGTCTGGTGGAAGATGACTAGCAAGTACAGTGTGAATGTATTCACTGCCCATTCAACGACACCATTGTTGTCTGGCATTCGCATAGAGAGCTCCAAAGGGATAGCTCCCATATATTGAGTCCGTCGGGCTCGGTAACATTTCCGTTGGAAGCTTGGGACGTGCTTAATTGGAAGCAAGACCCACTTTGCAAGCTCAAATCCAATGGTCCGGACGAACAGCGAATGGAGAAGGATGTCGGTTGAGTAGGACCCAGGAGACATAGAGCCGCTCAAGAGCCAGACATACTCACCAAGAAATACGGAGTGCTCTTTTAAAAGTCTTGTCCAAGCGCTAGTAATACCACATCCATTTATCCCTGTCAGTTACCTGACATACATGAAGCTGGCTGTCACAGTCTCGTTAGGTTATCTGCTAAGGCCGCGGTAACTTCAGGGGTAGTAGGCGCTGCTGATCAGGATCTAGCGGTTGCTGCGTGCTGTAACCTGCTATCCTTCAGGGCTTATGGAAATCAGGAAGTACTTAGTGTACTTATCTACCCTAATGATTAGTTGACTTACTAGCGTTATTTTTCTTCTCAAGACTTTAAAAGGGCCCTCCTTACCTATTCAATCATCGGATCCTTGCATTCCTCAAAACAAGTCACCAGCTGCGTGAGCCCGGGCTCGTGCTGCGAAAAGTGGCGGAGGCAACAACTCCCGGTGTGCCGGGCCAGAACACGACGCTGCTCCCGCGGCTTGGGGTTCAGGCCCCTCCTCGGCAGAGCGAAATGCGGCGGCAAAGACCACGTCAACACACCTAGCGGTGGCTGTGGTGGCGGCGGAGGCGTGTCCAGCCTGGCGGGCTCGCAGTCACCGGGACTAGACATGTTTTCAACGAGTGCGGAAAGGCGGCCGGATGGAACAAATATGCGAGCGTATCGTGTCTAAAAGCGCCAACCGCCGCATGTAAATCGCCATGTATGCGCGACGTCCCAATGCCGAAGCTTCACCTTTAACCACCCGCCGGTGCCGATCCGTCACAACGCCTGGGAGCAAAAAAAAAAAAAAAAAGGATGGCTTTCCCCGTTATCCACAGCGACGGGACCGAACGGACCCCTGGCGAGCTAGGCTAGTGGCAAGGAAGGGGGGGGGGGGGGGGGGCTGGCCTAGCGGAAAAATGCTTGAACTGAGCTACTGGGCGCCGCATTCTGGTAGCGGATTTATTTAGCGAGCCAGGCCTTGTTACTTGTCGGCGTTGGGCTGTCTTGCAGCTTGGCACATGGCAGAAGCGCTAGGGAGCTGTGATATGTGCACAATCATATGCAAACCAACTCTGAGTTTGGCCGTGCATTGCGTTAGGAGGCAACTGTGTTGCCTCTCGGAGCCTCCGGGGCTGAGCTGGAGACGAGGAGGAGCATGAAGCGTGAAGCATGTGGGATATGCCGGTTCTGGTGGCTGTCAAATAATAGCATGTGCAACCATCCGTGAACCCTGTTGGTCAGATCATCTGTATCAAAACCGGGGGCATACAATCGCCTGCATCATGAAGCAAGGCCCAAAATCGTGATATCCAAAGTCGAGCAAAGTGTGAATGTAAATTACCCAAGCAATACAATCGTGGTATCATTCTACCCTAGTTAAGTGGCCGTTAATTAAATACACATATCCTTACACCCAGCCAATGCATTGTACAGCAGAAGAAAAAATCCCAACTCCTCCCAGTTTCATATCCGTCCCAGCGCATCATTGATCCTTTTTCTCTCGTTACAGTGGTGAGATGATGAGCACGACGTACTTGACACGGCCGTCCGCGTCCTTCAGCGGTGACCAGTGGCTCATCATCTTTGCGGACTTCTTCTCCCGGCTCGTCTCGCCGCTTTCGCCGCTCATGACCCGCGTCATGTTTGCCCGTCGGGGGATGTGGTTGGTGAGGGCCAGGTCCAACGAGATGGACTTGCCGTCTCGAATGACGACCTCTCGCACCGTTGACTTGAAGGCCTTAGTGACGGATGGGATAGTCGCCTGTTCGGCCAACACGTCGAATACGTCCTTTTGTCGAATGGCGTCGGCAGCCATACCCAAATCCAGTGCGTCCACCATGGCCTGCGAGAAGAAGGAGATGCTCAGCTTTGGAGGATATCTCATCTCCTGGTCGAGAGGCATGGCACCTAGAGAAGCGGGATACGAGGGGACGTGTTCGAGGATCATGTATCGAGAATAAGGCGTCGTCATCATATCGGGAGGTGTCGATAACCTCTTGAGGACAGTGCGAGTGCTGTACGTCTTCTCCAAGGTTGGCCCTGCGGACGACCGTGGCCTATCCAAGCTACGCCGCGGGCTCAGTGGCGGCGAGAGCGGGGGTGGGGGAGCCTTCTTGTTGAACGACTTGAAGAAGCTCTTCTTGTGGGCCTTGGCTTGCGAGTTTGACTTGACGGTGGTCAATTCGTCAAGATCCGGTTCGCTCTGTAAGCCCTCGCTGGGCCAACGGGGGCTGTTCTGACTGCTCGTCTTTTCCTCCTCCACAGAGCCGTAACTCAGCATCTTGAGCACCTCGTCGTTGCTCTCAATGTTGGAAGACACATCAATCTGGGCTCCCATGTAGAAGCGCGTCTTGCCGGAGGCATCCTGAAGGGGGCACAGGTAGAGCAAGTTCCAGAATGGCTGTCCGTCTCTGCGGAAGTTCAGAACCAGTTCAGAACACTCATCTCCTCGCCAGATTGACGAGCGTAGGTTTGCGATGGCCTCTCGGTCTGTCTGAGGTCCCTGAAGCAATCGGCAGTTCCGTGACATGACCTCAGCACGGGAGTAGCCGGTGAGGTCCTGAAATTCATCTGACAAAAACACAATGGGGTTCCCGGGCTTGACGGGATCGCTAAGACAAAAGGAACTCTTGAGTCCCGGGAATGGCGATGGAGGGCTGTCGCCTTCGGACTCGGAAGATAAGGCCACACTGGTGCACAGTGACAGCTGTTGCTTGACAAACGCAGGGAATATTTCCCTGACGATCCTCTGCTCAACATAGGCCTTGGACTCGAGGAACATGTTTTCCAAGCTGGGGATTAATGAGGTCGTCAGGTGCTTGATGTTGGTGTTTAGCGTCTTTGACAAGGGTGTGGGAAGGTTGATGGGCGAGGTGGCCGTGATTGATGTATATGAGGTGGAAATGGTTGCCAGCTGCGCAACGACTTGCTCCAGCGAATTAATGTAGTCGCGAATCTGGGGGACTCAGGTTAGATGGTTTGGGGGCCGAGAACAAGAGCGCAACTCACCTTGAGCAAGTACTCGACGTTCTGCCCAACGCCGCGACTGGCTGCAAACTTCCACAATTGCGCGGATGCAGCAGGGTCCTTGATAACCATGTCAAACATGTCGCGACCAACAAAATCGGGGATGGGCAAGTCGGCAGAAGTGTCGGAATCGGTAAATGTGACGCTGGAGCGCTGGCTGGACGTGGTTATCGAGTCGATGCTCCTCAATCTCTCGCCTCCGTTGGCGGCGAACATTGCGACTCTGGGCGATCCATCCGGGTGGTAGTCGGTGTACTGTCGCAAGAGGTCCTCGTTGGTATGCAGCGACAATCCCGAATTGCTGCGTAGGCGGTATGCTGAGAACTTGGCACTCTTGGGACGGGTGCCATTCTTGGAGCGCAATGTGGGCGAAGTGGTTAGGCCGCGGAGCGACGAGCCAACCGACTCGGCATTGTTGGTCAGAGTAGACGTCGTTGAGCGGCGTCGCTCAAATTCGGCGAAGGGCGGGACCGGGGGCTCAAAGGTTCGGAGAGAGTTGAGGGTAGGCATTTTGGCTTTCTACCTGGACGGCTCGCTGTGCGATGTCTCGAGATGTCTTGTCTCAAGGTGGGACGGCACGGGAGGATGGGACGGACGGGAAGGTCCTGTGATGGGTGTGACACGGAATTCTGGCGGCCCAAATCAAGTCGCAACGGTTCCACCAAGTGACCCAGCGCAAGGGGCTCAGCGTGTGAGAAAGATTGAACAGGCTCGGGAGCGAGCGAGGAGGAATGCGATGCGACAGGTGGGTTAGTGTTTAGACGGTGATCATGATGCCGCGGGGGAATCAAGTCGCAAGTAGAAGGATAAAGACTCAAAACAGGCAAACAAGGCCGTTTCGTTTGCGAGGGGCTCCCAAGTGCGATAACTAAGACAAAGAGAAACCCAACAGCGAGCAGACAGAAGAAGAGTCGACAGCAGAGAGCAGACCAGACCAGATCAAGCTCCAGCGCAAGACCCAGCAGCCCACGATCGCTTAATAGGCCGGCGTGGGAAAGGTGGGAAACGGTGCTCGCGCGCAATGGTGTTCCATAGTAGCATCGACTGACTCGCTCCAAGCGAGACGGCCCATGGCCCGGCATGTCGACGAGTGGAGATGGACCGCGCCATGGGCCAGCCAGCACACGCTACGAGCTTGCGGGGGCGGGCCAGATCGACTGTCACTGGCGGACGACGACTCTGTGGTGAGTGTCAGTGAGCACCCGGGAGACAGGGAGACGGGGGTTTCGGTCAAGCAGACAGGGGGGGAGGCAGCATAGCAGGAGGAGTCTGCAGCGATTCTGCAGCGATGCCACCACCACCAAGCCACCTTGGGCGGGCCTGGCCGGGAACCCAGCTCCCAGCGCACCCGGAGCCAGGGTAACGCAGTCGGGGCAAGTCAGGACAGGCCTGGCGCAATCCCGGGCACGTTCTGGCTGAAGCCAAGGAAGCCAGGGAAACCAGGGGTGGCCGCCGGCTGTTGGCTTGGACCTTTGCCTAATGCGAGACTATCGAGATGGCTTCGTCGGCCCTTGCCCCTGGGTGGTCAGGCCAGCAGCTTGCGGGTCGTTCCAGAGCGGGCGTCTGGTGGCTGGCATCCGGGGCTAAGTGCGTGGAGAGCTAGGTTGGAAGCAATCTACGATCGAGAACATCGACCTGAAGAGCTCGTATGCCGTAGGAAGTGTGTTGGTTGGGTTTGGTTTAGGTGGGTTTAGTTGGTTGATGGTGCATCTTCAGCTGGCTAAGCTAGGCTGCTCAGTGCACTGTGCGCGCGCCGCGCTGTCGTCACTCACATTAGCGCAGTCGCACACTGTACGGTCCCGATACAGTAAATTGTACCTATCGCGCATCAGGAACCTGCTTGTGCCCGCTAGCACTGACCTGTCCTGTCGTCGATCTGGCGCGTCTCCCGCGACAAAAAAAGCAAACATGCACCTGTCGAAAGCGTGGCATTACCGAAAACACACGGCAAAGTGCCGCTGTTTGGCTGATTGATTGCTTGGCTGTTCGACCGTTTAGCCGTTTGCCCGTTTGGATGCCATCATTCCTCCCCCTCCGCGCCGCTCAAATGGCCTGCATACACTTTGACCCTGGCCAAGCCTAGGCCAAGAAAGTCACAGGACATGCAACTAAAATCACCCAACGCAGCCCCGGGCTTGATGCAGTAGCCGCTGGTACAGAGTACGGAGTCCATGCTAATCTGTAGAGTCAGTACAGAGTCAGAGTCAGTACGGAGTTAGTACGGAGGACACACCAGCTGAAGAAACGGAGGCTACGGAGCGGCCAGGGTGGGCCCCAAGAGTCATTCATCATTCATCTGAAACATTCCGCCCCAATTGCCCCGGAAGAATTGTTCTGCTGAAGATACTAATCCCACATACCGGCCGGCCAAGGCCCAGGTCTACGGTCCATGGCTTTTGTGGCTATTAGCCTTGGCTGCACGTCAAGGATTCCGGTCCTTTGCTTTCCTCCCCCCTGGATCCCCCTACGCCCGGAGCTACTGCGTAGCACTGGGCTGGATCCGCCTGCAGAGACTTGTGATATTGCGATATGGCTGCTGAGCGGTCAGTGCCGGTGCCCCGTTTCATCGCCCCGGAACTCTCCTTCAGCTGTTGGCCGTGGGCCGCTCAGCCACACACCGGTTTCCCGATCCTCTTTGCTCCGGGCCTGGGGGGGCTTGTTATCGACAGTATGTCCGCGATGTGAACCCGGCGTATCCCTGCGATGCCCGGTTGATTGCGATGCCTGGTTGATCAGAGCCTGAGCTGAATCGCTGAACGGGCGGGAATAGGGTCCGTTGATCGTCTAGTACGTACGCACAGTCTCATGCCCTACCTGCTAGTCCCGCGATCGCCCACCACGCGGTCATGCACCGACCGTCCTGATCGACGCGCGGGCTATCAATCCAAAGCGTCAAAGCACAACCACACACACAACCACCCGCATACATGTTACGTTGATGTGACGCTGCTATGCGTTGGTCGTCGTCCTTCTCGGGCGCCGCTTTCGGTGTCAGCAGCATGCCGCCCCCCTGAATCCCCGACACCCAGGTCGAGACTATCGCCCATCAGGTGCTGTGTCCGTCCCGACAAATCGGCGAACCCTGTCGTGCCGTCGTTTCAGACCCGGGATGCCATGATGCGAGAGGGGTTTATTAGAGAGGACGCAGTACGTGGAGTCGTGGACCCGTGCTACTGCTACTACGCCACGAGGATCGCCAGGTTGCGTTTTCGCCTGCTCTGTTCATCTCTTCTAGAAGCTCTGGAAACATGCCCTTGCCCATCGTGGCCAATCTCTTCCCTGCCCGGATCCCCTGTAACCCATGTTTACTGTTGCATCGCGCGACGTCAGGAGACTTGCATGTCCTGTCCTCCGGCTTCTGGCTTACTACGTAGCAATCTCGCAAGGTCATCCCCACTCGGTCCTCTCAAGGCATTTCGGTTGATGAGAGATGTCTCCCGAACTTTCCGACCGAGTCGATGTGGTCCATCTGTACTCCATATTAATGGTACATCTTAATTACAGAACTTCCTACATATAAAACACAACCAACCCAACACAGCACCCCGGTCTATCAGTGCATGTTCCCCGTCGTGGGAAATCCTCCCAATCCACCACATCCATCGCCTCCCAAAATACGAATGTACTCACCGAAACCTTGACCTTGCACCTCTTGCAGTTCATGCCGGTTTTTTTGCTTTTTATGAAAATAGCGTATCTTACAGCCTTCACCCTGGTGTGCTGTACTGTGCCTGTTGGTCGGTGTGTACCCCGTACATTAGGGGCTTTTCGTTCACTGAGCGGCCGGGCACATGCCAGCCTCTTTGCGTTGGCTGCTGATCACTTACTGTCCTGTTCTTGCGGCATGCGATTGTCCATCAACGCCAAGAGATCATGGCTGAGGGTCAAAGCAACACCGGTCAAGCGCACGCCGGAAATAAACCCCCATGCCGAAAAGATACCCATTAATAACCCAACTACCTCGGACTCCATTCGGGGAAGCTGTCCAAGTCAGCAATTACGCGTGACCAACACGGCCAGCATGACAGCATAGCAGCTATCCCCAATGTAGTCACTCTGTAAAGTCTAATAGAGTCCGCTGTTGTGAGCTATCGCAAACGTTTCGAAATTCTCATTGCTGTCGCTTAATTCGCGACGAATACGGGACGGGGCGCACACCCACTCAGCATCTCCATCTGAACGACTGTGAAACCAACAATTCTGCATACCAAGTGTGATTTCAAGATACAAGCGAGCTCCCTAAATAAGATTTGACAAAGGAAATGAAAGGCATTTGCAACAAGAAGACGTGAGTCGTCTTACGGTGTAGGGGTGGCCCTGGTCTGTCCAGACCGAATACCAGGTCCAAGGACCCTTCAATGCCCATCTGCAAAGACACATGCGTCATCCACCAAAGAAAGAAAAAAAGATATCAATCAGTGCTGTTCTGGGATGTACCCGATTGACCCAGGCCGAGGCTCCGGAGTGGAAGCCCTGTAGCGCATATAAGCCGACCTCCCTTGAGCTGACGCCGGAGGATGTTGAGGCGGCACTGTTGGTACGGACCCTCGGGTAATAACTCCCGGGTTCGGTCCACGCGATGGATCTTCAGATGAAGGACGCAGAGGTTGGCGATTGATCAGCGACGGATCAGCTGCAGCCGAATTTGACGGCAGAGAATCCCGGTCTGGCACTGCTGAGCTCCATTGGCGAGATGAACTACCTGGAGCTGTCTTGTTCACGTTCAGTGGTGGGGGAAATGCCATGGGCTCGTAGCCATATCCTTTCTGGCTGTAGGACCTTCCGAATATTTGAACACCTAGCGAATTCGAACCAGGGTTGTCTGTCAGAGACTCGGGTGCCTCTGTTGGAGAGTCGGGCTCTGGATCAGGGTTCGTCACTCTCGACGTGGATTTTCGACATTCTGGCATCTCTTCGGCAGGGGGATCGTCTTCTGCTGAGGAATCGTCTTTTGCAGGGCGAGCGGGGGTCGTGAGTCCAAACATGGCTTCTTGACGTTCCGATTCCGTCATCGACACCACCTGCTCTCTCGCAGAGGGATCGTCTTTCGAAGGAGGACCATCGCTCGCAAGGGGATCGGGGACTCTGTCGTCGGGACTCTTCTGTTTCTCCGGAACGCCCGTGTCCTGGCGTTCGTCATCGTCGCTGCTACGACGTCGCATCGTCCGCTTCGTGCTCCGGTTGTTCTTCCAGGTCGACACTCTCGCCCGATAGTGCCAGAATACCAACACCAGTAGTACAACAACAACGATCACCATCGAGATTGCAATCCCAGCGGTTTCCCCATTGTCCAGTCCATGACCACCATTGCGATCGGGACGCGGAGTGCTCGATGAGGTGCCCGTGGAGGTCGTCGACGTTGTCAATGTGGATGTCAACAAGGTAGACAAAGTCATCGAAGCCGATGAGGTTGTTGGAGCCGACGAAACCGTGACACATTCCATGAACTTGTCGGCATTCTCCTCAAGATCGCTCAGACGAGCAGCCTTGAGAGACGCATCAGGGCAGCTGCCTTTCTCGCAGGGATCGACAGTGCAGCATCCGATGAACGGCGGCGTGGTCCCGGCACAGATGTACCACTGGACCAAGTAGTTGTCGCTGACACAAGCTTGTCCCGGGATTTCAGCATAGGCGTCCTTGTCGAACGTCGCAGGCTGGAGGTCGTCGTCAGGGCAGACACCGTAATCGGTCTCGCAAGGGTTCGATGTGCAGCAGCCGATGAAACGGGCCGGTTTGTGCGCACAGATCCAGAAGTCGCCGCCCTTGGGACAACCAAGACCCAGGTTGGGAACGGGTTCGTAGTCGTGCATGTTGAAACAAGACTCCGAGTGGAGTGTGAAGAATGTGGTGTTGAAACAAGACTCCGGGTGAGTATGAAGGGTGTGGTGTTGAAGCAGCCTCTTCATATGGACGGCAAGAGACCATTTAAGTATTGGGAGACTGGGAGAAAAGTCCAGCACAGAATTCGAACTCAAGAGGGGAATCCCATCTCTTCGCCTCACTGTTGGGCTCTAGACCCCTGCTCGCAGCATACTTCTTTGTCCTGCATCGCTAAGCAGAGTTGTGATATCCAGTTGGTTGGGCGTTACGCCACAGCCAGGAAACCCAGAGCTAGAGATGCAGGATGTTGCCATGAGGGAGAGCGGTGAGGTGTTGTCGCCCTAGAATAAATGATCAATCTGAATTGCTCTCGTCGGACTCCGCCGGTGGCTGGGTGTGTATTGATGGAGGGATGAATTCTCTGGTGTTTGCAGCGTGGCTGATGGGCGGTGTAGCGATATGATATCTCAGGTTTCCTATTAGCTTGTTACTTCATGAAATCCAACTATACTCACATCGGGAGTGGCCTTGGTCTGTATTCCATCTGGTTCAAGCATGTGGGCTGATCTGGACAGCCGTTCTTACATGTACGTAGGGTAGGTGGTGTGGCTTCCCCGTGTCACAAGTCCCCCATCTCGTCTTTTCAGCATCAAATATACCTGCTTGACGCGAGTGAAGAAAGATAAAGCAAACTTGATAATTTGTGTGCAGCTAGATGATGTGAGCTAGGTTGCAAGAATCTGACTGCTGCCCAAAATTTGGGGAACCCATGGCGTGCCACTCATGGTGCCCTCATGACTGTGATCCCAGAAGAAGGAAATGGTGAACTGAAAGCAACATCCTCGTCTCCCGAACTAAAAATGATTTCAATGATGACCTCGTGTGGCAAACCGCATTCCAGAAGCGTGTCTTGTGCTGTCAAGACCCCAATAATACAATCACACTCGAGAGCACCTGCTCAAGACTTGGCCTTGCGAGCATTGCGGATAGGGATCTTGATCTCCTTCCCTTCGGAAGGCTTCTTTTCCTGCTCCTTGGGTGAAAAGAGCGCATCGAGTTGCTCCTCGGTGAGGCTGGCGGGCGTATGCCCGTCATCCTGAAGCGCGCGGTCCACGATTTCCGATTTTTGCTCTTGCAGCATCGCCATGTGCTTGTCGATCTTGCCTTCGCTCAAAATTCGCACAAGATACGACGTCTTTTGTTGGCCCATTCGAACAACTCGGCCGAAAGCCTGCTGCTCCTGCGTCTTGTTCCACCATGGATCGACAATGATGACCCGGTTGGCCACTGTAAGGTTGAGGGACTGGCCACCGCATCTCATCGATGCGAGCTAATCAAGTTAGAATCCAACTAGATACTTTGGTGTTGGGTGGACTGGCTTACTAGAACCGTTGGCCCGTCCTTGTCTTGGAACGCCTGGAGAGCCTTTGCCTTCTGGTGCGACGTAATTGCCCCGTTGTAATAGACAAAGCTCAATCCTGCTATCCCCATCATTCGACCCAGAGCTTTCGCGGTCATGATGAACTCAGTGAAGACTAGTCATTCGTTAGAAGCAGGCGATAATTTAAACTCCTGGAGACTTGCCGATAATTCTGTCGTCTGGCGCTTGCTCTTTCCAGGTCATGATCACTGCCATAGTGGCAGTCAACTTCGAGCTTGGGGGCATGCTGACGCCCGTATCTTTATCACAAGAGGAAATGAAAAATGAATTCCTGCTTTCATCGCGCTTCACTTGCACACCATTGCTGTCTCGGCCAGCTTCTGTGAAGCGAGGGTCCTTACTTGCATTTTCATGGATGAGGGCCAAAGTTTTCACTGCCTCGCCAGCTTCAAGTAGCGCGGAGCATCCAGGCACACGGCACTTCCGAACCTACAGAATATTAGAAGTTAATTCCGAGTTGAGTAATAACAGACTGACCGGTTTATTCCTGTCATCACGAAGCGCTATGATAAGACATGCCTCGCAGTAGATATGCTCACACTATTCTCGTCAGTCAATATGTCTGCACATATTGAACCATAAAAGTGTACTTACATTAGAAGCCCGGGTTGGTCTGAACAGGTCTTTTTCCTTAGTGCAGCCAGCACAGCCGGCATTCCTTACCAAGAGTTCATTCTCCACCAGGTTCAGCAAGGCTCCCATGTTGAAGCTTCCCCCAATTGCGGACGGGCCCATCGTTTCCAGGTTTCGCAAGCCCACGAGATACTTTGACAGTCCATCTGCAAAGACTTCACCCTCTCGAAGTTGCTGGAGGATTGGAGTTGGCACTTGCTCACTAAGACGGGATTTCATCTCGAGAATACTCTCCATCTGAAGCTTCTGTCGGAACAGCTTCTCCAAGTTGAATGGGTGAGATACTGCTTGACGAAGACGCTGCAATCGAGCCCTCTGAAGGAATCTGATAGATTTCTTTGCGTTGTCTTTCTGCTGTTCGTCAGCTTCATCTTGTTTCGTTGTAACTTCGTCCGAAATCTTCTGCTCGCCAGTTTCTTCCTGCTTGACTTGGACCTTGGCAATCTTCTGTTCGTAGTGTTTGTCCACAACGCTAGAACAAAAGTCAGTCACAAGTTTTAACACGAATCAAAGAACGAGAAAGAACCTAGCTTACTTGTAGATAGCTTGTTCTTCTTTCGAGAGGGGGACCCAAACATCATGGGTCTGGCTGTCTGGGAGATCAATCATGCGATGACCCAGGAAGTCATCATTCATAGTCCTAGGCAATTAAGCTTAAATAATCCAAGGAAATACCGGGGGACATCGTACCGCCTGTACATGATGAGACTGATGAGCACATCGAAGTTTCCATCGGCATTGTCCTGCGTCACATTAGAGACCAACCATATTAGTATAAGGAGGTAGCTTGCCTGAGAAACATAGTTTCGTTTGTACTCTCTCAAAGTTCCGGTAAAATTGCACTGCAGAAACTTGAGGTAGGGATAGAACTCTACACGGTGTGAGAATGATGGCCTTCGCCTTGGAGTGCTTGGCATACCTTCGATCCTATTGGAAAGGGGAGTGCCGCTCAAAGCCCAACGAAACTTGGCTGTCAGTTCCCAGCAAGCAATAGCCGCTTCAGATGTCAGTATTGGACCATGTGATATGTAACTTGGTGAGGGACGCACTTAGACTGGTGTGACTTTTGATGGCGTGAGCCTCGTCGAGGATCACCCTGTACCAACGAGCCTGGAAGAGCACACCCAGCTTAGCACGCTTCGAGTCGCCAGTAGATTTCCCCTTGAGCGCTTTAGTTTTCTCCTTGTTGCTGAATTGAGCGACAAGTTCTGAATATGTTGTGATCCTATTGGTGTTAATATTTTTACTGAAGTGTCTGTTCGTTGTACTTACACAATCCATTGATTCATGCAGTCCTCTGCATCCCAGTCTAAGGATTTGGAGTAGACCACGAAGCTACCGCCTCGAGATTTTGCGCAGTGCTTCCTGATCTCATTTCGCCATTGGGAAGCTATGTCTTGGTTTGGCACAACGACCAGCGTGGTCTTGCTGAACTCATCGATGTCCTCAGCTGAGGCGGGATTTCCCACGATGGTGTTGAGACTCACGACTGTCTTTCCGAGGCCCATGGTGTCACCTAGCAGGCCACCATGAGGCGCCGTACGTGCCCACTCTCTCTTCACCATCCACGCAGTAGCGGTTTGCTGGTAATCCTTGAGGGGGGTCTGCATACCCTTGAGGAGCCAGTTTCCATCGACAGCTAAGACTTTCTTGTAACCGAAGATCTGAACAGCCTGTCTCAGATCCCTTTTCTGCGTTTTCGTATGTCTGGTGTCGCGGTCTAGAGGAATGCTTTTCAGGATCTGAGAAAACTGGCTTCTGTGTGTGGTCGCCTGAATTGAGGGTATGGCGGAGGCACTGGCATTTCCAGCGTTGGCATTGCCATCGCCTGGTTGACCACTGATCGTTTGCCTGGGTGCATCTGGCTTTTTGTGTGATGAAGAGCTGGAAGTCTTTTGCACTTTTCGAGAACTCGGGTTCTCCTCCTCTCGTTTGCGCTTCTTTTCTTCCTTGGCGTCTTCTTGCTCATGCAGGCGTGCGACGAATTCGCGGGCAGTCTTGACCACGCGGCGGGGCTTCTTTTTCGAGGGAGTAGTTTTCTTCGTCTTTGGGTTCGGTTTTGAGGCTACCTCGTCCCAGTCCGTATCGTTCTCATCGTCCCCTGGGCCCTCTCCCGAATCAAGGTCTGAGTCGGGCTCAAAAGATGACTGGCCTCCATCAGAGATATCCGACAAGTCCGATTCAGTGTCGGGCGAGGACCCTCGGGATACCAGAGAGACACTGGAGGAAGACGCTACAGGATCTTGCTGATGGGGAACGCTCCTCTCAACGTTTGGTTCAGAGTTGATAGAAGGATGTGATGTTGATGTGTGCTGGGGGTTCTCGATCTGGGATATCGCTCCTACGGCGGTGTTCTGGCTGTCTTCCGTCTTGACGCTGACAAGGACAGGATTGCAAGAGGGCCCAGGAGCTGAGTCCTTGGGAACACCTTCGTCTTCAGTCTTGATCTTTCTCCAAGTACAAGGATCCCTTCGTTCTGGAGAACCGGGTTCTACGCTTCGAGGGGGAGTCGCATCCATCTTTGGATGGGTGCCTGATAAGAAGTTAGAGAATGAACTAGGATAAAGTTGAGAAAATACAGCAAGTGCGGACTTTCAGTAAAAGCTACCTCATGAAACTGGGTCTTTCGACAAGACTGAATGGCTCAGAGTGAGGCAGAGTTGGTTTGGCGTAACCAATCGTCGGCAGAACAGGATAAAGATAATGGTTCAGAAGGGTACGGGGTTGAAGGTGGGAACGGAGGGAAGGATTGCGCCTTGAGGCGCTTCCTCGTGGAAACACCTCTGATGCGTGAATGTTGAGGCCTCTGGGTGAAGCTTGTCAAAGAGGAAGATTCGAAAGAGTGAGGGGTGTGAGGACGAGAGAGGCTCGAGGAACGGGAAAGATGTGAGGAAGAAAGGGAAGGATCACAGAGATGTGAAGATGTGAGATATGGAGGAGAGGGAGGATCACAGAGATGTGAAGATGTGAGATATGGAGGAGAGGGAGGATCACAGAGATGTGAAGATGTGAGATATGGAGGAGAGGGAGGATCACAGAGATGTGAAGATGTGAGATATGGAGGCGTGAGAGATGGAAGAGAGTGAGAGCGAGGTGAGGATGGAAATGAGTTAAAATACTGAGTTGGTAGGTGTCAACAGTGAATCACAGCGTGCTTGCATACGTGCGGGGGAGGCCTGAGCGATGCATCTCTAGCCTCCGTTCTCCGTTCTGCACTTCGTGAATATTAGGCTGAGCAATGAGATAGCCTAAAGAATTGGAGATTCCTCCATGGCTGCGAGATAAAGGAAATCATTGTTTAATATGGAAGCGCTCCCAAGAGAGGAGATACGCCTCTCGAACATCTAGCCCTCGGAGATGAAGCCATCGTTATATTGAAACATCACATTCAAACTAAACAAACAAGGTATTTGGATTCTTTTTAGCTTTATTCAATATCATCAGGTAGATCAACGCCGTGCGGTATTCTCAAACAGTAAAGACAAACAATAAGTGCTACGCCCAGCACTAGGAGAAACAGTAACTGAACAATAAGAAAGCAAACAAGGTATTGTTGTTGTATTTATCTCAGGTTGTATCAGTCTCCGGACACCTTCTCTGTCTATATCCATCGTACAGTCGTAAGCCCACACTTCTCGTCGTCTCTTAGCAGCCGCCGCCACCGCCACCACCACCACCTCCATCACCGCCTCCTCCTCCACCACCTCCATCGCCTCCATGATGCCCTCCATGTCCTCCGCCGCCGTCACCCCCAAAGCCCCATCCCGAGTGGTGATGGTGATGGCCGTGGCTTGTGCCCTGCCAGCCTCCATAGTATGTCTGGCTGGTCGGTGCTACGACGGGCCTCGACTTGACTGGCCGGGCGTTGTAGCCATACATATTTGCGCTGTGCTGCTTCTTTCGTCTGAAGTGAGGGAGACACATGGTCGCGGGATGTGTAGTTTCTGAATGCTGGTTGCTGAATTGGCACTGGGCCTTGCGTGATAGTTGTTCGCTTCCTGTGCTTCCGAGTTTGGATCGACCAAGTGTAGTTGAAGTGTCGATGAAGTTGCGATGGGTTTGGCTTGTGGGTCTGGTTTGTGTCTACCAGATAAATTGACTCGATGTGCGTTGGGATGGTTGAATCAATGAGGGATCAAGTGGAGATGGAGAGTTGGGAATCATGAATGAAGGCCGCTGTCTGCTCTATATATCTCATCACTGGCCACAATAATGGCGGAGTGATTAGGTTAGGTCAGCGTCACGTTCTCCTGGTGGTCAGCCTGCGGCATCAGTCACATGTCATGTTCCCAGGTTCTTCCTCGCCCGAACAGTGAGTTGCGTTGACGAGATTGGCCATTCTGGAAGGTTTCTAGCCTGGCGATCGCCAGTGCACCGCCTCGAACGATGGATGCGCGAGGGGGATCAACACCAACACTGCCTCGCCAGGCACTGCCGTTAGTCGCCCCAGCCTCAGCTGCCCGGCAATGAGCGATGCCAAATGGCAAATGATTGGATGGGTCGCTCTTGATTGAGGGCTGTCCTCATCGCATGGAGCTTTCTCGTGAAGGAGTCGCTGCATTGCTACTGGGTTGGGAGTAGTACGATTTGCCTAAATAGGCAACATTATGGCGATGTTGGCGACCTAGCGTAACCGCCTTGCAGCAGCCCCAGCCATCGTGGCCTTGCTGTGGCTAGCGAGGCAGCTTTCATCGGACATGCATGTGAGATCTGCAGCGAAATTGCGTATTCATTTATGCCAGCTTGATTCTTCGATTATTGCGGCTGGATAACTTAACATGGATGCGCCCATATGGTTGCCTGGACGTTACACGGGGCACACGTTTTGCCAAAGTCTGAAGCCTTCGGTGGCTGCAGTATGATGCTGTCTCTCCGCCTGAACGTTTTCGGGGTGAATCAGAGAGGTATGAGAAGGCTCGCCAGCGCACCATGTTGTGTATGAGAACCGTTCTTTCAATTGGCGACCTCCAGACAGACGGTGGTGCATATCACGCAAACTTCGTCGAGACTGGATCTCAGCTGAAGATATCGAACGATTCCCAGACAAGCATTTGCCACCCTGAGACCCCGAGATCCAGATCGGGGTATTTGAGGCGCTCGCGTGGAGGTTTGGTTCCGAGCGGACCAGTAAAGTGTAATAGGCCATTGAGCGCACGTCCAACGTGCGAAAGCTAAGAGCGGACGCCAGGAATGACAGCTAAGCTATCGAGATGTAACGTCGGTGATAGGCTTATTTCCGTCGGCGGCGTAAGAATGCTAGAGGTGGCTCGCCCAAAAGGGAGTCTGGGTTTGAGACCATGGACGCGGAGTCTTGCCGGTTGCCCCCTTTGGCCACGTCCACACCCTCTCGCATTGACTGCAGGGCGGCCCAGTCATTGGAGCACCCGAGACAGGTAAGAGGCTTGCCTTTGAGTTCGTTTGACCGACAGGATGGGAGGAGATCGACCGAGGGCAGTGGGAGACCAGCCCAGCCTGATTCAGTCAACGTTCAATTAGCATACGAATGGATTCATGAAGCGGGCCCGTCTCTGCGGCCCAGCTGCAGGTGGATGCAGTCTCGGACGAAAGATAGATAGGCCAGACTGATGCAGGGCGGTAATGTTTGCTTTGCGTATATGTGGTTGCGAATTGCAGAAGGGCCTGGAACTGGAATCAGACTGTTAGCTCAAGCATTTGTTTGCCTGCTACTCGAGATGTTGGATGGGTGGGGAGGCATGCCAGACATGGACGAGTTGGGCGGTCGGGAAGGGTAACCTTTGGTAACTGATGATTGTTGCTTTAAGCCCATCAAGTTTATCATTTGTTTGTCTGCATGTTTGGAAGGGCGGGCTCCTGTAGATGGCTTGATGCTATTAACAAAGGGCCCAATGTGTTTTGTAGCTTTCATCTGGCGCGATGGACAATGTAGATCGGGGAAAAAAGCGCTCTGGCCCCTCACTTCGTGCCATCCTGATGTCCGACATTTGTGGATACATTAGATCAGTGGAAATGTCCGCGTCGTCTCCCTTGCGGCAAAAGCAAGGCGTACACAAAATAAACGACCAGGCACCCGCCTCCGCGGCACCTCATGGCAGTTGGCGGTTGGCTGCTCAAGAGCCTCCCTCCCTCCCGGTACTTCTCCCGCCTGGCGTCCCCTCATGTGCGAGTGTGGGTTGTGGATGGGGATGGCGGTGGATGGGGAACTGTGGATGGTTGAGGATGCAAACGACCCATAGGCCGTTCCAGCCAAGCGCGTCTTGGTCTCTGGATGGTCTCACAAATTCAGAGACCTCGTCCGGTCTGTGCGTAGCGGATCTGATCAATCATTTCTCTGATGGACATCATTGGGTTATGGACGATCACTTCTCTCAGATCTCCACTCACGAGCCTCGAGACGGTCCTAGCACGCGGGGTGGGCGTCATATCGTCCGCTCCTCAGTTGGTTTGCTCGGCCGCCTTGCTCGAGTTGGTAGCAGAGTGTCACCGCGTGGAGATCGGTCGTGATGTGGACGGTCAGCCACTGCATCGAGCCCCATTGCTAAAGGGCTGGCGTCGATGTGGACTCTTTGGGGTCATGATGGAGGTCCGTAGTGGCCTTGTCTCGGGGCATCATCATGTCGCGTTGTCTCAGCGCCGAGTGCCGTCGTCTCAGTGACTCCCTCCCTCACTCCATCACTCCCTCGCTCTTCCAACTGCCTCGCTTCTCGCTCTTCGCTGTCCTTCTCGCTCCCTTCTCACCGCACGTCATCGTCGTCGCCGTGGAATGGAATCATTTGGCGCCTAGAAACGCACATACGTAGGTAGGTCGCTGCACCGCTGCCATTGGGCTCTTTCCACCTCGCTTCCTTCCTCGCTTCCCCCCTCCATCCCAATCTCTACATTTTATCCGTTTGCGAATGCTCTGCCTGGTCGAGACCGAGAGCTATTCAGCGAAGCGATCCGCGGAGGTTTGGAGTTTGGAGTTTGGGTTCCCGTCTAGGAAGCACCGGCGCCGTGATTAACCTCGCACCTTGCCGATCCCGGAACGAACTCGGAGCCGGACATCGACGAAGAGGCAGGAACGGAGTTGAAAGTCAAATTCTTCATTACGCTCCTTCCTCTCGCCGTCTTTAGACCGTCGGCCGTCTCACTCCTTCCCGGATTGTCAAAGCCCGAGACCTTGGCTCTCCCGTGAACCATTCCTCGACATCTCCCCGCTACGCCCACCGGCGCTTTGCCACGAGGTTTCTCTCTCCGCCAAACCAATTCGTCCCACCATGTCCGACAGCTTCAAGATTCGATCCCTTCAAGCCTGAGACGAGGAGATACCAGAGAACCAGAGACGAAAGACGAAAGACGAAAGCCGGAACCGAGAGATATCCAGACACCCAGGCGATCAGTCGCATCTTACACCCACCGCCCGCACAACTGGCGACGACGACGAGGACGAGACATTTGGAACTGCACATTCCTACCACTCTGAGCAGGCTGCTCCAGCCAGGCCTTAGATACCATGTCACCCCAGTTTCGCTCCCAATTGCTATCGCCGCTCTCGACGAAAGGGCCCGACCACACTTCAACACACGACACACGATCTTTTCACAACGAGATCATGCCCATTTTGTCCCCACATGAGACGTATTCCCTCCATATTGCATCCGTGGTTGCCGCCTCGATGAGCATTATAGCAGGTCTACTGGCTTCATACTGGTTTGTCCGTATGAGGAGGAGTTTCCGCCATGAGTGAGTATCGTCTGGTCCTATCTTCATCGCACGCATGACCTGACACCGCTGCAGCCTTATCATGTTATTGATCGGGAGCGACATGTTCAAGGCCTGCTGGTTTCTCCTGTTTCCAGCTGTTGAATTGGTCCATGGCACAGTCGCGCCCGACTCCATATTTTGCAATGTCAGCGGATTCTTCCTCGTTATGAGCATGAACGCTTCCGACCTGGCTGTCGCCCTCATCACCCTTCACACTGCGCTCTACATCTTCCGCGGAGAACAGGGCTTGTATCCCTTTCGAAAATACGCCTACCCGGTCATCTTTATTTTCCCAAGCCTCCTGGCCGGCCTGGCTTTCGTCAATAAGACGGCGTACACCAACACCGGCCAGTTTTGCTGGTTACCAGTGGAACCCATGTGGACAAGACTGTTGCTTAGCTGGGTCCCACGATACTTTATCTTCGCTTCCATTCTTGCCATCAGTCTCTCACTTTACATCTACGTCAGGATTCTGATGAAACGGTTCGCGGCAGTCAGGGACGCCCAACAGGAGGACCTGACTCTTCGAGATTCCCGCAGCGAACCACCAACACACAAAACTTGGGAACTAACCACCCCGTCAAATGTGTACCATGGTAATACACAGTCTAGCATATCATCCCGCCGAAACTCCAGAGAGGATTGTGGACGGCAATTCTCAGTTTCAACATTAAGCACTCAGGTCGATCTATCACAAGCCAAGAACTATACATCGAAGCTCGCACGGCAATCTTATCAATCTTATCAGTCTACCAAGTCCAAATTAACTCAACCGGGAATCGAGGAAGTTCCGTCACCGTATCAGGGAAGCCAGGCCTCAGACTCGGACGTCAGATCCCCCTGCGGAGCCGAAGGGTTGACCACACCTCAAGACGTGCATATGCAGGATCCACAGCTATCGCCTACATTCTCCAAGTCTCCAACGCCTCCGATGCCCTCCGACGATAGTTTTGGCGAGTCTTGGGCTGGACCTACAGCCAGCGCTACGGTGCCTCGATCTCGGACATCCTCACTACCCCACATCTTCTTAGTGATAAGCGGAAGGAGTGCTAAAAGCTCGGTCTCCGAGAACCCTATCCTCGACCCTACCCTCGATGCTGCAGGTTTGGTCAAGACACGAGAAACTATTCGCCGGCAACTTCGACTTGTCCTCATCTATCCTCTTGCTTATGTCGCAATGTGGATTTTGCCCTTTATCGTTCACCTTACAAGCTACGATAAGGGCGCACCGTTCCCCATGAGGATGGTCAGCATTTCTTGTCTGTGCCTTCAGGGGTTCGTTGACGCCCTCATCTTTTCACTGAAAGAGAAGCCCTGGTTACACACCCGACGGCTGGGGCATGGTTTCAGCGGCGGATTCTGGATTAAAAGAAGCCACCACAGCGGAATCAATACAAATGCTGGACGGACTAGGGAGGAAATGATGATTGATGGGAGGTTGGCTAAGGAACGACGGGACAGAGAGCTGGCAGACAGGCAGCAAGACTCTCAATCAGGCCGCAAGGCGACTACAGAGTGGTGGGACAATGACGATTAGATGGTGAAAAGGACATGGAATGAGAGACATTGGACTGAGGACGGATGCACTGGGTATTGACGAAGGGTGGGCACTTAACAGCTTTGAGGACCACGACGTTAAACAGGAGGTTACACATGATACCCACGGACGGACACAGGCTGGAAGGAGGCTTTCTAGCATTGGGAGGTTTGCATTGACAGGCGTTGCTACAGTGGATAGGATCAGTCAACGATGGCATTCCAAGCTCGGAAGACCGGCGCAACCAGTTGGAGAGAAAATTCGAGATGAATATAGACACAGACGGGGTCGCGGTTGGCTTACTATATGACCCATTGGTTGCTGTATATCCAAGCTATCTTTACGTCGTGTACGATGCCCGGCACGCCCAGCCTTTTGTATACTACTCGCAACCCTTGAAAGTATACTCGGTACTGACCGGCATCTCGACGCACAGTCTACCTACCCATGTCCGAATACTTCTAATGTAATTGGATGTTGGGCGCGCCCCTTTTGAGTGGGATGTGTGTACATGCACCTCAGTGTGAGAGTGGTGGGTAATGAATGCGCGCAGGCATTTGACCCCTCAGCCCTCCCTCATGAACTTTAGAAAGGCTCTGGCAATAGCAACACCGTCGTGGGGGATCGGGGTGCGCTTCATGCCGCTGTCGTACAGATCGTCGGTGAAGATGCCGGCGGCGTGGCGGTTGAAGAGAATCTCAGTCATGATCTCGGTGTTGAACTCGGGGTGGCCCTGGATGGTGATGTACGACCCCGGGCGGTACATGCCCTGGACGGCGCAGATGTCGTTGGAGCCGAGCGGGATGGAGTCGGCAGGGAAGTCGAAGACGATGTCGCGGTGCATCTGGTGGATGCGCTAGAGGCTTGTGAGCAGGGTGTTTTGTAGGGGATTTGCGCATCGCATGGTTGCACGAGAAGATGCAGCGGCGGCAGTGGCAGGATAAAAGCGGGATGTGGTATTCACGTACCATCTTGTCCAGCCCAAAGATCTCCTTGCCCTTGTCCGTCAGGTCGACCTCAGTCACGGCCACTTCCCAGCCCTTGTCGCTCTTCCCCAACGGAGCACCCATAGCCCGGCCGATGATCTGGTGGCCGAAGCAGACGCCCACCGTCTTGACGCGGCCGCTCTCAATGGCGCGCTTGGCAAAGTCGACCAGGTTGACGATCCACGGGTCGCTCTCAAACGCCGTGTGGCGGGAGCCGGTGATGAGCACGGCATCGACGTCCTCGAGCGCGGGGTACGAGTCGAGGTTCTTGACGACGTCGTAGCCCGTGATGGAGACGAGCCCCTCCAGCTTCTGCGACGGGCTCAGCGACTGCGCGGCAGCGGTCAGCAGCGCTGTGAAGACGCCCGTGTAGCCGCCGTACCTCTCGCGGGTCTGCGGTTGCGGCGTGTCGGCCTCGAGGATGGCCAGGCGGAGTGGTGACATGGTGGCGGCGGACGGGACGGAGGACGGGCCGTCGTTGGCGTGGATGTCAATGTTGACGACGGATTGGTCAGGCGACGACAGCGGAGAGAAGTGCCAATAGAGCAGAGCGACGGAGGCGAGGAGGAGGAGAAGGGAGAGTGGTTTCCGGGCGGGATACATGGAGATCAGGGTCCATTGGCGGCATCCTTCATGCTGGCTGTCCCCGGCCGTCAAGGGTCTGAGACGGGGTTACTAATTGCGTGCCGCCGATAGCGGGGGATTCAGGAACGCATTGATAAGGGCAGAATTGTCGTGGAGGGCCGTGGGCGGTGAGATGGAGGAGGACGTGGGATGCGGAGGGATTGTGTGGGTGGTGACAGACTGACAACCCGCGACAGCCCGCAACAAGCCGTGATGCAGTGGGGTGCAGCTGGATTAGCGGCTTATGATGCGGTATAACAACTTGTCTGGATCAATGCTCCCACTGAACACCCTGGAAGCAACAGACCCCAGTGCCGATCCCCACGAGCCTTCCAAGCCACACTGCGACCTAAGGACCAGGATCAAGTCGCCAGTTCTCGGTTGATTGAGCCGTGGGCTCGTGGCTGAAGATGCCAGCCAATTGCGCCGCACTTGTACGTCTCGTGAGTGACGTCGAGCGTGGCCGAGGTGCTTTTGTTGACTTGGGCGAGACGAGCGTGGCGCAAACCAGTCTATAAGTTACATGGTCAGAGTGCCATCGAAAAAAAACAGCGACGGCAATTAAAACGCCAACTCTCCATCGTCAGATTTTGCTGGCTCCGGGGGAACTTGGTTTTTTTTTTGCTTTTCCCTTTTTCTCTTGATTTTCCTCCCTTGCTGGAGGCATTTCGTTCCCTTTCCTCCCCGCCGTCATCTCGCAATTCCTCATACAAGTCACTCCTTGGTCCGCGACAATGCCGCCCAGACAGTCCCTACAAGCCTTCCTGGCCACGGCCCGGAACGCCCTCAGCACCCCGGCTGCGCAGCGGACGGCGCCGTTGACGTTTGTCGTGGGTAATGAGTCGGCCGGTAAGTGAGGGATGCGGATGTTGCGAACCCGGAAATCGTGGTCTGACCAAAACGCCCAGATCTCGACTCCCTGAGCTCGGCCGTCGTGTATGCCTACATCCGCACCTACACGTCGCCTCACACTCTTCACATTCCGCTCTCCAACCTGCCGCGTGCCGACCTGGCCTTGCGCACCGAGATGACGGCTGTTCTCAAGGCGGCTGGCCTGGCGCCCTCCGACCTGCTCACGCTGTCTGACCTGCCGGAGATGGACCCCAACGACACGCACTGGATGCTCGTCGACCACAACTGCCTGACCGGGCCCCTCAAGCAGTACGCCGGCCGCATCTTCGGCTGCATCGACCACCACACGGACGAATTCTCCGTGAGCCAGAGCGTCAGTCCCAGGGTTGTGGAGCCCTGCGGGAGCTGCATGAGCCTGGTCGTCGAGGAGACCCGGCAAGCGTGGGACGCCCTCAGCCGGGACGTTGAGGATGGCGATGCCGCCGACGAGGACGAAAAGCTGGCCAAGATCGGCCTGGCCTCGATCCTCTCCGACACCATCAACCTGACGGCCAAGGCCAAGGTGCGCGCCAAGGACCCCCGAGCCGTGGCGTTCCTGGAGGCCAAGATCCGGGACCCGACGTTCGATCGCACCAGGTACTTTGACGAGATCTCGGCCGTTAAGGAGGACATTTCCAGTCTCAGCTTCCGCGACATCTTCCGCAAGGACTACAAGGAGTGGGACGAGGCCGGCCTCAAGCTGGGCATCAGCTGCAGCGTCCAGGGCTTCGACTACTTCGTGGCCAAGGCCGGCGGCGCGCGGCCGCTGCTCGACGACCTGGCCGGCTGGGTGCGCGAGCGCGGGCTCGACGTCGCGGGCCTCATGTGCACGTCGCACCCGGGAGGAGACTTCCAGCGCCACCTGCTTGTCTGGGGGCTGACGGACGAGGGCAGGGCGGCCGTGGAGCGGTTCCGCGCGGTTGGCGCTGATGCGCTGCAGCTGGAGACGTGGGGGGATGGCGTGTTGGACGACGGCGTCGCTCGCTCCGCGTGGAGGCAGCACAACTTGGCGGCGAGCAGGAAGCAGGTCGCGCCGTTGCTGAGGGAGGCCCTGAAGAAGAGCTGAGCTTCTGATACGGCGTGTGGCACATGCTGTGATACGGTGTCAGACGGGTTGAACAAGGCATGAATAGAGCATAAATCATGCGGCCTCCACCTATGCTTGCTTCCCTTTGTTCGAGTATCATTATGCGTTGGTATCCGTATTGTGGATTGTTGATACAAGTATGTCGACCTTTTAGAGTATTGTACAGTACATTCAAACAAGAAACGCCCGCAGCCGCCTGGGTTTCCTCAGCCCTATGCCATGCTGCCATGCGAATCCTTCAGCCTTCCAACCTTGGCGATCAACCATGGATCCCCTTGTCGCAAGTGAGACATTCCTGCGGCCACTTACACGGCCAGCGGCCCGCCACCCTCGACCCTGGTGCCCATTGCAGTGATCTGCGCCCGCACCATTTCCACCTCGCGCAGGACCTTGAGGAACTCGCGGTTCTGCAGTCGACGCTCCTGGAGAAGCCCGGGAGATTCTTCGGGCGAGCCGTGGAGCAGCAAGCTCTCCGCGGCCGGGTCTGCGACCAAGATGCAGGCTTTGAGGGAGTCGTAGATTTTGCCAACGGGATACACCAGGGGGTTTTCGCTCATCATTTCGGGGTACACCCAGCGCAGAGCCTCGATGCACATTTTTTGGCTGCCCGTTTGCGCCATGGTGCGGTATGCGAGTTCGTAGTGCCTAGGATCCCGGGCTGCCTGGAATCTAGGGGGCATGCGGAAGGCGTCCCAGAACCTTGGCCAGTCTTCCCGTGAGGCGTACGCCGTCATCAGGCGCAGGATCTGATCGTGGTTGAACCGAGATCCCTTCTGTGCCATGAGAAACTCAAGGTTCTTTTGAGATCGCTGAAGCTTGGGGCCGTACGAGGGCGAGCCAAGAGCTGATTCGACAAGCGTGAGAAACATCTCGTTGTTCCAAATGTTCATGCCGCGCTCTTCAGCCGTCAGAAGAAGCTGATCGACGAGGGCGAGCCGCTGCTCTGTGGCATCCTCGGCAGTGGACGGCGACTTGAAGATATCCCGAACCACGTTGTGAAGCATATCCTCAGTGATGGGAATCCCAATCAATTGGATATCGGTCACCAGCTTGCATACTTGCTCCAGGTCAGGACCAATTTGTGAGTCTTGTGCGACGTCTTTGCTGGGCGGTTGGGGCACTTCGGCTGCCTGTCGCTTTTCAGTCGAAGGCGACAACCGTCGTGCACTCGTAGAGTAGTATCGATGTTGCTGGGACGCGTGCTTCATGGCCTCCCATTGCAATTCAGATGGCTTGATGGGAGGAGTTTCAACCTTGGGAATTTGCACCTTGGAAGCCACCAGGGCATCCAACTCTGACTTCTCAATCGCCTTCTCACCCCGGACCTTGGTGGCATTCATCAAGCTTCTCTTCAAGATACCCTGCCACAGTCCTTCCAAGTTCAGCTCGTTTCGTCGGGCCTCCGTCATGCACTGGATCACAACCGTGGTGCCTGTCGGGGATGCACCAAAGCCGGAGAATCGTCCGCTCTCGTCGAAACTCTCCACCTCATTGGAGTCTCCGCTGTTGGTGGAGAAGTTGACGCAAACCCAACCCGTCGAGATACCGTTGTCGCCACCCGGGATGATGGCGGTGTTGGTACCCATCAGCTTGGCCTTCTTTCGGAGTCGGCGCAGCTTGGTCCTGAGCTCGCCGGGGCCGATGAGTCCATCAGCTCGAGCATCAATCTTGTGGTTCCGCCGAAGCCATCGAATAAATCTTCCAGAAGAGATGTGGAGATGCCTCTCACTGCGGGTGGTTCCGAAAAGCATAATCAGGTTGGGACCGAGAGCAGCGGGAGGGTCGAGGCTGCGCAAGTCGAGAAGGGAAATGTCGTCCAAGCCCATATCCTCAAAAATATATTTCATCATTGGTTCAATGACGGCGGGGGCGTCATCGGGAATCCTGGGGAGGTCGACTTCATGTTGGCTCGGAGGGTGTCGAGGAGGATCAATGTCGAGGAACCAAGGCGCATTGGGTTGGGTAGGTCCAGCGGTCTCAGGGGCATCTTCGGACTCAATGGCGAGTTCAGCTTCAATCGCAAGTTCGGAGTTCCTCTTTTCGGTCGTCTCCGTGTCTCGCTCTTGAGAGTAGAATCTTTGCGTCAGGATTGGTAGCTTGCTGGTCTGTCGCAGTGGCAAGCTGCGAAGGCCACTGGAAGCTGGCCTCGAAACAACTGCCCGGAGGATGGCGGATTGGCACCGACGGCAGGCCAGTGCCGCAGTGATGGGTCGGGCGAGCATCTCGAGTACTTGAAGATGTCGCAAATTGAGAAGACGCACAGTCGACAAAACACTAGCCCGGCTCAATCCATGGCGATTCGGTGGAGTTGGCCGGCCCGTCCAGGCTCGGCTCCGCGAATTTCTCAGGTGGGGTCACACCGCTCCGTCACGCGCGCACACGTGACCTTCACTCCGCTCAGGCCATTGACATCCGCCCTATCAAAAGGAAAATTTTGGACCTGGCCTCCGAATACATCCAGCTTCACGCGACAGGACTGAGAGGACTGCAGGTGTCCTCAATATCCGCCGCTACGCCCTCTCTTGTTGTTTAAGCATTGTGGTTACTTGCGACTGTTCTAATGTATTAATACCCCCCACATTGCTCTCAGCACTCTCGTCGCTTTTGAGCTTCTCACTCCACCCCGGGGAACAGACTGCGCCAAGTCTCTCCCAATCACCACATCACCATGCTCGCCCGACAGACCCGGAGGAGCATTTCCCTGCACCGAGCCACTGCCATAGGGCCAATTGGACGCCCATCAAGATGCCTGCCGCTGCAGCTCTCACTTTCGACCCTCGGCCGACGATGTGTCGTCACCCAGTTCCAGCCCCGCAATCGACGAGGCTCAGAGTCTAGCCACGGACCTTCCCATGGCCGGACCCTGGCCACGGCTGTTGATGACTTCAAGTTCGCCAATTCCCCCTACAGTCCCCTCCCAGGCTCTGGCATGGCGTCTTTCCAAGGTGCGCCCTACCTTCGACCATTCGATCCCACAATGCCTTTGGTCATCCCGGAGCCAAGCCCCCCGAGGGCATCGAGCAAGATGAACTCGAGCGGAATTCCTGGCGATGCCGAAGACATGCTTCCTGTATTTGATGCTTGTGTTCGGGTTGGAAAACTTGACCGAGCGGCTCTCGTCCTGAAACGCCTGAACACTATTGGAGTCGTCCCTGGTGAAGAGCGCATAACCCTTCACAATCAGTACCTCAGAGCATCGCTCAACCAAATGCGAACCAACCCCGATCGAAAACAAGCCGAGCAACTCCACAAGTGGTACGAGCTCGAGATCCGAAACGAAGACATCCCCCAAACCGCCGAGACGATTGCCTGCATGCTTAAGGCTTCCCTTCTCTCCGAGCGAGGGGCGAGACTCGAGCGCCTCATCAACCGTTATATGAGCATGGCTCCGGGTGAGGCTGGTCTGCGTGTTCTCAGCATGGCCGATATCCTCAGCGATTCGGATCTTGCCGTCATCACCGAAATCTGTCCCACGTACAACTTTGCCCCCGAGGCTGAAGATGCCGAAGTCACCCTCGTATCCAACGAGGAGGAACTTGACATATTAGAGGGTCTTGGAGATACTGCAGAGGCTTCCGAAGCCCCGGCCTATCCGGAACTCCGAGTCACCCCCCAGCGAGGTGAGGGTCTGGAGACTTTGAAGCTAAGCCTAGGCCTCATCAGCCAACTTGAAAACGTCGATATTTCCAAGCTCTCACTAGAAGAGCAGCGCGAGTTCCAAATTCGCTTGGAGCGCGATTCCATCGATGCCGCGATCGCAAAATGGCGAACCGATAGGAAGCAATTGCAGAAGATCGGTGTTCAGACTGTTCTGAGCGCCAACGCAGACGACGGATCTTTGGCCCAGAACCTGCCCAACTGGCTCAAGGAGATGGAAGCCCGACTAAAGACGGAAATTGCCAAGATTGAGGAGTCGGAAAACAAGGCATCCAAGTCCGAGGAGGATCTGGGGCGTTGTATTTATGGACCATTCATTCGCCAGGCCGACCCAACCCGCCTCGCCGCCGTGACCATTCTGTCTGTGCTCAACCACGGCGCCATGATGGGCATTGACAAGGGAGTTGTTCTGGGCAGACTTATTAACGACATTTCTCGAGTTGCGCAAGAGGATATTCGTCTTCAATTTGTCGACAAGCGTAAACGGGAGGAAAGACGTCTACGCAAGGTCAACTTCATCGGAAAAGAGAAAGACGTCAAGACCAACCCTGACGGCGTCATTATCGACGCGACTGGACCTGAAGCTGAGCCAAAGGATGAGAGATTTCACAAGCCTTGGTCCATCACCATCAGGGCGCAAGTTGGTTCCATCCTCCTCAAATCCTTGATCGAAACCGCCAAGGTCAAGGTTGTCAAGAAACACCCAGTCACCGGGGACCGCATCAGTCAATACCAGCCTGCGTTCTCGCATATGATGCAACCACGAAAAGGAAAGAAGATTGGAGTTCTCGTTCTGAACGCGGATCTTGTCGAACGGATGAAACGAGAGCCAGTGGGTGATTTCATTGCCAAGCACTTACCCATGGTTGCCGAGCCGAGGCCCTGGAAGCGGATGTACGAGGGTGGTTTCCTGGAGAGCAAGGCGCCATTAGTGCGAGTCAAGCCCGGAGACGTGGAGCAGAAGTTGTACACCAAGGCGGCAATCCAGAGAGGTGACATGCAGCAAGTATTCAAGGGCTTGGATGTGCTTGGAAAGACTTCTTGGAGGATCAACAACAGCGTTCTGAACGTCATGGTGGAAGCATGGAACACCGGAGATGAGATCGCAAACATGCCACCCCTCAGCCCCAACTTGGAACTCCCTACTGAGCCCGACTCTACCGAAGACCCTTTGATCCGAAGACGATGGATTCGCGCCGTAAAGGCCATCGAGAACGAAAGATCCGCCCTTCACTCTCAGCGATGCTACATGAACCTACAACTCGAAATCGCGCGAGCGTTTCGCAACCAGACCATTTATTTCCCTCATAATATCGATTACCGTGGCCGAGCTTACCCAATTCCCACATACCTCAACCACATGGGAGCGGATCACACCCGTGCCATTCTCAAGTTCGCTAAAGGAAAGGAGCTGGGCGCAAACGGTTTGAGGTGGCTGAAAATTCACATGGCCAATGTCTACGGATTTGACAAGGCCAGCTTCGATGAGCGAGAGGCCTTTGCTACCGACAACCTCGCCAACATTGTGGAATCGGCTACAAATCCCCTGAACGGCAGCAGGTGGTGGCTGAAGGGTGAGGACCCTTGGCAATGTCTTGCTGCCTGCTTCGAGCTAAAGGCTGCTCACGAGCTGCCCGATCCCAGCAAGTTTGTCTCTCAGTTGCCGGTGCACCAGGATGGTACCTGCAACGGCCTTCAGCACTACGCAGCGCTCGGTGGAGACACATGGGGTGCCCAGCAGGTCAATCTTGTGCCTGGAAGCCGACCCGCAGATGTCTACTCTGCCGTTGCCAACTTGGTCAAGGAGTCCATTGCAAAGGACGCCGCTGCCAAAAACCGCCTTGCAGAAATTGTCAAAGACAAGATCACCAGAAAGGTCGTCAAGCAGACTGTCATGACTAATGTCTATGGCGTTACCTTCTCCGGAGCCAAGAACCAGGTGTGCAAGCAAATTGATGCACTCTATCCCAACTTGCACAAGGAGTGCGGCATCCCCCACATGCTCCTGTCGACCTATATCGCCAAGCACATTTTTAGCGCCCTTGCGACCATGTTCCGTGGTGCCCACGATATCCAATATTGGCTAGGCGAGATCGGTGGTCGTGTTTGCAGAGCCTTGACACCTGCTCAGCTCCAGCAAATTGCCGATACCTTTGAGGAGGAAAAGCAATCGGGACGCAAGGCTAAGAAGACCACCGCCAAGAAACCGAAGGTGGCCAAGACCGGAATTGACGCGTTGAGCTTGCAATTTCGGTCTACTGTTGTATGGACCACCCCTCTTCGAATGCCGGTTGCCCAGCCGTATCGAAAGGCGACTACGAAGGAAGTCCGAACTTGCCTGCAGAGTGTCGCGTATTCTGTCAGCGATCAGACCGATCCCGTGAACCGAAGAAAGCAACTTCAAGGATTCCCTCCTAACTTTATTCATTCGCTGGATGCTAGTCACATGTTGCTCTCTGCCCTCCAGTGCAACGAACTTGGCCTGGATTTTGCCGCTGTACATGACTCTTTCTGGACTCATGCTGCGGATGTGGATGTTATGAACGGCGTCCTCCGCGAAGCCTTCATTCGGATCCACGAGGAAGACGTTGTTGGCCGACTGGCTGCCGAATTCGAGGCCCGATACAAGGGGTCCATCTACCTTGCTCACATCGACCCCGACACCCCAGTCGCTCAGAAGATCAAGGACCTTCGCAAGTCGAGCAAGCTCAGCCCCCGAGAGGAGCTCTTGCTGGAGTACAAGCGCAGCACCCTCCGACTCTCTGGAAACCCCTGGGACTTGGAGGCTGCTAAGCAGATTGTGACTCCTGCCTCTGTATACGAAGAGCTTGCTGCTTGCGAACAGGATGTGGCTATCCGTGAGGAAAATGAGAAGCTGGGCCTTGGTCGTATGTCCGAGAGCGAGACGAATTTTGATGAAGCCGCCGTTGCGGACGAGATGCAGGAGGCGGATGATGCTGAGCACGAGATTGGCGGCCGATCGACGGCAGAATTCACCAATGGTATTCTGGAGGCAATGAAGACCAGTCGATTTGAACAGGACATCATTGAGCCAAAGAAGCCGAGGGTTTTTGCCAACAAGCCCAAGACGCCACTGGCCATCTGGTTGCCTCTGACCTTCCCCTCTCTACCTCAGAAGGCATGTCAAGACTTGGGTCCAAATTTATACGAATCCTATGCTGACATTGTACCAGGGCGACTTTGACGTTACTCGCCTTCGAGACAGTCAGTACTTCTTTTCGTGATGAGGGTGGCACCGTAGCCCCCATGTATGATAAACGTTGATAAACGTGCAATGGCACACGTTGGGGAGGAAAGGAGGTTCGGCGAAAGTGTTTGCATTCTTGAGGCATATTACGGCGTTTATTTAAGAGGCGAGGAGTTGCGAACAACAAAAAAGCATTTGGATAGAGCACATGTGACCTTGGAGGTTATCGGGCTCTGCTCTGCACATACATAGCGAGATGGTGTACACTGTTGTATATTACGAAGTCAAAAGAGATAGGAAGATGATTTACGATCCTAAGCGGTAGGATAGATGTTGAAAAACAAAATACAATCAACTCTTCATGAGACAATTAACTTTGAGTATTGCCGTTCCCCACAGGTACAGGCTGAGGGAGACAATTGCATCGTCATCAGTCAATCCAAGGATACGAAACATGAATTAATCGGTATTTAATTCCGGTTTGCCTCTCTTCTGGTGCGCATGGAAGTTGACGAGGATGAGTTTAATGCTGGTTGATCCCGTTGAAGGAATGGTTAAACTACTAGAGTTGTTTCAAATATGGAATCAATGCAGTTGACGGGAAAATTGGGACTCGTTTGCAGAAGCTCAAGTGGAATAAATTGGCCACATTTTGTATCATTTATTCATTCACCTCATCAGGTGTACACATCTATAGTTTTATGTCTCGTTTATCGGACCTGGGCACCGGCCAAGCTGGGAACAGTGCAGACACCACCGCTCTCAGTGACCAGCTTGGAAATGCCAGTCTTGCCGAGCTGCTCGACGACGCTGGCGTCGAAAGCAACCTCAAGAGCGTCAGTGGTGGTGAAGCCGGGCTGGAAGGTCTCCCAGATCTTCTTCTTGGGGTTGAGGACACCCTCGGGCTTTCCGTCGAAGCCCTCGAAGAAGACGCGCTCACCAGCCTTGGCATCCGCAGGGGGGGCCACGAGCTCAACAGGGCCCTTGTGGTCGTCCTCACCCTCCTTGGGGACGGGGGAGGCGGCTAGGACCATGGCGCAGGACTTGATGCCTCGCATCTTGACGGGCTTGAGGTTGCAGACGACGATGACCTTGCGGCCCTGCATCTCCTCGAGAGGGATCAGGCCGTTGAGGCCGGAGCAGACGGTACGGCAGATCTGGCCCTCGTACTCGGTGTAGTCCTCGCTAGCCTTATCGCCAACGGCGATGGTAGAGACGAAGAGGGAGTCGGCATCGGGGTGGTTGATGGCCTTGAGGATGTGGCCGACGCGGAGGTCGATGAGGGACGGCAACAGGGGAGCGGCGACGGCGGGGGCCTTTTGCTGCTTGGGAGCCTTCTCCTTCTTCTCCTTCTTGGGCTTGGCAGCGCCAGCGGCACCGGCGATCTTCTCCTTGACCTCCTCAACCTTCTCCTGGACCTTCTCCTTGGTGCGGTCGACAAGCGTGGTCTCGCCACCAGTGGCAGCAGCAGCGGCTTTCTCCTTCTTGAGGCGCTCCTTCTCGGCCTTGGCGTCAACGGGAGGTTTCACGTAGAGGACACTGTCCTGGTCGACCTTGACCTTGTCGCCGTCCTTGACATCAAGACCGAAGAGGGGGGAGTTCTGGACGAAGTCGACAAGGCGGACAATGTGAGGGAGGCCCTTCTCGCCGGTGCGCTCCTCGGGAGTCCACTGGGCGACAATGGGGGCGAGGGTCTCGTAGATGGCGACATCGGCCTTGCTGGGCTTGCTACCGAGGAGGGTGGCGCGGCTCGAGAGGTGGTTGTTGAGCGTCTCGAGGATGGTGGACTTGTCGTCGCCGGACTTGAGACGGTCTGAGGTGGTGAGCCATTGCTGGATCTCGGCCTCCTCGGTGGGAGTGTAGGTCTGGGCGCTGATGGCGGCCATTCTTGCGATGTTGCGGGTGAGCGGCCGGGACGAGGTGAGGCTGCGAGTAGCCGGACGGAGGACTCGAAGGGAGAACAGGGTTGCTGGTGGTGGAAAGAGGAAGCTCGGGGGGGCTTCTCTTGCTTGTCGACGAGTTGTAAGTTGAGATTGATGGAGATTGAAGGATTGAAGGTGGGAGTCAGTCTCACCATATATTTTTCCCGTGGTGGTTTGGTGGGGTAACGATGGAGGGGCACTGGCTCAGTGGTGGCCGATGCCCGCTGACTGTGGCTGAGGCTATGTGCCAATAATGTGGCGGCCAAGCCCGCTGAGTCAGCTTCGCCGATTCAGGTGTGCGCCGCTAATTAATTTAGGCGGCCTGCGCTGTTGCCTCGTGACTTCGCGCTGGTTTCTCGCGTCAACCACTTACGCCGAGTCGCGTTTTCCCCCACGCCCTTCGACCAACGCCTTCGTCAACCCTGTCAATTCAATGCAATTGTCTTGGCCATACGCCTGCATTGGATACTCGAGCTCGTTTGCTTGATCCTTTTCAAACGCACTTGGCTGAATTGCTCTCACTTTGTTTGGCTAGGCCACTTCTTCCTTTTTTTGGGTGGATTTTCTTTTCCTTTTTCCTCCCCTTTTCTTCTTCTGCACGCACATCTCAGCGTCATTGCGCTTCGCAGTGGCGAGTCGAGTCAGCGCCGTGAACTCGCAACGCACAACGCGCAGCCCGAGTTCCTTCGGTTGGACTTATTCTGCAAATCTCTTAGAATTCTTACTTCCCATTTGCTTTATTCTCGAGGAACATGCCCGCCAAGTCGGCATCCCCGGCCTCCGAGTCGGCAGTCTCGACCTCCAGACTCCCCACGAGCGTTCCCAGCTCCCCGCCATCAGATTCGTTCACAGATGATGTTCTGGTTAAGGAAGAACGGTTTGCAAGAGCTCAGAATGACAGGGTTGAGGAGAACAGAAAAATCGCCCTCCTTCGCAAACGCAAGAAGAAGCAGCCTGAAACCAAGGCCGAGCGTGAGGCCAAGGCAAAGGAACTGGATGAATTGTTAATGAAGAGCGCTGCATTCAGCGACATCTTAACAAAGAAAACTCAGGTTTTGGGTCGCGTTGGAAGCGGCCTGGACGGCGCGACCCTCGGCGAGCATAATCTCCAGATGGCCAAGCAGCCGAAGTGCTTAGTTGGTGGCACCATGCGTGACTACCAACTTGAAGGCCTGACCTGGATGTACGAAATTTGCTCTCAGGGAATGAGTGGCATTCTCGCCGATGAGATGGGACTCGGTAAGTTTGTGTTACTGCTTCCGCAAGTCATGTCGCTAACCCCGCCAAGGGAAAACCGTTCAAACCATCTCGTTGATTGCTTTGTTGCGAGAACAGGAAAACTATCTTGGGCCTCACCTCATTGTCGCACCCTTATCAACGCTATCGAATTGGATGGACGAATTCCATCAGTGGACTCCATCAATCCCTGTGGTCATGTACCATGGTAGTAAAGACAATCGGGAGGAGATTTTCCAGAAGGAGATGATGCACCATCTTAAGAAAGGTCGCCCTACAACTAAGTTTCCTGTGGTGTGCACGTCTTACGAGATGGTGTTGAGGGACCAGCACAATTTGTCACGAATTCAGTGGGAATTCATCATCATTGTAAGTTTTTGCGCCCCTCCTTCTCGTGCACCTTCTAACTCGCACCCAGGATGAAGGTCACCGAATGAAGAATGCCGAGTCAAAGCTTTTTCAGCAGCTACGACAGTTCACCAGCGCTACTCGTCTTCTAATCACAGGAACGCCTCTCCAGAACAATCTCAAGGAGTTGTGGTCGCTTCTTCATTTCCTTCTTCCCAACATCTTCACCGACTGGGACGCCTTCGAGTCCTGGTTTGACTTCTCCGATCTCGAAGACGAGCAAGGAACGCAGGAGTTTATCGGTGATCAGATGAAACAAGATCTTGTCAAAAAGATCCACCTCATTCTGCAGCCCATGCTTCTACGCCGCGTCAAGCAAGACGTGGCCGCGTACCTACCCAAGAAGAGAGAGTATGTTCTCTTTGCTCCCATGACAAAGGAGCAGACCGACCTGTACAATGTCCTCAGCAACAAGAAGATCGACAGCCGGGCATACCTGGAGAACAAGGTTGTCGATATGATCAACAGTACGCCATCGTCAAAAGTGGCCAGCCAGAACACTTCTCGCTCGGGAAGTATTGCACCCACTCCAACTTCGAAGGCAGCAAAGACGATGTCTCTCCCAATCCACGAAAGCCCACATAAGAAGCGGGTAGATGACAAGAGCACTGCACCGACCCCCAATGCGTTTGCGTTTATGATGGGCAAGCGTGGCAGAGGAAGGCCGCGTAAGAATCCCAAGCCTGACTCGCTAGCACCAGTCACACCAGGTGGAAAGCGAAAGGCCCCTTCAACACCCGTTATCTCGGAGGCCAAAAGTGCGAGATCAAGCCGGCAGTCGACGCCTGCCAGCTCTCGTAGGCGCCTGCAGAAATCGAAAACTTACAAGGAGGCAGGATCGGACGAGGAACGCATGTCTGACGACGAGTTTGAGGCGAAACTTGCAAAGGAGATTGCTAGTGATGACTCCGGCGAGGAAGATGATAAGCCTCAAATGTCGACCGAAGAGCTTGAGCTTGCCCAAACGCTGGAGCTTGCTAGTAGGTTCTCCTTTACTCCAAATCCTCTAACCAACACTGACTGATCGCTGTAGAAAAACAAATCGCCCAGAAAAAGCTGGGCAATCCCCTTGCCCAACTTCGACTAGTTTGTAACAGCCCTCACAACTTTTACAACCCATGGGCTACTGCGACGGACGTGCCCGTCGATGATTCTATCGTTACATCCTCAGGCAAAATGCTTCTCCTAGACCGTCTTCTCCCTGCACTGTTCAAGGATGACCACAAAGTGCTCATTTTCTCTCAGTTCACCACGCAGCTGGACATCTTGGAAGATTATTGCTCCGAGCTGAGAGGTTGGACGGTTTGTCGTATTGATGGCTCCGTCTCTCAAGAGAGTCGTCGAGAGCAGATTGCAGCCTTCAACAAAGACCCCGAGTACAAAATCTTCTTGCTGTCTACACGCGCTGGCGGCCAGGGAATCAATCTTGCTTCAGCAGATACCGTCATTTTGTTCGACTCCGATTTCAATCCACAACAGGATTTGCAGGCGCAAGACCGCTGTCATCGCATCGGACAGACCCGGCCTGTTATTGTCTATCGCCTTGCAACAAAGGACACTGTGGAAGAGAAATTGCTGCTCAACGCCGAGGCCAAGCGTCGCCTCGAGAAGCTGGTCATCAAGAAGGGAGGTTTCAAGACTATGGGTCAGAAACGCGACTTGAACGGTGATCTTGATCCAGAAAGCTTAAAGGCCCTATTACTCAAAGATGGCGAGGTTTACAAGTTGTCTGGAGGAGAAGAAATCCTGAGCGATAATGATTTGAAGGTGTTGTGCGACAGAAGCGAGGCGGCCTACCAGCAGGCTGCAAGTGGCGAAGGTGATGCCGATGGTTATCGCGTTGTCGAGACTGGTGCGGACTCGATCAAAATGGCCCGAAAGGACTGAGGACGATGGTGTGAGGGAGAAGCCTACGGCTGAGATGTCACCGTTGCTATCTGTACGACTAACACGACTGGAAGAGCTCCATTGTCATGTGCTATACTACGCTGAACATTAGACGACCATTTGTCGCTTGCTTTACATAAAGTGTGATTCATTTCTATACCTAAAATTGTTCTGTCGCCTAGTCTGGTCCTAGAAACATGAACTGGATATCGTGATTTTTTCCAAACTCCCAGCGCCCAACTAAAAAGAAAGCAGGATATCATCAGTCTTAATTCAACTCCTCCACATAGCCAATCTGTCGTCTTGTATCCGCTCCCGCCGGACCCGCCGCTAATCGTTTCGCCAACTTCTCCTGGCTGTCCACAAGCTTCTTCTGCGCCTCAAGCCTCTTCTTGATTCGGTCCTCCGAGCCCCTCTCGATGCGCTCGACTTCCTCCCGCTCGCTGATTCTGAGAGCACTCAGGGCCCTGGCGTTGTCCACGCGCTCCGTGTTCATCCGCGTCTCCCACTCCAGCATCTTCCTCTGTCGGCTCTCCTCGGTCTGCAGCTCCGTGGAAGCAATGGCCTTAGTGCGCGACAAGGACGCGTCGGTCAGAGCACGCTGTTCCGACAGGCGCCTTGACAGCGAGGCGTTGAAGATCGACTCTTCGAGCTGGGCTTTGGAGCGTACGGCGGAGATGTCCTCGTTGTGGAGTTTGTTTCGGCGAGCATCTTCCATCTCGGATCTGTGCGCCCAGATCTGCTGCTCCACGCTGGCAACCTCTTTCCGTCGCGCAATCGTAATAGCGTGGTCCTCAGACTCCTGCGCAATGCGAAGGAGTCGAGCCTTTCGCTCCCGTTCTTGGATCTCCATGTCTTTGGGGAGACCGATGGCGTCATCAGGTTGGTCTCCCGAATTGGCGTAATAGACATCTATTGCCCGGTTTGCCCGAAGAAGGGTGAGGAGTTGATCTCGAGTGTCGGAAGCTGGTAGAACCTTGATGATGTACATTGTCGGCGAGTATGTATATTCTCCATCAACAAACTGGTTAAACGGCTTGTTGATGTGCTTCCACATGGCCACCTTCAAAAAGCAGCGTGTCGTAGTCACGGCATCAAAGGCTTGGAGGCAAAGTAGCAACAGGGATTTGCCATGCGATTTGATGGTGATGTCCGAATCAGAATCGACGAGGAAAGACATGACCTTTTGCATCAACTTCTCTCGGTCCGCTGTGAGTTCGCCAATGTCAGACCCGCGAAGGCAGATTTCGCCAAGTGCGCTGCGGCCGCCATGCAATGGGCTAGGGAAATCTGGATCGTGGCCAGACTGCACAAGAACTCGGACAGCGGATAGATTGAGCTCCCGTGCAGCATTGTGAAGTGATCCGTCGTCCTTAGATGGGTCGGCTGCAAGAATGTTACCCAACATTTGGATCGATATGTCGCCACCGATCTCCGTTGCCATTGAAAGCGGCGTCCGGCCTAAGGCATCAGTGACATCAACTTCAGCTCCGTCAAGAAGAAGCATCTTGACCACATCTGGCCGGCGGGTCTGGATTGCGAGCATGAGCGGTGTTGACCGGCTGGTAGATGTCTCAAAATTGATATTGGCTATGGAATCGTTAGTATACTGAAATCTCGGCGAGAAGCTGTCAAACTTACCTCCACGATCGATGAGCAACTCGATCAGAGAGCTGCTAACCCTCTTCTGAGGTTGAGCAATGGCCCAAACCAGCAGCGTCACCTCTTCTGATTCCTCCATGTCGGGAAGAACACGGTACAAGGTAGTCTGATCGTGGTAATAGCCCGCATCTAAAAGCGCCTCAAGGACAGTCTTTGATCTTGGGTACTGTGAAATGGCTCTCACAAGAACTGGCTCAGATCCAGGGTTCCGAGCCATGACGTCCATGCGCACCTCGCCTTCCTGGTACTCGGTGAATAGTTTGAAGAGTTCCAGCGCCTCATCTTCTGACATGGCACTATCGAAGATGTGATCGAAGCCAATCGCAAGTGTCCGGGGTGAAGGGTGACAGGCGAGAAGCTTTTTGGTCCAGGATACGTTGGCTTTCGAAGCGGCCTGCTTGAGCGGCTCGCCATCCATAAAATCGACGTCCGCCCCATGAGCAACGAGAAGGTCAATGAACAAATCCGTAAGCGCGGCTGTTTCCTCGTCACTATTTTGAATCGCAAGAATCAATGAACCACTAAGGGCATCGCCCTTCGCGCCTTTATCCAGAAGCATCTGCGCCACCTCCAAGCCATCTGGAGTGAACCATTTCTGGAAATTTTCGGCCGTGAACCCCTTGGAGAAGACGTGATTAATGTCATCCTCAGGAATCTCTCGTTCTAGTATTAGTTTCAGGACTGAGGCTTCAACTCGCTGGGTTGCTGAAAGCAAGGTCTGGCATCCGTTCGTTAATGGAGATGCCCCGCTGTCGAGCAAGAGCTTGATGAGGCGCACATCAGGCTCATCCTCAGTAACGGCCTTGCTCAAGGCGATGTGAACCTCTTCGGTGGCTGGCATTCCGGCCTTCATCAGGTCTTCGATGATCTGATATCGAATATCTTGGTTGAGTTTCCAACATGCTTTGAGCGACCTTAAGAGTGTTGGGGCCGAAGGCTTCTTCTACGCTGCCGCGTCAGCGACTCCACCGGAATAAGGCTGAGCCAACTTACCTGGTTCCCGCCTTTATGCCAAAGACCAAGAAGCAACTCAAGGTTCCCAACGAAGGCGCTCCTAGTCGTCGCAACCACTGCTTCGCCATTGCTAAAATTAGGATCTGCCCCTGCAGCTAGCAACACCCTAAGGACTTCTTGGCCACCCTCCCCGTATCTTGCGGCTGACACCAGCTGAGAGTCAACGACTTCGCCCGAAACGCCTCTTTTTAAAAGTCGCTGGAATACCATGGCTCGCTTGTTCAGATCCCGGACCTCTGTCGCGGCCTGGAAACCTCGCTCCAAGGTCGTCTTTTGGGCGTTCAGATCCGACTTGAGAAGAACATCTAGAACCTCCACAGAGCCACCACGGCAGGCCTCGATAATCGCTTGGCCGTCGTTGGTCGAAATACTGGCACCGTGGGCTATGAGAATGTCTCCGAGCTCCAAGTCACCGTCTCGAGCTGCGATTAGCAAAGCATTTGAGGCGACCTGGGGAGACACTCCGGCTTTAGCCAGTCGAGTGCAAACGGCAAGTCTAGGCGTCCAGTCTGCAATCTTCATGGCATTTTCCATAGCGGCATTTCTGTTTTCGACTGAATGCTTCGTCTGAGAAAGCAGCATGCTCAAGATTTCGGGTGATTCCTTTGACACCGAAAGAGCCAGAGCCTCTCCATCCGAGGCATCCGCTGCACTTGCCAGGACGTTGATGAGAGCTACATCGCTGGAGTAGGTGCTAATGGCATGGCTCAATGCTCTGTTTACCTCGAGGGGAAAGGCACCAGCTTCGACCAATCTCTTTGCAAATGTCAACCGATCCATCGCATCTGAGATTCGCAGCGCGTGTGGTAGCGCTGATGCCAACGAAGCAGGGGTCAAGGGATGCTGGCAATTGAATAGTAGGTCGCAGAGAGGAGTATTTGCTGCTGTCACAACATGGCACAAAGCCGCGGCTTGATACGCGTTAGGGTCAGCGCCAAAGTCGAGCAGCTGCTTCAGAGTGGAGATTGTTGCTTGTTTGGTGGTGTCTCGAAGGAGAGACTGTACTTCATGCACAAGCATTCCACTCATGTCTCCCTTTCTCGTTGACTTGGATCGAATCATGCTGAGTTTCCACGTCTTGTTGTCTGTAGAGGCCAAAGGTCCTAATTCGTCAAAACAGCGATTGATGGTATCTCCAGATGGTTTCCCGATGCTTAACACTAGCTCAAGTACCTTGGGGTCGGGGTTTTGGACTGCTTTTGTCACGATTGCTCCATCAAGGGCATTGATGTCGGCTTTCCCTTGCTGCAAAATGAGTCGCAAGAGTGACATGTCGACTGGCCTCTCCGATAGCGTTGCTTGCAAGCCTGTTGCTACCTCTGTGACTCCGATGCTCGCGCCTGCACCAAAGAGAATTGCTGTCATGTCATAACGCGCGCGGTGATCGTCCGCTTTCAGGACATCAGCTAACCGCGCAGCTGCTGTTTGAGGAGAAGCCTTTTGGATCAGCAGGGACAACAGATTGATGTCTTTTTGCAATATGACAGCGTGAAGCCCCGCGCCTTGATTATAGTTGATGTCCGCGTTGTGCTTCAAAAGGAGGCGAATTAAAGCATCGTCACGCTGAGATATGTCCTCGTTGATGGCGTCTTGAAGGGCTGCATGAAGGCATTGGCCCGATAACGCGCCTTTAAGAAAGAGCTCAATCATCCGGTATCGATCCACGGTAGACAGAGTCCTGGTCAAAGGAAAGACGAGCGTCAGCGTCTCGGGGGAAGGTTTGGCAGCAAGGATCTTGGCAGTCATGTCCGCATCTCCTCGCACAACTGCTGTTCGCAGAGCCTCCCCATTTCTGTGATCAGGCGATGCAACAGCATGGCGATTATTAACACGAGACCGCCGTTGATTGATCGAATCTCGACGAGAGGACTGTGGGTCGGGAAAATGAGGCGAGAGAACAAGGTCGACAGACTGGACATCACCAGATTGGACAGCATGGATGAGGCATTCATCCAATGCGGGACCACCAGCTCCCTTTCTGAGCAAGAGATATAGTAGCGCATATCTGGTTTCGAATGGTGCTTGCCGGGGAATCAGATTCAGGCAGCTAGAGGCTAATGCGGGCTTGATTGTCGAGTTCTCGTTTAGCAAGGAACCGACAAGCTCAGACTGGCCTCTCGAAATTGCAGTTTTGAGAACGGAGGCATCGTTGAATTCGACCGAAACGCCGTAAGACGCGAGAAGACTAGCCATTTCGAAAAATTGAGAGGCACATGCTAATTCGAGGGACCGTGAGAGAATGTCACCCTGGGCGCCGCAGCACAGTAAGAGCTCTGCAATCTCCAACTTTGTGGTCGGGCTGAGTGAGATGTGTTCCATTATTAGCTGAAAAGCCTCCTCAAGCCCGGGACTTAGCGGAGGCTTATTTCCCATGGCAATGGCGATGGCAATGTCTCGGCGCCCACTATTAACTGCAATTTTGAGGGCTTCGGCTCGGTTGTAGTTCCCATCGGCGGTGGAACGTGTGAGGTGTAGCACGGTCCCTAGACATTGCGCCCTCGCTGCGTCGCTCAGAGCCTGAGACACACACAACGGCGAAGGTCTGCCATCAGACTGGAGAAGGAGAGCGACCATGCTGGATAATCCCTGGGCGACACAGGCCTGGCGAAAGGCGTCCTGCCCCTCCGGTGTTTGGGCTGCATTGGCGCCGTATTTCAGCAGGAGTTCGACGATTGGGGTATTTCCGCTCTTGATTGCCACCGGGAGGCAGTTGTCGAGGGTAAACGGGTCGGCGTGAGGAATCAAGACCTGGACCATCTCCAGCTGCCCGCGCTCAACGGCGACCTTGAGCAAGCGAGTTCTGTCGCCAACGTTTTCGACACTTCGTCTTCTAGCCAAAAGTCCCGATTTTCCCGTTTGCATTCCGTGAATGTCAACACCCGAGGAAGCCAGCTTGGCAATGAGCGCCTCGGCCACACCGGGCGAGCCACAATTGCTGACCCATTGGTTTAGGACGTCGAGGATGTCCTTTGGCTCATAGCCTTTGCCTTTTTTCAAATTACTCGAGGAGAATGCTCGAGACAGCCCGGTCTTGGGCCGCAGCTGGGCGATTTCGGCAGATCGCCTCACCAATAGATCTTCAGCTGTTTGGTCGTCATTGAGGGAGCGGAACGAGGGCGGGTTCTGGGGTCGTGTGAGCGGCGCTGGAGCTGCCGGGAGCTGGATTGCCCACTGCTCGGACAGCTGGATGATGCGCCGCTGGCGGATGTCGGCCGATCGGGGAGGCATCCTAGAAGTGGATTGTCATTTGAATTGGGGTGGTTGAAGCTGTCCGCGCAAGCAATGAGGCGAAGTCCTGGCGAGGAGGACGCGGAGGGTTTGTTGAAGCGACGTCGCCGAGGGGAGCGGAGGGATCGAGGGAACCAGCGAAGCAGCGGCGAAGAGGCGACCAGGGAATCGGAGCGATGGGAGTTTCAAGGTCAGAGATTCCGAGCTCGAGAGGGACGAAGGAAAGATGCGAGTTTGAAATTACGCCCCTACGAGCTCCGAAAGGTGCAGCCTGGGGCTTGGAGCTGGAGCCTCGCTCTACACCGTACTCGGTACCGATTGTGCAGCAGGCGCAAAGCGCTGGGCCATGACAGGCTCCTTCCACCATCCCGCGCGCCACCATCCTCGAACAGAGCTCCAGCTGCCATTCCTCTTCGTCAGAGCGGAGCCCTGGAGGGGTTCGTACCTCGCTAGTGCTCCGTGGGAGCTGCACTGGGATCACTGGGGCCACTGGGAACTGCCACTGGGGGTTCCCTGTATCAGGCTGTAGGTGGTGGAGCACTGCGCCACAGCCGCATGGCGACCCACGAGTGGTGCAACTGTGCGGTGGTGCTGCAGCCAGTGCAGTACAGTGTCTCCTCAGCACAATGAGGCCCTGACGCGGGGGGCGTATTTGACGCCGCGGGTGCATGGCCAGAGCGTGCCTTAGTGCCCAACCCGCTAAACTGCCTCCCTGAACTCGGCTTGTTGGGCGACCGTCCGTCCATTCTCAGCAGTGTTTTGACTTGGCTGGTGTGAAGATATTACCCGATATTGTTGATTCTTGATAATTCCATTGCACAACCCTTAAACGAGACGCCTAGGAACAACCGTTTCCCATCCCCCATCACACGCTTCCTCCAGCAGGTTTCTCCCTCCAGGGCTCCTCACGAGGCTCTTGCCCGCCAAGCCTCAAACGCAGGGAACGCCATGTTTCGGGGCTCGGCTGCTTGCACTGCCCCCGTTCCCAATCAGTGACAGGCCCTGTTCCGCACTGAGCCGCCCGTCAATAGCGTCAATAGCCGCACGCAGGACAGCTGATCGCTAGGCTCTAAGCGGTATGATTTGGGCGCTGGGGCCGTCACATCCAGGATCTGCCGGAGACAATCATGGCTAAACTCCAACCGGCATCATCTGGGCGAGAGGCGAATGGCTAAGAATAGCGAGCTAGAGAATGGAGGGTGGTTTTCCATTCCGACGTCTAGCACACCGTTACGCGTCTGATGGCGCAACGGTTTCGATTTTTTTTCTTAAATGGAGAGAATGCTTAGAAAAATTCGTCACCATGTTCATCAGACCAACCCCGTATTATTCGTACACGTCGTATTCCTTCCGGCTCTTCCGATCTCCAGAATTTCGGCATTGGGACGCACCACAGCCGCCACTGTCTCAGGATCTCACTGAACAAGACACCACCACTGGAACCATGCGTCTTATCACCTGTTTCTCCCTTGCAATGTAACCTCAGAGGACTGCCACAACTGGGTGCCACAACTGGATGCCACAACCGGAAGATGCGCAAACAAGTCATTCGCCCACATGCATTTTGCCAGTTGCACTCGCCCAATCTTGAAGATGTTAACTTGTGCCCATTGCCAGGAAGAACTCACAACGCACTATTAATTTGGTGATTTAGGTGTCATGGTAAACAATTTTCTTTTAACAACCAAATGTATGTGAAAACATATATGTACTGGACTGTCCCACCCAAAAATGACACCTCAACAGCCCAAGGCATATGCGCTTATCGCGGGGATTAAGAGGACCTTGCATCAAGAATAGGTTATCTCGGTCGAGGAAAGAACTTAATACACATTGTGCCACACCAAAACTAGACAGGGGCCCGCGAAAAAGCGGTGTTCGACGACGTGCGTGAGGCATCCAGGCAATCCACTTGTCCTACCTGCAGCACTTACATCCGGGAGGTTCGGGACTATTGCGTGGCCCGGCAAGATTGGCCTCTGAAGGTTGGTCGCAATGTGCTGTGAAAAGTGTAAAAAGTACAGGGTTTTCCTGTTCGCAGGCATACATACACATTGCCATTCGCCCACGGCCATACATTTTTTTTTAGTACAGCAGAATCAGTGCACTTGGCCATACGGAGGCAATCATCAATTCTTGGAATCGAGGCCTCCTCGACTAACAGATGCAACAATGAAGATTAAATAAATCACATAAAACTCAAATAAGACACCGGGCAAATACTAAGAATTAATGGTATAAAATAAAACAAAACAAAACATGATGAGGAGGAATAAGTGCCAAGAATTATTGTTCTAATAAGTTTCCTTTCCCAAAATGCTATATCGACTATGTTATCAGTGCATCCCACACCCGGTGCACTCGAACCCACATCGTCCAAGAGAACACGCACATCCATAGCATCACAGAACGTGATGACGAAACCAAGAGACATTACGGCGACATCACGGCGGAAGCGAAGTTTCTGTCAAATTCCTATTGGTGCGTTGCAAGTTCTTCTTGGCGATGAGCACAGATTAACATCTCACGCCCAGCACACTCGAGTCTGAACCGTCTAGGAGGACGCGAGCATCGATAGCAGCGCAGATCATTGTGCCGAAACGAAGGGACATTACGGTGAAAGCTTCGCTTTCGCCACAAGTCCTAATGGTGCCCACAAACAATGATCAAAAGCTACAATAACAAGTAGGTGTTAGCTCTGGTGTTAAATTAGTGAGGACAGGGAAATACTGGCAACAGGATCTGGCTCGGCCGCTAGTCTGGCAGCCTCAGCCGGTTGCCCAACCCCAATCTGAAGGAATTCTGGAAGAGGATTGTTATTCGCACAAGTACATTTTGCAATTTGCACACAGGTACCGGTCCCTCCAGCTAAACCTCAAGCAAAGTAATAGAGTCAATATAAGTTTGCAGTTGAAGAGTACATTCATCGGCATTAGGCTGCTGTACGAATAAATCTGGTTCAATAGACATAATTAAAATCATCATTAGGGGCTAAATGCTAAATGCTAGGGTTTATTATTCCTGATTATGTGTTTTGTCGACATTATCTTTAGGACTGGAATAAGATGAAACTGAAAACTCACGGCATATGGTTGGAACCTTCACTGCGCTCCACTAAGCGAGAGCACTGAACACCAGGACAAAACGGGGAATTTCCTCGGCCCATACCAAGAGCATGCTGCAACAAGGCATTGTCGACTTGCTGGGTTCTTTCGTGCGGCTAAGCACGATCTAGTGCCTCCCGGCAGAGGTTAACTAAGCCTTCAGGTAAGTTCTAAAACACATCGTAGCTGCTAGAGTCCGATATATCCAGGTGTCTGCTAGGGAAGATTCTGGCCCCATGGCATCGTAGAGGGTAGGCGCTGATCTATCACAGACCCGTGAGGAGCTTGTAGACCATTGTGCAAGCAGGTATTGCACCACTAATCGGAATGATGGCTTGGGATACGGTAGCCAAGAGCCATTTCCATGTATATCATGTGATAGAACAACCATCTCAGCTCGCATTCATGGTAAGTCAAAGAGACAATATAGAAGAAACGTACTGGGAACGCGGGCTGGAGTGCCTCATTTGTGCTCCCGCCATCGATATTGGGGCTTGATAGGCGCCCAAGCTGCCTTCCCTTGACGTTGAATAAGGTAGCTGTTCACAAGTGCAGTCTCTAGGATGAAAGACCAACTTCTTCTACTAATACGGTGTTCAGACTTCAAGTCTACTCGTCGCTAACGCTCACTAGTAACTAACTACCTACTCAACCGCTCCCACAAAATCTTCGCGACACCCCTCCAAAAGCTCCCCACCAGCAGCACCACATCCACCTCCCAACGTGCCACCAACGAGATCCCGCTGCTTGCCGAAACCGCATCCCACTCATCATCTAATTAGTAAAACAGCCGCGTGTGCCTTACATGGCGTGACGTGCGTCGGCGCGTGATTGCTAAGCACCTTGGGGAGCTTCCCGCCCGCCGGAGGGTTACCCCGCCATCATGGAACTTCCGACCCCACTTCCGAAAGGTGCGCCGGCGCTGGAGCTATAAACGTCACGACCGCCCGGATATACGAGCCGACTGCTTCCGAATTTCGCTGCTGGAGCCAATTACTAGATTCCGCAAAAGAAGTGCATATGGCCCTGCCGCTTGTCCTGTCGCCGGCCTGCCGCTCACTTCTTAAGCTTGCTAGGTCCCCAGCGCTGTCGCCCGTTGCTCGACTGTCCTTCCTCCCCCGCGTCACCGGCTACACACGATCCCCCGCGAACCAGCTCGCCCCATTGTCCACCATGGCTCCCATTCCTCCCACGATGAAGGCCGTCCAGATCTCGCAGAACGGCGGGGTGGAGGTCCTCGAGTACAACGATGTCCCCGTGCCGACGGTTGGCGAGGGCCAGATCCTCGTCAGGAACCACTACGCCGGCCTCAACTTCATCGACACGTACTTCCGCTCCGGCCTCTACAAGGTGCCGCATTTCCCCTTGACGCTGGGTCGTGAGGGCGCTGGCGAGGTCATCGATGTGCACTCGTCCGTCTCCAACATCCCCGTCGGCTCCCGCGTCGTCTTCATGGGCACGTACGGCACGTACGGCGAGTACAGCGCCGTCGCCGCGTCCGACGCCATCATCATCCCCGACGCCCTCTCCACCGACAAGGCTGCCGCGGCTTTCCTGCAGGGCCTGACAGCTTGGACTTTTATCCGTGAAGCCGGCGAGGTCAAGGCTGGCCAGTGGGTGCTCGTCCACGCCGCTGCTGGCGGTGTTGGCGGCTTGCTTGTGCAGATGCTGCGGGCAATTGGAGCCAAGACCATTGGTACAGCCAGCACCGAGGAGAAGTGTGAGCTGGCGCGCAAGTATGGTGCTGGATGGACCATCAACTCCAATGACGATATTGTGGCCAAGGTCAAGGAAATCACCGGTGGCCACGGTGCGGACGTCATCTTCGACGGTGTGGGCAAGTCCACCTTTGATGCGGACATTGACTTGATTGCTCCCAAGGGCCACCTCGTTTCCTTTGGCAACGCCGTAAGTCGCTGCAGGACACAATTTGCTATTATGCCAGATTCACTAACACAGTTTAGTCTGGCGCCGTGCCCCCCCTCAACATCCTTCGCCTCACCCCCAAGTGCATCAAGCTGATGCGACCCGTCGTGAGTGTCTACGTTTCCGATCGAGCCAGCCTCGAAAAGTACACCAACGAGCTCTTCGAATTGATTACATCCGGCAAGGTGGATATTCTGATTCACGACGTTTACCCCCTCAAGGAAGTGGGACGGGCACACCAGGACATTGAAAGCCGGAAGACCAAGGGCAAGTTGCTCATAAAATTGTAATTAGATTTCGACTTCACTCTTTTTTGCCGCCACATGTCTAAATATCTAAATGCCACGAATGCCTCAATCGCTTTGTCCAAAACATTTACGCTTATCGCTCCGTCAGGATCCAAGGGGCGACAGGGCCTGGCCGCATCTCAATTAAGCCTTGGTGGCCTTGACGGCGTCGATAATCTCCTTAGGGGGGTCCTGTCGGTAGCCCTGGGGGTTATTCTTGACCCAGTACCACAGGTCCTTGCAAGCCTCCTCCATGGTGAGCTCCGTCTTCCAATTCAGCTCCTTGTTGGCCAGCGCAGGGTTGGCGGTGAGGTTGAGGACGTCGCCGTCTCGTCGGGGCTTGACCTCGTAAGGGAGGTCGCGGCCGACAACGGAGCTGAAGGCGTTGATGATGTCGAAGACGGTGCTGCCACGGCCGGATCCCAAGTTCCAGGCCTTGACACCGGGGTTGTGCTCGCGGAGGTAGTTGAGGGCGACGAGGTGACCACGGGCCAGATCCAAGACGTGGATGTAGTCTCGGATGGCGGTACCATCCTTGGAGTCGTAGTCTGCGGAAGATTAGAAGGGCCCGAAGAAATAAAGTTGCGTGTTGACTCACCATCGCCAAAGACCAGCAGCTGCTTCATGTCGCCAGTGGCAACTCTGCCCAGGAGGGGCAGCAGGTTGTAGGGGATACCCTGAGGGTCCTCTCCCATGACACCACTAGGGTGGGCGCCGCAAGGGTTGAAGTATCGGAGCAGAGCGCCGTTCCAGGCCTCGTGGGGCTTGCCCTCCTTCTTCAAGTTGTTTCGCTGGGCGTTGATAAAGTCGGTAATGGCGGCCTCAATGGTGGACTTGGTGTTGCCGTAGGGGTTGGTGGGCCCAATGGGGCAATTCTCGGGGATGGGGATCATGTTGGGGAAGCGGGTGGCGTCGCCGTAAACGGTGGCGGAGGAGGAGAAGACAATGTTGTGGACATTGTTGCGCTCCATGGAGCGGAGGAGGGAGATGCTTCCGCCGACATTGACGCGGTAGTAGTCGAGCGGTCTCACGCCAGACTCACCGACGGCCTGTAGTACAGCTGTTAGCTCATGATGTCGGCCAAACTGGCGGGCCCTGCGCCAAACTTACCTTGAGGGCAGCAAAGTGGATGACACTGTCGATGGCAGGGTGCTTGGCAAAGACCTCATCGAGGCCCTGCTCGTCGGTCACATCGACCTTGTAGAAGACAGGTCGGCGGCCACAGAGAAGCTCAATGCGGTCGAGGGCCACTTCGGAGGAGTTGTACAGGCTGTCGACGATGATGACATCGTAGCCGTGCTCGAGCAGGGCCAGGGAGGTGAAGGAGCCAATGTAGCCCGTGCCACTGGAGAGCAAGAGGCGGTCATGGTCAGCAAAGGGATTCGTCTAGTTGCTCAAGCGGGCGGGCTCTCATGACTCCAGGGTGCGGGACACGAGGGAGGGGGAGGGGGAGTCTCTTTGTCTATGTTGGCAGGGGGATTTCGATGGCGTACCCAGTGATCAGGACGGTTCCAACAGCCATTGTGAGGTTCTTTGTTCGCGTTGAGGGAGTGCGGTGTGTGTAGCGGGAGCAGAAGTTGAGAGACGCAAGGCGGGGGGTCAGCTCCTATGTAGGTATGATGGGATGTAAGGGAGACGGGGTGGGGACGTCGTACGCGCAATATGGGAGCGAAACGGCGGTGGTGGGGGGAGGGGCAGAACGAGGGGGACGTTAGTGAGGGGACTGCAGCAGTACGAGGTAGAGTGGATGAATTTTTACAGCTGAATTGGGTGGCTAGTTTAACAGGCTGAGTCGGAAGCCCTTTGGACACGCCGTCGGAGTCAACAAGTAGTGCGGCATTAGCTCTCCATTTACGGCGCTGGCTGCATGTATCGCCGCCTTTGAGAGTTAGCTTAGGTGGTGTTAACCTCTCGCTTGTTGTTATCATACGAAGCAAAAAGTACATCTCAGGACAATGGCGACATGCCTGGCCACCCTTGTTGGTTTTCGCTGCAAGCCATCAAGACAAAGGCTTGCATGGGCGGTCAGCGGTGGAGCCTGCGTAGTGACATGCCTGGGCTGTGATCTGTTGTGCATGACGGCGGCACAATTCGCCCGAGACCGCAACAGTCTGGGCCAGCTCCGACGAGCAACAGTTTCGAATATTCACCGTATAGTCCAGGCCGTTATTGCAGTCTCAATATGGTGAATCGCCAGTTTTTTTTTTTTTGGTTTTTTCTTTTTTGGCGCGCGATGAAAGCCATCAAGACGGGTTGTGACAGCGGTCTGGCAGCTGGCAGCTGGCAATTAACATCCCTCACCAAAATCGCCCACCCACGTGATCACGCCCAACCTCTTGATTTGCGCCGCCTAATCCTCGGCGCGCCTCGCGTCTCCCAGGCGCCATCGCCAAAACACTCACACCAGCATCGCCGACGATATCGCCAGAAACGGAATTTCTTTCGAACCCCCGGTCATTGACATTAACTATCGAGCCTGAAGTCTTTATCCGTGGCTCTTTGTCTGGCTTGCGTCGTGCATTTTCACCAGCTCGGCCGTGGTCTCGTCGTGCACGCCTCCGCCTGCCCTTGGATTCTCGGCGCTCACCGTCCGCCATCAACCCGCCACCACCAACATGCGCTTTGTTTGGTTACGCGCGCGCCTTGACTTTTAGCTTCACCCTGCCTCAAAGGACATCGGCGCACTGAGGTTTTGCCTTTGTCCACGACATCCGGCATGAGAACGGATCATTCTCTGAGCCGTTCCATACCTATTGTCTTTTGTTATTCACGCGCCTTGCATGCGCACCCGCTATTTCCATCTCGTCACACGAGGAAAGCCCTGGACCACTGTTTGCCCTCTTGCTTGCGCGATCCCTTTGAGGGGACGGCTCCGACCGCTCTTTCATGACACAAAAGAGCTCAACTCCTTTCATTTCCCCCTAGAACTTCTGTTCCTCTGTTCTTGATCTCACCTCACCATCTCACGCAAGCTCATTCTCATCAACGCAATGCCACCAAGACAGTCAATCCGACGCAGCGTCCGGGTTTCCAGCCGGGAACCAGAGTCTGAAGATGCTCATGCCCGAGTGGGTGACCTTGTAAGGCCGCAACTTCCGGTTTTGGCTGGTACGCCCAGTTCTCGGCGGCAACTCTCATATGGCTCCGCCGCAGAACCGCTACGACGACCTGGAGGTGGACTTCAACGCCTCGACATCGGCAATGCGGTCAGCCAGGCTCTTGAGAGAGATGATGAGGACGAGGACGAAGGCGAGGTCTTTGTACGACCGCGGAGGCCACAGCCCTCAGCTCCTGCGAATGACGAAGATGAGCTGGCGGGAGATCCCAGACGACCAAGTGCTCCTGAGCGGGGTGCTTCAAGACGAGGTGAGTTGCATGGCTGAGATTAGAGCATTCACGATTCTAACTCTTTGCAGGTCCCGCCGTGACTTTCCCTCCGCCTCGCCATTTTGTCACTGGTAGTGACGCTGACAGCATGCGCAGCTTCGGTATGGAAAGTGATTTCTTCGGTGATGCCACGATAGAATCAACACCTGCAAGCACACCAGTACCTGAGCCTAGTCAAAAACAACCTGCACGACAACCTGCGCGACAGCCTACGCGACAGCCTACGCGACAACCTGCACGACAACCTGTACGGCCACCTGAGTCGAGCCTCGAAAAGGTGGCTGAAGAAAGGTTTCCCGAGCGTTCACCCCAGAAGAAGGCGACGGGTTCCCGTTCCACAGCTACTGCTAAGGCTCGGCCGGAGCGGCCCGGTGTGGACCAACTGGTGGGGAGGACCCAATCCAAACTGAAGCCACCACAAATTGAACAAAATTCAGAGGACGACGACGCAGATGAGGATGAGCACAGAAATTCTCCAGTGGGACATCGACGGAAAACCAACACGCCAGCGCCTAATCGAATGCGCCAGGCTTCCTCAAGGGAGATGAGATCTCGAAGGATAGAGGCTCAACAAACGGAGCCTGACCAGGAGCCAGAGAACCAAACCCTAGACTGTCATGGGGCGGAGGTAACCAGAGTCAATCTCTTCCCGCCAAACAACGCGGGTCCATCAAGAACGAAAGCAAGTGGCTCTGGATCTACGGCTGCCAAACCCCCCACACGAGAATCTGGCGATTCGCGGAGAATTCTCCACATAGACGGCGGTGGAGGAGGCCGAAGCCTATTCGGCCAGGCTGCCGAACTCAATAAGAAGAAGACATCATTTAATACCGACACATATCCCGCCGACGCATGGGAACGGGATGCGGCGATCCAACGGGATATTCTCGAAGCTGAGGAGCGAGTTGCTCGTGAGCGGGAGGAGTCAGATAGACGTGCAGCTAGGCGTCAACAATGGACCTGGCTGATGTCTCTCTGGCCACTGCCTTGGCTACGAAAACTCTTCGGAATGCGCCCACATGACGATGACGATGATGACGAACACAACGATCACGACGATGCAAATGCCCCTGCCAATTGGTGGTGTCTGCTCAATCCGATGACCTACCTTCAGACCCTCATTTGGTCAATTGACAAGATAATGGATTATTTTGTTAGTTTGATAGACAGGGTCTCTGGCATGGATATCCATGTTCGAGTCCCGAGACCAGGGCAAAACTTTGGATGGATCGTCACAGGTATAATTGGCCTAATTATTGCAATCCTTTTCGGCCCTGCCATTATTGTTGGCTTGAGGGCGTCATCTGCGAGCATGCCAAATGTCGGTATGCCACGAGTGGGCAGCATCGGCTGGCCCGATATCGGTGGCATCGCCGGCAAAGCTGGAGATTTTATCCCGTCAATATCATGGCCATTTCAACGGTCCAAAAGTGAGTGGGACGAGCTCTCCGATTTATGGGAAACGGACGACAAAGCGCATGAAAAGGCCGACAAGATGTTGAAGCAGTACCAAAAGGACCTGACGTCCTTGAAGAAAGCTGCCAAGATTCACGATGCCTCTCTTGAGAAACTCAAGACGGTGGTTCCCAAGATCGTTCACATGGAGCTCGCAGACGGCAAGCCCGTCGTTACACAGGAGTTCTGGCACGCCTTGCGAGATCTCATCCACAAAGACGGCAGCTTCGTGACGATGGAGCAGAAAGTCAGCGGCTACGAGTTTACGTCGGAACAGCAGTGGCAGGCCATTGTGGGTCGCCTCAACAACGATCCCACCTTTGCGTCGAAGCTCAAAGCGAGCGCATCTGGGATTGAAAAACGTATCGATGCCAAGATGTCTGTCGTGTGGGACACCTGGGTCAGGAACAACGAGGACAAGATTGCTGAGCTCATGGGCCCGGCCTTGGACAAAATCCGATCTGCCGGGTCGGGACGCGAGTTTGATGAACGACTCTCTCGGATTGTCAAGGAGCAACTCAAAGGCGGAGAACTCAAAGAAACCATCGTCACTCGGGAAGACTTTCTTCGCCACCTCCAGAATGAGTTTGCGATGCATCGCACTGAGATTCGCGCCGAGCTCAACGCGCTCCAGCCCCAGCTGGAATCGCTCCGCCAGTCTATCCGCGCAGCGACTGAGAACACGCCAGGGGGAATTGCCAGGGCTGAAGTCAACGCGCTGGTCAAGAACCTCGTGCGCAAGGCCATTGCCGACATGAACCTCGAGGCCATGGCCAAGGGCAAGATCCACTTCCATTGGGACGCGGAGCTCAAACACCAGGTCAACTACTTTGGCATTGGTGCCGGCGCTACCATCGACGCCGAGAGATCATCGGTCGTGTACGACCCGCTCCAAAGGGGAAAACCCAAAGAGTTATCGCAAAAGGGCATCCACGGTGCCGAACTAAAGCAGGCCATTGCTGCCCTGCATCCCTGGCAGGACGAAGGCGACTGCTGGTGCGCCGCGCGCTCCATCAACCATCGCGGAAACCATCACGGCGCGACTCTCTCGGTGCAGCTCGCACACCACATCATCCCTGAGCACGTCGTCATCGAGCACATCCTCCCCGGCGCGACAACCGACCCAGACGCGCGACCACGAGAGATCGAGGTGTACGCACACTTCGAGGACAGCACGACACGCAAACGCGTGCGTGACTTCGCGGCCACGCAATTCCCGGAGGACGTCAACAACTGGGACTACCAGGCGCCCGAGTACGGCACCGCCTTTATCAAGATCAGCCAGTTCGTCTACGAGGGCGCCGAGCTGCACGACGGCGTCCACGTCCACCGCCTGCACCGCGACCTCGCCAACCTCGACGCCGTGACGGACCAGGTCATCGTGCGCGCCATCAGCAACTACGGCGCCGAGAGCCACACGTGCTTCTACCGGGTGAGGTTGTTTGGGGAGCGTGTACAGGTGTAGGCCCACGGGACGCTTGATGATTGAAAAGGGGGCATGTAACGATTTGTTTTTTCTTGCAGGCGTTGGCGGAAGAGCGGCGATACCTCTTTGTTCTTGCGGTGTTTGCCGTGTGTATTTTACCAACGTACGGATTTGCATGGCTTGTTGGAAGCGCGGAGCTTAGGCGGCTTTGGGATTGATAGTACATGTCATTGTATCCATGAAAGAAGTGTCTTGGGTACTTTAACTGTGAGTGAGGTCATCACAACAAGGGGCCACGCATACCAAGTAAAAAGTGATATTGAGTAATCATCATTAGAAACGCAACCTTGTGAATTCCAACCTCCATCTTTTTGTCTATCCGTCCACACAAGGCTACACCAAAGGGTATCGCTCCTAGCCCGTCCACAGTCCATGTCAACCCTCCAGCAGCCCAGCCGCGAGCGCCTCCAGATCCTCCAGCGTCTCGGGCTCCTGGTCGACCTCGATGACCTTGCCGCGGGCCTTCTTGGCCTTCTTGGCCTTGCGCTCCTCGTCCGAGTCGTCCTCGAACCACTTCTTGGCGCGCTTGCGCGGCGGCTCGGGTTCCGAGTCGGAGCCGGAGCCTTCGCCGGCCATCGGGAGGGAGCGCATGAACTCGAGAGGGTCCATGGCGTCTGGATCCGAGTCGTTGGCCGTGTTGTGCAACATGGGCGCCGCGTCCGGGTCGATGCCGGCCATCTCCATGGCCTCGCGCGCCTTGCGTTTGTCGCGCTTCTCGCGGCGCTTCTGCTTGGCGAGCTGCTTGTCGTCGACATCGGCTTCGCGCACGCGGGTGGTTTCGTCCTCGACGAACTTGCGGCGCAGCTCTTCAGCGGGGCCTTCCTGGTTGAAGTCGTCCTCGTCCTGGAGCTCGTAGACTTCGTGCGCGTTGCCGTCTTCGTCGTACACGAGTTTGGTCGGGTTGCCCTTGAACTTGAGCATCTTCTTCTTCGACTTGAGGGCCTTTTCTCGTCGTTTTGAGTCGACAATGAACGGCTCCTCTCCTCCAATTCCTTCGATGACCTTGGCTGAGCTCTTGAAGGCGTTCTTGGCCTCCTCGTCCAGGTCATCGTCGTTGAGACGCCTCTTCACCGACAGGAAATCGCCCTCATCGTCATCATCCTCGCCCTCCTCATCTCCATTCAGTACCAGTTTCGAATAATGACTTGACAACACATCCTGGTTTGTGCGCTCAAACATGCGGTCATACTTCGTCCGCACCTCGTTCTTCTTCTTCGTCTTCGACTTGGTTCCGTCAAGATCTATGTCTGAATCCGAGCCGCTGGACATGCCCGAGCGGGGAGCGTTCTTGATGTGCTTAATGTCGACTCCCTTTTGGAACTTGATTTGTGGTGTTCCAGGAAGGCCAAGACTGGCGGCGAATCCATCGAGGTCGAGCTTATTGAACTTGAAAACTTCCTTGTCCTTTTGTAAGTGGATCGACCGGGTGTAACTGATAAATGCCTTCTGTCCCAGATATTTGAGATCGGGGTTCTGGAAGCACATGCTCTGCAGTTGGTCCTTGATTGACTTTTTCTTCTTCTCCTTGACATTGACTTTTAGCACGGGAATCTTTTTCTGCTCCAGACGCTTAAGCATGCCCGTCTCTTCGCTGGGATCCAAGAAGATGACAGCTCGGCCGTTGCTCTCGAATCGGGCGGTTCGGCCGACGCGATGAATGTAGGTGTCGGCGTCCTCGGGGCAATCGGCTTGAATGACCCAATCCACCGCAGGGAAATCAATACCTCGGGCGACGACGTCGGTAGCGAACAAACACGATTGCTTAGCAGCGGTAAACCTGGAAGTAATCTCTAATCGGGCGATTTGTTTTTGTCGACCATGAAGATGGAGCAAGGGAATACCGGGCTGGAGATGCCGGAAGCTCTCGTACACGAAGCGGACCTGTTTGCCAGAGCTCAGGAACACAATGATCTTGCTCTTGAGATTTGCCTTGATGAAGCCGTAGAGGGTGTCGAGTTTCTCGGTCAGAGGTGTGACGATGTAGTGCTGCTGCAAATTCGTCGGGGTGGCGGTGGTGGCGGATTCGTGAACCGAGACGTATTCGGGGTCCTTGAGGCTGAGTCGTGCCAGGTCAGATACCTTCTTGCTCTGCGTCGCACTGAACATGAGAGTCTGCCTCTCCTTTGGTAGATGCTCGACCAGAGCGTCCACGGCTGATGAGAAACCCATGTCCATGATGCGATCAGCCTCGTCAAGCACGAGGAGCTGCAAGTTGTTGGCGTCGAAGCCCGCGGTTTGGTCCAGGTGCTGCAGCATTCGACCAGGCGTGCAGACCAGGATGTTCATTCGGTCGAGTCGCTCGGCCTCCTCCTTCAAACTCTTACCGCCAATGACCAGACCAGCCGAGAAGGCGTGGTGGCGACCGACTTTGCGCAGGACTTCGAAGATCTGGACGGCCAACTCGCGGGTGGGAGAGATGATCAGGGCGCCGAGTCCGTCGAACTCGGTCCATTGGGCGCGGTAGAGCTTCTCGAGCACGGGAATCAGGAAGGCAAGCGTCTTTCCACTACCCGTCTTGGCGGCTCCGAGAATGTCGTTTCCCTTGAGCGCAAGCGGGATGGCGCCGGCTTGGACGTCGGTCAGGGTCTGGAAATGCGAAGCCTCGAGTCCGGAGGCGGTCGGCACGGAGAGCGGGAGGTCGGAAAAGCTTTTCGTTTCGATCGACTTGGGATCCTGCACAGCATCGTGAGCAAACAGGTCAAACGGGTCATTGTAGCCATCGTCAACGATTCAACGACGCAGCGCACCCCACCACGACTTACCAGGTCGTTCACTCGCTGCTCGAGCTTCTGGAGATCTTCCTGGTCTCTCTTGCGCTTCTGCTGGCGCTGGTCGGTGCGACCGCTCTTTTGCGGCTTGGGCTGTCGCCCGCCGTGTCGTGCGTTGGGGGCCATTCGTCCAGCGTTGACGATGCGTGTGAAGAGAATTGATTGTCTGGCTCGCGATCTTATCTCTGCGGTTGCTGGAAATAATTTTTTGGAGCGCGGCGTTCTGAGGCGCCGATGGCCGATGGCTCCACATGTGGGGCGAGCGGCCCTCAGGTGCTGGCCAGCCGTCCACCCTTCACAGACATCTACTGCAAGTCCAGAATCCCCCGTAGATGCGTGCCCGACAATAAAATGAGGAATCATATCTGCTGAATGATGTATTCATTCTGTTGTTATTATTTGAGCAAAGGCCTTGTACTTTACATCTCCAAATCAGCTTCTGAGCTGTGATCCTGGTACCGCTCGGACTCCGTTTGACACATCCCAAACTGCGCGCCGCCTGGGATATCAATTTGCGTTACAGGGTAGGTCCCCCATCCCTTGACCAACTTTGCCTTGCTCCCATTTCGCATTAGGAGGAATCTGGAGTACGTGTATCGTTTTACTCAATCATCGCAAGTATTTATACACTCGAGTAATGTTTTAAATCTCTGGAGGGGTTGCATCCACAGGGGAGCGATTAGACGTTTGTCATTATTAGGTGTAAGTGTTGCTAAGAGCTAGGCATAACCAGTGATAGAACCATCTCTATGTCACGTTCCGATTAATTAAATGCCGTGTATTGTCTTGGAATTGAGTGACGTGTTAACTAGGTTTACCGACCTTATTGGCTATCTATGTTATTGTCTTAAGCCCGTGGCGGCGGCACCTGGGGCCAAGGCGCACCAAGACTCAAGCCTGCACGACCTCGTATTCGAGGCTGATAATCCGGCACTACGCATGCAGCTGATCGAGATGATGAAAGGGATGGTGATTCGAGTTGGGCTTGATTCTCTTAATTGCACACCTCAGCTGCATACCTACCTATATGAACAATGGTGCTGACTAAGACAACAGGACTCATTGTCGCCTTACTGCCTCGTCCAGCTGATAAGCAGCCACAGCGCCTAATGAAGAACAAGGCTGCTCCAGTACACGCTGGCACATCTACCCTTTTCAACTTCATGTCGCGATCCTTGTGTGAGGGTCTGAATCTTCTGGCGTAGGCACAGCGCCTACAGTCTTGCAGATGGATTATTCTTCACGCCTGTCCTACGCAACATCCCACAAGACAGGATCAGGATCGCCCGAGTCTCCAAACGCTGAGTCGGTATCGACTCAGCTAGATCAATTTTCAGCCGCAATCTGCCTCGGCTCAGGCAACAATGGACTACTATCGCCTCCTTAATCCCATCTCTACGGACTGCGAAGGTCGAAATCACGTCAGGAACGTCGTAGAATGTGCCTATCCGCCCATTGAGGTCGGAGAGACAGCCGACAGGCTCTTCGAAGACGTGGGGAGACGAGCCGATAAGACGTTCTTTTCCCAGCGAAAGCTCCGGGAGCATTTTGGCGAGGATGATATCATCAGGAGTCTCCTTGGTTGTGGTTGTCAGCAGTGCAAAGATCAGCGAGGAGAGAGTCCTCTGGACGCCCTACGATATCAGCGATACATCCATGACAAGGATGCATGGATGCTGCTGCCAATCATGGTGTACCTGGGAAAACTGCATTTCATCTACACATGGCTAGACACCATCGACGCTAGGACACGCGCCCCAGTACAATGTTCCAATGTTGCGTCACTCGAAAGCCTACTACCGGATGATCTGCAACGAAAGTTGTTCATTTCGGCCTACGAGCGTGTCTTGAAGATGTTTAACCCGTTCGTTTTCACGATAGATAATTCCGGCACCGTCCCACCGAAGCGTGTGGTTCCTCATGAACGATTCCCGTTTCAAAATGAACAGAAGCCCTCGCGCCAAGGACAATTTGGAACTCTCCTATACTTTGAGGTTTCGGATGAGTACGTCGACAGGTCGGTCGCTTTTAGGATGGACCAGGCTTACAAGAGCTCCATAACGGGCACGGGAAATGCCAAGACAGTACGTGATGTTTGAACAACCATCATAATGGTAGCCATGATAACAACCCCCCCCTAGTATCGCTTTGCGAGAAAGATCCTCAAGGCCGATCCAGCCGATGGCATGGAAAAAGACATGCTTCAACTGGTGTCCCAGATCAAAGGTCAAGCTTCTGATAACATCATCACCCTCCTGGCACTTTACTATTGGGGCAAATGCGTTCATTACGTGTTTCCATTTGTTGAAACAAGTCTTTACTCCGTCCTCCGAGAAGGCCACTTTCGAGAGGAGTTGTCTCCCGGTCCGCTACGTCTCCCAGATCACTGGTTGTGGGTTCAGATGGTTGGGGTGGCCCGGGCACTTAGTGCTATTCACACCGGCATAGACAATCCATTCTCTGAAGACGAGGGGAAAGTCATAGCTTTTCATTTTGACTTGAAGCCGGACAACATTCTTGTCACGGCAGATCGGCAGCTAAAGATCACCGACTTCGGCCAATCCATCATCCAGATTGTCGATACTGACGAAGAACGATCAGCACCGCTCAAGCAGGGTGATATTAAGTACAACGCACCTGAATCGCGGCTAAATCGTCTAGATGTACGACACAACTCCAGCGGCGAGCCGAGAGATATCCAAGTTCTTCTCAACTACGACGTCTGGTCACTCGCCTGTATCATGGTGGAGGTGTTGATACTCTTGCTGGACGAGCGGCGCCACACAAAATCAACCGAGCTGGATGCCTTCGACAAGGAGCTGCAGGACGAGAAACCCGAAGTTGTATTTTTTGGTGATAATGTCGTTAAAGATTGCGTCAACCGAAAGGTCCTGTCCATTGGGGATAGGCTTGTTAACATCCATCCGACAGATCAAGTCAATAAGGACTATGTCATGGCCGTGTGCAAACTCATAATCCAAATGTTCACTCACAACAAGGACCATCGACCACAATCCGACAGTGTTTTGAAGTGTCTGGAGGAAACACATGACACCTATCAACTCGCCTGGCAACTTCGCGGTGACAAATTACGGACCTCAATAAGGAGAAAGGAATTAGCGATGGAAGGGCCTGGGAGATTCAAGGAGATCGGGTGGTGTAATGAGGACAAGGTGGTCTCATTTCTCGAAATGTAATTCTACCCTTCTGCCCCGTTTCAATACACACTAACCAAGCCTGCTCTATCTAGGGGTGAAGTGAGTGTGAAGCTTCATAGAACTGACCGGAGGGAGCTCGATCCGCCCGAGAGTTGCCGAATACAACTACTATACAAAGCTGAGGAGGTTAGACCAGCACCTAAATCAGCACATTTCATTCTCAAATGGGGATTTGAGAAACCAAATCAAGAGCCCACAGTTCGTGGGTGTATAAGTGAGTACGGAGTGGGATCATCCTGATGAAAAAGAGCAACACTGATTATCGGACGCCCCTTTGATCTTCATTAGTCGATACCGCCTTTGCGCAGCTTATCCCTACATACATCTACCAAGACGAACCAGATGAGGATCATCAGTGCACACTCTTTAATGGCATTAGAAAGATTGGCAATGGCTTGGAAATTGTTATCACGCTCGGATTTCAGTCAAGAGGAGGTCAGTTTTGAAGCCCCCAGGTCTAGATGCATTGGTGAGATTGACTAACCCTGGCTAGACGCTGAGGCTTTTCAAGGGGCAATCCTTCATCACAAAGTAATTAATGACTTCGGAGAGTAAGTAGAAGACCCTTCTTTGTATTTCTGCATTTCTGAAGATGAAGCTTACTTTGTAGGCCGATCGTGGCCGAGGCATCATCCTGGACTGAAAGGTCGACTTCAATCTGGCTCGGCAAGGAGGGCGAACCTTCGACAATGGCTAGGTCCCAAATCCAATTCTGGGCCAAGGAGAAACCGAACTACTACAAGCAGCCGGAGACCCAGATCACGAAGCCCGTGGCCAACAACATCCGTCGTGCCAGCCTTACTTCCACACATTCAAATAACAGCCCCAGAAGTGTTGAATCTGCCGCCATGGCGCTTTTCGGCCCCGACAGATCTCTTGTTCTATTACCCTGTCAGTGTCCCACATAATATAAATCCCGTTGCTTTGTATTTGCTAACCCTGCGGGCTCTAGTGAACATAGGCGATAAACTTTTCAGTTTGGAGTCGGACCGCCAGGTCACGATTTCTAATAACAGCAGCAATAAACACAAATCGTTTAGAACCCTTCCTACACCTCTCTACAATCCTTGGGACAATGGAGAATCAGAGTTCGCCTGCCCAAATATCCCGTTGGAGGAGATGTTGTTTGAGATGAGGAACGAGGGCCGAAAATTGAAGAGAGCTTCGATAACCTTGGCTAAGTCCAGAGGTAAGATAATTCTAGGTTAGGCTACCGTTTTTTGTGATCCAAGATATTGACTTGTCCCTGCATAGATATGGCCTTGTTCAAGAGGGCTGCAGTGCATGAATGGAGTGCATGAGCTCCGGGGCATGGAGCTCATGAGTCAAATTCTAAGACGGCTGGGTGAGGAATCTAATATTCAATGTACATAACTATACCATGTTTCCGTCTTCTCTATATGCATTTTGTTGTTTCCGGTTCCGCCATTCAATCACCGCATAGATTAGCATCGTTAAAGCTATTAGGGGAATGGCCAATATGGCGTATATCTTAAGACCAGGCTCCGCCAGCCACCCCGCTGCTCCATCTCCTGCTGGTGTAACATAGCCCATCTGAAGGAAGTCCTTGCATTAGTGTTAGAATCTTTCTGCTTGAAAATATGATGGGGTAGGTTTACTGCGACGAATGAGGCCGGGACGAAGATGAGCGCCAAACCCGTCAAGGTCTTCACGACGTGTGCCTCTTGACTAGACATCTTGGACAGCGTGAATATGGCCTTGGTGTGTCCGGAAGCCATCTCAGTCTGCATTTTATTGATTTCGCTATTTCTCAAGGAGATAGTGTCGCGAAGCTGTCGGTTTTTGACGTTAGCATTCATCCCACCTGTTGACGGCATGTCTCCATGCTCCGTACCTGCTCTGACACAGTCTTGGCTCTCTTTATTATAGCAGAAACATTAAGAAGAATGAATCTATGATCTTGCTTGATCTTTTGCATCTGATCCTCGAACTGGGTGAGCATTCCTCGGTCTGATGAGGGGCCTCGAGACTTGAGTCTTTTTGCTTGCCGGAGAAGACAGCCGATTGTCTCCATATTCAGTTTGATGAGATTGAAGATCCGCTCAGCCTGATCTTCTAGGTAATGTATCGTTTTCATGTCTGTCGCCGAGCTGTGAGCAGTGTCATACTCGTTGAGGCTTTCCGGTTCTACACCCGAAAGGGCGATGCGCTCGAACTTGCTTGCGTAAATATAAAATAAATGATACAGTTGACTTGAGTGGGAGGACTTACGATACTAGTCACCTCCTCGTCGAGGTAGTTGATAAATTGGCGCAGATTGTCTCCTACACTGCCGAAAGACATTGAGTGAAGCTGGACCCACTGTCGCACGAAGACACCCGCTACCTCCGCATCTTTGATGATACTTTCGCCTAAGCGGTTCTCCAGGTTTTCGGGAATCCTGACAAGAATGTGATTTGTTTGCCGGGTATCAAAGTCCACCTTCTGGTAGATGAGCGCGTGGCGGATGGACCACGGATTCGTGCCCTTCGAGGCCCCCTCTCGTAGTCCGACGTACTTGAGCAAATAACACGATTCTGAGACAAAAGTTCCGCAGTTGGCAAATGCCCAGTTTGAGGTATAAAGGCCACGTACCGATCGTTTTCAGCGCCCCATTTTCATCCACGGTTTCGGCGCAGTCAAAGCTAGCGAAGCTCTCGTCTTGTGGGAAACTCTTTCGCCCGAAAGCACTGAGGTAAGTATACATTTCGGGGAAGACGCGGAAGGTTGAAAAAAGATCCAAAGCCCCTTTGTAGCTAATGGGTAGCTCACTCCAGCCGTACACTGGCTCGAGAAGACTAACAAGATAGACTTTCAGTTAGCGATGAGGTTAATTCGAAGTAAAAAGACTAAAGAAACGTACTAATATCGAGCCATAGGACCAGAGAACTGTTTTTCATTGTAGTCTGGCCTTTGCTCAGTGAGTTCGCGCACATTTCTCAGATGGTCCTGGACTGCATTTTCGCTGGTGAGATTGAACATCTCGGTGCCTTTGTCCCAATAATGCATCAGTGCGCACTCTGATGAATACATGTGATTGATCACAGGCGAACCATACCGTTCTTGCAAACTTCAGTAACCCAGAAATCAACAGATCCATTCTTCGGGAAGAGCCTCGCCGCGTCTCGTGCCAAATGCTGGGAAATCTCTTGGCTGCAAGCCTTGTTTTGGGGCGCTTCAACGGGCCAGACAGGGTCATAAATCATGACGAGGGGTGTATGGGTGAACGATAGATAGATGGCTTGGGCACAAGGGAAAAAAAGCAGGCTCAAGTCAGCAGTGAGGTGAGCTCAGAGTTCGAAGTAACGGAACGGTTTTTTTTGTGATGCGAAAAGGACGTGTGAATATTTATTTGACCTGTTTTGATGTCGCCTCCTCATTCTGACCCCTCAATGCGCTAGCTGCGCCTACCAGGCTGTATTTCGCCCGCCCGAGGCTACTTTCACACTCGTACAAGGCACTCTATACAAATTACAATTGTGGAAAGCTTGAGACAGAGTTTAAAACATTTCAAATGGAAATATGAAGATATTTATAGGTGCTAATATGTGTTGACCACCCGCACAGGATGAATGATCTGCTAGGTGTACCGACCATCAACTCCTTCTGACTCCAAATGGCGTTCTTTTTTTTGGTAGAGATCGTAATTTGAGCTCGTCTGTCTCATCCTTGGGCAATAGCGCGTCAGCTCACGCTATTCTCCGCTGGGCTGGCTCAGGTGGCATGCTTACTTTTGTGATTCCGCGAGGCGCAGTGACACTCCACCAGCTACTGTGACCGGAGGCAATGGGCTACAGCACAGGAGGCGTCAGGCAAAGTACAAGGGAGTGAGTCTACCGAGTTCGCCCGCAGAGGGATCGGCCATGGGCTGTGGGACTTGGCCTATGGGCACTCACCTTGGCAGACCACACCTGGGATCCATCTGCGGTTATCTGGGGGCCGAATTGTTGCTCGAGCCAACCCTCAAGCACATCGTGTCTCACATCGTACTTGACAACTGAAATCGACATCTTGTTGTTACGGTCTCGCGGTGTGTGGTCAGAAGCACAGATGTAGAAGGGCGCTTGATTCATATATGCCACCAAAACCAATCCCGCCACCCTCGTGTGCGATATGTGTCAATGCCGAGCTTAAGGCAACCAGTGCGAGGTAGCGACTTGCTTGGCACAGCATTATGGTGACGTGGTCTATTGAGTCACACGACCTCTGATTGAATAGGCATTGGCGCTAAATCAAGCCCCCGATTCAGTTGCTGTTCGCCCAAGATAAGGCAAGGCAGAAAGAAGGCAAGGGTGAGGCTTACATCCTGATTGCTCAGCCTGATATTTCTTTTTCGTACGATGAGGCGCTTACTCGCATATCCTCCCTGCAGACGCCGAGAAGATGGCGTTTCTTATCGAGAGTTTTTAATCACAATAATGACAAATTCGTTGTGAGAAGTCTGCAGGCATCTATCTGGTAGCGATCTCAACAACCCTACCCCCAAGCCCAGCTTTCGCAACTAAAGACGCCCATACTAGCTTCAAGTTTAACCCAAGGCCTAACACATATATATAATTTACAAATAATCGACTTCTCAATCGAATGCCGCGTTGAAAGGACAAGGAAACATATTTCAAGTTGAAACTATTGTCAAGGCTTGACCTAGATGAGACTCGAGGAATCTCTCGATGGGGGAGTTCGAGACTTCCTTGGCACATTCCATTGTTTTGTCCAATAAATGAGATGTGATATGGCTCAGACTGTCATGGCGCTATTGCCGTTGTGGCGATGATGGTTTGTCTACTTAGCCGCCTTGCCGTAAATTAGCGATATGTATTGGCTACGGAAGCCCGGCTTGTGGATATTGCGTCGTCGTATTGAGAGACTATCGGCTGCACATGGCTATTTTGGAACAGCAGCCGCCAGCCTTATTCTTTATGTGCTTCTTTTCAGCTGTGTTCGCATTTCGTAATAGTCCGCGACCCATCAGCCCCGAACGAAGCACCACAGCTCGAGGCCCATTCCCAGTCCCCCAGCCAAGTTTTCTAAAGAAGTTGGGTTCCTACACACCCGCATTGGTAGGATCGGTTCATGCATGAATCCTTCTGCTCACCATCTTCCTTCCAATCCGCCTTGAGTTTTGACTCGAGAGGACTCTATCCTATCATGTCCAGGCCCAGCGGCACCCACGACGGCACAGAGCTGGCGGACCTGCCTCGAGACGCTCCTCCGCCTCAGAACATTGGCCCGTTCAAGCCTCGACCATCGCCCGACGATGCTGACCCCAGAAGTAGCTGGATCAAGGGCGCGTTGGCGACCTTTGATGTTTTTGCCCTCATTGTCAACAAGATGATTGGGACGGGCATCTACTCAGCCCCAGCCACAGTCTTCTTGCTTACTGGCAACAAGGACTTGACGCTCGGGTTGTTTAGCATAGGCTTTGTCTACACTCTGGCTAGGTTAGTCTGAGCACCCATCGGTGACAGCATGCTACTTGGCTGTAGCGTTCTTGTGCAGGAGCTTACATCTTTGGGATAGCATGGTGATGTATCTGGATTACGCTGAAGCATTGCCGTATACTGGCGGAGAGTTAGTTTATGTCAGTTATTCCGGAACCCGGTGAATGTGGAATTTACAACGGACCTAACGTTAGTACGGAGCAGCTAGACGAGATCAGTGCGCATGCGATCGCCTATCTTGACGACGATCCCGAGCCGAGACCAAACATACAGCCGAGACCATCCATTCCGCAACCAAATACCCACGGGCCTCTAAACAACGTGGAAAATGGCCCTCGGAGGGTATCCAACGCCGAAGCGAACAATGCCCAGCCTGCATCTCCTCTGACACAAGGCCCCCCAACAAGGAGATTGAAGAAGTGGCTACGCAGGTTCCTTGGTGACGGCTTGCTGGCCTACATCTCCTACTCAGTTTGTTTCATCGGCCTCTTCAACTCGGGCACCAACAGCATGCAGACTGGCAGAATGATCTTAATTTGCATCGCTTCTCAGGAGGACAATGTGGTGCCGGACGTGAACCGCGACGTCATCCGGTTGATCGGCGTAGTCACCCTGACGGCTCTCTGTCTCCTACAGTACTTCTCTCCTCAGTTTGGGCGCAAACTGAATCAGGGATTAGCCATCGTCAAGATCTTATTTCTCGTCACATTATGGATCGTGGCCCTCGCGGCCACTGGCCACCCGCTGAAAAAACCAGATGGAACCGTTGTAGACCGAGCGGCGGATTGGCATATATGGCACAAGCCTAATAACTCTTGGAATAAGTTCGCCAAGGCGCTCTTGTCAGTCTTGTTCAGCTTCGAAGGGTGGGAGAACGCGACATTTGTGAGTTGAACTTCCTCAATCGCCAGACACTCGGCTCAATTCATGGAGAGTTGCAACCCGGTCCTATTATTCCATGCTAACTGCTTCTTTAGGTCGCCGGCGAGATCCCCAAGGACCGTCCCCAAGTATTGCGACGCGGATTCATCATTGCCGTCTTCACTGTCGGTATGCTGTACTTACTGGTTGTCTCCGCGTTCGTGAGTCTCGTCATGGCGGTTCGTTGTTGGCAGTTGCTAACAGAGACACCTTAAGCTCAACTCAATCACATGGGAAGACATCCACGGGGCTAGCCAAAATGTCAACTATGCACCAATGGTATAGAACGTTCTTGACTGTTTATTTCTCTGCTGACAGGTCATTCTAGCTCTCAGGCAACGGAGTTACGGCGAGGCGAGCATGGGCGATTGTGGCTGCCATCTCGGCTTTGGGGAGTCTAAACTCGATTATCTATACTTTCTCAAGAGGTACGATAAATGACGCGGCCTGAATCTCTATTTGCTTTAGACTAATACTGGTGTTTTCTCCGACACTCCAGTCAAGCAGTCCATTGGTCAGGCCGAAGTGCTACCTTGGTCAAATGTCTGGAAGAAGGACGATGAGATTCAACGAGAGCTAGCCCCAGACCACCCGGGCTACTTCATTCACAAAGCTCCCCAAGGCGGCTTGATTATCCACTGGACGATGAGCGTGGTGGTGATTGCCGGGTCGTCCTCCATCCCGGCCACGCTTGAGTCAGTCAGCTTGCCAGGCTACGTGCAGACGTATGCGCACTGCTTCATCCTCAGTATGTCCTTTTTATACTTGATCTAAGCTATGGATCAAGAGATTAATTACTAATTCGCACTACAGTGATTATCGGCGCCGCCTATCTCAACCTCAGTTCTCGTGAGGAGGCGTTGTCCCGCCCGACCCGCGAGCTGGCACGAAGACCCACCCCGAACAAGTCTCGAAGGCCTCCATTTCGCTTTTCTAAAATGACCAGTAGTGTTGGTCACTGGGGCATGAGGGTATTCGTCCTCGCATATGTGGCCCTAAACCTCGCAATTCTCGTCATTAATGCAATCCCGCCGTACGAAGGCTCTGATGGTAGCAAGATCGCCTTCAAGGGCTTCGGATTCCCCACCATTAGTCTATCTATCCTTCTTTTCGGCATCGCATACTACATCCTTGTATTCGGAACAGCCACTCGCATATATCATCAACCTGATAATCCCGAAGCACCGCCAGTAGTGGAAAGAGGTCTGCTTGCGAGGTCGTCTCCGTGGAATCTCCTCCGATTCGCCAACGTGACGTATGAGATAAGGAAGGACAGGTATTTTGATACGGAATTGGATAGAGTGCGCCGCTTTGGACGTCGCTGGAGGATCGTATATTATCTACCCGGGGACGATGCTGTGAGTTTACCCCAACACAATCCATCCTTGCCATGTGTGTGCTGACGGATGTCTACAGCCTACACCAATTGAGAATGGCAACCCCATCAATCCAAATGGTGGAGCGGTACATGCGGCTCCAGCTCAACCTCTTTTAACCTGGGCCATATTCTGGTACTGGTTCTTCGGAGGGACTCGATTAAGGAAGACAATGTCGAGAACCATTGGAGATTGGTGGACGGCACGAATGGTGAAGAAATTTCCACCCAAACCTTAGAGTCAGCTTTCAAAGATGGATGGAGATGATGAACACTTTTATAAAGCATTCAAAGCAACATCTTAGCAACAGAGACGTAAAATGGAGAGCACTAGATCAGAATATAGAGATAATCCCCATTTCTCGAAGTTGTTACTACGCCAGAACCAAGAAAATGCCAAGCACTAGACTAGAGTGTCTGTGGACGTAAGAGGAGTAAATACCTGCGTATAACAACCATGGCCGTTATACTCACTAACGACCTCTTTTTTTTTCTTCAGAATGAAAGTAAAATATTGAGTAAATTTAGATATACGGGATGCCTCTCGACCAAGGGCATTGGCTATAGTAACTAGACGTTGTTCCTTCGTCGCCAGATAGACTAGCGCATCCGCCGTGAACCCAGCCACTGGTTGCTCGGAGGGAGTCTGTTAGGACAATTATAATCGTCAAGAAATAGTCGCCTAGACTTTAGACAGGGCTAAAAGATCCAAACATTTGTTACACGGACCCAATTATTAATGTCTGATTTTCATTTCAACCGACTGAGACGGCAACTCGTGGAGTACTGCCACAGGGTCAGTGAAGGTGGGCTCACCGCCTTTGGGCAGAAAACTTTCACCGCCAAAAAATTGCTTTCTGCCCCTCCATTCCACTGTCGCCAATCGACCATCACCACCTTGCACAACCAATAATGAAGAACTCCAAGAAGAAGGGAGGCCCAGCCCCCAGGCGCATCGCCGATGCGCGATTCGCCAGTTTCGAGAGCGATCCTCGCTATCGCCTGCCCTCGAAAAGGCAGGCGAAGACCACAATCGACAAGCGGTTCTCACACATGCTGAAGGACGATGACTTCACAGCGACCGCCAAAGTCGACCGCTACGGCCGAAAAGTGAAGTCCGATGCGAAGAAAAAGGCACTGCAGAGGCTGTATCGGGAAGAGGGAGAAGAGGATGAAGATGAGGATGAAGAGGACGACGAGGACAAGGACGAGAATGAGGATATCGAGGTGGACGCTGACGACGTGGTGCAGCGGGAGCTCCTGGCTGCCCATGCAAAACTCGACCCGGCTAGAGGTGGAGGTTTCGCATCCTCAGACTCCGACTCCGACGATTCCGACTCCGATGAAGAAGAAGGCGGCGTGGATACCGAGAAGAAGGGCGACATGCAAAGGTTTCAGGACGAGCAAGCCGATGCGGAAGTTGGAGAGGTTACGAATCGCATTGCGATTGTGAATCTTGACTGGGATCATGTCAAATCAGCCGATTTGATGGCTCTATTTTCCAGCTTCATTCCGACAAGCGGCGGTAGAATTGAGAAGATCTCCGTCTTCCCCAGCGAGTTTGGCAAGGAGCGCATGCAGCAAGAGGAGGTGGAGGGACCCCCCAAGGCACTTTTCAAGGACGAGGCACGGACCGAGGACTCAGATGAAGATTCGGACGACAGTGACGCAGATAGCGAAGACGAAGACGACAAAATCAAGAACGACCTGATTCAGGAAGGTGACGACCAGGACTTCGACAGCGATGCGCTGCGATCTTACCAACTCGATCGTCTTCGATACTACTATGCCGTCATGGTTTGCTCAAGCCCAGCCGTGGCGCAAAACATCTACGAAGCCACCGACGGACGAGAATATCAGTCATCCTCCAACTTCCTCGACCTGCGGTTCGTGCCTGACGACGTGACGTTCGACGATGAGCCCCGTGACGAGTGCGAAAAGATCCCAGACTCGTACAAGCCGGTCGAGTTTGTGACAAACGCCCTGCAGAGCTCCAAGGTCAAGCTTACCTGGGACATGCACCCCGATGAGGTTTCTCGAAAGGAGTCGATCAACCGCGCGTTTACTGGAAGCCGAGCCCAGATTGAGGAGAACGATCTGCGAGCTTACTTGGCGAGCGACAGTGAGGACGAGCAATTAGACGGAGAGGCGCCCCAGGTTGAGGAAGCTGGCGAAGATGAGCCCAAGCTGTCCAAGAAGGAACTGGCCCGACAAAAGATGCGAGCGGCTCTGGGATTAGGAGATGAGCCAGCAGCCAAGTCCAAGGGCGGTCCCGTGGGCGATATGCAAATCACCTTTACGCCTGCTCTGACAGAGGGCGCAGCCCCCAAGAAGACCGAGGCGGAGGAGACAACGCTCGAGAAGTACGTGCGAAAGGAGCGCGAGCGCAAGGAGTCGAAGCGCCAAAAGGCCCGGGCCAAGCGTGAAGGCAAGGATTCTGATGCCGAGGAGGTTGAGGAGGTAGAGGAGGTAGAGGAGGCACCTGGCGCTGACGAGGGTGACGATCTCGGCTTCGACGACCCCTTCTTCACTGCCGAGGAGCCCGTCCGCGCGACCAAAGCCTCAGTCCGAAAGGAAGAGCGCCGCAAGAAGCGCGAAGCCCGCGAAGCCGCCGAGGCCGAGTCGACCGCTGAGAAGGCCCAGCTGGCCAAGGTCATGGCCCAGGACGCCAACGACAACCAGGCGGACCACCTCGACCACTTCGACATGAACGAGATTCTCAAGGCGGAGAAGCTGAAGGGCAAGAAGGGCAAGGCCAAGAAGCGCGCCGAGGCCAAGAAATCGCAGTCGCGCGGCGGCCTGCAGGAGGATTTCGACCTGGATGTTGCGGACGATCGTTTCAAGGCCGTGTTCGAGAGCCACGAGTACGCCATCGACCCGTCCAACCCCAAGTTCAAGGGCACCGAGGGCATGAAGAAGCTGCTCGAGGAGGGCCGCAAGAAGAGGAGAGCTGGAGACGAGGATGCCGAGGTGCCGCGGACCAAGAAGGCCAAGAAGGGACGGAGGTGATGATGGACAATGGCAAGGTGGCGGTGTAAGGGATGGGCTTTAGTAATTTCAAAGGACATCTGGATGGCGTACAAAATACAGCACTTGGTTGATAATACATACAGTTCAAGTATCGTTCGTGATTCGTAAAGCAGATGGATGTACCCCTTTTTCGCCCTCCTCTAGGCCATCCTCGTAACGGGAAACGAAGCCCGCTCATCAACTCCACGCAACCCTAACCACAAAGCCACCCAACAAAACCTCTATAGAGCTGATTTGAACAGTGCATATAAAAACACGAGCTTATAACGCCAACATTGACGACGACCACCGGGACTCAAAACTGACTGACTCCTTTACACCGCGTCCAGGGGCTTCTGCCCGCTCCAGAAGTGCATTTTGCCGTAGGCGTGCACGTTGGGATCGCGCATCGACTTGCGGCACTCGACGAAGAAGAGCTCAATGGCGGGCTTTTCCCAGCCCAGCATGGGGAAGTGGATGGCGCCGACGGCGGGGAAGAATTCCTCGCACGCGGTGCGGTAGTACATGCCGACGAGTCGCATAACCCTAGTTGTCTCGTTAGGCTGTGTTACTTTCGAGTACTAAACGAGGACATCTTACTTGTCGCGCGGCCATGTGCCGTAGGGAAGTTTGATGTAGTTGTGCTTGATGTTGACGAAGCCCGCCTCTGCGAGGTACTGCCCGCCAAAGACGGCGGCGTGCGCGTTGGTGCCGAACTGGGCAAACGCCTCGAGGAGCAGTTCGGTGAAGCGCTTGATGGGCCAGTCTTTGGGAATGGAGTCGTCGTCGGTGTGGACGTCGCCATCGACGTCTTGGAGTTCGACCCAGGCGCCAGGCTTCATGTGGCTTAGACAGAGAGCAGAGTCAGACTCGAGCAGGGTGTTGGGGAATGTAGTAAAGGGGTACATACTCGTATGCTTGCTTGAGAAGGCCGACTGGGGACTTGAGGATGGGAATCATGTTGCGGAGGTGGACGAAGTCGAAGTCATCGCCGTTGAGCCACTCGTCTTCAACGTCGTCGACCAGGAATCTATACAAATAAGCAACGGCAAGTTTTATCACTGGCACATGTATGTAGCCCAATCGCATACTCACTTGACGTTTGGAGGGACCCAGACTGGTTGAATGGGACTTAGATCTAGCCCTAGAACCTCGGCACTTGGGTACTTGTCTCCCACTGCAATATGGGACATTCATGTTAGCCTAATAGCTCCCATTGAAAGCCCTTCTGATCCAGGAGACAAGACACAAGAGAAACAGTACCCTCAATGGCCCACAGCCCCGTGCCGGTGCCCAGGTCGGCAATCTTCTGCGGATAGTCCCCGATGGGCGAATAAAACAGGCGGCCGTCGGTGGCCTCGAGCATCATGGCGTGCAGCATGTCCTCGCGGTTCTGCTCGGCCTCGTCGTTGGGCAGCGGGTAGCGGCCGTGGCGGTAGCGGTGGTAGCGACGGCCATGCTGGTAGCTGTGCTCGTAGATGCTCGAGCTGACGGATGTTGAGTCGGTGCGGTCGCTGGTGGAGGCGGCGTCGAATTCGCTGGCCGAGAACTCGCCGTCTTCGTCGCTGCCGCCGGCTTCGATGAGGGCATCGCCGTGTAAGAGGCCCTGAGCGTTGGTCTGGGTTTGGGGTTGGTCGTCGTGTGGCGATTCGTGGTCAGGGGAGTGTTCTTCGGTGTAAGTCAGCTATACGTCCAATCTGCAGCAACTAACAGCATGTTGGCATATCCACCCGTCAGAGGTTGCCGTGTTGGTCTGCTCTCCGTCCAACTGCCGTATATCCTCGGATTCGTGGTGAGGACGGCGATGATGTAGGGAACAGGACCGCAATTCCTGCAACAAAAATCACATCCAATCCTTACCTTGAGCGACAGGACTTGAGCTGCCGCGCTTTGGGCTTGGGCTGCTCTTGGGGCTCGCCCTCGAACTTCGCCTGCCCTCTGAGGTCCCCATGTTGCTGTGCGAATGCTTGTACGTGTTGTCCACCCGCGCTGTGTCTTCTTTTCCCACCGACGCACAATTGGCAGGGGGAGTTTCAGACACGAGGAGAGAGAGCAGAGAGGACGAAGAAGGCCGAGCGAGCGACAAGCCCACCAAATGAAACGAGCAACGCAGGGCAGTACAGAGAAGAAGGGACGTCGAATGGACTAGTGGGGCACCGCTGGATTTGGGGCAGGCACGTCACTTGTTTAGTGTGAGCGTGTGGTGTCGCGGAAGGAGACAAGAGACAAGGTGGAAGAATGTGACAGGTAATATGAGCCGGTGGAGGCGGATGGCGACGATTGGAGAGGGAAGAGGGGAGAGGACACAAGGATAAATGAAGCCTCTCCCGACTGAACACGACCACAACGCAGATGAGATATACGGAGAAGAGGGGCACTGAGACACCTATTGAAGAGCCGACTTGCTTTTTTTTACTCTGCGGATCGTGGTTGGATCAGTGTTGGCGGACGCCTCAAAGCTTGGAGGAGCTCTAGTATAGCTCGGTATGCACGGGGCGGAGAGAGGCCAGGACGGGCGAGGCGAGGTCAAACCTTCAGCCGGAGAAGGCGGACGGTTCGAGTCTGGAATCGAATAGATCATATAGCATCCCGAGCTGGTGGTTGGCATGGCGCAGGGGCCAAGTTCGCGGAGGAGGAGGGGGAGGTTTCTCGGGAATGAGTAGCATCATGGCATCACGGAACGGTATATTCTGCCGTTTTCTTTTCCCTTCCCTCAATTCTCCTCCCCCATGCTGACAGGCTTGAAGTCGTGACACACCGATCCCCCCTCGGCAACCGCATTTTTCCAGATATCCTGTGTAACCATGCGCGAAAGCTGCGGGCCGGTTCAATCGAGCGGAGCCACGGCGCGGGACCAGCCACGCACCCGTCCATTCCACCAAGGCCAGCTCCGTAATTACGGAACTCTGTCAGCTAGCCGGCCGGTCCAAGTCTCCGCCTCACTGGGCACGGCATCGAATTGGCATGGGGGCATGGGCTCTAGCGTGTGGGCCAAGAGCGAGTATAAGCTTCCTGGGGAATGCGGATATGGGGCTTCCAGTGCAATGGAACAACGTTGGTAACCGACATGGCGGGCTGGCGGGGGAAAGGGAAAAGAAAGGAAAGGGAAAATAGATTGACGAGCTAATTTTAGTATGATGGGCTGCAGGTCAGTTGTCAATTAAAATCATCGGTCAGTCACAACTTTAAGTGGTCAACACATCGCCGGCCCGGTCTCGAAGGTCCAGCCCCGACTAACCCGGAGAACAGATGCGTCTAGGCCGCTCTGTGTCCGGGCTTGTCTTTCATGTCGTGACTTTCGGTAGTCTGGCGGTGGAGTTTCCGGGGCTGTGTGCAGTGCCTTGTCTGACTTTTCAGCAGCGCCCGTGATTACATATTCACTTGGCGATGACTGCCCGAGAGCCAGAGTGTACGCAGTCGGCGTCCTGGTGGAGATATGGCCAAGACACGCATGGCATCGTCTCACCCGAGCCAAGACCAAGCCAGGCCAACGATGGCCTGCTACGGGCCCACGATGCATGCGCGTGCTCTCCTTCGTACATGGTGTCGTACCGCGTGGGGGAATTTCTCGGCTTCGACAATCGGTGTGAGGAAGAGGCCACAATAGAAACAAGGCCACTCCAGCGCCATTATCGCTCGATCCCGTTCCCCGGGGGTCCCTTGACCGACCCTTTGCGCCAGCTACGCTAGAGGAGACCCTTGGACGCACCCTTGGCCGATCCGGGACTGCCGCAGCGCTCGGTGGGTTGGGGTTGAAAGAGGCAGCTCAGGCCGATAAGGTGCGAGCGGGTGTGGGAGGACGGACGGGGACTGGTTGGATGGTGGGATGGTGCGTACTACTGGAGGCCATCGAGAAAGGGATAAGCCCAGAGCAAAGCTCTTATCTCTCCACCAGTTCGCCTGCCGAGCTCGGTTTTCTGTCTGTGCCGTTCGTGTGTGCAGAGTCTGCAGTGCGGTGTGTGCTGTGCAGTGAGGGAGGCTGCAGTATGTGCACCATCGCCAGACAGGGGGCTCTGTGTGGGTGGGAGTTGAGATGCGATGCGATGCGCTGCGATGCGACGAGCGAGACAACAGAGAGAGTAGAGCCATTGCCGACTTGCACCCCAGAGTTTCGCCCATTCCGCCGTCGACGTGTTCTGGAAAACGCCATTCTCCCGCCTTTTCCCACAATCATGAACCAGCCGCCAAGTTCCATCGTTCGCTTCACCGACCCCGGAGCTTATCTTCCAGCCCCCGCGAGTGGGATGCCAATCCAACCCCATCCCACCAACTTTCGCCTTCACACCGGCGACGAGTGCGACACAAAAACTCGCTCCTCTGCCACTTCTAGCGCCCAGACGGGTTGCATCGAGATCACCCAGCCGCAGGGATTGTGAGGGAAGAGGGCGTGACATTTTTTTCGACGCCACCGCCCCGGAGAGGGGAGTGGCTACGGCGGTCCTCCCATCATGACGCTACTATTATCGGTGGGGAAACGCGTGAGCTCTTTTATTTTTCGTCTAGTCGCACAAGGCGGGTTGTGAGTGAGTGAGTGTGTGTGTGAGCGGGAAAGTAGGTAGGGTTGGATCGAGGATGGCGGGTTATATTAATATGAGCAGATGGCGGCCGTCTCGTGTGGCCTTGGATCGTCTCTCCCTCCCCCTTCCTCCTCCTCCCTGGTGAGGTTGATGTTTTGTTGTTGTTGACGCCCATCAACACATTCTCCGTTCTCCGTTCATCAATCCATCGTATTCTCTTGCCTTTTGACAAGGCCCAGGAAAGAAACATACCGAATCCATCCTCTCCCCCACCCGCATACATGGCCGCGACCGTCACGACGCCTCTCCTCCCGCTCTCGGCCGCCCCCACCGCCGCCATCGCCGCCGCCCCGGACGCTGCAGGCCGGCTCCAGATCCAGCTTCAACAGGCGCAGGCGCAGGCGCAACAACCGCAGGAATCCGTCGCCGCTCGCATCCAGCGCACCGCCATCTCGGCCTTTACCCTCGTGCGCTTCTTCCGCGGCCTGTCGCTCGTCGTCTACCCGCGCTTCGGCCTGTACGCCCTCGACGTGCCCTCAGATGGCTCCTCGTGCATGCTCGCGAGCCTCATCGGCGTGCGCGACATCCTGCTCGCCGGCCTGCTGCACACGGCCGACGTGACGAGCGCGCTGGAGGGCGATGCGTACGCGCGCCGCGAGCTCAGCCGCGCGCTGGCCGTCGGGCTGCTGAGCGATGCCGTCGACGCCTTCGTGCTGATCTTCTACGCCGCGTGGTCCGACGACTGGGGCAACCCGATGACCGTCATCATCGTCACGGCCGTCATCGCCATCCTGGAGCACCTGACGCTGTGGAGCCTGAGTGAGGACGAGTGGGAGGCCATGGAGCACCGCAGCCTCGAGGACGACAAGGTGTCGCGCATGAATGCCTGGCTGCGGGAGCTGGCCCGCTACGAGCAGGCGAGGCCCGAGTCGTCGCGCGGCTCTGTCCGCCAGCAGGGCGACATGGCGTGAATATATGTCGAGCGAGTGTTTTGTTTGCACGGGGTTGGGCGCTGGGTGGACTTGGCATTTCAGTCATGGGTGTTGGGTTGCTTTCTATCATGGGGTTTGGCTCGGAGTTCTGGAGCGGATCATGGCAGCGCAGGCGGGCAAGTGGTGATACCAACGAAGTTATCAAACGAAGTTGATGATTGTATGCACCGGTGGCCTACGGGCAACGAGTATGTAATCGGGTTTAATCAACCATATTTTCCAAAGCTCACGAGCACCGTGTTTGAACCAGTGAACAGCTGTCGAGAATAATTGGGAGGTCCATGGTATTCATCGTCTAAGATCTATGACATCAACAGTATACAACTGAGGCAACCTCAAGCTGCAAATCCTTTCCAACATCAGTGAAACACAACCGCCGCTCCATCCAATCGCCATCTACAGCCACCAGCACAAAACCCGTCATCACAAGATCATAAGCGGGCTTGGAGACCCTTGGCCTTGGATGCCTCGTCAGCCCTCGCCGCTTCGTTCTGCCGCTGCCACATCTCCTTGCGCAGGTCTGTGCCAGTCAGAAACGCGCGATGCCACTCCCTCTTGAACTTTGGCAGCTTGCGGCCCACCCCCGGCGCGCCGTCGCCAGCGAGCTCCCGCAGCCCGTCGAAGTAGTCCTCGAAGTCTGGGAACACGACGGTGAACTTGGGCCCGTCGCCGTGCGTCTTGATTCGCTCTGTTTCCCACTCCTGCATCGCCTCTACGGGCGGTAGAGTCCCTCGTCCGGCGAGTAGCCGCGCTGCGTACACGGCCTGCCACTCGAAGATCTTGAAGGTGAGTCCCGCGCCTACGGCTCCGACGAATAGCAGCGACGGATCGTGCTGCCACACGACGTGCTGGAACAGGTCTGGCACGCGGTTGTTCCGCAACGGCACCGAGGGCAGGAAGGGGAGCGTCCAGCTGTAGCCCGTGCCGAAGACGATGTGGTCCACGTCTGGGATCGCGTTGCCGTCCACCAGGTGCACCGTCCGGCCGCTGACACGGGCGATGGAGGGGTGCTTTTCGATCCGCGGGTGGTCGAATGCTGCGTCGCCAAAGTAGCCGTTGGCCGTGTGGCCTAGCACAATGGCGTGTACGGGCGACTTGACCGTGTCGACGAGATCGACGGCGATATCTGCTGCGGAAACAGAGGCTCCGACAACGACAACGCGCTGTGGACATTCGTTGTTAGCGCCTGAGTTGAGTAGTTCCCGCTGAGACTTGCCTTGTTTTTCAAGAGATTTCTCCCTCGGAAGTGTTTGCTGTGCAGCACACTCCCCGGACGAGACTTCTCAAACTGCTCAAGCCCGTCAATCGCTGGGATATACGGCACCCAGTAATGGCCGCTGGCGACCACGACGGCATCGAACCACTCGACCCACCAATAATCCTGCTCCTTGCCTTCTTTGCGCAACGTCACCTTCCACTCGGAGCCCACCTTCTCCACGCGCTCCACACACGTGCTGTACGAGATGAAGTCCTCGTAGCCGTTCCGCTGCACCAGGCTCTCGATGTACCCCCGGAGCACCGTCCACGGCCGGAACGGCGTGTCGGGGCCGTGCACGCCGATGGACCAGTTGCTCCGGATCTCCGGGATGGGCTCCTGGCTGAACTCCATGGCCAGGCTGTCGACGTTGGTCTCCAGGTAGGGGTAAATAGACGACTCTGCAAAGCGAGGCTGGTCCGACTTTGGCGTGAGGGCCGGCAGCCGCTCCGGGATGGCCACCGGCGCATCGGCAGAGCGGTCAGCCAGGCGCGCAAAGTTGGTGAGCGTCGGAGGCGCCGCCGAGTCGCCGATCCTGTGAGTCCATCAGCGACAGCGTCTAACAGTGGCCGACGACAGGCGCAACTCTACCAGCATCCTCCGGCTGCCTCGCGCCGCTCGAAGACGCGGATGAGGTCGAATGCCTTTTCCTGCGCGAGCGCATCGACCGCGATTGCGCCCGCGGGCCCGGCCCCAATTACCGCCACCCGTTTGGCCGGCATTGTGGAAGCGGGGGAGCGAATTCCCTCAGATTTGGGGTTGAATGCGCCACAGAGAGACTGCCCGGTCACTGATATCGCCGCCAATTGACCAATTCGCAACAGAGATTGAATAGAGAAAAATAATACAACGAGTGCGAAGTCTTACGAGGAGCTTCTTGATATCCGGACGCACGTAGCACCCGTTCTCCACTTTTAGCGCCGATTCCAGAGGCACGTCGGGGCAACGGCAGCCAGTCAAGCCATGTTCCGAGTGGAGTTCTGGCTGCGAAGCAATGATGCAGTTGATTGTGCTATATCACGCCATCGCCGGGGTCGGGGAGAGTGACATCCACAAACCAACTGCGATATTGAGTTGCTATGTATTTCTTTGAAGAACTGCTCATAATTCGAAGCAATCACTATAGTTTCAAGGGCCTTTTGACAGGTCAACAAAGTAGAGATGCGCTGGACCAAGAAAAGAAGTCAGTCGGATGTGACGCGGGGCTGTAAGTCATCTCCTGAGCTTGAAGATCCGAACTATCGTCGGGGCATCCGAACTCTGAAACTTTATGAGCTCAAATCGATCGATAGTTTATAGCTCTAGCGGGATTGAAACAATTAAATAATCATCTTACCGTCATTGGGTGCGTCTCGGGGTGTGTATTGAGAATCATTCTTCACCCCTCGTTAGGAATTGCTAACCAGATACACCTCGTTGCGTACATGCTCATACTGTCGTAGAACCCTATGCTTCAGCTCAATAACGCAAGATTATTACTACTACAGACTATCAAACAGGAAAAACCAGCTAGCCTTACTCAATGGCATGTTCACTGGTGCTTGCCGAGCCTCCGAATGGAGCCTACCGGCTAAAGTGAACCCGATTGGTCGGACAACTATGCTATACTGTAATATAAGAGACCCGTTTCTAAATCCTTTTATTTCCATGGACGTAATAGATTGACCAGTTCCACCTCGACCTGGTATGTGCACTCAATTATGGGTAATATAACGGCCGGACCGCCGACGAGCTCACCATCAAGGTTCGCCTCCTGGTCTAATAGATGAACTGTCGGTACGACGCGCTCCCGAAGCACCCCCACGCCTAAAAGCACCCATGTAAGCATCAAGTCGGAGAATAACTAACTCGGGGCAACATGGTCCACATAACCGCCGAGATTATGATCAGCTGTTTGCGTTCATAAACCTTGTTGTAGAATGAGCTGCCAGACTACCTCTCAAAACCTAGCTCAATTACGGCTTTACTGGTCGTCTCTATGTCGAGGGCTTGTCCTGTCATTAAAAAAATTCTCCACTCCTTCAGTTAGTCATGAAGCTGCTTTCCTTGATACAGTTTGCAGAATCGAAACTACAAAGACAAGACATTGTGCGTGTAACTGGGTGACCTAAGAAATCCACAAGCGGGTGATGCCACTCTATCAAAATGGACAATTCAGACACAATTATAATATTCCGAAGTCTTCGACGAATTTTACTTAGTTCAAAGTGTTACATCATTGCAGTAAATACATGCCATAGCCTATTTTCTCAAGGAGCGATGATATAAAGCAAGATACCTTATCAGTCTTTAGTTAATCCCGATTGACTGATTGATGGCTTCTTGCCCAGTGGACGCTCCTTATAACCCTCGACATAGCCAAAATATCCAATCCACAAGCCTAGTAAATGGGCACGTTGTAGGCATCAAAGTCATACATCCAGGTGTTGATAGACTCCTGGTCGTAGACGCAGTCAAACGAGGTGCCGTTATTGGACCATAGCGGACGCAGTGGCCAGCGGCAGATCGAATCAATGTTGCCTGTAGCACTGAGCGTTGCCGGCGCAACTCCATTCTCAACCCACTCAATGACGGTCTGCAAGGTTGTCTGGGGCCAAGGACCGCCTGGTTGGTGGGTGTTTGTGCTGCAATGCGCGCCGCCAGGGACAAGATACAGGCGGTAAAAGTCATCAACGGCCGCAACACTCTCATTGTAGCCCAGATCAGAGAACATAGTACTTCGAACGGATTCGTAGTAATGGACAGAGGAGCCTGCCGGGATCGAGTCGTCTGATTCACCATGAACATGGATCACCTTTCCACCAGCAGCCTGGAAGTCGGTGAGGTCAGGCCACGTGGTCTGCAGAGAATCACCATACTTGTTCATGCCATAAATCATCCACTCTTTGAGCGTATCATAGGTGACATTGTCGAGGTTGCTGAGCGTGGAGACGTCCTGGAGCTGAAGGAAGCGAGCAACCCACTCGCCGCCAAGGCCACTGATAGACAAGCCCCAAGTATCTGTGTCATCATCGTAGGCCGCAGCGGCATCACTGAAGGCTGAGCCAGGTTGATAGTTGAGGTATACCTGGCGACCCTTGGAGTCATGCAAACCGTCTAGGAACGCGCCAACGACGGCCACTCCCTCGGCGCTGACGGTTCCTTCTTGTGCTGGGGTTGGTGCGCTCATAAACTGGCGTTTGTTGAGGCCGCTCGCAGTGCTGGCATCGCACGAGTAAGATTGGCCGATGGTGCTGTTAAGGTCGAATTTCAGCTTGCAGAGATCTGACCGCGAGATTACACCGTCGGCCTTGCCATCGAGGGGATCGCAAGCGGCAATAGTCAAGTTCAAAATTTTGTCCAGTTCACAACTGGGAGGGAAATAATCCATTGTCTGCTCAATAACATTTCCTGTGAGATGGTTGACCTGTTGCTGGCCATAACGGAAGGCTGGAGCACCGATGGCAGCACCATCAAACTGATCAGCGAACCGCTGGACTTGGCTCCAGCCCTCGCGACCGCCCTCAGAGCAGCCCTGGTAATAAGAGTAGACCTTGGAGCCATCGGAGACGTTGTAGAGGTTCCTAGCGAACTGCTTGCCTAGGAGGGCGAGTTCATGGTGGGCCTGATAGCCAAACATATACACAGACTGCCAATTGATGGTGTTATTGGCCAAGAGGAAGACGGCGTCCCAGTCTGTGTCGAACGAGCCGAATCCGCCGTCAGTCAGGCCCGAAACAGCGCCAACGATGACGCCCGTCGGGATGCTCGAGGTGCCTGACTGAATAGCGAGACCGCCACCACCGGTAGATACATAGCGGTTCTGAAACTGGCTTGGTGCAGGTAGCCAATAAGTAACGTGGACAATATCTCCGGCAATGCCATTATGCGAGTAGGCGAAGGTGACGTTGCAGTAGTCGAAGCTACTGGTCGGATACCAAACGGAGCTGAAGGACGCATTGGCAACCAGGTTCGTCTCCACTGATGATGAATCGATGGTGATACCGAGGTTGAAATCATCAGCAGGGAGCGCCGACTGTGCATACGACTTGGTGCAGATATTGGATAAGGAAGCGGTGTGCGCGGCACTCGACAAGGCGGCAACCGTCAAAGCAACCCAGGCCTTTGAAGGCATTGCGATGGTTGGCTGTTGCAATTGCGTCTTCAATAAAGAATTAAAAGGTAGACTGGAATTCCGAGTGAGAGATGATGCTGGCTGTTGGTACGGGACCATGATCATACTTATAGACAAGACGTCGGCCATAGTCGGCCATACTCTACTGCTTCATTGAGAAGGACTTAAAAATCCTTGTGCCTAGCAACCCCAGCCATATTGCGGGGCCAGACCCAGAGCCATCTGGAGTTTGGAGACCTAGGTCATTACATCAAAGACATGACGTCCTCATCAACTCAATTTGGGTAGAATCAGGGGCAGGAGTGGCGATGTACGCGTCAATGTCGGCAGTGTATCCGTCGAGATGTGGAACCGATTGAGACATGGGTATTAAGCCGCCAATCGGGGTTAGGTTAACCGATGAACTCTGGGGTTTGTTCCATAACAGACCGTCTTTGTGTCTTCTTTGGGCCCTAACTTACAGTCCTTATGTAGTCTGTATTAATGTGCTAATATCGGGCCGATTATAATCACCTTAGGATGCCTGAGCGTGAGCAGATTCTGGGGAGACATTAAAAGTTAAGGATATTGCTCTCCGGGCTGTAGAGCACATGCGGGCCCATATTATTCCACCCCGCATTTTCCCTGTGTTCAATCCTTCACCTCGCGATGGTGTACTAGTTTCTACAAGTCGCTGTATGGAAGCTGGCGGGTGCGCGATATGCTCAAAACAGATATATATGGCTTCCGGCAGGTCGCCCCTGTGCTAGGTTGTGCTTGCTGTTGGCGGTGAGGACCATGCGAGCCATGTCGGCGAGATGGGATCAGAGCGAGGGAGAAAATACAGGGTAATATGACTAACACCATGAGTAAAATCGAGGCCGTCCACAATTTTACCCAAGCCGCTGGGGAACTACAATCCGGCATGAAGCACTCGGCTCGAGATCCGGGGGCGGGGCCTTGGGCAACACACACTCCTTCGCGTAGTCATGCAAGCTCGCAATCCTGGAAATACTAAGGGGTAGAGATGGCGTCACCGTGATTCAATGGTTTGTTGCTAGTGTCTGCCGCTTTTTTCTTGTCGGATTGTGAAGGAAACTTGGAGGTTAGAGGTGTTAGGCGTAACAGCTGCAATCGAAATATTGGACTAGATAGCTCTGTCGAGAACTATTCAAGCTCAACGCTACCAGGGTGCACATTGCCAAGACTATAGGAACATGGAATAAGCTTCCTACCTGAAGGTAAGAAAAATTACCCTGCACTAAGTTATAGAATTACCTGAAGCTACGTAAATATAGTAAGAATATTTATTTACTCTATTTTAAAGAAACATTTACTATAACTTAATAGAATGTTTAAAGTAGATAATACATTTCAATTCATTTCTTTGTTAAGTTCTCTTTTTTTATTCTATTAGGATTGACTATTCAGTTTAATATTAAGAAGAATAAGAGTGTTTTTTTACGGGTACCTATGGGAATTTTGCTGTAAACGCTAGACTGGGTTGATAACACATGAAGAGTCACTCAAAAATACTATTTACGTAAAAATTCCAGCATTATCGTTGCTATACCAGTAAAATCACACAAGAAATTACCAAGACTATCCAGCATTGCCTCATGCGATTCCTATTCTCCTGATCTGGCCTGAGTCGTTACCCTGATTAAGCCCTCAGCTTTGATACTCTGTTCTTAGTAGCTTCCACTACCTTGTCCTCGTTGTAGATAGAGACCACAGCTGGTTGTTGAATAACTTCCTGTGCCCACTTGTAAAACTTAGGTGCGGTATCTCGAAGCTGTTCAGTGATACTAGCTGGGGCGAGTCCGCGCTTTGAGAAGCTGAACAAGCGGAGGACGAACGGGCCAGTCAAGACCTTCAAACTGTTTCAGTGTTCTGTGAATTAATATGCATTTGGGATCAACTAACCTCAGCCAATGTGAGCTTTTGGTGGCCACCAAAGAACGGAGCAGCATCAGCAAGCAACGGCTCCACCTCCTTTGAGATTGCAGCGACAATGTCTTTGGCCGAGTCTTCGGCATCTTTATCAGACTTCGAAAAAACAATCTTCCCGTAGTGAGGCTGGATCTTGGAGAACCAAGCATCAACAAAGAATGCAATTCTTGCTCGAACAAGAGGGCCATTTGCATCAGCCGTTGAAGGGACCAAGTGCGACGGGTACGTGTCGGCCAGGAACTGGGCTACAATTGCAGACTCCGTAACAATTTCCCCATTATACGACAGAGATGGAACCAGACCTCGGGGGTTCACCTTCAAATACTCGGGTGATCTGGGGACATCCAAGTCGATAATCTCTTCCTTGAATGGAATTCCCAACTCGGCGAGAACGATGTGTGCTCGATGAGCCCCTGCGCACGTCAATGAGACAGAGACTCCAACATAGATTTACTAGCAACATACATGGACACCGGTGGTTGGTGTAGAGAGTGATATCTGCAGCAGCCGGAGAACCCATTGCTTCTTCCTAGTTTTCGTAGTATGAATTCCTTTTCTTAGAAGCAAGTATTTGAGGTGTGAGAGGAGAGTTGCTGTATCTTTCAGGCTCGTTTCGTTCCTGTGGTCTTATATTCTGAAGCTACTCACAACCTCTAGGCAGGCGATGGTGCTGTAGATATACAATTTGTTGAGCATTTAGCATTATTAATCCACGCTATTGTCGCCAGTTTTAGCCTCAATGAGGTGCGCAAGCCCGATTGCATCATTTTGACCCTCCAATCGCCGAGCGGAGCTCCGCTCGAAGATCATGGAGTGCTTGCGGTGCAGAATTGCGCTATTTATGTTACAATTACCGACATATTTCCGAGGCAATCATAAGAGATAACAATACAGAGGAAAACAGTGGTAGTGACGCTGAAAAGGATGATTTGAATTTACTTAAAATATGTATAAAAGCCTAGGCGAAGAAACAGAGGCTGTGCTATGTTGAATAGCCAACCCTTGTAGCTCCCATCTAGACTGTACTAAAACAAAGCAATATATATTAACCTTTCAGTAACGACACCACTGGCGGTATGCATGTAACTTGGTCGAACAGACATAGGTATCGCGATGAGCTCTCTTCAAGAACGAACACCCGCCCTTCTCTCTGGCCTAAGGCCTGATCGCAATCTTACAACGGGACTATTGGTGTAAACCGCGCCTCCGTTTAACGCAGATAGATTACGTCACCGACTCCAAAACCTGTAGACTGACCCATAAACCTGCTGCGTGAAACTGTGACGAACCCAGTCCAAGATCCACTCTGAACCTCCTGATCTTCTTTCACTGATTTGACCTGCAAGTAGTCTCCGTTGTCAAACTTCAACGTCCAGCTCTGGGGGAACTTTTTACCGGACCAAGGCGACACCCACGCATTGTCCCAATCCACCGAAAGGACCAATGGCAACACCAGAGTAGTCTCTTCACCGACACGGACAGTGGCATATCTCCACGAGTCAGACGCAGTCCAGTCGTACGCCCATACACTGACTCTGATGTTGGGGTCAGGGAAGTGAAACTCAAACCAAGTGAAGTTGCTCGGAGCGCCTTGAATGATTTGATGATCGTACCAGGTAAATGACTTGGATGGGTCGATGGTCAGAGGCTTCTTTTCCCCGAGTGTGAGCGTTCCAGAAGTGCGGGCAGCTGGAATGGACCAGTGACTGCAAGTCACACGGCCAGGTCCCCAAGCGATGACACCATTGCCGCCATTGAGCAAGACTTTCGATGTTTTCGCCTCTACATCGAGAGAGAAAGAGTAATCGGGCGCTTTGGCGTAGAGTTGCAACTCAGAAATCTTATCCGGGACATCGGCGATGATTGAAAGGTTGGGAAAGCTGATGCTTAGAGAATCCGCCGTTACGACCTTAGTGTTGTTGGTGATCTCGCAAGTATCCGTATGTTTCGAGTATTCCAAGGTCTGAAGGTCGAGCAAAGAGGACTTGCAAAAGTTGGAAAATTGGTGGTGAATAAGGAGGAACTGCTGTCCCGTAGTTGCGGTTACGAAAGCGCTGCTCCAGTACGACCCGCTGTTTTGGTCCTCAGACAAGTCAATCAGGGAGGGGATTCGTTTCTTGATGAAATTAGCATATGAACCATCTCAGAAGCCTCGTTTTTGAGGAGTAAAACCCTGGGGGTTACTTACATTCTCCCAAGTATCGTGTTTGTCCGGCTGGAAACGATAGGCTGCAGTCGTCGTGCAAAGCCAAAGGCCGACCACGACTTTGATGATAGGGAATATCATAGCGCCTTAGCTGCTGCCAGGTGTTATTTATGGTGTTATTGTAAGATATGTGTGTTAATGAGGAAGCTATAGACATTCGGCCTGGATGGGAGTGCTCTTGGTGATATTTGTAGTTACACCTCACAACCCTGACCGGAAGTGCCGGAGACTCTTCATTTCTTCTTACGACCTCGGGTACTGCAATTTACTGGCTCTAGAATAAATCTTCCTTCTATTCAGGGTCTTCACGGCTCGCGAGTAGCGATCCCTCCGCTTTTCGACGAACAAGTGACCAGGGTTGGGAAGCTAGGCCCACACAGAGAGGCATCGACCACCTTGCGGCTGTGTAGGCTTCGTGACATCGTAGCATCGGGGCCGTCCTTGATTCCGATCTGCCGAAACAGTCATTAGGTGCGGAGGTTGGTGTCGGAAGTTCTGCCTAGACGAGAAGAACAGAATGCTAGCCAAGATGCGCAGATCCAGCCACAACCTTACTTGCCACGCCAAATCTTACTCCGCAAACGTCATGGCGTCAATTTTGGAACTAGTCAGGGCCCAAACGATGAAGCCGATGATTACCCAACGATATAATATGCCCAGTTGACAAGACCCAACCGGCATCCCCTGAACGGAAGATGATGTCAATAGCAATTTCACAAGGCTTTTACTTTACTGGTGGGGAATAGTTATGATCCAACATCGTATTCCATGAGGAGAGAAGGTCTGGTGAAATAATTAGGCGCGTGGTAAATTGCAATGCTCAAACACATTAAGATCAACCACCGGGTTGCGTGCGCACATCTCCGTAGCTCGGTTGCCCCATGTTCACTCGATTCCGAGCTCGACACGGCGTTGATGCCAGGATCTATCCATGAGCGCGCCAGCTTGCTACCCAAATTAGACAACCTTCGAATTTAATGCATGAAATTAGAGGAAATGGCTGGTTCTTTATGATACCTGTTAATACAATTTTCTAACCGGCTTATTCTAGTCCATCAATTATTTAATAAATGCTATTCTATGTCTAATCTATGCTATCAAGCCCAGACGAAGTAATTTAGACAGGAAAAACCTTACAGCTATAAGATCGTTTAGCTGCAGGATAAAAACCTCCCTACTTTATCACACTACTAGCCCTAAGACCACCTTGTTGTCATCGTATCTACACTTGCGCTATCAGTGCAAGCCTTATCCAGAGAGCCTATTCTACAATACAATCTATGCCTCGCCCAATGATATACCTTTCCGTAAAATAATGCAAATTCTCCTATCAGTCCCAAACCAGAAGAATTAGTACTTGGCCGCTAGCTTAAAGCCAGTCTCGTGAAGTCTCGCTCCAAAGACCACAACAGTACCAACGAGGCAGAAGACACCCGCAAATACCTTCAACCCGGTAAAAGATCCGTTATCCGCGTCCAAAATTGCTCCGGCAATGGGATTCGTCACCAGACCTCCGATCGAGCCACACATGAACAGAAGGCCACCCCTGTAACCAAACTCGGCAGGCGGGGAGATCTCAGCCACGAGTGCTGGAGAGAGTGAAATGTATGCTCCAGAGAAGAACCCGAAGAACGCGGCAAATGAAATGAGCGCTGCGTTATTGCTGGCAGGTATCCAGAGCCCGAGAATTAAGATTCCGGTCATGGTGCAGACAGCGGAGAAAACGTTGAAACGTCCGAGCTTGTCGCCGATGAGACCAGACGACGATCTTCCAAAAAAGCTGCCGGATGATTAGCGGATAGTCGGATTAACCCTGGGAAAGACAAAACAAACCTGGCAGCGTTGAGAATAGGAACAAGGTATTGGAGAATACCATTGCCCATCCCGGAAGCACGCGCTTCCACAACGACATAGTCGATTGGAATGAAAATTCCAAAGGTAACCAGGAAGAACCCACTCATAAGGAAGAGACTCTTTGGCTCCCGGAAAGGAGCCAGATGGTCCTGTTTCATCGATACCTTGCTGTGTGACACGACTCTTTGTCTTACCGTCAAGTTGGCCATGATCAAGAGGAACAAGATGAGAAATGCCGAAATCCGCATTGCCCACGGAAAGCCGACTTGGCCAATCAAGTGCGTAAGCATGATGGGGAAGATGACACCACCGAGACTGGATCCGGTCGAACAGATGCCAAAAGCAGCGCCTCGTTTCTTGTTGAACCATTGAGGTACCGTGCTGAGGGCTTTTGAGAGTATGGTTAGCCCAAGGTGGCAGTATTCAATGAGAGTCTCATACCTGGCTGGAAGATGGCAGACGCGCCAATCGCACTGCAAATGCCCTGGGAGAGCAGGATCTGATAATACTTGGTCGATAGGGACGCCATCATCAAGCCAAAGACATGCAACAAAGTTCCACCAAGAATCAGGCGACGTGGTCCATAGAGATCATACAATCTTCCTACCACGGGACCCTGCAGCAAGTCACTCGTTAGGCTGCGAATAATGATTGAAAGAGAGGGGATGGAGTACACACCATGGCCATGATGAAGAAGATTTGCAGGGATGGAATCCAAGCGATTGTGCTAGAAGAGTAGTCCTTAAGGATGTTATGCTCATAGTAGTCCTGAAAAACTCCCACGCCTTGAGATTGGGTGTTAGTCAAATCTCTGTTATCAGAAGATTACCATGGTGAACGTACTGTTGATCCAGCCAAAGCTGCAGAATGATGTACACCATGTGCCAAACACCACTAGCCATGCCGTAGCACCTCCATCTGGGATTTCGTCGATGGCACTACCGGGATTTTCAGGACCGGTCGCATCCAAATCGTTCTTTTCAGCCTCGCGGAGCTCAGGGAGCTCATGGGTTGAGTCAACTTCGGTCATGCTGTCGTTGGTCGCCATCGTGATGTTCAGAGTCAGTGTGAGACAAAGGTGATGAAGCGATAATTCCTCGAAGCCAGGCTTCGTTTTATAAGGTTCTTCTTTTGTCGATGACTCTAGCAATTTGACGTATCCCGGGAATTACGGCATGTAATTGCATGGTGCAAATGCCCGAGCTATGGAGCCGGACATGACTGGATCACGCGGATCGCGGGCGAGTGCGATCCATCTCAATATGCCGAGATGCAAATGCATTGAACTAGTGTCCGGTTTGATAACTTCACACACATGTTCTCTGGTTAGCCTTAACAATCCCCTTCGCATTGAACGAGAGGACAGGTGAAATGACCGATTCGCCGAAGCATCGACTTGTTAAAACGCCGTGCCTAGCGCAATTCGCGCGATATATGGATCTCAGGCTAGTGAGAAGGTCGGGGATAAAAAAGCCTGTCAGGGCGACGGTATCTCCGCTATTGACGGCGCTAAGGACATTTGGGCAATCAAAGGGCGTCGTTTACTTAACTTAAGTACCATGCAGCCAGTATGGGGAACGGACATGACGCCGGAGCCGAAAATAATCCCCGTTGTTTTGGAGGTGACGGCCAGGAAATGGGTCCTGTGGGACGTAGCATGGAATGTAGTACGGGCTGGGAATCTTATCAATCATTAGTCTTATCAATCGTGAGCTACTTGTGCCAGGCATCTAACTTATGGTGTTGTTGATGGTCTGATGATGACGGTCTGCTCGCAAGTCAAGCATCTGTTCGCCATCAATGTCTGAATGTCAAAATGGAAGACTTTCTGCATTTCTTCTGATTAAAGTGAGGATAGCCACCCAAAGCTCAAAGCCGCACACAATTAAAGATGGAAGTCATAGACAAAGACTCCACGAGCCTCTGAGGACCGACTGTAGGGTATTTTCTTGGGTATGTGAGCGAACGAACCAGTTAGCACACCCAGGCCCCTAAGGTGTCCACCCTTCACCACATTTATTTTAGAGACTCAAGAGATACTCAGTTCGAAGTAATAGAGGGATTCATGCGCCCAACCCCTAGCAATTGATCTCACCGATCGCATCCTTCATACTCACTTTTTTGGATGATTTGGTGGTGGAAATTTAGCACGGGGTCTTCCGGCTCAACCGAACATCCTGGAGCTCACCAATGGGTCAACAAGCCCAGTTCCAAGGAGAGCGGTATCTGAAAAGGCAACATTGGTAACGTTACACAACGGTGATTTATGAATCGCTATACCTTGAAAGCATCCCAACAGACTTCAATTCGAGGCTTCGGAACGCGAAAGATTGTTTATTTTGGAGATCGGCTTGCCTCAGTCAGCAGCTAGCATCGCGGAACTTACTTATCCCGGCTGCACGCGCCGCAACACGTGAAGTCAGACATCCACCGCGATGAAACCGTGACGTCGATGCTGGCAAGTTGCCAACTCGCCGTAAAGATCCCATATCGCTACACCAAACAATTTCCCACGACGCCTCGCGCCCACGCTCGTTAATCGCCCAAGATGCCCTCCCCCATTGTCAATGCCACGCTCCAGGCGGCCGCTCTGTCCACGGCCTCCAATCTGTTCGCCCAGGTCCTCCTCGCGCGCCAGGAAAAGGTCAGGATTGCTCCGCGCGCGTGCCCCGTCTCCGTCCCAAATGAGACGCCCGAACCGTCCTGATCGTGCCCTTCTTCTACGCCATTGCACCTCATAAATGCAGCCCAATTGCTAATTGCCATCGCCCTGTAACAGCGCGCTTTGACGCTGGATCTTCCCCAGCTGCTGCGCTTCGTGGCCCTCACACTCCTGACGTCTCCTCCCAACTACCGTTGGCAACAGTTCCTGGAGCGTACTTTTCCTGCTTATCCTATTCCTCGCCGCAATGAGCGTCTTGAAGATATTGAGATGACGCCTCACGACGATGATGCGCCTGAGGGGAAAGAGGGCTTCCCCTCACGCCCGGGGACACCGGAGCCCAAGTTCAGCCTCAAGAACACACTGACCAAGTGGTTTGTCGACTGCATTTCTGCTGGAGCAATCATGAATACTGTGGCATTCCTACTTATCATGGGCGTCTTCAAGGGCCAGTCCGGCTCTCAGATTTGGAGCAATATCATGACGGTCAGTCCTCGACCCGTTACAATCTATCCTCAATCCACTTACTGTCAGTAGGAAACTATCCCTATTATCGTGGCTGGATACAAGGTCTGGCCGATTGCCTCCATCATCAGCTTCACCTTTGTACCTGTCCACCGACGGATTGTGTTTTTGAGCCTCATCGGGTTTGTCTGGGGTATTTACATGAGTATTGTTGCTGAAAGGGTGTAATGAGTGCAATGTCTAAAGAACTGGTGAAATTAATGCTACCACGGGACACAATGGATATGCCCAAGGATGCAAGTAGTCGATAATAGATCAGTCAGATTCGTACCTCGTGTCGTAAACAAGGCTAGAAGAAGTAGTGGACGTGAAGCATTTGTCTTGCTGCTCAGCAGTCATTATTTGCACATGTCGCTCCCGCGCATCCATCGTGGACTGTTGTCAAAGTCATATTGGGATCCAATTCTCGGTTGCTTTGGCTTATTAGGTTTGTTGACATCAACACCATGCCTTGATCGTCGTCGCTTTGGCTGAGCATGGAGTAGACAACATGAATTATGTACCAGCCGTTGGCAGGAACTTAATACTGGGGCCAAACAAAGATGCCGGCATGATTTCACGTACAGAGGTGGTGCAATGGTACAGTAAGGCTCGCAGGCCTAATTTGATCCTCTGGACAGACAGGTAGGAGAATCTTTGAGCATACAATTGCGACCATGTTAGAGAATACACTGCGATTGTCGACGTTTAACATCTGCTACTTAAAGTGATGCCCAGATCTTCCTTCCAAACACAAGTCCATTCGTCACAACTGTGTCCAACAAGAAAATGCATCGATTAGCCTGGCTCCCGTCTTCTAATTAGATGGCGTGCTTACCAAAAGAAAACCAATATCGTTGACCTTCGCGATTTTAGAAACCCAAGTCCGACAATCCTTGAATTCCTCCCACGAACTGGTTCGTCGTAGGCCGTCGAAACAAGTCCCACTCATCCGCTGCTATCTTGTCCGTCAGTTGCCTCCCCGTGGCGAACTCCTCCTCAGCGGCCACAGTCGTGGTCTCATCCACATCGCCAGGGGGCTTCATAATGGGAAGACTCATTAAAGAGGCAGGCCCAGGCACAGAGTTGTCGGCCGCCATCATCGCAGACGTCTCAACCATCAGCTCCTGCGGCGGAAGCTTCACTCCCTGTGTCCACTTAAAAAGTTCGTCCTTGTCCCATACTTCCTTGATCTGCTGCAACTCCTTGTGGTTGTTACCGTAGTACGCCTGCTCGTGCGCCTCTGGTAAGAGCGCCTCGTCGGGGAAATTGATGAATGCGGCCCGTCCGCCCATGGAGAAAATCCTCAGTTTCTTGTTGAAGTTTTCCAAAAAGTCTCTCATATCCCTCTCCAGCCATTTCTCCTGCCACTCGATCATGATGTATGCATTGTAAGCACAGCCACGCCAGCGGAAAGCGGAGGCATCGCGGGGCCACTCGTTTGCCTTCCCGCCAGAATGAATCCATGTAACCTGCAACAGACCCTGTTCTCCAGTGAAGCGCTTTCTGAAGTCATTCAACTCGTCTCTGATGATCTTTGTAATCTGTTCAATTTTTTCCTTCTTGTTCTTGAAAACGAACGAGGTGTAAATTCTGTACGCCGCATTCGAGGGAAAGGCCTTGATGATTTCCTCCGACCACTGAGTGACGAGCGTCTCGTGGAGAAAACGAGTGGACTTCTCTTCAATTGTCCGTCGTTTGAGTTGAGTTGACAGCTCTCCCGTCCCGAGATGTTTGTCCATCAGGCTGTCGAATTCGTCCTCCTTGCCATCGTAGTAGACAAGGAACCGAACAGCAGGCTCGGTTCTGGTTTGCGAAAGGTCGCACAACCAGGAGCTGTCGATGGTCATTTCCTTTGGCCAGTCTGCCGTGTAGAAAGTATTCATTGTCTCCATAAAGGTAACCATGTACGGTGGCGTCGGGAGAGCAGCTGAACTTGCGGGATCTTCTGGATTTGTGGGAGCTGCTGGTTCTGTGACATCTGCTGGCTTTGTGGGATCTTTTGGATCTGTTGTGGGTGGTGTCGGTGACCACGTAAATCTCCCAGCCACCACCTTCTCGCCTCGCAGCTGCTGAACCTTCATCTTCATCTCGACCAGAACGCCGAAGTTGCCACCTCCTGCACCGCAAAGTGCCCAGAAGAGTCTGTCTTCTTTTCGAGTTTTGTTACCACTTTCTTTGACAGTAACCAGCTCACCATCTGCGGTAACAATAGTGGCCTCTTGCAGAGTGTCGCTTCCCATCCCGAAGCTTCGTGTGAACGGTCCGAGACCACCACCCAAGGTGAAACCGCTGACTCCCACGGTAGGACATCGTCCACCGTTGATGATGTACCCATCATGATGGTCATTGACCAATGTTTTGTACGCATGGCCCCACAGCGCACCGCCCTGCAACGTAACCGTTTTCGATTTCATGTCGAGTTCGACGTCGTTCATTTTGACGAGGTCCAGCAAGATACCCTCGTTGGTCATGGAAAATCCTGCATAAGAATGCCCGCCATTCTTAATCCTGATTGGGATTTTGTGCGCTTTCGCTCGCTTGACGATCACTGCAACATGATAATCTTGCTCGGGCTGAACAACGCAATCAGGTCTTGTGAAGCGGTACAAGAGGTTTGAGGTCGCGACGGCACGTTCATACTCCGTCTCGCCAGGTTTGTGCACCGTGATTTTTTTCTTCTCGAAAAACTTGATGTGCTCCATGGCATTTTGCCGGGCCTGTTCCATGGCTCGCGCGGCCGCTTCATGTGCTGCTTGGTCCATGGTATTCGAGAATGATGAGGCCAATTAGAGACTGAAGGTTGCAATTATGTGTTGCCGTCGCCTACGACTGAGTGTTGATGTTCCAATTGTTATTCGTGGGGGAATCAATCCAGACGCAGATGAATCAGGATCAACCCGAGCGAACCATGGGACTGGTCACTTCTTATACAAACCTGTGATACCGAACTACTTTGCAGGGACGCGCCGTTTGTCTTTGTACTTGGTATGCATTGGGCCGACTTGTAGCCAGTGCTTTTTTATTGGGTACGTTTGCATGGAATGTCTTAGTATTGGCCTCTCGGCAACCTATATTAACCACTAATACGTGAAGATCAAGAGTCAGTCCCCATCATCAAACGCCTCTGTAAACACTACGGTAAATTGGTGTCTAGTGGATGCAGAAAGTTCAATAGTATCCTGTGCGTTCCTGTAGGAAGCCGATTCCAGGTGTGACACAAAGCTCCGCACAAGGCTCCGTGGCCAATTGGGCGCGAACACGTTGATCGGCTGCCCCATCTGCCGCTTCATGAGGAATGATTCCAGCCAGCCTCACATCGATAGTTTTGAGACGCCCGCATTTCAGCTAGCTTCTATATCGTAAATGTTTTAGGTTACGTGAAGGCCGAGTCTCCTTGCTGACGCAGAAGCCACAAGCGACAGTCTTCCCGCTCATCAAAATATCCGGGAGTTAGACGACATCACAGGCAGATTTAATACCGTGTTAGTGGCCTTGCGGAAGTGCGTTGGATGATTGGCGCACTGCAGGTTGAGGGGCGGTAGTATTGATTCAGGTATCTAAATTTGAGGAGCCTAACGTGGTGTTGGTGCTGTCTTGAGCCGTCAATTGTGTTTTATCTTAACATACCGCCGCGGCTTGTGGCTGAGTTGCTTGTCGATCCCGATTTTCCTTACATCGATAATGAGAATAAATAGACGTTGCGTTTCAATTGCGGACTCTACAAAGACAGCACGCAAGGCGACGTGGATTGGGGGGTGGCATCAAGGATGTAGATTCAACTACTCATGCACGCACTCGGCGAAAGCCTGACCCAAAATATATTCATTAACTAAGCAGTGATATGTGCGACAGATAATCTAGAAATACATGCCAGATCCGCCTCAGCTTCCTACTCCTCATTGAACATCGGACGCCGCGACATGCAACCGTTTCGTCATTTTGGTTAAGTGACAAGACCGAGGCACTGCGGATTCACTCTGAGCGCGCTCTCCTTTTGTTTTCATCTGACAAGGATTCGATTGGGAGAATATCTTGGCGGTAGAGGTAGCTAATTGCCCCCCTGGCTTGTCAGACATACACACCAATCACATCTCTTGGGTTATTTCCTGCACTCTGCCAACCCAACCGCCACACATATTTTCTCAACTATCATTCGCAGGATTTCCGGTGGCGGTCACCTGGTCATCTCCCGAGCTGAAAATCACTCAGCCGCACCTTGTTGCTGAGTCATTGCGTTTGCCTGAGGCGTAGGAAATAATCTCGCGGCTGAGCTGAATCAAACCCGGATCATTCCTGCTTACCATCAATCTTTCTTCATCTGAGACACTCTATCCCCTAGACGGCATTCTGATACCTAATCTACCGTGGCGTGAGTATGGAGAGAATCGTGTTCAGGCTGCGGCAGTTACCACACCATGTCGACAGGTATGATGCCGCCGAGTTACTCCGCGGTGCCCTCTGCATCGACCATTCCGCCATCAAGCTGTGCTCCTTGGCGCGAAGCCTTGACCCTTGGTTTGAGAGCAAGACAGCTACTCTGATGTTTAATGAAACTCCCGAACTTCGAGACATTCTCTACGATGGCAAGGCACAAAACGTCGTCAAGTCTGGTGATGAGTGGAGGATCCAGGTCCAGAATGCTCCCAACAGCCTCATTCTCGACACGCATTTTCGGGGCTTGACGCCCTTGCATGACCCTACCCCCCATTCAGCAGAGTAAGAACCCCCCCTGGACATAATCTAGCGACGTCTGCTAACAGTAGGAGTTGCATTGCAATATCGGGTCTGTCAAGCCATCCATTTGGGTCATGGCAGCCAAAAGGGTCCTCAAAAACATTCATGTGGATTCGAGATGCTCTACCCAAATCTATGCCTAATATCAGACCGATCTTGTACGGCTACGACACAACGCTAGTCAACAGCAACTCTTTTCAGTCCATCTTTGACCTGGCCCGCGGACTTCTCGACCAACTCAAAGCGAACGGGTGGGCATCTCCTGCTCCCAAGCCGCTCATATTTCTCGCACACAGTTTGGGAGGTCTTGTTTTGAAGCAAGCGCTTGTATTCCTCGCCAATCACATCGAGCGAGATGATCCAATGCGACGCGCTATAATCGGGGCTGTCCTTTTTGGTGTACCGAATCTTGGCATGGAACAATCGAGACTGTTCGCCATGGTTGAGGGAAAGACCAATGAAAGCCTTGTTGCTGAGCTGGCACCTGGCTCCAAGTACCTTGAACAACTTCACAAACAGTTCACTGGGATATCGTACCTTCAGGACTGCTTGCTCTATTGGGCATACGAAACCTGCAAGTCTCCAACTGTAATGGTAAGAACTCTTTTGTGCTGTTGATAAGGCCACTGTATGTGCTGACACTTAGCAGCAAGATTCACAGGGAAAATGGCTGAGAACGGGCCCTGTTGAGGTATTAGTCGATCCAGAGTCGGCAGCTCCTGGCCGCGACAAATCTACCGAGGAGCAGGATTCGATATTTCCTATCAACGAGGATCACTCCAACATGGTCAAATTTTCTGAGAACGATCCTAACTACTCCGTGGTGGTTAAGAAGTTGGATTGTATATTGGAACAATCCAGGTCAAGGGTCTCAGGAGCAGGTTTGGCAAGGACCTTCACATCAGGATGGGAGACCGGCGTACCGACAAACGGAATCCATCGTGCTCCAGGAAAAAGCACCGCTTTCACTCGTAAGGAGCCCTCCCTTAAGCATAAGTTTTGAGAGAGCTCGTACTAACATCAAAACCTAGGCGTCTTGAAATCTCTCCGGACCCCAGAACTGGACCGCCGGTTGGAACAGATTGAAGACAAGTTCCGCAATACCTTTGACTGGGTTTATGACCGCCCGCAGTCAAGATTCAGTCACTGGCTCCAACATGGCTCGGGTCTTTTTTGGATCAACGGAAAACCTGGTTCTGGGAAATCAACATTGATGAAATTCATTTTCAAAGATCCTCGCACATCGAGTCTACTCTCGGATTGGAGAGCTGACACCTCCCATATCTGGGTAGCATTCTTCTTCCATTACCGGGGAACCAGATTACAGAAATCTTTCGAAGGCCTCTTGAGAAGTATTCTGTCCCAAATCATATCAATCGAGCCGAAACTCCATGTCTTTCTCGCTAGATTGTTCATGGAAGACGACCTCACTTTCGAAGATTGGACCTTGCGAATGCTCCAGGCTGGTTTTCATGCTATATTGAAACAAACGGAAATACCCCTCTATCTTACTCTGTTCTTAGATGCTCTAGATGAGTATGATGGGCGATTGGAGTTCATTTCCAAGTTTCTCCAAGATATCGCCCAGGTTCCTTTGACTTCTACCAAAAGCATCAAGATCTGCTTTTCCAGTCGCCCTTGGCCCATATTCTATGAGCATTTCCGCGAGTGCCCCGGATTTAGCATCCAAGACTTTACCGAGAATGACATCAGGGACTACTGCCTCGGCTCCATCTTGGAAGAAAGACTTCCACCAATGACGCTCGAAGATTTGATCCCTGATCTGGTGATGCGTTCTCGGGGCGTTTTCCTGTGGGTGAAACTCGTGGTCAAGCAACTTGCCACGTCGGCTCGAAAGAAGCACACCAAATCAGACTTGGAGAATCTTTTGAAATCTTTGCCCACAGAGCTGGACTCGTACTACGCCGAAATCATTGAACGGATCCCACACGCGCACCGATGGGAAGCATATGCTATGCTTGAAATAGCTGTCAGATCCGAGCAATCGCTTACGCCCGAACATTTCATTTTTGCTGTCAAGTGTTCGGAATCGAGGACATTTGATGAAGCTGAGACTATTCGCATGTTGGTGGCTAGCCAGATCACAGACTTTGCCGAATTTGTCAGAGACCAGTCGAGGATGCACTGCGGAGGACTTATTGAAGTCGTTGGGAAACCCCCTTACGAGTTTATCCAAGTACTCCATCAGACCGTCGAAGACTTCGTAACTGATCTCAAGTTTAAACAACTTGTGCTTGAAGACCGTACCAAAATCACTGCCGAGAATGGGTTTTCTTTTCTGACTAAGTATTTGTTATCACGGCCTGTAAGACTAGATGAACTTTCAACACTGTGTGACTTGGCACGCCCCGCCCACGCTTCTGAACAGACAACTGGTCGCAGCATGCAGATGTTTCTGGACAGCGTTCCTGGCAACGTCTACGAAGCAAACTCTGGATCCATCGACCGTGAACCAGTCAAAACTCCACTTGGTTTTGCAACTTTTGCCGGGCTTCGGTTGTACATCAACGAGTCACTGGTAGCTAGCCCGAATCTATTACAAGAATCTAAGGAGCTCCTACTGAGTTCAATTCTCTGCGGTGGATTCGAAGTTGGAGATCAGGTACCTGTTGAAACGACTAGGCTTCTCTTTGACAAAGGTTACACATTGGACCAAGATCCAAAGGCTTTCGAAAGACTCTTGTTGGACATATACAAGATGCGCTTAGGTCATCCGTTATATAACCCTCGTTCTTTGCACCTTGAAGTTGGTCGAGTTGACCTGGCCAGAGTCATGCTTGATCGCGGGGCGTCTCCTAGCGCTATTATTCTCATCCACTCTAAGGAATTCGACCCGAGGGAAAACAAACTCGATCGAGGAATTTCCCCAAGTCCTCCGCCCTTTCACAGAGCGCGCCGGATGAAGGGTTCAGTTGAGTGTACGCCCTTGCATCCCAGTCCAGCATCTCTGGCAAGGTTGCTGCTCGACAAAGGGGCGCTCATCAACGGCTTAGACTCAAGGGGAATGACGCCACTGGACTGGGCATTGATGAAGTTGGCTAACGCCGAGTATGTGATCGAAACGTGGGAAGGTAATACTGCAGAGTTCAATGGGATATATGAGCGAATCTGTCTCTTAGTTGAGCGAGGAGGGGAGATTAGAAAGACGCCGGCGAGCTACATCGACCGGTTTTTGATAGATTGTGCGAGAAATGGCCTTGGTACAGATATATTGCAGGAACGACTGCTTGGACCAAAGTCACGAATCCGATCGCTTAGATTAAAGCTTTCGAAATTCATCTATCCGGTCAGGTAGAGATGACTGCTCCGTGGGCTTGGGAAGAAATGGAACTGAGCTACTGGATCTCAACTGTACTATATTTATCCAGGGATAATGCCGTGGGCCTTTTTATTGAAATCAAACAAGTATCTCAAGGTTGATAACATTGGTCAGATGGCAGGGTGAACTAATAGCACTTTTCACTTGGGTCTCGCGATATATTTACCGAGCCTATACATAATGAGCGATACAAAACAGGCTACTCTCGTCACACCAGATATTCACCGTACATCTAGAGACGAGCTCAGCGTGGACATCGAGGGAAGCACGAGATATAGTCAAAATACACAGCAGTCTTGTTGGCCTAAATTGATGCACCCTCTACACTCCAGAAGACCAGTACTGAGGACGGTTCAGGTGCAGGGTTGCCTCTAATAATTCACCTCTACTTAGAATATCTAGAAGCAAAAGTTCTTTCACTCGCTCCAACCTAGCCCTGAGATGTGTCTCGATCACTTGATTCGGGATCTGTGCAAGGGATGTCGAGCAACGAATTATCCAGATTAACACACTCATACTCCGCTGGCTCTCCACTGGGAACCGTGACGGTAATGTTCTCGGCCTGAATGTTGCTGCATCGCTTTCCAGAGAGATCCGTGTTAGCATGGGTCTCATCCTCAAGATAAAAAGAAGCTTACGTCTGCTGCACTGCAAATGAGAGTGCCCGCTCGGGGGTCGTATTTTTTAGACGTAGTTCCCCACATGTTCTTCATCACCACATCCTCGATTGTCAAGTTTGCCTGAACCACCTGGTTAGCGGACCTCGCCTTGTAAGACGGTGATTTGGAAATTTGCTCACTGGGAATTCGTTGCAGAGAGTCTGATTCTTCTGTCCATAGCATTGCGTGATTGTGATCGCATTGTCGTTGTTCTCGTGATAGAACATATCGTACGTGACGTTTCGCACCCACCCGAGTCCACCGCCACCGTTGAGTGTAGCTTGGAAATCGGTCTCAATTCCAGGCCAGACCTTGATTCTGGTACCATCGCTGGCGTTGGACATGGAAATGTTGTAGACGTAGAGGTTTTCCACGATATCGGTGACGCCCTTGTATTGGCCTAGGGACCCGACACTGATTCCATGAGATCCATTGCAGACCAGGTTCTGGATGACAACGTTGGTGCTGTTGGGCTTGAATGAAACACAGTCTGAAGTTCGAGGTGTTAGTAATTAATATTCGCGAGCGTGGCCCAACTTGCGTCGACTCGCTTACCGTCTGTGTTGTCAATCCTCGAGTTCTGAATAACAACTCGGTCGGCACGGTAGGTGTCCCAGCCATCCGAGTTTGCTACCTTGGTTCCATTCGCACTCTGCATCTGGTTAGAAAATATTTGAAGAGAGTAATAGCAAACTTACGGAGGCTTTTAGGTGCATGTCAGTAACCAGGACATCGGTGCTGTTGGCGATGAGGTTGAACCACTACCCAAGTTAGAATCAATTGTCATAGTCAGTGCCTCGGCGGGGATCCATACGTTTGGAGGATTTCGCATTCGCAGATTTGACATGGTGGCTCCCTCCACTCCGTCGAAGGCGAAGAGCATGGGCCGAAGTAGCTGTAAACTTGAGTCAGTGGATTCATCAACACGGGATACCAATTGGTCATACAGTCTTGTTGGTCAACAGCTCCTTCCAGTAAACTTCACCCCGACCATCAATGACAGACTTGTCGTTGCTCAGGTCGCCATAGATGTTGATATCCTTCCCGCCAAATTTCCAGAAGACGGACTGGTTCTGAAACGGGAACTTGAAGCTGTTGTCGGCCCAGTAATACACATCATCCTTGAAGTCAATTTCTCCGGTGATGACGACGTCAATGTGCTTCAGGAAGGTGAGGTCCAAAGGCGAGGCAATAAGGTAGCTATCGTCCATCACCACTGTTCCTCCGTGGTTGCACTTTTTGAACGCCTTAAGAATGGGAGCGGCATCATCCTTGTTGCTCCCACGTGTGGGCTTCACATAGCAGTATCGGCCCTTGTGTCTCGGAGGAGAATATGGCAGGGCTTTCCCGGCATTGTACGGGGAAGGTACCAGGTGTGGCCGTTTCGGGATGCTGTGTCGTGCTGCTAACACGGACGACACCAGATCACAGGCGACAAGGAAATAGAGGAGCGATTGACCAAGCATGATGGGGGAATATCTCCCAGAACTGGAAGAGAAATTATGGGCTGGCTGCACAGGACATCACAAACAGGCTGTAGTCAACATGGAATTCCCTTCTTATAAAGACGAAACCCAAAGTTTCCAGCACCGCATATGCCGGAGATGAAGCCCGAAATACCCCAGAGCCGGCCATCATTGCCTGCTCATACGTGGAAAATATCCCCCGTCTTCCGGCTTCTTCCCCAGAGGCCGGTAAAACCTAATCAGGACATTGGTGATCCGTTCAACCCCACAAAGTGATCTTTCTCCTCATTATATCACCCCACGCCCCGCATATCCCCCAATGGTTCCAGTGAATATGCGGGGGTTGGAGTTTGGGGGTGCTTGTTTAGCCGGGGAGACGATGGCGCCCCGCTAGAACTTTGCATGTGGTGATGGGAACAAGGGTCATCAGTGTTGATATATTCCGCACCAATAAGAGTCTTGCCGGTCATGAATCTGGGTGAGTTGTCTGTCAAGCTGTCGTCTTTTTTGTTCTTTCTATTAGTGAGCAAAGCCCGAAGCCCGAGAAATAATCACAGCGGTGAGGATACTGTGTAGTAGATGAGATGATTGTGACGGTGTGACATGGGCAACCCTGCAATAATGGGCCAAGGTAGCATTCTTTGGCATTGAGTAATTTAGAGGGCTGTCTTTTCTCAATTAAAGCCTGCATACGTCTGGACGCCGCGGTTTCATGTGCTAAGCTTAAACTTAATCTGCCGAGTTTCCGTCCGACGCTTCATCGTCTTCCTCGTCTTCTTCCTTGTCGGATCCTTCGGTGGAGGATTCTTCATTGCTTGAATACATCCCCGCAAACTCCCTCTCCTTGAATACTGTCAACAATTGGATGACTTCCTTCACCCGCTCCTGTTCCTCGCAATCCTCCTCATACTCGGCAATCTTTTTCCTTAGATATTGAAAAGAAATGTTTCTTCTAGAGGCGTTGTTGAGAAGCGACTTCAGCAGCCCAAATGACCCGTTGTTAATAGCAGCGTCGCACCCCCATTCGAGGGGAGATAACCCATGCCCGTAGGCCTCCAGACGTGAGTCATTCTGTAGGAGTAAGCAGAGCCGCTCATTGATCTTTTCAACATCTTCATCCTTGATAAAAGTGGTCTTTAGGACATGCCGAAAAAAAGCAGAGAGGAAACATTCCTCGTCGCCACGTTCAAGCTCGCCCTCTACCAAATCCCACCCAGTGTAAATCACGGCGGTGTCCGCTTCGGCGCCCGCCTCGAGCAAGAGTTTCATGCACTCGATATTCTCTGCATATACTGCTGCAAAGAACAATTGAGAGCCACAACTCGCAGAACTATAAGGAGTATCTCCATAATCATCTTGCCCGGTCATCGTGTCCATTTCAACACCACGAGACAGTAGCTTTGTGACCAACTCCGTCTGCTTCGGCCCAGAGCCGTAAAGGCAGTGGTGAAGAATGGACCATCCAGAACCATCACCAGACGGCACTAGCATTGGGTTCGCATCGTGCGCAAGCAATACCAGGGCCGCGTTGAAGTTGTGATGCTTCACAGCCTGGAAGAAGGCCGTTTCATCGTCTTCTGCCTGTTCGTTTATCGGTACTCCCATTTCAATGAACTTCTCGATGAGATAGATCATGGCATCCGTGTCTCCAGCAGCTTGGCTGACGAAGTGCAAGACAGTGTGGCCGAAAGCATCCAGGGTGGCGATTTCAACATCGGCGCGTTGAAGGAGCAGGTCAACGACTTCTGGCACACCACTCCGGGCAGCTAGGTGCAAAGGTGTTAGACCTGCCACATCCCAAGCCCCTGCGTTCACTTCGGGGCGCTTAAGTAGATGCTGAATAACGGCCATACTTGCCTTTTCGGCAGCGTAACGCAGCGCCGTCATTCCGTTGTCGTCCTCAGCTTCTGCGTTGACTTCAGGGCGCTGGAGTAAAAGTTCAACCAATTTGGCGTCGCTGCGCCTAGCTGCGTGGTGCAATGGTGTAGTTCCAGATGAGTCGAGAACTTCCACCGTTTCAAGCCGCTTAAGAAGCGGCTCGGCGAAGACCACACCGCCTTCTGAGGCAGCAAAGTGCAGCGCCGTGCGACCCAGGGAGTCTGGGAGTGCAGGGTTCAACTCAGGTCGTTCAAGCATACGCTGAAAGAGGTCGAGATTCTGTGTCTTGGCTGCGTGACGAAGCGCTGCCGCCGTTGTGGCCGGCTCGTTCATGGCGAGGAGAAGCTCGACCAGATCTTCGCGGCCATTCTCAGCGACAATGGGGAGTGCAAGCATCCCTTCGGCTACGAGATATGCCCCACGCTTGATGAGCACCTCTGCCGCATCCTCGAGGTCGTGTGTATGAATTAGAGCAGTGTGCAGAGGGTATGGGAGAAGGGGACATTCGTTAGAGTGCTCCAAAGCCTTGCCTCCAGCACAGAACAGTCGTGAAGGCACGTCGAGATTGACTCCTCTTTCGAGCAAGTACTCGAACACTTGGCGATGGCCGTTCTGAATCGCAAGATGGAGGGGCGTCGCCATAAACCTCAGACGACCAGGAATCCCATCCATAGACCCTTCCAAGTCAGCCGCGGACCTGGCGCCATTAATGTCCAAGCTGGCGCCAAGTGCATGGGCGATCTTCATCGTCTGGACGCGACCCTGCTGCGCTGCCCACAAGACGCACCAGTCGAGAGGCGGGTCATAATTGATGTTGCGCTTGTAGAGCGCTGGATTGAGAATGCCGTAGAAATGGCGACTTGTTCGCGCAAAGCGGGCGTGGTACTTGGCATATGAAGTTGGGTATTGGCCTCGTGCCGGGTGGACGCCAAAAGTGCACATGTCTGCTATCAGACAGATGACCTCTGCTGGGAGGTGCTCGATTGTCACCATAATGAAGGCAGAAATTCACTGGCGTACTGCTTATTCTGATATGCTGTCGATTTTGCCAACTGGTCGCAGGATGGGAGCGTTGGTGAGGTTCGCGACGCGGTGTGGCTGATGGAGATGAAGGCACACATACACAAAGCAACGTCGGTAACGGAAGAGTGAAAATCCGTACGGTCGCCCCTTGATCAATTGATTGCGACCCGTTTCAAAATCAGCCACTTTGCAAATTTAGGACGGGAATAATTACTTTTCAAACAAGCCCTACCAGGGACCGTCAGCAGCTGAACTCTTAGTGCCAAGCCTCCCCCTACAAACCGCAAAAAAATGGGACGACAGCGGAATTGACTGCCCTTCGGCGTTGTCACGCCGCCTTGTAATGTTTCTAATTCTCCTGATCTTGTTCAAAGTCTGTCCAGGGATCAAGAAAGCGGTGGAGGTCTCGGCAATTCGACACCTTGATTTTCGGTCTTGGGACTTCATAGAGTGTCTCTAATTCTTGCCAGAGAGTGGAATTAACATAGCAATTTTCTACCTGTGGTGATCTCAATACATCAAAGCTCAACTACGAGAAGGGCTACTGACTGCTCAATTCCAATTATTTTGCTTGGATGCTATCGCGTTCTTAATGTCTCTGGCTCAGCTCCCACCTCTCATACTAGGGAGGACTTAAAAGCGGCCCCCTAGTACCCTAGGGTGAGACTTTTACAAAACTATGCTTGACAGTACAAATTAGACCTAGACGCTCATGGTGAAACGGACCTGAATCAACGCGCAATCCACGTGCTACTGGCTGTGAATTTTATGTATTTGTCGAACTACAATTTTCAGGAATATTATGATCTCAAAAATCATTCCCAATCACGAAAAACTTTTACCTGATTCCTCCCGTTTCTTTCCACAGATGTTTTTCTTTTAATATTGAAGGCAGGTTGAATGTCGGTATTTTGGACACACTCAAAGTTTTACAGCAGATGTCATCGCAACTAAACCGAACTAATGAATTTGATATTCGGTCCATTCCCATGTCTCCACCTAGCTATCGACAACGACTTGCAATTTGGCAAGCACTTCATTTACGCGTACTAGTTCGCGGCGTTCTCCCGAATGTACGCAGCGATGTTTGGTCGCGCCTCAAATGTCTCTCTGAACTTCTGAAGAGAAGGAGGAAGTTTGGCCTATAATGAATGAGTGATTATTTGTCATTAGAGTTTCGGATTGCACCTACTGGAAGCGTCTTGATCCTTTCGTCATTGTCAATGGACTGGTAAACCGCAAAGTCGGCGTAGGTGATCTTGTCGCCGAGAAGGTAAGGACCATCGGTCTCGGAATAGTACTTCTCAAGAAGGGCGTAGTACTTGGGCACATATTCGTTCTTGTACGCATCCGTGATCTTGTCGAGTTGGATCACCCATTGGAACTAGATCAACATTGTTAATATGTTCCTCTACTGTGCTTTAATGGATTCACTTACTCTCCAATCAATGTACATATCAGCGATGGCATCCACGAGATATTTCTCTTTGCTCGTCTCTCCGTCATAACGGCCAAGGTCCCGGGAAAGAAAGCGCAGGATGGGGATATGCTGTCAATAGATTAGCCACCACTCCCTCCGCAACGTTGAGAATGACCGACCTGAGTCAAAATGAGGCCGCCGTATTCAAAAGCAGGTAGCTTTTTGGTGCGAGTCGCACCATCGCGAGCCAAATCGCCAGTAGAAGCTTGCCACGGGCCCCCGGTGCCCTTGTATGGGTAGCGGATGTCCTTGAACTCCATCTCCGCGTCTCTCAGGAAAAGGCTTTGCAGATAATGCTGTCAGTAAGAGTCCCCCATACTTGTGTTGCGCGTATGGGCAAGAGGTTGGAGAATGCTAAGTACGTACCGTACAACTTCCCCGCGGCCTAGTCTGCCGAGATCGAAGTAGTGCAGAATAGGGATCTCATCTTGGGAAGCCATTGTTGCGGTATGGTGTGGAAGTGATCTGAGAATGGAAGATGGTTGACTTTTGGAGAACACCGGGCGGCCAATGCTTCATTTATACCACAAGTTTCGCTTCCCCTCAGCGGGTATACTTAGGAATTGACTCGCAAGGGCGCGGCCGGGGATGCATCTAGGTGATCAATGATGACATGCATGGCAGGGTGCGGTAATGATGATTCCACATAGCTGCTGAGTCATTCCAAAGCAACCTCACAATTGCCCAATCAGCCACGAACTTTGATCGTGGGTTCTCCGCGGCAAGTACACCGACATTCGATTCCGTACGTTCAATTCCGTGTGTCCGAGTGGGCTGCTAGCTACATTGGTGCGCCATTTGCCCACTAGCACTGGCATCGAAGAGAAGCCTTCCCCAGGTTGACATTGGAACGCCGAATACAGATCCCGCGGTGAATGCGCTGGTGGCCCCGCTCTCAACTAATGTCGGCACGATACTACGTCAATCATCAACAGTGTAGAGAAAAGTAAGCTGCATGTGTCGTGCGACGCTGTTAAGTAACGCTGACGGACCCCTCAATTTGTACGCCGATGTCCCGAAGGCGGTCGGACGGAGGAATTGATATGTAAAGACCGTAATCTACAGTCAGGAGTGGAACGAGAATTAGAGGCGTAAGCAAATTGATTCCATCTCAGTCAACTATACTGGACAAGCGGGGATGGATGACATGATTTCAGCTTGGCTGCTCTGTAAGTTGCAGACGGGCATGCTCAAGGATAAAAATAAGATTAGTCTTGAGAATTAACCTGACCTAAGGTCTTATTGCTTTATATCGGAAGCTAAATAGCAAACTTATTCCTTGTGCCATTGTCGGTTTTGACTTGGGCATGTGGAGGGGGACCATGGTGGCTTGGTACGTACCGCCTGCCTCTGCTCTAAAACTTAGGCAAACCTGTCACACGTCGTCCGCACATTCGCAGCACAGGATAACCATGGCGAAACGATCAGTAGACATCGTTCTATTTGCATCATCTTGGGATCAATTCATCCACTGATTTAATCTGACTTCTACATTGCCGCGCTCTTAAAATTTCTCGCCTCGGTTCCTCACGCCCGACGATTCCCTGCCTTGTCATCACTCTGCACAACTGGCGGTCCAAGGCACACCATCCCCATTAGCATTCATCACCAACGCGGAAAGAAGACAAAAAAAAACATGGCAGACCAAACTCAGCCATCGTCTGACACGTCGCAACGGGTGTTTACAATGCTTGGTAGGCTCTCCCGTAGACAGCGCGCCTTGCCAAATGGCAACAGCTAACTGAGACATGCTTCAGAAAACAACCCCGAAGTCATGAACGAGCTCGGCCAAAAGCTGGGACTTTCTCACGACCTCGCCTTCTACGATGTCTACTCCCTTGATGACCCGGACCTCTTGGCCATGGTCCCGCGCCCTGTTCACGCCCTGTTGGTCATCATCCCCTTGACGGATGCCTGGAAGAGCGAGCGCGAAGCTGAGAAAGCGGCGACAGAGTGGTATGAAGGTTCTGGCCCGGACGAGCCCGTCGTGTGGTTTCATCAAACCATTATCAATGGTTGTGGCCTCATTGCGTTCCTTCACTGTGCTTACAACGGCGTGCCGGCTAAGATGATCGTCCCGGACAGTGAACTCGCCAAGTTTCTGGAGGAAGCGATCCCCCTCAAGATGAAGGAGCGTGCAGATCTTCTCAACGAGTCTGATGTCATCTACGAGGCCAGCCAGTCTGTGGCTGTCAAAGGCGACACAGCGCCGCTAACCGATGATATGCACGATGCTCTTGGCCAGCATTTCGTGGCCTTTGTCAAAGGCCGGGATGGTCACTTGTGGGAGCTGGAGGGTGCGAGGAAAGGTCCGATCCGCAGGGGGGCTTTGACTGAAGAACAAGATGCCCTGAGTGAGGAGGCTCTGCAGCTGGGACTGAAGAGGGTAATCGAGATGCAGAAAGCCGGAGGCGACGATATCCGGTTTTCATGCATCGCTCTGGCCCCTCGACAAGAATGATGTTGAAGAAGTCACCATTTTCTCCAGAAGCTCCGGCGCATAAATCCATGTCTCGTCTGAAGTTATCGGTATCTAGAGAATTAAATACGCACTCGTCTGGGATGGAAAGTGGCTGGTTTTCACGAGACTCGAGCAATGCGAAGGTAGACCGAGCGTCAGACACTTAGGTTCACAATCCACATGACGTTATGGCTTGATTCACGAATTTATTTACAGTGCTTCAATCTTCTAAAGTGTATTGAACCAATGTAGCAAGAAGGTTGTACGTTGTAATAGTGGATGTCTCACTCGCTATGCGGTCGATACGGCTTCTTGAAGTTAGCTCATTCCCGTGAACGATGGGACGTGGATTGGGACCTTACCAATGGTTTTGGCGGAGCATCAACCCAAGCAGCCATTTGGTACTGTTGGTTGTGCGAGAGAGTCAACCCGAGATCATATTTCTGCGGGCTCGTATAGCTATAAAAGAAGCTCATTGGGAACCCGGGATCGAAAGAAGATGCTTCGTGGATGGCGTCGACATCTTCCTTTGTAAGCTGGACTCGCAGAGCGTCGGGCATAGCTCGAATATGCTCGACCGTGTTTACACCGACAATTGGGAATACATAGGTCGATTGATGAAACAGGTAAGCCAGTGCCTGTCATTGATTAGTATTGCAACGCAATGTAAAAACTCAGCACTTACGATGGCCTGTAGAGTTGTATTCTTCTCCTTTGCTATTTTCTCCAGAGCATCGCAAACTGCGACATCCGGAGGAGCCTCATGACCTTTCCGGATCTCGGGATCTCGGGCCACTTGGTCTCTCTGCTTAGCTGAAAGAAGCTGTCCTCCTCCAAGAGCGGCCCAAGGCATGATGGCCATGCCCTGATCTTCACACATCGGGATAAGCTCGGCTTCCATGTCGCGGTACGCGGCATTCCAACGGCCCTGGTACACCGAGAAGGGAGTGAGACCGTTCGCCCGAGCGTCTTAAGTAGTGCCGTTAGTAACGCTAAATTGAATCCCTGGATGTATAACTCACATGCGTTTGCCTTGACAACAACCCAGGCGGGCGTATCTGATATCCCGAGATACAGAACTTCCTTCGCCATGACGTGTGCATGCAACCCACGCATGACTTCCTCCACCGAGGTGCCAAAGTCCCACCAATGAACGTACAAAATATCGATGTAGTCAGTCTTGAGCTTCTTTAGGCTTTCGCGCACAGAAATATGCATGCTTTTAACTGAATTTCCTGTGAAATTGCTCTGCAGAGGTTCGTTCGCTCGATTATAAGAGCGAAATCCAGCCGTGTACTTGGTAGCGATGACCATCTGATCTCTAGTGCCGCGCAACTCGAGCCAGTCCCCGATCAGCTTCTCCGAGTCTTCCGAGTTGTAGACATTGGACGTATCAATGAAATTTCCCCCGAGGGCGAAGTATGTGTCCAACAGCTCGTTCGGATCGTCATTCTTCCCAAAGATAGAGCTCCACGAGCTTCCTATGCTGATACCGCCAAGGCACAAGGGCGATACCTTGACTGCCGCATTGGGTGACAAAATTCGATGATAGCCGAGTAAAGACCCGGGTTTTGGGGGAGGCTGGAACATGGACATGTTGGCGATTTGTCAAGTAAAGCGCTGTGATATTGGGCTAAAGACCTTGGAGTCCAAAGAAGGTCTTAAATAAAAACTCACTGGTAATTCCACAGTCTATGAGGTCATACCGAGCCCTCTACGCACCAAAACTCGATCCTGTTCATTCACCAGCATATGCAACCTGCTGACAACATAGTCGGGAAAATGGCCAAAACCTGACGGCAGGATCCTGTCGTACAATAGTATCTCCACTTCTTACCCCCTGGAGCCTTCTGTCGTGATTGAGTTTGCCTGGTAGCGCCTATGCAACCTGCTGACCTGGTGCGGGGCGTATGGAAATCCGGTTATCCAACGATTGTCAGCCAATACTTCGTACATTAGATAGAAACACTGAGCCAGACTGTATGTAACCTGCTGACACCAATCAAGTGCCGACTCTTTTGTTGGCCGCTCTGTGACGAGTGGGAAGCGCACCACATCCGATTATCCGAGGTCTTCAGGCTTTAGCAACCAGAAGAAGCAACCCGTGTACCACCATTTCAAAGAACAAGTTTATTACGTAGAGTATGCGCCTGGCCTGTTAACTCCGCAAGCCCGGATTGAATCATCCTCCTCTATGTCGTGGGTTGATCGCTGGAATACTTCAAGCTAATCAATCAATTCATTTCAGCATCAGGGCTGATCCATCATTGGAGGCGATGCCGGGCATGACGAATCATTGTTAAACACCCGGTTCTTTTAGATGACCTGGTTTTATCTTGCATCCCACGTAGCCATACTTGCCAATACTACTAGGGGCACTGGGTCCAGGCTAATGCAAGTGGCTGACCCGGAGATAGGAATCCTAAAGCCGACATTGAAGAAGCAACATTTAATTGTAGTATTTATACCGCCACGAGCCACTCTCTTGGCATTGATATTGGCAGGATATCATTTCCCGCATCCGACTTCGATCAAAATGCCTTCACAGGTCTTCAAAGCTTCGCAAAGCTCACAGAGCACAACAAAAGTCACTCAGACTTTCACCGGCGATGTTTATCTCGACTTCATTCATCACGACACAAAAGCAGCCATCGCAAATGTCACATTCACGCCTTGTGCGAGAACATACTGGCACACTCACGAAGAAGGACAGATGCTGAGGGTGTTGACTGGCACTGGCTGGTTTGCGACAAAGGAGGAGTGCCAAAGCGGATTGAAGCTGGTGACGTGGTTTGGGCGGCACCAGGAACGACCCACTGGCATGGGGCGGACGATGGATGTCTCATGACACATTTGGTGATTGGGATCGGCAAGACAATTTGGCATGATGAGGTTTCAGACGAGGAGTATGGCAAGAAGGGCTGAGAAGTAGGAAAAACGGCCAAATGTCCAATAATATCGGTTAACATGGTTGTAGGGCTGACTATCCAAGGGAGGGGAATCCATGATAGTCGCAAGCGAAAACATCATGTGACTCAACTTGGGACAGATTTGCCTTCCCTTGGCATATGTTTTTCGTATGATAGTGTACCAAATGAACAGTTAGAGTCGCGAGTCAGTTTCATAATGACCGAAGCCAGCCCGATTCATCGAATGCGCTTTCTGATTGAAGTTCCCCAGTAGGTGTAATATTCAAGAACTGTGATTGCATGACTATTTTACCTGGTCATCTTTATTAATGCTTGCTGTTAGTGAAAAAGAATCGTCTTGGCTGCTGTTTTTGCTCGATTGATTTCTTCATACAATCCAGTAGTATCGTTGTGTTGCTCTGGATGGAGTGAGTTGCTGTGGTCCCTCAAACAAGTCTGATGCAATTGACAAGCGCAGTGGAACTCACAAGCACTATTATCTCTTGATATTAAAATTTGCTTCTATTGAAGAGCTTGCCACTCTCGAGCCCCTGACATCCCAACGAGTTGGCTTGGCCTCGGCATTGCCGGTGGCGATTGGACGACCCACAATAACACCTCGGGAATTATACGAGGAACGCGAAAAATGCGAGTCACAGCCACCGAGAACGACGAGTCCGGAATGAAATGATAATTACAGAAAATGTGAATGGAGCTATTTAAACCGGAGGATCCACCCTCTTTCGATATTTGCTGCTCAACAAGTCAACTCTGGCTCGTCGTCCTTCTCCCAAGCAACACCACCTAGCCCAGCCATGGCAGCCTCATCAGGAGCCGATTCATCGGAAGCTTTCGATTTCAAGCTGTATCGCTACACTCCATCTCTGGCTGCTGCGATTGTGGCCGCCGTTGTTTTCGCCTTCCTTACCGTTGCGCATGTATGGCGGCTTCACCGTGCCCGAGCATACTATTTCGTCGTCTTCACAGTTGGTGGTATTTGTACGACACCCATCCCGGCCTTCCTCTTGTTCCTTTGCCATGGCTTGCACTAACACCACTGTCTCCAGTCCAAACTGTCGGTTACTGCGGTCGAATATGGTCGCACTATGACCAGAATTCCATCGGCGGCTTCGTCATTCAAGCCATCCTCATCCTCGTCGCCCCCGCCCTCTACGCTGCCTCCATTTACATGATCCTCGGCCGTTTGATTCGAGCACTCGGCGCTGAACACCTGTCTCTTATCCCCGTGGCTTGGGTCACCAGGATTTTCGTCACCGGCGACATCTTCTCCTTCACCTTGCAAGCCGGCGGAGGTGGCATTCAATCAGCCGGGACACTTGACTTTTACAACATCGGCGAGAAGCTCATTATCGCGGGACTTTGGGTACAAATTTGCGTCTTCGGTTTCTTTGTCGTTACGTCCCTCCTCTTCAACTACCGAGTTGTCAAGGCACCCACGGAAATTGCAACCCGAGGCGACATTCCGTGGAAACGACATCTCGTCGTGCTGTATGCGACCAGCGCCATCATCCTGGTCCGAAGCATTTTCCGAGTTATCGAGTACCTCCAAGGTAACAAGGGTTACTTGATTTCCCACGAAGTCTTTCTCTATTGTTTTGATGCACTTCTGATGGCTATTGTCATGGCGATTTTCCTGATCTGGTATGTGGGGGATCTCGAAAGGAAGCGACCTTCAGAAAACCAGACTTCTCTCAGCTCCAGCGACGGCATGTTGGAGGACTTAAGTGGGCGTAAATAGACTGGGGTCTTATTATGCAATGGCTTAGAAATGCAGGGTAGAGATGTGTGATTGTTGGAATTGCCTGGCTACAGGTGGAATGTCGTGTGCAACTGCGTGCAACTAGCATGGAAGCGTTGCTTGTATAAACTACGATTGATAATATTACGCTGAAAACTATTGTATATAAAAGACGCGCCTAAAAATTCTCATTCTCCGTGAACAAGTACATGTCGAAAGGATATTTTATTTATGGGCGCGACCTCGATTCGTCCGGTTGGGAATATTGCTTGATAAAGGGTCATTCTGCAGAGCCTGTTTGACATGGGCTGGGAACCTAAATGAATTCTCCAGTCCAACCCATAAGACAGAGTCTAAACGCAGCAGACCCAGTCGTATGAAAGTGAATGTGACCGATTGATCACGTAGTATCATTATCCATCGGGCAAGTATGGCAAGCAATTCGCCTGCCACCTTGGACGTTGGGGCTTGCACTAAAAGGAGCAGGATGAAGTTGGAAATGGTAGCAAAGCATGCACTCGCCCCTAGAGTAAAGGGTGTTTATTAGTGTGCTGTGAGAGGGAAACACTAAGGATGGCGTTGACTTACAAGAGTATGCAAAACTGTTCCGGTCATAAGAACTCAGTTCTTGTGTGAACGTGAGCGCACGCCTGGCGAGATCAATGGAACCTCGGATTTTGTCGCCGATTTCAGCCATGTCGCCCTCCAATATGTCCGATCCCCCATCGCGCATCCAGCGATGATTATCACCTCCGGATGATATCCGGGTCTCTCTAATATCGGCCTGGGGACTGGCCAGGTTGTCCAAGGGGCGCATCAGGGCACGGTAGACCAAGACCTCAAGGGTAAGGAATGCCAACTTGAGATGGGCGGCGGATCCAGAGTGGAAGTATGGACGACTATCTACGTCACATTTATTGTAGGGAGAAAGTTGCGTCGGGAGGCCGCGTTTCCACTCATCGAGCTTCTCCAGAAGCGGCTCTGCTGCTGTCAAGGTGGCCAGAAAGTCATGAGCAAGCCTTTTGGCGGCAGCCACGGTATACAGTGACTGGTTGATATCGTAGGCAATGACAGACAAGCTTGCTAGATATCTAAAGTCGTAGCCCAGGTGACAATATGGACAGGGACCTGGCAGGGCGGGATTGTGTTGGGTGGTGTCTTCTGAAGAACACAGCAAACTGTCGATCTCATAGTCAGTTTCACTAAGAGGACTGACATCGCAATCGTCGGCATGGATCAACCTCGGGAGACCTCTCAGGATGCCACGGAAAGTAGACTCGGAGCATACGATCCACCACAACCGGCGGCGTAGTCTCCTTTCCCATGCCGGAATGGGCCATTCCAGACAATCAAGATGCAGACCCAAGTGTTTTGCAAGATTTACGGCCGCTCCTAGAAGTGGCCAGTCTCCGGGAGTATCCGTCGTAGTGGCAGTGGTGTCGTCTACTGCCCTCTGGATGTATATGAGAATGGCCTGCAGCACATGTAGCTTTGAGGTGTGCATCTCTCGCAGGATGCTTTGGTGCGACAGTTGCCATAAAGCCGCCGTGGGGAAGACTTTGTCAGCCTGTGTAACACACAGGACTGGATCATAGCGGCTATACATGCCGGCTATGGCGTATATGGCCGCCAGCAGGCATGGGTGGAGGCTTTCCAAGGCGGTGGTTGGAGGAATCAACGTCTCCGGCTTGACTTGCAAGCCGCTCCGAGATAGTACAGGAAGACTGGGGAAGACATAGCGTAGAAATCTAGAATTGAAATTAGCATCCATTGTAGGAGGGCGGTGTATAGCAAGCTCGGAAGTCGTGGGGATGCGATAGAACCAGACCAAACTTACAAGCCAACGAGTCGTACTCCCAGCTCCGGATGGATCAAATTGGAAAGCGAAGTCTTTTCTTCAGCGTTGACGTCAGGTTGCAGACTATTAGAGATGAGGAACTGAACAGGAATACGGTGTTGTATCTGCTGTGTGTCGTGGGGATCCAGCTCCTCAGCTAAACAACGAAACTGAAATTGGCCAAAGTTGCAAGTGCCCTCATCTTTGAACCGCATGTGTCGCAGCAAATACGGATCCACTTCGCCAGCGAGAACCGAATACTGAGCAACAGTACCAGAACCGGAGTCACCTAATGGACGAGCCTGCTGTTCCGGGACGGAACGGTTTGGCGTTTCTTGGAATCGGTTGCCTCGGCCCAGACGGGGCCGTTGCTGAGTCCAGGTCGGATCCTGGGCCAGCGAAGCAAGGGTAGACAGATTGGGAGTGAACTCGGGAGGGAGATGCTGTTGCTGCTGCTGGTTGCCGGTGATGCCAATGACTTCGTCAGACAGTGGTGGGAAAAGCCCAAGGCTCGGATCCAAGAGCGAAGAGGCGGGCAGCCAGAAGTCGTGATGGACTGGTGGTGGGACTAGTAGATCAGACTGGCCAGCAACATCCTCGAGGGTAAAGCTTGCGGCACCATCGATGCTGAGAGACAGAGGAGCATCATCTGGATCCATGATTCGGCCTGAATCAGCGCCGTCCTCGGTAACGACCTCTCCCACGGCATCCGTTTCTGTCGGAGGCTCTGTCGAGCGCAACGACGTAGTTGACGGCGGAGAGAATGGCCGCGATCGATGGTGGGCATTTCTACGCGTCCTGGGTGCATCGTTGAAGGTGCACTGGACGCCCAGGTTGCGACAGGCACTGCACGGGAGCTCTTTGTTGACGAAGCAGCCATGCTTGCGGCGACGGCAAACATCACAAGGACGATGTCGTTTTGAGCGGTACGGCCGGGATTGCGGCTTGTCGGTCTGTCCTGGCGGATACATGGCGGATGTGATGATGGTGACCGAATTGTCGCCGAAGTGCAACGCGGGGATTGGGAATGAAGAAGCGTCGGGTATTTAATCGCCTATCATGATTCTACGTACAGTACCCCAGACTACATCGAGGCTTATCGTCGGCAGGGGGAAGACAATATCCGACGCCAAGGTGCAAGACTAGTCTAATTTGTGATCTGGCGTGCAAGGGTCGGTAATTCTGGATCGCCTTTATCGGCACACGGCGTCTCTTGGTTGGTATTGGGGCGATAACTTATCGCAGTGGTTGGGCGCCTGTGTCGACTGCACCGTCAATGGATTGAGAAACAGCTGGAGTTTTAAGTTTTGAGCGCGAATTTTCTATTAGTTGTGTTGACGCTGGATAATGCTGAGATGGCTAGTGGTCTGGATCATGTAGATGGACCATGGTATGAAGATGATCCCAGGTATTGGGGACCATCCAATTCACCAATCACCAAAGATTCTAGCAATCTATCTAGCCGGAACCCGATCTCCTACAGACCAATCTAAGTCCTCGGCTTCCAATCCAGGACGACTTGCTTCAGAATGTCCGACAGCTCGTCTCCACGCTGCCAGAGCTCATTATGATCACCACTTGCTCCAAGCTCATCTACCTTGATTCCCCCAGCTGACCGCTCCAGGTGCTGCCTCATCAATTGAAGTTGCGAATATGGGACGAGACTGTCATTCGGGCTTTGTACGAGCACAATTCGCTCGCCTTCCGGCCACTCTGTCTCCCAATCTTCCACCGCCGTTGGGCATATAGCCGCCCAAGTGTTCTCATCATCGCCAAACGCCCCGCGAGTGAATGAGTCGTAGACGGACACTAACTTAAGATGGGACTCATCAGGCTTCTTCATAAACGCTGCCAGATCGTAGAGCCCGTTAAGGCCTACCACGACCCGCGGCTTTTTTGGGACTCGGCCAGCGCTCAGCCCCCAGCGAGACGGGTTCATGGCAACTTGGAAAGCCATCGTGGCGCCGCAACTGTGGCCCGCCAGTATGTAATCGTTCGCGACTCCAAGGCCTTGAAGGAAGACCAGCGCGGTGAGAGCATCAAGAATATGGTCGGGATGGTGAACGGTGCGAGCAGCATCCAAAGAAGAGTTGGGGTTCTTGGGAGGCGCCGGGTCGGTGGGATGGTTGGGGTGAGGTGAGAGACGGTAGTTGAGTGATACAATGCCAGCGAAGGGCATTTCGCCGGCTGTGGAGGCGTGTAGCAGGTTGGTCGCCGTCTGCTCGAACGAGGATGAATTTACGAGGGGATCACGCCAAGCGCCTCCGTGGATATACACGACCCAAGGGCCTGTTTGCGAGGGATTTGAGGTTGTCGCAGAAGAAGGACACGACGCCTGCTGGTCGGAGTTTGGGATCCATACGTCCAGCGTCTGCAAGTATGTGCCGTTTGGTGTGTATGGTACACGGCTCTTATGCCAGCCGATGATGGATGATTTCCCATCCGCATTGATAGGACCAGGCACCGATGACCAAGGGATGGAGGCCCAGACAGATGCGGACATGATGGGCGTGAAATCGAGTTGGCTTGGTGTGGAGGCTTTGAAAGAGGAGGAAGCTTGGGCTACTGTCGATGACGTGGGAATCTTGTAGCGGGGGATGGCAACTGAGGTACGACTCGTTTTGTTTGAGACTTGACCGAAGTATGTGCACCAGCTGATGGAATAAACATTGTTTAATATGATAAGAGTCTGCTTGTATTCAATTAATCTGTACCCTGCTGCCTTTCCGCCTGTTACATTTCCGAATTGCCGCCAGCCGTGCGTATCATCGGCCATCAGATCATCGCCCGAATGAATCGCCCGAATGAATCGCCCAAATCGTCGCCCACTATTTCAACTACTTCCCCCTGTATAACGCTAGGCCATCTCCTTTGCCCCGTATCACTTGGACTTGGTATCTTCGTAGTACTCTGGATAGTTCGACTTGAATCCAAGAACCCAGCTACCAACCAACGCCCCGCCAGTCGTCACAATCCGACTAGCCAGACGCGCGAGCCAGTCCCACGGCATGGGCACTGCGACCGGGGTGTCGGCGGAATCGAGCATCACCAGGAGCTGGAACACGTTGGGCGCCCTGCTGGCATTGCGGCAGTCGTCGAGGTAGCCGAAGAAGTTGCGGAAGAAGCGCTGCTCGCTCTCGTAGGACTCGGGCGAGAGGTGGATGTCGACAACCAGATCCTCAGTCTGGCTGGCGTTTTCAAACTTGTGAAACTCGCCCGCCTTGACCGACGCTGTGCGCTGCCCGTCCGGCCTGTCGGACAGCACGGCGAAGGGCTCCGTGTCGAAGCCGCGGTAGAAGTTGCCGATGCCCGACTGCAGACGGAAATACTCGTCCTGGTAGATGTGGTAATGATGGGGCGGCGCAACAATCGACAAGCCATGCTCAGCAACCGTGGGCGGAATCCGGTGCGTCATGATGAAGTCCGAACCCGGCGCTCGGAATGTAACTGACGAGCGGCCTTTTTCGTAGAGGATGGGATTGTTGGCCGCATTGTTGGTGCGCACCGGGTCACTGGCCCGGAGAAACGAGAACATTCTGTTTGATCTGTGGAATTGGATGATTCAGAAGCCTGCAGAAAGTGTCAATTACAGTTGGAAAGCAGAAAATGGTGAATGATGAAGCACCATCTGTGACTTATTACTACTCACCGGGGCTACATACAGTGTACAATACCGGACAGCTATCGCGCGATAAGCGCCCGTATCCGACAGGACCCGTAGCGGTCGGCATCGGCAAAGCGCCCGATTATGCTGCCCGCTCTTCATGCATGAGTGAGTGCAATTCCCTTGGCAGAAAGTACGTACTAGAAATCTCACTGTACAGTGTAATCTCTCATGTCTTCATTTGGGCTTTTGTCGAAGGCGGGAATGAGGATTACAGTGTCACAGGTGGTGCGTCTTCTTGAAACATCACACTCTGGACACTGGCGGCAATCGATTTCAGCAGCTTTAGCACTTGACATGCAACATCATTCACCAGACAGCCGTGGGTTAAACAACTAAATAAAAATTGAATGCGGGACTTCTTACTGGTACTAATTAGAATACGGTCTGGCAGCCAACTTCGGGTCCAACTCCGGCTTCCCAGCCACCGGCACATCAACAACGTCGGGATTCAGGTAAAACGACGGATCACCCTCGCCCTTCAAGCAAATGCTCCAGCCATTGCCCAGCCACCTGAGCTGGTTGCTGTCCGTAGACCCGTACTCAAAATCCTCCCATCGCGGAGATCGCCACGCCTCCATGGCGTGCAGGATGCTCCCGGGCCACAGCGCCGAGATGCGATTCCCGCTCGCCGTCTTGTACCAGCTCTGGCAATCCTCCATGTACACCGTCTTCTTGAAATAGTCGCCCACGTAATCCGAAAAGTCTTTCACGCGCGCTGTCTTGGGCATCATCCATGCGTAGTCTTCCTTTTGCAGCTTGCGGAGGCACTTGATGATGTAGTCGCCCTGGGCCTCGATGAGGACCGTCAGGGAGCCTGCACCGATGCCAGCGTTGGGGCCGAGCATGATGAAATAATTGGGGAAATTGTCGACGGTGATGGTGAGATATGTTTCGGGGAACGGCGTGAATCTTTGCTGCAGAGTCTGGCCATTCTTGCCAACCACCTCGAATGGGGGAATTGAGGTTGTGGTGAAACCCGTCGCGCAGGCTAGCACATCCACATCCACCTGTCTGCCGTCCTGAAGCTTCAGTCCCTTTTTGTTGATGGAAGCTATACCGGTTTTAATCAGCTCGACATTGTCCTGTGTCATGGCTTCGAGATATCCAGGACCAGGGGTTAGTCTGCGGCAGCCAAGGCCAAACTCGGGCATGAATGACGGCGCAAGGTCGGGTCTGCTTGCGAGACGCTCCTTTGTGGTGTCTGTAAAGGTCTTGACAAACTCCTTCTGCATACTGGATCCTTGAATACTCGATTCATGCACGAGATTGCCGTCATCCTCGATCAGCTTCCGAAACTTGAGGTAGTTATCCTCGTCCTCGAACTGCTTGACACGCTCTTCGCCGACTGGGAGATTGTTAATAACCCGGCTTCAAGAAGGAATGCCATCTGCTTACTTGTCAAGTCGTTCTTGTCCCACCCCATCTGGTTCATGATGAAGTCACCAAATCGGTTGGAAACCCATGTTTTGCTTCGCACGAAGCAGCTCAAGGTAGTTCCTTCGATGGTTTGAAGCCTGGGGACGATTTGGATGGCACTTGATCCACCGCCAATAATTCCAATTTTCTTCCCTCGGAAATCATAGCTGTCGTCCATGTTAGCGGTCACAATTGGTTACCGGTACGATAAAGCGACCTGGGAATAATACTCCCGGTTTCTGCATCACGTACCTCTGGTTCCATTGAGCAGAGTGCATCTTTTCTCCCTCGAACGTATCTATTCCTGGAATGCTGGGCCAGGCAAACTGATTTAGGTTGCCTTTTGCCGAGATGACAACGTCGGCATCCTCCATGAATATTTTCCCAGTGTCCACTTGTCGTACAGTCAAGCGCCTGGGAGGAAGTTAGCTGAGAACAGCATTGCCATGGGTTGGCTCGTATCAGCGCTGTAATGATTACCATTTATTGAGAGTGTCGTTCCATCGACAGCTAGTTACTTCGTGTTGCAACTTTATAAACCGAGTTGCGCCGTACGTTTGTGCCACATTTTGTATGTATGTACAAATCTCTTCAGAAGGCGCGTAGAAGGATGACCACTTCTTGTTCGGTGCGAACGAGTACTGGTACGAGTGTGCTGATTCAAATGTTAGCTTCTAGCCTCGACCATGGTTTGTTACAGTACTGACCAGGAATATCGCATGCACAGCCAGGGTACCGATTTTCCCACCAGGTACCACCGATACCTTCGTTCTTTTCATAAATCTGAAGGTCTACATTTCCCAGTCGCTGTGGAATTCGGATGCCAAGGTATACACCTGAGTATCCGGCGCCAATGACTCTTATCTTGAGCGGTCTCTGGTTTTCGATGGGCTCGTCTTTGCAAACGAACTCTGGCGACTTTGAAGCGAACCACCGCAGAAAACCGAGCTGGTACGGCATGGCGAGAGAATTGAACTGATGGTGAGATGGCAATGTCAAGTGCGATATGTCGAGCACGTGTGATAACCAAGGCAGTTTCTAAAGTAGCCAACCACATTGCAAGCCAAACTTATACTCTAGATAGCCTTCCTCGGCCGATAATTCAGCCTAAAACACTCCTATCGAGGTAACATAGACATGGCTTACAAACCCTGTCGGCCGTTTAGTTGGGCGACTCATCTCAATAATTGATAGCAGTGCCGATGCTGATTGGCGGCCATCGCCCGATGCCGATAGCCTGCCTAGTGCGATAGCTTAGGCGACTCTTGGCCGCCTGCAACACTGACATCCACGGTTGCACACCGCGCGAACTTGACATCCCCATGGGTATGCTTATCAGGGGACTGCAGCTTCTCATGCATGTACAATTGGTCATAAGTACTGACAACCCTCAGCGCTCATTCGAAATACGCCAAGGTCGCTTGTCTACCCAGATTTCTCTGTTCATTGAGACTCAAACATGGCCACCGATACTGCGCCTGGAACTGAACTTCTCATTTATGATGGGAATAACGAAAGCCATAAAAACCTCCAGACTACTGGCAAAGATGATATCCGTATCATTCTCGTTCCCCAGCCGTCGCTGACAGACCCTAATGACCCTCTGAGATGGCCACCGTGGAAGAAGTGGGTGGTAGGTCTGACCGAGCTCTTCTCTTTACGAACTTCTCCTCATCAATGTTCAGGTGTTTTCCCACGGCCTTGCGTACAGTTTCTTCGGAAGCATTGTTGGACCTATTATGTCTGGAGGTATTTCCCCAATACCCCTCAGCTTCGCATGATCTTCGATATTAATAATACTAGGCATGGTTCAACAGGCCGCATTCTATTCCATTCCCATCACCAAGTTGTCTTGGGCTGCTGGCATCTATCTTCTGATGTCTGGTGTTTCAACAATGTTTTTCATGGTTCGTACTCGGGTATAACCCACTCTGACCAACATTAACACTGCTATAGCCGCTCTCCGTGAAGTACGGGCGACGGCCAGCACTCCTGGCCTCTACCATTGCCCTTGGCTTCGGGTGCATCTGGTGTGGAGTGTTAGTCAACCCTCACTTTCAAGCACCGTTTGTTCTAACACTTTTTTTCTCTAGAGCATCAAACACCACCTTCGTATCATTTTTCCTAGCTAGAGCCTTTGCAGGGTTATTTGCTGGGCCGGTCGAAGCCCTCCTTCCGAGTACCGTCACGGACATATTCTTCCTCCACGACCGAGGAGAGAAAATCGCCATATACGGACTTACTCTCCTCGGTGGTTATGAGATTGGTCCCGTCTTGTCTGCCTTTATCATCCAGGATATTGGGTTAAACTGGTAGGTCCAGAGCCTGCAACTCCCTTTAACTTCGTTTGGACACATTTCACTCATGCGTGCTATCTGATCAGGGCGTTCTACATTGTGGCATTTGCGCTTTTTGCAAACTTTATTGCCATTATCTTCTTCATGCCGGAAACAGCTTACCACAGTCCCCGCCCTAACATCAATACCGCCGCGATAGATCACTCTACTTCAATGGACAAAGGTCGAGAAGCTGGATTCTCACCATCGACGCAGCCTGAAAAGATGGAAAAAGGCAGCGAGCTTATTGTTGGATCCAGCGATACCGAAACTGGCGCGGCGGAGACAATGCCTAAACCATTCAGCGAGACGCTTAAATTTTGGAGCAGAGATGCGACCAACCCAAATATACGACTCAAGGCAGCGTTTCTCAGACCGCTTGTCCTGCTTGGATAGTAACTGGCTGGCTAAACCATTCATATCGGTTAACTTTACTAACGAGATTCATAGCCCAACTGTCCTCTGGGCCTGCTTGGTCTTTGGCATGGCATTAAGTACGTAGCGTGCCCCAAGTACAAACAGTGTACAAGATCTCTGACATCTTCTAGCATGGAATATCGTATTGTCTTTAACCGTTGCCCAACTGTTTGCTCCGCCGTAAGTCTACACTTACCACAGGACAATTCACGAATAAATGGCGCTAACTTTAATACTACAGACCTTACACATTCAGCTCATCTGCCCAAGGCTTGGTATTCTTGTCGCCATTTGTTGGGAGGTAATTACCTACATTCTTTCTATCTATTTCTCATTTTTGAGACTAACTGAGACTTAATAGCCTTGCCGGGACCTACATCTGTGGACCATTGGCAGACCGTATCGCTCTTTACTACACTCGTCGAAACAACGGTATTCGAGAGCCCGAGATGGGACTCCCTATTGCTGCCGTTGCCGCAGTATTGACCATTGTAGGTGTTTGCATTGCCGCTCCCTGTTACCACTATCAGACGCATTGGATCGGACCTATCGTGGGGTTTGGTGTCCTCTCCATTGGGTCTCAGATGGGATGCAACCTATCCATGTCATACGCACTGGAATGTCACCCAGAACTATCTGGTGAGCTCATGATCACAATTTCTGTGGTCAAGTCGGTTCTCGCTTGGGCCTGGACGTGGTTCATCAACGACTGGATTGTGCTTAATGGCATGATGATGGTTTACTTTCTCGGTATGTTCGATTCACACCCTCCCAAAGTGGGGAGGCTGACAAGATATACAGTGGCTCTCATTAACACAGCCGTATACGCAACCACTATTTTATTCTACTACAAGGGCAAGGCTTGCAGAATCTGGATTCAGAAGAAGAACCTTTTCGGCCGAACTGGTTTGGCTTAGACAACCGCAATTCGTTATTTCAATTCTCCCCAATTGGCCCATTGAAATGATGAATATATTTTATCTTCGCACATTCTTCGGATGGCCATGTATAAAGTTGCGATCAGTGATGGCGTTGTATGCTCAGCAGTGGCGGGGGTCCATAGATTATATTGTTTCACCGAGACTAATCGCAGCACGCAATGAGGCCTCTTAAGCTCATCCTTTGAATTAATTAAACTATTGCATCGAAGTGGCAGAAGCGGCTTAATTCTAGGTGCGTTTGAGTCACGACCAATACCCACTCTAAGATCATCGCCCCCATCGTAAAACTGAAACCCTGTTTCAAATCTTCCCTGTCCAAGGATCACGGTATCCCTATTTATCAAGACTTTTCTGATTAACACATAAATCATTTTAGGTATCATGCCCTGATCCCTCATACCGAGACATATTCCCAAGGAGAATACGTTTATTTGAGGTAGTTCCAACACCGAGAAACATTTAAGTGAGATGCATTTATCACGTTAAATCTGCTTATTCAGTCAGGGTTTAGACTCCTATCAATGAACACGCCTACCAAGTTTATCTCACTCGTGGTCATTGTCGCTTATCGCGCTGAGGCCGATGATATACGGGCAGATGAGTAGCGTCGCCCAAAGTCGGCCGATAAGTTAAGTGACTCGGCGGGACCCAGCAAAGCACTCGGGCGATAAGCTAGGATCAATTGACTGGAACGTCAGCTTTTGCAGATCAGCCAAAGATACCACAGTGACACTAAACTTTGTGGTCTTTACTGCTGCCACCAAATTCCCACTTGGACTCCCAAAACTAGTTGCTTTCCTATCCCCCGAGCTGTGATAATTCAAACTCCACGGTAGTACCATTATTTGTACATCATGTCACGCTTTGAAAACCTTCTCGAATGCGCTGCACAGGACGGCATTGTGCCTGGCGCAGTGGTTTTTGCCAAAGACAAAACTGGTGAGCGCCTAACTAAGAGCCATCAGAACTGCGAGAGAGTGAGCTGACCTGCAACCCTAGGCAAGATCAATTATTCGAAAGCCGTCACTGGAAAAGACCAATGTTATCACGAAGATACTGTGCTTGAGATTGCATCATTGACTAAACTTGTCACTGCTATCGCCGCTTTACAGCTTGTCGAAAAAGGCCTTGTGACACTAGGTGAAGATGTTTCCAGTTTCATCCCGGCTTTCACCAGCCAAGAGGTTCTCGACGGTTTTGATGAACAGGGAAAACCCAAAACACAAAAACGACGGACCACGGTTACACTGCGCCTGCTTCTTACTCATAGCGCCGGTGCAGGCTATCCGTTCACAGACACACGACTGGTCCAGTATGCAACATCGACTAACCAGCCTGAAAAGAGGAATGGGACTGTGGACAGCAATTTCGACTTTCCACTATCATATGAACCCAACGAGGGGTTCATGTACAGCAGTTCCATGGATAGAGTTGGTCAGATAGTGGAAGGGATATCCGGCATGCCCTTGGAGGACTATTTCAGTAGGAATATTTGGCAGCCTTTGGGGATTAACACTGGGACATTCTGGGATACTAACCATCCCCCAATGGCTATAAGACTTGCACCTGGTGAGCCTGCAAAGCCAATGCCGGGTATGGACACTTTCACAACTGGATGGACCGAGTGTTCCGGCGGACAAGGCCTCTTCATGAGCATGAAGGACTATATCAAAATTCTTTACTCACTTCTCAAAGATGATGAAAAATTGTTGAAGAAGGAGACGGCGTCAAACATTTTCAAGCCATGCCTCTCGCCAGCAAGCAAAGCGGTGCTTCTGAAACGGATGCAAACTCCAACGTGGCTCGTTGGCGATTTTCCCGGGACGGGGGAATACGACTGGAGTCTGGGAGGGCTGCTAGTTGATGGAGATAAGCACGATTATCGGAAGCGAAATACGGTCATGTGGAGCGGAGCCTCTGGTTGTTTCTGGGTACGTTATACAATGCAATTTATGCGGAAGTTAAATGATTAACATTTCTAGTTCATCGATCGTGATGCTGGTGTTTGTGGCGTCTTCGGCACTCAAGTTCTACCTCCTGCGGACCCCCAAGTTCAGCCACTGATCAAGGCATTCGAGGAAGAAGTTTATAGACAACTCGGAAGTTGCAAGGATTGATGAACCCGAAACCACTCATGTACAGCCGAACAGAAATGGGGTTGGTGTAGAGCCAGGACCAAGGGATTCGGGAGGTTGAGGTGCCTTGTGGATAGCAGAAGATCTAATCTAACTTCTGTCTGCTCCCTCAAGGTGAGCAAGTTGCCGGCACAAGGTAAAAAAAAACATAGTTATAGCAGAAGATCATTTTGCGATCTAAGGATACTCGGAAAGTTGAGCGAATGCCGGGATTAGATATGTTGGTTGCCTTGGATATTATGGTTCTCCCATGGGCAATGGTTTGGGGACTCTCATGGCGGGATGCAAGAGAGCCAAGAACCATTAGACTAGTGTAAGTCGTAAATTGATATGTTGCCTCCCCACCACTGTGTAAGCTCCTTTCAGGCTAGCAAATTTATTTTTGGAGTACCTTTCCAATGTGCTCGTAGATTTTAGTAGCAGCCTCACCAGGAGACATGTTTGTGACCTCCAACACCAGTTCATATTCGTCATGGAACTGGAATATGTCCTCCCTTTCTCTGATACTCCGCAAGATGCCCTGGTCTGTGAGCTTGGTGTTAGAATCGTTGCCTCTGTCCCCGCCCGCGACCCTCTTCATGTTCTCGTTTAGTTCGCAATGTAGGATTATCAAGATAAATGGCGAGGCCCGTACGGCCGCGGCTTCTTGGTAGTCCCTGGAGGCTGAGCTTCCGAGCGCGCTTGAAGACTGTTGATCTGTAAAGACCCAGGTAACATCTCGCGTCGAAGTGGAGGTAGCAATAGATTTCAAGACTTGTCTGCGCTACGGTAGGTGTCAGAAACATGAAACAAACTAGGCGAGGGCAGGGTGCGGAACTTACCAAGAGCTGTCGAAGGGGCCGGTACTCCTCTGCAGTCCTTTCAAATATAGCTGCGACGGGGTCGATGAGGAGGTGATTGCTGACAAGTTTCGCTCTGGGGAGGAGTTTGCTTTTTCGAGTGTTAGTAACTCTGAACAAAGACGGCATCAACGCGATTGAAATAGACATACCAGAGCTCCTTGGCCACAGTGAGCTTACCCACTCCGGGATAGCCGTTGATGTAAATGAACGGATGCATGATGAGCTGTGTCGCGTGTGGGCCAGCCAGGATGGTTAGTCTCCAGTACTTCTAAGTTGCGACGTTTGTGTTGCAATAAATAGTCTCAAAAAGTATAGCAATTTATAAATATTAATTTTCGATGTCGTGCCAGCATGAGAGGTAATAAAGGTACCCTGGGCTTGTGCTAGAGTGGTCTTGCAAAGTTTGGCGGACAATTAAAGTGGTCATGATGGAAGTTTGACAAATTGGACGATTGTTAGAAGGGAAGTTAGCCTCTCGACTCCAGGAGACGTCAATCCCTCTTATATAGTATTGCTCAAAATAAAGTTTCTGTCTTCAGGCTGTTACCTATACATAGCAAGGTCGTTGACTGCAGACAGCAGGGTTGAGGTCAGAAGGGTTGAATTGAAGCGTAAGTAATAGATCAGTGTGCACCAACCTTATTATTCAGCTACTGTCTCTTCTGGTGCCGGGTGTAGCACTAAACATTTATCTCTATTGCTTGAAAATGATGTACGGTTTTGATCTGTCCGATGATATTGAATAAAGCTAAAAAAAGAAACCCCTCAAGAAGGGTGCCGCCGCTCAGTTGTGGCATGGAAGTAGACGAGACCAAGTTATGGCCAACCCAAAATTTCCGCCCATGCGCTAGGATTCGCTCGGCGACAGCACGTAAGAGCTTCTGACCAGAGATCTTCTCGATAAAAACCTTGGATTTATCCACGATACCCATGTCGCGCTTGGTCTACTCATCAAAGAAGACCCCGTCGGTATAGCCACGGTTGCCAAAAACGTCACTGAGATAAGGCTCCGTCTCCAACTTGATTTGCTGAATATCTTCAGCAGGCGCGGCGCCGCGGATGATTCAGGCACCACCCTTTATCACGCTGGCAATCATTAGCAACCGCTTAATCAATTGCATGTATTCCCTACATATTTGTCTCCTTTTAGCCACGACATCTGAAGCACCAAAGCTCAAACATCCTTCTCCTCCTTCTGGCCTGCATCAGACCCTGCATTGGCCTTGATACTGTGACCTTGCTGCTTGGGGAAGTTGACGTTGAGCGGCACCTCGGCATGTTTCGAAGAAGTCATGCAAGATGCTGAACTCCAAGGATCTTTCTTAGCATCCCCATTTACCCACTGAGCCAACTGGTAGCTCGTGATGTTTTGTGGAGGAGACGAAGCTAGGACATGTCCATTAGCGACGGTGTTCAAACTTGTAACACCGAAAGAAAATAAAGATGAACCTTTGGGGGCTTGATGCTGCTCGTGGCCCATTTTGTATTGTGTCAGAGGAGAACCAAGAGGTCGAAATAGAATTGTATGAACTGAGATTTGCGGAGAAGTCGTATGCCAATGTCCAATCCAGATGTGAAATAAAGAGGGAAGCGGGAATGATACTTATAACCGCTCACGCCACTCAGACCCTCTCTTCAGGTATGAGAGCAACAAATGGATTGTTATCTCTAGCTTGGCCATTTTTGTACACAAAGCGTTCCCTAGCACTTAAACAAAGGGCCCGTTTTTGGATTGGATGTTTTGAGCATCGGTCTGAGTTGTCGTGGACTCCCCGGTTAGAGCTCTGCCGAGCAACCATTCAGATAAAAGGCCCTGTGAGCGGCAGTCATGTCGGCCCGCTCTCCGCGTAACCCTGCATTGAACAACAGTAGCATGACCCGGGGGTAGCCTCAACAAAGGTCCAATTGAAAACTAGTTCTTTAAGAGCCGCACAGCTGATGCTTGCATTCCCCAACGTCATGCATTCTCATTCTAGTTTACGGTGGGCATTCAGGGAGTGGATGGGGCGATGAGCCAAACTGCCGGTCCAGGCCGACCAATAAGATAACTGGCCATGCTCTTGTGTACGTGGATTGTACATCAAGCTTGGGAGGGATCTTGTCAGGTCGGCGAATGAGGAAACGGGCCCTCTGGGTCAACCTTGCAAGGTGTGCATTATGCTAGAACAACCTAAAGCAACGGGACATCGAGACCAACCTTGTGGTACATTGCATGCCAATACGAACGAATCAGAAAACCGGCCCTCGTGATGCCCTTACAACGGATTCCATGCTAAAAACGGACCATATCAACCGAACGAATAGGAAAACAGGCCCTCGACGCAACTGTTACAGAAACAGCCAACCCAATTCGAGACCAACTCTGGATGCCTCCACAATAGCTCCCAACCAATCGATACGAGTGCTCCCGCGTCAACGCCAAGACAATTCTGGCCAAAGGACAAACACCGACGAATCAGAAAAACGGCCTTTCGCCACGTTAAGTATCAGCCACATACATGTGGAGGTGGCTAGAGTCATGCTGAGGCAGTGAGGCGGCTGGAGTGCTGCGGCTGACCTGGCCTGCCCAGTATGAATCTCACCCATGTTGCCTTGCAGCCTGATTGTTTCTCCTTTCCCCTCTTCCTCTCTACCGCCGTACGAGCTGCTCGTCTGAGCATTTCCATCGCCCAGCGCAGTCGCGTGTGGACGGCGAGAGCCATCTTCACCTCAACTCCTGGTAACGTTAACCATCTGTGCTTATCGGCTCTTTTACTTGGCTGTGAAACATGCGCTAATCGTTCCGTTTCCGTGCCCCCAGCTTGTCCCTACGGTCGAGAGATGCCCCTCCGAGCCCACATCCCGTTCTCCCCGCTATAGTCTTGTTGAGGCGCCGGACACTCCGGCGCTCTCGACATACAGAATCACCAACATGATCACCACCTAAAGCAGTGTGGGTGCGTCGACGACGACCTCTGCTGGTATCTCTATGCTGTACCTTCCATCACGGCCTCTCTCGTACATCAGCGCGAGACCTCCAAACCGCGCGGCGCTTTGAGCGAATCTTCGCCAAGCGTTGCCAACCGCGACGTCTCTCCTGTGTATGCAGAAGGTTACGACTCAGCTCAACACTCGTTATCTCCTACAATTGCTGCCTCTTGTTCCCCATCTGCTACTCCGGATCTCTTCCAGGGTATCCTCCAATCGTCACCAAGTTTATCGCCCGCCTCAACACCTTTGAGTGATAGCCAATCAGCCACGTCGCCCGGATCTCAATCACGCTATGCCTGCAACCTTTGCCAAGCACATTTCGATCGCATTGGTCCTTTCGCGTAAGTATCGAGCCTGACTCTTCAGAATGCCAATTGCTGACCATCTCTTGCCACTACAGAGAGCACTACAGATCCTGCCCCATCAGGCCGTCCATTGATTCGTATTATTGCGGGACTTGTCCCCTTTCGAATCGATTCATTTTCAAAACCAAGAAGGACTTTATACGGCATCTGAGAACCGATCGGCATTTATCGGAGTATTTCCATTGTCGTTGTGGAAAACAATTTAGCCGACCTTATCTGTTCCAGTCACATGTTAAACAGGGCGAATGCCAAGGCAATCGCTCATACACCTGCATGTGCGGACACGTTGTTCAAAATTATTCAGATGCCCTAGTCCTTGTGTCTACTCATTTCAACAAATGTGACGAGCCTCAGCCAATAGGACGACCCAGCAAGAAACCGATGGCTACCGGAGATCCAGAGGCAAGCAGCTAAGGGAAAAGACAAGTGTATGGTAGAGAAGTTGGAGGCCTAGATTTGCCAGGCTTGTGTCCCCAGTTGGATCAGCCTGTGCTTTCTAGACACCTTGCATCTTCCGAGTTGGTGTTTTGGAACGTTCGGCAACGAAATGCCGGTATTGATTGAAGTGTCGCACCTGTTTGTTATTTGTCGGATGATCCTCCTCGGTCAATCTGGATTTGAATACTTCGCCTGCCAGCGGGTAACCCTTCTTGCAAAAAGATCGGTAGAGGCCGTGAAGGCCCAGGCAAGTCGACTCGCCAATGACTGAATCGCAAACTGCCTCAGGAACCAGAGGAACACCCTACGTCAGGTCACCGACCTTTGGGAAGAAACTCCGTCACCTAAAACCCAGAAAAAGAAAAAAACAATAGTTGAGTTGAAGATAATCAGTGACAGAATTTATATTAGTATATACCAATTAACAATACGTTTGACTACTTTTGGTGAATCCATCTACTATTCTGCCTAAAGTGTCTGAATTAAAACGAGATGCTTGGACGAAGTTGCCAGCTGCTGAGGAAAACATACAGGATTTATTGTATCACGTTCGATACATAGCACTTAATCTATGTAAAACGCTATTATGCAGGTGCAGTCTTTATTTTAAGTGTTAACAAGGTTTGGGTGTAGTGGCCATGAAGTAGGCAAGGATATTCGCATTTTTAACAAATAGAGATTCCATACCCTTGACGATCTAAAAATATCACATCTGCTTCATTTTGCCCATCTCGTCAAGTCGCTTCTCTGCAGCCTCAAGCTCCTTTTGAAGCCAAGCGTAGGTTTCCGAACCAGGGAGGACACCATAGATCCATTTTTCGTACTGTTTGATGCGTTTGTTCAACCTCTTCCGCTCCAACTTGGCCGTTTGCTTTTCTTCTCGCTCTTCTTTGGCCTGGCGAGCTGCGATCAACTTTGGCTTCAACGATTCCATCTTTTCCTCAGTTGCTGTAATGATCTTCGGCAGAAGCTCGAGGCCTGCTTCCAAGATGGAACACTGGGCGGACATTGGCTCCACACGTTCATTTTCGTGTTTGTTCCATTCCATAGAACCTGGCTTGAACTTGGTCTGGTTTTCACGCATGACCTTCAACTGCCCATGCCATTGATCCAAGACGGCCTGGAACTTGTTGTATTGCCGACGTAAAGAGACAATTTCGCGTTCCTTGACAGAGATGTACTCTGCCAAAGCATCCTCGTCATCGAGCAAAACATCACCGTCTCGTGTTGCAAGATACTTCTCTACCGCTTGCCTCAGGCCAGGGGGGGCGCGTTCCCGAAACGCTGGGGGACTATAGGTAAGATACAAAATTCGGAAGAAGGCGAATTCGCGCTCGTCCACCTGGATCTGGAGTCTTGGTTCGGACTGGGGATGGGGCTCGGTTCTGTTTTCAACAAATTGACCGCTGTCGTCATCCTCCGCTTGCCTTTTAGACTGCCGGTTTCTTCTTCGTCTTTCCAGCTGCCGCAACCGATCTGACTCTTGTTTTTGGTCGGTCTTTTTCTTTGCCTTTGCGACAGCCTTCGGTGAGGCGGAGTCGATGTCTGGTGAAACCCCATCCTGGTTCGCCCCGACGACAGACAAGGTCGCATCAGAATGGTCCTCGAGATTGCCCGTTTTGTAAATAATAACGTGCAGGCCATTCCAGGAGGTTCGAAAGACCGATCTCTTTGACAACCTGCGCATTGAGCGAGTTCGGTAGCCTTCGAGAGAGTCTGACAAGTCTCGGAGGTCGTACAGGCGCGCCTCATAGGTCGCTCGTCCATTGACAGCAGGTTCTCCTAAATCTTCCGCGGCGTAGACTTCGGCGTGGTTTACGGATCTGGCCCACTCAGTGATCTTGAAGCGTTCCCCGAGAATGGTGTATCCCTCCGGGGTCGTTCTTGTTGCATGCTGCCTGGCTATTGGGCGAAGCTCATCGGTATCGCTGTCAGAAGGGACTTGATCCGACTTTGAGTTCATTGTTACTTCATTAAACTTGAGGTAGAAGGGGAAAGGCGCAGTGTTTATTGATTGTGCGCAAGCTGACAGGACAGATACGGCTCTGTCAGGCGGGGTACTGTACAGGCAGCCGCCGGCTGCATTATGGCTAGGTAGGTAGCTTACGTCAGGCACACTCACTCACCAAGCGTCTAGACGCGCGGATCATGTGGTTCTGTGAGTACCTAAGCCTGAGACCAAAACTTGGCCATTGGGTGAGATGATGCTTCGCTCGCATACAATTTCACAGTAACTATCACGAGCCCCCACCCACTTCATAGAGGCTGAGAGGCACCCTTTCGGCCCTGCCACTCCTGAGGCTTTGACACACCCTTCGGGACCATCATCTTTGGTCGGATATCATATTCCAAACAATACATACGATAGGTTGATATATTACGTCTATACCTATGGTCGCACCACATAAATAATAGGAATCATGTCGAACATTCCGAGGCCAAAAATTCATCAACAATGAGGGATAAGCATAAAGACATGGTAAAATTGAGATGAATCAATATCCTCAAACAGTTAGTCTAAAGACAGAGGGGATTAGTCAAGGGGCCCAGGTAAATGCAAATACATCGCAACATTACTTCATACGCCACTTTGGCGTCTTCGGTAGGATCATTATGCTCCTTCAATGTCTTAGAATACCTGAGACTTCAGTGGATCCGCACTTGAGACAAGATGCGTGCCACAGGTAGCCTAAATGATGCACTGGTGGTTTAGAACTGCGCCAGTTGTGGTGGCTTCAGGTATCTGTGTCGTTCAACTCATCTGATCAAGAGCGAATCCTTGTTCTTTGATACTCTTTGGCACCACTCAGAACAGACCTTGGGTCAATGCGGAACACCTTGTCTCAAGAATGCAGGCTCTACGCCGCTCCTTGGAAAAAGGCAAATGTGTCAGTCATAGCCGCAGTCATTCAGTCACCATCTGGCCCAGAGATGAGACGATAGAGAGGCTTTGCGAAGGTCCTCAAGAGATGATTGGCAGGATTTCTTAAAATTCTGCAGTGATTATAGTAGTCCAGAATCTAAGTTCTTATGAACTTCTAGGGGTAAAACCCCAGAACATGTATTGATATGATCAATGGTACACCCGCCAAAAAAGAAGAATATGCGAAAAGAACATACAACAGCGGGGATTCGCTGGTCGTCACCGACCCAACTACTAATCCGCCTCTCACCAGCTTATCGAATGGGGAGCGGACGGGACCCTGAGTTCTCTAGTGGATATGGTCGTATGTGTTTGTCCACAGCGTTGTCTGAGTAGATATTATCGACAACTTGTGTGAGTGGTAGTGTCTGAGGTGCAGAAACCCATCAGGTATGTCGTTCAGTTTCTTAAATATAACCTGTTCTGCAAAATGAGCCGATTCCATTATGGTGCAGTCCTCATACTCAGCCGTCCGAAATGGGCTAACTGGCCTCCTCGAGGATCATCAAAGTTAGGTTCTCCCAAAAGTCCTCTGATCCTCCAGCATAGTAAAATAACTGCAAGTCTCTTGGGTTTTGTATTATTAAATTCCCACAGTTCTATTCGCAGCCTTTCAAGTTCGCATAAATAATCGCTGCTCCGTCGATGGTCGATGAAACGAGAAATGCCATGGTGAGAGTGTCGGGGACGGGTTACTGTATATATACAACCACCAGAACACGATACAATGTGAAATTTATTCAGCCTGTAAAATGGTTCTGCTCGCTGCTAGCTAGTAGGAGAAATACCAGATTACTCCCCTGTTTTCGTGTTCGGCGCACAGTCACAGCCCTTTGTCTCTCTCACGCAATGCGCCGAGGCTGTTGCGAGAACTTGATCATGATTCTGCCAAACAGCCACGAGTCCAAAGTTCGGCTGTTCAAATAAGGAAAGCGTATCCACATTGATTCCTCCTACAAATATCCTCGCTGGTCTGCCGTCTTCCCGGTCTTTTCCTTTTCATCATCACTCTAACACCACTCAGCAACAACTGGGCCATCACAGCACCAACACTGCACTCTCCCTGCACCGCTATCTCTCGGTTTGCCCCCAACACGTCATAAATATCATTCATCTACTAGGATCTCCATCTCCTGCGACCTAACACTGACATGGCTTTGGGCAGCTTGGAGTCATTACCCCCAGAAACCATCGACAACATTGCCTCATTTCTGGACACACCAGACCTTTCGGCTTTCCGACTTCTCAACCACTATCTTGAAACTTTCGCTGCACGATGGCACTTCGAAGAAGTTCGATGTCGCACAAGCAGTTTCTGCCGTGACCGCCAGGCAATGGTACACATTGCTAAGTCAACAAAACTGAACCAACTTGTGCGCGAAGTTAACTTGCTCATCGAACTACCAGCATCTTTGCCTTTCTACCCAAATCTGGATGTCAACATCGAAGAAACCTTAGGAGCGATGGCCTGGGATGACCGACACCACTTCGCCACCGCCGCACACGTGCTGCCGTTTCTTAGCCATTTTCGCCACTTAACCACCCTCCGCTTGATTTTTATCGAGAATCCAGAGGTCGAACCCAACACTCAAGTCAGTTCCGACGTGATCAATTATCAGTCTGGGATAATTGAGACTATCTTTCAGTGTCTTACCGGAACATGGCCTCTCGAGAGGCAGACGAGGATTGACGAGGCTCTGAAGCTCGTGCTAGGAGACGAATACAGTGCTGGTTGCAGTGCCTTTCCAGGACCAGGCCCGGTCAGTCTCAGGGCCCTCTGGATTAAAAATCTTAACGTCCCTCTTCACTCGCGTGTGAGGAAATCCGAAGCATTCAAAGCAGTTGTTGGGTCCGGCAGCATTGTTGACTTGAGTTGTATCAACAGAAACTATGTTCGCTGGCCCATCGCGCCAGGTCCATTGTACTCCAGAGAAGTGTTGAAAATGTTCGAGCAGATGCCCCGAACTTGGTTTATGCCATCAATGGCAGAGAATCTCCAAAACTTGGAATTGAAGTTTCATAATTACTGGGGGTGGCATCCAAAGCTCGATTTAGAGGATATTACACCAGCTCTGCCAAATTTGAAGAAGCTATCCCTTTGGAGATTTGTATTCAGCCTCGAGCGACAGGCTCAGTGGATTGCATCTCTTGGGAGAAGCAACTCATCTGGAGGCCTTGAAGGACTGCACTTGCACAAGTGCCAAATCCTGTTTGGGGCAACACACTTGGAACCGCTGGACAGAGATACAGGGTACCTAGTCCAAGAGGATATGTTGCGCGCGGTTCTTCTTAACGGCGAGCAATTGCAGTGCTCTTTTTTCACTCCACGATGGTACACAATCCTAGACATATGGCGTGAGTCAATGCCAGCCTTGACGTCATTTCAGCTTAACAGGTACACTCATGAAAGCGATTTTACTGCTCAGAAGAATCGAAGAATCGGGAGCCGGGTTTTGGGTTATACGTTTATCGACTTCATGCGCTGGCCAATATACTTATATGTGCCGGACGTGCCTCCCCCAGGTGAGACTGGTCACCTACGACCTGGTGAGCGTGGTTGTCTAGAAATGGATGAGGAGGCTGCGGATCTGCTATTTTCAGCGGTTCGGTCGAGGAACTGGCCTGCGAGTCGACAAAACGTTTAGAGGGAAAAAGGTTGAGTGAGATCATACTAATCTAACTTCTGTCTGCTCTCTTAAGGGAAGCAAATTGCCGGTATAGGATTAAATTTAATATAGCTAAATTATTAAGTTGTTTTTATTATAGCTAAAGAGAAAAATCTAAAGATTTTCTATAGATAATAACGGTATAGGGTTAACACCCTTCAGAATACAGTCGCAGGTAGTATAACTACGGAAACAGACAAGAAAGTGCTTCAAAAGCTAGGCCGGAACAGGGCGTGGCTGTTAGAGCTACTAGGGCTGCTGGAGGAGGCTCGGCGTCAAGCTGCTTGGTCGAAGAAGGTTGACAGGCGAAGGTTTTGTGGGGCCGAAGGTTATTATACATTCATACTTCAATTCACTTCGTTGAGCAACATAATGGTGAGCTTGTACAGGGATCAGAATAGAGTATCTTGGGCTGTCGCCATAACGCTCTGTCAGAGTCCAATCAGGCCTAGGTGATGGACAACTGACGGAACGTAAATGTTCTTTCGCAAGGGATTTCTGTAGAAATTGTCGTATTAAATCAATCGAGGGTATATAAGCTCTTAGATCCCATCCTCCATCATTTTCAGAATCTGATAATTCTGGTCAAACCAGTTCCCCAGCTCAAAGCTGGGGTTTTCCATGTTCGCTGCCAGACCTTCGTCAGCACCTTCAATGCCGCCTATCCCGACACCGAATGCAACCCCAGGGTTCATCTGAGCATTCGGCTGACCTGGGTCAGGCATCGGCAGCGGTTGACCCGGCAGTGCAATACCCGCCTCTTTGAAGAATGCCTCAAATCCGCCCTCCGAGCCTCTGGCCTGTGCTACATGTCCTGCTGGTACGCTGGCTCCAGCTTCGACATACTTGCACGCGACGTCGTACATGCGCTTGAAAAGACGGAGCTGCTTTTTGTACGCCTCGGGGTAATCCGGGGGAAGCATCTGCAGCGTTTCGACGACGGCTGCAAGCTTTTCTAGGTGTTGGGGAGCGGATGTCTCGATGACATGACAGAAAATGACGATAAATGGGACGAAAGGGGATGAAAGGAGGGCCCTTGTAAAGCATGTCAATACTGTAGTCCAGATACTTGAGCCTTATAGGAGCGTAATTTGCGTACCATTGTATATATAATTCCAGGACGTCGCCTTCCATATCTCGAAGAAGGACGATGCACTTTTTGTGCTCCTCAAGACCGCGGTTGGCAGTAGCAATACACTCATCACAGAAGGCCGAGGTGGAATATGGCCCCGAGGGGATGCTGCGATAGATGAGAGTCAAATCTGCGAGATAGGATATTCTGTCGGCGCGGATTAAAAGCTCATGCGTTGAGTCTCCGAGAGCCCGGCGGCGACCTTCGAGGTATCGAGTCTACATATAGCCGTTGAGTTTTGTGCCGGAGAGAAAAGGAATAATGGGAAGGTCTTACATCAGCAGGGCTTTCTCCTTCGAATACCCTTTGCATTTCAGTTGCCAGAGCTCGTGCTCGGGTAACACGTATGCCCTCCGGTTGGAGTAGAGCGCCGGGGCTGTAAATATCGTCATACACCTTGCCATGGAGTATGGCCATGTCGATCCACTTTGGCAACACGGCGTCCAGTTGGCCGTCGGCGACGGCTTCCAAATCCATCCGGGGAAGCGTAACGTCGCAGTCCCGAATTGTAGAAGACCGACCTAGCCGTAGCGCGAGAGTCTTATCGAGCAGGAAGATGCACCAGAAAAGCTTCGTCCTGCGTCTCCGTGTCTCTGGGTTTTCGGGCTTCAGGGGGGCGTCTCGGTGGAAGCCAAGTGCCTGGGCCATCTGAGAGGCTCCGACGAGACAGTTCCACGCCATCGAGGGTTTGCTTATCTCTAGGTAATATGTCGACTGGTTTTGTGTTAGCATCGAACCATGTATTCGAGGAGATCTACGCCGTACCGCCATGAGAAGAGCTAGTGAAAAGTCTAGAGTCATCGGGAGGTTGAAAGGAAGGCGGGCTAGAATCGACTCCATGTTGTGGCGACACAACAGACCCTGTGATCTAAATTCAAGTTTTCGGGCTTCGTCTGTTTGATCATTTCCATATTCAATAAGAAGACGCTCAAGACTGCAGTTGACGATGATCAAGTCGGCAATCGAGGGCTGCCCCGAGTAAACTGTAAAGAAGTATTCGACAAATTGGCCAATAGATTCGAACTCGAGACAACAGAAAGTTCTAGCACGAGCAGAGCCTGAGCAACAGATTAGTGGCTATAGTCATACCAATGAGAAGGAGACTACTACCTCTAAGACTTTGTACAGCGGCCATGGCCAAGTTGATGGGAGGCATTTGAAAGCCATCTAGAAGAGCAGTTGATGAAATCAGGTGCGCATTCAGGGCGCGAGATCTGTCGGTCCGGTCTTCGTTGGTAACAAGAGTACGGCGTAATGCATCGAGGCTCGACGTCACCTCTTGCGAGACCTTGAGGGGGTGGTTGTTGTTCACGGCTTGCTGGGCGAAATTTGTGGCAAAAGTGGCATGGGCAGTTAATGACAGCTCGCCTTCGTAGTCGGACCCGGAGGCGTCTTCGCTACTCTGAGTATGTTGTATTGGTGATGAATTATACGAGCCGGGAGTCCTGTGGGGGACGAAGTTGGACTGGCCGGAGAGTGGGCCATCTTGGAGGCGGGCGGATGGAGGTCCATTCTTGTCAACGAGGGAACAAATACGGTCAAGCTTTCTTGAAATATTGTCAATCTTGTCCTCGCTGGAGACTGTTGTTAGTGGGTTGAAAAAGAGCACGAATAGTGTCCCGACTCACTATGAGTTAGACACCAGGGCTCTTTGGCGTCTTGTCCGAGGCTTGAAGCCGGCTGGAAACGTGCATGGGATCTGCTTGCGCACGCAGGGCCCGCACGGCTCCTTTCTATCACAGCGGACCTAGGGACATGTCAGTAATCTAGATTGGTATTGCTCTGCAATATGGATGGATGGATACCTTCCGATGTCGGCAATGCTCGCACTGTTTATTCCAGTTAGCTCGTTGATCAGTGAGCGCCGTGTCTATCTAACGGGGGTCTCACAGAGAGGATGTGAACGGGGAACGCCTGGCCGTCAAAGTCGGCGCCCTCTTCGACGTCAGTCCCGTCGGCGTCCATCGAGGCAACGCAACACAGCAGTATGCAGTATCCAGTATGGATCCGAAGTAGATTATCGCGTCCGGCCCGCTTCCGTGCTGCTCCGCCGCCGTTTTGAAAGACAGGGGAAAGGGTTTGACTGCCGAAGTCGCTGGCGGGACTAAGAAAAATTGAAGCTGCGCGGGCGGTCCTCCACGACTCCACATAAAATCATCCCACGAACTCCGAGGTGGGGCTTCGCCATCTCGGAGCCTCCGAGATGCCGGTGTAAGGGTCCGCCGAGACATGTGCGCCCACCAAAAGATCCGTCGACGGGTCGCACTCTCGGCGTGAATGATGCCGCGCTGGGTCCGAATTAGAAATCGGTTCATGCTGTGGAAGTGGGAGCAGCGCATTTAAGAACCGGGGCATGTCCTGAACGAGCCTCGGTTCCCTTTTTTTTTGGGTTGCGTCTCGAGCATTTTCTCGTCTTTTGCACTCGACTCCTCGACGTCCGTTTCGCGACAATCCCCGGATCCCTTGCGACACGATGGCGACGACCCCTGTCACCGAGAAACAGGAGGTTTCTGCGACCAACGAAGTCGCAGACTCCCAAAACGATGCCGGATCGACGGTGACGTCTCCCAAGGACGAGGGAGAGGAGGAGGTGGAGGGCGGCTTCTCGAGCTTTGTTGTACGGGCCCTTCAAAGTGTCTCTGTTTCTGGCAACTTGAGACTGACATTCTGCAGCGAGTCTTCCACTATGGCCGACCGATCGATTACGTCCTTCTCTCCATTGGCATCGCCGCCGCCGTGGGGTCTGGTGTCGCTCTCGCCATGGTCAACCTCGTCATCGGTAAATTCATCTCCCTGATGAACGACTACACCACCGGCAGCAATCCGCCCGACAACTACATGAAGGAAGTTTCCAAATACGCGTGAGTTGAAGAATTCCCGATGCAGTTCCTGCGCATTACCTCTTGGCACCATCTCTTGGCAGCACCTCTTGGCAAGACACCCTAGCTAATGATCGACGTCGCCAAGTCTTTACTACGTCTACATCGGAATCGCTCGACTCGTCTTGACTTACATCTATTCGACCCTGCTGACTTATGTCGCCCTCAACCTCACTCGCAACCTGCGCCACCAATATCTTCGCGCTGCCCTCGGCCAGGAGGTGAGCTTCTTCGACCAAGGCGAGGGAGGCTCCATCTCCATGCAAGCCACCTCTAACGGAAGACTTGTCCAGTCAGGCATGTCTGAGAAGCTGGGTCAGATTTTCCAGGCCATTGCAACCTTTGTCGGCGCATTCGTCATTGCCTTCATTAGTCAATGGAAACTGACCCTGATCCTCATCTGCATTTTGCCCGCGCTTCTCATCATTGTCTTCATCACTGGAGGCATTGACGCCGGGATCGAAACGCAGGTCCTGAAGATTTATGCTCAGGCTGGCGCTTACGCCGAGTCTGTCCTCGGCAGCGTGCGAACCACCCACGCTTTCAGCCTTGGTCCCAGGATGAGCGACAAGTACACCAAATACTTGGAAGACGCGAGAATTCTGGGCTACAAGAAGAACTTGTTGTATGGCATCATGTTCGGCGGCGAATACTTTGTCATTTTCGCTGGCATGGGCTTGGCTTTCTGGCAGGGTATTACTATGATCGCCCGAGGAGAAGTTGAGAGCATCGGTACAGTTTTTACGTGCGTATTTGACAAGATTTCTGATTCTCGATTCTGAGCTAACACGTTCTCGAATAGCGTTCTTTTCTCCGTCATTATCGCCGCCTCGACTCTCAACTCTATCGTCCCTCACATGGTGACCTTCAGCCGCGCTGCTACGGCAGCCGCCGAACTCTTTGTGCTGATTGACCGAAAGTCGGAAATCAACCCCTTTGACGAGTCCGGCGACAAGCCTGCAGATACTGCCGGAGAAATCGAGTTAGAAGGCGTCACCTTCAGTTATCCCACCCGACCTGACGTTCGTGTGTTAGAAGACTTTTCACTACGAGTCCCCGCCGGCAAAGTCACTGCCCTTGTTGTAAGTACTCTCCGTGAAATTCCATCCATCTTACTGACATGTTCAAGGGACCTAGCGGATCTGGAAAGAGTACAATCGTCGGCCTCATGGAAAGATGGTACAACCCAAGCGAAGGCAGCATCAAGCTAGACGGCAAAAGTATTGACCAGCTCAACCTGCGATGGCTCCGCACCAATGTTCGACTGGTGCAGCAAGAGCCCGTCCTTTTCAACGGCACCGTCTTTGACAACATCTCCAATGGACTCGTCGGAACGCAGTGGGAGGCTGAATCACGAGAACAGAAACTTGGACGTGTGCAAGCAGCTGCCAAGAAGGCCTTTGCAGATGACTTCATCCAAGGCCTTCCTGAAGGATACGACACCCGCATTGGCGAGAGAGGAGGTCTTTTGTCTGGTGGCCAGAAGCAGAGAATCGCCATTGCCCGCTCCATCGTCTCGGAACCCAAGATTCTTCTCCTCGACGAAGCCACCAGCGCTCTGGATCCTCACGCCGAGGGCATCGTGCAAAAGGCTCTTGACGAGGCTTCCAAGAACCGAACCACCATCACCATCGCTCACAAGCTCAAGACCATCCAAGGCGCCGACAACATTGTTGTTATGAAGCAGGGCAAAATCGTCGAGCAAGGACGCCACGACGAGCTCGTCGCTCGCGACGGCGAATACGCTACGCTTGTCAACGCACAGGACTTGTCTACCGAAAAGGCCGAGGATGCCACCGAGGAGAGCTCAGAGGAAGATGAAGAGATTCTATCAGTCAAGCAGACTCAGTCTCTGGTCAGGCAAAAGACGGCTGATGTTGAGAACTTTGAGGCTTTCAAGAACCGTGAAGATTTCAACGTCGCTCCTCGCACCGGTGTGATCACGACCATTTGGAAGCTCGTGAGGGCTACACCTGAGCTAAACAGATGCTATGGAATCGTTGGTTTGGCGTGTCTAGCTGGCGGTAAGCAACCTATCGAATAGTGCGGTGTTAATTCCCATTGACTAATGACATTTAGCTGGATTGTACCCTGGTCAAACGGTTCTTATCGGCAAGGTTTTGGACGTCTTTGGGTCAGACGACATGCAAAAACGCGGCAACTTCATCTCCCTAATGTTTTTCGTCATGGCATGCGGTCTTTTGGTCGTCTACTGTGTCTTGGGTTGGACTACCAACATCGTTGCTCAGGTAAGGACTGCATTTGGCCCAGCAAATTATTCTGTTCTGCAACTAACCACAATGCATGGTAGACTTTCAGCAAGAAGATTCGCAGCGACATGTTCAGCGCCTTCTTGCGACAAGACCTCCGATTCTTTGATCGCCCTGAAAACACCGTCGGCGCCTTGACAAGCCATATTGACTCTTACGCCCAGGCCATCTTTGAACTGATGGGATTCAACATTTCTTTGATCATTTTCTGCGTGTCGAACGTGGTCGTCTGTAGCATTCTGTCCATCGTTGTCTCGTGGAAGCTGGGTCTTGTCGGTGTCTTCGCTGGAATCCCTCCGCTACTCGGCGCGGGATACGTCAGGATCCGCATTGAGACCAAGATGGACTCCGATATTGACGAGAAGTTCTCTCAGAGCGCTTCGGTGGCATCGGAGACGGTTACCGCAATCCGAACTGTGTCGTCCCTCGCCATTGAGGAGGACGTTCTGCGCAGATACACTCACGAGCTCGACACAGCCATCAGTCAAGCAAAGGCCCCTCTGTTCAACATGATGATCTGGTTCTCCTTCACCCAATCAGTCGAGTACTTCATCCTCGCCCTGGGCTTCTGGTGGGGATCCAAACTGGTTTCCAACGGCGAGATTTCTTTCTACCAGTTCATTGTCTCCTTCATGGGAGTCTACTTCTCTGGTCAGGCAGCTGGTCAGCTGTTCAGCTTCGCAGGCAGTAAGTAACCCCAGCGTTTATCTCGTGATGCATCCCTAACCTACCTTACAGGTTTCACCCAAGCCAACTCGGCAGCCAACTACTACTTTTGGATTTGCGGTCTTGAGCCCACGATCCATGAGACTGAGGAGAACATCAAGAAGGTCCCCAAGGAGGGATGCAATTCTTACAAGTTCCAAGATGTCGAGTTCTCGTACCCGCTTGCGCCGGACAACCGTGTTCTGAAGGGAGTGTCCCTCAATGTGAGTACTTAAATTTGACCATCATATGAAAATATTGCTAATACTATATTAGGTTGAACCTGGCCAATTTGTCGCTTTTGTGGGAGCTTCAGGTTGTGGAAAGAGCACGATGATTGCTCTCCTCGAACGATTTTATGACCCAACTAGTGGCTCCATCATCATCGATGGTAGCGACTCCCTGAGCGACCTCAACCCGCGTGCTTATCGCAGCAGAGTGGCGCTCGTTCAGCAGGAGCCGACTCTTTTCCCGGGCAGCATCCGTGAAAATATCTCCATGGGTATCGACATGGATGTTGCTAACAAGGAGGATGGCCCGGTTACTGTGGACGATAAGATGATCGAGGAAGCTTGCCGTGCCGCGAACGCATGGGACTTTGTCAGTTCATTGCCAGAAGGTCTCGCAACTCCTTGCGGAACTGGTGGTAGTCAGCTCTCCGGAGGTCAGCGACAGCGCATTGCCATCGCGCGTGCTCTCATTCGCAACCCGAGTGTCATTTTGCTCGATGAGGCAACGAGTGCGTTGGACACCGAGTCGGAGAGAGTTGTGCAGGCGGCCCTCATGGAAGCATCGTCCACTGGCAAGAGAATCACCGTCGCAGTTGCTCATCGTCTGTCAACGGTGCGGACAGCGCACCGTATTTTTGTCTTCTACGGTGGTCGAATCGTGGAAGCGGGTACACATTCCGAGCTTATTGCTCAGGGAGGAATGTATAATAAGATGTGTGAGGCTCAGAGCTTGGATGGTTCTACACAATAAGCCTCCTCATTTTCATGACGGGCATCCGTGGTTTATTTACCGCGCTGGCTAAAATTGGGATATCTAGAATAAAGAGGTCACTCAGGAGTGCCTTAAACTAAAAGTAACGACTATTCAATAATACACAACCATCAAGATATGTGTAATGTGTGGGTGAGACGAACAAGGGAGACTGAAACCTAATAATCCACCCAAAAGGTAGATTGGTAACAACTGTTGTGGTAATTCGTTTGCGACAGTAGGTAAAGCAGAGACCGAGGACACTGGAAACAGTTAAAAAGGTGTGGGAACCGGGATGATGACTTCTTAGAGCCGTATCGTTCTCCCTTGTGGGTCTTAACAATGCAGTCATCATCGGTCTGGATGATTTTTGTGACGGCTTCAGAAAGCTTGATGCTGTCAGGGTTCAGTGCTGCCGCTAGTTTTACTAAGAACTGTTAGTTTCCTGTTTAGACGCTGTCAGTTGGTTTGTATTTTGGGAAACCAGTTTGAAAAAACATAGACTTTGACTGCTCCTACCTCGTCGGTTTGTAAGGTATTGCCCTCCACCAGCGGTATCAGAAATGATGTTCATCGAGCCAGTGGCACTGCTTAGATCATCCACAAAGAATAGCGCCCTGAGTTTGTCTGGCTCAACCCCAATGACACTTCGAATCGCGCTTGTTACCAGTAGCTGTGCCAATTCGGTTCCAAACTTCTGCTTTACGAATTGCGCAGCGGTTATTGCATCTAGTTCTTCGGCATCGGGACGAAGATACGGGTTCTCAAAGTCAGAGCGTTCAACTTACTCATCCATGGTAATGAAAATCCCCTGAAGCTCGGCCTCTTCATCCTCTGTCATCTACCGACTCATTGTTAGCTGGCAACATTCATAGGACTCAATATGATTAAGACGCCCTTGTGAACTTACCGGAAAAGGCAATGCATGGCTGACTCTCGCCTCCAATACGGTCTATGGCTTCTTGAACAACGTAGGACAGGCCGGAGCCAACAGTGAGGACATTAACGATCCGGGCTTCAATTGTAACCATGTTTGATTTAGGAAGAAGGGTGAAACAAAATCTGTGTGGAGAATTTCTTTGATTTGGGACTCATTGACGAGGATAGTACCTCATTATATAGCATATATATCAATACTAAATGGAAGTCTAATGAGAGCTCCTGACTCTCAGACGCTAGTTGAAGCATCTCTTTTGTCATCGCAATGGCCGGCTGAGAGCCTATGTCGTCTTTTGTCTGGGTCCGGGTCCGGGTCCTAGAAGATGTCAATGCTACGAAGGTTGCGTGAGTGTGTGAACACTTGAAAGTTGCCCCTGACGCCACCCACAATGTTTCACAGTGTAGATATATTTGGTTTTCGCAGTCTGTTGTAGAATTAAGCCCTCGCTCCCCTATAGCTCAGTTGACAGGAGCAAGAGAGTAAGCACTAAATGCCCCGAAGATCAGCGCTTGCATCACTCTAGGTATTCATTAGGCTGCTATTTAAACTTAATGATAGGCGTGAGGCAGGAGTTGGAGGGTATTTTTTGTGTTTACAAACTTTCTTCTGCAACCGCCGGTATCTAGACTTCACGGTAGTACTACAAGGCAAGGGTTAACTTAAGGGTCTTTGTAGTGTTTACAAGCTTTCTTCCGCAACCTCCGTGTAGTATTTCTTTGCCGCTGTGCCCTAATTTGGAAAAGATCAGCAATTCAGAGGATCAGATCTAGAACTTTATTACGAGTTTCCGACGACTTCACACATAGCGAGGTTCGCGCACCCGCGGCGGCCATCTGTCCTGACCATCACTGGAACTGGCCAACCACCAAGTATATAGTAAAAGTATCATGCGGGTCTGTAAAACGTTCTTCTCATTATGCATATCTATTCTGTGTCATCATTTAGGAGGAGTAGGAGAATATGACTCATAAACCTCGAAATTAACCGTCTTATTAATACCGGTACGCTTGTCCATTTCATCCAGTTCAATCTCAGAGGGTGTTCTCTGAGATGTTCCAGCCTGAATTATTCGCTCTTGGGAGCTTGTCCTCTGTATTTTGCTTCCCCCTTGCACTTCGATGATTTGTTCGTTTTGCGCTACAGAGTAGTGCAGCCCTCTGTTGTTATTCGACGTGAACTGTCTCGGGTTGCTTCTGCCTCCGTGGGATGAGGATGCGTAGGCTTGGTCAGTGAAGACTAGTCTCGAGGCAAGCATATCGATGCTATAAATTCCAGTTAGCATATAATCACCAAGCAAAATTTGCCTGTGAAGAATTGGATTGACTGACAACATGACGAAGGGGAAGAGGCATTCCAAAGTGTATGCGAATCGGTCCAGCTGACTAGCTACGTTTGTCGCGCTCTGGGCCGTGGTCTGGAACGAGTAGGTGATGGCCCTCATCACACCAAGCACTGCAAGCAGCGCAAGACGAACTTCGGTACTTCGCATCAAGTACCTAAACAGGCCAGTCTTGATGGCGGCTTTCAGCGACGTGGTCTTGGCCGAGGCGAAGACGTTGATCAAGAAATAAGCGCTGACGCACTCAACCACGGCGATCGAGACAAAGTAGCCAATGTGGAGGTTGTTGATTAGTTTCTGGAAAGAATCGCCTCCGGCTAGGATAGACCTGACTCTCGTCACGGCAATCATGATCCTGATTGCCGCTATTACCAGCATGATTGCCCAGAACAAGGCAGCGAAGACGTGCCAGCGACGGTTTCTCAGCACGCGGCTCAAGATGACATAACTGTAAAACGACAGCCCGGCTTCTTGGACCTATTCACCAAATTCAAGTATCAGAATCTACCCATCGAGGTCATCCGAGGCGCATCGGGTATGTCGTACCAACCAAAGCAAGTCCGCGAATGCCGAGGCAACGGCCTGTCCCTTGGCCGTGGTCCCTTCGGCGTAGAAGGCATAGAAACAAAGCCCGTTGGCGACGGCTCCGGCGGCGGAGGTTATGACTGGCACGGCAGATATTTGAGAAAAACTGGTGATGCTGCACACGAGAAAGCCGAACAGGACGTTGCCGATTCCGATAGTGCTGAGAATAGACCAGCTGAGCTCGTAGTACACAGTGGTCGACATTGCGGCTTAAATTAGGGCGACAACGGAACGAGCCACGCGAAGAAGAAAGGAAATCCCTGAAAATTAGAACAGCCACGTTGTGTATTATTATACGCAGCCACGTCTCATGCAGCTTGACAGCTGCTAGTCCTTGATACGGTTTCCCATACCGACATGTTCCGGCTCATGGAATATCGCCCCGCCCTCGTACGCTCGGCCGGGCGTTCGTCCGTGCGAGTGGCCGCCTGAGATGATGCTAGCAGGGTGGCAGGACCCGAGTGCTATGACAGGAATATCAGGAAGTTCTGATATGCTAATATTTAACGGCTTTGTTGCCGAAGCCGGACTGTGGCTGAAGGGCTAACATGCAATCCATGACTCGTGTGAGTGACGCCCTAGGGAGTAGGCGACCCCGGACTAGGGTCAAGAATAGCCCCTGGTCGTCCGGAGACAATTACCAGCATCAGTGGGCAGCTGAAAACCCCCAGTTCAGCGCCGTCTGTTTCACGCGATACTCATCTTAGGTTACGTAAGATTTAATCGCCTGGTCTCAGCCAAGCCCTCGCGGCCTCTCCACTAACACGCGGGTTTCTGCCTGTACTGGGAATCGCTTGGCGACAGGATCAGGTCTAGTGTTGAGCAGCATCGTGTGACTGGAGCTCGCCTGCAACCGAAGCTGGACAGCCACAACTGAGGCACACGCATGCCATGTGGTTTCGATGAGAACCTTAATAAAGTCCTTGACAGAAAAATCTGCCTCGAACGGTGTAATTGAGTCCACGTGTTGAGTTCCCATGCATAACGGTTGGACCCCGCCTTGGGATCCCCAGTCTAAAAGGTCTCAGATCGAGACAGGCAGACTAGTTCGCGTTATTAGTCTTCTTCATCGGCAAGATTGATCCGGTACAGAGATCTGGCCACGCTTGGTCCCCTAATTTTGACGCCTCGATGAGGAGCGATGTGATAAGCGGGCCGCGTAATTTTTCATGACACGAGGCCCTCCAAGATCACTACCAAACTCTATATTAGATGCTCCATGCTCCTTTAAAATGAGACACTGTCGGTAGGATGAGCTCCCATCATTCTGAAGTCTCGACCTGCTTCGTCAACTGAAAAAATTTGCGTCCAAGGTCCATGACAAGGATTCACCATTCCTGTTCAAACCAGCACGCATTTCAGTCACAGTCATTCTCACAGATCATTCACAGATTATAAGACAGCAAAATTAAGACAGCAGAATTTGTTTAATGTGACAGTTATTCCTCCTTCTAGAGCAACCGACCCCGGAACCGAATATTTTTCTCGTGGGATTTGACCCTTCATTCAGGTGATGGCTGTTGCGGGTAATAAATCCCTAGCCCTACACCATGGGCCGGGCTCATATGTCCATCACTGTAGGATGTATACGTAGGCCCATGGTCCTCCTCGATATCACGCCGCGAAGGCTCTTTGGCGCCCAGCTTCGGCTTCTGGCCCCGGCGTCGCTTGAAGACGCTGCAGGTGAGAACCCGTGCAATGCGAAGGGTTCGGCGAAAATCCGGCATCGTGACGGCCGAGAGTTGTATGATCGAGACTCAGTAGAGGTTAATAAAGTTAGCCCTCGGGATTTGTGAGCAGGCCAGTTGGGGAGAATGCGAGGCCAAGATTTTGCGGAAATGTTCAGGGTACTGGAACGACGACTAAATAGTTCAAGAAGCACTGCTCGTAACACATCTTATACTGCAGCAAGGACATGTCATGTGCTGAAGTGTTTGAGGCAGAACATTTAGAAAACAAACAACGGGATACATCGATCACTTAAGCACTGAAAGCCAACGGGATTTCATTCTTGGCTGTGTTTCGTCAGTGGTATATTGCACAGTTTTATTAAACAATGCTTTCTGTGAATTGGGACCGCACTGCCTAAGTCAGTTCGGAAGCGTCAAGCCAAACACGCGTCGTGAGGTGATTTACGGCCGAGTAATTCGTGCCTGGTTTTGTGCAACTGTTCAGTACAAACATGGAAACTCATTGGAATTGATCTTTGCGCTGTTCTAGTTTGAAGAATGCTATTCAGTACAGAGTTGTTTCCAATCTCAAATTGGGGTTGTTTGAGCCTGTTTGCAGAGCAGGTGTTGGTACCAGCATTTCAGTGATGCGTTTCCCCTCACACTCATTGTCACGGGCACACAGAAGATGCATTTCGCTGCAGGCCATCAATTGTACCATCACGTCTGAAGTGAAATGTAAAATAAGTATCTTTATGATAATTAATAAATGTTATGCCCTTATTCATTGTACTTATTATCTTATTTATCAAGAGGTTGGGGTGCCCTAGTACTTTTCTTATTTATATATTTCCCATGCCAATGTTAAGACTCGCGTAGGCGTCGTTGAGGTGCAATAGGCGGTGCATCCATCCCAAGCCAAGTATCAAAATCCGTGCAATAGCAACGGATGTATATGCTGATTCTAACGCTTTTATAGATATACTCGATGAAAAATGATCAGCGTAAAACTGCAGTCGGGAAATGCCCCCGGCTAACTCATCGCAATCGTCGGATGGCGCTCCGGCTTTTCGGGAAATGCTTCGCTCTCATCCGCCAGATCCACCGTGGACCAAGTTTGCGGAGGAGGAGCAGGTGGAGCACCACCCTGACGCTCGTTAACGAAAGAGAATGTAAATATTCGCTGCTGCTGCTCTTGACTCGGTGATGCAATGCAGGTTGATTACTCCAGTTAAGTCAGTCCAATTCTCATCCATTTGTCTCGTCCCATTTTCCTCCTTACCCCGCAAATCCCCTCGCCCAAACGAGCCATTAACAGCAATAAACCGCAAGGAGACCGCCGTGATAATTCGCATTGTTCTTCAATCCATCTATACGTCCTTTACTCGCAATGTCCGCAAACGAAATCCTCGATCGGGATTCAACCCTCCAATCCCTTCCTCCGGCCCCAACAAAGGACTTGCGGCGGCAGGTCAGGGAGAATCTCCAGTCGTCCACCAAAGCTCCCATCCTCGTCGTTCTCGACGACGACCCCACGGGAACTCAGACATGCCACGACGTCAACATCCTTACCGTCTGGGATGTCCCTAGACTTGTCGCCGAATTCAACGAGACAAAGCAGGGCGGTGGCTTCTTCATTCTAACCAACTCTCGGGCGTTGCATCCCCAAGAAGCCCGCGAACTCATCACCGAAATATGTACCAACCTGCAGGCTGCGTCAAAGGAAACCGGCGCAGCCTTTGAGGTTGTGCTTCGCAGCGACTCCACCCTGAGAGGGCATTTTCCGCTCGAGGCTGAGGCCGTCGAGCAAGTTTTGGGCTCTGCAGATGCCTGGGTCCTTTGTCCATTCTTCCTACAAGGTGGGCGGTACACCATCGGTGACGTTCACTATGTACAGGAGGGCGACAAGCTGCTGCCAGCGGCGCAGACGCCTTTCGCCAAGGATGCTACTTTTGGCTACAAGAGCTCGAACCTAAGGGACTATGTGGTGGAAAAGACCAAAGGGGCCATACCCAAGGAGAGAATCACATCTATCAGCCTGGAGACGATACGAATCGGTGGTGTGGAGGCCGTTTTGAAGCAACTCCTGGAGGAAGTGAATGGCAGCCGACCCGTCATCGTTATCAACGCCGCTGCCGATGAGGATGTCGATGTCGTTGTAGCGGCGTTGTTGAAAGCCTCAGAATCCGGAAAACGCTTCCTCTTCCGGACCGGCGCAGCCTTTGTTTCAGCACGTCTGGGAATTTCATCTATTCCTCCCATCTCATCCAGCCACCTGGGACTCTCGGGGGATGTCGGTGGTCTGGTTATCGCAGGCTCATACGTGCCGAAGACGACCGCCCAGCTCGAATCGCTGCGAGCTCGATCCGGCGACAAGCTGACTAGTATCGTTCTTGATGTTCGAAAGCTTCTCGAGTCTCCAGATGCCGCGACTAATGAGGTATCAAAAGCTCTCGTTATTGCAGAAGCAGAGATCAAGAGGGGCCAGGATGTCCTAGTGATGACGAGTCGAGAGCTGATTGTTGGAGGAGACGAGGCCAAGAGTCTAGATATTGGCTCAACTGTTGCTCGGGTCCTCGTCTCGTTCCTCCAGAAGCTTGAGCAAAAGCCCCGATACATCATTGCAAAGGGCGGAATCACGTCTTCAGACATGGCCACAAAGGGCTTGAAGATGAAGCGCGCCCTCATTGTCGGCCAAGCTGCACCAGGCGTTCCGCTCTGGCGTTGCGACGAACCGGAGTCGAAGTGGCCCGGTCTGCCATATGTTGTTTTCCCTGGAAATGTTGGAACGAACGATACTTTGTATGAGGCAGTCAAGGGTTGGGGCTGCTGAGAAGGCTAACTAAAGATGCTTCAGATCCATCATAGACGGAATGACATACCAGGTAGTAACGAATCTCATAGAAGCTCAGTATTGACCTGCCACTGCCCAGACCTCATTTGAACCGGGCTCCGACTGGGAATTCTTCCACGACGAATATCTGTATTCTTAGCCATTTTATATCCTTCCGCCCAATACCCGTTACTCATAAGATCTTAGTCATCATCAAATATTATTGAGTATTGCTATTCGCATACATTCAAAATCCTAATCGCACACAAATACAAGCCTTTACACCTAAGTTTGGTATAAGATAACATATCTAGTCCGTACGCCCACTCTAAGTATCTTAATTTAAGAAAAGTCCAATTTCTACCCTAAAATAAATTAAAAGATTCAATTTAAACAGTAGAACTTAAAGAATAAATACTCAGAATAAAGTATAGTTAATTTCTTAGATTTAGTTAATAATAGGCGTGCTGTTGAGACTTCCCAGTGAAATTTGCCCATGTAATTAAGTGTACGGTAGCATTTTGAATGTGTGCGAATAGAATACTCATATTATTTATTCTAGGACTAAGTAAAGTGGCTGGTCAGGAAACTATACACATCACTCGATGACTCCGCCCCAAACGCTTCATACAACAGACTATCGTTCATGAAAGTCGATCCCTCCCCAAATATATCTTGCTCTTGTGGTTGTTGAGGATACGCATCCCATCCGGCTCCGGCCAGCTGAACTGGCGGCGGTCCGTATCCTATCCCCGGTGCAGGCGTTGCTTCGTCGGTTGGTCTGTGATACCCGAACTGTTCAGGTTGAGTGGCGTGCAGCGGCCGACCATGGTCCTCTCCCTCTGCTTCAGCGGTCATCTTGGCGAGCATTTTCTCAAGACCGTTGGCGATATGGTGCAGCACATGGCGATCTGAAGTCACCGAGCTTTTGAGAAGGATAATCATCTTCTCCAGCAAATGCGAGACATTCAGGTAGCTATGCTCGATGTTGAACCCCATTATCCGATTCCACTTCGTCGCGACCTTCATCAGAAAGACTGACGCAAATGCAATCATGGTGTGGACATATAAGGGTGTGCCGACAAGCGCTCGGCGCATGTCTTCCTCCTCCAGCACGAAAGTGAGAATGCTCGCGGCAGCTGAGATGGCCATGTTTGTAAACTCCTTTCTCTCAGTTGACAGTCTCCCAGAATTGAGGCTCACGCCCCGCACGGCAAGGATGTTGAGCTGAAGCTTGGCAAAGTAGCTGTAGAGAATGATCCCTTTTGGTGGAAACGTGCCAATGAAGCTGTTGCTCTGCTGGCGGGCGTACCACCGCATGCGCCATTGCTCGATTTCGAGATTGAAGTTTCGGAGGTCAACGAAATCCTCCTCCTCGAGCATGTCGACGGAAGAATCATTCGATGAGGTGGTATTGGTTCCGTAGCGAATTGTGTGAGGATCCGGGAGTCGTCGCACAGCGAACCGCTCATATGCTCGGGTAAGTATCTGCATCAAGGCCACTTGTGACAGGATCCGGGCATCTATAGGCCCTGCAAAAGGGGACGCGAGGAATAGTTCGTGCTCTCTAATCTGGGTGGACTCGGCGATCATCGGTGGGCGCCCGTAGGCAATGCTAAAGTGATGGTCGCACACATAGAGCATGTACCACAAGCGAGCCCGAAGGAAATGTTCTCGATCTCCTTCCAACGCCTTTGCAAAAGACTGGTGTATGTTGAGCTCGGTTGCAATGCGGATAGCATGGCCAGACAACTTCCACGAAACCTCCGAGAGCCAGAATGCGGCAATGCAGAGCCCCCGTACGTCGTCGATGCTGTGGTACCGAGAGAACATGGATGACGATATCAGAGCCAAAAACTCTTTGTAGCATTTGTCAAAAGTCTCGGCACTCGTGGGTATGTGCAGAGCGGTGACGGCAAGAATCGTTGCCGTGAGAAGCTCTGAAGATTTGCGCACGGAATGGAATGAGGGGTGTGTCTGCTCAAGACCAACCCAGAGGTAATGGTTCAAGGACATATGGAAGCTAGGGATACCAGGTTAGCTTTGCCATAGTACCGGTGGGATTCAGCTCACGTTTTGTACAACTCTTCGGCCTCGTGCTCAGAAATGACGCCTCTGGAGATGAAATCGTTCAACTCCCCCTGACTCCCAGGAAGCGGCCGCGCAGTCTTGGCTCGATTACTCCTGATGTTCCGCAGCCTGGTGACTTCGTACAAGCTATTCATGGGATCCTCGACAGCCACGGCCCCATTCCCTTGGTCGCTGCTCGGTGCGGGCTCGAGGGAGTTCTCCCGGGTCATCGCCATCTGCGTGTTGTCCTCTCGCGACGACAGGCCTGCGGGACTTGTCGTGCTTCCCGGTGTGACGGTAGGTGGGTTCTGCACGGTGAGGCAATGGGCGTCTGGAATTTGTTGTCGTTTTTCTGCGAGGACTGTGTCCAGACTCCGTCGCATTAGATCAATCTCATGTCTCATGTTATCGATCTTTTGCCTGTGATTTATTAGCTAATGTACAGGGTTTTGTTCACCCTTCTTGTCCTCTTACTCGTATCTTTCCATGGAAGCAACGGACATATCGTCTCCGTTTCCTAAAACAACGCTTGAGGCTTTGAAGACGCATTCCACCTTGCGTCTCAGGCAATGGCGACATTTGCGGTCCCCTGGAAAGACCTCGCATCTCATCTTCAGCTTCCTGCATTCATGGCCTAAGTTCTCCGTCAGTCTTTTTTCTTTAATCTTCCAACATCGATAACTCACAGGCCTTGGATTTCCTGCCCGGTCCTCCGGCGCCGCCAGCTCCCTCCAAGAGCTTCCCCGGGCGGCGAAACCCCTTGAGCTTGACATTGTTCTCAGTTCGAGGCGACAACCTTGGTGATGCCACAGGCTTCTCGTTCTCTTCGTGTATCCGCGGCGTTTCTGTGGAATCCATTTTCCTACGATACTGCTCTAATCCTCTGGGACGTCTCTGTTGATGCACCGGACCGTCTCCCCTGTTACCGGGAAATCGGGAAATGGCCCTGGTTTTGTTCCCACTCCGGAGACAAAATGTGGAGAGTGCTGGCGGGGGAAGCGGGGAAGTAAACTGCACTATCACGGTTTAGTTTAGCATCGCCTCCGCAATCTCTCCGCAATTACATCAGGACAAAGACTGCTGTTATGTTGTCTCAATGAAGCACAGCCGATATCGCTTCACGGTAACTGAAGGAGTCTCACCGGCCAATGCCATTACCGGAGATAACATGGGTTCAACTTGGCCGCATCAACATGGTGTCATGTGGATAGTGCCAAGGATGAAGAAGCACATGTGATGGAGCACAGCGTCTTGTCATGAAGCGGAACAACCCTGGGATTCAATGACTCGAGATTGACACATGGGTCCGCATTTAGAATTATATCGCTTGGTGTGGCAGGTTGCTTTCGTACTTTTGAGTCATATCCCAGGGTAAATGTTCACAAGGAAGACACCTTTCTAGGAGTGAACCTCATTTCAAGCACCCGACAGTTCAGATTATCTAGCAATAATATTTCTGCTAACTATAGATTCCTCCAATACCCAATCCACAATTTCAACTATCGTGGAACATCCTTAGATATCATATCTGGCCTTAGAACCAGCATTGATTCCTCCCAGGGGTCGACCGACCGTCGTGTGCTCGCCATGCTTCTCGAGGTGCTCGGACAGATTCTTGCCAGAAATTCCTTCCTCCACAGACAGCGTAGATTCCATTTCATCCATCTTCTTGTTATCCCTCCTGAGACACCATGTAAGAGCAATGGAACTGGCGATGGTGATGACGGTCAAAGCCAGGTTGACGGACCATGCCGTCATGTACCGCGGTCCCTCGCTAGCAGGGTACAGATAGGGAGTCCACACAAGCGCCAGGTTTCCAACCGAGTTATTCATAGCCAGACTGATGGCGCGCTTCTTGCGGGGGCGGGCACCAATGTTGGCCATCCAGGCGTTGGAGATCTGGAAGCACCCGTAGGTTCCAGGAAGCATAAGGAACAGTGCAAAGTATCGAGCAGCAGTGTTGGTTGTCGCCATTGTGATGATGATTCCGGCCAGAGCAACGAAGCTCGGGAAGATCATGTGGGGAGATCGCTTGCTGGTACGATCCGAGTACCATGTGTTGAAGAGGCAGAAGAGTGCCGTGAACAGGAATGGCGGAGCTGTCAGAAGGAGGGTCTTGATGGTAGAATAGCCAAAGCTCTTGACAAGAGTGGGCAGGAAATTAGTCAAAGACGCAACAGCCTGGACGCACATCTGGCCAACAATGCAGAGCCAGACACGGTGGTCCTTGGCAGCCATCTTGAAGGCAGTAAACGTGGAGATTTCTTCCTCCTCTTCACCAGCGTCTTCGATGATACGCACGATACCCAGCGCCTTCTCCTCTTCGGACAGCCACTTGGTTGTAGCAGGCCAGTCAGGTATAACCATACCAGTGACGACTGCAAAGACAACCGTCGCAATACCCTCGATGAGGAACAACCAGCGCCAGCTCTCAATCTTATTGTTCGCGAATCCAGCTGCGATTCCGGCCGCGAAAAGACCACCAAAGGCTCCTGAGAGCATGGCGGCGCAGAAGAAGATTCCCAAGCGTAGACCCAGTTCTTTTCTCGTATACCATCCGCTGAAGAGGAATGCGACGCCGACGAAGAAGGGGGCCTAAGTAGATGCCAGGTTAGAGCTGAATTTCCATGTGGTTGATTTACCATGCTTAGCAACTTACCTCTGTCACTCCAAGGAAGAAACGGCAAATCACAAGACCGGTGAAGCCTTTCACCGCCGCCGTGGCACCGCTGACGATACCCCAAGCAACCATACACAGCGCGAGGTACCAACTAGGTCGGACCATGCTAAGAATCATGTTGCTAGGAACTATTAGATGTCAGCATAGCTTCCACTAGTCGCGTGCCTGCTATAATTACCTTGCATCAAAATGTATCCAATAAACGTGACACTCAGGACGATGTTGTACTGGACTCCCTTGAGGCCCAGATCCTCTTCCAGGCCTTGGACTCGAGCGTGCGGGACGGCATTGCGATCGATGTAGTTCATGATGTACATGACAATCTAGAACCACGGCGTCAGTTGGTGGAAATAAGAGATGCCCTCAGAGAACGCAAACGTACCAAGATTGGCAAGAGACGAAAATCAATCTTCCTCAGAAACTTCTTCTCTCGAGCGACGCGCTCCTCCGGCGACCAGGCGGCGACAATGGCGGCATAGTCGACGGTGGCGGCCGCCATGCCAGCTGGCTGGTTCTTGGCCATTGCGATTGGCGATGTCTGGATATCGGTGTATGAAGAAGTGCGCAGTTGATCAGAGGGCGTAGAGTCCCGAGCTGTAGTCGAGCGTGTCTGAATGCAACCGCCTGGCTCGGAGAGCATCTTATACTCAATCCACGTTCCCGTTATCCTAGCTTGCGCTCAGCCGACACGAGTCAACCCCGGACGTCGAAACCCGCGGCAAATGTCAAGTTCCCCAGGTTCTCCATGAACCCGGAGATTCTGGCGCCCTGTCGACTAGGCCTCATGCCGTGTGGGGTCTGGGGTTGAGATTGGCGCCGGCCCCAGCCCGCCGGTGACGTCCGATTTCCCGGCGGCCACACCGCAGGGTACTACGCAGTAGCTCAAGGTTGTTTCTCCATTTTTCTGGTCCACGTGGATCGAGATCCATGCTAAGCTAGGAATGCGGCTGGGTATGTTTTGGCGCTGGTTTGCTGGAGGGATTGAGCGTGTGGTATGATGTCGGAAAATCGGGCAAAAAGCCGGTGTTCGAACTACACAGATGGGGAACTTGGGTGGAACACTGGGTCATGATGCATATTCGTGGGGAGAAGGATGGACCCGGCTTCGCATATCCTTTAGGTAATGTTGAGTTCAAAAAGAAGCCATTGCTGCCTTGAGAATGGACATTTCAAGAAGTTTCATCAATCACTCATCCCCTCAATCAACAGCACAGCTCTTCTCGCGACAGACTCGATTGGCTCTCGTCCAAGTGGCATCAAACCACCTCATCCCTCTTCTTGTCAACTTTGACACCTTTGTATACCATCTATCATCATGACCAGCCTTTCTACAAAACTTGCCGCGCTCGAGACGGCCGGCAAGCCGATCCAGGTCGGCATCATCGGCGCTGGCAAATTCGGTTCCATGTTCATCTCCCAGTCCTTCCGAACAACCGGTCTCCGTCTAGCAGGCATCGCCGACCTCTCCAAGGACCGAGCTCTGGCCTCACTCAAGCGAACCGGGTTCCCCGAGGACAAGTACGATGCCACCTGCGCGCTCTCCGTGTCAGAGGGCATCAAGGCGGGCAAGACTGCCATCACCACAGACTCTGCCGCTCTTATTGCGACGCCCGAGATTGATGTCATTCTCGAGGTTACTGGTAACCCCGCTGCGGGTATCCGGCACGCCTTGTTGTGCTGTGAGCACAAGAAGCACATTGTCATGATCAACGTCGAGGCTGATGTGCTGGCCGGTCCTCTCCTGGCACGCAAGGCCCGCGAGGCTGGCATCATCTATTCAATGGCATACGGCGACCAGCCCGCCCTAATTGCCGAGATGGTCGACTGGGCCCACACAGCCGGGTTCGAGGTTGTCTGCGCCGGCAAGGGCACCAAGCATCTCCCAGAATACCACTACTCCACGCCCGACACCGTGTGGAACTACTACGGTTTCACTGATGAGCAGCTTGCGGGTGGAGACTTCAACCCTCAGATGTTCAACTCATTCTTGGACGGCACCAAGTCGGCGCTGGAGATGGCGGCCGTTGCCAATGGCTGTGGCTTGAGCCCTCCCACAAATGGCCTGAAGTTCCCTCCTTGTGGAGTTTGGGATCTGCCCGAGGTGTTGAAGCCCGAGAGCGAGGGCGGTCAGTGTGAGAAGAATGGCACAGTCGAGGTTGTATCCTGTATGGAGACGGACGGCAGATGGGTCTTCAATCACCTCCGATGGGGTGTCTATGTTGTTATTAAAGGTGAGTTGTCTGCTTCCGATCCAGTGGAATTGTTTACTGACTTGCAAACCCAGCTCCTGGAGAGTATCAGAAAGAGTGTTTCGAGCAGTACGGTCTCAAGACAGACTCGAGCGGATGGTACGCTGCTCAGTACAAGCCTTACCACCTCATTGGTCTCGAGTTGGGTGTCTCTATCGCCACCATCATGTGCCGAGGAGAGCCCACAGGGCAGACAAAGACGTGGTCCGGCGACGTCGTTGCGACCGCCAAGCGGGATCTCGAGGTTGGCGAGAAGCTCGACGGCGAGGGTGGCTTCACCGTCTACGGTCGGCTCATGCCTGCCGAGGATTCAATGGCCATCGAGGGACTTCCCATCGGCCTTGCACACGGCTTTGTATTGAAGCGGGCCGTGAAGAAGGATCAGCGACTGAGCTGGCAGGATATCGAGTATACTGCATCTGCACAGGCCGTTTCTGTGAGAAAGGAGATGGAGATTATCTTCAAGAAGGAGTTTGAGGCGAAGAAGCTGAACGGTGTTAATGGAGTCAATGGTACCCGTTAAGCTATAAATCCTGTTATTAGCATTGCAAGACATAGATGAGATTTGAAAGCGCATTCGGATTAATTGCTGGACAAATTGTGAAGCTTGATGAATCGTGATGGCTTAGAAGAGCACTCATCCGGTGCAACAAACGAAGGCGAGATTGAGGTATACGACGGTGGGGGCATTGCAGCACAGCGAATTTTTTTTTATAGCAATTATTCCCGTTATCTAGGGCCTATTTGCTAACATTCTTTCGCGAAAAGGACGCATCTAATTAATAGAGAACACGGAAATCAACAAATTCAGGTTGAAGCCGGGAGTGCAGGGTAGTAAAGCGTGCGTAATATCGGAATCGGAGAGTAAAATAACTCCCGGATCCGAAACGGGAAGCCCAATTTTGACTCCACCATGTCATCTCACTGTCATCTTTCACGTACCATGGCGTATTCCGGAGGCTAAAATGAGCTCCGGGCTCCGGGTTTAAGTCCCTCTTACCTCCGACTCTTGTCATTCCATTTCGCAGGAACCAGCGCTGATGCCTGGTATCTGTCTCCTTTCCTTATTGCCAATGGACGTTGCGGTGCGTTGTTTCGGGGCCGGAAAACACAAGTAAACAATGGACGACCATCTCATGAGCCGCGATGCGGGCCTCGCGCAGGTCCCGGACGACCACGATGCGGCGAACCCGAAGCCGCGGGCTTGTTCCAGCTGCGCCCGGCTAAAGATGAAGTGCCAGTGGCCCGCTGCCGGGGCGGTGCGGCCGGAGAAGACGTGCGCAAGGTGAGTCCGGAGGTTTCGCTCTTTATAATAACTCCCGGTGTGCTGTGCTGTGCTGTGCTGATACGAACTCGGCTAGATGCGCCCGCATGAAGCTCGAGTGCAAGGTCCCGGAGGCTGCGCCAAGAAAGAAACGAGGCAAATCAACGTAAGTGTCCTCGCTATTTTGTTTCGTTTCTATTCGTGTGTTCGTCTTTTTAATTGTCGGATACAGCCGAGTTGCCCAGTTGGAGAAGAAACTCGACGGCATCGTCTCGCTCCTCGCTGCTAGCCAACAGATGCAAGCCAAAGGACCATCCCCATTGACCCCAGAAAGTCCCGAGGCCGTTCAAATCCCACAGCCACTCCCCGAAAAGCCGCCCAGTCCGTTCCTCGCTCTCAAAGAGACGGTCGACGGTAGAGGTGGCGATGACGCCACCAACGACTCGGCGGAGTTGGAACTCCTCCCCGGGTTCCGTATCACACACGAACAGGGCGACAAGTACCTTGACGTGTACCGCCGAGACTTTTTACCCGTGTTCCCGTTTGTAAGCCTCCCGGACTATGTCACATCTCGGGAACTGTACGCCCACTCCGAGGTCCTGTTCTGGACCATAATGGCCGTCGCCCATCCGCTGCCAAGAGAGGTCCAGACCGAAACCAAGACGTGGTTTCGCAAGTATCTCGCCGAACACGTTGTCGTCCTACAGGAAAGAAACCTCCATATGCTTCAGGCCATTCTTATTCACCTTGCTTGGTAAGTGTGTCTCTTCAACATACACTTGATACAACACTGACCTGTTTCAAGGAACGACTTCCCGTTCTACTTGGACCCGCAGGGTACCCCCATTCTTCAGCTCGCCCTGTCCTTGGTCATGGACCTAAGGCTAGAAAAGCCACCGGGGTCTTGTGGCGCGCCTCACAAGTCATTGCTGGGAGATGCTTGGTCCACCATCATCAAAACATCGTCGTATGGAGCGAAGCTCAAGACTTCGCACTCCCTAGAGGAGAAGCGAGCTTTGCTAGGCTACTACCACATATCAAGCCTGTAGGATACTGCTCTGATACCTTGCCAAACGCTCGTGTTCTAACTAGCTGCAGCTTATCCGTGCTGTTCAGAAGGGGCACGCAACTGAGTTGGAGCAACTTCTTGTCTCAATGTTGCGACGCCCTGATTAAAACCGACGAGTACGTGACTGACAGATACCTCGTGGCCGTGGTAAAGATGCAGCACATGGCCGATCGTGCATACAACATGTTGCGGGCTACCGACTATTACGACAACGTCTCGGTTGTGTTCCGCCCTCCCCTCGAAATGGCCATGAACCAGGCCCGACGTGAGCTGGAAGCCTTTGTCGAGACCCAACCTGAAAGCGTCAAGGAAACCAGTCAGTCTCTTTCCTGTACCCGTTTTAGAACGACAGAGAAGAAACTAACAACCGCTTGCAGAACTGTTCTGGTCCCATTACTACATCCTTCTCGTACGCCTCTACGAACCCGTACTCCAAATGAAGGCGCCCACCCTCACCGACCTGGACAGCCTCGCCGGCGAACCCTTCCAGCGCGCCGAAGCCATGTGGAAATGCGTCCAGGCCGCGAGCCAATTCTTCAACCACCAGCTCACGGTCCCCGTGGCCCAGCTCACGGTCCTGCCCGTCACCATCAACGGCTTCCTCGCCTTCGCCATCGTCACGGCGTCGCGCATCATGCTGCTGGACTCGTCGCCCGACTGGGACCCGGCGCTCGCGCGGCGCCACCTCGACATCGCCGACTTGCTGAGGCGCATGAGCAACGAATACGAGGACGCCGACCGCGTGGCGCAGGAGCTGGGGCGGCGGCGACGTATCCTCGACGACAACATGAGCGTGTTTCTCAAGTACAGCTCCAAGCTGCGGTGGATACGGCAGTGGTATCTGTCCAAGATCCCGCAGGAGCCGGAGGTGCCGGTGGTGGAGGCGCCGAACTGGGCCGTCGACTTTGAATTTGACGAGAATTTCTGGCAAGAGTTGATGTCGGGGTATGATTGCGATGATCTCAATGTGTCTTTACCGAATGCACCGGTGGCTTGATGGGTGATGCTGGGAGCATCTTTCCGACTCTGTATTATAACTCACGGCACGGCGTAAAAGGGACCCTGGAATACTTTAGACGGCGAACATCGCCATTCAACAACTCGAGAGAGCAAAATACCTCTTAATTATATCCTCACTCCGTCCAATTTTCTGGAGACGTCCGGCTCCGATCTCCCCCACCACTTTCCGGGCCGGCCCGTTTTGGTTGGCGGGTCAGCAGCCCGAACTTCCTCCGTCATCTCCGCCGCGGCTCACCCGCGAATGTGCTGTACTCCTACAACCACGAAGTTCTTGGATAATCTTGCCATCATTTTACTCCAACAGACGCAGCTGTTGAAAACCAAACTCCTCTATACTTCAATTGATACTTCCCGGCTTTTTTCTGGACGATTCAGCATGGCGCAAAAGGCTTGGCGGGACTGGGTCTATCTGGCCATTGTTTCAACCCAGCTCTTTGGGATGCTCGGTATGTTGACCTCTCGACTTGATAGAGCTTGACTTCAAAGGGGATCCGACCCAGCTCTATACTCATACCTCATCGATTATCACTGAATTCCCGTCCAATTGATTCCAACTCCCTCCTGTCAAGACAAATCGCTCACCTCTCTGACCATGCATTGTTTGATCGTCGCGTCCGCACACTCGACTAACAATCCCCCAGCTCTCGACTTTGTCGCCTTCTACCCCAAATCCCTCTACGCCTCTCCCTCCGCCCCTCTGCACTTCCTCGTCTCTCTCCGCAAGACGTACGTCGCCACCTCGGGTGACCCGTTCTTCGGCGACGCCGGCCACGTTCCCTGGTTCCAAGGCTTCCTCTACGTCGAAGCCTTGGCCCAGTTCCCCCTCGCCGTCTACCTTGTCTCCCAGCTCTCGTCCAAGAAGGCCTCGTCTGGCTCGTCTGAGCTCGCAGGCCTGGCGTTCGGTTGTCTGACCGCCATGGGATCTGTGGCGTGCTGCTTTGAGCTCTGGGAGATGGGGCCGGAGCTAGTCAAGGACGAGCACAAGGCAAAGTTGTTCTACGGGACGTATATGCCGTTTGTCGTCATTCGTAAGTTCTAAGTCGATCGTTCGTGTACGTAGCTGACATATACCAGCTGCCTTCATGGCTGTCGACATGTACCTGAGGCTTCTCCCTCGCGTACGCGCGGAAACTGTCAAGCCTAAGAAGCAATAGATAAAAGCCCGGTAGATTCACTACGGAAGGACGTATAGCACATAGTGTACAATGTACAAGACACGGTGGAACCTCTCCACCGCACATTTCCCAAGCCGCAAGCAGCTGCATGCTTGCCACAAACTCCAAAGATCCGACCTAGACTCCGTAAATGCAAGGCCCAGTGACGAAACCTAGTCTATTCTCTTTGCATGCTGCTTCGAGTATCCCCATCCGTTGCCCACCGTGTTGACCCCGTATCCCAGGGGTGTTGCACCGCCGAGCGCTCTGCCCTTCAGCCTCTTCGGCAGGACAATTCCCAAGGTATACATGCCTGCACACAGCAAGCCGGCGATGAACGACACAATGCTGTAGAAGACAGTGCTTGCGTAGATGTGGCCGCCGAGGCCCTGCCACTCAACGCGCCCGTCGGTCTTGGGGAGCGACGGGGTCGGGAACCACCGGATAGATAGGCTCAAGGGCAGGGGGTCGCCAATGATAAGCTTCCGTGTGAAGGAGCCCTGGAGATGGCTCAGCGGGCTGGTGCTATATGCGATGCCCGAATCAAGGACGCCGCTATCGTGGGGTCGCGAGTGGTGCTTCGGGGTGCTGTGGAGGAGCACGTTCATGTGGGTGCTAACGTGCATGTGGCTCGTTTGGAGGGTGCCGGCGAGGGCGAAGACGAGAGGGATGTACTCTTGCTCGGGCAGCTTCTCGCCGACGACTTCGATATGCGGAGGCGGGCGAGCAGGGAGGCGACAGCTCAGCGGTGCGTCGCTGTGGATATAGAATTCGAGGAGGTGGAAGAAGGGATCGTCGACAAGCGGGATGGTGCAGTTGACCTCGCCCTCGATGCCGTAGCCGAACTCGAGCGGCCGGTTGGTTTCGTTGCAGACGGGGAAGGGAACCCAGTTGATTTGGTGTTGGGCGTTTTCGAGGTGTTCGCCAGTTTCTCTGCGGGAGAGGGCGTCGTCAGCATGCTGCGTCGTGGCCCTCGCGGGGGTTTCTCGCGGGGGTTTCTCGCCATGACGGCTACTTACGAGCTGCGGCTCATGCACTCGACGGGGATGAGGGCGCCGTAGTGATACGACGGCAGCGCATCTTCATGGATGGCCGCGGCCACGGGCGCCACGCAGCCCAGGAAGACGGCCAAGGCGGCGGCGATCATGATGGCGGCGCGGAGATGGAGGAGCAGCGATAGCGATGGTGGTGACGGCGACGTCGACAACAGGATCTGACCATGCTACGAGGACTCGACGAGTGACAGCCAAAACTTGCCCGCGATCAAGCTCAGCACATGCCCATCATTCGGCGACCGTCGACGATTCAGCGATGCGACAATTGCCTTGCGAGAGGGGAGGCCTTGGAGCTCGAGGTGGTGATGTGGAGATGCCACCCTGGTTGTTTGATACCAGACCTGGATCACGTGGGGCAACTTCAGGGGGAAACGGCTTGCGGACGGCAACGGTGCGCACTGAAACAAGGGCGATAGCAGATGATAAAGCTCGAACGAGCCTGTCGGGTTCACTGTTGCAATGCGATTGTGCTTGTGCGATAAGAAAGTGCAGCAAATTTTCGTTCCGTGTTCTACGAGAAAGTGTAACTTACACCAGAACCAACCCAACCCAACGCCAACGAAGCATGTCCACTCCAGTCTAGTTCTACGAGCGGACAAGGCTCAACGGCTCAAACTCAACGCTGGATACACTTCTATTATTTATTTATTTTTCGAATATCTACTAAGGGACTCTTGGAGAATTCCTCTGTAACAATCATCTCCTATCGCACCGGAGCAGCCTGTACAATAAGTTCAAGGAACCCGAAGCATGCTTGACATTTTGCGTTTCCTTTGCCCTCGACGAAGAAGATAAGGCGTCTCGCTTTTTCTTCCCTCTGGCAGGGCGAACTCAATGTGGAATTCCTCTTTGTTGACGCTGACTGTCTCAGACCGCGCCAACACCCGGACTCTCCATTCCTTCTCCACGCGACTTTACCACCCACGTCTCTCGTATCTAACACCTCCCTACTTCTCAACTCTTCCCGTCATGCAAATCACCAGATAATTAATATCCCATCCCTTACCCTGGTACTTCTCCTCCAGGTGGCTCTTCAACAACGCCTTCACCTCTTCCGCCGGGTGCGCCTTGCGCGTCTCCTCGTCCCACCAGGTATTCGTCAACCACCCTATCATGGTCCCGAACGTCGTGACAAACTCATCCGCGTCCCTCAGGTGGTATGTGCCCGGGTTCAGCTTAACCTGGACGTCGGCGAATCCCTGGTCCCGAAGGTGGTCCTCGACCCACGTCGGATCCGTCCAGTCGCCGTCTGAGTGCATCTGTATCTTGACTACCTCGGGGAAGTGCGCGTCGAATGGGAACGACGCAAAGGCTGTGCGCATGTCTGGGATCCAGAATTTGTTATCACTGTGAAAGGTCGTCGCGCCAAACATGCCCCCAGGCTTGAGGATCCGCTTGCAGTCTGGTGTTGCATGTCAGTGTAGTTCTGGAACTTGGGTCTGAGAGACGTAGACTTACCCGCTAGGACTGCATCTGGGCCTGGAATGAGATGAAGAGCCAGTCCAATTCCAACGTGGCTGAACGAATTTTCTGGAAGCTCAGTGTTCTATGGCATTATATCAGTCCTGTCTTAATCTCAGATGCTCCCCCCTGCTCCACTTAGACACATACCTTCGCATCCAAGACTGCAGTCTTTACGTTGATCCATCCCTCCCCATCAATTCTCTTTTTGACGATATTAACCATTTGCTCGGAGCTGTCTGTACACAAAAACGTGCTTTTTGCAAGCACCGTCTTGGGAAGGGTGTCTTGGATTTCCTGCGTAAAGACGGCAGTCCCGCAGGCACTATCGAGTACATTCACGGGCGTCGTGGTCTCTGCCAGGTCCATCTGTGAGAGTAGCGGGTTTATCAGACCTCGTATAACTCCACGGGAGGCTAGGAGGAATCCTTTCTCAAACTCGCTGATGCCCTTGAACACTAGAGAGAGGCCTTCGGCGGCTGCGAGGCTTGCCATTTTGAAAGATGGTAGAATTAATACAGGTGGTGTGTTTGTGTTTCTTGGAGTAAGTTGGTTAATGTGTTGCCCATTGAGTATTTCGCTCGAGCTGTGGGTATAAGTATCCGTGGACAAGTCTCCGAAATGTTGCCGCACCGCGATCCACGCCACTCATAATAGTCCGAAACATGCTCATAAATATATCCGACGTAAACCAGGGTCCCCCACTGGTGAATAAAACACTCTGGGGTTCTGTCTTGAACTAGCCTTGACGCTGTTCAATGATTCCGCTATTTGTGGTAGATGAGTTCCTGGGTTGGCGTAGGGTCATTGGACGGTTCGGTGCAGTTTTGGCACACTTTCAGATATACCGTAAGTATTACGTTATTTACTCCGTTTAGCTAGCGTATTTATGCTTCTAGCTGACTACAGGGTGCATTAATTCCGAAATGTCCTACGTCATCATAACCCGGCTTGATTGCCTGCGCCACTTCTCTTGCCAGGCACCTCACTCACACGTCGCCCTGACTATTCATAAGCCCCGTGGGCGGCCTCACATATTCTGGATCCATTGGATACTTGTTTCTCTTAAGGCCCATTGAGAGGAGCCTCGGTGATGGCCCTATGTGTCAAGCATCCAAAAATGCTTCCTGAAATATTCCTGGTTGGGTTCTGGCAATACCCACATGAGCAGTCGCTAACTTACAGACTTTGATGTCTCGAGGAGGAGGATGGTGCAAAGTTACTCTCGTGCTAAATCAGGGCAGCTACAGAATGGACATACCGCATATCCCACAACCTGGCAGACTATGGTACTGCCATCGTTCCTGTTTAGCAGCCAACTCACGGGTACAATGGTTCTGAGCCCCTTCACGGAGTACATCTGCCCCTATGTCAATATTTCTCACACAATCACAGCAGTGACAACCGTGAAATCGTAGCACACACACTTCGCGATGATAGTTACTCATTAACCTAGCCGCTCTAACATCTACAGCTATTTTCTCTACCCGCCCAACTCCAGAGCAAAAACGCCCCCTCATCTATTCCCAGCAGAGAAAGTCCCCAACTCCACCATAATCCGAAGAATTATTTTAATCCATCCCTTTGTATAATCAATGAATGCATTGTGGGCACCGACAGGAAGCCGGACGGGCTCCTGTGCGATGAAGGCATACACTCGCGTGCAGCCAGCCCAAGAAAGTTGTGTAAAGGCGGTATCGAGTGTGATCCGCAGAGCGAGAGCAACGACGGCATTCAGAGTCCGCCTATCATCGCGCTCTCAGTATTAAGACGTGCCGGCCTACGGGAGACCTGGCCGACACGGGGACCCAGCCCGCGAGGGTTCGCGTTGTGCGATGTACAGAACCCCCGCGGAGCTCGGTCAGAAACGTGGGGCCCGACGAGATGGGGTTTATAGGGCTCGCCAGGAAACGACCGGCCGTTCGGTGAACGTGGTCAACGTAGTTTTTGTTGTTGTGGGCGTGCCATGGTGCAATTGGGATGCGTTGGCTCGCCGCGGTGTTGTGGGTGTTGGTGTCGAGGAGCCGGCTCGCTCAGCAGCGCAACGCAGAGGCATTGGAAATTGAGAGAATCATTAAGAAGATGGTATTATTAAGGAGAGGAAGAAGAAAAGAAGAAGGGGTGGATCTTGTCGAGGTGGTGGTGTATCCGCCCCTTTCGGGCTTCGTTGTTGTGGACAAAACCAACCCTCCTTCGCCGGCCGCGTCTCGCACTTATACTCGCCCTCGAGCAAAACCCCCTCCCCCTTGGACGGCCAGAGCCTCGTCGGCAATTTCACTGGCAATACGACTACGACGCCGCAAAGTCTCGTCACCCTGCAGCCGCATCCAGCCCCCGTCCGCCAGTGCTCGGAGGGCCTTGTTGTCTCAGTGAGGTGCCGGACGCTCGTTGGCCCAAAAAGTGAGGCGAACCGCGGCGTGTTGGTCCGCCTCACCTCCAGCACAAGTGGGCGATATATCACACAATAATGGGCACGCCAATAATGGACACGCCGCCCTGCAGCCGCTATTCGAAGGCTGCGGGGGTTCCGGCTGCAGCATTGGCTTCCCGCGCGTCGGTGTAGTGCGTACGTAGCGCCTGCGACGGGGCAATTTCTCTGGGGCGTAGGGCCTTGCGATGCGGGATGCTCCATGTGGGATCGTGACTCTACAGACTTTTCCTCCGGGGCGGCAGCCATCCCACCTCCTCCATCAGCCGGATGTATCATCGCCATGGGTAAGATTTATAGCAAAGATGTGGAGGGGATGTGGTGAGACGAGAACACGAGCTGACGGCGTGGGTTAGGACAGGGTCGGTACGCAGTACACGGTGAGGGCCAGGTGAGGCTGTTGTGGGTTTCATCCTTCAAAGCCTCGGACATTCGCAATCTTTCCTTTCTTATTTCCTTGCTTTGCTTTGCTTTGCTTTCCCTGGGGAACGGGCTATGAATCCCCCCCATGTACTTGTATAATTACAACAATAAACCTGACCTGTCTGTACAACGCACGACCATGCCATTGGCGCCTGTAACATATCCATCAACCGTAACACACAGAAACACGCCACTCAAGCCTCCTTTACTCAAGCTTCCTTTCTATTCCTTGGCCTTCCCCTCGGCCTTCCCCTCGGGCTGTCTTGGGCTCCGTTCAGGCGAACCTGAGGGTGCCCGTTGGCACCCGCTGCGCCAATCCATCCACCTCCCGCTTCAACGCCTTGAGCACACGTCTAACATCCGCTAGGTCCGCTCCGCCCAGATTGTTCCCATGCCCGGGTGGGGGCAGCGCCGCGTCGCACCGCTTGAGAAGCTCGACAACCGACGGGCCAATTGACCCGCCCTTTCCGCCACCACCCCGTCTGCGAACTTCCGCGGACCAGTCGTTGACTACGAAGACAATCAACTCGATAATGCGGTTTCGCACAGAGCCGCTGAAGCCGTAGTCCTGTGTGTCAAATATATTTTCAAGCACACGCACAATCATGTCGTGGGATACGCCCAGGGTCAAGAAGAGCTGAACTGGCCAGGTAGGATCAGCACCGATGGTGGTGTCCTGCTGATACGCCACAGCGTATCGACATAGCTCAGGGAGTAGGGTCTGGATGGGGAAGATGAAACTGTCGAGCGATGTGCGGTGCGCAATATTCTGGATCTTGCTTGTTACAGACTCGTAAGGGAGTGGGGGTGAGGGCATTCCTGGTTCCGAGTTCTCCAGCCGGGACATGATCTCGTCATGGGTCTGCTGAATCAGGTTGCTCCATGTGCCCGAGATTGTCATATGGTTTCGGTAGTCGGCAGCATGGTAGATGAGCAGACACAGGTCATAGTAGCCGGCTTGGTCGGCATAGTCGTTGAACAGCTGTGATATTGTAAGCCACGAATCCTTGCCGCCAAGATTAGATGTCTTACCTCTGAAAGACCTTGGATCTTGCCCTTGAGAGCCACTTGGATTTCCACCTTCCTATCCGAGTCAATTCGCTCATCCGCCTTCAGCCTCTCCAAAAGGTCATCCTGAATGTGCGCAATCTCCAGCAACTCTGTGACCTCGTGGTTGAGAAGCTGCTGCTGCTGTCGGCTCACGCCACTGGTCGCAACATTGGCATTCGCCTTGGCAAGACTAAGCAGTCTAATTCGGTCCTTGATGCCAATAGGGAAGTCTGAGTTGGCCAGCTGGGCCTGGACCTCGGCAGCGTCAAAGAAGCGACTCCGGTTGGTGTAGAAGCGACAGAGCAGATCAGCGTGTTCCACGTTGGTGCCAGCAAGACGCTGAAGGAAGGTAATAACGTGAGGAGACTCAATGGCTAGAATTCTGCCCGTCCAGCCCTGTTGGATGTACCACTCGTACAGGTCAAAGTGGAACACCTCGTCATCTGACCCATTCACCACATCGTAGGCCTCAAGCCTTTTGGTGGCGATCAACGTCAACCTGCCGTCAATCATCTCAGGCTCACTGCTTGATGCAGCATCCAGATGGCGCAGGACATCATGGATCATATCGTAGCAGCGCTTCCTGTCGTTGAAGGCGTTCGCCCTGGGATCAGCTGACGGTTTGCCATCGTTAATCCATGACAAGGCTGTGTTACCCCGGTCTTTTTCCCGGGCAACGACCAGGCAGAGCTGAATCGCCCCGGCATAGTACTTGAGGTCGACGTACTGCGTCACAGCGCCCTGGAGGTTGGCAAACGTCAGGCTGCCGGCGACCTTTTCAAAGAGCCTCAAGCTCTCGTGCAGGAGGCTTCGAGACTGGCTGGTGTTGGGGGGTTGGTCCGAGGCGCGCTTGAGTTGTTCTTGCGCTTTAAAGATGACCACGTCGTCGGGGCTGCAGAAGCTACCACACCTCCGTCGCAAGGCGTCGGCAACAGTCTCCACGTTCGAGCCACTCTCAATATTGCGGTTAACAATCGCCTTCACGAGTAGTTTAGCAAGGTCCTTGCCATCCGCCTGTGAAAAAAGTTTTTCGTAGGTGAGATCCTTCAGCTGCTGACGAGCGGTATCGTCAAGACGGGTAAAGATGTCGGCCACACGCTCATCAAAGAGCATGAGTACGAAAGAGATGCCCTCAGAGATGCTCTCCATCAGCTTCTGCAGAGCATGAAGAGCTTGGTGCTCAGCCTGCAAGGCAACCTCTTCTTGGCGACTTGAGACATGCTGCAGGTCTGATGGGCCTGACAAGCCCTGAATCAACCCCCGGTTGGAATCAAGGAATCGCCTCAATCGCTCCAAGTTCTCTTGAACAGTGCTCAGCTTTGAAAGAGGAATGGTTGAGTTTATGATGACACCACCAGTGGGCGACACGCCGGGCTTGATAACGGCAGCCTTCCAGAGCTTGCGAATCAAGCGGGCGAGGTAAACGGCCAGGGCGTCATGTCGGGAGGACAATCTGACCGAGTCGGTAGTCAGAGATGCACCATCAGTCTCCGTAATGGTAGGCTGCCCACCGAAGTCGACAAAAACCGATCTCGCGCGGTCCTCTGTTGCCTGGTCGATGGCGCGGGCTGCGCCTGGCCTCGAATCGCCACCATGGCCGCAAGCCACCGCCAAGGCGGTCGAAACAGTTTCCACGCGACCATAGAGCTGAATAAATCGCCGGCACACCTGTTCGTATCCCTCATCTCCCACGGCCCCTCGGATGGCGGACGCAAAGATATCCACGAACCTTCTTCGTCGAATAATGTGAACACCGGTGTTGGTTAGGACAGCAAACTCGCTAGGAGGGTCGTCAAATTGAACAGCGAGCTCGTTACCAAAGCCAAAGGGTTGTCCAGCCGCAGAGAAGGGCTTCGTAATGAGACCAACAGCCTCGGCTCGGCTACCGATATCGATCCAGCTAGCATTCTCAAAGTATTTCAGGGGCGTAGTCGGCGATGTTTCCTTAATACGGCCAGTCTCTGGCCCAGAAACGAAGAGAGAATCGGCGTTGGGGTTTGACTCTTTGCTGACGAAATCCAAAAAGTATCCAGGGGCAAATCGGGCGCCCTGTCGGCTGTAGGTTAGCATTGAAGACTCCAGGTCAGTCAAGGTTTCACCTCCAGCGTAGCCAGATCGTCGGGGGTTCTGGCTTGGGGGGAACTTGATGAACTGGACCTGCATGCTCTGCGGTGCCATGTTGGACTGAGAGCCGTAGAGGTAGGAGGAAGCGTTGGTGGCGCTGAAGAAGAGGCGACAGCCCGTGTTGGTGAGAGCCATCAGATGAAGCTTCGACGCTTCCTGCTTAGAAATGGGACTGATAGCAACGATGGTGGCTCGGTCGTTCAGGAGCTTCGAGTGGCTAATCATGTGGGCAATGTCTCTAAGACAATGCACCTTTTCCTTCTCGATGACCTTGTTCAACCGATCGGGCGCCTCCATGTGATATGTGCGGATAGTCGATCTGCTCGACAGGGTGTAGACGAGGTTTCGCGAGTCATCAATGACGATGTCGACCAGGTGCTCGGGAGACTTTTGTGACCAGAAGCCCGATTGCAAGGTGACAACTGAAGACCAGCCGGGATTCGTATGGTTGATCTTACCACACCGGTTCGAAAACCACTTCTCCTCAGATTGATAGTAGAGTTCATTGATATCGATATCGCTGCTTCCACCGAAGAAGATTCGGCCGTTGGCAGATCCAGTAATCACGCGAACATCGTTGCCGCGCAATGGCAAGAGCATCTTCGTCTGGTAGAGGGACACCGCCTTCGTCCCAGCGGGAGTATCAGTGGCAGACACACCGAGCAAGATCATTTCCGAAGAAGTAGCGACCACCAAAATGTGCGTGATAGTGTTGACAAAGATGCCAGGTTTCGGGGGCACAAGCGCGACGGCGTGGATGGTATGGGGCTGGTCCTCGAAGCCAATGAGTTCGGGGTCGGGGTGTGTGTAATCCCAGAGGAAGAGCGAGTTGTCGATGACGACCCATGCATGATTGATCTCAGCAAAGAGACCCATGAGTGTCTGAAGCTCACCGGCGTTGTAGTGATCAAAGACTTGGTTCGGGATCGGGTACATTTGGGTCTTGTGGAATGGGGCCACGGGAGAATCTGCGGTTTCGACATCGTACTCGGAGGATGCGCCCTCTGTCGCGCTGATTAGCACATGGTGTCAACAAATTTGCGCGAAAACCTACGTCTGCAGTATGAATCCAGGTCTGGGAAGCGCTCGTCTGCCTGTAGGAAAGAGTTGATGGCCTTGGCCGCCTTGACGACGGGAGGCACATTCTCAGAGCGAGGAGGAGGTAGGACGCTCGGCACCACGAGGCCGTCGCTAGTAGTTGTCTTGGAGGAAGAGGCGGTTGTGAGAGCCACGCTTCGAGATGTAGTCGTGGTGGTCGAAGTCTTCGCTCCGACGCCCATAGGCTGCGGGTTGGCCTCCGACCCAGCGAACAGCTGGCGGCGCACGGGATCAGAGCCCGCCTGGAATCTCGAGGCAACGGCCGGCGTGTTCAAGAAGGCGCCGGGCACCGGCCGCACCGGAGTGGTCTGGGGAAACGACATGATGGCCAGCAGAACGACCCTCGCCGGGGCCTAGAGTGCAGCTTCACCAATCCCGTCGAGTAGGCAGCACCGGTCGGCAGGTCATATAGGGGACGCGTGAAGAAGGGGAGTCGCAAATCGTGTGATGGCGGTCCCAAATCGTTCGCGTCGCGGGATGAGCCTCGTCAATGTCGGTTTCGTCACGTCGTCGTCGGGCTCGCGATGGTTTGCAGGGGCAGAGGTGCACGCCGTAAACAATTTCAGACGAGAGCTTGGGGAGGCTGGCTGGAGCACGGATTTTTCGCGACTGGGGGCTGGGCGCTAGGACCATTTCGGGCGCAAGGCTGAGGAAGACATTAACCACCACAAAGCCTTCGAGAACAAAGCAAGGCTATTTCAAAACAGAGGCGCGTCTTAAAAGTTAAATTGGCGAGGTCGCATTCATTTGCAGTATCAATAGGTAAAGGTTGCATTCATCAAAGTCTTTGCTTTGGACCAAAGTAAGCTGCAATGCTCCCAAGACGGCGCCCATGATCGACTAGACATACTACTTCCTACAGTTCGCCTCCACCAGATAACTTCCCTCTAATTATAATGTTGTCATCCCAGCATCTCCCATTCCGTGTACATCAAATGACCCAGAGAGGGTCATTGCTTGTATTTTCGTCGCAACTTGTCACCTAATCCACCCTTCATAATCCTTCTCTCCACCCAGATATCTCCAGGTTCATGTGTTTACTGCTGCTTGGCCTCACGAGCCTGCTTGCGGAGAGCTCTCCGTCGGATATCGATGTGCATCTTCTTGTTCTGCCCGATGGTGATGGAACCGTTGGCACCAGGGATGTTCTCAATGAACCACAGCATGTAGGCGTGACTCCACCAGGGGGTGTAGGTGTTGGGTGCCGCCTGATATCCGCCAAGGCCGATCTTTCCAAGGGCAGACTTGACAAAGGGGCGAGCATTGGGGACGAGAAGGCTGGCACGGCGGACCTTGCTCATGGCAGTGGTGACCAGATGGCTCAGGACAAGGTAAACATCAACGTTGTCATCAGCAAGCTCAGAAGCGAGGGCAACACTCCACTGCTGGAGGAAAGCCTTGCTGCCGGAGTAAGTAGCGAGGTAGGGGGTAGGGGTCCAGCCGGCAAAGGAACCCATGGTCAGGATGAGGCCGCTCTTGCGCTGCTTCAGAATCGGGGCCACAACCTGGGTGACCTTCAGCGTGCCCATGCAGTTGATGGTGACGATGCTCTGGAGCTCCTCCCGAGAAGTCTCCAGGAATGACACGGGCATGCTGTGACTCTGGCCGACATTGTTGATCAGAATGCCGACATCCAGGCCCTGGATAAGCTGACTGAGACGGTCGTAGTCCTCGTTGTTATCCTTCGAGAAGTCCATAGCCAAAGTTTTGATCTGAACATCCTTGCTCTTCTTGATATCATCGGCGAGAGTATCCAGCTTCGATTGGGTTCGGGAAACAAGAACAAGGTTGAAGCCCTTGGCGGCAAGCTGCAGAGCGTATTCCTTGCCCAGGCCATCGGAGGCGCCAGTGACGACAGCCCAGGTACCGGGCTTGCCATACTTTCGGAGCTGGGACAAAATAACATTAGCAATTGCATTGTAATATGGGGGGGAAAGGGACGCTGCAGCACTCACGTTGGTGCCTCCCAGCACAAAGGCGCTGAGCACGAGCTGGAGATAGCTCAGGAACTTGGTGCTCAGGACGAAGGCGCCGATGCCAGCCAGTCCCCACTGGACAGGCTGCGGCACGCGCTGGAGGAAATCCACGACGGCATCCATGACTTGGCTGGCGTGTTGATGCCGAATGGATCGTGTGGATACGGATGGTGGTGGTCAAAAAGAGGTCTGCAAACCGGGGGGAAGTGATCTGAAGCCACCCGTTGAGAAACTGCTAAATCTGCCCCTCGGTCCTGCTCAATAATTTCTAGGCCACTACTAACCCCTGACACTTGTTGGGGCAGCTGCGGGTGGCCCAAGCTTCTTCCGTTAGTGGGAAGTCTCGGGCAGGTACGAATACGCGCCCGCAGCAGTCTCTCGGCAGGAGCCGCCTACGGCTGTCCCGTACCCGACTTGAAATAATCACCTTAGACTCCATCTAAGCACTTGACATCATTACCTCCTTACATTTGAGCTCAATCCATTCCGCTGCACCTTCAATTCAACTTCCTCGAACGCCCTCGTCTCGCACATCTACTATGGACTTCCTCAAGTCGATCCTCCCCGAGGCAAAGGGCATCCTGCCGTATTACATGATCATCGTAAGCCATCCCACCCAACCCAACATAGCCGTTCGTCCATTGGGTACCCGTGCTGACCGCTTCCAGCTTTCCCTCACCTCAATCGGCAACTCTCTGCAGAGTTATGCAACCCTACACTTCTCCCGACGAGTCTATAACGGTCGCTTTATCCGAAACCCCAAGCTCCCCGCGAGAACGGCCAAGTTCGAGCCCGAGGACTCGACCTCGAAGCTCATCCCCGCCCAGAACGATCCCAAGGCCACCGACCAGTTGACCCCCCTCGCTGGCCGCCTCTTCGGCACCTGGACCCTAATTACCTGCATTGTGCGCTGCTACGCGGCCTACAACCTGCACATCGGCCCCGTCTACACGATTGCCTACTGGACGTACATTGTGGCTTTGGGACACTTTGCCACGGAGCTATTCATCTTCAAGAGCATGACTTTTGGCGTTCCCCAGATGTTCCCCTTCACTCTAGCGACGCTTTCGTTGATCTGGATGCCCCTGGTTCGCGATCACTATGTCGAGTTCAACTAGACGATAATATCCCTTTCAATTTGAAGGCACGGACAGCCAATGGCCGAGGGCAAGGTTACCCAGTATCGGTAGATCTAGAGTAGATCTCGCGGATTAATAGAGATGGAGAAATGGTCTTGGTTTATTCTATCTAATTGTTCTCAAGATTGTGCCGAGTTGTTTCGGTAGAGCTCTCCTCCGCAGTTACGCAATCGGAGAGTGGCCTGTTCAGGGGTAATATCTCGCTGGGGCTCGGCCATGAGCTCGTAGCCGACCAAAAACTTCTTGACGGTAGCGGATCGCAGCAGAGGAGGGTAGAAGTGCATGTGGAAGTACGCGTTCTCAATCTCCTCAGCGGTTCCCTCCAGAGGTGCTTGGTGGAGTCCGGAGCTGTAGGGGAAGCTGCACTCAAACAGGTTATCGTATCTCCTGGTCACTTCCTGGATCGCCTCGGCAAACTGGAGTCTCTCCTCATCCTTGAAGTCGACGAGGGATCGGATATGGCGCTTGGGGAGAATGAGAACCTCAAAGGGCCAGACAGCCCACCAAGGACACACGACCACAAACGACTCGTTCTGCCAGACAACACGCTCCTCCTTGGCCAATTCCAGCTTGACGTAGTCCTCCAGCAGGTGTCGGCCGCCGTGTTGAGCGCGGTACTTGGTCATCTGCACGAGTTCCTTTCCAGGCTCCTCGGGCATAGTGGACGTCGTCCAGACTTGGCAGTGGGGGTGGGGGTTTGAGCAACCCATGGCAGCGCCCTTGTTCTCAAAGATCTGCATGTACCTGTAATCCTCCTTGGGGGACGGGGCAGCGTCCTTAGGTAGAGAGAGGGTGAGCTTTTCGGCTGCAGCGGCGAGCGGGTTCGATTTGGAGAGGTGGTTGGCGTAGATGCGCGTCCAGTGCTCGATAACGGGAAGGATCTCCTCTCCAGGCATGTCGGCTAGAGTGAGATGGTGCTTTGGGGAGAAAGTGAGGACATAGCACACTCCCTTGACACCCTGCGCCCTGAGAAGGAGAGATTCCAGGTCTGTCTCTATCATTAGCTCGAGTCAAGAGAGCATGAGGCTGGGAAAATCAACGCACCATCAGAAGAGGCTTCGTCCGCATAGTCGGGCTGCTGCTCCTTGACGGCGCTGTAGTCGTTGACAAAGGCAAACGTATTTTCATAGTCTGGGTTCTCATCGCCCGCCGCACGCGCGTTCCTTGGGCACAAATAGCACTAACACAGTCAGATGGCGCAATCATTTGGGTGTATATTTATCGCTGACGCACCTTCGGGTCGTATTCAGGCAGCTCAGCTGCGATGTCAGGTTCTTGCTGTCCCCTATAAATGTCAGCGGCTGTGGCAGGCCAAATCTTAAAATGTAACTCACTGCCAGGGTCGCTTTGTTCGGTGAGGGGAAACCAGAAGCCAGGAATCCGTCAGCGGGTTGTACCTCCGGTGGGAGATGTCGTCGAGAATTTGGTCAGGCATGGCTGTTGAGATGACGGCGTGGCGTGGTATGGAGGCGTGGGTGAAAGATCAGATGAGAGGAGGGGTTCTTTTCAGAGAACGCCGGCGACTTGGGGCAGTTCTGCACACAATGTCCAAGGTGAAGTGTATGGATGAGTTAAAAATATTTCAGAGACAGTCGGACAGATGAGAAGAAGGGCAGTTGGGAAAATAACTCTCGTGGCAAACGGGCTCTTAGATGGGTGGTGCGCTTAAACAGCCTCCCTGGGTATGGTCACTGGAGCCGCCTCGGCGATGTTCTCGGCGAAGAAACGGGCGAGCATGACGTGGGGTTCCTCCTCCACCTGCTTCACCCCATGCGCTGGCCTTAAGATCGACTTGGATCTCCCCAGCAGGCGAGCCCACCGGGGCCCGGGTGATTCACCGACCGGTTCCGGTGCCGATATACCGGCTCCGGCGCTAGGAAAGAGCTGGTTGACAATTGGCATCACATTGCTCATGCGATTGCGTATCAATGAAGCCGTGATTGGTGCGTGGCCGCATCTCTCGGACAGCCAACCAACGGGTTCCTTAACATTGAACATCATTCATTCAACCCAATGGTACCGGGAGATAAATAGACCGGAATTAGAGCAATCAGGGAGTAATTGGGTATCTCTACCCTCCTCTCATAAGCTGCTCTCCGACCAAACCTCGCTTCATTCTTGTCCGAAAATGGCGGGGTCTCATGGCGGACGCGGTGGTCCCGAGCCACGTGATGTTTCTCGCGCTTGCTTGTGGTCAAGGAACCCCCGATGCTAAGGTGACTAGCACAATCTGATCGAGTGGCTACCTAAGAATCAATTAAGCGCAACCAACCAAGGTACCTAGATTCTGTTTTGTCCACGAATCAGTAACAGGTATTAAGATAGCCATGAACATATGTTACTAGATCTTCATATTCTCCACAGTGATACACGCCCCTGGTCTACAATGCATCTGCATGCCTCATATATGGAAGCCGGAGATTAGAAGTCTGACAGGTGCCAAAGTGTGCAAAGAGCTTGCAAGTTGCTCCTGTAGTGCCCTGGTCAAATCAAGTAATTCGATGTTTTGGAGCTTTAGATTCGGGAGGGGAAAGACAGAGACTACTTGCAATACAATACTAGTGGGAAATATCGCCGTTCACGGCCCGCAACGAGTCGACTTCTCGAGTATCGAGCCAATGATTAATAAATCCGTCTCCATGTTTTTTAAACATCTTCCTATCCAAAATACCCATACGTTGTTCCCTTCTCCCTACCATCGCGTTACCCTGATCTCCAGTGATATCATCGTGAGTCACGTGACTGTCCCGATTTCCAAGCTGAAAGAACTTGGTCCGAGCGTGGGGCGCGCCAAACCCCAGCGTTGGTGCTGGCCCCCAGCTCTGGACCTGCTGGAGGAGGCGCACTTCGCCCTATTACGGGATCCATCCAAGGCCGTGAAGCGCCCAAACATCCCAACCTCAAGCGACAACAGCCCATCACATCATCATCAACCACAACCCCGAAGCCGCCCTTTCCATCGAAATTCGCGTCGCATTACCTTGCATACCATTTGCGCATCCCGAAGAGACCGCATTTCCGCCGCCGTCGCGCCCGCAGCCGTCTCCAGCTTGGTGGTGCGACTCGAGCAGGGGGGGCGTCATCAAGCTCCCCGCCCGGCAAGATAGCAGGACGAGATGGGCGTCATACGCAAGAAGACTGTCACGAGAGGGGGTGAAGGAGGAGTCAAATACGTTTGCGACGTGTGCTCTTCCGATATTACATCTACTGTGAGTGGCCTTCTCCTGGCTTCCGGACCGTCATCGGACGTGTCCAGGCAGCCCGGCAAAACTCCGGCTATTATTTCCAATATCAAATGAAGCTGTTCTAACAGTGGTGATGATATCAATATAGGTCCGCATTCGATGTGCCGATCCTGCCTGTAGCGAATTCGATCTTTGCGTCTCATGCTTCTCTAAAGGCGAAGCTCGTAATGCGCACAACCCGGCGACCCATGCATTCCGCGTCATCGAACAGAACTCCTTCCCCATATTTGACCAGGATTGGGGGGCTGATGAAGAACTACTCCTTCTCGAGGGTGCCGAAATTTACGGCCTGGGTTCCTGGGCAGATATCGCAGATCATATAGGAGGATTCCGTGAAAAAGATGAGGTCCGCGAACACTACCTCAAGACATTCGTCGACTCCCCTGCCTTTCCCCTCCCAAAGCGCTGCAGCCCCCACGACTGCGAGCTGGCCAATGAGATTCCCCGAGAAGAATTCCAATCACGAAAGAAGAGGCGAATAGAAGAAAGGAGGGAAGCCGCCAAGAATGCGCCCGCACTACAACCCAAGACGAAACCGACGGCTAGTGTACCAAGTTGTCACGAAATTCAAGGCTACATGCCTGGTCGTCTCGAGTTCGAGACGGAATATGCCAATGAGGCCGAAGAGGCTGTACAGCTGATGCAGTTCGACCCCGGCGATGGCTTAAATCCACGAACTGGCGAGCTCGAGCCGGAAATGGAGCTGAAGCTGACCGTCATGGACATTTACAATTGCCGATTGACGCAGCGTGTGGAGCGCAAGAAGGTCATCTTCGAGCATGTCCTCTTAGATTATCGGGAGAATACCAAAATTGAGAAGAAGCGAACCAAGGAAGAGAAGGACTTGCTTCAAAAGGCCAAACCCTTCGCCCGAATGATGAACCACGACGATTTTGAGAACCTCAACCAAGGTCTCCTGGATGAGCTCAACTTGCGGCAAGCCATTGTGCAACTCCAAGAGTGGCGAGCCAATCGTATCGGAGATCTCAAGAGCGGCGAGAAATACGAACTGGACAAGACAAATCGTGTCCAGAAGTCGATACCCATGGGCTCCATGGACCGTGAGCGCCTGGCCTCGGCTCAACGATCGAAGCAGCCAATCGCCCCAGAACCACCGAGCGGAGCTGCGCTGCTCGTAGCCCCCGAACTTCCCATCCGACCAGCGACGGCAACGACGACGCCGACGGCGATAACGACAAACGGCGAAGTCAATGGCGATACCAAACCCTTGACTAATGGGCATACCAATGGCGTCAATGGTGTGAATGGTGTCAACGGCGTGAATGGGCATGTGCCACCCAAACAGAAATTCGCCCCTCAGCCTATTTCTGGCGTGCAACCCATGCCACTAAGTGAGGATAGTGCACCAGACCTCCACCTCCTCACTCCCGAGGAGGCTAAGCTGTGCGAGGTGATCCGGCTGCAGCCAAAGCCATACCTGATGATCAAGGAGCAGATCCTCAAAGAAGCTCTCAAGACTAATGGTACCTTGAAAAAGAAGCAGGCCAAGGAGATTTGTCGGCTAGATTCCCAGAAAGGCGGAAGAATATTTGACTTCTTTATCAACTCTGGGTGGGTGGGCAAGGCGTGAGAACGGATGTTACGAATACCCTGTACTGGAACTGGCGAGGAAGCGTTCAACGGAAATGGCTGTCTTTTGGAACATGGCTTTGTAGTATATTACCCCGTGAGCAGGGGATTGCTTTCTGTATACAAGAAATTCACGATCCTACGGAACTGCACGTTGAGTAAATGCGTGAACCACACTGTACGCTCGTTGGCGATGTTGGGTTTAGCTACCCCGCGTACACCAAGTTAACCCCCACCATTGCTGGACGGGTAGTTTTCTACAGTGGAGCAGTCCCTCTCATCCATCTTTGGCCGGTGAACTTCAAGCCCTGTTTATTCCTCACTCTCTTCTCCATGCAACTATTCTCTAGGTTCCGCAAATCAGCTCTAAACTCGGTTCGCACAATGACCACAATCGCCGATATCCGCCGAGTATCGGCCAAGTCGCTCTCCGAGAAGATTCTAGATGAGCGCGAAGCCAAGGAGACAACCTTTGCCATCGTCGATGTCCGAGATGACGGTAAGTCTGCCCGCCACCCTTGCGGCTCGCCCTCCATACCTCCAACCCCTTGACCCTATCTCCTATATTCACGATGGCGAGATCTAACTTTGGCAAGACTACCTCGGCGGCCACATCAAAGGGTGCACCAACGTGCCCGCCCACACGCTGGACGCCATGATGGCCACCCTGGTGCGCAACCTCAAGGACAAGAAGACGGTCGTCTTCCACTGCGCGCTGAGCCAGATCCGCGGGCCCAGCGCGGCGCTCAAGTACCTGCGCGAGCGGGACGGACTGTTGCGCGCCATGGGCGAGACACCCAAAGGCGCGGAGGGTCAGGAGGTGCTGGTGTTGGATGGCGGGTTCCAGGGGTGGCAGGAGGTGTATGGCACGGATGAGAGGCTCACGGAGGGTTATCGCAAGGAGTTGTGGGAGAACTACTAGGCGTCGGGGACTGGTTGGGTCATGGGTTGTGGGCTGTGGGGAGTTAGGGATCGATTCATCAGGGTCACGGTTTGTGGACATGTATGTGAGGATTACGGTTTGCCGGGTTGGGCAGAATTTCTGAGCCATCTGAGTACGGAATTGTGTCAAACGGGTATAAAGGAGAAGGTTTCTACCCCATCAAGGCCGTGCAGTCAAAGTCGTGGAGTAAAGGCAACTTGGATATCCAGGTCAGACAGGTCCAATCCGCCATATATAAACCAAGACCATCCTGCCCTTGTTAAATAAATTTTTCCACCCCATATAACTTCACTGCCATACTATCTCGTCAAAAAGCACGAGCTTATCAAGCCTTGCCTTCACCAACACAAGGCCTCGTTCAACCGTCCATCAAGCGTTCGTCTCATTACCCAGACCAACTACAGACTCATTGTCTCATCATTCAACACACATCTTCGAGCTTCCAATTATCTTTGATTACCATCAAGAGCACATCATCATCAAATCATCATCTTTCGCTTCATCAACTACCAACCACCAACCCTTCATCATGGCTCCCACTTGGGTCACTGACGCCTGGGCCACACCCAGCATGGATCCCGGTACCTGGATCTCCAATGAAAACACGCTCACAATCGCTGTCATCTTCCTTGGAGTCACCGGTATCGTTCTTCTCGGACTAAATATCAAGCCCCCTTGCACACCCAGTTCCAAAGATTTCGTTGCGCTCAAAGCAGCCTTCCTCTTAGTAGTTATGTCCATTTATAACACGGCCATGCGGCCCTGTGGCCGGGACATTGGCTCAGAGAAAGAGGAAGAGCTTGGACTTCTCGGAAATCAGGGAACAGAAGAAATCGAGTCTGCATACAACGGGCTCGAAAGGCAGCCTCTCGTCCACCCCAACAGCGCTCACTATAAGCCTGCTGGGCCAACTTTGAACCGGGGGTCATATTATGGAGCCACGGATTTGCGACAACACAACGCACAGGAAGGAGAACAGACAACCGGTCACACAAACCATCAGAAGCTTCAACGGGATAATTCAGATGACTTCACACGACAACAATTGATGGCTAAGGCAACTGTTCAATTTAGCCCAGTTGTTGCTGAGGGTAGATATAGTTCTTACGGAATCACAAAGCAGGAACCAATGAATCCGTCAGCTGTTCAATGCGTTCCGTTTCTTGTGGAGGGAGAACACACACATCATTTTGTTGAAGCAAAGGTTGCTACATTTGTCTAGATGTTCAGTTGAGAGGGAGATATTAGAGGAGAGATTATTGGGGGAAGGGGAAAACAGAGAATGAAATGTACACCTAAAAAGCGATGCAGAAGATAATAATTTAGACTCAATCAGTCTCGATGAGTGCTCTCTCTTTAGGTGATTGCATGATGATTGTGCTGGTTTTGCTACCCTGGAGCCTTGACAAGGGGCCCTTGTTGTGACGCTGTGGGATGACGCAACTGCTGCGAACGAGTGGCCGGAGGCGGCCAGCAGGCGCTAGAATCAGCGGGGGAGGGCGACTGCCGGGGCTGACCATTGGCGGTGACTGCACTGGGCAGCATTGCCATTTTGGCGCTGGGCATTGGGCCAGGACTCGTTGAGATTCCACTTGATTGCTCGCCGCTCCGATTGCATTACAGTCAATCTAGCACCATCACCCTTCCACCGCCTTCCATTATTGTTATTTCCCATTCGCTTGGACGGGAAGCAACCACCGGGACACGGAGAGCGTTTCTTCTGCCCGCTTATGAATTACTTTGCTCGCCGCTCGTCGTGTTCCGTCTTCTTCTCCCGTACTTACACCTCCCACTCGCGACCCCCACCGATACACAGATCACAACAACCCCGCCATCAACGAAGCACCGCAGCCATGGGTTCGCAGCCAGAGCAGGCCCAGAATGGGGAGGTGGACACTACCAGTAAGTCGCGGAGAATCCGCGCCTCTCATCATGTCGCTTACGATGCTGCAGACCTGGGCTTCACGCCGGTTATCAAGGTTGACGGCCCGTGGACCGTTGACAAGGTCATAAAAAAATTGCCTGGAGGTGCGCCCGCCGAGGGTTCATCCTCGCCGCTGGCCTTCTTCCACATGCTCGAGCGACTCAAAACTACGAAGCGCGAAGGGTGGCGCCGATTTGGAATCACCAGGTAAGAGCGAGTCTTATATGCTTACGGGAATGGAGCGCTGATAAGGGTGTGGAACAGGGGAGAGTCCATCGCCGACCACATGTACCGCATGTCGATGATTTCCATGTTTGCCCCGCCGGCACTGGCCCCGAAGCTCGACCTGCCCAAGTGCGTGAAGATGTGCCTGATTCACGACATGGCCGAGCTGCTGGTCGGCGACATCACCCCCGTCGACGGAGTGCCCAAGCCCGAGAAGAGCCGGCGCGAGGCCGATACGATGGACTTTCTGACCAAGAACCTGCTGCGCAACGTGGCGGGCGGAACGACAGGCGAGGACATCCGGGCCATCTGGCAGGAATACGAGGACTCGGAGACGCTGGACAGCCACTTTGTGCACGACGTCGACAAGATGGAGCTGCTACTGCAGATGATTGAGTACGAGAAGCGCGGCGAGGGCCAGCTGGACCTGGGCGAGTTCGCGTACGTGTCGACCAAGATGACGCTGCCGGAGATGAAGGCGTGGGGGCAGGAGGTGCTCAAGGAGCGCGAGGAATTCTGGGGCGCCAAGAAGCACATACACGGAGAGCAGGGCGTTGAGGGAGGCGTGCAGGTCGACCTGAGAGACGACTATTACTCGCGAGACTGATTTCTTCACAGCGGTTCTGGGCTGGGAAGGCTTAAATCGACAGCTGGGGCGCAGGTTTATTTGTTGCAGGCAAGACGGCGTCTATAGACTTGAGCGAGAGCAATCAACTTGTCCTTAGAGGGATACGGAGAGTGGGATACGGAGTACGAGAAGGAAGGTTGGGGATTGTCTACGCAAGGGAACAGGAAGGGACGGAAACGGGAACAGGAACAGGCAGGACATGAGGAAATGATACACCAGAGGCAGACTAAGAATAGCAATTCTGATTATGCAAGTCAGCTGCAAGTACAAATGCAAGTGCAAGTGCAACTACGGTCGTAGCCGGGAACGTGGGCGATGGATTGGGTTGGTTGTGGTGTGCATTGTACCGCTAAACGAGGTGCTGTATTGGACGCAGGGTGCAGTAATATTACAGTGGAGTTGTGGTGGTTTGAATAAGATGAGTCGATTGCCCCTCTATTGTTTGTTGCCATAACCACGGCAACCAGCTTGTCCCTTTTGGGGGCCGGAAAAATAAAGACGAGAAAAATCATCAGCTGCAGGGCGCCTCCCAGCTGGCGAACCCTGAAGATCGGGTGGGCCGTCTAAGCCGGCGTCTCCCCAACCAAACCTAAGGTACCTAAATGGACCAGCGCCTTCAGCGAGGCTGGCAGCCCGTAGACCGACAGCGGCGAGTACCTAGGCAAGCCCCTAATTAGTTGAGTTTCTTGGGATTCTGGTCCAGCCAGGGGCCGCCGCTGTAGCTTAGACGATTGCTTGGGAGCTTGAGCTTTCCCCGTGCCTGACCCCGTTGGCTCCCGTCCCAAGCCGCGTCTCCGTCCATCCCCCATCTCCTCCTGTTCGCGTGTTTCCCTCCACGCATCAACTGCTGCGACGGCAACGGTGACGACAATTCGACGTCGCGGAGAATACTTGTGCCAATCACCAATCACCAATCACCGGCCATCGTGTTGCTGCCTGTCCGCCAGCTGCAACCCGACGATACGAAGGAGAGCGCCACTCCTTGCGCCGACGTCACAAACGTTGAAACGACCCGACGCCTCAGGTTCATCCAGGCAACACACATACCAACCACCATCCACCAACCACCAACCGCTATTATCCCGCTATCCGCCAACCACACGCTGCCGCCACCACCAGGCTGAACGCTCACTCACGCGCACGCCCTCGCTCACGCGCAACAAAGCTCTCCCCATCGCCCGAGTCACGCGACGACAATCTCCATCATCCACCGATCCGCCGTTTCTCTTTCCGTCTGGCTTACATCGTCAACAACGAACCAGACCAGACCGCATTAACCACGAGCTGCCTACCCCAGACCCGGGTGAACCACGCCGCCTGGAGATGTGTCTCGGCTCCCGCTGAGCTTCCCTGCACAACTCCATTTCGATCCGTTCATCGCTGTGATTCCACGCCCCGGCGCCCGCGTGCCGCAGGCCTTCGCATTCCAGCCTCCCGCCATGACGGTCCCCTCGCATTTCCACATGCCCGGCGCCTTCCATGCCGAAGGCGTCCATCCAGGCCTGTTTCGCCCGCCCATCTCGCCCAGCTCCAGCGCCAGCTATGGCTACGCCGCCCCGCGCCCGCGCACCACCTCTTCCGCCGATTCGCACACGAAGCGCAAGCGACATCGTCATGAAATTTCGCGGTCGCAGGAGATGCCGGTCGATGACGACATGGAGGGGAACACCTTCTTCACCACTCCGGGCGTGCAGAACAGACACCAGGACCGACACTACCAGCTTGCGGGCCAGCTCGACACCCCGAATGGTGGGCCCGTCGAGAGCTTGATGGACGAGAGCATGTACTCGGATTCCGACTATCGCAGGGCTCTTGGATCGAAGCGGACCTGCGACGAAATGGATCGCAGCATGGCTGGCCCTACGCCGCTGTTCAACCTCCCGCCCCAGCCCATGCCCTCGCAGGGCTGGGGAAGCTTCGCATTTTCCGCCCTCGGCGGCGTCGTCGACAAGGTATGGCAGTTTTGCAAGGCTGGCGCATTCCGCGGATTTCAAGCCGGTGGAGGCAGGGCCTTCCGGGTGACGGCTGAAGGAGTCCGGGAGCTGCACTCGCTCGAGGAGGATCCCGTCCAGCAGCATCATATACCAGGCCGATTCCCCCAGATGGACTACCAGCAAGACCCGATGGAGGAGCGCATCGACAGCGGAGCTTCAACGCCGACAGGACCGGCCCCGAAACGCAGACATACCGATCACCGAGACGAACTGGGCCGGAACTGGGTCATTGTCGGGGACTCAAAACCTGGGGTTGAAGCCAATACGCCCCAGCGCCGACCCTATAGGCCGACTCCGACCCCGACTCCGACTCCTCGATTGCGAAACAATGGACCATCCATGGCTACTGGCCGACGCATTAGCACGCCGGCCTCACGCCCAGCTTCCCGTACAGCCTCGCGCCCATCGTCTCGTCTCTCCTCGACCCCGACCCCTGGCCAGCGCCGACAACCAGCGAGCCGCCCAGCCAGCCGTCTTTCTCACGCACCGTCGCCTCCTGTACTCTCTGCTCTTCCCGCCTCAACCGCTTCCTTCGCCTCCTTTGGTGCTTCGCGGTCCCCATCGCCCACTAAAATTCCACAACCCTATCAATCCTCCCGCCGCCGGAACTCGGTCGCACCGTCTCCAAGCCCAGCAGCCATTCACGGGCACCGCCGTTCTCACAGCAATGCCTCGACGGCTTCAAATCGCGGCTCAGTGGATGCTAGCCCGCGCCTCACGTCAGAGGCCAAGCACCTCGCCGCTCGGCGCAAGATGGAGGAGCGGGATGCGGATGTGCGCATTTCGGCCTTTAACAAACAGCTACAAGATATGATCCGTCAAGGCAAGGAGGCATTGGGGACGACGATAGAAGTAGAAGGAACCTGGGAGGACGATGACTGAGCTCCCTGCCAGCCTACGAATCCCTGGTGTCTGCTCCTCTTTTCTTCCTCTCACTGATACCCTCTCTTCTATAAATACGGTTTTATTACTTGCTACTCGGGCAGCACCATGGGGCCTCGGAATGCCTCACAGGATGTGGCGGAGGAGTTTATCGTTTCTTTTCAAGTGGAGTTTGGACGATTTGATATCATCGGGTGGTCGGGTGGCCACTATCACTTCAGTTTCATGTTCATCTAGGGCTGACGTATCATGCCCCGTAGTTGTGTACTTTGACAATCTATCCATTGGACGGTTTATGAACAGAAAATGCAGCTTTCCTTGTCTACTCGCATGAACTTGGTATGGTGACGACTAATCACGAACGCTAGAGACAAGATATTGTCGAGGACCGAACAGCCTTATTGTATCCTCGGAAATAGGCACCCTCATTATCCTGCCTCCAGTCTTTCATTTCTCAGTGTCATGAGTGGAGGTTTCTGTCAATGTCATGTAATCCCGGTAGCCGACGGTCCGTGTGGGGTCAGTCTGGATGTACGGTAGGCTACCATGATGCCGCTGCAAAGAATTACTATGGAGCAAACACCACTCGTTATCAATCGCATACAACCATGCTGGGAATGCACCCCGTACTCCCCGTGAATTGATCCGTTTCCAAAACGGTCGCGTCAGGCGCATGCCGCTAGACTCGTAATTCATGACGTATCGGGCCTACGTGGAGCCAGCACCCTGGTCATGCGATCTCGGGTGGTCGCATGAGCACGAACGTGCCCCCTGTACTCCCCGGTGCGGAAGTCGGCAGCCACGCCGACGAGCTGCCGCAGAGTCATGACACATGGCTTGCGGCCCTGGTTGATGGCGCAATTGCGTCTGGGGAAATTTCTCGGATTTGATTTGGGGGTTGGCATGGACGTGGCTGGGTGGCGAGAAGGGCTTTTTTTGCGCCGTGATGTTGATGGGCTGGGACGTGATGGTTGGAGTATTGCCCTATATCGTACATTCTAGTTTGGCAATAGGTGTAAGAAAGAAGGCTGAATCTGCAGAGTCTCGCCGTGGACGATCTGTGCAAGTGACTGCATTTGCGGTCTAGACTAGTTGGCGCTGGGTTGGGGCGCTGGCCTGGATTTGGTACGGATGTCGTCGACAGTCCACTCAGCGGCAATCGCCTTGAGACCTCTTCGAACGAGCGACCGACGGCCCGCGACCAATGAGACATGTCTGGCAACCGTCAACGTACCGAGATGTGGTGGAGCCACATGGCCGGTCTCCCAGAATGGCGTTTGCTCGCGTTGACGTGTATAAGTCTGGGCGACGATGCGAAGCCGCACCGAGCCGCGACGGCATCGCATAGGACGACGGCGATAATTCAAACAAAGATACTGGAAGAATCAAGGTAATCAAGATAGACAAGACTACAACATGTATATGATTTCAAAAACCAACTCCGTGACACCATCTTCGCCTGCGCATGTCTTCTCACCCCCCCGACGAGCCGATACCCGCTTACACGCCTCCCTCACCCCCACACAGCGCCGAACCCACCCGGCCGACATCCGGGAACTCGGCGGCCGGCGCACGATGCAAAGATGCAAAGAGCCGGAAGGCAAAGAAGCGAGCGGCAGCCGGCATCCACCAATTCCACCAAGCCCAGGCCAGTTGATCAGGTAGCCAAATGGGCCGATGGCTCCAACGCCAATTGCTCTCGCAGATGCCGCATTCCCAACCCTCGCTCTTCAATGTCCCGTCTGGCGTCCGACCCGCGGACGACGACGACGGCCTCTCCTTCGCCCTCTTCTTCGCCCTCTTCGCCACCGACCAAGGCTGAGCCTGCTCCTGCTCCAATGGCCAAGCCCAAGGCTGCTTCATCGTCGGCGTCGCCCTCGCCCTCGGCGGCTGCGTCGCGGCGTTCGGGCCGCGCCTGCAAAGCCCGGTCGCTGGCCTGCCGCGAGTGTCGCGATCGCAAGATTCGCTGCGACGGCGGCCGGCCCGCCTGCGACTCGTGCTGCCGTCGCGGCTTGAGCGCCGGCCAGTGCGTGTATCCCGAGATCGAGCACGAGGGCTCCATTGCCTCTTCGAGAAGGTGACTTGTCCCGGTGTAAGTGGGCGAGCATCGAGCGCTGACTTTGGGATTGCAGCTATATCCGTGTTTTACAAAAGCGTGTTCAGGAACTCGAAGCCAGAGAACAGCAGTTGGTATGTGAGCGTGTTTATTGAGTAAAGCTCGAATGCTTACCGTCCGGTTAGACACTCGCGGCTCGCAACCATGCGTTGTCCGGCTCGTCGCCCGCACAAGACGACGCCTGGGCGAGGCCCTTTGGGTCTCCAGGTCCAATTCCTTTGCAACCAAAGCCCGCGCAACCCGCGGAGCACGTTATTCCTCCCATTCAGACGACCGAGATGCATGCCTTTCCAAGCGGAAGCGGCTCCGTCTCCATGGTCCAGGAGCCGTCCAACTACTACGCGCAGCACCCAGCTCAGATGGGTACGAGCCCGCCCCTGACCGACGACCTGGAGGATGTCTCCCCTATCAAGTCATCATTCGGCTCTTACTCGACCAACGTCAAGGCCGCCCTCATGCTTGAGAAGATTGCGCTTCCGCCGCCGGAGCTCATGGACGACCTGCTGGGCGAGTACTTCGACCTGGACTGGATCACGATGCCGGTAGTCCACCGACAATCCTTCATCCACAGATATCACCGTCTGATCGCCGTTGCGAACTCGAGATATCGTCGGGACATTCCCCTCGCGGAGGCGACCGAGCTGGCAACAACCTTTTGCATGCTCCTCGGGATGCTTGCCGTCGGACAGCTTTCGAAACCCGGCAACGGAAATCCCACGACGACCGAGGCTTCGGCGGCGACCGAGTTCCACGAACAGGCGAGAGCACTGCTTTTTGCTGATCTCATCTCGGCCCCGTCTCTCCCCGTCGTCCAGGCCTTGATTATCCACGCCCGCTTCTTGCGCCGGAGCGGCTCGTTCCAGGAGAGCTGGGTCATGACCGGCCTGGCACACCGGCTCGCTGAGGGCCTCTTGCTGCATCTCGACTTGCCAGTCAGGTCGTTGGCTGAACGCGAGGAGCGGAGGAGGACGTGGTGTTCTTGCGTGCTTTTGATCCGGTTAGTATAATGTGGTACTGTATTCAAATCTCAGCTAACCGTTCTCTTCCAGTATGCAAAGTGTCGCCCATGGCGGTAGATCGACAACCACTAGCCCCAGCTTCGGAATCCTGCCTGCGGAAGTCGACGACGAGCAGCTGGAGAGCCACCCCAACAACATGGAGAGAAGCCAATCACCGGATGTCCCGTCATGGATATCCTTCTTCGTCCAGACGCTGAAGCTGTCCGATACCGTGCTGCAGCCCATCCAGCAATTCTATTTTGATAACCAGACCCAAGACAACAAGGACTGGGTGGCCGACATTCTCAACACCACGCTGCAGCTCGACGAACAGCTCCAGGATTGGCACAACTCACTGCCAAGACACCTGCACATCGATTTGGCTTGTTCCCAAGGACAGACGGGCCAACGACGCCAGGCTCTTCTTCTGCACATGCGATACCTTGAAACGAAGGCGCTCCTGTCTCGAGCAGCCATCATGAAGCTCGTGCAAAGTCACCCTGATAAGCCGCTCGCATCCATGTCGAAGTCTTTGCTTGGAGGAGTTATCGATGCCTGCTGCACCGCGAGCACCGAGTTGATGGATCTCCTGAGTCGCGAGAGGGAGCTTACGTTGCTGGCTGGGATCCCCAGCAGTCATATTGTTATCTGTAAGTGTTGATCATCTCTACTGAGGAAGAATGTTTAAAACTAACCACCATAGCCCTCTCCATTGCTGGAATGACGCTCAGCATGCTCCTGAAAACGCCAGTCTTCAGCGAACTCATCCGAAACCCGACCATCTACGCTGACGATACTCGACGGTGCCTGTCTCTTTCCAAGCAGTTTTACACCTGCCGCCACCAAATGGCCGAGAAGTACATCCAAGCCTTCGAGGCTTCGGTGCAGCCCCAGCCCCGGCTCGCAGCGTCTCCTGGTTTGGTGGACCCGGCGCTTGAGGCCAAGACTCTGCCAACCCCGTCCGGCGACAGGGGCGAGCCAACGAACAATGCCTCGGAGGCGGGCAGCATGGAGATGGCGATGCTGGATGCCTGGTATTTGGGCCGGCCCGATTTGCTCTCGAGCGTTGGTGGGTTCTCTATCAGTGAGATCGTGTCACTATGGTGAGTACGGGTACAAGCTTGGGAATGCAAGTTACTCATAACACCTACCAACCAACCTACTCCCTTGGGCCGTGAATCAATGACTTCCTCGCGAACTGGGAGTTAACACGAAAAAATTCGCCGTGGCTGTGATTCACTGGCTGCCTCGCGAGTTGGGAGTTCGCATGAAACACTGGGGCGAAGTCGAGCGGCCGCTTCGAGGGCCAACTGCAACATTGAACCAACACAACCAAGATTGCACAACGGCAGCCTACGGTTTCCAAGATAGCCATTGACCAACCTGCCAATAAGTACCAAGGCCGATATGCAGGCTGCCACCAGATTGGTGGGTTGGACTGTTGCGCACAGATCGTGGCAGGCCTCCCGCATGGTATCTCACTTTACTCTCACACCGTTGCCCTGTCAAACAAATACAACCGACCGGGACTCGATAGGCAGAAGAGAACTGTCAAGTGGAAAAAGTGCACAGTGGGTCTGTTTGCCTGCTATCGTCCTCGAGGATTGGTTGACTCGGCCAAACGAGCACAAACGCGGCCTGCATTCTGACCACTCACTGTTTGGCGAAGCCTCCCAAGTCTTCTCTCAATTTCCTTTCGAACATTGTTTGCCTGGGGAAACCGGGAGCGCGCCCAGACGTGCAGGAGCATAAAAACCGCAAACTTCTCCTTCTCTTGCATCTCTTCATTCACTCTCATCTCGCATCGATTGCACCACCAAGACCCTTTCGGACCACAACCAACCACTACTCACGGAATAGAGACCACTGCCCGTGAAAATGGCGGGCTCAAGTTCATCCAACTCCAGTGGAGGGCTCGGAAGCCGGGCCCTGCTGGACAAGATGGACAAGCTGCGAGAGCTTGGTATCCAAGAGATGGTGCCACTCCCACAGGTATGTCCCGTTGCTACCATTTCAACTCATCGTGTTCACCACTAACCCTTCTGTTAGATGGTCGTCGTCGGTGATCAGAGTGCTGGAAAGTCAAGTGTCTTGGATTCACTGACTGGCTTCCACTTCCCTCGCAACGTCACCCTTTGCACGCGACACGCCACGGAGATAATCTGTCGCCGCGAAGAGACCGAAAGCATTGTTGTGTCCATCCAGGCCGTCGACGCCGATGAGGAAAAAGCGAAGAATTTCAGGCGACAAGCAACCAACCTGGACGCCCCCGAGTTTGCGAAGATCTTCAGCGACGTACGTCCTTGCTTGCCCATAGTCCCATCCATATGTCTAACATCGAATAGGCAGCCGAAGTCATGGGGATCAAGTCCGACACTGGAGGAACCGGTTCTGCTTTCAGCCGAGATATCCTTCGTGTTGAGATCAGTGGCCCAAACATGGACCACCTCACCGTCATCGACGTGCCGGGAATGTTCGAGAATGTGACCCCAGGCCTGACGACGGCAGATGACATTGATCTTGTCAAGGACATGGTGAAGAGATACATTCGTGAATCTCGGACCATAATCCTCGCCGTTGTCCCCTGCAACGGAGACATTGCGAATCAAAAGATTCTGACTCTCGCAAAGGAGGCGGATCCCGAGGGCAAGCGAACTTTGGGTGTTCTTACTAAGCCTGATCTCGCGGTTGAGAAGGCCACCAAGCAAGTTGTCGTCGACCTGGTTCTCGGAGGACGTCGTGATCTTCATCTCGGCTACTGCGTCGTCAAGAACCGTGGCGCAGACGACTCCTCATCCAGCTCTCAGGAGCGCGACCAGAAGGAAAAGGCTTTTTTCGCCAAGTCACCGTGGACGAAGCTCCCTGCTGACAAGGTCGGGATCCCTGCTCTCAAGAGCCGCATCCAGCAACTGCTCATGGATCGTACTCGGAGCGAGTTCCCCAAGGTTCGCGCCGAGCTCTCGAGCAGCCTGAAGAACAAGGAGGAGGATCTCGAAGGCATGGGGCAGTCGCGCAGTACCACTGACCAACAACGCTTGTTCATTGGCAAGGTGGCCAGCAGATTTGCGCGTATCAAGGACCAAGGCCTTGATGCCTACTACAACAGGGACAAGATTTTTACCGACAACCCTGATCTGAAACTCATTACTCGCATTCGAGAGATCAACGAGCGTTTCTCCGCGGTCGTCTATGAGAAGGGTCACGCCCGAAACTTCACCTCAGCGGAGGATGAGACCGAGGAGGCCAAGGCAGAAGAAGATTCGACAAGATATCACTCCGACCCTGGTGTCGGCGGATACTTCGAGCGAGATGATCTGTATGACAACAAGGCAAACTTCAAAATCCCTCTCATGGGGGAAGACGATTTGGATGGACTTCTCGCCGAGCCATATGGCTGCCCTCTTCCCTCGGAGGAGGACATTCTCAAGCACATTGAGCATGAGTACATGACCTCCCGTGGTGATGAACTTGGCACTGTAAGTTTACCCTCTGATTTCACTGTGTTGCCACATACTGATTGTCTTTACACAGTTCAGCGGCGAGATGCTTCCCACGACTTTCAAAGAGCAATCAAAGAAGTGGTCTCCCATGGCTCGCGCTCACGTATCCAACGCCATCCTGATTGTCCACCACTTCATCCGCACCGTCCTGGAAAAGTGCTGCCCAGACCCAGATGTCCGCGCCGAGCTCTGGACGTTCCTCCTCGAAGACCTTCAGAAGAGATACCAGCGCGCCGTCGATCATGCCGAGTTCCTTCTCGACGTCGAGTTTCAGGGGACCTCCATGACGTACAACCCTGCCTTTTGGGAGCAGCGCGATTGGACTAAGCAAACTCGCAACGAAAAGCTGAGAGAGCAGGTCGATCAAGAACGCAACCAAGAGGATAATTTCTTCGACGGGGTGAAGGCTATCCTGGAGGTAGCCATGGGCAGCGGCGATCCTGTGAAGGCGACACGGCAGGACATCCATGACGTTCTCTACTCGTACTACGACATCGCCCGTAGCCGCTTCGTAGATGTGCTTTGCCAGCAGGTCATCCACCATTACCTGCTGCACGCATCCGACAGTCCTCTCACCGTCCTCTCCGACACGGTCGTCCTGAAGATGTCGGATGACCAGCTGGACACTATTGCCGGCGAGGACATGATCTCGCGCGAGCGCCGCAAGAAGCTCACAATGGACATTGAGAACCTGCGACAGGCGCTGAAGATTCTCCGCGGTTGAGGCGACTGGCCTCTTGCATTCTTGTTGTCTCTGAAGAGAGATATCTTGTTGCCGGCTTGGCTTACCAGCCAAGTATTACGTGGAGAGTGATGGCTTGGATTTTCTTTTGACAAGACACCCTTTGTTAACGGATGACATGATAATGACACCGACGCCCGGCGTCTAGATGATATGATTGTGTCGCTTGTTTTTGATACCAAGTCTGATTTGGATCCCTTTGCGCGTTAATTAGCTGTGATACCAAATATGAATGAGTCTTGTATATGCAACTTCTCCTACATAGAAATGTGATGTTTTCCTGCCTGGGACCTCTTGAACATGCCCGCTTCCAGAAACAGCAACAGAATCACCAAGTCACCAAGTCACCAAGTCGCCAAGGAAGTCAAAGCGATGATCAAAATTTCTCAGAGAGGACATTGTCTCGTCTTCGTTATTTCATTTGTACTCGTACACGTACAACAACCTCTTCTCAACATCCACCGCTAATCCATTCGAGGAAAAAGGCCGTCCTTGTGGCGCTGGCCGTTTTCTATGCACCCCAAAATGCAAATCTAAAGGTATCATCGTCTAAAAGCACATGTCCCAGCCCAATTTCCAATCAACGCCTAAAATGTAACAACCCGATGGCCTGGCCAAGATGAAGAAGATGAAGAATAATTTGCCCAATAATAAAGCAAACGAAGGCTACTTGGACAAGAGCATGCCTACGTCCTGCAGCTGAACCGCATTAAGCAGAGGCGGAGGTCCTCCCCGGTCGACTCTACCCCATCCTGCACCCCAACTCGGCGGCGGTTGAGGAGTGGCGTGGTTCATCGACATCGGGGCACCTGCTGGGAAGATGTCGTCGTCGGCGGTTGCTGAGCTGCGCGTGCTAAGCGCAATCTCATTGGTCCCTTCGCTGCTCGTCTTCACTTTGTGGTGCTTCCGCCAGAGGCGTGTTTTCCGCAGGCGAGAGTTCTCCGCGACGAGTTCGGGGGATGTCATGATGCCAACGCGATCCATCTTCCTCTTGGAAAAGTTGCCCACCCTCGATCGGGGATAAGAGAACCCAGCAGGTTGGCCGCCGCGGAACGGGTTCCACTTTCGCATCTTGGGGGATCCGAGGCTGATGCTGCCGTTGCAGCCCGCATTGTAGCTGGTGCGAGGTTCACCGGAAAGTTCCTCGAGAGTCATCCCCTTAGTCTCCGGGATGAGCAAGGAGACCAAGGTGCCAAAGAGCATGAAGAGCGCAAAGAGTTGAAGCAGCCGGTGTAGGTTTGGAGAGCACTCGGTACCCTTGCAGCCTTCAGTGGCACCTTTGCGTATCAAGGGAATACTGATAACCTGGGCGATGATTGCTCCAATCTTACCCATGGCAGCAGATATTCCGTGTCCGGTTGAGCGGTATCGTGTAGGGAAGCATTCTCCCGGGACAATAAAGGTGGTTGTGTTTGGGCCGGCATTGAAAAGGAACTGGCCGATAATGTAGAGGGCTAGCAAAGCGCCTTCGCTGAGCTTCTTGTATGCAAAACCCAGAATGCAAAAGAGGATAGTTAGAAGAGAAAAGCCAATCACCTGGAGAGGCTTGCGGCCGACCGTGTCGATGGTGAATACGGCAAACCAGTAGCCCGGAATCGAGCCAGCACATGTCAAGATAATCATGCCCACAGCCTGGTTATGAAGCTTTTCGTACATCGAATTGCCACTGCCATAGCCTACCGCCTGGAGAACGATGGTATTATTCAACCCCAGGCCATAAAAAGCGAGATCCTAATACGAATGTCAGTATTAACACACGAGATTGTCGTCGTATCGGGGAGCTCACAAGAAAGAACCAGGAAAGAGTGGTTCCCAGGAGCATCTTAAAGTTGGCCCACTGGCGGAAGAAGGATATGAGATCGCTCCACGAGGCATGGGGGATGTTGAGTGCCCGCCCGGCGATAGTCCTACGCCGTTCCTGTTGGCCCACGTCAAACTGCCCCTTGGACCTGCTCGACACGTATGCCTTGATATCGGCGTCGGCCTTTTCAACGTCGTGCTGGATGTCAAAGGTATACCGGGGCGTCTCGGGAATGGTGATTCGGTAATAGAGAGCTAAGCAGGCCGGGATAGCGCCAACTCCGATGATGATACGCCAAGATCGATCGGCGGCCAGGCGGCATTCGAAACCACACTCGCCCTCGTTGGGGATGTCGACGAATGCCTGCTTAAAGGCGAGGTTGGTGATGAGGGCAACGATGGCTGCACCGAGCTGTCCGAAACCTTGCATAGAGAAAACGGCCGCCACCATGGCGCCGCGCCACCTCGTGGGAGCAAACCTAGTGGATTCGAGTCAGAATAAGAATTCGCGTTTCAAGAAGACAACACAATAACCTCCAGGGAATCAGGGGAACTCACTCTGCTGTAATTACTGAAGATAGCGGGTAATCGCCGCCAATACCGATGCCCTAGACGGAGTCAGCTTTGCTGTTGCACACTCAGGGCCGAGCGGTTTACATACCATCATGACGCGCCAGAATATTAGCAGGCCAGTTGAGCCCATAGACGGACTTGACGAGACGAGTGCGCAGCTTAGTGTTGCTAGGATGATTATGCCGAGCTCGACACCGTACATACGACGGCGTCCAAACGCGCTGCAGTACCTAGTTAGCAAAGGAATATCCTGCCAACAAAAAGACTGCGAGGCTTACTCAGCGAGCCATCCAAATGCCACCATGCCAATGACAATTCCAGCACTGGTTGAGGCCTTGAATGCCTGGTTGACAGGATCGGGCAAGTAGCCATCGTTGCCGCCAAAACCGTTTCGGGGGTCCTTGTCTCCCCAGAAGACGACACCAAGCAGGGATGTGACGAGGTTGATGGCGAAGATGTCATATGAGTCGAGGAAGAAACCCACGCCTGCGACTAATACGGCGCGGACATCTGTAGTTTAGGTTAGTATATCACAAGGCGTGGTGTTGTTGGACCAAGCATTTAATATCACGTACGGTATAGGCCAAATGGAACCTTGTCAATCTCGGACAAGGCGAGGCGGCGTCGCAGGTTGGGGTCAGTGATGTGAGAGTAATCATTCCAAAAGTTGTGAAAGGCATTATTGCCGCCGTAGGTGCGGTCGTGGAGGAAAGGGCTCGCCGGCGGCGGCAGCATATCGTCGGAGTCGGGCATGTTGGAAGTACTATGGAGAGCGAGGAGCGTGGGAAGAGAGAACCGTGTACCACGACATTAGTCAAGCGCCGCCTTTGTCGTGGCCTTGGTTGATGGTTGGGGGGTGAGGTTCAGATTGAGAGCGCTATCGACACCAGAGACATCAAGGTGGGCGCTTGAAACCGGGGAGTCGTGGGCCTGGGTCTGTAGAGATGGCTAACGGGGGAGCAGCGAGGTTGTAGAGCGAGGCGAGAGAGTCTGATGCCTGGCGATACGGGATGCTTGGTTCGAGGCGTCGTCGGAGTTGAATGTCGCGGGTGAATGCCGTGGGCGCCAGAGCGATGGTAACAGAAACTGGTGATGGGCTTTCTGGGCGAGATTGAGATAGAGGCGCAAGGGTCGGCGTCATTCAACCGGATGCTGATCGTTTGAAGGCGGGTGGGAACAAGGCGACGGATCGAGACTGGCGACTGCTGCGGTGGTGGGAGAATCCACGGAGGGATCGTCGGTCGGGACGAGCGTTGAAGAGGCGTTTGGGAGACCAAGGTTGGAAGAGACGGAGGCGAGACGGAGGCGAGATGGAGGCGGAGACGGAGAAGGGACGGGGAAGGGACGGTGGATGTACCACGGTCAAGATGGGTCAAGATGGGTCAAGATAGATGGGTCAAGATGGGGGAGGGGGGTGGGAACCTGGTAAGTACGGTCGCTGCGATTTACTCTTATGAGCGATGGGAGGAGGAGGAGATGGCAAATGGATGGCAATGGCGAATAGGTATAAACGAGGAGAACGAGGAGGGGAGGGAGGGTCGCCGGACCCATGCAATCCATGCAATACCAGGATCCATCCAGACAGAGTACAATGTGTCGATGAGAGAGTGCGGATTGGGTGGGAGGAGAGAGAGAGGCTCGGTTGTACTGTACCCTCCCGCGTACAACGTGAGGAGTAATACTGTGTGTAACTGTAGGCTGTAGCGGGTGGGACGCCGCGGGAGAGGTTTTAGAAGGTGGAGGGCGACCCAGGGCTCCACTGGTCAGTGAGCGGACCACTGGACGACCCAGTCGGAGCCACTGGAAGCCAAGGAAGAAGCCCACTAGAAAAAACCCACCTCCTCGATTGGGCGTAGGCGCAGCAGGGGTCAGGTAGGGGAAGAGGAGATGCAGTTCTTCAGTGGATGTTCCAGTGGATGCTCCGGGGGGCCGGCCTGAGTCTCGCAGCGCCATCATTACGGAGTCGGGGCCCGCAGCCGCATACCGAACCCTCCCTCTTTGGCCCTCTTTGGCCCTGTTTGAGCCAAGATCCCGTGTTGACGCGCCCAGAGCTGGACGGACAGACAATCGACACTCACAGCGCCTCTTTGACGCCTCCCCAAGCCAGTTCACGCACTTTCAAGCCCTCTCAAGCCCTTTCAAGCCCCCCGCCTGCCCACCGAAGCGTCCTGCGATGCCACTGGCTGGCCTGAATGCAGCGGGGCTTCCTAGCCTCTTGCGCCCAAGGTACTTCGGGGGTACTGAGTTGACACCCCGCTCACTAACGGGGCGATGGCGGAATGGAGACTGGACTTTATTCCAATGCTCGCCCGGGATTAAGATATGATGCGCCCAGCATCTAGATCTCTCGGATCCAGCTTGATACTGCGCTCTTCTAAAAGATAAAACCATATGCACGCTCGCCCATATCCATCTCCCCTCACTCACGCTGGACATGCCCGCCCAGTCCCCCTCTACGCGAGCTGAACCATCCGGGTATCCATTCATCGATTCGTCATCCCCGAGGAGGTGTACTGTGCTCCGTACCCGATGTACACCCCTACAGTAGGGCGTGCACCATGCCCGTTCCAGGCGACGTTGCACTGGCGGCCCAGCTCCCCTGGCCAAAGCCTGTGGCCCCTCCGTCCCGGTAGGCTGCCTAGTGGCTCTCCAGTGGCCCTCCAGTGGTCCAACGGCCAAGCACCCACTGCGAATAACTAATCAGCGGAGAGGTGCCTGCCCACTTCGTACTACGGCGTAGTACGATGTACCTACCCGTTTGGCTCTATCTCTTCGCCTCCCTAAGGTAGGTACCTGTAAGTTAGGGGGTTCTTCGGTTGTTCTTTACTGTTTGTTGGGGCTTCCAGAAGCGTGGAGCTCTGATTCCTCTCTTATTCTATCCAGGCTTCCATGCATCATCTCATCGGAGCACAAATCGGCCACACATCGCATTGCGAGCATCCACCCCCCATTCCACGCTTTTCTAGGTACTTACTCGCTGAAGATCTGCCCGACGCCGCCGGCAAAAAATACACCCCCTCTGGTCGATCCAGCCAGCCATCGCCGATTTTTCTCCTTTCATCTTCACCAACATGACTTTTACCTAAGTTCATCACATTCTCCCACAATAATCACTGCTGTCCCCTTGCTGGCCTCGTCGACTTCCTTGCTGCCGAGGGTACGTACTGCACGGTTAGTGCGGCAGACTCCTCCGAAACCAATACCCTTACGTACTGCGACTCCCAGCGGTGGGAATTACTGTACGTAAACACCCTCATTCCCTGGCACGCAGCCTAGCAGCCTAGGCATTGTCCATTATTGACGCCGTCGACACATACTATGCACGTACTATGCACACGTCCGAGGATGGATGACGGACCGATGACGGGTGACGGAGCGCGTCTCCGAGCAGCATAACGTACCGCACTACAACATATGCTCGGCCTCTAAAGCAAGCCTCATCCCAGCCAGCTGGGTCGTGCCAGCCTTGTCGCGACACGACAGGTCCAACACACTCAGCTGGTGTGCGGCTGCATCTTGAGATCCTGGCTGCGCCATCGCCCGGTGAAACCACTCTAATTAGTCACGGGCGAAGGTCCTCTCCTGAATGCCATTCAATCAATCACACAATAGTGGCCTGCGCTTCTCGTGGCTCCACTCCCTCGTCTTCCACGCTGCTTCTAGCCCCCGGCCGGTCCAAGCCTTGAAGCGATGGATGCATTCTGACAGTCCACGTTGACGCTCCGCCTCCAAGAGGGTGGTTATCGTCGGAGGTTATCCCTGCTGGCGCCATGCAGGAGAGACAAGACGACAGTCGCGCCCTGGCCTGATACAAATCCGTCTACACGTGCCCAACACTTGAGGCTCCTGATGACAAGGGCATAAAACTACATCCCCGGGACGCGATACCGAGCGACAGACGTGGTTCAGCGCGTTGTCTGGCCTCGGTGAGGAATGCGATTTGTGGCTGGCGCGCGATGCTCGCCTCGAATAGTCAGCTTCCGCCTCCTTCGTGTCTCAACCTCTCTCGGTGTTGACAGGGGCCCTTTATCCCAAACACAGCCAATCGGTCCTCCACGTGTGCGCCCCTGGTGGCTTGGCTCCTCTTCCCCACACGCGATTTGACTTGTCTCCTCTCGACACAGACCCAGTCGCAACGTCAAAGTCGTCAATGCCTACATCGACGGGTGCGAGTATGGCGGAATAGGCAAGAGAGGGACATTTGCGTGTCACTAACTCGGCTGCCGAGGTTTCACACGCAGAGACGGGCTAGAGGTACATGCGCTCTGCATGAACAAGTCCACCAGCCATGATTTGCACGTTTATGCCTCCGATAACCTCTTGCAAAACATCCAATCGTAGCGAGGTCATGACACTCAAGTGTGCGGTCAAAGCAAAGGCATCAAAGTCACGAATTGATTACTCTAGAAATCCATCACCGGAGCACACCGAGGTAGGAAAGAAAATACTCGACGCAATGACCAACCTGTGAGCCGTCCCCTCGAGAAGCCTGTCGGATTATGGATCGGACATCCCCGTAATAGAGGAGACACCTGTTCTGTTTCGGTCCGCTGCTGACAGACGATTACAATATCTGGGTGAGCCTCGAAACACTGATGAAGCGAGGCCCCTCTTGGCCTTTGCGCTCGAGTGGATTCATTACTATCGTACCTCACCTTGTTGTGTCTTTTATTTTGAGCATTGCCATTCGCACACGTGTAATGTGCCCAGGTACAAGTCCTTTCGGCAAACCAATGTGCCCAGCATGAACAGCCATAGGCCACTTGAATCAATAAACATAATTTAACAAATGCAATAAAAATAAGGATAGGGGATAATCTTAAGAATAAGGGTTATAAAGCCTTACTTCCTAACTGTCACATTAGGTGGATTGTTGATAATTATCTTTCGGATCGTACTTGTGTGAATAGCAAGCTGCACGTGTGCAAATAGTGATGCGCTATCCTGGCATGCTCGCCTTGACAGCCAAGCCGGAACGGCGTCTTTGCCGAGAAAGTGCCTGCGACGCTGTGTCTGCTGGTCATTGACGTAGAAAAAGACCTCGACTGCCTGGAGTTACGCGGCCTATATTGCATTGGCCCACACGTCTCGTCAACCCACATATCCCATGCAGTGTCTACATCATCTCGCTTCTCGGTAGTACATACGTCTTGCGGCTGTTGAGGCAGTACACACACATGTGTGTGTCACGGAAAACGTAGAGTGGTATTCTGCCGTCGAGAGGAGCCTTGCCGTATTCCCGTATGTTCCCGTCCAACTGAGCATTCTGTGTTTCCACACATGTGCCCTCGCACAGTATAGACGTCGCATGCGGCCTCCTGGTGTATCAAACCGACCGGTGGCCGTATCTGAGACCGGTGGGCATCTAGAAGGTTGCGAGTTCTCAAGTCCCTTGGCAATTTGTCGATACATTTGAGTACCATACTGGCCTCTTCGATCCAGCATGCCTCCCACACCTCACTCGGCGCCAACAAACTGTACGAGTCAGAGAAAATACTCCCATGTGCTGGCTTGAAAATGAGGCCCTCCCCTCCCCTAGTAAATCAACAAAAGACCTTTTCCCCGCATCACCGGGCGCCTTTGGTCTGACAAATTCATCTTAGGCAACAAACAGGGGCCCCTTTTTAATGGACGAGAGGCTTTTAGATCGCACTGAGACTGCTGTTACAGAAGAATGCAGTTCCTAAAAGCCGATCCCACGTCTCTCACGCCGTAGTGTCCATCCTGGCTAAGTTAGAGCGATGGAGTAATATTCGGCGAAACTCATGCGTCTGACTTGGGTTATGGCGCCATGGTGAAAGTGGGCATTCTGAGCAATCGCGCCGTCAGTGAAACGGGGACTTGACAAGAAGTCCGACGATTCGAAATAATCGACTGGGGAACGAGTATCTCGTCGTCTCAGGGGTTGCGACGGTTCCGTCTTTGCTCAACGCGATTCGCTTACCAAGTTGCAAACATCTGGCGAACTGGCATGTCGCATGTGGACGTTGGAGACGGCACACAATCGGAAGTTCCGTTAGTCAACAGCTGCTCCCGTGTTCAACGTTTGTTGGGCTTTTGTGCCGAAGGATGCCGTCGTGATAAACGCCACATACGGATGCTTTGCTCTGCGTGACGCTCGTATCGTGTAAGACGTGAACTAGTATTTGGGTTGGCAAACACTTCTGGCCAGCGACGGTTATCTGATGTCGTCAAATCATCACGAGATGCTTGCTCCTGTGATGGGGAGATGGGCTACATTTCACTTCGTCACTGCGTTTGACTGCCTTGCAAACCTTCAAGGGGTAAATAAAGAGATTTTCCATTTAGCTGGAAATGACTCTACCCGACTCACTTTTATCGGCTAACTACAGAGCTTCGCTGTTAGGAACTTGTTGTTGGCAAGAGTTTACGTTGACGACCATCCCAGTTAAATTTTTGGTTTCCTTCTACCTCTTCTTTGGCTATAATACCCGGAAATTTAGACCCCAACTAAATCATCATACCTTGTGCCATATTGCATTTACCAAGCAGTGATGTCTTCCACCTCTGCTTCTCCAAAGGTGCTCGACTTTGTCAACTGTCCCACCCCGGCCTCCTCGGGTGCGCCACCGTCCTTGTTCATGATGTCTGGGAGCACCTCCTTGAGGAACCCGAGGACGTAGTTGTTGACCTGCTCAAACTGCAACAGGAACGCATCGTGGCCCTCGGGACTGTCGATTCGCTCTAGGCGCGAGTTCTTGATGTGCTCTGCAATCTCCTCCTGCTCCGCAAAGGTGAAGAGACCATCGCTCTCAATGCCCAGCACCAGAGTGGGCTGCTCAATCATGGCCAGCGCCTCGGCGATGCTGCCGGCTCGGTTTCTTGACACGTCGTGCGTGTCCAGCTTGCGGGTCATGGCGATATAGCAGTTGCTATCGAACCGCTTGACAAATTTGCCGCCCTGGTAGCGCAGGTAGGACTGGGCCGAGAAGTAGGTCGAAGTCGGCAGCGTTTCGCCTCCAGTGAGGCCTCCCTTGCTTGGACCGTGGAACTGCGGATCAGCAACGTCCGCAGCTGGGTCTGGGGCTTGGGTCGCAGAGGCCCCGTCGGGAGTTACGCTCTGGCTGTTGTCGCGCGAACGCGTCTTGCGCTTCACCTTGTGGCCATCGTTGTGGATGTGGAAGTGCGCCTCCGACGGCGTCGTGGGCTGGGGTCGCTCCCGGATGGTCTGCACCTTGGAAGGATCGGGGATGTTGCGGCCGAACCGAGACTCGAACGAGTTGCGGCTCCGGTATGTCAGCAGCGCCGACATGCGGGCGGCGCCCAGTCCCGTCGACGGCGGGTCCTCGAAGGGGTAGTATCCGTCATCATACTTCGGGTCTGCGTAGATGCTCTGGCGCTGAGCCTCACCCCAGCTAATGCCCCAGGCGCTGTGTCTGCTGGAGGTGGCGATGGGAACGATACATCGAATGTAGTCCTTGCCAAAGTACGCCCACTCCAGGACGAACATGCCGCCCAGCGATCCTCCGATAACGGCGGCAATCTGCTTGACACCCAAGTCGTTCAGGACGAGTCTGTGAAGGCTACAGTTTGTTAGAATATTGATTTATCTGCGGCCTGGACTGACCTACTTGACATCATCGCGAATGGTCGTGAGGGGGAATTCAGGGCCGTAGCGACCCTTGGTGGGGTCGTTCTCCTTGGCCGTTACCGGACTCGCAGTGCCGTACGGACTACCCAGGCTGTTCATACAGACAATGAAGAACCGTGAGGTATCAAAGGCGCGGCCGGGTCCTCCCAGCAATGGACCCCACCAGTCACTCACATCGGCGCTGCCAGTGAGAGCGTGGCAGATGACCATGGCATTATCGCCGTCAGGGTTGAGCTTGCCCCTGGTCGTGTATGCGACAGGGAGGTTGTGGAGGGTGACCCCGGACTCAAGCGTGAACTCGGGGACAATTGCTATGTGCTGATCGGGAATGAGAGTCGCAAACGGGTTCTCAGGTTGAGATTGCGTTCTTTCTTGCACGTATTCAGCCACCAGTCTTCTCTTGAACAAATTGCATCGCGCGCGGCATGAGGGGCAGAGCCACTTGGCTTGAACTGTAGCACATGGAACGGGGTTAAGGCAATAATGAGTACTGACCGTATTGCTTCTGCGCGCCGCCATTGGCGACCGTCTCTTGGGCCATGGTGTGTAGCTGACGTCCTTTCAGTCCGACAGGCGTGGGTGAAGCGTATATATATGCAGATGCAGATGTAGATGCGAGGGGTCTGTGAGACAGACAAATCTCGGTCTCCCAGTTAAAGAACCCTAGGTGTCTCACTTCAAAAAATGGACCCAAGCAAATAGTCAGTTCCTAGTCGGTCTCAGCCAGAATCTAAACAAAAAGATATGCTTTCAGCAAGTTGGGAGAGAAAAACCCCGTCCTTGCGATGGCGTAATTCGTGCCGTCTCCAGGACCATCTCTGACTCAGCCAATCGGGTCCTGGCTCCGGAAGTCGGACGTCTGCCCAGTGCCCAATCCGGCCGGCATTTGGGTCAGTGACGCGGTCACGTGGTGCGCCGAAAGAGGCCGAAGCGGAGCGGAGGCAACCTGCACCGTCTTGCGGGTACGTACCTGACTGAACCGGCGCGCAGAACTGGTCCGTGCACCGTTGTCCGGTTTAGCTCAAGTGGCAGCCTTGTCACGACCGTTTCCCCAGTAAGGCTGCCAAAACGCCGTGACAGTTTGAGGGAGCTTCGCCCGCTGGTGAACTCTGCCGCATCATCGCCAAACGCGAGAAACGCCATTCGGTTGACGATTTCGACACGGGCGCCCCAAGCTGGAGCAGCAGCACCCTCGACTTCGCATCCGCGGCTGACCGCCCTTGCTGTCTTCTTTTCTTCGGATTCATTCCCTTGCCGTCGGCTTTCCTTGTCCCCCAAACTCCTTTGTCCTCCAAAGTCATTCTTTTTCCGCGTCGCCAGCACGAGCCAAAGAGGTAGCCCCCAGCCAGCCTCAACCTATCCCCGCAACATCGCCCAACTCATGCCCTCACTCTAGTCTACCACCCGAAGACCTTTCTTCCTCGACCACGCGGCCAGTCAACCCCCAATGAGATAGCCATCGCCCCCGTCCCGAACCTCGAGAGCCATGGCTCCCAAGCGCAAGAGAAACGAACGCTTGTCGGTCGAAGGAGGAGGCAGATCTTCGCCGCATCGCCCTGGAGACATGCCACTCGGCCAGCACGATCGCGACGATAATTCCGGACGCGGTCGCGGTCGCAACCATCGCGGTATGGGCCGTCGCGACTCATCGCAAAACCTCGGCAGAAACCACCCGAACCATCAGCAGAACCAGCCAAACTCATCACCAGCTCAGCAACGATCCAGCTCCTCCTCTCGTCAACCTCCACCCCCACCTCCACCTCCACAGCCTATCAAGGCACCTACTCCTGCTCCACAACCATCGTATGCGAGGCCAGTCTCCCCGGTCCGGTCGAACTACCGCTATGATAACCTCACAGACGAGAAGATTAGCACTTGGGCCGAACGCAGCCGGGATGAGATTGTCCAACATGGCAAGCAGTCGCGAGAGGATGTTGACATCACAGAGCTCTCGAGTTTGTTCCAGGAGTTCATCCATGCTGTCGTCGAGGACCGACTCAATCCCGCCGATGCTGGTGCCTGCGTCAAGGAGATGATTGGTGACGAAACGTCAGAGATGATTAAGGATTCCTACGCGTTCGCCCCCCACACCCTCTTCCTCGACTCCCTTTCGGTTGTGATGGACAACGAGCCGGCCATCTATCGACCCTCACTACGCGAGTTCCTCATTGCTACTGGCGTATCCCCGGCCCTTATGCGACAGGTCCTCGACGCACAGGTCCTGCAGCAGCTGGGGCTCATCAGAGACAACTTTGCCAAGTTGGGCATTAAGCAGGCGACAAATCTCCTCTATCGACAAGCAAACTACAACCTGCTTCGCGAGGAAACCGAGGGCTACTCGAAACTCATCACCGAGCTGTTTACCACTAGTAGTGTTACGCCGCCTCCTCCTGAGTTAGCCGACCAGACATTTGAGCGTGTCAAAGCCCTAATCGGAACATTTGATTTGGATGTTGGCAGAGTGCTTGACGTCACCTTGGATGTTGCAGCTGCTGTCTTGATCAAGCAATTCAAGTTCTTTGTCAAGTTCCTCCGCGTCAGCTCCTGGTGGCCACGATCCCACCTCAAGTTTAGTCCCGCCGTTTTCACCGGTGGTCTTCCACTCTGGGCATTCCCTGAATATCCCCATTGGTCGACAACCGACGAGGATGAAGAGATCACCCTTGAGAAGAAGCGGGCGCGGGACACAGCATTTTGGGAACGAGCGCGGGAAATTCATCTGGGCGCATTCTTTGAACTGGGCGGCCGGCAAGTCGCTGATTCAGATTCCCGTCAGTTGACCATTACCAGCGGTGGTGATGGTGAGGATGTGATCGCTGAGTTTGAGCGCCACTGGGTGGAAGAGACCAAGACTCTACCGCCTCCTGGCAACCGGACCGCTGCGCAGCTTCTTGGCTTCAAGCTCCGGTTCTACAACTCCGACGCCCGAGGGGAGGCTGATGTTCTCCCCGCCAACCTGCTCTACCTTGCGGCTCTTCTCATCAAGATTGGTTTCATCTCCCTAACTGATCTGTACCCTCACTTGTCCCCAGCAGATGAGGATATGGAAGTAGTCCGCGAAAACGAAATGAAGAAAGTCGAAGAAAAAGAACGAGCATCCCGCGGTGGCACTATGAACGCCCTCCTCATGGCTGGCGTTCTTCCCCAGGGAGATGACGAAAACCCAATCTCAGGTCTCCCACGACGAGACCTCCCGAAGAAGGTCGAGCCCGAGCCAAAGGATACCGCAGCAGAGGCTGCAGACAATAAACCAAAGCTGCCGGAGCCCTTAGAACAGAAGGTATCTCTGCTCATTCAACTCTTAACAATTGGCGCCCTCCCAGAGTCCCTGTTCATTCTGGGCCGGTTCCCTTGGATCCCTGAAGCATTCCCCGAAGTCCTTGACCGTATCCATCGCATTCTTCACTGCTCAGTCAACAAGGTCTTTAACGATAGTCGACCGGTGCCCGTTGGCGATGCCGAATGCCCGACCAAATTAGTCCCCGACCTCGATCAAACCGGCCTCCCCAAGGGCACTGTCCGACTCAACAGACTGGCGATTCGGAAATCTCTTCGATGGCCCTTCCCCGACAAATCTGACACCAACGAGACTCAGCATTATCGCTATTACTGGGACGAGTGGGCGGACAATGTGCCAATCTGCCAGACAGTAGACGACATTTTCACCCTTTGCGGAACTCTTCTCAACATCTCCGGCCTCAATATCGGCAAGGATGAGATTCTCTTGACGAAACTAGCAAGAATCGGCGCGAAGAGTCTTGCCGAGGACAGATCTGAGGCCAATCTGACCCGTTGGCTCGATCTTCTCCGAAGATTGCTCCTCCCCGCTCTCAGTCATACCAAGGCTAATGCTTCAGTTGTGAACGCCATTTGGGATCTTCTCAAGCACTACCCCATTACCACCCGGTACTCAATGTATGCCGAATGGTTTGAGGGTCAGATTTCTCGAATGCCCTCCATGAAAGCAGCATTCGCACGAGCAACATCGGAAACTCGTGGTACCATGAAACGTGTGTCGCTGACGAACCTAAGCGAAATGGCCAAGCAACTTGCCAAAACTAGCTACTCGTCTCCCGGCATTGTGTTCAGGGTTGCTTTTGAGCAACTTGAGTCGTACCCCAATCTGATTGACGCATTCGTCGAGTGTGCGAAGTACTTTACTGATCTTTCGTACGATGTCCTTGTCTGGTCATTGATGAGCTCTCTTGGCAAGTCCAGGAGCCGCACCCAGGCCGACCATGCCCTCACCACCAGCAAGTGGCTTCAGGCTCTGTCAAGATTCTCTGGCAGGGTCTTCCGAAGATACACTATCCTAAATGCCACGCCCGTCCTTCAGTATGTCAACAATCAACTACAAAAGGGCAATTCTACCGACTTGATCATCCTAAAAGAGCTCATCGCCTCCATGGGGGGGATTGTGGACTCGGTGGATTTCACAGACTATCAAGTACTTTCAATGGCTGGAGGTCAATACCTGCGGCGTCACACACTGATCCGCGGGCAAGACAAACGCTACGAAAACATCAAGAGCTCGAAGCGACTTATTCAAGCCTTGACCGATTCGAAGCTTGCTTCCCAGTTTCTCATCAACTTAGCGCAGTACCGACAAGCGGCGCTGTTCCAGGTGCCCGAGGACGAAGCGCACATCAAGTATCTGTCGTCAATGATTGATGATTCTCACCAGATCTTAGTCAAGTATTTGGATCTTCTCTGGAGCAATCTTGACCCGGCTGCCTTCGATGAAATTGCACCGTCGATTCCTGAACTCATGAACTCGTACGGCTTAGACACGGACCTAGCCTTCCTTGTTGGAAGGTCCAGTCTTGCCCACCGCATGTTCCCTTGGAAGCCAAAAAAGTTGGAGGAAAAGGAGAAGGCTCAGTCTTCGCAAACCAACGCAGACAAGGATGGCGATGTTGCGATGGGTGATGCGAAAGCCACACCTGCAGGCGACACTCCCAACGTCGATGCGGCGGCGACCGACGAACAGGTGGGCGCTCAGAACTCACCAGCGCTCGACTCGACGACTAACCCCAAGCAATCACAGAAACCCGACGATTCTTCAATGATCAAGGCGGCGTTGCAACCCATTGTGGACTCAATCCAGGACTCCGTTCGACCGGAAGCCTGGCAAAAGATCACACCCGAGCTCTATGTCACTTTCTGGGCGCTTCAACTCGGAGATCTCTTTTGCCCCGACAAGATCTACAGACAAGAGAAAGAGAGGCTCAAAACCGAGGAGATTACTGTTTCTCGAGACCGAAGCGACATGTCACGGAGGGGACAAGAGCGCAAGATGGAGAAGAGAAAGGAGCTAATGCAACTCCAGATTGGCCTGTCTGAGGAGTGTGGCGAGCATTTGCTTCGCCAAGGCAAGTGGAAGTTCTTCCTGAGCAAGCAGTTTCAGTCGTCCTTCCCCGAGCCTAGGGCTAAGCCGGACGCCATTTCGGACATCTTGCTCGAACAGTGCTTTATCCCCCGAATGCTCTTGTCTACCGCCGATGCCGAGTATACCTACAGGTTTATCAAGGCACTCCATGAGTGGAACGCACCCGGTTTTACGCTTATGTCGCTCTACGACCGGCTGTTCAACGCTAACAGACTGCGGTCTCTAATCTTCACCGCGACCGTCATGGAGGCTGAATACCTGGGTCGTTTCTTGAAACTCATCTTGGAGGACTTATCGAGATGGCACAAGAACGCCCCTGTCCCGAACGAAAAGGACACCAAGGCGTCTAGAGATCAACCTCGTCTTGGGGCATTCGAGAAGGAGGGCAAGGGCCCAAGCGAGCAACCTCGTCTTGGGTTCGCGCTGACATTTGACGACAATGGAAAGCCGCTCACGTTCGTGGAGCATGCCCAATTCAAGGATTTGCTGTTCCGCTGGCACAAAAACCTGAACATGGCTCTTCGATCTTGTCTTGAGGGTTCGGAGTGGATGCACATCAGGAATGCCATCAGTGTGCTGAAGTCCGTGCTCGACTTCTTCCCCGCCATCGACTTCATGGCCACCAAGTTTTCGTCACTGCTTCAGACTATCACCAAGCAAGAGTCAACCGCCAAACCATCGGCTGATAGTGAAATCGGTGGACGTGTGGACTTGTCCGTTGCTGCGCAGGGCGCAATGTCCGAGCTTCAGAGGAGGAAGTCCAAATGGGTTATGGTCCAAGCCTTCCGCCCAGGAAGTGTAAGTCGTCCACTTGATGCAAAGTTGAGCATTTCTGACATATACAAGGTCGGCGCTTCCCAGAGTGACGACAAGTCAACCAACCTTCGTGCTACGGCGCCAGAGTTTAAGCCTTCTACAACGAGGTGAGTACCAGAATTTACAACCTCAACTACGAGTTGTACTAATCAGCCCTTAGGACGCCGGGAGGGAAGCAAGCGACGAACGAGGAGGAGGATGGAGAGGTCAAGGACGGCAAGGATGGCAGGTCTCCGGGACCTGAAGCCATGTCGAAGGCCAATTCAGCCGCCCTGAAGGACAATCTCCCAGCCAAGCCAACTGGCTTATCCAGAGACACGTCAAAAAGAGACCCCCCTGCGTCTGGCCCTGGCCGCAACTCGACACCTGGCCCTGGTCCGGGTTCTGGGTTTAATGGCCCTAAGGGCGACTCCCGACCGAATACTCTCCCAGATCGTCCGCCTCACACCCTCCCAAACCGACCCAACGTTCCCATCCCAACCCATGGCACCCCTGAGCGATTCAGCCAGCCGAGAGGGCATGAGCGTCGCGACGGTAAGGATCCGCGCGAATCTCGCTCTCGAGATTCCAGGGAAACTCGAGAGCCACGCGAAGGCCGTGACCCACGTGAGCCTCGAGATGCTCGTGACAACAGGGAAACCCGAGAGCCGCGTGATCCTCGAGACCCTCGCCAATTTGATCCTGCGCGACCGGATCGACCTCGCGACTTCCCCGACCGGCGAAATCCTGATCAAGTCCGCGACCCAGCAGCGAGGCCAGATATGCCTCCTCGCCGCAACGAGCATGAACGGGACCGACCGCGCGACAGGGGTGGACGAAATCATGAACCGTCCCACGGGCGACTTAACGAATCCCCCGCTCCTCCCACGGCGCAGACCGTAAGCGCTGATGCTGTGGAGCCGATTATGAATCCGGAAAGAGCAGCTCTTTTTGCTCAGGAGGGTCCAGATCGCCCGCGTGCGCCTGACTCTGACCGACCGAATCGTGGTCGACGGCCGACCTCGGCTAATGATGCAATTGAGGGCGTCAACCCGGAGAGAGCGGCCTTGATCGAAGAAAAGGACAATACACCATCGCGGGCCCCTAGAGAGGAGCGTGAACGTAATGCTCGTGGTCAGTCCCCACGACGCGGTGGTCGATATGGCCAGGAAAACGGCCCAGCTGGTGGTGGTCGTGAGACTCGACATGATCGACCTTATGCTCCAGAGCATCGACAAGCTGGGAGAGATCCACGAGAACGATCACCGATGTCAGGGAATTTCAGGGGAGAAAGGCCAATGGACAGAGAAGGGGAGAGGGGTCCTCCACCTAAGAGCCGCGACGCATCAGGGTTTCACGGGCCATCTCGGGGTCCGGATCCCGACTACAAGGCGCCCCATCACGACCACTCATATGGACGATTGAACACCATTCAGAATGTGGCCGACATCCCATTTGGTCCAAGGGGCCGGGGCCGCGGGGCCTCGAGAGGCGGGCACGGAGGCCCTCAAAATCTACCCGGCCGGATGGACAACCGCTTTCCGGCCCCAGAGGCTGAGCGACCTCCAACTCCGGAGCGGCCTCCGCCAACGGGACCATCGCAGGGCAGAGGACGACGCGGTGGCTACGAATCAAACACTGGACCTGTTACTCCTTCAGCAACGCCCGGTGGTCCCTCCCATTCAGACAGGCCCAGGAACTCTGGTCCCGGACCCTCGGCTCCCCCGGCTCCCTCGCCAGCCCCGACAACTGCAACACCGTTAGATGTTCATCCTTCACGCCTCGCACAGATTGGTGGCTCAATCCCACCACCGCCACCTCCAGGCCCACCGCCGCATGCACATGGCCGCCAGCCAATGCAGGGAACGAACACCCCCGACCGAGGTTCCGGACCTGGACCGAGACAGACCCCCGGCAGCTACTCCGGATCGCCAGTCGGCGATAACGGTGTGCCTACTGGGCCGTCGTCGAACAACGAGCGATCTCGAACCGGTAACAACGGCAGAAGGCAGATCGCGGGAATCAACAGTACGCTACAGCAGTCACAGGGGAACAAGCCCGAATTGAGCCGAAGCAACAGCATGCGAAGGAACCAGCCAAGGCAGACGCTTGGCAATTCGGACGCCCAGGTCCTTACTGGTGGCTCCCCCGTCGCAACGCCCACACAAGAACGCCCAGATCCAGCACGGCACGATTCTTCCAACCGAGGACCTCCAAATGGAGAGGAGGCGTCCGGCCGAAGTGACCACGAACGTAGCCGTCGGGAGAGTCGGTCCAATCGACCATCAAGACGTGGCAGTCGTGAACGGGATCGCGAACGAAGCCCCGGCCGAGAACGCGAGGGCAAGGAGCATCGTGAATATCGTGACCGAAGGTCAGGAGCTGCTGAGGGTGGACGGGCCGAAGGTGGGCGAACCGAAGGTGTACGCGCTGAGGGCGGAAGAGAGGAACGGGAGTCGCGCAGGTCAAACAGAGATCAAGCGGCCCCTCCGCGCGAACCCATGGGCCCCCCGTCCGGCAGTGGGAGAGACGCGGGTTCCGGTAGAGAGACCCGACACCGAAACGAAGGACAAGGACCTCGAGGAGGGGAAGACTGGGGAAACAACAGGGGAGGACGGGGGGGGCCACGAGAGGGAGGGCCACGACAAGAGGAACGACGGGAGGGAAGAGAGGACCGTGGCAGGAAGCGGAGAAGCGAGGAAGGAGCCGGCGCTTTATCGAGCGAACGCGAGAAGAGACCGAGACGATAGAGCTGGACAGGGATTTCTTTTTTTCATGTTTGAGTACGAAAGGAACCTCGACGAGGAGAAGAGGCGGCACCAAAAGGCCGACCTAGGAAGAAACTCATAGGAGGACGACGGCCGCCGATCCAGGGAGAGAGCGAGAGAGTGACGGGGAAAGAAAAGGGTGACGAAGACGGCATCCGTGGACGATACGCGACACGGACGCATTCATCATCTCGGCGTTTTCTGGACCGAATTTCTTTGTTTCCACTACAACCGTTGCTTCATTCGAGTGCATTTACTGCCTGCCTACCTACCTACCTTATTTTGCGCACACCACCATTCACTACTACTTCTATTACTACTTGTCTGTCATATGGGAAAGGGGACTGCGATCTGTTCTGGCGGTCACCTATCATCAGAGGGCCAACGAAGAGCCAAACAACCAAAATACAACACTGTTTTTATCCGGAAAAAGATGCTTCTTTGCTCAAATCATACTGCACAAAAGCCTGGTGGTGGTGGTGGTGGAGATGGGCATGAAACAAGGGATGAATGAGTTGGAGAATCGGGCGTTTTCGATCTAAGATGTTTGATGTACGACGTTTGATGCAAGACGTTGGATGTAAGATAATGACAATATGATAAGGGTGAGGTGGAAGATGATGACTGAAGGATTGGCTGATGCAAGGGCTGAGGTAGTATAACAAGGTCAGCAGGGGTGGCGGTGATGGAGATGAAGGGATCGAGGGACTCAACTCAGGGACTCAGTCGGAGGCCTGTGAGATATTCTTGGCGCTGGGCTTGGCCATTTGCTGGGGCTGATGGCTCAAGCGTCGTTCAAGGTGCCGTACGATTGGCTGCAGACGGGGCTCTCCGGAAAACCGGCACGGAGAGGTCGGTGGATCGGCGCTACAGACCTCCGAGGCCGCGGTGGGATTGCATCATACTTGCCGGAAGAGGCAATTAGTGGAGGCGGAGGCTCGCACTTGGAACAGCATTCCCCAGCGGCCGCGTCTTCTTCAGCGGCGTTTCGGGAGTCTTCAGCCCTGTGCAGCGCTGAAGAGCCCTGAAGAGCCCTGTAGGAGCGAAGAAACGCCCTGCAGGAACCAGCAAAAGGTCCATAAAGTGGCCACACACGGCACTGAAGCAACGAGCACAGCCCGGTTCGGCGGTTCCAGCGTGGTTTGGATCCCTCTGTTTCAGTGGACCGGGACTTGAGGCTGCTGGGCCAATGGGTGGTTCACCATCGTGAGCCGCAGCCCCCCAAAGCCACGAGGGTTGGCACCTTTGGCGTGCCACCTGTGCGTCTCGATCTTTGCTAATTTGGGTCCGTATTTCGAGGTTTGCAGGGGTGGCTCGTCATATGTCTTGCGTTTGTGTCGAGTGCGTGTGTCGTTTTTCTGCTGAATACGACGCGTGGTTGATATATCATTCTACCCGCCCTGTCGCTGGCCGCCTCTACCCCTTGAGGCATTCAACACTCCCTCGTCTCCTCCACACGCCCAAACTCGCCGAGGGGGAAGCGACTCCCATGCGGACGAGAGACTATAGCACCTTACTTCGAATCACCACGGCTTGAGCGGGTTGATCGACCCCCAAAACCGCCATCATGAGTCCACAGTGCAACGCGACGCTGGAGGACATGAGTACGTCTGCTCGCATTGCTCTCCACCGGGACACGAGAAGCTGACCCGCGATCCCCTCGCTCGTTCAATAGGCTCTCCGAAAGACCAGAAACCCATCGTCGGCAGCTTCACCTTCCCCGAACTCGCCCATATCGTCGGCTCCGCCTCGACCGCCGTCGCCGTCCTCGTCAGCATCTACCTCATCTGGCGGCACGCCCTCAACTACACCAAGCCGCGCGAGCAGCGACACATCATCCGCATCCTCTTTATGGTCCCCGTGTACAGCGTCTCGTCGCTGCTCCAGCTCTTCTTCTACGAACACGCCGTCTACCTCGAGGTCATCTCGCAGTGCTACGAGGCCTTCGCGCTGGCCGCCTTCTTCGCCCTCGTCTGCCACTACGTCGCCCCGGACATCCACTCGCAAAAGGAGTTCTTCCGCGCCATGACGCCCGTCAAGCCCTGGACCTGGCCCATCAAGGGCTTCGCGCGCTGCTGCGGCGGCCAGCGCGGGCCCTGGCGCACGCCGCAGAGCGGCCTGACGTGGTTCAACGTCTGCTGGATTTCCATCTACCAATACTGCTTCACACGCATCGCTGCGGGCGCCATCGCCGTGGCTACCGAGGCCGCCGGCGTCTACTGCGAGAGCTCCAACAACCCGGCCTTTGCCCACATCTGGGTCAGCGCCATCAACATGGTGGCCGTCACCATTGCCATGATGTGCATCATCCAGGTCTACGTCCAGCTGAAGGACGCCCTGGCTGAGCACAAGCTCTTCAGCAAGATCCTGGCCATCAAGCTGGTCGTCTTCCTCGTGCTGTGGCAGACGGTGCTGCTCTCCATCGGCACGTCGACCGTCTCCGCCATGAAGCCCAGCTCGAAGCTGTCCCAAGGCGACCTCAAGGTCGGCATCTCCAGCCTGCTCGTCTGCGTCGAGATGTCCCTCTTCGCCCTCTTCCACCTCTGGGCCTTTCCCTTCCGGCCCTACGTCCCCGGCGCGCCCCCTTCGTTCTACCCCTCGCCGGATCTCACGCGCGGCGGCCCCTCCGTCGAGAACAAGCACCAGTCCCCGAGCGGCGGCCCGCTGGGCATCGGCGCCCTGATGGACGCCATGAACCCGTGGGACCTGGTCAAGGCCGTGGGCCGCGGCGTGCGCTGGCTGTTCGTCGGCGTCAAGCACCGCAAGCAGGACATCAGCTACGGCCCGTCGATGCCGCTCCACTCCCGGCCCGGAAGTCCCAACTACGGCCGGCGCACTTCTCAAGACTCCGATGCGCCCCTGAAGCCGCCGGGCTTGGGCAACAGCGACGACCCCATCCCTCCGCCCGAGTACACCCAGGGCAACTTCCCCGTCCCCGGAAACGAACGCTACGAGCCCATGCGTACCCCCAACGACCCAACATTCCCCCCTCATATGCCACCCCCCGAACCATACGACGGCGGACGTGCGCATATATCATCCTTGCCGCCCCAATCCTATGGCCCGGAGAGTCAGAGAATGGACTATCGGAGAGGATGAGATGTTGGCATCGGTGCATACTACGGAACTGGTGTAATCAAGGATTTTGTGACATTTGGCCTAAAAAGGGGGAGTTTGTGACATTAGGGTGAGATATGGGTACCATATTTTATGGTTAGATACAACGTTAAAAACGTTGTTATGAAGATATGAACTTTACCATCCGTCGAGTCCAAAACATTATTTGCACTTGTATCCACGCCACGTAACAAGCCATCCTCACATTCACCCATTGCCTCTCCGATGCGTGCAACTAACCGTATTCTCGAGATGGCTGGCTTGCCAAGCATCTGCTGAGCAGTTAGCCGTCATATTAGACAACTACTCAGGGCACTAGATTAAATGAACATCTTAGGTTCTCATATATCCTGATCACAATAATCTATAATCCATTCGCATCACTCTTCCTTCAAAACAATTCATATACACGAGACAATCCCTCGTTACGTCAAGGAAAGCAATGGCACTCATCTGGACCAGATTAAATCAAACAGCTTGAATTGTTGCTATGAATACGAAGGTATCGCTCTCCAGATATCCTGGACCACTCTTGAAAAAGTATGCTTTTAGTCGCTAAAGTTTCGCACCGTTTCTCTATATACATAAACCAATCCATCCTCCGTAAGACAACGACGGCCCATTAGATCCATACCATGAGGCATCCTTGACGCTCGTACAGCCAAGCTGTAATTGGCGAGTGTTCTCCGCTGAAGGTTCCTGACCGTTGGCCAGTCAAGCCACCGTGTCGTAATGCCTGAAAATGTAGCCACGAAGTGAACATAGAAGCAGTCGGCAACTGCTCTTCATAACGATGCCGATAGTGCTATCGAAGCAGCACCTACTTTGGTGCTTGTGTATGTATGTGGGGCAAGACCTCGTCCTCCAATTGCTGGGAGACCACAGTGTTTGTTCCATCATGTAATGCCCCCCCTAAAAAATGCCAACGCCTTCCTGGTATCTCGAAATGCAAAACCCATGGGTGGTGGAAAAGGTGTAAGCCGGAGAGGCGAAATTCGTGTGCGTCGTGAGGTTCAGCAATCTGATGCTCACCCCGGTGGAAGTGTGTTTTGTCCATGCGTTGAGGTCCTCATTCTCAAGCAGGATCGGGGTTCGTTGCCCGCAGCACTTTGGGTGCCTGGATCCTCCGCGAGTAATCATGCTCATCACCCAGAGTATTGACACTCTCGTGACTGCCGCCTCGGACGTACAATCCTTGCTTGAACGGGTCCATGCGCGGGTCAACCTGCAATGTGCTATTCCGCTTGCTGGCGGCGTTGGGTGACACTGGGGAAGCTCCGGCCACGCTCATATCGGGTTGGTTGCCGGACGAGCTGTCTCGTATACTAGGGTCGTCCTCAAAGCCCTCGCGCCGTTGGCGTTGCTTGCGTCGTCGGAACCAGAAGAAAAGGGCGAGGCCAGCGGCGACGATTACGGCTCCTATGACGCCAACCACGATACCAACAACTTCTCCTGTCTTCAGGCCGCTATTCTTAGCTTTGAGTCCGGAGGTGTCGCTGTCGCTTGACGTGGACCCCGTGTGGCTGGGGCCAATCGTCACAGTCTTGATGGTTCCGCCGTCTGTAACTGTCTGTACTTCGGACGTGGACTCAGTGGAAGCCGAGGTTTTCGAAGAGGTATCGTCAGACTAGACATCTGTCAGCATGCTCCCAGAAGTGCAGTGAAACATCACTCAGTCGTCCGAATCCTGAAGGCCAGGCGTTAAGAAAAAGGCATACAGAAGTTGATGTTGATGTTGATGTTTCCGAAGTGGTAGTCGAGGTTTCGACCACAGTCACTGTATTCTGTACCGTTTCAGTCACCTTGGAGATCGCCGCGGTCGTTGGTGCCTGAAACCCGCCTGTTAAGCCTCGATTTCTTACCGATCGGGTTCAGAGCAATTGATGATGGCAGAGGAGGGTGATATAATAGCATTTGGGTGGCAGATGGAATGATTTGGCGGACACTCGTCCAGTCACGATGCGGACGCGGTTCACACTATGAATCATGCAACAAGAATGGAAAGAAAACTTACTTCTGAAGTGGCTGAGGACGAAGCAGCCTGTGTGCCTGATGGCAAGACACCGCCCAACGAGAGATATCCAAACAGGCCATCGCCACCACAATCCTCGATGGGATATGCAGGGCAAGGGGTATTGCATTTTGAAACATCCTCCTGGGTCGACTTGGCAGGGGCGAAGTTGGAGCACCAGCAAGAGTTGGACTGGGTGATGGCGTAGGCGTAATCGTTAACGCAGAAATTATAGCAAAGACCGTTTGTTTGGTAAATGCTGGTGTCTGTAGTGATTTTCTTGTTAGAGGCAAGTGATTGATGATCAACAAGTTCGTTACATACTTCGGTCCGTTGAGCCGGTGTTTAATGAGGCGCAGATATCAACATCGATGGCTGTGGTGACAGGTGACCACGAGGCGACCAGCAGGAACAGAACGCCCAGCGTTTGGGCGCTCTGATGAAGGGGAATCATGTTGATGATCTGGTCGTGTCCAAAAGTTCTATTCGAGGTAGTAGTGGTCAGCGACTGCGATGCCAGGGGCACAGTGATCGGTCAAAAGGGTATAATGGGACAACTAACCGATACCAATGGAGTCGAAAGCGGCAGGCAGGTGTAGTCCAGGACGAGTTGAAGCGTGGCGAATCACGACATACCACGATTAATGGGACTTCTCAGATGGCCAAATCCATATCAGGTGGGTGATCGGTCGGTGGTGTAACTGATTCCGCAACTGCCGGGGGGAGCAGTCTCGAGCAAGGCAAGCGCAGTGTGTTGTGTTGGCTGTCGGGAAGGACAAGGTGAATCGGGGGTGGTGATACTGTTGAACGAACAGCAGGGAGTCGTCGGTGGGAGAACGGCAGGTCGCAGTCGCGATTTGGAGTTCGATGGTCGGGGGGGGAATCGGCAAACGACAGTCGAGGTGATCGGTAGTGGTGGTTTGACGATGAATGATCCAAGGAAGCAAGCAAGTGTTGAGCAGTCCAATCCAAAGAAAAGAAATCCAATTCAATCCAACAGAGCACAAAGAGCGAGAGGCGGGTGAGGCGAGAATCCAAGCGTCGCTCCCAACGATTGATTATCAGACAGCCAGAAACCAAAAATCCGAAGGCGGCGACAAAACGAAGGGTGGGATGATGACAAAGAGAGAATGTGTTTCGGCTGGCGGATGGAAGCACAGAAGCGGGCGAGGTTGTGAAGAAATGGAAATGGGACGTGGTGCGGCGAGAGGTGAGAGCGAGGTGACAGCGGCGGACTGGAATGTGTGTGTGCGGCTGGACAGCTGGGAGAGAAGGGAAAGAAGGATGTCTGGAGTATGAATACCTAGTACTTCGTACTGGGCACTTGGCACTTGGCAGTCGCAGCGGAAATGGAGAGGAGGAAGGTAGGGGGGCGGCAGTAGCGGAGGCAGCAACGACCAGGGTGTGAGGCTAAAGGCTAGCTCGCACCTGCTTGTGGGCCGTGGGCGGCAGGAAGGAGGTCCCTCTCGCCAGTCTGGCTCTGGACTGGACGGATGAGGAGGGTACAGATTACGAACGGAGCATTCGGACGGCCAACCTGGGCCGACCACAAAAAGATGCCAAGCACCAAGAAGCTATTCAGTACCCTCGCAACCTCGCGAACCCACAAACGACAGATAGGGCCTGGGTCTTGTGAACTCTATTCGCACCTGGTCTTGCGGTCAAGTGCCTTCTTTACCCGCGAGAGATTCCTGGCCTCGATTACTGATTGACTTTCGGGTGGTCTGAACCCGCTGGAGCGCAATATGGACCACTGGGCGACGAGGCGACGGGGCGACGCCGCGAGCAGGGGGGGCGTGCTACTAATCCCACGCAGCTGCAGCGGGTGGGCGGGCTGAGCGTGAAAGCGAGGGCCGGCCTGGTGCTAACCAGACGAGGAGGGATTGACAAGGTCGCGTACGCACCTTCGGCCGCAGCGGTACGGCATCTTGTCTGATCCGAACAGCCAAGCAAGGATCGACCAAGAGCGTGCCTCGGAGACCAGAGCGCACAAAGATAGACCACGCACGTATTCACACACGGCACACACGATGCGAAAAGCGGAGTCGGATCGAGACAACACGCCGATGTTGACAGAGGGAATCGCGGAGGCCAGACGATCACGCCCAAAGGCTCGTAAACGCGTTTGCGGAACCCATCCAGCCCGAGGCTAAGAGGTGGCGCCTCCCTCACCTCGCGTCCGACGGTTGGCACTGGCGCAGGCGTTGGGCCGTTCGTAGCTGTTGGTGATGGCGGTCGCTGTGGTGGTAAACAGCTGGTTGGCGGTGGTGATTCATTCATGCCACGCCTAATTTGCTGGGCGACTACAAGCGGTTCGAGGCCCAAGCCTCCATCCCAAGGTGGTGCTCAAGGGGTCATTGAACAATGAATCAAGGTATGCTCCGCGGATGACTGAGCCAGCTCTAATACATGCAATCATGGCGAACAATAAGACGCGATGACTAAAGGCCAAACTTTGCTCCAGCTCGAGCTGCGCGGCCTACCATCAATGTGTACTTGGTGCCAAACGAAGCCAAGAAGCGCCACGGACAGCTTACCCAGCCTGTCTGGCTTATCCACGTTGCCTTACTTAGACGGGACGAAACAAGATGGAAAAGGGACCAAGACGCTAACTAACACCTTGGGTCGCGAGTTCTGGCAGTGGACAACCAGAGAGTCACTATTCCCTGCTGCTGGCGCGCCATTGTCCCCTCTCCTCCGCAGCATCCAGCCCTCCAAAGCGCAAACAAGACGAAGAGGCAAGCATCAGGCTTTCTATTTAGCCCCGGCGCCTGCAGCGACATGCAGCGATGTGCAGCGCAGTTGCAATGCAGAAAGCGGCGCGCTTGGGGGAGCTGACAAGCTCTGCTGCGCTGTCTGGGTGCCGTGGAAGCGAGGATACAGTGGAGAGGCGTCTCTCCCCCTGGTGCCTATGTCGTCACCAGCGGCCAGGTCAGTATAAGCTGGTTGTACTAGGGACCAGGGTAGGGGTGTCTCTGTTGGGGCGACTTCCAGTGGAGTGGCTAGGTGATGATCCAGCGTGATGGCGATCTCGGGACAAGCGAGCGCGTCTCACTGGAGGAGGCCCATCGCTGGCCGACAATCGCAATTCAACAGCACCACTGATCGATGGCAAATGGCGACATTCATGGCTCATGCTTCACATATATCCCTCTGGAAGCTTGCTAGCAGAATTTTCCCAGTTTCTGAAACAGGGAATAAATAACTTGGGGCACACATGAGCTGCAACGTCAGCCCAGCATGTGGAGAGACTGGATGAAGCGTCTTCCCGCAGAATGGCGCGAATGGGGAGGATGAGCATATTGGCAAACCCGCCGACTCCGGATATAACAAGATTCCGGTTCGAAATTGGGTGTCATGATCATCCCGATCCCCACGGTGCCCACATTCGGGGCATCTCGTCAATTTCTCAAACTCGCGGCTCTGGAATGGAGCAATTACAGCGACCAACCTAACCATCCAGAGCGTCGCCCAAAGCAACTGCTTACATTCGTGCTTCTCCATCAACCCGGGCCGCAGCCAGCTAACTTCTTCGGTCATGACATGTTTACCATGCGCTGCCTGCGATGTGACACCCAGAGATAACGACTCACTCTGCTAAAACATCCCAGCCCGGAGGCGACATAGCACAGCGCCCCCTTAGTCAAATCCAGTAACCCCAAATACGACGGCGGAGTGACAGAGCAACTCGTCGAAAACATTCAACACCAGTCCTCAACTGCACTGGCGGCCCGCTACGGCACTGGCCCTCGTCCTTCCGGATAGCTCCACTGGTTTCCACTCACACGCGTTTACTAGGGGGCCCTGGGTCATCAAATCGTGAGGCTGGCAAGGACACATGAGATGGCCGATGGGGCATGGGGCCATTTTCCAGCAGACGCCCCCCAAAGACGCGCAACAAGAAGAAAAAAATAGAGCTGTCAGACCGGCGAAGTCGTTCGCTCCGCGTCACCGGATTCGGCGGCGAGTGGAAGCAATTACACAAATGGCTAGTTCAAGCCCCGGTGCCCACGCTGTTGAGTGATGGGACAGAATCGGGATGGGGGGTTGCGAAAATGGGATGTATCATGACTCTCGTGGCCCAAGCGGTAATCTCGTTCTCCAGCGCTGCTGACAGAAAGTCAAATCTGTCTTGTGCCCGCTGGGCCTGGGCCTGTAATGTGCGATGTGGTGCTGTGTGTGAGAGTGCCAGTGTTTGATCGACATGAATTTCTCTAGGAATACGGGATACAGGGAGGTGCTGTTAACAGATGGGCGGGGAGAGCCCGTCCTTCGCCATTGAACCAAAACCGACAAGAAAACTCTCAATCCCTGTCCGAAGGCTTCTTTCCTTCTTTCTTTCTTTCGCGGTGTTTTTATTTTCCTTCTTATTAGTTTAGCTTATTAGACGGGGAGCCCGAGAAGCGGACACGGTCAAGGGAGCCAGGAGCGAAGAGACTGACATGGGGATGGGGCTCCGGGGCGGGATATGGATCTCGGGGATGATGGGTGTTGAGTGAATGGCTGGCTGTTGGCGATGCTGTGGATAACTGATTTGCATCCTTACGGGGTTGAATTTCTGATCGGGATGCCAACCAGACAACGAACAAGACCGATAACCAGACAACCGGGCAGACAACCAGACAACCGGATAACCAGACAACAGGCCCAAACCAGACCCTTGCCTGGTCTCGCCTGCGCGCGATGTGGCGGCCGATATTACGATCCTTGGCCAGATCAGCAACTGAGGAGCAAAATTCTACATGGCATTTCTTACTTCCATGGCAGATGCTGATTCTCCGACTACTCGTCCCATCCCGCGATCCGTCTCAATCTCCTGGAATATATCGTGGTCCTCAACCCGTCGCCTCCGATACCCGCTGTCAAGCGTCAGATCATGCCCCCTTGACAATCTCGACTCACCCCTGGCCGGCCCGCCTCCGACGTCACTTGCTCTCCTCGTGTCCCCAGAACCTCGACCGAGCTGTCTTCGTGCGGGGACGGCGAAGGATTGCTCGGTGTGTCTTTTCGTTGTCTGGGGGGATATGGAGGTGTCACTATGTGTCGTGTGACTCCGTGTGTGTTCGTCTAGCATCTCTAATCAGCGATAACCCTTCCCCATCTTCGCGCCCCCGGTCCGTGTTTTTTTTTTCGTTCTCTTTCTGTTATCACTCGGCCACGGCGCTTCAAGCGGACAAAGGCTGAGCGAGGAATGATCGTCGCTGGGCCCTGTATCTCGAAACTCAGGCGCGGCATTCTACGGGCGCTAAAGAGGCGGCTCTATGCCCTTTGCAGAGTCGGGGCATCGGGCGAAGTGCCTCTGACGGGAATCTCCATTGATGTGGCATGATGGTGATGTTGGACGCATGTGAAGTCTGGGCGTGAGGGGTTGGGAAAAGTCGCCGAGACCAGGAATGGAATTGGAATCATGTTGGGTTTATCTCGACTTTGGCTTCTTTTCCAGGGCTCTTCAACTCTCAAAGCAAGGATCACAATCCAGATTCCCATCGTCATTGCTACCTCACTTATCCTGCCCAGTCATCAGCGGTATAAGCCAGCAAAAGCCAGTTTGGAGTCCGAGTTCCCGCGCCTTATTCACCGTCTGCTATCACTCATCACCGTTGCGATGCAACGCACCCACACCCACTCCTCAACCCCTCACCACCAACCACCAACCACCAGCATCTCGATACTGAAGTCCCCCAAAGTGACGAACTGGCCGGACCGTTCCCACCCTCCTCCACTGATTGGCTTTGCCCCATTGCCCAATCCGCTCGCCGCCTCTCACTCCCACTCCAACCTCTCCCCTCCAGATCCGCCACGCGATTCTCACATCGTATTGCCATGCATGTCTTAGCGGCGACCCTAGGACGGACATGCTAATAATACCAGGCTTTTTTTTTCTACGGCTGCATGGGGCGGTATCGCATCACTCGCATGGTAAGTGGCATGGCGTATCGGCAAAACGACAACGGCACACATGCACAAACAGAAAAGACCTCATTGCGTGAGCCATGGAATCCGACTTGTCTCATTCTGAGACGAGGGTACCCTCGCTCATCACCAGTAGCCAAACCAACCGCATGTCTCTCTTCTTTTCGCCTGGTCTGATACCAGAGACTGTCACGCAGCGGGTCTAGACGCTGCGTGGGGGGAAGAGGCGGATCCAGATCCTAGGGAAAAGCAGAAGCAGGGAGCCGTCAATGCGGACGATGCACGTCGATGGAGTTGATGGAGTCGAAAAGTACCCTGCTTAGTCGCTCTATCTCGAGCATACCCCGACTACGGACTCCCTTTCTTGGTTGTACTACGTCTCAAGCAAGAAGGCGATGAATGAACGGTCAACAAGGTTGTTGCCGGTCATGTACGGAGTACTATGTAAGAGATCGGACGTGTGGCATTATCTGGCTGCCAAGCTGTCAGTCCGGCCGCAGCCATCGCTTGGCAAAGGTGCAAACCCGGTTGCATCATCGCCGACAAACACCACCATGATGAACCATTTAAACCGCAACGAGCACGACCAACCGCCTTAGTTTGCAGATTGGCGGGCCCGTCGTCCCATCACGCGCGCCGCACCACGCCGGGGGACACCCTTCCCAAGTACCTCGAAGCCGTGCAGTACATCTAGATCCAGCGTCGCTCGTAAGGAGCGGCGGAAGAGGCTGTGGTCGAGATGGTGGCTTCGCTCCCGTATTGGCGGATTTGTTCGTCTGCAACTCTGGCTGGGTTGCATGGCACGAACTCCGGCGTACCCTATTTGAGGCTGCAATACGAAGCACAACATGTCTGCTGACTAAATCATCCTGCACACGCCTCTGGTGCCTCTGGTGCCTCTGGTGACCCTTGCGCCGTGGAGTCGTGATGCTCTCCAATGCTCCCAATGTAGCTTTATTTTCGGCTCTCGCTCTCGCACTGGATCGCCAGCGCCCCTCCTTGAGTTTCCTCCGTGATGGTTAGCGGTGCCGCCAAGTCCGTGTTAGAGAGAACTGAGTTGTTGGGTGTGCATGATAGTTACACACATGTCCGCGGACGGCAAGGCGAGGTAAGGGGTCCACCTCCTGCAAACCACCCAGCCACCCAGCTGCAGTCTCGAGACGCCCGCGTGGTTCGACGTCTGAGACCCGCCGTGCAAGCTGACGAGAACGGATAGATGTTGATCACAGGACAAAGAGATGCGCCTTTGGCGGTTTGCGACGTGAATCCCGAGCAGGACTGATGGCCGGCGCCGTTGCCCTTTTTCGGTCCGCAAAACACCAGCCCGCATCCGCGCCGGCAGCCGACGCCTCCATCCGGCCCGTTTCGAGAGGGAGGAAACTCTGTATCGCAAAAGGATGTCGTTTCGGCGTCATACACAAAAGTTAGCCATGCCGCTATACAGACCCCGCCTGGTCCCGTTAAGGCCTCGATGCCAGTTGGTTTAAAGTCAAAATAGCAGTTTTTTTAGGTTGGACATGCAGAGATCAAGCTGGAGGTCCCCAGCCACAGCGGGATCCTTCAAACTGCTGCAACTGATTGATGGAGTTGGGTTGCACAAGGACGGGGCGGAGAGTGCCGAGGTACCCCGGCGTGCAACCATGATTAGCTAAGCATGGGAGATAGCCTGGGAGATAGACAGGGGGGAGCCAGATCCAACCCAGGTGTTGGACAAACACGCGGACAGCGCGATAGAGGCTCTCTCTAGTCATGAAGCCATCACCAGACCCTTCACAACGGCTCGTCGTCATCTAAAAACTCCTCCAACACCAAGACAATACCGTCAATACGGCCTAGACGCCGGCTCGTATATGGCCCTTGTGACCGGCCCCACCAAGCTACAATGACGTCTTACCAAATGACCAGCGCGCTGACCACTCGCAGGCCGAGTTCGAGGCAGGTGCGCGCACCCCGGGCGGCCCAAGCTCTGGCCGTGCCGAAGCCGCGACGAACTCCATCTCGAACGTCCCCTTTCTCCATCGACAACCTCCGGACGCCAGCCCACCGCCAAACAACACCCTCGAGGCTCGTTTAGCAGTGTCTCTGCGCCCGGAATCGCCTCTCGCAAATGTAACCGGCCCTCCGTGACCTCTTCGGCCCCACCTCGGCCCCGTACCCGGGCCAACAGTCCCTCCCGCCGTCTCCGGCCCCCAAGGCCATCATGCCGTCCATCGCCAGCTGCTCCGGCGTCTACGGCTTGCCGCGCCGTCTCCCGGTCTTCGCGTCCGGCGCCGTCGTCTTCATCATGGTCCTCTTCTACCTCCTCCTCTCCACGGCGCCCTGCATGGTCTGGGGTGTCTGCTACCACGGTTACCAGAGCGCCTACAGCTTCGATGCCGACCTCGCCCACCACCCGGCCTGGATGGGCGACCTCCCCGACGACGTGCCCATCTCCAGCCTCAGCATCCCCGGCACCCACGACACCATGACCTACGACATTGGCGACGAGGGCCTGCAGTGCCAGAACTGGAACCTCAGCGTGCAGCTCGACGCTGGCCTACGGTACTTTGATATCCGCGCCCGGCTGCGCGACGACGAGCTGCATATATACCACGGCAACGGCTACACTGGCTTCAGCTTCACCGACGTCCTCATTTACATGTTTGAGTTTCTCGACGCGAACCCATCTGAGGCCATCGTCATGCGCCTCAAGCAGGAGGGAAACCCCATTGGCAAGGCCAACACCATCTCGTTCGAGGACGCCTTCAACCGCTACCGTAAGGACAATCCAGTCACTACAGCCGGCGCCTCGGACCATCTCTACCTCTACAATCGCACCACGCCGCTCCCCACCCTCGGCGAGCTGCGCTCCAAGATATTCATCTTGCAACAGTTCCCGGATACCAGTGGCCCGTACGGCCTCTTGTGGGAGGGCAAGCAGATGTATCTCGAGGACTACTGGATCATCCCTGACATCTACCACCTCTCAGACAAGTGGACAGCCATCCGCGAGGCCCTCGAGACCGCCTCAACGGCTGTCCACGACAACTCCCGCCTCTACCTCGCCCACGTGTCCGCCTCGATCGGCGTGCTGCCCATCGAGGCCGCCGCGGGGCCCATGAACCGCACCGTGACGGGAATGAACGACATGACGGGCCAGTGGGTCGAGGACTTTGAGCACGTCCAGGATGCCACCCGCACCGGCATCATCATCATCGATTTTCCCGGGCGCAGGCTCATCGACGCAATTCTCCGGTGGAACAAGCCCTTCCAGCACAAGTCGCGGCGCAGCGCCGGACCACGGTCCTCGGAATTATCGAAATACTGGTGATCGGCGCCTCCGACGGCCCGCACCCACAATTCCGGTACACAGATAAATCCAACACATGCTCCTCCAATCTCAAAGACCACCCGGCCAACACCACACCTAGTGGCAAATGACATACTGAATGTTGAAGATCATCCCACCCTTTCACATTTTTTTTGTGAACTTTCTCGCCAAATGCTGGCCTTGCCATTTCCCCGCTGATCACCCAGACTCGCCCCCTGCATCTGACGTGGAGCCGGTGGCGCCGAGTACGCGTTTCACCAGGGGGAGTCGATGAGCGGATCGTCAGGGACGAGGTCAACACAGTACATAATTCATACGGATTGTACGAAGTACAGAGTACAGTACGAAGTATGGAGTACACCCCCTTTCTCGGGCACCGCGATTCGACTGTTATACGGACTCTCGGTTGCCGTTGGCTTTCCCTCGTAAAAAAGCACGGTACACCCCATCATGGAGCACCCCCAGGATGTGTTGTCTTGCATTGCATCGCATTCGTTGAGCCACCAGTCGGGAGTTGCGGAGCTCTGTAGACGAAAGAGTAGAAGGCGGTGATGACGCCTCTATATTGTACCCGGATCGAGATTCCATGCCACAGAGTAATAGAAGGCCCCCAGACACTAGAGTATGAAACAAGGATGAGAAAGTGCCTTAAATGACGAGTGAATTAAATGCAAATGTGTCCTTTGATCAGTTCTGATCCGCTATCCTTGTGCTCCAACTCCCAAGATCAACCAACCCAGAAATTCCGGGATAAAACAAAAGCCCGAAATCCTCCCCGTTCCTGCTTTCGCTTCGGGGTTCCTATCCTCCCGCACACTATGTGAATATCTTCCTCGTGCGTACATACATACATTCCAAATAACATACAATACATACAATCCGATGTCTCCGTCCGTCAAGGCATATATAATGATCCTCGTTCCATAACCCCGTCCCAAGCCCGTGTAGCAAAGCAAAGTCCCAAAGAACTCCTGGTTGCTCCTAGCTCAGACGGAATGAAGAAGCATACGCCAGCCCCAAGTGGTATCTCCCTTTAATAGTTCGCCTCGTCCGTTCAGTCCTCTCCACCAGCCTTCACATCTCGTGCTCCAAGTTGTGGCTTGCAGCTCTTTAATTCTTGTCGTGCGTCGGACTCCCCTCCCGGCTTAGTGATTCAAAGCTATCGACCATCTGCAACACCCGCGTCGTGCGGGCCCTCTCGCGCATCAAGGGCACGGCTTGGGCCTCGAGGACAACGCCCGAGTGCCGGCGGCCGGTAGATTCGTCCGTGTCATGAGTGAAGCGGGTCTCGAGGGGGGCGAGGTCGAGGTGTTGCGTGTAAGGAACCGTGTTGGCAGTGTCGGCAGAAAGATTGCGGGCGTGGCGGGAGGCCGTGTTGGTCAAAAGAGGTGGTGATGGCGAGGGTGAGGGAGGTTGATGAGTGAAGAGAGGGCGGATTGGTTGAAGGTGAATAGGTTGTGGTTGCCGTGGTTGTTCTTGTTCTTGTTCTTGTCGTCGCTCTTCATGGCGAAGATGGTCCTTCTCATCGTCACGGAGGAGCGGTTGTTTAGTCTCCTCCTCCATCTTCTCGTCCAGCAAATCAGGTTTCTCATCCATCTTCTCATCATCTTTCACCCGCAGTTCTTCATCACGCTCAAGCAACTTCTCATGGATGCTGCTCACTGCATCCATCGACCGCCGGTTCTCCTTCTCCGGGTCCACCAGCACCGCGCTCTGCGGCTGCACGGGGATCTCATCGTCCCCGGAGCCGTCCGCGTCTCCGTTGACAACACGCAGACGTTCCCGCGGCACCGTGAACATGACTTGTACAAGTCGCTGTTCAACGGCCCGCTCAATGTCCCAGTCCGTCTCCGGCGAACGCTCTGCACCCGTTGCAACGGTCTTGGTCCCCAAGGCTCCTTCACCGCCCTCTTCCCAGCCTTGCCGGCCTTGCTTCCGCCTAAGAAGCTCACCGTGCATGCCTACCAGGCCGGGCTCGTAATCGCCGCCTACAGGCTCCTGATCGAATGACCGACGCACTTGAGACATGTCTTCACGAGACGACGTTGGTGTGCTCGAGTTGGAGAAGACGCGGCGCAGGGAACCAAGCCAACCTCGGCGAGGTTTCGACTTAGATGGCGACGGAGGCTGAGGGGGCTCATCCTCGTCATAAGCGCGGCCCATTAGCAGTGAGGGACCTTCAGCCTGCAGTGCTCCGAACGATGATCGGGCCGTGTTGTAGCTGCTAGACGACGAGCTGCCAGGCTTGGGATGCTCAGCACCACCTCCCAACATCAATGGAGCCAGTGTGCTAAGGCGCCGTCCTCCCGAGGTCTGCTTCAAGCTATCTGCCGTACTGCGCGCAGATTCAGACAGATTAGATCCGCTTCGGGACTCATCATCACGAAGCGCAACCGCGCGGTAAGAGCCGGGACGCGTAGGCGACACACGGCCTTGGTGACCTCGGCTGTTCATCCTCGCCAACATGGCATCTGCGGCATCCACATCTGATACCCAGTCCTGCACCTCGGGATCGTGTCGCGGTCCCTCCGGGCTCGGCGTAGCTGAGCCTAGACCACCGGATGCGAATAGAGGCGGAGGTACGTTGTTATTGTGAGTGGGCGTCTGGAAGGGGTCCGAGGGAGCTTCCGAAGTGGGTGTGTAGGGCTCTTCCTTGGGAACGTGGTGGAACGACTCTTCTTCGTCATCCTCGTAAATGGGGTGAATATGTCCTGGCGAGGACACGAAATTGGCTGGGTGTGTTGCCGTCTGCACATAACCGCCGCGCAACTGTCTCGACACAGGCTTCCTTGGGATATGTAGTCCCGGCAGCGGACCAGTAAAGGCACCTCCCCGGTTACCCCTGAGAGACTCGTAACCCAAGGATCGCTCGCCGGCTTGATAAGGGTCCTGTCCGGTGCCATACCATCCGTCCGCCCCCCAGGGGTCATCGTTGCGCTCAATCATCTCGTCGTGGTGGTCAGGGAGGAAGTGGCTCGCATCTTGGGACAGTGCGCGGACGGCCTGGTCTCGAGATTCGCGTTGGCGCTTCCTTCTCCTATACCAACAGAAACCAATCACGCCCGCGCCGAGGATGGCAGCGAGACCAAAGCCTAGACCGAGTCCCAAGCCCAGGCGCTTCGCATTGAGTTGACCGCCTTCCTTGGGGGCGCTGCCGTCATCAGAAGCCTCACGGCCAGCGTCGGGGTTCTTATAAGACGACACCCAAGCCTGCGACGTGAGGTTGAAAAAACGCGTAGTTGTCGACGACTGGCGCTTGCTCTTCTTGTTGGACGAAGAGCCAATCTCCCATCCGCCATACACCATCATGACGTTTCCAGGGAGCACGGCTGCTCCGTGGCCGTAGAGATCGACGTCGGGCTGCTTTGATGGGATACTCCATTGCCACCCACTATAGGCCTCGCTCATCTCGAGGATGGCCAGCTGCGGCTCCGCAGGTGTCCCGACATCCCCAACCCATCCGCCGAGCACGACAATGGACATGCCATCCTCGCTCAAGGTCGCCGTGTGGCCGGATCGGCTGTAAACATCATCTATGACCGTAGCTCGACGACGAGCAGAATTGCTGTTACTACTCTCGTCCTTGATGGCAAGGTCCGTACTGCGCAGTGTGTCGTCTGGTGCCTGAATGGACACATAAGTCCACGATTCGGCGGGCAGATTCCACACCGCGGCGGTGCTCATGTTGATAAAGGCGGTATCCGAATGTCCGCCCAGCAACACCCAGCTGGCTTGCTGCGTCACAATCCCGGACTTATTGGTCATGGACGGGGTCAAGCCAGTCAGGGTGAAGCCGGCGATGGGCGTACTCGGGCCGTCGCTTGAAGCGAGGCTGAGTGTATAAGCCGTGTTGACCTCGTCCTTCTTTGGTGAGAGGCTCAGCATCGACTTGGTGTAATTGGCGTCACCTTGCCACTCTGTTGTGTTATCCGTGGGGCTACTGCACATGCCGCCGTATGTATAGATTGTCGGCTGGTCCATCTCGGGTGAGAGCGTCGAAGAGAAGGCCACAGTTGCGCCCAGAAAGTAGGGACCTCTAGTGCCATGGCCATCGTCGCCGAGGCCTCTCTTGACCCATTCGGTGTCTTGGGCTTCGTAGCTCCAAACATTGCCGGTCCCAGTTTCGCAGTCTCCCGCATATACAAGCAGGGTGCCATTGGGCGTCCTCGCGGCGCTAAACGCCGTGGTATTGGATTTCCCATCGAGGAAAGGAAGGTTGTTGCCTGTTGGAGACACGAGGTTGAGGTTATTGCCGAGGGAGGAGGAAAAGTTGGTCGAGCGAAACTCGACCCCGCCGTCGTCGGTCTGGCGGAAGATATAGGCGACGTCGTTGCCTTCACATGGTGTCATAGAGTCGACACATGCAGGGCCGTTGAGGAGAACCTGGGTGGAGACGTAGGGGAAGGAGTGCGCCGAGGCGAGGGGTGTTGTTGCGAACAGCAGGACGGCGGCGCTGATGGCTGCGGTTGACGATGATCGCCGGGTATGGCCGCGGCGGCCACCACTGGTGCTAGCTCTTGAAGTTGAAGCCATTGTGGTGATTGTGGTGATTGGGAGGGTTGTAGTGGTTGGCGGTCGTAGTGGTGTCCGTGCTAGTGGTGTCGTATTGCTTGAAAGTGTCGTCGTGGTATTCGGCGAGCAGCCCGTTCGGCGACGATGCCCTCAGATCACCATCGCCAGCGTGGTGGTTATTCTCCTAGTGCCGGTGCTGCGAGGCTGCCCCGTTATTCGGCTCGTTTCGTCAATAGATGTGCAGTAGGGAATATGTCTTGTCAGGGTCTTGCGTCAGTGTCCAGTTCCCACCCGTGATCGATGAGCCCTGCTAGCCGAGAGAAGTTGGAAGAAATCCGGTATGCCACCTTTCGAGTAGCAGGCTCGGCGTGCGTTCGACTGTCGCTGATCGTTTCGTGGGTCTGATTATCTGGCCGCCCCGGGAGAATAAGAGCAAGGAGTAAGCCGGTGCGAAGCAGGAGAAGCAAGGTGAGAGATGAGGGCGAGCACGCGGGAAGCAACAAGAAAGAGTCCGTGCCAGCTGGACCCCAGACCCTTGAGAGGCGTTTGGCCTCTGCTTTCCCTTCCCTTCCGTTCGCTTTTCCTCTTGCGGACGTGATGTCGAGGGGCAGACGCCAGGCGGAGCAGGGATGCGTCGTGGCCCGGGACGTAGTGGGTGAGGCGTCGTCCAGGATCAGTCGTTGACACTGGAGGGGTCAGCGAAACAGAGTTGACCTTGGGTGTAGCGCAGCGCCGGGTCCCTGGTCGGAGAGGGAGGCCCGCTTGGCATGGTCCGATAGAGAGCGGCGAGCAGCCAATGGGGCGAGCCTGTCCCGTCCGCGAAGAGTCAATGGTGGAGGCGTGGTTCGCTGAGAGAGGAAATATGGCTTTGTTGTGGTTGTTGTGGAGGCCGCGTTGCTGGGGCGACGATGCAGTGGGCGTCCGGCTCTGTGGTGGGGGAAAGCAAACACTATCGTCGCCAGACGCTGTTTCGTGCTATTACTGCTGAGTGGCATCAACTGGCGCGCCACCAGCAAAAAAGGCGCAGCCCAACTGGGTCATCATATTCACATTTGTATCAGTTACGCAGTCTCCTGACACTGCTCTTTGACCATTCTCATCTCTCTTTCGGTGTTGACTGCGAATCACAGCCGTGTATCAATGTCCCACCACCAACGAAAACGGCGGCTCGGCAAGTGGACGCTCGCTCTCACCGTGCTCTCCGTGCTCTCCGTCAACTCACTCTCTCTCCCCTGTTGACTCTCCGTGATTCACCCCATCAACCACCAGAAACAGCACCACAAACCTTCTAGCAATCGCACTTGTGGAAATCAGCCTATCTTTTTTTTTTCTCTTCTCGGACCACCTTCGCCGCACGCGGCCTCCGCGGGAGACATAACCTTCGCGCGCCGAGCCACGGGAACCTTGTGCAACTTATACGTACTCAGTTGCCCAACCAACCATCCATCCCAAGGTTACTTAAGAGGGTCCAGAGCATACAAATGGACTCGTCATTCGGATGCGATGCTGCTCTATTGGGCAGCTGTGTGCACTCTACTTGCAGTAGTCCCGACAGTGCATATCAGTGGGTAGCAATACTTCGTTCATTGAATCGTGCATGCATTACAATCTCAATCAGCCGCAACTCAATCCCCATCTTGCGTCGACACAGAAATTAACATACACTGTTCTCCGCAAGAACTCTACCTAGACCGTGACCCTAATCCATCTCCAAACTAACTACATGCTTCTTCCATAATTATCTTCCATTCCTTTCGATCACCCATCCCATTAACAAAACATTAGCCTGCACAGCCTAACAACTGCGAGACAAATTGGGTATCACACGTAAAATCCTTCTCTCTAGTAGTAAATCTTCTCGCTCCAGATAGGAGGTCGAGCTCCAACCGTATCCCACTCAATGTTGTTCTTCTCATCTAGAGTGCAGCCCTCATCAGTGATGGGGATCACCTTACTGGTAATGCCAACTTCCTGCTTAGATACACCAGCGGGATCCTCAGGAATCCAGAGCACAGGGACCGGGCTAGAAATAGCTGGGTGCAGGTAAGCGTTGGCCACAACTTCGTCCGTGTACTGGCGGGCAAGGTCGGCGGACTCGTCCTGTGGCACAAGGTTGCGGAGGGTCTGGTAGTCGGCGTACATCCAGGGCTTGAGGTACTTCATCACAAAGTTGCCCTTCTTTTGGACGCCCTCGCCTGGAGCCTGGCCGTTCGCAGCCTGCTCGCCCCGCTGAATAGCCTCCTCCTCGACCTCCAGAGATCGGGGCAGGCTGTACAGCAGAGGGTCCAAAGCCGAGGAGATGGTAATCTGGAACAGGACGGTAAAAATAAGGAACACAACCATCAGCGCAGCAGGTCCACCAGCCTTGGACACAATGAACAGCCCAACCATGCAGATCTCAGCCAGGTAGATGCCGACAAAGAGCTGCTTAAGAGCACGGGGGTAGATAAGGCCGCGGGTGTCAATGACGGTATCCGTAACGAACAGGATGTTGTATCGGAAAGCGAGGTAGAACAGAGCCATTCCAAGAGTGGACCAGAAGAGCATCAGGGGGGCAATGACGGAGTAGGTGACACCTGTTAATGGCGGTTAGCTGCCATAATTTAGCACTCACGAGCGAAGGATGGACGTACTGATGACGGCAATGTTGGTGTAGACGGGCAACAGACTTCCCCACGACAGACTGCTGAGGGTAGTCCACTTGGTGTACATGGCTCGGGGGGTGCCGGCCAGGAACTTGTACAGAATGCGGAAGATGACGCAGCCCACGACTTGAGTAAGCACGCTTGTGGCCATGGTAAGACCCTGAACGATGAAATAGGAGATGTAAAAGTTAGAGGAGGTGGGGAGCTTCGTCGAAAGGATGTCAAAGACACTGCCGGGGTCCTGGATGATACCAGTAATGGAGCTGGAGGCGGTATCGGTGATGGTTCGGATCAAGAAGACCTGGACGACCTGGAAGACGAAGTAGGCGTTCTGGGTGAAGAGCTCGGCCTGCGACAGGGAGACGGCACCCGCCTTCTTGGCACACAAACGCATGATGACGGGAACCAGAGACATGAGGATAGCCAGGGCAACCGAGGGCAAGAGACCAGAGATGAGACCAAGGATAACCTGCAGGAGAATGTGAGCGCTGGGTCAGTTGGGAAAACAATGGAGCTACTTACGGTAGGAATATCGGCAATCCAAGTCAGGCCAGGAATCTTCTGAAGTGTGGCAACCTGGGCAATGATACCGACAATACCAACGGGGATGGCCCAGAAGATAATCATGGCAGCAATGAACGCGTAGACAACATAGCGGCGCAGGAACAGCTGCCACCAGGGAATGAAAAGGCTCGACCAGACAATCTCGTTGGGCTGGACGCCAATGTACCTGGGGGACATGCGAAGAGCCTGGTGGTGGGCAATGGTCTGGTAGGCATCCTGTGCATCGGACTGGGTGTGGAACTCGACGAAGACGGCAGGGGCCTTCTTGGAGCTACCAGAGAGAACTTCAGCCTGGGCGGCCTCAACCTTGGGGATGAGCTTGTTCAGCTCCTCGCGGCCCCATTCGATGGTATCGACCTTCTTGCCAACAAGGCCCAGAAAGCCGAGGCGGTGCGAGGGGCGCTTCTTGTCAGGGATCCAGCGGGCGGCGATGCTTCCAGTCTCTTGGTCGGCGCTGGTAGGAGCCTTTTCGTCCTGGCCGCCCTTCTTGATAGCCTTGGCACGCTCCTTGTTGACGAGCTTCAACAGCTTCACCTCGCCCTTCTCGAGCTTCATAGCGGCCTCATCACGCTCTTCGACCAGCTTCTCAAGATCGGTAGTGTCGTTGACGAGCCAGACATTCTTGGCCTTGCCGCTGAAGAGGGTACGGATACGCTCTTCGTTGTTATAGTCGTCGGGAACGGAGGTGAAGAGGACGGTGCGCGACGAGAGGCGCTTCGAGTAGTTGGGGGACAGCAGGTAAGCCTGTCGAACGTTGATGTAGAAGATGCACTCCCGGAGGATGGTGTACATGAGGAATCCGTAGACGAGCCAGGCGACGAGGGCATGGGCGTAAAGACGGTTCTTCTGTGTCCCAATGTCGATGTTGCTGTACGAGAGGATCTCGAGCTGCTTCTGGCCGCCGCCACCAGTGATGTTGATGGGAAAGAGAATGGGCCAGGTAATGCACATGCTCACGAAGCAGACGGTGCACAAGATGCGCAGGTAGCGAAGGAAAAGGTAGGCATCGAGACTCTGGTGTTGGAGGGCGTAGGCGTCGGGGATCTTCCAGAAGGTGCCGAACCAGCTGAAGAGACCGCCAGAGAGCTCCGGGCTCCGTTCACTATTGGTCGCGTTAGCAAAAAATTGGCTGGTTGGTGTTTCGATTGACAAGTATATACCTTTCTCTGATGGACCCCAGGTAGGTCCTCGGCGCATAGAACCGCGATTGGGAACGCCGAATGAGTAGGAAAATGACGATGTACACGCTACTGACGATAAGGATCGGGACCAAGGTCGAGATCATGCCTAAGTGATTCCGAGTTAGATCACGTCGTTGTATGCAATTGAAGATTGAAGATGAGAACAAACCAGATAGTGACTGGGGGGTGTTTCCCTTCTGGGCCTCGCCACTGGCCGGGTCGGAGGGAAGGTTGGTCTTCAGCCAACTGATGAAGGCACCCATGACGGCGACGGTCCAAGACTCTCTCGCAATGCGCAGTTGGTGTAGCTCTTGCTGTTGGTGATGGTTGGTGTTGGTGCTGCTACTGGTGCTGCTCTCTATCCGAATCCCTCCCTGGCGAGAGTGAGAGACGGAGTGGTTCGGCGATCGATGGAGGAGAAGAAGAGGGACGAGCCAAGAAATTGGAGGAGGATATCGGGAGCTTAATTATGGCTTGGGCGTGCGTTGGCGGTTGGACGGGTGGTGGAGATTTGCGAAGGGATGGCCAGAGCTAGACTCAGGTCGCGCAAGTTAGACCTGGGCCAGCTGGAGCTGGAGATTGCCGGGGGGCGTGTGTGGATGTTTCGAGTGGGCGTGTGCGTGCGTTGGGCTGGCGGGGGGGAGGAGGAGGCAGGTGCCAGGTAAATTAGGTCAAACAGGTGCAATCCCAGAATAGGGACGGCTGTATCGTTCAGAATAACCAAGAAAAGCAATTAATTAAGAGTAATGGAGGTAGAGGTGGAGGTGGAGGTGGAGGAGAAGAGTTTCAATATCGGAGGGCTCCAGGCTCTGAAGAAAGACACTTGATGCAAGGCGAGCGACGGAAAAGGGGATCGAGGCGGGATCGCAGCCTCCTAATAATGTCTGAGGTCAGTGCCGTAAAGGAGCCGATTCTGGAGCGGTCTGTAAAGGGCACGCCCCCCCAGCAAAGGCCAAAAAAAAAAAGCAGGTTCACGCAGAACAGAACACGGCGTGGAAGAAACTTCTTTTCGGCGGGCTGTGTCGTGCGTGCCAGGGCGGGGGGGGGGGGGGGGGGGGGGGGCCTTGGCAAGCTGGGGGAAGTTGGCCATGATAGTGGCAGCGGTTGGCGCGCCGGTGGTTGGCGGTGGTGGTGGTGTGGTTCTGCAGTGCGTGCTGCAGCACAATGACGCTGGCGATGGCTTCTTTCGCTCCGAGCTGGACTGGCCTGGTCTGGGCCCCTTGATGCCGGGACGGACGCACAGCGACGCTGCCCCTTCGCCCTCGCCTGGTCGCCATGTCGAGATGCGACGCCGTCTGGACGCAGAGTCGCACTGGATACGTCACAGCGTCGCGCCCAAGCCGACGTGCAGCGCCGAGTCCCTGAAACCCAAACCTGGAAACATCCTGGCCGGGCTGGATCGACACGCACACGCACATGCGCCGCCTTTCTCCTTCAGCGCTTCTTCGCACCTCGCCGAACCATGGCATGGGCTGGACCGCCAAAAACCCACCACACCATGCGCCGGCCGGGAGGGTGGGTGTGGGTCCCGGGCCGCTACCATGGATGTACGGAGTACCTCCGACAAGTAAGGTATGTATTGCAAGTTCATTGTTGGTTGCGACGTACTATGTAGAATGCCTTGAAACCATCTGTCAATTACAAATGCATCGTCATACATGCCATGCTTGCGTCTGGCATCGAGAACCTTGATCACCGTCCTTGCGCTGGAAACATTTTGCTGGAGGTGTGCGCCAAGTACCGCCAGCCAATGCATCGTCTCTGCAGAGGGAATCCAATGCATCCCATCACCCGCTACCGAACCCACCAGCTCGTGACTGCGACTTGCATCCCCCATCCTGCACTCCTCCCCAAGGGGATGATTACCCTCCGCATGCCTTGAAACTAATCAATAAACCGACGAGTGCGAAAATTCGCGAAAATCCCAGAAGCAAAGAGAGTGAATGGGTTAGAGTATGGTCGGATTTCATCCCCCTGGGCGCTCGTCCAACTCCATCCTCACAATCACACCATGTAACCCTGTATCTGGACGTTAAAAACTGTTTCCCGGCACATGTTCCCCCTGTGGCACCCCGTGTCGCTCCAGCGAGCTGCTCATCTCGGCTGTTGCACGCTTGGCTACTGGACCGTGTTGCTCGCTAGCGCGGTGGGAGCTTCCTGTCCGCCGTGCTACAGTGGAGCACCCCGCTGAAGCACAGTGGCTGCGAGGACGCCCCTAGGGCCTACGTTAGAGGCTCTCCCCACCCCAATAATATTGGATTCGGGCTATTTGAGCCCATCGCTGGCGCCGTGGCTGGCCGCCTCATAGTGGCCGGTGGCAGTGGGGGAGGCGACGCGTCAACCACCAGGAGAACCACAAGGGGCAGGGGAAAAAAGATGGCATAGGGGAAGATGGAGTGTAGCCGTCACAGATTGGGAGGTCCATCGAGGCCCAGGCCTGCAAGACGCCAAACGGGCAGCAAGATGCACGACTAGGCTAGCATATTGAATTTTCGCATGAATCCGCATACCGCATACATGCGCTTCAGCTTGGGTGGTTGTTCTCGTGCTGCCGCTGTCACTATTGAGACCGCTGCACTGCCTCCTTGGCCTGCCGTCGAAGCTTCTCACGAACTGACGCCACAGCTGAGCAGGGATAGTGGTGATGTCACGGGGTTTACTACGTCCGCATCCAGACTTTGGTTCAACCGCAAAACACCGCAGAGTCGACCCCGCGATGAGGATCATCCTCTCTCGGAATGCAGCTATCCTTCTGTTCGCGTCTTCTGCCAAGCTGGGCTAAGCTTGTCCGTTTGTCTCTCTCCATCGGAGCACCGCGCACCCGGGGCGATGGACCGAAGTCCAGTGTTAGTGTTAGTGCGGGTGCACTTTACGTAGGTGGACTTGCGGCGGTGGGCGTTGAGACCATCCCTACCTCATTAGTAGAAACAGCGTGCCTCAAACTTTGGCGCCTGGTGCCCTTCCCGGCGCCTCTGACTCTGATGAGTCTCTGACTATTACCCATTCGCTCGGGCTATTGCTCGTAGGGCAGTGGTAGCCTCTCAATGACAGAAGCACATTGTCGATCGGGTCTCGGATGGTCGATGTGTTTGGGACGCTAGCCCTTGGCGGTCACTGCTAGTTGCTGAATATGTGAACCGCAAGACGCTCAATCTCCGGCTCAGGCAATTTCCGACCACGTCGAAGCTGTGGTGAAGCTCTAGCCATGTCTAGTGCTGGTCTAGTGAGAGTCGTCAACGTCAACATGTTGAATATTGATTCATGGCCGCACCTAACCCAGCGGCCCAGACTCCAGAGCCAGCCCTCGCCTTACCGTGTCTCGTCTCTGCCCAACTCCAGACTCCAGATCGACAACTGGTCCCGACACCCTCCACTCCCTTGCTTGCTTCGTGCGTCTATCCCATTCCAGCAGCTTGGAACATCAAAAGTCCACAGCTCATGGGAAAACGCACGCGCCAATCTCTCACAGCGCTAACGAGATGCTGGTTCAGCTGAGATGCGCAGTCCGCCTCCACCCACCTCCCGAGTCGACCAGTCCCAACCCCTGCTGAGCCATTCCCCCATCCATTCAAATGCAATTGATTCTGCTTGACCCTTGCCACCTGTGACCGCCACAGGGCCACGGTCACGGCCGACGCCTCGATCCATCCCATCGTACCCAGTAACTGAGATCGTGGCGGCTTCGACTGACCCCAGCCACGGGTTCTCTCCCAAAACAGCCCAAAACACCCGAAACCATCCACCCTCCCGCTATCCACCACTCTATTCATCCCTCACTATCCAATACCCACACAAACCACCCGTCCTCCATCTGCCTTTCCCTGCCCGGTCGAGACCCTCGGCCGAAACGTGCCTCACCCTGCCATTATCCATGCCACGCACTACGACGTTACCATCTTGCGACACTGCCACAATGCCACACCTGTGAACGCCTAATTCAGATCTCTGTGCGGAGTAATCCAGGCACAAACGAGGCCTCCTAGTCTCACTACATAGTAAAAATTAACAAACAAATCACGAGAGGCGTACCCGCCACACTCCTTCGCCTGAGATCTGTTCGCGTGCGACCTACCAAGACGTGAACTGTCATACACCGCATCTTTACACGGCAAATTCCATCTCAATCTCAACGGAATCTCGCTGAGGCCGCCCATGCAATTACGATACGTCCAAGATCTCCGTCTCAAAGCCAGTTGATAGGTAGCCAGGACTGCGCCGTTGTCATGTCTTGTGACAACTCAGTGTCACACAACTTAAGGTGATGCGCGCATCGCTAGCCTTTGCGCATGTGCAACAAGTACAGTGGTACAACAAACCGACCCGTGTGCATCTTCACCCTGAAAGCAAAGGGATCTGCATGAAACGAAATTGGAATGTCTTACATTCTGATGAGAAAGTCACCAGGCATCCACTATCATAGCGAAGTCGTCTCGTCATGCAGGCAACATTGATATCCCTAGTAGAACTAACTCATACTCATCTCAAAGAGAGTTAGCAAATAGCATTTGCTTAGGTATATGAGCTCATAACTCCAAGGCCTGCACTGTCACACTATCTTGCCTTCCGATGTCCATTTCGTTGAGCAGTTTGGTCACTAACAGGTCGCGCTAAGTATGCCTGGGCAAGTCAATGAGGGATCGAAGTAAGGTGGTAGTACGGTACTAGATACATGACGATATACTAAACTGGGGTAAACATTGCACGCCTTACCGGCAAATTTCAGTATCGACACAGCTCCCAGGTCGGGGTTTGTATACATGTTGGACTCGCAATACGGCTACCCTAGACTACTCTAAATAATTGCAAGGGCATCTACAGAAAGTATTAATTGGGGCAAATTCAAGCCGGGTAAGATAGCCATGATATTTATAAGTCAGTCAGAAGTGAGAGGTGACTTGATTATAAAGTGGGAGCATCGTCCGATAAAGGTACGGGACTTGAAGCAGTTTGAAATCACTAGGGCAAGGGCAAAGTGTGGTTTTCCTAAGGGAATACAGAATACCAATAATGTTTGGTGCCCATCAAGTGGTATTTTATTCCACCGTATTCTCAGGAGACTGAAATCAACTGTCACTGATGTTTGAAGGATCAACAAACATACGTAGACACCCGCATTCAAGCACAGATGCATCTACATCACGACAGTTGACGCACAACTGGGACAACAAAGGAATACTCCCTGAAGTCTAGCTCAAATAAAGCCCAGACCATATTCTCAAAGTTTGACAATGCGGAGCAAATATTTGCGTCCATGCTCACCCTGAAGGGATACTTCGCCGTCAACAAAGGCGGCTTTCTTTGTTCTCCGAATAGGCAAACGCCGCCTAGCTTGCCTCGCCGATGCCAACAATAACTCGTCATTGGAAGGGTCATGTGGTGCGATCCATCCATGATCTGGACGAACTTCTCCCCAGACATGTTGATTTAATCATTCCTTGTTCTCCCCTGCCCCCCTACTCGTCTTGCTCTCTCCGCCCTCTCTACATACCGCAGCTCAGCGCTGAGATATACACGTCCTCCACAACCAAGCGTAGCAACGCCAAGACATCTGCTACCATGGAGCAGCCTCAAGAAGATCCCAAGAGAATCAACATCAGCGGAAACCACTATGCAACCGCCTACACCTCCCGTGGGACCCATGAATCTTGGAGTCCCGCCGAACTCAACGTTATGCAGCACATGAACTGCTCGTACCTCTCCTCTGGGCGACCACCTACTCTCCTCGCCCTGAAGCAGCACGCCCAATCTCTTACAAACCTCATCCTAAGGCTCTCGATTGCGACGACCTCTGCGGCCGTAACAAAGCTTGGCTGCGCTGGACGCGACGGTTGGGGCTTTGGTGAGCACAGCGCGTTCGATTGGCTTGATAATCTTCAAATACCCTACGATAATAAGGACGAGTCGCATCATAGACCAATTCCCTCCATTTCCAATTGTATCGAAAAGGATTCAGAGGATAAAGGACCACAGCACCACTGTCCTCTAACTGAAGTGCAAGATTCCGACCCTGGGTCTCAGAAAGGCGGCACCCAGCGACCATACTACACGCATCACAACTTGGTAATGCATGCCAATGAGTGCCTCGAGATTCTCGATCACGAGTACAGCTCCACTGGCGGCCTCATTTCCATTCTCCCCACGAACATGGAGCATGATACTGTCGAGCTCACCAGCGCCCGCAACTCACTCCTGGGCCAGTGGCTACTGCACTCCCAACACCTCGTCGGCCGCATGCACGAGCTCGAGATCAACTACGCCAACGCCCTCGATGTCATCGAAGGCGAGGCCATGGTGCCCCTGCAGGCCATCCGCCGCGCCGGAACAGACGGCGTCTCCCAAGGCCGACAGATTGCCTACCCCCAAGATCGCTATGTCCTTGTCAACGCCGGAGACGACGTCACGTCCTTTCTGCACCGCCAGCTCGACCGGACTGAAGCGCAAGTCGACCAAAAGGAGCAGTTCTGGAAGGTTTCCGGTGTGAGTGGTGAGCGCATGTGGCACGAGAAACGGGGAGGGAAATGGTATGCTCGTGGAATTATCCCCGTCGACTTACTCACGCGCTTCTATCGCGTTGCGGGCAAAGGCCATGCGTCGCCCATTTTCGTGATGCCGGCCATCGAGCAGCATCCCGGCGTCGCAGCCACGCGACACATAGAGCAGCATCCAACTGTCGTGTCCATCGCGACGCCAACTTGGCCAAAGCGGGTGTCTGATTGGGAGCGCAAGTTCAAGGAGCGGCTCGAACGTGCGAAGGAGTTGGAACTGGAGAATCAGAGGCTAGTGAGAGAGAATATGAAGCTGCAGGCTACCGTGGCCTTCCACAATGAAGACCGCCGCGGTACAACAGGCGAAGAGGACTCTCAAGAAGCAACTTGGTCCAAGGGAGATGAAAAGGGGCAACAGGCTTTGTTGAGGCGCATTGCGGCGTACGAGGCCAAGATGGACGCGCTTAAGAAAACGCTCCCAAGCAAGTATCACTCACAGTTGGCGTTGGCAGTGGAGGAGGAGGATCAGGAATGAGATTGTTGAGGCTTGGATTGGTGTTTCCATTGGTACCCCAAGGAAAGGTAGACCGTCATTGCTGGTGAAGTTGCTCGGTGTTGAGCCTCGACTAACTGGCGATAGGGGGTTGGCTGTGATGGGAGATGGGAGTGTGATGACACAATGGCCACGTCTATCTTTGTAAACCATGCGGTATTTGAGTCAACGTTAGCTTCGGTCTCTATGATTTTCTTTGGTAGATTCAATGAATTTCGTCTTTGCTTGTGGAAAATTGATATGCATATGAAGGCTTCCGCAGGCTGTACGTCCAGTGTAAGTGTAATACAGTACATGGGCAGTGTCTTTCAGTACCTGATAAACCCCTTAGACCTTCATCATCTAGTACTTAGCTAATAACTAAAGCCGAGGTCTGACTTTTAAAAGTGAGGGTTTGCTATTAGTCTTATATATACTTTAGTATATAATATTAAATAAATTTTAGTTGAAGTCCTGCTGCTTTTGCTTACCTTAGGTTAGGCAGTTGATTAGTACCATATTGTACTGTGTGGGGCCGGTAAAGGTACTGTATAGATATGCCGTCATAATGCAACGACTCGTCGGCTTTGACTCAACACCAATCACAGCGACTGCAATTGTCACGACCTTGGGCCAGGACCATGTTGCTCTCGAAGCGATGCAATCTAGGCGGCAAACTGCCCATGCTGGGGTTTGCCCTTGGATTTCGCCTTGGATTTCGTCGATCCTTGCATCTGGCACCTCCCTTTCTCCTCGATGATTATCTCCCTCGGTACATGACGCTGAGTTCCCGCGATGCCGCCAAGAAGCGCTCATTAGCCTACTCGCACCTGCGCAACTGCAATCTGTGCCCGCGAGAATGCGGTGTCAACCGTTACGAGACCACCGGCATGTGCCTCATTGGAGAGAAGGCCAAAGTCAATGTAATCGCTCCCCACTTTGGCGAAGGTCCGTCCGCTGCTCTTTGTCCCTTTGCGAGGGAGTATTGACCGAGGTAGAGCATTGGCTGACTCGGGCTACCAGAGCCTTGCATCCAGGGACATAACGGCAGTGGCGCTGTATTCATGAGTGGGTGTAACTTGCGGTGTGTCTTTTGCCAGAACTTTGACATTTCTCACCAACGCAACGGCATGGATTTGGCTCCGGACGAGCTGGGTGATTGGTACGTCAAGTTGCAGGACGTAGGCGGCGTCCACAACATCAACATTGTCACTCCAGAGCATGTGGTCCCGCAGGTGGCTTTGAGCATCCTGCATGCTAGGGATAACGGACTAAAGGTGCCCATCATCTACAATACGTCCAGCTTTGACTCCCCCGCATCGCTGCAGCTAATGGATGGGTTGGTGGACATTTACCTGGCTGATTTCAAGGTGTGGGAGACTAGCACGTCCAAGAGGCTCCTCAAAGCCGACGACTACGCTACTACTGCCAGGGAGAGTATCAAAGCCATGCACGCGCAAGTGGGCGACCTGTGCTTTACGGGCGATGGCATCGCTAAGAAAGGGCTGTTGGTGAGACACCTGGTGATGCCTGGCAGGGAAGCAGAAGGAGCCGAGATAATGAAGTTCCTGGCCAACGAAGTCTCAACCGACTGTTTTGTCAACATCATGGAGCAGTACCACCCTGACGCTCATGTCGGCAAGACGAAGCGAGGCAAGGCCAAAGGCGGCGAGAGAGACGAAGTACGGTATGCTGATCTCAACCGCCCCGTCACCGACAACGAGGTCTCGTCGATCCGAAAAGCTGCCACCGATGCTGGGCTCTGGCGGTTCAACGACCCACCCAAACACGATGGGTTTGCCATCTGAGGAACCGGTTACCATCTGTCTTTGAGCATCCGAGTTAAACCTTGCCATGAAAGCCTTACCATGAAAGCCTTGACCGGTGTTGGCGCTTTCCAACGCCACCGGTGCCACACTTCATTCAGTCACTTCGAAGCACCCCGGTGACCACGGTGTTATGGGCTCTGGACCATTTCTCTGCATGCTGGGCGCGCAACTGAACAATACAAAGTGCTACACGTCCCCTATTCAAACCTGCCTGTGGCAACCAAGCACGGATCACATCCTGCGTCAGGAACAACCTGTTGGTGGTGCCCTGGCACGGAGCGGGTGGCAAATGGTCAGGCCCCCCGTCGGAAGTCGGTGATGGCCTTTGTGGGGGTTCGTTTAGAGAACAAAGCTCTTGGCCGCAGTCGCAGTATAGGAATTGCTGCGATGGTCCTTATCAGTCGTGAAACAGGGTGCCCGCGTCCAGGGATATCTATGGAAGACGGAATCATTTCATCTACCAGACCACCCTCAAGTCAAAGACACAAGACTTTACAGACCAATATGGAATACATCTTACCAACAGTCCAGCACGCCGTCCAGCTCCTCCCTATGGACCCAAGGATTACGCCACCCCCGGATCAAAAGAATGTCGTATATTCCACGATATTCGGTGCTCCTCCCTCCGAGTCATCTGAAGCTATGTCCGAAGCTACACAATCGTCGGATGGCTCAACCCCATCCGGCCCCTCGGGGAAGGGCCGGAATGAACGGCGCTCATCAGGTCCTGCCCGCGGCCGACAAGCCGATACGACGCAGCATCATTCTTCCAGTGCCAGTCTTGTCTTCTCCCCCCGTCCTGATGAGACCATGTACGCGGAACGGGCGTACCTCACCAGCTCTCTTCAATTACAGACATCCAGGTCAGCAGACCTCATTAGAAAATACTCCCTGGCGGAGGCTCGGCATCAGCATCTTGAGGCGGGCAAAGAGCGACGCAGGTTGCGAAAGCACCTCCGCTTCTTACGGTCAAAGATGATCGAAGCTGCCGAACAACAAAAGACCGTCTATAGCCGACTTGGTGAGCTGCACGTGGAGATCCAGAGCCGTGAAGCTTGGATCTTGTCTGGTTACCAGGGATCAAGCTTCATGGACATAACGATACCAGAGTCGCCTTCAGTGTACAGTACAATGTCGTCTTACGACTTGTCTACGCCCACAACGCCACTGGATGCTACATCACCAGCCTTTGTTCCACAAGGCTACTTTGGCGATGATGTTATGCATCCATTAGACCCTCCACCGTGCCAGAAGGAGCCCAAGGCTGCTGGCAGGTCGTTGGATACGGTGGTAGAAGAGAGCGATGAATTGCTGCCCAACCCCGAGTTGAGCGATATCAGCTACGAGTGTGGCGATGGCGAGGTGGATGTGGAAATGAACGACGCAGATTCCGAATCGGCGTGGCTTGATGACTGCTTCAAAGCTACCCGGTCCAGGCGGCTCAGTCTTCCGTACATCCAGACTGCGTGGCCGGAGACATGAATAGGGGCAAATGCTGGCATATGGGAGGTATTGGCGTTTATCAGAATTATCATGATTGTCGTAGCTGTATGAGTAAGGCGAGAATCCGAATCAAAACAGGAGAAATCAAATCATTACATCAATATCGCATTATGAACGTGCCAACCCCCGAATCCGGTCATTGGGGCATCCGGTATCTTTTGAATATGTACGCTGCGTCCGTCTTTCATGGACGTGATAATTGCTCATTCTACGCAAACTCTCCAAACTGACCATCGTCGAAGCCGAGATCCTTGGCCGACTGCTGCTGCTTCTTGACACTCTGGGCGCTCGGCGGGGGCGGCAACGAGAAGCCGCCGCCGGAGGGTCCCGGGGGAGGTGGAGGCAGCGCAAAGGACTGAAGGCTGGCGGCGCCGGAGCCAGAGCCGGAGCTTGACGACCCGGCCTGGGCCTTGCGCCGGCCGAACTTGGAGCCGCCGAAGCTGACGGTGATGGTCTCGCCCTCCTTGAGGCTGTAGTCGCGCTTCTCTTCCTGCTCCTTGGCCGCGGCCGGCTTGCTCTGCTCGCCCTCCCAGCCGAGGGCCTTGCGGGCTTCCTGCAGGGCAATGGACAGGTCAAAGGCCTCGCTGCGCTCCTCGAAGCCGATTCCCAGGATGGCACGACGGCCCTGGGGATCCCGCACCGTCAGGGCGAAGAAGCGGCTGCTGTCCAGAACCGGCTCGACGACGGCGGGGGCGGTATAGGGCGCAGCGGCGAACAGCTGACCGGTGGAGGAGTCCTCGAGGATGGCGTCGACCTTGAGCTTGCTGGCGGCGTCGGGGGACTCGTAGGCGGTCTCGACGATGCGCAGGCGGGCGGTGAAGATGTGGCGCTTTGGGTCTGCGGTCCAGCCGGCGGCGTTGTGGCCCTTGGTAGAGGTCAGCGGCGGGATGTTGTAGACGTGGACGGCGTTGGCGACGAAGAGGATGCGCTGGATGGCGTCGTTGGGGAGGGCGTTGCCGGTGGCGGGGTCGAGGAGCTCCATTGGGAGGGTGGATTGGAATTGGGAGGAGAGGGTAGACCTGGTGAGGTTTGGGGAGAGGAAATGCCAGGCGAATGGGAGTTTTGAAGGGAGAAGATGTAGGTGTACGGTAACAGCGCTGGTGATGTTGATGAAGGTATCTTGGATGGAATGTCGAGCGGCGGGGCATTCGCCGGCGTGGCTGGCTCATGGTAGACGGTAGAGGGGCAGGCAGAAGGGACAGGTGGAAGGCGGGGCAGGCAGGGGTCCAGCTCCAGGGTAGGCTGCATCGAAGGGTGGCTTGACTCGAGGCTACCTACCTAAGCAAACGAAGTCCCCACGATTCGACATGATGCAATTCAACTGGACTAGACTAGGCAGTCACAGCGCAGTGCATGAGTAGTACCTATGGTGTTACATCTACCGGCTTACTATTGGATGGGATCAGAAGACTTCAGAGCCAATGCTTCTCCTTATAGAGATAATGCCCAATTATCTGTAAAGCTCTTGACAAGAATAGCTGCATATCAGGGATATAAAACCGCTTACTAACATGACATCGGATATCTATATGACCCAAAAGACAACACGGAAGGAGATAAATACAGACAGGCTTTGAAGCCACTTGTTTTACGACACAAAACAACTGGATACAAGCCAACGGATTCCGTTAGCTGTTTTTAGATGCGGCTTGTTTCTAGATAATCAAGAGGTTAGGGTGCCCTAGTACACACATACTTAGAGGGGGGACTAGAAGCTCAACAGTAAAAAAAAAAAAAAAACACCAACAATAGATTTCTAGATAATAGCGATAGAGTTCGTTGACTTTTCTTTGCTATCTTTTAGGTTATACAGATATCTGATATTGTATTAGTAGGCGGTTTTATATTCCTGATATACAGGGCTGTTCTTGTGAACAGCTTTGCGGATAATTGTGGTCATAATGGAAGTTTGTCTCTTGGAGACGGGAGACGTCAGTCTCTCTTATATCTTGTTGCTCGGAACACGGTTTCTGTCTCAAGGTTTTTACGTACAGAAAGCACGGTCGTTGACTGCAGACAGCAAGATCGTTGAAGTCAGAAGGGTTGAATTGAAGCTTGAGGCAAAGACTAGTGTGCAACAACCTCATTGTTCAGCTACTGTCTCTTCTGGTGCTCGGTGTAAACCGAATAGAGAAGCTTGTGCTTCACTCTAGCGCTAACTCGCCTGGAACGTTAGTGAAGAAGCTTCCCCGCCCTTTTCTGTTTCGGCCCGCTTGCAGCCGGCCGCCGACCGCCGACACGGCGTGACCCCGCCAAAGAGGTGCAGTCGACGAGGTACTGACTCACCAACCTCAAAAAATTGCCCTCCACCAAAACTGAACCTGGGAATATCATCACCACGCAACAGCTCACTCATTCTTCCTGAGAACCGCCCTTGTTCGGGATCTACACCCCTCTCCGCGACCAGCCATGGCCACCGTCTCCCCAACGCGTTAGCTCCCCTCCTCAATTCATCGCAGCAACCAACTGACATGGCTTCTTGTAGCTGCTGTTGCTCCTGCTCCTGCGGCTGAGCAGCAACCGCCCTCGTCTTCTCAGCCCACCACCTCCGACTTTGAGTCCGTTCTCTCCTACCTGCGGCCATACCTCCGGCTTTGTCTAACACCTGTCCCAGCATCGTCACCACATACCGTAACCTCCTCGCCGACGACCCCCACCTCACAAAGCCTGTCGCTGCCATCGAGTCCCTCATCGCCCTTCTCGGCTCTACGCCCTCCACCACTGTCTTCGAGACCCTCGACACCGTCAAGGCGCAGTCTGACCGCCTCAAGGCCTCCGTCGCGAACCCCGTGCCCCTCTCCGCCGGCACCGACCTATTCCTCCAGTACCTCGTCTCCTCGCTCCGCCAGCAGGACGGCAGCTTCGACGCCGTCCGCCAGCACCTCCTTGCCAACGGCCGCCTGTTTGCCGCCCGCGCCAACGCCGCCCGCCATGGCATCGCAGATGCTGGCTGGCGCTTCATCCAGGAGGGCCAGTGCATCCTGACCCATGGCGCCTCCCGCTCCGTCATCGGCATCCTCGAGCGCGCCGTGCAGAACATTGGCGCTGCAAAGTTCAAGGTTATCTACGTCCGCGAGGAGACCCGTGTCGAGGAGAGCGACCGCGTTGTCCGTGAGCTCCGCGACAAGGGTATTCCCGTCGCTGAGGTCGCCGAGGCCTCCGTTGCCTACGTCATGGGGCTCTTGCGCCAGGTCAACATGGTCATCGTTGGTGCCGAGGCCGTCACCTCCAACGGCGGCATCATCTCCCGCATGGGCACCCTGCAGATCGCAAAGCTGGCCTCCGAGGCCCACGTGCCATTCTACGTTGCTGTCGAAACCCACAAGTTTGCCCGCAAGTTCGTCATGGACCAGCGAGATATTGGTTTCAAGCAAGACATTCTCGACTTCTCCGTTGATTCCAAGAGCAAGCAGCCTCTCGACGCCGTTGACTTTACTGTATGGCACCCTAGCCCTACTTGCTGTAACAAACTTGCTAACCAATCACAGCCCCCCGATTACATCTCTAAACTCATCACTGAGAACGGTATCAAATTACCAGGTTATGTCTTCGAACAGCTCCTCGACATCTACGGTAGTCTGAACGGTTGAGTAGCTCCCGCCCTAATCCATAGCGCCGAGCCCATCTATGAACCCGAGGGTTATCGAGATACGACTCACGATGACCCTTGAACATGTTTATGATGGTTCGTCACAGCTCATGTCCATGCCCCTCAAGTTGAGCCGATACTCCGAACCCAATATCCGCGAGGGAATATGCTGGCACCACGATAAAAAACCTCTTGAACGCCACAATGCAAGAGATCTGGAGAAACCCCGATTTGCAGTCACAAACTAGGTCTGGCGAACGACAGGGTGATGGAAGAGGAACCACGCGGCACCAGGGGCCATTGCAAGAACAGATGATGTGCCCCGCCCCCATCATTGGACGACTAAAATGACCACGGGAAAATAGACATGGATGTCATCGAAGTATAAATGGGATAGATCCTGATGGGAAAGGAGTGTGAATTTTACAAATTATCCAGAATCAACCAAAATCAACCAAAATCATTTACCGCCAATACAATCTGGAGCGTGTTGCTTAAACAGACGTCGTGCCCAAAGATCCCCTACCTTCACATTTTAGCCCACCAAACATAGTCCCCTTAGCCAAAACTGTTCCCCAACCCATCCCCAATATCCCGCTTTTATTACTGAATGATAACACCGGATAGTCGTAACTGAAGAGAGCCCCTTAAACATCCCGCACCAGTCTAGCACCGACCCACGCATAGGGGTAGTTGCGCTGATACCAGTTCACGAAGCTCTTGCGGCCCGCAATCCGAGGATGGGTCGCCCACGAACCCCCAAGCACGATGTTGTGCTTACCGTCGAAGAAGTCAGCCGTGTACGCCGGGTACAATCTCATGGGCTCGAACCCGGCGTGTTCACACAACGTCGAGCTCGTCCACTCCCACACACCACCCATCTCCGCCTGTCCCGCGAGCTTGTTGCCGCGGGACGTCACTGACACGGGGCGCCAGTGACGGAAGCCGACATTGGCGCCGGCGAGGTCGAGGAACAGCTGTGAGGAGCTGTCCTCGGCCGAGGTGGAGGCTTGGGATGGCGGGTCCTCCTCCACTCCGTCGTTGACGAGGTGACTGTTCAGGCGGATTAGCTCAGTACGTCAGAGTGATACAGGGAAGGGGATATGCCTACCTATTGACTGCTGGAACCGTCTTTCCTAGTGTGCGTTCTGCCTCTGCCCTCTTCTGCTTGTTGACATACGCGTAGATGCTCTTGGCCTCTTCAAACGTGGGAATTCTGCCGCCCATCCAAGATGCGCAGCGTTCCAACTCGTCATACGAAGCAAAGATGGGCCAGTCCAGGGCGAACCTTAGGGGTACAAGGCCATACACGGTCCGCACGAACTTTCCATGTAGGAACGATTCGGGAACATCTCTTGTGGCATGGCCGTTACCATTGGAATGGCCATTTCCGTTTCCGAAGCCATTTGCGTGGCCGTTGTGGGTGCCATTCCCATTTGATGTGTTGGATGGCACCGAGGCCCAAGAAGCAGGGATTTGGCTAATGTGAGAGTTGTACATGTATTGGGCGTACTAGGCTGGTTAGGAAAGATCCTAAAATGATCGACATGCTCAACGTACCTCTTCGTTGGTGATTGGACGCCCATGAGCTTGAAAAGCGTGAACCTTTGCCTGGCGGGCTGGCTTCTCATTGTCCCTGCGTTTATTTTAGTTTCGATCTTCTCTATTCAGCAGCAAGCGCCGGACATACCACCCAAAATGGCAAGCTGAGTCGGATCCATCCTCGGGGTCGTCCATCCCCAATGTGATAGTCTGCTCCGGAACGTCAAACCACTTGTTGGGAACCCTGGCCTCGTACGCCTGTCTCGCCAACTTTTCAAAGTCGGGGCGCAAGGTATGGGGTGGGGGGAGTGTCTTATCGCTCTGGAGCATCATATACAGAAGGGTCTCGATGTGCATCAGCTCGTGCTCAAACCCGACCCAAATTCCTCGCGCAATGGCCCGAGGAATCTTTCCCGGGCCACCTCGGTACAGCTCCCGAAGCCTGGAGCGGACATTGGCCTGGTAAGTGGCAATCGCCTCGACCGGCGGCCACTCGTCCGGAATCTCCGAATGTGCATGGCACTGCTCGGGGTTGTCGACGTCGGGATCAATTCCACGCTCAAAGATGGACCAATAATATGCCGGACTGGTGGCCGGTTTTCGGGTCGTCTTGGTCAACTGGATATCCAAAAAGGTCGGAATGTGACCTAGGTAGAAGATGCAGGCGTTCCGCAGCTTGATTGGCTTCTCCTTAAGCTCCTCAATTGGAAGCATCCCTTTCGTCACCACATCCCAGGCCGTCCACACTGCCTCCCAATCCTGAATAGGCGGCAGAGGCCCCTTTGCGTAGAGAGTTGGGATCAGGCTAAACGGGATACTCGATCTCTGCAGCATGTGAAGTCCTGCAGGTTCAACTGGTTAGCGACTTTACACGACCTCTTGCTTTGTTTATCTTCATCCATCCCCCACATCACCGACTCTCGACTCACACGCTGCGCACACACCGACCTGCATTGGGAAATACCAATATGCAGCCCTCAGCCCAACGGTCTGCGCAGCTCGTAAAAAATCGCGGGGTAATCCGGGTCCATACCCAATCCCATTTAGAGAAATTGTTTCTCCGGGTTGATACTTGGTCACGTTGAATGTCTGACTTACCATACTCGTCATCCCGAGTCCAACGCCCCATCTCGGTGAGGCCCGCGGCGGCCCAAAGCTTTCCGGTTTCCGCCTGGGAGTACTTCAGGCTCTGTTCGATTTGGATTCGCTCGTGGGGCATTATTGTCGATCCCAGGACGTCTGTGCTGCGAATAGGAGCGACAAATGCCTGGTGGCGTCCCCCTTCATCGTCATACACGTACTCCCCAATTACTCTCCAGTTTTTCAAATTGAACACTTGTTCACCAAAAATCTGATTCGCATTTGAGAGACCGTTGAGGACGAATCTGAGTAATTTGTGAGCCCACCAGAAAAAACGTCGTCGTCACATGAACCTACCGGTGAGTGAGACCCTGCTCGTCTGGACCGAAAAAGAAAAGAAAAGCATTCAGTGTGAAACCTTTTTAGACATTGGTATTACAATTACTCACCATTGTACGCGTGACTATTATTTTGTTAGACGCGTGACCAGCTTGAGAGGGGGCACTTCACTTACTAGACCTTGGCCGGGTCACTGCATGAATCAACACCAATAAGCATGGTGTCTGAAGGCTGGAGGACATCTGCAAACCCCCCCAAGAAGTCTGAAGCTTCATCACGATGGAAATTTCCTGGAGGAATATTAATTTAGCGAGATTTTTGTGTCCAGGGGCCCGGAACGTACCAATACTTGAGCCCAGGTGAAGAATGCATTTGGAGCGCCCAGCAATCGCTGGTTGTTTCAGCCACTCCCTTCCATCATCGTACGTGCCCCATAGACCGTGGCACGAGACGTATTTGAAGTCGGGGACCTGGGCCAAGGTGCGGTCCAGCTCTTTCCGGGACAAGTCCAAAGCAAAGTATTGAATTGACTTTTCGAGGTCCTCGAACGCCTGAAGCAGTAGACACACCTTACGAAGGTTTCTACAATCATCTGTCAGAATCAATCGGCCAGTTTCCGAGGGATCAACCAACCCGCTGCCCAGCTCAATGAGCATTGATCCTTCCGGAACTCGCCTGGCGATATCCGCAGATGACTTCTTCAGGACCTCGATTTCATAGTTGGTCAGGTAGTATTCATCCAAATACGTTATCTGTGCAAAAATGAGCCATGGAGCAGAGGGACTTGGCGATGAGAAGGCCATACCTCCTCAAACAACTGCAAGCCCTTCTCATTGTACAAGAGGAGAGTGGGTAGCGTCCGAGGCCCCTCGTCTGGGTTGAAGCTGGAAATGACCTCCTCCTTCAAGTTGAACTCGACATGTTCACCGCGTATGTCAATGATTTCCGGCGAGCTAGGAGACGGCTTGCTAATGACCAGAGACTTGGCCTGGACGGAGAGGGCAAGTGCCGACGTGACGGATGGCATTGCGAAGTGCAGGAGCGGTGGAGGAGAGAGTAAAGACACGATGGATATCCCAGAGACCGGAGACGAAAGACAATGATGGGAAAAGGATGAGATTTAAAGCAGAGTCACGCGAGTAGTAGAAAAGGCGTAGAAGGCGGCTCAGTCGTCCCCTTACCGGTCCCAAACTTGGAGGTACCTCCTGGGCTAACATGATTCCTCAGTGGAGACAACATCTGGAGGACTTGTCCTCTCAGGAGCCGGGCATCGCTCATCCGGGCCAAGCACCAGGCTAGAGCCAAGTAACGCGGGGGGGGACACTACACTATTCTTAGTTGGGTGTATCGTCATGATGCTCGACGGCAATTGCAAGAGCCAGCGCAGGAACAGACGGTCAACTGGCGCGTCTGACTCCGCTACCAGCCATGTCCGGTAATAATAGGGCGTACTCTTGCAAGGAGACGCGGTAGACGTGGAATCCAAAGCTCACCGGGCCTCTCAGCGTGAACCATTTCGAAATAAGTTTGTCATGAGCTGCAAGCCCAAACTTCCCAGCATCAGCAGCTGTGGAGAGAGAGTGGGAGGACATTTGGAACTGACAAATCAGAGACGCAATCGACATCAAGCCCCACGCCCCACCGGCGTGGAGGTGCTGGTAAGAGCTCACGAGGCCAGCGCCAGCACCGGGGCCAAGCAGGGGGCATTGGACGCCCTGTCCTGGCGGGATAGCCGGAGAATTGGAAAGGGAAGGTTTGTGCAAAAGAGCTAAGTAGCCAAGCTGTATGTCCTGTGTATCCTGTTGTGGTGTGTGTTTCTAGATCGGCAGGATCGGTGCTGAGTGTGTCAGTGGTGGATGATGCGCATGATGATGGGACGATGCCCTGAGGCGTTGATTAGCCTGGCTGGTTGTTAATGCTTTTGACGGCACTGTGAGAGGTGGGCACTCACTGACAGGGACATCACCGCCTCAGCTCATCTGCCGTTGTTGAACCAGGCCATGTCTCAATTCCCCACGCTTTCCCGCAGGAGGTCCAGCCAAGCAGCTGGGTCTCGGCTAGCCAACCCGAGCGCCATCAGTGATCACTCTAGGCTCGAGCGAGGGCGTGAGGGAACAGCCGGCTCTCTGACACATGAAGCCACCGTCGTCAGCACCAACTTGCAAGTGGTTTGGCATGTCCCAAGTCGTGTGTTTAACACCCAACGCTAGAGGCATCCGATAGTGCCGATCTGAGATGAGATGCGGTTACCAAGCCGAAGCCTCCTGTCCCAGGACTTTGGCCAAGGTCGCCATGATCTCCCCAGTGTCTGCTTGTCCAGGGCTTCCCCAGCCTGATCCCCAACCACTCGCATTCCGTCTTGGTCACCCGCCGCGTCGGCATTGCCCACTCTTCCGAATTGGACATTCCACACTCCTGGCCGAAGGGGTAAGCACTGCAGTGCACCGTAGTGCTACACTAGTGAGGGGGAATGTTACGGTTCCTGCTTGTCTCGACGGTGAATTGACTCGCAATGACTTGATCTCGACGTCACCTTTGCCCGCGCCCTTAGTTCCACACGTATTGATTCCACATTTTGCTTGCAAAGGTACCGTGCAACCTTGAGCCAGTGCTGAGAAATCCTGCCCTGAGGCGTCCCTTAGTCCCGGGTGCTGGTTATCGACTCGTCATGGAGAATCTGCCATTCGTCCGACCGGTGCGGCCAATCCCGATGATTCTTAAAGTGCGTTCCTGTGGTGGGTGTTCTTTCATTGATCGTCTCCCGCAGCCCCGTTTGAAGGGCGGTTAGTGTAAGCGCTTTTCCAGCCAAGAGACGCTTTGTGTCACCACAAGTGCGAACCACCAGCACCACGCCCTCATGCTCCCATGCTCTCATGCTCATGATAATTAATGAGGCAAGCGACCGCCGAACATCCCTGGAATCCACGTTCAGGTTGAAACGAGAAAAACTGGAACGTGAATTTCCTCAGACCGAGAATAGCCGGGGGATGCTCTGATACCTGAGGTGGCAAGGTTATGGAGAACCCCCGGCCGTGCTTGCCGTTCCGGACCAGAGACAGAGGAGGCTCCTTCCCTTCCATCTCGTCCACGCGACATTACTTGCTTTTTGCGATGATGCATGCTCACCCAACAAGTTTTGTGGTGTGATACGCAGAAGCTTCATCGTCATGCCGGACTGTCCTTTCTCGCTTTAATTGCGGCAGATACAGAAATACAGAAACTGCAAAATTCGAAACCGCAAACAGAATACTCGCAGTTCAAAATCTAACACGATGCCGCACCGGTTTTATGTATGCCATCTTCCAACGCCAATCCCCTCATCGAAGTAGCCAAAGTTCCACCCAACCATCAAATATCCACATCATTGCTCATAAAAACCAATGCCTCCAGGTTCTCATCCCGTACATCCCGTCCTCCAATCCTGCATCATTAACATGCGAGTGTCATCACATTCTCATATCATATTCATTCAGGGGCAGTCCCGCCCCCAACGACCCAGCTCCTGAGAACTCCTCCAGGTCATTCAGCATCCTTCCAATACGTTGCGATTCAATCAAGCCCAGCTGGTCCAGGGAGAACTCTGGCATACTCGCCAGCAATCTTTCCGGCTCAGTTCCCGGAAGTATCAGCATGCTCCTATGTTGAACTTCCGCAGGCCTGGAAGTGGCCCGATTCTCAACCCTAGGATCTCTTCGAAGCTCCATACTCGGCGAAAACGATCCCGCCGAGCTAGATCGCATCGTAGACGCATTGGCCGCTGTAAAGGTCATTGCTGGTGCCGATCTGGGTGCTCGTGCGTAGTCTGTCCCTGGTAGATAACTTTCTGCGTGTCCCATTGGAGAACCGCGATCCGAGGTGGTTGTTCGCGATGTACCTGACCCCTCGTACTGGATAGGCCGTATTTCGTCGTCAGCTAACAGGTTGGCATCTTTCGTAGGTCCACTCGCTTGGGACTTCCAGTCCTCAAGCCCAGCACCATCCCCGCCAAGCCGAATACTGAGTCGTCTATGGCCCGATGCGTCACGTAGAGGTCCGCTCTTTTCCGGTGTCTCTCGGAATTTGGTTCCGACTTGCATATAGTACCGATCGATTTCTTCAAGATGCTTCAAGTAATTTTGGGCTCCCTGCAAAGACGAACTCATCTTCTGAAGGGTGTGGTAAGTCAATTCTGTAGTCATCCTGGGCAGATCGGGACCCCCATCTTGTCGATCAATATCCTCCTGGCTGACCATCTGATGCTTCGTATCCATGTATGGAAAGTTGTGGGCATAAACTCCAGCGAATCCAGCCAACCAGACTGAAAACAAAACCAACGATGACTGGGGAAGTTTGTCTCTGCATATATCGACAAGATCAACAATATCTTGACCGGCTTTAAAAAAGGTATCCGTGACCTCTTCCCAAAATCCAACCGGGGCTTCATTCGGAGGAATTGGAGGAGTGATAAATGCTCCTTCTGGCTTATTGCATCGGAGTGGAATAAAGGGAAGGTGCTCGCGATCAAGTATGATCTGGGAGACAGAAACGAGCATATGTAGTGACACGTACATATTGGTAGCTTGATGATTGTCATGGCGGTAGTAATTTTGTCGCGAGAATGTGAAGGTATCAGGAAGATTGAGTAAAAACTGATACAGTTTCTCCCGGAGCGTCCAGAACATAGACTGTTTTTCCCACGGAGGCAATCGCTCTCGCAAGCGGCCACCTGTGGAAGCGTATTTGGAGATTTCCGCCCAGATCTCCACTAACTGGACAAATCGACTCAAGACACTATCGTCATTGATAGATTGGCTCATAACGTCGCCGTCAAGTTTTAGAAAGCCAGTGCTGACATCTAATGCGAGATCAAAAGCCATCTCGGTGCACGGTAACTGAATTCGAATGGTGTCGAGTCGGATCATCGAGACCCGTTCGTCGCCACATGTCATCATCCGATCGAGTATGAGACAACTGAACATGGTACGCCGTCGGATCTCTCTGATGATGCCAATTTCAGAGGAACCTCTGCGATCTCTCTGGAGTGCGTTGACGCCTTGACTCGAGCTATCCCGCCCCCTTGCCATCTGATCATCAAGACCCAATTTCAACATTTGTGCCATGCGAATAGCAATGCCAACGTACATCCAGGCACCGGGCCCGCTAGATGGGTTTCGTTGACTCCATTCGAACAGTCCGAGCATGAGGAAAGCCTGTACCCTTTCCACAGTCACAAAGGTTATAGCAGTCTTCAGGGGGCCCAGCGCGGTTGCGAGGACATTCGCGAAAAATTCAGATGCAGCAGATGGATCAATCTTAGACTGCGATGCCCGTGGCCGAGAACTACCACCTTGTCCGTTCGACAAATGGGCGACATACTTGACAAGATCTGGGTGAAACCGAGCCGTCAAGGTCAAGACACCAAGGAGAACCAGATTCAGCTCTGGAGAAGGCTCGTATTCGGGCCCTTGCCTGTGACTAATTTTTTCTTTGAGAGTTGGGAGGTGAAGGAAGGACAGCTCAGTTGCAAAATGTAGCCTGTAGATGCTGAGGAGCTGGTCCCATAAGTCGGTCGTCAAGAAGGGATAGGAGAGGACTTCTTCAGCGTAGGCCGTAGATCTCTCGTTGTCCAGGCCCGGGGTTTCATCGACCTTCCTAGCCCGCTTCCTTTCATGGGCTCCCTCCTTTTCTTGTCGAACAACATTCGGGGGATCGTTCCGCTTGGGCGGGAGTGGCGTTGCATCGGGATATTGACACTGGTGACCCCCTTTAATGCATGTGTCGCAGGGGCTACTCCCTCCATCATTGTCGCACTTGATCTTGGATCGCCGACACCTCATGCAAGCGATGCTAGATCGCATTGGGGGTCTCATTTTCATTGATCTCTTTCCATCTCTGGCTCCATACGGTCCGAATATCCTTTGCTCTTCAGCATGCCTTATGGATGGCTCGATGCCAGAGCCTTCCGGTCTGGGCTGAGACTCATCTAAGGACTCAGTCCGACGCAGGGCTACTGGAGCCTCCGAGGCCGTGAAGACGTCTTCGAACTTGCGCTTTGGAGTGGAGTGACTCGAGGAGACGTTGGACAACTCATCGACTTCTGGGTCGGCAGGCGAGAGGATAGACTGGATTCGGAGTTGAGAAGCAATCGTGGCGAGTTGGGCGTCCTAGAAGAGCCCTCGAAGTCGGATTTGGGAAGATAGCCAGCGTATTAAGCAGAGGTTGATGACTGTACTGATATTGCAAACTGGTCTTGCAGCCCATAGAATGTTGCCGAGAGTGGTTCGAGCGAGGAGGGGATGTTGTACTTTGTTCGAGGGGACTGGAGGGACACAAACAGCTTCAAGAAAATACTGATCAACCTCGGAGATTTTTTTTTGTAACTTGACCCGGAGCAGCAAACAGCGCAGCGCAAGGTCATGCAATTTCCCAAGATAATGTAGGTAAGGAAGATGCGAGAGGCGCCCTGAACGACCCACGTGTCAATGTGACAACTCGCGGGGCTTGATGTAACCGAGACGACTGACCACGCAATCTGTCCAATGCTGCGCTCTGCGACTGACTAGGTGTTGGGAAGGGGTTGAAAGATGGGCCCAAATGTGTAGTCAAGTCTGTATGGGGTCAAGTCTTCGAGTCAAAGGGTTGGAAGACGAAAAGAGAAACTGGGTGGTAAAGTCTGTTAGAAGCAAGCAGGGTATGTCGAGGTGTGATGAGTAGGCTCGAGGGCGTCGAGGTTATCGCAAGGCGGATGATCAGGTTATGAAGCTGGGCGAAGGGGAAATCAGTCGTCTTGGCAGAAAGGTGGGCGAGATTCCCGAGCCGACCAGCGAGTTACAGTACACTCCGAAGAGCCCAAGGTATTGGTTCTCTTCTGACAGGGACCTACCGTTTCTAGCCCCGGATCCAAGCTGACGGATGGACACGCACTGTACCCCTACCTTGTACTAAAGCTTGCCGGGAAACTTGCGTGCCAGACGGGCCGGTGTGCTAGGTATCGGATGCCGCTAACGTAGTCATCCAAGCCATGACCTGCCCTCCGATCGCCGACCCCACAGCGCACAAGGCTCCCAGACGAACAAAGCTGAATCCGGAGCCCAGTTGGCTGTCTCTGTGCCGCCTCCTGGGCCCCGAAGGTGGATGAAAGCATCAGTTCGTATGTCAAAGCCGAGGCGGGGGTTGTCCGGAACAGGGAATGTTTCTAGATGAGGTTCCTTCTACGCCACGGCTCTTGGGAACAAGGCTTGTGCGAACATGGCCAGTTGGGAGTGAGGTTGCGTCGTTGCGGTGGTCTTCCGCGAAACAGCCTCGGAACCCAAGATCCCTACCCTGGGAGCGAACGTGGGGTTTTCCCAGTTCAGTGGTGGAAGCCGAAGGTCTGATGGAGACTTGAAAGCTTCGAGACCTGGTCCAGACGTGGAGGGACTGTTGATCTAGGCTGCGTCCAGGGCGCTGATCATCCCTCCCGAAACATGGCTGTCCATCGGGCGGTCATTTATGTCCGCGCTAGAGCACGTTTGAACCTTGAAAGGTGCTTTTCCCCTTCCTCAGATTGGGATGTCTCGACGAGGCGATGTCGCATGTCGCTGGGTCGTTTAAGTACCCAGTTGTCACCGGGAGGCTGACGCCTCGGTGGACAGAAACAAGCCGAGAGAACCAGCCGGCTGGTCCAGGCGATGGTGGCGGCGCCCAGACCACCCAGGGGATCCCTACGTAATGATGGAGTAAAATATTGCAGCAGGAACCCATGGAGTGGACAAGATGAGCCTGGTTTGGTACCTGTTTCGTCGTCCACCTGAAGGGCATAGCCAATATCCGAAAGCGCCGAAAGCTCTGGAAACGGCCCGGTGGGGCGACCTTACCGAAGGACCAGGAAGCGAGTCACCGTGGACTAGCCACCGTCGGTCTTCACCTGGCTTCAGTTCGGCTTTATGGAAGCGAGGTGTGCTGCAGCGACTAGGCGGACGATGTTCTTTTCTTCTTTTCCACTTTTCTCCCTTCTTCTCCTTGCCGGCCGGTACTGTCACTCCGAATGCGTCGAGAAACAGGAACAAAGTGTAGGGGCGGATCACCGCGGGCCGGCATTTGTTTCGTTGTTTGACGAGTCCGGTTTCCAGTTGACTTGTCCCAGCCAGGAATTTGCGGCGGCCTCAATCCGTCATCTACAAATAACTTGGGGCGCGATCTTGTCAACCTTTTTTGGGAAGCCCTGTCGCACCACGGGGCTTTCTCACAGGCCCAGGGACGGACCGCAGCGCACACGACATGCATCCGACAAAACTCATCCTCAGACTCGAGGTCAGTGCGCTTGGCAGGGGAAAGCGGCCAGAGGCTGGAAAGGGAGACGTCAAGGGGATGAAGACGGCCGACGTGACAACAGCCAAATTAGAGAGCCCTTGAATCCTGGCGGGCTTGCAACGGCTTCACCTGATCTGATGTCTTTCCCAGGACGGTATCCTAATCGTGAGCTCCCTGTTGCTGGATGGGTACCTGCACTGCCTGGGAATAATAATAAGACGCGGTGACACCCCTGGTAATGTCGTGTCGTGCAACGACCGAAGCCCTTGGAGTTTGTCTGTAACCGGTACCGACGCCCGTGCGACGCTCAGGGCATAAACTAAGGCATCTGTGACATTCCGCCTCATCTACGGATGTGAGGCCCGCCGAGATCGGTATTATGGGGTGCGTCGTGTGTGGAACCCGTTCATCTGTCACGGCGCGATGGTGACTGAGCTGAGAGGCAGGGGGTCCCTTGGGTCCCTTGGGTCCAGCAATCCAGCAATCCAGCAGATTGTCAAGTCTGAAATGTCCGATTGACCAGGTTCAAGCCAGCAAAATGACGAGGTTAGAGGGCAGGCCCGTTTGAGACATGCGTGACGTCAGGGCGTTGATAGGCCTTTGCCCGCAAGCACACCTTGCTGGGCCCAGGCCGGCCCATGGATACGATTCCGAGGGACTGGTATCGGGAGGCTGAGGCAACCATTCTGGGCTGATGATGGCTACCAGGTTGGTGAAGGGACGGGAATAACGTTCCCGTATCTCTACTGGTTGAGGTTAGCTGACGGGGTGCAAGCCCGGCACGTGTGCGCTCCTGCCCTAGGTAGGTGGGCTCTCAGGCCGTTTCTTTGCATTGAAAAGAGAAAGAGCACACCCAAAGCAGACTTGCATGCGCTGACAGGCAACTCGCCGGTGGAGCTGCTGACCAAAAGCGGCTGCGGCTGGTCATGCAACAACCTTAATGACGGATATTGACTCCCCTTTTCGAACGAATACTCAAGCCTCAGAGTCGCGCTGTGCGCTGTGCGCTGTGCGCTTTGCGCCTGAGGTGCGGTAGATGGATGACAGATTCCTTACTTGACGCTACCGTAGCCATTTGAGTTTTCCACTACCCGCCTTGTCATCCAACCGAGATGGTCAGATCAGACCCATCCAACCGATCAGCATTTGGATGTCACTTTGTGGGTTGGTCCGCACGTTGGCCTGTGGTATTGGTTGGGCCGGACGCGAGTCCCTGCTCATCCACCCCGTTCCTACGGGGTAGAGGTATGTATTAATACACCACCATGTTTCCCTTACCTGCACTATCCTAGAGCCCGCCAACCGACATCAGGCGGCGTCCATGTGAAGCTGAGCTGTGACATGTCTAAGCGGGGACGTGACGAGATCTCCCCACCACACCACTTTGCTCCGTCTCACACTGAGCTTGCATCACGAAACAAGATGCCGTCACCGTGACACCCAAGGGGCATTCAACCCAAAAAAAAAAAAAAAAAAAAAAATACAAGGCTGTGCTATGTGGCAAAGACACCGTCTAGCTAGTGACACCGAGCATCGCACATCGCCTATCCCGACAGAAGCCCAGCATCTACGTAGTAATGGAATCGGGACTTCATGGCGACATATCCAACAACCAACACGGCAAATGTTGGTGGCGGCACCCTCCCGGACCTGCCCACCAATGACGTCTTCGCTCTCGAGAGGCCTCACGGCTCGCACACGCATAAGCGCCCAAAGACGCCCGCCCTCTCCTCAGTGGTCACTCTCGTCACTCTCCAGCAGCAAGCGTCACTTTCGAGCATGGGATATTGCGTTGCATCGCATCGCATCAACCAACACGACTCTCCAGTTTGAACGATTACCGCTCAACCACCCCACCCGCACGCGACCGCCGACCGTCTCTTTTATCTTGGACGGCGCCTATTCCCTCAGGTGCCTCGCTGATCGCGCTTGTTCGCTGTTCTAGACCTATCTCAGAAGAGGAACTGCATCTGCATATAACCTGCCGACCCCTCCATCCTTCCGTCATTCTCAAGCTTGGCGCCGGGATCCTCTTTCTTACAAGTAACCTTAATTTCTTCGTGACCTTCATCACGCCAGCTCTCTCACGTCCCGCCGTTACTCGACTGTTGGAAACTCACAACCACACCAAGTTGCTTCCACAATGGCTTCAGGACACAATGTAAGCATCATGGCCCCGCTCCCCGCTCCCCGCTTCGCACGTTCGACATCACACGTTCAGCATCACATCACACGTCTTGCATCACATCACACCCCACCTCCCACGCGGTGAACACCCCTGCGTCACTCTCACGCTGACACAAACTGCTCCCAGGATCCCAAGCTCCTCTATGCCGTCGAGGGCATTAACGCATACCACATCTCCAATGGCAAGGAGCGGTCCCTGACCCATTCCGGGTCTCAGACCCTGTCGCTCCTGATGGTCCCAACCTCGTCGGGGTTCGCTGATCCCTCAGGAGGCGGCGGCGGCGGCGAGGAGGACTTTTATCTTCACCTTCATCTCCCTCCGGAGCTCGACCTTCCCCTGCCTGCCACCACTCAGATCTACCACCAACCTCCCACCAGCTATCTGATCCCTCGCTGGGATCTCGGTCCTGACAGCGGTGCATTCACCCGAATCGAATTCCCCGCTCTCGGAACCAGGAACGGCATTCAGGAGGACGTTGACACCTTCGAGACCATCCTCGCTCAGTGCACCGCCTTCCTTGAACGGACTGCACCGCCAAAGTCCAGATCCTCCAAGGCCGCCATGGAAAAGGAGCGCGAGGCTGCTGCAGAGCGCATTCCCGCTTACAACCCGGCCGAGTACAGCCCTGGCCAGGCCTATGTGCAGGGCAGCCACAGTTCACACTCTGGTGGCAGGATTGTGCTTGTCGACGAAGAAGATGGAAGCGTTATTGGCGAGCTCACCGACTCTTATCAGGTTATTGAAGACAAGACCATTCGCCCTGGATCCAAAGGTATGATTTAACTACAGCTACGTCGAGCTTTTGTCAAACGATGTTAACTTTATTCAGATCCTGTTGAAATTTCTTTCCCAGTAGATGGTAGCCAAAACATCTCTGTTCAGCCTTCATCACAAGGATACGTCGAGATGGACCACCATCCCGCCTACAAGAAGTCATCGCTAGTATCTAATGCCTCCAAAGCTTCTCGCCTGATTGTCACCACATCCGATATTGTCACCAGGACGCTGCAGAGCCAAGCCAGCAACTTTACAAAAAGCACGAAGCCCCTAGCCACGCCCGTTACATTCGCCCCCGCTACGCATGAACGTGTCCGTCGCATCAACCAGTTCTCCTCCAAAGCCGCCGTGGTCTCATCCTCGACTGTCGGTGCCATTGGAAACGTGGCACAGAATCTCGGTGCCAGCCTTGGCCGTCGAAAGGATGGTCGCTCTCGGGGCTACGATAAAGATGGAAACGCAATCGAAACGTACAAACCTGGAGTGCTCAACAAGAGCTTAATGGCCTTCAACACGGTCGTTGATGGCATGGAACAGGCCGGCCGAAACCTACTCACTGGCACATCGAGTAGCGTGGCCACAGTTGTGGGACACCGCTGGGGCGCCGAAGCTGGCGAGGTGTCCAAGCACATAGGAGGCGGCTTCAAGAATGTCGGCCTTGTTTACATTGACGTAACGGGTGTGTCGCGCCGCGCTATTCTCAAGAGCGTGGCCAAGGGCATGGTTGTGGGCAAAGTCAAGGGCGGAGGAGACCTCATCGTAGGAGGAACCGATAACAATAGCAACGTGGCCCTCATGTCTGGAGGAGATGGCAAAGTCGACAGCCAACGCAAGGATTCCTACAGCACATACAGCGATGCGCAGAGCACATTCAGTGAGCATGATCCCTATGGCAAACGGCCTGCCAAGGGACCCTTTTAATGAGTGACGGAAACGACGGTTTATGACATTCCCTTATGCTCTTAGCACTTGCTTGAGAAGTGTTGGATGGATGCGGTGGAGGATCTGGGAATATACGAAATGAACCTGGCGAAAATTCTAGGTAGCCGGTTATAATGACTAGTTTTTCCAAATACAGGGTATACGGAGCAATAAATTTGAACAATGATGGTCTGGAGCTAAATTATGCACTCATGTTTTGCTTCTTCTTGTGGGAGTCGTTAATAGAGGTAGATGCTGTCATGCCTTTACTGTGTTTAACTGACGTCACGTGTGGTCGCGGGGCATGATGCACGTCCACCGCGACGCGCCAGCGAACGCCGAGAACCCGACCTCTTCAACAGACGACTGGATGAGATGAGCCCAGACGCCAACGACTGACGTAGTGATATAGACGGTGGTGAATACCGTGGCTCGGTCTCATCTCGCCCAGTGTCTTCTTCATCTTGAAACGATTGCGCCGAATCCCATTTATCTGCTGGCGAAGATCCTCATCCCTCTCGCGATCAACTACCCCACCACAACCTACAACCCGAGCCCGCATCACTAGCTGGTTTGGTTCATGTGCCGCTTCGAGCTCGTTGGTGTCATTATCCTTATGCTGCGAGATCTGCGCGGCCGCAAAAAGCCCAGCAGGGTCCAAAAACGGTGCGCATAGTCGGCCAACGAGACCTACGGCTGTTAACTTGCAGCCCCAGCCCGATTCCTCACGAGCCATGCTTCACGAGATCCTCCTGTCCCTCTCGGGCCACCCGTCCCCTCTCCTGCGAACCGACGCTCCCGAGCCCAATGTCCTCGCCGCCATCTCTCCCCCTGAGCGCCAGCTGCTAGCCTCAACCGCTCACCTCAGCAACGTCCACGTCAAGCTCATCAGCTACACCGCTCAGATCGCCGACTCGCACCCCTCGACCATCTGCCGTGCCGTTGCCATAGCCATCGACTCCATCCACCTCGCCGCATTCCAGCGCAAGGTCCTCGAGGTCGAGGAGAGCATCCTGCGCGATGATCCGGAGCTCGTAGGCGCTTACAACATCGTCCCGCTGACGGCGGTAGTCGGCGAGTTCAAGGAGTGGACGAGGAGGATGGAGTGGCTGTGGGAGATGGTGCAGTTCATGCTTGTCAAGAACAAGCAGGGCGACGTGTGCCATGGCGCGCAGCTCATGGATCGGCTGAGGAAGGAATTGCAGAGCGGTTATCAGGACGTGGTGGCCACCGCCATGAGCCTGGTCACTGTTGCGGAGACGGCCTGGCTGAAACAAGTCTCGGCCTGGATATTATACGGGAGGTTGCCGAGCTTTGGAAGCGAGGATTTCTTTGTACAGAGAGCAGAGAAGTCTGACGAGGTTCGTCCAATTGCTAACCGGTGGTTGACATATACTGATTCCTGGATAGGAGTATCTTTCCTACTCCAGCCTGCTACCATCCTTTGTCACGCCAATGACGGCTTCGTCCATGCTCTTCATTGGCAAGTCCCTCAATCACATACGCGTCAAAAGCAGCGTAGACTCGGGCCTCCAAGGTCTCGATCAACTATCGTCAAAGCTGCAAGAGCTCTCGAGTCTAACGTTTCCTCTAAACAACGCCGAGTTTTCAAGGGCGATAACTGCGATTCGGCTGTCTCTCTCCGAAAACACACTACAGAAACTCCTCCCGCTGGCCAGGGTGGAGGAGATGCTACAACTGTTACGAGACTTCTTCCTTCTAGGTCGCGGTGAGTTCGCCATGGCGCTGACCCACGAAGCCGATGAAAAGATTCGAAGCCGCTGGAGGAGGGCGGACAACCTGGCCCACGAAAAGGGGGATGGCCTGAAGAACATCACGATCAAAGAAGGGGAGGTAGCTGCGGTCCTCGGAAGGACATGGACAGTCCTAGCTTCGATGCAGGGCCAACATGCAGAAGAGGACGAGCAGCTCGAGCTCGCACGGGATCTCCTACGACTTAACCTCACCAAGACGAAAACCGTCACTCCCATCGGCGCTGGCTCTGGCCTGAGCGAAGACGCCGCAAACACCCTCGCGACATCGCCTTTCCGAAACCTCCTCTTCTCCGTCCCCTCCCTACTCTCCAGCCAGATCCCGCCGCCTTTAGACATGGTGCTCTCACCATCGGACCTCCAGCTGTACTCCTGTATCAATGCGTATCTACTCTCCATGCGCAGGGCGCACATTCGGCTGACCGATTTGTGGAAAATCACATCCCTGAGACGTCACCACCCAGCGCCTCGAGGTGGCCGCGAGCAAATCGTCCTCCTCAGAGACCGCTGGACCGCGCGGTCCATGTCAATGCGCAGCTCATGGACCACTGCGAGTGCTACAATATTCTTCCTTGCGGAAACAGAGGCCTATCTTCAGACGGAAATCGTCGCAGGCCTGTGGGAAGGCTTCCATATGTGGCTGACAGCGCATCAGGGAGGCCGGGATACCCGCTCTGGCGCGACAACCCCGGCACTCCGGCCAACAACCAAAGACGGCGAGAGTGACGATGACGACGAAGAGGAGGAGGATCTTTGGCTACGCGAAGACGACAAGTCTGCCAATCTCCAAGACACACCCAAGAAAGCCAACACCAACCCGTCACACGATCCGCAAACCCTCTCCACTGCCCACCGCCTCTACCTCCGCACCTTAATCCACCGCCTCCTCCTCACAGAGCCCAGTTTCACCCAGCCGCTCTACACCCTCCTGATCCATATCGACCACCTCGTTGCCCACTTACACCGTCTCCACGCCATCTACACCTCGCTCGACCTCGAGGAGGATGCCGGTGTCGTCGACGCCTTCGTGGACCTCGAGGCCGAGGAGCGCGACGTCAAGCGCCTCCTCCGCACCGTAGAGAACCGCGTCCGCGCGGGCATCGAGGACGTCGTCGCCGCCCTGCGTGCCCTTGAGTCAGACCCCGCCTTCGCCGCGGAATGGGAGGGCGATGCTGCTCTCGCCCTTGCCGAGCATGTCCCCGGGACTGATGACGACGCCGCTGCCGAACGTGGCGGCTATGTCCCGGCTCGGGTCGGCGGCGTAAACAGGCTGTTGATGAAACTTGACTTTGGCACCTGGTTCGGCAGACCGGACGAGCAACAAGGCGCGTTGTAAGTGCGGGGGAAGACAACACGGAACTGTAGCAAGGAAGCCCTGTCTTCTGTGTAGACGGATTTATGTCATATGGCGTCACGGATGGGTCGATTCTCGGATCTGGGGTGCAGGTGCTGGACCGACCGGGACGCGGTCCCGGATAGGCATATACCATTGAGTTGTCAAACTGCATAGAAGCAATATTCTGTGTCAAATTCGCAGTCGTATCAGGTCATCATGGCGTCTCATCAGTCGTGCAGCCCAATCATCCATGCAAATCCATACATGAATCCATCGATCCATCCCGTTTCATGAGCCGGGGTAAAGACAGACCGAAAATGAGAGCCCAACCAAGATACCAAACCAAACCCAGCCGGGTTTATTATCCCAATACACCAAACGCCTCGCCTTCCATGCTGCTGAAAGGATCCCGTAACCCGCTAATGCCAATAAATGAATGACGCCAATGGCCCAAATGAGTGGCATGCAGTTACAATAAACAATACCAAAAAAACAATAATTGTTAAAACAAGAAATTTTTGAAGAGACAATAAATGTGACAATGACAGACTGGTATCGTAATCACAATACATTAAATGGCGAGTCGGAGGCTGTAGTCTTCCGAAATAATGATAGGCAGGTACTGTCGCCTACAACGTATTATCCTCAAGGGGAGAGAGGATATCCTTCCCTCTTGAGGTTAAAAAAACGTGAGTCGAGAATCAGGTCTCGAGTAATGGAGACTTTTGCTCCTTATGTAGGAGTTGTTGATGAAGAGGTGGTGAGTATATGTCAAGAGGCATGCAGCTAGTAGGCGGCGACAGGTCGACGGCCAAATCGTAGTGGGCCGCTACCCCTTGGGTGCTCCTCTGAGTGCCGTCGATGAAATAGGTTATGGACAAGACCATGTGGAGCAGAGTCGTTGAAGTCGCCGATGCGGGTGCGGATAGCGCGATGAGAAGGCTTCTTCGCCTGCCATCGTTCTTTGATGCTATCATCGACGAGAACGATAAGTCCTGTACCGACAATGACGCTAGCAAACGGTTAGAATCAAGAAGCACGACAGATTATGGTATTTATTAGATAAAACTTACTCTGCCACGTCGGTGACGGCGTCAATGATGCTGTTGTCACTGATCCACATGTAACAGGGAGCGACCCAGGCACCAGCCATCTCGTCGTCGAGCACTTGGTTGGGGCTGCGCATCTCGGGAACGATATGAGCGATGGGGGCTCCGTGTCCGTCACGGACAAGGTGATAGGACACCACGTTGAGATTCTTGTCGATGACACGCTTCCAAGCGTACTTGTGACCCCACCACTCGAACTCGTACCGCTTGCTGGATCGACCTCCTCGTCGTGCCACATCGACGTGTGCATAGTTGCTAAATTCAAGCTTGATCCGGTTGGTGGGCACGAGGCGCGGCTTGGCCTTAGGCGTCTGTGACTGGGTCTGCTCCGAAGAGACAGAGTGACGAGAGTCAGACCAAACTGAGGCTCCATCGGAAGTGGTCGAAGCGCTGCTACCCGTGGGGTTCTTGAAGAACGAGGAGGTGCCGGAAGACGAGCGATGGAATGGTGTGGTGATAGTCTGTAGTGCTGAGCTCATAGAGCGACGCAGAGCTGGGCGAGCGGCTGCGACTGGGCCGGACGGGGCTGGGGCGTAGTCGCGCTTTGAGTTGCAGACCTCTCGACCAGAGTCACGACAGTAGCGCCGTAGAGAGAATTGCCGGCGGGCCAGGTCATGCATGCGGAGGTGGAAGAGTTGGATGGCGAGAGGTCGACGTCCTGGGCCGACAGGCACGAGCGTATCCACGCGTAGGTTCATGTTACCATCGGGGGTAAGGTCATCATGGCGAACGGCGAGGCGATCGAGAGAAGGAAAGAGGCGGGCAAAGTCCTGGGCAGTCGAAGGCCGAGCAGGAGGCTCGTTGGAGCCCCCTCGATATGGAGGCAGGATTGGGGGGATGTGGAGGGAGGCCGGGTCGGACAGAATGTAGTTCTTCTCTGCTTCTTCGGCTTCGTCTTCAGACTCGTCGTCGTCGTCTCCGCTCTCCGAATCCTCTTCTTCCTCTTCTTCGCAGCCACCAACTGGCAGATCCCTACATAGGGGTTCCATCTCAGACATGACAGAGTCGTAGGTGGCAATCGAGGAAGACGAGGCGTCGAACAATGTTTCGGCAACCGCAGGGGCTTTTCCTGCTGTCGAGGGCTTCTGGCCCTGGATTACGGTGAGGCCCTTGTTGTGAGAGGTAGATGTTGAATGAAAGGATGTGGGGGCGGTCGACTGGGAGGCATCAGAGAAGTAGGAGTCGCGAAGAGAGTCGGACTCAGATGGCGCTGGAGAAGTTGTAATGACAACCTTTCGGTTCCGCCGAGGTGATGAGCTCGATGACATTGTGAAATAGGGTGAGGTTGGTGTGTTAAGGTCGATATTGGTGTCCGGTTCGCGCCGTTAGGGCGGTGTTAGGCGTAGCGGAAGTCCGTATGTAAGGTGTTGCGCAGGTGGGTGAATGGTGAAGATGCTGGGCGAACAAAGTTACGCGTAGAGTCGGTAGTCGCGGAGGAGTTGTTTCGGGTGTAGTCAAAGCGTTTGGCGATAGGGTGTATAATATAGTTAGGCTGGGCCAGATCAGATCAGATCAAAGTCACATCGACGAGGTGGCCAGGATTGCGAAAGGGGGAGGGAGGCTGTTGATATATGAGTTATCGGCTGGAAGCCATTCAGTCAGTTGGTGCCTTGGATTGCGCAGTGATATGGCGGGCAGTGGGGAGGACCTAGAGGGGCTTATACGGGGCCTGACCTTATACGTAGTACGCAACGGTGGACCCAAACGGCGCGGTGATGAGCCAGCTTAGGAGGCCAGCCAGGCAAGCCAGGATTAGGCGCAGCAGAGTCAGTACCAGGCTGGTGACTTCAGCGGGAGGGGACCACCTGTCAACTGGCGCCACGGCGGGGAGAAGTGGAAGAAGCGCCTCACCCCGAGGCCGGCAAAACGACGACGACAGAGGGCCACCCCCCGGACCACCCGCGGGTCAGGGGCTGGGCTCCAAGGGCCTCGTTGGCTGGAGGTGACCGGGGCGAGCGCATGGGTGCGAGCGAGGAAGACCTCCCCGAAAGCCTGATCAACTGCACTAACCTGAAGGTGGGCAGACAGTCACAGCAGCGTGAGAATTGGTCTCCGGGAGGCGCCTTGCTCTGGGAGCTTGGGCGGTTGGGCGGGTGGCCAAACTCCAAGTGCCACCACCCACCTCACGCTGGCGTCTCAGGCTTTCTGGGGATGCGTACTATGTACGAAGTAGCACCGTGGGGGGTCTCCCGAAAACGAGTCCTCCGGACCATATCCCGCGCTGGGGCCTTAAATCCACTGGAGACGGACCGTCCATTGAATGAGTCGGCAAGTGTGCGTGTGAGTGTGTGGGCGACGGTAGGCCGTACAGGGACAGCCCATGGCCAGGGGGCGAGAGCTGTTCAGAGCTCCAAGTCACACCACGCGTGGCCTGTTATGATGTCCCGTTGGTTTGGACCATCTGGGACCATGGACGGCCATCTTTGCTGGGTCCCGAAACAGAACGACACTGTGAGCACGCACTGATCGCCGAGAATCTCGTCCTTTCGTTTGTCGATCCATGAATGGGATGAATTGAAGGAATCGACCCGGCGGGCAATTGGTTCGACTGGGGCGAATACGTCAAGGATTTCCAGGGACGCGAATTTCCACCGCTGCTGATCCGGTCCACAGCGATGAGACAAGACCCAGCCTTCCATCAACGAAAAGACGGGGTACGTCACTCGTGGTGCTATTCAGGATGCATCACTGCATCAAAAAAAAGAAAAATCGCCTGCAGTGCGTGCTGTACTCCAGTTTTCCGAATGCTCAAGAGCTGCCGGATTTGTGCTGGATACATCATCGCCGTGGGACGGAACAGCACAGCACACCACGACATCCATTCCCCCACGTGTGGACGCCTCCGGCGTAAAGGGAGCGGGCTCCTTCCAGAAGTAGCTACCGAACCTACTGACTGAGGTCCGAGTCGGTTGGAAGAGTGCAGCAGCCTGGTGAGTGATTTGGCGACAGCTCATTCATAAGCTCCTCCCCATAACCCGGCCAAAATAGGCAGTGAGGCCCTGGGGCAGGTCCAGTATCGTGACCTAGCGAGCTCCCGAATGGGGACATGGCCCGACCGTTTGGCAATCGGGGAGAGATCTTCGTGTTCCGGTTGGGTTGTGGGTCTGAGTGTTTGAAGGTTTCTGGTTCTCGGGATCCGTGACGCTGCCGAAGTGGCGAAGCCCTGTCTGTCTGCACTCCAAGATCAGATGGCTGCGTCGCTGAGATGATCATGATTCCATTTTTTTCCCTCCTGAGTGACTATCGACGGGGAAACGTTTAGCAGGTCACGCACATCGCCGCCGCACCTTCCCTTCTTCACCCGGCCGACACCATCTTTCCTTGCTGTATCTGCCAGCAGTGGCTGCGTTTGGTTCCAGGTGTCAGCACCTGCTCTGCACGTTGCTGGGTAAAGTCGGCAGGTGCAACTGCCATCCAATCCCACTGAAAGCCTCAGCGGCGTCCGTTACCGTTGCAATGAAAAATGAAAGTGCCGCCGTCCTCCGCACCTCCCTTGCCCGAGTCCACCCGGTACCTACCTAAGGTAGGTACCTGCAGTATAGTACCTGCTACTTGCTCTACTCCGTACCAGAACAAACTACCTAGTAGACTGCTGCCAGAACTTGGGACGTTGCGGCGCATTTGCAGTTGGTGGGTGTCTTCCTCGCTCCATCACTGAAACTTTCTACCAGTGACATGCCTTACACACTCCCTCCCCTCCTACAAAAGTATTCTCCTCAATCCTCAAGGGGCGACCTTGCTAGAGGGACCAATGTGCTCCCACCGTCCACCTCTCTCACCTCTCGAAAAACACTCAAGCCAATCAACGAGCCAACCAAATGCTAACTCTCCTTGCTGACCAGGTCTAGATCCAGCGCCTCATCTCTGCCTCTCCGCCAGGCCACAGCGGCACGCCCGGACCTGCTCTCCGCAGACGCACGACCGATTGGACCCCAGTGCCATCTCTCTCGCTGCCTTTTCGCCTGGCCGGGATTGCACAGAGCCTTTTGCACAATCCTTGCGGCGTCCAGAGACCGGCAGAAACTCTCGCCGCCTTGTCTATGTCTTTGCGGCCTCGGTGTGGCTCATCCGCCATACACGAATCCCCAGCCACTTAGGCCGCCGTGTCTGCCCTGTCTCAACCGCTAAAGCCACGTTTATGCCTCGGTGACGACTATTTTACGACAATCTCTGCGGCTTCGCCCCAAATGCCGAGCATCGGGCTCCAGCTGTGCCTGGCAGGATCGTTGCTGGCCTCGAACCTCGGGGCTCCGCCTGGGCGTGCTGCTATTTAGGGAACAATTGAAGCCGCTGTCTGGGATAGCTCCCAGCCCCAAATGACAATTCCAACATGATTCATCAGGCACTAATCAACTAAGAAACCCGAGGTCGATTGGTTCCTCTAGCAGGCAACTCTACCAACGATGTACGGGATGCGTCAGCTAATCGCCCTAATCCAACTGCCGTGAATCATGTCCTCGGGAATCTAAAGCCACCAACACGAGTTGTAATGAGGCCCGACCTCGACAGGAAGTTATCCGTTCAGCTTGTCACACCCTCACCCAAGCCACAGTCACACTCATTCGCACTCTCTGTCCCTCTTCTCTCCTCATCGCCGATCAACTCCTCCCCCGGAAATCGGCGGTCCAACCGGTGGCGTTGATGAAGCTGCACTGCATCTCGCTCAAACCCGTTCACATGCATCATGCACCTGGGCAGAGGTAACTGCGTGCGGGATGTCCAAGCATCCTTGGATACTCCTGCACATGCCTTGTACTACCGTCGCTTCCACGCAATCTGCCACCCAAACAAGCACACGACAGCTACACCAAGTGTTTTAGCCTGCATCTCTACTCAACTTTTCACACCCACCACAAAAGCTGACCATGTACACCATGTACATCTAGCCGAAACTGGACGTCGAAGCAACCCATCACGTTGCAGCTCGTGACGCATGTGTCGGCCTCTTATTCGCCCTCCCCAGTCTTTTCGGCCCTCCTCCAGACTCCGGCTCGCCCGCGCAGCCAATCGTCACCGTCCATATAATTCTGCTGCCACCGTTGCGCCTTTTTCCTTCCAGAACGTGCCCCTTGCTCCTTTGTCTGGGGTCGAGGGAGAGGTTCCGGATAATCGCAGGGTTCTCAAGACTCAGCATCCCAGGCGACTTAGCCTGCTTGGCAAGAGCTCGCCTCGGTAATCTGCACCTGTGCCTGGTTGCCATATGGCAGCGACAGACTTGTTCCGAGACCTCGAGGAAGTAAGCCAGTAGATTGGTAAACCTCTGGGCTTGCGACTCGGTGCCTGATTATCAAAGAAGCCTCTAATTGAATCCACTCTACTTTGTTTCGTCCCTTGTCTCCCCACGTGCTGCCAACTGATACGTCGTGTCACCACCATCAAGCTTCTCGCAGCCACCAACTTGGCAAGCCTCGATCTAGAAACCCCCAATGTCTCACTCCAGGTCATCTTCGGTCAGAAATTTCGCGTCCCGTGGTGTGGGCGATCTTTCTCCTTGAGCGACCTTGGGCGTCCTTCGCTGCACCTACCCGAGACCCAATGCCGGTTCTTGATGCAATGCGGTGCGGCTGCTGCTGCGCTGGAACGACACGCCTAGGAAATCTCAGGCATCATTATGCGGCAGCACAATAACCGCGCTGGTCTCATGACGATGTCTGCATTCTCCTCGAAGATTGCGTTCCAGTCACTCGCCACAGCGTGGGTGGCTCAATGCTATGCCTCGCAACTCATTGCCGTTGACAACGCGACTGGCCCGTATGCTTCCTCAGTAGCAGCATCTAGCTCCAAGCAATAGCTGCCGCCTCACTCTATCCTGTCTTGGCCTGCAGGCCTGACCCCATATGGCGACCTAAGAATCCAAGCGCGGTTCGGCCAGCGGCGGGTCGCGCAAACAACGGCCAGCCATCAGGCCCTAGCCATGAAGTGTATGGGGGACGAGGAGGAGCTCCGATGGCAATGACGACGCCAATGTCTCGAGATGCTCTCCAGAGAAAGGAACGGATCAATAGGCGTCGACCCGGAAGAGCGCCGGCTTACGATTCGGTCTCATACTGCATTTTCCACTTTCCCCCACGCTCTTGGTGCCTAACTAACGTGAATACCCGCCCACGCCCCCGTCTACACAACGACTCCAGCGATATCAAATGTGGACCAAATGAATTCTCCGTTGCCACTCATTAGCCTGCCGCCGCGGTTCCGCGATTACAGGTGAAGCAATCCGGTAATACCTGACCGGAGCGGGTCAACCGCTAGCAAGCCAGGAAATATCCTGGTTCTGAAGCGCCTAGTTGGGTGACCTGACTTCACATGTCCTGTCGTGCCACCTCCACAGTCACAGTCACGAGACTCGCTTCATCTAATGAGCTGGCTGCCGAACCGGCTCTGCTGTTCGCCAAACGCCTCGCAACTTCCTGGCCTCTCGTCCACCACCTCCTCGCCTCATCTCCTCACCTCATCCCCTCACCGCGAGTCCAATCCACCATGCCACACAAAAAGCCCAACGACGGACTGTCACCAATCCCACCACCGTCTGGTAGTTGGTCTTCCCCTCTCTTCTCTCCTTGATAGTGATGGATGATCTCAACACCTCTGCCTGGCACTCAGCACCGAAATCGGGCCTCATGTGTCGCGACGTCACTTGGTCGAAACTAATCATTGCCTTTTCTTTCACCGTCGGAGATCTTGTCGATCCTCTAGCCACGGGCACGATAGAGACGGAGCTGTGATGATCATATGGCTTCGGGTATTACTTCAATGACATAATGCAGAATATCAAGGTAAGAAGCCGTGTTTACGTTATGACAGTACGTAAATCGCAGGTAGCACGCCTTGAAAAAGACCATTCTTACTGTAGCGCACAAGAACTCGAGGCCCATATTTGTGAGGTCGCTATAACACACTGAATAAGGTATATGCACGTTGTGAGGGTTGCAGCAATATAACATTAATAGAGGATTGTAAAATCAATGTCTAGAAGAGATGCAAGATGGAAAGCGGTTGGGAGTGGAAGATGCAGCAATTTGGTACCTGTTATACCAAAAACAAAGAAAAAGGGGCAAGTTCGTAACGAGTAGATACTGCTAACAATGCACATATTGTTTTATCATTGTGAGTCGTGCTAGGGCCAAGAGAAGCTTGCTTCCGCGAATAGACAGGTCTATAGGACGTAGAAAAAACGAGGGTAACGAGTAGAAAAAGACATATCGATCAATAACGTAACCTACTGAATCGAACTGCTTGCAACTAAATCCTCTCCCCTTTCCTCTTCCTCTTCCTCTTCCTTGGTCTCCCTTCCAGCTCTTCTACCGCTTCCTATCCCACGACACCAGGCTTCCGGGTGAGATCCACGGCATTATCCCCATCATAGTACTCGTATAAACCCCCCAGCAACACTAGGGCTGGCTGTTCCAGCCAACCCAGCTTCGTGGCATAACACGCCAAATCTTGACCTCGCCGCTCCGCAGATCGTCGAGCTTGAAGCTCTCAACCTTGACCTTTTTGCTCTCACGTCCCTGTTCCCACGCACGCACCTTCTTCTTGGTGCCGTCCCACTCGGATACGATGGCAACGTGATCTGGCTTACCTACTTCGACGGAGTACTTGGCATGCATGGGACCGTGTTTGCCTTGGAAGCGGGCGTTGCGGATGGTCAGGATGTCACCAGGCCGAATCATGTCGTTCTGTTGCGTCGAGGCATTGGCCATATTGGAGTATACGAGGGCGCCGTAGGCACGGGTACCGATGGGCGCAAGTGCATCCTTGAAGGGGCTCAGCAACTCGAAAACGAGGCCCTGCGGCGTGCCGTCACCAACAACGGTTTCTTTCTTGGCCGCAACGGCGTTCGAGATAAGGCGGCCGAACCGCTCGTAAAACTCCTCCATCTGGTCCTGGCGAAGGGGTCGTGGTGGCGGCTCGTGGCGTTGCTCGACGTTGACGTCAGAAGGGTTGTAGGGGTCGTAGCGGATTGTGAGGAACGTTTGCGAGTAATCCTGGTATAAGACGAAGACCTCGCGTGTGATGATGGTCTTCTGTCCGCCGTTGGTGGATGTCGTCTCCTCGCTCTCGAAGAAGATATCCTTGCGGCCTTGGAGAACAGGGGGCACCTGGTTCGTTTGTTTCCACCAGCCACTCTGCACCGCTAGGTCAATGTCGTTGGCAATGAAACCCGACTCCATCGAGGGTCGGTGCATATCGACTGATCGCCTGCCTGCCCTTGACACATCAAGCGACTGCCGACCACGACCAGCAGCAGCTGGCGGAGGGGGTCTCCGATCAAGAGGAGAAGCCTGTGATGGGGATCCTGGGAACATTTCCTCCTCCTCGATCATGGGAGTCCTGTGCGAGAAGGCTCCGGGAGTAGTTGCCGCCGAGTAGTTGTAAGGGTCGTAGTCTTCATCAAGTTGAGGGGAAGCGAGGTTTGTCGGAGGCGGAGGCGGAGGCGGAGGAGCCACCCGAGGCACGTCAACAGACCTTCGCGTGTCTGAAGGGGGAAGGTGAGTAGGAACTGGTGGTGGAACTGGAGGCGGAACAGCTCTCGGAGCTGCTGCTGTCGGAATCGCGGGTGGTAAAATAGGAGGAGCATCTGTGGTGGGAGACTTCAGCGAGTTCTCCTCGAGACTCGAGTCCCGGGCATGGGCTTTCAGAGCGTCCTTGTGGGGGGCCGAAGAGGCAATATCAGTGTCGTAGTCGCCCTCGTACTCGGTGACCTCCTCATCCTCTTCCTCGCCTGCCTGTGACGGTCTTGAAGGATTCGGCGTTGGGGTGTCTACCGTGGACTGTCGGCGGAGTCCTCCCGGGGGAGGTGGGGGAGGTGGCCGACTTTGCGCAGGAGGGGGAACTGGTACGGATCCAGGGATTGGAGGTGGTGGGCGGCTGAGGCGCTTGTTCACCGTAGTGGTAGGAGACGCGGGGATAAACTCGTCGTGGTCGACTGACTTGGACGGAGATCGGATGGGCAGGCTTGGGGGTTGTACAGGCGGCGGTGGCATAGGAGGAGACCTGGCAACTGCAGAAGGCTGCTCGATGGTGCTGTCATCATTTCGGTCTCGGCTGGAGAGCTCGTCATCAGACTCGGATCCCTCCGTTTGGGACTTCATATCGGCAGGAGGTGGTGGAGGTGGTGGCCGGGCTGATGCGACCGTTAGTTATGAACAGTAACGCAGTATATCTACACTTACCTTCAGAGGGTACAGGAGGTGGCACTGGCCGACCACCGGGAATTTGAGGAGCCACGGCATCTCGGGAGGGAACTGGGTTACCTGTTAGCGAGCTCGGAACTGACCAGAATACAGTGATACATACTCGCTGGGGTGCTCATAGGTGCGGGGGTGGTCGCTTCGTCTTCGTCGTCGTTATCTTGCTCATCTTCGACTACTCGGGGAGGAATAGACGGGATTGGAGGTGGCGGGGGTCGAGAAGCTTGTTCGGCCTCGTCGCCTGGTCGCGTAGCCTCCTCAGACTTCCTGGGACCTCCCATACCCGGAAGAGCCATCATAGTTGGGATAGGAGGAGGGGCACGAGAAGAGGGAGACATTTCCTCAGCATCTTCGCCAACGGGCGATTGCTCAGCCTTGGGAGCCTTCTTCTTCTTGGGCGGTGGAGCAGGGGGCATTGGCCCGCCAAACATGCCATGGAAACCCATGCCGCCGCTCATCTTGGCCATTCTCGCCCTGAGCTCCTCCTTGCGCCTGACTTCGGGGTCAACGTCTTCATCATCTTCTGCCGCCTCGTCGCCACTCTCGTCTTTCGGTTGTGGTGGAGCAGCAGCGACAGGTTGTATAGGTAGAGTGGGTACTCGAGAGGCACGTCGAGAGACGGGGTCGCTATCGTCTCGCTCCGTCAAGTCATCATTACCCTCAGTCGTATCGCCAGCTCCAGACATATCTGCCTCGTTGCCATCATGGACGGGCTCCACCGCAGGTCCCTTGGAGGACTTGCGACGGGGAGGGGGAGGCATGCGTGGAGGTAGGGGTTCATCGGTAGAGGTTCTTGTTCCTGTCTCCTCAGTATCCCGGCGCTCCAGAGGAGCGGCAGGTGGCGGAGAGGGTTCCTCAGCCTCGACCAGAGCCTCGGCGTGACCAATGCTCTCCCGCTTCTTCTGGGGTCGTTTAGGCTTCTCCTTCTTGGAAGCTGCATCGGCATGTCGATTTGCCTGTTCCATTTGTTGCTTCTGCAATAAAGCAATGCGTTCCTTGAGGCTTGTAGGTTTCGGCTGGTCTTCGCCACCGTCCTCTTGAGATTCCGTTGGTGCCAGGCCAGCCCTTTCTGCCTGCCCCTGGTTCTCAGCCTCCCTCTCCCTAATCTCGGGATCCTCATCACGTCGGTAGACCTTGGCCGTTGGAGCCTGTTGCGGAGGAGGGATATAGGCGTTTCGACTCGGTGGAGGGGCCACGAAAGGCTTCCTTATGAAGCCCCCCGTAGGCCCAGTCAGACCACTCGGCTTGAAGGGGGCTACTGGAGGCGCTGCGGGTTTATTAAATGCGGCAATGCGATCCTTGAACGAGTTTCTTGTAGGTTTCTCGGAGACCGGAGGAGGACCAGGCTTAGGCTTGGGAGCAACAGGAGCAGCAGGAGCAGCAACAGGAGCTGGAGCGGGTGCGGGAGCGGGTGCGGGAGCAGGAGCTGGGACAGCAACAGGGGCTTCGACCGTCCTCGGGGCAGCAGGAGGGGGTGCGGGAACAGGAATGGACTCGACGGGCTTCGATGGTATGGGTTCCGGAGCTGCCGGAGCTACCGGTTCGGGTACAACAGGTGTTTGGACGGGCTTGTAGACTTCCTCAACTTCAGGCTCGGGCTCGGGGACAGGAGGGGCCTCTTGTTGCGCAGGTGGCGGTGGGGGAGGAGCAGTGGCATCGTCGGCGTGAGCAGGTTCGGGCTCCTTCTTGGTACGGGTGCGCGACGGCCTCGGGGGCGCGGTGGGCTCGAACTTCTCGACAAAGTTGCGGGGGAAGATGCCCTCATGCTTGACACCATCGTCACCGAGGTATTCCCCGCTATACCAGTCGGCGTCTTCTTCATCGGTCACGGTGATGATTTGGCCAGTGCCAAAGTTGAGGTCGTCCTCGTGGGGCGACGAATAGTCGTAGATGGCCTTGACCCTGAATGGCGACGCCATGGTGAATGAAGGCGAATGCCGTGGGCGTAGGAAGCTCTCTTGCAGGACAAGTCTGCCCGAGGCCGGATCGAAGCTGCTCGGGGCGTCTGGAGGTGGAGGTCGACAGCTCGCTCGCTTGCTTGGTTGGATGTGGGTCACGACAGGGGCGTCGTCAGCCCGTCGGATGAGGCGAGGCGGGAGGCGGCGGGGAGGGGAGAAGGATGTTGGCTGGAGACGTCGCGGCGGATCAAGAGAGGGGGGGATGAGATGGATAATCCGCGAGCAGGCGCCAGCATAAAAGAGAATGCAAGTGAGGGCAGAACTGCGCGGAGGCGAAAGGAGGCGAAAGGAGGCTGTGGTGGTTTAGCGGATTGTCCTGCTGGCTGGGGGCGTGGGTGTGTCGACGTCAGCGCGTTGAGTCTATCCGTCACTCCATCCCACGGGTAATAAGTGTTAAGGTAGGGTACCTACCACCTTAGGTTGCGCTGGCTGGTTGCGCTGGTTCCGTCTTCCGAGGGGGCGCGGGTAGTAGAGTGCTGTGGCCACTAGAGTGCTAGGCTGTACCTACCGAGGATGAGCCGCAGATCTCTGGCTCGCAGCGGACGAGGTGAGGATAGAGCACGGGTTAACGAAGTGCAGAATGATTACAATACTGGAGGATGGGCATTAAGAAGAAAGCAAAAGGCCCGAGAGGATTGTAAGTTACGCAGCTGTGCCATGTCAGAGCCGTGTCTCGCATAAGGGAGCTTTAGGTTCGTGTGGGTTGCTGCGTGGCTGTCGCCTCTGGAAAGGACCTGAGGCGCCAAAGTCGGCCAGACTGAACCTGGGGCAGGAGCACCAAGCGCACCTTTCAAACACCTGGTCGAGCATAAGGAACGCCAGTAGGGGCCTGCTTCACATGCCCCGGTTGCCTGGTTCTATAATTAAGTAGGCCGTCGTCAATTAAGCAAAGTCGACTCATATCTGAGTGCAACTATGACTCAATGACTTCCGACGCCCCATGCGACGAGAACTGAGCTCTCCGGGAGGCGCGGGGGATCATCATGCCTCCTGCGTCCCGCATGTACCTTCTCTTTTCGGGGCTCCGGACTGCCAAAAGCACTCGTGCGTGTTTTGGAGACACAGCACAAGGCGATTGTTGGCCCGCCGTCTGGTCGGTGCGCCACGAGTGGCTTGATATCCCCTCAATGTGGCGTGTGGCTTCCCTTTTACTTTCACTTCCATCATCGTCGCAGTTCTTACCAATATTAGTGGCGGCGGGGTCTTCGCCCTTATTCTCATTACCATTCTCTCCAACAACAACAACAACCAACAATGCAGGCACCTGATCTTGAGGTGCTGCCCACCATGGCAGCCAAGACCAAGCAGCCCCCAAAGGGCATCCTCAAGAAGCCTGCTGCTAACGAAAAGGAACCCGCCGTCGATCCCAGGGAGCTCGCTATCCAGCACGCCAACATCTTGCAGCACCGCAAGGACCTCGAAGCGCAGATTCTCGACAGCCTGATCCTCCTCTCCGAATACCCCGTGCTCCGCGGCGCTCTCCACAGTGCGGCAAACCCAGCTCCTTCTGACGTGGCCGACTTCAAGTCCCATGTGCGCCTCTTCCAGCCTTCAGACTACGATGACCTCATCGTCGAGCGCAACGTCAACGAGCTTTGCGGATATACACTATGCGGGCGCCCGCGGAGGCAGATGGGCCCGGGGGGCGAATGGAAGATCACCAGCAACGGGGACATTGTGAAGCGCAAGGACCTCGAGATGTGGTGCTCGCAAAAGTGTGCTCGGCGGGCGCTGTACGTCAAGGTCCAGCTGAACGAGACCGCTGCCTGGGAGAGGGCCGGTATCCCTGACATCGAGATCGAGCTGCTTGACGAGGATAGATCCGCTGAGACGGAGGCCGATCGTACCGCACGCAAGCTGGGCGAAATGAAACTGGAGGACCAGCTGAAAGCTGCGCGAGACACTGCCGCTCTGGCGCTGGAGCGTGGAGAACCCAGGCTCTCGGCTCAAAAGAAGGTCGAAGTCATACTCCGAGAGAAGCTCACGGATAAGGACGTCGAGGCTCCAGCTACGACGAATGCGCTAGAGGTTTACGATGATGACGATCATTTGGTTGTGGAGGGATACAAGAGCAAACTCATAACGAGTACAGAGAAGAAAGCGGCGTGACCCATAGTTTCGTGTCATAAAAACCGGCGTTGAATTGGTTGGCAATTCAAAGGTAGCATTTCGAGGGACAATGGATCAAGATACCCAAGGGAACAATAGGGCATCGTCGTGGCTCATATAGGCGTGGTCGATGGGGTGCAGCACGCCAAGTCTCCCCTGAGATCTGAACTGGCCGTATTCAAGGTCACATTCACAGCGGAGGAAGGAGGTAAAAATGGCAATCAAGCGTCATCTCTGGATTTCTCCAGAGAATCAGCGACACCTTGGGGGTTGGAAGATCTTTCTTTGAGACCTATGCACTCACTGTCCTAAGACGCCAAGTAATAAAACCCCGTAAAATGCCATACACCCATGTTCCCAAAATCGTTTTTTTAATCCCGGCGAGGGGGACGGTCGCCGAAGCGTCGCTGGCCACGCTCGGGGACCTGGGTCTGGGAGACCTGAACAACGTTGACGGGGATAGAGTCGAACTGTGTAGAGTCAGTATGTGGTCTCAGTGGTACAGTACTTCGGGTTCCACTTACGCCAAGGTGCTTGAGGAGGTCCTTGGTCTCGCCGTCGACGTCGAGCTGGCCGCTCTCGGAGTTCTGGGTGAAGTCGAGAGCGGAAACCTCGGGAACGTACTGATCCTTGCGCTCACGCTCCTCCTCCTGAAGCTTGAAGGAGATACCGCGGACGGGACCACGCTGAATACGCTTCATGAGATGGGTGGTGTAACCAGCAATCTACAATATTCCCCCAGGTCAGTTTTCCGCAATCCCTCTTGTTCGTCGAGCTGTGCTGCTAACCTTGTTGCGCAGGCGCTTGGAGGCGATGATGGCGATCTCATCGCAGATGCGCTTGTTGGTCTCGAAGTCGAGGGTAAGCTTGGGGTAGTACCGCTCAATGATGACCTTGGCGGACTTCTTGACAGTCTTGGTGCGGACGCGACCCATTTTGGCGGTATTGAACTGGTGATCGGGGGGGGGGATGGGTTGAGAAGGAGTCGCTCGTGGAAATGCGCCAAAGTCTACAAATTTGGTGTTGAGTGGTGGGGTGCACAAATGGTTAGGGCACGGAATTTTCGCGCACATGATATCCCACGTGACCAAAATATACACCCCGGCCCCAATGCTTCTATCAACCAACCTCTCAGTGTAAATGGACGATAAGAATGAATCAATGAGCAATTGACTTGTCGGAGCTAGGTGGGCAAGCAAAACTAGAGGGAGATTTCAATCAGGGAATTCCCAAGTTACTTTTTGCTTTCAATTCTACTTGTACAGTTTGGTACAGGGCTCCTCTAGTACAGAAGATGGATGCTATCGATATACAACCGCGCCAAGCCTAATCATGTCGACTTGAACGCGTCACTCATCGCTGTCGATCAAGGCCATAGCTGCTGGAGCTGCCCACGACATCCTTCCCTTCCTGGGAAGCCGGGACAGCATCTCCAAGAATCTCATCGGTAACACGGCCCACTCTCCAGGGATCGGCCTCGGAGCGAGTCTGCTGCTTGGGGGCAGATCGCTGCTGCTCAACGTACACATGCTCTCGACCTTGGTACTCCTTGGCGATGAGCTGAGACTCAGGGTCAGCCTCCCGGAGTTGTAGCACGACTTTGCCGCTGGGGTCGATGCTCGCAGACTGGGGATCCACGTAAGCCTTGGCACCACCATAGGTGTTGGTGTCTAGATGTTGGATGCCAGCAAGCATCTTCTTGTTGTGAGCAATTCGAGTGCGACTGTGTCTCATGTTAAACTCGTTGTCACCAGCGGGGGCATCGGCAACGAAACCGCCAACACCCAACTTGGCAGGAGCAGGCCCAGATCTGGGATACACGACTCGTGACATGACGGGTGTATGTCGTCCTTGAGGACCGTAGACTGGGTGGTTCTCCATGTACGAACCAGTCCGCAGGTAGCTGATACCGGCAGAGGGATGACTGGGAGGCGGCCCAGACTTTCCGTAAGGGCTCTCGGCGGCAGCATTGTCGCCCGTTGACAAGAATGTCTGGATGATGCCAACAGGCTGGCCTAGCGGAGCCAGGTCCAGGAATTTGGAAACTAGCCCATAGAGGGTCGCGCGGTCGCTGCGTAGGGACCGTACGTAGTTGGTGAACTCCTGCTCTGTAATATCACTGGGGTGGATGGTGGGAGGCGCTGGCTTGCCCTGATCCTTGGCAATCGTGGCCTGATGCGCCGTCTGGTCGGCAGCGAGCTTATCCTTGAGAAGGCGTCGGAACTGAGCGCGCTTGGGTCGCACTTTCTTCTCCAGGTACTCAAGGAAGTCTCCCTCGGCCATCCTGGCTAACCAGGGTCCATTGAACTTCCATCGCTTGTCACCGGCCCTGCCTTCGCGGGAGACAGTGAAATCCATATCCTCCTCGAAGACCGATTTGCGCCAGTGGTCGGAACGAGCCGGCGCGGCTCCTCGCTCGTTACCCTTGGGGATGGAGACGGCAACACCAAGCTCACGGAACTTCTCGAGGGACAACGAGTGGTCTGCAGCTGACGCGAAGTCGGTGACGTTCTCGATGGAGTCGATCTGCTTGACACGGATCAGGGGGGTTGATGTCGTCATGGTGGACTTGAGAGGGAGAGGTCGCTTGAAACCCCAGTCACCCTTCTCGCGCGAGGAGAGGGGTGAGGTGATGGACTGGTACTGAGGGTATTGTCGTGTCATGGTTGGGGACTTGTGGTTGCTAATGTGCAGGTTCGTGGCTGACGGCTCGGGTAGGGGCTTGGGAACTGAGAACAGACGGGATGATCTCAGCAGCGCCCCTCCGGGCGACACGGTTCGGCCCCCCATCTCGACTTTTAGAGCTGTTGGCAAGCTCAATTGCTGTTTGGCGTCGCGGTGGCGGGCGTCTGATGAAGCAAGACGAGGAAAATTCGCCTTCTCGGAGCTCGAGCGGGATCTGCCGGTGATGACCCGGGTGGGCCCCACTGGCCGAATTGGCCCAGACCTACTACGTAGTACGCTGGAAGCCGGGCCTTCAAGAGATAAGTTAGCAGGTAGACCCCACTAGAATTGGGCACATTTGCCCTTCACTCGGTAGCTAGGTGCGCAACTCATCAACTACATATCAACTCACGCGCCTGAGTGAGCGAAAGAGGAGAGGCGAGGAGGAGGCTCTTTTATCACAATTCCCGTGGGAAATGCAAGCCGTCAGGAAGATGGCGTCGGCATCAAACATCTACTCAGCTCCGGCTCTAACGTTTGAGCTCGTGGCAAAATGCTCTGTGAGTCTTATGTCCTCACACTTACTCTCACTCCTCTTGTCATGGGCAAGTCTGACATGTCTCATTCCAAGGTAGACGACGAGAGCACGTGCCTCTAACTTGACTTTACCTCATGGACCGGTTCAACTTCCCATGTTCATGCCAGTAGCAACTCAGGCGTCTCTGAAGGGCCTTACTCCTGAGCAGCTCGAAGAGACTGGCTGTCGGCTGTGCTTGAACAACACCTACCATCTCGGCCTGAAACCAGGACAAGAGGTGCTGGATGTCATCGGCGGCGCACATAAGCTACAAGGATGGAAGCACAACATTCTAACTGATAGTGGAGGGTATGTTTAATTGTGCCCTGGTGTGTTGTAAGGTTAACTCACTCGTCATGGCAGCTTCCAGATGGTCAGCCTCCTCAAGCTCGCAACTATTACCGAGAAAGGAGTTGAGTTCCTGAGTCCTCATGATGGCTCGCCTATGCTCCTCACCCCGGAGCATTCCATGTCATTACAGAACAGCATTGGTAGTGACATCATGATGCAGCTTGATGATGTCCTCGTTACCACCTCGCCTGACGCAGCCCGCATGCGCGAGGCCATGGAGCGCAGTGTACGATGGCTCGACAGGTGCATTGCAGCGCACAAAAACCCGGACCGACAAAACCTTTTCTGCATCATCCAGGGCGGCTTAGATCTTGAGATGCGCCGGGAGTGCTGCAGAGAGATGCTGGCACGCGACACCCCCGGAATCGCCATAGGAGGACTCAGCGGCGGAGAGGCCAAGATGGACTACTGCCGGGTCGTGGAGGCATGCACCGCATTGCTCCCAGACCTGAAGCCTCGCTATGTCATGGGTATCGGGTATCCTGAAGACCTTGTCGTGAGCGTTGCCCTTGGCGCTGACATGTTCGATTGTGTGTGGCCCACCAGAACGGCACGGTTCGGCAACGCAGTCACCAAGCACGGGGTCCTCAACCTCCGCAATAAAAAATTCGCCAGTGACTTTGGCCCCCTCGAAGACGGTTGTGGCTGCATGTGCTGCAGGTCCAAGTCGGAGGGGGGTATGGGAATAAGCCGAGCATTCGTTCACCACAATGCCAGCAAGGAGACGGTGGCGGCCCATCTGTTGACCATTCACAACGTTTTCTATCAGCTCAACCTTATGCGCAATGTACGTCAAGCCATCATCGAGGACAGATTCCCGCCATTTGTGCGCCAGTTTTTTGCTTGGCTGTACCCTGAGAAGACAGAGTATCCGGAATGGGCGGTTGGGGCACTGAAGGGTGTCGGTATAGACTTGACCTCAGAATAGACTCAATCAATCAGGTGAAATGAGAAACAATACAGTTCCATTAGACATGCTATGTTGATGGTATATGATGTAAAGTTCTATGTACGGTTGGGTCCCTTCCAAATGCCAAAAGATGGCGTGTGTAGGCCGTATGCTTCCCCCAAAAAAAAAGATTTCATTAAACATACCAAATAGTCATTAATCCATCGCAATCACCGAAAATGCCATCCAAGAAAATAACGGATATTAATTTTCCTGACCCAAGTTACCTTACAGAGCAATGGCCAGAGCAGCAACGGCAGCCAGGACAGCACCGCAGCCAACACGGACGGAGGCGGCAGCGTTGCCGTTGTCAGAGCTGGCGCTGGTCTGGGTGGGGGCCGGGACGGTGACGGTAACGGCATCATTGCTGTTGTCAGTGGCCTGGGCTTCGGAGCTCCCGGTCGTGGAGGACTCGGACGAATCGGTAGAGGTAGCGGTGGCGTCGCAGGCATCGCTGAAGTTTTCGCAGAAGGTAGCGAAGGTCTTGGCGACTGTGAGGGATGTCAGCGACCACAATGACCTTCAGATGACTGAATGCGAAGATGAACATACCAGAGTAAACGGTGTCGGGCTCGCCGGTGACGGCCCAGTCGGCGCAAGTGCTGGCATACTTGTCGAGCTCATCGGTCCAGGTGAGCGAACCACCAGAGCTGCGGCAGCTATTGTTGCAAAGTCAGCATTGGGTTCTCCTCCTCGACTGGATTGCTGTGGGTATGAGTCCTCAACAGGGGTGATGATCAACTTACCAGTAGCAAGTAGCCTGCTCGCCGAAGGGGAGCTCGGTAAAGCCGTCGATCTCCCTGCTGCAAGAGGAGTACATGCTGAGAACGTCATTGCAAGCTGAAGACTCGCCCGCACTGTCGGTGATCATGGAGCTCTCGGCGGAGGTGGTGTCAGAGCTGCCATCGGTCGTCGAGGCCAGGATCTCGACAGTGCTAGAGGCGCTGGCGTCCTCAGTGCCAGTGGCTGCGCCGGTGATTGCGCCGGTGCAGTCAGCGCTCATACCGCAGATGCTGTAGAGTTGGTCATAGACTGGAGAAATATCACGTTAGCCGAGCCTTCTCGTACTGCTGTCACAGCAACAGTTGCTCACCGGAGTAAGTGTCAGAGAGCGTAGGACCAGCCTCCTCCGAGAGGTAGACGGAGCAGCCCGAGTAGACGGGGTAGATGGCAGTAGAGTCAATGCAGCAAGCACAGCCAACGAATTCGGCGGCATTGGTAGCCAGGGCGTCGGCACCGCCAGCAGCAGTAACGCAGGCATCGACAAGGTCGGCGGCGTTGGAGCAGACGGTGTACTCGGGGTCGCTAACATCCACGGCGGCGACGTTGATATGGCCCAGGCCGGGGCCGAGCTTCAATTGCGCAGCGACGCCGCTGGCAGTGACGATGGAGGAGAGGATAGCACCCTTCATTCTGGCGAATTGGTTTGCTGTAGGGGAGGAGCTGCGTAGGGTTGACTCTGCTTGAGTTGGGTTGGGATCTGGAGAGACGCGGGAGACAGGTCAAGATATGTAGAGAAACAAGAGGAGCAGCTTGCCTCAACAACGGGCGGACAGGACCAGGGTAATAAATCCGAACGCGAGAGAGAGTCAGAGAAGCTAGCAGCGCTTTACCTGTGTGATTCTGCTGCTAGTTTATGCTGCTAATGCTGCTGCCGCTGCACGCCCCCGGCAAAGGGCGCCGGCTGGGCTCCCATCATCAACGCCCCATCATCGACGACGCCCCATGGTCCCCCATCACGATCCAGGGTCGGCTCATCGGGCAGTCAATCAGTATGTACAAGGCTTGGAGCCGGGGTCAGCTAGTTAGCTAGCCTGCGGCCAAGCACAACAAGGCAGAGTTCCAGGGTGCGAGCCAATAAACACGGCCGCTTCGTGCGGCTGAGAGGTTGCGAGGCGCATCCCCGTCCCTGCAGCCCACATCCGCAGAGGCAGAAAGCCCGCGACCTAACCACAAGCGACAGCCAAGATTGTGGGTGATGAGCGAGAGAGCGCTGCTAGGCTGGTTGCTGATGCCCCGAAATGACAGGGCGCTGGGCGGATGTTGGCCAAGACGTGGCACACACACACTTAAATACACGCTTATTATGGTCCCGTACTAGCCTGGACGTAATACAGAGGCTATCACAAGAGGCATAAAGAACCCGGACACGAACCGCTGCCGCCTGAATCGCCCAAAGCAGAGTGCTGTGAGACGTCGTATATCATGTCTCGGCTCTTTCCTCCACACAGCATGTGCTCGGGAACGGTGATCGTGCATTTCACATCACACTGTGTCGTACTCGTTCGTCCATGTGGGTGAAGTCGTGTGGCTGGCACTCGCTCCCAATTCGGTGCCGCGCAAGTACAGATGCCTCCTCCATTCCCTGGTCTCTCAGCCCCTTGACCAAGCTTTTCTCAATATCGAAAGCCATGTCACTTCGCGCCGTCTAGACCTCGCCCAACCCCTCGTGGTCCTCCACAATGGGAGGCTTTTTTTAGACCCCGCACACAGCATCGGCCTATTAGTCGCGTAGATTATAGGCAGTATTCTCAAGCACACCACACTGAATACTCGAGCCGTGGTCAAGATGGCTCCAAGTCCTTCCGTGGACTCCGGACCCTGAAGGATTCGGCTAGCGAATTGAGCAGCCACATGGCTCACGGTCAGCGCCCAGGACGCTCTCAATGAGGCAGGGTAGCGGAGGTAATGAGTAACTAGTCCCCCACTAACTATCTTTAATGGGCCATTTCTTCTCCATCCAGGCCAGCCAGCAGCTGCAGGGATGCCTGTGGCAAGAGCCCAGCCGCCAGCAAGGCAAAGGAAAACGCCGCCTGCTCACTCACAGACGGGAGGTGTCGCGTTTCGCAGTCCCAGGCCAAGCCAGCTCACTGATTCACGATTCAGCCGCCCCTCGTGCAGCGGAAGGATGGTTGAAATGCCTCATAAGTGACCGCTAATGTGGATCGTAAGGTTTTGTCGACAGGGCTTCGTGGCACAGATGGCCACAATGGCAACGGTGAAGCCCAGGCCTGGACCGGGAGCCTAGCCAGGATGCCTTTCCACGAAGAGCCAAACCACGGTGTTCCAGGCTATCGGACAGCTCGCCTCCGCCCTGATTGTGGGTGTGACGGTACCCCCGGCAAGCCTTATAGTACATCCCGCGTACAACGCAGTCTAGCATCATGTAACATGCAGGCCAGTGCGCCAGCAAGGCTGTGGATCGGTCAGCTTCGGCGCCACTGTTTTGGTTTTCTACTTTCTTTTCTTTTTATCCTGTCTCTTCCTCCCTCGACATTTTGGGAGAAGTTGAAGGCGTGGTGTCTGAGCCGTATTCCACCAGCCTATGAGTCGGGTACCTGGTTGTCCGCGTGGGCGATTGTGGAGCATCCGCTCACATGGAATCCCCCTGACTCGGGTCGGGAACCAACAGAACTACCCAGCGGATTTGACCAGATTTGAAGGAATCGGTTTCCTTGAGAAACAATTAGACCCGCCCGCATGGTTCTAATCCTTCTGTTGGTTTGTGCTCGCTTCGGGGCGACAGCATTGACTCAGGGATCCCCGGGACTTGGCATGAAGCAACGGCCAGATTCCGCCATCTTCAGATGTCGGAAAAGAGTCAAAGAGAAAAAGTGAGCTGCCCCCCATCATCAACCCGCTCGCGTTGCTTACCTTTCTTGAGCGCCCAATAAGGCAGATGGCCTGGGGTAATTTAAAGTATGGCCGTAACATTTTGGCTCCATTGTGGCCAATAGCGGGTAGACAACTCTGGGCCAATAAGAACGGGCCTGAAGCTAGATAGACGTCACTTCCACTGCCCGGCCACTGGTGCCATCACGTGACGTGATGTACACACGCGTTTTGGTCAACGCGATCTAGGGAATGGAGGGGCGTGTACTTCGTACGACGTCACGGTATTCCCAGATCTCCAAAGTCGGTTGCCAAACACAGAATTCCCAAAACGACCAGGGCAATTCGGGAGCCACATTGTGGATGCGGCTGTAACTACTCTCTGCTGCCAGGACCCGCCACTTGTCTCATGACTCTTCACGTCCTCTCATGGCATCTCCGTCCCGCCAGCCGTTGCCCCTGCGGCGACAGTCGTCAACAAACAACATCCGCGATGATGACTTAACTCGCTCCCTCAAGCAGCTCTCGCTCGCCACTTCCCCCGGCCGCGGCGCGAGCTCATCCCGTCTCTCCGAGCCGACCACGCCGTTCCGAACCACCAGCCGCATGGGCTCCCATTCACCTCGAGTCCCGTCTCGAAGCCCTTCCAATGGACGGGACTCCCGCTCCGCGACTCCGACATTGCTGCGCAAAGCGTCTATGAACTCGCTGCGCTCGTCGACTGGCGTAGGCGCTGGTCCAACCCCGACACGTCGGGCGAGCGCAGCGAACATCATGTCGCCAACCGGCAAGATGTCACCTTTGTCAACAACCCCACCGGTCCTGGAGGCGCCACGCCCAACTGCCAGCTCCATCGCCAAAGATTTCTTCAAGGCTGAGCTGGAGGCACACCATGGATCAGTCGCCACACGTCAGACCCAAGCCATTGTCATCCTCCATGATGCAGTTTACGGCCATCGATTTTCTCGACCTCGCACCTCCCGAAGCGGCCTCGCCACCATCGTTGAACGCCCCGAGCGAGTCAAGGCCGCTGTGCTAGGAGTCTCGACGGCATATGTGCGTCTTGGTGGACGTCACAGCGAGGGCGCATATCCTGTTCATCCCAGGCTCAATGCTCATGACCTCCCTAGCATCCCCTTCCGAATTCAGAAAACAAGCCGGAAGCTATCCCTCCTGTCGCAGGCCGTCACTAACGTCCATGGGACCAAGTGGATGGAGGAACTCAAGACGATGTGCGAAGCAGCTGAGACCAAGCTTGCAATGGGAGGAAAGGAGCTCCAGAGACCAGAGATGAATAGGGGTACCACTGCTCCCCCGGAGAAATTCCATGAGGGTGACCTCTATCTTTGTGCAGAATCTTTGGATGCCATGGAAGGCGCTCTGGGAGCTGTGTGTGAGGCTGTCGATGCGGTCTTTAGTCCTGGCCCTGGTCCCCAGCGGGCTTTTGTTGCTATAAGACCTCCTGGACACCATTGCTCAGCGTCATATCCTTCGGGATTCTGCTGGGTCAATAATGTACACGTCGGGATTATGCACGCCGTCATGAATCATGGCGTCACCCATGCCGCCATCATCGATATTGATCTTCATCACGGTGACGGGTCGCAGGCAATCGCATGGGAGCACAATACCCGAGCTACAATGGCTGCAAAGAACGCTGCTGCTTGGAAGAAGTCGTCAATTGGCTATTTCAGCTTGCACGACATCAATTCCTATCCATGCGAGCAGGGTGACGAGGAAAAGGTCAAGAACGCCAGCCTCTGTATCGACAATGCGCATGGTCAGACTGTCTGGAACGTCCACCTGCAGTCATGGAAGACAGAGGCGGATTTCTGGCAGCTATACAAGTCTAAGTACGCTGTCCTCCTGGACAAGGTCCGAAACTACCTCCAGAACCAGGCCGAGCGGTTCAAGCAATCCAACCAGCCTCCAAAGGCGGCCATTTTCTTCTCCGCCGGCTTCGACGCCAGCGAGTGGGAGAGTGCGGGAATGCAACGCCATCAGGTTAACGTCCCAACGGAGTTCTACGCCCGTATCGCCCAGGATGTCATCAAGCTCGCGGCTGAGGAGGATCTCTGTGTCGACGGCCGAATTATCAGTGTTTTGGAGGGCGGATACAGTGACAGGGCTCTGTTTTCAGGCGTCTTCAGTCATTTGAGTGGTCTCGCTGGCGATCAGAATATTGACCAACCGCTCCATTCCACTGGAGGCCTCGGTTTTGAGATGGGTCAAAAGATTGGTGTTGTCCCCGAGCAGGAAGAAACCGAGATGCCTCAGAACCCTTCACTGGACTCAGTCCATTCCTACGATCCTTCATGGTGGGCCAGCCGTAAGCTGGAGGAGCTCGAGGGCATCATGGTTGATCCACCTAGCCTTGAGAGAAAGTCAAGCTTCAGCTCCCCAACCTACTTCTCACCCACTCAGGCTTCTACTGCCAAGGTTGTAGAACTCCGAATGCGACGCAGCCTCTCCAATCTCTCAGGATCCGCTTCGCGGCCTGCATCACCACCTCCACCAGAGGTCCCATGGACTGTCGCTGCCCATGAGCTCAGCAAGCTGCTCATCCCTTCTGATCGACAGACGGACAGCTGCAAGCCTGAGGATCTGAACGCGGAGGCAAGCCGAGTCAGGCGAGACCGCCAGTCGCTGATCAATGGGGTGCCTCCAGCCCCTTCGGTTGCCTCATCAAGTCGACCAACTTCTCGCATGGCACTTCGCGAGAGGAGAGCCAAACCAGCTCCGCCTGTGGTTGAACCAAGCAAAGACAGGGCCGTTAAAGGTCGTCGAAAGACGGTTGCTGCTACCAGCTTCTCTACTGACAAGGTAAGCACAATACTAATGCCACCCACGTTTGATGCTGCGAGTCTAATATCAATAAAGTCCGCGGATGTCACTGGGAACCAAGCAGTGAGGAAAGCCAGTCGACGGCTTAGCGAGGCGCCGACCATGCTCAGCTCCCGAGATTCCTCCTCGCCTCCCACCATCGCCGTCGCCAGTGGCCCTGTGGCTCCCACAAGTACTGTCCCTGGTCCATCATCGACTGCTCGCGCTCCTACGGGCGGAACTTTACCCCTGAAAAAGACCAGACCCTCTACCGCCCCTACCACAACCGCCACCACCCGGAAGGAAGTTGTTCCCAAGGCGCCTCGGGGTGTCAGGAAGCCGAGTGTCCCAGCCGGCAGTTCAAAGCCTGCAACGGCCACAGCTGCACAGAAGAGCAAGTCCCCGGGCAAAGCCGAGCCGTCGAACAAAGCAGGCGACGACATGGACAAGCTCACTGCAGGCATGAAGAAGATCCGCATCAACCTCATCACGCAGTCCCAGAAGGATGCCAAGCAGCGAGCACGACTTGACGCTGGTAAAGCCTCGTCTACCTCAGCCTCTGCCACTGCTTCTGTCGGTCCCTCGGCTAAAAGTGAAAAGGACGAAGAAGTGAAGCTGCCTGCACTCCCTGCTCTACAGCAACCATCCCTCACACCGAGCCCCGAGCCCGCAATGAGGTGTGATATGGGAGGAGTCTCTCCCAAGCAAATGGCGCATCCTGACCCTCATATTCCCACACCACCCACAACCATCCCCTCCAGCGGGCTCTCCTCGCCCTCGCAGGAGCAAGATCCTTTTAATATGAGTTCACCCGATCCCCAGCACGTTGTTCTCCCTGTCAGCTCTCCAGTCATTCCCTCCGTGGCCATCCAACCCGACGGTGATTGTCCAGACGTCTTCATCTCATACCAGCCTGACGGTCCCACGCCCGTTGCCGTCGGCCAGCACGAGGTCTTGAAATGGCTTCCCCCCAATGCACCGACCCCGTCTGCGAACACGCCTGCTGCTACACCTAGTCCCGTGAAAAGGCAGAACAACCTCTTCCACTATAGCGCTGGAATTCCCTTTGCACCCCGCCCGCAGGAGCCGGCTCCCAACGCGGATGTCCAGACCAAGACCAAACCCACGCAGCCAGGCTCGAATCAGCAGACTTCAACCTAGAGACGCTCCGGCCTCGTGTCAACAGAGAGCTAGACGGCGTTGCTTCACTGCCGCACCCTGCCAAGGAAGGTCTAACATACGCTAATATCTTATAATGGCTTAAAGTCTGGAACTAGGGGGATCTTGCCATCCGGAGTCATACTTCAGTTGTACATTACTTGTGATATTTTGTTTGCTCCACCCCCTTGCTTTCAAGAGTATGCTATCCTCTTTGTCGGATACTAAGTCAGCTCTGTCGCATGATACCCTTTGCCTTATTACTTGCAAACACCCCTTGCACCGCACCTGCTATAGCTATAGGTTTTTATTTCTAATTCATACTTTGTTTCGCTTCTCTCTAATTTCTATTCTGCACGTGTCTGGACATTGTCGGCGGCTTTGGACGGCATCATTTAGGCCGGCGGGCCTCTATGGCTTGAAGCTCTCGCGGAATGCCGTGAGAGGCACGCTGGCCTCTTCGATCATCGCCCTGCTGTTGCCCTCGAGGCCTGGATGCGGCTTTCGCCGATACGTCCACACTTCTTGGATACCCAGGCTCTCGAGGTATGTAACGGTGCGGGCGTAGTTGGTGGCGACCTGAGCGATGCCGTGGCTGTCGTCAGAGAAGGTGAACTTGCCTCCCATCTTGAGCCATTCCTTGAAGACTTGTCAGCACTTCTGATGTGTTACAGCAGTGGTGAACAATCCGATACTCACTTCGGAAATCAGTCTACATGGGTACGGCTCTGCCAGGCCTTTGCGTAGGGCCGAGCTATTGCACTCTAGCCACCCGCCTTGCTGGGCCACGAGCTCGAGGTTCCTCACGACACGCTCCCAAACGCCCTTCCACTGGCGAATGTCCCTCCCGGGCTCCTCACTCAACAGCCGAATGAGGTCAAAGTGGCCGACAATACGGGGCTTCAGCTGCTGCAGCATCTGGAACTGCAAGTCGTAGTAGTCCTCGTACAGCTGCTCCTCGGTGCCGGGGGCGTCGGCCGGCCCGCTGGCGTCTCGCGCGAGGCCGAACATGCGGGCGTCGAAGTCGATGGGGATGCTGTGGACGTGGTGCACGGAGCCGATGAAGTAGTCGACGGCCGGGTGCTCGGCGAGGGCGCGGACGCGCGTCGCGAACGACGGCCGGATGAACTCGGCCTCGAAGCCGATGAGGATGTGGATCTGCGAGGTGTAGGCCATTTGCAGGCGCTGGGCTTCGACGAGGTAGGCTTCATGACGGGGCGGGAGGATGGCAAGGGAGGCGGCAGGGTCGTCGAGCTACGATGTGTGAGATGGATATATATGTATGTGTATATATATATATATAGATAGATAGATATTGTAGGGAACCGTAGGCGCGTACAAGTGGCATTGTACGTGGTGTATAAGAAAGCCGCATGAGGCTCAACTCACCTCTTCAGGATACAAGTCCCGCTCCTCATAACGAGGCATATGCTCCGTGAGCCCAATCGTCTTGTACCCGATGGAGACGGCATGCTTGAGGATGTCCTCGAGCTGGTCCTTTGCGTGGCCCGGACAGAACTCCCCGGAGTGGGAGTGCATAGTGAAGGCCATGGCGGCTTAATATCGCGCTCCGAGTGACTGGTTGAGCCCGTGTCGTTGATGGCGGGGGCGGGGTTGGTTGACAAGGGACTTTTTTTTGGCCGGAGAGAGAGGAAAAATGTCCGAGTGAGGCACCGATGAATTGAGAGGGACTCAAATAGTGCACATGGAACCTCTACGGCTTGAACAATTTGTCCGCAAAAGTCGCAGTTTAAGTCCAGAGGCGTCGGGTTGAGAATTAGACTCTACCAGTTCCAAGATTCCGGGTCCCGCCGTTGTTACCGAAAGAAGACGAACGCTAACCCACTTTTCCCTTTTTTCCCTTTTTGGCAATTCCATGGCTCAACCACCATGTTACAGCTCTCACCACGATCAAACGGCAGCCCTTCGATAGACAGAACTTCACTTGATAATCTCCTACCGCATCTGGTCATTCAAGCCTAGATCAACAGACCGCACGGCCAATGCCATTTCTTATATAATTACTCGGTAAATATATGCAGGATATCCATCATCGTGGACCTCAGTCATGATCCCATAACCAACCAGGGAATCAACCAACACCAGACCAAAGACAAAATAATGCCCGCCTTTCCCATCCTTTGAGGGTCCTGTCCACCAACGCCATGCATGCCCAGATTCCAAAGCAATAACCGGTCCCAAAAATTGTATCCGACCATCCATAGCTCCTCGCAAAACACGCTTAGTCTTTCTCATACACCGGGATATCCCCGTAAGAATACACGCCCGGCGCCATGCTGATGTACCGCCCCGGTACCATGGCGCTACTACTTCGCATCGTGTTCATCTCCGCCGCTCTCCCCAACTTGCCCTCGTCCTGCACGACTCCGATGCCGTAGTTCCGGCCCCTGGAACCACCGGGCGTTGTCCTGCCGGTATTTTGCCATCCGAGCCGAAACGTCTTGCGCCGGTGGCGCCTCGCCAAGTGCTCGTCTTCCATCCATGCAGCGCCTTCTGGGAGTCGCCACCACAGCGTCGAGTCTGCTAGGAGACTCGCCTGCGCCGCGATGCTGCTCGGGTCCTTGGGCAGCGGGGCGCCGCGGTGCGTCGTGCGTAACCCGAAGACGCCGAGGATGAGCGTCGTGACGAGAAAGGCGATCAGCACGAAAGTCTGCAGACGAGACTGCGTGAGGCGTGCGACGTAGTAGTCAACCGTGGCGGCGATGAGTGAGGAGCTATCCGCGTCGGCGCGAGCCCGAAGCTTGGAAGACGATATCGTCTTCCGGATCAGATCACTGTTAAGTGCCTGGGCACCCACAATGCCGTGCTGCAGTCGGATCATCTCACTAACAGAATTCTGACGCGTGGGAGACAAGAGACGCTCAAGGCGCATATCCAGTCGCGACAGCACCAATGTCCGAAAGAAGCCATCCAGCCCCGTGAGAGTATCATCATCAGCCCCAATCACCTCCATAGCCTTGTAGGCGGTAGACACGTCTGCATCCACATCCGAATCATGCTCAGTGGCAGTGGCCATGAGGGGAATGCTATTCGTGTCGATGGTAATGTCTTCAGTGTGGAACGTGGCGTACACATCAAGCTCAGTAATAGTCTGGTTGCACCGCAGGATGGATATATCGTTGTCATCGCCGCAGCCACCCCAAATAAAGTTGAGGGCATACTCAGTCGAGAGCCCTGTGCATGATGAAACCACCACCCCCGTATTATTTTGTCCTGCTGCGCAAATTGCCGTCTTGCTGGAACTGCCGCTACCATGAGCAACACACTTCAGATCAGCTCCCGCGCCGTTAGTCAACGAGAGCGTCTCGCAGGCGAGCCCAGCTCTAAGGGAGGGCACCGTGGCCGTCAATTCTGTGTTTGGCAGCGGCCACTCCTTGCCATGGTCCACGAGCTCCAACTTTGGGAATGCCAAGGTCTCGTATGTCCAAAGGGGATAGCTGGGCGTCTCCTGAATGAGAATACGATTAATCAGGTCAGCATCCAGGCTGCTGCTAAGGGACTTGCTGGAAGACTGAAATTTCGACTCCTGACGGAGCTCCAGGTGGGCCGTTTGGGCAACTTCAGTGATGGCGAAGAGCCCGGCGGTAAAGATGGGCAGCAACCAGCCAATCATTGCCATTGACTTCCTGACAAAGACGCCCCAGTCCTTGAACTTGATTGCCTTGACGAGGGTGCAGAGGCCGAATTCGTTCATATATGTCAGGGCCAGCGACTCCTTGAACCCGCACTTGTTGATTGTCAGCTTCAAGAAGGGGGCGACGCGACGGGTATCGATATCAATGCGGCTCCAGAAGATAGCAAGGACGGCAAAAATGAAGGTCGGGATAAATGTCCAGAGGATGAAGGTCGAGTCAGAGACATCGAGACCATCCGCGCTGCCTCGCAAAGCAAAGATGGCGCATAGACCTGCCAGCAACACAGCGCATACTATGATGCTCACCGTCTGAACACGGGCGCCCAACGTCCACGGGCGGTACTCCCCCATGGCCTCCTCGGAGTGACTAGACCCGTCGTCACCCATCGAAACGGGCGGTCCACCGCTCAATTGCCTCAACTGAAACGTCTCAGCAGGCTTCTTGCCAGGCTGGTGGACCTCGGTGGTGTACCATGAGCCCGCGAGCCTCGCCGCCACCACGTTCATGCCTGCACCGCCCGTGCCGCTCAACCGGGCAATGAAATGCTGGCTGCTCGCAAGCAGTGCAGCGGTACCAGCCAGAGAGGTGGGGTCTCGGGCGGTGATGCCGCGCTTCGAGGGTGCATGATAGAGCATCGGGAGAAGGAAGCCGCCCAGGATACAAAACACACCGGCCATGGCGTGCATCATCCCTGAGCGGACCCTGAGGAACTTGGAGCCATCGGCCTGAACCTCGGCGTGGAAGATGCACGTGGAGAGGATGACCTGAGCGCGTAGCAGTAGCGACACCATTATAGAGGCAACGACGAGGTGATGGCGGTTGCTGAATGCCTTTGTGAGAGCCTGGATGCTATTCATTCCTGGGTAATCGAGCAGGACGGTCCGGTATGCTTGTTTGCGGCGTGTGTCTTCGCCGGAGGCGGGTCGGCCCTCGAGGATAATCCAAGGCATATAGAGGAGAGCCTGGGATTCGACTCGTGACCAGAGCATAGCCAAGATAGAGGTTACTTGTTGATAGTTAGCACAAACATGCATACACTTCTCTTACTCGATTCACACCGAAAGCAAGATATTTACAGGGCAGGACATGAAGAGACTCACCGACAACAGGTCCAAATGTCCACAGTCCCTGCACACTGTTCTCCCAATCCTTCCGTGAGATCATCCACATCACCACCTCTCCCACGACGGCCAACACCACAAACGTCCCCAGGAAGCCAGCGACGATCTGGTGCCGCAGCCACCACGGCCGCCAACCGTCCTGGACCGCCACCTCGGAGGCCTCAGGAGCGCGGGACGTCGCATTGCCGCGCGACTCGGCGGTGTCGGGAGGATTGTCAAAGTACGGGTGCTCCAGCAGCGCATCCAGGTTGCCGTGGCTGGCGCGAGTGCGCGGCGATGTAGTGCTGGTGGTGCCCGTGTATATTGTGCTGCGGGGCGTGGCGAAGGGATCGCCGCCGCTGCTGCTGGACGACGGGAACTGGCCGCGCTGCAGCGTCTGGTACCCGGGACTGCGAGGGCTACGCGGGCTGTTGAGGTCGGGCGGACTGCGAGGGCTGAGGAGGCCGTGGGGACTGTTGGTGTTGTGAGTGGGCGGCCCGCGAGGCGCAATGTGCAGCGGGCTCGGCGTGTTGCTACCGCGGTGCGACGGGGCCGGCGGCGAGAGCATCGGCTGGTGGAAAAAGGGAGTCGTCGAGGTGGTCGGCTGCGGCGAGGGCCATGGTGCAAAGCTTTGGTGTGACGAGGAGGAGGTTTCGTCGTAGGGAGCGAAGTCGGAGTTGCGGATGTGGTTGTGGTTGTGGTTGTGGTTGGACGAGGAAGGATCGACGCCGTGGAGGCCGACGTTGTTCCACGACGTTGCCATTATTGGACGATGCGTGCGCCGATGGCGTGGTGATTAACTATTATGATGCCGTGTCTTTGTTCGAATTGAATTGGATGTGCCAATCTTTGACTGTATGCTGGATGTGATTTGTGTCTTTGCTTGTCTGCCCCTGTGTAACCGTCTTGGCTTATACACACCCAAGACTGACCTGATGCCCTTGGACTCGAACTCGGGGTGTGCACGTACGCCAGGTCTCCAGAGTGGAAAGCGATCAAGTCATGGTCAACACGCACACCAAGCGAACGAATGAAACCCTGTGGAGGAAAAACGAGAGACGTGCAGAGGAGCAACGGGCTGCAGAACGCGGACGCTGGAGGGGATCGCTACCCCAAATGTGACGCCGAAGAAGATGGAGGAGGAGGAGAACCGGTCGTTTGCCGCCCTGACCTCGACGGAAAAGCAACCCAGACAGCGCTCACTCACTCACACCTGGACTAGCCTACCCATCCATCGGTGTGCCATCGACGCCAATACGGAGCAGTCAGGGTATACGTAGTAGTTTAAACCAATATTTCTCCTAAAAAAAGCCCCCCATTGCATGCCATTTTGGGTCCTTGCGGGGGGGGAGGAAGCAGGCTGGCATCCCGCCCCTGGTCCCCAACTCCACCATGGCACCCTTTCCCCCCATTAGGGCGGGCTACACATGTCTCGCCTCGTCTATCCTCGTCTATAACCGGCTATTATTTATTCATTGTGGTGAGTGTCTGCATACTTAGGTACTGTAGACTCGTGCATGCTATGTAGTACTTGTAGTACTTGTATGTAACAATTGCCCGTCGGTGGCTATTGTCTCTCACCCCACCATCTGCCATCCATCCACCAACACCACCAACACCACCACTAACACCATCACCACCACCAACACCGCTGCCACCTACGCTCACCACCAACCTCATGCACACCAGTATGCACCTCCAGCCCAAATCGACCCGGGCCAAGGCAAACCAAACAACTCACCAAACAGATCCAACACTACGACGCAGCCGACATATTCCACTCACCTACGCTGCGCGCGTGCATGGAAGAAGCCCAATCATGCTCGCCGGCCCCCGACACAATGCATAAAGGCGTTCGTCCCATGTCCCCGCCTCCCTTGTTCCCTGCTCCCTTGCTGCCAGCTACTCGTTCCCCCCCTGTCAATCCGTCCGTCCCATGTCTTGGGCTATTTTTCTTCCTCTGCCTCCCCTAACCGCCGCCATCCACCAGCTAGTTGGCTCAATTCACTGCTGGCCCCTCCGTCCTAACCGCCCAGGCGCCGCCACAACGTGCGTGAGGGCGCCTGGAGCAGGGCAACCAACGACATTGTGCGTGCTTGGACTCTTTATCTTCAAACTGGATCCGTGGATTCATTCAGTTGGGCTGAACCGAGTGCTTTCGTACTCTTCCTCGTCCTCGTGCTTACCGCGTATCTAGAATATCTAGCGAGTTGCTGCGTACCTGTATGCAAATACCCAGTAGTGGTCCGTCCGCTTCTTACAGCTTAATTACAGGCCTGGTTCGTCAGTCGTCAGCACAATTCGAGCTGACGAATGCAACTCCACAACCAAGCATCTCCAAGCCCAAGTCCCGAAGCACAGAACGGCCAGCAGTGCCACCGTTTGGTATGTATGTACAGTACGTGGTATGGATGGACTCGGTAGATACGGAGTAGTATTAGGTAGGTAGTAATTTTTCCCTTGCCCTCCAAAAACCCAGTTGCCGTTTGGCTTCTAGATCGAGGCTAGGCCTCTGTCGAGTCTGTCCAGTCCGTCCTCATCCCCTCCGGACCGATGCTATTCCCTCCAGACAGCCCGCAAATAGTCTGACTTCATGCGCATTTATTACTCCACCGGAGCCACCATCTAGTTTCTCGCCTGTCCGCCGTGCACAGCTGTCGGGCGCTCGTCCACACCACCCGCCGGGCCCCTGGCTAAACATCACCCAGGGCCCCGAGGCCAGACCCTCGGATGGACCGCGAAATACTACGCCGCACCGTTGGCGCCGTCGCCATAGCGCCGTCGACCGTCAAGGTTTCTGCAAGGGGAAATTACACTAGTCTTTGCTAGTTTCTACTACGTACCATGACTATGTAGTAGCCTCTGCTGACTCCGTGGCTCGCACTACGGCACTTTGGCTGCTTGCCCGCCGCAACGCGCTGCCCTCCGGAATCCCTCCACGCCATCATCTGCTTCCACCTCTCCTTTTCCCCTCCTGGCACCATCACTCCCAGTCCTGTCTAATTACTCCCTGCCTCCTTATGCAATGATTTTCCCTTCCCGTCCCCACTCCACAAATCCGTAGTCACGAGAGCCTGTCAGCCTAGTTTAATGCCCCCGATCTAACTAGCATCCACGCACAGCCAACACTCACACTTCCACACCGAGTCGTACGGGAGATCGATGATGCTGTGCAGCACATCCACCCATCCATCAGCCCTATCATAACCTCTCTCGCGCCCGCCCCTGTCCTAATCAGGAAATAGCCATGCCATCGCCAGCTGCTTCTGACAACACTGCCTCACAGTCCAAGCACACCGCGGAGATGAATGGCTTCTCACCCTCCAAATAGTCTCATCAGTCCATAGTCTCTTTTTAGGTGTTTTAACGTATTGGTATATGCTGGACTTCAACAACTTCCGCAACCAACAACCACAACTCCTCCCACGCGGGCCGGTGTGGTCCCGTCCCAACACACGTAAGCGTACAAGCATGCCACGAATCGTCCACCCATGTCAACCCGAGGATACCATACAAATGGCCCTCTCTAATGTACATTTCGACATGCCTGTCAGGACCTGTTCGCCCACGCTGTCTCTATCTCTTTCTCCTAACCTGGATCAGTCTAATCCATCTTCTAGCCAAGGCATTGATCGCTGCCTCTCAGTTCCCCAAGACCGCTCTCCTTACGCCTTGTCATCAGACCATCCCACCTCTTTCCTATCCACCACAGAGTTCTCAGAGAGAAAAAGAATAAAAATAAGGGAACCAAAAGCATTAAAAAAATATGCCCAGGTCGCCAGGATGGAGCCAAAAGAATAATAGTAAACGATGGGGGGGGGCTCTACCCCTTTGCGTGGCGCCAGGCATTGGGAGGTAATGATGGATGGTCGGAGCAACCGACCCGCAAGTCTATACCGGAATGCGATTCTCGCCCTTTTTTGGTTGTGGAAAGGGGGAGAAATAGCTAAAAGAAAACATTTCGCGTCGAGGCTCATGATCGCGGTCTGTCGGCGGAGCCCCGTTGCGTTGGCAAAGCGGTGCCTTCTCAAAAGAGGGGAACCAGGTTGGAGTAGTTGTCGGTCCACCGAAGAAGGGTATCGAAGTGTGAAAGATTTGAAAAAAGGGAAAATGGCGCAGTTGAGATGTGATGTTCAAATGACGAGGGAGATTGGCGTCTTTGTTTCATCAGTTCCAGCCCAGAGAATTCTCAGCTGCAACTGGAGGCGAGATGTATGCCGTTCGGGCAGAGTTGCCCATGCCACTGCGGCCGCTACCATGGCTGTTACGGCCATACTGGGGCCGGGCGTGATCACCCGCAGCAGCACCGTAGGATGAAAAGTCTCGGCTAAGGAGAGCGCCACCCATCAGAGCAGGGCTGCCATTACCGGCATATCGCATCTCAGACGAGGCTTGGCTGCTGCCAATCGAGCTAGCGCGGCGGTGGCCCTGTTGCTTCTTGCGCTTGTATCGACGGGCCACGAGGAACATGGCGGCACCGTACACACCAGCCAAGCCGAGAGCACCGATAGCAATACCGGCGACTGTAGCCTTTTGCTTAGAGGTCTGGTTATCCGTGCCACTGTTGCTGAATCCATCATTTTGGCTGGTATCGGAGTTATCAGAGCTGCTGCCACTTCCAGAAGAGCTCTCAGCATTGTTGCCGAGGAGGTCAATCTTGGTGTTGATGACAGAAGTCAGGTTTCGCACAATCTCCTGGTCATTGTTGTAGAGAGCGGAATTGGGCATGGTGAGATCCATCCTGAGGGTGTCAACCATGTTCGCGGGGTAGTAAACCGAAGCAATGGCAGTGACGTATCCCCACTTGGACCTTGTATCATATGGCGCAATCTTGGTCACCAGGACACGGTCAGTCGAGAACCCACCCCCATTGGCGAGGGCATCAGGCAGGTACTTAAAGATCTGGGCGGCAGCGACGGTATTCTTAGCCACGAAAAGATAGTTCAGAGGGTACAGGAATCCGATCTGGATAAGCGTCGTGCCTTCGGGAACAGGCTGATCAGGATCATCTGGAAGGATAACCTTGGGAATGTTATCAGGCAGGCCCGTGCTAGTAGCCGTCGAGGTTGACATCGGGTTCGTGTTGGTGGGCTCAAAGACAATGGTCGTGGGAAGCCAGCCCTCAGTGTTGCTGAGTGTGGCCGTGGCTTGAATGCTGGTGACAGGCTCGGCCGCCGACTGAACGACTGAAGTGGGCGCTTCTGTCTCCGACGTAGGAATTACAACCAGCGTGGTCGTCGGCTGCTCAACAGCGGTTGAGGGGGAAGTCTCCGTAGCCTCCGAGGAGTCACCGGTGGTCTCAGTAGCGGGAAGATCAGTAGCCTGGGAAGCAGTCTGGGTACCAGTCGAGTCCTGAACGGCTGTGGAGTTCACGCCAGACTCGATAGTTCCAGTTGTCTGGCCAGTGGCATCAGAACCAGTAGCCGTGGGGTCAGTAATAGACTCAGAGCCAGTGGCAGTATCCGGAGCGCTGGTGGTGTTAGGGGTGGCGGCACTCCCAGTTGTGTCGGTAGGAACTGTCGTTCCTGTCGCATCCGTGCCCGTGGGTACCGCGGTAGTGCCCGTAGCATCTGTGCCAGTAGGGACCGAAGTCTCGGTGCCAGGAGCAACTGTCGTGTCAGTGGGGTTTGTCGTGCCCGTGGCATCGGTGCCGGTAGGAATCGAAGTTTCGGTGCCAGGAGGAGCCGTCGTGTCAGTGCCAGGAGGAACTGTAGTCTGGGTACCCGGAGGAACCGTAGTCTCTGTCGGGTTTGTCGTGCCAGTAGCATCGGTGCCAGTGGGAACCGTGGTGTCGGTGGGGTTTGTTGTTCCCGTAGCATCGGTACCAGTAGGTTCAGGGACCGTGGTCTCAGCCGGGCCAGTTGTCTCCGTAGGTTCGACAGAGCCGGTGACACTGGGGTCTGATGAAGCAGTTCCTGTGATATCGGCAGAGCCAGTCTGGGTAGGGTCGGACGTATCAGTGACAGCTGGAACGTCGGTGGTGCCAGTAGGATCTTCGGCGGCTGAGGTAGAAACATCGACGGGAAGCGTGACTGAGGGATCAAGTGTCACGGATGGGAGAATGCCAGTACTCTGTGTCTCCACGGGGACACTGGTCTGAGTCTCGTCGGGGACGCTGGTGTCAGTCTCAACGGGGGCACTGGTTTGAGTCTCAACAGGGGCACTAGTCTTGGTCTCCGCAGCGGCACTGGTCTTGGTCTCCGGCGCGGCGCTGCTGGTGACATCCAAAAGAGAGCTCACAAGGGTCTCAACGGGATCCAGCAGACCACTGGAAGAGGTTGCCTCTGCCTCGGCCGTGGTAGCAGAGTCATCGCTCTTGGTCTCAGAGACCTGAGCAGCAGAGGTCTCAGCTGCAGAGCTCTGGGTGGCAGCCTCTGAAGTATCCTCTGCCGTCGTGGGATCAGCAGCAGAGGTCGAGGACGCCTTGGAGGTAGAGTCGCCCGACGATGTCGTTGCATCAGCCGCCTTGGTCGAAGTCTTGGAAGTGGAGCTGGAGTCGCCGGATGTGGTGGAATCAGCCTCCGGCGTGGCTGTGGCTTGCGTAGAGTCTTCCGTTGAAGCAACATCGGAGCTGTCGGCGGTGGAGGCAGCCTCCTCTGTACTGGCGGGATCCGTCGACTTAACATCTGTCTCGCTGGACTTATCCGCAGCACTCGAAGTCGTCTTCGATAAGTCGGACGACTTGGTTCCTGTGGCAGTGTCTGTGACAGTCTCTGTGACAGACTCTTCGGTCGCGGTATCGCTGACGGTGACGATACCAGTGGGAGCAAGCAAAATGCCAGTGTCGGTATCGGAGGCAGTGGCGCGCGTTGCGGATGATGAAGCATCTGCCGTGGTGTCGCTTGAGGTGGGCTGGAGAATAATCGCGGGGACGGTACCGGTCGCGCCAATCGAGTCAGACTTGGATTTCGAGATATCAGAGATCAGGTCAGCGATGCTGGTCCGTCGCTTTGAGCTCGTTGAGCCGTCGGTAGAGGTTGAGGAGTCTGAAGCAGTGCGGCTCTCGCTGGTCGTGATGGTTGAGTTGGTAATCTCGCGCTTGATCTGTCTGGGAAAATAGATGCGGTTGTGGTTGCCATCTGCAACGGCGGTCGTTGCAAAGGCAAAGGCAACCGCCAACGCCCAGGATTTGGGGAGCATTTTTCTTGTCTTGAATTTGGGGGGTTTATGTACGTTGTAACGATGGTCGTCTTGTAGACGTGGGTATGCTAGCAATATGGTTAGCAAATACAACAGCCTAGAGCAGCCGAAAAGGACTCACTGTCAGGAACAGATGCAGCGAATGTACTTGACAATAGATGTCAACGAGTGTAATCTGCAAATCATTGTCAGTCCACAGTGGTCAATAAACAATGTCATGCGAAGGCTTGTAGTCGTTCGGTCTCCAATCCGCCGCAAATGCATATTGGAGATAGTTGGCTTGTCACCATCCCAATATCGATTACCACAAGCGGTGGACACTCCGCTGGTACTGTGTTCCAAACGACTTCATTGCCAGGCGCCAGAAATACAACAGTTGAGACTCACATATAGTTTGCGTGGAGCGTATGTATATGCGAGTGTTTAAGCACGATAAAAGGAGTGGCTTGACGAGAAATCGTCGACGAGGATCCAAAACAGGCGCAAGTCGTCAAAATGAGAACTATCCGTGTTGGCTTCTTTGTTTGGTCGTTATCTGATGGGATGGGATCGCGGGGGCGTCGAAATCATTCATCTGCCGGCATTTGCTATCCGCGAGACCTCCGGAGGTCCTATTGTCGGCCAGACATCAACCAGAGGAAGACGGGAACGGTTCTCGAGGATCGGCTGGAACGCGCGGGGCGCTGTCGAGAATCGATGAGGACGGACGACGACGCCTTGGAAGCTTGTCGGAGGAGGTGAGGTCGGTGTGGAGAGGGAACGAGAGGAAGGGGAGGAAAAGGGCTGGAGAAAAGAAGGGACGGCGACAGGGCCACGCGAGGATGGAAGGAATGAAGGCGAATGGGGAGATGGCAGGCATGGAAACACGACAGGGACATGGGGTGTGAAGTGCAGGGGGGAGGGTGAAGTTTAGGGGAGAGCCCAAGAGACAGGAAGATGGCCAAGAGTGAGCATGGGAGTGGGTGCTGCGGCGGGTGTGGCCCAGGCCATGTGCGAGGGTGAAGAGGCTTGGATTGAGAGAGGCGCAGGTCCTTGGGCGACGATGGGATGGACCATCAACGGGGGGGCCCTCTGGGGTCCTCTGGGGCGCTTTCGACTGGGGGGCTTGGGATGGACTCACCACAGTCGCTCAGCGTGACGAGGTACACGAGGCGGGCCGAGCAGATACGAGACCTTTCGGTACATGCGAACGCCACGCAACGTGTACTATGGCCTTGTAGTGCAAGTCGCGCGCTATCGAGGGAGACGTGTGGATGGGCCGACGCAGAGAAACGGAGAGAAAGACGCAGGGATGAACAGGAGCCCCTTCCTCACCCCAGTCGCTTTGCCGGCGGAGAACTTGCTGCTCGCCGCTGTCGCCGTTGCCCGCTCCTTCTGGTGACTCGCTCAGGCACAGGCACAAGTTCGGACAGGGCAGGGAGCGACACGCACAGTGATCCCACCACCATAGGCTAGCCCACCCTCCACCAGGCACAAAGACGCACGCAATGTGGTGACGGTGGGCGACCAGAGAGTCATGGCGGGCGTGGAAATTGCGCAGACGAGCATTGTCGAAGGGGGTCGGCCTACCAAGGGGCTTGAGCGTGCCAGGGTGTGGCTAATTGCTCGTTCCCTGTCTCCCACGCACGACGGCGTCACGGAAAGAGTGTGCTGCGCAAAAACATAGCACAGGGCGGCTGTGGAATCCTCCATTCTCTTGTCTCTCTCCGTGGTCACTGTCGGCACCTGGCTCGTACATATTCCCCATGGCCGTACACGTCTGGCACTCTTGGCCCTTGAAGGCAAGGCAAGGAGGGCTACCACCTGGTAAACCAAGCTCTCTGTATCATGGGTTGCGTTGGTGGAAATCAACGGGGCGTGTGGTAGCGTCCGCTCCCAAACACTGGCTGTGTCTCTCATCTGCCGGGGCGTTGGGTCGGCGGAGCGCGGAGCGCGGAGGTCTGTTGGCCTTGACTTTGTGGACTTGAGAGAGGGGTGGGTATTTCCAAGTTGGTGCCAGGGGCACAGGCGCGGAAGAATCGATATGGCCGCGAACTATTGGCCAGGATCTGGGTTATCGTGACCCTACACCCAATAGGATGATGGTGCGGCACGCCAAGGCAGGGCTGGTGTCCATTCTTCGGTACAGCACCGGACGTTGTACTGAGCTTTGAACATCATGGGCGCATGTCAAAGGTGTTAGCTGTGGGTAGGACGTTGGTACCTGCCCAGCTCAGCGTTGGGTGCAGCGCTCCATGAGGTGTTAAGCAGGGCACTCTGTACCTGCACGTTTGGTTCCAATCCAAGTCGTGGCATGGAAAATGCGATCCTCCGGTTTCACAATCCGTAGTTCTTCAGGACAAGAGGGAGCCCATTGTGCCGGACTCCGGGCAGTCTTCGAAAGGGGTCACAGGAGATGGCCCTCTCTTCTGGCCTGGTACTGCCAATTGAGGCCGGTGATGAACGACGCAAGGGCAGAGGTCGGCATGAACAGGTGAATTAGTGGTCATCTCGCTTGAGGTCACGCCCAACAGGCCGGCCTTGCTCGATGCAACCACTGGAGGCGCACGATTTCCGAGCGCCATGGCAGAATTGAGCGGGTAATAGAACGCCGCTAATGTCAAGTGCCAGCTGTAGGGGACAGCGTCTAAGGGTACGTACCGGCGAGCTGGGCTGGTAAGATCGGACATTCGATCCTGGAATGGACGGCGCGGGTGCGGGTGCGGGTGGTGAGGATGATGCGAGATGGAACCCTTCGCAAGCGTTTTGCACGCGGTCAGGCGGCATAACGGTACAAGGCTGGACGTCGGCGATACTTTCCCGTCTGCAGCTGTCCCACCACAGCCCATGTATCTCTAACAGCACTCTCTTGTATCTCGGATGGTTAACCTTCAAGAGTCAGTCTGCCGGTTGGCAGAACCTTGGAAAATTGAACGGAACCCTTGTCGGGAGGTCCACTGAGGGACCACTTGAACGCCTGCCGAGGAGCCACCCCGTGTGCATGGCGCCGCAAGCCAGGAACAGAGGCGAATGGGGGCGCGACAGGGACGCCTTAGCTCGTCTCGAGGCGCCACTGAGGCTTGGGCCTTTAATTATCTGTCGTCCTAGTTCCATGTTCCCCGACTGCCAACAGTACCGGTACAACCGTGGGTTTGTGTCTGTCGGAGAATGAGTGAAGTGAGGACAAAGAAGAAAGTCAAAGTTGTGGACAAAGGCAAATATGCACGTGCATGGGGCTTCATCCCGGCAAAACTGATAAATATCAGGCAGCACAAAATGATACCTGAGGCATTGAGACGCGCACGCTTCTAGGTAGGTAGCCCAAGCCGAGGCGCCAACCTCTGGGTATGTAAGTACCCAGGGGCATCACAAGATCTGATTGAGGCTGCTCAATATCCGATGCGTGGCTGATGACTGCGCTGAGCAAGACATGAAAGGCAGACACATTGCAGGACGAGATGCTCTGCACAAAGCAGCTGTCCAGGCCAATATCGTCAATAAATCTCAGCTCGGCAGCACACACATAATCACATGGGGTACATACCTACGCAGCAGCATACAAACGGCGCAGCGCATACGTATGCTGTGGCTCTCCGGTGACTCTCCAGTGACTCTCCAGTTCTCCAGTGGCTCGCTCTGGTGGCTCTCCCGGGCACACCCATAAGCAAGCCCACCGACCCAGACAGTACAGTACAGTACGGGGTGCAGTCCAGCACATGGCATGTCGCAGCGAATTCCACGACTCCACGTGGACGCAACGAGCACATTACGAAGAGACACCAACGTCCCCCCCTTTTGGTGGGCTCCCCTTCGGTCCCCGAAATTGCGCGTCCCATCTCCCGCTTGTCAGTGTCATCTTTTCTTTTCTTCGTTCGGCACATGGATGATGGGGCTTCGTGTGTCTCTGGCGTACGGCACGGCAGCAGAGTTTGTTAGGTCTTCCCGTTCTCATCCGCTGCCGACGCTGCCGGTCTTGGCTCGTTTGCTTTTGCCATTTGACTGGTCACCAGAGGGAGCACTCACGAAATGGCTCGCTCTCAAAGGTTATTGTAATGGCTCAGGTATAGTGTCGAAGGTGGCACAAATAATGCCCACGCACATGTCACAATAACAACAAACCGCTTGTCTGCGTCTGGTCGGGTCTGGTCGGGTCTCGTCTCGTCTCGTCTCGTCTCAATCTCTTCTCAGCTTCACAAATGTCACCTCAGGCTGCCAGCCATACATACATCTGGCCTACTACTACCACTTCTCCGGCACTGGTCACTCACTATTCAATGTACGATGTAATATGGACGGGCTCGCGCTGATCGAAAATCTCCGCATACCCGCCCCGCGAACCTCTATTTCCCGAAAGCGACGAGGACGGTGGGAGAGTGTTTCTGCATCTTCAGCCCGTACCCCCCTGCCCTCTTGTTCGTCCACCGCTGTGTTTCTTGTTTCTTCGCTGCGGCTTCTATACATAGACACGACGATCTTTGCAGATACGGAGCCCGTCGCAACCAGACCCAAGCTAGTCCACCTGAATTCCATCCCATTCTGGCCGTCCCCATACCAGCTGCTACCCGCATCCTACTACTATCGGCCTTCCTACAATGGCTTGTATTGGGATCTCCCCAGTCCCCCTCCCCCTCCGGCTCTCCGACTCACCTGAAGCATGCACTGTCGACGACAATCCACACGACCTTGAGTGTAAATGGCCATTTCCTCAAGCGCCTTGGCCAACCTGTGGCTCTGCCGTCACCCCAATACGAGAGTAGCTCCAAAGCCTTGAACCCGATCGGGATGGTCTCCCCCAATTTGGCTGCGAGCTGACAAGCCGGTCCCTGTAGCTCCCTGTAGCTCCAGCGGGTGTCAGCGACTATTGCTGACCCTAACGCGCTCTTGTCCTTGGCTTCCACCACCAGGCTGGTTCACGACTCCACGATCGGACATAGGTATCGGCCGTGTTTCTCTGTCCTGCGGCTCATTTACCGTTTACCCTATTTACTATTTCCTATTTCCTCCTATTTCCTAACTCTAAGAACTCGTCCGTCACATCTGGTTGCGGACCGGAAGCACGGAGACAGCTAGCCTCTTGAAATAGGTTTCCCCCTGTAATCCCTTGCCGCCATGTTAGCCCATCGTGGCATCGGCCACCACCTGAAGATGGTGTCTGGCGCTGGCCGCCACACCTGCTCACTCCACCACCACGTCCACCATCCATCCACCGGTACCACCACTACCACTCCCCGTCGCCCGCTGGTCAAACCGTCTCCCACTGTTCCAGGGTCTAATAGAATCTAAAATCGGAAGCTGAGCTAGAATGCGCGCTCTGGCCCATCTCACCACTCGCGCTATCGCCAGGCGCGTCACTGGCTTTGTTGGTCGTGTGTAAGTTCACTCGTACTATGTCCGTCTGGCTCTGCCTGAGACACTTGGTCAGTCCAAACCCGACGACTTCAGGCCACACGGATTCGTCCGCCCCCGTTGGTAGTCTCGAATTATCTAGTCCAGCCTGAGCGAGCTATGGCGGGTACGCGAAGTCTGTCCTGAGACAGTTCCTCGTCGTCTCCTGTCTCGCCTGAGCCACCACTTCATGTAGCGAGTGTTCAGTTTCCAAACGCCGCCAGCTGATCTCTCGAGGTCCACTGGTTGTCTCGCCGCCTCCCGAAGCAATGAATATGTACCGTCAGACTTGTCTTGTTCAGTGGATAATCCCTTGCCACTATCAGTGCTGCATGTGTGCGCCTCTGTGACACATCTGAAAACGTGCTTCCTCCTGAGACGAGCAACAAAGTCATCCGGCACCTAGAACGAGAGAGCTGCCAAGCAAATATTTTTTCTACGACCAATTTTTAGTCTCCCTTCAATTGACCAGGAAGCCATTGATTATACTCTTGCCACGTTGTGTCACTCCCATGCAATGAATTACACCATGTTCGTCGAGAACCTCGATGATTTCCCAGCGAATGAAACCAAACTCGGTCTCACATGCCGAGTCACTGCTGCGCCTCCGCAACTGCATCGCTGTTCAGGTAATCGGTTGAGACTGAAACAGGCGTCTATTCCCACGCCCTGAAGGTAAATCGGCTCTTCGAGTCGCCGGAATGTAATACGTCACAAAGCAAGACGGAGGCCTTTGTTCTACCCCTCTTTGCAGGAATGGTCGTCCCTTCCAAGTTGGAGGCCCTTAGACATCAATGACGATGAGGAGAATTCCTTTCGCGGGCGGGGGAGGGGCTGGATGGTTGGTCGGTCAGAGCCGGAGTAGCATTGGAATGTCGAGTTGGGGCAAGTCGCAGGATGAAGCATCGCAACCCCGTCGAACTACTGAGTCCAGATCGTGGTATCCACCATTAGCACCCAACAGCCAGTGCGTAGTCGCAGTTCATTGTCCCTCCGAGGCACAGGCTGTGAATCACCGGTATTTCAATTTGCGTTTGTTGCTCTGCGTTTCATGAATAATAGGGAGATTGATTACTATACGCACGCTAACAACTATGTGATGGGATGCTCAAGACAGTTGAGGTACTGGTAAAAGATAAGGACGGGAGAACTCAGGCTCAGTGTTGAATACTTGTCTTGAGGAAACGCCGTGAGGTCTTGTCAGACATTGCCTTGTGATCAATCATGGTAGCTCGCAGGATCTCCGGTATATCAAGGACGAACGCCAAGACAAATTATAAGCATTCAATGGCTCGTTAGTCGTGCTCCAATATCACCTCAATTTGGGCGTTTTGTTGGCTTTTATGTTTGCTCATCTTCCCGCCGTGGCTGTTCGTCTCCGATTCATACTCGAGGTTGTGACGAGCCGGCTTTGATATGTCCAGTGCAACTATATCGCCACCAATCACTCCCCTATTTTCCCATAATCCCCGGTAATTTTGTGATATGCTTCCATTTCGTCATATACTTTTATCTCTTCCCTCTCAGTAGTTACGCTTCCAGCGCTCACGTGCCAACCTATTGTTGTCGTGGTTGGCGGTGAACTGTCAGCATGATCATTCCACACCCTCGAGATCCAATATCATATACTGCATGATCTGAACTTCTCCGTTCAATGCGATAATACAATGATTGATTTATTGAAATTTGCTTCATCCTACTTGAAGCAAAGTCTATAGTATATCTTACGTCTACTAACCTAGGAAAAAGCCCGAGTGGGACATACCTATAATCTGCATATCCGTTTCCACGGCTCTTGCATTTTTCTTTCTCTTCTTATTTTTCTTGTCTGTCAGCTTTCGATTATACTATTTGGTCACATTGATCTTGACACAATTTGATGGTCCATTGGTCCTCTTACTCCCTGGGACGATCAACATCCTTCTACAATATAGGGTAGGCTCTTCAATACACTTGCATAGAGCATGTTGTTTGTGTCTTTGTTGGTATATTTCGATGTCTTTTGGGGGCTGTTCATGTTGTCCGAGTGGTGCATAATACTTATCCAGTTTGCTTTGGTGGTTGTGGTCTTGTGAGTAAGCAGTGTTCTTGTCTGCTCCCATGGGCTAGACCTACGACACTTGTCCACCTCGTACTCCTATGGGGAGACCAACGCAGCCCAGGAAACCCTACTTCACTCATAAATTAAATATTCTCCCAATAACTACGAGGCATGCATATTGCCAGTGGTCCTACCGGGTACGAGGACAGGTTCCCGGGGTGCATACTGGAAAGTCCAGCACTGTGCATTAATGTTCAGAGGCTGCACATATCGAATGGGACCGCCAATGCTCCTTCGGTAATGAGTGATGTAGCGTATATATCTTATGATCGTCTTTGGGTTGTATTGGTTCATCAGTTTCCTTTTTTCATTGGCAGTTGAGATTCCTTTTGTGAAGCATCGCGGCTAGTCGCCTTCATAACAATGTCCATCAACCGCTGTCAGACATATCGCAGATCAAACGCGGAGAGTCCCGGCACTATAGGAAGACCATATAACGACACAAATAAAAAAAAACACAAACACAAACGACGAAACCCAGGTCCCTGAAGATATATTATCAGATAACACACGAAACCTGAGAGAAAAACCCAGCAGGCTCTAGGGTAGGCGCAAGCGTTCCTCTCCCCTGAGTTTTATTGGGTTGATTGTTGCATAACAAGGCAGAACCTGAAATTGTGAAACAAAAGATAATTAAGCCTGCAGCATAGGATTTGGATATTGAGTTCCAAATTGCGGCCGGGAGGACGGAAACTTTGAGGTACTCTCAGGCGTCCGCAAACAGCCACCATCGGACGTACCTAGGCGGGGATCCACATGCATCGGGCCCGGCGACGCCCGGCCCCACACGCTTAAAGACCCCTCCATGAACCCATAGGCCGCGCCTCAGGCCACCAGGCTATTGGCCCAACATCGCCGCTATTGGTTCAATGGTGCAAGAACCCCCGGCAGCCTCGCCTGATGCAGCGGCGCGGCCCATTCTCGAACGTGGGACGGTTTTATCTTAAGGGAGCCATGAACCATCGACCTTCACGGAGGATCATCCTCCATTCCACTCCCTAACCATGGCTCGACGACAGCACCTCACCCTGACTTTTGTCTTAGTCCTCGTGGCTTTCTGTACTCTGTCCTACCTCTTCTCCGGCCCATCAGGGAGCGCAGTTCCTGGCTTCGCGAAGGCACCTGCTGGCGAGCCCCTGAAAGCGAACGAGAAGTCCGAATTTGTGGTTGATCTCAATGCCATCCCTACGGGTTTCCTGGAAGGCGAGTCCATTGCGCCTCGCCTAGAGAATGCTACGCTCAAGTAAGTCCCTGTTCTTCCGCGAAGACATCAGTTGCTGACAGCGCTTCTTCAACAGGGCCGAGCTTGGTCATGCCACGTGGAAGTTCCTTCACACGATGATGTCGCGTTTCCCCGACGAACCCTCAAAAGACGATCGCATGGCGCTGGAGACCTTCATGCACCTTTTCGCCCGCCTATACCCGTGTGGCCAGTGTGCCAAACACTTCCGTGGACTCTTGGTTGAGTACCCACCCCAGACCAGCAGTCGCAACGCGGCCGCGGGATGGCTCTGCTTCATGCACAACATCGTCAACGAGAAGGTGCACAAACCTTTGTTCGACTGTAATAAGATTGGCGACTTTTACGATTGCGGGTGTGGCGATGATAAGAAGAAGGAGGGAGTCCAAGGAGTGGAGGGAGGCAAAGGAGATAAGGGTTCCGAGAGCGCGCAGGGCGAGGGACCTGACCCAGAGCTGCACAAACACTGAGGGAATATGTACGAGTACTTGTTTGGATCATCAACATGGGCGTTCCGGTAGAGAATAACCCGGCTCTGGCGGGACCAGACCGCCAGATTATATAGAATGACCTGGGGCGACGTGTTCTGTAACAGGCGCAACCCATCACTTCCGCTATTGTACCCTCCACGCGCATGCATTTTAAATACGACAGAACATCGGAACAACACTGTCTTGTAAGTCTTGCCACCATAACTATGGACTGCTCGACTATATTCAATTCCTTGGGACATGTTTTAACGTCGCCACAGGCACTGGCTTGGAAAGGCAAAACCACGTGACATTCCACATGACACTGAAGTGGGTCGTAGCGCGGCTGCGCGTTCAGAGCTGCCTGAGCTCAACATGAGCTCCAGCCTTCCGCAAGCAACGGACAACAACGACGACGACGAAACACCACACAACTAGCTTCATAATTTCCTGTTCGATACCGCACCTAACCCACCGAGCATACAGAAACTCTACGACCAGTCATCATGGAATTCGGTCACGCTGGAGTGTTGAACGAGGGTGAGTTTGGAGCTCGTGATATCTGGCATCGTGGTCATTGAAGCTTACGGAATGCTTCCAGATGGAATCCACGTCGATATGGATCGGTTGAAGAAGGGCGAGGTGAAGTAAGTGCCCCATTCCCCCTCTTCCCGTGGGATTATGCTAACAGACGGCCAGCTTGGGTACCTCGATGTATGTCTCCCTCGTTACCCCACGTCACGATACCCTAACAAGATGGTAGTATGGCGGTTACCTTCAAGGATGGAGTCATTCTGGGTATGGAAGTCGATCTCGAGAGTGGGAATCCGATTACTAACAGTGCGTGTAGGAGCTGATTCCCGAACCACGACCGGATCTTACATTGCGAACCGAGTGACGGACAAGTTGACGAGAGTACACGACACCATCTGGTGCTGCCGATCTGGCTCGGCCGCTGACACGCAGGCTGTTGCCGATATCGTGCAATATCAGCTGGGACTCTTTGCGATGCAGAACGGCAAACCGCCCATGACGCAGACTGCGGCCTCCATCTTCCAGGAGATTTGCTATTCCAACAAGGACCGCTTGTCGTAAGTCGCAGATGCCTGTGCCCCTCACTTGAGATGGACCGGGAAATTGACGAGATATCAACAGGGCTGGACTTATTATTGCTGGATGGGATGAGCGATTCGGTGGACAGGTATACTCGATTCCCCTGGGCGGTTCCCTCCACAAGCAGGCCTACGCCATCGGTGGTTCCGGATCGACGTACATCTACGGTTACTGCGATGCGAACTGGGAAGAGGGTATGGAGGAGGCTGAAGCAGTCGACTTTGTCAAAGGAGCATTGAGAGAGGCCATCAAGTGGGATGGCAGCTCTGGTGGTGTCATCCGAATGGTTGTGCTGACCAAGAACGGCGCGGACCGCCACTTGTACTTGCCGGACACGGATTACGCGGTGCGGCACCAGTGAAGGGCGAGGAAGAGAGTGATCGTGGAAGCTGGGGCTCTACGGAACTCGGCAAGTCACGTCAAGGAGGGGTAGAAGAAACGCCGACAAGCAGATCAGAAATAACAGATACTGAAGAGACAAGAGACAAGAGGCTTGCGGTTGAAGGCTAGAAAACAGTCGGCGCTGTACACTAGATAATCGGATCAATGATGAAAGAGCATTTACCGAGACTTGCAATGCACAAATGGGGATCCACTATGGGAGCGGAACGGCACCGGGGGAGGGGGCGCTGCGGGCCGCCGGGTCCTTCCATGCTTCCATTCACTCCTCCAGGTTGTTATCTGGGAAGGACTAGGAACGATTTACAGCACCAGTATGGAGTATGTGCGAGGTGAGGTGAGGCGGACAGGGGCCTAACAAGAAAACCCCTCCACAAAAGCACCGTCAAGGCTGAGAATTGCGACGAAGCCTCCGAAGAGCGGTGAAAGAGGAGACTGTGGGCTCGAGCTGTACCTTGGCATGGAGGGGGGGGTGGCTGCAGGAGGTGTGGGTTACGCGCGACAAATGAGGCCGAGACGCATCAGAGGAAGCAATCGATGAGTCTGGTAAGCTGGGGAAAGACGCAATATAGGATGGGGGATGTGTCGAGCAAGGGTTGCAGGGGAGGTGATGGCTGTGGCACGGCATGTGGCCGGAGGGACGTTTATGTGTGGCCGGGATTTGTGCTGGAGAAAGAGATGGGTGGTTTGGCGGCATGAGCTGCGACAACGGGAACGGGAACGAATGGGACAAAGGAGGTTGTGGTTGGCCAGTTACTGTCGTCGTTGTGTGTAATTTAGCAAGCGGTGAGATGCGTTGCACGCTGAGGTTTGCGTCATGGATACACGGGAGGGGAAGGATTGATGCCTTTTACAATCGCGATGAAGGAAGTGAGCGGCCGGATCGGGCACTTGTGTGGACGCGAGACGGGAAGAGAAGGGCGTGAGGGCAATGGGGGAGGAGATTGGGCCATGGGCGGACAGAGTTGTTGGGTTTGCCCATGTCCTGCATGTCGTTTGGGTGAGGCGAAGACGTGATGGGAATTTGATACGTAAGGGGAATGGATGCGGCTTTGAGGGGGGAACTATGGCGATAACGGGGAGGACGAGGTTACAGCGCAGTGTGCGAAGAACAACGTAGTACACGGCGGCTGTGGTTTATTACTAGGTATGGAGTGCCGCAATGGAGGAACATGTCTCGCGTGGCAATGGATGGTGTTGATACAGACAGGGACCGCGGGGAAGGAGCCTTGCGCAGGGGAAAAGCCAAAGGTTTGTTGACCGGCTTCAATTACGGTATGGAGTAGTCTAGCATGGGTCACCATTAGGAGTGGTGTTGGTGATGGTTGGTGGTGGTGCCGGATATACGATGTATGGTGATGTAGGGATGATGACGACTGGAGGTTGTGGTTGCTGAAACGAACCCCCGGACCACTGATCCTGTTCCCAGCCCAACCTGAAGTTCTGAACGGCCTCGATCGTCCAGTCCTGTTCGCGCGTCTTATCACTCGCTGCTGTTGATCCCTGGTCGACATGGTCGATTGAGGCGCGGGCCCTGGGTGATGTACAGTAGGTAACTACACTGCCCTGGTCACCGGTACACCGGCTCCCCATTTTCTTAGTCCCACGACGACCATCAACAGGACCATGACCTTGATGATACACCGTGTCTCGGAGCGATGCATGTCCTTGTTCCCGCCTCCGTCTCCGGGCCGTGCATGCTCGCTTTCGGAACCGGCCACTTCCCCTAAGTTAACTTATCCCATTGCTTGTGCGAGTGTTGAGTCCCCCTGAGTCCAGACGGAGTGCGGCTTGTCTCACAGCGGCGAGTACCTTGCGGATACGTACAGTGATGACCGACCATGTACTCCGTACTCGCGGTACTTTATGCGCATGTCACTCCCGCCCCGGGACCCGGATCTCGAAGGCGGCGGCGGACTGGGAGCTTGCCCACGTGCGACAAGCTTTGGCTGATGTTGCGCCTTGGCTTTTTTGGGAGGGGAACCTGCCCAGAATGGGAGTGCCAGTACCAGGTCTTACGGCATCTAACCACAGAAACCTGTGCCACGGCGGCGTGTATGTTTCTGAGGCAGCTCTGGGGTTTCTAGGTACCTAGGCACCTATCTACCTAGGTACCTAGCTAAGGTACGGAACTCAAAGCCGGAATAAAGAAAGCTTGCAAGTCATACACGACCCGTTTTGGAGCTGGGATTTCCTCGCAGCAGGTTTTCTTGCCTGCAGGAGGGAGGGTGCTGCTGGGCAGATAACAGGCAGGAGCTCTGCAGTGTGGCAGCGCCGGGTGCGTGTCCGTCCCATGTACGGACTAAAGCACGAGGGAATGCAATCAGGGTCAATAGGCAGGCAGGATCGAAGAAAGGAAGCAGCAAGGAAGGCACGAAGTAACTTTGGTGTCCATCCCGAGTCCCATCGCCTCGGACTTGGGAATATCGTCTTGCATTTCAGCACCACCGAGACTAATAATTCACGCGCTTCACCTCTTGTAGTTATCATTACCCTTGGTCAGCTACGAATACATCCACATCACTGGCGGGGTGCACCCCATTCCCCTCCAACCAGCTGACTTTGATCAAACCCGCCTCACGCTCTCCACTCCAAACCACACCCAAGCACCAAGCTGGAGCCACTATCGACAGGCCATTCATTTCTGTTTGGCGGGACGGACCCCATCATCTAACTTAAGTAACAAGGCCGTCCAGATCCAGATCGAAACCGGTCCAGCAGCGGACGGACCAGGCCGGCCTCTCAGACCAAGCTGCTTTCGTCGACCGAGCCTTGTGTGAACTGTCCCTGGGAATCACCGTGACAGTAGATTCACACCATCGGCTCCTGACGTGGCTGGTCAACTGTCATTATCTCGATTGTTATCACCGGTGTTTGCTACATAATCAGTAGCAGGGCTTTGGATGAGAGAGAACACTTGGTTTCTGCTAGTATTCAGTCACTGACATTCTTACTTCCACTGCCACTGCCACTACCGGCATCACCGGCACCTTTCTGTCAGGCGACAGATCAGCGCCGCAGCCCAATATCCATCGTCTCCATCACGTCGCCTCCCATTCCCTTCTTCACCAACCTTCTCCCAGTCGCAGCCCCGCCTCTCCTGCAGCTGAGAAATATTAGCAGCACAGTAGCAACATAAGCAGCTGCAGCGTCCACCACCGCCGCCTCCTCCGTCTCGCGCTGTCTGCGTCGTCTGGTTTTTGGTGGAGCGTTCCATCACTCCATTCTTAAACGGAGCCACTTCGTCCTCACCTGCTGCCGACCGCCCATCGCCGTTCCCGTCGCCGTCGCCGTCACCGGCCCTCACAAACTCACAAGTGCGCACACACACACGCCATCGGAATCTTTCACTCTTGTAAAGTCCAGGGGTCCTTGACGCGCTTCGCGGGACTTAAAGCGGTCGCGGCCCGTTGCCGACTATTAAGCTGCCCGAGGTACAGACCCTAAGACTCCGGGGCTTTAGCTACACCTCGTCGCCGTTTATATCAGACCTTCCTCTGGGACCGCATTGCATTGCATCTTTATTGCTTTGCTTGGGCTCTTTCTGGCAGATTTGAGAATCCAAACCCCGTCCACAAACACATCGGAATTTGGGTGAGTGGGTAAATTTCCTTGGTTCCTGTGATCTCCCTGCTTTTCCCATGTCGATCGTAACTACCTACTGCATCCTGCATTATGTTTCCCATTCCCGAGCTTGATGGTTGTCCTTGCTGCCACCCTTGCACTGCTTATTTCCCCGTCCTTTCGTCGCCCGCAAATTACCATGTCTCCGACATCAACCGCGGTGTGAAGCCCGCCGGGCCGAGAGACATGGGTCGGAAACATCCGTGGACATTTATTCGCTGCCAAACCGAGGGAGAGGAAGGGCAAGAAAGAGAGAAGCATGAGGCACAGGCGCAGAGGGAGATCAGGATGAGAGAATGGGTGATTGCAAGGGGCCGTGACGTCGGCACCCTGCATCGTGGTGATGCACTCTGCACGCCACGACGGCCGCGGGTTGCTTAAGCTACACCTGTGTGATGCAGCATGCTTCACCGCCAGTGCTTGCAGCCGTGGTATGGTGCTTCTCAATATCTCGACATCTCGTGCCTGAAACTGCCAGCCGTCTACTTTGGCCCTGAGACACTCACCACGGCCAATACTTGGAGCACTCGGTAGCACCACGACGAAGAGGATCCAAGGAACGCCCCAAGGAACGCCACCCCGCCAGAAGGGCCACACAGAATGGCTTCTCTGTCTTGTTCGACGGGTTCCACGAGGGAATAAAGAGGCAGTGGACCTGGAAACCCAGAAAAAGAAAGCAGAAAAACTCTCATACCGGTACCCTGACTCCTTGAGGAGGCTTGCCGTGTTGCGGCACCGGTGCACCAATCAGAGGGCGCGCAACTAACACCGAGTTGATTCGAGTCGTCGGCCTGTCTCCGGCTCCGTTGTCGCGCATCCCGAGTTTTTGTCGGGGCGCTTGAGTCGGCGCCAGCGAGCGCCCCCAGAGAGCGCCCCCCAGAGTCATTGTCGCCTCAGTTTCCTGGACGCTTGTCCGCTTATCCTCTTGTGCCCGCGCATCCGCTGGGATGTCCGCCGCTGGGGGCTGTTTGCTGGGTTCTCCGCTACCCAAGCCCCAAGCCTCCCAACCTGCTAGTTCTTCAGTCTACCAGTCTGCAGTCTACCAGTACCCGGTGCGCTAGGTACCCACGAGGGGCATCTGCTGGGCGGGTTACGGCCTACCTTAGGTACCTAACCCACTGAAGACTGCACACGCCGGGCACTCCCTCCCCTCTTCTGAGCCACTCCCCGCTGAGCCACTCACCACCAACCTGCTCGAAGCCCGCCCACTGGACGACGCCCGCTTGACCACTCATCACTCACCACTTACCACCACCGCCGCACCAGGCTGACTGACCTTGGTTCTCCCTCTCCCACTCTCCCCTCGTTCACACTCCGCCTCTTCTGACCTCTGACCTCTGACCTCTGACCTCCGACTTGATCTCGGTCTCTCGGTCTCTCGGTCTCCCTCTCGCTTGCCGTTTTCTGCCCTCTGAGTCTCGTCTTGCCGACGAGACCTTCTCCACCCACCGGGCCGTTTCTGTCTCCTCCTCCTCTTTCTCCCCTCCCCTCTCCGCCGAGATCCCACATCGATCCCTCCATTTGACTTGGCCACTGCCGTCGTCATCGCCTCCTTTTAGACCTGTCTCTGCGTGTCCCCCGCCTCCGCCTCCTCCTCCCCCGATCGACCGCCACCCCGACAAATAATATTCCCATACCTCAAGCTAATCCCTCCCGTTTCGCCGCTTGCAGCCGCGCGACCGTCCGCGATTCTTTACCCCTCGACGAATATCTGCGACAAGACAAGATAGCCCCCGGTTGTCTTTAATTCTGTTTACCTCCGTTCCTCGTCTTCAACTTTGCTGCGCCCGCCAGAAATGTTATGGCTGCTGTGATTGGCGACTTCGTCTCAGATCCCTCCCACTTCCAGACCATGATAGCCAACCCCTCTATCCAACACCAGCACTCCCACGATTCGTCTTCGTCTTATCGCTCCGGGAGCAGGTCACGACACTCCTCTACGCCGCGAGCCCAGCGCCCCGACTCTGTTACCGAATACTCTAGCAACAACGCACAGCCAGCCGCATCGTCGCCCGCGCCTGCTACCGTCACTGTGTCTACGTCAGCGTCAGTCTCTGCGCCAGCGACGGCGCCTGGGGGCCACGGAGCCGCCCACGTGTCCGCGACCGGCGGAGCTTCGCGATTCCCATCCCCGCCGCCGTCCTCGTCGCCTTCTGCTGCTACCGGTCCTGTCGCCGTCGAGGATGGGACCAGCTCGTCTATGGCATCTGACGCGAGGGACTCTGTCCCCTTAGGCCAGGCCCCACGTTCCGGCCGGACCCCCACCAACGCCGCCCAACAACCCTCACCCTCTTCCGACGACTTCAAAATACCCTCCTCGTCCTTGGCCCTCTCTGGTGGAACCGCCTCCCAGCCGACGCCGCAGCCGGAACAGACCGTCATTCACATTCGCGACCTCGCTCACATCCAAAGCCTGGCAAGCGCCGACCTACTGTCTGGCAATGGATCCGGCATCCTCAACGACCCGCCCCTCCAGCAGATGAAGTATGAGATCAGCGGAATGCCGATCGGCGACATCATCGAGATGGTCGCAGCCCTGTTGACCAAGATCACAACCACAAACGACCTGCAGCATGACGCCATGCAGCGCAATGTGGCTCACCAGCAGCAGGCCAACCAGTCGGCTGACACCAGCGGGAGCCCTATTTCCCCACTGAACCACTCGGTTCTTGCCTTCCACGGCAAGAATGTTCCCGCCATCACCATCCTCAGCTACCTTTCTCGAATACACAAGTACTGCCCGACGACATACGAGGTGTTCCTCAGCTTGCTTGTCTACTTTGACCGGATGACGGAGCGAGTCAACGATTTGGTCATGAGGAGCGAGGAGGCACGTCAACAGACCCAGACCGAGCGAGTAAATTCTACCGACACACCCATGCATGATGATGGTTCAGATGATTCGGACGAGAGTGATTCAGATCTCGCAGACGATGACGAGGACATGGAGGACCACTCGAGTCGCCCAAGCCGCCAGAGTAGCAACCGGGGGACTTCAGCCTCGGGCGAACACTCCCCTCTCGCCGCCGCGACATACTTCGTTGTCGATAGCTTCAACATTCATCGACTCATTATTTCTGGTGTGACATGCGCTAGCAAGTTCTTCTCCGATGTCTTCTACACAAACTCGAGATATGCTAAGGTATGGCCCCCCCGCCTTCCCCTTCCAACCGTCAATCACACCCTGTTTCGTGTTCCTTGATTGCTAACACATCATTCCTAGGTGGGCGGACTGCCACTTGTTGAGCTCAACCACCTTGAGCTTCAGTTCCTCCTTCTCAACGACTTCCGACTTGCCGTTCCAGTGGAAGACCTGGAAGCATATGCGACCATGCTAGTCGAGTTCTATGCTCGAGAGGTAGTGGCCAAGCAACCCGGAGCCGTATCTGCCGAGTAGGTCCACACATAGAAGGCACATTCATTAGCCTATCGCGGGGCTCTTCGGCCCAGATCGAGTGACCGTTAGAGGACCGATCACGGCGAACCCTACCCTCCCTGCTGTGGCAATAGCGCCTGGCCAATTGGTCACATGTCCTGACCAGGTTTGATCCAATTGCGGTGAAACATTCCCGGTTGGCAGCGCGAAACCTCTCGAAGGGCAGCGGCGACTTGTCGGGCACCCCCTTCCATCCAATGCCTGGGGGGATCTGAACCTGGTCTTCGACGACCCCGTCCATTTCCAGAGACAACATCAAGAGACTAGAACATGGGTGTTGGCGTATCATGACAACTGAGCAGGCTCAAGAGGAAGAGCTGGACGGACTGTCGTTGATGAGGGGATGTAGGCGACACATGTACGATGGAGGCTGCTTTATAATGAATGACTGTGATGGGACGTCTGATGGGGTGAGCCGTGGGCTGCCGGGATCATTCGAACACTTGATACTTGAAACTTCTTCCGATTAGACTAGGATGCTTGGGCAAACGGTGGCGGAGGGTTCGGGTGGGCCTTAGGGGAAGGATTTTACGACGTGCACTGGCGTTGATGGCGTTCCGGTAGAGAGGTTCCTTTTTTTTTTTGACTTTTATATATACCTGTTAAGATGCTCAAGATAGACAAAGATTGCACCTCTCGGAGTTTGTATGTCGGTGTGTAACTCTGTGTACGTGTGATTTGAGACTTACAAGAGAGTGTATGGCCTAGCACCTCTGGGCTGGTTGGGTGGAATGAAGTGCTGACGTGTCTTTAATTGACATAGGAGAATGCAGTTAGACTTCCATAGAGGATTGCTCTTCGTACACAGGTACACGCTTCTTTACGAAAGCATCAGCTTGGCTACCTAAGGTACCGATCTGCCTTATGCATAAGACAGTCAAACGTAGTGCTAAATACCCGCCTTTCTTGTTGAATTAGACCCAATAAATAAAATGAAATATCATCATTATGAAAAATAAATACTAAATATTAGTCCTTGGGAAAATCATTTTCCAAATACTCTAGGAGGACATTGTATGATTTTTAGTAGGATTAAGAATGTAGGTATGTATGCGAATAACAATACTCTTCATAATACACAGCTGATTCAGTTCATTCATTGAGCATTTCATATCATTTCTGCCTCGTGATTCCTTCTTTTCCTCGCCATACAATACATATTGATATCCCGCTAGATCAAACGCCTCAAGTCTCTCATACCTAGATATCCCATATTCGAACGCCGTACATCGAGAGTCTGTTCTTCTGGGAGGAGACTTGCGTATACATGATGAAAAATAAAAACAAAACAAGCCCTTCAGAGATTAGACCTGGGGGGATCCCACGACTCCTCAGGATCATTAAATGCCAATTCGGCATTCTCCATCTTCATGCCGAGCTGCCAACGCCCAAGACTAGGCCAGAAGTTCTCGTGGTCGCCGGTAAGTTGACCGTTGTCATCGCGGTGCTGGGCAACATCGAACCATCCGATCATAGTACGGCGACTGTATTGCTGAGGGACGATTTTACACCAGCGGCTGGTGCCGGGGAGCTCGCCGTGGCTGCCATTTCCCTCGGGCAGAGGTGGGAGGACGAGGGTACTGGTGATGCCGAGGTAGTTCATCCAGGAGGTGCGCAAGGGGAAGCTCGGAGCGAAGCGCCACGGCTTGAATGTGGCCTGAAAGAATGGCACAGGGCTGGCGGTAACCTCGGCGGTATCTTGGGGGTTGGTGTCGTGAGGGAAGACCTTGACGGTGGTGGAACCGTCTGTGTTTTTGGACCAGTCGAAGCGAGCGAGATGTTTGGGGACGTTCCAGTCTTTGGCGATGTTAGTGATGGAGTGTGAGAGAGTGAGGGAAGTGCATGGGACTTACTTTTCCGGCCATTGTAGCATGTATGCTTCTGAGAGACGTAGATTCTGGAGATCCTTGGGTTCCGGCCGGTGCGCTTCCGACCTTGGGCATCGTCGCGGGTGTAGTCAAAGCTGCCGGGCACGACAATAAGCTCGTCATATGGCCCGACGGGGGAGTCGCTGTAGCGCAGGATCTGCACCATGCTGAGCCCGCCGACTGGCTTGCCGGAGGCGGGACCGGCGTAGTCGGAGGCGGCCTCGAGGGGCGAGTATGCCATGGACGGCAGGCCGGCTTTGACCTGGGCGGCCGAGGTCCACCATGAGAAGAAGTAGACGTCGCCCTTCATGGTCCAGGGAGGAGGGACGAGGGGGATGTCTTCTGGGGGGTTGCGAGAGGACGAATTGGAGTCGACATTGTCTGGTGCGGCAGTGGTGGTGTCCGCGGTGTCCGTGGTGTCTGGAGTGTCGGCTGGTTTATTGGTGTCGTCGTTGGAGGCCATGATGGATGGCGATGGAAGATGACGCTGCTAGATGAGGGTGATGCTGAGATTGAAATGAGAACTCGTAGCTTGAGCGAGGGTCGAGATGGAAGATGAGGGTGTAAGATGTGCGGACAGAGGTAAGATGACGGGGTGACGTTATTCCCCCTCTCTCCTTCCTCCCCTCTGTCAGCAGCTAGCAGCAGCCAGGTACACCAGGTACGGAGGACGGAGACGGACTGCACACAGACGCCGGCAGTGAGCGCGATCTGCCCTTGCACTTTCCCTGCTCGGAATGATTTAATTCAAGCCCGAGCGGGAAGGAGGAGCTAACGCAGTGCAGGCAGGCAAGTACAAGCTACCTACCTTTGGACAGTAATATGGAGCTTAGTTGGACGACTACGACAGGGTTTCCCGGCTACCTACCTACCTACCTTAGTAGGTAGCTCTCATGTCTCGCGGAGGAGCAAAACAGTACCTCTAAGCAGCCAAAAGTAAGAGCTTACCTTAGGTAGCTAGGTAGTTGCAGTGCCGAGGGAAAATGTCTTGAATTTTCCTTCCTTTGCCGTCTCCGTGCTTTCCATTCTGCCTCGGACAGCACGTCTTAAAGAAGGTCCCCGAGCCGAGGAATGGGGAGGGTCCCCGCCCACCACACTACTGCAAGGCCCCTGGCAAGCCGCTTGCGTGGCTGCGAACAGGGGAGCGAGAGGACGGGACGACAGGTCTGAAAGCCGTCCCAGTGCCAGCGGCGCAGGCGCAAACGGATTGAATTGACTGACACGTGCTGGCCCGGAACTGCGGCGTCGTTCTCCTATTTGCCCCTTCGCTCCCCGACGCGATCCATCGGGAGCCGACGAGAAGGCGGCGAATGACCTTCCAGTTCGAGCTTGCATCGTTGGCTCGACTGCTTGGTGCAACTATATGGGATTATCCCAGTATGATATAACTAGGTCGGTAGGGTACCCGACGGCGCTAAGTCGAGCTCCTCAGCCGCTGTAGCTCCCAACCACCGCCCGTTTTCCTGTGCATCATAGCGACGAAGCTCAATCTGAGCCGCTGGCTTTGACGTTGGCTCACACTTACACACGGTGGGAACTGCATCCCAGCGCTCTGGAAGCCCTGGTCATCGCCCTGAACACCACCGGAGTGTGGGGCTCTAGCTGCCTCGGAACTTATTCCCCACTCCTGCACCCCATGTTTCCTCATTTGTCCTTCTGATTCGTTTGTTGTCCGCCTCTCTTACAGGTCTTCTCACTAAGAGGACAACTGCTTGCAGGTACTATCATGTTCCCGAATGCTGGTCTCTCCCATTCTCTATTGCCACAATTTGTTTTTTAAAACCTCCGTTATCTTGTTTCCGCAATCTAATATCATCTAGTATCATCTTAAAACAGTTGCTCAGCTCGCTAACTGGTTGACTCAAAGACCATGCCTTCCACCATCTTCACTACACATTAACAGCTCCCCTCCCCTCGCCCGGAGATATCCACCAACATCTCGTATATAATAGTTGAGTTTCTCTCCTCATAATAAATTCCACATCTCTATCCTCGTCATCATTGTCCCCCACTCTGGAAGTTCTCTGTCACTCTCCGACGCTTTCACCTCGGAGCTGCTGATTCCCACATACAGCCCTGCGACAGCGCTTGGCTCGACTTCTTCTCCGTTGCTGCCTAGCACTCGGAACTGGAGTGTCTCCCTCAAGAAGGGCTCCACCACTTCCACCCCGAGGTGCGCAATCTCTCCCGCGGCCACCATCTTCATCAGCGCCGATGTCAATGGCGCCGTCCCCGAGATCTTCAACTGTGAACCTGTTGTTCGGTCCATGGCAAATATTCCTACTGTGCCCACCAGATTGACTGCCCAATTCCAGTCTTTCGTCTGTGCCGGAGCCTCTCCCAAGAAGAAGTGGATGCCAAAGTTCCCATCCAGAGCCTCCGCATTGACGAGCACATTGGCGATCCATTCTGTGTAATGTCCGTTCTTGACAACTGAAGACGCTGGGGGGTCTTCTGCATCGATCTTGACATTGGGCTTCCATCCGTAAAAATGCGGTCCGAACCGTCCCATATGTCTTTCTTTGTGTAGGTGACGCCGAGTTCGCTGTTCCTTGGCCCGAAGTCCAGACGCACTCGATCCACCCCACCAGCTATTGATCTTCTTGATCAGCTGGTCTCGGGTATCTTGGCCCCCGACAGGCGACGGATCAGTATCAGCGTACGTGTAACCAAACGCCTCCGTGGTTCTTGACATGTCTGAGTCCCAATACGTGCCATCCTTAGAAGCAAAGAAGGGAGTGAGAGCCGTCTTAGAATCCTGTACGTCTCCCTTCAGCGTTGTAAAGCTCGTCTCACCAGCCGGCGCTGGTGTCATCCATGATGATGGGTTAAGAACTTGCCACATGGTTACCAATCGGTCCGTCATCGTGTGGTGGAGAAAGAAAAGGGGATCAAATGCTGACAACGGGACATATGTCATATGCCCCTTGAGGCCGCCGTAAATGTGAATAATGTCGTGTATTGACTCGATGGAATCCCAGCTAGACAGATTTTGCGAGGCAGCCCACGCCTTATTCCCAAATGTGTTGAAGTCTTTGTAGCTAGAAAATAGAATAAATAGACGCTGCTGAATTTCTGGTAACTTTGAGAGCAATGCCGCGCTGACCTGATCGTTGTTGGAAGGGGGTGATGTGAGGCTCACTGACGTGTCGGGAGCCCTCTTGGTTTCGTCCCAACTCTTCAACTAAAAGTATATTAGTACCTGGTCATCATGAAGATATCTCACCGATGCTTACTGGGGCCCAGATGAAGGCGTCTTCATCCTTGGGGTGGAAAGGATAGGCATATAAAGGATTCCTGATGGTCTGGACTCCCCTGGGGCCTTGTTGAGCAATGATCGGATGCCAAAAAACAGATGGGAAGTGATCCTCTCCATCAGGCGCACCCATTGCCCAGTCCCAGTAGGGGATCCGAAAATCCGTAGCGGCCTGTTGGTATGCTTGCCGTTCGGTCCCATTAGGAAACATGTTGGCAATGATATTGACCGTTCGATGCATCTCTTGCTATGCCATCTGTCAGCAAGTAGTCGATAGCAATTGCAAGTGGTGACTTACCTCAAAGAGAGCCAAGTATGGCCGATGCCAAGTTGGGAACAGGACTGAGCTGTGTGGACAGTACCCTGACTGATTTGCCCCCGCGACAGGCTCGACACCATTCCAGGACTGGAAGGGCACACCGTGTATTCCTAGACAGAGCAACCCGAAGGATACACGTTAACGTCGTAGTTCCGTAGACTTCGGACTTGAGACACGGCTTCCTACCGGCAATTTGATACCACGATGTGGGATCGTCCTGACTGACGTACTGAATCATACTCAGCGCCAGAATGAACAAGTCCCATTTATAAGGGTCCGCTTTCATTTGTCGAATTTCAGGCCTCACGGGCAAAGTGCCATTTTGAGACAATGGGAGCCGCCCGATGACAATGCGCGAAGACTCATCTTCTCGTCTCGTGAGGGACTCGATATCGACGCCGTAGTTATAAGGTTGACCAGAGGCGAGATGAAATGCACCGAGAAGGCTTCCAAGGAAGAGGAGGGTTCGCATGGTTGGGTGCGCCGTTGAGGCTGGCCGAGCCGAGAGAAGAGAAGAATGAGAGAGGACAGCCGATCGAGGAACCCGATGTCGGAGAGTTTCGAAGACGAAAAAAAGGCCAAAGGACGAAAAGCTCCCGGCAAAATCTGCCGCGCAGTCGCCTCTCGCCAAGGTGTTGCCCCAAAAACCCCAAGATAGGTTCTCCTCTGTGAGAAAGCCCCTATTCGGTATTAATCTGGCAGTGAGTCAATACTGAAATCGAGCCCGCTCGATGGATCGATGGGACGTTGTTTGTGGAAGAGGAAAAAAGGAGAAAAATAAGCCGGGAGGGCAAAAACGAGAAACATGGGTGACTGACTACCACTTGCCTTGTGTTAGGAGGAGGAAGGTGCGTCTCCCCCGATGCGGAACGCAGAGTGAACCCAATGACGCAAGAACTTTGGCTTGGGGTGTCTTATCGTGCTGCGAAGGTAAAGGATTGATACAAATTGCTGATCCTAGGCAGAAAATCATGTGAGTTGAAAGAAGAAAAGCAAGAGAGAGAGAAGGAAGACGAGAAACAGATGCAAGCAGCCGTCAACATAACCCAACAATGACAAGTGAGGCCTCTCAGCCAGCTGCCGACCAAACCAAGTGACCAAGGTCGCAGCGTCCTCCAGCCAACGGGGGCCCTAGGTAACACATCTTGGCGGTCTAACTTGGTCACACTCGAGGGCATGCATGCATCACCATGCCTGTTTGTTTGCATCCCCCGTACCGGCTTCGTCGTCCCTCCATCGTGACTTGCGGGAGTTCTGTGCGTCAAATTGCTCTCCATTGGTCTCCTCGTCCCGTCTGGCAACAGTTGACCACCCACGCGGACGGCACGGCACGGCACGGCGAGGGGACAAATGATTGGGCCTTCTCAAGTCCGATTCGTCCGGTCCAACAAGCATCCAGCGAATGCCTCGTGGGGGACGCTCGAGACGGAACCCCCTGTGAGATCTACTCGGTGATACAACAAGCCTGGGTAATGTCGCGAGTCTGCGAGTAGCCGAACGAATGGCACTCGAGGGTCCGATACAGCCGTCTTCATCTAAACGTCATTCTTGGTATTTGTCTCGTCGTTAAATATACATCCCCTCTCTATCAGCCATCTCCGGCAAGACGGACGAGGTACCGGCGACAGCTCTCCTGACACTCCATATCTAGAAACCAAGTTACATACGTACGTAGCTATCCAGCCAAATGCAAATACGGACAAAGATACGACTCGGCATCAACCCAACCAGCATTTATTTTCCAACCCGAACGCCGTCCAATGCCATTGGCCTCATCGGGCCCTTCCGAGGCTCGTCCCCGCGGTCCACCTTGTACTTGAGTTTGACACCCATCGCTGCGAGCTCCACGTCCAGGTATCGAAGAGCTCCGGGGACCACCACCATGGTGGTCTGGTCGCCGCCGACCCATGAGTTGCCTTGGCCATCTTCCCAGATCTCACCCTGGATCTCTGTGAGGTCAATCCCCTCCGTATCATCCAGCTTGATGGCACAGTTTCGGCATCGCACGATGCTTGGTGCCTTCTTCTTACCCGGCGCAAACTGCGACACCGTCGGCTGCACAGAGAGGAATGAGCCACAGCGACGGCAAATCCAAGACTTGGAATAATCGGAGCAGTTGAGAAGACGATCCTGCAGCAAGAAAGCCGTTCCGTGGGCCAGCAGCGCATCACGCTCCATTTCTCCCACACGAATACCACCACCTCTCTTTCGGCCCTTGATGGGTTGTCCTGTGGTTGGTACTACGGGACCTGTCGTTCGCACCTGGTACTTGTCGTTGACCATGTGTCGCAGTCGCTGGTAGTAGACCACACCGATGTAGATGTCAGCAGCCAGCTCCTCTCCTGTGATGCCCGAGTACATGGGCTCGTTGCCGTGGTAGTTGTAGCCAGCCTTCATCAGCTGGTGACCAAAGTAGTCGGCCGCAGTGTTCTCCTCGTCAAACCTGAAGGGTGTCGAGTCCTGGGCAAGGCCGTGCAGGGCGCCAGCCTTGCCCGCCAAAGACTCCACAAACATGCCTATCGTCATACGGGAAGGGAAAGCGTGGGGATTGATGATAATATCTGGTTGCATTCCCGACTCGGAAAAGGGAAGATCGGTCGTCGGCCATTTCTGCGAAGCGACACCCTTCTGTCCGTGACGAGATGAAAACTTGTCACCGATGATGGGTGATCGGGGAACACGGAACTTGACAGAGATTGTTTGCAGTGGCTCATTGCCCGTCTCCGCTCCAATCAATCGTACCTCCTCCACAAAGCCAGTCTCCGAGTCCTTGTACTTCTCATAGTGGGTAAGGCCGTCCAGGTTGACCATCTTGCCGTTGTAGTCGGGCGTGACCGTGTGCCAGGCGCAAATGACATCTCCCTCCTGGACCATACGGCCAACGTGTGGCAGACCGTCATCATCGAGCATTCCCTGGTAGTTCGCGCTGACGTAGCTGTGCGGGGCGAAACCAAAGGCCTTGGTTACGCTCTTACTCGCCTTGGTTCTCGAGTCATCCTTGAGTGAGATCTTCTTGGTCTTATAGATGGTACCGTAACCGAAGCCACGTTCGTGAGCACTCTTGTTGATAATCATGGCGTCATCCATGTCGTAACCGGTGTAAGAAATGACAGCAACGACGGCATTCATACCGTTGGGGAAGTTGTCGAAACCATAGGTGTTGTGTAGAGGTGCTCGGACGACCGGGGTTTGGCCAGTCTGAATTCGGTAGCTCTTGTTATCGGTACGGTGGCGGATCGCGGTGCCCGGCGTTCCCATGGTTTGTTTACCCATCTGACACTGGTACATGTTTCGGGGAGACTGGTTGAAATCGGAGAAGGGGGTCATGTTGGCGAGAATAGACAGCATGTTGGTCGGATCGAACTCGACGTGGGTGGATCTGCCAGATTCGATCTCCTGAGGGACGACGGCGATGGTCATGTACGGCTGCTCGTAGGGGCCGACAAAATCCTCCTTCTGCAGAGGGAGATACTTGACTGGTCGCACCATTCGTGATGGAGTGGAAGTCATGTAAATACCAGGGTAGGAGCCACCATGGGATGGAGGCACATATCCAATTTCCAAATGCAAAGGAACACCGTGGGTGCCCTCAACCTTCCAATACCGGAAGCAATCTGCGATTCTCAGAGACTCCTTCGGGGTAGACCAACCAAGGATCTTGCCATCAAGCATCACCACCACGCTCTCCTCGGTCGAGGCTGAGGATGTCTCAACTAGACCAAGCTCAGCGGCCAGGGCAGGGAGATGAGAGACGTCGACTGAGTCTGTCATGATCTTGCACTTGTGGGCCAGATGGTTCAAGAGACCACAGGGAGAACCATCGGGGGTATGAACGGGACACATGAAACCCCAAGACTCGGGGAGCAGCTTTCGCACAGCAGTAGTCTTGAGTTGAGCGAAGAAGGCACCTCGATGCACCATGCGGAAATGACTGATAAATCGAAGGAAGTTGAGCTTCTCTGCAACAACTGTAAAACCGGCCGTCTGCTGCAGGTCCAAGCCGGACGCGCTCTGAAGGTTACCGGTGGACAGGAAGTATTCCAGGGCGTTCCCGAGGTTTTCGTTGGCCTTCCGGAAGATTGTGTTGGGGAAGTCCTTACGGAAGTCTTCTGAGGTCATTGGAACAGTTGGGTATCTTCGGAAGAAGTCTCGAAGCGAGGCACGAACATTGACGCTCAAGAACTCGTCGAGTCGCTCCTTGAGAATCTGACCATAGAGGAATCCGCCCAACAAAATCTCCTGATTTTGAACGGCATCGGGATTGTCAACAGCGCATTCCCCAGCAACAAGGGCATACAACTTTCGGATCATGAAGAGGAGAGTCTTGAACTTTTCGGCGTCCTGCTCCTCAGTCACGTCGATGTTTCCAAGGTGAACCAGTACAATTTTCCGCAGGAATTCGGTACCGACTTCGAGGTTGGACATGGTCTCTGGAACTCCCAGCACCACTCGGAACTTCTCACCGAGGTATGCGCGGGTCTGCGACTTGCTATAGAGGTTGTAAGACTTGTAAGTCCTCAGAAGGAGCTCAACTCGATCAGTCAAGAAAGTGTTTTCGGTCGACTTGGAGCCGGCCGGGCCGATCAATCCCTCGAAAATCTCTCGATCGTTGGTCTCGACGAGGGCCTTTAGAATCATCATGACTGGGATGAGGTACTCGTTCTTGCGCCAGGAGAAACGGAAGGTCATGTTTCCGTCGTTGAGATAGTGGAGAACGTTGGTCTGAGATGTCTCATCAGGTCGGACGGCTCGAAGAATGATACCGTAAGGGGTGTATCCAGGGCCACGGTTTTGGAAACTGGGTCGGTTGATGGCCATGGGGAAGTTTCGCTTGTTTAATTGCAACATTCGGATGATCTTCTCGATACCGTTGACAACGAAGTAGCCGCCGAGCTCCTCCGACTCTTCTTTTCGCTCAACCAAGAGCGCAGGCGAATTGTTTTCGAGGTGGCATCTGTTTGACTGTCGTAGAGTTAGCGAATCGAAGTAGAACGACAAAAAAAGTCGGTTCGTACCTTGATCATGATGGGCACCTGACCCAATTCTCGGACAAACTCGACAGGATCACCGCCGTTGATCTGGTACTCAAAGGTAGCCGAAAGTCGACCTCTGTAGGTCACATGGCGTTCCCTGCACTCGGCAGGGAAAATCTGGCGGTTGCGTGCCATCTTGTTGGAGGGCGGGACCTGGGCCTTCTGAAGGGTTACATCCTTGAACCGGATAGAGAGGCGGTTCCTGCCCTCGGGGCTGGACCTATCATCGCCATCCAGATATGTCTTGGTGCCAATGTCGGCGAGACCATGGGCCACCAGACCAGGCTTGCCATCGTTCCGGAAGAGGCCATTGAAAGACTCGATGTGGGGATCCACGGCTAATTGGAGAGCGGGATAGGCGGTGTGGTCCTTGGGAGGATTTCGGAAGAGGTCCTCGCGACGGAGAGTGTGAAACTGGTGGTCCCACTCGGTGTCGGTGGCCGAGGGCGCCATGGTGGTAGAAGTCGGAGGCGGGACGCCGGTGGTCTTGGATCGTGGTGTTGCGTCGTCGCAGGTAGAGGTTGTACTCGGCAGAGGGCTGAAACAATTCCACCCGAAGATTGCAATCACCGCGCAGGCTTTTGGCTGGCAGGAGAATCGAGAGGGCGGTAGAGACTCGCCAGATGGGCCGCTCGCGATGCTGCAGAGAAATTGAGGCTATCCCAATACCCAGCGCAACGAAAAAAAAAGGCCGGTTGAGCTATCAGGGAAAAAAACTACCGATAAGCTCAAGTCACATGAGGGCGGGTCTTATCGATAGAGGTGGGGGAGTGACCGAAAACAAACGAATGAGGGGCAGCACTTAGAGGGCGAGTACGTACTCAAGTCCCCGCTAAAGAGCCCGTCATCGCGTCCGACACAGTCTGTCATCGCCGCCTGTAGGACAAAGCTCGCCAAGACGTAGTCTCGGGCCAAGAAAGGGACAGTTGAAACAGCGTATAATTGATACGCCGATGTCAATCGATAAGGGAAGGACCGGGGGGGCTTGCATCAACACCCGTGGAACATGATGCTGCGCAAAGCAGTTGTAAACGAGTGGCGGTGTTTCAGGCTCCCAGGGACGAACGAACCGAGAGGCAGGTTAAAGAGAATCGGAATCGAGGGACACGAAGAGCCATCGATGGTGCTCAGGGAAAAACCAGGGAGCTCGAGGCCAAAGGCCCAATAGCGGTGCTAGGCCCGAATACTTGCTGCTTGGTACAGTGCATGCTGCACAGGCATGCAAGGCCCATCGCTTCCTTTCTCAGTGCCAACCCTCCCGCAAGCGACAGCGTCGTTTTCGTTTGCTCTCGCCATGCGGCAGCCAATGACCGGGAGCCGCTTCGTTCTTGGAACTGGTGCCTGAAGTATGGCGATGCACTCGTTGGCGGAGTTGGGGGCCAAAGTCCGTCTGATGCATCATCAGCCATATTCAAAGTGCAAGGCATCCATTGCGTAGACATGCAGCCCAGCTCCGCTAGGGAAGACCGATAATCCCCTCTTTCTGGGGATCCAACTCCCATTTGCTCAGGGCGGTCCCAAACATGTCCCGAAAGATGCGTAATGCGCCCTGAACTGCTGCGCTGCAAGACCGAGGCCAGAGCTCTGGACCTAATGGAAGCTCTGGCTCACCCAAGCCACCACCACTAACACCACCACCAGCTTCCAAGGCCACCAACCAGCACGCTCGCCACCAGCCATGAAGGTTGCTTAGCACGAGGTACAGTCGGACGACCAAGCTTGTTGCAGCCCAACCTGCGTTGCCGATGGCGCATAACTACTCGCTTGATGCCGTTGCCGTCGCCGTTGCCGTTTGGTTTCCTCCGCCTCCGCCTTTGACCCGGTCCTTGCTCCCGAGGACGAGAACAACAACCCATTGCGACAAGGGACTGCCCGGACGATTCTCATCAGTAGTCAGCGCTGTTCAATCCCGGTAGTGCTGTTGATGCTTCTGCTGATGAGGCTGTTGTCGGATCTCCTGTTTAACGCGGCAGCACCTCGCTCCGCCTAGGCGACCTCCCAGGCGGCCTGGTACATGTCTTGTACAGACACATGAGGTACCGTCCACTTTGCGAAGAAGTTTCCTTGTTCGGTCGGTTGTTATTGTTGGAGCTGTTGCTGCCTTTATACCTGGCCTGACCTCGGTCATCGCCTTTTCCTCTTCGCCCCATCTCATCTCACCCAGATCCCGTCACCTTCGTCCCGTATCCCCCCCCGTGTCCCATCTGCCGCCGGCTGCCAACCTTCCGAGCCCTGCACATCATCCGCACCCCCCCGTCCAGCTACTGTCATCATTGTTTGGAGCCGGACTTGAGCTCTCCGTCCATCAGCCGCCGGTGTGCCGCCGAGGCAAAAGGGTTTATCCAGGCGTCGTGTGTCAGTTGACTCAGATCCCGCATCCTGTGCTGTGGTAGGCGCCCTCTGCCCCCCCGAGTTCCTTGCTGCAACGTCCCCGGTAGAGACAGTTGGGGCACAGCCTCCTGTACAGGTGCTGGGCTCTGCGACAAGGCGCTCACGCACCCAGGCACACATCTGACACAAGCACCTTCGCAGCGATCTAAGGTGGCAGCTCCTCCCGCACCTGTCGACCAGTGGACCAGTGAGACGAGACACGGCCTGTCCTGGCTGTCCCTCCACTGCTGATTCTGCCCGTCTTGGCCGGAAGCTGCCTTACGATAACGGATGGTGTCTTGAGCAACCCACCGCACTCGAAAATACATCTATCAGCCGCTCACAGACGAGACGGAAAGAGGTTCGCCCACTTCCGAGGCGCCGATTTCGAACTCACTCATACCTACTCAGCCTGCTCAGGTCCAGCCTCCAGGAGCTCCCCCGTCATTGTCACAACTTACCGCCTGGCGACCGACACGGATCGCTACCAGTTCCCGCCCAACGAGGACCCTGCAACCGCAACGGGACCGAACAAGGCTAAAAACAACATCATCAAACATCCAACCCCACCGTGCCGCTGCCATCACCCGCTGCGCAGCGAGCTGTAGCCGCTCTGCTGGAGGCGAGGCCCTTGACGCCCGGGAGCACTGACGTCGACGTCCCAAGCCCTGGTCGATCATCGCCCCTAGCAGTTTGCATCCCGGTCAAGGCGAATGAGACGCCGCAGCGGTTAACCCACACTACGCCTGCCACCTCTAGGCTGGACCAGGTGATTGAAGATTGCAAGTCACAACACCCCGCGGCCACTGTTTCGGCCAGTCCTTACACTTCCATACACTTTGTACCGCGCACCTCACTTTTGTCTGTTTCGCTGCCGCGGCTGCGAGTCGCTTGGGCTGGTCTGGAACACGGCTGCTTTGTCTCTATCGACTTGTGTGTCCGCGTCTTCCAGAGCTCCCCTATCCATCGCCCGTTTCCCACCCACTCTCCACTGGCGCTGCACTGCGCTAAAACTGACGCTACCTGCGCCGCCAGGCACGGGTCGTTCCCACCCCCTCCCCATCCCTCCCCCCCCTCAAGGGCCTAAAGGCTCGTGCCCTTTGGTGGCCTTTGGTGGTGGCCTCTGGTGGCCTCTGGCGGTCTTCTGTGGCTCTTGGGTGCCCTTTTCAGTGGCCGTGCTCTGTTGTCTCGGCCGTCATCTCGTCCCAGGTGGGGCCCTTTTTGTGCGTCCGCCCAGGCGTCACCTTGTGCCAATCTGTTGCTCCTCCATCGTTGCACCACGAGCCTCTCCTCATCCTCCATCCCCATCGCCGCCCTGCTTCCGACCCCGACCCCGACGCCCAGACGCTGGCGCACACAGCTTACCAGTTGCAGATGTTACTCGTCGGCTCCCACCGTTATACAAGTCGCTTTTCATCCTGAGCCGCACCCCCGTCCGTCGTGCCTCCGTCGCTGCGTCTGAGCGCCAACAATAATTCCCTTCCATAAAGCACCCCGCCCGCCACATCTTTCACCGTCTCTCAGATATTTCCCACCCCCAAAAGATAACCCGCGCCAACGTCCTCCTTCAACATCCTGCCGCCTCCGACCGCAGCTAGCTTCCTGCTCTGCATAGCTGCTCGATCGGTCGATCCCCCCCCCCCGCCGCCTTCGCCCGACCTCTTCCCCTGCGATCCGACCTGCGCTTGCGCAACCCGATATAAACATGGCTGGCCTCTTCCGAAGGGTCTACGATTGGCTGCTGCGCATGTTCTGGTGAGTAGCCATGGCTGAGCATCGTGCGCGGGGAGTTTTACCGGCGCATGGCAGGCTCCCTAAGTCTTGTACCCCCACCTCGGTATCTTGCCCGAGGCTTCCACTCCGCCGATAGACTGACGTTGAATCTCCAGGGCGATGGAGATGGAGGTAACCATGGTTGGTCTGCAGAATGCCGGAAAGACCTCGTTGTTGAGAGTTCTCGCTGTGAGTCGCCTCGCCTTCCCCCACTGTGCCTTCCAATACCCGGGAATCACCTACTGACCCCTGTTGCGTTCCGTAGGGAGGAGAGTTCACCCTCGAGTAAGCGCATCCCGTGATAGCTCGCATCGTTCTCCGGGATCGGCCGGTTCGGCTCCTGGTTGGCCATGGACGCACTAGCTGACTCTAGATTCCGTGTAGCTCGATTCCCACCGTCGGATTTAATATGAAGAAGGTGCAACGAGGCCATGTTACATTGAAGTGCTGGGATATCGGTGGCCAGCCACGGTTTCGCACTATGTGGGAGAGGTATTGTCGGGGCGTGAGCGCTATCGTCTTCATCGTCGATATTGCTGATCTTGAGTTGATCCCCCAGGCCAAAGAGGAGCTCCATGACCTCATGGGCCGCAAATCACTTGCTGGGATCCCGCTTCTCATCCTCGGAAATAAATCTGACCTCCCAGAGAAGTTGTCGGTAGATGAACTGATCGACGAACTCGACCTAAAGAGCATAAGGGGCCGTGAGGTGTGCTGCTATGGGATCAGTGCGAAAGAAGAAACCAACCTGGATGCCGTGGTGGAGTTCCTGATGAAGTGGGCTAGCAGAGCTCCATGAGGGAAGCTAGCCGCCGGCCCTCGGTGCCAACATCGGAGCGCGGCCTGAGTGATGGCAGGCTGGTGCCGAGAGGAAGGCACCGCTTCCCCCGGGGCCTCGACTGGGGGGACTGGGTCGAGCATCCCAGCTTGAGCTGGGCAGGAAAAGGATGATTTCAAAGGAAAGATATAAAAGGCCGGCCTTGCGGCGAAACAGTTGGTGGACACACGGTAACATATATAAACTTCCTCTCTCACGAGCTCATGACATTCCCAGATATTCTGCCAGCCCATGAGCGGTGCTTCACAGTCATGTCGAAGGCTTCTTCTAGTTGGTGTTGTCCTTGGGCTTTTTATGTTTGACGGAGCATGGCTTCGGGGAGGGGAAAGTTCAGCACTGGCTAGAATGGCGGATAAGGGCATTTTCTGGAACACGAGAGAAGGCGCTTGCCAAATCTCAAACATTGTGTGGTCGATTTGATTGTTTCTCTCTCCTTGGCAGGAAACTTGTTTGAGTAAGCATAAGTAGGAAGGTCGGCCACGCGCTTGCGTAGGTACTTTGCAAGCGGCTGAGCGACCGTATGATGACTGAATGATGATGCCGCGACGAGTTTGTTTGCCCCGAAATGATGATGAGCAGTACCGAGCAGTGATGAGCAGTGACCAGCAATGGAGAGTAGAGCGCAGTGCGCGGAAAACAAATCGAGACTTGTTGGGACCAAGTGCCAAACAAGTCTCCTGGGGAGGGAGAAGCCCTGTTTTGAAGTAGACCAAGACGTTCGAGGCAACCTAGTTGTTGAGTAGCTAGGGGGGAGGGGGGCGTTACAGGCATCCCCCGAGTTGAGTGCGAAAGCAAGGCGACGAATACCGGAGCGTTTTATGTCGACGAGGCGGAATGGACATGGGACATGGGACATGGGTGAGGGCGGCGAGGTGAGGCGAGGTGAGGCCTGGTCGAGGTGGTGTTGGTGGGTGTTGTTGGTGGGTGTGGGTGTACCGTACTGTACCGTCCAGTGAGTGGACAGTGAGTGTACCTGTGGTTTCATCAACCAACAACGCGTAGCCCCACGACCGCGTGCGAGATCGAGGGCGTCTTCTGGAATAAGCCGGACGACGAGCCGGACGACAAGCAGAAGCAGAAACAAGGACGAAATAAAATAAAAGAAGATGGGAGCGAGAAGGGAAAGAAAACAAGCGGCGAACGGGGACCGGGGGTGAGGGGGGATGGGTTGAGGACTTTCATGGCTACACACGGACCACTTGATGCGTTGGCCAACTCATCGCTGCAGTTGACAAGCGCCGCGTCGCCGCCCTTTTGGGTCCCGTTTGGGTACTGCACTCCTCCTCTGGGCTCTGGGGGGCTCGCTCTTCTCTGTCGTTGTTGTCTCCCTCGTCACCACTCACCGGCCAGTCCAGCCAGTCCAGCCGGACCAGCAAGTCCAGCCGGGCCAGCCCTTCTGTGGCCCTGTCCACCTGGCCACCCAGCTTCCGCATGCTGCCCCCTCTCGCTTGTGTCTCTTTTTCCCAGTCCGGGCCATCGTGGATGATTTCTACTGGGCCCGGAGCTGCCTTCCCGCCCTCTCCCTTGCGCGCTTCTGGAGACTCGGGAGGGGAATTGTTGGTCTTGTCGAGTCGTTGTCTGGTTGTCTCGTTTCCTTGTCGTACCTTTTTTCCTTTTTCCCTTTTCTTTTTCTTCTTCTTTCTTGCTGGTTCCGCTGTCCACCGCTTTTGTTCTCGCTTCGTTCGATGTCGTCTGATTTTCTCGGGTGCTTGGCTACCCCGGCCGGCGGCACATTTTCGTTGGCCCAAGGGAGAGGGACGGGGGACGAGGATACTAGCAGGTGGTGGATTATTGTCGAGTTTCTCTTCGAATTGGAGCCGAATACTGGCCCCCGACTGGTGGATGGTTGGCCAGGACATGACGACGGCTATCACGCGGAGCGAGATCTATATCCACCAAGACGAAGACGAAGAGCCGCGGCCGCCGAGGGAGGAACACCCACCGGTGAATTCGAGTAGTCCCGGTGGCGATATCGACGTCAACGGAGAATATCAGCCTTTTCAATGCCCCGACTCAGGCCGGGGTTGAAACGGGGGGGCGGAGCCGTGAGGGGTTCGGAGGCCGGGGGTTGTCGCGGACGGAGGTGGCGGAGGTTGGCGGCGGGGGGTGGCGGAGCGGGCCTGACATGATAACCGGTCCGCGACACGAGAAACAACCGTAAAAAAGGCAGAAGCAAAAGATGACAGGAAAAGAAGAGAGGAAGAAGAGAAACGAGATGGCACCGCAGCAACCCCCCTTGGCCGACAGGGAGATGAAGTTGGACGACGAGGTTTTCGGCCCGGGGCAGATTTGCGAGTCTCATTGGAGCGCGGCCGGAGACTCTGAGCGAATCGTCGCCTCGGCGCTAGGCGGATGGCTTTTTGGCTTCCCTTTTGGCGTGTCCGTCACCCGGCCGGTTACCCCTGATTTTCTCAGCCGTCCACCCCAAAATCGAAAACGTCAGGAGTTTCCTTCGTCGAAGCCGAGTTGGTTTTGGGAAAGCCGCGGCTCGTGTGGATTCTCGGCAGTGTCTTTTGCCACTAACGTCCCATGGCAGTCCGCACAACGCTGCAGTTTTCGACTGCAATAAAGCTGCGGTATGCTCTTGAAACATTAGTAAAGGTATTAGTACTTCATTGTATCTTTTGCTAACCTCAGGTCACCCAAGCTCCAAAACAAATTGTGCCCGCTGCCACAAACATACACATTTGATCCTCGTGGGCTGTACCGCATCTCTCAAACAGGCGTGAATGTGGAACGGGTGTCGATTGCGTGGTCGAACCGAGTTGTAATTGGATTGGGGCATCGAAGCTGATTGCTGAACACGAGTGTGTCGGTGATCAAGCTCACCACGCACAGCATGGAGACAACATGCTACCAGGCCGTGGTTGATGCTCGCGTCTGAAGCCAGATTTGAGAAAAGGGTTGCGGAGAGGCGTGGGTCTTTTTGGCAAGGGAGACTCCTCGAGGGTCTCACGTGCCAGTGCACATGGCAGATGGGATCTGTGTGGCCCACATATCCAAGGCGATGTCCACTGGCCCCTTGGACCCTACCGTCACAAACTCAACGGGGGATACTCAGACATCTAGAAGAATGGAAAGGAAATAGGGGGTTGTGCCAAGGGGAAGGCAAAGGCTGCGATTCGCAACCGCGGGCGCTGGCTTAGGGCAAACCTACTAGGGCAGCGGGGCTCCTTCGGGAGCGTGGCTTGAAGTGTTACGCCGGCGGCGGGAAACGGAGCACTTCGGCCTTGGTTCCGAATGGGAAGGGCGAGGCCGGAGATGGGCGTGTTTCGGTGCCGTAACTGCTTTCTGCTCTGCGGGTAAGTGAGGAGAGGCGGGGACATGGCGGGTAGGTTTCTTGGATAGGAGAGGGGTCGTTCGTCGAACCCCGCAAGGAACAGTGGGAATGCGTTTGATGATATCTTATTAACCTTCATCTACCCCCAAGTAATCCCAGAAGATGGAATTTTACATGCCCTCAAATACACTCCGTATGCTCCTTGTCATAAATGCTCATCATGGATAGTCCGTGAACCCCGCCGTCTCACCGTCTCGATTCAGCATGTACCGGAAGCGCTCCTTGTCCTCGAGTAGACACCGCGGAACATCCCTATTGTTGTCGATGCGATCGAACACGTCCACCTTACGGCCCCAGAGGTCAACGCCCTTGCGCACGGCGTCGGCGATGCGGGTGCGGTCTTGGTAATACTTGTTGTTCATCCACGCGTGGGAGAAGCTGGCCATCTTGTTGAGGAACTGCTCCATGGTCGCGAAGCACGAGCTGCAGTGCCACCCGGCATTTCTCAAGATGCCCTTCTCGAGGTCGCGCAGTAGGGGGATGCCCGCGTCGCCGGTGCGTAGGTTCGTGGGCGGGATGGTTCCTGATATGCCTTGGTAGAAGGTTGCCTGGGGATGCGGCCACTCCGGACCGACGTGTAGGAATTGGAATGAGTAGTAGTAGAACTTGGAGGAGAGGGTTAGACGGCGGGGGAAGTTGCATGTGCGCAGGACCAGGAGGGTCGCGGGGCGAGGGATCTCGTCGACATCAGCGACCAAGAGAACGTCGCCGTCGATGGGGGCCTGGCGGCCAGTGAGGCCCGGGAAGACCTGAACAAACATGGCATCACGCTGCAGGTCCTCATAGTCCCATGTCCTCGCGGGCTTGAAGTCCTCCGGGAAGCGCAACTCGTGGTATATCATCTTATCGTGGTAAGGCGCGAAGCGGTCCCAGGCCTCGCGGATAGTGAGTTTCTTTGGCCCGCCCTGGAAGGTGCGCGGGGACTCGACGATAACAAAGTAATCTACATAATCGTAAAGCGTGCGGAGGCGAATCTCGAGAAAGTCGAGCTCGGTGTTGACCATGAAGAGGTCGTATACCTTGCGCTCGCCGGAGAAGGAGGCATCGCGGGGCTGGAAGACAGTGTAGCCATGGGCGACGCAGAGGTCGCGTGCGGCGTCGGAGGCGTAGTAGTCGCGGCTCTTGGCGCCCAGGGCAGCAAAGTCTAGGCGTGGGAGAGAGTGGGTGAGGGTGAGATCGATGTTTGAGATGCGGTGGGCGGGAGAGTGGTCGAAGAGCGGCTGTTGGGCGAGCCACCAGATGATGCTGACGAGGAAGACAACGGTGAGGAAGATGGGACGGGCGTTGAGGGAGACGGGCATGTTCGATGGACGATAAGGGAGACAATGCCGAAGAGAATAGATGACGACGAATACAACGACGATAAGAAAGAAGGTACTAGTCCATGGGGGGCGGATAACAACTCGACTGAAGAACGAAGAGAAGACGCAGAGTGGTTGGATGGGAGGGAAGAAAGGGAGTCATCGTACACAGACGCAGGCGCAGTCGAGACTGGTGTCCCGGTCTCACTTAGCCTTCATCAAATAGCGACCTTGACGTCTACAAACAACTACTACTCGTGTAGCACTACTGGCCGGTAAGACGACCCAAGACCCGTACCATCGGTGACTTGGACGCTTATAAGCCGGGCCGCCCAATCAGCGCGAGCACCCTAAGCCATCTCTGAAGCTATCTATAGAAAGTTCCCTAGTAAAGGATCGAAGGAAATTAAGCGCGAACCCTCCCCTATTGCAAGGATGACTACCTAAGTATCACAGGATCGAGTCCCTACAAAAAGATGCTACAGAACGCTGCTTTGTTGTTGTTGAACGGCGTGTCGGTGCGTAACGGTACTGAAGTGCCAGCAAGATACATGCTTTTTCGAATAACCTTTTTCTTTCTTTTCACAGGCCGTCGAAATAGCATGCTCATGCCTTTCACTATCCGGCTGGTGCTCAAATACATTTCCATGAGGTATGGAGCGACACGAGGTCGCACGTCAAATGGCTCTAGATAATGGGGAATCATCTCGCAATACGGGTTGTTTCACGTGAAGCGCTTGGACCCTTCGAGTGACCTTGGCTCTACCGCTGCAAAATTGCGTTCCAGAAGGATTTTGGTCGGAATCTCCATGTGATAGTGTCCAGCACAGCCCCAACGCTTTATAATGTTGGCGGCTTCGCCTCGCTGAGAAACGTCCAGTGGCTACAATTAGGTTGCTGATCATGCCGCCCCCGTCTACACAATGTTTGGCCGGGGGTGGAAGAGCCAGGTTCCTTGCATTCTCGTGCCGTGATCCGGCTTACGGCCAGACATTGTCTCGTAATCTATCTCTCTCACCTCCGCGAATAAAGGTCAAACTCATCCTCTGTCATGTCGTTACAATCCATGCAGCGCTTGTAATGCGCTAGGAATGACTATCGATGCCCAGAGGCCCGGTCTCTTTGCTGTTTCGTCATGAACCAATTTTCTTCAACTTCGGTGGGATAATAATGGACAAAGACAGACGCCTAGTAGCTGCGGGGAGAAATTGCTCGACTACTATATCCCATGATGCGCGGCGATGCGTTGCGCTGTGTCCTGCCGAGTCTGGCCGCATCCTTGTAATGGATTCGACAACTAAGGTCGGCTTGCTCCGGCCGATCTAGGAACTATCCGACATCCCCTCACTAATTCGGCCCATAGCATCTCCACCCGATTGTGACGTACAACTCTAGCGCTTGACTCACCTCTCATCGCCATGGCAAGGCCAGTTCTCTTGGTGAATTCCTCTCGCCTCTTCGCCTCATCGTCCTCATACACTCTGCCTAGGCTGTCTCTAGCGTTGCAAGCACGCGGTTGCCTTACCCGATCAGTAACAGCACGAAGAGTTGCTTCACCCCTCATATCCACATCACGACGTAACTTCACCTCCTCGGTAGCAACCATGGCTCCAGCTGCTGAGACTCCCAACTCAAACGGGGGCCCCCAAAACGCCTGGATTGGCGGCAAGAGCTCTGCTGCTTTCGACCTGCGAAGCGCGTGAGCCCCGTGCGAACCTAGACCATCCTAGCGGAGAATAGCCAGCTAATGCATCCTTGTTCAGGTGATGTGGTGACCAGGCCGACCCTAGCCATGCTGGAGGCCGTTCAGTCGTGCTCCTTACTAGATGATGTCTTCCAAGAGGATACCGTCACAAACGACCTCGAGGCCTATGTCGCCAAGCGAGCTGGAAAGGAGGCCGGCCTATTTGTGCTTTCTGGAACCATGGGTAACCAGCTCGCCATGAGATCTCTCCTCACTCAGCCTCCCCACTCAGTCATCTGCGACTACCGTGCCCATCTCTATACCTCTGAAGCTGGCGGGTACGTATACCTATCTTCGCACAAATTTCATCGAGAGAGGAACTAACCCTTCCACAGACTCGCGACCCTGTCTGGAGGGCAGATCACGCCTGTAGTGCCCAAGAATGGTCGGTACCTAACCCTTGAAGACGTTATGGCGAATGCGACACTAGATGATGATGTGCATGGATGTCCCACGCGAGTCATCAGCCTCGAAAACACTCTCCATGGCATGGTCACCCCTTTGAGTGAGGTCAAGCGCATCGCCGAGTTTGCTCGCGAGTATGGCATTAAGATGCACTGCGACGGTGCCCGCCTGTGGGAGGCTGTCGTCTCTGGCGCCGGGTCCCTGCCCGAGTTCTGTTCACACTTTGACACCATCTCCCTCTGCCTTTCCAAGGGCCTCGGTGCTCCTGTGGGAAGTATCCTCGTGGGGCCCAAGGAAACCCTGAAGCACGCGCGTTGGGTCCGCAAGTCTATTGGTGGCGGGCTACGACAGACTGGTATCGTGACTTCGGCCGGCCGTGTCGCCGTTGAGCAGACGTTCGGCAGCTCTCCCACGGGCTCTGACGGCCTCCTCAAGCAGTCTCACGAAATGGCGCGCAAGGTGGAAGATCTCTGGACGAGCATGGGCGGCAAGGTGGCCGAGCCGACCGAGACCAACATGTGCTGGCTAGACTTGGAGGCTGCTGGGTGTAGCCAGAAGAGGCTCATCGAGTGCGGCGCCGAGGCTGGGCTCAAGTTTATGTGTAATCGGTTGGTGACGCACTATCAGGTGGCGCAGAACGAGGATGAGGTGCTGCGCCGGTTGCGCGTGGCATTTGAGAAGATTCTCGCATCTGGGGAGGATTTGAGTGTGACGCAGAAGGTTGGCAAGTCGAGTGTATACAGACCGGAATAGACGTAGAGTGAGCAATTCATGGCTGCGACAAGAAGTAGCCATGAACTTGATCAGCTGTAAGACGAAACATCGGTTTCGGGTTCTCAACTACCCATTTCCAAAATCCTCCATGTCTTGATGCGCGCAGTGTCTATTCTAACCGTTGAGGTTTGTTTAAACTCCCTAGAGGCTTGGCAATATCTCGGAACTCCCCTCGTACGAGTCAGCATGCAAGCAGCCGAATTAAAAACCACGCATGACGCCGGCAAAATTCGAGCAAGATGAGAAGGCCCGAGTCCTTTTCAACCGCAGGGTAGGATTTTCTAGTTCGTAGACAAGGTAACAGTAGAGTCTACCAAGGATCAAGTATGGAGAATCGGGGATGCCGACAGTGGCTTGCGGGTTTGGGGGGACGGCAGATGGGCGGCAAGGTCAAGGTAAGTACCTGCAACGGAACGCTCAGTCTCCTCTCCTCTCCTCTCAATGCCGCAGTTTCCTGGTTTCCCTAGATGGGAATTCACCTTTCGTTTTTCTGATGATCACCATGCCGGAGTCCGAAGCTGGAAGAAGCCAAGACGAGCCTGCTGGCGCCACTGACACGTCCATGGCTGGGGAGCGGAGAGTAACCGTTGGCCAATTCCGCACACTGACGGTGTTCAACTCTAAACCAAACCAGAAATGGACAAAAAATTGCATCTTCCAACGTCTAGAAGTCTTGGTCCTGGTCAATGGTACCTTGATCCTCGTCCCTCCAATTCCGCCCTTGTTTCTCTTTGAAATATTTATCAAGGTGGTGTTATCCAAGCCTGTTGACGTCACCCAATCGGCCAAAATGACGGCCGCTAAGATGACGAAGCGAAGCGGAAATGCGGGGGAAGGATCAAAGGCAGGAAACGAGGAGAGAAGGTAGGTAGGGAAGGTGCGGGGGCAACGGTTCTCCACAGCCACATCTCGCCGCATCTCATTGCATTTCGCCGGCGGTGGCGTCTGGGGATGGGAGATTTTAGCGGAACATGAACTACGTAGTACACTCTTACAACAATGTTAGTGGCCACCAGGCACTAACAAACCTGGTCGAAGATCCAGGAAGGGCCGAATTCGGGGCTCCATTTCATGATCTTCATGGTCACAGCATGCACCGGCTCTCCCTTGGGAGAGCAAGGGTAATCGCAGCTGCAGCTTACCCCAGCAAACCCAGCTCCTCATGTGGGCCGGCTGTCACGCTGGGTCAATATCATTGGGACGAGTGCGGATTCTCTCAAGGATCATATGCCAAGGACCCCAACGACGACAGGCCTCGTTAATGGCCCTTGGCAAGAGCCTAAAGAAGGTTGTTCCACGGGATGGTTGCGTGTCTCCATCCCGCCAGGGAGGACCGATTATCATCATCGAAACGGGCAAGGTACCACCCACCAGTTTTCCAGATTTCCAGGTCTTAGCCTGTTCAAAGAAATCTTGCTTGAGCTTTGACAGCTAGCCATCGTCAGGCTCAGCACTATGTCACCCCATCCCAATCCCGTCGTATGCCGTGTCCCGGCTCCTCCGTGGGCGGGCCAAGCTCGATGCCATATATACCCTTCCTCGTCGGCCCCGCTGGTGGTGTGACTCTCGTGAGACCCAGACAGACTCTTTTCTGTTGTGCTAGAAGTCCTTTAGGCAAGCTCGTTTGAACAAGCTTCAAACGGAACAATGGCATCTTTGAGACATCTGGCCGTCGTCGCTGCGACGTCGGTGACAGCCGTATCGGCGCTATACACCAATGGCTCCGTCATTGCACCATGCGACTCTCCCATCTACTGCCACGGCGACATCCTCGAGCAGGTTGAGCTCGCGCGACCCTTTTCCGACTCCAAGACCTTTGTTGACATGTGAGACATCCGTCTTTCTCCAATTGACTCTAATGCATTCTAACCACGTTCCAGGCCAGCTATTAAGCCTCTAAAGGAGATCCAAGCGGCTTTCGATAAACTCGACAAACCTCTCAAAAACAATTCGGCTCTCAATGACTTTCTTGACACTTATTTTGCCGATGCCGGTGGCGAGCTGGAAGAAGTGCCCACAGATGAGCTCGAGACCGACCCTGTATTCCTCGACAAGGTCGACGACACCATCATTAAGGAGTTCACCAAAAAGGTCATTGACATCTGGCCCGACCTGACGCGCCGCTATGCCGGCGACTCCAGTAACTGCACAGAGTGCCCCAACAGCTTCATTCCCGTCAACCGAACCTTTGTCGTTGCGGGTGGCCGTTTCCGCGAGCCTTACTACTGGGACTCATACTGGATCCTCGAGGGACTGCTTCGCACGGGTGGATCCTTTATCAACATCTCCAAGAACGCCATTGAAAACTTCCTCGACTTTGTCGAGGAGTTTGGCTTTGTGCCTAATGGCGCTCGCGTCTACTATCTCAACCGCTCTCAGCCACCTCTGCTGTCCCAGATGGTTAGGATCTATATCGAGCATACCAATGACACCGATATCCTTGACCGAGCGCTGCCATTGCTCGTCAAAGAGCATGAGTTTTGGATGACCAACCGCACGGTTGACGTTACCGTTGATGGCAAGACCTACACCCTCAATAGGTAAGAGCTGACGACAATTCCTATTAATCTACCCCGATTAACAGCTACAGATACGCCGTCTCCAACACGAGGCCGCGTCCCGAGTCATACCGAGAAGACTACGTAACTGCCAACAATGCTTCTTATTACGCTGAATCTGGCATCATTTACCCCGAGAACGAGAAATTCAACCAGACACAAAAGGAGAAGCTGTACGCGAACCTGGCAAGTGGTGCCGAGAGTGGTTGGGACTACTCTTCACGGTGGATCTCCCGACCCAATGACGCTGCCCAGCACAACTACTTTCCTTTGCGGTACCTCAACGTCAAGAGTATTGTTCCAGTGGACCTCAATTCCATCCTATACGGCAACGAGATCGCCATTGCCGACTTCTTCGAGCAGACTGGCAACGATACGGCTAGTGAGGACTGGCGAAAGGTGGCAGAGAGCCGTAGCAACGCCATGCACGCTGTCATGTGGAACAACACGCTCTTCAGCTACTTCGACTACAATATGACCTCCGGCTCTCAGAACATCTTCTATCCAGCCGACAGTGACACGGCGACGTACGAGAACCAGACGGCGCCTGCAGGCGAACAGGCCCTGTTTAGTGTTTCTCAGTTCTATCCTTTTTGGCTCGGCGCTGCCCCCAAGTACCTCAAAGAGAACCCGTACGCCGTCCTCACTGCCTTTAGACGCGTGGTTGGATATCTCGACGACCGAAAGGGCGGCATTCCGGCGACCAACTTCCACACCTCTGAGCAATGGGATCAGCCCAACGTGTGGCCACCCCTGATGCACATCCTCATGGCTGGCCTTCAGAACACCCCCGCGACCTTTGGGAAATCGGACCCTTCGTACCAAGCTGTCCACAAGCTAGCCCTTCGAATTGCTCAAAGATATCTCGACTCAACCTTCTGCACGTGGTACGCGACGGGCGGATCCACATCCAAGACGCCCCAGCTCAAAGGCCTAACGGCTGACGACAAGGGCATCATGTTTGAGAAGTATGCCGATGACGCAATCAATGTAGCCGGTGGCGGAGGTGAATACGAGGTCGTTGAGGGCTTCGGGTGGACAAACGGCGTGTTGCTCTGGGCGGTCGACACGTTTGGCAACGAGTTGAAGCGACCGGACTGCGGAGATATCAAGGCCGCAGATGTCAATTCCAAGCGCAGCCTGAGCGCGGTGATGTTGAGTAAGAGAGATGCGAACCGCGTGAAGAAGTTTGGCCGAAGACAGAGAGCGGAGAAGAAAAATGTTTGAGCTTGAGATGAGTGTATGGATACCAGAACTGTAGATATGCTGGTGTGACGGTGTGGATATTTCTAACCCAGGGACAGGCAGCTCTATAATTTACATATTTGTTACGCCAGTACGGATCTTGAATTTCGGGCACCTGATTCATCACCTTGATTGTAGGCAAACAGGCACCTGTCACAAAATAAAATTCCCGTCCGTTATCTCGTGTCCCATTAAGCAGAACTGCTTTCGTCGTCGACCACAAGAATGCCAACTATTACACAATATTCCCTTTTCCGCGTGGCCGCATGGCAAAAAGTATTTCCTCGTACAATGTAGCTGTCCTGCGCATACTAGGTACAATGAAAACTCTTCTATGCCTGCCCACACACTGTCGCTATCTGGCAGCATTGTTGTCATGCTTTTCTCCGTTGACCCATTGATCCTAGGTGGCTTCACTGTTTGTAAGAGCGTAGTGTCTGATCAATAAAAGTTGTGTCTGCTCAAACGACCTTCAACTCGATCGAGACGAATGGTTATCTTGTCGAGACGGCCTTTAATTTTGTCTAGTTGATCGTTAATCCAGTCTCGTTCAGAATCGGCTCCGTCTTTGAGGATTGAGATGGATTTTTGATGGGCTTTTAGTTGCTCCGTCAAACCGGAATTGACGGCATTCAGCCTCGATTCTAGCTTGCCTACTTGCTGGCTCAGCGAAGCCGAAGGGCCGGAAGCAATCTTTGTTTCCAGTGCTTTCACTCGCCGGTCCAACAAAGACGAAGTATCAGAATCCATCCTTGTTTCAAGCGCCTTAATTCGCTTGTCCAGCAAGGCCGAGGTTTCAGAAGCCATCCTCGTTTCAAGTGCCTTCACTCGCTGGTTGAGTAAAGTGGTAGTATCTGAATCCAGATGAGTTTCGAGGGCCTCCACTCGATGATACAGCAAAACGGAAGTGTCGGAATCCATGTGTGTTTCCAGCACCTTCACTCGCTGGTTCAGTAAAACCGAAGTGTCCGAGGCCATCTTTGTTTCCAGCGCCTTCATTTGCTGGGAGAGAGCCTGAAAATCCGAAAGAGAAACAGTTTGGGGCTCGCTCTGAGTCGATGAAGATTCTCTCGGAGGTAGGTTCGATTTGACGCGAAGAGTGTCCAGTGTCTCCGGCTCCTGAGGTGCGGTGGCGAACGAGGAGGAAGAATGGGTCGTCGCATCTTGCTGCAACATGTCCTTGTTACTCCCAGTCGCTCTTTGTAGAATTGTCGGCCCATCACTTTCAACAGGGACGCTGAGAGCTGAATGGACTATGGCAGGTGTGCTCATGCTGGTCTCCATCTTCCCATTGTCACTTTTTGCTGTGCCATCCTCGCACACATCGTCGAGAAGATCAAAGAAGTCGTCCACGTTGAGAGCAGCCTCGTCCTGGCAAGTCTCGAGAGCATCTTCCTCATGCTTTCTCAAGTCGATCGCGGTCAGGTCATCGGCTTGGCCAAACTCATTCACCATTACACTCCTCATCATCGCAAGATCTGGATGGTTCGGACCATAGAGAGTCGCCAAGATCATCCACTTCGGCCATGTGAACTCCAGCGTGATGGCGATCGACCGAAAGAGAGGGTGAACTGTAGGAGAGGAGCTGTCGGGTGGCTTGCAAAAGGCCCTTGCGTTGAGGTGCTTTCTGTACTCATTTTTCATCTCTTTCGTCAAGTTGTCGACCGCGGAGTAGTAGAGATCTACCAGCTTTTTGGCGTGATCATAGTTCGCTGGTTCGAATGCTTCCGTGACCGGGAGTGACCCCAAGGTCAGCGGGACAGTTTCTTCCATGGTGGGATGTCGCTCGATGATGGTCTGGCTAGCTGAGGAGTCAGAATGGTATCATAGCAGTGCCAAGATGCGAGCGGGCTGCGCAATCTGGCAGTTGAGATGGCTCAGATGGGAATGATGATACTCACAGTGTGAATCACGGCACGGCAAGAGCGCGCTGTCTTCCGATTTCAGGGAATTCGTAGGCGGCTTCGCCTTTGCTTCCAAGGCGACGAGGATGTTATGGGAGGAATGAAAGAAGAGAAAATGAAAGGCACGAAGAGGATTTTGCTACCTCTGTTGGTTAGGTGTCAGCTGACAGAATAGTGAAAAGAATGCTGAGTGCAAGGTGAGAAAGATTTGATTAGGCTCCAGATCTCTTAGGCCTCAGGCCTCCTGCAGAAAATGTGTTGGCTCAGAGAAACATGTTGCAAACACGTAAACAAACATTAACGCTCAAAAATGCAGTCACTGCCAAGTTGCAGGCCCTCACGCAGTTGTTGGTTTTCCACAATGATATAGTTGGTGAACCTGAGAGAAGAGAATTTCTTCACCATTCTAGCTCTTTTATACTAATTTGGGCCAACTCCAACCTTTTGCCTGGGTGCAAGCCCATGGCTGGGGTTGTGTTGAATCATCCCCACCATGTCAATTACGATTTAGGTCGGCTCAGTGCAGGTCATAATGTTTCCATGTCTTTGTTTTTCTAGTAATCAAACCGGCTACGAGTCACCTATGAACCCATAAGACAAACAAAATGTAGAAAGAAAGAAGATTAGCAATGGGGGGTAGAAGGCTTTGAGTCAACCTGGAGAGAAGGGTGTTGGCGTTTTCTCTCACTCTGTTACCATTCCCATGTGGCTTCTCCTCATTCTCCCTGAATGGCCAAGACTGCCAGTTCCGAATGCATGTATTTTTAGAATAATTACTTCTGGCTTGAAAGCTCCCTTAAACATGAGTGTTGCCATTCACGACCTGTGACAAGCCTAGGTAAAAAAGAATGAACAGCAAAAAGATATCAGTTTCCGAGAACGATGGATTGTATATCAAACACCAAGCTCTGAGGTTCTAGGGAGGAACTTTGAGTCTTTTCGAGACCCGGCGAAAGTTAAATGCGTTCTCCGTGGAGGTAACTTTGACCAGGAGGCAGGTTCACGGCGTGCGACAGGCGTGGCCGCACCTACCCGGCCTTGCTCGAATGGCAACAGAGAATTTTACCACTAAACCAATTACACTTGTTGATGGAGTTCCGTTGTTGAAATTTCATCATAGGTGGGTTGAGCGAAGTTGGCGATAGTGTCGTGGACATATCCACTTTGGCTGGTCATCCGAGTTGATATACTGAGAATAACCCGGTCAAAATAAATCAATTCCCAATATTTGTTCCATGTAGATGATTATTGCAGAAACAGCCAATCTTGCAAGATCAACGCCCTAAGACAGCTATCATCTCCCATCGCGAACAGTTAGTCACAGCTCATCTCAAAGGCAAAGAGCCCGGATCGTAGCCGGTCTCGTACGTATAGGTGAGACCCTCACCACCTCCAAGACCGAAGAAGCCATGTGATCCCACTATGAAGTATGGGGTGGCTTGGCGATACTAGGTGGCGGGATATTCGACTACGTAAATACCGTGTCCATGCCCCAGCGAATCGCATCCGATCGCGAGACAGGCTGCGGCCCGCGGACTGAGGCTGGAGAGCGCCATGGCAGAAAAGCCCGCCAAAGCAGCCTTACAAGGAGGCAGATGAAGCAGCAAAACGCAGAAACACAGCCACCTCGGCATCTCCAAGCCGAACCAATTCGCCCTGAACTGGGGACTGGATGGGCAATAGTCGGCGCCGGATTATTTCCAGGGCCACAGCCCACTAATGGCGGCCCTTCTAGCGTCGACCTGGCAAATGGCCTCGCTGGGCTCTCTGCATTACAGCGCATGGCAGCGCACTACGGGTCACCAGCCACACCATCACGGCAGATACGACGAATACGCGAGGAATGCGAGATTAGCTCCAGTCCATTGACTCGGAGGAGGCATGATGATCTGCATGCAACATGTAACGCAGTTTTTAGGCCGCATCTTCTCAAGATGCCTTTTGGGTTCATGACATCCGAGTTGGTATTATTTAAAGGCCTTCCCTCTCCTGCTTTTCTCAGGAAACACCAAAACATAAGCTACCTCCACACAGCACGTGCTCAGGATACTCACTTACACCACACCCAACATCCATCCACGCCCTCAACACGCCATACAATATATCAGTGCATCACCCAAGGCGCCAGTAACCGCACAATATGGTATTCGGAACTTCCAACAAGGATAAGGAGAACAAGGAGAACAAGGAGAGCCCCGATGTGGCTCATATTCCTCCACATGTCTCTGATCTCCATTGCTTCAGCGAAACTGGCGGTATTATAACCACCAGTATGTCATCCCTACTACCTTTCTAGAGGGCATGGTGTTAACTCTGAGCTCAGCCATGAACGATCTGCCCGGATATCGTGTCACCAAGGTCCTCGGTGCCGTCTATGGCATCACCGTTCGCTCCCGGAACATCGCCGCCGGCATCACCATGGTTATCAAGAGTATGGCTGGTGGTGAACTGAGCTGGTTCACCTCCATGCTCTACAACTGTCGCAACGAGTCCGTGAGCCGTCTTGTCGAGGAGACGCGCAACAGGGGCGGCAACGCTGTCATCGCTTTACGGTTCGACGCTGCCGACCTGGGCGGCTTTGCTCAGACTACCGCGTATGGCACTGCTTGTGTCGTCGAGAAAATCGAGGGAGCCAATGTTGAGGCAACTCAGCTCCTGACCTAGGAGGCAATGGTGCCACGAACACTGACCACCACATGCTTGAGTAATACTTGAGTAGGATATCTCGGTAACTGGGGTGATATGGTTTGAATATATGGTTTAAGTTTGAGTATTAGTGTTTCTTATATGGAGGTTGTTTTTTTGGATTCCTCGGCTGGAGAGTGTGTGTTGCCTGAGGTTATGTCTAGCAGATCACGAGATTTCCAATTTCGAGTGTATGCCACGGCATTACGGGCCCAAAGTAGTGAAACTCGTTTCTCCGTAGAAATCATGGTGAATTACCGCATTGCAGCCTTAATATATAAGATTTCAATCCTGTCAGCGATCCTGAATTTATTATAAGTGCATTCATCAAATAAGTTAAGTTATGGAGAAGGCCTATCCCATCTGAGAATCTGAGATGGGGCTGTCAAGTGCCTCTTGAGCAGGTACGTCGTAGGTACGTCACCCACTCTGGGGTACGTCGAATCGGGACATGTGACATGTGATGTGACATGTGGCTGGGGCTTATGTCATCAGAGCTCTATTCAAGCTCCCATCGGTTTGTCACTCTCCGGCCCCTTGCATTCCATTCCCGCCGCATCGACCAGGCGGCTTCTGTTGACCACCCGAAACAGGCCTCAACTGTCTCTTTGCTAGGCCGAACCTGAGCTTGGATCCATTCTCTCCGCCGCAATCGTCACTCGCTTCATTCAACAACATGCGCCAGAACCCTTGCTGGTAGCTGGCTTCCACTCTACATTCACTTCCTAGGAACGAACAGGCACCGCAATGGACTCCACGACATCCAACTCCGATGGCGCACCCCGCTACTCGCACGACTCGCTCTCCTCCGTCTCGACCACGAGCCTCGTCTTTGATCGATTGCATGAGAAGTCCGAGAAGGATTCTGAGAAGCACAATGATTCCCGAGCCCTCGATGACGATGATCCGATGAGAGAGGACGCCGACGATCTCGAAACCGGGCCCTTTCTCGGACCTGGCGCTGCTCTCCATCGCAAGCCGATGGATAAGGGCCTGCGGCGCCTTCTCATCATCGTTGCTGTCGTCTTCGTCGGCGGATGGTTCGCCGGCCTGGGCATCTTCGTTGCAAAGGGTTCATACCATCACGAGAGCGACACCGAGCACGACCCCGATGCCGACTCGCGAGGCTCCGGCAAGTCTCTCCAGATGGACCAGCTCTTCAACGGTTTCTGGACTCCCAGCTCCCACAGCGTCAGTTGGCTTGCTGGCCCGGACGGTGAAGATGGTCTGATGCTCGAAGTAGCCGCCCCCGGAAAGGACTACATGGTTGTTGAGGATGTTCGCACACAGAAAGACACCATGACCACTGGAGATGCGAGCACAACGATTAACAAGGCACGCACCCTCATGCAACAACCCTACTTTCAGTACGGTGGCAAACAATATACTCCTGCCTGGACTGGGCCCAGTCCCGATCTCACTAAAGTCCTGATTGGCATCAATCGAGAGAAGAACTGGCGCCACTCCTTCACTGCCACATACTTCATCTTTGACGTCGAGTCTCAGACCGCCGAGCCTCTGGTCCCTCTCGATGTCGATGCCAAGGTGCAGCTGGCTAGCTGGAGTCCCCAAAGTGATGCCGTCTCTTTCACCCAGGAAAACAACCTTTACATCCGACGCCTAACTGGCAAAAAGGATGTCGTGCAAGTCACGTCGGATGGTGGTCCAGAGTACTTCTACGGAATCCCTGACTGGGTTTATGAGGAAGAGGTATTTGGCGATCGCAGCGCCACCTGGTGGTCCGAGGACGGCAAGTACGTGTCCTTCCTCCGGACCAACGAGACGGGCGTCCCCGAGTATCCCGTCCAGTTCTTTGTAAATCGCCCCAGCGGCAAGGAGCCCGCCGAGGGCGAGGAGAATTACCCCGAGGTTCAACAGATCAAATACCCCAAGGCCGGTGCTCACAACCCTGTCGTCGACCTGCAGTTCTACGATGTTGAGAAGGGAGACGTCTTCTCCGTCGCGGTCGAGGACGCCTTCAAAGATGATAACCGCATCATCAACAACATCATGTGGACCGGCGACAAGGTCATCGTTAAGGAGACGAATCGCGTCAGTGATATTCTCAAGGTTGTCCTCATAGACCTCAAGACTCGCAAGTCCAAGACGCTAAACACCATCAACGTTGACGAGATTGATGGTGGCTGGTTTGAGATTTCCCACAAGATGACGTACATCCCTGCCGATGCAGCCAAGGGCCGCGAGCATGACGGCTATGTCGACACCGTCATCCACGAAGGCTACGAACACATTGGATACTTCACACCTCTCGACAACCCGGATCCCATCATGCTCACCTCCGGCAATTGGGAGGTCGATGATGCCCCATCGGCTGTCGACCTCGTCAACAACCTCGTTTACTTCGTCGCCGCTAAGGAGTCATCTATCCAGCGCCACGTCTACTCTGTCAAGCTCGATGGCACCGATCTCAAGCCCCTGACTGACATTTCCAAGGAAGCCTACTACGGCGCCTCTTTCTCGTCCGGAGCTGGCTTCGTCCTCCTCTCGTACCGCGGGCCCAAGGTCCCCTTCCAGAAGGTCGTCTCTACTCCCTCGAGCCCAGTCGCTTACAGCCACATGCTCGAGGAGAACTGGGAGCTGTCCGAACGCGCCCGCCGACATGAGCTCCCCATCCTCAAGTACGGCACTCTAGACCTCGGTAACGGTGTCGAGGTCAACTATGTCGAGCGCCGGCCAACGCACTTCACCGAGCGGAAGAAGTATCCCGTTTTGTTCCAGCAGTACTCAGGCCCCGGTTCCCAGTCCGTGACCAAGAAGTTTGCCGTCGACTTCCAGGCCTACATCGCCGGTGCTCTTGGTTACATCGTCGTGACCGTTGACCCGCGCGGAACTGGCTTCAAGGGACGCAAATTCCGCGTTGGTGTCCGGAACCAGCTCGGCGTCCTGGAAGCACAAGACCACATCGCTGCAGCCGCCGCATTCGCCTCCCGCTCCTACGTCGATGCCGAACGCCTCGCCATCTGGGGCTGGTCTTACGGTGGCTTCGAGACGCTCAAGACGCTTGAGCAGGACGCCGGTCGCACCTTTTCGTACGGCATGGCCGTCGCCCCCGTCACCGACTGGCGCTTCTATGATAGTATCTACACGGAGCGATATATGCGGACCCCCCAGGAGAACCCAGATGGCTACGACGCCTCCCGAATCTCCAACGCCACCGCCCTCGGCTCCAACAAGCGCTTCCTCCTCATGCACGGCGTCGCCGACGACAATGTCCACTTCCAGAATTCGCTCACTCTCCTCGACGAGCTCGATCTCGCTGGCGTCGAGAACTATGATGTCCACGTCTTCCCTGACAGTGACCACAGCATCTACTTCCACGGCGCCAACCGCATCGTCTATGACAGTGAGTTGCCCCTTGACCTAATCGATATTTCTAGATTGAACGTAAATTAACATGGCACTCCTTAGAATTGCGAAATTGGCTCATCAACGCCTTCAATGGCGAGTGGCTGAAGATCACAGATCCCAAGCCCAACACTGATAAGGAGAAGCGTGAGGCTTTTGAGGGAAGGATGGCTTAGGTGTACGGGTAGACGGACGGCGTGTTTTTATTATGTTTCATTTCGAACCCTCGGTTCTCAACTATCCAGCTCAGGATAAACCACTTGGATATAATGCCATAGTCATTGGGAGTTTTGCAAATGGGAATCACGGCGTTCTGAGTTAAACAAATAGGTATAACAAAACAATCGAGAAATTGATGTACTATCATACACATACAACGGCACGGGTTGGGTATTCCCGGCCGCGAGATTGATCTGAAACGTCATCGTCAAGTCTACCCGCAAGATCCTGAGTCCAAGCACATCTCTCACAAACCCATCCCCTCACACCACTACCCACGTCTCTCGCGCGGTAGGGGCAAACTATGATTACAGGGTCAGGAGTCCAAAGCAATCCCTGAATCCTCCTCGGATCGAGCAGGAGGCGATGGAGTCCGGGGTCCCATATCCTTCAATCCAGTGTGTCGCTCGGCGCCATGTGCCCAAGCCGGCAAATAGACCGGAAACCAGCTCCACACCGGTACCTGCATCTAGTAGCCGTAGCCGGTGGGCTGCGGTGCGAAGCCGTTGGTCTGCCCATATGGTCCCGGCGACGGGCTGCTACCGGGAGGACCAGCTGTGATCATCAGGCGAGAGGCACCGAGGATGGGGGTGTTGTCTTCGGTCTTCTCCTGCTCCTTCTCCTTGGACTTGCGCGTCTCGTTATCGGCCTTGAGAGTAGCAAGCTCCTTGGTCTGCTGGCACAACAAGTTGATCATGTAAGGCATGGAGAAGTCCATTAGGCCGTTACGCCATGAGAGCTCGAGAACGAGGTCAGGGCGAATGAGCTCGTTGCAGGCGTAGAGCATGCCAGTATAGCATTCACGGTGGCCAATATCGACGAACTGGGATTATGTTAACGATGGACATCGGAAAGAAATTGGTAAAACTCACGTATTGAAGAAGATCGCTGACAACATCAATCTTGGCAGACAACGCAGAAGTCTCAATGGCATCCTTGTAAAGTTTGTCCTGCTTAGACAGGGCAATCGACTTCTCCCAGCGCTTGTTCTTGCGGTAGATATTGGCAGCAATCTGCCGGAAGAAGATCAAATCATGCTTCTCGAGGCGAGCCGCGAGCTCGACAGCATCGTAGTTGTCGTAGTTTTGCACGGAATCGCGAAGTGTCTTGTAATCCTCCTCCTCGATGAGTAGGTCGTTGACAGCCTCGTTCACAATGCGCTTGTTCTGCGACTGGACATTGAGAAGGAAGGGCTTGATGAGAGGCAAGTCATCGTTCTTCTGGAAGATCTTCACAACGCGGTTGACGTCGATACGGGAAGTAAGGGTCGCCAACAGGTCAGTGAGCAATGACGGGTGTTGCTCGACGTAGAACTTGATAGCACGGTAGTAGATCTCCAGGTTAGCAACCTTGACCACGATCTCCTTGAACTGCTGGTGGTCCCAAGAGTTCTCAGGTCGCTCGATAACGGCAAGGGCCGCGTTGTCGAACTCGTCGTAGTGGTAGTAGCAGAACACCAGCTCAGGCCACAGGTTAGCCTCCTCGCAGGCACGAATCATCTTGGGCATGTTCATTCGGGACCAGAAGATCTTGATATGCTCCATGAGACGATCAGGGTGGTACTTGGCAAGAGCAATGCCCAGCTCAGTGAACATACCCATGTGGGCACGCTCAAGGCCGAGACCCTGCTCGAGAAGGCTAATAAGCTCATCAAAGTAGCCGTTGCGCTCATACTCCTTGACGAGGGTCTGGAGCTGCTCGGCATCAACAATCAGGTTGAGACCGCAGATCTGAGCCAGACGGAACTCCTTCTTCTCGACACAGGCCTCGTGGACCTGCTTCCACACCTTGATATTGTTGGCCTTGCGAGCACAGTCAACGGCAGCCTGGTAATCACTGAGGTGGACGAGGGTGGTAGCAAGCTTCGCCCAGTTGGAAACGCTGGTGTAGAAGATCTTAGACGCCTCGTACAGACCCTCCTCATAGGCCTTGTCACCAGACTCCTCGATGTTAGCAACGTTGGTTGCTCGGAGGAAGTCCTCGAGCTCGGAGAGCTGGTCCAAGCGAGCGAAGCAGAAGGCGAGACCAGTATCAATAGCAGGCTCTCGGAGAGTCTTACGGGACATGCGAAGGAACTTGACGAGATCCTCGTTCTTGCCAGCGTGGGTGGCAGTCTCGATAACCTCCAGGTAGTTGGTAGGATCTTCCGCCTTGATGTACGACTCGATGGCGTCGGAGACGCGGAGACCATCAAGCTGGGCCTTGGCAACCTTGCTCCACACCTCGGGAAGGTCGACTTCCTCAGCATAAGCTTGGGCACGATCGATGCTGACGACGTTCTCGATCAGGACATCAGCAGCAGCAGACTTGTTATCAGCCTTCTTGTAGATCTCGAAGGCCTCCTCGAACAGACCGACCTCGATGCAGGAGGTGGCAATGTCGTCGGCGTTGTACCCCTCGAGCTTGTGGATGTAGTCCATAACACGACCCTTATCGGCCTTGGCGGCAGTGAACATAAGTAGGTTCTGCAAGTTCTGGTTGTCACTGAAGGGTGAGGGCTCCAGGACGATCTTCTCGAGGAGCTCAATAAGCTCCAAGGGCAGATCATTCTCGAGGAAGGCAGAGACGGCAACCGAAACCTTGGCGGGGTCAGTGGACTCGGGCACAGCGGTCGCAGTGACCTGATCGACAACAGAGCGGCGGTGGATGTTGTTTTCGCTTAGGACGAAGTGCCACAGCTCTGAATCAGAACGCTCCAAGAGGTACCGGGCCTGGGCTCGGTACATGGAGTTCTCGTTGGTGATGTTGACGAGCTCCAAGTCATTCTGGCCCTTGGAGTAGGCGATGTAGGCGAGGTTGGGGTCGCGCTTCTCGCAGTACTTACCCACAGCCAGGGTATCGTACTGGTCGTTCTCCTTGAGGAACTTCTCGGGGTTGTTGTTGGAGTCGATGTAGATCTTGGCAAGAGCATTAAACACAGCCTGCTGCTGGTTGCCAGCCTGGAGTGTAGCCTCGAGGAAGGGCAGGAGGAGCTTGAGGCGGTTTCTGGACTCAACCTCAGAGACGAGCTGATCGATGCTAATCTCCTGGGCGTTGACAGTGCTGAGGAGCTGCTTGATGATGTTCTCATCGCAGTCAACATCAAGCAGACCACCAATCACAGCAGGCGTTCGAGATGGGTTAACACGCTGAACGTATGACTCAATGGCCTGGAACTGCTGGTTTTGGTAGAGGAAGAGGATCAAGTCGTGGACAAAGTTAAATCGGTCGCAGACGATGATGAGAGGGAGTTGCTCGGGCAGCTTAGCCTCCTTCAGGAAGTTCTTCACCTTCTCGGGGTTGTACGCGTTGCTATCGCGGCAGATTCGCTCGACCTCGTTGAACTGACCCATCTTGGTGGCAGCTTCGATGTACTTGAAATGAACATCGGGATCCTCAGAAAGATTCACAACGCTGCCAAGGTAGTAGAAGAGACCCTCAGCAGTCTTGTACTTCTCGAAGAGGTCAATCAGACGAACAGCGCCGAGGAGCTCGGAGTACTTGGTCGCAATGGTGACAACGGACTGCAGGTTCTGGCGAATGTTGCTCTTCATCATAGCATCAAGGCAGTCAAGAGACTGCTCGACAGACAGCTTGCCGAAGAAGGTAGTCAACCATTCGGGGTTGAAGTTGGTGGTGCCTGGGATGTTGACAACAACGCGCTTAATGGCCTCGGGGTCTTCGTACAACTCCAAGGCCTTCTGGGCCAGACCAGCCTGCTCGCAAAGCTGGGCAATGCGACCCTTGTCGAAGTGGGTGAACATCTCGTTGCCGAGAATAGCCTCAGCAACCTGGGGGGCGTGCATCAGGTTCATCTCCAGGAGACGGGTCTGAAGGCGGGCGTGCTCAGGCTTGTTCTCCTTCAGGGCGTCAAGCAGGAAGGCGGTAGCCTGCTGGACCATGCCTTGGGCTTGGAAGATGTCACAAACGCGCTCAAAGTCAACCAGAGGACCCTGCTCGCTATTAGCGAGAGCAGTAGCGAACTCCGCACCCTTCTCGGGGTTGACACGGATAATGTGCTGCAGGAGCTGAATGTAGTCGGGTTGGTAACCAGCCTGGGCCGAGTAGGGAAGGATCTTGTCGAATTGCCCAGTCTCAGCAAAGCCAGCAACAACCTTCTGAGGAACATTGGCCTTCAGGTAGATGGTGAGGGCCATGTTGACATCATAGGGGCGGACCAAATCACCGAGTTGCTCAGAGCAATCCAGCTTGCCCTCCTTGAGCCACTTCTCGAGCAGGTGCTTTCGATTCTGCTGAAGAACGGGCTGCGCCAACTCGAGAGTCTCATGCGTGTTCAGTGCACCCTTGTCGAGGAGCATTCCGAAGTATTGCAGGGTAAACGCCATCTGGCCAGGTTGGGCAGGCAGGCGCTTGAACTTCTCGATCGTCTCGGCGGTTCGCAAGAAGCCTCGGGGAGAGTTGGCGGCGATCTTTGCAGCCTCCAGGTAGCTACCCGAGTTGAAGAGCTGTTCAAACTGTCGTGCGTAGAGGTTATCGGCGCCGGGGAGACCAGCTCTTGAAGCCATCTTGATGGCCATCTCGGTGTTGGCGGGGTTCTGGAGCAGGTAGGGGATGACATTAGTATCGTCAACGGTGACGAAGAGGACTTGGCCCTTCCTGTTGATCCCGACGATGCCCGATGAGTCGTTGTCGGTGCAGGTTGTGAAGATGGTTTCGCTCGAGATTCTGTTCATGAAGATACACGAGGCGGTCTCGAGGTCGTAGAGGTGGATAAAGCCGTACTTGGTGACCATGTAGATGACACCGTACTTCTGTGAGACTTGGAGAGCCACAGGGAAGTCGTTCGTCGCCTCAGGAGGGAAGAACATATCAACAGCCTTCTTCTGGAAGACGGGGTTCGATTCGGGGTGGTCAACCTCAACGATATGGAGTTTGGCACCGGTGGCGGTGCGCACGGCGAAACTGAAGAGCTTGGTGTCTTGGGGGGCGCCCTCCAATCGCAGAGTGCCGAAGGCGGCGGCATGGCCCTCGATGGCCTGACTGATTCCTCGGTCCTTGGAGTACAGCTGCATGGCGCCGACCACGCGGCCTTGCTGCGATGAGATGCCAACGACAACCATCCACTTGCCATCGGAGTTGACTCGGTAGTTGATGATCTGGCAACCCTGTTTTCATTTACGGTTAGAAATGGTTAGGGAGTTAGGGAGTTAGGGTAGGGGTGACCAACGTTCAGGTTGGCGTTACGCTCGAAGACTTTGACGGGAGCGTCTTGCCCTGCATCGTACACGTCCCAGTGGAAGACGCTGGAGGTGGTGACAAGACCGAGGGTGGTCTCGCTAATCCACTTCCAGAACTGAACATCTTCGTTCATTGTGCATGACTTGAGCTTCTTCTTCTGCTCGAGGTCGAAGATCTGGAGCGTCCTCGACTGGGCCTTGAGGGCAATGACTTGTCGGTTCCAGTGCATGACAGCACTGTCGGCCTTGATTGGCCGGCGTGTCACATTGTTGCCATTCTTGAGCTCGACGATGACGACCTCAGGCTGGGCCGCCTCGCTCTTCTTCTCTCGGATGCATACGTACGAGTCGGACTCGAGTGTCTAGGGAAGGTCAGTTCGATGATTCTTCGCACGGTCGGGGATGAGAACGCGATGGGGCGATGGCGGGGACGTACGCAGGAGTTGAAACCGATGCTCTGAGTGTCCACGCCCACGTTGCTGAGCTGGACGAGCTCCTGGAACTTGATGGGCAGAGGCGCCATGACGCCGGTATAGCCTACAATCAGGTAGTATGGGCCGTCGTCAACTCGATGCTGCTAGCCTCGGGAGCTGATGAGGAGGGAGGAAGATGGGAGGACGGAGTCAATCCCGGATCGACCAGTGATTGAGTTCGGGGGTCGTGGAGAGGATTGTTTGGTGGAAGCTTCCATGCGCCGCGTGGCACGGGCTGAACGGAAGCAGCAGGAAATCGAAAACGGAGCGCGCAGAAGGATCGAGAGAATAGAAAGAGAGTAGAGGTTGACGACTGGGTATCGCGATTCGTGAGCTGCAGATGGCAAGCAGACGATGTCGTCGGTCGAGGAGGTGGAGATGGGAGATGGGAGATGAGAGAGGAGAGGGCGATGTTGTTGGCAAGGAGAAGGAGGCTACTTTTTGGGTTACCTGTTCTGTTCCGTTTGCGACTGGGCCCAACCAGGGCAGGTGCAGCAAGCAGGTACGTACCTTGCCACTGTGTGGTGCAGTACCGCCTTCCACGCCTTCCTTCTCCCAGGCAGCTCCGTTCCTTCCCACAGGTGTTGGTGGGACGTGCTACAGTGCCCAAACTCCACTGGCCGACACTGGGCTAAGTGGCGAGTGGCTGCTGGTTCCGAGCTTGGGACAGCCCCCAGCGAATGACAGCCCCCGGCACCACCAATTTTCCGCTCCGCCAGTGCTGAGGTGGCCTGTGCGCGGTCGTCAGCAGCTGGCAGCCAGGTGTCAGGGCCAGTGGCTTTAGGGGATGCGAAAAGGGGCAGCCTAGAGAGCCCCAGTGCCAAAAATACCTACCACTCGCTCCGCGTGTACCTTAATTAATTACGGCAGAGGTCCACTCTCGCTCACACTGGGCGTGAGAGCCATGAATGCGGCCGTTGATGAGTTGTGACAAAGGGCATTGAATCACTGTCGCAACAGCCAATATGGGAGTGATTCAGACATAACCGATATGCTAGACTCAGAACAGTTCGATCCCTCGTGTGTACTTAAAGATGCAAGAGAGCAAATCGTGGAAGTGAGGTGTCTCACATTACTATGGGGTCAAGCTCAGAAAGTCTGGCTGCAGGTCATTGTTTGCAGCCTGATTCTAGGCACAACTCGGTGGCACCCGTTATCCAACCAGGGCGTTGCTATAATCCAGGTTTGTTCGGCAATGCAACCGTAATTCGGGTCATTTTCTTGTTGAGACAAACATGGCAAAGCAAAGGGGGTCTTTTTCAAATATCCTACTCATTTCCGAGTACAGAATCCATGGTTGGCAGTTAGGCGACACTCCGTCAAAACATCCCTGCTTGTCTCACCTGCATCCTGCATCGTTGCTTCTTTGGCCCATTGTGCATATCTACTATGTTGACACCACCTCGAGATCTCACTTGCACATTCAAAGGACCCTATGAAAATATTCCTCGGATTCATCATCTTCATTGTGCGATCATGAAAATATATACACTCGTACCAAAACATCCCCTTCAATTCTCGTTGATCGTGGACTCTCACGCCCATGCCCATGCCCATGTCCAGGACTGGGTCTATTCGTGGCGTAGAGCTCGTGCTTAGAACTGATTTAACTACATAGTCGTTGCTGGCCTTTCAGTCCATCGTATTCTCTCACGTCAAGTGCTTCTGTTCGATATGGTGGGTAGTCGCGACTTCGTCTCCTTCAAACTCTTCACAGAACGGACAATTTACCGTCACCACACTAGACGCAACATCTCCGCCTCCAGGTGAAGCTCGTGGTGGCGAATCCAACTCTGGCATGAAATCCGCCAAACCCCTTGGTGGCGGACACTCAGGAAATTCCTCGTCGTACCTCACATCCGTATACCTGTTTGAAAACCTCGAAGATGATGCCGCAGGTCCAGCACTCCCTGCCGTTGCGGGAGCACTTCTCGCCGTAGGTGCGCTCCCCTCGCCCATCCGCTGCACCCGTCCCACCTGGCCATCCTGAAGTCGCACCTTGATTCCGCGCGGGTGGTTTCCCCTTGTGAGGAGGTCCTGCACGATGCCCTTCGTTTCCTCGCCTGTTGGCTGGTCTTCCTTTAGGATTATGAAGACGCACGCGCCGGGTACGACTTGCTGGACCGTTGGAACTGTGCCGGTAGCCTGCTGAGGAGTTGATGGGGCGCCTCTGCCTCCACGAGGCGGGCCACGTTGGTTCTGCCGCGGAGGTTTTTGTTGGCGATTTCGAGGCCGATTCATATTATCTCGAAGTGGATAATCCTAGGTATCCAAAGTGATATTGTTGAATTCTTCTTATGCGGTGATTGGTGAAGCTATTTTGAATCGTTCTTAAGTTGAATTGATTCGACCAGAAAACTCCACAGCACGTGCTTCACGAATCATCTCGAACGAATTTGCTTACCCTATAGCCCAGCGTCATCAAATTTTACTTTGACAATCGAATTTTCGACTAACATGTTTGGATTGAGTACCACTTTTCACGCTCACGGTAAAGAATATTTGCAGCTACTAGAAACATGACTTGTTCATTTGTAAATATCTCTTGCTACATAAGACGTTCCCTATCGCTGTATGTGGCATGAGTCTGGCAGGTTCGTGAGACTATCACTGCATATCTCAAAAGAGAATGAACATAACTAAAATAAGCATCACGACAAAGCTCATGAGCGAGTAAATGTGTTTCTTTATTTCCTTCTAAATTAATCATATTTTATTTCGTAGAAGATACTGATGGGTGGTGTAGCTGGCTCGACCAAAAGATCCTGAAGTGGGATGGATTAACAGGGAATGCCTCTCCCTCGAGACACTCGCTAGCTATGTGTGTATCTACCTATATTACATGTAGTTGAGATGTTTAGTTTCCCGCGGATTTTCTCCGTAAACCCCAACGCCATTGTCGTCTTTGAGGACATTCCTTATGACTGTTTCTCTATGAGACCCGCCCGAGAGCAAAACCCAACATACCATTACCTGAAACTTCAAGCATCGCCTTCTTTCACAGGTACCTTCTTCCGAATATCCTTCCACCCCATGCCCCAGGAGGTCAGGAACATGGCACACCCTGCGGCCACGGAAAGGTAGAATACAAAATCTACGCCCTTCGCATAGGCCGCCAGGGCCTCCGGTAGATCCTTTGACGATACAACCTTGTCCACCGCCGTAGCACCAGCCTCAATGATCATATTGGCATCAATGTGTGGAAGGCGAGCTGTAAGTTCACCCTTGAGTTTGTTGTTGAAAATGACGTTCGCGATGGAGACAAACACCGCCCCTCCGAAGGTCTGGGAAAAGACAAGAACCGCCGTGGCAATGGAGGTCAGTGCAGGGGGCGTGGAAGCTTGAATTGCGATTATGGGCATCTGCATTCCGATGCCTCGACCAAATCCTAGGAGAACCTGGAATCCTGCCCACTTGGCGGTTGATGTGTGTGGCGAAAGGGTCGTGAGAAGACCACTTGCAATCGCGAGGACCGCCGCGCTGATGACGGCGAACGGGAGATAGTATCCTACTTTTTGAGCTGTATTTGGTTAGAAATAAAAACAGCAGAAAGCTACATTGTGGGATAAAACCTACCAATAACACCAATGAAGACCGCAGCCACGATCTGGCTGAGAATGCTGGGAAGTAGGTTGACGCCGCTCTGGAAAGGCGTATCCCCCTTGACGGACTGGAAATAGATGGGGAGGTAGTATGAGGCCACGAAGACAGAGGTGAAGAGGAACATCATGGTTAAGCATGAAGTCCAGACTTCTCTCTTTCGAACAACAGGAAGAGGAATCATGGCGCCATCACCAACGCGGTATTCCCAGAGAATGAAGATGAAGAGAGTCGCACCGCCGCCACAGAATAGTCCAATGACTGTCGCTGAATCCCACGAGTAGTCGAGACCGCCCCACTGGAGGGCTAGGAGAAACATGATGGTGCAAGGGGCGAAGATGACGAAGCCTGTCAGATCGAGCTTTGTCCTCAAAGTCTTGATGATGGGCTCATCTGTATGAACGACACGATCGGGGACATCGACTAGCAGAATCAAGACGGTGCACAGGGCTCCGATGGGGAGGTTGATGTAAAAGCCTAGGTGGAAGTTAGCAAGCTGAATTATTTCGACGTTAGGTTGGGTCACAAACACCATCGCCAGGTTGTGTACTCCGTCAGAGCTCCGCCAACCAACGGCCCGATAACAAGTCCAAGCTGAGCACCAGCCATTAACACGCCCACCAGAGCAGGTCGCTTCTCCAGCGGCGTCGAGGCAGCGATTATAGTGAACGCTCCATTCTGGATACCGGAAGATCCCATTCCTGCAACAGTTCGGCCAATGATCAACATGATAGACGAGGTTGCAACTCCGCAAATAAGACATCCAACCTCAAATATAAAGAGGAAGCCCAAGAAAAGCCACTGAGTAAGGAATCTAGTTAGCTCAAGTTGCCTCAACAAGGGAAAGTTGGAGTAGTCTTGCCTTCGACTTGAAGTAGGTATATAACTTGCCAGAGAGAGGCTGAAGCGCAGCACTTCCGATTTGTTAGCGCGGCCGAAGGGATTTCCCGAGTTGCAGACTTACCTAGCGAGATTGTATGATGCACCATACCAGCCAATGTCATCCAACGAATGGAACTGTTCAGTGATGCGAGGGATGGCCTACATCGCAGGTCAGCAACCACTCCAAAAGCAATAAAAGCCAATCATACCGTGGTAATAATAGACATGTCCAAAAGCATCAGAAACGCTGCCATCGTAATGGAAATCATCAAGCTGATTAGCTTCCACCCAGACACATATTCCTCGGCACCATCTTTTGGCACGGTATCCACCGGGCTTGTTGCGTTGTCATTTTCGTCCTCGTCGTAGAGGGTCGGGGAAGACGAACCACGGTCCGCCTTTTCATCGGTAAAAATTGGCTGAGGCTCTGCTCGTTGTTTGTCTGTGCTTGGTGATGCCATGTTTAACATCAGCAGTAATGTATGTTGATGTAGCTTGCGGGTGGCTTGCGGCTGTTGTGGGTGGGAGGAGATGGTGGTAGCCCGAGGTCTTTTAAGAGATCTATGTCTACGCAGGTAGACATCAATACCGGAGATTGCTGAATGCCATAAGGCTGAACGCCGTGTATACGGGATCGGCATTCACTATGGTGGTGTTGTAAAGCGTCCGGTGTGGATCACTCGGAGCGGAGATGAATCCGAATCCCGCACCGGGGTCGACGCCACCAATCATGGCCTGATAGCCGGAGGGTTTATCTGTCAGCTTCATGTCCTGGAGGACCGGTGGTTATTGAAGCTTCCGACAGCTAGAATTCCCAGGGTCCAAAGACGTCCGTCATCCACGTCAAGTCGCTGAAATCCACGGCGCTGGGGTCCGGCAAGTTGAATGCGGCCGGAGTCGTATCTCCCACATCCATTGGCTGAGGATTGGCCATGCCTTGGCTATTTGGCGTTGGAATGCCCCCCAGATGCCGTGAAATCGCGGGCTCCCATGACGTCCGAATGTTTCGCATGATTTTGGCACCTTTGACGTAAATAGTTTCTTCGCCTTCGGCGGCTTTCAGATGGTAGACTCCATCTAACCTGACAAACATATCGATAGTTTGGTCAAGTAACAGCAGCAGATCAGCGGTGTTTCGCACTAGATCCTTGTCCCATGCCGGATCCTCTGAAGTGGTGAGCCTGTAAAGGGCTACCTGGACCTGCGACAACTGGACGTATACTGAGAATGGCGATCCTGGTACCTCATTGAGTGGCATGGATAGGAAGTTATCGTACCAGGCACGTACGGCCTTGAGGCAGGAGTACATGCTTTCGATGCGCTGACGAGCTGGAATGGATTGCATAAAAAGGCCAACGGAGAGGACTTGCACCTCGGCGCCGATCATGTGTGATTGCAACACCACTGTATCTGATTAGTGTGTGAAAGAGGGAGACGTAGGGAGATCTCGGGAGCAGACTGACTATTTGAGAGGAGATTTGGGGAAAGAGTGTCGTGGATCTCTTGCAAATTAGCAAGCATTCCCTTCTTGAAGATGTATGTTGGTGTTTGCGATGATTCGCCCATGACATCTCGCACTAGTAGTTTCTGGGCTTCTTCGGCTACTAGTTGGTACTTGACGAACGCCACAAAGACCTCGTCTGACGGGTGCTCTCGGTCTCTTTCCAGGACCTTTAGACAATCTTCCATGTGTGGGGTCCAGCGAAGGGTGTCCATTTTGCCAATGAAGGAGGTCATGCTATCAAGGTCAGCGATGAATGCAGAGGGAAGACCATGTAACATACACGGAGGTTAGGAACCAGAGGGCTAGCACAGCTCTTCGTTCCTCCATAGTTCGTAACCGAGGCGCAGGAGGACGCCCTCCCCAGACCTTAAAGCAGACGGTAAAGTATTGTTCCTCGATCGGCGCTCTGGTTAAGCTGAGGTCATAGATGACGGCAATGGCTAGCTGTGCATATGTAATAATGAAAGGCCGTGTGCCAGGTCCCGAAGTCATAGTCGCCCTACAGCTGTCAGCAAGTCTTCATGGGCGAGCAAAGAACCAACATACCAAGCCAGGTAGGCAATGAGACCAAGGAGTACGTCCATTGTTCTCTCATGGTTGACAACTATCCTGGTTGCGATTTGCTCGCGTACTCTCTCCTTCATAAGGAGCTGCTGTGGCGCAGACATGGATGTGATATTCATGATACATAGCCAGAGAAAAGGGCGTTCCTCGCGCAAAGATGCCGCCGTGGTGTCAGGAGGAATGATCATGAAGGGGAAGTTCTTTAACCAGTCCCGGAATTTGTCGAGGTAAATCTCTGCCTCGGCAGGAGTTGGCTCTGGTAATTGGTAGGTTTCATTGATGTCCGGCGAAGCCGAATTCATTGATACTGGCTCCGCTGAGTTGGTGTGGCAAAAGGCATGCGGCATGGCGGACGACATACTCTGGCTTGTGGACGAAGTCGCCGCAGCTGCTAAAGAGTCCAGACGGCTGGTAAGAGCCATCGAGGAGGAGGCGAACGAAGGCGTTGTCGATGACGAGGGAGTTTGTTGATTGGTAGACTGAGTTGCGCGTAGAATCGATACCAAGTCGTCGAGCTTCTCCTCCAGCTGAGCTGTCCTCGAAGCTGTGGCCTTCTTTGCCACGCGCTTTCGCGATGTCGTCATCGGCTGGCAACTCTTGCCCAGCCGATGACAACGCTCGCATTCGCCGGTTTCAGGTCTCAAAATGCATTTGCACTTGGCGCGCGAACAGTTGGTGCACGACCTGCCGTATCCCGCTGGAGTCCCTTCAGACGTGCTTAGATCGGGCGGCGCCATAGCTGCGGATTTGGATCTGCATTCACACCCGACAGATGGAATCGGAGATGCAACCGCAAGGAGAAAGCTTCACGAAGTCCGGTCGCCTGAAACAGACAGAGCAGTTGGTCACTAGCCCACTAGAATTATTCAGAAGAGCGGTGTTGAGAAGCCCAGGTCAGCGGGCTTGGACATCCAATGGTCAAAGGGTGCGATCTGGGTGAACGGGATTGGGGGGGTGTTATGGTCATGGTCTTGGCTGAATGCCGGTGCTGATCTGGTGGAGAGGAGCTGTAATGAGACGGTATTCGGACTCGGATTAATCCCGACTCCCGGTTATAGAGCGCGGGTGACGCGCCCACGTTCCATCGGAAGGGCGATCCGGGAGGGAGGATTTGATCGGGTCTAGGGCCCAATGTATCATTCACCACGATGATTTGCCAAGTTACGGGTGCTTACACTCGGGTTTTTAGGCAGGCATTTTCTTTGGACGCCGATCCGGGTCCTGGGCAACCGGCGAGTTCCAAATTGGTCGCTGTCGAACCATAGTTGCGACAACGACGGCCAGACTGAAGCGAAGTGCATAAGCTCTGACGTACGCTGAAGTGCATGCACAAAATAGGCTGAATAAATGTCTCACTGTCCATGGACCAGTGAGCATGGATTGACATTCTTGCGATGACGTTTCCATAGCTCCCAAGCTCACCAAACAATTGGACTCAGATGTTGCCAGGTGATGGCCTGGGAAAACCACGGAACAATGAAAGGGGGGGATCGCACGGGCGCTCATTCGTCTTGGATTTTCTCGTCAGTGACGGTTTAAAGATCCCATCAAAGCCTCAATAATATCTTGCCGTCTGACCATGGATCCCTTGGTGAGATTCCCAGGTGAGATCCTGGGTGAGATCTCTTGGTGAGATCTGCAACGCGAACTCCGGTGCGGATCTGATAAGATTCACCAGTGGCTTGGGGCTAAAAAGGGAATAGAACGGACGATGACTAAGGCGCATCTTCATCTGCTTCATCTGCCCTTGTTGGCCAGAACAGGAGGCACAACGAGCCTTGATTGGCCAGAAGCCACCGACAGAACGGGGCCAATCAAAGCCGGCGTTTCCCGCTCGTTCCAGTTCACGTCACCAAGGCGCTCCTCAATTCAAAGTCCTCCTCCACCATCACCAACCACGCCACCCAACAACCATCTTAATCCCAAGACAACGAGCCATGGCTGCCCCGAGCGTCATGGCGACGGAGCTCCTGCCGCGCTTCCTCCTTCCGCGCCTCAGCTGGGCCGCTCCCGTCCCCGCGTGCCGGTCGGCGCGACCCTTCGCCTCGGTCCAGCCGAGGGACCAGCGGCGGTCCTTTGCGGCCCTTCAGGCTGGTCCTGCAGCCCGGCGATGCTCTCACCATATCGAGAGTCCGATTCTCCGACGGGCGTTCCATGCGACGGCATTGAGGCAGCGCGATCACCACTTCGATACGCTCAAGTTCGTCAAGCGACTACAAAGCGAGGGGTTCACCGAGGTTCAGTCGGTAGCCATGATGAAGATCCTCAACGACGTCATCGAAGAGAGGTGAGACACTTCTGCGCATGCTGTGCTGCGGCCAATTTCTCTAACACATTTAAGCATCCAAAACCTCACCCGAACCATGGTCCTCCGCGAAGACGCCGCCAAGGCCACCTACACACAAAAGGTCGACTTTGCCAAGCTCCGTTCCGAGCTCCTCTCGGCCGACAGCACCGAATCTAACACGACGCGGACGGCACACGAGCGGCTGACCAATGATATTGCCAAGCTGAGCAGCCGGCTGCGCGACGAGATCAGCCGGACGCAGGCTAGTGTGCGGTTGGACTTGAACCTCGAGAAGGGCCGCATCCGCGAGGAGGCCGTTGGCCAGGAGCTCAAGATCAAGGAGACTGAAACCAAGATTGAGCAGGAGGTTGCGGCGTTGCGAGAGAAGCTCGAGCAGGTCAAGTTCCAGACGCTACAGTGGCTAATGGGTGTGTGCACGGGTTTTGCGGCGCTGCTGCTGGGTGCCTGGAGATTGCTCATGTGAGTATGCTGGAGAGCTTGATGATTCGGGAGCTTTGGAAGCTTCGGAGAGCTGCGAGGAATATAAAAACTGTGTGCTACAGCATAGTCCTTGGATACTTTGGGTTCTGGGGGGGGAGGGGGGGTTTCGTGTAGTGGACAATGTCAGCCAGTCACCTGCACCGCAATAGATTTTCTACAGTCATGAATATCCGAAAAGCAATTTTCTAGCCTGTGGCATTTTGGGCCTTGATAAGACAGAGGCGTGTGCAGATTCATTGATACACCGACCTTTTAGCTCAGCATAGCTCAGCATTTCACTGGGCATCAAATTCTGCCCTGGCGTCCATGTGAAGGAGGTGCGGGAACCCCCGCCGCGAATCATCTCCCCCTGATTACCACCGGCACTTATCCGATGTTATCGACAAGTGCAACAAAATGGAACTTGCTTTCTCTTACCACACCGTCCCCATCCCAACAGTCCGACAGCCAACAGCATCAATACAGCAGCCCCGGGCTCACAGAAATCCACTCGGCCACAACACCGCGGAGCAGCCCCCGAGAGCTCCACCCACCCCGCCCCCACATCTATCGCAACCCCACCATCACCGTCTGCGGCAGTTCAGGGCAACGACGACGGGCGGCCTGCGCTTCCACCTTGTCCCGAGTCTCGGCGGTTGGCTCGTGTTTTATCGAGCGTGTCCTCTTCTCTTGAATAGGATTGGTTTCGCTTTGTGCCGTATTTCGGGCGTTGTTGGCTCCTGATTGGAAAACTCCACCCTGGTCTATATAGACTTGTCCGACCCGTCCTGGTCCAACCCCGCGATCGATATCTGCAACTGCGATATCAATTATCAATTTCCAAATGGCTGCGAAGGCAAAGATCTTATTGCTGGGAGGGATTAAACAGTGAGTATCTGACCCGATTATGACACACAATTGCTCCCATATACCATCAATACCCCAAGCCAAATTATCTCCTTCAAGCTAACCACCAGCTCAGCGCCCACAACACTTGGGCCTCCCTCTCTTCCGTTGCCCAGATTATCACACCGCAGGCCACTAACCGCGAGGCATTCATCGCCGAGGCCAAGTCTGGGGCCTTTGACGGCGTCACGGCCGCCTACCGCACCTTTTCCTCCGTCAGCATCACAGGCCGCATCGACGCTGAGCTGCTGGGTGCCCTGCCCAAGTCCCTCAAGTTTATCTGCCACAATGGTGAGCCCCTCATTGACTGTCCCAAGCTTGAAATTGGGGAGAAGGCGCAATATTCTGATGTGCACTCGTAAGGCGCCGGCTACGACCAAATCGACGTGGCCGCCTGCACCGCGCAGTCAATCCGCGTCTCCAACACCCCCAACGCCGTTGATGACGCCACCGCCGATCTGACCATCTGGCTCCTCATCGGCGCTCTGCGCAACTTGCCCGCCTCCATGGCTTCGCTGCGTCGTGGTTCTTGGCGCGGCAACCCCACCCCGCGTCTCGGCCACGATCCTCAGGGCAAAGTACTCGGGATTCTCGGCATGGGCGGCATCGGACGCAATGTCGCCCGTAAGGCCCGCGCGTTTGGCATGTCGGTCAGGTACTATAACCGCTCGCAGCTAAGCCCCGAGTTAGAGGACGGTGCCGAGTTTGTGGACTTTGAGACGCTGCTCAAGGAGAGTGATGTGCTGAGCTTGAATCTCCCTCTGAACGTGAGTCGAAGAAGCCAAGAACTTGACTTGGTGTGAGACAGTCGCAACTAACACCCATCATACAGCCCAAAACCCGGCATACAATCTCCACTCCTCAATTCGCCCTCATGAAACCTGGCATTGTAATTGTCAACACAGCCCGTGGCGCCGTCATGGACGAAACAGCCTTGGTACAGGCGCTGGCAGCCGGTCAGGTTGCCAGTGTCGGCCTAGATGTTTACGAGAACGAGCCTGCAATTCACCCGGGGCTTGTTGACAACGAAAACGTACTCCTCGTCCCGCACATGGGCACCTGGACTGTAGAGACGGAGACCAAGATGGAAGAGCTGGCCATCGGCAATGTCCGTCTGGCTGCTGAGGAGGGTAAACTGAAGACCATTGTTCCGGAGCAGAAGGAATTGGTATGACGGACGGCGTGCACAGGTTTCTCGCAGAGTTGGCTGAATAACGATTAGAGGGGCGTAACGAGTGATGTTGAGGCTACTAGGAGGAGTTAATAGACACCGGTTTCTATCATCAGTTTGGAGAGTGGAGCTTCGGGCGAGATTCGCTTGGATTGGGTTTACAGCCACGTCACTCATCTCATCCATAAAAAAAAAGATCATGTTAGAGAGAAGTTCTTTATAATTGAACATCTACTCTATCCTTGGCCGCGGTTGACGGGCCTTTTTCGAGGGTTTAACCCCATTCTTTCTATGTAGGGGTTCTCCTTCTTTCGGATTATAATGCATCCAGTCATCCATTCCATCATCCATTTCATGCCTCGAAGGGGGAATCATGATTAGCAGAAAAGCCAACGCCATTTTGTTGAAAAAGCAAGATTTTTTGACCCCTTCCTGCACCTTGCGAAGAAATGCCCTCGACTCAGGCGAGGCAATTCAAAAAAGAGCAAAAAAACAAAGTAAACTTCATAAAAAACCGCAAGTGATCTGGTGACTCTCCCAGTCCAGATGCCATGCAAGCTCATGCTGTTGAAACCAGAATTTTGCCAGTTGCCGTGTCCAGATAAGTGGGAAAGTTCGTTACACGTAGGAGTCCGGTTGAAGGATCCTTAGGTATGATTACATGGGTGCGCTTAGTAGCGGTAGCTGTGGAGATTGTTAGCAAGTTGGTCGGATTATATCAGACGGAAGGGAAAGAAGTACATATCGGCCTTGAAGGGGCCCTCAACGGGGAGGCCGAGGTAGTCAGCCTGGACCTTGGTGAGGGTGCTGAGCTCAGCCTGGCAGTGGGCAAGGTGAAGACGGGCGACCTCCTCATCGAGGATCTTGGGGAGGACGGTGACGCCAACCTCGAGCTTGCCGGTCTTGGCGAACTCAACGTACTTCTTGCCCCAGGCAGCATCGCTGGCCTTGTAGAGCATGATCTGGGCCAGGACCTGGTTGGTGAAAGAGCAGGACATGACGAAAGAGGAGTGGCCAGTGGCACAGCCAAGGTTGACCAGACGACCCTCGGCGAGGAGAATGATGTGGCGGCCGTTGGGCATGAGGAAGCGGTCAACCTGGGGCTTGATGTTCTGGACGGAAGAAGCGTTGGCCTTGAGCCAGGCGACGTCGATCTCAATGTCGAAGTGACCGATGTCTGTAAGCCGTCGTCAGAATTGTGTATCAAAGTGGAAGGCAGGCGGAAAACTTACTGCACACGATAGCGTCGTTAGGCATGGACTCGAAGTGCTCGCCAGTGAGAATGTCACGGCAGCCAGTGGTGGTGACGAAGATTTGGCCAATCTTGGCAGCCTTCTCCATGGTGGTGACCTGGAAGCCGGCCATGGCAGCCTGGAGGGCGTTGATGGGGTCAACCTCGGTGACGAGGACGCGAGCACCCATGGTGTTCAGGGCCATGGCGCAGCCCTTGCCGACATCACCGAAACCGGCGACGACGGCAACCTTGCCAGCAACCATGACGTCGGTAGCACGCTTGATACCGTCGATGAGGGACTCACGGCAGCCGTAGAGGTTGTCGAACTTGGACTTGGTGACGGAGTCGTTGACGTTGATGGCGGGGACAAGGAGCTCGCCCTCCTTGAGCATGCGGTAGAGGTGGTGGACACCGGTGGTGGTCTCCTCAGAGACACCGAAGCAGTCCTTGAGCATCTCAGGGTACTTGGTGTGGACGAGGGTGGTCAGGTCACCACCGTCATCGAGGATGAGGTTGAGCTTGCCGTCATCCTTGAAGGCAACGAGCTGCTGCTCGAGGCACCAGTTGTACTCCTCCTCGGTCTCGCCCTTCCAGGCGAAGACGGGGACACCGGCGGCGGCAATGGCAGCGGCGGCGTGGTCCTGGGTGCTGAAGATGTTGCAGCTGGACCAGGTGACCTCGGCACCGAGAGCGACGAGGGTCTCGATGAGGACAGCGGTCTGGATGGTCATGTGAAGGCAGCCAGCAATGCGGGCACCGGCGAGGGGTTGGTCGGTCGCGTACTTGGCACGGGTGGCCATGAGACCGGGCATCTCATTCTCGGCAAGCTCGATCTCCTTGCGGCCAAAGGCGGCGAGGGAGAGGTCGGCGACCTTGAACTTGTGGGCGGGAGCAGACATGGTTGCGGTGAGGGATTGGGAGGATGAGATGGATAGAGAGGAAGAATGGAGGAAGAAAGAGAGGGAGGAATAAAAGGAAGAAGGAATTGGGAGGAGGAGAAGTTAAAAAAGCCGGACGCCGTCGAGGAGGAGGAGCGAGATAAGATGGGAGTGGGGCTTTTTTCGGCTGGCGAGAGGCAGAGGCGAGTGAGGAAGTTGCCTGAGGGAGGGGGGAGGGGCAGTTTAGGAGGGGTTGGTGGGTTCCCTGCCACTGTTTGGGTGGTTTTGGTGGGCAAGCTTGGTGGGCATTTGTGGGCGGTGAACCGTTCCAAGCGGCACAAAAGGGAGTGGAGGGGCAAATTTTCATTGCTCCCGTCCCGTCTGTTCTACCCACGCAGCCACGCAGCAACGGAGCGGGGCAATCAATGTTCTGTCTTGGGCCGCCATTATCTGTCCGCTTGTTCGCCCCGACCGCAGAGCTAATGGGCGAGAGGTACAGTACATAGGTAGTCCCAGGTAGGTACAGTACCTGCCGGCCACCCTGGCCATTGCCCTGGAAACAGCTCCCCAGTTCTTGTTTACGGGGTCCTCTGCTGCTGGTGCAGTCCCGCAGCCATTCACAGGCGGCTGGCGCCGGGGCGGTTACAGAGAGCGGGGTCCTGAGCTGGTCTCTCGAGAACGTGCAGTACAGGTACGGCAGCTGGAAGAGCGGGCAACAAAAAAAAAAGAGGAACCAGGCAAGCGTATTCGTAACAGCCCAGGCTACCTGTACCGTAGTATTTTTTTTTAGGAGCACGTTGAGTTTTCTGGTGGAATGACTGGGCACAGCCTCTGTCTCGGGGCTGTCTTAACTACGTCCTTTTCTTCTTTCTGATTCTCCAGCTCTCTCTCTCTCTCTCTCTCTCTCTCTCTGAGGGGCTCACGGCAAAACACGGGCTGATCCCTCAAGGTCAATCGGTCCTCCTGTCTGTCTTACCCTCGCTTTCGTTCTCTCTCGCTCTCCCGTCTTCCTACTCTCAGACCTCCCCGCCCCCGGAAGCCGAGCACCGTAGTCCGCTGCAGGGCCCCCGCTCCCAATTGGATCCCTGTATCCAATGGATCAATCCTCCTCGGCCGTTCAAAGAAGAGTCCGAGTTGCTGGTTGCAGAGTGGCGGGGTTTGGTCTCATTGCCCCTGGAAATACACGACATGCACACCGAGCCCATCCCATCGCCATCTGTCCTGAGCTGATGGGCTAACGGCAGATGCATGCCGGCCGAGAGCGCCTTTCACCTTAGTTCCTCGCGCACCGTATCGGCTCGATAAATTGGCCCTATTTTTATGGACTAAAGCTAAGCTATATAAGGCTTAGATTTCCTAAATCATTATAAAAAACCCGAAGGCAATAGGTGGGGGAAGGATTCAGGGCCAAAGGTACTGAGTCGATACTGTACCTCGTCCTTCCTACAGCACAGCTCACTTACCAATTCAATCTCGGACGTGGCATCATCAGTGTCTTTTTATTCATTCAAATACTTGTTTGTTTCAGCCTTCACGTAGTCTTCCCCAAGGAAATACTCCGTGGCTGAGTTTATATACCCAAGGTAGGTGGCAAGGCTTTCGCCCACGCATTCCTACCCAAGTGCTCAGTCTCAAGGGCTTGGGTGAGGTGAGCTCTCTCTCTCTCTCTCTTGGCCAGCCACATGGATGGTTGGACCACCACCGCCATTGTCACCACCTTGTCCAACATCTGCTTTCAAGTGCTCCTCTCTTTCTCAACGCTTTAAATCTAGACCAGCACTGGATTATATTCCACATTGTCCGGAACGCCGCCAATGCAAACCGTCACTGAGCATCTCATTTCCCAGAATTCCCTCGAGACACTGCATATTCCTCTCCCGTTCCCATTTATTTGGGCAACAGGTTCTCCCTTACGGCGAACATCTTGGCACTGACGTTGGCCGTGAATCCATCAACTTGTTTGCTGTACTGCTCCACCTGCTTCGCGTTCAGCATACCCTCCAGCCGGCTGGGCTCCTGGGGCAGCTTGAACAGTCGCTGCCACTCGTCCTCGGGCAGCGGGGTCTGCTTGGCCGCTGCTCGCTGCGCATTCTCAGCCTTGCGCTTGGTCTGCCATTGTGTAATCTTGGTCTGCTCTCGGCCCAGTTGTCGCTGGTAGAACTGGAAGTTGTTGAGATCAGTGTAGTGTGACTCGATGCTCTCGAGCAGGAGATCGCAGGTCTTCTCGAGGAAGGGGTCGATCGCCACGTCAAGGGCGTCAATGGAGGGGTACAGCGGGGGCTTAACGGATTCGCGGTTGAGGTCGGTCAACGAGGTGGGCTGCTGGATGTCCTCGCCGGAGGGGGCGGAGGGGATCTGGTGCAGGTAGGTGGTGAGGAGGTGAGAGTTGTGCACGTTGATGGGGTACTCGACAAGGATGTCCTTGAAGGTGAGCTTCGACTTTTGCAGGCTGCGTATCGTCCAAGTCAGTCTCCCCTGCTACAGAGAATCTGGGTATCCCAATATTTACTCACCTCTCGGTTGTGAACTTGCCCTCCTTGTAGGCAGCCATGAAGGCGGTGGAGAGACGGAAAGCCCGTAGTGTCAGGTTGCCCTGGGAGCTTTTGCTAGCGTCGTAGACGAGCGCAACGGTGTTCTCGTTCTCCTTCTGGTAGTGGACCTGGTTCTCGACGAAGTTGATGTTGAGGAAGTTGCCCATAGTGGCGCTGGTGTACCATCCGACGTTGTTGGCATCGACGTTGACCTCCTTCAGGTTTCGGATCATGTCGTTCTGGTAGGTGATGTTGGCCTTCTGTCGGGGGGCAGCCGAGGCGAGCAACGAGGCATCGTTCTGGTGGCTATCGGTGGTGGCGCTATCGACGGAGGGGAAGGGGAAGGTGTTGGTGACCTCCAGGAGGTTGTCCTGGTCCATGCCGACGATGGATCCGGTCGCAGAGGAGGGGAAGGCGGACGAGCAGTGCTTGGCAATCTTCATGATGACCTATACGCACGCGGTCAGTACTCCCACCTCTCATACCTCATGTCGTGAGGGGAGCCCCAGGGTGGGGCGGGGCAGTTGGACTCACCAGAGCCTCGACCTGAACGGCCTGGAAAGGCGCATCTTTGGGGACGTCACCCATTTTGACAGAGGTTCGGGAGGGATATTCACGGGGCCGCGAGAGACGGAGAGACGTTCGGCGCTAGGATCACGAGACGGGCGGGTGGTGTTGCAAGGTCCTCGGGGCTCTTCAAGGTGGGAATATCGAAACTTTTCGCATCCGATTTGTGGGCGTTGTGGGATGGGGGCGGTGAGACGCGGCAGATTCCAATCCGTCACGATTTATTTTCAGAGCCTCATGGCCCATTTCCCTTGGGAGGTAAGGAACAAGGACCAACCAACGTTGACGGTCGCGCCGTCTCTCTATTTGACACGTTCCAAACAACTTTGCCTCGTCGAAGAACGCTATTCTAATTTCTATGTCTTTTATTTCGCCTCACAGCTTGAAGCAACTCGCCTCTTAGAATGAGCCGTGCGTGAAACAAACTCAACACTGGCATACACACAACACACTTGGAGGCGTCTCATAGCCAGTTAAATCTCCTCATTCTAACCCTTTTCTTTTCGAAACACCAATAAACTCCTTTATCTTGTCTATGTCCTATTTTTTTTTCCGCGTAACTCATAACTCTCCCTTATTACCAAAACAAACTTGCCCTCACGCATCTCTATGACCTCCCCATCAACCCTAACCGGGAGATTCGGAGACTTGGGGTTCCTCCAATCCTGAGTCCTCGTATTCAACAGAGTCCAGACAATGTTTGGTATCGAACCTTGTGCATGGGCTTGGCCACCCTCATGTCGATACCGGGCTTCGGCGCAAACGCCAAAGCAGAATGATACATCGATCCCTCAACTCTTTCTGAGGTTAGCTTGGATGTTATGCATCTGTCTCAGAGCCTCGGAATTCACTCCTCCCAAGGGATAATCTTCCATGATTCCACGTCATCGCGGATGATTAGACGATGTTGGTCGATTTTCCAGAACGCATACATGGAGCGAGTCGCTCCCGCGGCTTCTCGATGCGCTGGGCCTCGGCCCCCATTCCTGGCGTCCTGTCTCGACCTCCATATGCAGGTCGCCAAGTTCCGAAGATCCGAGTCCGGCTCGCCAAACCAGTACCTATCTATGTCAGCAAAGACCCCTCTATGCCCCTCGGAAGTGCACGCTTACTTGAGGAAACCACCGCTGGCAATGGCCTCGGCGTGGGCGGCCTGGTCCAGGCGACCGAGATCGGCATACTCTGTGCTCGTCTTGATTTGTGACCGGAAGGCGACGATATAAAACGATGTCTCCTTGAAGCCCTTGCCAGATTCGGTGGCAAGGCGCTTTACTTCCGAAATGACTTCCGCCCAGTTGAAAGACTCGAGATACGGCGCTGTGGCATAGTCCTCGCGCAGAACTTGCAGTCGAGTCAAGGCCTTCGCCACGAGCGCATTCTCGTTGTCCAGCGTTGTCAAGTCAAGCAAATGGTCTTGCTCTGCGTAGGGAGATTGCATCAAGTAACGCCCATTCGTAGGAAATTCCGACTCGATCTCGATCTGGCAAACTTGCACTTGCGCACCAGCCTTTGTGAAGCCGCCGAGGTCCGCTCCCGGGGCGGTCTGGACTCGCACGGATGCCATTGCGCGTTTCTATAGTCTCAATAATCCAGGTTTTGTGTGTCCAAGGCTTTGTGTCTAGTCAATTGACACTTGGAGCGGTTGCGATGATGGTTGGATGGTGTTGAAGAAATGGAGGGAACAAGTCATGAGGGACGGACACCGCCCACACAACAAACGAGCCCGGCCGTTTTATTATTCTACTGAGTAATGTCAATGCGTCCTTAGACCATTGAGCATGGAATAACGTGCTAAATGACACCATCCCGGCGCAACTTATTCGTACGCCGGCAAGGGTGGGCCGGCTAGAGTCGTCTCGAAGCGTGTACTCCGTACCAGCAACCTTGTTGGTGCGGGCTATCGGGCGTTTGAGGCCGAGGACGGCCCCTCGGACATGACCGGAGAAAAAATCCATGCCAAATCTCTTATCTCGCATAAGGAAGAGCCATTCTTATAGGAACGGGTTTCTGCACTGTCTGTTATCTTTGTTTTTCTTTTTTTCTCCAATGGTCTCGACGTTACACCTTCGAACGTGGAGTTTGGGCCGAGGCCGTATCAAAACTGGGTTTGAACTGCACCGACAGGACTAACACGCAACGTCTCCGAGCCATGACGAGATCCATGGCCACACGTACCATCGCCCATTCACGGCCAACAACACGAATTCACCCGGATGGCCTCACCGCCAGAAGCAGAGACAACAATTTCCCCGACTCCGGCAGTTGAGATTAACGCGGAGACGCATGGCGATAGGAACAGTGCGTAACTGGATGCAGGGCTAGCGCAGGCCGCCATGCGGCAATGACTGTGCTGGAGCCGCTAAAATAGTGACAGGCTGCCAGCCCCTCGTCTATCTTGCATCCTGGACGTACATATATCCAGCACCCCTTCACCAACTCCCGGGCTCTTCTTCCGCGCCCTGATACCAGCGCAGATACGAGTACGCAAGCAACAGACAAGTGAGCCGTCGGGATATTCCAGACATGGCTTATTGGGGCGGGTCGCGAAGTTTGTGCGAACACGTCAGACGCCACGAGGATGTCGACATCCCTGAGACGCTTCCTTGTTGACCTCATCACCAGCGGTGTAAGAGGGCGTTATGTCGTATTCTTTTGGTTTCACTCGTCGAAGTATGGTCGCCCAGACTTTATTTGTCATTCCTTCGCAGTTCTGGTGCTCCCGTGTTATCTGTCCAATATCAACTCGCCGCTCCATCTCACGGATTCAGATCCCAACCTCATCCCCTTGTCCGGCCTCCTTGAACCACCCCTTGGTCATCTCGTACGCCCCTAGATCCACCCCGCTACGCAGCATTGTCCATCCTGACGACAGAGCCGCAGCCTCGGAAAGCCCTTGCACATCTCTCTCACCGTAAACTTCTTGTGCTATTGTGCACGCCCGCTTCCTCGCCCGCTTCTTCGCCTGCTTCCGAGTGAGCTTCGCTCCGGTTTCGCTTTCTTCATGGGTTCTAGCGTCCAGTATCATCTGCATCTCGACCGCGTCGCTCGGCGTAGTGACGAATGCTGCCACCGCGCCTGCGGTCCCCGCACTGCGTCCGGTTACGAGACCAGTCTGTAGGAGACTTCTTGTCGTGTCGTCACGTCCGGCGGCTCTCGACTCCCAAACTCGGACTCTTGCGTGCTCGTAAATCAGAAACTGAATCACCGCCAAAGGGAGGTTACGTGCGACGAGAACCATGTATCCTGTAAAGAGTCGACTCGATACCCCGGTACCGCCGAGCTGACGAAGAGCTCGTTATGACGTAGATATCTCCATATTTCGGTCCCCTGTCTGATTATTCTGCAGCATCTAAGCGTTCTGCATAATCACCTCGGCTAGAGCTAGGACCAAGCAAGAAGCCATTTCTGCAAATAGAAGCAAATGAATGCACCCGAGGCTCCGAGTAAGGCATTGTCGTCCCAATCCAACAGCTTGCCACTCTTGTAAATCGAAAAGAAAAGCCAGCTATGGCGGAATTATTTAACATGCCAAACACTTTAAGAGAAGCTTGGTTGGTAGACGAACCTGCTAGGACGGCGGCCAACACTACACTCCCATTGTCCTGATACAACCCTTCGGTAGGTGTGCAATTTTTTGCGGACTTGATGTCAATGTTTTTAGTTAAACCTAGCTTCGATGATGAAGTTTTAGGGTATCTAGCTGATAGATGAGGAGGTCAAGAGGTCATCCTGCGATCTGTTATGGTCCGACTTGTAAGACATGGTGGTCTGATCAGAGACGCACGGAGAATATCATATTCGGCACTTCCCGCATCGATCTCGATCATCTTCCCGGTCGCAGATCAGATTGTACCAGCATCTCGAGGTGTAGTCACATGCCCACCCTGCATGCCGAATTTATTATGAGTGTTCTTCCTCTTGCTAGTGATGTCATCGAGGTTGTCGCACTGTGCATGGGGCGTGGCTTACCCTGCACTCCAACTGGGAAACGAACTTGCTGCTGCATGGTTGACATCAAGACCTTCACCATGACGTGCAATCCTGTTTACCTGGATGGCAATTTTATAATTTTCACCTTGTATACCTCCTATCTAAATGCTAGGTTTTACATTTAGGAAACATCTCCCGGGCTCAATTGTCCGCTTGTCGTTAGATATGTCGGACAATACCCGCGGGGTACATCACGCCTTCTTCTTGCCGATGACCTAAGGAGCGCGGATTGAACGCGCGATAACGAGCATTGCATCGGATTGTCGCAAGTGGGCAAAGATTCTAAAGTCCGGAATCGCTATCGTCATATTAGCGACTCATATGTCATGCGAGGCGCCATCCTATGTACATTTCCCGCAGACCCGGTAACCGCGTATTTCCCCGTTCTATATTGACTCCGAACATTCCCATGATCCCAATATGCTTGCGTTCCTGCCTCTATGTGCCATGTTCTATGCCCAAACCCGTGCGCGCTGAAAATTACAACTTGCTCTTCAACCCCCCCGACTCTTCATTGACCACAGCCACGATGACGCAGATGTCGTCCACCTTGCCGCCGTGCCAGTTCTCTTGAGGATAGTACTTCTGGACCTCCTTAGCGAAGGGGCCGTCAAGTTTGGTATTGACACTGGCTCGCTTTGCCGCAGTAACAATTTCGGTGGCGAGCATGCTCTGCAAAGTCACGGCCTTTTTGCCAGCGGAGGCCTCGGGCAACTTGACCAACGGATCCAGTGAATCAACCACGCGAGCACCTCCACTTTCCGTCATCACCCAAGCGCCGCTCGATACCAAGACTCGGCTGGCGATTCGCAGAATATCTTGGTTGAAGAGGTTGTCGAGCACACCGTCCGTCGCAAACACAATAACGTCGCCGTGGCGAAGTGAGTGCTGGGTTACATCTGCGTCTCGAGGCAAGTCGCTCAACTGAGCACCACCGAATGCTGCCATGCGGGCCGCGACGCTGGGAGGAACCAGAGACAACTGGAACGGGGTGTTGAAGGCGTGTGTTTGTGGCTCTGAGTAGGAATGGACGCCGTTTAGGCGCAGTTGTAAGAAACCGGAGTCGCCGAGGTTTGCCACTTCGAGGTTCCCGTCTGCTCCCGCGATGCCCACACAGGCCGTACTTCCACCAGCGCGCAGGCTCCTGTCCTGGCAGATGGCATCGTATCCCTTTTGCATAAGCTTCCTTGCAGTAAGTGGAGGATCGTTTTCGTCCTTGTGTTCGTGAGCGGCAATGGCCATGTAGTCGCAGAAGCCGTGAGAGAAGTCGGCGGGATCGACCCCAGAGTCTACCCAACCGCCAACACCATCTGCAAGACCGAATGCTACCGAACCGGAGTCATTAAGGCGGCTGACGAAGAAGGCATCGTGGCCGGATTCGGGACGTGCGGAAGGGCGACGATTTCGCGGTGGTTGGATGCGATTATAAGGGTTGAAGTGAAATACATGAGTTGAGGGATCGTATGGTCGGTCTTTGGCGATGAAGGAGGAGGCGATATGGTAGGAGAATTTGGGGGCATTCGTCGATGTCGAATATCGGAGCGATTTGGGGGGCACGGGGACGGCCATGAGCGGACGGGCGTTGGGTCGTGTCGAAGACCGCAATGAAGCTGAGATTGTGTTAAAATGAAGCGGCCCGAGTATGCGACAGCCTGGCAACGGACCTTGTGCGAGGGATCGCCAGGCGGTCGTGACAGTTCGATTGTAAGTTATGGAGGGAGCCATGATGGGGCAAAAGTACTGGGGCGCAATCGCGGGTGCAGGCGCAAGTTGAAGTAGACAAGGGGCCGAGAAAGAACGGGATTGTCGCAAAGGCCCTAGACTCAATTCGCAGTGAGAGCAATCATAGAAAGACCATCTTGAGCGCGGGAAATGCAGGACGTTGAAGGAAGGAACTGGGAATCTCGTGATGGGGAGAGATCTGTTGAGTGTTAGGTGAGAAAGGGATCTGTGGCGGCAGTGTCCGTATCTAATCTCACGTTTCTTTGGCCACGATGGATGCCAGGCCCCTGCAAGTTGACAATTGGCCCCTCCAGGGCTCAAAGATCCTTGAACAACCACTGGCCACCAGCGCCCAGCGCCCTAACGAACAGCACGTTAGAGGATGCAGGGCCGAAGAATGGCCCACCTCACCCAACTTTTTTTTCTCCCTTGCGCACAGACCAAGGTGGAAGCGCTGCTCCTGGAGATCCTCCCGTTGACATCAACGTCCGGAGGCACTGGACCGGACCGTGCGGATCTATATTGTTCCGGCGGACTTGTTGTTCCAGTTGCCAATTAGCCGAGGATGAACCCCCGGTCCGGTCACGTGCCAGTCACGAGCCGCTCCGACCCGGATCACCCCGGAAGTAGTCATCTGACAATTCCAATCTTTTGATTGGTCGACGGAAGCCGTGGTATCCATACTGTGCAGCAATAGCCGAGGAAGGTTGGCGCTGCCCAAATTCCATGACGATTGGAGAAACAGAGATGCCAACGCCACTCTTCTACGACATCGACAAACTCCACGGAGGAGATTTGAACGGCTTTACTTCTGTCAATTGATCAGCCGCGACCCTGATAATTTTCCCTTGAAGACTGACTGCCTGTCTCCTCCGGTGCCAATTGCGATTTCCGTCATGGCCTCTCTCCGATCCTCCTGCCTCCTCGGCGCCTCCTCCGTGAGGACAGCCCTCCGCCCTGGCGCCCGAGCTGGAGCTGTCTTCACCCGCTCCATGGCCTCCGTCAGTGAGGCTCCCGCACAGCCTGAGGCCAAGTTGAGGTCTTTCCAGATTTACCGATGGAACCCCGATACACCCAGCGAGAAGCCGCGCCTTCAGACCTACACCCTCGACCTGAACAAGACCGGCCCTATGATTCTGGATGCCTTGATCCGAATCAAGAATGAGCTCGATCCCACCGTCACCTTCCGACGTAGCTGTCGAGAAGGCATCTGCGGTAGCTGCGCCATGAACATCAATGGGCAGAATACTCTGGCTTGCTTGTGTATGACTGACCTCCCCCGGCCCGGTCGCTCGCGTGCGCGACATTAGATTTGTGCGGAAGCAGTGCTAACGGCCACACAGGCAAAATCCCCCTTGACACTGCTGCCGACGTCAAGATCTACCCTCTGCCCCATACCTACGTCGTCAAGGACCTTGTCCCTGACTTGACGCATTTCTACAAGCAGTATAAGAGCATCAAGCCCTACCTCCAGCGCGACACCCCCGCGGAGGACGTGAGTCTTCCCGTCCCACCATTGACCTGCGCCAGTGCTGACACCCCTACAGGGCAAGGAATACCGACAGAGCAAGGCCGACCGCAAGAAGCTTGACGGTCTCTACGAGTGCATCTTGTGCGCTTGCTGCTCAACTTCGTGCCCCTCCTACTGGTGGAACTCCGAAGAGTACCTCGGTCCCGCCATCCTCCTCCAGTCCTACCGATGGTTGGCCGACTCCCGCGATGAGCGCACGGCTGAGCGCAAGAACAACCTCGAGAACTCAATGAGCCTTTACCGTTGCCACACTATTCTCAACTGCACCAAGGCGTGCCCCAAGGGCCTCAACCCCGGCCTGGCTGTTGCCGAGATCAAGAAGGCGATGGCTCTCGGTAACTAGGTGTGCTTAGTTGAGGAGATCGGGGGGGGGTTGTGGTGGGAGACGATCTTTGCAAAATGCGAGGAATTTCGCGGCGCAACACTGCGACCGAGGGCACGAGGACTGTAACCCTGTGTATAGGTTAGATGGGTGGGAGTTTACGTCGTGTTCTGATAACAACTTGGCAGAAATATGTTTTCTTGGTCGTTCAATCTCTGGGCCTCGGCCTTCCTTCATCTTGGATCAACCATGTGAATTGCTACCTTTGCCCAACCTTTTTTACGTGTTGTTATATTTTCAATGCTTCCGATAATGACCTGTCACTTCTGCTTGTCGTACACCGACGAGTTACGGTACAAACAAAGACGAAAACTCCAAGCGCCCAGTTTCCAACGCCGGATTTGAATCCCTAGCAGCCTTGAGGTGGCCCAGCGACGATGCGCATACGAATTGAAGAGAAGAAATACATGGCTAGTCGGCCTGGCGACGAGGACGTATTTCAGACCACGGGACAGCCGGCCTACTCGTGATCCCAACGCTGAGCCATGATTTTAACGGGCACGTAATTTTGGATGACAACAGCGTCTCCTGTATTTTTCCCATGTCAGTAAACCGTAGGGGAGGTTGGGGAGACGGGGATTGGTGGGTGTTTCTTTATCCAGGCGGAGGGGCGCACGTACCGTCGTAATTCTTGATCTTCCATTGATTATCACCGATGGGGAGGGCGATCCACCCGGGTATGGCATCCTTGACACCCCAAGTCAGCTCGCGGAGGTCGTCATAGTCCGGCTCGCCGAGAGCAAAGTCTTTCCAGCTGTACGTCTCTGTGTGGTCGAGGTCGTCGGTGTTGTGCCCCGAGGGCTGGGTCAGGTCCTGGAATTCGAGGTATCCGTTTTTGCCGACCAGGCCGAGGGCGTGCTCGACAATGCCGACGGGATACGTGGGCAGGCTAACAACTTCGGAGTTCTCCCCGTCGCCGAGAAGGACCTGGATCGCGTTACCTTCCAGGCCGTTGTCATAGACGCCGATGACGTTGGATTCGGCTCGGAGCCATTTGCCATCGATGCCATCAAAATCACTGTATTGCCCTGTTAGCCTGGGTTTGGGGGTTTGGGGATTTGTGCTGCATTGCAAATTCGGCGAATCTGGGTGGCGGAGGCCGTTGGAGGGAGGGTTTTAGCGTACGCCTTGATCTTGAACCGGTACCATTCGGTGCTGTTGTTGTCATCGCGCTTGACTACGGCGCCGGCCACGGGAGCGGCGATGGGTCCGGAGACGGGTCCGGAGACGGCGCCGGCGATGAAGGCGGAGGCCGAGAGGATAGAGAAGAACTTCATCTTGACTTCTGGGGGGACTTCGGATTTCGGTTCTCTTGGAGGTGGTTTTGTTTTTTGAAGGTCAATCAAGAGTTGATGAGAGACAGCAAGAGCCAAGTGTAAAAAAAATAAAAAATAGGTATGCTTGGACAAGACAAGAAACAGAAACAGAAACAGAGTAAGGAGCGGAAGGTTCAATGCCAGCTTGAACTAAAACAAGAACAAAAGAGGGACAGACGGGCAGCAGCAGAAGATCAAAGCGAGGTCCTCGGCGATCAAGGTGATCCTAACTTCGCGGGTTCGTGTTGGGTGGGGGAAACGGCAGCTTTTCTGGCTGACGTCAAGGTGCCCGGCAGGGATGAAGCTATGCGGACGGTCCGGGAGCGCAGCGCAGCGCAGTAAAGGCGAAACGGGGACGAGCCCTGCGAGCGTCTCACATAGAGGTGCACAACCTCACCAGCGCAGACGGCATGCGTCAAACAGGTGCAAACAGGTGCACCCTTTGCACTTGTTGAAGGAGCTAGATTGACCAGACCGGCCCTCCGTGATCCTTTCATTTTCACCTCCAGGATTCGAAGGATGCGCATGCGCCTTGTTGGGCGGGCGATGCATGCCCTTGAGGATGCGGTCTGGCGGGTCTCTGGCGGCCATGTCTCACCACCCAGTATGGATGCGACGTCGGGACTCGTTAGGCATTGCCCTTTCATCTTGCGGCCATCTCGCCACGGCTCAGCGCGCCTTGATCGGCCAGGATGGGGAGATGCTCGGTCGATCACACCGAGGATCCTCATCAGCCGTGCAATAAACAATAAACGGGGCCTGTTTCCCCCCGGCTGATTGATTGACCGCTGACGTTGGACATTGACTGAGGAATGCTAGCTTGGGGACTCGTCCAAACTGGCTTCAATGCGAGGCCGCCATGTGCTGTGATGCGACGCGATTCGACCGAGGCAGCTGTGGACAAACCTTCTGTAATGCCAAGCTGCAATACGAACCCGCTTAGAGCCGGTGATCGTCGCAGGGAGAATCGACGCCGGCATTAGTTCTGTGTCAACTCCCGGTTGCTCGCCATCACAGCCCGTTCCAGCGGCCTGCTCCACCTGTGGAACTCTTCTCCCGTCATTGTTCGTGGATCTTCATCTTTGATCGAGCTCTTGAATTCCTTAATCATCGTCATTCATCGCACTGACCCAAACCCAAAAACTCCCGGTCCCGCAATCCAATTTTGGAACAGACGAGGCGAGCCACTTGTTTGCCATTTGAAGACTTTCACGATCCGGCCTATTTTCAGCCCTCTGATTGGCATGTGCTGCGGCCGAAAGTCAGTCTTGGGAGGCGGCTATAGCTTATTTTGAGGTCTTGAATGCTGCTAGTTCTATGGGCTGATGCTTAGTCTGCTTGCCCACGAGTGGAACGTTATGTGGAACAGAGTAGCAACTGTTCTGCTTTAGGGCGGTGTATATGCACTTCTCTCGTATTGTATCTCGGCTGAAGCCGAATTGCAGATCTAAGTCACTAAAAAACTTTGCTGGGTGGTTCGAGGATTTGTAACTTCAACTGCTCTCCGCTGTTGTCTTAAAAAAGTACCTGCTCAACCCTTTAACCTCTGGGCTGTCTCAATATCCACTGCCACCACTGCGAATGACAACAAGATAACTCTAGCTCGGCACATGCCCGCGAGCCACAGGAGTAACGTGCTCTATCACGCACTTCTCCTCAAGCAGCGTGGCACTAACCCGGGTCTGTCAACCTCTTTGCATACCGAGAGGCGACAGGGCCCCATACGGCGTAAGATGGGCGAACTTGATACCGGTAGTTTAGGTTTTGGCGGCCGCCAATATGGCTCCTTTGTGTACAGTTACGTACTCCGCGCTTCTCAGCTATGGATCTCCTGTTGGTTGTTGACGTCAGTTGGGGAAACATGACAGCTCGTATCTTGCGCTTTCACGTGTCTTGAGTTTACCTCTGGTAAGACACGATACTGAGCGTGTCTTTCCGTTCTTGCTTGGCACGTAGTTGCCGTGTTGCTTTAGCGTGTGCGCAGAAATATTATAAGACAGACATGTGTCTCCACGATAACTTCGAATTATTTGCCATCTTCATCATCCTTAGCACAATCTCAATCAAGCCATCTTCCAATATCTGCGAATATGCTTCGAAACGTCTGTCTTCTTGTTGCCCTGGCCGCTAGTGTCACTGCGGCACCTTCAAAGAAATGCGAACCGCTTATACTCTGTATCGATGGCATGACCGAGTGCGGTGTCCCATGGGGAGGGTAAGATATCACCCGTCCATGGCTAAGGTCCTTAACTCACTGAAACCTGCGCAGCTGCTACGATACCTGCTACCCAGAGAGAGCCCCCAAACCTCCTCCCTGCGAGGATGACTGTAACACGCGGACAATCTGCGTCGATGCCATCAACGAATGTGGAATGATGTACGGCGGGTAAGTGTTTCGCCCCCGTTCCAAACCTAGGGAAAGAAAAAATCGATGCGAAAGTAACATTGCCCAGCTGCTTTCCAGATTGTCGACCTTGGCCTCTGACAAAACCGCCTTGTCCCGAAGTGACCAAGACCCCGAGTGCGGTGTATGCTACACCAACCGCGGCCTGAGACATAAGTTTGTGGCATTCAAGGTGAGAATGGGCCATGGTTTGATTCGGACAAGCTCGGAGGCTTCTTTGCATGAGAAAAAGGCTGGATGGGTCGTAGCGCGTTTCCTTGCAACCAAGGCAATCAAAGGTGTGTCCCATGCCAAAGGCAATTTGTTACCCCATGTAACTAGAATAATATCTCCAACTATTATCCTGCTCGCGATTTCCATTTCTTCAATGCAAAACGAATAAACGCTCAAAAGAGCAGTCTGGAATGCTTGGAGGCCCCACCACAACTAATAGTACACATTCCCGGCTGTGCTCGCACTCCTTGGATAGTCTCCTGGTGTTCCAGGGGAAGCTCCAATAGGCCCCGAAGGCCCACCCTTGATCTCGTCATCCGAGCTCAAGTCATTTTCGAAAGCATCAACTTCCTCCGGAGGCGCTCGCATACCTTCCAACACATCCCTGTCAAGGGTGGGAGGTTCATACGTCCTGATTGAGTGGATCTCACGTCCAGACGGCATCTTTGAAAGGAGTGAGTTAATCGGAGGGATATGTCGCGTGTTCATCTGGTGTTGTAAGTTAGCAGGGAAATAAAAAAAGGGCTTTGAGTTTGCTCACTGTGTCATTGAGCTTGTTCCATTTCGCGTCGAGCATCTCCAACACGCGTGTTTCCTCCAGCTTGCCTGCATCGGATCCCCAGGCGGCCTCCTTTTCGACTCGACGATCTTCTCGCTTCTCCGTAAGGTCCTTCCTGAGACGGCTAAAACTCAGCCCCTTCTTGTTATCTTTAACCTCTACGCCCAACTCCTGAAGGCCTGCTCGCGCCCATCCAATGCCGTCTGCCGTCTGCCCACCTAACTCGGCGTCTATTCCAAAGAACCGACATGCTCGGGCTCGACTAGTTCGACGGAGATCGTCCAAGTACTTGAGAAGACCAGCATTGATCTTTCCTGATGCCCCCGAGCCAAGAAGTGACGCAGCCTTAGCAGCATGTTCTGAAGCAGCCAGGCATAGACGGGCGTAGAGGTGGGCGCGGACTTTAGGAATATCTGGGGCTTTGAACATCCATTCTTTGTCATTCTTGTTTCGATCCTGGGCCACCGCAGCTGGGTACGGGTCGTCTTTGAGGACTGCAAGCAGCGTTGCTTCTGCAAGTGCTAAGCATGCGAGTGCTCGGGCAGTGCTGGACGAGACGTCGGGGCATGGGGGACTGCTGGTTATGTTCTCTGACCGACTGGCGAGATAATCATATACAGACGCAGCTTCGAGCAGACTCTTTGTCGCGGATGTAATTGCGTTGGCTCGATCCTGGGCTCCCAGAAATTCTTGGTTGGTCGAGTACAGAGGCTGTAAGACGGACCTGGCCGTGAGGACATGCGAGAAGCCTAAAGTCGAAAGCACAAATGCGATTTCATATCCCAAGGACGATATCTTAACACGAGCTCTCTCGCGGCCGGGCACAACATCACCCAATAGTGTAGGCCTCCACTCGATGACCGGAGCCGTTTTTAGTGCGACACTGACGAAATCACCGCTGGGCAGAGGTTTGTTGTTGATGCCATCGTCAACCGCCAGAAGATATGGGATATATCCGTTTAGGCTTGAGATGACCGTGGTGAGATTGGAAATTTGAGAACTTGGCGGCAGTCTCTTATGCTTCTTGAGAGCGTCTCGTACAACCCCGCGATAGGTGCTCACATTGAGCGGCAGTGACGGGTGCGAGTCGGAGCTGAAGCTGGATGAGAAGGAGAAGGCGGAGGTAGTGGGAAGTACAAAGGGGAAAGGCATTTTCTCTGCTATAGGGGTTCAACACCTGAATATGAGAGCGCTTGATGCTTTAAGAAGGGAGAAAAATGATGATTCTGTTCGCCTCTGCCAAGCTGTTGTCTGAGCATCCGAATACTGTGTAGACATAGCTGACTTGGCACTGTGTCTTGGCACTCCGGGGTTGTTCCGAACACGCGGAGCTCTTGGATGTTGAGCTCCGCCAAAATTTCCGGGGTGTTCTTATTGCGGTCGATATTAGTCGCCAGCTCCACGTCAACTCTCCGCAGAGCCGCCCCCTTGCCTGTGTCCATGAAGCTCGCGTGTCCCTCCGAATCCTCATACGCCTGGTGACAATGGCTGGCCCTTCACCGTCACCGCACAAGCCGCGGCGCAAGCTCAAGAAGCCTGGCAATGGCTCCGACAAACCCGCACGATCTGAGCCTCTGGTGCGAACGCCTGCCTTCCCCCTGGCGGCCTTCCTCTGGCCAGCGCGTAGCTCGTCGTCGCAATGGGAGGTGCTGCCCGTGATTCTCATGGTGGTCGGGCTCTTTAGATGGGCTGCAGGACTTTGGGGATACTCTGGTAAGGCGTCAATGTTGCTGTTTTGTCGTCTCTCCCGCTAACGTTGCCTTTGCAGGTTTCCAGAAACCGCCCATGTTTGGCGACTACGAGGCGCAACGTCACTGGATGGAGGTTACGACACATCTCCCGATCTCGCAATGGTACTTCCACGACCTGCAATGGTGGGGACTCGACTATCCTCCCCTCACGGCCTACCACAGCTGGCTCTTGGGCAAGATTGGTGCTCTCATCGACCCATCATGGTTCACCCTGTTCGCCTCCCGAGGCTCCGATGATCCCAACCTGAAGATCTTCATGAGGGCCACAGTCATTGTTTCTGAATACCTCATCTATGTTCCGGCCGCTATCGTGTTCGTGCGACGATACAGCCGGCTTCAAGGAGTCGCAAACTGGACGTCTTCAGTCGCCTTGGTCGCAATCCTCATGCAGCCTGCGACCATCCTCATCGACCACGTCCACTTCCAGTACAACACCGTTATGCTTGGATTTGTGCTTGCCAGCATGTCAAGCATGATTGCCGAGCGATACAAATGGGCTGCCGTCTTCTTCGTCGGAGCTCTAGGATTTAAGCAGATGGCTTTGTACTACGCCTTCAGTGTCTTCTCCTATCTCCTGGGTCGATGCATCACCCCTCGAATCAACTTGACTAGACTTTTTGGCATCGCACTGGTTACCATCATCGCCTTCGCCGTCCTGGTACTGCCCATCATCCTCGGCACGCTCTATGATGCTACTCAAGGAATTGATTCCAGGCCGGAATTTGATGGCCCACCGCAGCCTCTTCCTTTGTTCCCCGGCATTACCGAGTATCTTGACACGGACTCGTACTACTACCCTGTCGTTGAACAAATGATCCAGATGATTCATCGCATCTTCCCCTTTGCTCGTGGATTATTTGAGGACAAGGTCGCCAACTTCTGGTGCGCGGCCAATGTCATCGTTAAGCTTCACCAGCTTCCTGCTGCCCTGCTTCAAAAGGCTGCCCTCGGCGCTACACTCCTGGCCATCGTGCCTCCGAACATTATCCTATTCCTACGACCCCGCAAGACCGCGCTGCCATATGCCTTCGCTGCCACGGCTTGGGGCTTCTTCCTCTTCAGCTACCAGGTTCACGAGAAGAGTGTGCTGCTACCGTTGATGCCCATGACATTGCTTCTGGCTGGAAAACAGGGATTGAGCAAGGATATCCGGGCATGGGTGGGATTCGCCAACCTCCTCGGTGCCTGGACAATGTTTCCCTTGCTCCGCCGCGTCGACCTGAGAGTTCCGTATATGGTCCTGACCCTGCTTTGGGCATACCTTCTGGGTCTCCCACCGACATCTTTCAGCGCATACTTTCAAGAAGGGCAGTCCGCCTGGGCTCAATGGGGCACGGCGTTCCTGCATTGGTCATTCTATGCGTTCATGGGCGCATGGCATGTCGTTGACGAATTCGTGACCCCCCCTATCGACAAGCCAGACCTCTGGGTCGTGGCCAATGTAGGTGTCGGGGCAGCCGGTTTCGTCATCTGCTATCTCTGGTGTCTTGTGAGGCTGGTGCAAGAGAGTGACTTCTTCTCAGGCAAGGGGCAGACCAACAAGGCCAAGACCCAATAAAGGGGGGGCCGTTGGATGTCGATGTACTACAATAAACAGAATTAATTGAGTGTCCTGTACAATATTCTCCCGACTGTGCTTGTGCAAGATGAACGGCGGCCTCTTCGGCTTAGTGACATGTCGGTTGTATGGTACGTATGATGTACGTACACGTTCCCCCCCCCCATTTATGCTCCGACGAGCTGGGGGCTAACTTAGACAGTGATGACGGCTCGGTAAATCGTCATCTTAATGGCCAACGGTAATATCCTAGTCGGTAGTGGACCGAACGGGCTTCTGACATTCCGAGCCAATCGCTTGGGCACAGCCAAGACCGCAAGCCTCATCAGTCAGACGTGGCTGACGTTGGTTCTGAGTAGTGGGATCTGGCTTGCTGAGATGATGGTCATTAAGCCCTACGGGCTCGGTAAATTATCTCGATGCAGCTCGAAAGGGCTAAGGCTGAAAGCGGTTGTATTTGTCGAAGGCAAGCCATCTCTCCGCCCTGTGTCACTATGATGCTATCCCTAACGACTTCTAGAACTCATGACCGGGCTCCAGCCATGTCCTAGGTGGAACTGAGGCTGGCTGATGATCCTGGGACACATTTGTTGGAAACATGACAGGCAAGAGGGTAATGTCTTGAAGCATGCTTCATTAGTCCGTGTAGTAGCTGTTGATAGGTACATGAACTTTCAAGGTCCGGTACCCGCTGAAGCTCATTTGCATAAGACGTGACCACGGGTGATTTCCACACGCAATAAGTCGCAAGGATAAGAAACTTAACTATTGGCAGAACAAGAAATTCTTTTTGCAATATTGATGGGATGGATTCTGCCTCTCTCCGTGCCGGTGTGCATGTATGTCACGGGGCGGTCAGACCCCTGGCGGTGTCCAGCTACCGGAGTAGGTACCGCACGAACACTCAACAAAACAACAAATACAGCAAAAGAAAAGAGCTCCAAGAAGAGATAGGATTGCAGATCATGGCACTTTGGTTCATTGGCCATGCATTCCCTTTTGTACATACGGCATGCACTCACGACGAAGCAGGCACGACCCCAAAATCTCGATAGGCTCGCACACAATTGACGAGCCAAACAAGGAAGCTGCGTCTGGTCAGACCTATCGCGTCGAGTCTATCTTCAACCGGTCCCAGGATTTTCCCTTCTACACCCACCACCACCCACACTTCCCCTCTGTTTTTCGGTTTTCCCTAGCCCCAACTCTCCAGCCACTGCATTCGGTGGGCTGCGAGATACACAATAGCAACTTTGAGACCTCGGTCGCCTCATTGATGCATGTGTGAGAAACCGGGATTTCCTGTTGGCCCAGACTGCGATCTGCGCCTGCGACCTGAGACCTGCGACCTGCTACTCAAGGCACCACCGGAGGCTTTACAGACGCCCCGGACACCCAACCTCGTACCCGAATCCAAGCTCAGCAGCCGGGCAAAGAACGAAGGAAGGGAGCTGGAAGAGGAAGCGGGGGAGGCGTGGAGGTGCAACCCTACCTTACAACAAAGACCTCGGCCGGTCCCATTGGAGGCCCGGGCTTGCCTTGGCCGTCGTGTCCATCAATAGGAATCGCTCGTCTCCACTCTGATCTATTCGCATTGCCGGTTCATATCTTGTTTCGTTTGCTGCATCTGCATGGAACGCCCCGCTCAAGGACAGCTGTCCAACGACGACCAACATGCCGGCCTCCCTTGCTTGGGCTGAGCAGCAGGCCAAGCCTCTCCGGGTATCAGGAGATTCGCTTGACAGGTACCGGCCCTGGCCACGCTTAGCAGTGTGCGCTCTCTGTACCATCACATGCGTCTCCCCTGCGGCCTTTGCCGACTTCGTACCTTGCTTGACCTTAATAGCGTTGGAGCGAACTGTTGCCGTTGTGGTGATACCCTATGGATGGGGCATCTGCGAACCGCGGATGGCCACATATTAGGCACAAGGGCCTCGGGTTCAAGCTGAACCGGCATCCCATCGCTCTTCAAACTCTAGGATCCCACGACAAGGGCGGCCGCCCAACAAGGTTTGGGATAGGCTGTGCGTGCTAATGTCATTACCAGGGTGAGACCCTGGCTTGCAGCCTGACAGGGCTGGTGCTTACTAGTATATTGGTACTCTAGACTATCTTTCCACGTACAGAGGAAAGTGCTGACTGTATCCAGAGACTCGTCCTTGGCAGTGGCCCTAGTTGCCCTCCTCGTCCAAGTCGCCATGGCCCAGACCACATTTGCCATGACCGCCTTTGTGCATGCTTCAATGTCGCAAGCCCGAGAAGCCACTGGGCCCTCAATCTCTGGTGACTCCTCGTGGAACTTCCCAGTCGCAACTTGACCATCCCCAAGTCGGGTTCGGCCAACAAAGATTGGTTGGCACCGTCAATGATCGACACACACACCTTACCAAGCCATTGATGTCTTGCTAGCTTGGCCGAAGATGACCGGGGCGGGCGATGCTCGAGTTTCTTTGTTGGTGGGCGACAGCATGTCCTGCAGTATAACGGGCCTTCTCTCGACGCTCGTGTTGGTTGCATCCTACTGCATGGATGGCTGCAACCAGGAGCAATGCCCCAATAGGCCCTCAGATCCCCGTCATCAAGACAGGTATCCATCAGCGGCCATGGCCGCCTCTCAGCCCCCAAATGCAAGGCCATCCATTGCTCCCATCTCTCGGCTGTCATTCCCCCCCACACCATCTTTTGTCCGCCTCTGTGTACCCTGCTCGTAGTTCTGCAGTCTGACCCAGCAGGAGAAAGAATACATTACTCATCCCCCTTCGTCCTTTCATACTTCGTGCTCCGTTTCCCCCCGTCTGTCCTTCCTTGCTTCTCCCGCTGTCACTCCACCTGAAGCCTGACTTTGTAGCTTCAAGACTTCCCTCGAAAAGAGAGAGACCCTGTGACGATGTTGCCGAGATCCCTTCTGGTTGTGTCCATCTCCCTTATGGGAGCATGGGCACAAACAACGACAGGTGGATCGGGGTTGACTCCGACAGCAGACGCATCTGCCGCATCTGCCACAGCAGATGCTTCGTCTACACTGGAGAAATCTGCGACAGGCACCTCAACTAAAACCGGAATCACGACACACACCGTGGCTGTTGGAGCTGTAAGTGGCCTCCCTTTAACATACTCTTGACTGGCACTGATCCGTTGTAGTCTGGACACAAGTTCACACCCTCCAAGATTGAGGCCGACGTCGGGGACATCATCGAATGGCGATTCTACCCTACGAACCATTGGGTGATTCGGGGAGACTTTGACTATCCATGCATCCCATACGACTACATTGGCACAGATCGGACTGGCTTCTCCAGCGGCTCACAGACTGTCCAAGCAATTACCGATGATGTGAGTAGATGTCTCAATGGTGTTCTTCGAGAAGTCGTAAAACTGACTTGACTAGGGCCCTCGTTTCCGTGTTCGAGTCAACAACACAGATCCTATCTTCTTCTACTGCGGTGCTCCTGGATCTTGCGTCAGATATCATATGATGGGTGTGATCAATCCGGTATGAAATGGGAGTTCTTTTCAATCAGATAAATGTTCTGACCATGTTACAGTCCAAGAATGAGACACTAAACGAGTGGCTTACCAAAGCCGACGATGTCGACTATCAACTGACCCCAGGCGAGCCCTGGCCGACCGAGGAGGGCTTTGTGACCCCGACAGATGCTGCGTCGTCAGAGACGGGCGGATCATCAAACGACAATTCCGATACCGACAACAATCAGGGAGGCACTCATCTCGGAGCAGGAGCAATTGCTGGAATTGCTATTGGTGGTGTGGCCGTGCTGCTTCTCGGCGGTGCCATGGTGTACCTCTGCGGAAGACGAGGCGGATTCGACAAGGCTTATCGCAAGAGCTTCCGCAACAGCGCCGCTCCAGAAGGGTACCACCCCAACATGCAACCTCCGGTTACTGAGGCTCGTTTCGACTCGCCGAGCACTGCGGCCGGAAGTGTGTGGATCGCAAACAACAAACCACCACAACAACCGAGCCCCATGTCAGCGGGATTCGGCCAGAGCCCGCCAATGAGCCCTCACAGTACTGGATATGGGTTCCAGCCAGGATACAATCCCATGGTTGCCCAAGATGGCACAATTGGGTCGTACTAGTAAGTTTCATGAAGTTCATCCGCAACGTGGCTATGATTGCTGACTCTCGGAAAGTAGCGACCCCAATGTACAGGCACAGCATCTCGGAATACAACACACTGGATCGCCAAAGCCACAAGAGCAGCTCGCACCAGCCGAGCTTCCGGCTTCAGCAGACCCCGGAAACTCACCTCTTCCGGAGTACGGCAACGGAACTCAGCGAACCTTTTCATGGGCAGGCGAGGAGTCCGGATATCGCCCGACCAAATAAGCGGGGGCAAACACGTCACTACAACTAATATCGAGAAATATCTAACTGCACATACCCGGAGCATGTAGGTACATGGGAGTTTATGGTTTGCTGTTATTCGTGCAAGGTGAAATATCAGAGGGTATTGGGCTGTTTTCTTTTTCATTCGGGGTGTGCCACCCCTCGGCTTATACGGCAGATGGACGAAGCTCCACGACAAGACGGAGTTGGTGTATCTTTTTGGCCAAATATTTTCCCCCGCGTCATTCGTCTTAAAAAATGTACAACAATACCGTTGTGGCGTTTGACTCGCATTCATTCTAGGTCTAGAGACCCTTGCCGCGTCGCGTGTTGCATGTGGTGGAAGATTTCTTGTTGGACGAACAACCTTGGCAAGATGAAGATGAAGTACATAGAAAATACTCTGTAAATTCTCCGAAAGATGGATTCTGACGTATTCCTGTACCTGTGCTAGTCGCTGGACTGCGTTCACGGGCACCTTTCACAGCAGCGAAGGGAGACGCCTCCCGCCGTCATGCGTCGGAAGTGCCATTTCCTGGCAGCCTTCAGACCCGCGGCTCAGGGGGACGCGCGGCAATCATTCCGAAAGACGACACATGCCCGTACATAATTTAGTCGCCTCTAACCAGGGTCATTAGGTGCTAAATTTGGGGGCTATGGAAGCCTCGTGGCGCTTCCGTCGGGCCTGGGGACCTGATGAGGTGCAGCAGCGCCGTGGCGGGGCGCAGGGGAGCTTGTACACGCTGTGGGTGTGCACACCCGCCGCGGATGGCAGGAGGTAGGGATTCTATATCTGGAATTGGGGGCGGCTGTGTTGGCGCCGCAAACGGGCATGGTTTTTTCCGACTGTTGTGACCTTGTGAATTTATGAACGTACGATATAAGTTTGGGTATATTCGGAGGTTGGTGGTTATTGACCGTTGGAATTGCGTGCTGCTGTTGCAAGGTGATGCCCTGTAGGTTTACAAGAGAGTGGTGCAATGACACGGCACTTACGTACGGAAGACCCAGGGTTGGTATCAGAGCCCTAATGCTTTGTGCTTCTTTGAGTCACTCGCCGGGGCGTCTTGGCCGGGGTAGGCCCCCGCCGCTATGTCAAGCTCAGGGTTTGCAACAGTCTCGAGATATCGGCATCGCCTCAGCAGCAGCATTGAGTGTAGGTTGATGCCAGGGCTAATTTGCAGACACAACATCACGTTCACAAACACACAACGAACAAGGAAGTATTTCGAAGAAGCTCAGCCGTTTTAATTTTCATAAGCCGTATCTAGATGTAATCCGTAGAGGGACCCCATCCAGCCATGCGCAACCAATCCTCCCACGCCAAAGACATGTAAGAACCGTCGCACAACCTGTGCGTAACTTCTTCGAAATTCGTGAGGCTTCGTAACCGTGTAATTCTCTAGAGAGAAACCGCTTAGTCGAAAAGACCGAAGCCCATATCCTCGTCGGACTCCTCCTTCTCTATAGCGGTTGTTAGCAATGCAATCATTAGAGAATCGCTCAGTGGGAAGTAACGTACCCTCCTCGGCCTCCTCGACAGCCTCCTCGGCGGCAGCGCCACCAGCGGCGGCACCGGAGCCACCACCACCACCACCACCACCACCGCCGGAGGGAACGGAAGCAAGCTTCTCAGAGCCCTGGGCGATAAGCTATTGAAGTTGTTAGTCCTCTGCGCATTGTAAAATATCTCGTGGGGTGGAGGGCGTACCTCGTTGATGTCCTTGCCCTTGAGCTCGGAGATGAGGGTGTTCAGGCGCTCATCATCGGCCTCAATACCGACAGACTCGAGAACGGCCTTGACGTCGGCAGCGGAGGGCGAGGTGTTGCCACCGAGGCCGAGAAGAAGGTAAGCTGCGAGGTGCTTCATTTTGAATGTGATTTCTACAGCAGACTTGTCAGAATCTGTGGATCGCAAAATGAATGCGACGATGACAAGCGACGGCGGGGGGATTGCTCTTGCGCTCGTCGATGGCAGCGTTGAGGGGAGGTGACTGACCTGGGAGATAGAGAAGAACACGAGAAATCAATCAATTTAACCGCAAGTTGGGCGGAGACTGAAGCCTTCGAGTTCGTAGTTGAACGTTTCGTGGTGACGAAGTAAAAAAGTTCCAGGCGTCGCGGAACTTCAAGGACAATTTTGATCCTGTGGGCACCAAAATCCACTTTAGGCGAAATGTTAGGGCGGGGGTGCGTTCGGAGAATGCCGCTGCCGGGCCCCGATGATTCGGTTGCACCGCCACACCTCGAAGTCCAGATCACGTGCTTTGGCGCCTCAAGCTTCTGTGGCGTTCCCTGATTTCATCCTCCGCTTTGAAAGTTGGCCAGCGACGTTTCTTTGTTCTTCACTACCTGTACGCTTCCCCCTTCCCTGGTATCGTGATCGCCTCAGTTTTCTCTCCCTTGCTTGTTAGTTTCGTGTGTATCCGATCACATACACAGGTTCTACCGCCTCTGCGCCTGCCACCACCAGAGTTCCACGGCTGGGCAAAGAAAAAGACAACTGCCTGATACCAGAGCGAACGAGAAACCGGATCGCTCAATGACTCACGATTTACGCCCGAGGCTACTTGCTCCTCTTTTGCTTTAAGAGGGCCGTTGACTCTATTTTCAAACTCTCTGGCTTCTAGCAGACGCGATGCCGGTAAGTAACTCCCCGTGGTGGCCAAACTTGGGAGATCTAGCAAAAAACTGACCGTGATGGGTCAAGATTGGGGACCTCCTCGCCCAGATCAGCGGCGGCGATGGGCCCGCCTCCGCCCCCTCACCGGGCCTCTCACGAGCGAACACTTTGCCCAAGAGAAAGGCCGATGAGGATCTTCGCATGAATACCTCCAAAACGCCCCGGACAGCAACATTATCGAGTTCGGTGGCTCCGCGGCCCGAGGCTGCTCGACCCCACCGGTCGGTCGAGACATCTGCTCCGCCTTCGAGATTCAACCAACCATCACGACCACTCGACCGACCGAGTCCGGCACAGCGACCTATGAATGGGATGAACTCCAAGCATAGCGTTCTCTCTTCCAGACCGCTAAATGGAGGCAACCGGGTGCAGAAGTCTACTCCTCCCAGTAGACCTTCACCCGGGCCGTCAAGTGGTCCTGCCGCATCTCGAGCCGCCCCGAAGAAGGGATCGTTTGCTGAGATTCTTGCACGAGGCCAACGTGCACAGGCCGTGATGGGTCAAGTTGGCAAGATTCAACACAAAAAGGTTCAGAAAGGTGCTGCTGCTCCTGCTCCGAAGAAGGATGAGCCCAAGGTCGATCAGCGGACCCCGAATAACAGGAAACTGCCGCAGAGACCTTCAGCATATTCCGGTACCGCCAAGTCTGGTCAACGGAACGGCGGACCCATCAACGGAAGTCAGAAGGATGGGCGTAATGGCAAGGCGGCCCCAACGAAGGCAGAACTTGCCAAGTATGCAGCAGAGGAAGAGCGAGAGAAGAAGTTGAAGAAGGCAGCTGCGGCAACGACAGGATACACCGGTACTGCGAGGCCCAAGCCTGGAAACCCTACCAAGAAGCACAGTGTTGTGAGGGGTGGTGCTCTTCTCAACTCGCGAGCTCCTCGGCCAACCACGTCCAAGTCACGCCTCGACGATGGGTATGACGAGGACATGGATGACTTCATCGATTATGACGACGATGATGACGACGGAGGCCCTCGCTACGATTATGCATCAGACGGGTCCTCTGATATGGAGGCAGGTCTTGATGACATTGACGTCGAAGAACGTCGAGCTGAAGTCATTGCTCGCCGTGAGGACATCGAGGAAGAGCGTTTAGAACGCAGCCTGAAGGCCGCCAAGGAAGACCGCAAGCGGAAAGCCCTCGATCAACTTCGTGGTGGTCGTCGTCGCTGATCCTTCCCCCTTCACCACTCGCACCTCTAGTCCTTTGGCTCCTTTCAACGACCTTTTTTACAATTCACATTGCGAGAACTCGGCAACGGTCCCAAAACTTGGGAACGAAGGCGTTTTGACGATATTTAACATCGTTTCCCTTTTGCTTGTTTGCTTGTTTGCTTTTACAACGGGCCCACATTAGCGACGGAGTTGACATTTCCTCATTTTCCCCATCACAAACGCACACGGAACACTCACACTCACGTGTACACTCACACAATCAATGGATACATGGCATGGCGTGGTCAACAATGGTAGGGGAGAAGGGGCTCCGGTTGGACTTTGGGCTGGGCTGGGCTGGACTAAGGAGCAACGGTGGTTGGAGGGTGTAGATAGATACGGGGGCGGCATTCAGAATGGCACTTGTCTGTGTAGACTTAATTCGAAAGGATACAAACTATGGTTTGTTTGCTTTGCCTGAGAGCATTACTATTCGCACATTTCAAAACTATCCAAAAATAAAAACCTGAATTATCCTTACATGGCTTGAATACTATTCGAATTGCTCCTGAATAAGATATTCGTCACAATGCATTCTAGAAAATAACTGCTATAGAAACACGCTGACTGGTTGGCAAGGGTATACGTTTCATTTCATGGATTGCAATTACTGTGACTCCACATGAACTAGAACACTGATAGAAAACTCATGAGGAAATACACCAAGCCTTCTGGGACATATCTTGTCGTTCTGTTAAATCTGGGGAGGATACATTGTGAGAATGCCTATGAGCTCTTTTTCTGATTCGCCTTTTACCTAAGATCCTGAAATTTACATTGTGTTGCTCTTCATTCAGCTGCTATGGTTCGTGTCCATCATGTTCTTGAAACAAGGGCGCACATAGCCGCAACTCAAAGAAAAATAAGGGAGTAATCTTAATAGTACAGCGAACAAGCCAGTATGTGACAAGTAAAACAATGGTTGTATTTTTGTCGTAAAGTATAAACCGGCCTACTTCCTCTTGCATGCTAGAGCGTACTGGGTCCTCCATCAACCTCACGAATACCATTGACATCCCGAATACTATCATTAACCCTTCAAATAGAGCAGGTCTTGGATTCTTTGCAACCATGGAATCCAACAGCGGTCAAGGAGAGGTTGGAGACAGCACCATCAAATCCGAGTGGTCGCTAGACTATCTCGAAAAGCCCCACGAAATAACCATCCATTGCCCTGAAGGATATCAGTTTACCACCAACTACCCGCAGGGATGGGGAGGGCAAGTCATTTGCTCCATCTACAAAGATCCCAAGCAGATCACCGTCGCTGATGCTGTTACGGCCGACGCCAGTCCTCCGACCGAGGAGTTTTGGGTCGATATTCCGTTGAACCATTTACCGCCTGATCAAAAGATTATCAATGTCCATACTCAGGGGTCGGTCTGGAAGCTTTCAGTCTTAATCGAGGAGGATCATTCAATCAAGTTTGGCATTTGCCTCAAGTCGGAAGAGGAAAAATATGCGGTGTGGGGGGAGGAGCCTGAAAACATGACGAATTACGTTCGGGGGCATGCCGAAGAGAGCCAGGAAGAAGTCATCAAGAAATTAGTCCGGGAGCTCAAGGGTAGAGTCGCAATCCTCAAGGACAGAGCCAAGGATATCCTATGTACCACTGAAAAACTGTGCAAGGAGGCTGAGGAGTTGAAGAAAGAAAGGGAGAAGCAGTAGACTTACATTGGAGAAGATGCCTTCTGAGTACGAGTCAAAGAAATCTTCCCTGAGGACTTTGTAGATATGGTGCGGGGGAAATTGCTTTCAGCACCACGGGTCTAATGAGTACTCACCCGTACTCTCAAATATTAGAAAAAACATTGGCACAGATTTATTTATATATTTAGCTAAGAATATAAAGTCCGCACGTACCCTCTAATGGCAATGTCGCAAATCCATGTGTTTGATCCTTGTGTGCTAGCGGTTTCCAGGTTGTCCTGGTCGAATTGAGGACCAGGCGTCGGGCGAATGCCAGAAGAAAGACGTCAAGCAACATTTCCCCCAAAATGAGTTGTGGAGCGTTTGCTTAAATTATTGTTGCGGGATAAGTGATCAATGAGTTGCTGAAAATTAGCAGAGGAGTTCTGAGAGCTGGAGCACTGACCGGATTCTGGGAACTCGCTCCTCAACACTGTAATTACACCTACAAAAGAGGAGCAAGATAATCACAAGCGAGAACCTACACGAGCAATTGCAAGCATAAACACAGAGCTAAGCGGCTTATGGATGACTACTTTCTTTCGCATTCTTCATCTCTAGCGTTACTCTCTCTTCCTTCTTCATCCTTCCTCCACCGTTCGAGTTTTGAGAAGACGGTTGTGCCTACCACCACGCCCTGAAATACAACCTGGTGTCCTTCTTTTAGTATGTCACTTGAATCGAGTGTCTATTGCATAGTTCTAACAGAAAATCAGGACGAGCCGCAGTGCTCGATTGCCGAATCATCTGTACGAACACTTGCCACCCTCGCGGCCCTTCTTAAGTCAAGCGCCAACATGACCGACCCTGAAAGACCTCTTATCCCGTTATCGGTGATGGACTTTGATCTCTCAAACGCCGACGACGAGGAGAGATGCAGAGCACAGCTCCTAGTTAGCAACTATCTCCGGATTGCGCCATCTATGACTACGGACATGCAGCGTACGCTTAAGGAGACCTTGGTCTACGAGAAAGCGTGGAAGACTCCCACCGAGAAGATTGTCAACTACGATTCTCCATCGAACCACAAGATGTACGACGAATTATTCGATTTGCTGTTTTTCCCACATTGGTTCGTGTTGGCAGTTTGCTGGGGACCGAACCACCCAGATCTCCAGGAAATCAAGGGCCTCATATCGAGACATTGGGGAGAGGAACTGCCAGAAGACGGAGTCATATACCCAGGGGAGAAGACTTCCCTTGACTTCGACGCCTTCTGCGGCGAGATCGTGTTGATTGATGAAATAAGGGATTACGACTTCAAAATCGCCGCCAAGAGCAGGTCAGACGTGTCGGGTACTTCAACTGTGTGCGAGCCTATAATCGAGCAGGCGCAGCCTTCAGAACAAACCCTCGCCAGCATGGAGGAAACTATCGACGCGCTTCAGAAGGAGGTGTGGGATTTGAAGGCGAGAGTTGGAATGATGGAAAAGGGAGAGGACGAGTGGAGCGTGGACATTATTGCTCATCTTTCGGATCACTTCCGAGTCGTGCATCATAACCAGCAGGAAATCATGAGGGAAATCGCCGAGTTGAAGGGTGAGCTGGAAGACGGTGCCTTGGCTCAACGATGTTCAATTCACAGCACTCGCTGAGCTCTGTTAAGTGTACATTGATACCGGCCAGGATCAAGCAATGCGGAGTAACAATTATGCATCAGTTGACAGAATTGAGCTTGTTCTATCTCTTGTACTTCCACACTGTGACAAGTTTCATGCTCTTCTCGTTTCTAGTCGGAATAAAATCGCAAAGGGGGGGCGAAGAGCAAAGCGAGATGTCACACGAATTAAGAAAAGATGCGCATCGCTACTTTGCGACGATTGATGGAGACCAATTTCAAGACCCAGAGCCAGAAAAAATTGAAACCTTTGAATTATACAGATGTCTAGGTATCAAGTCACCCCTCAACCAGAACCCTCAAACGCCATTTTGCCGTCAACGGAATCCGAGGCCAGCAAGAAATAAAGCCGGTAGACCAGAAAACAATAGGGAGGAAGGAGCTAGAAAGAACTACCATAAATGAATTCCCAGGTGGCCAAAGCGAAGGGTATCCATGTATACCAGTAGCCAAGGTCATAGTCAAGTGATGACAATCCCAAGGAGCTTCCTGTGATGTGCCAAAAATAATGATAAGTCGAAGGTCCTTGGAGGTGAACCGAGACGGTTGTATCGTAGAAGTTTGCAAAGTGAGCAAGGTGATTGCCAAGATAGCTCAAGTAGGATAGGAGCCTGGTCAAACCGCCGCATCAGTGTTAATCTCGGCAGTATACTCAGAACGACTTTCTGGTAAGCAGCCGGTGTGTGAGGCCCGGAAACCCCAGAGAGCGAGAACACTTGAACGCAAGCAAAAACAATGAGCAACGCTCGCGGACACGCCCGGGACAAAACAGTACTGATGCCAAGCCAAGGACAACTATCCATTCAGTACAGAGCCACGAAAAGATGGCGTTAAAGCCAGATAACCTTCGTTTAAATCCACCAGTCGGGAGGTCCATGGAAATCAGGGGAGATCGTCGCTCTTAGATTGTTTGCCGCTTGAGCTACCGTACGGCCTTAGGAGCCAACCTTGGTAGTGCTTTATCCCTTGGGTGCTGGTACTATTCGCACTGGGAATGATGGATGGCGGCGGATTGCGACGAGGAAGTCCAGTCTCTCGCTTGACGGGAGGGGGGGGAAGGGATGCAGAGGCAGCTGGGAGCAAGCTGGTAGTGGCCTGGGGCGGGACAGTATGGTTCTTCTTCTTGGATTCCTTCTGTTCGTCTTCTGGATCCGGCTGCATGAGACCCTTCTGGCGAAGGTATTGGATGGATTGCAGTACGGTGAGATCTTCCTGCTCCTTGTCGTTGAGGATCAGACGTTGCTGAATAGTGAGCCGGCCGTTGTTGGCCTCACGCTCCTTGATGGCTGCTTCTCTGACCTCGGGATCATGGACGAAGCGGCACTTGCCCTTCTTGCCGCATGTTCCACCAGTGGAATAATATTTGCAATGTTTGGAAACGTCGGCTTTCTTTGCAGGGGGAGGTGGTGGCGGAGCGACATGGGAACGAGTAGACATGACTTCTGGCTTCTCATCATCCGAAGACTCCTCGGAAGGGCCTCTCATCTCGTCGCCTTCGTCTCCTTGTTCTCGCTTGCGCTTAATGGATGACTCAACTTTGCGAAGCTGTCGCCTGAGTTTGTCGGCTTGTTTCTCGAGCGAGGAAGCCTTGTCTTCGCCATTGTGTGCCAGCTCGGCAGCCTTCTTTGCTTCAACACGCGCCTTGGTAGGGAAATGCTTCTTCCTGTCTGCCAGGAACGCGGCTACGTCTTTGACGCTATGGGAGGTCAGCATGACAGACAAAGTAGGGTTAGGTGAGAACGTACTGGAGAGTTTCCTGTCCGATCAGGTCGTTAAGAACCTTCTCCTCGCCCTCATCATCCTCGGACTCCGAATCCATTCCAGGGGTCAGGCCAAGCGTATTGATCTTGCGCTTCTTCTTCTTTCCTACGGAGGGGGTTTCCGGCTTGTGATGGCTGGGTTCATTGTTGCCAGGTTTGTGATGGCGGGCCTTGTCATTCCCATGAAAGCCGCCACGCCCACGAGAGCCTCCATCTCTGTGACCACCCCGACCACGGCGAGCAGTCTTGCCATAGTAGGGGTCCTGATGGGGAGGCCCAGGCGGGGGAGGGGGGCCAGGATAAGGAGGATACTGTGCCGGGGGGTAATGGGCGGCACGAGGATCGTGAGGATATGGTTGTCCATAGCTACCGTTCACGGGAGGCGGAACTGACTCGTGCTCATAACCGGGACGCATCGGTCCGCCCATTGGAGGCTTTGCAGCACCGCGATCGTTGTATCCGCCTCGGGGTCGACCATTCCCATAATGGCCCTGGGGCGGCGGTCCTTGACCATTCCACTGGGCTTGGTTGGGAGGAGGGGGACCCTGATAGGGAGCGCTGTACGGCTGGGGAGCACCGTATGGCGGCTGCTGAGGATATTGCGAGGGCGGATATGGTTGAGGAGCGTAATTGGGGTGGTAGTTGCTGGAGGACATCGGGACCGGTACAGGGCCGTGTGGAGGAGCATGGCCATGCTCGGGAGGCCATTGGGGTTGTGGTGGCGGATAGCTTCCAGCGGGAGGATGAGCGGCTCCGTAGGGAGGAGGATTGTGGGCGGGATAGGGTTGGCCGGTGTACTCGTAATGCCCCTGTGGCGAGCCGTGGTAGTCGCCACGACCTCCTGGGTAGTGTCCTCCGCGACCGCGGCCGTGATGCGAGCCTCCGCCTCGACCCTGACCATGAGGAGGATACGATGGAGCCGGATGGCCGTAACTTGGGTGTCCTCCCGACGCCGCCGCAGGGGGAGGAGGTGGCGGAGGACCGTATCCGTATGCCGACATGACTAGAGGCTCATGCAGCGGATGGCAAGTGCGACAAGGTCGTCGGAAAGAGAATCGAAGCTATCGAGTCGGCACTGAAGAATCCTTGGATAGCGAGGCGTTGGTGAAAACGGAAAGTCGTGGTTCGTGGTGCGCGGATGAAATGGATGGACTCGATCGGACGGGAACCTTGAGAGCAGGGCCAGGGTTGCAAGTACCGAGTACAGGGAGTACAGGGGGAACCGTAGAGACGGGAAGTGAGTGACAAGAGAGCGGCGAGAAGAGACAGCAGTCAAACAAGTCGCCAGAGATGGACGAAGAAAGAAAGAGCAAGACGATACCGACGACGATGAAGTCGTCTGCGAGGAAAAGGAAGCACGACACCACTTGGGAAGCGAAACCGAGCTCTGGTCTTCTGTCTCGGCGGCAAAACGTGACGGCGAGCTTTTGCAATGCACACCGCACCCCGGCACACGAATACGCTAGGCCACTCTAGGAAGGCGGTGAGGGCCATTGACCGATATGAACTAACCGCAAACGTATTAGCGACACCTGCATTTCTTTTTCTGCCATGGCCCAAGTTTCTCAGATGGCGGGAGTCAAGATATGACAAACTCACAGAGTCTCGACTGGCGCATCATGCTGTAATGAGCTCTTTCATATCCGCCGCTTTGCGATGACCTCTTGCCTTGACATCTAAAGCCCCGCCGACCCCGTGAACTGCCTTCTTTGAATCAGGGAAGTGCTCGACCGCCAACATGTTTATCCTGGTACATCTCATCCGTCCATCCCTCACCATACAACGAAGTACACATACATATACACAGATGACTGACCTTCGACCAGACCAAGATCTCCGACCTGGTTCAGGTTGCGCCAGAAGATTTCTCCAAGCGAAGCATAGATGCCATCGAGGACAATATCAATGCCAAGTACTCTAATAAGGTCCGCCCTCTCCACAGCGCCTACATCGTCGTCTGCTTGCTCAGACAGGGGATTCAAGATATACTCACACTGAACGACAGGTCATCCAGAAGATTGGACTCTGCATCTGTCTCTATGATATTCTCTGGACCTCAGAAGGTCTAATTGGTCATGGCACCGGCCTGGTCAACATCAATGGTTCGTCACATCAAACGCCTTCCCCCACGCATGTCCTGTTTTGCTAAAGACAACGCAGTCGAGTTCCGTATGGTCGTGTTCCGTCCCTTCAAGGGTGAGGTCATGCTCGGCAGAATACGCAGCTCCACACCCGCAGGCATCAACCTGAGAACCGATTTCTTCGACGACATTTTTGTTCCGTTCGAGGAGCTGCCCGAAGGAGCCGAATAGTAAGATATTTGGCTTTACATCATGGAGGGATGAGCAACTAACAGCACCCGACAGCAACCACGGCGAACAGCTCTGGATCTGGAACTTTGACGAAGAACGGCTCTTCTACGATAACCATGAAATGGTCCGCTTCCAGATTGTTGACGAGGAGTGGCATGATCAAGCCCCGGCCGGCCCGTCCCAGGCCGACGACGCGCCCCCCAAGACGCCCTACCGGATAAAGGCCAGCATGGCTGCTGAAGGATTGGGCGTGTGCCTGTGGTGGGATGGAGCATAGTAGACCGGCGAGAAACAGATACGATAAGGGGGCAGATGGAAGACAGAGACACGACAAGGGACGAGCGCTTCCGCGACTAGATCTGCTGGTGTATATTTTGCTCGTTGTATTGATTTACGATTTGATACCCGCCAACAAACGCTCCTCGACGTCATCCAGCACCGAGTAGTGCTCCACGACAGCCAGGTTCTCGGCCTCAGCCTTGAACTGCTTGTCGGGGTCCTGGCCAGGGCCGCCCATGGGGTTGGGCATCTGCTGCGCCTGCATCTGCTGGGCAACTTGGCTAGCGGCTGCAACAATGTTTAGCGATCGATTCAAGACATGGATCTAGTTTTAAAGGGCCACATACCGTTATCGCTACCGAGGAGGAAGACGTAGACAAACTGGAGACCGAAGATGCACAGGAAGTACCAGCTGATACTGGACATCCACCGAGGGTCCATGTCCTTGGTCTGCACGCCCGCCTGCAGCATGCTCTTGAACTTGATGGTAATAGGGAAGGGCAGTTTCACTATTTTAACAGTTAGCTGAGTCCGTATTAAATATAGATGGGTTACATACTGATAACGTAGCCGCTGAAGAAGGCATTGATCCAGCTCATAATGAGGGTGTTGGGGATCATCATGGCCATGTTGTTCTTCATCATGCCCATCATGCCGTCCATGGCGCTGGGGTCGGACAGCGGGTTTGCGGGGGGCTGGCCCTTCTTCTCAGGCTCCTTGAGGTAGGCGCCCGACTCGTAGCCGGCGGAGAGGGTCTCGCGGCGGGCCTCGAAGGCCTTCTGGGAGAGGACGTGATGGTTGCTGCGGAGGGCCACGCCGCGGCCGTGGAAGCGCTGCTCGCGCATAGACTTGATGTCCTGCTTTTTGGGGGCCGTGGCCATGAGGACGGAGGCGTAGTGGCGCAGGACACCCGTCAGGACCATGACGACGGTGATGGGAATAAGGATCCAGTAGCTAGAGTGAGGGCGTATTGGTTAGCGATTTGGTACACCCAACGCGGGCTGTTCGGGGGGAGCTTAAACGTACTACAACTGGGGGTCCCGGTGGAGGGTCTGCACGGGAATCTGAACCATTGTGTCGGCGGCGGGCGGCCAGAGGCTCGCGGGTCGTGGGATGCGAGTTGGCGATGGTCGTAGAGTGGCGACTCTGTGATGCTGCCGTGGCGGGAGAACAGCTTGGAGAGATGGAGTCGCCAAAAGCCACCTGCACCATCAATTGCGCCGCAGCTCGGCCGGGAGCTTACCTAATCCCGCCCAGGGCCGGGTACCGCCGCCGCGCCAATCCAGCGTCAAGGGCCCTGGCAGCCCAGCGCTTGGCCCCTGTAGGACAGCCGCTGTAATACAGGATACGTACCACTGAACCCCAGTGCGAGACGCCAGAAGCCAGAAGCCTGAAGGGACAGCTATGCCCATATCCCCAAGGTGAAGTTGTCGAGACCACCGCAGTACTTCGTACATATCGCACCTCCGTCATATCACAGCACCCTCCGTTCACCATGGCAAACTCCGCCGAGAAGATCTCGGTCTACAACCTCGCAGGTACGTCTCTCCCCGGAGCTCTGCAAGCTCAATCGCCGTTGCGCTGCTGCCCTGCGCTGCCCTGCGCTGCCCTCTGCTGCGACCTACTGACACCGTGGCTCCTCGCGACAACAGACCTCAAGAACACCTCTGACGACGCCATCCCCAACTACCTCAACTCCCTCAAGTTCAAGCAGTCCCACTTCCTCACCGACGTGCGCCTGGCCCTCGGTTACAGCGCATTTGCCCTCGCCGCCGCCTGCTTCCTCTGGGACTACAAGCTCGGCTTCCAGAACACCAAGCACTTCACAGCTGCCGCCGTCGCCGTCTACACTCTCATCAACACAGCCCTGACGTTATGGATCACTGTCCGCGAGAAGGGGATTGTGTATGAGGGCGCTGCCCCGTCCGGCGAATCGGTATAGATCCCCTTGTTCTCGTCGTCCTCGCATGGAACGATCATGGAACCACCGCTAACATGCCGCTTCCTGTAGATTTCCATCACCACCTCCACCAAGAAGAACGTCCCCGTATATAACCTCACCATCACTGTCACCAGCAAAGACTCGAACAAGCGTGCCGTCAAGATCGCCAAGCCCTTCTCCAGCTGGTTCGACCAGACTGGCCAGTTCGTCGCCATCCCCTTCCAGGAGATGCTCGCCTCTTCTGTGCCCCTCATCGGCAAGAGTGACCCTAAGCGTGTCACTGTCTCCCAGGAGCTGCTCGATGCGAGCCCGGACGTCCTCGATGCCATCCTTGCCGCCAACTCAGCGGCTGCAGTGGGAAGCTCAACGGCCGCCGAGGCTGCTGGCAAGCAGGGAGGCAAGAGGCGGAAGGCCTAGGGAGAGACTATCGTGGGGAGTTCGGTCAAAGGGGGAAAATAGGGAAACAAAATACGCAACGTGTGTAGGATACGGCGTTCAGAAGGGAACGTTATCTTGATACCATTGCATTGACGAGATTGGCCATGACATCTAACCATCATGAGCTCCTGTTTGTCGAAGCAGTACACCGCAACTGAAATATGAATTCAATGTCAAATCATATCCAACCGTACCATGTCCATTGCTGTACAGGAATTTTATTGGCCCCCACATGCAACCTCCGGGAATATGGAATCTATATGCCTCTATCCTAACCTAACCTGCCCACGGTAGCTGTAACCTCTCTCGTGACACCCAATCCTGAAACGCCTGGAGAATCGCATCACTTCAACTCAGTCCAGGCGGCTCTTGCCAACCGAGCCGTCCTTCTCAAATCTCGCACCCGATGACCACAAGCCAATGTCAGCTCCCGTTCCACCTGTGACGCATGTGGTAGTAGATGCTGCGACTCAAACATCCGGGGAAGACCTCCTGTAATCTCCAGTGCTAGCTTTCCGCACCCTGCTTGAGTCTGGGCGTCGGTAGTAGCCGGGACATAGCCTTCCGGCAGCCAATCTGGCTTCTGCGTTGAGGCGGACTTGTTGGAGAAGACGTTGGTGCAGATCTTGATGATGCTGCGGATGTGGTCCTTGCCCTTCTCAGGGGCTTCCACGAGAATGTTCTTCAGGACATCCAGAGCGGCCTTAGCATCGGGTCCAACACCAATGTTCTGAGCTACGGCAAGGGAGATTCGGAGAATCTTGTCCGCGTCTGCCTCGTATATTGGGAAGTTCATATGTTTCACCATGAGCAACACGCCGATGCCGAAGTTGGTCTTGGTGAGCTGGTCCTGAACCTCGGGGTCCGCGCCGACAGCAACCTGCAGCATAGGGCTAACAAGCTCAAAGTACACCTTCTGCATCCATAGGGGCTTGACGATGGCATAGTTTTCCTTGGTTAGCGGCTGTTGAGGAGCCACAATCATCTCCAATTGACGACCGAAATGGTGTCCAATCTGGGCGTCTTTCGGTGCTTCCCTGAAGAGTTGCACAATACCCTTTGCTTCTTTGCCCATGTATCGTCGCATCATTCCAGCAGCGAGGGCATATGTAGACTTAGTCTTCTCCAGGCGACGACTCTGGTCATCATTTTCAGGCGAGGCCGTCACGACACTCGTCGCATGTTGCTCAACTGTCGTAATTAGACCCGGCAGGGCCTCGATCTTGTATTTGTTCGCCAAAGTAGTGAGGATAGATAGAGTAACTGGTCGAGTAAAAGCGTCGTCATTCGTCGTGGATGAGGACGACCCGCTGACAATTAATTCTTGGGCGACACCGTTTTCGAACTAAGATATCAGGTTAGTTCAGAACTGGTGATTGAAAGGCAGGGTGAGCTTACCAGGTGTCCTATCGATGAAGGCCTTAGAGCTTCTAATATTGCGAGAGACAAAACATTCAGGGATTCCAGAACCAACCAGCTCCACACTGAGCCGGTCTCTGCGATCGATTGCTCATGGCTTGAACCCACCTCGGTGGTTTGAGGAACGCTGATGAAATCCTCGCGGAAGAGACTGATGGCGAACGTATCAGCCCGAAGCGAAACCTGTTGCGCTTCACTCATCTCATGCACAACAAAGCCGACCAAGGAGGATATGAGATGGAGATACTGGTTCTCAGACGCACGGTCAGCACCGGTGAAGTCATCACTAAGAGTGAGTGCTCTTTTGCTGGTGCTAGAATGGGATTCAACTGTCTTTGTTGCCCGACGATAGATTCGGCGAGCAACAAACAGGCTCACAAGTAAGAACTCATTTCGAATCTCAGCAACCGAGGACGTTTGCAAGGCAGAGAGTTGATTCCCGCCATCATGTTCTGCTTCAGCTTCACCAAGCTGGTCAAGCTCAGGGTATCTCTCTTTTATCCTCTGCAGCCAAGACTCGCCCTCAAAGGGAGTCTCCTTGTCTGGATTGCCAGCCAAGCAAGCATCGTTGAAGTACCGGATGGTTGACTGAATGGTGGCCACCAAGGAGCACCATACCTTTGGGCTCACCTTGGCATCGAAAGCAACGAATAGCTCTGACAGTAGTGATTGGATATAGTAAAGGAAGTGGTCGAGGCCATTGGATGCCACCTGTGGCAGCTCCGAGCAACCTACGAAAGCCAAGTGCGCACATAGAGCTGTAATAACCACAGGGGCCTCCTCATTGCTTCCGTTCTGCCAGTTGGACCTGATGATGCCCTTCGCATGGTCCACCAAGGGCTTGAAACCACTGGGGTATGATCGGATTGCTCGCTGGAGAGCTTTTGTAGTCTCGTCGACGATTTCATCGAATCCTTCCGCATGAGGGCTCCCAGAAGCAGATTGTAGGAGGACGGCAAAGAGGGATTCACAAATCTGTGAGCATGTTCTCTCTGGGAGTAATCGCCCATATCCTGCACTCCCAGACTCGGCTAAGGGATCGAGAGGCTTTGCGGGCCTCTGGCACACTAGTGCTCCTGCACCTTGAACTGCTTGAGCCACGATCTTAATGTCATCATAGGCCACATTGGAATTTGAACCACTCTCCACGGTTGTTTTATAAACGTCCTCGTAAAGGGGCTTGAAGAAGGAATCAATCGCCGCGAAATCTTCTCGGTCCTCGGCAGACATTTCAGTATCTGCTAGGAGAAGGCGGGTCTCCAGAATCACATGGAGGATTCTCAGAAGGTCTTGACTGTGCATCGGGGCCTTGGGATGTCGCAGATTGTCCTTGATATGTGTAATGGCCGGGGCCACCATCAGTACAAATGCACTGGGCTTCGCACTGAGAACGCTGACTAGCAGCCGGCCGGATGATGACGTGTAAGTAGTGTTGGCCAGATCGGTTACGCAATCCCGCGTGACAGACAGTGTGTAATCTCGGAGATTATCCCCTTTGAGTCGTGTTGTGAGGGACTTGAGCACCTCCAGAGTGCCCCAGATAGTGTCCTCAATCTCACCATTGCGCACCTCGTACTTGAGACTGCCCCAGATTTGGCTCGCATACGGAGCGACGGATTGATCGGGGTTACTATACTCGTCCAAGCATGCTCGGATAGTTTTGAGAATGTCAACCTAAATAAGATCAGCAGGTGTGTAAGCAAGATGGTCACAATAAATATCGGGTTTACCTTGACATTAACCGTCACGCCATCTCCTTGGTCCAGCTTACCCAGAAGGAATGGGATAGTTTGGTCGGAGAGAAGATGGGTAGCTGAAAAGCATTTTCGTAGCTGAAGCTTCAGGTCTTCAGGGGTAATGCCAGTCTGCGATGCGCGGGGCAACGCAATCGGGAAGTAGAGCTTGAAGGCGCCGTAGACCTCATCTAATACCTCCTTAGATGGCGAATACTCGATGAGGAAGACTTTCAGGATCTCAAACCAAACCATCAGACACTCGGGGTCTCTCTCGCTTCGGCAAAGGTGCAGAAGATCGATCATGAACCCGGCGGAGGATCCGTGCTTGTGTTGCAGGTCGCTGGAGACCTCGGGTGTCGTCATCAAGAATCGGACGAGCTCGTAAATGGCAAGTCGAGTCTTGGAGACCTGACGGGGGAAGTCATCCTTCAACGCGCAAACCTTCTTGATGATGTCGTTTCCGCTTTGCTTTTGGAATGACTTCATGGCTACTATGCGTGACAGAGCGTTTGCAGATGCCAAGATACCAGCTTTGTGATCTACCTCAAACATGGCACCAAAAAAGCTGACCAGGAGCTTGACTGTCTGGTCGTCAGAGGGGATAATCAGAAGTACTGCATAACGCTGGACGCACCTTGGCTGGGTTTCAGGGCATCCTTGTTCAAAAAGTCAAGAGTCCGCGAAAGGAACTCCAAAGCTAATAGGTTTAGTATTATTTCAACAGATCCGACGATGGTAGTTGCTTACCCTTGGCTCTGGCCGTCCAGTCAGGAGTCTCATCACCATCCTCTGCTTCGGTGCCACTCCCTGGCATCCAGGGTTGCACAGCTTCAACCCACCGAGCCACCGGGTTCAAGTTAGGGGCCCCGGTTTGAATTTCTGCAGCAGTTAGAAAATCCCATCACCAACAAGACAAAAGTAGCTGCTGCGGGGGCGCACCTTTAGCTGCGTTCTTGGCGATGGTTGTCTGTTGCCCCTCATCATCGGCGAGGACAAACTCCAACGCCAGCTGGCGGAAGTCAGCCATGGCAGGCGAGTGCAAGGTTCCACAGGTTCCAAGACTCGATTCGCGACGTTTTTGTTCGTGGTTTGCAAGGATTGGACGGGACAGACTGGGCAGAAGACGCCAGTGGGAACCAGGACAGGCCTCTGAAGTCGTGATGCCTGGGTTGGTTGTTCAGCGGCAGAAAGTTGATGCCCGCCAAGGCGGTGTGGTTTTACCGCGGGGTACGATCTACTTAGTCGGCTCGCTGAGGACGGGATGGAGATGCGATGGACGGAAAGATTCGCAGCAGAACTTTGACAACAAGCTGAGGAAATCCCTTCCACTTCTTCGACAGAATGCAGCCTCGCGAAATCTCGTCCAATTACCAAAGGCGCTTTTGTCATTGGGAAAAGGTCCGAAGCCGGCGGCATTCCCTATCTCGGAGTTCGGGACCAGTCCGCAATAGAGAGGTTTCGACCGTTTCGTGGGGTTGGCCCCACCATTGGCGCAATGACGGCACACTGCGGCCCCCGAAAGCCCCCCAAAGCTGACCCCTGTCTCCAACTGTCAGTGGCTGAATCTTTTAAAGATTGCAACTTCGCCTTTGCGTTCGTCGGTCCAACTCTTCTGACTTCACCAACAACCTACGCTGGAATCGTCCGCGGACGGTCCCTAATACCAATTCGTCTGTCACAATGGCCTCGCTCAGGATACCCGCATTGCGGCACCTCGCAGCATCTCCCCTCCGCGCCACCCGCGTCCTCAACCAGCGTCGATGGGCCCAGGTCCACGACATCCGCTTTCTCGCTACGACCCGACCTGCCCAGGCAATCCTCGACAAGTACCGGGCTAAACTCGACCAAAAGGCAAAGACCGAGGGCCTCTCCAGCATTGACGAGCTCAAGGCTGCCTATGCCGACAAGATCGAGGCCGAGCGCCTCAAGAACGCCATTGAGGACCCCGTCATCCCTCAAGCACCCGAGACGCCCGTCGCCCAACCCAATGCCGACAACACACCTATAACGAATACTCGCGAGCCCCCGAAGGCCCCTCCGACCGGCGGCGACAAGGCTGCGCTCAAGGCTCTCAACGATATCATTGACCTGGAGAAGACTCGTGAGCTACCGGACAAGGAGCTCACAGCGATCTGGCGCTTACGGCACGCCTCATCCCCCCAGAACATATGTGCCGTTGTCCCCGCCTCCGCATACAAGGCCATGGAAGAGGCCGCGCGGACATCTCCTCAATTCGTTCTCCCCGTCCCTCATCCGACACAGGGTGCCGAAATCCACTTCCTCCAGTGGACCTTTGACGCCTCCTCCAAGACCAGCACCGTCCTCTTCACCCAGCTGGCCGAATACAAGACCCGAGGCGAGTTCGCACAGCCGCACACCACTATCACACACCACTTGGACCTAGCCGACGAGAGGGGACTGGTTTTGATGCAGGGTCAGGTCGTCGACGGCCGCGGCGTCAAGCCCGAGGAGGCGAAGTGGCTTGTCATGTGCCTGCAGCGATTCTACGGCGGCTGGGAAAGCGAAGCTGTTGAACTTGATGGCGAGCGCAAAGCGAGGGCCGAGGAGCGTGCCAAGTTGTTGCAGTGGTTTGCCGCTGGCGATTCCAGATTCAGCCTGGACAAGCTGATGGAGGAGGCTGAGCGCATGGGTTAAAACAAGCGGAAATTATGATGGGTAGACCTCAATGGTGTAAAATCAGGTATTAACTGGTTGGGTTCATGGAACGCAGTCGTGGATAAGGGGATAGAAGCATGACTAGATATACACATGCATGTAGGATTACCGGATATACGAAGTATGTACAAAGACCATCACGATATCTCCCACTTACAGCTTGGCTTGTGGTCCCGACTCCTCCTCTTTCTTGACCTGATCCCTCAACACTCGCCTCAAAATCTTGCCCGACACGGACTTTGGAATCTCCTTGAGGAATCGGACTCCTCCGCGCAATTTCTTCGCGGGTGCGACTTGGCTGCTCAGCCATTTGGCAATGTCCGCTGCCAGTTCCTCACTCGCATCAACGCCCGCGCCGGGAACTACGTAGGCTCGCGGGACCTCGGTTTGCTCGGCCTCATTCCACACACCAATGACACACACGTCGGCAATATCCTTGCGACCAATCAGTTTTGCTTCTAGCTCGGCGGGGGCAACTTGGAAGCCCTCTAAACAAGCGAGGTTTTTGTTAGCAAGTGGACGAGGAATGGTTAAAGAGAAGTAGGGAGGCACTGACTGTATTTGATGAGCTCCTTGATGCGATCAGTGACGAAGAGGTTTCCTCTTGGGCACATGTACATGACATCGCCCGTTTTGAACCAACCGTCTTCGGTGAATGTATCTTTGTTAAGTTCAGGCTTATTCCAATACCCATGGAAAACGTTAGGGCCCTTTATCAGTAGCTCTCCCGGCTGTAAATATATTAGCGACGGCTTTTGACCAAGGACGGAATTCGCTCGTCCACACATACAGTTCCGGTAGAAACCTCGTTTCCCTCGGGATCAACGACTTTCGCCTGCATATTCGGTACCAACTTGCCCACAGAACCTTGAAACCGCGCCCACTCATCGAACAATTGGACAGACACTGCCGGACTTGTTTCTGAGAGTCCGTAACCCTGTTTCACTGTGACCTGGAGCCTCTCCCACACGGCGTCCACAAGGTCCCGACTGAGCGGCGCGGCGGCCGAGTTGACGAAGCGCAATGACGACAGGTTGTATTTCTCGACGAGCGGGTGCTTGCCGAGCGCGAGGATGATCGGTGGCGGAACGTACATGAAGGTCAGTTGGTGGTCCTGTATCAGCTGGCAGGCTTGGGCGAGGTCAAACTTGGCCATGACGACGCATTTGACGCCTGTAGTGAGAGTGACATTGAGGACGACGCCGAGGCCCTGAGGTAAGAGTCAGCAGGTTGTTTCCAGCTTCGTTCGAATTGTATCCGACTCACGTAGACGTGGAAGAACGGAAGAACTCCAAGTTGAGAATCCATGTCCCAGCTTATCAGCTGGGGATCAAACCGAGAAAACTGGCATGAATTGGCGACCATGTTATAATGCGTGAGCATAACCCCCTTCGGAAGCCCAGTTGTGCCCTAGATGTGTGAGTCTCATGAAGTAAGCCAGCTGGGGGAGAGTCCGTACGGAGCTGTACACCAGATAGACAAGATCCTTTCGAGGGTCAATATTGGGTCTCTTGGGTTGAATCCAGGCCCCCTTTGCCGTCACCTCCGTCCAGTGCTTACACTTCCCATGCTTGTCTTTTCCATCACCCAGCAAGATGATATTCTCCGGTGGTATATTAGCGAGCTCGGCAGCCTTTAACGCCGTTTGTAGAAATGCCGCATGGGTAACAAGAGCCCTAGCATGGGAATCTTTTAACTGGTGCGCGAGTTCTTCGGCTGTGTACGTCGGATTCGCTGGACTGGCCACGCCGCCAGCCCAGATGACGCCAAAGTTGGTGACAACCGCGTCGATGTGGTTGGGTGTAAAAAAGCCAAGTACATCTCCCTTGTTCCATTTAAAGACGTGCTTCAGGCCACGTCCAAACGAAGCAGAGAGATCCCTAACATCACTAAACGTGTATGATCGATTCGTGTCGCCGTCAACTAGGATCTCTGCCGATTTGTTAGTGGCCCTACCCTACAGGCCTTGCGCGATGGAGATGCAGGTCGCGTTCTGACCGTGGTTGTCTGGGAATCCCCTCGGACCCTCCATGTAAAAGCTCCAGACGTCAACGGGAGGGATGGCAACGTCGGAAAAAAGCGATTTATGCGGCATGATGGCGGTGGTTGATGGGTGGGTGAACGGCTTGGCAAGTGTCACTTCTGGACACAACTGAGAGGCAACACATTTACAGCCAGGGAAATATCCAGCTAGAAGACATGGCAATTCCGAATGGGAGGCACTAGCTAATTAAATACCATTACAAGGGCACACCCAACTATGAGCTGAGTTTACGCCATGTCGAAGCACATGATTCCCCGAGACATCAACCACAGGTCTGGGCTCTCATGCGGCCTGGCGCCAACGCCCAAGCACGCCTGCATTAGTGCCAGCGCTGCCATGGCCCTGTTCCTCCAGCTGCTGCGCCAACTTCCCAAGTAGGCGTGGTGCACGGGGTGTCGAATGTTAAAACAAAGAGGGGGAGAGCAATGACGCGGGGAACGCGGCAGTTATCAAGCTATCTCCAGCTTTCCGAAGCGACCGGGGGCTTGACTTTCGGGCTAGGGGAGAGCGCTGAACCTTTCCGGCTCGTCGGAGTCGGGAGGCGGTGCTTGTTGCGCCACGGCCCAGAAGATATTTTTAAGAAAATAAGAGACCGCCGATCATACTAGATCAGACGAGATCCTAGTAAGGGGGAGGCATGCTGAACCTCGTTCTTGTCGAGACCTCTCTCCCACACATCAGCCCGACCTGGCAAGCTCCGTGATGCTGCTTCGCTATCGCGCCGGAGCTGGCCGAGAAACCCAAACAGCCCTCAACGTGCCCTGGACAGCTAGGGGCTTGTGGTACATTGGATTTGTTTCTGGCAATTATGTTCACTACTCTATCCATATGCGTGTGAACGTGTAGCCAGATGACTTGCAAATGATCTTTGTATGGTCCGCAGCCCTCCAATGCTCATTAAACACACGTAATGAAGTCGTCGATCTAGCCAGCAATTCCGAACTATCCATCCTAACCAACGAATCCTAAGCCCTTCGTTTTTATGTTCGTCTTATGTATTTCGTGCCATGTGTTTGTTGTGTCATATATTCGTCGCCCCCATCGTCTACTAATCACTCCCGCTCGACTGGACCTCATCGATAACATTAGCTGCAATCTTCTTGGTGGGTTTCCATGGCTCGACATGCTCGCATCCTTCAGGAACACGACAAATGTCTCGCACATTGCATGTCTTCCACAACACTTCGCGAACCTCCTTAAACACTTGATCCACAGCATCCATCGCCCAGATGACATCCAGGTGTTCATACTCCGGAATTGTCTTGCTGTGGACCACGTCAACGCATGGTTCTCGCCCCTTTTCGAACCGTCGGAGCAGCTTCTCCCCGTCGACGAGGTTATCAGTGCCACACACCCACATGGCAAACGGTGGTGCTTGCTCGTTGTACCACGCAGTAGCTCCTTTGAGGTGTTTGTGATGCGCCTCAATTACCCGTTTCGTCTGTGGTGTCACGGCGTGGCCGTCCGCGCCGCCGTCCATATGTTCCTCCGCCTGGACGACCTCCTTGGTGGCTAGAATGCATTTGTGCTTGGCGAAACACTCCCGGCCGAGCCACCACCGCATAGACTCGGCACTGACATAGACGGGCGCAAATTGGAACATGCGGTTCCGGAGGCCACGATCCCAACGCGCATCCGTCCAGTCAAACATGAAGGAGAAGACCTTGTAGCCTAGCCACCCGTACAGTTTTGGACTCAGCAGGCCGTGCATCTGCATCATCAAAGGGATGAATGCGTGTATCCCAAACATGAGTCGGAAGAGCGCTGGTGAGATGATCCGCATGAATTTGAAGTACATCTTGCCTATCAGGGGCCCAGCGTAAGCAGCTGGCGCCAGAGCACAAAATACGGTCAGCTTTTCGCCTAGCTCAGGTCGTTGCTCCTTGGCCAGGGCCACAAACGTCTGAGTCGTCCCCTGAGAATGGCAGATCAGACCAATCTTCTCAAAGCCCGTCTCAGAGATCACACGAGAAGTGAGAGCAGCTAGGTCGAATACACCCATTTGGCGGATATTCCAACACCACATCCTCGGGTCACTGTATTCAAGCAAAGCGTGCTTGGGCTTGAAGCCACATCGGTTGTTGCCCAGCCAGACATCGAAGCCGGATTTGCAAAGCCAGAAAGCTAGAGATTCGTCGTCAGTGCAACAATAAGCACCCGAGCTCTGTAAGAGCCCATGCATGAGTAACACCGGGAATTTGCGCTTGTTGTCTGGATTTTTCAACGTTTTGTTAGGGCCTTGGAATACGTCTGGGCCCTGTTGAGATCGTCCACTGTCGTCCAACCGCGTGTACTCCCTTGGATCGTAGACATGCCATAGGTCGATAATGAAGCCATCTTCTGTCTGCACCTCGAAGGGTTCGACATCGAGCCCCACCCTCCGAGCGTAGTAGCCAACATCACAGATGATAGGGTCTGTGCCACCCTCAGTCGGGGGGTATTGATTGGCCGGGTTTTCTTGTTCCAAGTTCATAGTATTTGGAGATTGGCTTGCCTTCCAAGCCCGTTCCTTCTCTTCCCTAGCTTCGGCCCTCAATTTCTCCTCTTCGTAGAACGGGCGTGACTTGTCGAAGTTCCGGAACGTCAGTCGATAGAATATCTTCTTCCAGATCAACGGTATACTCGTAAACAGAGACCCCAGCACGATGACGGCGAGGAAAGCCAGGCTGAGAAAGAAGGATGAGACTCGAAAGAATAGACACTGGATGTTCCGCATCCTCGAGGGCGGACTGTATAAAGGGAGTGGAGGAAACAAGGGGTTCGTGTGGGATGGTGGCATGACACCTTTTAGCGTATTGTCGGCTGACTTCTGTAGTGATGCACCGTTCTGTTTTCCAGCCAAGTTCAAGACCTTTTGCTCCCCGTCGTCTACCTGAGTGACGTTGGGAATACTTTCCTTGACCCCTCTTCCAGATTGGATCTCGTTTGTCTCAGGCTTCCCTTGGACCCCTTCGCGGAGGATATTTAGGCGGCGGGCCTCTTGGAGGGGTACGCCAGGAAGTCGGTTGCCATCCGAGGTAATGATGATGGGATCATGAGGAGTGACGAACTGGGCCTCGATGGCAATGGACGGATCATCGTCAGTGATCGGTTGGTGCGAGAGCTTCTCAGCCTGCTGGGAGAACTGGACAGCGTTCTTGCTCAGCTTAGCGCCGGATGGTTGAGGTTCCGGCTGCTGAGCAGTATCGGAAGCACCGGAGTGTTGGATCATTGTTCACTCCGCATCAAGTGTCGTGGTATGGGAATGAGGCAAGTGACTCGAATTGTCGGTTTCTTGGGGGTGTTGACTGAGAATTTGCTGGAGTATGATGATTTCCTCAGGGCTTATCGCAGGCAAAGGGTTGAAGGTAATATGATGGAGCGAGGAACCTCGATAGTCCCTTGCAAAGAAGGGGCAGCGGTATTACGACAGGCAAGTGTTGTCATATCGTAGCAGCAGCGCAAGAAGTATCAGGAGAACAACAGAAAGCGGTAAAGGAAAAAAACAGGTCGAGAAACAAGACGATGGAACGATAGAGGATTTAGTCAATGTACGAATAAGGTAGGCTAGCAATCAACTGCCTGTTTGAGTCGTGGTAAAGCCGTGATTGGACCGCCCAGGCGATGGCTGATCTGGCGTCGGGGTTTTCGCGGCCCAGATTACGGAGCACATGGCACCATTTTCAATAAAGATGTTTGTCAAGGGACGATTTGGCAGCGGTGAAAAGGCACAACAAATAAACAGGACCCAGGGTCATCCAGTAGGATCGTCAAGACTTGCGGAAGGGTTGCGTCATGGGTGTTGAGACAGGGAACGACAGAGCGACAGGGAGGAGGAAGGAACGTGTGAGAGTGCAGAATGGACGGACCCCTGCGAGGAAGCATGTGATAGCACTAACAAAAGGGGTTTGAGACTGGTTGAGTGAGGCGTTCAGTCTGGGGAGCCATTGGGCGGCAATAACAAGCTGGATTTACTAAGAAGTAGACGAGGGGACCCGTGCATTGCTGGAATTGCTTTACCAAGCGAGCGTCGCGTTTTTCTCAAGATCTTTTTCCGTTGGTTGTTTTATTCTCACTGACGAGCCGTATTAAGAATCTTGCAAGAATCGGCCCCTTCAAAAACACGGCCTGTATTGAAGGGCGAACTGGGCTTGTTGAGAACTTACTGGCCACGGGCATCGGCTTTACAAAAACCAATAGTAAAAATTCTGCGGGTGCGGAGAGAAAAGCTTGAATTCATGTGTTTCTCGGATGTATTTCTCGGAGCATGTCACCGGTCGCAAGCCGGATTTCAAGCATGGATGATGGAGAAAGCTCGGCCATGGAGGTTGGGGGGTACGTACCTGGTCCGTCCCCCGGAGCCCCAAAAAATGCGGGATGCAAGTGCAATTGCAGGCAGGTGCGTGCGCGGGAGTGCGTGTGGGTTGCGCTTTCGCGCCCGCCAATGCCGAGGCCAATTCTCCCGTCACTGAGCCGCAGCCGACAAGTCGCGACAGTGCAACGCAACCGAACCTAGGCTTTGCTTGCAACACCACCACCGCCAACGCCGAGTAAGCATACCAACTTCTGTCTTCTTCACGGGACCTCCTCTAATTCCTATCCGTTTATAGCTGCGATTTCTTTCTCTCCGCCCCTACCAGCGAGCCATGGTCCTATCTCGGCGGGGTGGTTAAGCTTCATCTGTCCTCCGATCCCCTCGAACCTCGAACCTCGAACCTCGACCCCGACCAACCTCCGCTGCATCCTCACGCCGTCTACCGCACGGCCGCCAACATGACCACTTCAGCAGCTTCAGTTGCCACGTCATCCAAGAGGCGGAACCGCAGACGTCGCCAGGACAAGCCCGCTGTCACCGCCAAGCTCATCCTCGATGATCACATCAAGAGCGACGTCGGCATTGTGTCCGAGGACCTCTTTTGCGACCTCTTCCCTCACCTTCAACACAGTATGTTACAGCGCTGCTAGCTATAGGTTTGCGCATGTTCATTCGAGTATCAGAGTGCTGACTAGACACTCGTTCAGCCCCGGGTGACGACTCCGAGTCCGACCATCTCCATCACATCGCAATCGCCCCATGGGCCCCCAACGCCGGCCCTGTCGACAGCCCTTGGTCCATTGTGCCCGTTGTCAGATCCCCTGGCCTGCCGCACTCCACCGTTCAATTTTCGCCGTCCTCGCCGTCCCTCCAGAGCTTTGCTGTGACGCTGCAGCAGGTCGCGCCCTCTAAGCTGTCTAGCCACAGTCGTGGGGGCATTGAGATCCTCGTCCTCGACGTCGCCCCCGTCCCGCTTGAGACCGTCTTTGTCAGTCTTGAGAGTGAATTAACAAAGAGACTAGAGAATGGAGAGGGTACATTCTTCCGAGAACACCCTACCAATCCCAAGGGCAGGAGCGCGGCCAATTCGTCTTCGGAGGAACGGTTGATTGCTGCCCTCAGGACCGCCCTGAGCAGCCTCAAGGTTGTACACTCTGGGGACCTATTCCCGCTTCCCCTCCCGCCTCACCCCCTCACTCATGTTCCCCCGAACCCGGGAAAGATCATGCTGTGCGAGCCAGTAGCCCAGGGCACCCTGACCGACTCGACCAAGATTGTCCTTATGCGTGGACGAGTCCACACCAAGCAGATCCGCCGTGTAGCTTCCATGACGGCGAGCCAACGACTCAATGGCGTCACTGAGGACGAGGACGGAAATGGGACCGACCAATTCTATTCAGCTGCCGAAGAACGCTACAAGACTGATGCTCTCACTGAAGCGACAGAGTCAGCCACCGAGACGGAGACTGACTTGTCTGGGTCCGATAATGAAGACGAACTTTCGGATGATTCCATGGACGATATGATCTCCCTCCAGGCTCCTTCTTTGCCCACCACCAACGCCAGCGGAATGTCTACACTGCAGCCAGGAACCCCAATGACAGTGGGCACGCTGCGCGGCAGAAAAACCAACGGCATCAACACACCCGGCTCCGTTTTCTCCAATTTCACTGCAACTACTGCTAGGCCAGACAGGCCTCGTGGTCGGCTGTTCAAAGCTCAAGGTCTAATGCGACCCATTTCCTCAGATATCTTGCACCCGAAGCCGTCATCCGAGGATGACGAAGAAGCTAGAATCTATGTCGATGTTTCGTCATTGCCCAAGATCGGATGCTTCTCTGGCGACTGGGTGCGGATCGAAGCTACTGAGGAGCCACCGCTGAATGGATTTGGGGCCTTTGGACTGGGAAGTTTCGGGCAGCCAGAGCCGGAGCCTTCCAAGTGGAGGCCTGTCCGAGTCTATGGCCTGCCGGAAGGCTACTCACAGCGCCCGATGACCAGAATACCTAGCGCCAAGCATGGCGAACGAAAGCTCTCGTTCTTTGAGTCTCAGGTACAGCGTCCTGCTAGCCCAGCTGCGTATGCCTCGCCCATCCTTCTGGCCAATCTCGATGATACTCCGTATCTGCGCCTCTCGCCCCTCAAGAAAGCCTCCTATCAAGGAAAGGGAACACTCCCTAGGTTCACAAGTGCGATTCGTCCTCCCTACGCTCGAGATATCACCATCCATCACATCCGAACCCCGATTTCAGCCGAGAGAGCTTTTCAAACCGCCGTGTTGGGTGGACTCAAGCGGTACTTTGCGCAAAAGACCCGCCTCGTACGAAGTGGCGATCTGATTGCGGTGCCAGTGGATGCACAGCTTGGACGCACTCTCCAGGAGATGCCTGGCGCCGGAGGCTCCGAAGTGGACGATGTAATGGCGTTGACTGCTGGGGGCCAAGAGACCGGGAAAGAACCATCGCGATATGACAGTGTCGCATGGTTCAAGATTGGACATATCCAAATGCAAAAGTCGGACGACGATGAAGATGGCACCGCCGAGACTTTTTGGGGATCGGTGGCCTGCATTGACAGTTCGTCTGTAGGCATGCATGGCTCTGGCTTTGAGACGAGTCGGATACCAGGAATCAAGCAGAGCACCTGGCAGTACTACCTCGGACTGAAGAAGACACCCAGAAGAGGCTCAGAGTCTACGCCGCCACCGATTCAAGAACACGAAGCCCCATATGTGTCTCCCCTGAGGCATCAGATAAGGCAATTGATCGCTGCTGCCACAAGTCAAAGAGCAATCCATCTCAAGATGCCCCCGGTCGCTATCCTCTTGACATCTACACACCGAAATATCGGAAAATCGACTCTTGCATCGAATTCCTGCGCTGACATGGGTCTTCACACGTACACCATTGACGCCTACGATATCTTGAGTGAGGGAAGTGGCAGTGGAAGTGATGTCAAAACGGAGGGTTTCCTCAGGACCAGAGCTGATCGAGCGATGAGCTGCGGTGCTGATTGCTGTGCATTGCTTATTGAACATATTGAAGCGCTGACGGCCGATCGGATTGAGGCAACCATCAAAGAGATATTGGAGGATACTAGAGTGATCATAGCTACCACCAACGAGGTTGACAAGGTCCCTGATGGCGTCCGAGGACTGTTCACCCACGAGTTGGAAATGGGAGCACCTGATGAAGCTGAACGTGAGGCTATTCTCAAGACTATCATCAGCGATCGCGGAGTCAGTCTGGAGCCTTCCATTGATCTCAACTCTGTTGCCCTTAAAACCGCAGCTCTAGTGGCTGGCGATTTGGTTGACGTTGTTGAACGGGCCTCGATAGCCCAACAGTCACGCTTGGAGAAACTCTCAGCCAAGAACACCAAGAATGGCTTGACTGTTACTGTTCGAGATGTTCAGGTTGCCGGTGGCCCGCTCGCTCGTTGTCTTACGAAAGCAGACTTTGAGGTTGCCGTCGAAGCTGCTCGCAAGAACTTCTCTGACTCTATCGGTGCTCCCAAGATTCCAAACGTAACCTGGGACGATGTCGGTGGTTTGAACAACGTCAAGGAGGCTGTGACGGAGACTATCCAACTGCCACTGGAGCGGCCCGAGCTGTTCGCAAAGGGCATGAAGAAGCGGTCTGGTATTCTCTTCTACGGACCTCCCGGAACTGGAAAGACGCTTCTGGCCAAGGCCATTGCAACAGAATACAGTCTCAACTTCTTCAGCGTTAAAGGTCCGGAACTGCTCAACATGTACATCGGAGAGTCGGAAGCCAACGTCCGACGAGTGTTCCAGCGAGCCCGCGATGCTCGACCTTGTGTCGTGTTCTTCGATGAGTTGGATTCGGTGGCACCAAAGCGAGGAAACCAAGGAGACAGCGGCGGCGTTATGGACCGAATTGTCTCGCAGCTCCTCGCCGAGCTGGATGGTATGTCTGGTGGAGATGACGGCGGCGGCGGCGTCTTCGTGATTGGCGCAACGAACAGACCCGATCTCTTGGACCAGGCTCTTTTGCGTCCTGGGCGTTTCGATAAGATGCTCTACCTCGGCGTTTCGGATACCAACGAGAAGCAGCTCACCATCCTCGAGGCACTGTCCCGAAAGTAAGTCCTTCCTAATTGTTCAACCCTGTGATATGGTCTAACTAATGTTTCTCGCAGATTCACCCTCCACCCGTCTGTATCTCTTGCTTCTGTGGCCGAGAAGCTTCCCTTTACCTACACGGGTGCCGACTTTTACGCGCTGTGTAGTGATGCTATGCTTAAGGCCGTCACTCGCCAGGCCTCCGGTGTTGACGCCAAGATCCGCGCCATCAACGCGGACCCGGCCACTACACTCCCCATTTCCACGGCGTACTACTTCGATCACTATGCTACTCCTGAGGACATCGCTGTCATGGTCACCGAGGCAGACTTCCTGGCGGCCAACGACGAGCTCGTGCCTAGTGTTAGTGCTGGTGAACTCGCTCACTATGAGCGCGTGCGCGCGACCTTCGAGGGCGGTCGCGGCAGTGACAAGGACAAGCAGCAGACCGGCCAGCGAGTCGTATCCGGGGCGTCAACGGCGTCAAAGGGAAAGGGCAAGGCCGTCGCGTCTGGGGCTGGCAAGGGCAAGGGCAAAGCGATTGCCCTGGGTAGTGACGACGAGTTTGACGGTGATGAGGCGGTTGAGGGCGAGGTTAATGGACGGTCCAAGGGCAAGGGCAAGGCCGTCATGGGGTTCCAGGATGGCACGGCCAGTGACGATGATGGGCTGTACTAAAGGATAACGGGACAATACACGGAGGCGTGATGAGGAGGAACGGAGGAAGGACAGCAATCTAGACAGTAATATTGTCGGATATACCCCCGGAAAAGACACGGGACACTGGCTCAGGATCTTGGGCTATGTACACTACTATATCATCATCTTCTGCATCCTAGCATGGATAATTAAACCACCGACTTTCGCTCATCGTCCCTGGCATCTCCTACTTCTTCGGCTTGTCTGTCTTCTTGGCCTTGTCTGTCTTCTTCACCTCTTCTGTCTTCTTCGGCTTGTCAGCTTTCTTCGTCTTGTCGCTCTTCTTTGTCTTGTCAGTTTTCTTGGCCTTATCCGTCTTCTTGGCCTTGTCGGTCTTTTTGGCCTTGTCGGATTTCTTGGTTTTGTCGGTTGCCTTTGCCTTGCTAGATTCCTTAGCTTTGGCCTTGTCGTCGGCCACTGTGGCCGCTGTTGCAGACTTCTTGGTTTCCTCTTCCTCATCTTCGTCATCCTCATCGCTGTCCTCGTCACTTTCCTCCTCCTTGACCTTGGCCTTGTCATCTGCCATTGTAGCTGCTGATGCGGGCTTCTTAGTATCATCTTCCTCTTCCTCGTCGCTATCCTCCTCGTCATCATCGTCATCGCTATCCTCTTGGCTGTCCTCTGCCTCTGCCTTTGCCTTGGCATCCACGGCCGTGGCGGCTGCTGCAGGCTTCTTGGTCTTATCTTTCTCCTCCTCATCGTCATCTTCATCATCGTCACTGTCCTCTTCACTGTCCTCTTCATCATCGTCGTCGTCATCTTCATCGTCCTCGGCCTTCTTTTCCAGCTCAGGTTCCTCCTTTATCGCAGTCTTCTTCTCTACCTCCTTAATCTCGTCTTGAGTCGCCAAGGCAATTGTGGCACCATGAAGAGAAGAGAAACCAGCACTCTGCTTCCAGGTGGCACTCGTTGGGCTTTGGAGAGGACCCCGCCCAAGATCGTCATCAGCAACGGCGCCCCATGATCCTGAGGTGGGTGACTGGAGACCCTCGATCTTGCTTGCTGCCGATCCACCCTTGGTGGGTGTCTTGGGTGTTTCCTTGGACTTTCCGTCCTTCGCAGCGTCCTTGCCATGGACCTTTTCCCGCAGAGTCTTCAGGCGAAGTTCCTTAGCCTTCTGCGCTGCCTCGTCGGCGACGGAGCGGACGGGCAGTTTCTTTTGCTCGGGCTCCTTCTTAGGTTCGGCTGCCTTGGTCTTTTCGGTAGTGGTAGGGATCGGGGTGGCCTTTCCTGTTGGTAGAGGAGGAGCTGTAGGTGGCTTCGGTGCGGCAGCGGCGGCGGCGGCAGCGGCACCACCAACGGCGGCGGCGGCGACAGCTGCGGGTATAGATTTTGCGGGGAGGGCGGGCTTGGGCTTTAGGGGAGGGTCTGGGAGCTTGTCCTTAATAGAGGGAATAGTGAACTCGTCGAAATAGATCTTCACGTGCATCTTGAGCTCTCCATATTCGTTCCAGTCCTCAATCTCGACGATATCCTACGCGTGGACCGTTAGTAGCTAGCTCCCCCGGGGCCTCAGCAAGCTCCCAGAAAGGTGAACTTACGCCCAAGACGAAGCCCTCTTGCACTAAGCCGGGAAGCTTCCTCATGCGGCCGCTCTCGTCCTTCAGGGCCCTTCGGCCCCAGATCCTGCGGGCATTCTCATCAGTGGCGATATCGACGGCCTTGAAGGGCACGCGGTTGGCACGTAGGATGGTCTCGAGACGAGATGTGGCGGTGACGATGTGAGAGGAGCCGGCGGTGAGGGAGGTGAAGATCCAGAGGGCGGGGGAATCGTTCGAGTAGGTGGTCATGGTGTTGTTCGTAGCTGAGGTGGTGATTGTTGTTTGATTGTCGGGATGGAAGGTATCGTATTAGGCTAGAGTGACAGTGTGCATCGCCTGGAGATGGAAGTAGAAAGGTGCAAACGGGGAGGGCGTTATCGGTGGTGTTGTCGGGAGAAGCGGTGGAATTTGGTGTTTGGCGTGGTGACAGGTTGGCTCCTGATGAGTCTCCTGAGACGAGTTTGGTTACCAACCAAGCTAGGTCACCAGGTAGGTACGGGTAGGGGAGGTATGATGCAGGTGCGGGGGCGGGGCATCAGTAACTTCAGCGCCAATCCTCCCGAGACGCTGTGCTGTTACAGGCGTTGGCGGGTTGAGGACGGAACATTGTGAAGGCGGTGCCGGAGTGGAAGTGAATGAAAGACTGAACTAAAAACACCACTGGGAATGGGACATGGTAGAAGTGGTACCCGGGGTTTCTGGGAGGTATTAGCTTGCACTTACACAGTATCCAACGGAGTGTTACATAGGTACCTACTTCGTAGTAGCGGCAGTCATGAACACCATCCCAACGGGACTGGCTCGTCTAGCGTTTAGGCGCTGTTTCGAGATTGTCCCAGTACCTCTCTCTCTGTCTTGAGTAAACAGCACCACCCGCTCGCTGGCTCTGGCGAAAAACAAGAACCATCTCACTTGAGGGTGTACAGTATATTGCCGGTATCCGTGAAGGATCTACGTATCTATTTGTCTTGCTTCCTACCACCAACCTAGGTAGTATGCATTCGATTCACAGTGCCGGTCTAGGTCTGTCAAGTAGCGAGTCAGAGAAAGGACGTGCATTGTGCTTGCCCCGTTCCTGCTTCTGTCACGGCCTTCTTGACGGAGTTGCTAAGGCAGGTACGGAGCCACAATTCTCCTGCTTACTTTTCTGCTGACGTTGCCCTCTACCTGTCCACTTCTTCATTTGTCTCGTGATCGTGTTCTTCAACTCTCTTCATTCTCTGCTATAATCTCTTTTCGCAGCCGACGTCCGTTTCCGACACCCACGAAACGAAGCAGCTAGTTCAGTCTCATGCGATAGCGCTCCGCCAGGATCGCTCGAAGGCGCTGAACCTGCCGTCGGCCGCACTTCAATGACAGAGCACTGACGATGAACCAAGTCCTTGAAACGGGCTTTGTGTGTCCACTCTCCCAAATTTCCAATCTCTTGCGCTGGAGCAAGTAATAGACCAAGCGGCTGCGACTCCAAGATTGGCCAAAAACCCGCCAGCCGAAGAAGCCATCTCCGGTTTCCTGGGCTTCCATTGTCGTCGTCGCCGCCGCCATGCTCCACAGCTCTCATCTCTCTTGTCTAAGATTTCCGGTGGACGTTGCACAATGGCCAATGCTGATGACTCCAATATTAGAATAATCGCCCGCTTTTTATTTGCTGCTCATTTCGCCTCGGTCTCCCAGAGTCTCTCAACCATGCACCTCCCATGCTGTGTCGTGAGCCACAGCGTCTGGAGGAGATTTGGAGATTCCGCTAGGCATTTCTTGCACAAGGCGTGCTCGCCTGGACCAAGACCCTTGCTAGCACCTCACCTGGCTCCTCAGGGGCAAGAAACTCCTTTTCCCCCTCGGTGTGGTCTAAATCAACGCCACGGAAGTGTTCCCGTGGGTGGCGTTGTTGGAAACCCGCCATCGTCTACCGTTAGGCATCGCAAGCGCGATTCCTTTTCGACCGCCGCCCGACACCTCGTCTCATGGCGTTGCTACCTTGCTCAGCTCCGGTTCCCCTCTTGGCTCTACGTGGTGGAATAATTGCGCTATCAGAACAGTACCACGGCCGCGCGTTTCATAGCCATGGTTGGCGCGGTCGGTGCACTGTTTATCGGGTGCTTTGGACCTGGGATAGCATGCCCCTGGCTGGCCATGGCCCATGGGGTCACGGAGATTGTTGTGTATCCTTCGGCCCCAGAGGCGACCCTGCCAGCAGCTCGGGGGACCGTGTGTGAAGTCACACAAAGAGTCATTTTTCTTCCTTTGTGCTCTTGCTCCATATTTTCCTTTTCCTTATGCAGGGTGGTCCTATAGGATTGCCGGTGCCGGTCCTTTTGCGGTCTGCGAAGAGGAGCAGGCTCTTCACTCGCTGGTTCACCGTGATGACATTTGGTGGATCCCGCCATCCAATCCACAAACCACGCAAGAAAAGATGAGAAGAGCTAGACATTGGCTCTTTGCACTGGGCACGGTCGCAAGACCTAGTCGGCCCCAGCGAAACGTGGCGGTGGTCAGTCGGGGCAGCCCATGATTGGCGAGGGGCGGCAGCAAGCTGTGCTATCGGACCAAGGAGAAGGCAACGCGTCCTTGCAGGGAGCGGCTCAGGTACCAACGCAAAGCCGGGCCACGGGAGCGGAGTCTAATCCAGGAACACACCAGTCAGAGTTGCAGCCGGCGAGGCCTTGCAAGATCCAGGGCAGGGCTTCCCCCGACAGATCCAATCGCGGCTCCCACAGTGGATGCAAGGTACCAGCACTTGTTGGATGCCGGGACTAACTCCCACCCGGTCATTGCCCAAGGAGCCAGGGCGGGTGAGGTGACAGCGCACCAGGGATCTCGCCAACGTCTAGCCAGCCAACGAAGCGTTCGCTGACAGAGATTTTCCGCCGGTCGGAAAACTACAAGTCCCCCTCGAATCCGCTCGCCTGCTTCCATCGTTTCTCCTCCTCAAGCTCTTGACGACTCCTTCACACGTTCTCGCACTCATTACAACATCGTGCTTTCAGCACCTCACTCTCTTTACCACACCAAAGAACCGTTTCGGACTCTTCGAGCTAAACAACCCGCTCTCTTCCGCCTACCAGCACTTCAGTCGTTCGACCAACCATCAAAATGCGTTTCTCCATCTTTTCCGTTGTCGCCGCCAGCTCGCTGGCCGCTGCCACTTACGATCTCCCTGCTGATGAGGGCACCACCACCATGACCTCCACCACCACCAGGGTCATCACCCTCACTGCCTGTCCCGACAGTGTTGTCGACTGCCCTTACCGCACCACCACTTCCACCGAGGTTGTCATTACCACCTCGACTTCGGAGGTGATCCCTTCCACCACCTCTATCTACATTCCTCCCGTTGTCAACACCACCACCAGCACCACCAGCGTGTACACTCCCATCTACACCCCTCCCGTTGTCTCCAAGAGCACCTACTACCCTGCTGGCAACACCACCACCCACGGCCCTACTGCTCCCATCACCCACAGCACCGTTGTCGTTCCCACGACCCTGGTCCCCGCTTCTTCTGAGGCCCCTGCTGGCACCACCGTTGTCGTGGGAGTGACCAGCTCTGTTCCGTCTTCCGTCCCCTCCACCGTCACCGGTGCTGCCAGCGGCCTCGTTGCCAAGTCTGGTTTCGTCGGTGCCGCCGTCATGGCCGCCCTCGTTGCCCTGTACTAGGAATCTTGACACATTTGGGTCGATAACCTGGTTCGCAACTCTTCTTCATTTCAACTTGTGAATATATTTCTTCTCTGGAGACGGACGTTTGGGGACTATTTTGATGGGCGAGAATTTTTTTTTGGGGGGGGGGGAGAGGCGAATACAAGACTTTTATCATCGGACGACTGCGGTTCGTACTTGATCCCATGCAGGTCATTGGAACTGGCGCACTATACCAGCGTGGAGTTTTCTGAGGCAACGTGTATCTGCACTGTTGGCCTTGTTCCGGAAGATACTTAGGGTAGTAAACGTTTAAGTTTCACACAACTTTGTCGCATATAGTGTGTCTCGTGGTGAATGTCTTTGGGTCTTGATACCGTCCCCCTTCCTCATCTACTGTCGTGTAACCTCGGGCCATGGTACGAAAGCTTGACCGCACTTGATCACCAATGAAAGAAGCCATTGGACCAGCCGTCTCTTTTTCGATGTCGCGTCTCCGGCCTCGACCTGCTACGTCAATGTCCTTGCCCATAATTGCTCTTCACATTTTCCCCAACTCACCCGACTATGGCGCAGAAGCTGTTGTCCAATGCTCCGACCTTGTCCTTCCTTGTTCCTTTACCGCCCGGGGTCGGTCCGCCACCTGCAATGCCATAGGATCGACAAGTTCTCGGGGTCACGTTCGAAACGCCCGGGTTACACAGACTTTGGGTTCTGTCGAATAGTGGCGCTGTGACGCCGCGGGACTCAGCTCATACCGTCGACGCCAGCCCTCCATCCGCTGCACATGGCCCGAAGCGGTCTTCCCCACGGGACCATCAGTGCCGCCGCCATGGCTACTTACCCGTCGGGCCATGCCTTGCCGTTTGGTAACAAACCGGTTGCCATTTTTTGCTTTTTTCTGGGGTTGAGGTTGAAAGTGAGGGTTTTTTTTCCCTCTCAATTCGCATGTGCCTGTGCCTGCGCCCGTCGTTGCGCCTGCGCCTACACCATGGAATCCGATATTGCCATCCCCGTGACGGTTCGCGCGACGGGCTGGGCCTATCAAGTACGATGATGACAACCACACGTCAGCCGTCATGCCGCTCCCAGAGCACCGGTGATCCGGAACCAAAAGTAGGAGGCTGAAATACTGTGCGAGAGGTGATGAGGTGACGACGGACCAGAAGAAACGCTTTGACGCAACCCTCTCTGGGTTTCTGAGTTTGTTGCCTCCCCCCCCCCCCCCCCTCGTCGTGAAGCACACTGGACGAAGAAGCACACCGGACGCCGCATCGAACCTTGGCTAATTATGCAACATCTGCCACACTCTCCCGCGTCCGCAATTGGTCCGTCTCGCCATGGAACTTGATCGCCAGCAGGGCTCCATGGCCACGGCGTCTACCTGTGAGTGATCTGCCCAGCGTGCCAATTGGAAGTTATGGTCGTGTTAACTAGTCTCCGGTCTTGTTTCCACAACCTTCCGAGACATGGCGGGACGCTCCGTACTGTAGAAAGCGGGTAATAAGCCACCACCACTTTGAGTTCCAGTTTTTTTGCTTCTTTTGTTTACTGTCCTTTCGTGTCGGAGTGTAAGTGGATCGACGCAATACAAGACAAGACGTCATTCATTCAGGCCCCTTTTGAAGTATTCGACATTTTGATTCCGGCAGTGGCATCGCATGCTTTGACGTATTCTCAATCTTTGCATTACCATCAACAAGTATCGTTGTCTCGTCCGTCTGTTGTTCAACCGTTCATCGCCGCAACCGTTTCGTTCCGCTCCACCCGTCCCCCAGTTCCCTGCCCGGACCTCGATTCCCAAACACCTAGTTTGCAGTTTCTGGTATCGCGTGATTATCCGTGAGGAACCGACAACCCTGCTTAGAAGAAAAGGTCTTGTGCTTCTGGGGGGCAAAGATACTACTCTTACGCGCCCAAACAGTCCCACCCCTGCCCACATCCACTTGCTGGCTTTTGACCTATTATATAGTAGTTATTTCGTCTCCGAGCACCCAGGAATAGTCTCCATCGTTCCAGTTCCCGCTCCTAAAGCTAGTGATCCTTGTCACTCTCCTTCGTAATTGGTCGTTTGCTTGTGATTCATTAAATGCCGTTTCTGTAGGTGGGTCGGAACGGTAATCCGGGGGGGCGGGGGGGCGGCCACGCTCTGAGGTTGTGAACCGTGAGAACGCATCCGGGAGCAAGATTGGACCATTGTTTCCCACACTATCTGTTTGCCCATGTCCCCCCCTCTCTTTTTAGTCTCCAGGGGTGCTTATGGTTCAAGGGCACTGTCCTATGGCGCACATCTTGCAGAGACTATCGTTGGGCTGTGCTGGGTTGAAGCAGTTGTGCACAGCGTTGTGTTGACAGAGCCCGTTGGCATAGTTGACCATGTAAGGGGCGTCCTGGGTGGCTTTCGACCTGGCGGAGGCGTGGGTATTGTTGCATGGCACGGGGCGCCTGGAGCATGCCATTGTTTGTGTGTAGTTGCTCGTGGTGTTTTTGTGGTTTGTTCTTTGGATGGAGATGTTTTGTTGGAACCAAATCAGGGCCGGTGAGACGTCTCGTGATGGCAATCAACGGGCCACGATATTGTTGTTAATGGCGTGAGTGGTGAAGCCAGGCGAGGCAGGGTAGGTAAGATGAGATGAAATGAAATGTGGCTTGGTGAAGCGAGAGCACTTGGCAAGTCCGAGGGCGAAACCAATGGCAGCGGCCACTAGACAAGAGCAGAAAATAACAAGAACGGAGAAATGATGTTAGAAAGGGGAACAACAAAAAGGAGAGAGAAAGCTCAAGGAACCGGCTGGGAACGAGCGTACAAGGGGACCCTTTTTGAACCTGGAGGCGGCCAAGCTGTCAGTTGTCACCAGTTCGGCGGGGGGCTGACGGCGGTTATGTAGGTAGGGCTGAACGACTCGAACAAAGACAAACGACGCCTTGCATCTGCCCGTACCGCCCGGCGCCGCACCGTACCGGACCGTACCGCACCGCACGCGCAAGTCTTGTCATCGTTAGCGGGACTTTCGGCTTTTATGGGCCGCAGGAGGACCCAGCCTTTGCCTTGGCCTTAGCTGGGAACATATGGATGTCTTGGGAGCCCGGGGTTGACTTACAGTGACCCCGGGAACTCAGTGCGGCTTTGTCGGACCTACTGCCCCTCTGATCGCCCTAACCAATGCCATGCCTGCTTGCGAGGCTCCTTTCGAGACATGTTTGTTTCCTCTTTGTGCCAGCTGGGGTCGGTCTCGGCGGCGGACTCGGGGCTGAGCCTCGACAAATGAGTATTGGAGGAATCAACCGTCTTCTCGGCACTGCCAGGGCACGGTATGCGGTTGGCCAGAGAGCTATCGGCATCTCAGGGTCTCCAAGCAGATGTGTCTAGGTCATGTCTCACCCTGTAGCTTCTGGAAGCGGCAAAGTCCCCCCGATTCCAACGGTAGGGTCACGGAGCGTCGGTGATAGAAGGCCATGACGACGGGACGGGTGGCGCAGACTCCAGAACGCCCAATGATGACCGCCATCATCGATATCGCACACCCACATCCCACGTTCCAAGGCCCACCTCTTGGCTGAGCGAACGCGGCAACATGGATAGGACAAGCCATGCCATGCCATGCCATGCCATGCCACGGTACGGAGGGACCCTGCTCTGCGTGTTGGCGTAGCATTCGTCGTCTCGGCGCCTCCACAATTCGCAGTTCTCTCACGAACCCACAATGGGGCTCCCGCAGGAAGAGGAGAAGAGACGCCGTTCCAACAACAACATGATATGATGCTGAGGTGGTGCGAGGTCGATGTGTAATCATGCTCTCCCAACCGGTAGAACGTAGGTAAGGTGGTTAGCCTTAGCGGCCTTGCTTCCAATCCCCGGTTCCCAGTCCCCAGTCCCCAGTCCCCGGTTTTACAACTAGTGAGGAGTCTTCAACATTTAGTCTGCAGTCGTCAATCTGCAGTCTCCAGTCTGCAGTCTGCAGTCTGTCCCCCGGTTTATCTCTAGTCTCCAACTTCCGCGGCATCGAAAAACGATCGCCAAGAAGCAGCTGCTGGTCGAGCGCGGCTAATGACAAATTCAAGACGAGAAGTCATCTTGCGTCAGGGGATTAGGGCCAGCATCAAGATCGCCGTCAGGGTGATAGAGAGCACGGCACAGGTTTCCTATGCTCAAATCGCACTGTCAAACTGTCCAGGGACACCGTGTACCCCGCTGACTCTTGCTCATGGTCACTCGCACTGATGACCATGTTCGTGGCCATGGTCATGGGCCCCAGCAGATCCGACCAGACCAGACACGCAGCAAGAAACTGACACTTCCCCGCAACTCTACGGGGTCTGGACAAGGGCTTTCTCTCCCCTCTTACCTGGATTTCCCGCAAGTGCCCAGCCCACAGGACGTCAATTGCGTCAAACCGCTGCTAAACCGTAACCCAACATGGGACCCAGAAACTGATATCTGACTGCTCCTCTGCTGGACTCCTCCCCCCGCACCTTGATTGGATGACCTGTGTGATTTTGTGCCCTGTGTGGGGGGGGTGGGAGGCGACCATTGATCTTTTGGTCCTTCACCATTTCAACCAACTGGAGTGGTTCCTGTCTCTGTTGCCTTTGGGTCCCATCTCGTCACATTTTGCGTACCTTGGTCGAGGCACTGCACGGAACAGCAGGGAGGTCATTTCCTGAATGACCCGCTGGTTGTGCAAGCTGGCTCGGCGCCCGTCCCTTGGCGTGGGGCGCACCAATATCATCGTGGGATCCGCCTTTGTCCTCCTCCTCCTCCTCCTCCCTCCTCACTTCATCGCCATGGGCCACCATGGCCACCGTGTCCACTCTTGTTACTGTCGCTAAAATGCTGTCACCCTGCCGTGTGCTCCAGTGGTCTCGGTCATCGGCACTATTGGGGAGCTCAACCCCCCTTCATCGGTCGCCGGGAACGGCGTTATCTCCAAATATCATAGCGTAAGTCCAACTACAGTGATCCACTAGTTTTAGATCGATCACCTTCTTTTCCCTGCGGCTGAACGCATGGCATCCCTTCCCGTACTGCGGCTTACACACGACACGAGTTCATACGCACCGCGCCGGTGGCGCGGCTTGAGGGATTCTGTCCTTCGAGCCCCATATCCCTGTTGTGCAGATGCGCAGTGTCAGCAAGAAAGCAAGCAAGCCCTGCCTCTTTCGAACATCTCCCCTCTTACTCGCCGTCAAGGGCTGTCACGGCGACCAGAACCCTTTTGGATGGATGGTGGAGTCTGTGTGACAACCGACTGACAATGCTGCCGGCGGCAACAAGCGGCTTGGTTCAAGGCCCATCCACAGCTCTGCTCGGTTGGCCGAGGTTGTGCTTGTCCTGCGTCGTGCTTCTTGGGGGCCCTTGTGAGGCTGCTTCCCGTCGGAGCCAGACGCATACGATGCGAAGCGAGGGTTGCAATCGAAGAACCTGCTAGTAAGCCACCGTGTCAAGGAATCCGTAGCCGAGACCACAACATAAGTCGGACTCGCTCCGTCAAGTCTAATAACCTTCTTTACTTTCAGGGTCTTGCCGTGTCGTACGATTCTTTTGAACAGCTCCCATGGTGTCCTGCAAACCACCAGTCGGACGATCCGCTTTCAATTCCTCGGGTTTCTCGCAGCTGTCCTCTCTGAGCGCAATCGGTGCAGCTTTCCCGTCATTATGGCCGCCGGGGTTCCTGTTCCTGTCAAACGCCCAGCCCTCAGCCAACAAGACCGACAACTCATCTCAATCCGAGCTAGGCCCTTCGTGGTTCTTCTTGCTTGCTTTAGCGCCATCTTCGGCTGCGACTCTACCAAATCAACACCAATTCGCCTGTGTGCCCGAGTGAACGCGCGACCTCCATTTGATAAGTTAGTGCGCCCGTCCTGTGCGACCAGATCAATCTACCAGGAGTCTTCCTCAAAACTTCCTCCTTGTGCCTGGAGTTTCTATCTTTGGACTCCAAGAAACGACAAGGTCAACTCATTACTTGCCCCAGAGTCCAGACGGGGCCTATGTTAGAAACGCGGCTGCATGTCTTGGGCCACTCTGCTGCACCATGTTTGAAATTGCATGTCTTGTACCATGCATGAAACCCCCTGTTGAGACACAAGCACGCTGCGGGTGGCGACGAGGTTGGTTGCAGCATCGTCACTGAATATCCACATCCAAGATACCACAGTAGGGACTCGTATGTACATGCTCGGACGGTATTCCTCGCTGCCGCTGCAGGTTTTAGGGGATCATCGCCCTGCGGGTCAGTGGATGTCGTCTTGGTTCGGCAACGAATCATACCTGACTAGACACGCGCACCTGTTTCGTTTTGGCTCGAGGAGGCTGAGGCTGGGCAGAAAATCAAACTGTGTCCGATGGGACCTTCGGTACTGACCTCCGCGTCATTGTGGCTGTCATCGCGTAAGTGCTGACCAGGACATCATTTTTATTTGTTGCCTAGAATCTGATATGGCCGATTCCAGTCAGATTTCATCATTTCTGGTCAGACAGGATGTCGGCTTTCCATGGTTCGATGCGATGACCGTTACATTGGCTCAGGGCCATGAGACTCTGCAAGCGGGGAACATCATCACTGGCCAAGTCTGATCAGACTTCGATGTTCAGCGAAATGTCCCAAACCGGACCTTAGATCAGGCCATTCTGCATGACTCGCCCTGCACGTTGGTTTATCTGGAATGTTCCCGGGGTCTTGTGCTTCCAGGCGATGATTAATGGCCTTCAGTCTGACCACTAAATCCAGCACCTTGTGCCCACACCCACCATGGCGTCGGTAGCACGCGGGGGTTGCTGACCGTGATAGCGGAAACATCGGAGTTCCTACGAATGTGGAAACAAATACCCGTTGGTAATTTGATAGAAACCATTCGTTCGAGGTGATTGTCTGCACCTCGGACTGGCTCGAAGAGACCTTGGTTCTGATGTGGTAGTGCGTCAATACCGAAAGTTCGAGCGCTCAAAACTCAGGGGAAAGATAGAGCTACGAAGAGAGATGAAAGCCACTTCGAGTTTGAGGAATCGTATGTGTGTATTGACTAAAAAAGTTGGTATGGTGTCTTTGTCAATGGATTGATATTTGTCTGCCCCAAAGCAAGCGAGGAATCCCAGCGGCGTGCACTGAAATACACCACACGACCTTGGGTAAGGAGTTGTTAGATAGCATGGGAAGTTGGGTCATGGTTGATTCTTACACGATGGTTGATTGTTGCCCATGAATACTCTGCTCGGAGGCTATCGCAGCAGTTGGCGTGGACTTCCTCGAGCGCCGCTGGTCTCGTTGGGGTGGAATCCAATTTTCGAAAACAGAGGCACATGATGAAGAACACCAAGGGATCTTATTGGTGTCCGAGATACCCGTAATGTTCTATGCCTTTTTCTTGCAGAGATAGATCATCAAGACAGGAATGATCATAACGAGTGCGAGAACCGGAATGAGTTCGGAGGGGACGCCACCACGTCTATGGTTACCAAGTCTAGGTTTTCCACGGCGGTGTGTTCTAGAATCGGATCGAGAGTGGTTGGCGGCGGTGTATGGGGGTGGTTGCTAGATATCGAGTTGTCAATTTGGTTCTTCGCGATTTGTAGTCCTCGGGTGAACCGTACCACAGCAAGTCCGCTCTGGTCTTGTCTTTCTAAATCGCCGACAGTACCATCCTACAACAACTTCGTTAGATTAGGAACTAAACCCAAGAGATGAAGATGCGTACATATCCGCCAACGAGGTGGAAGAAATGATTGTTGGCAAGGCGGATGTGGCATTGAAAAGGTGGATGTGCTAGCTTCGGGGAATCAGCACATGAAAAATGGCAAGGAGGGAAACGCCTACCACATGATCGATGGTTGAATCCTCAGGAATCGACTCAAGTCGTGTTGATTTTGATGGCGGAAAACTCCGGTGCTCCTAGGACTTATTGTCGACTGTGGGAGGTGTTCTCGCCGTGCCTCCTAAAGCGGCGCGAATGGCGAGGAGCATCTTGATTATTGCGCCGGAAGAGCAGGATTGAAAAGGAATGACAGATAAGCAATATAATCTCGGTGAGCTGGGTAGCAGAAGCGGGAGCGAGGGAGCCCGAAACGAAGACGAAGAAACAAGGCCCAGGGCCTGGTGGTGATGTTGATGTTTGGATGAGGCTCAAGGTAAGCTGGACGAGTCGGAAGATCGGCAAGACGGGAAACCTTCACAATGCACGTGCCATCCCACCCTCCTGTTTAGAATGGAAGGAAAGAACCGTTTTGGATTGGAAGGAAAGGAACAAAATTCTCCGAGAGAGCTCTAAATTTGAAGGACCACTGTTGGTGGTGCATACCTGCCAAGTTGACAGGGGGATGACGAAGAGATTTTTCCAAACCAAAGTTTACTTTGGTTTCTACGAAGCGCAGCGGAAAGTGCATTTTTCAGCCAAGATCCTACGGCACCCACCATGTTGGTGGGCAGCCCCTCTTAGACCCCCTCTTCCATGCGATGGTAAAGGCAAAACGCTGATGGTGTGGAACGCCAATGGATAATTGCGTGAATTCAAGATTGATGTTTGCACTACTGTATGGAATTCTCCGGAGCTTGCGCTGGCGCTGGTCAAAAGCGGCTGCAGTTGTCTGCTAAAGCCAAGCCGCACTGAAATTATGAGTCCATTTCGCAGACGAGCGCCCATGTGGCATCGAATAGCAAGTCGCCCCCATCTGTTGGGTCCAGGTTCCCCAGCGGCATAAGTTGCCTGTTTGAGGGAAAGCGTTGCATTATTGATGCCACTGGGCCCACTGGCACGTTCTGGACTTGGGACGCCGGCATCCCAGAAACCTGGGATCTTAGCTCGGTTGGCTTTAGCTCCCGGCATCACCAGCATCAGGCCCGAGCAGCCGGGTCTTGGACTTCCCCCGGCAGGCAGAGAATCATCATTGGGGTTGCGAGCTGCCCGCAAAGTTGATGCTCTGGCTCTGGTCGCCTGCGCCCGCTTGATCGGTGGCCACATTCTTATCCAGCTTTGTCTGCTCCTCATCGATCTTCGCCTGATCGCCGTCTCCTTGTGCAAGCTCAATCTGGAGAGCGAGGACCTGAAGTTCCAACTTCAGCACCTTATTCTTAATCTTGCTATCCTTGGTGTCAGCCGCTGTAGAGAAACACCCGATCTTGTCTTCGCAGTTTCGATGTTCCAACTCGGACAAACTCACCCAGTCTGCAGAGCAATTCCGTCGTCAGAGTCTTCTCCAACTTGATCGATGGCATCGTTAAAGCCACCTGCATCCGTCTCTGCGGCCTCTGCGGTCTCCCGGGCCGCCTTGAGGATGGCGAGGTCATTTGCACTGACGCCAGCTAGGTTTGCCCGGAACTCTTTGACCTAAATAGATGTAAGCCCACGATCGAGATAGGACGAATGCCAGTCCACTAGGTACAAGGGACGTACAGGAAACTTTGCGGCAACCTCTTCGAGAGCATTCCCAGCCACGCCATCCGAGATTTGAAACTGAGCGTAGGCCTGAACCTGCAGAAGGTCGGCTCGCTCTCGGATAGGCGATGCGATCGCCGATGCCGCCAGGGACACGAACAGAATAGCCTTTGACAAATACATGGTACTGGAACTAGACCAGAAAGGGTCTGGAAGAGCAGGATTGAAAGAGCGTCTGTCGGAAAGGCTTGACCGGCAAGCAATATTCAAAAATAGATCGGGTGTTACCACGAGACCAACGAAGCGAAAAATGAAAAAAAAAAGACTAGATTAGATGGCCGACGCCGAGAAAGGAGATGGATTGTCGGAAGAGGGCATTCCGAAGGACTTTATATGGGTGACGCAGTGCGCCAGGACATGTCGAAACCATGAACATGGGTGATATACACAGCTCGTCTGGCCCAGGCCGGTTTTTGGATGTGTTGCGGAGATCAAACGCTCCTGACACTGTCAGAATCAGCCAAACTGCCAAGCGATACAAATGCGGCCTAGTCTTGCGGCCCATGCCTACTTCACGACCTTCAATCCAAACGTCAAGTTCTAGGTTCAGGCGAAGTTTGGGAGGCCATCTACAGTACCAAGTCGTTTGGTTTAATTCAGTCCGCTGATGATCCTTGGCATTTTTAGACAAGGCGTCGGTACCTACCTACCTTGGAGTACCTATTCACACGTGCGCTAGTGCTTTTCGCACGCGAGAGTACACAAGCTTTGCATGGGTGCACCACCTTAAACGCATGTACCCCAAGCCAATGTCCACCACCAGGCTTAGTGTGGGTATGTCTCAGGCCCTGAGGTAAGATATTAGTACTTTGCATTCATAAACAAATTATCGAGCACACGAGTTTACAGAGAATTAAATGAATGTACCAGTGTTTGCATTATCACTCATATTTCCTCATCGATCCTGTAGCTAACACTTGAATTTCGATCTGTACTTGAGGTGTGAGAATGGCAGTGGACGGCCGTGCGAATCAGACCACTATATTTAGGTAAGCTGGCATTGAGCTTGGCACATTTACCCCCTGTAGCAGGTCATCTCACTCGCTGGTGGAGAGTCTGGGGGGCTGTGTCAACGGAGCGGGTAGATGTGTAGATTTGGCCATGTGGATGGTAATTTTGTCCCACGAGTTCGAAAGCTTGTTCTCGATAAAGGAAGGATATTGGGCAGGAGGGCAACTTTGGGCTAAGACAAACCATGGGCTGCAAATTTGTCATGCGATGCTCGTCATGACCCTACAAGGGAACCACCCGATGCAGGCACAAGGAGTTGAGGTGTGTCTGCATTTGTCCAGCTTCTAGGCGAGTTTTAGACTGTTTGTTTCAAGGGAAAGCGGCTGTTTGATCACCGTATTGTGCGCAGTACACCCGAAACTGCTGCGCTCACAGCGCCTACCGGTTCTCGGGGACTTGTCTGCTTTCAACACACACGGGGCTTCGTGGCCAACGAGACGCGGCACCTGATCGACGCAGCGTAATGAAGGTTATGCATAGGATGTGTGGTCCCCGGAGACTGGGACACAAGGGGGCAGTGGGTCGATCAAGCCCGAGAATTCCTCGTCGGAGATGCGGGACTCGGTGCTGATGAGTGACAGTCAAGGGTTTGTGTTAATTGAGACCTTCATTCATTCATTTCGCACCGAATTGCCGGATCGTTTCTTGGAAGGGGTTCGCCCATCGTGCGTGGGCCATTGTGGGCGGCTAAGCAGTTCGCTTGGCGTCAATGGACACGCAACGTTTGTGCAATCGGGAATAGCCAGTTCGAGGCCGTTTCTTAGCTTCCCACGACCCCGACAGCGCAGGCCTGGACGTTGGAAGAGACCACGTATCCTGAGAGAGATTTGCGGAGACAGGGGGAAACGAGGCTAGCTAGCATTTCAGCATCCCAAGCAGGCAGGCGGTTGTACGAAGACTGTAAGACAAGAATGGGTTGTCTCCACTGGCAGTACCGACAACGAAAGCTTGCTCTCTGGCTGCTTGCTTGCGGAACTCGACGAGGCTGGGGTCGGATTTGGCAGCCTGGAACAGAGTGCGGTTGGAGAGGCGGCGCGATGGGCGGCTGAATCTCGTCCGAATTCCCGGATTCTCATCCCATCATGTGGAAAAAGAAAAAAGGGGGGGGGGAGGAGACAAAGGAGGGAGACAAGAGGGGATACAAACCGAGGCTGGTGGGCCGCTGGACTACTTCAAGGTTGGGGTTGAGATGGCCACGGATGGGATCGGCCAGTGACATTGTGGCTCACCTTTGTGGGAGGGTTGAAGGGACCCGCGACGCCGGGAGAGAGATATGAGGTTAATTAGGGGGCTTGGGATGTCTGGCAGTCCTTGCTGAGAATGCTATTGGGAGTATCGGTGAAGCCACTGCAAATATTAACATGCGACGGTCGATGCGATACACGGAACGGTGCAACCATCACACAGTCAATTGTCTGATTGGAAACGTGGTGGAGGTTGGGGCAATGGCAAGCAGCTCTAGCTCCGCCACTTGGTACTGGTTAAAGTGCTGAAACGGCCTGGGAACAACCGCCCGTCGAGCCCCTATAATTGGCCCCTATAATTGGCCTCTATAATTGGTCCCCCCTGTTGGAGGAGAAGCCTATCTCCCACTACCGAAAGCCCACCGACGCACCCAAAGCTGCGGCACTACAGGGGGCTGTTCCGGGGAGTTCTCTCTGCCAGCCACAGCTTTCATCTCCAACCATTAACCAGCCACCCCGGCCAATGAGACTGCCCCAAATACAGGCCCTCCCCGCTATTTTTTCACCGCCCTTGCGCCCCTCGTTCCCTGCAACTAGGCCAAAGCTCCCTGCTTCTGCCAGTGCGTCTGGTTCACCTCCCCCCCCCCCCCGCCACGAAAACTGTCCCGTCCCAGCGGAAAAAAACCATCGAAGGGCCACAACAGTTGACTTCGTCTTTCTTCCCTCCTTCACCTCTCTAGCCATTGGTGCAATTGGGCCCTAATCTTCAACATGGCAAAGCCCGAACCCGCTACCGTCACCGACGCGGACTTCGAGTTCGTCGAGACTCCCAAGTTTGTCCAGCCCAACTTCGAGAAGCAGGAGAACTACGGTGTCCCCACGACCAAGGTACGTGACACTTGATGCGGCCCGTGGAGACTCCTATCTGGCCTCTTCCAGCATCAAATCGGCCGCCTCCAATGGCCAATTGATATTGATGTCGCCTCACACCTCCCTCGTCGCCAACAATCGCTGAAACTGCAATGCTAACCTGACACTCTATCCAGTCTCCCGCCATCTACAATGCCCCCCTCCCAGCAGACGGCCCCGGCTCCGACACCTTCAACAACTATGCCCTGATCGCTGTCCTCACTCTGATCCCCTGGTACATGAGCTGGAAGCTCGGTGGTGGCATCAAGACCACCATCTTCTTCGCCCTCATTGTCGACCTTCCCCTCCTCGGCGCCTTCTGGTTGATCATCTCCTCCGTTAGCCCCCGCAAGAATGAGAAGGCCCGCTTCCCCGGTCGCGGCGTCGAGCACTACCTCGAGTTCAAGAAGGACTCTGACCGCCTCAAGTACCGTGGCAACAGCAAGATTCCCATGGAGACTTTCCACGAGATGTACTTTGACGGCGAGGTTGACTTCAAGGGCGATTGCCTCGATGTTATGGAGTTTCGCCATGACTGGGCTAGCTTCCGCTTCACTATCAGCCTCATCAAGTTCTTCCTCTTTGGCATGATCCCCGAGGTTATCATGCACACCCGCTCCCAGGGTATGTCCAATCACTAATACGGGCTCCCTGCTTGTATTCCCCCCTCAACGGTCATTAACTAACGAAACACAGATGAGGAGCAGGTTCGTGACCACTACGACCGCGGTGATGACTTCTACGGCTGGTTCCTCGGCCCTCGCATGATCTACACCTCTGGTATTATCTCGGACATCACCAAGGAGGAGACCCTCGAGGAGCTCCAGGACAACAAACTTGCCATCGTTTGTGAGAAGATTGACCTCCAGAAGGGCGAGTCTCTCCTCGATATTGGCTGCGGTTGGGGTACCCTCGCCCGCTTCGCCAGCGAGAACTATGGTGCTCGTGCCACTGGTATTACCCTTGGCCGTAACCAGACCGCTTGGGGTAACGCTGCTATGCGCAAGGTCGGCATTCCCGAGGAGCAGAGCAAGATTCTGTGCATGGATTACCGCGATATCCCCGTCCCCGAGGGTGGTTACAAGAAGATTACCAGTCTCGAGATGTCCGAACACGTTGGTATCCGTCACTTCTCGTCCTTCCTCACTCAGGTTCACAACATGCTCGATGACGACGGTGTCTTCTTCCTTCAGTACGCTGGTCTGCGTAAGTCTTGGCAGTACGAGGACTTCATCTGGGGTCTGTTCATGAACAAGTACATCTTCCCTGGTGCCGATGCCTCCACTCCCCTTGGCTGGGTTGTCGACAAGCTCGAGGGCGCTGGCTTTGAGATTAAGCACATTGATACCATTGGTGTTCACTACTCTGCTACTCTCTGGAGGTGGTACCGCAACTGGATGGCCAACCGTGATAAGGTTGAGGCCAAGTACGGCAAGCGATGGTTCCGCGTAAGTATTCCTGCAACATCAGCTTGGAGCCCGACCGATATCTGGGCTTCGTGACCGTATTCGGACAACCTTGCTAACATTTGATGCAGATCTGGGAATACTTCCTGGCTTACTCCACCATTGTCTCCCGCCAGGGCAGCGCCACCTGCTTCCAGATTACCCTCGTCAAGAACATCAACTCGACCCACCGAATTGAGGGTGTCCCCACCCAGTTCGCTCTGTCTGAGGCGCTCGACAACACCCGAGCTGACCTACAGGCCTGGGCCGCTAAGAACAACGTCAAGTCCCCCAAGGAGTACCTCTCTTGAACAGAGACGTCAAGGTGAGACGATAATCCGAAAGCCCGAGGCTGTGCTAGCCGCAGCCACCACTTCTCTCTGGGAAGTTTTAAGGGCAGAAGATGCGATCCGAGTGCCCAGCATTCGGGGGACATTGTACGATTGGCAGCAATGGAGGATAGATCTATATCTTATATGAGTCCCAGATTGCGCCCCCTTGGTCGATTAGGAGGCCAGGGATGGTCTTGACGTAATTGGGAGAGTACCATATTGATCATGGTAGACGCAAAAAGAAAATGGCAGAGTTGATATAGATCCTCGCCGCATGGGCGTGGGCCTGCTTAGCCATTGAGTAATGATGAATTGAAAAGGCGGTTGATGATGAATTTCTCTGCGCATCTTGATGATTTATGAATGCCCTTATTTCTGCTGTTGATGTTTTCATGTTGTGTTCTGTAAGCTGCATGGTTGTGCTCCTGACGTCCCATGATAAGACGCGGCTCTTTAAGTAGGCCCCTTGAATTGGGAAAATTCCAGCAGAGCTAATGCTCACCCATGTTCAACCAACCAACCAACACAAGCGCAACTCAACTCTCACTCAACATCACCACACAAGTGCTCATTCAGGACGGAGGGCGGCAAGCGATTCCATTTCTGTTCAAGCACTGTACCTCAGCGACGTTTTTGTTTCCTCGTTCGTCCCAGCTCTTGCGGGGTTGTCGTCAGTGTTGTATCTGCACTCGTTACAGGGAGGGAAGAATTGTTTGTTGGATCACGTTTGACGTCTGGATACCAAGCTCTTGGAACTGAGGCGACGACTCGATTGGTTTAGAGCGGAAATATGAGAGTGTTTTCGAGAGTCGCCCCGGGGCTGGGTCGCCAGTGCGGCCACCTGGGACGTCGAGTATATACCGCCTCTGCATCGCCAGCATCAACATCACCAACCTCGGCATCATCAATCCTCGCCGCCATGGACGCCATCAAGGCCCGGCCGCCCAAAACCATCCCCGACTACCTCACTCCAATGTCCTCTCACCTCCTCACCACAACCCTCACGGATCTTCTGCACTCCGCGTACCCATCTTCGCCAACCGTCGCCTCTCCACCTCGCATCCTTCCGCAGGGCCACCATCTCGTCTACTTCCCCATCCAGCTCCCGCCCTCGGCGCTCGTGCCCGACGGCGCCGATCCCGGCCACTCGCCCGGTGCGCCGTTTACGCGGCGCGTCTGGGCCGGCGGGGAGGTGACCTTCGGGACGAGGGCGGCCGAGATGCGGCTGGATGGACGGGCCGTCGTGTGTCGAGAGAAGGTCGAGGATGTCGGGCTCAGAGGGAAGGATGGTGATGAAAAGGTGTTTGTGGATGTGTGGAGGAGATATGGACTTGGACATGAGGATGTCGAGTCAAGGCTCGAGTGGGAGATCGAGGAGCGGCGAACGCTCGTATTTATGCGGGAGCAGGAGACTTCACGCTCCGCTGGCCCATCACGCCAAATCAAATGAATGCCCCCTCCCTTTCACATCATCTCGAGATGCTCATATACTAACACTTACCCCAGACCCTCACCCTCCCTCTCACTCCGTCTCCCTCACGCCCTCGACAACTCACCTTTTCCACTTCTCTGCACTCTCCTTTAATGCCCACGCAATTCACTTCGATCCACTCTACGCCCGCGACGTCGACGGCCACCGAGCTTTGCTCGTCCATGGGCCCTTGACCCTCGCCCTCATGCTGCGGGTCCTGGCAGATCATCTCGGTGAAGGCGTTTACGTGCGTCGCTTCACCTACCGCAACCATGCGCCGCTCTATGTCAACGAGCGCATGACTGTATCTCTTCGCCAAGTCTCTGGCAACGGCGACACCACAGGCCGTTGGGATGTCTGGGTTGAGGGACTTGACGGTGGGTTGGCTGTCAAGGGGACCGCTGAGGTGATTCCAATGGAGAATAATACGGTATAGTATCATGGAAATGAATATATGATTTTAAACTTTCAATCTACAAGATAGAAAAAGGCCGACAGGCTAGCAAGATTCCTACATCTAGATCCTCCTTGATACACCTGGCAATGCACCGGGAGCAGGACGTCCCTTATTCTTCACTTCCCAACACTGTTTTCAGACAACCAAGCATAACACAATACATCTATTCTTTGTTGACACGAGTAGCTTTACACTGAACCCATCCGTATATATCGTACATTTCGTACATTTAGCTTTTCTTGACTGCATCCAGTCCAACGCCTAGGCAAACCCGAAAACCTCGCCAATAGCCAAAGTGTTGCTACGCACGCCTGTGAGCGTGACGAGGATGGCGACGAGATCGAGGACTATGAGCAAGACACCCGCGAGCATGAAGCGCGGGCAGAACACGCGGTACAGCATGAGGTGGCGACGCAGCCACCCCGTCCAGCTCATGGTGGCCAGGGCCTCGACGGCGAAGTAGGCGATGAAGACGCCTAGGCCACGCGCGACAGTCTCCAGGACGCCCCTCTGCTTGGGGCCGACCTTCCAAACGGCAAGCAGAGGCACCGAGGCGGCTGCGACAATCTGACCTGGAAAGGTATTAAGCGCAACGACAATTGGTGTCCACGGGTAGCGGATGGTAAAGAGAGGGATAAAAGCGCTATCCCACTGGATGCTAGCCAGCGTCGCCTGGTGACCCGTCTTGAAGTAGTAAAAGTTACCCAAGACGGCAAGCATGACGGGGCCAATGGGGTCCGTCTTGAGGTCGTTGAGGTCCAGAATCTCGGCGAGTGCGAGAATCTGCCACATCATGATGGCAAGGGACCCAGCGCCCATTGGCTTGGAAAGGAGGAGACAGCCCATGAGAATGTTGAGAGGCAGTAAGAGATATCGTGCGCCAATGGCGTTGGCGTATCCCAGAATGGTCACGGTAGGTCGACCCGAACTCGAAGCCGAGGACAAGATGGACACACACGGAGGCGCCCAAATGAAGGCAGTTGATCCAGCTACAAATGCCAGGGCGAGGACGATTTGAGCCACATAGACACCAATAGTCTTGAATGTCCCCTCGGGAAGTGTTCCTGCGAACCAGTCGCCGTTATCAGCCGCATCAATAACCCAGTACGCCGCTGACAAGAACAGGCCACCACGGAAAACGTAGCCGATCCACGTAGGCGCAAGGCCCTCATACGACCTTGTCGGGGCGAGGAAAGACTTGATGATAGATGGGAGCACAATGAAGACCACAAACGGAATGATGAGTTGCCACGTAGCTGATGTCGACGACGCAGCTGATGAGTAGTACGTAGAAATGCAGTAGGGCATCTGCTCCTCGCGGCAGAGCTTTGAGTACGAGGCCAAACGTCCAAGGACCACAAACGAGATGGAGTGGTACACAGCCATAGTGCGGCTCACCTTGGACTCGATGCGGAGAGAGGTAATGGCACTCGCAACGCCAAATGTGGTGATGAAGAATAGCAGGATAGAGTCTTCCCAGATGGTGAACGAGTTAGAGGCGAAGCCGATCGACTGGCTGACAGTAAATATGACGGCCAACCAACCCCAGAGAGATGTCGGGAAGACGTTGAGGAGACCCTTTCCTGCCTCATGAAGGGATGATCCCACTCCGACCAACAACAAGACGACGACGAGCGCGGCCAGTCCGTCCATTGGCTGCTGGCGATACACGGCAACGCCAATGAGAACTGCCAGAGTGAACAGCAGCTTTGGGTCCCACATGCCCTTGAGCAGATCTCTGTGCAAAATCTCATCCGGTTGAGACGCAATGTCGCCCCGGAATCCCATGAGCTCCAGCTTCCTCTCCGCGTGATCGAGCTCGGCGTCGTTGGTGACGACAAACTCATCATCTTCGTCGCGGGACGAGTACATCAGCAGAACAACGACTCCAAGGCCGAAGACTACGATACCCATAACCATACGGGGAACGTCAAAGCGGGCCCAGAGACTCTTGCAAACACCCAGCGTCTCCGCCTGGAACTCATTGAATGCGGAATAAATAGCACGGTCGCCCTTGGTCAAGGACGTGGCCACTGACCACAAAGCGGCCGGCGAGCCTTCCGCGGTGTTTTGGGCAATTCCACGAGCCTTGGCATAAGAAGCCTGGTATCGCTCAATTCCAGCAGCGGCAACTCGCGAGACCGCCGCGAGGTTGCGCCAGTCATTGCCCTTGGCCCCGGCAAATGCCTCCTCGATAGGGCCTCCCAGGTTGTTGAAAGGGATAGGGATACCCAGGAGCAGCGCCAGTGTGGGAACAAGATCAATTTGGTTCACTGGCCGAATCTTGGCGTTTGCGGGAGGAGTCGCGAACTCGGGGGAGGTTCGGCCGAAGAACGGCTTCTTCGAGTACATCCACAAGGCAGCCTCCACCTCATCATCACTCTCACCACCGTGGTCACCCTTGGCATCCATGCCATGGTCACCCATGACGACTAGGAGGGTCTTGTCATCGATGGTCGCAACCAGCTTTCGAATAAACTCGTCCATCTGCTGAAGCTTGGATGTCATTGCAGGATGGTCCGGTCCATATCGGTGCCCAGCGTGGTCAACACCAAGACAGTGGCCAATAAGTACGTCCCACTCCCCCTTTCGCTCCGGTTTCATCAGAGGGAAAATGTTGTCAATAACACCATTGTCTACTGTGTGCAGATCCCAGACGTTGAAGCTGTCATAGGCCTTGCTGATACCGGTCTCAAAATATCCAGGGAACAGAGACCACCACGTATCGTCGCCCAGATGGGCAATTTTCTTTCCAGCATCCTTCAGCTGCATCAATAGATTGTCCTCGTCAATGGCTGTGCCCGCAAAGTTGCTGCCCGCATCGATAAAGGTTGGCAGTGTACCGGTCGTCAGGCCCTTGAGCCGTTGGAGAGTCGTCGTCGGGGGGTCCGCGATGAAGGGTCGCAGGAACGCGTTCTGGGGCGACTTGACAGCCGTCTCGTAAAGGAATGGGAAGGCGTTGTGGAAGTTTTGCGCCTGCTCCGGGTCCTCGGGGACAGTAAAGTCGTAGCGGAGCGCGTCGACCAGCACCACGACAGCTCGATCGAACGACTTGGGGTGCCAGCAGCCACCCTTCACGTTCAAGAGGCCCTTGGTGTTCTCGATCGGGGGGTGCGAGCAGTTGGATTTCTCCTCAAGCACCAGGCGAGTGAGGAGAAAGCCGCTGGTGAAGAGCCAGATGCCGATGGCGTGGACGACGAGCAGCCAGCCCCAAAAGGCGAGAGTCCATCGCCAGCGCTTCTCAAAGACGGTATGACGCTTCTTATCGAGCGCCTCGCGGTGTTCCTCCAGCACGGCGATATTCTCTAATGCGGGAGGCAGGCCCTGCTTCGCGACGGCGGCCTTTTGCGTGTCTTGGGCGCGCTTGGCCTTGGCCCATTGCTCGGCGATGGCGTTGTACTCGGACGGGGCCTGGCCTTGCGGCTTGGCATTTGGTTTGGGGCTTCGCGAAGGCATCGTTCAGTGGCGGTTTGGGGTCGCAGTCGCAGTCGCAGTCGGAATCTGGGCCATTGAGTGCCCGCGGGGCGTGGTAGATGAGGGCGAAGATGCGGTGCTGAACGTGGCCTTTGAGCGCATCCGATGGGTGAGGTTATAGAGGTTGGTTGAGTTTGACTGGTGGGCCTCGGAATAGGAACATGGGTGGAGCCGGCCGCGCCTTCCGTTCCAGGGGAGCTCCAGCGCCAATCCAACAAGAGATGATGTCAGGAAGGACGGGCCCACTGTAGCTTTCCCTTCCACTAGCAAGTTACTCTACACGCATCATGTCACACCGAACACACCATAAGTCAAGAAGCAAGCCACATTATTCAATTCAATCTTCTACTCTTAGTTGCTTAATTCTTTCTTCAGTCCTTTGCCTGCTTGATCTTCTTTCTTGGGTCCAAAGATTCATTCATCGAGACGTCTCAGTGTCCGTTCATGTCTAACATCGAAAATCGAGATTGAGCGCGAAATGCAACAAAATGCCACCAAGTATCCGAAACGCCATGCAGCACCAGTATCCCGTCCCCAGGTTGCCCCAGCCCTTGAGGGCACGTGAAAAGCGAGAAGATAAATAATCACCGTGAAACTACGACGGGAGTAGAGAGTGTTTGACAGATTCAGTCCACCATGACATACCACGCAAGCGTAGACTCTCTAATCAAACATGTCCGCTCCTGCAGGGGGCCTGCTCGTTTCACTAGGCCGTCTTCGTTCTTGTCGTCGTCGTCTCCGGTTATCGGCGGCCGCAGATCCAGCTGGTGTAGGCTTGTCCGGTCCAGGTGGGGATGGAGTCATAGCGCTCCAGGTGCCAGCACCATCCATACTGACAATGCTTGACACAGTCTGAACTCCCGACGGGGTGGCAGGAGGAGGGGGGCCAGAGCTGGAGGGTCCTCCCTGTGGCTGCTGCCCAGAGTAGTAGGCTGAGTCCTTGCCTCGACGAGTCTTCGCAAAGGCCGGGTTTGGTGGCGACAAAGTTGCTAGGCGCTCATCCTCCTCTGCTCTCCGTTCAGCAGCCGACTCGGCCCTCCTTTGACTCTCGTCTCGTCGGTATCGTCGACGCCCATAGGAAGGCGACTCCAGTCCCGAAATGCTGCTCTCGGATTCTCTGCGACCTCTTGCCTTGATCGCCTCTTCCTCAGTGAGCCGGCGAAGGGTTACGTTTCGATCGCGGTCGTCATGAACCTTCAACTTGACGCTCAGACTCGCAGGCGAGGCATATCGCACTCTGTCCTCTGGATGAGGTAGATCGCTTTCAGTAGCCATGGCTCCACCCAATGCCGGGGCTCTTCCTTGCCGAGATCGTTGGGGACGGGAGCCCGGCGAGTTACCAGAGTTTTCGGATCCACCAACAGCCAGAATACCTTGCGGGTCTGAAGGCATCAGCGGCATTGACACATGTTCAACGTCCTGCCTTGACCTAGAAGTATTACCACTTGCAACCGGCAGTAGCGCGCTAGGCGGCATAGTACTAGGTGGTATGGTACTAGGTAGCAGAGTGCTCGGTGGTAGGGTGCTTGGCGGCAAGGTGCTCGGGGGAAGGGTGCTGAGATCTGTATGGGCCATGTATGGCCCTCGGTGCGGACGGGGTTCAACACTTGATTCGGTCAATCTTGATTCAGTCATCTCGGAAGATAAGACTGTGTCGCGAGCATAACCTGTCTGGCGTCGTTGAGGCGGGGGTCGGCGGGCGGGTTTCTTGGTTGGCGACTGATATCCATCACCAGTAAACCTAGAAACAGATGTGCCAGATCTCAGGTCTTCCTCGTCTCTCAGTCGCTGCTCCTCCTTTTGGGCTTTTCGATCAGCCAACTTCTTTGCAAACCAACCCATACCAAGGCCACCTAGGAAGCCCTTCGCAATACCACCACCGCTAGGACGCTCCTCTTGCGGCTTTCGGGATGGGCTCACGTAAGACGAGTAATCGGATTCTTCGAAACTTCGCCTCGAAAACCGGTTGGCGTGCGTTGCACGTCGTGGTGTTGTCGGTGGTTGAGAGCTCAATCTCGAGTCCAATCTGGAATCCAACCTCGAGTCCAATCTCGAATCCAATCTTGAGTCCATTCTCGAGTCAACTTCGCTCCTACTCATGATTGTCGTGGCTGGGTTTCTAGCGGGTGGGTTGAGAGAGGTTTGGGTCATGTCCGGTTCGTGTCGAGTTGTCTGTGTCACCTCGCTGGTGAAGTCAGTCATCGTCGGGGCGCCACGAGTTGATCGATATCGTTGGGGCGTTTCGGTAGAAACGGCAGAGTATTCGTCATCCCGCCGTTGGTCTCTCTTTTTCATGAGGCCAGAAACCAATTTCCCAGCACCGATCGCCGCTGCAGCGCCGCCCAGGATCTTCATGAATCCACCGCCACCGCTGGTCTTCTGTGGTGGAAGTTCGGAATACTTATCAGATAGATAACTGGCAGAGCCGCGTCTTGAGGCAAGGACTTCTGGTGCACGACTACGGTCAACAGACCGAGATCGAGATCGACTGCGACTGCGCTCCCTATTCTTGTTTCGTCCTCGGGTCAGGGCCCATAAACCAGCGCCGGCTGCGAGAGGGCCTAGCCATTTAGCTTTGCCGCCATGTTCCTCAGGCTTGACGTCGGATGCAAAATACTCGGATTCCGTAACTCTAGTACGGGTTGTCTCGGTGTGGGCAGAGCGTGCGCCACTCATATAGAACTCCCGTCGGCCCTCAGACTGGTAGCTCAGAATGAAGTAGACGACGAGCAGGAAGCTCATCCAGACAGCGTAGAGGATAAAGAGATATTTGGGAGAGCCGTAGAGGGTGAGCCCAAGTGGGACTTGGGTAATGCCCAAAAGTGCAATAGCTCGGCCACACCATTGGTGGATCATGATGCGCAAAGATCGGGACTTTGTGATGTGGCGGACCAATCGGCCTCCAACGATTTGAAGGATAAACATGGCGAAAATGGCAACACCGATGCCATGATGCGGGTTGGTCAAGCTTCTCTCGGGTCCGACGGCAAAGTAGCCCAAGAGGAACACGGCCAGCAGCATGATACCAGCTAGGATGTTGATCTGAGCGTGGTATTTGACAGCAAATCCGGGACGATGCGAGTAAAACCTCGCTGTCATGACGGAAAAGGGGATAAGGAGGAGGAATATTAGAGCGCCCATTACAGCGTGGGCTGCAATTAGCGAGTGGTATTGGGGGATCGAGGAAAATCTGTTTCCCATGCCTGCACAAACTATTAGTATTCCATCAAGATACGCGAGCTCAATGCGAAGCATACCATTGTACCGCATGGTTTCAAAGTTGAGGCCCTGCAAATTGGGCAGCAGAAAGGTGTTCTTGGAGAAGTCCCAGGTTCCATCACCAACTACCATCGTTTCCGAGTCATAACTCACCGCACCCGGGGCGGAGAGTTGCTCTGCTGGAGTCGGCGCCATGACGGCGACGACGGGACGGCCGCAGTGTCTAAGTCAATCCCGACGAGGATGTCTCTCGATAATCGTGGGGCAAAGGGAGGAATTCGGGGTTCGTCGCGGATGGAAGCCGGAATGCTGTGGCGTGTGTATGTGTGTGGCCTTTTGGAGATGGGAGGAGGATAAGTGACGGAGCGGTATGCAGAAGTTGGGCGAGTGTTTGGGTTGGCGTCGGAAGATGTCTTAGGCTATCCACCAGAGCGGACGCATCTTGATTCGGGGAGGATTCCAGCGGCGTTGAAGTCGAAGATCGGTGAGAATGGGACTTTTGCTTGTGCTTGGAGAAATATTGAAGCACGACGTATCTTCTGGAGCGTTACGTCGAAGGGTTCATGAGCAGACGGGGAAGGAGCCTTCGGCCCCAGTGCTCATGTCTGGTTGCGGGGTGACGGGCAGGACCCTGGTCGGACAACGCATTCTGTGGCGCGAGCTGTGGCGACTGTGGCTAGTGGATGGGACTTTGGTGCAGCCGTTTGCCAGGTAGCTCGGTTGTGGCTTGTTAGCTTGCCGCTAAGTGGGGGTCTGGGGTGGCTTATCGCTGGCCCAGCAATGCCTATCCTCACGTGACTGTGCGCCTCGCAGCACTAGGCGAGACAGTCGACGAAATGCATGTGACCCACACAATCCTTCTGAGACCACCATGCACCGTACCTCAGACAAGGCCCGCACGCCATGCCGCTACCCCCTAACAGCTGCCGGAATCATGTCAGCCCCTCTATAAATGAAACAAACATTTGCAGACCTCATTCCAAGTTGGTTCATGCCTAACTGGGCGCCAAGATTCCGCCTTGTGAGGTAGTTTCCACATGCAGCTCGGCACGTCCCGGCCTCACCAGCGTCGACATTGGGCCGGCGCGCAACTCCCCCGGCCCCGAGATGTCGCCGCTACTAAGCACAATAAAGCAGGTCCAACATCGGCCGAACCATGCTGCAGCGGCTATAAACTGGTGTGCGTATGGAGGTCAACTCACTTACCTCGAACACTTTACTACCGGAACCCTGCTTGTCTCCCAAGCTGTCAACCAAACAGATCATGGCACCTCTTCCCCACGCCCGAATACTCGCCCAGTGAACAGACTTGATATTCACCGATTAGTTGCTTATCCTGATTGGCTTCATGAAATCCGGCCTGACAATAAGAACCGCCATGTGATTCCGTCTACCCAAAGGAGCAGGCGCTGCAAGGAGCTTCTCCATGACTTGCGCTCTGAAACCTCGTCATCCTGAACTAGGAACCCTAAGCCACCCCCACCATCGAAGGATTCTAAGAGACCGGGATACCGAAATAAGATCTACTGCGTTTGTACACGGTCTTCCCAAATCAGGCCGTTTCCGAAACATGAAAGTCACCCTGTGCCATTCAATTTGCCCTATACACATCCTGCCGTCATTGGGGCTGATGAGCCGTAGCTTCGCTATGCCTCGATGCCATGTATAAAGCTAGCGCTTCGTCTTCTCCCCAGTTCTATTTCGCTTCAAGCCATCACATCTTGTGACATCTTCTTCAGTCTCTTCCTTTATCTATTCTGTTCGCTGTCATTCACGTTCATCCATTCCTTTTCACTATTCCTCGAGTACAGGCTACTCGACATCCTTACGATGCTTACATCTTCATTGCTGGTTGCTATTGCAGCCTTCGCTTCATCCGCTCAAGCTTGGCTCCCTAGCGATGGCTCTGCTGCTGCCGTTGACAAACGCAGCCTCGGACTATTCCCTCCCCCAGGACAGGAAGGCGTTGACAAACGATGGCTCCCAGGTTCCGGGAAGATCCGCGGTGTGAACCTGGGTTCCCTCTTCGTCTTTGAGCCCTGGATCTCTTCGTCGGAGTGGGCTGCCATAGGATGTGCAAACCAGAACTCCGAGTTTGACTGTGTCATGAACAACGGCCAGGATACCGCCGACACCAATTTTCAGGCTCACTGGAGGAGGTTCATTAATGAGTCGGATCTGAACGACATGGTCAACTATGGCCTCAACACCATTCGAATTCCCCTGGGATACTGGCTCAAGGAGTCGCTAGTGGACAGCTCTGAACATTTCCCCAAGGTGATTAATGCTGTCAGTTCCTTTCATGCGTCGACTAACCATTCCACAGGGTGGATTAGACTACCTGACTGAGTTCGTTGGTTGGGCCAGTGACAGGGGCTTCTACATCATCCTCGAGTCTGTATTACCCTTTTGAAACGTCTTCCCCTGCTAATACAATGTAGTCTTCATGGTGCCCCGGGTGCTCAACAAACGAGGCAGCCATTCACTGGTCAGTACGCTGACACAGTTGGCTTCTACAACGACTACAACTACGGCCGCGCCATCGAGTGGCTAGAGTGGATTGTCAACATTGTCCACACTACCAACGAATACCGAAATGTCGGCATGATCGAGCTCGTCAACGAGCCGCTCAACTGGGACAACGCCGTTGATACGCTGCGTTCTTCGTACTACCCCGATGCCTACAAGGTGTGTATTCACTAAGACCAATACGAACCACCGCTTACTCTAGCAAAGGCCATCCGCACCGTCGAAGACAACCTCAATGTCAAGTCCAACGATCGCCTCCACATTCAGATGATGAGCTCCCTCTGGGGCAGTGGCAACCCCGTGGAGCACCTCGACGACACTAGCTTCACTGCCTTCGATGACCACCGCTACCTCAAGTGGGACACGGCCGTTGAGGTCTCCCACGATTCGTACATCTCGACCTCCTGCAGCGACGACCGTAACTCTAATGGCCCCTCGATTGTCGGCGAGTGGAGTCTCGCTGTCCCCGATAATGTGGAGGGTACCGATGAGTGGAGCCCGTCCACCCAGAAGGACTTCTACTCCAAGTGGTTCGCTGCCCAGGTTCATGCGTATGAGTCGACAACTCTCGGCTGGGTCTTCTGGACCTGGAAGACTAACTTGGGCGACGACTATCGATGGTCCTACAAAGGTAAGTCAAATACATTCACATTTGAAGGTCAATATAGCTAACTGCTTATAGCTGCCGTTGAGGCAGGCGTCATCCCGACCGACTTGAGCAACATGTCCAACCCCTGTTAAACCGGCAACCTACCAAAACGGGTTTGAATTATCAGAAGTATATGCTGCCTTGACGGTGATCTGAGATAGCTGCTTCGTGTTTCAAACTCTTCTCTTCAAACTTGCATTATTATTGATTAATCCTCGAAGCAAGCTGCCTCAGGGTGAATATGACGGCTCTTATCTTTGTGAGAAGTGTAAATTCCGGACAGATCTGGGGATGTACGAGTTTAGAATTCCGGTGGGATAGGCCAAGGATAGCTTAGAAAATTACACTGGGGCACCTGATGTACAACAACCGTAGTACTGTATAGCCGTCTAGTCGAATGAATATCCATTGAATCGCTTAACGAGGACAGGTTCGTCATGAAATATATTCAGAATGTCCAATCTATGTAACACCCCAACTATCCAAATCCCAATCCTCTAATCCATTCTAATTACCCTGTATCATAACAAATTATTATTACCTGCATTCGAGTGCCCCTCACTTCTGAATCCTAAGAACAGCCCAAGAAGCCAGCCGATATCCAGCAATGATGGCAAGCATGATGCCAACATCCTGTCCCATATGTCCTGGCTTGTAGCCGTACTGATCTAGCACCGCCTGGCCGTCGATCTTGCACTGGTCGGCGAGCGGCGAGTCGAACATGCAGCGGCAGTCCTTTCCACAGTCATACACGCGGTTGGCAAACTCGTTGACCATCATACCCTGGAAGACGTACTTCTGGTAGTCCCAGTAGTGGAAGACGTACTTGTAGAAGGCGTTGAGGATGGTCGGCGGCACCATGAAGCCACCGACGGACATCCACAGGCCGTTGGCAAAGGCCACCAGCGCCAGCGAGATGACAAAGTTGGGGAACAGCGACGTCATGAAGACGACCAGCGACTCGGCGGCCAGCAGGTCCAGGAACAGCCACATGACCCAGGTGAAGAAGGCTTCGGCGGTGGGCTGGAAGTTGGACAGCCAATACGAGATGACGGAGAAGAGCACGGCGATGAGGAACAGGTAGGGGATCCCGATCAAGAAGTTGGACAGGATCAGCTCCTCGGCGTTATAGAGTCCGTTGTGGTGCTCCTTGACGTACTGCAGGCGGTCCTCGATGAAAGCCGGCACGTAGGCGACGGCCATGAAGCTCATAAAGGCAGACCCGAAGAAGATTGCGTTGGTGAAGGGCTGGATCGACTCCTGGGTGGGATCCAGGCGCAGCCAGACGGTGCCCATCATGATGGCTAGGCCGAGGTACATGGCCACGCGGATGCCGTACGCCACGACGTCGCGATAGCTCTTGATGAAGCTGCGGTGGAGCAGCGTCAGGGTGAGACTGGGCATGCTCGGCCGCTTGTCGACCGTCTCGATGGCAAAGCGGCCGCCTGACGCTTCCGCACTCGCGATGCGGGCGCTGATCTCGCCGGCCTGTCGCGACGAATTCCACGCCGCCTGCATCTTGTCCAGGCGCAGGGCCGCGGCGGCCTTGTCGTGGGCGAAGTCGATATTGATCATCTCGAGCAGATGCTCGGCCGGGTTCACGTACTGCGGCAGCGCGGCGCCGGCCTCGGCGTAGTACTCGGCGACGGCGTCCACGCGGCCAAAGTAGTGCGGCCGGCCGGCGGACAGCAGCAGCAGCTTGTCGAACAGGTTGAAGGTGGAGGTGGAGGGCTGGTGGATGGAGCAGACGACGATGAGGTTGTTGCGGCGGGCCACCTGGCGCAAGTAGTTGACCACCTCGAAGCTGGCCGCCGAGTCGAGGCCACTGGTGGGCTCGTCCAGGAAGAGCAGCTTCGGGCTGGTGATGAGCTGGCTGGCGACGCCGACGCGGCGCTTCTGGCCGCCCGAGATGCCCTTGCGGATGGGCGTGCCGATGATGGTGTTGGCCTGCTCGACGAGACCAAAGGACTCCAGGAGGCCGTTGATGCGGACAAGGCGCTCTTGCTTGGGGAGGGAACTAACGGGTTTGCGTGGTCAGGACGAGTTGCGGGCATGGTAGACGTTGCGTCTGCGAGGCCATCTCACCTGGTGCTCGCAAGGCGGGATGAGAACTGAAGCGTCTCGCGGACGGTCAGAGAGCCGATCAGGGCATCTTCCTGCTCAACAAAGCACGAAATCTCTCGGAACTGGTTGAGCGACAGGCTACTTCCGTTGATGAAGACCTCGGACTCGACACTGCTGGCATTGGTTGGTCGGCGAGCGAGCACATTCAAAAGCGTCGTCTTTCCGCAGCCAGAGGGGCCCATGAGGGCGCAAATCTCACCTACATATCAAGTCAGCGCCATGTTTCGAGCCCCAAAAATGTACAAGGAGCAGTTCACTTACCCGCTTCAACAACACCCTCGACATTGTTCACAATCGGCTTGAGCTCTGTTGACTCGCGGTCCTTGACTGTGACGGTGACGCCGCGCCATGTTAGGTTCTTGACGGTGGTGTTGAGGAGGTGCTTCTCGGCGACGGGGCGCTGTTCCAGATCCATCTCGCGGTCCATGTTTTCCATCAGATAATACTGCTCGTTCGCGTGCATAGTCTCAAGAGAAAACAAGAAAAAGAGACAGGCGGGGCGGGGAGGGTGAGAGCTAAATACAATAAAAAAGCCCCCAGGTTCAGGGAGGGTGCCGAGTCTCCGAGCTGAAAGATTGGAGCTGTGAGGCGAGCTGTGAGGCTGGCTGTGTCGCTCAGTCTGGAATGCAACACGGGAAGCCACACACTAGATGAGGGGGCAACGCAGCGTGTTGTTTGGCTCACAAAGCCACGAAGCGCTGTAGTAAGAGGCCACCGACACTAGGTTGGTCCAGGGCGCCGATAGTCCGCGCCGAGTTCCGGTGCTGCAATGGCAATTGGATGCCCTAGTGGAAAATTTTGGTGTGGATGGGAGATGACAAGTAGTGGTGATTGGCGATAGGTGAATCGGTTAGAGAAAGGGCTGAATCTCACGATGACGCAGTTACCTTTGTATTTCTGTCTATTTCTTCTCTCTCTCTCTCTCTATGTCTCTATAACGACGCGCACGGGAGCTGTTGGGCTTTTGAAGGCCCTACCTGGCCCATGTCGAACATCTCGGAGACCAGGCTCTGAAGCCAGTGCAGCCACTCCGCCCGGTTGCTCCCTCGCTCCCTCCGCTCCCTTGCTCCCTCGCTCCCTCGCTCCCTCGCTCCCTTGCTCCTTCGCTCCCCTTCCTATCAATTGAAGGAACGGCGCTGAAGCATGTCAGACGGGTCCGCCGACCGTTGGCCTTGAGCATGCCGCCGCTTGCAGCTGCTATCGGGTCTTTGGTGGCTCCACGTAGCAAGCTACCGTACCTTAGGTAGGTACCTAATTATACGGGTACCGCCGCGTTTGAGAGCTCTCCGCGCGGCTGCCCCAGGGCTGAGGCTCTAAGTACCCGAGTGGGGTCCGTGATTGGCCCCGCCGCCCCTCCCGTCTCGGCCATCTTAACGCCCGTACAACCCCGTGATTGGTCCCAGTAATCGTCCAGACCTCCACTTCGCCGACCTCCGCTAGATCCCAGGTCGCCGTTCACTGATCCAGGTCGCCGTCCATCCCATCGACCTCGCCGACTACTGTAGGGCTGAGCTCGCCGACCTTAAATTCCATATCCCTGCTAATCGCCGACCTCTTGATGCATCGATGAATTGACGAACAATACGTAATTCACCCTCTCATCTCACCCCAGAACTCGGTCTCTCTCTCGGACCTTGGATCGGCTTTCCTAACCCAAGGAGTAAGGTAGCGTCGCGAACCAGGGGCTTTTTCCCTACCCCCGTAGCTTGGTTACCAGATCTGCGGTATCATCTCGCACCATGTGGCGGTGCCAACATCCCCACCCCGCCCAAAACCCTGCGAAGTTAATTCCCACGATGCAGCCATCTCAGAGGCGTTTAATCCTCGACGACATGATCGTCCCACCCTTGGCGAGAACTCCCTTGCACTTGTAGCACTCGGCTTCTCTACGGTCTATTCACGAGGCTACTCAGTCCATTTTCGTCCCATCTACATCGTAGGATTGTTAGTTGCAACCTCTGGAAGTCTGTCTATCGTCCTTCCTTGACTTCACCCCACTGTGCCATAGGGCTATAGGACCGCGCTTTCTGCCTTGCACACCCTCACCTCAGCATGCACACGGTATGACGATCAATAGTAGAAAAATAATACGCAATTTTTCATATCCAACTATCATATCAATCCAGATGAGATGACCCAAGTCTCCGGCACCAAGCCTTCCTGGTATTATAGCCCAATTCCAAACGCCAGTCGCCATGAATACATTCAAGGCCCATAAGTCTATATCCGTCTCCGTCCCTCATATAGCCATCAATATCCTTCCCATGTCTCAAAATAGACCATCAAAACACCCCTTTCCATGTAACGTCGTGCCTGCGTCTCAGCCCCCACCCTAGTGTCCATGCACCCGGGTATGCAGCTACCATGATCATCTTACAGCTGTGTGGGACTTCCTAGGTTCCCGCATGCGGCTCAGCCCATTAGGTTTGGCATAGTCGGGATGTTGTGCATATTCTCGATCTCACTGATGATGGACTCATCAGTCGCGATGCTGTTCATCACCTCCTCTTGGGTTAGGCCAAGCCAGTACTGAGGCGTGAGTTGCGATTGCTTCTTCACACGGTACACCTCCTGAGCAACCCCCTTGACTTGGCCACTTGCCCGGTCGGCACAGGTCCACACTTGAGATAGCTTTGCTAGAGCTCCAATGTTCAGGCGGATCTGCTGACGGAGGTTGTCGTCATTGTGAGGGACGAAGAAGAGCGCCCACTTGCTAAGGTGCACAATCGACGAGAGGGTCACGACACAAGCGAAGAAGTGTGAGTGTGACAGCAGCGGCACGCGATGTGTAACCAACTTGCTGATCTCGTTGGCGGCCTGGATGGTGTGCTTGGTGTGGGCGTTGAAAGAGTCACCCGATGGAACTGATGCATGCGGTGCGCATGAATTGACTGATCGAGTCGGCGAAGAGTCCAGTTGTGAGTGAGGCTGGTGGAGGAGGATAGAAGTCGCATGCATCATCATGTGTGCTTGGAACATCATTTCGTCCAGTCTGCCATCCTTATAGATTGCGTCGCGCTTGGCCTCGGGCAGATGTAGTCGCCAGTTGGTGAGGAGTGCTTCGATGCGACTGAGGTTCTCATCCTCAGGTCCGAAGATGGGAGGGACTCTCATGAACTTTCCCAGGTTGCGAGCGCACTGGATGCGATAGGCAAATGATGAGAACTCCCGATCTTCGCCTGAAAAGTCGCAGTCTTCCATATCCTCAAGGTACAGTGATTGAGGTATGTGCTAAATCGGCAGATTAGCACATGTAGCTGGTATGGGTGTTGATGTTGGCTGGGCTTACGCCTGAGAGGTACTGGTACTCTTCACACGGCAAAGCGACGTCGGCAGCAACGTCGAAGAGAAGGAAGTTGGTAGTACGGTGGACTCCTGCAATCATGGCGTCGACGACATATAGGTCCCACCAGGTTCTCCGCCAACTCTCCTCGAGCACCGGGTTGCCTCGGCCATTGAGGGAAGCAAATGGTCGAGTATTGAGGCCGATCTGAACAGAGATGCGCTCGACATCAGCAAGAATCTCCCGTGCCTTTTCCTGCTGGCAGCTTCCATCAAGTCCAATGATAAGAAGCAGCATGGCCTGGACGAGGAAACCATCCTTGGGACGGCCAGGCTCGTAGGCGAGGCGATAAGCCTCCTCGAAGAAGCTTGCTCGGGTTGGGCCAGCTTCGATGTAAAGCGAGCCAAGCCAGCGTGTAGCGGCCAGGAGAGGCGCAATGGCACCCTCCTTAGCTATCCGAAGGAGATATTCCTTGGGCAACACAAAGGGGTGCGCGGCGTGAAAGTGGTGGTAAAAGGAGTCCAGGCATCGCTCGCTGGGGGTAGGCACTGGTACCTGGGCGGGCACATTGGTACTGTGGTGAGTGAGGATCAGGTTGGAAGTGTCCACCGTGCCACCATATGACTGGTAGATGGCGTTGCAGTTGGGAGAAGGGGCGGCGGCAATAAAGGGCGAGCCGGGGCTGTTCTCTGGGAGGACGATGCTGGGGTTGAAGGAGGAGGCGATAGAAGATGACATGGCACCGCCGCTGCTGCAGCCGAGCATCATGGGGCCACCTTCGACGCTTGAGGAAGACTCACGAGCGGGTGACGAGGCACGACGCTTGTTGGGGTTGCGGGCAGTTCCTCGACGCGGGCCTTTGTAACCGCGGCGGGATGCGACGTAGACACAGTCAGTGTTGGAGCTGGTGCAGCGAGAGCAAGGGGTCTGGCCATCACACTTAAGGTGCTTGCCACGCTGGAGTTGAGAATTGAGTCAGCTTCTTAGTGAACTTTGTGTACTTGGACATGCGGAGCCCCAGGCCATGGTTTAGTAGTGCGATTGGTGCGAGAAAGCCGGGACGGGAGGACGGGAAAGAGAGAATGAAAGAATGAGAGAATGAGAGAATGAGAGAAAGAGGGAAACTCACGCAAGCAAGACAAGCGGCTGGGACTGAGGGCGTATTCATGCGCGCCTCGGTGGTGGCAGAGGGCGATGCCGCCGCCGAAGCCAGGCCGTCGAGGCCGAGCATGTGCGAGTTGGGCGAGGCAGAGCTCGAGGGCGGATCCTCAGGCCCAGAGAAGGAGTCCATGTCCTTGCCCAGGGAACGAGCCTGGAGATAGGGCGACTGCACGTGGTCCATGACTGGCGGATACCAGACGTACGAAGTGTTGGGCAGGCCGGCGTAGAAATTGTACGGAGAGAGTGGCGGCGGCGATGGCGTGGGCGTGGAGTAGAGGGTCTGGGTTCCGTTGGTGGCACCCAGAGGCTGGACGATGGCATTCATGAAGAAAGCGCGCCCGAGGGTGGGTGGTGCTAGTTGCTGTTTTTGTTCAGAGCGCCCTGCAGTGACTTTGCGGGTACCTTTTGCTGGGTAGGTCCTCTGTCGGCAACCAATGACTAATCGGGAGGCGACGGGACTCAAACTTAAAAATAAGAGTCGTGGATGGTAGGTATAGAAGCCACGAGATGACAGTAGTTGGGAGAGGAATACCCAAAGAGTAAGTTAAAATGGCACAGCTTATCCCAGATGGCGGCGGGGATGTGTGGCTATATGTAGGTGGAGCGTGTATGTTGTGTTTGTGTGAGAGAGAGTGTGTGGGTGTGAGTGCCATTCTATGAGGACGAGAGAGTGGAAGACAGTTGTGATCTGGGGACGTGGAGGCATCTAATATCTCGTTTCCATCCCAGCCCAGTCGAGTCTGCAGCTACCAACCAGCGCGTACCTAACCTCCCCCTTGGTGGGTGACCCATCTAACCCATCTAACTCATCTACCCATCTCGTCGGGGCTCAACTACCGCCTTTCCCCCGGCAGCCCTCCCCTCCCTCCACTTGAACTGGCGGATGGCGGATGGCGGATGGGGGAAGGCGGATGGCGGCGTGAGGCGTGAGGCGTGAGGTGTGCGGCGGGCGGCGTGTGTTGCAGGCCAGCCCAACTAACGTGTACCCCTGGCACCCACGAACCCGTCAGATGTGCAAATCTCACGACCAGATTGAGGGACGCCCTGGCCACTGGCGGCCGACAACCTTACGTCGAGTGGAGGTTTCCTGCGCTCAGCGCTGTCTGGCGTCGTCGAGTCGCCGCCTCGGATTGGGGCCGGGTCTGGGAAGATGGCACCTTCAGGCCCTTCAGCCCTAGCTCCAGAGAAGCCCCAGCCTTGGGGGTGCTTGCTTGCTGGCGTACTGGCCATGCGGGCATATGCCATCTGGACCCCCAGTTGCAAGTGCAACGTGCCACCTGCACCAGGATCCAAGGGCTTCAAACGGACCCAAGAGGAAGATGAGGGGGGGCTACCAAAGGAACCAAGAAGCAGTATACTGCGCAGTAGCATAGTATCGGCCATGGCCGACCTGGCCGACTTCTGGTGCGCGCGTATAAGACGACGGCGGATGCTTCGTATCTCGACCAATCCCCGACCCGCATCTCGCGGATGTTTGGCCTGGCGTTGTCAAATATCCAATCACCAAGCATAGAGCCGCGGGTGAATTGACGTTAAGCTACAAGACTCAAGGATCGCAAGAGTGTCCATGCCACAGCCCAGATCCGAAGCGAACCCGAACTCACTCACTGCACGCACGCCCGTCAAGTGTCGGGGCCACCGACGTGCCCGCGCTGCTAGATGGGGGCTCCCCTGTAGCTCGCTGCAGTGTATGCAGCGCCCTGGAAAGCCTTGCAAGGCCGCCTCCAGAGTCCCCAGTAACAGACCCTGCAAGCCCACCTAATGCAGGGCCCCGCCACCACCATCACTGCACCCTCTGCACTGTCTGCAGCCACTGCAACTGCAATGGAAGGCCGGCCTGGGTACCCAATGCCCAGCGCTCCCGCCTCCTCGCGCAAAACCCCGCCACTGAGCGATCCACCAGATCTCCACTGGGGGCATGGCCTTATGCCGCACAGAGAGAGCCAGTCAGGTCTGGTGCGAGCCCCCCTCCTCCACACAACCTCATCCGGCCGCCCGTTGCTTGCACTTTGGAACCTCACTTTTTGCCCTCCATCCAACAATCCCACCGCCCTCACTGGCTGCTGTACGCCACAGCGGCGCTGTCGTCTAGCAAAGTGCGGTACGCGGCGCTGCACGGCAAGGTGCGTTGCTTGGCATTCCCAGCTAGAAACAGCGGACAAAACGGCGGGATGCACCTCGTCTGCCGTGTCTTGATAACAGGGTCATCCAAGTGGGCGTCCATTCACAGGCCCTCGTGTGACTGCGATTTCAATGCGCCTCCACCAAACGAGCCTGTCCCCCATCCACACGCGGCCTTACCTCGCAAATAGTGCAAGGGGCTGAAGCTCTTCACTTCTCCAGGACCAAACAATCGTCCATTCCTGTGCCTCTACACGGCAGATGCGTGTCTGCCAGGTACGTACTGTCACCGCTACTCTGCTATTCCCCTGCAACCTCCCTGCGACATGCCCTGCCACATACCTGTCACCACGACCATGTCAGCCTTCTTCTCCATCTATCGGTTCTACATCCGGACCGCTTGCGCCTCAGGTGCCGGTGCTTGGACAGTCGGGCTGGGACGTGAGTGGTTGAGAGCTCTAGGTGCCGTTCGTGATGCCGGCGAGCTGACTGCCTTCTTTGGGAATCCCGCCTTTTTCGATGGAGCTCTCCACTGTATTCCGTTGTGTCTTGTTGCTCCTTGTTGCTGCTTGCCCAGTCCTTTGGGTCATCTCTTCTCGATTCTACACACCCTCGGTCCTTGACACGCCGTGCGTCCGACTCCAATTCACCGGAGTTGAGGGCAACTTGGTACTCTCACATGTTCATGGTTATTGGGTAACGATGTCATTCATCAACCTGTCGTCATCGATAGCTGTCTGATATCTTCCAAGCGAGCTATCCCATGCATCACACCCATTCTGCACAGCTCCTGCTTGCAGTACTCTCAACATTATCTCATGTCTCACACTCCCCACTCTCATCCCCTCTCGGTTTCAACCGCTCTATTGTAATTCCAGGCGGGTCAGCTGCGATGTCGGGACGACTCTAGGATGCTCCCCTCGCCAAGTCTGGCTGGTTTAGCCTGTGCGGTTGCGTCGCACCTTGCAATGCACTCTGCAATAAGACGAACCCCATCAATCAAGCCTCTTTTTTTTTCCTGACCAGGGGACCCCCGTCGTTAGAAAGCGTCAACCAAACTCATTCCAAAATTCTTGCTCAGTTTGCCAGGTATCCCGCCAACTCTCATGTCTTGCATACCGTGCACTCGAGGCGATTAGCATGTTAGCCATCCAGTGTCCCGATGCGGCCCAGTCCCACGCGTCCCACGATGTTCCACGGCCTGATGACGAAAAGAGACGGACACTCTAGTCGCTTGAAATGTGGTTGCCTAGATTCCCAACCGGAATCTCCGTCTGCGTGTAACATGCCATGCCGAACCGGGCATGCGGCTTGCTTCGTCTCTCCCGTCGCCGAGTTTGACCGTTTGGCTCATGTACGAGATCGTGACTCTCCATTACACCGACAATGGCGTTTTGGGCCATCTCCATGGTTGTTTTGTTTTTCAGGGTCCTCCTGCGCCTCTTGGCGTGGTTGTTGCGCAGCCGCCATGATGTCATGTGTGCGTGCTGAAGCGGCATGCAGGGCGTTCTAGAAGCAGGCCCATTGAGAAGAGCGGTCTGCTTAACAATTAATTCGAGGCCCTGCAAAAGCCACCAACCCCATGCGGCCTTGAAAATAACCTTACACATCCAGCCGTTGGGCTGTCCAGATTGACGACCTGATTAAGGTGGCATGCGTCCGCGTTTCCCAAAACGATGCCAAGTGCCTGTATTGGTGAACAGGCGGACCGGCAAAGAAGATGGTCATATCATGATCCCTTGAACCCTCAGGCCTCAACCCTCAGTCTCCCGTCGGTCCGCTATTCCATTGTTCCACTCTGTTGGTCTCTCCTCTTCCTCCTCCTCCCTCCTCCCTCCTTCAAACTCAACCCGATCCCTGTCACAATAAATTCCCTCTTTCCTCCTTCGTCCCTTTGCTTCTCGTCCCTCGTTTTCCACCCTTCCTCGGTCAGTCATTTTAATCAATTCCTTATCGGACTTCACATCTCAGGGGGCATGTATTGGTTAACATGGCCATCACCCCACGGAAGAAAACACAATCCAATCCTTCTCGGGTCGTGTCAACATCGCGGGGGCCAAGGGGAAAAGAAACAATCCGCCCCCAAGCAAGGAGACCGACCCTCTTAACGGCCCCCAAAATAGTGACACTAGCCACGAAACGGTTCCCAGAATGAGACAGATCAACGAGACGGAACCCATCCCGTTGGTCAACGCCCCCAAGTAAGCTTAAGACGTACGGAGCAGTCAACGGCATCTCGTATCCTCCAGACCTAGCCCCCAATTTCCAATCTCTTGCCGTATGCGCGCCTGGGCATGGGCCAGGGCATCTCGAAAAATATGCCCTCTTTGGAGTCGTTTGTTTCACTACAGCACCACTTTAATCATCTCCCAATTAAAATCGCCAATACACTTCTCTTCGACTCCCACTACCACGTCTGTGTCCAATGATCCAACCCCTCCCTTGTCATTCACCACGTCCACTCCCCCACACGGCCTGTGGCCCATTTCCCGCATAAAACAAACGCCGGTGCGCCAAAACCTCTCACCAAGCCAAAACCGCTCGCCCATCCTTCAGCCGCCCACAACCCGTCGGCCAAACCCTTCCCCGTCTGTTCCGTGCTTCCTTCGCCCACACCCTCCCCCGGTCCGTCGTCCGTTCAGGCTGCCCCCCTCCCCTGGAAACGTGAGCGAATCCCCGGCCGTTGGTTCCTGATCATCAATCCCGCCCTGGCCTTGTTCTCTTCCGAAACCCCTGGGCTGGCTGTGTAAACCACCGTCCTCCGCGTACCGTAGCTCATTAGATCCGCTCTCTATATCCGGCCATGGACCCCGTGTCTCTCACAGGCTTAGCCATAGGTGTGGCTTCCATTAGCCTGCAAGTCTACACCAGTTGTATCCAAGGCATGTCTCTCCGCTATCACTATTGCACTCGGCCGAGGCTCAGGCTTCAGGCTCGAGGCATGGCACAGATGCATCCCCTTGCAATGCCCTCCTCCCATGCCCGCGTATCCATAATTAACTACTGCTTGTCCTAATACGTCCTACCATCCAGGGATTCAGCTGCTCGTCACAGCCCTAGGGTACGAGAATGAGTGCAGGTATCTTAATCTGCGCCTCCGCATGGAGCAACAGCGACTCTACGCATGGAGTGAGACTTCAGGGCTGCTTGATTTAGACGAGAAGAACCAGGACAAGGTCCTTAACTCCAATATTTTTAATCTGCACCGCCAGACTGTCCTCGATCTGTTAGTCCAGGTGCAGTGCCTCTTTGAGGAATTCACCAAGCACCAGCACCGCCACCACAACTTGAAAGTGGTTCAGGACGATGGCATTCTGGAAGCCCCTGAAAGGGATGCCAAGCAGGCCAACTTCCCCATGGCGGAGAGGAAGAGAGACTTTATCAAAAAAGCCATGACTGGGTTCAAGGCCAAATCCATTGGGAGCCTTCACAGACTTCAATGGGTTTCGTTCGACAAGGAAAGCTTCGAGGTGTTGTTGGACAAGTTCTCCTCCCTGAATGACAGCATGACCAATATCCTCGACCACTCTCTTCAAGTCGAGATTCGGCACACAGTTCAGGACACCAACCGGGGCGTCTTGCTCCTCCATCACAAGATTGCAGACTTGAGCCACCTCGTGCTAGCACTAAAGTCTCAGCTCGATGCAGGCACTCCTGTCGGGCCATCCCCAATGTCGAAGCTTGAGCGGGAAGCCAACGCCGATGCCCTAAGACAGCTCTCCAAGTTGGCCAAGTTCAAGGCCTTCAACGAGACTATCGACCCGAAGTCCGACTCACCGGCTCTCGTAGACGAGGCAGCTGCCAGGTTCCTCGATCTCGCACGCCCGGAACAGCAGCGCAATCTATTTGTGCCCCGTTATCTCATCGAACTCGACCCTGATGTCGACGAGTCCGATGCTCCGCGGTGCGATGCCATGATGAAGACGGCTGAAGGCAAGAAACAGGTATGGATTGAGTGGAAAGACTACGACAACGCTGGTCCGCACCCCGGTTCGCTCTCAAAGGCCGACACTATCGAGCGAGTACGAAAGCTAGCGGCGCTGCTCAACCACAGCCCCAAACCAGAAGCCTTCCGAACCCCCCACTGCTTGGGCTTCTTCGACAAGGCCGACCCCAACGTACCGGACGACGACGTGGATATTCTCGACCGCCGACTTGGCCTCATCTTTGAACGCCCGGTCGACGGCAAATTACACCACTCACTTCCCCCAGTCTCGTTACGCGAGCTCCTCCAGGATCCGCAAGTCCGCAAGCCCCGTGTCACGGAGCGGATCAAGCTTGCCCATGCCATCAGCAATTGCCTGTTGTACCTGCACGCCGTGCACTGGTTACACAAGGGCCTGCGCAGCCACAATATCCTCTTCTTTCGTACGCGTGCCGGCCATGTGGATTTCCGCCAGCCGTATCTCTCGGGCTTCGACTTCTCGCGGCCCGGCGGCTCGGAAGAAATGACGGACGCCCCCGGCGATGATGCCGAGCACGACCTGTATCGACACCCGCGAACGCAATCGAACCGTCAACGCAACCGCGAGCGTTCTAAGAAAAGCTTCGATATATACAGCTTAGGCGTCATCTTTGTCGAGCTAGCCCACTGGCAGGCCGTTGAGACGGTGCTTGGCATCGAGATGCGGCGGGCGCGGGGCCGGCCGGATGTTGTTCGCCGGGTCCGCGAGGCGCTACTCACCGAGGACCGGGTCGCGGCCGTAGGTGCCGACATGGGTGAGAAGTTCGAAGAAGCGACTCGCAAGTGCCTCGCCGGCGGTAAGGAGCTGGGGCTAAAAGATGGAGATGATGAGACGGCGGACGAGGTGGCGGAACGTTTATCTATGAAGTTCTACGACGACGTGGTAAAACGCCTAGAAGCTGTGGTGGTATAAGGTGGTGGCTAGCTTGCTGCGCTGTCAGCCTGTCGGTGGTTTACTTGGGGGTTAGCAAATAAAATTGTCGTGCGGGAATCAATTCATGAGAAACCAGTTATACCAGTACTACAAGTATTCCCAATAAAAAGGTTCATTTGCATTATGCGGTCATTAGCCGCCAAAGGTATCCAGGATCTGCCTCGGGCCTTGAAAGCCCAGGTGTATCGTCACATCAGTTGCCTGCAGGGTACTTAAACCCCTCACAAACGCCAAAGAAAAGACCGCCCAAACCCATCATCATCAATTAGCAGCAGCAATCCAAGCACTCAAAGCAGCAAAGTCCAGCGCAGACACCACAGCAAATGGCCTGGAGAGTAAATCAGCAAGAGGAGGATGTTTGCAATTCGGAATGAAGACTTACACCGCCGTCCTTGCCACCACGAAGGCCAACGGTGGGCTGGGTCTCCATAGTCATGGGTTGAAATGGGCGCTGGTGTTATACGTTAGTCAACCTGCTCTGAATTATATCGCAGCTCGGCAGGCAGGACGAAGGTGATGTGCCAAGCCGGAGACTGAAGGTGGACGAACCGGCTGAGCGGCGCTCAGTTTGCGGGCCGGGTTCGCGACGGGCGCGGGCTGGCGGGGCATCTGGGTCGACATTGAAGCGGAGGGCATTGTCGCGACAAGAGTGACGAGCGGAAGGCTGCGGTTCTAGGAAGCTATACTGTCTAATCGCGAGGCGTAGTGAATGGTGCGCAAAGCAACGGTGGTATCGTTTACGAGCTGAAAAATGGTGAGGAAGAGTGAGAATTAGGATGGGAGAGGAGAGCGCAACGGCGTCGCTAATAAATGCTGACGAGCTGCAGGGCTCATGCGGGTCTGGCAGGATGGGATGTGCGATGAAGCGGGCAAGTTTCAAGCTCATTCTGTATGGGCGACGCCAATACGGCTACACGGGAGACCAAGTGGGTTGGGACGCCTGACCCGACGGCATCTCGCTCGTGGCTGAGTGCCGTGACCTCGAAGTGAGGTCAGGCTGGTCAGCAGGGAAACAGGGCTGGGGTGGTGGGGACCCCTGGCGGACTACGAGCGTGATGGAGGGTGGGAGGTGGCTCGTTCCAGTAGCATGGCGATTTGACTCCCGTGCTTAAATACAGAGTTGTGGTGTTGTGATACGGAACCTTCCGCTCCTCACCGATGAAGTCTTAATTATTGTGGCTTGACAGCGCAGACAAATGCGAAGCCGAGTCCAGTACAGTACAGTAAACAACAGTACGCAACTCAGAAGTAGGGAGTGAGAAGCAACGAACCGCCGCAAAAGACCCAGCAATCCATGAGTGTGTTGCGTGTTGAGGCCAGTGACGTAGGTCGGCAGTCGGGTTCGCTCTCGGACAAGCCCGACGATGGAGCAATTCGGGCCGGGTAGTTACGAGAAACACCAAGGTTCTGGAATAACGGAAGCGCGGCAAAGTGCGTTTCCACTTAGCCGCGCGTCTTGAGAGTGTGGGAAGAAATAGTTCTGATCTGGGGATGTGGACGGGGGGGAGTGCAAGCAACACGCCGGGGGGCGGCGAACGCTGGACCCTGGTTTTTCTGTCGGCGGAACTAAAAGCTGTCAGGCAGATCGGATGGAGCCTTGAAATCGATAGGAGGGAGAGCGAGAGATCTGGAGAGAATGGGACAGGGCCCTGTGGTGGGTGGTGGGCGGTACTGGTTCGCACGCTGGATGGCATTTCATCCATGGCCGTGGATATTCGGGGGCAGGACACGGATGCGAAAGCCGGGTTTAAGATTGGGCTGGATGTGGCGACGGCTGGCGAATGAAGATCTCTGGATGACCCCTGTGAGGCGCTGTGAGGCCATGCGTCGATGTTTTCAGGTCCAGGAACCGTCACTAGCCCATGGCGTCTGTATTTGTGGTGGTTTTGAATGTTTCCTCGCCGTCGATTGTCGTTGGTTTTTCGGACGAGAGCCGGAGCGGACGTGGCTCGTCTCGCTGGGCGGTGAACTAATTAGGGGGTGAAGAAGCCTCGAGGCAGAGAGACTCCGGGGAAAGACGACCTGTCAGGTTAAGGGTAAAAATAAGACAGAAAACGGTTCATTGATAAAAAAAGTCGCTTGGGAGACGGTTCCTGAAGCTAGGTAACGCCCTGCATCACGCAGGCGCTGGCATCTGGTGCTGCACAGGAGGCGTTTTGGCGACTAGGTGACCGTCTCTGCGAGTACGGAGCACCGGTAGGAAAAATGACGTCGGGGCCCATGCGCAGACTTGTTACTTTTTCACTGCCAAGTTGGTTGTGAGGGCACTCACTCACTCACTCCTCACTCCAACTTACGCTCTGGGCAATTTAGCCGGACATGTCCCGCCAACGATCCCGAAACGTGGAGCCGGCCAAAGTTGGTCTCGGGAGGCTGAGCTCCAGGCAAGTGTCCAAGCCCGGCCCACGCTCCATCCCAAACATCTCCAAGGGGCAATGCGTTTCTTCGTCTAACCTCTGCTTCTGCATGCGACAATGCGCCCGGCCTGACACCTCGACCACTTGATTGTGTTTGAGCCAATGCCTTGATTTACGCCTGCGCCATTCCTTTGTTTCGATAAAAAGACGCCGACGACCTGGCCCCCGCCCCCTTCGATCCTCCGCTTGCTGTTTGGCGACCTCCCTGCCTGGCGGGCTCACCGTCACGCTCTCGCTCACGCCCTGGCTCACGCTCACTCGAATCCTCATACAAAACCCCCTCGACGCCGTCCCCCTGACGCCCCGACGCCGAGATGGCTTCCTTCGGCCACCACCCGTCGTCGCATTCCGCCCCTAAGCATCACCATGCTCCCTACGGCGTCCCCGTCCCTGCGCCGGGTGCCGGTGCCCCTGCCGGTACCTTCGCCCCTGGCACCAAGATCCAGGTCGGCAGCCACCGTGTCGTGATCCAAAAGTACCTGTCCGAGGGCGGCTTTGCCCACGTATATCTCGTCAAGATGCCCAAGCCCGTCGACGGCACCGACCTGGCTGTCCTGAAGCGAGTCGCCGTCCCCGATAAGGATTCCTTGCGGGGCATGCGCATCGAAGTCGAGACGATGAAGCGCCTCAAGGGGCACCGGCCCATCGTCACATATATCGACTCCCACGCCTCGGAACTTGGCAACGGCGGCTATGAGGTCTTTCTGCTCATGGAGTTCTGTAACGGTGGCGGCCTGATCGATTTTATGAACACCCGGCTGCAACATCGCCTGACGGAGCCTGAGATCCTCAACATCTTCACTGATATCGCCGAGGGTGTCGCGTGCATGCACTACCTCAAGCCGGCGCTGCTGCACCGTGACCTCAAGGTTGAGAACGTCCTTATTAACTCCAACGGCTCAGTTAAGCGCTTCAAGCTGTGTGATTTTGGATCTGCCTCGCCCCCGAAGCCCGCCCCGACCACCGTGGTTGAATGCCGTCTGATGGACGAAGATGTCCAGAAGCACACTACTCTCCAGTATCGAAGCCCTGAAATGATCGATGTATACCGCAAGCAACCGATGAACGAAAAGTCAGACATTTGGGCCCTGGGAGTTTTGTTGTACAAGCTCTGCTACTATACAACGCCCTTCGAAGACCAGGGCCAATTGGCTATCCTGAATGCTAGCTACAGGTTTCCGAGCCACCCAGTATTTTCCGACCGCCTTAAGAAGTTGATCGGTAATATCCCCAACTTGCGCCTGGTTGCTATTGCTGACATTCTTAGCTTCAATGTTGAGAGAAAACATGCAAGCAAGACCTACCATCTACCAGGTCCTAAAGGAAGGTTGCGCCATGCAGGGAAAAGATATTCCAATTCATGATGTAAGTGTGTCTGGTCCAACAACAGGATTCGGGTATTGACTTCTTCATAGATTTATGCCGGTCGTTCCCACACCGAGCCAGGACGAACTGAGGCCCCTCAATCTAAGGATTACAAGACAGAGGCGACGCCGGTTGTTGGCGCCGTCTTTACGAGAGCTGCGCCGGTAAAGGAGGTCATCCCCGACGTCGTACCAATGAGGAGAGGCCGCCCAACGGTGTCGCCGTCTCCAGCAGCCAGACCTGCGCAGAAACAAGATCCCTCACCAATGAGAAGGACTGATGGCGACCCGTTCGCTGCCCTAGATTCCAAAGCCACTCCGAAGAGCGGGTTTGACGAGCTGTCCTCGCGCTTCCCTACTCTTGATCAATTTTCATTGTTACATGACCATGGCGCCAATTTCGATTTCGACAACTCACCGACCTCGCCACAAGGCCCGGCCCCGTCGGACCTCAACCAGCGAGTCACTGAAAGGTTGGCTGATGCGGCATTCGCAGCACCTCAGCCGGCCACCTCCCAGTCGAGGTCAGCATCAAGACCACACTCGGTTACGCCAGTCGGAAATCGGCCTGCGCTCGCAACGCCGCCATCAGACCCTGCTCCCCCTAGCAGACCAGAAATCAGCCGAGCCCAATCTATCATCAGCAACAATCCCGAGCTTCAGGCCATCTCTTCTCAATCTAACTCAAGATATGTATCCACCGGTACAATGACGGCCACTCCCCCGTCCGAGTCCTTCGCGAGGGACGTGGATCGGTCCACCCATCGTCTCTCTTCAGATTACTCTCGTTCAACTAGTATGCCGAGGCAGCCTGAACAGACCAAGGGACAATGGGCTTCAGAGGACACACGCTCTGCGGCTAAGCCAAGAGTATCTTCCTATCAACCGCAGCCGACCCATGTGCGACACCCATCATCATCACGGCCGTCCCTGGAGGGTGGTCGCCCTCGCGCCGACTTCCTGGAGCCTACTGCTCGCCCGAACCCGCCTGTCAACCGTCCACGTCCAGCAAGCACGAACCTGGAGTCCACTACCCTTGACTTCTTGCGCGAAAAGGAGGCGGCTTCACGACCACCTAGTCGACCGGTGCAACCGTCCCCACAGTACTCCCCACAAGTTCCATCCCCAAACCTGGACCCTACGGCAGACGACGATGCACGCGTGCCATCCAGTGACATGGATTTCTTGAGAAGCATGGAAGATTCAGAGAGGGCCAAGTCTAGCAAACGATCGAGTCTCACCTCCTTGTCTGGAAACAAGAACATCCTGGCTGGAAAGTTCGGTGATGCCTTCAAGCGCTTCGAGACCAACCCCCCAATGATTAACCATGGGGGCAGGAGAACCCCGTCGCCCAGCAAGGATATTGGACGTCGAGATTTAACTCCCATCGCAGGCTCGGAAGCGACCGATGGCCGTAGTGACGATGGCCACATTGACGAAGACGCTATGACACCGGAAATGCGACGCGAGATGGAACGTCTCCAACTGCAAGAGGAAGAGCGACGTGTGGCCGCCGGACAGGCAGAATACCGAAGGCGCGTTGCTACAGGTAACACTGGACCAGCGGTTCCACCGAAGAACATTGGAGTAGCTCGCGCTGTTAGCATCCAGAACCGAGTTCAAAGCCTGTTGAGTGAAGACCAGCGCCCCTCGAATGTGTCCCGTACCGCCCAGGGCTACGGAAAGTACACGGACAGTGCCGATACCGGGAGCAAGGCCGACAAGGCTCAACCAGGAGTCCCCAGGAAGCCCCTGATCGTTTCAAAGTCCCGAGTAGAGCCTCCCTTTCAATCCCGAAGCTCTGCATCAATAGGCAATGGCTTAATTGGCTCTTCTTCCGCGCCGCCTATACTCGCACAGAAGCCTCCTGCTAAGCCAGTGGCCCCGAAGAAGCCAGTTCATCTGAATAGCATCCCTACAGGAGGGCGTCCAGCGTCGCCGCCTAAGCAGAGCCGGCCTGCCCTTACCCAGGAGCAGCTTGTTGGAATGGATATTCCCGGCCGACCTATGCTAGACATGACGGCGAGGGAGAAGGACGACTACATTCAGGATTTTACGAAGCGATTTCCCAGTCTTGGATCGATTGAGATGGTGGAACGCGATATCGGCTCCGAGAGTGGACGGACTGGGCGATGATGCACTAAAGACGTATCTACGCATGGTGATAAATCTATATAGTTCACGCAGCATTTACAGTTGAATACACGCAGCGCGTAGCACCAAATTATTCCTCTCACGGTATCAAGAAAAGCGTGTGATGTCATTCGTGGTGATCCGAACTTTATGCGGACGGAGGGGTTATGCATCTAAACTGTCTTATCTTATCGCTTGAGTGCGTCGCCCAATTTTTTTTTCCCTGGCGCTCCAGCGAGCACCTCGCGGCTTCACCAGACCGACCAACTACAGGCCAATACAACAAACAACACAATACGCCATGGCTAAGAGAAAGAGACAGGCCACCGCTCAGAGCGAGCCCGCTTCGGAGCTTGTTATCAGCAAAAAGGCAAAGGCGAATGGAGCTGCGAAAGCGAAGAAAACCGTGAAGGCGAAGGAACCCGTGAAGGTGCAGGAAGCTGCTCCCGCGACGACGACAACCGGCACCACCGAGACGATCCAGATCGTGGTGGGTTCCTACGATCGAATTTTGCACGGATTGACAGCGACCATTGGCCCCAAGGACAAGACCGAGTTCGCCGACACTTTTCTGTTCAATGCTCACACTTCGGCGATTCGTTGCGTTGCTGTGTCGCCGATCTCACTTCCAGTCCCGGGACAGACACAGAAGGTGATGCTCGCGTCAGGCAGCACCGACGAGAGAATCAACGTTTACAACCTGTCGGCGCACCCGCCGAGCCGAAAGAACCAAGAAATGCTGGCCAGGGTGGCCCCGCGACCGATTCTCGAGAACCCCAAGAACCGAGAGGTCGGCACGTTGCTGCACCACTCGTCAACAGTGACGGCGCTGCGATTCCCTACGAGGTCGAAGTTGCTCTCATCCAGCGAGGACTCAAACATTTCCGTTACGCGAACCCGCGACTGGTCTCTGCTTAGCAACATCAAGGCCCCCATTGCCAAGGCGATGGGCCGACCGAGCGGCGACACCGCGCCTTTTGGAGGCACTCCCTCCGGTGTCAACGACTTTGCGATCCACCCCAGCATGAAGCTGATGATTAGCGTCAGCAAGGGAGAGCGATCAATGCGGCTGTGGAACCTGGTGACTGGCAAGAAAGCCGGTGTGCTCAACTTTAGCAGGCAAATGCTCCAGGAAGCCGGAGAGGGCAAACACTCAACGGGCGAAGGCCGACGGGTGGTGTGGGGAGAGGTGGATGGATCTGACGAGTTTGCAGTTGGATTTGAGCGTGATATTGTGGTCTTTGGCATGGACAGCGTCCCCAAGTGCCGGGTGATGGGATCGATTCGGACCAAGATTCATCAGTTGTTCTACATTACGGTGGACGAGGAGTCGGATTTGACTCTGCTCGCATTGGCGACGGAGGACGGGCGAATCCTGTTCTTCTCCACCAAGGAGGAGGATCTCTTGAAGCCGGAGGAGACGGAAGACAAGGACGACAAGAAGGCTGTGCCGCCGCTGCCTATTGCCAAGCTGGTTGGCCAAATCGGCGGCAAGGAGGGCGGCGTGCAAGGTCGAATCAAGGACTTTGTGGTGACCAAAAGCGCTTTGTCGCCGACGGTGCTATACGTAACAGGCGGTAGCAGCGACGGACGGGTTCGCCTGTGGCAGGTAACGAGCGCGGAGCTGATGAAGGGCCAAAGCAAGGCAACCTCAGCCAAGGGATCGGACAAGGAGGCCAAGGCTGGGAACATATTGGGGACGCTGTTGGGGACGTATGAGACGCAGAACAGGATCACATGTATGACGGCGTTTATGATGATACCCCGGCCGCATGGCGCTGAGGATAGCGAGGATGAGTACTCGGAAGAGGGAGATGAGGATGAAGACGATAGCGATGACGAGTAGAGAGGGAGAGCAATTTTCAGCACGGGAAGGAGAGAGGAGAGTGTATAAAATGCTATAAATATTGGCGTATATACGGACATGACGATGTGCATCATGATGTGTTGTTATTAGAATAGTACCTACGTAGTACTGGTTGCATACGGCGAGTTCTGGGCAGGGCCTCACAAGTACCACCACCAAATTGAATGAGAGTTACACGGCTCTGGGGTATTTCTGACCATCACCCACCGAGGCATTTCTATTGCTTGATAGTTGATGCTGGATTTTCCCGACGTTGATACGGGAATAGGGGAACCTCTTCGGCTTCGGCTTCGGCGTGGCCTCGAGTTCCGTAGCATGGTCTTGGAAGAGCCCGAGGTCTCCGTTATCAGATTCCGGCCATGCGTTGTCATGATGACAAGCTCGAGGACGCCTTGAAAATCACATGTTAATCAGCTCGACACAATTTCAGTATCAGATTAGCCAACCGGCCAAGCCTCATTCGACAAGCCCAGCCTGACATGCATTCCTCTGCAAGTGTGTGTTGCATTGCCGCAGCCACTTTGCTGATGTTTTTGAGAGCGCCAGTCACAGTCAATAAGGCCCCACCCATGTCGCCGGGACCCCGGGGCATAACTTTGTTGGGACGCACGCGCCGATCAATGGATCTGCGAGTGCTTTCGGGCTTCGGCAAGTCCATGACGACGCGGTGCAACGGGCTCGCGATTTCTCGGCCTTGCTAACCAGCCAGGGCGGCCCCAATTTGAGAGGCTGACGGGTGTTCCCATGTGCGCTCACCCGGCTGTTCGGAGTTTAGGGTTCTTGCGTACCGCGCGAGGCGACGTAGCGCAGGACCTCGATGTGTCCGGTGCCATGGGCCCTGTTGAGTGTGGGGTAATTAGAAGAAGCCCAGCCGCGACGAGTGACTCTGCGTGTACCCGTGGACCACGGCCCGTGAACCTATGGCAGCGGCCCCATTTAGGCTCTGAGGTCATTTCTCCAGCGACTCAGTGGCTTTCCCCTGCGCCTCTCGCTGAGTGGGCGTTCGCTGCTGGAGCGGGGAAGCGGCGCTGGGCGATGCCGCTAATGGCGACTGGGGCTCCACTGCAGGTGGAGGGTTTATGGGGTCGATGCGAATTCGGTGCGGATTTGCAAGTGCATGTGATCGAAGGAGATGCTCCTCCTCGCCTTCCTTCGTTTTACCCCGTCTCCGAGGCCTTAGCCAGGCAGGTACGGTGGGCGGGTGGCATTAGGCCGTCAAACTAGGAGACAAGAATGCGGAAAGCGTACCTTCTGGCTGGACCTACTGGCTGGAACGGTCTTGCCCCCAGTCGCCTCACCCTCATGACTACTCTTTCCCGTCCAGCACGTGGGTACCATCGAAATTGTATAGCTGGGGAAGGGGCATAGCTCGCTCCTCCTCCACCACTTCTCTCCCGACATCTCTCTCTTCTCATACTCTCTTCTTTTCCAATTATCTGCTATCCTTAGATCAAGTCGTTGCAAATTACCATCGACGCCCGTTCCAGTTCAGCTAGATATCTCATTACGGAGCAGCGCCCATCCACCTCCGCGGGCTCTAGCTACTCCGCTCTCAACAACCGAGCACCCGTCATTTCTACCAGCGCGACTCATCCTCAACGAAACATACACCTTCTTGAGGGAACGGACAACCCAGGCCGTCACATAGACACGCACTTTGCCGTCGCATTCCTTTTTCCTCTTCAGTTTCGAGACATTGGTATCATTTCGGACATCCCGGTTGGCTGGCGCAAAAAGCCACACGGTCACAGAGCTCGCCAGACGAGACGCCTGTTTAAAATTGGCCCGGCACCCGATAATCATTTCGTGTTTCGGACCTTGACGCAGAGCATCATCACTTTCTCTCACCTTCCGAGACAACGGACAACCAAGCAACCGAGCGGCGTGAGTGACTGCCCACCTGTGGGGTGATCTCGGCGGCTTGGTCGAGCTCCCCTCACCTATGCTCAGCCTGATTGCCTGTCCTGACCATGTCGCTGACCATATATCTAGACGCACCCCGACCACGCTCCTTCTGACGCTGTCACCCACTTCAACCCATCCGAGCATTTTCTCTTCTTGGAATAACACCATGGACGACGACGGGCCTACCATCCTGCGGCCAATTCCCCGACGCCCATTTGGCCTCAATCTTACAACCCCGACTCCTCCAGACGAAGACTCGAGCCCCGCGACTCCGGCTCCATCGGACTTGGCCAATCTGCGATTCCTTCAACCCACTCCCGAACCACTCTCCCTAACACGGCCTCAGTCATTTCTGAATCTCACCTCTTCAACCCTATTTGGCATCTACTCCCCGGCGACCCCCTCCGCGCGCGATCGCGTTTTCGACGACCGAGATGAGCTTGACACGCCCTGGGGTACTGGCGCCCAGACCCCCATCAAGCGTCCCAGCGTTGACGAAGCAACCTACGAGTTGATGCGTGATCGGTCTCATCCTGTCCGCCGCCGCTCCTCGTTCCGTCCTACCGAACCTCCCGTTCAGCTCGCTCCTCCCCCGTCACTTATATCCCTTGCCTTGCGGGGTCTTCTGCTTTTCCTCCTCGGCGTCGGGTATGGTGTACTCGTCACAACCACGCGCTTCCACAGCGGGGCAGGCAACCTGGCATCATTCAAGGACGGCATGATTCGCCCTGCTTACAACTGGGCCCATTTGACCTTTTGGGGAGTGGCTGGCGTCGCACTGGGTGCTCTTTTGCCGTGGTTCGATCGAGTCTGGGAGGAGTCGTTTGGTGAAGGTGAAGATGACGTCGTAGTGGCTGAAAAGGATGGGGACTTGGAGGACCTAGGCTCCAGTACCGATTGGGCGCTTGTCATCCGGGCTGTCGGAGCCTTTGTCGGCATTGTCTTTGCTATTGCAAGTTATTCACGGATACTTCCGTCCCATGTGTCATCCAAACGAAAAGCTAACCCGTACTTTAGCGAAAGGTGGCCTGGGCGTCCACCCTCCAGGTGTCCCTGTCACTTGCCCTGGTGAACCCTCTTCTCTGGTGGCTTATTGATCGTTCCAAGCCCGGTTTCGTCCTTGCGGCTGCGGTTGGCCTCACGGGCTCCGCCTTCCTCCTCGGTGTCAACCCAGATATGATGCCGACTCCCTCTGCCGTCTCGTTTGGCAACGCATCGGTCACTAGGGCTACTTCCCACGATGACTTGCTTACCCTTGGTGGGCTTGCCCGACAGGAGACGGTCGAGACGGGTGTATGGATGCTAAGTGTGCTGTTCTGCAGCTGCGTCTGCTTTGGCAACATCGGCCGCCGTCTAGCCATGGGCCGGTCTGCGGCGGTGAGGGGTAGATGGGCTGGTGTGCGATGATGGGAAGATGAAGGTCTTGTTTCTCCGGTTCGGGATGAGGATTGACGGATTGCCTCAAAACGTCCCAGCCACTCACTCATTTATTTGTTCACGGTTTCAACTTCGGGAAAGTTCTTGTCAAAGGTACATGGATGGATGGGGAGGGGCTTTTGGATAGCAATCTTGGATTATACGGAATGGTTGGCTTGTTTTGATGGGCTCGGTCGGCTTTTTAACGGTGGAGATGGACCAAGCCGAGATTAGCTTGTTGACGGTTGGACGGCGTATGGATCACAGATTCCCTGGGACTGTTGATGATAACTTCACAGCAGGCATCCCGCAATGCATGACAGCTTCGAGATTGGGAGCCCGTCCGCGTGGGGACTAGAGCTCTCTCGAATGCTCAAATACGATAACGGTCTTACAAACCTGATGATTTGCCCAATCCCAGCCCCGGACCTTCTCGTTGCACATGATGCGCCCGTTCCTTTGTTTATCTTTGGTTCTTTTTACCCATTGACCACACAGCATCAGCCGAAATCTCCTTTCCTACAACCATGGAAATCGATCTCCCACGTCATGAGGAGGATGAAGAGGCGTTGGTGATGGCATCGGAAAGTGCACGTGACTTTTGACGGACGTCGTCGCTGAAGTCAATGTTGGAGAGACCAAGCATGACGAGCATGCGGGGGTTCTGGATCATTTCGGAAACGGTCATGGAGCGGGTGCAAACGTCCTGGAAAGAGAGGGCGGCGGCGCGGTCCCCAGTGGCTGCTCGTGTGAGCAAGTTGAAAAACGATGATTGGGCAGAGACGTTGAAGAGGGATTGAGGAGGGATTGAAGAGGGTGGGAACGACTTACCACCATCGTTGGGGGGGATCTGCTCGGGATGCTTGATGGGACGGCCGTTGGAGATGTTGTCAAGCTCGGTCATGATGTAGTGGGAGCGCTTGACAAAGTCCCAGACGAAGAAGAGGTTGCGGGGTGGAGAGGCCGGGGTCCAGGCTGGGTGTGCCTCGAGAGCTTGGACGAGGTCAGAGAGGCGGGCCGTGATTACTTCACGAACCTCCGGGGCGGGGATGGAGGTCGGGGGGGGGGAAGAGTTGAGGAGAGAGGCGAGCATGATGGCGGTGGCGGTGGCGGTGACGGTTACGGTGACGATGTCGGTTTACTTGAGAAGGTTTGAAGAGGGAGATGATATGATGTAAGATGGACAACTGAGGGCGAGATGAGTGGCAAGATAGAGAGAAAAAAAGACAAAAGAAAGGAAGGAGAAACAAAAGAGGAAGAAAGGAAGAAGAGGAAAAGAGTCGGAGGAAGAGAAGCGAGGGAGGTGTGAGCTGAGGTGAGGAGGCGTCCCAGTCTGAAAAGCTTCCCCGCTGCGGACACAAACGACACCACTGACAGTGAGAGACAGTGAGAGACAGTGAGTCTGAGCGACCCCGTCGACTGGACGACTAAGAGCGACTACGCGCCGATGGAACGGATGCAATTGCTCCAATCCCAATGCGAATGGATATTTTCCTTTTCCGAAGGCAACACGGGCGGGCACTGGAACTGGACCTGGACCTGGGCCTGGAACGGAACTGATCTAGATTGCATCCTACAGAGCACGACACGTACACGTACAGCTACAGTTCAGGACAATGAAGACCGGTACACCAGTGACAAGGCCCTGCTTCAGGTTAAGGCAAGGGATCAGGCGAGCGAGTGGGGGGCGAAGAACAGGGCCAGTGCTATGATACTCTACCGGCGAAGCAGGGTGGTTGTCTTTACTGCATTCGTACAATGAGGCATTGGATTCTGACGCTCGGTAGTAGTGAACCTGGCGAAGTACTGGGTAGGTACTGGTATGGCATTGGACTAGGTAGACAGCCATAAGTGGAGAAGGATGACCAAGTAAGCAACGGCGATTTTGACCAGGTTGCCGGACCAGTCTTACTCTTATGCTCTGGGTCGTACTGTGTTCGGTTGTCGAATGCCGTACACGAGTTAGGGCAAGTTGAGGGAAAATGTTTTCGCTAGGCGAGGGATAAATTGAAGATGACACTGCAAAATAGAGAAGTGGATAATAAGTTTGGGGACGAGGCCATTCGCGGCGGCAACCACAGCGATGGCGGCGCTGCAGCGCACTGTATTTGTACATGCACAGCACTGCACGCTCAGACCTAGTGAGGGTCTAGCCACGCGGTGAGATGTAGGTACCTAACTAGGGATTAGAGATGGAAGAGAATTGATTGATCGATGATTGATTCATGATTGGCATGTGATGAACGAACAAAGGCGAACAGAACGGATGCGGCCAGAGGCATGTCCCTTCTTATCTTAGAGGCGGCACCATGGCGACTTGCAATGATAAGGCGATACATGGACACATGGTCTTAAAAAGCGACATGCGTTTCTTTGTCTGACTCGCCATCACCATCGCCAATGCAACCCTGTCAGGTCCCGGCAGTGCCAATGGCCAACCGAGTTTTGCCTCCGCAGCCAAGGTTGGGCCGGCTGAGACTATTGAAAGAATACTGCAAGTCACTTCTCCTTTGCGGCGCATTCTCTCGCATTCCCTCTCTCTCGCTGCGACAACATGTTTAGTGTGTCGCGTGCGCTTGCAGCCAAGGGCGGTAGACTGACATCTCGATCCGGACCGCCACCGGCGAACGTGTCATTCATTGGGCAATGCACCAATTGTCAGCATGCTCGACAGGGACCAAATTTTCACAATGACGACGACGACCTTGCTCGTGATGCCTATACTTATACCCAATACCTTCCTAATAGAATAATACAATAATGGCGTCGATGTCATTGATCTACGCCATGTTGACGATACATGCGATGCTGAGAAGTCCGTCAATGAATGATACAGCAAGAGAGCCACCCGGACGCGCAGCTGCACAGCCAAACTCTCAGTTCAACGAGTGGTCTGATGCCATCAATCAGGTCCCAATCCAGCCCGCAAAGAGGCAAGATTGGCCATAACATCATCATCGCCCCGGCTGAACAGTCCAGGGTATGTTCCTCTCGGTTGTACGTGCCTCGCCTGCAGCCAACGAGAGCGCATTCGCGATCCGGACCGCCACACCTTAAGTAAGTCGCCCCCGGACGGTGCACCCCAAAAGCACCAAAGTAGGTATAGCTATCACGACACTTGGTTAAACAAGGACCGGCCTTGGCCAGCAATTCTCGTGTGCACGCTCCAATTAGTCGCCCGGAAGAGTGACATGCCGAGATGCTCTTGGGTGCTTTCCTTCGTCATCATCCCAGCCTCGCAGTCGTCGCGCGTTTGGTACTCCGCCCTTTCCCGCCCGTGGTTGAGCAATGACGACAACGACTTGGTCTAGACTCGATGCCTACTATGAAGCTGAAGCATCCCAGGGCTGGCTTCCCAAGACACTTCACTGGAAGCCCACTGAACACCCACTGAACACCCACTGAACGCCCACTAAGCGATCACTAAGCGCCCACTAATAAACTGGCTAAACGACCCCGCCGGCCCCTCAGCTGCTCCGACGCCGACGCCCGATAGATACTCACTCATACTTACTTATGTCCCAGCGGCCAAACCGCAAAGTCGCTTTCTCCCATCTCCATACACTCCTTCAACCATGACTGCCCTGGCCGACGGCGCTTCCAACGAGATACGTCCATAAACTCCACCCAACACCCTGAATCGATGATCGCCCAGTCCACTGCCAGGCCTCGCTCCCTGGACTATACACTCGTCATATGGATGCGCCCCTCGAGACTGCTCCACCAACCGCTGCAACGTCACCGCCGAGCCGCCCTATAGACCCGGTCGCATCCTCTGTCCGCCCTCGCAACTCCAAAACCTCCCAAACCGATCGCGTCCGAAGCCCGCCATCCATAGCTCGTTCATGTCACCCCACGTTGAGCCACAGGCACCGGCGACCAGACTACCTCTCGATCCCCGTGAGACGTCGCCAGCCAAGGACGAGGACAAGGACGCCAACTCGAAAGCCGACTCCGAACCCGACTCCAATCAGTCTACCGCCCCTCCAACTCCGACTCCCATCCAGCCGCGGGATCTCGTGCGCCTCTTCCAATGCCAGATATGCTCGCTGCCACTGCGCGAGCCCGTCTGCCTCCCATGTGGTAAAAGCATGTGCAGGCGGTGCTTGCCCCATACCCACCTACGCACAAACATCTCTTATCCCGCTCTACCCGGCCGACTCCAAGGCTTTCGCTGTCCGTTCCCAGACTGCGGCAAGGAGCATGCCCTCGAAGATTGCGCCGTCAATGTCATCTTGAACAAGGTCGCCGAGCAACTCAGACACGAGATCGACCTAGGGAGGAACCTGGCTGCCACCTCAGGTCTCTCCACTCGCGTTTTCACTCAGGATCCATGGGCTATTGCTGGTGTTGCGTCATTGAGGGACGACGATGGCAGCTCGCAGGTGTTGGAAGGAGGCAGGATCGTTGCGACTTACACCATGGCGGAGGATGGTGATCTCAAATATCAGGCCGACGTCTTGTACGACGAGATATCGAATACGTCTGACCGAGATATCGGATTGGCCAATGACGAGCACCTCGCTGCGAAAGCACAGGAACTGGCAAGGGCCGAGATGGACTGCCAGGTGTGCTACGCTCTCTTTTGCGATCCCTTAACGACAGCCTGCGGCCACACCTTTTGCCGCTCCTGTCTCCATCGTGTCCTGGACCACTCCAGCTACTGCCCCATTTGTCGCCGCCAGCTCGCCATCAACCCGCTGTTGGACCGCAACGCCTGTCCGTCGAATAGTACTCTGAGTCGCATCATCGAAACCTTCTGGCTAGATGACGCTGAGGCCCGCAAGGAGTCAGTTGCGGCCGAAAGTGCGAGCCAACTAGAGGACCTTAACTTCCCCATCTTTGTTTGCACCCTGGCGTTCCCGCGCATGCCGACCTTCCTCCACGTCTTCGAGCCTCGCTATCGTCTCCTAATCCGGCGAGCGATGGAAGGGGACCGTACGTTTGGCATGGTTCTTCCCAGGTTCTCCCCGAGAGGAGACGACGCCGAGTTCCACGAGCTCGGGACCTTGCTGCGCATCGTCAACGTTCAGTACTACCCGGACGGGCGGAGTCTCATCGAGACTGTGGGTCTATCCCGGTTCCGGGTCCTTCGCCATGGCTACCTCGACGGCTACACCGTAGGCAAGACCGAACGAGTCGATGATGTGAGTCTACAAGAGGAAGAGGCAATGGAGGCCGCCGAGGCCACTCCGCAGCCATCACCGGAGCAGTCCGTCGTCGATGACGATAAACAGACCGAGGAATCCCCAGAGCATCCCGAAGCCCGGTCCGGCCCAACCTCATTATCAGAAATCGATGCCATGTCGACGCAGCACCTCATGCAATTCACCACATCATTCGTCACTCGCATGCGCAGTCAAAGCGTCCCGTGGTTGACGGAGCGCATGCTTTCCATTTACGGCGAGTGCCCAGACGATGCCGCCATATTCCCCTGGTGGTTCGCTAGCATGCTCCCCGTCAAGGACCTCGAAAAGTACCGCCTCCTCGGCACCTCGAGCGTTCGCGAACGCCTCAAGATCTGCTGCTCGTGGATCATCGAGTGGGAGGCGTCCCGATGGTGAGTCCACAACCGAAGAAAGAAAACTTGCATCCATCCTCCCGCTTCCACGTACATACCACCTGCCCATTCATCACCGACGCCGCTACACTCGCCACTTGTGCTGTTGTCGCCGTCTTCGATGAGAGAACCTGGGCTAAACCGATATCTTCCGTTAGCATGTAACTGATTAACAGCCGGCCAGGTCTCTCCGCGATTGCACAATACTCTAGCTGATCGCTCTCCGCTTTTGTTTTCTAAGAACTATCTTCGACATAATGCTTTTATTGTTTTGCAGTTGACTGTTGCACCAAGAACCGGGATGAGCGTCCACCATGTAGAAACGCTCGCATTGCACTATGGCATCAAAGAGAAAAGCGGGTGTTTCTAGTTGGCTATCCTGGAGAGGGGTCGGGCCACGATCACATCTAGTACTATGATTCTTGCTGATACCACTTTTTCATAAATCCTAGACACATCTCATTTATCTTTACATTGTTACCAGTTCTCCACCCTACCACCCGTGTCAACTGCAGCAGACAAGTCTCCCCATGCCGGGGTAGGCGTAGTAGTCTCAACCCAGGAGCCAGGCATGACGTTGCCTCCTGGAATAGAATTTCCCTTGTCATCCTTAGACCGTTCGTTGTCCCAGCCCACAGCGTTGCTGCCATTCTCTCCGCTCCGATCTTGGCGGTGATCCCAGCTGCTCGAACCGTATTTGCTCTGCAGGTGTGTATCCTCACCCCAATGAGCGCCCTGCTTTCTCTGTGCTGAGTCGTTGCTTCTGTTGGAATTCTTGGCCGAGCCTCCCCAAGTTTCTTGTTCCTTCTGGCTGTTGTTCGATTGATCCCATTCATTCGTCTTCGGAGCTCCACTGACCCACGTGCCATGCTGCTCGCCTGCTCCATCGTTGTTGGTCCAGCCGGTATTGGAGGGTTCCCGGTCGCCTCCTTTACCTGAATTGCGTGTCTCCCTCGAAGCATTGCGACGGCCGGCGCTCCCATAAGTGCTAAACTGCGACTTGGGTCTGTTAGGAATGTAAGGATTCTTGGGCTCCTGACCGTGTTAGCAAAGTCAAGTTATGCATGGACACGCATTCTTACCTCTGGGCCAACGTTGTTGACGCCGTCCTTGTCCTTGTCTTTGCTAGACGGAGGAAAGCCGGTACCGCCAGACATCATGTACGCCCCGCCGCCTGCTTGCATCTCCTGGGCGTTTAGTGTATTGATTGGTTGACCAGTGTATCCTGCGGCGAAGCCAGGGGGGGGGACAATAGCATTCCATGGCCCGGATGGCACGCCTTGTGTGATAGGCACATGGCTATAACCGTATCCTTGCGGTGGGGGTGGTGGCTGCTGTTGGGGCTGCTGTTGGGGCTGCTGTTGGTTATTGAAGCCGTAGTAATAGGGATTCTGAGTGGGATGGGGTATTCCCATGGGGAGTGGCTGGGCGTTGGCAGTTCGACTGGGATACAGTGCATTGCCATGATGGTTACCGTAAACTGGCCCGTAGTAAACACGAACAATGTTGTGTTCTTGGTCGTAGAAGGCATTCGGTGCCGGATCTTCGGGCGTCTCGACAACGCGCTCCGTCTGAACCACTTCGGCGCGAATAGGCTCGATGAGATTAGGACGACGAGGGTGAGGGTATGGCAATGCCTCTGGATAGTTGCCCTTCTTAGCCCCGTCCTTGTGCTTCGACTTCTTAGACGACCCTTTTCCAGACTCTTCGATCTGCTTCTCCTTCTTAGATTTGCCTTTTTCCTTGACAACAGTATTTTCTTCCTTCTTGTCCTCATCTTTGCCGTTGGCCTCGTTGCTCGACTTCTTCTTTTGCTTTGGTGCTTGCTTCTGCTGTCCATTCTTCTTGCTACTTCCGGATTTGCCGTTGGTAGAGCTTTCTTTCTTGGCAGGTTTGCTTTCCTCGTCTGTATCCTTGGCCGACTCTGAGGTCTCACCATCGGTATCAGACGCATTCGTCTGCTTCCCACCAATCTTCTTAGTAGGCTTAACCGTCTCCTGCTTCTTGGCTTTGGGTGGTGCTTCAGGTTCAGATTCAGAAGTCTCAGCATCCATATTCGACTCTTCGCTCTTTGCTTCTTTCTTCTTCTGAACGGGCTTATTCTTGGCTGGTGGTTTGGGCTTGGGGGACTTCTCAGGCTCAGATCCCGACGTCTCCTTGGACGAATCCGAAGTCTCTGGGTCAGTCTCGGGCTCTTTGGTCTTCTTGCCCCCATTCTTCTTCCCATTGGTTGGAGTTTGTTTCTTGCCTTTCGGGGGTGGGTTGTCAGCTTCAGACTCAGAAGTCTGGGTGTCATTGTCGCTCCGCTGTTTGGCACATCTCTGACATCCTCTGCCTAACTTCTCTCGCCCATTCGCGCAGCGCTGACACTTACAAGTGGGATGTGGGTCGGAGTCACATTCGCTGTCGGTATCGTCGCTGGAGGCCTTTTGCTTCTTCTGTTGCTTCTTGCCCTTGGCAGCAGGCTTGGGAGCATCATCGGAGCTCTCTGCCTCCGAATCACTCGCCTTGCTGGATTGGCTTGAGTCCAACTCGGCTCCAGATTCGGAAGTCTCGTCTGACTCGACAGGGGGCTTTGTCTTCTTCAGTGCCGACTTCTTGGGTGCAGCCTTGGTGTTTTCATCGAAGCGAACCTTTTTGACCGTTGAGTCGGGATTGTTGGAGACGGGATTGTTGTGAGCGGACTTGGTACGCCCAGTCCTGGGATACGTGATCCTGAGAGTGTCCTCTTCGGACTCGTCGTCTGTGGTCACCTCGATTCTGAGCACATCTCGATGTCTGGGTTTCTTCTGCTTTGGTATTGGCCCGAGAGCGGAGGGAATGGTGGTGCCAATGACCCATTCGCAGAAATGCGAGGGACCCGTAACCTTGCCAGGCTTCATCGTAGCGAATGAGCCGAGGGTGGAAGAAAGCGAAGGGAGCAAAGGAACGACCGGACGATATAAAATGGTTGTGAAGTTGTTAAAGGAGAGAAACCGAATTGCTAAGAGTGTTGAAATGTGGTGGTAAATTGTCGAAGAAGGTGAGGAGAGGGTGAGCGCAGGGTCAGCCACGGTTGACAGACAATCTGCCAAGTCCCCACGCGAGTGATCTGCCTTGGGCAAGAGAGCTTTGTCTGTGGAACAGATGGGATCAGGACATCGGATGTGTGTTGAGCGGGAGAGGGATTGCGTGGAAATAAAAAACCATGGTGGTCGAGGTATGGCAACCTGGGCAGACATCAACAAAACAGGAAGGAAGGATCCCACTGTAGCTCTTTCTCATCTGGAACACAAGGACGTAAGGACACAAGGAAGGGCACACGAACACACGAAAAGACTCCCCCACAAAACCATTCATCATTCATGAGCATCACTGTGGCTAGAATACTGATCATGATTTATCTCGTTCCGGCGCCTCTGGGTTCTATGCGAGAAGATGCGCGAGTGTGCCTCGACACTTGACCCTCACAGCTTTCCCTTGAGCTCGCCACTTCGTCCCTCCCATCGCTTGTTGATCTGAATATTCTGATAGTATCGCCACGCCGTAACAGCAACCGCCAGCGGCGGACATCCCAGCAGCACCCACGCCCACCAGTCCGGATGCCCTTTTCGCATCTCGCCCAGCGCGCCCTTCAGCTGCTCGGCAAGCTCCTCGCGCGTCCCGTCGTTCCACAGCACCGCACCCTTGCCGGCGCCGCGCTCCTCGGCCCTGCGTGCCTTGTCCCGCACATCCGTCTGGCTGCGCACCCGGTTCTCCGCGTCCTCGGCGCTCAGGTGCGGGTCGCGCGCGCGCAGTCGCTGCATCTGGATCGCCGGGTCTCGCACGCCCACCACCACCGACACGCCGCAGAACCGGTCCAGCCCGCTCTCAAACAGCAGCGGGATGTCGAGCACTACCGCCCAGTGGCCTCGCAGGTAGCACCCGACGACCATCCGAAACATCTCCCACCGCACCGCCGGGTGCACGATACCGTTGAGCACCTGTCGGTCCTTCTTGCGTTCCTCGCTGTCCCCAAAGATGCGCCGCCCCAGCGCCGGCCGGTTGAGGGGTCTGCCCTTGCCGTCGGGACCGGTCTCTGGCATGCTCTCTGACGCCTCCACGAGAAGGTCGGGCGTCGTGGGACCAAAGTACCTCACGATTGCATTGTAGCCCTTGGTGCCGGGCTCCACGACCTGGCGCGCTATGACATCGGCATCCACGATAGGCAGGTTGTATGGGCCTGAAGCGAGCATCGACGAGACTGTCGACTTGCCCGTGGCAATCGAGCCCGTCAGTCCGATGAGAAGCATGGTTGGCGGTTGAATTTAAAGGATTAGCGTGATGAAACCCGGCCCCATATCCGTGATTGACATCCCGAAGTCTCCACAGCACGGAGTTGTAAAGGAACTCGATGGCTGACCAGCGGGACCGCTTTTCTCACAGATCACGTGAAAATACGAAAACGGAATAGCGCCATTCTGCTTCCACTTCACTATAAAATCTGGTTCTCTCTCGTACCGAAATCCTTTTCCCTTTCTTCTTCATCATCATGTAGGGTACAATTTACTTTGTAAAATGTACTTCAACGGCGGCTCCGCACTGCGGCTTGCTGAGGGTTATCCTGACCTCCTTGGATCTCCTTCCGTTCCCGGCCTCCCAGAGTAACGTGAACGCCTTCCTACCAGCCACTTGCGACCTCAGGTTTGTGACTGTGGGGTGTTCTCGACACTGCTTCGCTGGAATCTTCAGTATTTAATTGTGCCTTCGTAAATCGCTTTGTCGAACGGCCCCAAGGCGGGTCGCTTTCGCCTTCAGATGCTACGTGCATCGGCGAAGCTCTCGACCAACGTGTCTGGACGAGAATTAAATTTTCTCCGTCACGTCAGGTTTTGAGTCGCCTATGATCCGCGTTATTCCACGCGTCAAACCGAGCAATCCCGTCAGCACTGACGATTGCTTTGGTCTCACGTTTGATGAATCCGTATGCGTCCAGCTTCTCGCGATTTCATTGCTGAGGAACGTGCTTCAATATCATCTCAGCTCTACCTCAGATCGACGGGGCATGTTCGATTTGCCCCCGTGCTGAGTGGGTGTTTGCTTCAAAGATGCAGTGCATGGAATGCTATCAACCATGGTAGTTCCTGGCCATCACTACCCAAGAAGGCACATAGTAGAAATTGAACTGTCAAGCTAAATCCGTTCAGTCACCTTCCTTCCCGTTCCTTCGTTCAGAACAACGAGTGATTTCTGTCACGTGCCTTATCTCAGGGTCGGTGATTCCGGAGCGCACAGACCATCTTGCGGGTGGCTCCCAAAATTTTCTGAGTGGGAGACCATCATTGGGGTTCCCCGAGGTTCGGATCTTGCGACTTCAAGCCCGCCTTCGTCAATTCCCCATCGCAACCGCGCCCGGTTTCCCGCTGTCCACAACCATACACTCGCCATCATGTCATCGCTCTGGAACGCCTTCACCGGCGGCAACAAGCCCACTCCCCAGCAGCAACAGCAGCAGCATACCTCAACCCAAGAGCCCACACACCACCTCTCTTTCGATCCCTCGCAGGGCCAAGGCGTCGAGTCATTTTTGCAGAGCTCTGCCTTCGCCGACCCCTCACAACTACACCCCCTGGCTGGCCTGAACCGCGATACTCTTGAATACATCTCTCTCGAAGATTCGGCCCTGTCCGACCTGCCCGGCGGCCAATCCGTCCTGCCCTCGCGCGGCTTCACAGACGACCTGTGCTACGGCACCGGTATCACTTACTTGGCTGGACTGTCGATAGGAGGCGCTTGGGGTCTACAGGAGGGTTTGCGACGATCCTATGGCCAACCTCCTAAGCTGCGACTGAACTCGGTCCTCAACGCCGTCACTAGGCGGGGTCCCTTCCTGGGCAACTCGCTGGGTGTCGTCGCCATTATTTACAACTGCCTCAACTCCCTCGTTGGCTCCCTGCGCGGCAAGCACGATTCTGTCAACACCATTGTCGCTGGTGGCCTCAGCGGTATGGTCTTCAAGAGCACCCGCGGCCTTCGCCCCATGATGATTTCTGGTGGTATTGTCGCCTCTGTGGCTGGTGTCTGGGCTGTACGTACTCCTCGAATATCATATGCGCTTTCCCCCATTTATTGACACCCCTCTAGGTTACTCGACGATCCTTCTTCCCAGTCCCGGAGATCGCGCCGGTTTCTGAGGAGCTGCACTTGTAATAAAAATGATGATACGATATCAGCCGCTGGTAAGATGCCGGTTTGAGCGTTGTTAATTGCGGATACGTGGATGAAAGGAGCCATTCAATGACGACAGGGGATGGGACACCATTTCCCTTGTATATGCTGAGACTACAGCGTTGGGCGGAGTTTGGTAGCATGGTTAACGGACGATCTCTCCTCCCATGGGCACTGTATATTACATCGGGTTTGGTCAGCGAGCATTAGACCACGCAGACAGATGGGGCGGGCGTCTGGTCTGTAATGACAACACTTTTGAATTCAACCGTCAAGTGCGGCGTCGTTGATTAATCTCTGGAGCGACGCCAAGCCAAGGAGGCGCACTATCTGAGGTACCCCTGGGTTACAGTGGGCGGTGGGCGGGTTGAGGCATCTCCAGCTGCCAGCTCCCGGCTGCCAGTTGGCAAGTGTCAAGGCCACCGGGCACCCGCTGGCTGCTTCCCGCTACGGCTGGGCCATGACTTCCATCCCGTGGTTTGTTTGTTTATTTGTTTGTTTGCTTGACAGCAACGAGTTCCAGGCAGCACCTAGCTCAGGTGTAGCTTCCAGGTGAACGCCCAGTCGACTCGTCACATCCACAGCTGCTAGACCTCTAGACATCTTCCACATGCTGCCCATTTCAGTTCTTTGTATCATTCTCTGAATTTACCCCTTATCCTCGCCCCATGCCCTCGGCGATCCCAGACTCATGCAATGGCGGACGAGGCAACGGCCGCAAACGACGCTGGGACGAGCAAGCGCCCATACAATGCTGCAACTAGCCTGCCAACTCTCTTGCCTGCACCCTGCACCCCCGCGCAAGCTGACAGGGAGGATCAGTCTCGACAGATCGACCCAAGTCATGCTGGAACACCCGACCCGGAAACCCACCGCGAGAAAACTACTTCGAACCCATCCAAAAAGCCCAAGCGAGCCCAACAAACGACGGCCAAGAACCCGACTCGCCCTCCGAAGAATGAACTTCTAGACCCGAGGAAGTTCAAAGAAGAGATGGTCTCGTGGTGCCTTGACAACTGGGGGGCGCGAGCATACGTGGTCTACGAAAACGACCAACTCGACGGGACCAGCCTCTGGAGTCCTACCTTCGGGCAAGAGGGATCACCAGAAGGGATTACCATCTTTGATGGGTTTGACCGTACCTGGTTTGTCCCTATCGAGGATAGATCCCCACTTCCCTTATCCAAACTGCCCATCGCTGAGAGTCTTCAGAAGAGACAAGATGCCATGGTTGCCTTATCTTCTGGCGATGGCTGCGTTGCGCTTTACAACAAAGTCAGGATTTTTATGGAGCAAGAGGCCAGATCAATGTGCCAGAACGAATGGGATGGCAACAGGAATAAACCGAACCTACCCCCTATGAACTGGACAGACGTCAGATCGAAATTTAGCCTTCCCCTGATGCTCAGAATGATTGCCAAGACTCGCCTCATCGATGGAAGGGCGCTTCTTCCCGGATACTACCAAGTCAGTATTGTCGAGCTTACAACAGAGGGAAAGCTCATGGTACGACGCGTTAGCATACCGCCTGATGTGGAAATTGCAGGAGTCCTCCTCCGTCTTGACACTTGGTTTCCCGTGGATGACGAACAAACACAAGAGGTCTTCAAGGCGATCCGGAAGAAACTCAACATTGTCTTACAGAACGGAAATGATGCGGGCAAGAAGATGGCACAGGGGTGTCTGAGAGACCTCGAAAAGCCGTTGTACAATCCTGCCCGAGAGGGAGCCAAATGGGTCTTTAAGCTTCATTCGCGAGAGAACTACACAGTCCCGGTCGGCAAGGGACCCGGCAAGCTCTCTTCGTGGACAGATCTTAAAGATGAAGGTTCTTTAAATGTATTGAAAGAGGGAGTCTGTGCGGGGAGACACCCTGTTGTTATTCGGGTAAGTTGCCCCTTCGATCGGAGCTGAATGGCTTGTGAAGCTAACGGCGCCCAATAGTCCTGGAAGATTCAACTGCGTCGAATGTGGCCGCGAGTGGACGAGCTAGAAGACTACCTTCTGCCGACAACATATGGGGAACCAGAGCTTACGGATGAGCAACTCGATGTTCTGGACACCCTCCTAGCGGAGCAAACCGACGAGACAAGAGAACAGGGCCGACGCCTAGCGCGAGTGCTCAGCTGGCTGGATAAACCGACGTATCGTCTTGAGTTCGCCGAACGTGACGATTGTAACGATCTTGGAAAGGAAGGATTGGATGATGAGACTGTCGATGTCGAGGAGTAGAGTGTGTCAGGTCGGCTTGCTTGGGGATTATGGATGTGGAGTATTGTAACACAACCTTGTGGGCGGTGACAGAAAGCCCACCAAATGCTTGATGCTGTAGTGCTGTGGTAGATGCAAGAGAAGACAGCATAAAAGTCCATGTAGCATACCCGAAGTGTAACTGTGTGGAAGATGTTCTCGTTTTATTCTGTTTGTAGGACTGCTGCCAAGCCATGCTCACCTTCAGACCCCATGTGTCGAGAATAATCCCAACCCTCAACGCTCCTTCTACAACAACACTGCCGACACCCAACGACTGGTTACCATTACTCAGTTCTGAGCCCAAGGAACCGCCGCAGTTACAAACACCAAACTGGACCGGAATCATTGTCGGAAATGTGTTTACCGTGCTTCCCTTGGAGTTGGTCGAAATATGAAGACCCACTGGACAAGCTGGACAAGTTGCCCCAGCAGTCTGTTTGGGTGCACGATGGACACGATTGGGCACTGCAGAAAATAGTGAGTATATTTGTTTCTTTGGTTTCGTTTGGTTTCGCTTGGTTTCCATCTTTGCTTCTTCGGTCCATGTGCTTTTCTACAAAGGCGGCCCTGGGACTGGTGCACGTCTAATGGGCGTGCGCTGGTGAGTTCAGGGGCATTTTGTTGAGACGAAAGTGAATGCACTGCGAACAGTCAATGGCCACTCCGGGCGTCGCTTGCCAACTCCACCATTGCCAATTGGATTTTCCCGTTGGTGATTTGTTTGCGTCGCCTTGTTGCGCAGAACGCAGAACCTCGGCCAGAGACTTGAACACGGGGTTGCGAGTTCTTCAAATCTCCTCCCCCGAAGCCGCTCGCTCAACTTCAACCACCTGCATCCTCGGGAAGCACATCACCACTTCGCCTGCGCCCCCGAGACCCCGATTGCGAGGCATTCTTTCTTGAATCACGGCCGAAGTTGGGCTTCCTTCCCCTATTTATTCGCACGAAAACCCCAACATGCCCTCGACCCCCGGCGCAGGCACGACCGAGTTCAAGTCTCCAAAGACGCCTCGTCGCTACAAGACCCCGGAACCTCGCCAAGTGCACTTTGACGCGGACGACGCCGTGCCCTCATCCTACATCGACAAGCACACCACCTACGGCGGCAAATCTTCCGGCTTCACCACGGCCAACTCTCCCAGCGGCGGCTTCTGCAGCAAAACCAGCGGCATCCTCAAGAGCGGCGACAGTGAACCGGCCGATCCCACGCCGTCCAGCTTCCCCCAGGTTGGCCCTGCACCCAGCGGCCCCTTGCACTGGCATACAGCTGCCAACCCAACGCAGAGCATCAGTCACCAGCTGCCCAACACCTACAACTACGCCACGCCCCAGCAACAACAACAACAATTTCTCGTCGCCCCGCAGCAGTTTTCTCACCCTGCCTTCACGCAACAGACCGCACCAGTCACCTACATCGGCCTCCACCAGCAGCCAGGACAAGCAACCATGGGCGACTACCAGAACTGCGCACCTCCCCCTATGGGGGTTCACTTCCAGCCTCCCGTTCCTGACACGACGTTTGGCCCTATTCCTCACGTCTACGTGCCTCGCTTTGACGGGGGCCTCATGCCTGGTGTCCAAGTCGGTCTCCCTCTTGTCCCTTTTCTTTCCAGCCCCACGTATCCCGCTGCCTGCACAACCGTGGTGCTACCAAAGACTTTTTATTTGAATGGTTACACCTACTATGCAAGTAGAGCGGCTGGGTTCCGTTCCGTCGTCTGGTTTTAGATCTGCCGGTACCTGCTTTGGCAGTGCTCTCCTGGATCGAGTGGTCTAGCGAGCTTCACTTTGCAGTCACTTTGCGTTCACTCCATCAGACCCATTTGCTAACTTCGACTTTAGCAGCCAACCGTCGGCATCGGTGCTATGCCTCCCCAGGCTGCACACGGTAGCTATGTTGTCGCCCAGCAACCGTGCCTCGTCCAGCAGCCCGTCATGGGTCAGCAGCCCGTCATCGTGAACGGCCAGCCGGCTTTCGTGCCCCAGGTTCAACACATGGCGGGTATGCCCCCAGTCGGCTTGTCGGCGGGCGGTGCTGCCGTCACTTCAGGATTCCCCGTCATTGCAGGTAATACTGGTCACATCCCCGACGTTTCTGGGCTGGGTCGTACGTCTGGTGAGGAGGCTCTCCGTCAGATCAAGTTTGCGCACTCCAACCGTCTCTATGAGCCCCAGGACTTCAAGCCCTCTGATGATGACCCTTCCCGTTTCTATTTTGTGCGCGAGGTTGACGGGAACTGGACCCAGCGCAACCGTTTTTCTATTGATCACATGGGTGACTGCCGTTGGTACGTGACCGACGAGGGCTGGTTCTACGCCGTGCGACTGCCATCTTAGTCGTCGAAGACCATTAGGTGAGTTCAAGAGTTTCTGTCCCACTGTCGGCTAGTGACTAATGTATAACCACAGAGACACATGCCCATCCCATGGGTTTCACGAAATTGAGCCATCCCTCTTTGTGTGATACTATACATGTAAGCTATGGAAATTCAGCCTTGAGGACGTGAACTAATGACATCGCATAGTCTGTTTTCCTCCCAGTTTCTCCATTCGATCAATTCTCTCAACTCCGAAACTTCAATTTCCACTTGATTTTTTCAGGCATGTTGTGCGACAGGGGAAAATTCTTGAAGGTTTAGACTAACTTGTTGGTTTAGGACGATTACTTCTGATCACACAGCATCGTACATCGACCAAGGGATCGGATGGTTTATTGGTAATGACGGCTGAAGTGGGAGGACTTGGTCAAAATTGGTTGCAGGGAATGATTTCATGATTTGGCTTGGGTCACTTCCCAGAAAAGTTGCCTCGGTTTCGGAGGCTAATAACCCTAGCATTGAGGAATAGGTCTTGCTTAGACAATGCTTCACCTTGCTTTGGCTTCGTGTTTAAAGAGGCTTTTTGTTGACCATGATGGATCAAGTCGTGTCGTCCAATGTTGGTGCGGCTCAAAATGGACCCTTCCAGAGACTTTTTGCTGGCTAGCTGTTGGCGGAGGCCGTGCACATCCTCGGTAATTGCATCATCCCACATGGTTACAGCGGTAGGCATCAGATGATCTCAAACTACTCCGTACCTCTATGTACCATGAAAATACCCGCCGTTTGTGGATCAAACCCACATACCCTATACTCACTTCGGGATTCTTTCAGTTATCACGATATGTAGAAGAAGTCGTGTGGTCTATATGACGTGCTTGAGAGCATTGGTATGGTAATTGGGCATCGATGGAGAAAATTGAACCGAGAGAGGTTTACTACTTGCATGATGGGCGTATTGCGTGCGGCAAATAGACTCGTGGCAGAAGTCTGTCTGGGATTCAGCTGTCTGTGTTAATTCTCAGGTGAGAGAGCCTTGTCGTACTCCAGCCAGTTCGAATAGGCCAACGTGACTAATTGTCTCGGAAATAAGAGATAGTAATTTAGTGTCCCGGAGCTTTAGTGTTAGGAACTCAGAGAGAAGGGGGGAGTTGACCCGGAGAACTTGGACACAAGGACACCGAAGAGAAACCGGGGGAATCAAGAGGAAGACATTCCTTCTTGACGTATCAGACACTTGGCTGACCATTTTCCATAGAATTGCAACCCCTCCCGATCAGCCCTCCTTTCGCCGCGCCGAATCCCAGCTCAACGACAACGCGGTTGACCAGGTGGAGAACCTCCCGGCGTAGAAATGATGTATTCGGAGTGGGAACGATGCATTATAGTTGGAATGGAGCACTTGTATAGCTGTAATAAATTTCTATGCTGCTTGCTCTTTGCAAACCTTAGCCCACATGACAAGCTTGCGCTCAATGTTGATTTGAACTTGGTCATATTGTGAGGTACTGAATGCCCCTGAACTGGTCGGTTGCACTTCCAGGGGTTCTTTCGGATCTTTTAACCGTCGCTGTCGCAAAGTGTTTACTATTCCTGGCAGCTCCACTTGAAAGCAAGACTCAATATTTCGCCGTAATCTAAAACGATTCTCTCAATTTTATACTTCACCATGCTATCTGGGGCGACCCTTTATGGTTAGATGTCCTGTATACGTAAACAACTCCAGTTTAATGCAATTCCGAATCCGACCCGGTTACCCTTTTTTTTTGTGCGTTTTGATCGCAAGCATCAAACGCCCCTGATATTGTGTCCTGTACATTCCACAAGATATTGCCAAAGAACATAGAAAATGGCAGAAAGAAAAAAAAGAAGCCTGTCTCAGGCAATGACCCCTGCAAAGTCCTGTTTGGGCAGATCAGGGATACATAGAGTCACCCCTCTGGAGCAACGGCCGATGGTCCCAGGTGTCCTCATCGATGCTCTCTGCGTCGTCGACATACTCGTCATCCTCATCGCCGTATACAATTCCGGGTTCGTCTTGCTTGCTGTAGATGAAGTACTGGGCAAAAACTCCAAAGTCGAGGAATAGCGTGACAAGGCTGCCGGCGAGCCAGCTGAGATTAACGAGGATATATCGTCCGTAAATATGGCTCGCTTCGCCAGGCGCACAGATCTTGTCGGCACACTTGGGCTCGTAGGCGAAAATCGAGAGGACGTAGGTAATATTGCCGAGGCAGGCGAAGAGGAAGAAGAGCATGCTAAGCCCTTCGGTCGTCTTGCGACGCCAGTTCAGAATCAGCTGAGGCAGGCGGGAGGCAATGTATGAGACGGTGCAGAGGTAGCCAAAGAACTGGCCCAGGACATTGAACTTGAGGTCCTCGCCCCCCCTTGGCGCATCTTCGTTGTCTTGTGAGGGCTTGTGGCCGAGGAACCACCCAAGAACGCCGGCGGCACAGACCATCAGTACGACAATGGAGTTCCAAAGAATCGTCTGCAGAGCAGTAGGCGCCGCGGGCGGGGCGGGAGTCTCCGGAATATGGGAGACGGCAGGGGAAAGGCCAGACCAATCTGAGCCACGGCGATCACGAAGGTTATTATGAGCCAGAAGACCGGAGCGTTCGTTGGGTTCGCCGCGGGCCGGGGCCGCCGGTTTCGGAGCCGTGGGTGGAGGGTCGCGCCATGTGAATCCGCGGTAATAAAAGCATTGGCATAGCAGGACAATGTCGGCGATCGTGTAGTATATAGCGAGGATGATCTGGAGAGTGTTGGAGTTAGTAATTGATGAAGGGTTGGAATGTGGCTTGTGTCGCGTGGGGACTTACCATAGTTGGCAGAACACCTTGCAAGACGGCTCCAAGGATGTTGAAGACATCGCCCAGCAGCCAGACGATGATGAACTGGATCGAGAGAGCATCGGCGCTTCGGCGTTGGAAGTTTTGGATGATTTGCGGAGAAAAGACAACGACTGCGCGAGGGCATTAGCTGAGGATGTTGCGAAGGGAGGGACCGGAGAGTAGACGTACCCCAGCAGGCAATGGAGATGGAACTGATGGTAAAGAGAGCAAAAGGTCAGCTGATGCACCCTTCAAGAAACCCGGCGACTTCCTTACCCGCAGATGCCCGAGATGGCCTCGACGTCGAGGTGGAGAGTCTGGGTCGGTGGTATCATGACGTGAGTGATGGATCCAGTTGGGACCCTGGGTCAAAGATTGCAGAGAGAGAGGTTCCCCCCAGTAAAGAGATGGTGCAAGTGCAGCCAGGAGAGAGAGAAGAGAGGAGAGAATCGTGCGTTTTCCCAGCGCGTCCGTCACGATGCTAGGAAATCCAACTGATGCGATGCCAATGGTGATGCAAACCCAAGGAGAGAAATGGCGACGTGAAGGAAAACAAGGGAGAGTTGGGAGATGGGTCTGACTCGCCGGAAAACGGGGGGCAAAAAAGACTTTTTTTGCCAATGGCGCGTTGGCGGTACATTTTTTTCCCTTGCAAGCTTCCAGAAGCGACCCACGTGCCCCAAATATAGTTGCAGAGCTGCAGTGCAGACGTCACTGCAGTAGGCGAATGCGGGGGAGCAGCCACTAAAGAGGTGCCCTGGGCACCCACCAGAGGAGCCCTGGGAGCCTGGGAGGCCCTTGGAAGGGCGCTGAGGGTGCTGTGGATGTTTCAATCAAACATCCGTCAGATCATAAGTTGAATACTGAGTCTCTGAAGCTTATTATTATTATGCTAGACATTAGGTAAAGCACTTGTTATAATGCAACATAACTTCTGCATGAATTAATATGCATTTTTCGACTTTACGAGGCGCGGCGCTTCGATTTACCGTTCTTGCGCCAAGTACGGTCCCTGACCCGATCCAGGGTGTGCCGGGCTCGGAGCTGCGCCGAAAGCTGGGAAGATGTACCGGTAACTTAGATCGATGGAGATTCTGGATTCGGAATGGCCCTTGCATTTTCTTAACGCCATGGGTTTTGACAACCCACCAACAGCCAAGCCCACCAACCTGGGCAACCATCAACGCAGATGTATGTGTATGTACTGCGAGCATGTGGGAGGCTTATGAGATACAGCAGACGACTTCTCAATTGGAGATTGACCTCGGGTGGCGCATCACACCATCTGGTGCGTTGCACTCGAATTCTTACTGTTGGTAGGCTGGCTACCTAAGTAGGTCCTTGATTGGTGCAGTGACAAACCACAACTCACGGCGGACATCTCCATCGCTCAACTCCGCTCCGCAATGAAGCATATTCGCATCTGGGAATAAGAGCAACGCATCCGCCAAATTCCGGGTCGCCTTACTCATCGCCACCCATCTCAGCTCAGTTTGTTCGGCCATCCCACGCTTTTCGTTTCTCCCCCCCCCCCCCATGCCAAACTACCAGTTAAACAGTCCAGATGCCTTAGTTAGTGCAGGTACTCCATCCAACCCCTCACCGCCCACCACGCCGCACCAATCCCAAACCTCGGCATCTCAGGTACCTCACTAATCACTAATGAGAGGTCGCCAATTTGAATGCCCCAAAGTAAACGCCCGCCAAAGCCCAACGGAGCCCCCGGATTTCGGAGTACCTGGGGCCGAATGCGGTTCAGGTCGCCTTGCTGTCGCTCACCTCTCTGTCGCTCACCTCTCCGAATCCCACTCTTCTTCTCACTGCCCGAATACTCACTCGCACGCACACAAAAAGAAACAACTCCATCGTTGAAGCCAAGATATTCCCTGGCATCTCCGTATTCCCCGGCATCTCCACCTTCACCACATCCGGCGAGCTATTCTGTCTCCGCTACATCCGTGCAGTGCACCGTCGTCTCACCGAGACATTCTGTCCAGCCACATGCCCGCCGCCGCGCCGCCGCCACCTCTGCTGCCCGAGCTCCCGGCTCTGCAAAACGACGACTCGATGCTGACTCGCCGTTTCGGAAAGGAGGTCGTCAACTACTATGCGGGTAGCCGCGTGAACCGCTACTCGTTCCTTCGTGCCGATGCCGCATTCCTACGGAGAGCTGCCGCCAGCCCCACTGCCCGTTATCTGGCTCTCGACGATCTGAATGCCCTCGTTGTGGACAAGACATCCCTATCCTATCTCTCCTTTGAGGATGTCAAGTCTCTAATTGGTCCAGAGCCCTTCCACCTCCCCGAAGACGAGTCCATCAAGGCTTTCGACTCGGCCCAGACCGCGCCCCTCGTTGTCTTCCTAGGCATGCTGGAAGAGGGCAGCGAGCCGGGTCACATTGAATCTGGTGACCATGGCGATATCAAGGGCCAACCCTACTTTGCCATCGACATCACCGCCAAGGGCACCCATGCCGACAAGGCCACCGAGTTCCTCAAGTCCCAAGAGGCGAAGGGCCTCTCAGTAGATAAGAACCCGAGGGGAATAACTCTTCACCCTGAAGCAGGTACGGTTGAGTGAATCCTGTCTCACCATGGCTCTCGCTAATTGTTGTTCAAGCCGCCCTGTATGCCCAGGCCAGATCCATGATTGACTGGAATGCCCGAAGCCCATTCTGTGCTGGTTGCGGAAACCCGAACCTGTCCGTCCATGCTGGCTACAAGCGGGTTTGCCCCTCCACAGACAAGAAAGGAGGTTCCGAGGCGCAGTCTCGGGGAGACTGTCCCACCCGTCACGGTGTCTCCAACATTTGCTTCCCTAGAACGGACCCAACCATGATTGCCGCTGTCGTTTCCGCCGATGGCCAACGAATTCTGCTCGGACGCCAGAAGCGCTGGCCTCCGTACTGGTACAGCACTCTCGCCGGCTTCCTGGAGCCAGGCGAGTCCATCGAGGAGTCAGTGAGACGCGAGGTTTGGGAGGAGAGTGGCGTCCGTGTTGGTCGAGTCGTCATCCACTCTAGCCAGCCTTGGCCCTACCCCGCCAGTTTGATGATCGGTGCCATTGCGCAGGCGTTGCCCGGAGATGCCGAGAATATTATCCTGAATGATAAAGAATTGGAGGTGGCCCAGTGGTTCACCATGGACGAGGTTCGCAAGGCGTTGGAGTTTGGCACTAGCGGTCTAGGCGCCGCTGCTCCTGAGGGCTACACGGAGGGCGACCTGCGTCTGCCACCACCCCAGGCTATCGCCAACCGACTGATAAACGCCGTGGCCGAGGGCTTTTTGACTACGGCCCCGAAGATCTAATGAGAAATGCGAGAAATGAAGGATGTATAGGTACTTCAAAGAAGATACGATGATCATCCCGGGGGGTTGACACCATACGATGAGACACATAGACAATAGAGAGTATTGAAGCCCGTGACAGTAGTCTGAAGTTTGAACTCATATTAAAAAGTCTGACCTTTGAAGACAAACAAGATTATCCCCAGCCGCAAGTGGGAACATGAAGATAGGGTTGACTCGGGACCTTGGGAATGGAAGAGCAATTCTGGAGCCCAGAGACAGGAGATCTAGGGCTTCTCAATTCATCCAACTAGCAAGGGAAATAGAGCAATAGGAACTACCACGACAGCTTGGATCCCAGAACAACACAAAGCAAAAGGGGTTTTTGAATCATAGAATAAAAAAGGCGTGTACTTCTCAGGATTTGGGAAGAGGTACTGGTTTAAGTAGTACCCGGACAGCTGTTGGTCCGACTCCCATCAACCCCCGTGTGCCTATCAGCCCCATCACCAACTCGCGAGACCACTACACGCCGACAGATCCAACCCTTCTGGACATATGACTTTAGCATTTTCTTATCCCGTTGATGCCGATCGCTACAGCGGACAGAGTGACAAGAGTTGCCAAGAATCATTGTCTCCATCCTGTCTGTTTTTAACATGCGACAAGGAAGGCGAATCAGACGAGATAAAAATGCGTGCCATCTGGAAATTGTGGCTAGTACCAAGTTCAAAAACCAACATTCTTGGTGTCAGTACTCAATAATCAAGTGCATCAGTTTCAATAGTCTCAATGCTGGAAGACGTAACCAAATTCTCAAGGACCACATGGCTGCGCCACAGCTACTGATACATGGCCTCAAGCGAAAACTCTTCAGTCGTGCATTGACCTCTAGAACCGGCGTATCACATATCTAAAGGGTTCCGCGCCGAGCTACACACTGGAGTGACTGATAGGAAGCTTCCCAGTGTATTAAAATTGTTAGATGTGCAAAATGATCCTTGGTGTGCACGTTCGTCGTTCATCCACGGCGAATATCAAGGCCCAGCCCGGCTTCCCGAAGCCATCAAACAAGTGTCACGCCCGGTTAGCTCAATCGGTAGAGCGTGAGACTCTTACGAGTGCGCGATCTCAAGGTTGCGGGTTCGACCCCCGCATCGGGCTTTTCCTATATTTCGATTGCGAGCGTTTGCGAGGCTTTCTTTTTTGGCCTCTCTTCTTCTTCTTTTGTGCAAGCTAAATTAATTCTTCACACGATTGGTGTTCAAGCCCAAGTTAGAAATGAATTTGCCACTAACATTAAATCTTCTTCGGATCAAATAATAAATACAGCGAGTATGTGAATATGATTTGCTTCTTCTATTGTGAACTCCCTGAAGAACGTATTCCTCGCTCGTATTCAACTTACAGCAAAACTGGGTATACTTGGGCGTCCTTATGCCCAGTCTTCTCTGCTCTTCTTACAAAATGGGTATCCGGCTTCTCCCTCTCTAAATCTCTCTCATAGTGTCTTAGAAGAGACCCTTCAGAATGCGCTTAGGCAGGCTGGCCCAGGTCTTCTCCTCCACAGGCTCCTCCTCTTCCAGCAGCACAATGCCGGCCATGATGTCCATCTCGTGGGCCTTGACGTACAGCTTCCAGTCCTTGGTGTAGATCTTGTAGCCCAGGTAGAGCGCAATGATGATGGGGGCGGCCAGGAAGGACATGAAGAAGTCCTCAGCATCCGGGGGAGCACCGCTCGGGCTCTGTGAAGATCGTTAGCCATGCTATTTTATTTCAAATGGGGTGGGTATGATGAAACTTACGTAAAGAGAAGAGTAGAAAGTAGCGATCAAAGCGAGGACGTTGAGGCCGAGACCGACCCAACTGCCAATGACGCCAAAGGGAGTTCGGTAAGGGATCAACTTCAGGTTCACGCCCTGGGCGGCGAAGCCAGCGCGCATTCGAATATGAGTCAGGCAAATGCTGCCCCAGACGAAGAGGAAAGCGAGACCAGAAAGAGCGAGAAGCCAGTTGAAGACTTCCCCGCTCTTGGAGGACTCTCCGATGTAGGCGAGAAGGCCAAAGGCAAGCTGGATCAGAACACACCAGAGCGGGCGACCCTTGGAGTCAATGTACATCAGGAACTGGGGGGCATGGCCACGCTCGGCCATAGCCTGCATCGTTCGGGTAGATCCAAAGGTGCAAGAGTTGGCGACGGAAAGGACTGAAATGGTAATGACAGCGTTGAAGATGGAGGGCAGAACCTTGATGCCGGCGTCCTGAATCGCCATGACGAAGGGAGAGTACTTGGTGTTAGCACCGCTGGAGTTCATGAGTCTGGGGTCATCGCTCCTGAGGAGAGTTCCGACGATGAACAGGTTGATGACGTAGAAGAGAGCGATACGCCAGAAGACCTGCTTGCTAGCAGTGGGGATGGACTTGCGGGGGTTGGCAGACTCGGCAGCAGCTAGACCAACCATCTCGGTACCACCAAAGGCGAAGGCAGCCACGACGAAGACAGAGCAGAAACCCTTGAAGCTGGTGAAAGCACCAGGATCGTGCCAGGTCTTGACGCCGAGATATCCTTGGTCACCGACACCACCGCAGTTGATGATGATACCGAGGATGATGAAGCCGATACAGGCCATGATCTTGATGATAGACAGAACGAATTCGACTAAGGAGGGTGTTAGTCTTACTTTCTTTGATCTCCCACAGGATGGAGTTTCTTACCTTCTCCGTATCCCCTAACACCAAAGATCTGGACAATGATGAGGGCAACGAGGAAAACAGTGACCCAGACAGCCATGTGAATATCCGTTCTCCAGAATTCAATGGTGATACTGGCGGCGATGAGTTCGAAGGGGAGAACAGTGAGCCAAGACAGAGCGTATTCCCAACCGACAGCGAAGCCCCACGAGGGATCGACGAAGCGGACAATATAGGTATAGAAGGCACCGTTGACGGGGTAGAGGACGGCCATTTCGGCCAAAGCCATAGTGGTGAGCAGCAACATGAAACCGATGATGAGATCTAGATGGCTGGGTTAGTTGTTTCGTTCGGGACCCGGTGGAAGGGGTAAATTCTTACAGCCTGATGAAACATTGTTAGCAACCGACACTCAGGAAGGGGTTTTTGCAATTCGATTGTCTTGAATTGTCTGGGCAGGGTTCTTACAGATAACCAGAGATCCGGGACCACCCTTCTGCAGGGCGCCACCAGAACCGACGAAGAGACCGGCTCCGATAGCACCACCGATGGCAATCATCTGCATGTGTCGGTTCTTGAGGTCTCGCTTGAGGCCACCCCCGTGGGTAGAGCCAGCTTCCACATCGTGGGGGTGGGAGTCGACGACGGCCTCCTTCTCATACTCCTCCTTAGGAGGCGGGGTGCTGCTAGACATGTTGAGGTGGTGTTTCCAGGAAGTGTCCTGTACGTGTTGAGTGATTGTCGAGGATGAAGAGCTTGGCTTTCTGAAAGAGGTGGGCGATCCGAAGCCTTATGTATGCGTTCGACAAGCTGTCCGAATGGGGACCAGGCAGACCAGGTAAGGAGGGAGGCTCCTGTGTCCCAGGCTATACCAACTACATGGATGGGGTTCTAGAATTGGGCTTGGGTGGTGGCAGCGTAGCGTCCCATGGTTGCATCCGAGGCGACTCGAGGATGGCAGCCAGGCCAGGAGACCCAGTTGGGTTCGTGGTGTGTGACCAGGGAGCCTGGCAGTACGACCATTGACCGGGGGGCGTCCACGCATCCCTTGTTCGCAGAGTCTATCTCTCCAAGTGAATGGATTCGTATGGGTAGTCTGGGCACGTATGGAGCTAGTCTCGGAGCCGGTCCATACTAAGGCGCTACCGGTATGGAGCAACAGGCGCTCGCGCCGTATCAGGTGGGGATCTCCAACAGCTTACACATGTACACAGCACATAGTCGCAGTGTGGGATAAGCAGTGGCTTCGTCGCTATCTCGGTGCCGCACGCGATGGAGGCTCGATGGGTAGACTAGTGTATTTCAGCCGTCTCGGCATGAGCGAGTGTTCGAGAGAGCCTTGTCTTGAAGCGCACCCTTCCTGGCATGGTGCCATGGCGTCGGGCCATAGTCGCCGGATGTCTCCCGGTCCTACAAGTATTGGCCACGCCGAGGCTGGATTCTAGCTCTGGGGAGGAATGCGGCGAGTCCTTATCAGGCTTGACGATTCGCGCCAACCGTATGTAGACGATAGGCATCTCGTTGATTGCCCACGACAAGCAGTGTTTGCCATGGTTCTCGAGTCCTAGAGGGTGTGTGTCCTCGCTGAGGGTGTCCATCTCCCGGTGGACTGTCTCAGGCCTCGGGTGGTTTACGGCGTAGGCCGTTGGGGGGAGAACTTGAGAAGGCCTCGCTCGGGCGCTGTCTCCCTTGCAGCCTGCCTGCCGTTGTTGCCTGTGCACGACTCTGGGTGGTACAGTAGGTGAAGTAGTGTCACTCTGGTACGGAACATGCCCGGGGTAAGGTTGGTGGTACATGGGATTCGTGCGCAGGGCCCCAATGCCGCCATGACGACTGCGCAGTGCCGTAGGTAGTTGTTTGACTGGTGTCCGTCGTACTTCCGCACGGCCGCGAATAACAACAAAGTGGCAGTAGAGCGGCTGGTGAATCCTGCCGGCACGACGGTGTATGCCGGCTCCGGCGCGCTAAGCTTTTGAATATGGCCACCAGGGCGAACTAAAGCCAGCCCAGCTGCCCGAGTAACCTGATGTCAGAAGCGCGGCGATGAAGTCTACTGGGTGGATTGGCTCTGCACACAAGCCGCGGGTGGGACGACAGATTAGCACTCGGCGGGATTTGGGATGCAGGTTTCACTACCTAGGTATGATTGGGTCCTGCCGCCCCTGCGCGAGCTCCGGGTGGGCTCCAGTAGCTGCAGGTGGGCTCCTGGTGGATGCAGCGCGGGACGTGCATCGACAATGTCCCCCAGGAAAGAACGCAATGAAGCATAATGCTAATTGCCCCCCCCCCCCCAGTTGCACTTGCCCCAGTTGTAGCCGTTTCTCCCCCCTTGGGAAGGTCCAATTGGCTTGCCAAACCCAAACCCAAGGCTTCCGTGCCTGCGACGATACGCAGGAAGTTTAAGCTGGGCTCGATTGGGAAGGTCTTCCGCGAACCTCGACTCGTCGTCGACCATCTTTCGCCCGTCTCACGCGTCTCCCACCCATCGCCCGCCCCTCTTCGCCCACTTCAACCCCCGAATGCGGGACGGGGAGTCTTCTCACAGCGGTCCATTCGGGCGCCGCAACCGTAATCCTACTCTCTACCGACCGGTCGCGCGTGTTCAATTTCCCTGGATGCCGGTCGTTGCAAGCGACGTCAATATCGAAACTTTGACGTTGCAAACCAACAGACTCCCGCCAAGATCGTCGAGCCGTGCCTTGCAGACCAAGACACTTGGCATCTAGATACCCGGCTGGGCGGTTGCCAAGTCCTAACGCACAGCCTTGTTGGAGATGGATCTGCACGCGTCCATCCGCCGCCTCGAACACGCCTCCAACGCTATCTCACCTGTCGTCTCGCCGTCTCGCTGCTCACGAGGCTCCCCCACACGGTCAGGCCGCCAAGCGCCCGCCCGGCTTGCCTCTTCTTCCCCTCCCTCCCCTCTCGCCCCTCCAAGCCAGCATCTCACGTACAGTAGCTCCCTTCCGCCAAGTTGCCTGGGCCCATGGTGTGGTGGTGTGGGCCCCTGGAGGAACAGGGAACACCGTTAGCCTTTGCGCTAGAAGACTTCTAGACTCTCCGCCGTGTCATCCGAATGACTTGGAGTCCTAGACTCCTTATCAATGCGACTGCTACTTGATTGGCCGCCCAAAACTCGGTCCACCGCAGAGATAACCAAGGCGGATACAAACGGATATTGAATCTGGCACTGTTTTCGCATCCTAGCATGCTGACAGGGGCCTCGTTGTCCTTCCTCTCCTTGCTGGTCGTCACTTGGAGAGACGCCACTAGGATCACACTTCTTACAGCGCTGGCGCGTCATATCCGATTGGCGCCATCCTCGACAGAGGCTGCACCAACATATCTTCGGCGACGCCTTGATTGGGCCACTGACCTAAGTGGCGGCACAAAGGGTATGAGGCGACCTCAAGCCCTTGCCGCCCGACGAACGTCGTTTGACAGGGACGCAAGCTTGCCGCAACTCGCCAGGTCTACGATCGAAGCCATCTATCACATCCCTCACCAGATGCGCGGGACGTATTTTACAGCCAAGCCTTGGTTCATGAGGCTCAAAGTCTGGGCAAAGACTTGGCTCTGGGGTTGGATGCAAGATCCTTAATCAGGCCCGGGCCCCAAGGTTCCATCGCATCTCAAGATATCCCCAGACTTTGGCTGAATTTTGTGGTTTTTATTACGAGACAAAATCCACCCCCAGGAAATCTATCCAGATCGCTCCCCGTTCTCGACCACGGCGCCCCTTTCGCCACGAGCATGGGAACACGAGAGAACCACCGTGCTTCTCGCCAGTCTGTCTCGAGGCCATGGAAAGTACGTAATCCCCCAGAGACCGCGACTCCAATCAGTCCCTGTGTACTAACCCTTTAAAGAAGGTGGATACAGTCGACGCCTCGAGGGCCTGAAGGTGCGGAGAAACATCCTCATACGCTCTCCACTGGCCCGGGGGCCGCTCATCAGCTCCAATATGGCATGACCCAGATCCAGCGTGTGATCGCCGCGCATCCCTGCTACCTGCAAACGGCGAGGCGTCAAACTTGAAATGTCCGTTGGGGATAGCGTGCCGTGCTCATTTGCGGATATCATCGCTTTTGAATTCCAACCATGATGCCCCCTCGCTCACCCTACCCCCCCCCCCTTTGCAACGTTGGCAAGCCCAGGTCCCTTTGGCTGCGTGACATCTCGTTTGCGACCGGGAGACGGATCAGCAGGTGGGTGGCAATGGATCCTATTGTTAGCACTCCCGGCGACTCGCATCGAACCATCAGCTTCCTCAATCGTCCTGGGCCCATGGATAGTCTCGCAGCCTCGCTTCTGCTTCTCATCGTGTCAGACCCGCTAGATCGCATGATATACTCCGTAGCTTGTCCAGCTATTTCGCATCGTTCGGTTCGCAGCTGCTCAACCCTCTCCACAGGGGCCCTGCATGCTAGCTTGGAGACCAACTCTTTTGAGAATCGCCGCGGGAACCATCACAAGCAAGCTACAGGGCTTGCTCACTCTAAGCCCTGGCCAGAGGCTATCGTCATCCCTCTTGCTCCGTTAATACTCCACATACATTTATCTGCCTCCCTATTGAGGTGTAGTCAATAGGTCTCGCTTCGTAGGTCTATTTCGCTCACTATTGTTTCTCCATCTCAGCATACTCAACGCCGTCCACCTGAGGAGCTGGTAGCCATTCGACATTTCCTCGCTCATACCGCGCCAGCCATACAGCGTCTCCGTTGACAGTCTCCAGTGCCTCTCGCACCTGCTTATTACGTTCAAGAGCCTCTGAGAGTAGATCTAGAACGTCGTCGAACATCTCCTCGTCCACGTGAACATGCAACACCATGGCCGTCAAGAGCCCTACCGTCGCTTCCCAGATTTTGGCCGGAGCACCAAACTGCCCCAAGCCACCAGAATATGAACCGACTCCCTTTCGTAACGCATTGCCGCCACGGAGGCCATCAGAGCCACGGAATGGAATCAATATTTGCGTACTGTCAGATGCCGGGCCCGTAATTTTGCCATGATCCCCGTGGGGTCTGGGGCGGCCCGAAGCGCTGGAAGCTTGGCGCTTTGCCTTACGACACCAATCCCTGAGCCAGTCACGCCATTCTGTCTTGAACCGAGAGGCAAGGAAATCTCCTGCGGCAGCGCAAAGTCCCGAGAGTGCATAGCATGCCTCGATCGCGATGAATGCCTCGACATCATGAAGTCTGTCCACAACAACCGGCCAGATAGCATTGACGAGTGGCAAGAATGCCTCTTCGTCGGGAGCCAGGGCCGCGGATGCGGTGGTGAGCAGTTCTAGCAACGCTCTCCGCAAAGTTGGCGTGGGAGACGTGAGGTAGTGCTGGGTCAGGTTTGCCACGCGCAACAGCAGCTGGTAAGTCGGCGAGTTTGGGGGTTTCTCTTCTTCCGGCGCATCCGGGGTGCTTTCCCCCGGGCCCTCTCCCTCCTCAGACTTCCAAGGTGTTGTTGGGTGCCCAGTTTCCTTTTCACCCTTGTCACGCTCCGCCTGTTCCTTTCTCTTTGCAAGGGTTTCCAGAAGACTCGAGATTCCATTCACCTTTGTAGGTTCTTTCCGGTGGTCTATCTTTGCCTTCTTCTGGTGCTCTAGGAGGAGCATATCCGACTTGACGCCTTGGTCAACCACCTCCTTCAGTACCGTAAAGAGACTCTCCACAAATACGGGATACCCGTGGTAGTTTTCAAGTGCCCCAAAGACTGATTCAATCACATCATCAAGATACGGTACCAATCGGGGTCCCGCAAGTCTTATCATCATTGTCAAGACATTGATGGATGCTGGTGAGATATCAAGTGTATTCAGCCTAAGTGAGACCGAGTTAACCATGTAGTCGACGTTGTCGATGATCAGCTCAGAAACGTTTGCATATCCGCAAGATGTAGCAAGACTATTCAGTGTAATCATGGAATGTTTTTGTAGGTGCTGGTTTTTGGAGCCCAGAAACGTTGCGATGGGGAATAGTACATCGATGAGCTCAGGGCGAAATGACTTCCCAGCCTTTTGGGCTGTGTAAGCCGTGACTTCAAGAGCGAGAGCTTCCAAGCGCCAATCAGCGGGTTCCGCATCCGAGTGGCGGTCCAGAATTTGCACTGAGGTCGAGTAAAGCTCGTTGAAGACGACATCAAGCTCCTCCGGTGATTCAGCGAGGGAGGACAAATCCAAGAACATCTCATCTTCTGCAGATGAAGCATGGCTTCCCTTGCAGAGCTGGAAGCAAAGCCAGAACGAAGCGACTTGGCCAAGGGGGCTCGACTCTTGCACTTGCTCCAGCATGCTGCTTGCAAGCCTTGATTGTTGCGAGGAAGATCCAAGGAATCCAAGAAGAGACATCATTTCACTCCGTACTCTCTTTTGACTTTCGGCAGGTAGCAAAACCGGCGGGTAGTCCAGGTCCAGGTGCTCAGCTGTAGAATCGTTTCCGCCGATGAGTCGTATATTGATATTCTGATCCAGCTGCGTGGACTTTGATGCTAGAACAACTGAAACCATGCTGTCCGTCAGTGTGCTCGATATTGAATCCTCTAGGGTAGAAGATTCAATTTGTAGACCCTTGACAAGCTCAAGCCCCTTCAGAAGGTTGTGTATGGCTTGTTGCTTTACATCTTCATCGCCTGCTTGCATTATTCGGGGGAGACTCGACATCCAGTTGTACGTCGTTGTTTTGACAGTCTCGCCAAGCTCTGGGTAGATGCTCACGAGGTGCTGCAAGCTCGTTTCGGTCCAAGAAATCTTGGCCCCACCCTCATCCAGAATCATCGCCGTCTCGACCAAGAATGTTGAGCTGTTTTCCAATGTCTTGTGACACTCGTCTAACAGAGTAACGCACAATTTACTCAATGCGCTCCTGACTTGGGTTGAATCCTGTGTCCGCAATTTCATGATTGTTGAAAGAGCCCGTTTAACTTGCGTGGATGTGGCCTTGAGCCAGGCGGGAGATAGAGATTTTCCTTTCTGTGCTGCGTCTGTTTCCGACTCGGCTTTGGCAAGTATGGATCTGTTTCTTAGGTCGGAGAGCACACGGGTCAACACCAGTCTCACAGTGTCGATACATTTTGCAAGAACATTTTTCTTGTATCTGGCAGGCGTGGATGATACCTTGGCGAGAGACGATATCGTGCCGGGGAGGAAACTAGCCAACGCCTCATGCTCCTTGACGGTGAGGTACACTGCCTGCAGAGCGCGCAGAGCCTCTTGTTGTATTTGAGGTGTGAGACCATCGACGACTCCATCCAACATTACACTAACACTGTGGCCCAAGGCGGGTATGGCATCCGATTCTGAAAGTCCTGCGGCGGCTGTGGCGGACAAGCTGGCAGTAGTGAGCAGAGCTGTCAGACCGCGAAAGGCTTCGAGCGCAGTTTCTTCGTCCACGGGGGGCTTCTCGGCAGACCCCGGCGTCCCATCGATGATGAAGGTCAGGAGATTCAAGATCTGTTGCACAAGTTTGGCTGAGATTTTCGACTTCCACCCGTGGATGATGAGAATGGTAAGGCACTTGAGACAGTTTTCGATCAATGACATCGGGTACCGGTCCATTCGGCGGAAGATGTGATAGAGTGGGAAGAAGACATATTCAGCGAGTTTGTCATCCAAGGCCGCGGGATGGTGTTGAATCTGGTCGTTGAGGATGGTCAAAATGTGACCCGTCAACTCGTTGAGCTCCGGGGTAGTTGCGGGATCATCGGACTCCCGGATGGCCAACTGGCTTAATTTGACACACCATGGTTTCAGCTGTACGAAAGTCAGTAACAAGGTTGAGTTCTTGGAAGTAACTACCAACCTTTTGGAAGAACTCGTTCCTCTCCTGGCTGCTGGGAGTCGATTCCATCGCGATTGGACGCCTCCGCTTCTTGCTTTGGCTACAGGCGCATGTTCCCACTGTGCAAGCTGGTACCGAACAGCAAACCAACACGAACCCCAAATTCTCCGGTGTTGCTTCGTGATATGCGCGGTGTTGGCTTCTGAGTACGGCTGCTGAACGATGGAGAGCCTGGACGTGGTGCGCTGGGACACTCTGCCTAGAGTTCCTAAATCGGTGGAGAATATGTAAGTATGCTATTTGTTGGATTTCAGTGGTGGACGGGTCAAAAAATTACACAGTGCGGTCATGATTTAGCGACTGTGGAAAGCCGCGCTTGTGAGTTGCCCCGCATCGTCATGTCTGCTGCCCCGCGCTATGTGACGTCTTGTGATAACCAGCTTGGGACCATAATCGTATAATTACGTACCTCCTGCGCAAGCTGAACTCATCATCATCTAGTAGGTTGCTAGGAGCCACATTTTTTTATCTTTGCACTGTGCTCCGAAGCTAAGCATTGGTAACATCGACGCAGAAGCCTCCGAATACGGCGGGACCTCATATAAAGCTCAATTTAACCCTCTCAAAGCCGATATTCGACCATCACCAACAACACTATCCAATACAACGCGACTACACCAACCATGTCTCCCTCTGGCCCCTTCTCAGTCGTAGTCCATCCCTACGATTCACCAACTCGCAAGTCGTGCGCATACGAAATCGGACCGACCTCGGCTCGCAATGCACTCGTTATTATTGGCGGTCTTGGCGACGGCCCGCACACTCTTCCCTCAATTCGCACCATGGCGAAGCATCTAGAGGATGCTCAAGACTCAGACTACTCTATTTTCGAGTTCCGCATGAGGAGCTCGTTTATTGGATTTGGCACATCCAGCTTGACCAACGACGTGGCCGACATCTCTGCGCTGGTCAAGTATCTCCGTGGACTAGGCAAAGAGAAGGTTGTCTTATTGGGTCATTCAACTGGATGTCAAGTATGGATATGACATTGCTCGTCCTAGACGAATCGCGAAGACTAATTGAGCTGTCAGGACTGCATGGAATACGCCGACTACGCCAAGCATAGCAATGAGCCGGTAGATGCCTTCATCATGCAGGGCTGCGTCTCAGACAGGGAGGCGTTCGAATTGGTGATGCCTAATCCCCAGCCAAGTCTAGATCTGGCGGCAAAGATGATTGCTGAAGGAAGGGCCAACGATGTCATGCCTATGAATATGATCCCTTCCGTGCTCAGTGCGCCAGTTTCTGCATATCGGTTCCGGGCTCTTACTGCCAAGGGGTAATATAACGTCGAAAATTGGTTCTGTAACTGTGATGACTAACCCGTGGATAGGGGTGATGATGACTACTTCTCGGAGGACTTCTCAGATGAGACTATTTCTAAGCTCTGGGCACGATTCCAAAAGCCTGTCCTGGCTCTGCACTCGGCCGAGGATGAGTATGTTCCGGAACGAGTTGATCAGGCCGTGTTGAACAAGCGGTATCAGAAAGCGAGCCCTCTGGTGAGCTCTCTGTCGGGGGTTATTCCAGGAGCTAGCCACACCGTCGCCGAGCCTGAGGCACAGGAGTGGTTTGTGAAGAGAGTCGGCGATTTCCTGGCGACGCTCGAGAAGTGATTTAGGGCATTGGAGTCTTTCGAATACTGATTCAACGTCATCGGTGAACTGGTAACTAGGATATAGAGTTTAGATGTCATCCCCAACCCAGCGAGCAGCTACCCACTTGCCAGGTGCTCAGCAACTAGATCCTGGTGCGGTTTTATTTAAATTGCTCAGTATAGCTCATGGACATATCAAGGGAATAAAGCAGAGATGATGATTATTAATGACTATTCCTCCTTGCTCGAGTAAGCACCAAGACAGAATCATTGCAATTTCCGGGCCGGGTGTAGGGTAAGACGGGGTTTTCGGCTGACGCATGCGATGACTCCGCTAACGCCGGCCATATTCGTCATATTCCCCACCACAAGCACCCCAGAACATCCACCAGTTTGCGTTAGCGCCGTCGCTGTAGAGCATTTTGCAGCGGGCTTACAAACAATCCGACCAGCCTTCGACAAGTTTCTTCGACTTTGTACTTTGTCGGAACGTCGCCCAATTACTTTCAAACCTTCCCCCCCATCTCCTCGCTCCCTCGGCCGTAGATCTGGATCTGGCCTCTTGCGCAATTCGCAAGCCTACGAGACGCCTACATCCAGCCTGACCCCGCGCGCCCGAGTTCCGACCTTGCGCCGATCTCGCCAGTCGCGAGCGTCACGGCGCTATCCAGAGCTCTCGGGAGCTCCTCCGCGTATTGCGTACCCACGCTCGCCACACGCCCTGTCGCCTTCGACGCGCCATTAGCCCGCAGCCTTGGGCTCCTGGCTTTTTGCATCGTAGCATGAGGTGACGGGTTGATCCTTTCGCTCTCACTCTCGCCCGCAAACACGACCCGACAGCCTCGATCGACCGACAATGGCTCTCCACGACAGCCAGAAGGTCCTCTTCGAGACCGGCTCGTTCTCTGGCTATCGGCCGCTCCGCGAGCTGGGCAGCGGCTACCTCTCGTCGTCGGCCTTCAAGCAGCCGCTATGCGGCAACGAAGAGGGATGGGGTCCGATGAGCCCTCATCGATTCGACTTCACGCCATGCTTCATTGACGTTTGGATCGCCGCGGTTGCCGTCTTCGGCCTCTTCATCGGCTCCCTGGCTGTTTGGTGGCTCACCAAGAAGCAGCAGAACGCGGCCCAGTCGAAGACGACACAGTTTTACATCAAGCAGGTATGGCAATCCTGGCTGTCAATCGCCAATGGCGCAAACTGGCGCAGTTGACTAAAGCACGGTTCTAGATTCTCCTCGCCGTCATCATCGCCGACATTGCCGTTCAGCTTGCCATCCAGATCATCAACTACCCCGGCATCTGGTTTGGCGATTTCCGAGTATGGACGACCGCCCTGACGATTCTGTCGATGTTTGTTATATTCACCATTCAATGGCTTGAGCACTCGCGTATCCGCTACCCAAGCGGCGTCGCGCTATTCTACTGGTTGCTTCTCCTCCTTGCCTTTGCCGTCAAGCTGCGCTCCCTCATCTCGCAACAGCTCTACGATACGAACCTGCCGTATTTCATTACCTACTGCGTTGGAGTTGGTCTGTCGCTTGTCGAGTTTCTCGTCGAGTGGCTCTGGCCCCGATCTGTTGGACCCGATGGATACGATGCTATCGAGGAGGAGGAGGAGTGCCCCGTCGAGTACGCAAACGTCTTCTCCCAGCTGACTTTCTCCTGGATGACTCCTCTGATGCAGTATGGCTACAAGGTCTTCCTGACCGAGGATGACCTGTGGAGCTTGGCCAAGAGCGACCAGACCAAGACGACTGGCACAGACTTCGACAAGGCTTGGCAACACCAGCTGGAGACCCGCAAGGAGCCTTCTCTCTGGCTCGCCTTGTTCGGAGCTTACGGCGGCCCTTACTGTGTTGCCGCCATCTACAAGATTGGAAACGACGTCTCACAGTATATCCAACCTCAGCTGCTCCGCCTGCTCATCACCTTTGTTGCTTCGTACGAAAAGGGCGAGACCCCCCAGCCCGTCATCAAGGGCGCCGCCATTGCGCTCGCCATGTTTGGCTGCGCCGTCTTCCAGACTACCATGATTGTAAGCCTTTTCCAAACCGATATTGCCCTCCTAGCTCATACAGCCACAGCACCAATACTTCCAACTTACCTTTGTGACTGGAATGCGCATCAAGGGTGGACTGGGCTCAGCCATCTACCGAAAGTCGCTGCGATTGTCCAACGAGGGACGATCGTCCAAGTCCACGGGCGACATTGTCAACTACATGGCTGTGGATGCCCAGCGACTCCAGGACCTCACCCAGTTTGCTCAGCAGGCATGGTCCGCCCCCTTCCAGATCGCCATCTGCATGATTTCTCTGTACAATCTCGTGGGATGGTCTATGATGGCTGGAATTGTTGTCATGATTGTCATGATGCCCATACAAGGCTTCGTTGCGCGAATCATGAAGAATATGCAGAAGGACCAGATGAAGAACAAGGACGCCCGAAGCCGTCTCATCAACGAAATCATTAACAACATGAAGAGCATCAAGCTCTACGCCTGGGGCTCTGCTTTCATGAACAAGTTGAACCACGTCCGAAACGAGCAGGAGCTCAAGAACCTGCGAAAGATCGGCGCTACACAGGCTTTCGCCAACTTCACCTGGACTACCGCACCCTTCTTTGTCTCTTGCTCCACCTTTACCGTATTCGTCCTCACACAGGATCGCCCTCTGACCACCGAAATCGTTTTCCCCGCCCTGGCCCTTTTCAACCTGTTGACATTCCCCTTGGCTGTTCTCCCCATGGTTATCACGGCTATTGTCGAGGCTTCTGTTGCTGTTGGCCGATTGACTGGATTCCTCACTGCCGAGGAGCTTCAGCCCAATGCCATCACCGTCAAGCCCGCTCCCGAGGAGCTCGGCGAGGAGACTGTCATCATCCGCGACGGAACTTTCTCCTGGAACCGACACGAAGACAGGAATGCTCTCAAGGACATCCACTTCACCGCTTACAAAGGCGAGCTCTCGTGCATTGTTGGACGAGTCGGAGCTGGAAAGTCATCCTTCCTCCAGAGCATCCTCGGAGATCTGTGGAAGGTCAAGGGATCTGTCGAAGTCAGAGGAACTGTTGCCTATGCTTCTCAGCAGACATGGATTTTGAACGCCACGGTCAAGGAGAACATCATTTTCGGATACCGATACGACCCTGAATTTTACGAAAAGACCATTCAAGCTTGCGCTCTTCTGGACGACTTTGCTCAACTTCCCGACGGAGACGAGACGGTGGTTGGCGAGCGAGGTATCTCTCTGAGTGGCGGCCAGAAGGCCCGTGTGTCTTTGGCTCGTGCTGTATATGCCCGGGCTGATATCTACCTCCTCGACGATGTGCTTTCCGCTGTCGATTCTCATGTTGGACGACACATCATTGACAACGTTCTGGGCCCTCGAGGTCTTCTGTCATCCAAGACTCGTATCCTTGCCACCAACGCCATCGCTGTCCTACGTGGAGCTAGCTTTGTCACCTTGATCAAGGATGGTGAAGTCATTGAGAAGGGAACCTACAAACAGCTCATCGCCATGAAGGGCCTGGTTGCCGACCTTCTCAAGACCGCCGGCCACGACTCTGGTAGCAGTGACAACAGTGAACCCACCTCAAGCGCCTCCAGTAGCAAGGCTACCACAATTATTGAGCCCGACTCCAGCCAAGCTAAGGAAGAGATGGAGGAGGCCCAGGAGCGCGTTCCCGAGATGGCTCCCATCAAGACTGGTCCCTCCCTAGCCAAGCCCCGATCAAACAGCATGGCAACTCTGCGCCGCGCTAGCACTGCGACCTTCCAGGGTCCTCGTGGTAAGCTCACGGACGAGGAGGTGGCTGGCAGCTCCAAAACCAAGCAGGCGAAGGAGTTTGTTGAGCAGGGCAAGGTTAAGTGGTCGGTTTACTGGGAATATGCAAAGGAGAACAACATTTACGCCGTCGGGCTTTACTTGCTCATGCTTCTCGCTGCGCAGTCAGCCAGCATGGGTGGTTCCTTTTGGCTTAGGGCATGGGCGGAACACAACAAAGAGGCCGGCGGGAATGATGACATTGGAAAATATATTGGCATTTACTTTGCCATTGGCATTGGATCTTCCGCACTTACTGTTATCCAGACTCTGATCCTGTGGATCTTCTGCTCCATCGAGGTTTGTGCTGGCCCATCTCAGTCCTCACGTATCAACCTGACACTGTATTTAGGCATCCCGAAAGCTTCACGAGCGCATGGCCAACGCCATCTTCAGGTCACCCATGTCATTCTTCGACACCACTCCAGCCGGGCGAATCCTCAACAGATTCTCGAGGTAAGCAACGCCACCCGCCCGCCCCAATATCGTAGATGGAGCCAATTGACCATGGGGATGCTGACAAATTTCATAGTGACATCTATCGTGTCGACGAGGTTCTGGCGAGAACCTTCAACATGCTCTTCGTCAATGCGGCTCGATCCGGCTTCACCCTGGCCGTCATCTCCGTGGCGATGCCGCCTTTCGTCGCTTTGATTATCCCGCTAGGCCTCACGTACTACTGGATCCAGCGATATTACCTCCGGACGTCCCGAGAGCTCAAGAGATTGGACAGCGTCACCCGCAGCCCTATCTATGCTCACTTTCAGGAGTCCCTCGGTGGCATCTCGACAATCCGCGCGTACCGACAGCAGCAGCGATTCGAGCTGGAGAACGAATGGCGCGTCGACGCCAACCTCCGAGCCTACTTCCCATCTATCAGCGCGAACCGTTGGCTCGCCGTGCGTCTCGAGTTCATTGGCGCCATCGTCATCCTTGCTGCTGCGGGCTTTGCCGTCATCGAAGTGGCCAGCGGCGTGGTACTCAAACCCGGCGCGGTTGGTCTGGCCATGTCGTACGCCCTCCAGATTACTACTTCGCTCAACTGGATTGTACGACAGACCGTTGAGGTTGAGACCAACATCGTGTCAGTTGAGCGTGTCCTGGAGTACGCAGCCCTCCCCAGTGAAGCGCCCGAGATTATTGCCGACAGGCGACCCTCGGTCTCTTGGCCGGCCAAGGGTGAGGTCGACTTTGTCAACTACAGCACTCGCTACCGCGAGGGCCTCGACCTGGTGTTGAAGAACGTCAATCTCGACATCAAGTCGCATGAGAAGATTGGCGTGGTGGGCCGCACCGGTGCGGGCAAATCGTCCTTGACTCTGGCTTTGTTCCGCCTCATTGAGCCCGTTACAGGCCATATTGGCATTGACGACCTCAACACTTCTTCCATTGGCCTTCTCGACCTTCGACGTAGGCTTGCCATAATTCCCCAGGATGCGGCTCTGTTCGAGGGCACTGTGCGCGACAACCTTGACCCTGGCCATGTTCGCGACGATACTGAGCTTTGGAGCGTCCTAGGTAAGCATCACGTTGCACCCATCCCTGCCATACCCCTGCCATACCCCTACCCCCTGTCCCCTCAACCTCCAATTCGGGGTGGTGGTGGTGGGATGCTGCTGTTCTCACATTGACGCCACATTTACTAACAGAGATACCCGATACAGAACACGCCCGTCTTAAGGACCACATTACCAGCCTGGAGGGTGGCCTGGAGGCCAAGATCAATGAAGGAGGTACGTCTACAATACTTTCGCTTTCTGTCGGCTTTTTCATGACCGAGTGGTGCCGCCGTCGCCGAGGGTCAGCACGTTGGGGTGTACCGGAGAGGCGGTTCTGCGGATAGCTGCCCGACACTCCCCGCATGAGGGAAACAAGGCTGTCATCATCGACGGGCACCGACTGCCCGGAAAGAGATGCACCTGCATGGGCGCCACGCATGGCGTTGAAGTCTCGTGGTCAGCAGCGTGAGGCCTGCCAACGTATCTCCTTCCACCAACACCGGTTGCCCGTCATGACACCGACAAGCAGATTCAATTATTCGTTCGTCTGATGGGTAGCACGCGGCTAACTCTGGCGACTTTATAGGCTCCAACCTCTCACAAGGCCAGCGTCAACTCGTGTCTTTGGCGCGTGCCATGCTGACCCCGTCCAACATCTTGGTTCTCGACGAGGCCACCGCCGCTGTCGACATTGAGACCGATGCCTTGCTTCAGGACACGCTGCGCTCGCCCCTCTTCGCTAACCGAACCATCATCACCGTCGCCCACCGCCTGAATACGATCCTTGATAGCGATCGGGTCGTCGTCCTTGATAAGGGCGAGGTTGTCGAGTTTGACACACCCTCCGAGCTGTTCAAGAAACAGGGCGTATTCCATGGCCTCATGAAGCAGGCCGGTCTAGAGATCGAATAGATATGTACACTAAGCCGGTCCGGCCCGGGAGGTTGATATCCGGGATGTTTGTGTGTCCGGACCGACATGGCCAACATGAACGGGTCCACATTTAACCGGCAGAAAGAAAGCATCTGGGATGGAATTTAAAGGAACAAATTTGTATAGTGACATAATAAGACATTGACCCTCGCACGGGTCCGAGCATAGACGTTCCAGTGATAGTGAGGCGTGAAAACATTGCTTTAGGTTTCCGTGAAGCCGTGCGCGTGTTCGCCGTCCCTGCTGTCCCTCATCTCCCTGGATCTGCAGCGCCCGCCGACCCGCGATGGCGCCCGCCAAGGCCAAAATCCAGGCGCGGGTTGTGGGAGGGTGGAAATATGGGTGTTGAGCTGTCAAGCCGGATCCCCAGGATATCTGTGGCGTGGCTGACCACGGACCTTCAGGGGGTGAATAGTCAAGTGAAGTGCATCATCTACAGTAGGAGCTGGACCAACGCCTCGCGCTGCGCGCCATCGGCTAACGGGGAAGCTCCCTAGCTTGCAGGAGGTGGTAGCAACGAGAAGGATTTAAGTGTTCGAGAACATGACTGTGCCGGAGTGGGAGAAACGGGACGAAGATGAGCTCCATGGTGGGAGCGAAGGCCGTTGGTGGCGTTCGAGCTCGTAGACCCATCCCTTGAAGCCACCACGGGGCTATAGGTTCAAAGGATCCTGTTTGCTGCTTGCCAAGTAGTGGGAATGGAACATCGATGTGCCCACATGTGGATGTCGCCGGTAGAATCGCCGGTAGCGCACACCAATATCGTGTCACGGTACATTCTGGGTTGATTTTGCTGCTACGCGATACCGCGCACGCAAGCTCTACTTCGTCAGAATGAAGAATCAGAACAGCTTGACTCGGTTCCGCGCTACAGACCCGACGCTTCGCAAGCCGGTGCCCGTTCGTTGTTGTGTAGGGGGGGTAGAGGAGCCCATAGATGTTAGACAATACCGTTGAGAAATGCCTGTGGCGTAGATAGTTGGAGGGGAATCTTGCACTATCGTCTTTGGTGCTCTATGGTGAGACTTATTGTGTCACTGACCAAAAGTCTCCACCCTTGCGGATACCTCATGCTCGTTTACGGATGTGCTAGGAGGTGATGACGAGGGCTTGAAGCGAGCCCGGAAGAAACGCCGCGGCCGCAGACGAGGCGGGAGTTGGTGGACGACGATCTTTAGCGCCACGAGGCGGCGTGCGCTCCGTTTGTGGGTGTTGTGTAACACTCCTGCTGACGGGTGACGGAGCCGAGTTTCACTCGTGAGATCCGGAAGGATTCGTACCAGGAATGTAGACGTTCAGAAACACAGGTTTTCCCCAGACATGCAACCGAAGGTCAACGGCTCGACGTTACCCCAGATCGGCTAGGCAGGCGCAACATCACGGGCAAAGGAGTGACCACGGCTCCTGGGAGGTCATTGTTGGATGAGATGACGCTAGTCTTCAATGGCTCTTGACTTTTGTAGCCCTCCGATACGACTGAATGCCGAACACAGAGCAACTCTAGAAAACGCCTGCCAATATGTGTAGAAAATCTCCAACTCATCCACCGTGTGCTTTCAGGATGCCATGTCGGTCTGGTGTCTCTGTGCAATGAGGGGATGAGAGACATCTTGCCTCTTAGGAGGCGTGATGATCGAATCAGAGATATGGAGAGTGTGTCCATGCCCTCACATCTGGTTGAGGCTAACTGATGCTGGTCAGTGCTGCAGCTATAGTTTTGGTGGTGGCGTCGTGTGACAGAGACAGGGCGCGCTGAGCGTTGCGATTGGCCCCTCGGAGTGTCTAAGCCTGTGGAGGGGTATTGGCTCCAAAGAGGCGCTGAGGGGGGGAGGCAGCTTGCAAGTTCGCTGCATGTATTGCCCTGACTCTACCTCTGGGATTGACAGTTGGTGATGCATGATTTGCGAAACGTTTCAACCACACTTATCTTAGAGCGGGAACGAGGCAATAAGAGCCAGTGAATCAGTCAGATAGGTTGCCATGGCCTGCAAACATCAGTCCTCCCAGCGCGTCTGAGTACAAGAATGGCATGTGGAGGCCAGAAATGATGTTTGAGGTGGGAAGAGGTAAGAGGTGTGAGGTGAAGTTGGCCGTCGGCCGAAGTCTCGACAAGGATCTGCGGCGGTCGAGGCCCCCGAAAAAGTTGACCTGTCTTGTTACCATGCCGTCGGCGTCGATCCGTGGTGCCCATGTTTTTAAAAGGCGGATCTTAGCTGGCTATAAGCGGCCAAGTATGTGGTTAGCCTTCATTTCGGTAAGCCGGGTCCTGTTTTCAGCCCACGACCCAACTGAACTCGGGTATTATTAAATGTGATGAAGGGGGCTAGGGTGTCTCCGGTACCGACGCTTTGAAGCTTTAGTCAGTCACTACCGTGAAAGAAAAACGCGTATTCCAATTGAGTTAAGAACCTTGCAGAGATCGAGCTCCCGACTGGCTGGGATGCCACAGTAACGCAATGAGGATTGTACAATGTACTAATGATCTCGATGGCCCTGCATCCTGCGATATGATAACGAGGGCGGGTGGACCGACCAAGTGACAGAGAAAGACCAGGGTCTGCGAACTGGCGCAGAGAAGGCCTGGACAAGGCAAGCTGAATTAGGGGGCGAAGGCGGATGCAAGTGATGTTTACGTCCGGACGAAGTAGGCTAGGTGTTGATTTGAAGACGTGGCTGTGTGGGAGCATGGCCGACCCATGGTCTTGGTCCAGCACGCTCCCGCTACCCCAGTGTCTTGCCTGTTTCTTGCAGGGGGTGTTGTGCAGGTTGGAGCGGCGGACGCCCGACATGTGACGCCATGAAGAGTCTGAGGGCAAGGCTGCGACTGGTCCTCTTTCTCGCAGGACCATTCGCGATCAAGGCAGACCTCGAAGGGCGGATGTTTGGAGGAGAAGCGGCGTGGAGCAAAGGCGTAACTGAAGATCATGACCCATCCTGGCCAATCCGGACATCAGTAGGATGCGGATGGATGCGTGTGGTGACATTGAGCCGATATTTCATCGGGCAAGCTGGTCATCGCTATTGGATTCCGTGGTCGGAGCGCTATGTGTTGAAGGCGTGGGGGTTGAAGTTCGAGAACCAGACGATGTGGACAGTGTATTTATACAGTGCTAAAATAGATGCCGTCTCTTTGGTCCATGACGAGCTTGGAGCAGAGCCAAGAGGAAGCAGCCCCCGTTGCGATAACACCACTCGACTATTTGCTTTTGGGAGGCGAGGCGACATCAAAACCGCATGATGCAGGGTTCGCGACCGTCTCAGGACACGGAGGGACGAGTGTGCTCCGTATTATGTTCGTTCCACACTGGCTAACGACTGGTCCAGAGACCTTTGTCGTCTAGTGTAGTTTCCTCGGGGAATCTATAATTGCTTCTGATCACATGATGAGGGGTGGCCTCATCTGCCTGTTGGATGCTGTTGAAGGGACATTATTAGCAGGTTGAAAATGGCATAAGGCTCGTAGCTCACAGAACGATTTCATGGGGCTTTAACATGACTCAGGCTTGGAGGACAGCCTAATCGAAAGAGGTAGGTGAGGTCATACTACGTAGTAGACTGATGGTCAAGCTTCGTAGTGTCCCCCCAAAGCTGGGGTACCAGACGTTCATTTTTGGCAGCGGCGATAAAAATACACGAGACGATGCCCTGCAAATGCGCCACCGCCGCTATTTCTTTTTTTCCTCCGCCGATGGTGCGTAATGTAGGCAGGACGAAGACGGTTGGGCCGTGCAATTGGGCCGCTGATTGATGCCTCATTGGGTTGGTAGGCGCAGGACAAACAGACTTCCAGAGTACCTGTGGTTGTGAGGGAACAACCAACCCTCATCGGTTAAGACCAGGAGCCTCGTTGAGCCTAAAATGGGGCAGATGGCTCCTCGAAGGTGTTTTCGGCAGTGGGTATAGTAGCTGGTAATTGCGTCTCCGGCCGGGCCTCGGGTGAGGGTTGATGGTTGAGCCGTCCTCCGTACTCCGTACTCCATAGATGATCTTCCTGTGTGGATCACAAGCCAAGACGGACGAGCATCTCGGAAGTCAATAGCGAAATGTACGACGCAGTCGAGTCGTTCATGGGACAAATTCTGTGGCTTGACGCACTGCCCAATCCCTGACCCAGCCGGCGAGGGGCCAGGGCCGTGGACAAGCGTGTGTGCGTTGCGTGCCTCTGCTTAGCATGTGGCGTGTGTGTGTGTGTGTGCTTCCCGCTCCCTGTTGATGGACCATTGGGCCTGAGTGTCAGCACAGGGCAAGTGAGGGCAGGGGTTGAGATCCTGGCCCCCTGGGCGGCCGCACTCGTTTGGCGCCCTCTCATTCGTGCACGGCGCTTTGTCTAAAGGCCATGCTGGGTGGGATTCTCCAGCGATATGTCTCCCGTTTGCCGTGGCTGGCCACCGACGCCGACAACAACGAGCGGCGCGGCACTGGCCCTGGTCGTAGTTCTGGGACACCTTGTCCTGGCTGCATGCGCACGCGTCGCCAAGCAGCCCCGTCTCCATACGGCAATTCCAGAGCGGCGAGGCGCAAACTGAGCTGGAATCCTATTGGGGTTAGAAGGCCCGGAGAGGCAAGGTGGAGGATGGAGGATGGAGGATGGTGGATGGTGGATAGAGGCTGGGGCCAGTTGCGAGGCTCCGAGCCAAGAGCCGAGCCGGTCCTCCCGCAGTCCGGCGGCTGTCAGTAGGTAATTATCGGCAAGGGCTTGGTGCGAGGGACCACTCGTTGCGAATCCACCGGCGGGCCTAGTGGGAGCAGACAGACATCCATTCGGCTTTGGTCAAAGTTTGCTTGAATGCGTACGGAGAGCCAGGGGCATGAGGCCTGGAGGTCAAGCAAGGGCTAGCTAGGGTGCCAGCACTGCTGCGACTTTAGGGCTTGATGACGCGTGACTGGTCACAGGACTAGGTAGACGTCGGCCCATCAAGGCCATCTGCCGGGACCTAAGATAACTTACATAGTAGTACATTGCAGAGGCAGGGCAAGTGCGAAGTGTGTGGTTGCTCCATCAGAGGCCGCAAGGGCCTGTCGTGCGTAGGTGCGTGGGTAGGTGCGTACCCGGGTAGGTAGATGCCCTCCCAAGGAAGGCGCTGGAGGCAGATTAGCAGGGAAGTTCCACGGCGGGCACTTGGACCCGCGCCTTCCTGGGTAAAGCTCACGCCGACCCGCAGCACTGGCGGCCCCAACCAGCCACCGACAGGTCTGTCGCGGCCACCAGTCATTTGTAGCAATGATCGGAGATCTCGCTTGGCGGATAGTCAACTCTCCTTTGCATATGTGAGATGCTAACTTGAGCCATTGTGGACAGCGGGTGCTGCAGCTTTACACGTTTCCAGCAAGCTGCTGGATCCTCCAGTGCAGTGCTCCAATGCTACAGGGCCCCAGCGCCAATTCCTCCCTCCCGTCTGTTGTCCCATCCACTCTATTGCTCCATAACTAACCCCAAAGCCGACGCCCCAGGCCCGGCGGCCCAGCCCGTGAGCGCCAGATCTCCCACACATGGCGACGGCTATCACCGTTCCAGGGTGCTTACCCGTCCTTCCGCACCGGCCAAGACAGGATGGAGGACGACCGATCAGGACAGAGACAGAGACAGAGCAAGACAGACAGGCGAGACCAAGACGTCTCTCTCCTGCGGGAACAAACCGAGAGACAACAAGACGCGCGCGACGGACCCAAGATTGGTTGGCTTGCCGTCCCCCTGTCTCTGTCAAGGCGACAACAATGACGACCAATCCGGCGGCCGAGAATGTACGATACGAGGTACTCTCCCTCCTTCAGTCCCTACCTACCTAATTATTCCCTCTCTCAGGTAGGTAGTCTATGATCGAGCTAAGATTCCAAAAACCCGCCCGACAGCATCCCCGCGCTGGAACTCCGGAGACAGCTTGCTACTCTCCGTTCCCATCCGTTTGCATCAAATCAGCGACCATGCAATTCCGTGACTGTCCGGCACCTCAATCCCCAAGCTTGTGACTGGGGCGAACCTCAGATGCACAAAGTACACAGCGCCCAGGAACCCCCAGGACCGAGAATCGAGACCACATGGGCATGGCTGACTGGTTCCAGACTCTTTGGAGCAGTCAGTCAGAGGTCTCAAAAGTCCCGTCTCTTTTTTGTTGCAGAACGAAAAGGAAGCTCCACCAAATGATGCAATCGCTCTGGCTAGAGACGCAGCCAGAATCATCGACACCTCGCTGGTTGGCTGGCTAACTGGTGACACTGCCCGGGTCAATGACAATATCGCTCTGTGTCTCACCATCTTGCCTCCGTTGTCGCCTTCCGCGGTCCCCGTCCTACTACGTAAGTCATGCGTCTCCTTGGACGAGCGGGCTTCGTTTCTTACTTTTTTTCTTTCCTTCTTTCGCGACCATGGGGCCCACCCTCTCTCAGCCATGGTTAACGCGACCCCTGTACAACCCCTGGTCGCCTCCCTCCTCATGGGCGGGCAATTCTGACAGGGTCTCTGCCGTGCCCTGCAGACCCAGGATCCCAACACCGTGCGCAGGCCGTCCTCCTCACGGCGACAATCTCAATCCCATGAGATTCACTTTCTCCAGGCGTAAAAAGTCGGCCGTGGCTCTCTTCGCTTACACCACGTCCCGCACACCGTTTTGTTCGTGATCATTCTCAATCTTCAATCCCGTCGTACGGAGTAGCCCGTCCGTTGTGGGACTTGGCGAGTCCAACCGACGAGGCTAACTGTGGACCTACTTTACAGTCCAAAGTACTCCATCCATCCATCCCCACCATCCACAACACCCTCTGAAGAGGTACAGGAGCCCTGTCAGCCGCTGGGTGGATCATATGAGGGTTGAGACAAGACTGGCTTGTACTGGCTAGTGGCCTGTGCCTACGCAGCACATACTGTGCGGCGTTCGCCCTCAAGACGCTTCTCTTCCTTCGTCGTCTTCGCCCTCGACCTCTGGACGACTACCACTCCCAGCCACTTGATGCCCAGGCGGAAGCTGAGTGACTCTTCCCGTCGAGGTGCTGCTGCTACAATAACTGGGGTGTCTCGCTCTTTGGCTCTAGCTGAAAGACATTTGGACAGTGCCGCTCATGTCGTCTTCCACCTTGCTGTACACCACCAACTAGGATTGACCTGCGATCGGGGACCCTTGCTATCATCATCGTAAGTATTAGACTGGTCCCTGATCCCCACCGTCCCAACCTGCGGTTTGCATCTGGTGCTCCGCTTGGTGTGCCTGCTCCTTTCGAATCAAGGCGTCCCCTGCTGGCACCCAATTCATTCATCAGTCACCTACTTCGTACACCTGGCCCTCTTTCGCTGACTGAGAAAGCACCCATCTGTCTGCATTTGTGGCAGGCACAGCAAAGCTTGCAAGCCAGACGGCGAGAAGAGAGACAACGACTGGTGCGGGGCCTTCACTCAGCCTGTCCCTCATCCCCCCTCAAGCCTGTAACTGTGCCGGTCTCGCAACCTTTGCCATCTGAACTCTCGTTCTTCATTCTCAGCAACGGACACTCTTTCTCACCTCCACCTCCATATATTCTATCGAGTTGTCATCCTCGACTTTGGATTCCGCTCAGACCTAACCGAGTCCCCCCTTTTGACGAGTTCCCACCACCACCACCACGTCCCCAGCTGATTCCATCATTCTCACCTGGCTCGCCCTCCGAATACTCATCCGCTCGTCACCTCCGCAGCATCTCCCAGGACCCTTCCCCCCTAGGTCGCTGCCCTTGGATTTCCGATCTTGCCTATCTGGACGACTCCACCATATCGACACTCTCACTGGGTTTGAAGCCTGGAATTCTCGATTTATTGAATGTCGCGTTGATCGTAACCCACCCCGAGACTTCCGACAAATCCTGCTTCAAGGCAGACCTGGGTCAACAGGTGACAAGCTCTGCTAGCCGATGTCTCACAGTTTGAAAGAACGCCTCTCGACAATTTCCACGAGATTCGCCTGAGCAGACAGGGTATTCGTCTCTGTTGGCTGGAAGTAATTAACGATCTTGGTTCATCTGACTGCTGAATGCTTCTCTTTATTCCTGCCACTTGCAACTTCGCCTGTCCATCTCCACAACTTCAGCCATCTCGAGACTATCTTTCCCACCTTGGCCCTCTTCTTGGGCACTGATCTACCAGAATCGACTAACCCAGAGCGCCCCGAGGCAGGCCTCGTCAAGAGGAAGAGGTCAATTTTCCAGAGTTGGGTGTACCTTCCACTTGTGCTGAGGTCTGCGACAATATCATTCCGACAACCCCAGAACCCCCTTCTGCGGAGACTTCGTTTCTCTGATATTTTCTGTCCCGCGTCGCTGCTTTGTTGGTCGACATCCCCTCAGACCAGGACGACGTCACACACTCAGTGTCTCACGCATGTACTAGTCTCGTTTATCATTCGATCGAGTCCCCCGCTGCGTACATATCTGAAAGACCATCGCCGATTTGCGCATTACTGCCTGATCTATTCTCTTCGCTCTCAGCCCTAACGGCGGCCTTGACCTGCACGAGCTTGTGAGAGTTGACAGGACAGACCCGATATCACTTGTTGCTCGACCTCAAGCCGCAGGATCAACCGGGCCATCATGGTTCGAGACTGGCAGCAGCAGAGGGACTTCCCTCGCCACCATCAATACCTCGGGGGTGATCGATTCCCCCCTCCAGATGGTATTGAAGACCGCTTCCCAGAAACTCAAGACCTCCACCGTCGCCAACCCCCCATGGTAAGCCTACTTCCCACGAACGCCAGGTTAGCCACTGACGTTGATGAACAAATAGCAAATCGATGAGGCTCTGCGCCAACACTGCAGTATCTCTGCTAGACGGTACTTTGTTGCAGTGATCATGGATGATGGCAGCCCGATGACTTTCTCGGGTCCGGGGACTGCGAGACTTGAGGGTGATGTCATGCGGCAGTTCTTTGACCTGGACAAGTACCAAAGAGTCATGGAATGCCTGGACTCGGGTTAGTTGCCTTCTATTCTACTCACGTCAAGTTCGATGCTAATTCATGCTCAGGAGCAAGTCCCGTTGTTGACGAGTCTTTCGGGTTCGATGGAGGTTACTTTCCGAGAAATCGAATGTTTGATCGCCGGCGTATGTCGAACTTCGATGACTGGGATCTCCCTGGACGACCAGGTCGAAAGCGACCCCGAGCTCGCTACCCAGTCGACGAGGACGAGGAAGCTCCTCTAGTCATCTCGAGTACTAGGAAGGGGCTTAAGATCGGCAGCTCTCAGGATGTGTGGAACTTTTACGAGCACCGATTCAAGAATTGTCAGCAGACGGCATGTAAGCTCATTGCCAAGGCGTGGGTCAAAGCTGTTGAACCCAAAAAACAATCTACTCATCCTTACACGGGGAGCGATGAGAAGGCCCCAGAGTGGTGGCCCAAACCATGGGGTCTGACAAAGGAAGACAAAGTCCGCCACAAGGAGCCAGACCATCTTTACAAGCGAGGTAAGTTTACAAAAACAATCTCAACCACTTATACAATCTAACAGCCTTTCAGAACGCGTTCATCTTCTGACCCATATATTGCGAATGATTGTGGAGCCAAAAGAGAAACAGCACCCTGATATTCAGAAACTAAACCTTAACGTAAAGAAACTTGAGGAGATCACCACTGAGGCATTGTCGGCATTCTTTGCCGACAAGGAAAACACAGCCAACATCAAAAAGCGACCGTACCTAAACGAGATTTTCAAAGTAGCTAGGCAAGAAGAGAGGTTCAAAAAGGAAGAAATTGGTAGGCCACTATTTTGTCTTCTAGATAGCAGCGGGGTGCTAACAAATGCTTAGACGGAACCACCTATGTGTACGTGATGGCAGAAGACAAGATCCCAGAAGCGTACTCCGAAAACGACGACGGATCGATCACAAAGGACGAGGATGACCAAGACGTCCCTTCTACGAAACTGTCTACTGTGCAGAGTTTGATGCCCCCAACGCCGGAGCATAGCTCGAGTACAGCCCTGCATGGCACGCCTTTTCTTAGTGACTTACCGGTGCGAGGAACTCAGTATACACCTCAACTGATTCCAGAGATAACACCGGACCAACATGGATTCGGGGAAGGGACCACTAGCATGTCTGTTGGCGGCCAAACCTCAGTTCATTCGGCGGGTGGGAACCTTGCCCTCGACATCGGGGTCGCTACGTCTCAAGACTCCAGTCGACGACCGTCAATCTTCAGCCCCCCACCAGACTATTCCGGACAGCCCAGCACCAACATGTACACCCAACAATGGCAGCCTGGCTCTACTGCTCCAAACTCGTCGTCGATGTACGCATTCACCCAGCAACAGACAAACCCGTCAGCAACAACATTTGTCAACCCCAGCGTCCCGATGAACCAGAGTCAGGCCTATATGGGAGGTTCATTCGACGGCCTTTCACGCGGTTATGATGGTGCCCAAGCCTCAATGTTTCAGGCCAGAGGTGTGCCACAGCAAACGGCGCATGGCTCACCAGGGTACAACTACTTGACCAACGACAGCCGAGGACTTCCAGGAGTCAAAGCTGACCCTGCTTCTCGCACCACATTGCCATAGCCCAGGAACCTGTCACAGTTCGGACTATTTTGGAACCAGCACATGGGAAACTGTCGCTCTTTAGGCATCCTTCTCCTTGTCTCGCACATAATGTCCATATAGATTACGCATGATGACGATTGACCTGGTTCACACAGTACAGGTCCTTGATTTACCAGAAAGAACACCATGGCGAGGTTACTTTTCCTTTCACCAAAACTCTGCATACAACTACGGCGACTGTGCTCAATATCGGAATGATTGGACTCCTGGTACCGATGATGGATTTTCGAATTTCGCGACCCGGACGGCGCTTGAAGGAATATTTTTATATTTTCTGTGCGCGGTAATGATGCTCGAACTTGGGATCGGTTCACGACCAAATCTGAAGGCCAGCGTTCCCTGGATATCCCAGAAAACGACGGGCCTTTAGGCACTTTCGATGCCCTTTTCTTTTCTTTCTCCTTTCTCTGGACTAGGGGGGAGCTTGCCCCATGGAGGTTTTCTGATTTCTGCCGTCTTCTTGGGCGGCAGTGGGTGGCTTCTGTCTTCGCGTCTTCCTGGTCGGCATTTCGGCCTAGCGACATGATACCAAGCCCAAAATATGGCAATGTTTTACAATGGAGGCTATAGTCTCCACAGCACGCGCACATTTCTCGAGAGTTTCTGCTACTATAAACAGGTCTGCTGTTGGTGAACGAGATATCGCCTGCTCCTTGAGGTTTAGGGCAGGGGGCGGGAGCTGTTACGGTCTGGTTTGGTGCTCTTCTTGGCCTAACGAGTATTGATTTTCTGTTTCCACAACTCTTTCGAGCTGGGTTCTTTTTCTTGTTTGTTTTGTTTTCGGAGTGCACAGTTTTTACCCTTGAGAAGAGCTGCCAGGCCCTCGGGTTCCTTTACCGCGTGGACTCCATGTTTGGATATGTCATTCTTTGATTGCATGCCCGGTAGGACACATCCTTTCTCGTATATGATCTCGGGAAGGAAATGGGCGGTGATGCTAAAGGGGATGGGTTCTGACGGGACCGGAGTTGAATAGATGGGCGGAAGGGATACAAAGTAGAGGAAAACGGATCGATGGGGGCGAACTTCTACCCGGAATTTTGTCCGGAGGCGTGTTGGAATTCAGGAGTTGTATGGATCTGACGTGAGAAAAGACATGGAAACAAACAGCAGACAAACAGACAGATAGGACTTAATTGTGAGCAATTGTGCGCGAAATCCGTGTGCCTGCTGTGACTCTTTCGCCTTGGCAAGTATGCTACCCCTGAAGAATAATATGCTACGATTCCCTGCAGTTAAGGACTTTCTCTAGGTAGCAAGACAGTCTCGATCGTTCCGATCCTCGTCAGGCCCTCCAGCCACAGTTACACGCTCCTCTTCGCGTGCCCGATTTTGCGAGAACAAAACATTTTCGGAGGTAGCCGCTACATGTACTTGTGAAACGAGCTGCAACTTCGGAGATCATGAACGTTCGGGGAACAAGGGTAGCTCCTGACAGACCGAGAAACAGAGGACCGGCTTGAAAAACTCAATCAATTCCTGAACTATCGTACCATCTTCATTCAGGTCTCCGTCCTTGTTCCCACCTGCATCTTGGGTACAAATCCATCCACCAACGCCAAGCTCCTAACCTACTGAGGCTGAAAATACCACCATGTGCTAGTTGGAGATAGGCCGTCCCAAGATGTTGTGAGAGACCCGGAGGCCTTTTCGCTCTGGGTAGCCTTGAACGACCCTCCTGCAGTGTCAAGCACAAGTTGCCCCATGGACAAAATGACGAAAAGAAAAGGGGGCACAAAGAGCATAAAAAACCACGCCTCCGGAAAACACTCAATACAATTCCGCGACACCCAAGCGGTGTCCACGGGCAGATTAAATAGGGTATAGCTCAGAATGAATGAGATGTCGCTAATGAAGGATATAATGCCAACTCGGGCACAGGTTCCTAGCTTGAGACGGGAGCGGCAAGGTTCTCCTCCTTGGGTTGAGGGGGTTCTAGACCGGCGTTTTGAGCCACTCGCTTCCACGTCTCGAGTTCCCGGTAAAGCCGCTCGCACTCTTGCTTCAACTTGTCGTTGGAGGCGCTCAGTTCCGTAATGGCCTGTTCCGTAAGCAGCTTCTCGAGTGTCCATTTTTCGATATTCTGCTGCTCGTTTTCCTTGAGCTGAGAAATGAAGCTCACGGCCCGCTGTAAGATGGATCCCTTGTTCTTCTCACAGCCTGGAACAATCTTGGCGAGCTCGTTAATACCCTCATTGATTGTTTCACGGCGTCGACGCTCCACTACACTACTGTTAGCCATCTGAAGGCATGGGAGAAATGCGTAGGAAATGCGCGGGACTAAGCGGTGACCTACCCTCTTTGTGATTATCCTTCCTCATCTTGTGCCACTCCTCAGATCCTACTGTAGGCTTGGGGTTAGCTGAGGTGGTATAGCGAGTCACTGAGTGCTGCTGGACCCCGTTGGGAGGTGTCTGTTGGTGTTGTGGGGGTGTGATCTGGGGAGGGTCCAGGAGGCTGTCTGGAGGTGGGGGAACATCGTTGAACGAGTTGTCGTGGTTGTGATCAACCTCGCTGGCTTGGGCCGCGAATTGCTCCTCTGTTGATGGCGGGACATGGAGGGTGGGATACATGCCGAGGGCGGCCTGGGCGGTGCTGGTAGCACTGGTGGGATCAGGGGCCTCAGTATGCTCGGCCTGAGCGGCTTGCTGAAGAGCATTGAAATCGGCGACGCTGACGCCGCCAGTCTGGCTTGGGTCCAAGGCGCTGTCCATGAAGGAGGTGTCTGACATGTGTGCGGCTGGCGCAGGGCGCTTGTTCCGAGAGAGACCGGGGCTGCTAGATTCCCGCTTGCGCTTCTGACCGGGCGAACCAGTTAAGCTGGAGAGATCGGGATGATCGACAAGCACTGACTCGGCCATAGTTTCCATGGACGAGGCGCCGGTGGCGAGAAGGCAAGCTGGCGAGATTTCGGAGAGTACTTGATTAGAGGCCGAGGGTCGTGCGCCAGATAGTCAGGGCTGAACAGAGGACGTAACAACGTCGAGGCCACGGGTGAGAAACGTAGACAATCGATACCAGATCTGAAAGAAAGGTAAGGTTGTTAGAACGGGTTTGTTAAGGTCGTCACGCTTGTGCGGATGCGCAGAGTAGCAAGGTAGACGGATCAGAGGACAAAGGTGTCTCTGGCCGAGATAAGCAATGTGCCGGAGCGGGGATTTGACCATCAAAGCAGAGGAGGCATGGCGCCAGAAGGAAGACTCATAGGAAAGGCAGGCTAGGTTGGCGAGAGTGATGGGATTGAGAAGCACTTGCTCTGGTATCGCTTGGGAGGATTTGATGTGCAGGTGCGGCGATGTGAGGGTGAGAGCACAATGCACCCGAGTTGAGGTTATCGCGTCTCACTTCGAGGCCCAGGCTGCCACGACGGTGATCACGGCGGTTGGGCGACAGAACGAGGGGAAAGTTGAAGGGAGAGGAGCGAGGGTGATTCAGTCACTTGAGCTGGGATGAGAAAAACGGTATCAGGCTGACAGCCTGCTCTGGCCAGAGGCGATGCATCGCGCAGATTGAGCGTCATGGCGCAAGGCGACCAGCACGAGAGAGCGAAAGGACAGAGTTTTGCCGTGAGAGCCACGCGACTGGCAACGGCAGTGCATCGAGCGAGAAAGAGTGCGCGATAAAATGGAAGACATCGGAGACAGGAATATGAGGTTGATGATGATGATGATGTGCATATGGAACCGACATACCTAGCAGATCATGTGCTTCGCGGCCGGGTCCGGGACCTCCAGATCACGAGTTTCTGTCGTCTCACGTGTTTGGCGTCGTGATATCGCGCGGTTCGCTTCTTTTGAATAAGTGACGGAGCCGGGTGTCGCGTCAACAAACCAGACAACAAAGGCCGGCAAAAAAAAATTGCAATAAAAATCTACGCGTCAGGAGGAGATGCGCGACGGCAGAGGAGGGTCTTTATGTTATCAGGAGGGGGCCTGGGTGAGATGATGCCCTTTGGTAGAGGCGGCGAGAGATGTCGAGCTGGGCGCAGGCGCGAGCGCTGGAACGAGTCGGGTCACGCGGCAGAGGAAGAGGGAACACGTGCTTTGAGTGGGAAGGCTCCGGCCCAGATAAATAATGCGGGCGGGAAGGGGGGCCTAGGGGGGGTCAGGGTGAGTGCCTGAGGCTGTAATATGGATCTGGCCAATCAGCAGCGCGGGACAGCCACATATGGTCGAAATGGAAATGGGGGGTGGTTGCCTCGCCCGGGGAGGCGCAACATGGGAAGGAAGGAGGGAGGAGCTAATTAGGAGGGAAGAGCACCAGAAGGAGGGGAGGGAGGGAACAAGGAGGAGGTGGGCGGGCAGGAGCGAACACCCAAGGACCTCCCGTCTCCCATTTCTGCACGCGAAGAGAAGGCAGCAACACCCGCGGCGAGTAGGATGATGAACTGGAAGGGCAGCTTTCTGTACTATCCACAAGGCAGGTAGTCGGCGCATGAAGCTAAGTTGCCCACGTACGAACAGTAGACAGAGCATCGACAAGCCGAACTGCCAAGCAAAGCCCCTCCAGCTCGGCGCGCTGGATCGCCGACAAAGTACCTCGTACACCATCACAACCAACTGTCGCGCGTCAAATGATGTGCTTACATGGGTACTGTGAATGTACATGCGAGCAGCCAGACGGACATACCCAGTGCTACCTGGGCTTTTGCATCATGTACGTCCAACTCAGCTCGGCCTCACCCCCAGAGACGGAGCAGAGTCTGTACAATGCGCAGCCCTTTGCCTACCTCGTCCACTACGGAATACTTAGAATTTGAAAGCTGCCCCCTCTTTAGCTCCGAACTGCCTGGGTAGCTGAAGGCGGCCAATCCCAGGCTCGGCCCGGCAGCCTTCTCACACCCGGACACTCACACCACACCCCATCCCCGGCATCGCAATCACCTGATCCAGCCCATGGTATCACTTGACGCCCGTGATGTGAAACAGGCTGCGCCCTTGTCGACTTTGGCCCCCGAGCCAGCGGGACAGGTGCTCGTCTGACTTGGTGGGAATGGAACTCAGCCGTCTGGGCTTGTACTATGTCGAAATCGGATCGGTTTGGGACGCGGGCGAGCAGCCGGTGCTTCCTTGTCAGAGATCCGCGGCACACGGCAGATACCTGTGCAGGCCAGGCCGGAGAAAGGTGGGGTTTGCCTCATACCTAGGTAGGTAAGTAAGCTAAAGCAAACTTGAACAAGTCCAAGTGGTGGGTACCTCCATGCAGCGTTGGTGTGCCGCAAATTCTCAATCGACGACCTATTGCATGGTACTCTGTACACTTTGGACCATGTTAAAGAGCCCCCCACAGATAAGATCACATCACTCTATCATGGTATAACTTATGGCTTCGCTCACTGTGTCAGAGTCAGACACAGAACCTAAACGCCCTGGTTTCCCAGAGCATAGCCGGGCTCTCCCCTCACATGCACCCGGCCAGGCGAAATGCAGCAGGTGGCGGAGGGGGGTCAGCAAACACGAGCGACGGGATATCTTCTCCATCAGTAGCTGGGTCAGTTCCTGAGGATAGACGTCGTGTTTGTGAGAGAGACGTTCGGCGGATAGATGCTTATGCATGCGCATTCTGCAATGTTGTGCCACTGTGCAACGATGGCCATATCCGACTTTCCGAGTTCATCCCGGCGCCGTGCAGGCCGTCACCAAGTTAATCCGGCGGGCGGCCAAAGAGGTACGTACCCCCGAGAGCTTCCCGCATCACCTCACGATAACGTCAAGCGAGTCCTATCATCGGAGCGCCATCAACCTCAACGTCCGGCCTCAGTTCTCAACATCTCTGCCTCCTCCGGCATCCCACGTCTTGACCGCTCCTCTACTCTGCGATATCCGCTTGCCCACCACACTCTTCCACCATGGGGGACCACGAGTTCTCCACCATCAAACACAGCGATCACCTGCTGCTTGTACGTCCTCTGCCGCACACACTCTAGACACCACCACACCATCTAGAAAACCCCAGCCTTGTTCTGACCTGTTTTCGCTTTAGGACCAACCCCTCCTCCGCCTGCCCTCCGAGCTCCTCCGCAAAAATTTCCGCTCCGCCCACTTCACCATCGAGAAGGACACCTCGGCCCTCAAGACACTCCTCAAGGACTCGGCCACGGCCGCTGTCTCTGGCCGCGCCACCCAGCAGGATGTCCTCCGCAGCCTCGACTCCATGCTCGCCCGCATGCGTGGCGTTAAGCGCAAGCTCGCTACTTGTGCCGATGACGAGGCCCGCCTTCACGCTCACGCTGCGGCTCGCATCGCCCACCTGGACGAGCTCTACGCCATGACCTCGGTCGACGACGTCAAGTACGAGGCCTGGAGCCGGAAGCGCCTTGACCGCCTGCTGGCGGACTACCTGCTCCGCCATGGGTATAATGAAAGTGCGAAAGAGCTAGCCCAGCAACGTGGCATGGAAAACTTGGTGGACATGGATACCTTCGTTGCCATGAGCAGGATCCGCGATGCCCTCGTCAAGGGCAGCGTGACCGACGCACTGGCCTGGTGCACAGACAACAAGAAGGAATTGAGAAAGATGGAGGTATGTCCTTGAGCTCGCTGATCCATTCTCACTCCTCGCACCGCACAAGCCGCTAACCGTTCGATCCAGAGTAAACTCGAGTTCATGCTCCGGTTCCAACAGTACATTGAGCTCGTCCGCACGCAGTCATCGTCTAAGCTCACCGAGGCCATCACTCACGCGAAGAAACACCTCATCCCATTCCGTGCCGCTTTTCCCCGCGAAGTACAACAGGCCTGTGGCCTCCTCGCGTTTCCCCCGAGCTCCCCTGCCTCCGCCGCCTACGCCGATCTCTACAAGCCCTCCCGCTGGACCGATCTCGCCGATCTCTTCACCACGACTCACAACAACCTCCTAGCTCTACCCGCCGTGCCCCTCTTGCACGTTGCCCTCTCATCGGGTCTCTCTGCACTCAAAACCCCGGCCTGTCACGCCCACTCTTCATCGTCAGACTCTGCTTCAGCTTCCTCTGACCCCGCGGCGGCCGTTGCCTCTACTCTCGGCCACGGCGTCTGCCCGATCTGCTCAACCGAGCTCAACGAACTCGCTCGCAACGTCCCATACGCGCATCACACCAAGAGCCACGTCGAGCACGACCTACGTCTCCTCCCCAACGGCTGTGTCTACGGCAAGGACCGCCTGGAGTTGCAGGCCAAGAAGGGCGGGTTGTCCGCAGACCACGTTAAGGATCTGCGCACAGGGGAAGTCTTTACGGCCGATTCTCTCAAGAAGGTCTTTATTACTTAGCCCTCGATTTTTGTTTATCTGCTGCTGAATTGGACGAGTTCTGGCGGCATTTTAGGTTGGGCATCATCCAGCCAGTCCTGTTTAAACAATGACAAACTCACACCAACGGGCAAGACCTTGATCATTAGCTTAGACTGGATCTTTTGATTCAACTCACTCCATTTTTATTATTATCACACTGGGCACCGGCGTTGGAATGGGAATTGGGGTACATGGCGTTTAGGAAAGTCAACTCGAAACATTGCCATGGTGGACGAGGATACAAGCGTTTCCATATACCAAGTTTTACAAGACCGCCCATTTTCACAGGTTGTCTCCACGTAGTCACCTAAGTGGGAAGAAAAGTAACTCTTTTCCGCCTGCCAAAAGATTCTCAAATGTTCCAATGTGCTAGGATACCTATTGACCATACAATACACGGTGGCACGAACACCACCAAGCAGCTCCCAAAGTCCCCATTGTTCTCCCGTTGACCGTGCCTTTCCTTCCCAATGCTAGGCAAAAAACGACAAGAACGATCGAAACAACCAAGAGAAGAACAAAGGCCCTCCAGAGAGCCGGAAATTCTCCATTTTCCCCACCCGATCTTCGCTAATAAACGCACGCCGTCTTGGTATCCCGACAGGGGATACACGAGAAACGACGAGAAACACAAGATAGACTGCTCGGACCCCCATTACCATGAGTCTCTGGGTGGTAAAGTATAAAGGGGTGTATGAGGATTGAGGTATACGTGGGTGTGGCGTGATTATAGAGTTGCCCAAGTGGATGGAAGGATCAGAGCAGTAATAACTTATGTATTCCGGATGTGAGTTTTAGAGATAGCCGGCATCTCGTTCCAGACCTTCCCAATTCTATCGGTTGTTCCCGGCAAAGGCAAAGTTGCCAAAGACGCCGCCGCCGCCGCCAGGGGTCATGGGACCTGTGTTGACGATGCCATTGGTGTTGTGGCTCTGAGCGGCTGGTGTAGTGGCGAGGCCAGCGTTGGTAGTGTTCGGCGTGCTTGGAGTGCCGTTTTGGCCATTAGGGCCGTCGGCGGCCTGGTTCATCATAGACGCCATCATGAGGCTAGAATCGGGGATGCCAAGACCCCAGACTTTGCCGACATGCTCGTCAGGGATCTCGCCATTGAAGATCTTGTCGCGCATCTGGAAGAAGACTTTGCCAGTAAGGAGAGAATCGGAGCCTGCCTGGTGGGCAGAGCCGACTCGCTTGATCTTGAGTGTTTCGGCGATGTTCTCCAGGCCGGACTTGTGTTCGAACTTCTGCAGGATCTCAGCACTACTGGGATCGCTGGGAGTGAGAAGACCCGAGTTGTGGAGCTTGATGGCGTGCTTCATCAAGTGCTTCACATCGTACGTCGTGGGGAAGTAGAGCTTCATCTTGTGGTCAAAGTCGACTTCGTCGTTAGGGAGGGGCGTGCAGATGAGAAGTTTGGTGAGGTAACCAAAGTCGTAGCCGCCATGGAACGAGATCCATCGCACGTTATCGAAACACACGAGGCCAGAGGGGATTAGGAGGGAGGCGAAGTCGTGGGGATCGATCCCGTCGCGCTCGAGGAGGTTGAAGTCAATGCCGGCTTGCTGGAGAGACTCGATCGACTTCTCGTTATACATGTCGTCCTTAAGAGCAAACTTGAAGTTGAACTGCCAGGAGCAAGGGAAGGGGCCTTGGCTGGCTGTCCTTCGTGCGGCCATGCCAAGGTCGGTGTCATTTGCTGTGGGGCGGGGAGGAGGGGTCTCGCCGTCCTCGTTGAAGAGAGTCAGGCCAATCTGGATGACCTTGAGCATGTCGACGTTTGTGCGGAGGCATTGGTAGTGGTAATCGCTCTTCCCTCGGAAGCCACCCATTGGTCTCGAGACAACACCGGGGAATTCGGTATCCTTAGCACGACGTCATTAGCAGAACTCAAGGGGATGTGGCGACAGCATCTCTCTTACCATGGCGATGTACGGATACTTGTCCACCAAGTCTCGCAACACGGCCATTTCCTCGTGCAGGTTGTGTTTCCAGACCTCCCGTATCCTGCCCTTATTAGGGTGCGTCCTCATTGTCGTGTGGTCCATCAACACATTGTGCTGCACCTGTCCCCCGTGTTGCGGCTGTTGGAGGCCGGCACCGGGGCCATGCGCAAAGCCCATGCGTGCGCTTTGGCTGCCAAAGCCCGAGTCGGCGAACCCGGCAGCGCCGCCGTTGAGGCCAGCGCCGCCAAAGGCATTGCTGTTGCCAGCGGAGAAGGGGCTGATCTGATTGGCGTTGAGGTACTGGTTGGCGCCCAGGTGGCCGCCCTGGGGTTGTGCGTGGGTGGGGAAGCCGCCTTGGTGGTAGGGCGCGGCGACACCAGGCCCGGCAGCGAAGCCTCGGAGTTGTGGCGGCATGGGATAGTTGTCAGGATATAGGTCCTCGGGGGTGGGATAACAAGATCTCAGGCGGCGGAAGACGCAGTCGGCGCCTCTGGGTGGTCTTGGCGGTTTCTAACGCGACGAGGGGAAGTGATGTGTTTTGTGTCCACGGCCGCGACGGCTGCTCATTGGGGTGACGGGGATCGTGAAGGCTCGGCGAGGTGGTTCACAGGCCGGCCGGCGGTGAGGTGGTGCGGAACGGTGCGGCGCAGAGTGGTGCGGCTTCGGCGTTGAGGCGACTCCAGGACAAGACGAAAGGGAGATGTGCTCTCTAGAAATACACGCGGGCGAGGGGTTGTTGCGACGACCGGGGGCTTTGACGATGACGGGCGCCTGGGGTGAGATGATGCGGTTGCGAATGGAGAGGTTGTTGATCGTGGGGGTTGGGGAGGGCTAAAAAGACTTCGAGATGTGCGAGGAGCGATGTGCGATGCGGAGGCGATGGCGATGAGGATTGATACCGTATGCTTTCTGCCCAGCAGAGAGTGCAGGAGCCTCGTCAGAGAGACGCAGTAGTTATGGTCCGTGCACGGGTAGTTGGCGGCACGGAGTACCGGGGTACCTTTGTTCCGGGCCGCTACTCTAGGTAGGTACCTAGGTACCGTACTCAGCGCTGTGCACACCCGTCGCCGCAGAGAGTGGACTGGCTGGATTGAATTGGCTCGCTCTCCATTCGCCCAGCGTCTCTTCGTCGTCCGTCTCCGTCACATCAACCACGAGCCCGCGAATCCCTTCACGATGCTTCCCACCACGTACGCCCGCCCACCGCCCATTGCCGCTCCCTCCCTGGAGCACGCGATGCCCTCTCCCGTCCAATTGAACCGTCGTCGCTGACACCAGCTCGCAGAGTGCTACGAGCGGCCGCCCGCGGGCCCAAGCCCAACGTCACCGGCTTCAACATGCGGGCCTTCAAGGAGTCCACCGGCACTCCCCGATACGATCCCTGGGAGCGAAAGTACGTCCGCCCTCTTCCCATCTCCTTGTCCCTCCCTCGACCCTGAACCTCTGGTATGCTGACACAGTCCCCACCCGCAGTGAGGCCTGGCGATACACCGGAACCTTCTCCCGCTGGAACCGCTTCAAGAACGCCTTCCCCGGCCTGGGCATCGCGTCCGTCGCCTTTGCCGGCTACTGCGGCTACGAGTACTTCTTCCTCGAGGACGACCATCACCACGGCGAGGCCCACGGTGAGGCCCACCACTAAATTCGAGCGGCTGTACGAGAGACATGGGAGTCGGGACTGGCGAAGAGGGAAAAGATGGTGTGAGGGAAGCTGGTGTGTACATATACCTCGCGCGCCGAGAAGGGTAGACTATCTCAGGCCACGGAACCGGCCAATACCAATTTTCAAGTCAATGACAGTTGAGATTGTGACCGCGGTGTTGTGTGGATCATGGTCCGCTGGTGAGGAATTGCCTCGATCATTGTTGCATGTATTAGATTTGTCGCCCTCACCTGAAATGTGCGGGAGAAACCTTCCACGGGCCATGGATCATACCCAAGATATCGTTCATACCTCCTCTTCTTACATATCATGAACTCGAAGTGAGAACCTCAGAACTCGGGTCAGATCACAATATATATCCCAGGCCAAAAGGAAGAGCACGAGAAACGAGTATCATGTAAAGTACCAAAGTTTCTATCTCATCTGGTAGGTACTTGGTCATGCTTTTCGAGGAGTCTTTTACTCCTCTACTTGCTATAATAGAAAGGTATAAACAATTCTCCGTCCAATTCAGAGTGGTATCAGATGCACACAACGCCGTATATATCCCCGTCCGAGAACACCCGAAGAAAAAACCACCAATCCTTAAGCACCACTCATTGAAGAAAAATCATATCAACGCCTCATAGTGCAAGACCGTTTATGACGTCCAAAGCGCCCTCAACTGCCGTTTCTAGCTCCTGCACTCTTGTCTTGAGACCCTTGTTCTCATCTTTGAGTAGACTGACGGTGTCCCAGGCCACGCTGGCATCCTGTCCCTGACAGTTGCGACAGCCATCAGCGCCTATTGCCGAGTCTCCATCCTTGTGTGCTTCATTGGCGTAGCCCTTGAACAGTTTTTGAAAAGTGGTCATTTGGGGGTTGCTAGTCCTACTGTGACGTGGTGGTTCCAGCATCGCCGGCTTTTGCTGAGTAGGAGTGGCGGAAGGGCTGATCTCAGACATGCTCGTGGCATTAGTCGGGCTCCGAGAACGAGAAAAGATGCTGGCTTCGTCCATGCTGTCCTCGTCTGTATCAAGACTGAGGTCGGACTTTGAGGTAGCGGTACTCTTTCTCCAGTTCCGCTTCTGGCGATCCTCATCGATGCTCAGGTCTTCTGATACAATCGAGGCCTCAGATGAGGAGACACACTTGTACCGGGCGGCTTGCTGTTCCTCTGCTCGCGACCTCTTTTCCTGGGCCAGCTCTTGGAGCAACGATGCCATCGTCTCTTCGCGTTCAGCGGCTTTGCGAGCCATTTCCTCCAACTGCATCTTCAAGTGCTGGACCCGTATCTCCACTTCCTCTTTCTCCTCATCCTGCGCGTCACGCTCAGACTTCAGCTCTTGATAATCAATAGTGCGTTGTTGATAGGCGCTTTGGAACTTTCCGAGCAGGCCGATGGCGTTCATTTGTAGGTTCTTGAAGGCTGCTGGTGAAAAGGCAGATCCGTCAATGGGCGGTCCACCGGGGAAGAGAGCGGATTGGATATCGATGTTCATGAGCTCGTCGTTCTGGGGCACGGGGACCGGGGAGTTTGAGGCGGGAGAGGTGAAGAAGGCAAAGCGAGAGCTTCCGGCGGGGGATCCCATTTTCGGTGTCGATGATGCGCTACGCGTCCTTGAAGGAGTTGAAGTAACGGAGGATGCTGACTGGGAGTCGGGGACAGGCGTGCTTCCTCGTGTGAACCATCTTGAGAGGGGACTGCTGTCTGAAGGTTGTGATGGGGACGCGGCCATGGTTGGGTCGACAGGCCTCAAAGCAGGCGTCCTCTTGTCGCCGGTGTAAGCCATATCGACGGAGCCAAACTGGTTTTGGCAGACTCGAGGGCCTGTGGTCGGGGCCGTGAAGTAATGGTCGAGGCCTTGGGGGGCGTCGGAGTAGGAGATGGCGTTGCGCAAGGGGGATCGGTGCTTTGGCGATCCGGCGTCTACATGGAGGCCCGAGTCGCGGCGTCGAGGGGAAACGGGAGGCGATTGAAGCAGCTGCGGAGCTGAAGGCGATGATGGGGAACCAGGCGGGGAGAGCGTTTCTGTTTCTGCTATATGGAGCGGAGAGTCGAGAGCGAAGGAGCGTGATGTAGCAGGTCCAGGGGCAGCAGAGCGGGTTGCAGATAGAGTAGAGGAAGCAGCAGCAGAGCGAGAGCCAGTACCAGTAAAACGAGGACGGCAGTCGAGGCGAAGCTGGAGCTGGTTGAGCCCCTGGCCAGACGAGCCAGGAGATCCGGGCGACCTGGGCGACCTGGGCGAGGGACGGGAGTCTAGCATGATGGGCTAATGTTTCCAGTGTGGGACCGTTTGGGGAGGAAACTGGAGACAGTCGGGCAGATCCAGACGGCGGAGATGAGAGACAGGGGGTGGGCGTACGTATGTCCCAGACTCCGAGGTGCGTACGAGAACGAATGGTAAGGGTATAGAGCAGGGACCCACGAGAGGGAAACCGGGGGTTTGGTTCGAGGGAAGGGCGAATAATGAAGGGAAAGAAAGCGAGGACGAGCGAGACACGATGGTCGATGGACGACGGACGACGCAGACGGAGCTTTGGCTGGAGGAAAGACAAGAGGAGGGAGGAGACCAGTAGATCAGGAAGCTCGAGTGCAGTCTAGGCCCTGCAACAACGCAACGCACGCATGCAGAAGATCGATGACCGGACGCACTGGAAGCAGAAACCTGAGAGACGCCCCGCGCGTGGCCGAGTCCGGTTGGGCGGACCGGGCGGTGGGTTTGCGTCGTGGTGGAGGTTGTGACGAGTAGTGATTGATTGTTGATTGAGTGACGAGTGAGTGATTGATGAGTGACTTGACTATTCTGCCCAACTTCGGGAGGGGTCCGGCTCCAGCCAAACAGCGGGCGGCGCTGGTGGAGGTGGCAACTGACAGACCTTACGAGTCAAGCGGAGATAGTGCCATGCTTGTTTACCACGGCAGCGTAGCATAAACAGAGAGCTTTGCAGACATTCACATGTTTGCACATCATCCGCACATTCGCGCATTTGCCGCATAACTTGAGTAATTCCCGGCAGTGAACCCCCGCGCTCGGAATTAATTGAATGCGTTGAAACACCGCCCACCTACTTAACCACCTAACACCCCATCAGAGTCGATCCGGTCACAACCTGTCTCGTCGTCACCGATACCTACCACTCTTAGGCATGTAGCAAAATCCACCGAGAATGCTTGGCCCGACGCCACGCCCGCCCGGCCCGCACTCGGTGCTGCTGGCCATGTCGGCGGATCGGTATTCCAACCGGTCTTGGACTACGACACCCGAACAAGGCCAATAATAACCATCCGAGGAATGCTCCCAGCGCCAGCTGAGTTCCAGTCGCGCCTTATCTATGACGCAGAATGCCCCTCGTGATCCTTTATTACAGCCTTGACCTTAATTGCTTTGTGGAAACATCAACGGGCGTCCGTCAAACAGGGATCATGCATAACGGTAACCGCAGCACCGTACAGCCTGAGACCTCTGGCACGCTGCAGCTTGCCGAGAAACCCCAGGGGTCCAGGGTTCCTCATGGTCGCCATGCTTCAGTGGCTGTTAGTGGTTCTTAGTGGATCTACGTGGCTGCTGTTAGGGGCTATTAGCGGGGGTGCTTTAACAGGAAGCTAATTTACAGGGATCCTCCGCTGCTATTGCCTGGGCTGCCTGCCTCAAGCTTGGCCTCGACCAACCACGCTGCAGAGACTCAACACACTCCGCAAGCTTCCCGACATCCAAAGCAACAGAGTAGATTCTCAGGACAGGAGGGTATATGTGACATAGGTAAAGACGCCATAATAACGGCGAGTTGGAAGTCGCACATTCATGCACCTTCGGTTTCTAGTGATTCCGCCTCGAACTCGAATTCCTTTTTTACCAATTGCCGACATGATGAAATCCAACACTAAACGTAACAACAGCAGCCCAGAGGAAATATGAATCAGTCCCAGCCGTGGCCACGTTGTATCAAAAGCAAAATATCAAAAGCAGAACCCTATGCTCGACATCTTCAGGCAGTCAGTTCATTGGTCTACCTCCAACCCACCCGCCTACATTGTGTTCCCATGCGGTCAATCGCCTGCCCATGTCATCGTAGCTTTCCCAAATCAGTACTATCCCGCCTGCCGTCTTACATGTTCAGCCACCCAAGTCGTCAAGCAACCTGGGATAGAGTGACCAACATCGAAAACCAGTTACCACTTTGATGCAAGTAGATTCTCGTCGGCCTTCCCGGTCTGCTTCGATCCTCCCTCGCTCCTCACCAACTCTTGCAACTTCCCAACTGCCCTTCGACATCATGGCGTCCAGGAAAGACCGTCCCCGACTTTGCGGTCACAAAACCACTTCGTATCCTGTCTTCCGCCTTATTCCAGTCTATACTCCATCAATCATCGCCAATGCAAGCAAAACTAGGCCGCGTCGCTATTGCACTTGCATTCTTCTTCGTTATCTGGACCAGCACCGTCTTAGCCTCATTACTTTGCTACGCTCTATATTACTTCTTGACCATACGCCTTTACTCCTTACCCCCCCGGAAGACCAATATGGTTCGCGCCAATACCCGTCCTGGAACTCCCTTTGGCAGAATCTACCTTGTCTCCCTCAAAGTCTTGCTCGTCTTCTTCGCCTTATGCGGTCTTGCCCTCTTCGTCCTCAACACCATCACCACCCACAAGCTCAGAAGGTGTACAGACTTCGACTCCAAGAACTCCAGTGGCGATTGCATTCATTCTAGCTGGGCCCCTTATGTTGCGCTCGCAGTCACTACCTTTCTCTCGGCGACTTGTGCCTTCGCAATCCTCATTTACTACTTCCACCTCCCTGAACAGGCGAAACCCCGTATGCCATACGACACTTTCCGTGTCGTGACATTCGTTGTCCTCATCTCAGTGCCCGCTTTCGTCTTCGGATGGAAAAAAGAAGGCATTTTTCTGAAGCATGTCAAACCGGAGACCTCAAGTATGACGAGGGTGACACTCATCTTCAATCACATCAATGTGTCAGGCGTCTCTTTGAACCCTCGGCAGATGACCACATTCACTAACCTTCACTAGGTTTGTTGGCGTCTTAATTGCCCTAGGAGCACTGATCCTGGCCTTGCTATGGCGGAATCTGCAACAGCAGGTTGGAAATGAACAGCAAGTTGAGAATGAACGCGAAGTTGAGAGTGAACAGCAAGTTGAGAATGAACGCCAAGTTCAGAGTGAACAGCAAGTTGAGAATGAACACCAAGTTCAGGGTGAACGCCATGTCGAAAATGAACGCCAAGTTGAAAATGAAAAAAGCCAGCCCGTCACTCGCTCTTCCAGTCAACTGTCCCACCTAGCCGGGGATGTCAGCATGGCTGCATGATCTCGGGCAACCATGACTTGACGGGGAACAATGGTGTGGAGTCATCCGGCACGTTGCAAGGGGGTGGAGGGAGTGGATAGACGAGGGAGTGATGGACATGACTTATATTGTATCGTCTAGTTTTGGGAAGGGTACAAGTAGAAATCCAATGGCGTTAGGGCAGTCAATGGCTTCCATGGTTTATACGGCACTCATCGTGACGATAAATGGTTATAGAAAGGCACGTGCTGACACAAGTGGCAGTCTCCGGATCAGGTTGGAATTCACAATTCATTGTTTAACTGTCTTGTACCATTGGAAAGCCAGTCCCTGCCTATCCAGCTGCTTATCCATCTCCAGAACTCCTCTAAATGCAACCACGTGGTTGTGGACTTGGTGTGCCACCACTTGAGACATGCTCCCTCTCACAGAGGGCGAAAGCAGAAATTACAAAACACCGGCTCCATCCCTTTTCAAATAGTGTGCATATGCCAATGCTAGCCAATCGCTCAATGGCTGCCCCGATGACCCCCTAGCAACTAGCCGTCATACCCTCCGCCCTGATCACAGCCACTGGTAATAAACCGCCTCATCGCAAGTCAACAGAGGGAAAATACCGGGGCCCGGCAAAGCCCCGAGCGATGATGGACTGTATGTCGATATTGCTCGTGGGGTCATGGTGGGAGCTCCACATCTTTAGGAGGATGAAGCGGCCCGAGATGGGGGGGTCGAAGCGGATAGTGCACTTGCTCTTCTTCTTCTCGATGTGGAAGCGGGCGCAGGGCGTAAGGAGCTCGCCGCCAACGGCGCGGACAGCGTCCTGGGTAGCCGAAGCGTGAGCCTCCCAGGCCTCAGATAGAGAGAGGGTGGGGCGTTCGCGATCGCGATCACGGTCCCGCTCGCGGTCACGGTCACGATCACGGAGGCGGCGCAGGTTGGCGGCGCTGCCAGTATTAGGCGCGCTGTTATAGAGGCGCCAGTGGGAAGGATGGTGGGGGTCATCGAGGTACTCGGAGCCAAAGGGATTGCCGACGCCGTCCTCCGAGTCCGAGTCGGCCGTCTCGAAGGGTAGGGAGCCGATGTGGTTTGGGGCGCGGCGGAGGAAGCGCGAGCCATCATCATCTTCCTCCTCCTCGCTGCACTCGATGGTGACGCGGAAGTCGGGCAGGGGGGTCGCGAACTCGCGGGGCATCTGAGGCGTTCGGGGCTCGTAGTCTTCGATACAGGCGCCGATGAGGCCGTAGGAAGTGCCACGGGGGACTGTGGTCGTAGTGCCATTGTCGTGATGGCGGATGGACATGATCTCGGGGGGGATGAGGTCAGGGTTTGCATCCCAGGAACGCGAATCTTCGTTGGGCCTCGAATCTTCGTAGGACCTCGGATTTTCGTAGGACCTCGAATTTTCGTGGGACCTCGAATTTTCGTTGGACCTCGGGGCGTACTGGATCTGATACTGAGCTGTCCGGCTCAGGATGTCATCCTGGTTCATGCTTACAAAAACCATTCCTTCTCGTACACTATTGCCAACAGTCAGCCAAGATTCGATCCATGAACACCCTCTAAAAGGAAGAGGCCTGAGACTCACGGATGTGAATAGTTCATAGACGCTGGCGCTTTAATCACCAGCTCTTGCAGAGTGAATACTGTTGCTCCCTGGTGTCGCAGCACTATGTTGCATCGGTTGCCTTTTGTGCAGTACACCGAAGTGTCATCGCGGAGGATGTTCTCGGCGGCATAGGAGGATTCGTTGGAGAACATTCCTCCGTCGCAACTGACAATCTCCATTTGAAGTTCGCCGGGTTCGACCTGGCCGTATCTTCCATACCGGAAGCCCTTGAAGCTGGGCACGAGACGATCCGAATCCAGCTTCCGACGTTTGTGTCGTCGATTGGAGTCGGGGAGGTCTTGAGGACGAAGGGGCGGGGAGAAGCTGGGGATGTGCATTGGGTATTCGGGGGCCATTTGGTTTTGTAGATCAACCAAGAGTCGGATATGGGAATTAGCCTCCTCGAGGGACCGATCCAGGTCGTCAAAGTTGTTGGCGGGGCGGTTGTTCTCGGCGTTCGCAGTCCGCATGCGGTCGGCGCGACGAGACATCGTGGGCCACCCCTCATCTGATGGACGGAAGAAGTCGTCGAAGTTGGGGTCTCTGTTCTCGAGGTTGCGAATGCGCTCGGCGCGGCGAGATGCGGCACTCCAATGCCGCGACTGGGGGCGGCTGGACGAAGCCGGCAAAGCGCTGTCTCGGTCTCGCTGGGCGGCGAGGGCTCGCAGGGAGGGAAGCCTAGGGACGGGGAGGGGCGGAAAGTCTTCCAAAGGCTCTCGGGAGTGGCGGCGGTGGGAGTTGGACCCCGACCTGGAAGACATGGTGGTGAGGGTAGGAAAGTCTGATCCTTGATGGGGAGGACGAGGTGATGGAGGCGGTCGGTGAGTTGGTGAGTTGGTGGGGGATCTAACAGGCGAGTTGACGGGCGAGTCGGTGGGTGGATATGACGTGCGAGCGGTCGGCGGCGGTCGTTGTGTCTAGATAACGGTTCCAGGAATGGTAGGTGGTGATGTCTTGCATCCAGCGATCCGCCAACCCCAGACGGTAGGATATTCTAGCAGATGTTATGTGGTGCAAATTACTGTCAGTTAGCAGCAGTTCGAGGTGTCGAGTTTCGAGTTTCGAGTCGCCGTGAGGAGTCGAGATGGCGTCGTCAGGCTCGGGGCAGCGCCTGGGAGGCAGGGAGGCAGGGTGCAGCTGCAGCGCAAATGACTCGACTGTGGGTGATGTGTGAGCTACTGTGGGCTACTGTAGGCTACGGTTTAGCCCTCTGTCGCCGCAAAGCACTCGGCTGATTGTCTCTGTGCTGGTGCGTGTGCCTGCGCCTATGTTCCTCCCAGCCCAGGGCCACGAGGTCAAGAACGATCACGAGCGAGGCCGCCGAGGCGGGGGGAGCATCATATCGACGACGGCGTTTGGGAGTCGGGGGCGGGCGGAGACGGCGACAAGCGGGTGGGCAGGCTCACCATCCAGAGAGCGTTAAGCGACGCCGACGACGGGTGCGATGCCCAAGTCAAGCCAAAAGGCGGAGAGGGCGGCAAAATGGCCCGACGGAGGCAGTGAGTGATTGGGGATGTTGGTGGTGAAAATGGCTCGGACCGGTAGAATGCGGGCTAATGGACGTTGAGGGTGGCAAGAAGGAGCGGGACGGGACGTGGGGGAATATTGCGTTTGGGAGTTGGAGAGTCGGAGAGTTGGAGAGTTGGCGGAAATGGTGAAAGTGGTGAAAATGGTGGGCAAAGTGGATGAGGGTGGGTGAGGGTGGAAGAATGGCTGAATGGCTGAATGGATCGAGGCAATACGTATCCGTAGGTATAATTGAGTCTCAGTGACCTTTTGTGACGTGTGACTTACGGAGGGCCGGGCTTGAATGACGAAGTGACGGCAAAGGACACTGTATAGGTAGGTCGGTAGGTATTAGGCGGTCACAGCCGCAGAGAAGGGGGAAAGCACCTACCAAGCAGCTCTCTCATGCTAGACGTTAAATGGTCAGCAGCCAGGCAGCCAGCCGTTTAGCTCGGACAACCGCTGATGGTATGTATCTCTTGAGGGGCCTTTTCACGGTTTTCCCAACCCATATATGATCTCGATACGTGAAGGAATGTCAGTGGACGGCCAAACACCCTAACATGCAATACTGGCTCTATAAATATGTTCAGAATATTTACCTGTGGCTACAGAATGCTGATTCCAGACCATCATTGCCAAGATGTGACAATCATTTGACACTGCACTGTGCGTGTCTGCGAGGAGGCTTGTTGGCGTCACACGTAAGTTGCATGGTCACTCAGCCTTTCCTGCCCGGACCCGACAAACTACTCGTTTCAAATCCCTCCCAAATGGACCATGCCGTCCCGCTCCTCTTTCTCAATATAGCATTCTCGTTTCCCGTTTGTGAAGCCAACCAATTGCCCCGGCGGAAGTGGAAGCGCATCGCACTGCATCCTCATGGCGGGGGTCCTCGGCCACACGGGCGACGTTTGCTGGGCGGCGTCGGCAACACGCATGGATTCAATATGTGTAGTGCTCTTTGTCAGAAAATCCTTGCGGGGGCTCGACCTTCTTGAGACTAGAATGATACCCGGATAATTATAGCCATCTCTTCATGTTCTGCTGAGTCTCGAATATTGTCGCGAATGCACTCCGTTGATCCTTGAGGTCCGCCTGTCCTGTCGGCGGAGAATGAGACAAATGATACACAGTGACCCCTCAATTCACATCAATCACACGCAATCTCAGGTACCACTTTATCTCTCCTGGTAGCGCACCACCACCACCACCCCCATGCCCCGGCCCGCGAACAAATTTCCCCGGCCAACGACCAATGGCCAACGCCGGCTGGCGTCATGTACGTACCCCTACACGCTTCGGCCCAGATTCGATGCCAATATATCACGGCGCAACCCAGAAAACGTGCATCCCGAACAAACAAAACCCAAACACCAACAGCCCCTTCAGCGGCGCCCTCATTAAACACGCGGGTCCGGCTCCCGGTCCATGAGTCTTTCGACGCCCCCCCGCCGTCTTTTCCCAGCCGGCTGGGCCTTCTTCTTTGCATCCTTGCTCAAGCGCGTCAACGGCTCGCCTCAATAACAACCCTCACCCGCTCCCGATCTGCAACTAGGTAGCCTCGTCCTCAGCCTCGCACCGACGACCAACCGTCTTTGCTTCACTCATCTCATCTCATCCATCTTCGGCACACTTCTCTCTCATCTCATCTCATCTCGTTTCATCGCAGCGACCGCAAGATGGACTCATCAGCCCAGGACCAGGCTCAACAGCAGCGTACCGCTGAAGCTCAGCAGCCTCAAGTTCAGCTCCACGATGCCACTCCCGCTCCTGCTGCAGCTGTTGGTGCCAGTGTGATCCCTTTCATGGATACCGCCGCCAACGGCAACGGCTTTCCTCAGTTCCCCGAGCACCTCGTCAACCAGGTCAACCCTGAGGCCATGGCTGGCATCCTGCCTCTGATGCAGAATCAGCCCATGGCCGTCGCTGCTGGTTTACCTATAGCTGACCCAACAGCCTTCATGATGCAGCAAGGCACGATGATGGGCAACGGCCATGCCGCACCCGTGGCTCAACCAAGCGGAATCAGTGCGGGTAAGCACTCTATCTTGTTTTCCCTCTCCGTCTCTCAACTCTAACATTCTTCTCAGATGAAATTGCACTCTATGATCGTCAGATCCGCCTCTGGGGCATGGCGGCCCAGGCCAAGATTCAGAGCGCCAACATCCTCCTCATCACCATCAAGGCCCTTGCAAATGAGATCGCAAAGAACCTCGTCCTCGCCGGTGTCGGCTCTCTCACCCTTCTCGACGGCTCTCCCGTCACCGAGGCCGACCTAGGCGCCCAGTTCTTCCTCCCCGAACAGCAGGGCCTTGTCGGTCAGAACCGCGCCCAGGCTGCCAGCGCCTCCATCCAGAAGCTCAACCCCCGTGTGCGCGTCCACGTCGACGCCGACGGCGTCAAGTCAAAGGGCCCTAGTTACTTTGCCGGCTTTGACATCGTCATCGCCACCGACCTCGACCCGGACGCCTTCAACCTCATCAACACGGCCACCCGCCTCCACGGCAAGGCCTTCTACGCCGCCGGCTCCCACGGCCTCTACGGCTTCATTTTCAGCGACTTGGTTGAACATGACTACGTCATCCAGCGCGATGTTGGCAACGTGCCCACCGTCCCCGGCCAAGAGACGCGCACACGCTCAATCGTCGACGTCAAGACGCGCAAGGAGGGCCCCAAGACGGTTGAGTCCGTCACCAAGCGCGAGCTCTATTCGACTTGGTACCTCGCCAGCGACGTTGCCGTCCTTCCGGATGACTACACCAAGTCGCGTCGCCGCCTCAAGAGCGTCACCCCGGCGCTCTCGTGCCTGCGTGCCCTCTGGGAGTTTACCCAGCTTCAGGGCGGCCGCGCACCCAGCACCCGCGACGACCTTAAGATGTTCACGCAGATGGCCACCCAGAAGCACAAGGCCCTCAACCTCCCCAGCGAGACCCTCAGGCCTGAGTTCCTCCGCAGCTTCCTCCAGAACCTCGGCAGCGAGATCGCCCCTGTCACCGCCATCCTCGGCGGCCAGCTCGCCCAGGATGTCATCAATGTCCTCGGCCAGACCCAACAGCCCATCCAGAACATGGTTGTGTTCGATGGCAACTCCATGGAGGCCCTTATGTACCCGCTCCACCCAGAGGGCTCTCTCGGCGCCAGCATGTTCTCCCTCAGCGGCCCTGCCGACCCTGCCATGTTGCCCAATGGCGGCGCCCCCATGATGATGCCCCCTTCCATGGATGCCCTCCTTGGCATGGGCGTTGATCCGACCGCTATGGGCGCGATCCCTCACCACCCCATCATGATCCCCGGCGGCCTACCCATCCCTGACGGCTCCATTGCCTCCATTCCCCCCATCGCCGACCCGTCACAACTGAACCCAGCAGAACCCGTGGCCAGGGCAGCTGAACAGGCCGCACCAGCCGCGGCTGAGAAGCCCGCAGCGGATGGAGAAGCGTCCACCGGGAACTAGAACGTGAGCAAAGTGCTTAAAGACGGCGGCATGTTGCCACTTGTAACTGACGAAACAAAAAAGCCGACGTCACAGGAAGGTGGACTAGGCAAGGGGTTGGGATATGCATTGCATCGTGCCATGAGTTGGCTGAAGGTAGATGCCGGCAATGAATAGATGATACCTTGTAAGATATTAGTCGAATCTGAGAAACCAAACCTCTTTTCAAAAAGTCTGGCAAACCTACGTCGTTCAAGTGAATCGTCCTGGATCACACATGCCCACAATAATAGTTTCACCACACAAAGTGCACGAGAGTATGCATATAAAGTGCTTTGTATCGATTCCTCCCTTCTACTAACGAACTTTAGTTCACATCCTCTTTCGAGTTGCGCTTCCAATAGTCCGTTCCATGCCCCTTTTCCGCAGATGCAGCCCAGAAACCTCCGTTTTCCGTGCCATCCATCTCCATACCCTTCCATTCCAGTCCAAAAAACAGCAAAACTACTATTCCATACAAGAGATGAAGGGGAAGGGGAAGCCACACGGCCAGCCCCAAAGATGCATTGCCGCCCCCTTGTGTGTCGCAAATGCTGTGCAATAACCCAAAAGAAAGAAAAAGACAGTTAATTATTCGGGAGAGAAAGAGGAAAAGTCGCGGCGTATTGTACTCAGAAAACAATAACAGAAAGACGTGTATGCGGGTGACCAGTTCCAAAAAACAAAAATCGAGGAGGGAACTGGTCGCAAGGGGAATGCTCGCCTAAAACTCCGTGGATGCGATGAGAAGAGCACTTCTGCCGCCGTTCCTAGTGCTGGTGGGAGCCGCCGAGAACAAGGGTATCGTGGCAGCGAATAGATAATGCCTGAAAAGTAGGCTAGTTCCAACCGGTTGTCAACATAATGAAGCATCCATCCCCTCTTCTTGGCGCTGAGCCTCAAAGCTCTTCCTCATCCGTGCTAGCAATCTCAATCGGTGCGACCGAGTGGTGGCCCGTCTTGGTTTGAATGTCCGTCGTATCTTCAAGTTCAACTAGGACCTGACCATTCTTGGCAGGTCTGCCCCCAGTGTCTTGCTGGGGCTCCTCGTACTTCGGTAACAGTTTCCTCGTCAAAGCTATCTTCTTCGCTGCTTGGGTCTTCTTTCGGCCCTTAGGCGACGGTCGCACATCCATAATGACAACGTCAGGTTCGGCCGGTTTCCTAGGCCTCAATCGTCGCTTCATAGGGTTTGCTTCCTGCTCCTGTACTATCACAGAAGCCTTCCGCTTCGACCCTTTTGACTCGGTAGTTCGCGTTACCGATTCAATCACCTCCATTTCGGGTGATGTTTTCTTTGTTGGTGTCATCTTCACACGTTCCTTCGACCCATCGTGGGATGTCCGAGATGGTGTTCCGGCAAAAGGCTTCGCAAATCTTATGTTGTTGAAGATTGGCTGGTCCTGAGTTCGCTGGCCTGGGGCATCCGAAGAACCACCCTTACTCTATCGGGAGTCTTCTCGATCTTGCCCGGGCTCGCCTCTCTCATGCTTGTCAACTTTACCTCTCTTCCGGGGTTGGTTCACGTTCCAGCCCCTGATCTGGGTCGGGCCTGAGCTGGGCAAGGCTGCAGCAGATCCGGTTTCCTTGTGGTCGTATGGTATGGTCTTCAATTCTGGCTTGTTTGGCCAGGCACGGTGCGCGGGAACCGGAGCGGGCTGCAATTTTCTGTATTTGTTCCCTGCGTCAGAGGATCCGGAAGGGGTAGATCTATGACGGTGGATCGAGTTTGGGAGACCTGGCGGGGTTTCTTGGGGGCTGTGAACCATGGGAGCCATTGAAGGAGGGTTTCCGTAAGTAGGCGACAGAACCTGGTGAGCATAGCCAAGGTTAGGGGAGGTCATGTATCCCTGGCCACTAGTTTGCGGGTTAGGGAGGATCCTGTCCGTGGTGATGGGTTGCAACTGCGGCGGCCCATGTGGCTCCGGGGCTGCGTAACCTCGATGGTAGGACCGAGAGGGGCCTGGGGGATAGTATGAACCCCCAAGGCTGTTATGGACGCCCGGTCGCATATTGGGGTCAATGATCCCTTCCTCCACAGACTGGTTTCGCCCTCTAGGTGGTCGAAGTGGAGGCAAGGGCTCAGCACTGGCGTTGTGGGAGAATGGGATGCGCGAGGGTGCCAAAGACTGCGATTGATAATGGGGAGAAGGGCCTGGAGCCGACGCAGGCGGAGCTTGCGGGCCAGGAGGCGGTTGCTGTGACCAGTATGATCGTGAGTAATCAGTGGCATCCGCGCCGTAGCCGCTCATACGGCGAGGATTGAATCCAGGATCAATTGGACGGCCTTGGTTCATGTGAACATCACGATGGCCTTGGTTAGGGTAGCCACCATGCGACATGTATGCCCCTGGGTCTTGGGGGTGTCCTTGCTGTGGAGGGGGCGGGTAGTCGGATGGTCGCACTTGTTGATGTTGTGGTACAGGATGATCGTGGACGGGTGGGTACGGCATCACATCCGCAGGATGGGGGTGCACCAGGCCGGTCGGTTGCATCGGCGGTTGTGCACGAGGTTGTGAGTGCATATACCCTTGGGGAGCCTCAGTAGGATTGAACCGAGGGTCAATGGGGATCGGGTTAGGGGCAACCGGGGGAAGTTCGTTACCCCGAGGGATTGTACTTCGAAGATCCGACTCGGTGACGCTCAAGTGTTCGATTGGCTTAGGGCCCATGCCATTGACGGCATTTGGATCATCGGAGGTGCTCACGACGTTGCTAAGCTGCGCAAGAAGGTTAAGGCCAAGGTGGGGGTCCGCCTCTGGAGCGGGAGCGGCGGCTGGCTTAGAGTCCGTAAAGACATCGCGGATCGCATCATAACGAGCCGGTTTTGGCGCAGGTCGCGCGGCCTTGGCTGTCTCCTGTGCTTCGAGGAATGCACTCGCATATGTCAAAACGGAGAGGTCAGTGAATCCACCTTCTTGGAGAGGAAGCACCTCTTCTTCAACCGACTCCTCCTCTGGCTCCGACTCTTCTTCCTTAATGATGGGTCTAGATTCGAGTTCCTTGATTGCAGTGCCCAAAGACTGGGCCTGGAGGTCCTCGTCAGGGCGGGCATAGTCGGAAACGGAAACATCTTCGAGTTCGATATCGTCAATCTTGCAGAAGCGTCTGAAGGAGGCACCAATCTTTACCCGCCACGGGTTATCGTCGGAGCGACGGTGGTTCGTGACCTTGAGGAAGGACCGTGAAGCGTGGTGAACTCGCCCAGAAGGGTTCGCGATGTAAACCACCGGCTTGCCAGGCATGACACAGGGCGATGGCTCCTCGTAGACAATTGGGCGATTAGGCATGAGGACACCATACTTGGGATGCACGCCGTAGCGCTTGACCATTTCCAAGTCGAAATCTTCCGGTGTGGTGGACGAAAAATCGTAACCGTTGCACCAGTGATCAAAATGCATCCCGTTGCTGTTGGGGGTATCAAGGTACTTGCCACGCTTCGCACGGTTGTGGCCCTTGGTAGAGTCATTGGTAGTATCTCGGAAACCAATCTCCCAGTCCTCGAACCAAAAGAGGTGCGGGGTAATTAGACGGCTGTTGCCCCCCTTCTCTCGGAAGTTTGATCGCTGGTTGTATATGCGGAAGCCATACTCATCTGGGTCCGAGATGTTCTTCGGCAGCTGAGGGCTCTTCTCGCGAGAGGGGAGTTTGCCCTGCGCTTTGGCGAGTGCCGCGGGCGCGAGGCCGTTGAAGAAACTGGGTGGTTCAGGAGATGCTGGGACAGAGTCCTCATCACCCGGGGTTCCCTCAGGAGTATCCTCAACTTCGGCGGCGGAAGCAAGCAGGCCCTTGGATGGTGCCATGCCCATGGGTGTGCCAAGAAGATCGGATGTCCCCCTGGTGCTCTTCTTGGGCGTGGGTTGGCCATCGGGTTGCTCTGGGGCTCTCCGTTTGATACCACCACGGCCTCTACCACGGCCGCCTCTGGTTGGTGCGGAGGGGACGGTGGTAGTTGCGGCCACGGCGGCGTCGGCATCACGAGCCTTTTGCCACATCTCGGTCCCCTCAACACGCGAGGGATAGGGTACAAGATAACCATTCTTGTAGCATTCATAAATGCCGAAGTCTTTGTCAAAATGCTCATCTGAGATAACTTTGTACTCATATTGGTCATCGCGGACCTTGAGTGGATGACGTGCGTCAGCGGCGGATCGGAAGCCAGAGCGAAGGATTCCGAAGCGACGGATAGGGAGAAAAAGATACTCACATCAACGGGAAGACCTTTTGCTTGGAGGGCAGCGAGAACGCGAGCGCGGTTCTCTTGGCTCTGGAAGAATTGCTCCTCAATGTCGTTGAAGCCGTTCTGTGTGGGGTTAGAGATTAGACGCCAAGAGCCTCATGGAAATTTCCGCGACGGGGGGCGAACGTCAGGTGCAGAAGGGCAGACTTACCGCGAACTCTTGCTCGGCCACGTAATTGTCAGCGCGATGCATGTCCTCGGCGAGCTTAAGATCCCAATTCAGACGGTGCTCGTGTTCAGCCAGCTTGCGTTGGAGATTGGCCTGGAGTTGACGGATGACGGGGAAGTGCTCATCCGCGTGTCTGTATGTGTCTGGGTTCTGGATGGCCTCGTCGATGCTGCGCTCGGCGAGCTCCTGCAACGCGGGTTTGAGCGCATGAGCAACCGCCTGGTACGTGGCCTTGAGGTGCCGTTGGCGCTCGTAAGCAGCTTGGACGCGCGAGTCCGAGAAGTTCTTTGCTCGGCCTCTTCGCGATCCGCCGCGGCCGGTCTTGGTGGCAGGAGGTTTGGCCACAGCAGCACTAGAGCCACCACGACCGCCACGACCTCGTCCACCGCGACCTCGTCCACCACGGCCGCGACCGCGAGTGGTGGGCTCTCTCGCGGGTGACTCGTTCTCAGCAGGCATGGCTGGTGAGGCGGAGGCGGGTCATGTAGGTGATGGTGAGAGGAGGGTGAAGCGGCAAGCCAGGGCAAAGCTTTGGGTGAGAGAGTGAGAGTCTGGCGCGCCGACGACGGGCGGCAGGGCAGCGGTAAAAACAAGCAGGCCCCGAAGCCCCGAAGCCCCGAAGCAGACGGTGACACTGGGACAGAGCCGCGTAAGATGAAGAGGTCCCGGAGGTGGTGGTGCTTGGGGGAGCGGGTGAAGTTGCAAGAGAAGGGCTGGTGATGGAGACGTAGAAGAGAGGGTACGTATAGGTGAGGGTCAGGGTCAGAAGTTTTTGCCCATCGGCAGGCGGCAGCAACAACGGCAGTGCGCGCGTGGCAGAATCAGCTGCAGAATGAGATTCCAGAACAGCCCTTGATGACGGCGGCGACGGTGACGGTGATGGCCTGCTACCGTGGTTGTGGTGCTGCGGGCGGATTCAATGAGACGGAAAAGAACGTCGAGCTTCAGCTTCAGTGACCCTTTTTTCGCTCTGCATCAATAATACCAGCGCAGCATTGATGGAGCACAATGAATGGCAGCGGCAGAGACAACGAGCGCCGCTTGAGCCACAGCCTTGGCCCCCCAGGCCGAGGGATGACCCACAGCGAGTCCCCAGCAGTGCCCCAGGACCCCCGTCCGCTGTAAGTCCACTGGAAGCCACCCTAGTCCGGCGCCGCCAGCAGGGGATACGATGGGGCCCTGGTCCACTGGGGTCGCCGCGTTCACCAGCCACGTCCAGCCAGGAGCGCCCTAAGCCGGTTTGGGGACGGTTGTCCTGATTTGCGGCTGTCTGATTGGGTCGGAGCCCTTGATTTTCCGGCCGCCGCTGATGCGCAACCCCTGTCCTGCTCGCCAGAAGGTACCGGGGACCACTTGCAAGGAGTTCTCCGGATGTCCTCGGCGCGGCTGGGAAAGGGCTTGTTGGCATCAATAGGAACATGTTGTTTGGTCGCGACGCAAGCGTGTTTGCGGCAATCTACAAGTTCGCGGTTTAAATGGAATGGCACGTTGGTTGTTTATTTCCCTTCTTCTTTGTTTCCTTTCTTCCTTCTTCCTTTCTTTATTGACCTATTGACCCTGGTCAAACACGGGTTCAAACACCTATTACCAACCTGGTGCCTAATACGTAGACGCAGCTGCAGCGCGGAGCCCGGTTTTTCTCATTCTTGTTCATGTTAGTCCCGGCTGTTTGGGCAACAAGCAAGAAATGGGCTGATGGCACGGTACGGCTCCGACCTTGGACCGTCACTCACTCGCACGAGATCCAACTCTCGCTGTACTCGGTTGCGGGGAATGCGATTGCCCCGTAGCACAGTAAGGGCTGTACCTGGACCGGTTGCTTATCTCGTGACTCTCCACGCCGTCACTCGCATTCTCACTGAGCGACGGTGGAGACTCCGGGCACACACCACCGGTTCCACTAACATTCGGAGGTTCGGACAACACACGGCATGCAACAGCAAGTTTGCAGACCGCTGGTGGTGTGGTGATGAGATAAAAATCTCGCAGCCGTCTCGATGGCCAGATGCTGTCTCGTCTCGTCTCGGCTCAGCCCGGCACCGTGGTGGCTGGTTGATCTTTTTGGGGCATTCCGCGACTCTGTTTTGGTCATCCATCCATCCAGGTTGCGCAGGGACCATTACCCAGATTTCCACGTACATATTACTAGGCACGCAGTGCTGTACTCCGTACTCCGTATGTACGGTGAAGGCGACTGCTGACACATTCTTCCGCCTGAACTCCATCGCAGCCATCACATCAACCTTCTGACTTCTGACTTCTCACGCCTCTTCGCGGCTTCTCACTAGACATGTTTCTGTCCGGGTGTTTACCTCGGATCCGTACCTAGGTAGTGACGCCAGTCATTGCCCCATGCGTAGCCACGACCAAAACCGGCAACTGTCCTTCTTTTCCTGGTTGTCCTTCTTGTCCTTCCTACCTTATTCTTCCTGTCCTGTCATCTTGCCCTGATCTTCTGCCAAGTACCCGATACTTGTGTTGATTGGCGGCGTCTGCGGTGCTCCGCACTTGCACAAGGCTGCGTGGCCAAATCTAACCGCGGTGGGCGCTCCCGAGCTGCCGGAGGAAGCTAGTACAGTAAGGTAACGGTGCGCTCACATCACTGGCCAATCACCGCGCGCTATCCCGCAGTGAGACGAAATCCATTGTAAGGAAGGAAGAAAAAAAAGGTTGCTGCTCCCGCCTTTCACGTGCGCTGCCATCTGACTCTCCCGCCGTGCGTTAAAGTGACGTTGTACGTCCCGTCCCACGTTCCAATCTTCCGGCTCCCATCTCCTGCATCCCACGTCGCAATGGGGGGGAAAAGACGCAAGCTGCTGCAGCTACATGGGCCCCCAAGAGCGGGAAGCCGGGTCCAGAAGCTCCAGCGCAACAAGCCCTCGCAATCATCAGCCAATGGCCCCGCCAAGGCAAAGAAGAAGCACAGGCAGCAGCATCGCCCAGAGGAGCCGACGATCCCCTTTGAGCCGCACCATCGCATCCTTCTCATTGGTGAGGGTGACTTGAGCTATGCTGCCTCCATCATCGAGCATCAGGGCTGCACCAACGTCACTGCCACCGTCCTAGAGAAGGATGCTGCTGAACTTCTCGACAAGTACCCCCACGTTGAGGACAATGCCGCTGTGATCCGCGGAGAGGAGCGCAAAACCAAGGAGGGGAAGGGGGAGGCCAATGATGAGGGTACTGAAAAAGAGGGGGACGATGAAGAGGACGGCAAGGACGACAAGGACAGCGACGACGCCTTCAACGACGAAAACGAAAGCGATGAATATGACGACGAATATGACGACAGCCCCAAGCCTAATCGCAAAGCGATCCCGAACAACAGACTCCTTTACGACATCGACGCCACAAAACTCCCCGCGTCCCTCACCCGTACACGCTACGATCGCATCATCTTCAACTTCCCCCACGTCGGTGGCAAATCCACCGACGTCAACCGCCAGGTCCGCCACAACCAGTCCCTTCTTGTCGCCTTCTTTCAGCGCGCCCTGCCCGCCCTCGCGCAACGCGGTGCCATCGTCATCACCCTATTTGAGGGAGAGCCCTACACCCTCTGGAACGTCCGCGACCTCGCCCGTCACGCCGGGCTTCAGGTTGAGCGCTCCTATCTCTTCCAGGCCTCCGCGTACCCCGGGTATCGGCATGCCCGCACCCTCGGCGTTGTGCGCAATGCGCAAGGCGAAGCAACAGGCGGCGGCTGGAAAGGTGAAGAGAGGGCGGCGAGGAGTTATGTGTTTAAGAGGAAAGAGGACATCATTCCGGAGGGGAAGAAGAGACCCAGAGATGATTCTTCGGACGGTGAAGATAATTGAGCAGTTGGCTATACTTGATACCCAATTATTACGTCGCATCCTTTGGTACATAATAGCTCGCCCCCATAGCTCGAGCCGCCAATCGATTGACAGGAAACAATCCGTGCTGGTTGTCCGGGAGGAAGTTCAAGTGCCCTTCCATGAGATGTAGGAGTTCGCATATGGTGGCGTATGGCGGCATGATACCATTGGACACAGGTCGAGGGCATGGAGTGCATTTGATATTAACATATTACACGGTTAACATTGGTCATCAACCGGATGAGCATCTCACAACCAAAACGTTACAAATCTCTTTGTTTTTGCTCCAAGGGTATCTAATCCGTCCAACACGGTCCGAGCGACAACAATCCATGTACTCTCCAAGGCCTATCAATAGCACCCAACCACCCTTGCCAGTCTTACCATGCGTCAGCATAGGTCTCCCTTGCATCATGCTTATACGCCCTCCTGAATAGACACATGGATGCCAGATGATGGGGGAAAATCACCGTCTGCAGAATATAACCCAGCAGCGGTCACAGCCAGATGTTTGATAGTTGCGCCAACTCCTCAAGCATATAGAAACGATATCACAAAGAAAGTCCTCCTCCATGATGAGTAATTGTTTCCCGGGGGAAATGCCTGCCTTTATATAGTAATAGTACAATGCGCCTCCACTGGTATTGGCCTTGCAACTCCCAAAAATGCAGATAAAAGATGTCTCAAAATTATGTGATCCCAGCCCAGCTCCAGGTTCATTGTAACCTTTCGTCCCATGGAATTCCTCTTAGTAGCTCAGCAACTCCTATTTCGATACCGAGCTCTTTTCGTTCATTGCAATTGCATTGTTTTGCGAGGCCGACGCCTATCCTTAGTTTCAGCTCGAATTCGATCTCTCGGCCAGGGCGTTGTCCATGCCCTTCGACCTATTGGCTTCATCTTCCAGTCGTTGCGCTTCCTCATTTTCCCGCATGAGTGCTTCCTCCTGTTCGCGAAGAGCCTGTTGCTCTGCACCCATCACATCCTCCATATCAGACTCCGGAGGCGGCGGCGGTGGCGGTGGAGGGCTAGTGTCGTCCAACTCGTCTTCCCTTGGTCGCTTCGTCAACGGGCCATCTGAAGGTGTAAGACTTGGAGAGTCTACCACTTCTGCTTCCCGTTTCCGCTTACGGTCTGGGCTCCCCGAAGTTTCAAGGGCCTCATTATCAGACAAGACGATGTCTTCTCCATCATCCGCTTTAGATTGGAGGGAATCAAACGAATCACCGGCAACATCATCGAGCCTCGCAGTTCCACGTGGTGCCCGGTGATCTCTTACCGGCTTCTGCGTCTCCCGGGCAACTTTCCGTTGCTGGTGTTCGGTGTACTTCTCCAGCGCCCGATCGAGGAAGTCTTTGACATATTTCTTCATCTTGTTGGCTTGCTTGTCGCTGAGGGCTGCACTCGGGTCTCCAACTCTCTCGTTCTTATAATCGGAGGCAACAAGCTTTTTTGCAACGTCCTTACCGAGGCGCTTCAGCTCTTCTCTGGGAAGTTTATGATGAAACTTATCCAGGACATGTTTGATATGAGGGAACAGCTGGATATGTTAGCACAGGGAACAGCACCAGGAAGAGTGATCGAACATACTGTATTCTCGTAGATCTTCATCTGCTTTTCGATGGGGAGGGCTCTCCATTTTTCCTTCTTGGAATCTTTCACGGGCGTTTCCGCAGCCTTCGGCGTCAGAGAAGCGGGTTGTTTAGGAGTACTCTCCTTGGTAACCCGATCGATGATACTCTGGATCATGAGCTGCTCCTGCATAGCCTTGGAGGGCGCCTTTGGGGTGTTGTCAGGCGCCGGATGCGTTGGCTTCTGCCATGTTGTAGTTCCTTGCTTGGTGTAGAAGTAGGCATTACCTCCTGCGTCCTTCGCAGTGAACCAACCGTGAGGCAGAGGAGCATTGAAATTTTGGCGACGCGGCCGTACACCGTTGTTAAAGAAGGCATTGTTCCTCTGGGGCACCGTGTTCCGAGGTCCCTTGGGCGCATCAATTGTCCGGGGCGATGCTGTTTTCGACGTCGACTGGACAGGTTCTTCTTCTCGTCCTTGTCCACGGCGATCTTCAAACGTTGCGGCCGGCGCATTTGGGTCAAACTTGCGCCGTCGTATCCGGTATGCGACCTCCAGTTTGCTCCATTCGTCTAGGAGCTTCTTGGATTTACTCGACACATCTTCATGTTCAGAGTGGGTCAGTCCTTCAACTGTTGCCTCGATCTTGGAGTCCTGAATCTTGTTCCTTGTCAAGCGCGGGAACTTGTCAAGAATCGACAAGAGCTGAAGGACCACGTTGTGGTCATCAATAAAAGTATTGAGGGTGGTTCTGAGAATTTGGTAGGCATGCATCCGCATCACGACATGCATGACGCGATCGTCATCACACTGCTCGATACGCTCAAGCAACTTGACGGCGATCCATTTCTCCTTGCACTGCATGAGGGCGGCCATGACCTTTCGAGCATCCTCTTCGTCCAGGCTGCGTGGTTGTATGCTGTTGACATACTCCTCATCCTCTTCCTCAGGCCTCTTTCTCCGGGGCTTCTTGGCAACTGAGGTATCCCAACCGTCGCCACCGTCAATGCCGAGTGCTTCAACAGTCGCTGCTGGGAGTTTGGTGGCACGCTCGGTCTGGGTCTTGCCACCAATAAATCCAACGCAATTTGGTTCTCCGCAGTAGCAAGGTTGAGGATCCGCGCCATATCGATCGACATTGTAGTTGAAGACAAGCTCCTCACCAGCTTGGACTTTGCGCGAAGTGAAGATGCCCATGCGAAGCTTGTCGCCAACCACCCACTTGTCCACGTAGCAATTTGGGTTGCAGGAATGGTTGCAGAAACGACCGAGGTTGCCCTTCTTAGTCGCATCAACGAATTCGCTCTTGTTCAGCGACATGAAGTAAAAATGCTTGATGCCCTCATCGTCGTACTGCAACATTCGTCGGCGGAAGGTGGGCTCATTGATAACCTCGCCAATATACTCAAACACGAAGTCATTAGCCTGCAGATCTGAATCTGTGCGAAGGCCGAATCCCTTCTTCTCAGTCTTGATGACCGAAACACTGGCATACTGCTTGCGCTGGAATCGCTGGTTCTGGCAACCGCCACCGCAATTTCCAGCATCGCCACTGCACTCCATCTTGGTTGCTCGGTTGATGCAGTCTGAATCCTCGCCACAGGCAAAATTTTCGCCATTGCCTAAGTTGGGTAGGTTAGCAGTCTATCGCCATTTACTGCACGGGGGAATGGAATCGCTCTACGTACGCCAGTCGTCTCGGCAATCACAGTCCAAGGCATCGTTGTCTGTGGATCCGAGGTGCTTCGAGCCGTAGAGACAATCGGGAATGAGCTGAAAGGCCTTGCGGGATTCGGCGGTGACGTCGGGGAGTTGGCTGTAGAGGACGTGTTCGCGCTTGGCCGCCAGTTTCTGTGACGCCTTTCGCGACAGCGCAGCAGCCTTAGTCGAGGATGGCGTCTCGGCGCTGCCGCTGCGTGATTTGACACCCTCCTGCGACAGCGCTGGGGACTGGGAACCATCGTGGCTGTCGTTGGGAGTCGGAATGGAAGCGCTCCTCTCCTGCTTCAGGCGCGCGCCGTTCGCGCCGCCCTCCTCTAGCTTGATTTCCCCCATTTTGCTGGTCGTATACTCGTCATCCTCCATTAGGGCATGAGGAAGAGGCGGTAGCAGTCGTCGCTAAGGGGTTCTTTCGGTGCGATCGAGGAGCGCGGGCGGTGTGGGACAACCAGAGGCGGCGGGAGCAGTCCTGCGAGGAAGTGGGAGCGGCTATTCTGAGGGCGAAGGGAGCGTGGAGCGTGGAGCGTGGAGCGTCGTGGTGGAGCGAGGAACCGTGCATGTGGGAGAAGGACGGAGCAAAAGGGTGGGCAGCCGAGCGAGTACTCAGAGTGCGAGAAAAGGCTGCAGGGCGAGGGCGAGAAATAGCGAGGGTAGAATGCATATGGCCTTGCATCCACGGATCCACGGACGGAGGAAGATAGACGAAGCCAATCTCGAGTCCAGGACCTCATTCCGACTCGGCCAAACTGGGCGAAATAGCATGTTAAAGCCGGACTTTCTTGCCGCCGACCCTCCGACGCGCCAGAATTTGGAAGGCCGCGATGGCACATGCGCCACGATTTCCCCAGATTCTCTCAGGTGCAGCTAGCCAATAGCGCGTCTCGGTTGCGCCAAGCCCATCTTTGTTCCCGGGAATGGTAGATGGTCGAGGGAACAAGCGCTCTAACTCCGGAGTTCTTTGTTCTGGCCGAGTAAAAATTGCAGCATTCTCCTTTACAGCCATTGTTAGGCTCGTTACAGGGTAAACTCGCATGACTTGTGAGGCCCGGCGAAATTTTGTCGCCACGTCAAGTTGCATAGATGCCAAAGTTGTCATATTGTTTAGAAATACTACCTATCTAGATATCAAGGCAAATATTCTACATACCCTTGTCGCATAGTTATCGAGAACTCTCCCTTAGGTTCCAAGCCATAGGTCCAGGGGCATGCTGCTCTCGCATGGGTTCGTGTGAATAGCGCCAGCTTTCGCCAATCGTCCCAGTTGTCGTCATCCTGTCTCTGCAGGCCAATCACTTACCCTGGACACTTAATCTGATGGCGGTCCAAGTTGAACGAAGGTTTGTTGATTATTTCCCCACGGTTTCCGAAGCGGATCGACGGTTCAAGTGATAATATACGCCCATGGTCATAGTGCTATGCATGTTCTAATCCTCATATTGAATGGTTGCGTCCGAGTCGATAGCAAGAAGTCACCATCAGCGAGACGGGTTAGCGACCTCAACCGATCCCACGCAAAACCAGCTAAAGAAACAATCCCTGCCAGCGCAGACGGTCGTTCACACACCGCGATACTCCGCATTCGCGACCAAGCGAGTAACACCGCCTTGCCGTGGTGAAAGTAGCGGTGACGAGGGTATAGTAACGTTGGAGCGACGAAGTATTTAACAGAGCGCCTGCTTGACTTGACATCGGCTGTTGAGAGCCGTTAGAAATCACCACGTCCATGAAACCGACCATGGAGCTTTGAACTGGCTGCCCTTGGAATGCCTTTATCTCGGTCTCTTTCTTGAGTATCTACCTGCCCGATCAACTACGGGCAGGACTGACGTGTTGTACATGAGTGGGTCCCAGTGAGAAGCTGCCACCTCATTGTGCATGCAAGTGCAAGAACGCCCCGACAGCTGGAGGAAGGCGCGACCGTGGAGCGGCACTGCTTGATTATAAAAAGCGGTGGACGTCAGTCGTGGCGACTTCATTCTCACAATTACCACAACCTCCCCGGCCGTCATGATGGCGATGAGACTGTTTTCCGGAGGTGACGGCGTCAACAGCAACATGATCGACAAACGGCCCGGCGACGGGAAAGTACAGCACTTGCGGCTCACCCGCCGAACCTCGTGACGAACCCGTGGACAGTGCAGCGCCCAAATGCGACAAGTCAACCGCCTTTGTGGCCTGATTGGCGAGACGAGAACCAGTGATTTCGAGTCTTTCCGCCCCGGGAGCAAGCGATGGCCCAGACAGCCAACGTCGGTCGCCAATCAGCCAATAGGCGCGCCAGCGTCATTTCTGGTCACGCCGCGTTGCACGGGACGAATCCTTGGGCGAATTTTGGGGCCATTCTGATGGTGCCCTATTTGGGAGGCTTGTATAGCCGGCCGCGGACGAGTTGGGCACTGATTGGAGATGGGTGGTACCGAGTTGGATCGGATCCAGTGAGCGTGGGCAGCCACACCAACCGACAAGGGGGGAAGAGGGTTCGCTTTACGGCGAGGGCGTGGACATGTGAGAAGAAGCGTCAGGTTGGGGCGACACACCCTCAGAGCTGACTGCAGTCGACGAGGCGAGTCAGGCGGCCTCAGGTCTCGGTTGGATTGGCCATCGAAACCAGCGAGCCCCGTCCTGATGCATCCCCAGCTGCCGCATGTCAGTTCATTTGACGCTGCGGAGAGTGTGCTCCAGTTGTGCATTGTGCATTGCATCGTCGTGGATGGGCCCAGGTTGCTAGTATGGAAGCACGACAAATCGGGACCCGTCAACTGAGACAAGTGTAGGTCTGAGAACACAGCAGGTGGCCAGATTAAGACTGAAGGATGGCTACCTTATCGAGTCAGAGAGTCTCAACAACCATTCCCACCGCGCACGTCGCTCGGGACGCAATGCGCCACAAACGGACACAAATGACCGGGGCTTCGGATGATTGAACTGGCTTGAGCGGTGCGACGGCACATCGACGCCCGAGGAAACGAAACGAGGCCCCTGGTTTGAGTACCGGATCGCATCTCGCGCAGCACTTGCTCGGCGAGTACCGTGCTGGGGTACCGGTATATGCAGATGCAGCCCTGGCAGCTTGAGCCGAATGGCCTACCTACCCACTGAAGGTACCTTAGCTACAGGACAATACGGACAACCAGCCAACGAGCTGGCGAGCGCGTGAGCGATCTAGGTTGGTCCAAGTTCGATGAGAGACGGGTATCTCATCTCGTTCGGGACGGATGCTTGTGCATCTCTGGTCGGGCTGATATGACGATGGGTTAACCCTGCCTGGCACCGGCACACCTCTGGCACCCAGTCGCGAGCCGTTTCCTCGTGGGCACCACAAAGCACAAGAGGCAAACATAAAGGCATCCCCCAACTCGACTAGTCAATGGGCGAATGTTTCGAACTTGGATCCCTAGCCTGCCCTGTGGCCCGCGTTTGATATTCCTGCGAGCAACCGAGAAGCCACCCTCGATCTCCATCCCTGACATCCTGGACCAGACCAAACCCTCTCGGGCGTGGAGAGTGAGTCTTCACCAAAGGCTGGCCACCCTTGTTTGGTTCCAGTGTTTGCCCACCCCAGCGTCACCTGGCTCCGGCTACAACTCCGCGTCCACGACCCCAGCACAGGGACCAACGAGCTTGCACGCCCAGCCACGCGCAACGCGCAGCAGCAAGCAGTACCAGCAACAGCCCCAGCAGCAACAACCCCAGTAGCAGTGCAGGGCCGCAGGCTGCCGTCGCAGGTTGTGACGGACTTGGACTTGGACTGATCTTCGCCTGCGCTTCTGTCGCCTCGACTGACGCCGCATCTTTTACTTCTTCCAACATTCGCTCCCGCTTCTCAACGGCCGCCCCCGAAGACGCGCGCTTGCGTGCTTCTACCGCGCGCCTTTGGCAAGCGAGTCCATTTACCACCACCGCCGCCACTCCGATCACTATCGTGGGACGACGGCCTCCCGAGCAGTGCCTCGCCCGTGCCTCCGCGCCCCTCCACGACCTGGTCATCTTACCCCTCGAGGCGACAAACCCAACCGACACTCGTTCTTGGCTGCGCGTAGAGCGCCAACATTGTCTTCTGGCTTTTCCTCGAGCCCGGGCCTCGGAAACTTGATTTCCCTTCTCGTTGTGGCTGGACTCACTTTCGCTTCACTTCTTCATCACCCCGTGCCACAAATGCCTGCTTGTGAATCACTCCAACTTCCCCCCTTTGTCTTCTTCCCCCACGCCTTCCCCCTCCTTCCACGCTGAGTCGAATAAGTTGGGAGCAATGGGTTCCCCTTTCACGGACGAGGAGAATGTGAGCAAAACCTGGAGCAACTGATGATGGAACGGCGTACTAACCCGGCGCCAGCGGTTCCTCCTGGCTGAGATGATCAAGGCCAACAGACTGGACAACGAAATCATAAAGAAATTCATCAAGGCTAATGGGATCGACCCCAACTGGATGCAGATGCAACTGCCCCTGGGTATGATAAATCTGCTCCCCATCCCACTGGAAGGTGTTAATATCCTACAGGCCGAAACATGAATCAATGTCTCCAAGCAGCGGAGCACATGGGCTTTGAGCGGCGCGCTTGGCCGAAACGTAAGATGTCGGATGACCAGAGCGAGCCAGCCGCCAAAAGAATCGCCTTGCCAGGAGGCCTAGAACAACAGGTGATGGTAGCGGTTGCACCCTCGACCACGTCCACCCACGTTGCCATCCTCCCTCGCCCAGCCAGCAGCTCCGCCGAGATCCCCTCGATCATAGCTCCTCCTGTGGTCCCTTCCACAGCTCCGAAGAAGAAGGGTCGACCAGCTCGTGCGGATAAGGCTAGGTTTCGTCCTATCCTCCCACAACACATCGCGCCCCGTCCCGTCGAACAGAGACAGCATAGTCCGCATAGCCCGCATAGCCAGCACAACCAAAATAGCCAGCAGAACCAAACCCCAGCTGCACCGCGAACGATACTTCCATCGGGCCCTCCCACTCAGGATTCGACAACGAACCCCCCGACCGGCAACTACAGCACATTCTATGCTGGACCAGCAGCGGGCGGGAGAAGTTTGCTGAGAGGAGGAACCCCAATAGATGAGACGGCTCACCCGGTAAGTTATGTCTCTCTTCCCGAATTAACGCTCTCTGACCAGTCGAGTTAGCGGGTGATGGCTGAACCAGCATTCGAGCATTTCGAAGTTTCACGTCCCATGGCTCTACCTGGTCCAATCCCAATGGAACCCGAGCCTAGAGCTAGCAGCTCTCTGTCGGGAGGACCCCCCGAAGAGCTCACAAGACTTCCACCCCTCCTCGAAGTTGACAGCAAAGCCGGCCTGATGGGTGCTTCACGCGTGGAGACGCAGGCTCCAGTCGTCAATTCAGCCTAGAAAGATGACTGTCGAGACTGGAGTGACTACTACCGCTTTTCGCGTTCTTGATGCGACCAGAAGTGAACTACCACAAGGCATGTAGAAGGCTCAGGCAGCCTTACCACCGGCCTCTAATTGTCGCCGGCTCCGGCCTGCACCCAACCACAGCTACCATTCAAGGTAATCGGGAGGAACCATTGCTTTCTAGAGGCTTGTTTCGGTTTCATCTCTCTGACAACATAGACGGGTGGATTCTTTACTATTGCATTACGCCGGACCATGCGAAAGTTATTATGGCTTTTTTCTTCCTCCACGTTTCCCTTTCTATATCCCAGGGTTTAAGAATCGGCTTTATACGAAGCGTTACGGCTTGATACGAACGTCAGCATGGTCATTTGCATTATGGAAACGGCGCTGCGGCTTTTGATACCTGGAGGTTACGAGGTCATTTCTATCTTGGACGAGCCCTGGAGGTATCGTCCCTTTGCACCCATCTCTCTCTTCTCTCTACTCATGATGGTATTGCTGGAACGGACTTTGTATTTGATTAGTTAATCTGCCACCGCCTGAAGAGCTTGGACTCTTGGTTTCTTCGAGAAAGAAATCCAGTCAAGGGATTAGATGGCTAATGTCGCCTTCAACTTTGTGATATTCTGTTAAATGATAACGTACGTAGAGTGAACGATGGCCAGCTCCCAACATCTCCTGGGCCCCTTAACTCCTCCACTCCTTGATCCCTCAAATCCTGGCTCGATCACTTCACTTGTTGGTGCATACGAAAACTACATATATAGCAACATCTTTTGTTCAAAGAAGCATGACATTGTGAATGATCTAGCGGGTCGGGGTTGATGTCATGTTCAAATTATCTTTGTATTATGGCTTCTCCGTTCTCAGACGCACGTGGCTAGACCAACTGGTCAACTGTCATTTTCATCATGTTCCCCCGCCATATCTGCTTAAAATTCCCAAACGTCACTCTCAGCCGAGAGGCTAACCCTTTGCCTTTCTCCCCCATTCCTTGTGAATACCTGCCATTGACTCCGAAACCAACACTGGACAAAACCACTACGACTTAGCAATCTTCTCAAGAGTGTCGAGGAGGATGTCGGCGTGTTTCTGCTGCATGATCAGCATGGGCCGCAGGCGGACGGCGCTGTTGCCGCTGCCGCCCATGTTAACACCCAGCATCTTTGCCTTGGCAAGGAACTCATCGCGGCGCGCGTTGTCGAAGGCGAGGAAAGTGCCCTGGCCCTTGCCACGGAGGTTCTGGAATTCGCCGGGGTACTTCTTGGCAAGGCCCTCGATCTCGCTATAGAGATACTCACCAACCTTGGCAGTGTTGTTGACGAGGTCGAGACGCTCAATTTCACCGATGATGGCGCGGAAGAGAAGGGCGCGGACGGGGTCGCCCATCCAGGTGTTGAACTGTCGGTAGGGCTTGTTGGGTCGGATGGCAGTGTTGCCGTAGTAGAAACCGGCAGCCTGGGCCTTCTTGGAGAAGGTAACCATGTCCGGAGGGTCCTGAAGGTTCCAGTGCTCGTGAGCCCAGAACTTGCCGGTAGCGCCGACACCGGTCTGGACCTCATCGACGATGAGTAGAACGTTGTGCTTCTTGGTCAGGGCACGCAGCTTGCGGAAGAAGTCAGGCGAGGCGTGGTTGTCGCCGCCCTCGCTCTGGATGGGCTCAACGACAATGGCAGCCGGGGGCAGGTGCCAGGTCTTGATGAGGTGCTCGACCTCGTCGAGGCTGGCCTGCTCGATCTTGGCGTTCTCGGCGACGTTCTCCTCGAGAGGGTACTTAAGCTGAGGGAATGTAGCCTGGGGCCAATCGAAGGCAGGAATATCGATCTTGTGGAGGGCCTTGGAGCGGGTGGTAGAGAGGGAGCCGAAGAGGCGGCCATGGAAGCCCGTCTTAAAGGACATGATGGAGAGCTGGGGAGCGCCAGGGGCCTGGTTGTTCATGGCGGAGTCGAGCTCAGCCTGGGTGAAGTCGGCGTCGGGGCTGCCACGGTCGAGCTGGCGGCGGTACATGAAAGCAGCCTTGTAGGCGGTCTCGTTGGCGTCGGAGCCAGCCATGGCCGTGAAGACGTGGTTGAGGCCCTTCGGCGCAACCTTGAGGATGCCCGTCTTGAGGATAGAGGCGTAGTCGTGGGAGGGGAAGGCACCGAGAGCGGGACGGTTGACAATGGCATTGACCATGTCGGGGGTGGATGCCGCCTTGATGAGGTTGGGGTTGTTGTAGCCCACTGGGATGGAGGCAATCTGGGCGAAGCTGTGCTCTATTCATTAGTAACCGACCCTGAACTCGCGGGGATAATTGGGGTCCTTACACATCGAGAAGCGTGTTGTCATCGGGGTCGACGATGTAGTTGCCCACACTCTTGGTGTAGTCGGCTAGCATGTTCATGCTGCGGGTGTCAAAGACGTCATTAAGCTCGTCAATGTGCTTCTTGGTCTTGGGGCCGGGAATGGCCGTCTTGATGGAAGGACCCTCGGGCTCGTTGGGGAAGAAAGGAGCCGCCGAGGCCGCCTTCAGGGATCGCGACGAGGCAAAGGAGCGGCGGGCGGCGGAAGCCAGCGAGGGTGAGAGGGAGGCGGGCCGGAGGGCCATGCCAGTGCGGAGGGCCGACATGGCGAGGAGATGCAATTCAGAGAAGCACGAGACACGGCGTAGCGGGTGATTGCGTTTTCTTTCGTCTGTAGATTGAGGTTAGAAAATGTGTTTTGTCAGAGTGCCGTCATGGGATGTGGGAGGTAGAGACAAAGACAGCAAGCACGCCAAGATAAGGTTGGGGAATGCGAATGCGATAGCTCAAGGTAAGGAAGGCCTCACTCACGGAGTTGCCTCTTGCACTCAATTCGGCAATGGACTGTTGAACTGTGAAATGTGAACTGTGAACTCAACCCAAAACCCCCCAAAAGAAGGGCAGGTCTCGGTCCCTTTATATGAGCCAGCTTGGCCTCCCACAATTCCAGTCTCCCTCGCCGCTCCTCCCCTCCTCGTCTGACTTAGACCGTCCTCGGTCAAGCCCAAGCCATTGCGGGGAGCCGACGCAGTCATGAGGGGCCCAAGTCCCACCGCACCGCGTGGATACGTAGCTAGAGCTCTCTTAGCTCGTCTGCTCCGTACCATGTTGCTTCCCCCTCTTCTAGAGCAGCCAGCAAACGGCCGCTCCTGGGCAATTGGCGACAATCGTGTGGAGAAGTGCCCAATCGGTCCCAATCGGTCCCAATCGGTGGTGTTTGCGCTAGACGGGCCCAACCCCAATCCCGTCATGCTGTCGCGATAGCAGGCCGTGCCGACGTCCCATGATGCATTCTCCAGCGCCTCGAAATGCCTGTGGCCCTGCCCAATCACCAAGAGGCCCGGCAAAATATGTGGTAATTGGTATCTGCCGTGGTTCTGCCACCCCAGTCGATGCTCATCGATCCGTCATCGATGCATGGGTCGTCCTGCGGTGCATTTCATGTACCTAGTGGTCAAGGTGTTGTGGTGGGGTTCTGTGGAATAACACCTCCAAATAAAGCAAGAAAACATTAAGAAAAAAAAAAAAAAAGCTATCGCGACGACGCTTGAGCTATCGCAAGCTCCATCCCCGCGATGGAGAACCCCCTCTCCGGGTCGTCCGGATTCCCCGTATCCCCCCCCGGGCCGGTCCCGGTCCCGGTGTCCGCTGTCGGCCAGATTAATTCTCTTCTCTCCCGGGAGCCCAAGCCCAAGCTCTCCCATGATGGATTGGCATTGGCCTCAATAGCAATTGGCATCACTAGCATTTGGAAAAGGCAGGGTATGAATCATGGGATTAGATCAACTGCCGTAAAATCGTCTCGAGTCGAGACGCGTCGAGAGCCGATTCTCGGGACGCGGCACACCCATCCATGTTGATATCTTTCCTATTCGGGAAGGCTGATTGAGAGCATGGCTTTCTGCTCAGCTGCTCGGTTGCGCAGCCATCCCATTATCAAATCGATATGCGTCTCCTTCTGCAACGAGTCTAGCCATTCTTGTATATCTCATTTCAAGTCTCCAGGTTGAAACCACCGCTGCGAGCTGCGACCTCATTCTCTTCAACTGATGCGATAACGGCTCATGTGATGCAATTCGGCCCCGCATGATGCCCAGAGCTGTGTATTGTCGTACATTGCGATAGTAATATTCAACAACAACTCCATCGCATGCGATGCCATCCATAATTAGCATGCCATACTATGCCTTGCCATGCCATGCCATGTCAATCTAACAATAGAGAACTGAAGTATACTCCCTCCTGTGACATTATATCAAGCTCGCAGGGAAAAAAAAGGCAATAGCCATTGCGCCGGAACCCAATGCAAACGCTCCAATCCCACGTCGTCATGATGCCGCCCTCTAAAGTCATATGGCTGCCTCAAAGTCCGACACATCTCCGGCTCCAAATATGATGGGTGCTGATACGATGCTGATAACCACGTTGTGCTTCCCCATGCCTAGTGGGGCACCCCCCTCGGCTTGTACACTTCTTACCTAGCTCACTCGTCCTTCTCAAGCTCACGCATGTACTTGACGAATGTCTTCTTGTGGGTCTGTACCATCTTATCAGCCAGCCTGCACATAGCCGAACTCATTCGGGAAACCAATCAACGACTTACCATTCCTGCATATTTGCCGTCCTTAGAGACACATATGTAGCGGAGACCCAGTTTCGAGAAAACTTCATACACAAGATCCATTGGTGACCGAATGTCCAACGCCACTGGTGCCTTCAGTCATGTTAGTAAAGTGCCCAAGTAGGCTAATGTAGACGACTCACTGGATCAATGTAGGGCGTAAAGTCCGTAGGATCAAATATGTCATCATCATCCTCATCAACCCTTGGCACTCGATCCATCAGACATAGATTCGTGCTCTCATCCTCTAGTTGATCGAGCGCATATCCGAGGTCCGGAGCGGGGATCAGCCCAACAAGGTTGCCGTTGCGAAGGATAGGAAGGCCACCATCGAGCTCACCAGCTCTGTGCAAGAGCTCGAGCTTGACACGCAGGCTCGCAGCAGGCACAAGGGGAGATGTTGTTATGTCAATGATCCGCTCCCGACGCACCCGGGGTATAATATCTCCAAGATTTTCGGTAAATATGGGCTTGTGCTTGTTATCCAGGAACGGGTACGAGTTCATGTTTGTCAGAAGATCCTATGTGGAGTCAGCTTTTAGATCCAAGTCATACTTGGGAGGCCACGTTGCGACTACGTACGTAAATGCTGTTGGGCTCAATGGCATCTGCGGTCCACTTGGCGACCAAAATGGCCAGTGAGAAAGGGAGGACATAGTCGAGGCTGCCAGTGAGCTCAAACAGGATAACGGCGAGAGTGACAGACAGCCTGGTCACGCCGCACATGGTTGCTCCGGCTGCAATGAGACCGTAGACACCAGGCTGAATGCAAGTGCCATCTGACCTGAATGCGCAGGTTCCCCAAATAGCCCAGTCGGGGAACCGAAGTACCGACCACTGTGCTAGATGGCCTACGATCCTGCCGATCAAGCCGCCCACGACCATGGACGGGACGTAGATTCCGGCGGGCACTTTCTATAATAGAGTCAGTATAGTTACATCTTGAGGAGAGTAGATGTAATCACTTACAATACCAAAAGTGATAATAGTCAGGAATCCTTTGATGAGCAAGGCTAGGAAGAGATGTAGCAGAATCGGGGGAATGTCATCAATGGACTTGGGACAAAGGCTGAGTTCCTCTCGTTCGACATCTGGGCCATCGCACGGAGATGCCAAATTAAGGAGCAGCTCAGCGACAGGAAGCTTGGTCAAACCGTTCCAGTAGCTCATCATACCGGTGACCAGAGCCACAAGAAGGACCTCGAGCATCGGGAGCTTCTTGATGACTTTGATTCGGCGGAAGGTCTGCGCCCAGTACTTGGACGCCTTGATGAAGAGGGCGCCAATTGCACCGCCAAGGATGCCTACAAAGATGAAACTCCCTATCTCAAAGTATTCCCAGTCAACTAAATAGCGAACCTGGAAAAGAACAATCTTTTGGGTGCCGTAAGGATTTAGGAACTTGAGGGACAAGGCGGCGACGATGCAGCAAAAGAAGGTCCTGAACAGGGTCTTGGCCGGGAAGAAGTACGAGACCTCCTCCAATCCAAAGAGTACTCCACCAAGTGGTGCACCAAAGGCAACGGCAACACCAGCGGCTGCGGCGGCTGAGATGACCTCTCGTCGTTTGCCGTCATTGCGATCGTATTTGGAGAAAAGACGACAGAGAATGTTGCCCACACAGGCAGCCATGTGGACGTAGGGGCCTTCTTTGCCGAGACTCATGCCGGAGGCGACACTAAGAATCAAGGCCGCCAACTTGACAAGAAGGGTCCTCAAGCCAAGGAACCCATGCAGAACAAAGCCGCTGAGAATGACGCGAACCTCGGCGACACCACTGCCAGCCGCGGAGTAGTAAATCATTGGTGGATTTGCCGAAGTTGAGTCTGTTTGCTGGCGAGGAGTCGAGGATTCGCTATTCTGAGGATCGTCGTCTGCCTGGGGCGCATTTTCAGCAGCCAAGTTTTCGTCGAGCGTCGTGAGGCGGTAGGCTGAGGGAACAATTGTCTTTGTCTGGAGTGTTATCCAGCAGGCGAGCAACGCGAGGGTGACTACGCAAATCATGTAAATGATAAACCCAGTCCATTTCTCTCCAAAGGGGTTATTGAGGGCGGAGGACCAGGTCCTCCAATCTTCACAATCCTCATCCGGGCAGCAGGTCTAATATTAGAGTTAGTGAGCTCTTGATCTGAGTTAAATATTAAGTAGATATGGCTCTGATTAACAAAGTGAAGAGGTACTTACCCGCCCGTTGAGGTACCAAGCCCGGGTGCAATACCCGTCCTTGAAGTCAAAGACTGAAGCCTCAGCAACATCGACAGTATATGCCATCAAGGCAACGATACACCCGCTTAGGGCACTCAGAATCCATCCCTGAGCGCCGTCGAAGATGATCCGTATCCGACCCCAAACATCCTTCCGACTACGCAACTGCTTGACGCGGTACGAGTCCGCAATGGCGTCGTGAACCCAGTCGGTGCTGGTGAATTGATCGTACCAGACTCGCTCGTCGGGGAAGATGCTTCCCTTTGACTCAGACATGGCTGACTCCTGACGGTCAGAGAGGGCATGTATCAGTCGTTGACCCCATGATGGATGTCGGCTGTGGTTCCGGGAGCCATGGAAAGTCCCCGCTATAAGCAAGAGGATTAGCGACAAAATACTCGGCACGGTAGCGCAACGAATGGTGTTTTGGAGGGTAATACCTGTGTAACTCTGGTCCCGAGATATGGATGAGTTCTGGTGCCTCGAGGCGCCGGGGCCCCCGATGCGGATACGGGACCTCGAAGTCGTGAGAAGGGGAGATCGCTCGTCCGGGTCCCCAGTGGATTGATTGCGACTGAGAGGCCAAGGACGACGAACAGACCGGGGCGAGGGCGGCTGGGAGCCAGTGCTCTCTCTCCCGCGGTCCGCCATCATAGAGGATGGCGTGTGATCAATGGGAGATAACGATCGGTTTGAATAGTTCGTTCGAGGCAGGATGACGGGGAACGGGTCGGGAGAGAGCTGGCGGGGGGAGACGAGTTTCGAGGTGGACGCAAAGATAACGGATTATGGACGCGAGGCGAGATGAAGCAAGGTGGCAAGGCAGACGAGAAGATGGCGCGTGTTGTTGCTGTCGTGCCTCAGTACCTGCCGCACTCCTTTCAACCGGGACGTCAACTTCACACTGCAGGTGACCATCAAGGAGCTGAGGGTGGGTGGGTGAGAATGACAAAGCCTCGGAGTGGCTTGTGGTGCGTTATTGAGACGACGGATGGATGGTGGGGGATGGATCGAATCAACGCTTAAGGAGGCGCGTGTCTCTGCCCGTGGCGTGCTGTGTCTTGACTTTGTATCAGTGTACTGGGATAGTGCAACCGCAGCCTCGGGCTGGCTGATCGTATCGTACCTCAGCAATCAACTCTCGGGTGCAACTCGGCGAAGCCACTGTCTTGGCACAACCAGGCGTCTTTGTTGTGCAGCTCCCCGATGCCGCGGTCCCGGAATGCGCAGACGCTGAGGAATCCGAGGACGACGCGGTCGACAGATGCGATGACGAGGGGAGGGGAACCGGCGAGGCAGGGGAGGATGATAAATCTCGGGGAGTCGAGTCTTTGGGAGCATTTCATCATCGTCGAGCCCGCCGTGGCTGGGGCCATGCACTGGCTTGTGCCGTAATTTAGCGCTTGACCCGCGCCGTTGGACCCTGAACGGTCGCTGGAGCGAACCAGCGCACAGTGTACTGCCAGTGAGCAGCGGGGGGTGCCACTGAAGGCGGTGTCCCAATTTCGCAGCTCCATCCATGGAGGATTTTCGGCGTTTGGGGCGGTCCCCTGTCCAGCGGCCACGAGCCTGCAAGGCACCGTTGATACCTTAACTTCCTTGTTCTTTCTAGGGTTCTTTACGTCACCTATGTGGACGTCAGGCCCCGATAGCGGCTGAGGCTTCGATATCTTCGGTCAATTGAGGCATGCCACGCATCTCTTCGCTTGCACGCCGGGTCGAAATACGCAGGCGATAGGCAGATGCCGATCTGTGGACACAATCCTGTGCACACAGACACGCAGACACGAGCGAGATGGCCTGCGTCGCCAAGATCGCCACAGCACCTTGTGACGTGACGTTTGTCGCTCATTCTGAGACACACTGCGCTAGGATTCTAGCCAAGGGCCGTCACATGGGTTCGTGTCGGGTGCTGATGCTGTTGGGTGGTCAGCGGCACGAGCGCCTTCCGCAGTCGGAATATTGGTGGGACAGAAGGCTTGTGGCGGAGGCGGAGTATGTGTGGCTGGAAAAGCGCTTATCTTATCGGGGAATTTTTCAGAAAGTCGACTCCACCTAGGACGAAAAAAAGTCCCAAGCCGCTGCCTCTACACCAGCATCTGCAACTAATCGAACCCGTTTCGACATTAATCCGCCGCTTCCGATAAACCGTTGTCCATATTCTCTCCTCGCTTCAGTCCATTCAACAATCATGGCAAAGAAAAGAAAGGCCTCGGGCCGAAATGACCAGGCCAGCGGGCCCAAGGAGCTCGACGCAACCGACGCGCGATTGGGACCAATTACTACTTTCGAAGATGTCGCCGACTCCGAGGACGAATTTTTCATGGACCGCGATCAAATTCTACTCGAAGATGAGCCTGGCTCGAAGCGTCGAAGAAAGGCCGAGGAAGACATGGAAATGTCCGACGAGGAGGTCCTTGGTTACGAGGATGAGGACTCAGACGACGACGAACGACCGCAAAAATCCAAGGGATCCGCATCCAAGGGTGCTCTATCAGACGAAGAGCAAGAAGGAGAAGAAGCGGAAGGAGACTCTGGCTGGTGGGGCTCCTCCAAGAACGAGTACTACAATGCCGACAACATTGAGACCGAGACCGACGCTTTGGAGGAGGAGGTCGAGGCCAAGCGACTTCAGCAAAAGAAGCTGTCTAAGATGGCGGAAGAAGATTTCATCTTCGACGGCGACGAATGGCTCGCCGATGGCACCGAAACAGGAGAGGGCGAGGAGACTGTCACCGAGGTTCTCAAGGATATTGAGGTCACCGATGACATGGGTCCCGAGGAGCGCTATACACTGTTGCAGACGCGATACCCGGAATTCGATCACCTCGTCAAGGAGTTTGAGACCTTGCAGCCTGTCCTAGTTGACGTCAAGAACGCCGCCCAGGGCAAGTCAGGGAAGTCACTGCAGGCAATCAAGTACTGGGTGCTCGGCTGCTACGTCGCTGCCCTTGCTAGCTACTTCGCAATCTTGACATCCCCTGCGAGAGATAGCTCCAAGGCGCAAAAGACTCTTGACCCGACTGAGCTTCGAGATCACGACGTCATGCAGACGCTCATGAGTTGTCGAGAGGCGTGGCAGAAACTTAAGAACTCGAAGTCAGCAAAGGCTACCAACGAGGACCAGTCGTCAGAGCTTAATGAGGAGGAACTTGCTCAACTTGCCTCAGCACAGGCGGCTGTGAAGCCCAGGAAGACCAAGAAGATGTCGAAGCAAGAAATGGCTGCTGCCCAGAAGCGAGCAAAGAACCTCGAGAGGGTCAAGGCGGGAGAGGCAGCTGTTGCAGATCTCTATGACCTACCTCTTGCTAGCAAAAAGTCTAAGAAGCAAAAGAAGACCTCGCGTGTGGAGAACAATGAGGACAACTCTGACTTTGGCGAGGAGGATGAGCTTGACGCTCGAACGGCAGCTGACAAGGCCACGCGTAAGAAGAGTCTCAAGTTCTACACCTCCCAGATTGTGCAGAAATCCAACCGCCGAGCCGATGCCGGACGCGATGCCGGAGGTGATATGGATATTCCTCATCGCGAGCGTCTCAGGGATCGTCAAGCCCGACTCAACGCACAGGCCGAGCGTCGTGGAAAGGATAACAAGCTTGGCGTGGACCTCGGCGACAACAGCGACGAAGAGGATGCTACCACGGCAAAGGCTGTCCGCGACGAAGAAAACGAGTACTACGACATGGTGGCACACAAGTCAAAGAAGGGCAAGGACGAAAAGGCGGCCCGATTCGCAGCGTACGCCGCCGCCAGCAAGGCGGACCGAGTGGTGGAGAACGAGGTGATTGGCGACGACGGCAAGCGAAAGATCACATATGCCATCCAAAAGAACAAGGGCTTGACACCAAAGAGAGGCAAGGATGTGCGCAACCCCAGAGTGAAGAAGAGAAAGCAGTACGAGGCCAAGCAGAAGAAGCTGAAGAGCATGAAGCCCGTCTGGCAGGGTGGCGAGCCCAAGGGAGGATACCAGGGAGAGCTTTCGGGTATCAACACTGCTGTTATCAAAAGCACAAGGCTATAGATTTGAATTCGTTAAAGCATATTTTTTTTTAAATGGCGTTTCTTTTGCGCTGGAAGAGATCATGACTACTGGGCCACTTCATTTTCCATGCGAGGTGCTGTGAAATGACCTACAGAACTCCCTCCCTTATCATAGGAGACCACTGACTCTGATCATTCACCGCAGTGAATGTTAGCCCATTACTGCAGTTTTTTATTTCTTCTCCTTTCCCCCCTTTTTCGATATAATTTTTCTATCTTGATCCGTCGACAGTTCAATCCGAGGCATCGAACTAGTTACATCGAACAGCTGTCTGTTGGGGGAGACAGGGGTCGTGCACGCCCCGCCAAACCTCCACATCCCACGTTGCTTCATTTGAGATCACCTGCGACAAACCAAACATCACCACTTCAACTGACTTGCATGTCCAAACCACGAGCAGCTCTGCACAACTCGACGCACCTGCATTCCATTCGATGCCTCTTATCAGGTAGCCCTTTCGCGACCCTCACCTACCATTGCTGCTCCGAGCCGAGCATCAGCCGCCAAAATGGCCAACGTCGACCCATCCACCCTCACCTCGTCCGCCCAGATCTTCTCTGCGAACCACACCCTCCCCCAGATCCGCGCCATCCACAAGAACCTTCATGTCCATATCGAGGAGAAGTCGACCCGGCTGCGGACGCAGGTCGGCAGCTCGTACCGCGACCTCCTGGGCACTGCCGACACCATCGTTCAGATGCGCGGCGACAACGATGCCGTCCAGGAGTTGCTTGGCAAGATGGGCGGTCGCTGTGGGAGAGCCGTGATCGGCGCCAAGGCGTCAAGCCTGGCCAAATTCGTCACGAAAGAGAACAAGGCAGATGCCGCCGTTGCGGCGCGGTTAAGGCTACTCGATGCCTGCGTGCTGATCGGAGGACGAATACTGAAAGGAAAGGGTGGGCTGGGCGATGAAGTGAAGAGGGGGAACAGACTGGTATTGTCAACCAAGATATGGGCCCTGGGTAGGCTCTTGATCAACAACCTGACGGAGGATGCAACAGATGCTAGCAGCCGCCGTGCTATTGAAACGGCGAAGGTCACGCTGAACAGCCTGCGCCAGAGGTTGCTAAGAAACGTGGCCAAAATATTTGAGAGAGCAGGCAGTGAGACTGAAAGAGACGATGTTCTAAAGGCCCTATGCGCCTACAGCCTGGTGACCAGCTCAGGGGCCAAGGACGCACTGCGACACCTTCTCAAGGTCAGGAAGGACACAATAGCGTTGGCATTTGAGGTGGAGGAGAGTGAGCGTGAGAGGAGTACAGATGATGTGGTCCAGGGCCTGAAGCTCTACGCGAAAACGCTGCTGGACGTTCAAGCTCTGGTACCAGGGAAGCTTTCACTTGCTTTGGCCGGGTTGAAGAAGCACCCCCTATTCGCAGACCCTGCCTTGAAGCAGCTCGAGGGTCTACGGTTGGATGTTTACGAGCACTGGTGCGGCGAGGAGATCCAATACTTTACACCTTATATCCGACACGACGACCTCAACGGGTCCCAAGCCAGGGAGATGTTGATGGACTGGTCAGAGACAGGGTCAGAGATTTTGCTAGAGGGACTAAAGAAGACGCTGGAGCAGATGTCGGAGTTCAAGCTGATTATGGAACTCCGCACCAGCGTCCTCCAGCTCTGGATCCGAGATGGAGGCAAAGCGAAGGGCATCGACCCGTCCGAGATGCAAGACGACTTGCGTGATGCTATCAACGCTCGGATGCTCGCCGTGCTGGATATCAAAGTCACCAAGCTCCGCCTAGTTGGCTCCGAAATCTCAGGGACTCTCGGAAGATGGAAGGGTGGCATTACCGACGAGCATGTGAGCCTCTGGGACGAAGATGGCTACGAGGAAGCTCTCGCAGGCGGCGCGGCCCCTTTCGTCGAAGAGGTTATCTCTCGACTGTACGGCCGGAACGACGCCGTGTCTAAGGCCGCCAACTGTTACAAGTCGTGGTACCATGTGATAGACGACGTGAAGGAGGTGGTGGAATCACTGAGGCGACAACGTTGGGACAATGACTATGATGAGATTGAGGATGAGGAGACGATCGAGGCCCGACAACAACTGTTAAGCAAGGATGACCCACAGATGCTGCAGGAGAAGCTGGACAGTACCCTTGACAAGTCGTTCAAGGAACTCGAGAACCAGATCCAGAAGCTATGGGACGAACGGTCATCCACACCTGGCAACGGCACCATCGCCATGTACTTCCTTCGCGTGGTCCGCGACATCCGCAACCGCCTCCCCCAACGCCCGGCGGTCAAGACGTTCGGCCTCACCATAGTACATTCGTTACACGGCAAGGTAGCAACGTCCGTATCAACGACTGCCCTCAGCGAGTTTGTCACCACTGGACTAACTTACCGGGTTGTGGTCGGTCGGCCGCTGTGGGAGGGTGAGCCCCCAGTACCCAACCAGCCGTCGCCCGAGATCTTCCAGTTACTGCGCGCGCTGTCGCTTTCCATGTCGGATACGGGTGTTGACCTTTGGTCGTCGACAGCTGTGGCCGTGTTGAAAAAGCATCTGAGCAAGCAACTCTGTGATAAGTGGATGGAGGCTTTGGCGAAAGAGGTATCTCAGGAGGCAGACACCCCCAAGGACAGTAAAGCTAAAAAGGAGGATGAAGAGGAGGACGAGGACGAGGACGAAAGCAAAGAAGACGACGTCGACACCAAAGAAGATTCAGCCAGCTCAGGCCTCACGCCCGAGCAGACAAGCGACCTCTTTATCCAATGGCTCTTTGACGTTGCCTTCCTGCGGCGATGTATCGGCACAACTCAGGATGGGGCAATCGACGAATTTAAAGACCTCGAGGACAAGGTGTACGAGCGTACGGGGCTTGGCGATGCCGCGGCGCGTCAGCGCATCGCCAAGTTGGCAAACGACTTTTGGCAGCGGACCAGCCTGCTGTTTGGCTTGCTTGCGTAAGGGATAGACAAATTAGATGGCCTGGTATCAACGACGCGGGATGATAATGAATTCCACGGGGTTCGCCTCGCTTCCTTTGCTACTCTTATGAGCTATGTATCGTGTATCATAATCATACATGAACCCCCTTTGTCTATCTTGGTTTCCCTGAGGATGCACATGGCTTCTCCGGTCTACAACTTCTCAGAGCTTATGTCTCTTAGCACCGCTCGCAACCTTGCGAAACTCCTCCTGCGGTATCCCCTTTATGAACCGCTCCAGACCGGCAAAGACCTCATGCACGTTCTGGTTGTGGATTGTTTCCAGCTCCGGCTTCCGGATTAGCTTCTTGATCTCGATCAGGCTCGAACCGATCAGATGTTCTCCGAGGCGCTCATCCACCTCCTTCATCACCAGCCCGCGGAACTTCTCGTCCTCGCCCTTGCCGACCTCGAAGATGGCATTCACGAACCCGCACCGCTCAAGCTCCTGCGCCGACAGCCGGCGGCTCATAATCAGCGCCTCGTTGGCCTTTGCGATGCCGAGACGGGTGACCAGCGCGCGGGAGGCACCGCCCTCGGCAACAAGACCCAGCGAGGAAAACGGTGTGAGCAAAAAGGAGTGGGGCGCGGCGTAGATGAAGTCGGCGAAGGCAATGAGGGCAGCGGTCAGGCCGATGACAGGCCCATTGAGGCCGACGACGAGGATCTTGGGGTGGGTGGTGAAGGCGTGGGTGATGTTGAGATTGAAGGCTGCGAAGGATTGGAGCCAGTGCCTGTGTATGTCGGGGCCGCTTGTTGGCGCGCTTTCGGCGAGGGAAACGTCGGCACCTCTATTGGATTGTTAGCGAGTGTTCGCCAGTTCTTATCTTTTTCTGGGTTGTATATTCGCAGTCATCTTGTTAATCCGACATCCTAATCCCTTAGGACAAGGGGGCGATGGATACAACGAGTACCGAGCAAGAAAGGACGTACGCGGAAAAGTAGCGGCCCTTTGCCTGGATAACTGTGATGAAAACCTCATCGTGAGTCGCAATCTCGCGCATCTTCTGGGCGAGGTCGTAATATTGCGTCAGGCCCATCGAATTGAGCTTACGGTCATTGTCGATGGTGAGCACGGCGACTCGGCCGCGGTATTCGAGATTGACAATGGAGTCCTCTGACATGGTTGCGGCGGATCAAACACTCTGATATTCAAACCGAGGAGGATACAAGTGGAAATCTATGAGTATGAAGCAAGAGGAAATGAGAAAAGCGAATTGAGAGAGTGAGAGGTGTTATCATTTGTACAGGGTAACCGAGGGCAATTAGGTGATGGGACTCGTACTCCCCGATGTGGTGGGTGACATGGTTCCCCACACTCCGGCCCCGAGTTGCCTCGGTTTCGGCCTGTTCGGTTGCGGGGGTTGCACAATCCGGGGCCCGTTATGACTGATTCCAGCCGGCACAAAAGGCAACGCAGCCACGCTAATGAATCAGTTGAATGAATCAGTACAATCATGCCAAGCATTATCAGTACATTGTTGTCTTTCCTGGGGTTATCAAAAAACATCGTGATATGTATTTGGTGATAAGTGATAACTTAAGCTGTCAACTCAACCCATATAAACCCGCTCGGCAAGTGATCAGCTATTGATCCAACCCAGAAGCTATGCCATCAAGACATGGGCAGTTCTCTATGTGCAGCAACTCTCCTTCTTGTTCGACTAAAAGCCGTTTTCATTGTATTTTAACGCCTCGATTCTGAATACGTCTGTTCAGAGGGGCTCCCCCCCCACATGACCAATGTATTGTGCCTCCTCATCGATACACTTCTACCGTCGCTTAGGGGCGATGTGCCTCTGCTTCGGGAAGTTCAGAGGCAGCGTCAGTCGCGCCAGCTGCACCGTCGTCTTGAGTTCCCTGTTGACAACCGGCTTCACCCTGCCACCAATCTCGTGGAAGTACTGGTTTATCGTCTTCTGGTCTAGCTTTAGGTCGTCTCGCAGGTTCTGTGTGTCCACCTCGAAGTTATCGATGATGCAGGCAAACGTGCAGCAGTGGGTCATCAGCAAGTCGATGTGGAACTTTCGCATTTGGCCCGCATCTGAGAACTTGCGTCGGATGTTCTCGATGACCGCCTCAGGTGCCGGCGTGAGAACTTCCCTCAAGTTCTCTCGCGAGGGCAGCGATCGAGTGCCTCGCACCTTGCCGGGCTTGCTGTGAAGATAAAAGAGCAGGACAAAGGCAAAGTACCGCAGCACTCGGAGTCGCGTCACTCCATCCTCATCGTCGTTACTCGCAATGGCGTTAACCCGTGCAGCCACGAACCGTGACGGAATTGAGATGCCTTCCTTGTGTCGCACCTTCTCCTGCCATTCTCGAATTGGCACCAAGTTGAGAATATCCGTACCAATGATTCTCTTGGGGTCGTAGACGTCTTGGATCTCCGTCGCGTCCACGTTGGCAATAGGAACGGGCTTGGCCTCGTCCACCACAGCCTGCAGCTCCTCTCTTGACGCCATAGTCGACGTAATCTCTCCCACAGTGTCCAACATCGCGCGAGATGCCGCATCGATCTTGGTCGGCAAGTCTCCAGCCTTCCTCTGGGGGGCGATTGCATTCATGACGTTCTCCTGGATGGCCTTCCTGGCCTTCTTCGTACCGAACGTCTGTCCGAGATCGGTCTTAAGTGCTAGCATGCTCTGTGTCTGGTTAGTTCATTTGATCACTTTCGTCCTATGGTGCGATAGCCATACCTGTTTGGCGTTGCCTTCGCCGGTCGCTGCCTCGGAGGCCTGCTTGGCTCGCACCGTTCCTCGAATCACCATCTTCTTGGCCTCCACTACCTGGAGCTTGCCTGTCTTTGGGTCATATATGCCGATGAAGTGGTTCAGCGCGGGCTTGGTGCCTCTGGGAGCCTCCGTCTTGACTGTGTAGTCCAGACTTCGGTGTGCCGTCGAGTGGAGCAGGAAGTCCTTCTCTCCGGCGGACTTGGCCTGCTTCGATTTCGATTTGGCGTCATTCTTCGGCGCATATGACTGGAAAGGGATATTGGTAGGAATTTGGAATCCGGGAGCAGTGGCTATCGTTCATCAATTAGTATTGTGCAGTTTGTCAAACCTCGAAGCGGAATCCTACCTATCACTGGAGGGCAGAACTTGGGGCGAAGAACCGAGGAAACGGCAGCTGTTGCTGGGGGCGCATCGATCGCGACCTTCTTTTTAGGCTTCACGGCCGACTCGCCATCTCTCTTGCGCTTCTTGGCGCTGACTTGGGCCATGGTCAATTGTCCTCGTCGTCGTTACCGTTGGATCTGCCAATTCGAGAGGTGGATGGGGCCGTCGCCCAAATTTTTTTGAAAGTGGCAGAAAGCTGGAAGCCGTTGTTTTGCCGGGGCGGTGAAAGGAACCCCACCAAGGCAAGTACCTGGGTACCTACAGACACGGGCACACACACAGCTTCTGGTTCAACTCGACGTCACTTGTGGGTTGACCTGCATCTCTTATTAGGGTGCTCCCAAACGAGATAACTGTACATAGCATCCAGCACCCAATATCCAATGCAGGTTTGAGCTGACTGGGGCCGCCGCAACATGAGCTGAACTTAGTGAGGAAATAATTGGATGAAACATGTGTTGGTTGCGACATTGTTTTTCATGCCAGTCATGTTCAGAAAATCGTAGTGTTGCAAGCAATTTCTCAATCTCCCCATGAAACACCCACAAAATGTGAATATATCTCCGGCTGAATTGCTCCACTAAACATTGAACTTCCACACAACCCTTTCTTGTGGCGCAGCGAGAAGCCTTTTCTCAGAAGTCGCAAGACACGAACAAAATCGTACGAAACCAAGGCGCTAGGGCCAAGGCCACCAAAGGTGGAGAGCTGAAGCTCCCCAAGCTTGGCTGTTGGACATCCCCAGGTCAAAATGCACACATCACAATGGCGACAGGCAAAATTCGGCCGCTTGCTTGTCAAGCAAGACCATTTCAAGTTTGAGTGCGTTTTGCAATGGCATTTAGCCTTGTGGTATTCGTTGATCTAAACACCGTCCTTTTCCCGACCTTCCAATTGCCAATCCCATCCTTCATGATATCCCATGTGACCACCGAGAGCTGATCGTGTGCGGGGTTCAGCCACCTGACGTGATTCCAAAGTCAAATCCCAGCGGAAGATTCCAAGGCGTCGAAATAGAGAGTGCCCAGCACCAGCTTCATAGAAGTCGTTCAGGCGTGTGAAATCGTAACATCATGCAAGATGAGTCGAGTCAGGTTGTGGGGCGAGTTGTTTATTTCCTGTGAGGGCCAAGGTTAGTGACAGTAAGTCTGGGGATAGCAACGGCGCTACTCACGAGCGAGCACGCATCTTTCTTCTCTTGCGCTTGAGGCGGCGAACACGCTTCTTTCTCCATTTGGCTCTCATCTTGAACTCTGTCACGCGATGTTAGTACCGGGTCGGTTTCCTTGCGCCGGCGCAGGGACAAGTCAATCAGAATGGTTGAGCTGGTCGCTCAATGCCCATTTCGAATCGAGTTGCCCGTTGCGCCCAACGCATAGCATGGGGGAGCTGCTTACTGGTCCGCGGATGAGAATCGTGTTGGGATGAGGAACAACTCTAAGAGAAGGAGGGGAGATTTGTAGAGCTTAAGCAAGGTCATAATAGGGCACACAACCCCCAGGGTGCACGTGACTACCCCGCCGGAATTTTGCGCGCAAGCTGCACGTCAACACAGTGCATTTTGAACAAGACGCTTAGTACACTGTACAAAGCACTGTGCACTTACTCCGGCAAGGGAAGGAACGACTGTTGTCGGCCTGGCCAGGCGGTTTGGATCTGCAAATGGCCATTGTGAAGAATCTCCAAGCTCAATCGCAGTTCTCTCAATTCTACTGGAGGCTGAAGCGACGCCAGCATCATCTACCGCGTTTCACGGACCTGCTACGAACCATTTTCTCCCCATTAACCTCTCTAGGGCACTTACACGATTGAAGACCGCGCATTCACGTCTCAAGTGAGATCGGAGATGGACGCCCAAGAACCGGCCCAAGTGGTGCAAAACGAGGTTCCGGCCGCATACATCTGTCTTGTCGACAGCCGGAGTCAAAATCAATCTCAGCGTAGGCATTTCCGTGATCCGCCTGATTCCACAAAGAATTGTGTCTCATTCTCCACTTCTGGGTGGCTCCTCTAACTCACAATTAGAATTGCTCCCCATTTGGCATCGAGACATCTTCAAGATTGGACGGGACCCACGATCAAAGTATGAATCGTATGGCTCCCCTGCTTATGAGTTGCTCACCATTCTAGCACTCTCACAGTCGACAACGACCCAGACTATTCCGTCTCGCGAAACCACTGTGAAGTTTATGTCATCACTTACGAGCCAACCATCAACTATATCTACGTCCGCGATCGAAAGTCGTCTAACGGAACGTATGTCAATGGTGACTTGATCGGGATAGGGCCAGGGATATCCCCTGGCTACCTACTGCAAGATGGCGATAGCATTGAAATCCGTCCCTACTGGACGTTCGTTGTCGTTCAAGAACGGCCACCGCCTCGCCATGATCTTGACAGCCTCCAGATGGAGGAGTCCAAAGTATGAACGGATCAAAATACCCTCGAGACTCTGGTATTGACCGCTGACTATTGAAGCTCTTCGAAGACAAGTATGTCTTGACCAACCGCTGCCTCGGCCAAGGCGCGGAGGCGGTAGTTCATTTGGCTATCGATACCGTAACAAAGAAGCAACTGGTTTGTAAGCTGGTTAACCTGGACAGACTCCAAGGGAAAAACGCTCAAGAGGAGTTACGACGCAAGTTTCAAGAGGCAGACATCCTGCGACAACTGCGACACGTGGGTTCCATCGTTCATCCTGTTTACGCTTGAGCTGACTGGGTCGCAGCCAAATATCCTGCGCTATATCGACACTATTAGTTCCCCTCATTCACTGTCAGTGGCTTTCCATCCTCAACCAAGAGCGAACTGAACCAACTCCTTGTAGATATACCTTTACCGAACTGGCAGCGGGAGGTGACCTAATGTCATTCATATACCGCCAGGATATGGTCAAAGAGTTTGACTGTCGAATCATTATCCGCCAGGTGGTTCGTGGCCTCGGGTATCTTCACGACAAGGGCATTGTGCACCGAGACCTCAAACCGGAGAATATCCTTTTGGCATATTCACCAAAAATTGCATACCATCGAGTTATGCTCGCAGACTTCGGAAACTCGGCCGTTCCCCAGCGGAGCAGGATGGTTACGAAAGTTGGGACTGTGAATTACCAAGCACCGTCTGTCCCCAAGATCTCCCAGTGTTGGTGGAAGAATACAAAATCTAACAGAGTGCAGGGAGTTCTTAACAAATACTCAAGCTCATACGTCGGCTGTGGATATTTGGTCGCTGGGAATCGTGGCTCTCGTCCTGCTGGCATCCAGTTCCGACCCCGACATTGAGGATATCAATCGTCTGACTCAAAGCGACATTGCGGAGTATCTCAAGGGCACGTTTGCCAAAATGCACAAGCAGCCATCCCGTGATGGCAAGAGCTTCCTCTGGTGCTGTCTACAGACAGTACCTCAGGCGAGGATGAGTGCGGTCGGTGCGGAATGTCATAACTGGTTGTGCACTCCAGATAAATACCTTCAATTCTTTCAACTGCTGGACAACAAAATGATGTCAGACTGGAAACCTCAAGACGAACTCAAGCCTATGCCGTGGGAACTGCCTAACCTTAGGAGCAGCCCAAAAATTGCAGAGAAGAATGTCGAGCTTCGCTGCAGCCAGTATTTTTCGACCGATGCAGTGTTGCAGTCGCCATCTGGGCCTCTCGAGACTGTTGACAATTGCACTGGATATGATCAAGTCATAAAATCGGACAAAAGTATCGCTGAAGAAGTGATATCTTTTCCCAAGGTGTTGGTTCTGCGGCCAAAGTCACCAGCCAACACAACGGATCCCAAGTCTGTGCCACGAGGAGATATCGGAAAGCAGTCCCAAAAAGATGCCACAAAGCAACCGCGGTTACCTTGGAAGGGGTTTCTAAAGCCAAAACATCCGGTCCAGCCCGAGTTTCGGGTCAGACGTAGGAAAGGCTCAAAAATCAAGGCCCGTGATGCCTTGCTTCCACTTCCTGGCCTTGACAGACACCTGAGACCCTCTCACAATCGCCATCATCGACAACAGGTGCTCGAAAAGCTTGAAAAGTCGAATACCAAGTTTCTTGTTGACGCGGAAGATATCATCCCGAACACCCCTCCTAACGTGGCACCTCAAGTACTGACACCAAAGGCTCCTCGGGCGGAGAAGAGAGTACGCCATGGGGTGGGTAAGTTGGAAGACCAAGATCAGCTGCATGTTCCGCGAATCAACTTCCGCTGACCGAGCCACTCAAAGCTGATTGAGACATTGCGTTATTGGCAAGGTCAAGAAACTTAAGTGGTGCAATGTGGTGGTCATACGGAGTGTTCATTTCATGGTCACGGCGTTTGGGGAAAATGGGAATTTTCAACACGGGATGCTGGCACATTGACATAGCTTTGGGGAATCAAGTTTGTTATAAGGAGTTCTGACTGGCTAATTGCTCTTCCAACATGTGGTGGGATGGACCTCATACTTTGACAGATGATTGCGAATGAAAACTGCTCTCTGTCATTTGATCAAGACTCCAGCTATTTTGTTGATGCAACCAATTCGAAATCAGTTCGATGCCATTTGGCAGGCTGACCGTTCAACACATGCCACCACCGGGTGGGTTCATACTCCCAGTCTATCAAGTTGTCCTGCTTGTCATTCTCATGCCAAGCCGGCAGAGGGATCTTACCACGGCCTCTCTCTCTCTCCGCCATCAACTCGCGAATTAACTGCTTCTCGTCCACTGAGCCCTCCGGCTCATCATCACCCACAGCTTGCTTCCGCTGCCACCTCTCCGGGTCCGCAAAGCCCCAAGACGATTCTACGTTCGGCAGCTTGAACGGCTTTACGATACACGGATCGCCGCAGAGCCGACACCGCGAGCACTCCGGCTCCGCGTCCCAGCTGTAGCCGGAGGACACGGTCAGTGAGCACCGCATCCGCTTGACGCGGCAGCGGAGGCATCTGCCCAGACCCGAGCGCTCGGGCGTCTTCGGGGGCATGAGGTGTGGATGTACGGCAAAGGTATTCACGGGGTAGCCGTCGACATAGCGCAGCTTGTCCATCAACCGTCGGCGGAACAGCTCCCCTGCAAGCTCATCCAGCCACGCCTCCATCGACCTGTACCGCTTATACCACTCCGCCTCAGTCTCGCCCTTCACGTACCAGTACCCTTGCCGCCTCACCCTGTTCAACTCCTTGTCCAGGATGCGCTCCAGTTCCGTGTCGGACTGCCCCCGAAGGGACCGGCAGTGTCTAAGGCGGGCCGCGATGCGTTGTTGGGTTTCGTTCTTGTGGGCTGGAATCTCGATTAAGTGACGTCTAGCGAATTCTTCGGCCTTTTCCTCCGCGACTTTCCTCACGCGTTCGTCTATAGCACGGTGTTGGTCTTCTTTAGCAGCCTTTGCTGCCCTCATGTTGGTTTCGATAGCATCGTAACGGCGAGTTGCGAGGGCTGAGACGGTTGTGAGGAGGTCAAGAGGGCCGCCAGGGAGATCTGTAGTAATCATCGTAGGATGAGTAACGTTGGGATGCTCGAGCTGTTGCTCAAGCTGCTTTTCTTGGATGGCCATGGTTGATGAATACAAGATGGAAATATCGCATCAGGTGTAAGTTATAGCTAAGCCTGTGGCGGTTAAACCGCAGGTGTTAAATATCGATACTACCTCGCGAACAGGCTTGTGGCCTAGATGTCAGTTTGATCCAACCCTTTGAACAAAGAGATAGTACCCTTGTTCCTTAGCCTCCAACGTCAAACAACATTTGAGAATCTGTAAACATCCAGTTGAAAGCCAATAAACCGAGTGGACAAAGGAACACCCATGGCAACTTGGAACGAGACTCACAAATTGTAACGTCACAAAGTCATATCACCATGTGGACCGAGGAACAGGTTTCCAAACGTGGACATGTTAATTGCTGGAGTTATTTCCTCAGTATATGGCGCTTTTGTGACACAGAGCCACTCTCTGCCACTCTGCGACCTGTCGTGACAACGAAACGCTATCATCCTTTCGTAACCTACACGACCAAAGTCCCCATGTCATTTGCCCTTTGCCATTTGTCCTTGACCCCTGGCTCCTGAAAATCTAATCACGCTGTCGTCGCCATATTTCCGCCCAACTATGTTGGGCAACTCCTGGCAAGCTCATGAGCGGAAAGCGAGTTGCTATTCCAAAGAACCGCGGCTAAAGCCAAAGAAAAAATATAAAACCAAAAAAGAAAAACGCCGATCGATGAGTTTCGTCTGTCCCTGATGTACCATGGTCCTAAAAACGCCCGCTACCTAAGGTCGGCGACAATCTGCGGGCCTGCTCCAGTGAGCGGCGGGCCAAAATCCCCGTGACGCCGTGAGAATCCAAATGTGATAGCGAATAAAAACAAGAAAGCCGTGGGGCTTTGCAGAATGGTACTGTAGTGATCATCGCATATGATGCGAAGTGCTGCGAAAAGTCTGGATCGTCGAAATCACGACGATGCATGCGAGGGAACGCTGCGCGGAGTCACATCGCCGCTCCGTCTACGGGCTGCGTGCTGCTGGGCGTACTGGGCCTTGCTGTTGGCCTCAGCAATCATCTGTTGCTTCTTTCGGACGGCACCCAGTCGACCCGTGATCATCTTGATCACTGTAAAACGATTAGCTGTTTGTTGAAACATGCATCGGTAGCGAGGGGGTTTGCTTACTCTTGCGGACATGGGCCTCCTCATCGCTGTCAAGGTCACCGCTCGTCTCCTTTGCGGCATCCCTGTCAACTTCCTTGCCGGAAGCAAGCCTCTTCCTTTCCACATGAGCCTCATCATCACTGTCTAGCACAGCCTCTAGCATTCGAATAGCCGTTATGTATGAGATTTCGCAGCCGGTGAGATTCTCGTTGGTTACTTCGTCGATGGCCGCGGCACGGCTCATCTCCAGGGCGCGATCGTACATGAGCTTCTCAGCGCTGATTCCAGGGGTGAGGTAGACCTGCTTCGCCCCAGAGCCTGTGGAAGAGGCAATGGATTCAGTACCGTGGTTAGAAGGATGGCTGGGGTGGTCTTCTGGTAGCTGCTTCTGTGCCTCGACGAGCTTGAGTCGCACAATTTCCGACTTCTCCAAGACTTCATTGAAGCGCTGTCGAACCCATTGCACTACGGCGTTGATCCGTTGGACGACTGACTGGGCAACTGCTGCCGAGACACCGCTGCTGACTTCTCCTCGGCTCTTCTTGGACCACCAGAGGCTGGCAATGTCCATAGCCCTGGCAAGAAGTGTGAGCGACTTCACGTAGAGGACTAAGGCTTCTTCTGACAGGGAGACTACAGCCTCCATAGTCAACCCATCCTCCTCAGGAGCCATCTGGTCCGGCTCAACGCCGCCCAGTCCATGATCAGCGGATGGAGCCATGGGAACAAGCTGTTTGTACTTGACTTCGGCAAACCCGTAGACGCAATCGCTCCTAGTGGCGAGCTCTTCAATAGTTTGCGCAGCTCGCCCATCTTCGTCATTGCTCTCAACGTTCTTGCCGTCACCGATGAGTCCGGCTGATGTTGAAGTCGATGGCGTTGGATACGCTGGGAACGGCTGGTACAGCGGCGGCGACTGGCCCTTGGTACCTCTCAGGGGGGGGACCTTGAAGCCAAACAAGCGAAGACTGGCATCTTGGATGGCTTTGGAGATGGCGCTGGAGGCTGATCCGGGACTAGCGGAAAGGGCCTTGTCATACGACGATCGCCGGTCATGGCGTCCCTGGGCTACCAGAGCCGTTCGCGACGAGGGAGTGGGGATTGCACCTGCAGGCACACCGGAAGCTCCCTGTGTGTGTCGGCGGGTCATGGGCCCTGATCGTGGCGAAGAGGCATTTTGCTGAGCGCCAAACTTCTCATTTGCTGCCAGTTCATCAGCAAGGGCATTCACCTCCACGTGTCGTCGTTCAACGACCACGTATTCCCGCTCTAAGGCCACATCCTGAGCAGCCTTCTCTTCCTCAGTCGTAGGCCGGTTGGGAGTCCGGGCCTTGCGCGTTTCATTTAGAAGCGAACTAGGGGGGGAAACATTGTCTCGCGTGGCTCCTCGGTCAGGGAATCGGGTCTGGTTGGGAAGAGACACTGTATGTTGAGGAACCGGACGACGAATCCCTAGGCCCTCGCCAGCTTCGCGGGGAGAGTTTCCCATGCGGTGACCATCGCCAGATGGCCGCTGATATCGGCCTTCGCCGGGACTTCCTGTCTGGGGTGACCTGGTGAGAAGATCTCGGGGGGATCTAGTAATGCTTCCTTCCCGTGGGGAACCGTTTCCGGAGGATCGCCTGATTCGAGGTGACGACGGCATTGTCTCGCCTTGGTTGATAGTTCGCAGTTCACGGGGTTCTTGTCTAACAGGCCTAGGGACGTCATCCTCAACTAGTCCAGGGATATCGCTAGTGACGACTTGATGCGTAAAGAAGTTCTCAAAGCTTAGTCGCTCGACCGGGCTTCGCTTGAGCAGACTCCGGATGAGCGCCTTGAGGTCTGAGGTGATAGTAACCTCCCTAGGAAACTTGATAACATCCTCGGCAGCCTCGATTTTCCTCAACAGCTCCACATGATTCCTTGCCCGGAAAGGAGGTCTACCGGTGCTCATCTCGTATAGGACGGTACCGACGGACCATAGATCTGCTTTGGCGTCATATCGTTCGTAACGGAGGATCTCCGGGGCCATGTAGAGAGGCGATCCACAGAGGGTGTCAGCCAGGGAGGTCGAGGGCAATACACGGGCAAACCCGAAGTCGGCCAGCTTCAACATGGGAAGAGACTCGAGCCCAGCAATGGGGATGAGGGAATCCTGACTGGCTTGCATGACGGGGCGGCCCCGTTGGTCACGGAAGGCCCGAGAGGGAAGTAGCAGTAGATTTTGGGGCTTGACATCGCGATGGACATAGTTATTTCTTCGCAAAAATTCGAGGGCACTGGTTAGTTGCTTGAGGAAATGACGAATGACGACCTCGTGGAGGCCGGAGTTCGGAGCGCTAGGATATTTGCGGGCCATGTCATGGGTGGCGGGGTGTGTGGCAAGCTTATCGCGCTTCTTGATAAAAAGGGACAGGTCGCCGAGCTCGCAGTACTCCATGATGAGGTTGATATGCGTGGTTGATTCGACGCAGTCATGGAGGGCGACAATGTGGGGATGTCGAAGAGTCTTGAGGATCTGGATCTCGCCGTAGAGATTCTCTCGGAGCTTCTTATTTAGCCTCTCAAGCTCGACGGATTTGATGGCGACAGCAGCCTTGGTCTCCTAATCGATGCAAATTAGCTACTGGCAATGTGGAATATGCGCATCTCTCAGGGTTTGCTCCGCGCATCTGTCGCACCCGAGGCAGGGAAACCTGGCGAGGACGCATGTGCCAAGAGAGGCGACAGGGTCTCGCCGGCAGCGCGACTCGGTGCGATGATAGCTAGCAAACGCGGTGGAAGAGAGGACGGGGGATGGGTGGTCGCACCTTATGCCAGCCCAGATAGACCTGGGCAAAGCTGCCCTTTCCAATCTCAGACCCAATGTTGAACTGTCCCACAGTTCGTCCTCCCGACCGCCTGGAGCTCTGGGAGGCAGAAGCCTCCTGTTGGCTAGCCATGGCTTCCTGATGGGGTTGTCGAGGGCAGGAAGACAGTCGGAGTGGATCGTAGCCCTAAGGCCTATACACTTCGGAAGACGTCGGCTGCAGATGGGGTCGTCATGTAATCGACGAGATCAAGAGGTGGTCGCGTGTGTCGAGGACAAGGATGGACGAGGGGGGCGAGAAGGAGGAGAGGAGTGGGAGGACACGGTACAGGTCGAGGCAGCGGGAGAAGGCGATGGTGGGAAGTCGTCGACCGTTGGCGGACAAGCAGTCGGTGAGTTCGGGGAGCACCGAGGCAGATGGATGGCCAGAACGGATGGAGGAGTGAAGCAGGCGAACACAAAAGGCGGGTATTCGAGAGATGGGCGGGCTGGTGCGCGTCTGTAAAGTCGAGGCGCAAGGGTCAGTGAATGGCAGTTTGGCGAGGACGAAGGCAAAACGAAGGCGAGGGCGAAGGCAAAGGCAAAGGTTAAGGTTGGACGAATGTTGGACGAGACGGGGCAATGCGTGTGACAGCAATCGGGGGGGACGGGAAGGGAAGCGCGAAGGCCGGCTAGAGATCGGGTGACTAACACAATATCGGCGGAGGCGTTGACTAGAGCGGCCGTTGAGTTGAGTCGGGAGCGCAATCGGAGAGGGCCTGTCGATGACGGTTTAACGCCCGGACCGGGTGGAGGGAGGGATCAACGTCGACGACGAGTCAAGAGATGCAGATGAGATAAAGGAGACGGAGGCGGTAAACGGGAGCGAGTCTGAAGATGGGCCTGGTGGCGTCGTGTTCGTGTGTTAGGGGGAGGGATGGACGTTGTCGGGCAGTGCTTGTGGTGGGGAGTGTGTGCGTGTGTGTGCAGCTGGTTGCTGGTGCTGGTGCTGGTGGCTCTGCAAGTTAAGTTGCGTCACGATTGAGCGGGAGCGGTAGTGGACGGGGCGTTCTCTAAAGAGGGACGAAAGGTGGGGAAGATGGAGAATAAGAAGAAGAAGGAGAAGAAGAAGAGTAAAGGGGGATGGAAATTGGTGAAAGACGTGTTCGATGATGAATGGGATGGGGCGAGTGAATGAGGGAAGTGAGGTGAGGGAAGTGAGAGAGCGAGCGAGACGTCGGGAGACGAATGCGAAGGAGAAAGGTCAAGGCGATGCAGGTAGGTAAAGGCAAAGCTGCCGGGTTTCTAGAAGAAGAGGTGGGTGCTTGGAGCGTGGAGCGTGGAGCATGGAGCGTGCAGCGTGCAGCCGTGCAGCGTGATGGTTGTTCCATCCGGGATGGGATGGATGGTGACAAGCTAGCGCGGGAATTGGCAGGTACCGGCCTGCTGCGTTTACAGCGCTGAGGTACCTGGGCCGCCAGGTATCGCCCGAGACACCTTTGTAGGGTCCTCCTAGGGCCTCCTAGGGCCTCCAGGTCCTCCTCCTAAGCCCCAACTACCGTAATGGCGGGCGATTGGAGCAAGGGCGGGACCTGCTCCAGGCGCATTGGGCGGCCAGCGACAGGGGGTGGGAGCGGTGTCTCCAGGGCTCCAGGGTGGAGGTACCCACGCCGGTACTTGCGCGCGACGTGGCATCAGCACTGAAACGTGAGGTACCACTAGACGCAGGGGATCTCGCTTGGGTCCCCCCCCCACGACCCACGGGAGCTGGTGACCCATGGATGGGTATTGATGATTGAATGGACGGATGACCTCGTGATGCGTTTTTGGAGCATCGAGGAGTGAGGAGCCCGAGTGCCAGCAGCCAGTAGCCAACAGTCAGCCGTTGCCGCAGAAGCAGCGCAGTGACTGACGGTTTGGTGAGGAGGTACCTCGTCGACCCGTGGCCGTACTTGGGGGGAGGGACATCTACTACGCGTGCTTGGGGGCCTCGAGGGCATCAGGGCTTCCAGGGCATCGATCCGGGGGGGGGGGACGCTATTTCGGCTGCCTGCGTCCTAGCGACAAGCCTACAAAACAGCCCAATGATCAAAGCGCACCCGGCCAGCAGTCATCACCACATCCCGAAGAGTCACTCACTCTCCGTCACAGTCACAGCAGCAGAGGCCGCATAGCAAGTCTGCCATCATTCTGATCAGGCTGGCGGCCATTTGTCCCGTCGAGACAAGGCCTAGCGAATGCAGCCGCGCTAGTCAGTAGTTCCCCCGGCCCCACCACACCCTTCAACCTGGAAGTGGAAGGGTCCAATGGCGTAGTACGCAGTCTGTGCCATACCAGTGAGCCCATCCCATGCCTCTTAGAGAGAGAGAGAGAGACAGAGAGAGGTAGAGGAGAGAGAGTCAACCTGGGCTTACCTTGAGCTAGGCCACACAACGCGATGTAATTATTCGCAAGGCAGAGCCAAAAGAAATTGTTGCTGGCTGGTTCTAGCCCACCCTAGACTGCACACTTCTCTCTCGCTATAATCCGTCCCCCCGCCGCCACTCTCAAGACGACGGCGGGAAGTGTTTCGTTTGCGCTCTGCCTGACACGGGCCAAGCATCGCCCTTCTGATAAGACCTTGGCCGGCCGACTAGTCCCCCCCCCCCCAGCCCCCAGAACCGGGCCGGGGATGATGGGGTTCGTCGATGGCCGATGGGGCCAGTTGCTTATCGTGCTGTGGTTCTGTGGGTGGTTCACTTATAGTCCTGAGCCGTCTTGTGTCGCCATTCTTGCCGCGGCTAAGAGCAAAAAATAGCAAGAGAAGGGGATGTGCGTCTGCGTCTGCGTCTGCTTCTGCGCCCGAGCGAGCCTCCCTGTCCCTGAACGAATGGCTTCTCGGTTGCATGAACCATCAAGCGTTGCTATGGTGGAATTGTTGTGCCCTCTGAGGGAATGAAAGGCTAGATGACCGACAATTATGGCGTCAGCAGACTGGAGCTCGCTCGCTACGAAGCACGCCAGAATGGCCACGGATGGGGCCTAGGATGCGGATGCGCACCGGAGCAACCGCAGGCGGATGGGTGATCTACATCAGCCGTATCTGTATCTGTATCTGCCTACTTACCTTACCTAGGTTAACCCAAAAGGCGTCAACAACAACAACATCAGGGTCATCAATCGCAAGCCGCAAAAGCAACCAACGCGTTATCAACCCGGATGCCCCGTCGCCGCGCCTTTGTTTCCTCGCTCCACCACAGGTCGCGGCCCACAGCCGATCGCCGCTCCAGGCCACGCCGCCTAAACGGACCAAGCGGGTTCCCCAAAAGGGCCACTCAGATGCAGGACAAGAGCCACCAGGGTAGGACTCTGCGGGTGTAAACTATGGTATGAACAGACGGACGGGGGATCCAGCCATGATAGGCATCGAGACAGGGGGGCCGAACGGCAAGGGCAGGGGTGGTGAAAGGGGAGGAGAGCAGCGAGCGAGGCAGAAAGCCCATGTGTGAGACTCACGAGGCATTCACTTACTCACTCACTTACTCACAGGAGTCACAGTCGAGCGGACGAGTAGGCGCCTAGACCCTGGTCAAGCCAACTAGGCAGATAGTACCGAGTACGCCAGGCTAAACCGATGGCGATGGGGAAACAAATGGCAAGGCAACCAGACTCAAAAGCACGTCTGTCTATTCCACAGATGGCGCCACTGATGTTTATGTAAAGTCTCCGCATCTGATGTGATGCCTAGGACGCAGTGCCGCAGTGCACAAAGTTGCCACGACGAGAGAGGCTGGAACAAGGGTCCCGTCATCATTCTCTCAACCAGCGTCATCCCGCTACGGCTCTGGCTCTGGCTCTGGCTCTGGCTATGGCTCTGCCGTGAAACTCGCCCCCCCTCCCTCTTCTTTTCTTTCCCCGCAAATGGTTACGTGCCTTAATTGCGACGTAGGCACCCAAAACACACAGAGAGGCGCATCCTCGAGCAAGCCCAGGTGAGGCAGCGACGGATACGTGGGTTGGCCTGATTGATTGCCCCGGGACTCGGCCAATCCTACCGACCTGCTCCAGTGCGTTCGCGCCCTTAGATCGATGCAACCCGTCCTCGGGAGACGACGTCTTATACCTTGCCATGCATGTACAGAGTAGGTAGGTCGATAGGGACAGGCTGATAAGCTATGCCAGCTTGTGCCATGTGCCCTCTTATCTTCTTGCGCCGCACGCACCGCAGCGTTCCTCGGAGATTTTGGGCCTGGTCTGGTCTGGTCTTGGTCTGGTCTGAGCTGGCCTGGGTTGGTCTGCATTCCATTCCGAATCGGATGGCGCACCTGGAGCATCACATCATAGATCGGCTATCTTGTCCCTCCCCGTAATGATTTGCTATCAGTAAACTATACTGGACTGTCTCTATCAGAGCACAGTCCAGCCACGCAACCCCGCAATGTCTCGGGTTTGTATCGCCATTATCGCAAATCGCAAATCGTGACCCTCATCAAGCGACAAACCACGACTCACGACTTCACGATCCAAGACCCACGACCCACGATGACCAAGCCCCGTCACGGAGCAATCGGGGATAATGACACAAAGCCATAATCTTGACGTACATGAAATAGCCTACCCTCCCAAGGAACCAACAGCCGCCAAATGCCCTTCATCGAGTCATTGGCCCTCGCCCATTGGCTCATTCACCACCACCGCATGACCTGTGACCACTGTTCCTGACCGAGACCCCGATTGGCCTCGTACACGTGTGCGCCGTGTCTCTTGTCCCCTCGTCTTGTCTCCTTTTTTCTCTCTCACCCTCGCATCACTCGTCGTAGCCTTCGAATCCCTGGACTGGCGACCACACTCCCTGCATGTCTCGCTTTTGACTCACTGGAGGTGCATTCGCCCATGGCTTGCCGCTCCTGGGATGGCGTCACTCGCCAGCTGAGCCCGTTTCAAAACGACGACGACCCGACAAGAAATGCCTCTCCCCCCAAAGCCCGAATCGGTCCTATGGCGAAAGGATGCTGAACATACGATCCCTCATGGGACTTGTGACCTTTGTTATCCCTTCCAAGTCCCATCCCGCGCGGAGATGCGCTCCTCAAACCATCCCGCCTTTGGGGCCGCCCCCGCGAATCATCACTAACACCACCCACACCAACACACTCACCATCATTGCCGTATCATATTAAAGTGCAGAGGCGTACAGAAAACTATTCCTTGCTTGCCTACCGAGCTACGTACTCACCAATCGTCGCCTCATTCTCTCTGTTGCTGTGGTATTTTGTGCAAGGCAAAGCACACACACACACCCACCCACCTGGTGGTACTCGTTGGTGTGCTGCAACAGGAACCATTGATTGACACCACCTAAATGGCCAAGCCCGCGCATTGTGTTGTCGAATATGCACACATCTCCCTCTCTAATAAAAATGCTCTATACGAATTGCCAGTATTCCTGATGCGCCTGTCAATTTGGGGCGGTCGACCACTCCTTCTGGGTAGTATCAGTGGCCGCCTAGAACACACTTACACACCCTCTTCAATGCGACCCTGCGGCATCTGAGGCCCTTGGCAGCCGCCACAAGATGAACAACTCATCCAACCCCCGGGTAATGCGGCGTGTTTGGGAATGGTCGTCCTTACATCAAGTTGTCACCATGCGTATACTTCTTCTCAGGCCACATCCTCACCACGCACACATGGCTGACATGTCGTGAGGGGAAGACATGACCTGAATCACAACCCTAGTAAATCCATTTCCAAACCGCTGTGACCTTGCTCACCATCTGCGGCCTCATATGCAGCCGAGCGATCGGCAGCTTTGTCACCATGAAAGACGCTCAATCTCGCCCTATTTCGCTCCCCCCACTACCTCGCGCAGCCTGTCACCCTGCGGCACAATCCTCCCTCCCATGCCCACGGCAATGCCGTTCATGAACAGGAGAGGTGCACCCCATAGTCATGACTCTCTCTTCTGTATGGTCGAGCTCACCTACCTCCCCTCAATCACATGTGCCGAGTAATGCACCTTGCCCTTGATGGTGAGGATTCTAGGCCACCTTGGAATTCCGCTTGACCCTACGCTATCTAGGAGACCAGAGAGGCTTGTCGATAATATTGTATTGGGCAAAGAGATCTCACTTAGGGATACGGGATTCCGCAAAGCAACAAACCAGCTGCACTGGGTAGCCTGAACATCAATATGACCTGTCCCATTAGTTTAAGCTTTGCCGGCTTTAAAAGTCTCGGGGTTTGCTCATATTTGAAGGATCAGCCTTCAAAACCCCCAAGCCTACGGTGAGTAAACATAGTCTAATAGATTCTTTCAGTATATTCAGAACATGGCTGTCAAGTCGTTGTTTGTCCACGAATCTTTCCTTCCGGCCTGCATCATAGTATGATTGCGCCTAGACCGACCAGATCATGAACACATCATCTCCGCACAATGTGCTAGGTTCCCACGATGCTTGTCGAGAAGTGGAGGCCAAAGACCTCCAGAGCATAGTCTCACTTCATGCTGGCATACGGACTGATATAAAATCATCTTAACAGCAATGTTAGGACCAATTGCTTCGAGACATTAGCGTATTGACTGTTCTCGCCGATGTTGTCTTCGGCGGCATGTTTTGGTAGCTCATGGGATTTACTTCGGTCTGATTGTTCACACGAGTTGTGGTCTGGACAGGACTCGCAGTCCAGTGTTTGGATCTCGGCAAGCTAGGCGCAACGAACATGGGCTTGGTTTGATGTCTTCCAGCTAAACCTATCGCGCTTGCAATGCGCGCAAGGCAAGATGAATGATGAGGTGGCGGGAGCCGAAAGTGACATGGGAGAGTCAAGGCATTATGGATATGCCAAGCGTGCAAATCCCTTGCTTAAATATGTGTGCGGCGAGGAGGTCGACAACTGAAGGACTGAGTAGAAAGAGGAAGAAGAAGAAAAAGAAGTAGAACAAGGTAAGAGGCAGCAGTGGATGAGGAGGAAGATGGTGACTGGGCGAAGAAGGACCCGGTATTTAGGCTGCTGGTAAGGAATGAAAGCGATGACTGTGGTCAGAATACATTTCACAATGCCCTGCACTTCCTTACGAATCGGATGTCGGGAACAGGACATTGAGACTCTCAAGTAAGCGGGGGAGGTACCGTTGTCTCGATTTTGGTGTTGCACATTCTGCCAGTTGGCGGCCCTGTCTCGATTCCGTTATCGTTGCTTGGTTTCGTGCATCGGCCATATACTACTCGAGTGAGGTTCTCATAGGCTCGTGGGCTGTTGGTACATGAGGTAGAGTTACACCGAACCGGCATTGGCTCAGCTCACCATCTTTTCACATTCCCCCCTCGGAATCCCAGTCTCACCTCCTCCCCCGCTCCACTTCGTCCCTGCAACGGAAATCAGTCTGTCTCACAGCTTTTGAGAACCCTCGTTTTGCACATTCATTTGAGGCGATGAGAATGGGAAAACATATTCTTTTTGCATTCGCTTTCCGGCATGGTATCTAAGTTTGTTCCAAGTTGTACACGCCTAATGGCAGCCATCGGATCCTAGACAAAAACGCCTTTCAGAGCTTCGCCGGTATCTATCATATCTCATTCCCGGTTCCCAGCGCCGTGCTACGGCGCCATGGCCGGTTTCTTTTGTGGCAAGACACCAAATCTCCAAGTGCCTTTGGAGCTCGCGCTCAGATTCATCTGGTTTGGTTCTATTAATGACCTCTTCAATGGCCCTTGGCCTTCTCGACTGTGGGGAGCTCCTTGATGGCCTCGGTGATGATGTTGAGTCCCTTTCGCAGTTCCTCCTCGCTGATGACTAGGGGTGGCGCGAAGCGGATGATGTCGCCATGGGTCGGCTTGGCCTGTGATGAGTGCAACGTTAGCATGTTAATGACCTCGGATGTTAGCATGAAACACGTACCAAGAGGCCCTTGCTCTTGAGCAGCAGGCAGAGATCCCACGCAGTGCGTCCAGAAGCAGCCTCCTCATCAATCACAACGGCGTTGAGCAGACCCTTTCCTCGGATGGTCTTGAGGATGGGTGAGTTGAGCGCGACAAGGCTGTCCCGGAAGATGTTGCCCAGGCGGTCGGCCTTGGCAGTCAAGTCCTCCTCCTCCATGATCTCAAGTGCACGGATGGACACGGCGCATCCGAGAGGGTTGCCGCCGTAGGTGGAGCCGTGGGTGCCGGGTTCGACGACCAGCATGATCTCCTTGCTGCTGAGGATGCAACTCACGGGGTAGAGACCGCCCGAGATGGCCTTGCCAAGGGTGATGATATCAGGCTTAATTCCAGCCCACTCCGAGCAGAGCATGCGGCCTGTTCGGCCAATACCGGTTTGGATCTCGTCGCAGATGAAGAGGACGTTGTGCTTCTTGCAGAGAGCTTGGACCTGAGAAAGGTAACCCTCATCGGGGACCACGACACCGGCCTCTCCCTGGATGGGTTCGCAGATAAAAGCGGCTGTCTCTTTGCCATGGGTCTCAAGAAGCTCCTCCAGATCGGCAATGTTGTTATATCGGATGGGCTTGCCCGTAGTGGGGTTGAAGGCTCCAATGTTGGGAACGTAAGGACCATAGTTGGCCCTCGACTCGGGGTCGACTGAGAGAGTAATGGCAGCCATCTGGTGCGCGGATTACCAATTAGCAATTGACGTCTTTCTAGCATTCAATTGGCCCCGGAGGAGCAATTGGGGGATTACATACCGTTCGGCCGTGGAAGTTGTCCTGAACACCAAAGATCCATGCCTTGTCCTGAGGAACGCCCTTGACCTTGTACGCCCACTTGCGAGCGACCTTGATCGCGGTCTCGACAGCCTCGGCGCCGGTGCACATGGGCAGAACCATGTCATAGCCAAAGACGCTGCGGACCTTCTCAGCCCACTTGGGGAAGACATCGTTGTGGAAGGCGCGAGAGCTCAGGGTTAGGCGGCTGGCCTGCTCTGTGAGGGCCTTGACCAGTTCCGGGTGGCAATGGCCCTGGTTGACGGCGCTGTAGGCAGAGAGGAAGTCGAGATACTTGCGACCTTCGGGGTCCCAGACGTGGACGCCCTGAGCCTTGGAGAAGACGACGGGAAGGGGATGGTAGTTGTGGGCGGCGTACTCGTTCTCAATGGCAATGGCACCGTCGGTGGACGAGGCGTGGAAGCGCGACTCGGAACCGTTGGAGGACGCCTTGGTGGCGTCTGCGTGGGGAGCCATTGTGATGTTTGGTGGTGGTTGAAGTTGAGGATATGCGGTTCTGGGTATGGTGGGGAAGCAAGTGAGGGGCGGCGGTCAGGACAAAAAGTGCAAGTGCCAGCAAGAGGAAGGGCAACCCAAGGACACCTAACAGGGGACTGGATGACGAAGATAAGGCTGGGAGGAGATAAGAGGGTATCTACAAGGGCTTGGCTTGATTGGAGAAGAGAGAGACAGAGAGAGAAAAGAGAAAAAAAAGCGATCGGGAACAGGAAAAGTCGTCGCTCTTTAAGGACGGGCGAAATGGACCGTGGCGATACGGAATCGGAGGAATCACGGAGGACGACGCGAACGGAGTGGTGAGAACGGGGTCAACGGGGTGGACGGAGAGAGCGAAAGAGGCGGGCGGGAGTGGCACTTCGCACTTCGCACTTCGCACATGGTAGCGGCGTGCAGCAGATGGCGTTAGGTAATTATTACTGCAAAGACCATGTTGGCGATTGAGTCGTCGTGAATGCGCTTTACCTCTAAGTGACAGGCGTTGTTTCTTCTCTTCCCCTAAGTGCAGTTGGAAGCGAACGGGCGTGGGCAAATCCAATGATCCATCCATGGCCGGACCACCTGAGCATCGGCGGATGGATCAGACACACGCACAGCGCGCGCACACAGTCACACACACACCACACCCCTGCCAGGTTGGAACGATTCAGAATTTCTGCCGTGGCCAGCCGCGTGCGGAGAGGCAATCCATCCGTGGATGCATCCGTGGATGGCTCTGGGATGATTGTTTTCTGGGGTTGGCACCGAGACGGCCATTTGCGTCATGGCCCCAGCTCGACAGCTTGAGCCTCCTCGAACTGGCCGTGTCTGACATGTGGTTTTTCGGGGTCCCGTTCCCAGCTCGACTACCTCATTCGGTTTACGGCGTAGATTTGGGGCTGCTGGCAGGCACCTCGAACAAGAAACGATCTGGGGTTGAAGGGAGGGGGAGCGGGCCACAGATTCCACAACGAGGGTTCGGAGGGAGGACGGCCAATTACAGCGCCTCAATTACTTGTCTCGACTGTGAGCGGCCCTGAGACAAATGGACAAATGGACGCACCCGGTTTCTACAACGGGGAACGGCGCACCTACTTAGTCGGAGAAAAAAAAAGGGGAACAAGTGCCAGAGGAATGCAGCAATGACGGACATGGTCCACTGGGCTCTATGCTCGTGACGGGCTTGACTTGCGTTGGACCGTGGATATCCTTCCAGGCCGGGACCATCACCCACCCACTCACGGCCTGCCAGAGTTCTGGATGGCAAGGCGCACCAAAGACAACGTGGCCGGCGGCCAATGATGCTCCGTCCCGTCAAGATCCATCCCTCCCTCCAGTAGACAGAGAAGGGGAAGACAAAAACCTGATTATCCCCCCAATCATCCAATGTACAGAGCATTATTATCTAAGACACCATCTCCAAACGCCCGCCGGCCCCTGTGGAGATCCAGATCCCGACCCGGCCAGCGTGGGATGTTGGCTCCGCTCCATCTGTGTGCCGACGTTGCCCACCCCGGCCGACACCGGCTCCAGGCCAGAATTGACGGGCGCACCGGGCGTGGCAACTGCGCCAGAGAAGCAGGTACAGTGCTCTTAAGGAACAATTCGCTCTCTAGGCTCTCTAGGTTGTCTGAAGTCTGGACGCGCCGGCGCTTCTCCAGCCAGCCGCATGACTCCAGGCGTCTGGCCCTGCACGGCCTGCACCACACTCTTACGTACGATGCGGCCGCTGAGGTGCCCACCGCCATTACGTACGAACCGGGAGCGCAGTCGAGGTCATCGAAGCAGCCTGCGCCGCCGGCGACAACCCAAACGTCCTGGCTGGGCGGCTCCGGCAACGTCCAATCCAATGGATCTTGCCATCCTGCCGCGGTTTGCCTTTAGGCCGAGAGCATCTCAGCACACCGCCGGCGCCATCATCTCAAATCGCTGTCATCACCGTCATTCTCGTCTTACATGGTGGCCAAGTGAAGTTTTACCCAGATGATGCCACGTGATGACAACTTCAGGCGGTGGCGCTGTGGCTGAGGCTCTGGGTGGTTCCTCCCAGTTGCCACACCCACACCCGTACGCCTCGCCGCACTGTCCTGTGGCTTGGCCCGTAGCCAATCAGCAGTGCGTGTACACCTTGTCCGCCCAACACGGAAAGAGACCACTTCACTCAGTGAGCTCGCTACCGATGCCATTCAACCACCGAGCTTCACATGAGCTTAGGGATAGGAGTTCAATATGGCGTCAACACCAAAGCGTGCATCGCCAACTCAGTCTCAACCCCCAATTGCAGTCTCAGCCCCAGATCCGTCTGCTCTTGATGCTGTCGTCAACGAGACTCGCAATCGCATCAACCGGCCGTCCTTTCTGCGCAGCATCTTCATCATCCGCCTCATCAACGCCTGGTGGATCACCACCTTTTTTCAGCCTGATGAGTACTTTCAAGCATTAGAGCCCGCCTGGAACTTGGCCTTCGGTCCCCAGAGTGGCGCATGGTTGACTTGGGTAAGACTTTCTGACTGCTGCTTTCTTCTTTGCCAGCTGCCCTTGGATCCCCTATTCCCTATTATTGCTTATTCGTGAATCCCATCCATCTCAACAACTATATATGTATCGTATATTAACCTCACAACCTCACTTCACTAACTCCCTAAATAGGAATGGAAATATCAACTCAGATCTTCTCTTCACCCAGCCCTCTTCTCCGGCGCCTATCTCGTCGCCGACGCTCTCTCCTCCCTCCTCCCAACAGGCAGCATCCTCCGTGCCTCCATCATCATAGCCGCTCCTCTCACCGTGCAGACCGTCATCGCCGCTCTTAGTGACTGGTTCACATGGCAACTTGCCGTTTCCATCTACGGACCCAACAGCAATGTATCCTTTTTTGCGGTAAGTCGTCAAACATCCCCACCTTCTCTAGAGAATGCAATGGCTAAGTGGTTCACCGTCGTAGCTGTTCCTCACCCTATTCAATCCTTGGCAATGGTACTGCTCTACACGAACTTTTTCCAACTCGCTCGAGATGACTCTCAACGTCATGGCTCTCTACTTCTGGCCCTGGGAGCTCCTCGGCGCCGCCGAAACCACAAAGGAGAACCCCAAGCCACGGCCCGTCCTACTCAGCCTCTGGTCCCTACGAGCATCGCTGTGTCTCGCTGCCCTCGCCGTTGTCCTTCGCCCGACCAACGTCTTCATCTGGGTCACCGTTGTTTTCGTTGCCTTCACCCGCATCTCCCTTCAAGGCCCTTCGCCTCTCACCTTCTCGACCGTCCTTGTCCTGGTCCGTGAGGCTATCCTGTGCGGCTCGCTCATCCTGGCCCTCTCCATGGCCTCGGACCGCTTGTACTTTGGTTTCTGGACCTTCCCCCCCTACAACTGGCTCAACTTCAACCTCTCCAAGTCACTGGCCGTATTCTATGGCCGAAATCCGTGGCATTACTACCTCCTCCAGGGCCTGCCTCTCATCTGCACCACCAACCTGCCCTTTGCCGTCATGGCCCTCTACCGGCCGTCCGGCTCCTCGGACATTCAGGCCAACGTTCGCAAGACTCTCGCATATACCGTCTTGACCACTATCTTCGCCCTCTCCCTTGTCTCCCACAAAGAGGTCCGCTTCATCTACACGCTCCTCCCAGCCCTTAATGTCCTCGCGGCGCCCGTTGCCGCCTCCTTCTTCTCCTCGCAACCCACTCCCACGACGAGAAACCCCCGTCCTCGCCCGACCTTCCGCAATACTCCCTACCTCCTCGCCGCCCTCGGTGTCAACCTCCTCCTTGCAGGTTACCTCACATTCTTGCACCAGCCCGCGCCGCTTTCCGTCCTCAGCTACCTCCGCCACCAGTACGAGCGCATCCACCCCGCCTCGGTCAACCTTGCCCATACCTCCCACTTCTCCACGGCTTCCCCTGATGACGACGATCTCTTTGCCCTCTTTCTCATGCCCTGCCACACCACTCCCTGGCGTTCTCATCTCGTCTACCCTGGCCTGCGCGCCTACGCCCTCACCTGCGAGCCCCCCTTGCACACCCAGCCCAACACCCCCGAGCGTGACAACTATCGCGACGAGGCCGACCGGTTCTACGATAACCCCGTCGCGTTCCTCAGCCACGAGCTGTTTGCTCCTGCAGAACCCATTCCTATACCACGATACATTGTCGGTTTTGAGGGCATTGAGCCCTGGCTAGATGACTTCCTCAACACCGCCGAGGGTCAGGCCGTCGGCATCAAGAGTCTGCGCCGTGTCTGGGGTGGATTTAACGGCTTATTTAACGATGACTGGCGACGGTCAGGCAAGATGGTCGTTTGGGAGACAGGTGTGTACGATGATGCTGTGACGAACAAGGAGGATTGAAGAAGACTCAAATGTCTGATGGAGACTTGTGTCATATCATGTGTAATCTACATCGCAGAGACTTGAAACTCAGAGGTCACCAAGCCCATCAGGGGCAGACGCTCATAATAATCCATGGCCCACATCCTTCTTTTCGTGACCCATACTCCCTGAATTTAAACATCCCCCCACCCGCTCAAATGAATATAAAAGGGGCTTGCCACGGCTACATTACACAACATAATTGAATATAAGGTTAGCGGTGGAGGCCTGGGGTTCGCCGACGCCCATTGCCCGACGTAAAGCCCTCCCTCTTTCACCTCATGTCCCTTTGAACCCCATAAACTTCGCTCCCATGATTCCATTTCGCCTTGCCCATATACTTTAAACGATCCTTGGAGAAAGTCTCCTTCTTTACTGCTCCTGTTTTAGTGGCACCGGCTGCTCTTGGACCTGATGTGGTTGTTGTTGCGGAGGATGCGGGTGCTGCTCTGACTTATCCGATGGCTCTGATGAAGGCGCAACAGGTTGGTCCTGCTTGTGCTCTTCTTGATGCTGTCGTTGCTCTTGCTGCTGTAGCGGCGGGGATGCAGCAGCAGGCACGGGCTCAGGTGCGGGTGTTGGGGCTGGCGGTTGTTTCTGCTGCTGTCGCTGAGGTGGAGGTTGAGATTGATCTAGCGCTACAGCCGAGACTGATGCAGGAGCTGGCACCGCGGTTGGAATTGGAACAGCGGCGGGAGCCGGTACTGGAGGAGCTTTGGCTGGAAGAGGCGCCGTTTGCTTTTCGGACTCCCTTCCTGTCTCCCGCTTAATATCCAAGCTCTTTCCGCGTGGTAGGAAGCTGGAGCTGAGGGTAGAGGGACGGTCTGCAGGTGGAGACTTGTTCCTCCTCTGCTCCGCGCTCTCCTTGGCTTCACGATACTTGTTTCTGATCCATCCAATTGGTCCCTTGGGCTCATCTTTATCCCTTCCTGAGTCATATATGGCGTGTGCGTCAGATCCGAGCACAGTTGGGTCTGAGCTTTCGCTCTTTCGAGGCCTATGGCTGGAACTTGAAATCGAGAGGCTGCTGATATCAGCATTATCGTTCGATCCCAGGCCCAGACGAGGAGAGGTCACTCCAGAAACAGTCGAACCGCTAGCATTGTCGGCATTCCTACTCCTCGACAATCGCCAGCGTTTCTTCTTGTCCTTCTCCGCTTGTTCCAGGGTTGTGATAGGTTGGTCTTCGAGAACTTGATCCAGATCTGACCCTTCGTTGAACGATGAATGCAAAGACGTCGGTGGCGATTTCTTGGCTTTTAGTGTGTTTTCTGGATGAAGATTGGGGTTCGACGACGCCTGGGAGGCCCTAGGCGTGTGCTCAGAAGACACATCGCTCTTCTGCTGGGCCACGGAAGCTGGGGGTGTGGGTTGATGGTCTTGTAGTTGCTCCTGCTGCCTTTCTTCTTGAATCGGTGGGGGCATTGACTGCGGTTGTAGAAGATGAGAGTCAGAGTCTTTGTAATGGGCTTGGTCTAGGGGGTTCTGAATCTCGAACCCCGGCGAACTCGCGTTCGGCTGAGAATGTTGTAACGAGGCATTGGAGCTCTGCGCACTCGGGTTTAAGCTTCCAGGTATCCTTTTTTTCTTGAGTTTGTTTGGCTGCCTTTTATCAGTTGTGTCTGTGGGGGACCTCTGAAAGATGTTAGGCAGGTTGGGTGTTTTGGACGGAGTGGCGGGATCAGGAACGTCGAGCAACCTCTCCTGGCTCCGACCAATGGCTGGCACTCTCGAGGGGGTTAAATGGCTACCGGGACCTTCATGTGAGAAGCTCGACTGGTTAGGGTGGTCAAGCGTCTCCCCAGAGTTCAACTGTGTCAGAGGTTCGAGATGCGCCGGCGAGTGAGGGCTAGAGCCATCATGTCTCTGGAAACGGCCACCAACAAGTGCTGGGGATTTCTTGGACGGCACGGTGTTACTCCTTGCAAGGCCACCCGTTGTTGGCGTTGCAGTCAGAGCGGGGCTGTTTGGGGTCGAAGTGCCTTCATTCTTAGAATTCCTCGAGGACACAGATCGGTTCCTTCGAACCTTGCCGTCTCTTCGCACACTGTTCGCGCCAGCGCTTGCGTTTGATGCAGAACGGCCGATGCTAGGGTTTCGGTTCGGATTCGGTGTGGTGGGAATTATGGGGATCATGGGATTGCTGGTGTGTCCAGACTCGACCTCTTTCTTTGTCTTCTCGTCTGCTGCAGTTCCCTGCATACCGATGAGGAAGTGATCTTGGTTCTCAATTAAGAATATGATGACGCATTGATTCAGGCGATACTCCTCGGGGGCCATGGCGTGGGCGGGGTGAGATAGCATGCCCGGTTGGAAAATAGCTGCGAGGTTCTGCGAGTTCATGCGGTTCTCATCAGCTTTGGCGGCAAAAACTGCGAGGAGATCGAGGATGTACAGCAGCAGTTGCCGATTAAGCGGGGGAAGCTCAGTGATGAGCCTCTGGTACTCTTCGATGGCTGATATCTCGTTGAAGTGTTCCACAAATTGAGGGCCTTCAGCATCCCCAACGGCCTGCTTCGTCGCGCCGCGTAGGGGTTCGCGGAACTTTTCGTAGAGGTCTAGGGGGACGACCGGCTCGGGGAGATCATTGAGGTATCTGCGGAGGACATTGGCGGCATCGTGAACCGTGTAGCCTTCCCACACAAGGCCCTTGCCATATCTGTCGGGGGAGTCGAAGACCGTTTTGAGTTCCTTGATTCTCTTTTCTGAGCCGCTTAGACGGAAGATTCCTTCGACACCGGTAGCTAGCGATAGAGTTAGCAGGCGCCTGAATACACCAACAACAGATGCACATACCCCTCTCTTTGAGAAAGACGCCGCACTTGGCAACGACTATGGGAACATAGCCATAGATGTAGCTCTGCCCCCTCTCGTCGATGAGCGAAATGGCTACGTTTGCGTACGTTATACTTTGTCGGAGCGGAACGCCAAAGATGCCATGCGGTCGGGTTTCTAGCACGGTGAACGTTAGAAATCGTACAGACATTGCGAAACACAGTTACGGCATGCGCCTAGGAACTAGTAGCGGAGGATATCACGTCGCTGAACGCAATGCGACAATGTTGAAATAGGCGAATGTCATCTTCATGCCCAAACATATGCGATCGCAAGAACCAAGGAAATTGAGGCGGCTCAAATGAGAAGTACCAGGGTTGGGGTCGGGCAAGTCGCGTTGCAGCTCATCGATGAGGAGGGAGGCGTACCATGGGTTTCTTGGTGCTTGGACGGCAGCTTGAAGCCTTTCCACCATGACTTGAGATCGCGTTTATTCTGGGGCGATGCGGCGTTGTTGATCTGAAGGGCGGGATGGGGTGGCGGTTTGGAGTTGTGGGCGGCGGACGTCATGGCGGGCGACGTCGCGTAGGAGGACGGAACGGGGAAGGCGACAGGTATGACGGCGATATCGACGGTGGCGACGTAACAGCTGGGCCGGCCCAGGTGTTTGACTCACGATGGCTCGACTCGGCCTCGATGTCGAGGGTACGGCGGCGGGCGACGGCAATGGGTAATCAGTGTTACGGCGGTGGACGAACGTTCGAGTCGATGGGGGGTTGAAGGAGACGAGGCTAGGAGTTGGGAACCCGAGAGGTGGGAGCGAGGAGTTGAAGGCCGTCTGCGCGCGTAGATGGAGGAGCAAGGTCGATGATTGGCAGTGTCAAGGGCGTCAAGGTGGTAGGGCGTCAAGGCGTTAAGTCTGTTTTGTTGGAGCACGGGCGGGCCTGCGAGGGGCGAGGGTCGAGCTTCGAGCTTCGAGGGATCGGCTTGGAGGGGGGGACCGAGTCGGGCGCGTTTTTATGGGCCAGGTCGACGATGAGGGAATCGCGATGAAGAGGAAGTGCATAACATGTAGAGTAAGAGACGTCGGAGAGGGCGGGAGACGAGAGGCGGGAGGCGAGAGGCGAGAGCTGTGCACGCCCGGGGCTTGTCGTGGGAGTACGTATTCGTCAAGTAGTGAGGTGGCCGGGGCGAATGAATGATGTAGGCCGTAGCGTTGCGCGATGTCAGGCGAGTAGCTGGAAATGGAAGAGGGGGCGCTGGCGTTGGGCTGGGTTTGGTTGGTATCAAGGTCGAGGTGGTGCACGGTACCTTGCGGCGGGGAGGGAGAGGGTGGGCTAGAAGAGTTGTGAGTGTGTTGTAGCGAAAGCGGTGGAGAAGCGAGCGTGTTGAGAAGATGGTTGATTCGCGGATGAAGGGTCAGACAGAGAAGAGGGAGAGAGAATGGGAAGAGTTGAGTGAGTTGAGTGAGCAGAGTGAGTTGAATGAGGGAGAATACCAGAGGGAGAGGCGCCGGGCAGTGCTGAGAGTGGGCGTGTGTGGTTGTGGACGGCGCAGGAAGAGAAGAGGTACCCTAGCAGACGGCGTCTAGTACGTCTAGTACGTCTAGTACCGGAGGCATGTACCTTACCTCAGGGGGTGTGGCAGCCTAGCAGGTCCGGGGGTGTTCTGGGAAACGCTGGCTCTAATACCACCTCTGTCGGCGGGATGCAGCAAAGACCAGGGCAGGCAGGCTCAGGAATGGCCTGCAGAGATAAGAGGGAATAGTGCGTAGCAGAGCTGCCTGGTTGGAGCCGGTGTGGGGATGGGGTTATCGACGGCGCGAGGCTGATGGTCTCAAAGTGTGGAAAAGGGTGTGTGAGAATATAAGCGCCCGTGGAGGGATGGATTGGATGGATTGGATGGGGGAAGTGTTGAAATCACGTGGAGGTGAGATATGACAGAAGGAGGCAGGGAAGCATCGGTGCCTAGGTAGGTAGATTGGGGGGGGGGGTTGGAGAGAGAGATAGAGACGGAACAACTGGGTACCGCGTAAGATGAAGATGGAAAATAGAGTATCGCGACGGAGCTGTACGCAGTACGCACTTGGCAGATGGGAATGGAGACGACTGAAAAGAGGCGACCAGGATGTCGACGGTGAAAGATATGGAGAATCGAGCCCTGTCCAATCTCTGTTCTGTCTCCCGGGGGTTACAGTGGATGGGGGTGGCAGAAGGGAGAGTTGGTCGGTACCTACTACGGAGTAAGTCTATCCCAAATTTCCTGCTGGCATTTTCCCCAGGCAGTCTTCGTTGTCCAGCCCATCGCGGGAACGAGCAGGCGGGCGGGCGCCAGACTTTTTTCCCCCTCCAGCTAGGTTCCTGGTAGGTAGGTATGGACGGGACCTACCTACCTGTGGGACGAGTACCCTGCTGTACGGTCCATAGCTTCCAGTAGTCCCCCAGCGGGCGGAGGGTTCCATTTTCCAGCGGAGCCCCGTCGAGTCTTTCCAGTGGGGGTGCTTCCAGTGGGGTACCTAACTTAGGTACCTGGCTGCATGCTTCCAATTAAGTCCGGTCCAGTCCAGTCCTCACCTCCAGTCCAATCCAGTCCAGTGGAGGATCATCCCGTCACTTTTCACCTCCATCTCATCCACTGCTGAGCCCCATGACTTCGTAAAGACCACAAGTCCAGGGCTAAACCAACTGCAGCCACCTGCTAAACCCGCCCGTGGAACCTTCTGCCCTATGGCGCCCGGTGTCGACCCCCGCTGCTGGAAGGGAAAACGTTTATTCTGCCATGGGCGGGGAGCTGCCAAGGTAGGCCTGCCTTGTCGTGATGGACTGGTGTGCTCGATGGAACCTTGAGGGGGATCAGGTACCCGGAAACTCAGGTGCCTTACGGCCATGTATCTGTTCGTCCCGTCCTCGCTGCCTTCAGACGGTGGTGACGGGTCCGAATTGCTCGGGTTCGGGTGGCCACAGCCCGCCTCCGCACAACAGGCTGCTGCTGCTACCCGCTGGAGGTACGAGCACTTCAAGTCAAGACCAAGAGAAATAGAGAGAGCGCACATGGGGCGCGGACAGGCATGGTATGGATCCTGATCCTGATCCTGATCCTGACCCTAGCCCCAGCTTGCTGTACGGCATTGTAATTTTAGTACCTGCCTACTACGCCGTAACTACGTCGTGGTCACGTACAGGGACGCAGTTACGCTGGGGGGCAACGTGTAATTCCATCGTCCAGGCGTCATTTCATCCCATGCCCGTCTGTCTCCAGACTGGCCAACAAGGCCATCCCAATCAATCACACACCATGACGACAACAACAACAATAACAACCTGCCGCTACTACCACTACGGACCTGATCGACCGTTTCTTTCGTTGATGCTGCCCGGGTAATTTTCCAAGACCTGGATGTATGCTCTCTACGCAAGCTGACAAGGACAGTGAGGTCCCGACGACAAAGCGCCAAAACACGTTGGCGCTGATATAAACCCCTCCCTAGGCTGTCGCGTAGTTCTCGTCCGGCTGCCAACATAGCAGCTCTTGCATCCGTGGTCTACATGCCAGTGATGTACATAAAGTGAGATGCAAGAGGTATTGATCCAAGCAATGTACCGCAACACAAGCTGCTAAATCTATATGAGCAGATCGCATGCTGCTATTTTAAGGGCTGGGGTTAGAGTTACGGTAAACGTAATGTAATCATGCTCGAAATTTAATAGAAATTATATTTCAGATATATTTTACTTGGTAGATACTCTATTTAATTTTTCCGCTTAAACATCAACATTATTGTAATTCTACTCTACCTTTGAGATGGAGTCTTCAATACAGCGTCAAAATGCCCTAGCTGTGTTAAGCCGACGACCTGACGCAATACATTAAACTGGATCAAAACCTTTTGCATTCCATTGTATTCCTCCGTTCTTCCCTGTTTCCAAAATTGGATCCGCTCGCGTTTCGGGACAGCTCAAAGACAGGGAACCTGGAAATGTGCATCAACACGTCAGAACCCTTGCTCTCCACGCGGTACATGCGTACCCGCTCGTATTCAATACCCCTAGCCCTCTCAAGGGTATCCGCGTCCCTCCCCCTCATTGCCATGTTCGCAGTACACACTCATCTACACCTCCGCGGACCCAGTTCTCGTCGCCCTTCACCCGCCGCCCACCACCACCAGAACGACTCTCAGCCAGTCTCCAGCCAGAGATGAACGATCAGCAGACTACCCTGACGATCATTCCCCCTCCCCCTCGACGCTGCGACGTCTTCGAGAATCCCGAGAGTTGGGTTTGCCTGTTTGTCGCCCTGCACATTGTCGGCATATTCAAGGTACGTACCTGATCCGGCCTCGTTTACGATACTTTGCGAATGCAGCTCAGAGTTCTGGTTGAAGCTGAGCCATCCTGCATCCACCACCGGTCAATTTAATACGTGGAACGAAGAAATGTTTATCACTCGGATGCCTAGAATTTTATTTGTGCCACAACTTGCGCCTCTGAGAAAAGCCTTTCCAAGGTTGATGCCTTCGTGCAGAAGTATTTATAGCAGTGACGTGCGTTAACCCCTCCGCCACTATGTCTCAGTGACGATAGACTTCCTTCTTACCTTGTGGCAAGGCAGAGAAAAAAAAGGATGTATTACTGTCCAAATGGTGAGAACACACCAAAAATTACAGAAACGCAAGACCGCTCGGGTCTGTACGACGTCACAATCTTGTTAATTTCCCACTTTCGAAGAATCGACAATCTTCTTTCGAAGACGTAGCCGAGTAGCAGGACGTGACAGTTGCGCAGAGTCATTGAGTGCAGTCACAACCATCCTCCCATCAGTCCCATTTGGCTCGATCCACTTTGGAGTAGTAGTGTTTATGTTTCATGCTGAAAATGCTACCCAAAGGATCCATCGTCCTGCTTCGTCGAGCCATATTCGGCTAAGGCTCAACATTGCGTAGACATGATTTCCTGTAACTGCTTCCCATAAGGGCAATTATTTTGGATATCCATGTCTCAGCTTGCTGGAACCAGACAAATACGAGGCGCAAACAGAGCGGCGTGGACACCAAACCTGATTTCTCTACCAGCATGGCCTCGCGAGCCGCCAGCTGAAAAGCAAGGAATCTGCAGTCTCGCGACGATGAAACACGGCAGCAGAAACGAGGTGGCGAACACGGGAGTGTCATCCAGATCTAGCGTCTGGGGTGGCGGCTTTGACCAGGGCATCCTCGACGCGACGTTGCTGACGAAGACGGAGATGAAAGGTGTGGGAGGCGAGATGAGGTCATCGCTGAGGAGTGGGAAACCTTGACGTTTTGGGGGTTCCTGGGGGAGAATGTGTGGACGTGGGGGGGGGGGGGCGGTTCCTTGTCCCATGGGTCCATTACCTCGTGGGGTTCATAGTTTTTGCTTGGATGAGATACCCTCGTATTGTTTTGTTAGGGTTCATTTAGATAACTGTAAACCCGGGGCGAGTCGTACAGCTCCGTTCATCCCGGGCGACTTCCGGCCGGAGGTCACCAAATGAGGAGAGAGGGGGCGTAGAGCGAAACTGCGTGGCCTCAATGCCGAGATCCGCGTCCAAATCCGCGACAAATGACATATGCGCATGCAAGCACTCATTGCAATTTTACAACTTCTCATTTCACTCCCAAAACATTGGGCCATGTTTTGAAGATGCCAGTGCCAGAATAGGTTATAGTGGACTCCAGCAGCTTTCAGTGGTTTCAGTGGCTTCTCCCAGCGCTTCGTGGCCGCCCAAGCCACCAACCAACTCCAACAGCCACAGTGTGCCGTCTCCCGGAGTCTGGGGTAAAACGATAATGCGATCCCGCTGATAAGCCAGCTCGCCCCAACCGCCACCTTATCAGCCGCATCGCATACCAAAATTTCAACCCCCAAAAGCGTCCATCGACATCCGAACGACCACGATACTCTCCAACCTCATCAACGAATTCTACCCCAACCAACCGCCGCAATGGATATGTTAGCTCCAACCCCATCCACTACCGCCCAGCTGGGTGCCTGAAAACTAATTCTCAATCCTCCAGGTTAACCGCCAACGAGCAGCGCATGTTAGAGCAGCGCATGCAGAAGCGCCAAGTCAAGGAGTTCATGGGCGTACGTCGATCCCCTGCACACATCATCTCATCTTCTCGGACCGCCGCACTCGATTCACCGGGCTCTATTTGAGGATTTGACTCGGCTAACACACTCGCCCCGTTTAGGCCTTCGGCGGACTCGTTGAGCACTGCTTCATGTCCTGCGTCGATGACTTCACCTCCAAGGCCATCTCTTCCCGCGAGGGTGGCTGCATCAACCGCTGCGTGACCAAGTGGATGGCCACCCAGCAGCGCGTCAGCGAACGCTTCCAGGAGCACAACGCCCAGCTCTCTGCCCAGATGCAGAACCAGCAATAAGCTCAGACGCGAGCGAAGTCACGACATATGACGGCCGCCCGTCCATCCGTTTCGATACCCTGCGGTGTGACCGATAGTGGAAACCTCCCGGATAAATCAAACCCGTCTCTGTCTCGGCCCGGGGATGTAAATGCGTTCCGAGTGTGTGGCTGTGTATGAATACGAATCGGAAAAGGACAGACCTTGGTGATGGTGATGTCTTGGACGGGCACTTGTCGACAATAGAGGGGGACAACAAGTGATGAGCCGATGCGTACCGGCCTTGTAGCACCAACTTGTCATTGTACAATTACGATGGGGCATAGAAAAGAGGCCATCTGGATTGGCTCTGTAGTCCTTGAATGTGTTATCCGTTTCTACTCAACTCCCAGAAATATGAATTATGAATGACATGGCGGAAACTCTCCCTCCAATTTTCAGTTCTTGAACCATGAAACGCTTGTGGAAACGGCATTCATGAAAACTATCCTATTATGATGATGAGACACATGGTGCTTCCTTTGCTCTTTCTTTCTTTGCTTTTCTGTATCGCACAGTTGTCTCCCCACAATTCACATCGCGGCCCGGTGTCCAACGCCCTTGACCTTATGGTTCCAAGTTAATTTACATCTCCACCCATTGCTACCATTCCCATCCATCTAGCACCATTCCTCAAACTTCAGAGTCCTCGCTCAGCACGTCCCGAACAGCATCCAACTGAGCCACTGCCTTCTCTTCCAAAAGATTGTCGCATCCGGCAATGCTGGCTTTCATCCCCCGCCAGTCTACCTCACGTTGGCCCAAGGGCATGAGCCGCTCCTTCAGCAACTTCTTGGTCGAGAGCCAAAAGTCGACGTTCTCCAACAGGCTGGCGGCATCCCATTCTACCGCTGGGATGTCTCGGTTGTTGTTGAGCCGGAGAGCTTCGACCACTCGTGTCAGCAAGGCCAGCGAGTGCACTTCTGATATCGCTAAGAGCGTCAGGTAATGAGGCGACGATCGCGACTGGGTCCGGCTGGCCCCTGGCGCCTCGAAACGATCCACGCTCGACTCCAGCAGGTGAGGGAACTGGTTGAGCACATAGGAAATCTCAGGTGCAACAGTAGCCCCCAGGGCGGTCAACAGGTTCAGCATCAGGGGGAGCAGTCCTTTGGCCCAGATTCCATAGCAACGCTGTGCCACGGGAGCATCGGAGTAGGGCGAAATATTGGACTTGAGCATGAACTTGGTCAGGTTGGCCGAGAGGATGTTGCTCAGAATACCATCGCACGCCATCTGTTCAGCCACCAGTGGAAGCGTCGAGAGCTCAAGCAGGAAAAGAATGCTGAGCTCGCCATAGATAGGGTCTCCTTGGTCAGCGAGTCGATCCGACCATGAGTAGAGCGACGTCGCGGCATTCATCACCTGGTGCTCGGCCATGATATTGAGGACCTGGGTCTGTGACTGATCAAGGCCGGGGACGCTCAAGCACGCTTGCAAGATAGCCGTCAAAAGTGCGAGATCCTCTGGGGACACGGTAGCTTCATTGTCATGGATCAGGCTGACCAGTGTACGGAATCCTCTCCCGACCACGCGGTCAAGGATGTTCAACACGGTCTGGACCACTGTAACAGATGTTCCCTCCATGCCATCCTGAGAGTCAGGTGTCGCTCTGTTGCCGTGGACATGGTATGCGCGGAGAGTGACGAAGAGCGACTTCAGCAAGGTGCGATAATAAGCAATGGATTCTTGGCCAAATGGCTCTTCGACGCCATTCATGGTGCCGATCAAGGTTGACAGGAGTCGGTTGATGTCCTTGACTGGAGCCGAAGTCTTGACGGATCGTTGAACCAACACCAGCGCGAGGTTAGCTCTGGCGTCAACGAGCTTCAGGAAAATGCTCTCCGGTCCAGGGATTCCTTGGTTGGCATTCAAGCATTGTTGTGAGACCTGCAGCATTTGCTTTGCAACGGTATCGTCATCTGGGAGACAAGTGCTAAGCTCAACGAGGAGGAATTCCCATGCGTGGAAGAGCGCCTACGACGCCAGTTAGTTTTGTAATGGAAGCCGCGCAGTTAGTAACTTACGATCTGAGCATCGACCAAGGATAGGTTCGTGTTTGCAAGTTCCATCTCCATTTTGAATCCATTGTCCTTTCGCCCAATCCACCCGGGGTCGAATCTGAGCATCTCGTCGGCACGCTCCAAGTCGTAATAGTAGCTCTTACCCAACTCTCGGGGCTCAAGAAGGGTTCGCTTAAAGTCATTCACAGGGCATCCCGAGTACTTGTTGGAAAAGTTCTTGGTAAAGTTGTTGTGTAGGGACTTATTGTACCCTGCAACTTCGACGCCATCGCGCAGAAAATAGTCAAGATCGCTAACAAGACTTTTTGCTAAGTTGCTCGAATTGCCCAGGTGTCGCGAATGATACAGCTGCATCGCAAACGTTTCCGCAATGTAGGCAGCCAATCTTGCCTCAACGCTCGCACGAACTGCATCGGTCTTGAGAGTGATGTGCGATGACTTGAGGTCGCGAATGTAGGCTCGCAAGCCATCCAAATACACAGTGTCCTTTTGAAGAGTAAAAACGGTCCAGGGCCAGAAGTTTTGGGCAGATGCCACAAAGTCAAGGACCATCAGGGCTTCGCCTGAGTCAATGTCTTTCAGTTTCCCGAGTTTGACCAGAGCCTTTGCGAAGACCGAGTTCGCAGAGAGTTCGGCATTTTTCTTGTCCTTGTTCATTGCTTCTCGTGGGGTTTGTCCTGTGAGAAGACAGTTGGACATCCACTGCTGCCGATTCCTCAATATCGCCGAGAAGAATCTCCAGGTCGTTTTAACATCTTCTGCCAACTCAAATGGCTTCCCCAAAGTCGAGAGGAGTTGCAAAAAGGACTTGGAGACGTGAGGTCCCAAGTATCCGAGCAATGAGGGAGGTTCGCCAGTAGCCTTTCCGGCATTGACCACAAGCGACTCCAACAGCCACGTAGTGGGCTTGCGGAAGTGGTCAGAGACCGCGCATAGTCGCGCAAGCAAGGTAGAGCTCTTGAACAAGTATGTCTCAATCATACTCGAGGATTTATCCAAGTAGTTGGCAACCCGCAAGAGCGTCGTCGAAAATTCGAGGACTGAACTCAGCTGACTCTGGATTGTCTCGAGACGCCTGGGGTATAATGTACTGTCTGTCGATGTGAACGCCGTAATGAAGGAGGTCAGGAGTGGCTGGAACCTCAAGGACCCAGTTGCGGGCGAGATAAAGCAATCAATGACATATGCTGCAGCAGGTCGGAGGCAAGAGGTCAGGTTCTCCGAACTGGGAGAGTCACCCATACTGTAGCTATACAGTATCACCTTGTGGAGAACCGGAACAACGTCTCGAAGGAGCGACGAACGATATGCATCAGATGTGAATCTCCAAGTTGACGTGTTCTCGAATATGTCCACACCGGCCTGAGCAATGGAGAAACTAACACTCGACAAGACCTTGTCGGCGGTTCCCAGCCAAGGATTAGGATCTGACTTCTTTCGGCCGATTGCTTGGTCACCAGCTCTGCGTTGCACCGCAGATGTCATTGCCGTGTCAATGAGGTTGGAGAATAGGCGAAGACAAGAACTCAAAAACTCGTATCGTCCCGAGACCAGGTCAAGGCTCCCGGTGATCTTGGTGAGCTTGCCTGCTCTTGATTCAGAATTCAACAACTCGCACCGGGCCAAGTAGGACCATACTCGGCTAGGACAGATCGGCAGGATTGCGTCCAAGAATTGGATGCAGGAGTTGAGGACCGCTACAACATCCTCCTCGCTCGCAGCGAGTTCAACTTGCATGTAGTAATCCATGGTTTCGCAAACCACGGTAACAAGATCCCTACCGCCACCCACATCGATGTGCTTTTTGGCTTCGAGCAGGATGTCGCTGTTGGCGTGCACAAGTGAGGTACTTGACCCTTCCCTCTTGGCCTTCAGGTAGTCCATCCGAATGAGTGTTGCAAATAGAGAGATGACCTCGGCAGTTTCATCCGGCTGAAGCATTCCAAGTTCGGACTGATAGCCTTCCTTCATCAGGTTGATCTCGAGTCGTCGACCAAGGAGTGAGATGGTTGAGTGGGGGTATTCCATCAAGACAACGCGGCCTGTGTCCGTGACAAAGCGTCCGTATGTTCCTGCAGGTATCCGGTATGCGTCGTCCTCAATGCGTCGTCCTCTCCAGGATGGCGAGAGGGAGATGAGAGGGACATCTTGGAGAAGACAAAAGGTATTTGTGTTCTCGTCTTCTTGAACGAGCTCGTATTCCTGGAAGTAATCGGGAAGCGTGAACGTCAATGATGGCGTTGACCGGAGAAAGTTGAGGATCATTTCAGACCGGTCACTGTCGTGCAGACTTGTTGCGCTAGCCAGGGTCCTACAAAGGCTAACGAAGGGGAGAAATTCGTAGGGGTATCGGTCGAGTGCTTGCTGGAAGAAGAATTCTAAAGCATGGTCATCGTGCACCATGGATGCGATAACATCCTGCTTTTCTGTGAGGTTTTCGTGGGAGGACAGATCCCAGTAGCTCCGTCCAGCTGACAAAACTGATGACAAGGAGCTTACGGGCTCAGATTGGTAGCCCACGAGTGGGTAGGAGACCTTCAGGAGCTCAAGAAAGACGTTCCGGATGCGCGAGCTTAGCAAAGGTGTCATGCTTCCCTCGTCTGAGGGTCCCAGTCCTGTTGCCATATTAGAAATGACGTCGAAAACTCGACCGTGGGCGGTGACTGCTGAAGCAAGTTGTTCCACTACAACAAGATCCTTTGATGCGGTATAGTTCTCGAGAAACCCGTCAAACTTCGAGGACTCGATAGAAAATATGCTACCAGCAGAGTTGCGTCTCGCGGCTGATCGTGACACGCCTCCAGTCTCGAAGGTTTCTCGGGCATTCTGTTGTAGCAAATTATCCCGCTTCTCTGACCTGGCTTGGTAGGAAACATTCATGCGATGAAGTAGCAAAGTCCAAGCAAAGATTACCGGAGTTGCGCTTTCGCAGTCATACTCTGCCGCCTTGAGAATGCTCTGGTGGACCTTCTCGAGAACCTCGGATGATAGCAAGTAGGTATCGTACGAGGCATCGGCTTGTGTCGCGTCCTCTTCTCTCTCTGAGAGGTAGGTCAAAGACCGGGCCGGTTTCAACAATATTAAGGATATCGCTGCTGACAGAGTCTTAAGGGGCAAGACCAAGGGGGCGATATTTTCGTGGATCTGGGTGGATGTTAGCGTAATTGAATCTAAAACGACACAATCGCACAAACCGGTTGGACAGCATCGAAGAAGTTGTACATCTCCATGAGAGTGAACCATTGGCTGACAGAACTGGATGGGGCAAAGTCATCACCAAAGCTATCCACGATCTGGAACACGACCGACAATGCATGAAGAGCTTCCGTGAGAAGAGTTCTCAGCCAGTCCAGCTCCACATCCTCAGTCACCCATTTCTCATCCGTCACTGATTTGAGTCCGGACTCGATGTGGCTCATGGAGTCGGTCAGGACCTGGAGGTACGCTGGGAGCAGAGGCTCCGCATCGTCTCGGGCGGCCAGCTTCAATCCGTACGTCTTGGCCAGGTCGAGGTCGACATGGGCGAAGGTTGGCAACCGTTCGTAGAGTTTGATGGAGTTGGCATAGTCGGCAGCCATCATGAAATAGCGTCGTTCGGTAAGGTAAATGTCAAAGAGACGTCGCTGTCTGGTCTCTGGCTTCTCAAACTCGCTCCAGATCTCCTCAGCGTCAAGGGCGGCTGAAGCTCCCAGGTCCGATAAAAAGGCCGAGCCTTGGCCATTGTTGAGACCAGCCGCCTCCTGCAGATTCGTAGCATCTTGAGAGGACAAAGGGCCTGTTAAGTGACGGGCAGGGCGAGACTGGTATTCGACCACGACTGTTCGCAGCGCGGCAACGAGGTTGATCTTGGCGTTCTTGCTCAGCCACTCAGCGTCCTTCTTGATCGTCTCGACATCAAATCGACCGTCGGGGCCCGAGGGCACGTTAATGGGGGCAGTTTTCGTCTCGAAGCTTTTCCTGCTGTCTTCGTTTGGGGGGGCGAAGGTGGTGGTAGGATCGTTCAAAAGACCGTGAACATAGTCGTCGCTAAGAAATTCGATGACGGCCGAGCTCGTGGTTCGTTGGCCAGAGGCATCGGATAATGCAGTTGCGATGAGCTTCCATGATCTACCTTGAAGTCAGTCGCATGTCATGGGTCTAGGCAGAGGCCGCGGAGTGCAGTAACTCACAGAAGCACCCGCTCCCCAGTCAGGCATTCTTCCAGGGAGGGGAAATAAATGCGATCGGCCACCGGCACCATTGCAGCAAGCGTCAGGAGGGCGACAGTGGCATGCGATGCATTACCTGAAGTTGGGGATGCAAAAAGTCGGCTTTGTTGACGCGCCTGGTCCTGATCGCGATGAGCTCGGGGCTGGCAAGGCCAACTTTTTGGGAGAGCTCAGGATGTCCGAAGTTGAGCCGGCCAATTGATGGCGGAGGAGGGTCGGAGCTTAATCGGGGTGGGAGCCCGGAATTTGTACTGTGCTGGCTGCCTTCCCCAGCAAGTGACAGCACAGTGCTAAATTTCGCATGCACACGGCTGGATTTTACAAAGGCGTCGTCGCATCATCTTAGATTGAGTCACCATTCACGCCAGCAACGCTCACGATTTCCTTTGGAAACTGTACGAATCCGCACGAGGAGTTAAAAAGGGAGATTCCTCTCAGCCAAGATGAGTTCCGCGGACATCATCGACCACTCGCCTCACCAGGCAGACCCTTCCCCGCCAATTCCGTCGGCATCCAACTTGATCCTCATTGACAACTACGACTCATTCACCTGGAACATTTACCAATACCTTGTGCTTGCAGGCGCCACGGTCCACGTCGTCCGAAATGACAAGATTACTGTGGAGGAGCTAGAGAAGAAGAAGCCTACTCAGATCATCATCAGCCCTGGACCGGGCCATCCCGAGACCGACTCTGGCGTGAGCCGTGATGTTATCCGCCACTTCGCGGGCAAGGTCCCTATCTTGGGGGTTTGCATGGGCTTGTAGGTTAAATTCCATCTTTGTTCGTCTGTGACGACCGCTTACACTCCTTCAGGCAGTGTATCTTCGACGTCTACGGTGGAGAAGTGACCTCTGCCGGAGAGTGGCTCCACGGCAAAACCTCCCCCTTGACGCATGATGCCAAGGGTGTATTTGCCGGACTCAAGCAAGGTATTCCAGTTACCCGCTACCATTCTCTCGCAGGTACCTATCTTACCTTGCCCGAATGTCTCGAGGTCAGCTCCTGGGTGGCCAAGCCTGATGGCTCCCCCGGCGTCATCCAGGGTGTGCGCCACAAGGAGTACTCCATTGAAGGTGTTCAATTCCATCCCGAGAGTATCTTGACCGAAGGTGGCCGTGCCATGATCACCAACTTCCTTCACATGCAGGGCGGCACTTGGGAGGAGAACACTCGCATCCAACAGTCGGCTGCCACCAAGGGTGTGGCCAAAGACTCGGCAGCGCCTAAGAAGAACAACATCTTGCAACAAATATACGACCACCGAAAGGCCGCCGTTGAGGCCCAAAAGAAGATCCCGTCCCAGAGGATGTCTGACCTGCAAGCTGCCTACGATCTGAACGGCGCTCCTCCCCAGATCCCTTTCGTCAGTCGGCTACGACAGTCTCCCTTTGATGTCTCGTTGATGGCAGAGATCAAGCGTGCCTCGCCTTCCAAGGGCGTTTTCAACCTAGACATCAGCGCCCCCACCCAAGCTCATAAATACGCATTGGCTGGAGCCAGTGTCATCTCGGTGCTCACTGAGCCCGAATGGTTCAAGGGTAGCATTGAGGATCTCAGAGCTGTCCGTCAAGTTTTGTATGGCATGCCCAACCGACCCGCCATTCTCCGAAAGGAGTTCATATTTGATGAGTACCAGATCCTTGAGGCTAGGTTGGCGGGTGCAGATACCGTCCTCCTCATTGTGAAGATGCTGGAGACCGAGCTGCTCGAGCGACTCTACAAATACTCCCTCTCCTTGGGAATGGAACCGTTGGTTGAGGTCCAGACCGCTGATGAGATGACCATTGCGGTCAAGTTGGGCTCCAAGGTCATTGGCGTCAACAACCGAAATCTCGAGAGCTTTGAGGTCGACCTCAACACCACAAGCCGACTACGCAGTATGGTGCCTGACACCACTATCATCTGTGCTCTCAGCGGCATCAACAGTCATGAGGATGTTGTAACGTGTAAGAACGATGGCATCAACGCCGTTCTAGTTGGCGAGGCCATCATGAGGGCCCCCGACGCCAGTGTTTTCATCTCCCAACTCTGTTCCGGATCTGACCCACAAGCCGAGAATAAGCCTGCTACTCCTGTGTTTGCCAAGATCTGCGGCACTCGAAGCGCTGAGGCTGCGACGAAGGCTGTTGAATCGGGTGCAAACTTTGTGGGCATCTGCCTCGTCCCTGGCGCGAAACGTTGTATATCTCACGAAACGGCCCTTTCCATTTCAGAAGCGGTACACTCAAAAAATGGCACTCCCGAGTCCAAGACCGAGACACCAACGTCAGACTTGAAGGCTACCGACTTCTTTGCGGAAGCCGCTACGAGGCTTGGCAGCAAGCGAACCCAGCTCGTGGGCATCTTCCAAAACCAGCCTCTCAGCGACGTTTTGGAAAAACAAAAGCAGTATAACTTAGACCTGGTGCAGCTTCACGGCGATGAGCCCATTGAGTGGGCAACCCTCATCCCTGTGCCCGTGATCCGATGCTTCAAGCCCGGCCAGGTTGGCGTTGGCCGCCGTGGCTACCACACGATTCCCCTCCTTGACTCGGGCTCCGGTTCTGGAAAACTCCTTGATGTTTCCAACGTCAAGGCAGTCCTCGAGAGCGATCCCGAGCTCAGAGTCTTCGTGGCTGGAGGCTTAAACCCGGATAACGTCGCCGAGGCTGTCAAGGCTCTGGGTCCGTTGAGCGAGCGGGTGGTTGGAGTTGATGTGAGCAGTGGTGTCGAGGAGGATGGAAAGCAGAGCCTTGCCAAGATTGAAGCGTTTATTAAGGCGGCAAAATCAATTCGATAGGTATCGATGTAAAAGTTATCTTTGTTGATCACAAGGAAGTGCCAGCCCAAACTCATGCTGTGAATCCATGGAGAATGAGTCCATCACGCTATTCCTTAGAGTCTGCCAAATTATTCTCAGTTTCCCGTCCCATGCACCCCTCTCGGTTTTTGTCGTCTTTTTTGTCATCTTTTTTGTCTGCGAGGTGGGCTGCCTCTTGTCGTGCTGCTTCTCTGTGTAGCATGGGATGCCACTCCACCTCGACTCCTAGTCTTCTCTCCCTCTGCTCCATCGCATTTTCCCTTAGGATTCCTTCCCGTGCCTATTTAATTCACTACTCTAAGCCTTATGGTTTCATAACTGCTAGCGCTTTTTTATTCTATATCTACATTTTATCTCCCCTCCAACTCTTATTCTTCTGTCGTCTTCTCTCCAAACTCCAACCTTCCTCGGCAGTAGGGCTTTCATCCCAATGCCTCGCCAAATCTTCAAGAATCGCATCCTCGCTGCGGCCGGTCCTCTTCCAGGCCAATTAACTGTCGACAATCTCAAACATTGGACTCGGATTCGCAAGGGGGAGTTCACCGAGGCTTTTGATGAGGACGCCACGCATCTCTTGTGCACCCGAGAGCAGTTCAACAAGAGAGTCCCCCGAGGTACTATATTGCCAATACATTTGTCGCATTTACTTCGTTTCCAGGGTATGGAGCTGACAGCCGCACAGTCAAAGACGCTCTCAAGCGTGGCAAACGCTTCCACATCGTCCACTATGACTGGTTCGAGTTCTCGACGGTCCATGACAAGAGGCAGCCAGAAACGGAGTATTCGATGCGAAACATCCTCGCGAAGCAGAATGCATCCAAAAGAGAGCAAGCGAGGATTGAGAAAGGGAAGAGAAACGGCGAGAAGTTCGTCAATACCAGTGCGCGGCTCCTTATCCAACTATCTTGTACCATGTGTGATCCTAACTGACCCAGACTTCTTTCACATTTACATTGATCGAGACTTCTTTCCTTACCAAATTGAACTGACCCGCGATGATGAAGTTGCTGGAGAATTCGGGCAAAAATACACCCTTTGTGTAAGTTGACCTACCGTCCCATTCTGATCTTCCGCCAACAAAAAGACAAAGCTGTGGGAGTCTGACGCGAAACCGCGGCTCTACTGGTTCACAGCCAAGTTTCTGAAGAAAAGGGGCAATAGCCAACCCAGCTACCACCGACCCAGTCCATGTTCTGGAAAGTGGCGCGCCGAGATGGACTTATTCATGGAGTTTTTTCGGATTAAGACGGGGGTTGACTGGGAGGATCGTGTTATCAAGATGGAAACGATGCCGACCTCGTTCTTCCAGTATGCTCCGCCAGTAAGTCTTGCCCTCGGTTTACATACCAGTTTTTGTTACTGATTTTCTGGGCAGGCAGGCGGCAAACCAGTTGGGCGACGTCTTCGCTTTGACTACGACTACTGCCGCGAGGTCAATGCAGAACTTCGAGGGCTTCCGTGGCCACCTCTAGAGACAGCACCCATTGAAGAGAAGCCTCTCGATGCTGGTCCCTTGACACCCAATACCGACAACGAAAATGACCTTCCAGGGGGCGGAGGAGTGGACAATCTTCAGCAAGCTTCAGAGGTTCATGATGAAACTCAGAGCGCAAGCCCTGTTCTTGGCGAGGACTCGGAATTAATGTCGCAAGACACCTCTGTGACTAATTCTGAAGGCAGTGTCATCGACATTCTTTCTCCCACCATGTCCCAGGCGTTCTCACCCAACGAGTCCACTTGCACGCCACCAGGGGACGCTGAATGCGACGATCAGGATATCCCAGCTCTGGAGGGTTCCGGGCCTTCGATATCCCCTGCGATACAGTTCCAGATGGAGGAATCACTTTCCAACGCGGAGCTCATGGAGGTGATAGAGGCGATGGACTAAGGATTGGAGGTGGCCACTGTTGAGGTGGGTGAAATTCAGGTATCCGGCTTATTGCTAGAAGCACATCTGATCTTCAGGGTCGCGACCGCAGGCCACACGCTCCGTTCGCCTCTCAGGATCCAATAATTCAGAGTTTCACGAGTAGGTGAATCATAACACATGCCAATTTCCCAGCTGCCACCTCAGGAACTAGTCCCATTAAGACAACTGGTCCTTACTCTTCATCTGACGGCGGAAGGAAAGCATCGTCACACAACGCAGCAGCAGTTTTCGAGCAGTCGCGGGACCAGGTAGAAGATGACTTCGTTGTTCAATTTCTAATCCCATATCAAAAAAATCACATCGCTAATCCGTACATCCCGTATACATCATTCAATAAGCCGTCCCTCCGTCATAGCACAGTCATGATCCCGTTCGTGCGTTTCTCAGAACCTCAACTTGGGCATCACAAACACCAGCAAAATTAATGCAACCATGAGTCCATACACCCATGCAAATAAGATCATCCTTCCCCACCACCCCTGCCCCTCTGTCAACTTCCTCAGCGTACCCATCCGCCCTTGGGCTGCCTCCATGCCCAGCTCCGTCTTCTCCATGCCGTCGCCCGCGCGGCTGAGCACCTCCTTGTCAGACTCGAGCGTGTTCGAGAAGCGCTGCGAGCTCTCCTTGAGGGCACCTGCCATCTTGAGGATGGAGTTAGACAGCTCGTCCTGCTCGGCGCGCTGGCGGTCTAGGATGGCCTCCGCCGTCGCGGTTGAGGTCTGTGGGGAAGAGGGTTTGCTGCGGTTGGAGAAGAGGGCGGCACGCGCTGTGGAGTGTGCAGATGTTGCGGAAGATGATGCTCCACCACGGGTACGGAGTGTCTGTGTTGTTTGGGTGGGATCTTGTTGAGTGAGAGGTTCGGGGACCGTGTCTGGTGATCGTGCCGGTTCAGGGCCTGGCATTGATGATGCTATTGGTGCTGCTGTTTCTAGCTCGGGGGCTGTCGCGGGTGGCATCTCTGGTGGCTCTGGTTCTACGGGGTCGTCTTGACTAGAACCTTCTGACCCCATATCTGTGGATATCGAGTCGACAATACTCTCGCTGGGTGTTGGTATTATTTCCGAAAGGATGTCTTCCCCGTCAGAACTGCCGTCATCGTCGTCATCGTCGTGAATAGCCATCTATTGTTTGGTCAGCATGTGCTTTCCTTCGGCATCAAACAGTATGTACCTCTCGCAAATCTTCCAGCCGATCTAGCAGCAGGTCAAGTAGCTCCCTCTTCCGGTTCAGGTCCCCTTGCACCTCTGACCTCCGGCCTGGGGCCTTAATCCCCAAGGCATCGTGTTCCAGCTTCGTGAGGGATGTCCGCGCATACTCGAGGTTCTGTGTGAAAAGCTTCAGTATCGTCGGCTCATGCGCGTGGTGTTGCGTCGTCGCAGTGGGTGCTCACAGCTGCTACTCGAGCCCTCTCAAACTCGCTGGTCCTAAGCCTTCGTTCGCGATCTGGATCGGCGTGGAGGATGGTCTGCTGCAAGCGCAGGAGCAGATGGCCCAGCTCAGACGAGGCCGAATCTATGGCGCTTCGGTTGAGGGGGGCGCCTGGGGCTTGCGATAATCGCGCCATGGTGTGTTGGTGAACAATTCGTTGTAGACACCTTGAGGTGGTGGTCTTAGTGACGTGTGCGGTTCAAAGAAGCTCTAGGGAGCGCGGGCAAAATTGTGGCTGAAGCTCATGGTGCGCCACGTCGCATACCCTAGACTCCTTTATGCATGAATCTCAACAGGCTAGGTATCAATAGAGAGACATTGGGAAACTTGGGGATTTGGTACCTAATCATTGGGATAATTGAGTAAAGGAAATTATATCAAATAACCGGGACTCATATTCTTGGACTTCGTGAAATGACCAATTCAGGTTCATGTAACCCTCTTGTACCAGTCCCAGGAACGAGGTAGAACCGAGCAAGACAAGACGGTCGAATACAAAAACAACAAACATTAAACGACCAAAAACACAACATACTCAGCCAGACACAAGGAAGTAAATGCATAGATTTAAACGAAGCACTTATTGTGCTAAACCGTGAGCTTAGTCCCTATACAATGCCTATCCTACAATACTACCCATAGTCATACTCAACGACAAGTTTGAAACTGGCCCCTGTTCCAATCGCGGCCACCGCAACTGTAGGGAACTCAAATTTAATACTCCTGGAACTTCTAGTATTGCCCATGTGCAATACTGGTCGTGGTAGTTGGTGGAGGCTGCCTCTCTTGAACGTCGATCCTCGGATCGTGCTAGATGTGACAGGAACAACGACGAGAATTTTGAACCCTTGAATCCTTATGTGTACTCCTTAACTCCATTTCCCCACCCAAGAAATAAAAAAAAAAAAAAAAAATGAAGTCGAGTGTTCTCCCGCGGGGATAAAGACAAGGTGGCACTGGAAACCGGACGTACTGTTCCGCTTGACCTGCAGAGATCATGCGCAACCGGAGAGAAATAACCGAAACAGCATGCGCCTAAATTGCAATGAAAGCGGTTCCGCCTCAGCCTCAAGTAGTGTCTCGGACACTTTGGCCCGCACCAGCGGCAGGCTGTGTCGCCCCTTGTCCCTTGTTGCATCCCCGGAACCGACCCAAGAGGCTCTCGTCTGTCTGGATCGTCGACGAGGCGGTGTGCTTAGTCCTTCTTCTCCCCCCCTCCTTCTTCCTTTTCCAAGGCACTGCGTAACCTCTCCTCTTGTCGCTTCCAGTGGCTGCCTTCTTCGTAGCCGGAGCTGATCTTCAAGGCTCTCCGTAGACGCTCGCTCTCCTTGATCTTGGCATCGGCCATCTCGTGGACCTGGTGCTCCTTGAAGGCCTTCCGAGGGCCTGAGCCCTTCCTCCCGGAGTTCATCTCGGCAAGTAGCTTTTGTCGGAGTTCGTTGCATTGTCGTTCGATCTCATCTTCATCGACCCTGGTTTCAATTAGCATGTCGCGTAGGGTCTTTCAGGATCGGTCGACGTACTCGTCCTCCTCAAGCTTGTCTCTCAAGTCAAAGACCTTGACCTCAACCTCTCGTTTGCGATCGTGTTCAAGAATGCCCTTGTCTGGTTGTCGCTGTTTGTGTCGCAAACTGTCCAGGTCCTTGGGGTAGGGCGCGCCGAAGTCGCGGGGCCTCATATGGGCGAGGTTGCGCTGGACATAGCCAGAGGTGCCGCTACCGCGGGGAGTGGTGAGGCCGACGTTGTCAGACATTATGATAGAGGGGTCGAGCCGTGTAGTTGGATTTGTGGGTGTTGTGCAGACGGCTTCTTCCCAGCTCGAAGGAATCGGCGAAGGAAAGCTGCGTCGGTGGAGGATAGAGGATGGGCTGAATAGTGGGGCCAGTGACGCAGGACCCTGGCGGGCGGTGAGGCGCAGATAGAGTGATAGTGGCGGCAGAATTGATAATGGATGGTGGGGTAATTCTTCGCCGCTGATGAAGAACCGAATAATTTCTACAGCATGTTTATTAAGTGTGACTCAAGGCATCTCGTTCCTACTGCTTGAGTCCTTCTTCAATCTTAACATCTCCCAAGCAGCTCTTAAATTCCAAGGACACCTTTGCCATCCTTGTTCAAATTATTCTGTTGGCATTTTCATCCTACAAAACACAGCGATGCCTCACTTTCCAGATGCCCCCGCGGGCGACGAGGGCGAGGTCGTCTTCCCACCGGTCACCAAGGATCACATTCAGAACTGCTCATACGATTCCTGGTTTCCCAAGTACCGAAGCTCTTGCCTAAAGTCGCGGATTATTCCTTTGCCTCGGTCCTTCGTCGACTACCTTCACGAGGACGGTATCGTCTTGGCCGACGACGACGACAGGAGAGATGAGCCAGAAGAAGAATGGCATTCAGCAGGGAACACGACGTTTAAGGCGCCCGCCAGGGACCCGGAATCTTCAGATGACGACGACGATGAGCCCGAACCACTACCACCAAACCTGAGATTCCCCGAGACCCACCAGATGATTAAGGACAAGATTGCGGAACTCGGTGGTGCCGTGGCACCCAAGTTGAACTGGTCGTCACCAAAGGATGCCAGGTGGATATCGCCTCATCAGAACACGCTCAAGTGCACCTCTCCAAACGACATCTACCTACTCCTCAAGTCATCGTCTTTTGTGTCTCACGACCTCGACCACGCCTTCGACGACTGTACACCACCACCGCTTTCGCGGCCACACACCCCCATCCTCGTTCTGCGACCATTTTTCTCGCCGCACGTTGCCCTGGAATTCCGTTGTTTTGTCAAGCATCGGACACTCATCGGCATTACGCAGCGGGACCTCAACCATTACGCCTTCCTGGAGGGAATCCGACCACAGCTCTGGAAGAAGATCAAGACCTTCTTCAAGGAAAAGTTGAGGTTTACATTTCCTGATGCCAGTTTTGCGTTCGATGTTTACGTGCCCGAAAACTCATTCGAGAAGGATGGGTTGGGCAAAGTGAGACTCATGGATATCAACCCCTGGGCGCCTCGGACGGACGGCCTGCTTTTCAGTTGGCAAGAGTTGCTGGAGATGGAGGTCCCCAGACCTCTGTATGGATCTGCGAGCACCGAAGCCGGAGAAGAGGTTAGCGGCGATGAGACGGTCACAGAGGGAGAGGACGAGGACGATATTGAGTATCGACCGGAGCTGGGACCCGAGTTTCGAATCATCGAAAAGGACGACCCCGCAGCGTACAACTTTAGCAGCCCACTGTACTCAGCGCATAAGCTACCCAAGGAGGTGGTTGATGCAAGTATGGCGGGCTCGGGAGGGTTACGAGAGTTTGCGATGCAATGGAAGGAGATTACTGAAGGGCGAGGGGATGGGATATGGGAAAATGCAGGAAATGCGACGAGGTAGACCAAGGACAGTGGAGAGGCGGAAAGTGGGGGTGAATGGTACGAGGACGATTATCAAAGACGACGATGAAGATGAAGATGAAGATGAAAACGAAGAGAGATAGAAAAAAGGAAACCAATGCCAGCAAATAATTACATGCAGACCTGCCAAGTTGCTGAACCTACCTATGAAGGCTACTAAGTGAAAGTGAGAGATCCATCGGCCAGTACCTACCTAAAAAGCGACGCAGCGTGGCACGGTGCGAAGTACGACATGTTTGCGCCAAAAGTGCACTGTACTGCGGCCCCGCCGGAAACCTAGTCCCTGCAGGGAGGGCCGCGCTTGTTTCCTCCCTCTTTAGAATTAGCCTTGACATTTGTACTTCGTACCTCGTCACTTCGTTGCAGCTGCTCCCAGTTGTCCCCAGTTGTCAAGCATCCAGTCCCAATCTAACGCCACCCCACCGTCCGGCCCGACGCATCCTTTGGGAGGGCCTGCAGCATCGTCTATTGCGACCCGCGATTCGAAGCCCGCCTGCGACGGCGACGACGACGACACCACGCCTGCAATGCCGGTCCGGGCGCGGTCCAAGGTGGTCAAGCTCGCCGTCGCCAGCAATGCCAGTAGCGCCAGCAACGCCGGCCGGAGGAGTGTTAGCCGCAACTCCTCCTTCTCCAGCGTCGCCCAGGAGCAGCTCGAGCAACTCGCCCAGGACGCCGCGTCCAACGTCGCCGTCGATGCACAGGATCTCAAAGTCTCAATCGCCCGCGATGAAGAAGACGACAATTCCGCCATGGGCGTTGGTCTCAACTCCGAAGCCATGCTGTCCAACAACAGCGGCATGTTGCACAATGCCCTCGATGCCACCCCAGAGGCCACCCCCTTCCCCACGCCCATAAACCAGACGGCCAACCCGCCCACCCGCACCGCCGGAGACGTGGCACTGGGCATATACGGAGACTCAATCAAGATCGATAGCGCCCTATGCAAAAAGCTGGCGTGCGAAGAGGCCTTGCGCGATCCCGGCCAGCGGCGGACGGGACAAAAGCTCAACATGGAACGACGTAGCAATGTCGAGGCAATGCTCGCCCACGTCACGGGCGAACAAGTTGCGCGGCCATGCAAGAACTGCCACAAGGGCCATGGGCCATGGAACCAATGCGTCGTCTACGACGGTCAAATGTGCGGTAGTTGCACGAACTGCTGGTTCAATGCTAGCGGGGCGAGATGTACGTTTCATGGTCAGTCAACTTTGTCAACTTGCTTGCCCTCACTTTCAACACTTTCAACCCTTTCATCCCCGTCGCGTCGCAGCGCAACCCGCGTCACGGCGTATCCCGTCCCGTCGCGTCCTCGCGTTTATGATTCACTGCCCAACCTGAAGCCGCCTCTGACATACTTCACAGAAAACAACCACCCTCAGGCACAGACCATCTTTGGCTCTGCCGTGTCCGTGGCACACCAGCCCACCTTGCTCTATCAGCAAACGCCGGTTCCGCTCCCGCCAATGCCCCAGGCCGCCCCGGGCATCTCCCAAACAGTGCCCACCATGCCTCAGCTTTCCCCCGCTACTGTGACTATGGCCGCTTTCCCGGACATGGCCCATTGGGGCTTGACTGATCCGACTAGGCGTCTGGTCACCCAGGCCATGGGCGATGTTGTTGGCTTCTCTCGGAGGGAAAGACACCTCGCAAGAATCGAAGCCGCTGCTAAGGAGCTCGGTATGCGAGTTGCAGAGTATGATGAGTACCTTCGGACGCCAGAGGGCATGGCTGAGCATCAGCGTGCTCAGGAGCAAGCCCAAGCCCACCTCTCCGATGCTGGGCTCGATGACACGCACTCGCACGCGAGCCCGCTGCCCTGACGGATGCAGCATTCTTATGTTCTGCCATGCTGAGCCTTTGCATCATAGTTGTGCAGGCAACAACGCTGGAAACATATCTACCTGTATTTTCTGTATTATTATAACGCCAATGGTGGACGAGTGTCCAGCGAACTTCAACACATGACATAAAGTATGATTTATGAACAGGTTGCTTGCCGGAGGTACGGAACCTTGCTTGCCTTCCCTTTACACGGATACTAACTATATCGCAGCAAGCGGGCTCGAATTAACGACATGCCTTGAGCTCCCAAGGGCCACCATCCCGGATTCGAAGATGCTTCGCACTGGTGATGCCAATGACATTCCTACTACGATATGAGATGTATGATCAACTCTGGACAGGGATGATCAGGCGTTTGTGGCCTAACGTTCATGCAAGATATGCCGTCAACCGAGGCAGAGAGTTTATGTGCCCTCTCTCCTCCCATGGTTTGCAATCCCCGATCAGCATGTGAGATGTGGGTTGGCGTTGATCGGCTTACACACAAACGGTATGAGATGGATGATGGCCTTTGTTCACTTTGGCAATGTGCACCATCACCAAGATGCCGCATTATGCCCGTGGAAGATCGTCGATGTATTCAAAGCCTTGTAGTCATTTTCGACACTGAACGATCTTCTTGTAGAAGATACCGGCTCCTTTAGCCCCGGGAGCTTGCAATTGGATCCTGACTGTCGCCTCGGAGACTGGAATTAGCCTCATCGTAGGGGCTGATCAGGCGAACCATATGCAAATGAATGTAATTGTATCTACAATGTATAATAATACGGATGGCAACCCAATGACGGCTGCTCCCGAGGAAACATGTCTTGTAGGCAGTGAGTGGACTTTCCACAGCCCTGCAGACTATCGACGGAAGACTTCCTGGCAACCGCCAAATATAGATCATAACCGAGATCAAACAAACCAGTCACTTGCGCCATTCTCGTTGCCGCTCCTCAACATACCCTCGTCCATCCCGTGCAAGCTACACATCGCCGTGAACTACCTAACCTGCAGCCTAGCGCGCTGCGAGAGATACGTCGGATGTGGCGTCTGACTTGCACCTCATTCACCGCGCCATTGCATAGCAAGTAAGCAGCTGCACCAACAAGCCTGTCCCAATCCACACCCGCATCCCAACAACCTCCAACATCCCATGGCCTAATATCTATACACTCTGCTTCTAAAAAGGGGCCGAGAACCGCAATTATTGAGTTAACAGTAGGCCGGTCTGCTTTCCTTGTGTCTTGCTTGATAAAAGACCTCAACTATGCACTAGAAGAAAATACGGGGCCGACGAGGCGAGGAAGAACAACAAAGCAACAAAACACCAGGAGCCCCGTCGCCCGCCACACACATGCATGACCTCTCGTATAATCGCACGCCCCTCGTTGTTTCGCAGAAAAAGCAAACAGAGACAAGGAAAAAAGCAAGGAAAAGGAACAAGAAAACGGGAGAGAACATCAGCTGAATTGATATTTCGGCAAAAGTGAACAAATAAAATAATAATAAAAAAGGCAACACCGAGTGCACGCAAATGTAGCAAAATGGTAGGAAAAGAGTTTCGTAATTAAACAAAAAATAAATGGCCACCATTCTCCATCGCCCATACTGTCAGATGCAATAGTGCCTCGTCGTCATCTTCTTCTCTCTGGTTCGGCTTCCGTCTCTCCTCCAAATCGGTCCGGCCACTGGCCATCGCGGCCCATCCTCATCTGGCTCGGCCGCGTCCTAATCTTTCCCCCAAATGACGTTTTGTGATACAGAGCAACTCCCATCAGGCCGCGAAATCCTTACAAAGAAAGGGAACCAAGGTCAACCCGGGGCTCAGCCAAAAGCACTAAAATGGGGATGGCGAATGAGGCGATATAACAGGCACGTGAGAGGGGATATCGTGCGGGTGTGCGCCCCAAGGCCTCCGGCCCGTTGGTATGACGAGTACAATGAAAAAATCGTGAGCCATGTCCCCGTGGCCCATCTAAGCGGTGTCGTTATTAAGTTCGAGGGTATTCGTGTGTTTTGGTGAGAGTAAAAATCATTTAGATCAGACCGCAGAGACGAAGGTTCTCCTGGATGATGATGTCTATCAAAGAATTAGTAAAAAGCGGTGGCGTGATGATTCATGTAGACGTACCGTTGACTGCTGCCATGACAAAGCGGATCTGGGTGGTATCGGTTGCGCAAGTGAAATGAGTGTAGATCTGCTTGGTCTCGTGCTGGTTCAAGCTCACGAATCGGTTCAGGATGTAGTCGCAGGCAGCGGCATAGTCGTCGCCACCCTCGTAGTCGGGGAAGTAGTTCTTCATGGGGCTGACGGGCAGCTTCTCCTTAAATCGATCGATCTTGTTGAGGAAGAGAATGATGGAGGTCTTGATAAACCACCTCGAGTTGCAGATGGAGTCGAAGAGGGTAAGAGCCTCCTGCATTCGGTTGACGGTCTCATCCTCGAAGAGGAGCTGATCGTACTCGGAGATGGCAACGAGGAAGAGAATGGTGGTGACATTCTCGAAGCAGTGAATCCACTTCTTTCGCTCGGATCTTTGGCCACCGACGTCGAACATGCGGTAGGTTAGGTCGCCGATGATGAATGTGGTCTCGGTGATACCGGTGGTCTTGACACGCGATCGGAGGACATCCTGATCGTTGGGCATGTAATCGGGAGCGGCGATTCGGGCAATGTTGTCGAAGTAGCTGGGGGAGTGTTAGCATTGGATGGAGACATTATTCCAGGGAAAAGCACGCACTATCTGGCCGAATCGTTGAGCTGGTACTCGCGGGATCGCTTGAAGCATTCCTGAACACCGCGGTCCTTCCACAGCGCCTCGATGGCGCTGCCAACCTCTGGGGGGAGAACGTCGCCCTCAATCTGAGCGGGTTGCATGAAGATGGTCTGAACGTGGTACTCCATGCGCTGGTCCTCGAGGGGAAGCTCGAGCGACTCCATGGCCTCGAGGATAACGCGCATCGATTGGACGGTGTTGCTGAAGATGATTTCCTTGAAGGATTCTCGCTCATCGCGCGAGTAGCCACCCTCGTGGATGAGCTTCATCTGCTTGAGGATGGTGGACTTTCCAGATTCACCGGCACCTAAAAAAGATATCGTTAGAGACCATCGAAGGCAAAAAGGTTGCCATTGCTGCGACGCGCGGGCGGTGGACAGACGGCGCGCGAGGACAGGAACATACCAAGGAGCAGCATCTTGATCTCATTTCGCTGCATCATCTTGTCCCGCTTGAGCTGGTTCTCGATCTCCTCGTTCCGGGCCTTGCCCTCCTTCTCCTCCGTGCTCATACCGCAACCCATTGTGACGGTTGTGTGGCTGTCGCCTCGACGTTACTCCGATGTATCTTGATGAAACTGGGATGAATCGGGGGCGACACGTCGGGTGGAGGGACGTTGGTATCGCAGATAGGTCTATAGGCCGACGAGCGAGTGTCAGTACCCAGTAATAAGTGAGAGTGGCTGCCGTGGATGAAGGCAAGAGAGATCGATGGGTGAAGGGACGAATGTAAAGAGGATGAGGTGAGGCGAGACAAGGCGAAGACAAGGTGATGTGGTGTGAAGAGAAAAGGAGATGGAGGATGGAGAAGCAGCTTTTGGTGTAGCGCCGCGGCTGGGGGGGAGGAGGCTGCAATTTGCAGCACGACACACGAGTCGTGCCAACAAAGGCCCAGCCCAGGGCGGAATCTCTCGCGCCTCCCCTGGACCAGGGGGGGAGTGAGTGGTCCTGGCGACGGCCGGGGGGAGGGGTGTATTGGGATGGGCCGAGCGAGCGAACAGAGGTAAACAGGACGAGTGAGGGGGCGAGCGAGCGAGCAACTTGGACGAAGAGAACGGCGAGCAAGGAGAAGCGACGTTGAGGGCCGGGGAGGGCTCAACAGGCAAGCGACAATGAAGGGAAACTGAGTTCACTGACCTCTTGGGGGGAGAAGAATCGAGGGTCGCGGCGAGGGTAGACGCCAATTGACGAAGCCGATTGCGATGCAGATGGCGATGTTTGAGGGGGGCGCGGACAGACGAGTGGGTGCGCGGCTGACTGGCTACGAGCCAAAGAGTATCCCGAAAGTGAATGGGGAGAGTTCAAGGCCGAGGCGAGAATTGCAAAGGGTTGAGGGAGAGAAAGAGATTGAGAGACAGGAGAGCTGGATGGCTGAATGGATGGCCGGGGAATTAGGGATTCCGCAACAGGATGATTGGGAGGAGGAGGGGGGTGGGCAAGTGTGCGAGTGGGCGAAATTAGGGGGAAGGGCCTGGGCGTGGGAGGAGCGCGAATGGCAGCCAAAGCTCTTCCGGTACTGTACTGCACGGGGGACTGGGGGCAAAGCTCACCCAGGATAGCGAGGTGAAAACAATAATTAGCGGCCGACAGTGCTGGGCTACCCGCTGATTTTCGCTCAGGCCGGGGCAACTGTAGCCACCGGCACAAGGTACTGACGGCCCAGGCACTAGATCGGCTGTCCTGGCAGCTACTTTTACAGCTAGCGACGGCCAGGTACCTCGAGTTGTGCTAAAGTGGATGCAGACGACGACAACAGCTCCAGGGCAACGAGCAATGTTGTCCGGGGGCCTGAGCAAGCCTGGCCTGTGGCGGATCCTCAGGGGACCTTCAGTGGACTACGGTGCATGCGAGTGACTACGAGGGGTCGTCGACCAGTGAGAGGGCCCGCTAGGCCAACCTTGGATGCTCCCAGACCTTCTAAGCCCCTGTAGCCTCAGGTACCGTTCGGTTGCCAACCCACTCGTCCGGGGTTTAGAAGTACATGGTCCCATCAACCCGGCCATGTACACAGTGCGCTCCGTCCGAGCGCAGCCCTGAGCTCTCGGCGCCTTGCCTGCGGACTCTGAGATGATGCTACCTCGCGGTCGATCCAGCAGCTCCCGTCCGCCGCTCCGCGCCGTGCTGCAACCCTGATGCACTGTTTCTTACACGGTGCATGCAAGCCCCCGGTGGCTGTGACTGTGACTGTGACTGCCCAGTTCCGAGGCAGCTGGCGGCCGGGGACACGGAGTAATATGGGCGTGCAAGAGCAGGAGGGGGATCGCCTTCGCAGCGACTCGGGCCAGCCAGCAACCTCTCTGACGAAGACGCGGCCAGTGAGAAACCACGACAGACTGCCCCCGTCGCGGCCAAGTCCGGGATGCCATTGAATGTTCCTCTCGGGGGCACTTAAAGGAGGCCCACGGTGGAGAAATGGTGCCATCTGCTTGGCCGATGCGTGTCCCTGGCAGAGCATTGACGAGGAGGCCCCCAGCTAATGCCGTGGTGCATTTCAGGACGCCCGCTAGGAGACTTGACTGCGGAGTACGGTACGTGTGTGCTTGTACAGCACTGTACCATGTACTCCGGGACTCTCTCCAAGGACGTGGACCGTGACCATGGCCGGTTGCAGAGTAACTTTTGTGGTGGGTGGAGCATCTCATCCAACTTATCCATCGATTTCATGTCCCCGTCGGGGATAGCGCCATCCCCTACTGGCAGCTAGGCCGGGATGGTGAACAAAGATGACCAGGGCCCAGGGCCAAAGCAGCAGATGATCATGGCCGTTCAACGAGGGTACGAGGGTCTGAAGGGGATTGCATCGGCAGTCTGGATGGCGAGAGACAGGCCCAGGGTTGCTGCGTTGATTCCGTCGCCTGTTGACCGTTGCCGGTTGCGTTGTCTGACACCCGCTGGACGAGCAATGGTTGCCAGTGTGAGATATCCTGAAAAGCTTCTGTCCGGTACCAGAGTAGGGTATGTGCCTTAGGTACGGCCAGTGGCGCCTGGTCTCCCAAAGTATCAGAGTACTGGTAGCAAGTGACGCGGGCGCAACTGTGCTGGACTCGACTGTCCCTTGCGGATGCTGATCCGCTCAACTCAATAGGGGGCCAGACAGTGGAGGGCCCGCCGTGTGAATTGTGGAGGTGTTCCAACTCGATGCACGACGGCTGAGGCTTGGTTTGGACAAACTAACCAACCACCAGCCACCAACCGCTAGCAGCTCTTGGCCCCGAAACAGCGCCCATCCAGATACGGATCCTCCTCTACTGGCTCGGGATTGCTGTCCGCGGTCGCTTCTGTACCTGGTAGCTACTGGTGTTGGTGCCGGTCTGTCTGTCTGTCTGTCTGTCGGCTTCGCAAACGAGACCTGTTCCGCCGTGACGTGCCATCGCGGCCGCGGGTCCCACTCTACAACAAGAGTCAGTCGGAGATTCAAAGACAGGGCCCAATGAGGTCCCTCCTGCGTAGTAATCTCCAGTCCCCCAATCCAAGTCCCTCTTTCCCGGAGCCCTATAGTCGGCATCCCTTGCCTTTAAGCGGTGTCGACCGTGGCTCGCCGCCCTGGGTAACGGTGGAAGCCCACCACAGAAACCATATGGACCTCATTTGCGCAACCATGGCCTGTGCAGTTTGGCAAGGTAGTATGCACTAGGTAAGAGGCAAATCTATTAGTGTATCGAATTTCAATGGTGCTCGGCTGCTCGGACGCTTACTGGGAACACCACATTCTCCCCGCGCATTTTCGTGTTACAGAACCTCTCGCGCCTTCCTCGCATCATCGCCTTCCCACGATTCAGATGCCCAAAGTGGAAGTTGCCACCCACCGAGCTCGACGGGTAGCAGCTGGCTTCCGGGTTCAGTCCGCTTCGTCATGCGTTTGTTTCGTTACACGCCGAACTGAACGAACTCCGGTCTGGAAACAATCCCCTCAAGCTCAACCAACACTAACACCAACACCAAAACCACGCCAGCGACATGGGTCTCCCCGTCTGGAGTCCCGTTTGCGCAAACAAAGCAAATTGTTCCCTCCTCCCTTTGTCTCTCCTCTTGTCTCTCTCCCAGCCCCGATGGCTTCCCGTGCATCATCGCCTTGCCGCCATCGCGCCGTCTTTGATGATGAGAAAATACCTTGCAACACCAAGCCCACAAAAAGTCAACCATGTTACGGGTGGGCTCATCGGCTGCGCGCTCTCCATCTTCCCCCCACAAGGCTCATCCCATCGAAGCACCGGTCCTTCTGTACCTGGTCCCCTGACCAGGATTCTCCCAGGAGATGGCCCCCACAGAGCTGCCAAGGGCACGAAAAGGCCCCTAAGGAGGATCGCCTCGCTGGTCCGTGTGGCTCGTCACCAGCAACAGCCTGCAGCAGAGAAGGAATCTAGAATGCGCGTCTGTTTCGATGCGACAGCCATGCAGGGCTGGTGTCGCATCATGACCCTCATGGGCTGCATTTTTCCGAACCAACCCGTTTGATCAGCCAACGAATTCCTCCATTTGTATGGGATTATGGTTGTGAGCCACCCCTCAAAACTCCGGGCGCGTGTGCGGATTCAGTATCCGTACTTTCGACTGACACCTTTTGAGATTTGTCTCGCTCACTCCGCGGTTGTCGATCATTTGCTCTGCCAAACCGCCAACCTCGACCCTCTCAACGCCACAACATCCCGTTGTGCAACCCACAAAGCTCGAACACGAACATAATCCCCTGTACTCCACTCAATAGTCCCCTTTTATCGGCGAGAACCCGATACTCCAAGACCAGGAAAGATAGGTAACTGATGCTCATCAGCAAATGAGCCTACGCGCAAGTGCCGTGTTATCTTCCGTGCCGTGTTTGATCAACGGCCGGGTTCGGTAAGCTCAAGCAAGACACGACCAGCCCAGCCCACTCTGAGAGGATATCGATCTTAACTTGCTGGATTATCAATTGCCTCTTCCGGTCTTTGAAAATGACGACTTGAGCGGATACTGGCTCCACCGCCAAATCGAAGCTGTCTACAATTACCAGCTGCCAGCTATGGAGCGCTGGCAACTTCAGTCTTGACCAAGGCACTAACAGGCGTGTAACTGCTGGAGACCCGTTCGGTCACGCAGCCATATGCCTGAGTCAAACATGGCGTAACAATTGGCCTCCAGTTGTTCCACGCCCCCCTCAGTTTGTGCCAGCGGCCCTTGGCCGCTGGCAGCGTCTTAGCTTAAAAGCTCCGTCTCACTGAAAGATAAATAGTGCGAAAGAAAAGGCCAAAGATGGCTTGAGGCATGTCGAGAAACAATGCGCTATGATGCGATTTGCATTAATGATTATCCCACAAGCTCTGCAAGTTATGATACTGACAAGGATCTTGTTAGGGATTTATGATATCGGATATCTGTGAACCCAAGCAGAGAGTTCACGTACTGTACAATTGTGGCTTCGTCCAACCCGCCAGCGAGCTAACGCCACCATTCCTGCTAGGAAATACTGGCGATTGCCCCAGGCCTGCGAATATCTGAGGCTGGTGGAGGAATTGCTCTATTCTGTTACGTGCTCTACTATGTAGTGACATGTCTCGCCGACATGTAGGGGCGTTGGTGATGGCCTGACTGCGGTGGTCGGACCTCAAGCTCAATGCCCTGGCAATGCTCCATACAAACGAATAGTTGAGAGCCTCGGGCCTGGCCCACTGATACAAGCACGCCACGCCACCCGGGATCCGTCCACTATTTGTCTATCAACTGCTGCGCAATAGATACCGAGCTGGTACGGCCCACTTGGATATCCCCCTTACAGCATGTACTGTGCTTCCTTTTGTGACGTCGATCATCTAAAGAGGAGAAGAACTGGAATCGCTCATCTAACTTCTGGAAGTCTCACGCTCAGGCCCTTCCGGAGCCTCGGGGCTGCGGGTGATCTCCATCTCACATGGCTCCATCTCGCAAGCTCTTTTAACTCCACAGAGGTCCGCCAGGCGCGAACCTGCGGCAATGCATCAAGCCAGCGCCAACAACAGCCCCCCTGCAAGGGACCATTAGCTAGCCTCCGGCGACACGCAGATCTGGTCTAGCGCTCTCGCCGCCCTCGCCACGTCGCTTCAAGTCCCACTATCATTTCGCATATCCACCTACGCGAACAGGGCTACGGGATAGGCGATGAAAGAGAACGAACGTGCAAAACGGTATCTTCTTACAACTTGTACATCTTTGAGAACTATCGCGAAATTCAATCGAGCCCAGTATCGCTGTGACTGTAGGCGGCTTCCCTGACCCTTAAGCTTTGTTGAGGTCTCGACGTGGAGACTTAGAAAACAGTGCATCAGCTAGCCACCACCCGGCGCTGGAAGCCGTTCGAGTTCAGCGTCCTCAACCGAGCAGCCTTGCTGGGCTCGGAGCTTTGGAAAATGTCAGCTTGCGACCGTCTACTTGGATTAGTTGCCTCGAGTGCGAGCGAGACCCTTCGAAGCCTACTCCATGAAAATGAACCCCGTGTCCTAATTTAACAACAATATCTAGAGTTGAGTTCCATCCACTGATCCTACGCATCTATAGCAACATATTATGCAGAATCCATCTACCAGGAGAGAAACTGCCAGGTAGGATCGAACTTTTCTCAACTCTAGGTGCACTCATGCTTCACCACTCCAATAACGCATCGCAAAAGAATGCCTAAACCTCAGGTACGTACTCGACCTCGATGATCTTGTCATTTGAAACCGACACTTCTGTTTACCCCATATTGTATCATTTTACATTTGCGGAAGGCGCATGAGGTATTGGGCGAATGACATCCCGCGTGATAGAAGTTGGTCGCATCTCTGGCAAATCCAAGGACTTAACTGGTTGCTGATTGACCTTGCGTCCCATGATACAGTTCTCGAACACCGGAGTGTAACTTAGGTCTAAGCGGTTTCCCGTTTCGTCGACGGCTGTGCACAGGACATGGCACGGGTATAACCTCTCCAGATGATCAAAAGCGGCACTCCTCGGATCCGTAGTTTCCAGTCTAATCGACAGCTAGCGAGGCGAGGGCGCCGTCAACCACCAAATAGACTGGGGTTTCCTGGGGCCTCAGACCTTCGAGCTGACCCTCATTTCGCGACGAAATAAAGCAATTTCACCTCCGCCGAGCTATAGAGCTTCGGTGCACACTCCGTTTCTTGGTCGATGACAATGTGTGGGGACGTGGGTCTACAGGCAGGGCGGCCACATGGCACGCATCTTCCTCTGCCCCTGCACCACATGGGAAGGGGGCCTCATCCAGAAGCCGAGGAAGGTTGTTGGCCTCCTCCGAATACGCTTCACCCTGTTTGATCCGGGGAGGGCTATTGCCACGATACTACGTAGACCTAGGCAGCCAACGAGGTTGTCAACGGACCGGGCTACAAGTCGAAGTGCAACTGTGCGATCCGTCGCCCCGAGGGTTGACAAGAGGTCAGAGAGGGTCTGGTCCACAAACCTCAAACTCGCCTGGAACGTCATAGATGCTATGGCCATCCTGCCGAAGACCTGGTGCAGCTGTCGCGAGTCTGGTATTCTCGTTCATGCCTTATGCATGGATATATGCTCTTCAAAAGAGGGCAGCGCACCTTTGTCCCGTTCCGGTCCTGGCTCTCATTTCTTGCCACTCGGCTTATGTAGCCTGAACCCCTCCGTTTCGAAAGATGCCAGGACTGGGATGCTAAGGCTCAACCCTCCATTTCTGTCTGACTCTAGCACCATGGGTTGGCCTGCTGCAGGCAAAGGCGCCACGTTTGGGAGAGCGCATTTATCACCCGTCATGGGGTCAAACGGAACTCAAAGATCCGGGGATATCGAGGCCGAAACAGGTCGGGTCTCGTCTATTTTCGCCATGAGAGCTTGTGGCATCTTGAATCTCAGTGTGGAGACCGATCGTACTATTTGTGACAGAGAATTAATGTTGCCTTCCTTGTCACCAAATCGGTGGTGAAACTAGTTCCAACCTGTGGTGTCCGACACTAGAGATATCATGGGATTCGGTGACATGCTCGACCAAAACCTTTTAGGTCGGTTAGAAGGAGACTCGATTCTTTACTCGGGACAATGGCTACAAGGTTCAAACCAATGGTGGTTCGTCATCAACTGGTGGTACTCGGCCGAGAGGATCTCAACCACGAACCCCACGGGTAGTTTAGGATTGATATGGCAATGACTCGACCCGGCTCAGGACTGTACGAAGCTCGGGCTTGCCTGCCGGTGAGACAGCGACGCTAATACACGCGATATTTACCACCCACATCAAGAAGTCGAAATGAAAATTATAACTCAGCATGGGGAGGCTACCAAAGCAACTGTAAGGCGGTGCAGATCAGCAAGCCCCCAGACGAGATAGTTTAATAATCGCAGGCTACCAATGGTTGAAACCACCCGAATGCGTGGTACATCGAGATTAGATCCTGGGGATCATAATTGACTTGGTGCGCCATCGGAGGGGCCGGCGGCGCTCATGAGCCTAGTGACAGCAAAAGCAACGTTGTCGACATGGCCCTTATTATTGGTACTGCTGAACGCGCCGCACAGTGTACGAGTACGTACTGTACAACATCACACTCTACCGAGATATGTATGATTCATGGTCCAAGGCCGACTTGCTTGGCAAGAATTCCAAGGCCGGGCTCGAGTGTGCCGGTAACCTCAATACAGTTACCATAGATTACTTATGGTTCTCACGTCTACCAGCTTTAAGTTCGGAATGGCGCAAAGGTTGACCCGGGAGGGATGTTCCGGCGCCACGGATTTGGGTTGCGGATGGCTTCAGCAGAGTTATAATTGATAAATCGGGAGCCGTGAAAGATGCCGCGGGCTGTGCTTGAAGCCACTAGCCGATTGCGAGGGCAGACAGATATCACCAAGATCTCTGTGGCTTTGAAAGCCGGTACTATTCCGTCTTTTTTCTTCACGTGTCCAGACGACAACCCGGTGATGAGAAGGCAGGGAAAACATTGCCTGGAAAGCCCTGAACAGAAAAAGAAATGAAAGACGGTGCAATTCCGCGTTCCGAGTTGCTTAAACAGCACCCATTATTTACTGCGTGGTACTGGAGACTGCCCGCGAGCACCAAAGTGGACCTACCGACCACAGGGAAATAAATGTTTGATCTCGATCTGGCTGCCGCGGGGCTTCGAGCTTGAGATCGAACAAGAAGAGTGGGGAGATTTGGAGATTTGGGGCTGGTGCCTCGAGCCCCTTGGGCGCCTTTGTGGCGGGCTGCACCGCGGCTCAGGGGAGTTTAGCGGAGAGAAGACGCCACAGCCCACTGAAGACGGTCGGTTGGAGAGAACAGCCAACTGGAACGCTCTGGTAGCGCCACAACCACTCACACCCGACCCCTAACCCTGCGCGAATCCCAATGGATCTCCATCCCGAGCCGTTTGGCAAAACCATCACCAACACGCCAAGACATCCAGCCCAGACCGCCGTCCGCCGCACTTGCGACTCGTGCGTGGCGTCTGTTGACCGGAAACGACGGGAAGCACAACTCAGCTGTTTTCGGAGCACTGCCTGAAGCGAACAATACGCTACCAATTTTTTACGCAATGTCCATTCCTATGAACCGCCTCGGCGGTCGAGGTGCGTCCCCCGGTCCCGACAGGCCGCCTGTTGCGCCGCGAGCCATTGTCCTCGATGGCCTGACCCGAGCCGCTGAATGAAGCCCACTGACGGCATGAGTATGTTGTAGCCCTTAACAGAAGCGACGACGACGATGCTGAGCGCGAGTACGATCGCCTGCGCGACCTCGCCCGCGCCGAGGCCGAGAAGCGCAACCAGTGTTTCCAGCGCGTATGTTGTTCCCCCTCCACCCAGCCCCCCGAAATGAAGCTCGCATGCGATGTCGTCGCAATGCGCAATACCTCGCTGTGCCATGGCGTTCTTAAGACTATGCGCTGACCGTATACCACTCTACTACAGTCCCGACAGGCGTACGACGACGGCGATGGCGCCCGCGCGAAGGAGCTCTCCAACGAGGGCAAGGCGCATGATGCCAAGATGGACGACTACAATCAGCAGGCCTCCGACTTCATCTTCCGCGAGAACAACGCACCCGGCCGCGTAGAGGCCGACTGCATCGATCTGCACGGCCAGTTCGTCGAGGAAGCTGAGCGCATCCTCGAGCAGCGCATCCGCGCCGACCAGGCCGCCGGCCAGACACACCTGCATGCCATCGTCGGCAAGGGCCACCACTCGGCGGGACACGTCCAGAAGATCAAGCCCAAGGTCGAGGAGCTGTGCCGCGAGCTGGGACTCAAGTTTAGCACCGAGGAGAACGCCGGCCGCATCTACATCAACCTCCAGGGCGGCGACGCTGTCCCGCCTCAGAACAGCGGCTACTCCGGCCACCATGGCGGACAGCAGCAGCAGCACCACGGCGGACAGCAACATGGCGGACAACAACATGGCGGACAGCAGCACGGAGGACAGCAGCAGTCGCAGAACGACGAGGTTGCGGAGTTTGTCGGAAAGCAGCTACCCTGGATCTTGCGAAAGCTGGAGAAGCACTGCTGTGTGGTTATGTGAGCGGGTGGCGATGGCTCTATGGCTTATGTCTGGTAGCTTATACGAATGGATGCTCTCGACTGAAGGGAGTCGGCGATATAGAGGGAGACTGGCGGTGGTTAATTTCTTATTGGTCTACGGGAATATGGATTTTGCCAATTGCTCGAAGGATGAGTCCTAGACATAGACAGGGGAACGTCGGGTTTCCAGGATTGATGCATCAAAGATACCTAGTAGAGTATGTCTTGATTCGAGGTCAAAAGATAGAAACGATCAAATCTATCTGGCTATAATACATCAAAACGCCTTGTATATACACAACACCGACGCTCTATCAAACCCCCCAACTTCTCTTCACTGATTAACAGGGCCGTATTGAGTCCTCTGATCCATCAGAGGCACCCATGTCTCCCTCTCCTTCTCCTTGTCGTCCCTTTGCTACATTTATGCATTGTAAGACGGCTGCTCGGTTTCCGGGGCCTTGGTCGTGGGGGGTACCTTTTGCAGGGTGAATCCGACTGTTTCGCAGATGAGAACAACCATCATCTCCATGATAACTCCGCCGGCGAGGTAGAACCAGACCGACTGGGACTTGTTGCCGAGGATCAGAACGCAGGTGTAGATGAGGCGAACAATGACAAAAGGGAGCGAAGCCAGGACGGCAATGAGGATCCGGTGCTCGCCCTCGGCGATGTAGCCCTGGTTGCGGATGACAAGGAGCGTCTCGATGACGAGGAAACCCAGAACAACGATCATAAGAGCCACACCCGCACGGCTCTCAGGCGTGTAGGTGATCTTGGGGGTTCCGTTGACAATGGTGTAGTCGGCTTGGGTACCGCCAACAATGAGCAGGATCATGGCGACGACCATGAGAAGTGAAATCAGGCGCTGGTAGAGTGGCTTGACAATCTCACGGCCCTCGCGATTAATCGACTCGAACAGTCTTCCGAGGAGACCAAGGAGCATCAGGATCAAGGGACCAAAGCCAACGCCGTTAAGGGTCATCCAGCCGATGTAGAGGCTCTCGTTGGTAGGGTCATTGATGGTGGCGAGGAGCATGGCTGAACCGATGAGGCGGGCGAGAGCGAGGATGACGAGGAAGCGCCAACCAGAGCTGCGTTTGAGGCCATGCTTGAAACAAAGGAAAACGCCGCCGATGAGGAAGAAGGCGTAGACGACTATTTCGGCGATGGCGATTCGGTCGTAGGTATCCAGTGACCGGGCCATTGTGGGTGAGTGTAGAGGAGAGAGAGTGTGTAAGTAGGTGGGTGGTGGAGATTGGGTGGAGATGTATGGCAAACGGAGTATGGATCTCAGGGATTTCAGAGATTAAACTGGAAGATGAAGAAGATGTAGGAGGAGAAGAGTGTTGACGGGTGATTTGTCTGTTGCTTGAAGCCTGGTGTCTTTGTGTGTTGGACAGGGCTGATGGAGATGTTGGGTTCTTCGAGTTGAGATACAGGGCGCCCTTTATATCGATTCCCGACGGCACATGGACAACGTAGCTGTTCGGGAACCGGCACGCTGATCGGAGAGGGCGAGTGCAAAGCCTCACAAAGCGTCGCGAATCCACGAGCTTCGCAGCTGCTAGCAACGCAAGAGGATCTCCACGACCTGCAAGATTGCAGCATCCTAGGCAGCTCGAATGGAAACGCTGCACCAATTAGCAGGCGGCGCAGGGTGCGGATGGGCGAAGCCACACGCATCCTGCCCTACAATGAAACCATAGTCCGGGGGGCCAGCCGCCAGCGTCAGCAAGGCGCTGCGGGCGCTGCGGGCGATGTACCCGGCGAACTGACATTCGAATGGTATTCCGCATCGGTCTTGGCGCGGAGCTCGAATGGATTGCGCTTTGTAGGGCTTAGGCTGGGGCGCTGGGGATCGACCCGCTTTTCCTTTGGTGTCCTCCGGGCTTCGGGGGTTCCACAGTCGGCGTTGGGTCTCTAAACCTCCGTGTTTTTGTCCCATCTCCCATCTCGCATCGCCGTGAGGCCTCGCACTCGCACCGGAGCGCCGTTCGTCACAGGGAGGCGGTGTTCCGGCTTTGCGGCACATTGTGAAATTACTAGCTTATGTCCTTTCCGCTTCCCCTCCCGTTGCCCCTCCCGCCGCGTCTTCTTCCCTGTGGACTGGGCAACGTGGATGGATTGACTCCAACGTGGATGGACAGACTGCAACATGAATGGACAGACTGCAACATGAATGGAATGGCCCTCTCCACAATGTCGTTGTCGTTCTCGTTCCTCCCACCATCCCTGCTCTCTTCGGTGCCGGACAACCGGCCGGGTGCCTCTTCAGCCTAGTAATTATATGATGCTGTATGCGAATATGCACTCAGCCATTCGAGCGACAGATGGCCAGTGCGCCTCCTGCAGGAAGCTTGTCCTTCATCTTGTTCTTCTTCAGTGGATTGGTTTTCAACTTTGGTGGGTTTTAAGGGTCCCCTTGGCGCTGCGACTAACAAACCCCACCATGGTGACGTCTGCCTTGCAATTTTGCAACGGAAATCTGCAACCCCGCCAAACGACTCACTACGGTAGATGCTTCTGCTTCCTCACCACTTCGCACATTACGCTCCGAGTCTCCCCGTCCTCCTTTGCGCTTGTCTAGTCTGAGACGATGCCGGTATGGCTCTTTTCCTATCATACCCCAATCCCCATGCTACCCTCGTTCTTAACCATTCTGTCTGGTATAGCTCATCATCGTGTCCGGGCTGCCTACCTCTGGCAAGTCAACACGCGCCGAGCAACTCCACGAGTACCTCTCTAAGCGCATCGTCGACTCCAAGTACCGCTTGCACCTAATCTCGGACGACTCTCTCTCCATCTCCCGCACCGTCTACGATCTCTCTCCCGACAAAGTCCCTGCCCACACCCGCTCGGCCAACGCCTCCGAGAAGGATGCTCGTGCCGCCATCTACGGCGCCGTGAAGCGCGTGCTTTCAGACAAGGACATTGTTATACTTGACGGGCTCAATTACATCAAAGGCTGGCGCTATCAGCTACACTGCGAGGCCAAGGCTGTCCGAACGCCCAGCTGCATCCTGCAGATTGGTTGCGCGGTGGATAGGGCGAAGCAGGTCAACGAGGAGAGGCTTCAGCGGAGAGATGCTGGAGCGCAAGACTCTGCACAAGGCTCCACTCATGATGGGAAGGATAACGAAACCCAGGCCAGCGAGCAACAAACCAGTGGGGGCCAGGTCAGCCAGAGACAGGGCACTACGGAGCCATACGAGCAGGGCAACTGGGACAACCTCATATTCCGGTATGAGGAACCTAACCCGATGACTCGGTGGGACAGCCCCCTCTTCACCCTGATATGGGAAGACGATGAGCAGCAGGCTACCAAGGTCTTCTCCGATCTCTGGGATACCATTGCAGGCGAAGGCCGCAAGGTCGTCCGTCCCAACCAGGCCACTATCCAACGCGGACGAGACGCAGGCGGCGACTACCTCTACAACCTTGATCGCGAGACGTCCGACATTGTCAAGCGTATCATGGAGGCGCAGCGCGACGACGATGGCGTCGACGAGGTCCGAATCCCGCGCAGCTCAGGCGGCCCCCAAGGAGATGACGGCCTAATGGTGGAGTTGCCAACGGGCAAGAAAGTCGGTTTGCCCCAGCTGCAGCGGCTGCGACGAGCTTACATGGGTATGAACCGCGGAGGAATCGGGCTGGAGACGGTGGGTAACATGTCGGCGGAGAGGATACGGGAGACGTTTGTGCGGTACCTGAATGACGCATTTGAGAAGGACGAGTAAGAGAGGGCACACGACCGACGTTCGGTCAATAACGTCACTGGACGCTCGATCAGCCTCGGTGCTGTAGCCCACTATGAGTTGGGACGGCCAGGCCGGCTGGATTGCGCCCGCTGCTCTCAAAAGAATCTCGAAGCAGCCGATTTGAGAGTCCGTACGGCTGTACGACGACAGTTTCTACAGCCAAGGGCCACCCTAAACCCATTCTATTCTCATTCTGGTCTTCTGGGGGCCAAGGCTGGTTCTTGGGCTTCCCGGCGACACCGGCGATAAGCTCCCACGGCCAAAATCTACCTTGGCTACGGGTCCAACACCCCTGTCACTCGCGCATACCAGTGGTTTGGCCCCCAAGTCAACCACTATTGGGGGCCCGGGGCAAGCCCAAGTTCCAGCCCTCCGCCAAAAGGGGACCAAGTCGATGTAGCTCGCGTTCTCTCATTCGACGAGATGGACGAAGCTATGCCTTGTGCGAACGGATGGGGGCCGCGGGTGATGCAGACAAGGTAACTGGAGGCCCAGCACCGGCGGATACAAGCAGTTGTGTGTGTGCCTTGCTCCCCTCTGGGATGGTTCCACCGTTCATCTCAGACAGTATCCTGGTTGTGATGCTTGAAGAGAAAAGTAACCAGAGGGAGGGAGCCGGTTTCGTGGAGGGGAGCAGAATAATGGTAAAATTGTAAATATAAGCCCGGGCTGTACTGTCGGAAGAGAGGCTGTAAAAGCACACATGAACAACAACACCGACAAGGCCTTTTTTGACCAGATCCTTGTGTTGTATTCCCACAGCAAAAACTGCCTGCAGGTCAACGTCTTTGGATGCCTCTCGACTCCCGTACTCCTGCGGAACCGTTCACTGTCCGGTTAAGCATCCCGCCTTCATGATGAACGGCGTCAAGCGTGTCTGTACGCCCAGCTTCAGGCAAACAACTGAGCCGAGCGCGTCGAACACAACGCCTACCGACAGGTACGTTACTCAAGCATGCCTTGCGTCCTCTTATTCTCTGGGAGGATACATGGGGAACGGAAAGCTAACGAGGCATGTCGCTGTAGATCCTTTGCCTGCTCCTCCTCTACATTCTCTCCTACAAGCCAGGGTACCTCCACCACCAATGGCAGACGTGGCACCTGGCCCATGCTCAATTACACACCGGAGCTCGATACTGCAAGGCCGTCGCCGTCGCCGCTCGATGCCTGGCTCGCCACGGCGGACCGGCTGGAGCGGATCCGGACGGGCGGGTCCCCGGTCGACACCCGCGTGCTCGGCCTCGGGACTCTAGATGGCCTGATTGAACGGCTCCCGGGCGTGCGCAGGGATGGGGCGGCGGCGCAGGTTGCACTGGTGTTTGACGATGCGACGGGGACGTTTATCGGCTGGCGACCCAAGGTGGCAACGTGGTGCTGCACGGGCGAGAACAGGCCGGCTTGGGAGAAGGCGTGGAGTGCGCTCTGACGAGTTGAAGATTTGATGATTACGGATGGGGATGGAATGGAATGGACCAGCCTAGGGCCTGCTCTGGGAAATGGAGTGGCGGGTGCTGAAGGCTCTCAAACAAAGGAGCCTAATCTCGCTGCGGGGATGTCTGTATGAGACCTACGGAGTATGAAACAGGACGAAGCGGGCTGCAGGAGAGAGGCAAATCAGAGCAATCTGAGAACCAACCAGAACCGTATTGGTGGCGGGCTTCAATTTCGAGGCTCTATCTTTTTTTTTTTTGGGCGCATTATAGACTATAGAATATGGAAGAATCTTTACTCATCTTGTTTGTGGTACGTGCCACGATTCACAAGCTTCTCCCTTGGCTCATGAGTGGATCTGATCTGATCTGATCTGTCATCCATGTCTTCAGGGAGCTTGCTGTTCCGTTGGTAGGTAGTTATAGCATGGCATCATAATAATGTCCCCGAATGGCACGAGCGCTGCGCCGGACATTTAACGAAGAAGGCTCGGAGTAGTGGAGGCAGTTGCGGACATTGCGCGGCCACAGCTGCCTGCCTGCCCGCTATGACCCAAACGCTGGGCGGAGAGAATACCTAAGCTCGCCGGGCAGGTGAGATCGCTGTTCGCTGGGGGCGCCACGCCGCCAAATGCGCTGGGTTGGGCCCAATGTGCTGGGGCCAGTGGCCAATGCTGGGGCGGAAGGTGGAAGCCGGCAGAAGATTCCACTTGTGCGTGCCGCTTGCACTCGTCACTCTCAGGGTGCCTGTCCGCCCTGTGCTTGCCTGCGACATCATGGTACGTAGGTCCTCTAGTGCCTGATATCCTTGGGCCCGCCCAGTAAGGTGCCTGGCCGCGGCTGAGCTAAGCAGCCTGTTTGCCCCGTAACAATATTGTTCCGCCCGGAATCAGGGCTTCCGGAGCTTCCATTGGCTGCCCAGAGGTGGCGGTCGCCCAGTGAATGACTGCCCGTCCAGTGCGGTGGTGCTTGCGGTTCCGGTCCGAAGGTGGCCTTCTGGACAGCTCAAACCTAGACCCGTTGCCTCAACACCGACATCTCTCTCTCTCCTCCATCCATCTCCCATCTCCATCTCTCCCGACTCAAAACCACCTCTCCCCCCCATCCTTCCCCGCCGCGTTCTTGTTTCCCCCCCTCCCTCCGCTGTTCCACACAGAAAGCCAGCGTCGGCTTTCTCACCTTCAGCCTCCCACCTTCCCCTCCCTCCGAATCGATCCCGCATCAGCTTCCCTGAAGCAACACAGACAACACCATGGCTCCCCAGAAGCCTGACGAGCACCCCCACAAGAAGGTCAACCTCAAGTATGTGCGCCCCGCAAGCTCCTCGCGCTTCGTGCGAGGCCATTGTGTCATGCATCACAGCTAACCCGAGTGACAGTGACCCTTCTGGCGCTGAGGTCAAGCATGTTCGTACCGACCGCCCTGACACCACGCTGCCTACACACGACCAGGCTGAGCATGAGCTAACTCTATTCCAGGAGGATGACACCGCGACCGCGATTCTCAAGAAGAAGAAGAAGCCCAACCAGTTGATGTAAGTACTCTCCAAAGCTCGGTTTCACGGCTGGGATGCTGACCAATGCCAGGGTCACCGATGCCGTCAACGATGACAACAGCATCATCGCCCTCTCCGAGGCCACGATGGATTCCCTTCAGCTCTTCCGCGGCGATACCGTTCTCGTACGAGGCAAGAAGAGAAAGGACACCGTCCTCATCGTCCTGGCCGATGATGAGCTCGATGACGGCAGCGCTCGCATCAACCGAGTCGTCCGCCACAACCTGCGAGTCAAGCATGGTGACATGATCACCATCCACCCTTGCCCCGATATCAAATATGTCAGTTGCCCCGCAATTTCGAGCCTGGTTGATGTCATTTCTAACCACCTCACAGGCCAAGCGAATCGCTGTTCTTCCCATCGCTGATACCGTCGAGGGTATCACCGGTTCTCTCTTTGACGTTTTCCTGGCTCCCTACTTCCGGGAAGCTTACCGACCAGTCCGCCAAGGCGATCTCTTCATCGTCCGTGGTGGTATGCGACAAGTAGAGTTCAAGGTCGTCGAGGTCGACCCCCCAGAGTATGGTATCGTCGCACAAGATACCGTCATCCACTGCGAGGGTGAGCCCATCCAGCGAGACGAGGAGGAGAACAACCTGAACGAAGTCGGTTACGATGATATCGGTGGCTGCCGAAAGCAGATGGCTCAGATCCGAGAGATGGTTGAGCTGCCACTCCGCCACCCCCAGCTCTTCAAGTCCATTGGTATCAAGCCTCCCCGTGGTGTCTTACTCTACGGTCCTCCTGGTACCGGTAAGACTCTTATGGCTCGAGCCGTTGCCAACGAGACCGGTGCCTTCTTTTTCCTCATCAACGGTCCCGAAATCATGTCCAAGATGGCTGGTGAGTCGGAGTCGAACCTGCGCAAGGCCTTCGAGGAAGCCGAGAAGAACTCGCCCGCCATCATCTTCATCGACGAGATCGACTCTATTGCCCCCAAGCGTGACAAGACTAACGGTGAGGTCGAGCGCCGAGTCGTTTCTCAGCTCCTCACCCTCATGGACGGCATGAAGGCCCGCTCCAACGTTGTCGTCATGGCCGCCACCAACCGACCCAACTCCATCGATCCTGCCCTGCGACGTTTCGGCCGTTTCGATCGCGAGGTCGACATTGGCATTCCCGACCCCACTGGCCGACTGGAGATTCTCCAGATCCACACCAAGAACATGAAGCTGGGCGACGACGTCGACCTGGAGCAGATTGCCTCCGAGACCCACGGTTATGTCGGTTCCGATGTTGCTGCCCTCTGCTCTGAGGCTGCCATGCAGCAGATTCGTGAGAAGATGGATCTCATTGATCTCGACGAGGACACCATCGATGCCGAGGTGCTCGACTCTCTTGGCGTCACCATGGAGAACTTCCGATTCGCCCTCGGCGTCTCCAACCCCTCCGCCCTCCGCGAGGTTGCCGTTGTCGAGGTTCCCAACGTCCGCTGGGAGGACATTGGTGGTCTCGAGGATGTCAAGCAGGACCTCAAGGAGAGCGTCCAGTACCCCGTCGACCACCCCGAGAAGTTCCTCAAGTTCGGTCTTTCGCCCTCACGTGGTGTCCTGTTCTATGGTCCCCCCGGTACTGGTAAAACTCTCCTGGCCAAGGCCGTTGCCAACGAGTGCGCCGCCAACTTCATCTCCGTCAAGGGACCCGAGCTTCTCAGCATGTGGTTTGGTGAGTCTGAAAGCAACATTCGAGACATCTTCGATAAGGCCCGCGCCGCCGCTCCTTGTGTAGTCTTCCTGGACGAGCTGGATTCCATTGCCAAGGCTCGTGGTGGCTCTGTCGGTGATGCCGGTGGTGCCTCTGACCGCGTTGTCAACCAGCTCCTGACTGGTAAGTTTCCATTCCCCCAGCCTGAAGAATCCAATCAGTTACTAACCTCGGTACAGAGATGGATGGTATGACCTCGAAGAAGAACGTTTTCGTCATTGGTGCTACCAACCGACCTGAGCAGCTTGACCCTGCCCTGTGCCGACCTGGTCGTCTGGACTCTCTCATCTACGTTCCTCTGCCCGATGAGCCCGGCCGTCTTGGTATTCTCAAGGCTCAGCTCCGAAAGACTCCTCTCGCCTCAGACATCGACATTGGATACATTGCATCCAAGACCCACGGCTTCTCCGGTGCCGATCTTGGCTTCATCACTCAGCGTGCTGTCAAGATTGCCATCAAGGAGGCCATCTCCCTTGACATCGAGCGCACCAAGGCTCGCGAGGCGGCTGGTGACGAGATGGATACTGATGAGGATGCAGAGGACCCCGTTCCTGAGCTTACCAAGGCTCACTTCGAGGAGGCCATGCAGATGGCTCGCCGATCAGTCACTGACGTTGAGGTCCGCCGCTACGAGGCCTTCTCTCAGCAAATGAAGAACGCCGGCCCCGGCGCTTACTTCAAGTTTCCCGAGGCCGGTGCCGAAGCCAGCGGTGGCGCTGACAGCGGTAATGCTTTCGGGGACGCTGGCAACGATGATGATCTCTACGACTAAGGCGGCAATGGCTAATCGGACACAACTCGGATGGTCCACTGTATTCTAATATTTTCGCGCTCGTACATCTCTGCATTAGCTTGCACACAGCTAGTGGTCGGATCTCATCCATACACACACTTCTCGCGGCTGGTATCTGGAATGGGAGTTGGTAGAATGGTAGACGCGGAGGGAATGGCGACTTGGCCTGGCACGTGCTCGCGCGTGGCTGTCTGAATTGATGGACCAGGCAAACAGGTTTGCGGATTCAGATTCTGTTGCTCTCCTGGACGCGAAAGGGTTTTTTGCTTTGATAGATGATGAAATTGATTCCTCTTATGAATTTATCTTGGAGCCTTTTGGTCATGTGCTGTGATGAGGTACCATAATAGATGTCATTTTGGAGCAGAGGGACATGTGTGCTCGAGCCCCTGGACATGACATGCACTTAAGCAGATGGAGAGATGGTAGATATTAACATAAGTCTATTTATTTCATGCATGAGTTCGTATCGATTTTGGTATCGTCCTCCCTCCACTGCTCGTGGAGCCCTTGTTATTTGATGGTTAATCATGGACCCGTACAAGACGCCAGTACAGGACGTCGCTTCCCCTCCGATGCCAGCCCAGCCGGCCAGGGTTCCTCTCATCTGGAGTCCTCTGCCACTCTAGACAAATTTGCCTCTGCACATAAGCTTGCCGCGTAAGCTTGCTTCTCTTCTCATCGCAATCGTGCTCGCTCGTCCTCATTGTCGTTTCTGATTTGCATCACCCCGTCACATTGTCTCCTCGTATCACCCTTCTTCAGGCGTTGGGTTTATCCTCAACCTCGCAGACGGCCTCGAGGCTCTCGCGCGTCACCCGCAAAGCCTCATCGACAACGGACTCGGGCACGGCAAGGCCGTGTTTATTGTCCGCACCCTTGGCCTCCTTATCAGCTCCATTGGATTTGGCTTCGCCGTTGGTAGCGGGCTTGCTACCGTTGGCGCTAGATGTGTTGGGATTGAGGGCAGAGTCGTGGCGAACGTCCTCGAGGACGCGGTGCAGGAGAGCGGGAAAGGTGGTGATCTCGCCGGATCGCAGGAGAGCAAGGGCGTGGGTTTGAATGGCGGTGGGCCAGTTGGTAGAATGGGAGTTCAGGGAGTGGAGGAGCGCTTCTTGGATTCTAGATTGTCAGAGTTGTTAGCCTGTGAAGGATTGGTAATACGGAGTGTCTGTGCATGTGCGTTTGGCAGCTTGGTGCCATTAACTCTATCACGGGTGGATAGATGCAGATGCATAGGTAGTCGGTAGATGTCGGCGAGGGATAGAGTGAGGGGAGAACGCACTTGGCGACATGCCCGTCACGCAACAAGACTGTGTTGATCTGTGATCGCAGGTCTGGATCCAGCGTGGCAGGGGTATAGTTTGCGGCGCTTGAGGGGACTTTGACCGGGGTTGACGGAATGTTAGACATGGTGATGGCTGTGATAAAGGCGGTGGGTGGTGACGGGAATGGTGTTGCGCCTTGAGAAGCGTAATCTTGAGCAGGGACAAGGGCCGGCAACGTCCCAACGACGACGATTGGAGCTATTCGCAGGGTTCGAATCCCTCCTCGGTTACAATGGCCTTGGCGCTCGCCTCTCTTGGAACGATCTTGTCCGCTTGTTTCCGTCCCGGGCGCGTGCGGAGGGTTGCGTCGAGTGTCGCGGGATGGGTCTAGCTCGGTTGAGTGACGTCGGGTGCTCGAGCGGCGAATGGATCGTAGCAAGAACGCTGATAGAAAGCTCGACGGGATTGGACCGATTTCTGCGCACTGGTCTGCGCTGTGCAAGGGATTGGACCGGGCTCGGTGATGGGAGCGGCACACAGAAGCGAGAGAGGTGTTGTTCCGAGTCGGGATTGAATGTTTTCGGTGGCGAGGCTGAGGCTGGGGGCGTGTGGTTTTGGGGAGGGAAGGTTTTCGGGGTGCGCAAGGCTGAGGCAGTGGGCAGCACAGCGCAGCACAGGCGGAGGTTTGGCAAGTGCTACTGAGGGTGGAGCCGGCTTTTTCTGGGGCAAAAGGGGAGGAGCGGGCCAATCCGATTGCACCGGCCATGACCAAGGACAGCTTGGACAGGGGGGAAGGTGGTAGAAGGTGCTCTGGTTGGCTCGGAGCGGGGTCGGTGGGACAGGTCCAGTGGATGGGGGAAGGAACGACAGAACTTTTAGACTAGCAAGTGGCCTTGGACTTACACCAAGGATGAAGGCGCAGGCAGTCGGTTCTGCAATAAACAGGAGGGGTGATCCTGATGATATTTCAATCATTGTTAGTCGTTTCAATCCCGAGAACGGAAATTGGGTTTTTATTTTGTGTTGAGGAACTAATTCCAAATGCATGTGGCAAGAAAGGCGGAATAAACGACCTTGTCATCCAGCTTCGGGATAATATCAAAGCACGAAGGAGGAGGTTGACTTTACCATAAAACATATCATTGAATCTGACCGAATACGGCATTGGTATTCTCACTAAACTTGAACTATGGGGCAGTCGCCGTGTTCCGTGTTGCCGAGCCAACCAACACTTGGGTCGCCCATCCCACTGCGTGACCATCCTCTCGACCCCAGCAGTGTGAGCCGTGCAAGTGCGGATAAAGTCGGTTTCTCGGGCAGGACTTTGCTTCGAATACAGCGAGGCCTCGATCTGTAGTAGGGAGACCCAAGTAGACAAAGGGGGGGGAGTAAAACTCAATGCTCTCGTACTTCTAATCCACATCCTGCCTCAGCACTCATCAGGCACAGGACGCAGTTGAAGCGTCTCGCATTCTCTCAAAAAAGGCAACATAAATAGTTGGCCTAATGGCGTACCCCACGTATACTCAGTACTTTGCAAATAAATCCCGCCCTTTTTTACTTCAACGTTGGTGAGCCATCGCTCATTAGCTTGCCGTTCCCGCAGGTGCCCTGCCCTCGTCGTTTCTCCTCCTTGAGACCGACGACACTGGTCCGGGAACTTTAATAGCCCATCTTCCCCCAGCGTGGCCTCGACTTGATTTCTCCTTTGGATCCGCGACTTCTCTCGGAACTGCATCACTTGTCCGTTCGGCACGATCGAGGAGGAAGGAGTCCTGCCTCCCCATTCCCAACCGAAATGCTTCCCACCCATAATTAACCCACACCCTCCTCTTCCCCTCTCTGGATCCTTTTTTGCTTTCTCTATTTAACACCCTCCTAAACGATTGCAAGCACTATAGCAGTCATCTCATATCCGCCTTAGCCCCTAGTCTCCTCCTTGCATATTGTCTGGAACTCTATTCGTTCAGGGGCGGCATGCGGAGAGACTCAACAGACGCCGAGGACTCTTTAGCCCTTCTTGTAGATAGTAAGATTCCAAGTGAAAATCCACTTGCCTTCCCCCAGTTTCGCGTCGCGACGGTGTTCATAAGCCGTCCATACCTGTTTGTCGCCTACTCGACAAAGCCACCACAAATTGACCCAGATGTTGGTGTGTTGCTCTGCCTCTGAACTAAGAAAGGCTGTGGCCCTTTCTCCTCGGGCTACCCATATGATAATATGGGCCACTTGGTTGTCATCACCAAGTCAACGGCAGTTAAAATGTTTGTTTTGCCTCGTTTTGTCTCATTTTGTCTGGCCAGTGCTGGCTTGCCATGGACCAGCAGCGTGCCAAGGGTCAAGGGACAAAGCTCCGGAAGCCCTGATGACTACCCATGAGAGGACTCGTCCTCGCAATCAACAAGAAACCAGCCAGTTCTACCTACGTTTTATGGAGTATTTGTCGTCTTCAGCTTTATAATGCGTTATTTAGTGTATCATGCTTAAAATGATCCCGAGGTGTTCCCATGGATCGTCCGCTTCAAAGTGCTCACCAACTTAGTCCGCACAAACCTTCTATCAACGAACCTGTGACATCAACTCGACATGACAACTCGTATTACAACGAGAGTTTACACATGGCCTCATGGGACTTCCAAATAGGAAAGTCACCAAGTTGAATCAAATGCAGGTAAATGACTCGGGAACTGCTTGGCCCCAGTACCTCCCAACCTACCCTGTACCACACCGACTCCTAATTCAGCCCTCCGGCCGAATCCAATGTGCAACAGCCACTTCACCGTACTTCGGCTGGCAACCCTGCCCGACTCACTCGGTACTCCCACCGGGTTGCCGCCGGCAAACCCGTCAATGTCACCGGAGAAATATGACTCGGGTCCTGCTGGCGGGCGTAATTCCTCCACCCCTGTGTCGGTCGGTACCCGATGACCATTGACGCCATTATTGACCAACAACCATAGGCCAAAGACTCCAGCATCCGGCAGCTGCACACGGACAGTGACAAACGGCACCGCCACTACTCCAACTAACACAAACGTCCGAACCAGCGGTGTCCTGTGCGCATTGAGGTAACACAGACCAGCCGTGAGGCCAACCATCCTTTCCTGATCCTCCCGCAAGCGAGCATCTCCCGTATACATGCCTTTAAACGGCGATTTTTGCCTGTCCTTCCCAGCCCTTCGACCGGCATCGCCATGTAGTAATCCCTGAGCACCTCGACCACACTAAGAATCCTCCGGCTTCTGGAACCATTGAATTGCTCCAGAAATTCCAAGTCCCAACCACCGGCCCGCGGCCCGGCCCGTCAGGTTACCCGGTATTAGACCCTGGGGGCGACTTCCTCGCTGTCTGGCCGTCTCTCACACACACACCGACACGCCATGACGCCGCTGGCAGTGCTTTTAACGGTACCGCGATTGCCTCCGGGCCTCTTTGTCTTGCCGCGCCCGTGGAAGCCCGCCACTACCACCGGCTCATCTCTCCACCCCGCGATGCACGGCCGCTCCCTGGACCGTCACATGAGCCCCTGCGGCCGCGAGATGAGATAACCTGGAGCAACAGGTGGTGACCCTCACTCGAGGAGGGTCCGTCCCCAGACCCCGGATCACCCGGCAGCCGCCCGACCGCCCGTCTAGGCGGTGAGGAACAAAGCAACGACGACCAGTTGGACGGAGAGCATCTCACCGACCCTGGAAGAACAACCGTGGCCCACGGAGGCCGAGATAGGGGCGCTGACCGCTCTGTGATGCACAAAGTTGACTGGGGTTTCTTGCGTATTTTTCTGTCGATATGTTACTGATGGATGGGTAGACGTGGCCTCGGTGATGAGAGTGCATCCTGCAGGGTCTTTCGAGACTCCGAGACTGGGCTGAGGGATGGACATGCGTGTCTGGCCTCAATGTACATCTCCCGCAATCATCTGTTGGGACTCACGTGGGAAGCCCGGGATTGGGAGGAAGCTGCCGATTTGAAACGTCCATGGTTACACAAGAGCCGACGACAACTGTAGGTTGTATCGGCAATGGCTCTGCTATGTGTCTTCCATCAACCCCCATGCCCCTTCTGACGAGGGAGCTGGTGATAATTCAAAGATCAGCGATGCTCAATGGCTCCCCAAGGTTCGAGACGGGCGCAATCGGAGATGATGGGGCCGGCATGGGCTCATGGCCAAGGCTGACGACATAGTTTGATAACGACAGGGTCACCATGACGCCTCGTTGGTACTGCCCTGCTTGCATTGCCCTCACTCTCAGACGCCACGAGGTTGGCAACGTTATATCGGATAGAACTAATGCCGGCGCATTCATCCCGGCCGGATGTCGAAGAGACCTCCACCCTGCATGGACGCTGCTGGGGACTGCGGCGGAGAGATACTTGCGTCCTATGAGGATCAAGCGCAAGGGCACACTGTACCATTGGGTTAGTCTCTGGAGGACAGAGACCAATCGCCTCAATCCCTTGACGAGAGAAGGGGAAAGAACTGATGCGTCGGCTGAAGATCATGCAACTAGAGACCCCAAAGTTTGAGCAAGTGCCTGACCGATGTGTTATTAACCGAAGTAGTACGTACTTCGTACACCACGTTGCTTTTTCGATCAAAATGCCGTGTCAGATTTCCCCCAGCGGTCCGAGAGATGAGACACTGAGACAGCCCGCACAGGCGCTCAGGACTCGGTCCCAGGAACGTTACTTCTTTGTACATCTGGGCGTCCGTCACACAAGCACTGATTAGGAGAGCCACGCCTGGCTGCAGCCAACTCTCATCGAGGGCCCGTATCTTGTTTCCCGTGGCGGGCAGCCCAGGCCCATTGGGTAGGATCCCGTAGTCTTGTGTCACCACAATGTTGTTGCCGAACGTCGGGGCCAACCCTATTTGCCATGGCGGCCGGTTGTTAGTTGTTGACGAACGAAGCACCCATGGCGGGATCACCGGTTCGAAAGCCGTGGGGTCAGTCTGCCGCGCCAAGACCAGCCAGGGCATGCCCCGGCCTTCCTGATGACCCGGTGACCAAGTGTATGGGATGGAGGGACGCAGGAGAATGGCCGAATGGTCTCGACGCGATGAGGCTGAAATGTCGACGAAGCCAGTTCGCGATGTGGGGGATCAACCTAAGCCTGTGCGGACATTCGGTCGCCCAGTACAGCGGTGTTGGAGCGGTGGGACCCGGGGCTTTCTGGACAAGTCCTCCTGTGTCCCTTGCAAGTACCACTGCCGATGTCCCACAGCGACTGCGCGCATCCACTCCGAGAGCTGTGACAAGGCGGCCACACGCACGTTTCCCCGGAAAATCAAGGCCACCTCGCCTCGCATATGGAGTGCATCTAGTTGCATGGTGCCGAGAACGTACAATGACGTTTGAGGAGCTCTGTGCGCTTAGTCAGAAGCACGGGCCTCCACGCAATTGTCCTTGACAAGTTGTTTCACCTCTCAGGTACTAAGGTAGTAAGTGAGTTGTCCTAAATCTAAGTGACATGTACTTCACCTTGCGGAGCAACCTCCTTCCCTTACAGGTGAACCTCGAGCTGGTTGGGCAGGGAAGCCCTCTGCCGTGTACTATGGCGCGTAGTGGCATCGCATGTGAGAGCCGCAGGAGGAGTCGAGCCATCCATTGGCTGGGGAGGGACAAAGATCATGTGGTGGGGATTCGATACAGAACGGCCCGATGGCGAGCCGCTCAGCATATTCTAGGATGGTGGCCATCGAATTGCGTAGAAGATGAGAGGATCCCAGGGCAGGCAGCTTGAGTGGCTGTAATTCAACGGAGTAGACCGTGTCTAACAGAGGAATGCGGTTGACTGCCGAGATGGGGAAGAGGCAGCTGCATCCGTGGGACGGCTGCGACCCGACACGTTGTCCAAGCAGCGGAAAGCCAATGCAAAGGGAACGCAGGCTAAGTTGCGTCGGATACGGAATACAGGGATGAGGATAGTCTGTGGATCATGGACGGCATCCATTGAGTAAACTGTGACCAGGGTCAGAGCGGAGACGACGAGCGACCTAACTGGCACGGGTGACAGAGAGCCAAGTTGTTTTGAAAAGGTAACTCGGGCCAGTGGCCCCCGATGCCAGATGGCGAGTGACAAGGGGCTGGATCGGCGAGAGGCGACCTGTCACTTTTGATTTGGCGATGGAGGGCCCACTGGATTGACCGGTTGGGCCAGGGGGCCTAACTGGAGTGTTGCTTATCGAGGAAAGGACTTGGGATGTCGGTCTCGGTTGGTTCACAATGAACGCGAGGCGACGGGCGGGAGGCGGGAGCGAAGGCTTGAGCTGAACTGGCTGGCTGGCTGGCTGGATGGATGGATGGATGGATGGAGCCGGACATGGGTGGGTGGGGGGTGATGGAAGAGCAGGTTCGAGTAGCCGATGTGATGCGTCTGCGTGGAGAAAGCGAGACGAGACGAGAGTGAGAATGAGAGAAGGGGAGAGTAAAATCGACGAGAGAGGGGTAGAGCTAATGGTGCCGGCCGGCATTGGACGCGAAGCATGATGGAATATGATCAATGGAGGGCTGTCTCGACGAGTGAGAGCTGGATATGAAGAATGTGGTGGAGGAGGTGGAGGTGGATGTGGATGTGGAGGAGGCGGAGGCGGAGGCGGAGGAATGCCGTTCAAGATTATGGCTTCTAGAGACCGGTGATAACAGGGAAGGCAACTTTAATCGCATCTATTGCGACTTCCGAGTCAAGACGACAGACGGTTGTAGCTTGTAGCTTGTAGCAGGGAGCTTGTAGCAGGAGGACTCACCGGTAGTTACTGCCGTGGCTATTCCGGGCGCGTTGCTGTTGGGGTGAAACAGTTGGACACCACTTGGAAACGACGCAGCTGTCAGCATCGCTGTGAGTCGTGCAAAGCGGACAAATGAAGGCATTAGTAAATTGGCATTGACGCGGGAGACGTCGCATTAATAGCACGTTTCGATCGACCTACCGGCATCTACAATGTCATTATTAGCCGGCTGTTAAGACATGACACACAGCTGCAACTCCTGTGACTGCTGGGACTTGGGCAACAATGCGACAGCGAAACGTCCGAAACCGTCCAGGCACAGCTGCATCTCATCACTGCCTCACCACCGCGTGCACCATCCTGACTCGCTTACCAGCATGGCCTCTCCCCTTCCGTGATGCGTGGATTGCCGTGGTGTTGTCTTCCGTTGAGTGGCTCTGGAAAACCGGTCTCCCTCTGCATCCACGTCCACGTCCACGACCACGTCCACGTCGCGCCCCAAGACTCACTCACCGGCCTCGACGTAAGGAGGCAGAGGTATGCTGAATATAGCATCAAGACACTGGCTGTCTGTCATATCTCGACTTTGCACTTGCAGATGCAGAGATGACACCACCACGACCCTCGAGCACCACCTGAGCCGCCACCTCTACCACCACCCCTCTAAATTCCAGGTTCTGGATTCTGGAAAGGGCGGGGTTATGTGCTGAGGCAAGGGACGGATTGACTGATCTATGCAGCTGGATGCAGATGAAAGACGACGAGATTTGCCCATCACCCTGTCTCCGGCCCTTGCTTGTGACGACCTTCACGTGTCTCGCTGCCCGACTCCTTGGTACCTGTACCTTGGATCTTTAGTGAGGGTGGCTCCATGCCGTCTTAGGCTCCTCTATCTATCAATGAAGAGCAACAGGACTAAGGTAGGTAAGGCCACCGGCAATACTTAATTCCCAAAAATGACTACGTCCTGGTCATGCTCGCACTAAAAGTCCGCGCTCGTTGACTGTTTTGTCAACATTCGGTACGTACATGCACGTCTGGGGCAGCCTCTCCAGCGCGGGCTACCTAAACCAGCACTAGGATCGTGACGGAGCGGCTCCTCGAGCCTTGGCTAGCGAGTAAGGGTGGAGGAGCGACCATCCGGCTGGCCTCATAGCACCTAGTCTCACTGGGGGACGCACGCTGCAGCCAGTCACCCAGCGTTCATCCCAATTCTTGGCCGCTGGCGTGGGGACTTGGAGATGGAACAGATGACGTGGACTCTGGATTGGAGCAGCATTCCTGATCCCCCGTTTTTCCTTTGCTGATTCTCGACGGCATCAGCCCATTCTGCAGCGTTACGAGCTGCTGCCAGCTCTAGAACCGGGTCGGGAGGCGGCGGACGCAGAGGCGAATGGGTTGACTGGATTGGCGGAATGGCGGAATACGGATGGATGAATTGGCTGAATGGGTGGGAATAGATGGACGAATGGCCGGAACGGATCTCGATGGCGACTCAAGCTACGTACTTTACTGTGTAGGGTCTGGAGTCTCAGAGGGAGTCTAGGCTGGTGAGCTGCAGGACTCACAAGCGATCTCTGGCCACTGCGCTCGTGGCTCCCATGCTCAGGCGAGGCGGCCTGTCAGCCAGCAGCGCATCCATGCCGCCCTGTCGTAGGTGGCCGACGGTGAGAAGGGGGGGTGCGGGCTTGCATTATGGCGTTTCTCGACAGAGTCGGCGGGTGGACCGTCAAGACACAGGAGTGGACGGCGGCGATACGGGTGGCATGCTCCAGCAGCCTGCAGATGCACTCATGCAATCCCGGCAGGCGGTGAAGGTGATTTCTTACACTCTTGTTGCGGGCTTGGACTGGGTGAGCTCACGTCTCGAAGGGGATGGTTGACAAGCTCGACGGTACTGAGCATTCGTACCTCGTACGGACGATGGATACAGTACCAAGGGTTCCATCAATGGCGAGGCCCATGTTCCTCCAGGTATGCGCAATACTACGTTCTGACTCCCATCCCATGTCGGTGCAAATACCCATGCCCAACATCCCCTGCTCCCTTGTCCCATGCGATGCGTCCATACCAAACCTCCGTGGCGGAGACGGACAGTGGCAGAGCCGACCAAGAGCAACAGGTAGCAGAGCCGTGATGCCAGGGCACCGTTTACCAAAGGAAGGTCTCCTAGTGGTATAATAACCGAGGCAGGCGACCGAGGAACCTGGAAGGCCGAGACCAACTACCAACGCAGAAGCTGGGGTCTGGGGCTTGGGCTTGGGGAGGACGAGGACGGGACAAGAAACAAGACTAGACAAGCTGCCTATCCAACGCCAGGCGGAGATGGCGATGGCGATGGCGGTGGGTCGAGGTCGAGCCAGAGTGGAGGAGCCAAAAGGAGGAGCCGGATGTAGTGGAGGTCGAGGATGATGAGGTCAGGCTGCTTGAGGATGCTGGATACTAACGCAGTAGGCCTTTGGTGGAGAGGAAAAGAAGAGGCATGGAATCGAGAAGAGCTGATGATCCCTGGATGATCCTGGCAAGCCTCCGTCAACGACCATCCGCAATGTCCCGTCCAAAGTCCGAATCCCAGGTAATTCACCCAATATGGGCACATTGCCAGCCCGCCAAATACACCGTCCCGGATGAAGCCATACACACCTTGATACAATTACATGTGTTTTCTCCGGCGGCCAACATGTTGGATGTATCTGCCGTTGACAAGAACAACGATGCATCCGCGGATACTTTCATCTCGACACGGACGCGCAGACACACACACACACTCTCTCTCTCACTCACTCACACACACACACACACACACACACACCCTTGATGCACGCTGGCATGTACTACTGTACTGTCTCGTGCATTCAGAGTCGCCCGTTGGTCGGCACCCTCGCCCGTTCCGCGCCCTTGGTGGCTCGCCGTGCAGCACATCGCGCATCGCGCATCGCAGTGCCGTGCCGTGGCTAACGGCCGAGGGCATGGACGCCTATTCGTCAATTCGACTCTGCAAGTTTTCTCTTTCCTCGCGCTGGGGGACCTGCAGCAGCGTACAGTAGGCGGAGGCAAGGTGAGGCAAAGTAAGGACGGCGCGCATCGGCGGCGTACATGATTGACATGGTTCGGGACATGTTGATTGAGGCGTCTTGCGTGTACGAAGGACGGTGCCGCTGCCCGCCGGTCGAGAGACGCCGCAGCGCCCCCTCCAGTTCGGCTTCTCCAGTGTCGTTTCCGGCGGGGAGCCGTCGGGGAGCCGAAATTCACCAAGAAACCGCCGTGGCCGCGGGTTACCTGCGGTCTGTACTATGTATGTGTGTATGTATCCGTACATACCTACGGCACATAGCAGTAGATGTGCTGGCTGCTGGCTGGCGTGCGCCCGCGGCCGCGGCTGGCCGAATTCCCTCCCATGTCAACGGCCGACGGTTCGGAGGTGGTGTCCGACTACGTATGTAGTGGGAGGGTAGGTAGTCTAGTTGGACCTCCTGACTCGGCGCCATCTGACTGACTCGGATGACGAGGGACCGCGAACGCGGTGTGTGTAAATGGTGGAAACTAAGACGAGCACGGTTGGGCCTTTGCGGGATGCAGACGCAGACGTAGACAAAGACTCAAACGTAGACATACAACAAGAAGTTCCATCCCGACCTTACTTAGTCGGTAAGGCTGTTGTGCAACCATCACGACCACGACCACGACCGAGACCACTTTGACCACCATCCATCAGACAGACCTACGTCCTGTCACTTACATCATCACTCTCCTCAACACCCTCCTCCGTCATCAGCTCCCCCCCATCCTCGACCAATACGGTCTTTGGGCACCACCCTAATTCCACATCCGCCGCTCGTCACAACAACAAATATCGACGAGACGACGACGGCAAAATCGGGAAATCGACAGAGTCGGCACATATCTCAAACACACCGTCATCACGGGCCTCAACATCGCAGAGACCACACCCCTCCCCCCTCCACCTGTGCTCCGTGAGCCCAACTCTCTGAGTACCTACCCATCCATCCTCTACCTCGATCCGGCCCAGCGGCTAAGTCCTCCCCTACGGGACCGATCGAGAGTGCTTGTGCGACACTCGTCGCGAAGTCGTCACAACGACTTGACGCCCTCCCGCCGCCATAGTCCGAACCATCCGTCCATACGGCGACGGAAGCCGGCTCGATCCTGGGTAGTGACACCTCCGGTCGATACCTGACGTTACTTTACGTGAACTGCGTGCGCTACCTGTACGTTGCTGGCCGTTGTTGTACCGAGTAACGAGGTAGGGAATACTCCGTAGGGTACCCTGACTTTCATCAATCTTGATCCGACCGATCAGACCTTGGACCACCATCTCCCCCTTCTCCTGGCCCAACTTGGACTTTAGCCTTGCCTTACCGTCTGGGGAGACCTGACTGGTCGTCAACCCTACCGGACCTCACCTGAAGCGGACCATACTTAGCTGGGACAATCCCCCTAAAAATACCACCTACTTTCCCAGGTTCTTCCATCAAGCACCCAAATTATCCGCGGCATCAATTTCTCCCTCCAAGAGTGTCGGTCGTTTTCTGCTCCTTGTGCGCGCTAAACCGGGGAACGAAGTGAATCACTCTCGTGGCTCTGCCGATCAGATTTTCGCTGCCTCGCCCCATCACTCGTCACTCGTTTGGTCGTTGCCCAATACCAATACCGACACTGACAGTCGCTGCTTTGCCTCCGGTCCGTGCCCCCGGAGAGCCCATCCCCATCTGGATCGTCTCTGGATCACGAGAAACGTCGACCAGTACGTCAGGCATTCACTCATTCGCGTGGCTTTCTCCCCCCCCCCCTCCCCAAAGCCAAGAACCCAGCGGACCCAGCAGGCGGGCCCAGGAAGCGCCCCAGTGGAGCCAAAGCGACCCAGAAGGCCCAAGGACCCTCTCTACCCCGGCGACGCCCCACAGGCGACAGCCCCCAGGGCGTGCAATACAGACGAGTCCGGACAAGCCTGGGCAACAAGAGTGTGTGCAGGCGGCGTGCGCAGGCGGCGTGCAGAGTGTGCAGAGTGCAGCTGCAACAGGCGTGCAGGTGTGTGTGCCCACCAGCCCACCAGTCCACCAGTCCACCAGTCCACCATCCAGGAGAAGACCGGGAGGCTCAGAGGGCCTAGACGAGGCATTGCTGGGACGAACAGGGGACTTCAGCAGACACCAGCAGACACCATCAGACACCATCAGACACCATTGGAAACTCCCCGGGCCAGAGTCTTGCGACGACGACCTATTACCGTACGCACTCCGTTTCTTGCCTCCGTTACTCTCCTGCCATTGCCTGCTAGCGACTACAAGCACAGGGCTCCCCTTGGCCTCATTTTGTATTGTGTTATTTTCCCTCTTCATCTTCCTCTCCCGTCTTCCTCATCTCATCTTTCGCTCGGCCCTTTGCCTTGACACTTGCTCCCCCTTTGCCTTCGGCCAACGACTCTCCCGACCTCGGTATCCTTGTTTCCCTCGAGTCGTCGAGTCGTCAACACCTGGCCCACACTCCGGGAGCTTTCTTGGTGGCTACGCCCTCGACAAACCAGTCCACCCTTGGCTGGCCCCCTCCTCCCTCCTCCCCTACCCCCTCCATCCAGGCTCCCCCCCCTCCCGTGGACCCTGGGACGTCAGGCAAGGCCTCCATAATCCGTCCCCGAGCTCCATTGGATCTCGGATTCGAGAACAACGAGGTACGTACTATTTCTATGTATGTTCCCTCCGGGCAGCAAACAGCAGGGACAAGGGCAAGCTCGGGTGGCTTTCGCCACTGACCCAAGTCAGCTGCCCCACCAAGGCCGCTCTTGCCCTCACCTGCACGCACCCACCTGTGCCTGTGCTTGTGCTTGTCCTCTGCACCTGCCCTGTGCTTTTGCGCTGCTCGCGGGTCCCGGTGCTTGTACTCTGCGCCTGCGCCTGCCCACCCACTCACTGGCCGCTCCACTACCTCTCTACGTACCACTCACCCGCCAGGGAAGGAACCTGCTGAGCCAACCTAGCAGGGACTTAGACTTAGACCAGACTCGACTTCGAGCCTCGAGACTTGACTTCGTCTCTCACATCACAACATCTCGTGCCTCTCTTCCACCCGCCACTCGCTCGTTTTCTCCCCCTTCCTCCTCCCCTCCTCCTCGCCAATTGCCACGGGCAGGGCAATGGTTCGTCCGTGGTGAATGCCCTCCGCCTCTCCTCTCTCTTCGCGCTCTCTCTCGTCCCTTTTCCCGCCTGTACGTCCGCCTCTCTCCCTCACATGGGCCGTCGCTCCTTGCCCCGACCTCGCTCACCCGCCCCCAGCTCGTCATGACCGCCCCCGACGACATGCCGACCGCCCAGCCCGGCTCCGACCGCGATGGCCTCTCCCTCGCCGACGATATCCTCCGCCACACCCAGTACCTATACGCCCTCGTTCTCCTGATCGCATTCGTCTCTTGCGCCGCCTGGTACAGCGTCGTCAATGCCAAGAAGGAAGAGGACCTTGTCCAGCCGAAGGTCAAGGGTCCTGGTGGCAAGCCATTGCCACTCACAAAAAAGAAGCGCGCCCTTGCCGATGGCTCCCGTAAGATTGGGCCTGGCTTCGGCCGTACCGCGAAGAACGTCTTCCGTTACCTCGCCGCCATTATCTTCCTCAGCTATGTGGCCAGCGCCTCTCTCATGTTCAACCATGCCTTTTGGCACGAGGACCCGTACCGCTGGTCAAAAGAAGGACTGCCGTGGGCTGGCGAATGGAGTGTGGTACGTGAGACCCCGGCGCCCTGAGTGCTGCCAGAATCCCAATGCAGCTCATACTGACCCGCTTTGCCCAGGTCCATGTTACCGGTGCCCTCTTCTTCTACCTCTACATCCTCATCTCCTTATTCGACTGGCGCAAGGGCCCCAATGTGGTCCATCTCCTTGTTTGGATCCTCGGCTTTGCCGGGGAGCTGATCATGGCATCCACCACCCTCGTTGCCGCTGCCGATTGTCACTTCTTTCGTTCAGTTCGAAACAGTGAACCCAAGAAGGACGGGAGCTGCATCGACTCCTGGACCAAAGTCGACTTGATCCTCTACCTAGTACGAATTCTTCACCTCCTCGCCCTCATTGGCATCTTTACCACTGCATGGATCCTCAAGGTGCGCCGCTCCGACGACAAGCTTGAAGAGGGGTGTGTAGGCGAGTCTACCCCGCTGCTTAATGGACATCGCCGGTCGTACGACATCCAGAATGGACAGGTGCCCAATGGTCGAGAGGCTAATGGTCGTCGATCCCGTGGCCGAACCATTTCCAACGCCGCCAAATCCGTTGGTCCCCGCAAGGATGAACCGGCGGCCTTCTACCGCCCCGAGAAGCTGCCCCACAAGACATGGTGGGAATACCTTCGTGGATATTCCCTATTCTTTCCTTACCTGTGGCCCAAGGATGTCGTCAGGCTCCAGGTGCACGTTCTCATCTGCTTTGTTCTGGTCGTTCTCCAGCGCCTTGTGATTGCTGCGGTGCCGTGGCAAATTGGCCGGGTCGTGGATAGGCTGGTCGACGTCATAAAGCTCGTCTCCTCGGGCGAGCCGCTCACTATGGCTAACTTCCCTCTCGCGGACTTCTCCTTGTTGGGCGTCTTATGGATTCTACAGGGCCAATCAGGTCTGTTGGGTTCAGTGAGATCGCTTCTGTGGATTCCTGTCTCCCAATACTCTTACAGAGGACTCACCACAGCAGCATTTAACCATGTCCACTCTCTGAGCCTTGATTTCCACCTGTCAAAGCGCACTGGCGAGGTTCTATCTGCGCTCAACAAGGGATCGGCAATCAACCAATTCTTGGAACAGGTTACGTTCCAGGTTTTCCCGATGCTCATGGACCTTTTCATTGCCATCTTCATTTTCTATTACCGGTATGGCCCGCTCTACGCCGAGATTAACTTGGTGGATACGTGTTGGTATCTGTACATGACTATCAAGATGGCATCAACCCGAGCAGATCAGCGTCGCGAAATGACGAATGCCGATCGTGAAGAAGAGGCAATCAAGAACGACTCGATCTCGAGCTATGAAACTGTCAAATACTTCAACGCAGAGGAATTTGAATCCCGTCGCTACCAAGACAAGGTTGGGGTCTTCCAGAAGGCTGAAGCGCAAGTCCAGGTGGGCATGATGATGATGAATATCTGCCAAACTCTCGTCTTCAATCTGGGAAGAATCATCGCGGCTCTGGTTTGCGGTTGGCAGGTTGCTATCGGAATGCGCAGTACCGGCGATTGGTTTACCGTCGTTTCATATCTTACCCAACTCCAGGGACCCCTCAACTTCTTCGGCACCTTTTACCGCACTGTTCAGCAGGCCATGATCTCCGGTGAGAGGCTCCTGGAGCTCTTCAAGATTCAGCCTACGGTTGTCGACACACCCCATGCGGTTCCCCTCGAAAACTTTAAGGGCCGTATTCGTTGGAACAACGTCAGCTTCTCGTATGACCGACGAAGGCCGGCACTGCGAAACATCAGCTTTGAATGTCTCCCTGGCACCACTACTGCCTTTGTGGGTGAGTCAGGCGGTGGCAAATCGACGCTCTTCCGTCACATGTTCCGCTACTATGACTGTGACGAGGGCAGCATTGAACTTGACGGCCAGGATGTCAAGGACCTTACTATCAACTCGGTGAGACGTCACATTGGAGTCGTCCCCCAGGACACTACCCTCTTCAACGAGACCTTGATGTACAACCTCAAGTATGCCAACCCCGCAGCCACAAACGAAGAGGTCTATGCCGCTTGTCGCGCCGCTAGCATTCACGATCGTATCATGTCGTTCCCCGACCAGTACGACACGCAGGTCGGCGAGCGGGGCCTGCGTCTTAGCGGTGGCGAGAAGCAGCGAGTTGCCATTGCCCGCACCATTCTCAAAGACCCCAAGATTATCATGCTAGACGAGGCCACGTCAGCCCTAGACTCCCATACCGAGCAGGAGATCCAGGACAATGTGTGGAGTATCGGTCAAGGCCGCACACTACTCATCATTGCGTACGTCCACCTGTTACCTGTCTTACCCTTTAAGCTGTGCCTAACACTTCTCTCATAGCCACCGATTGTCCACTATTACCCACGCTGACCAGATTATCGTACTTAATGCTGGCACGATTATTGAGCGAGGCACACACGAGGAACTTCTAGCAGCTAATGGCCGATATGCTTCAATGTGGGAGAAACAGATCCGAGCTGAGCGTGCTCTGGATGTAGCCCGCGAAGCTCACCAAAGGGCTGCAAAGGCTGTCCGAAGAGCCAATATGGGTGGCAAGAAGAAGTCAGATGCACCTTTGGACGGCTATAACAGTCTTGCGTCATCTGGAACACTCTCTGGAAATGCAACGAGCAAAGGAAAAGAGGATGAGTCAACTTCTTCCACCTCCTCAGCATCCTCGGACGCCGAATCGAGCCATACGGAAGAACACTCTCCAGAACGGCAGTGAAGCGACAACTTCGGCTCTTGAACATGTGTGATCGACGACGATCGACGACTCACACATATACATTGTACGCACTGCGTACCTACTACTGCCCCCTGAGCGGGCCGCTGAACCTTGAGACGGGCTAGGATACTACGCTTCTTTTTTCTCGTGCCGCTCTGTTGAGGCATCTCACCCAAGTGAACTTCCCACGAGGTTCCTTGGCCGTTTCCTGGCTTCGTTTTCGACATGTTGCTCGGTTTATGAAAGGACACGATTCGCGTCTACGAAGTTTCAACAAGGTTCGGCATTAAGACAGCATGGAATCGGCGTTATGGAGTTTTTTTTTTTTTTTTTTTTTTTTTTTGCTTTCGTGATTAATGAGACCGGGTCATCATCCGCAAACTAATACATTTGCTCTCAAACCTGTCTCCAGTGGTTGAATTGGGCTTATATGCAGGGATCATCACAGTACGACCCTGAGGATCCATACGCCTTTGGACTGCACAACCTTCGAACGTCTGGTCTTTCGGAGTGGTGATGCCTGGCACTAGGGCCACGGCAGGAGGGTGAAGAGGGAGGGGGGGTTGGAGCTTCTAATGTCGCCAGTCTATGAGACACGGGTCACAAGCGTTATCATCCGAATTGGGGATGGGCTTGGTCCCTAGTCCTGGACAGTCTCTTAGGACGAGTCATAATGTGTGTTGTGTGGTTACGTACTCTTCTTGGACGGAGGAAAGTCGCGCCTGAGGAGGCAACGGCACATATAGGGCTGGCGGAGGGAGTAATGAAGCTGAGCATATTTCTACTTTTCTTTTGGTGTCAATTGGTGGACGAGTCGGAGTGATCTCCGACCTGAGCAAGAGTCTATGGACATGGGAATGGCGGAGTTGGCGGATACCAAACATGATTTGCTTCGGCCTTCGGTTTCAATCAAGGAGAGCAGCGGTTTCATTTCGGGTGCGGTGGTTCGGCTGGTTCTTGACTCACAGGCACGGCCGGCTCGGGGTCCGAACGGACCGGGGACGGATACGGGACCGGGAACGGAGGCAGGCATTTGCGAGGCACGGGAAGACCAAAACCGGGACCAGGACCAAGACGACGCGCCAGGAGTGAGACGGGAGACTATTAGGTCTCTATAGATAGACGGACCGCTCGTGCGGGAGGCGCCTTTGATTGATTGATTTCCTTTGATTTTCGCTGCTGGGTTCTGGGGAGGCGAGAAGAGAAAAAAAGGGGTCTGGTTTTAAACTTGTTGCTATCACCACTCTCTTGGTGAGAGAGAGAGAAAGATAGCGAGACAGACAGTTCACACAAGCACGCGCAACCCACACACAACGAGGCGAAGTTGAAGAGGAGCACGGGGTGAGGCGAACCATCAGCAAGAGCATTCTTAACATTTTCTTTCCTAGCATAATTAGCAGATTAAGCAAGCGATGGGAATTTCCTCCTGTTCTTTGAAACCAAGACACTGTTTTCGTGATACGGGTATCCTTGCTACCTGCCCAATCCGCATATCAAACCACGTAGTATTAACCAAGTCATTATTTTGCCCTAGGGAGCTTCTATTGCTTCGGACTGACTCAGGCACGGGGTTTCGTGCGCGTCGCAACGCTAACGTTGGCATGGGTATTCCGGAGTGTCCCGGACATAGCGTCGCATTGTGTGTTGTGCATTGTGCATTGCTGTTTGGCGTTTTCTTGACACAAAGACTCAACGTTGTGTTGCAAAAGTTGCCCATCCGCATGCCCATCCGCATGCCCTTGTTCGTGCTCCACTACCATGTAGACCTAGACCCGCCATCCCGGATCCCGGGACTTGCGCCTCACCGGACGCGTGCAGCGGCGGCGACGGCGGCGAATGAGCAAAACCGCCGAGTTGAAGTCGCATTCCACTTAAAGGCACTCCCCCTCCCCCGACGGTGCATCCGAAAGTGGAAACCCCAAGGATGCCGGCATCTTTTTTTAGGCTGCCCAACATATTCTCCAGTGTTTTCCTTGTTCATGTGGACAGATAGGGGGCGGGCGTTTTCATCCGACGTCATGTCGTTGCTCGTGTCGGCTTACGCGTAGCGGCGAGACTTACAAATGGACACGAAATCTGGACCTTTGGAGGCGAGAAAAAAAAGAGATATACTCCACAGGGCGCAAGCAAGCAAGGGAGGGGTGTGTGCGTGTGTGCATGTGCACGAGTTAGGATCGGAGCGAATGCCGGGGTATTTTGCTGCTGCGTCTTTCATCTTTTTCGTGCAACTCGGCGGATGCCGCGGTTGGCGCTGTCGTTGGGGTTGGCTTGCCGCGGGGAACGGTGGAGGAGATTGGAGATTGGAGATTGGAGAATACAATACAGAATCGCGCCTTTTGGATAACGAGCATGGGGTTTCCCCCTGCTTCCTATGGGTTCCTCGTTAGTGGGAAGCTTGGCATGTGTGACCTGTCCTCTTTTCTTTATATAGAAGCCCTTTTAAGCTTGACATGTGTGGTTCGTGCGGTGGAGGTGGATGGGTGTGGTGTGGGTGACGATGTGTGTGGGACCCGAGGACGTCATGTGAAAAGTAGTAGTATTAAAATGATCGTACATAGATCAAGGTATGATAGTACACGAAAGTATTTGATAGCGTTGAAGTACATGGCCGGGAGGTAGAAGCCGTGTTCGTCCGGTCCCATGGCGTGGCGCATGTCTGGCGCGTGTATAACTTGGCTGCATGTCCCAGGGGCGTTGGTAGCCAGGCTCAGAGGATACGACTCTCTCTGTCCCGATCGTTTGGCTCTCCCTTTGACCTTTTCTCTTGCCGCAGCTCTTGTCCAGACACACGCAAGAATGCCCTCATTAGTCCGGTCTCCCGGTTACCCCCCCCGGAACTCCCGCATGTCGGTATTGAAAAAGCGAGTGTGAAGAACCCCCTCCAATTTGGTTTGATGAACACCATTTTCCCCAGATGCTGACAGCCAAGAATGCAACCACGTCCGATTCCGTTCCCCTGATTGTCGTCATTATTATGATAATACCATTAAGTCGTCCCAATGGCCGAGTCCATGCTTTCTTCCCCCCTCTTTCCTCTTTAATTCGTTCAACTTGGAGACACACTGGTCTGCCGAGTCTCTCAGGCTTGCAATCTTGACCTTTCGTCCAAAGCCTTGAAAAGACGCTTGTAGTCTAGTTCTTGGAGTCGCCATTCTGGACAGAATTGCCGTTAGTGAGGCCGTTGGCCTTGGGCTCAGGCATCGGCGTCTCTTCCTCCTCGTCCTCATAGTCGGAGCGGTCATCATCAAGCTCGTTCTGGAAGGCAAAGCGGTAGGCGATACGGCCGATGCAGAAGAGCCAGAACAGGTTCAGAGCCTGCAGGGACGAGAGCAGACTCGCGGTGATAACCTGGCTAAGACGGCACTTGAACTGCCCCGCATCCCAGTCCATCTCGAAGGGACCGATGGTCTCAAACTCAGTGAAGAGGGACCAGATGATCTTGATGTTGATGACATGGCGGAGATAGATCCAGACACCCATGAAGAGGACAAAGTAGGGGCCTGTGAGGGAGGAGTCGAGGTAGTTGAGCGTCTTTGAGGTGGCCAGGAAGAAGTCGCTGATGTCGTGGGTGACGTAGACGGGCAGGCCGATGTAGGTGAAGTGGAAGCGGTAGCTGAGGGCAATGAGAGCCAGGCTGACAATGTGGTGGCCGACGAGCTCCTTGAAGTCCTTGCGGGGCTTCTCCATGCCGAGAATAAGGACGATGGCCTGCTGGGCCCAGTAGGCAGCCTCGAAGAGGTAGTAGAACTTGACGGGCGCCAGGTGGGTGGTGTGGGGGAAGTCCTCGTACATGCCGGCCGTGTTGAAGTACCAGACGGGAGTGAGGCTCATGACATAGAGGCCGGCGGGACCGAGGACACCAAAGTAGACGGCAGTGTACATCTGCTCCATGAAACGGGCCTGCTTGCCGCGACTGAGGCCACAATAGCGAGCGAGGGGCTTGAGCATCTCCTGCATGATGAACTCGCGGGTGAAGGAGAGGACAACGGTGTAGAAGGAGACGAAGGCAATGTCCCATAGGCCCTTGCCGTACTGGGCCGGAACGCTGGGGTCATCCTGCGGCAGCTTGTAGGAGAGGAAGATGAAGTAGTGGATTGGGTTGGACTCGGTAGGGTTGACGGCGTATCCGGCGAGGAACAGCAGGATGATGATGGCGGGGAGGACGAAGGTGCGCTTGATCATGGTCTGGCGAGCGCGGGCGAAGAAGCCGCGGGCACGGCGACGCTTGGAGATGCGCTTGTGTCCGTTAGCATACTGCGAGAGAGACCGTAGTCAGTCGCGGAGGTGGAAAGGAGAGGAGGAAGCGACACACCTGAACATTGACATCGTTGGCATCGAGACTGACCCGGCTCGATGCCATAGCAGGCGCTCCCGTGTCACCGGCGTTAATATCGCCGCCGAGAACGCTGCTCTTACGCCGTCTACGAGCGGCTCCGTCGGCAGCATGGGCATGGGCACCGGAAGCGGTGCCGTTGCTGGTGCCGTTACCGTTGACGTGCTGTAGCTGTTCCGCCGCCGAACTGAGGGCGGGGAAGGGTTCGGAGTCGACCATGCCTGCGGATTTGCGGGAGGAGCTTCTGGTGGTTCGTTTGGACGCCATACAATCGAGGTTGAACGTCTGCGGTAACGTCGACCGGATGGTGGGTGGATGTGTTTGTCGCGTGCTGTGTGGTCGGACAAGTATTTTCTTGTAGTACCTTGGTGACTTCTTTTGCACCAAAGCCCGCCGTTCCGTATTGCCTGTTACCACCTAGCGTTCCCGAGTGCGCAAGACAGGATCAGATCAGTCAAGCAAGTGTCGCGGAGAAGAGTGCTGACAAAGGACAGAATACAGAATACTGAAGGATCCCACGGCAGCTGACGGGTCGAAGGGGGATGGATTGATTGATCTTGTCCTGTCACGTCTCTTTTTCAGCCCCTTTCCCGCTTGGTGGAGTCGGCAGCAGTGAAAAGTCGCGGGGGAGTGGAGGCAGCGGGGGTCAGCAGGAAAACGGCGTATGATTGGCTGGCGCGAGCCGGGATTGCGAGCGGGTGGCGGCGCTACGATGGGAAGGGAGAAGAGTGCGTGCGAGAGTATGGGCGGCCGAGTGAGAGATTGACGATGGGAATAAGGAGTGGAAATGGACGAGTTGGAGAGAGAGAAAAGCGGGTGGGTAGGAAGGTTTTGTGTGAAGCTGGGACCATGCCAGTGCATACGGAGTACGCGTATTGGGTTTGGAGAGAAGGTGGAAAGGAGCCACGATGGAAGAGTAATAAAAAATCCTGCGTTATGTGAATGTGAAGGTGATTGCTTCGGCCTCGGCACCCGCGGGTCGATCTTGGGAGCCACAATAGAAGTCCGCGGGTACCCAGGTGGCACTCGGCAGGAGATTAATGTCTGGGTATGGAGTAGGTAGAGGCCATCGTTGGACTGGTGAGAAAGTCGGGAGAAATGAGTGAGAAAGTAGGGATTTGCTGTCCTCGTTACTAGGTACCTACATTGGTAGTGGCTCGTCCGCCCCTTCCCCCTTTCTCACTAGGTAATTAATTGAAATTTTGAGATTGGGGCCCGGGCGGGTAGGAGCTTGCTTGCCTCAGAAGGGGGTTCAGGGTCCAACTACAGTGAGGTCATGGTCTCTGTGCCACTACAGCGGGGTCTTCAGCAGGTGCTTAGTGGGTGTTTTCTGGGTGCCTTCGGGGGGATCGAATGCCCGACGCCCGCTGTAAATACCCGCCATCCATGTAAGCCGCTCTTCTGACCTAGTTCGGATTGCTCGGTCTCGGTTCTCAAGGGAGTACTTAATTCGTACTTGGCTAGAGGTACATAGGTATGACCAAATCCTTCCGGGACCCTTCGGCATTTGTTATTAGTCGGCGTGATTTGTGTTGGACCCTGCTGCCATTTCACGCTTAGTAGCTCCCACCTCTTGGTTCTGCGCTGTCGATTCTCAACAACTGGAGGCCTCAACTCAATTACTACACACAAGTGTCTTCAACTACGACAGCCACCCATGCAAGGTAAAGATCCAGCTGGGTTTTGGGGGTCAGGTGGGTATGATTTTTCAGCTCCTGTCATTAATCCAGCTCTCGTTCCCCCGGCTCGCATGTGAGCCAGTAACGCACGACTTTGTTGGCCCGGGCCTAGGCTCTCCCTCTCTTCGTCGGGCGGATGGCCAAGAAATACCTGGCACGAACCGCATCACCATCGGCCCACGCCAGCTCACCTCAGCCGGTTCTCTCGGCAATGCGGATTTCTCTTCTTGGCTGGGTGGCGCTTAATGGCACTTACTGCCTTGGTCTTGTATGTGTCTCCTTGATTTCCATGTGACCTCTACCATGTCAATGTACGATGCGTCATGTACCATGTACGATATATCATGGCAGATGTACGAATACCATGTACGAGGTACGTCATGCCAGGGGTGGAGTTGGAGATATAGTGCATAGCATCATAGAAAAATAGCCAAGGAGCCGAACAGTATGCATGGTTCGATATCTTGATCTATCACATCCCATATTTTTCGTGCGTATGTCGACCATGTGTAAAGTCCGGACCCTGTCTCGCCTACATGATCAACAAACTCATCCGCCATCATGTTGCAACCAACACACATCGTAAACATTTGTATCACTCCCATCCATCACAGCAATTGACCGTGTCAACGACATAACATATATGAGTTCCATTTCAATTCCTATTTAGTGGCGTGTCAAGGCACACCACGACTCGGCAAGTCTATGAGCTAACCATTTCCTCTTAAACTAACCCATCATAGCAATGTTGTATCCCTAAACGCCGGACATCTCTGTTGTGCTCTGAAGCTGATGTCGAAAATCCTCCCCATGGTTCATCATCTCCCCAGGGTATCTTTGTTCGCAATGCTCCGCCAGTCCATCCCTTCTCAAGGTTCCTTCTTTTTATGCTAAACAAGCAATCAACGCCTCGCTAGATGCAAACTAAACGGCACAGAAATCACTCCTTGGCGGGTGCGCTCAGGGCACTCGAGATTGTCTCGACGAGTCTGAGTCTTGTCGTCGGTGATCTACCGAAGATGTCTCTGAAACCGAGCGGACATCATCATCTGAGTAGTACCCATCCTCGTAGATCATCCGTGACTGAACGCCTCGCCACAGCGGCGGGTTATTCGGCGGAATTGCCGGCTCGCCCTGCTGACTGCCCGAAAATGTGCTTCTGCTCCTGTCCAGCTGTGCCATCTCTCCAGATGCCTCTCTCGATGAGCTGCTGTTGCTGTTGGCCCCCAGCCCTATTGACGGGGAATGATGTGATGTGATCAACTCTTCTTCTTCTAGAACTTGCTGTAACGCAGCTCCTCGTCGGGCAGGCGCAGGAATCACCGTTGTAGGGAGAGTCTCCGTATTGGGCGCAGTTCGCATCCGGTCACGAAGTTTGTCGGCCTGATTCGCTGCGAAATCCTCCAGACGTGCCCGCAAATCCCATCTGCCAGTTGAACGGGGCTCGGGTGTCGGACTCTGTTGGTTCTGAGGCACCTCATTTGTTGCTTCTTCACTGGAGTTGCGGAATATTGGGTTGGCAAAGGTGAGACTCCGCCAACCACCTTGGCTTTGCGTTGCGCCGTTGGCCTCCAGATCCGCCGTGTGGCCACTTGCAGGCGCAACGGCATGTCCATTTTGCGGAGAGGTAGAGGCTTGAGTCCATGGAGACGTATCGTCATTGTTTGGGTGGGTTTGGGGGTTGCTGTTCGGTCGTGCGAGGTCTACCGCGCTCTGCTGTGGCAGCGGATCAGGCGTCCTTGTCGTGGCCTCTGATGGCGGTTGGTATCGTACGGCATAGACTGTACTTGCAGCGCTGGCAGTATCTGTCCGGCTGACGGGTGTGACTGCGGGAGCTGGTCTTGCCGGCCAGATTGGTGGCCGTAGTATGGTTCCCATGCTCCGCTGTGTCGATGCCGCTGTGGTTGTCTCAGGGGCATCATTGCTTATCCCCCGGTATCTGTTGGTTATGGCAGACATATTGACCCATCCATTCGCCATGGATGTTGACGCCTGATGTCGTTCACCAGTGCCGCTGCCACCGGAGCCCCCTCCCTTTCGATTCTTTCGATTTCGGAGCCATGGAAATTCCGAGGCGTCGACTTCAAGCATGTCGTCGCCATCAAACACTTCTCGTCCTAGGATCCCATCCTTCTTCTCCTCACGCTCCAACGCCTCTATCCTCTCCACCCACTCCCAAACCACGACGCTGGCTGCTGCGGCGCCAACCCATCTCACATAGTCTCCCCAACCTGTGAAGTCGGGCTTTGAAATATCGAGGATGAAGAACACGATGGGGATCACGATGGACAAGATCGAGATGATGGACACCAAGAAGATGTTCTTCATAAAGGGATGATAGAAGGCGTATCGCTTCTTCATTATGGCGTAGTACAGAACCCAGGCCGCGTATAGAACCCCTAGAGCTAATTGAAAAAGGTAGCTGAGGGCAGGGACGGGATGGACAAAGTTCTTGGGTCGTACGGTCGAGTTGATTCCGTTCTCTGAGTACTTGAAGCTATTAAGAGCACTGAAGATTAGGTCGAGGATGATGAGGGCGAAGGCGACCCATTTGATAATAATCTTTTCGCGTTGTCGAGGGAAGAGGCGGATCAAAGTTTGTGCTTGGGCAAGCCACAAGAAGGTATCCGAAACAAGGCGGATAACCTTGAGCTCAGTGCTGCCCATAATCTCATCTTGCAATTCTTTTGCATTCTGAATACCCCATGTGTACTGGTTTTGCGCGACATTGAACGTATCTACGCTGGCCACGGTGAGCGACATGGCCACGGTCAGAGCGGCCACCTTTTGTAGCCATGGACGGCCACCGATGCTGATGCCGGTGCCTGAGCTGTGGGTAAATCCGCCTCGTCGGCCCAGATAGACGATGCCTCCGTCAAGAAACGAGCGGGGGGTGACGAAGAGCATGATGACCAGCATATAGGCCGTTACGGTGGTCGCGGCGAGGGCGTAACATATTGGGAAAGTTGAGGCGTAGAAGGGGTCGCGAAAGTCGGAGAACTTGACGCTGCTGTCGCTAGAGTCGTGTTGGGTGAGGCTGCTGTCGCTGGCCACGGTGAGCGATGAGTCGGCCCGGGGAATGAGGCCAGTCGCGCATGGCGCTTGGTAGATGATGGGGTCAACCACAGGGACTTGGGCTCCGTCGGGTCCCCAGGTCATGACACCAGCGCCGGGCCATATAGTCGTCGTGCATAGCGCAGGAAGCGCAGCCGTGAGGGTCGCGGTGACGAGCTGGTTGGCGTCCATGATTGCGGCCGGCCGAGGATCAATGGGACACGCAACGAAGCGGCCAGCCGCGGGCGACGGGGATCTGCAAATCGGGGGGTCTCTCCCTCGACTAGACAGTCGCCATGGAGGAATCGATTAGGGCGAATGTGCGTTGGGGGGCGTTCGTTCGCTCGTGGAATCGTGTTGACCTGACTGGGTTCGATTCGGCTCGTCGCGGTGCCTCGTTTCGTTGGATGATTAACCTGCCTCGACGGGTAGAAGAAAGTCGCGATAGTTTGACGTTGGTTTCGGAATGGGCCGAGTAACAGCGATTAAGCGGTTCTTGGCTTTCGAGAGACGAGGATCTCGGGTTGGCTCAAGGCACGAGGCGATTGCGGGATGACGGGCGCGTCGGAAACAATGCAAACCGGGAGGATGGTTCGGATTCGTGGAACGTGCTGCGGCTAGGAGACAAATCCACCAGGCCAGGCCAGACTGGACTCAAGTGGGGGATGGATGAATGATGGCAGGCTGGGCGCCGAGAGTCTTGGCCGTTTTCTGCGAGGGCGTATGTGCGAGTCGCGCCGTTGATTGGGGGGCGGTGGTCGGGGAAGCAGGTGAGCGACGTCAGCGATTGCCAGCGGGGGTGACGATGATTTTCGCAGCGGTGTTGACGACGGCCTCGGGGGGTAGATTTCGTCCAAGAGCTCGTGGGAATGAATCGGCTGGTTTTTCCAGGAAACTGGTATTGGGTGAGGTTTGAATAAGGCCTGGCTTGGTCAGTCGACATGGGACAAGTCAGGTTACCCCGTGGTGGTGAAGCAGGAGCGGCACCGCGCACTGTACGAGAGCCCCGGTACACGGTACGAAGAACCATCGACGATCTTGCGCCACGCCTCGTGGGATGGACCCGTTGCGCGGGTGTGTCTTCACAATCGGCGGACTAATTACTGCGCCAGCCGAAGGGACACTTCTAGCCGAATCATAGGGTCTCTAGTGTACATGGGATACGCGTGGCGTCACTGGCACAGCGGCATCGTCGAGACAGGATGCCAAGGTCTCATGAGATAAACACGATCGGGGGACAAGCTTCCGGCCCGTCAACGGCCTCGCAGGACCTCAACGAGAAATGCAAAGGCAAACCGATTGAAATCCGGACGGTCGGGACAGACCACACACAGCAAGAAAATTGCAACTGGGCGGACACTGTGTCGCCATGCATCTGTACGAATCGAGCCAATCTCTTGTCAACCACCCGGCGTAGTGCGGTGGCTTTGTGCCTGCGCCCAGCCGGCACCCCCGCGACGGCAGCAAGGAAAGTGTCCGAGACGATGATTTGGGTGGCCAAACAGAATTAGCGAGGCTGGATGGAAGCGATCTCTCGTTTAAGCATAAGCCGCGGATCGGGAATTCTTCACATCATTTTCACGCACCTTGAATAAATCGTCCACTCGTCAACCTCCAGGGAATTGCATGCGACTCGATACGAGACCAAAGACACACTAACTATTTATTAAGGTGGCCTCGGCCCCACGTCGCAAGCCGCTAAGCCACCCGCACTGTGCTGAGAGAGTGTGACAGTGCCAAATCGATACTAGGTACCTAGGTAGGTAAGGAACGACTGCGTAACTTGTTCCAGCTGGGAAGGAGGCTGTTTCGTCTGCAGGACGGATTAGATAATTACCCACTCAGTCGGGCGGAGCGACGAACGCAGCTCGACTTTAACTTTTCATGACTCTCACAACTCTCATGGCTTTCGTGACCTGGACACATTGCGGCTCTCCTCACCTTCTCACCTTCCTAATGACGCATAGCTGGACAAGGATGCGGAGGCGGGCCACCCTCCTGGTTCCTAGCCTGGTTAATGCTTAATCTCGGTGGTTGATACCGCAATACCGTGCCTCACCCGCGTCGGCTCCTCATCCAAGTGTCACCAACTCGTTTTGAAACCGTTACGTCTGTTCGCACCCCTTGCTGCAATGTCCCGAGATGCGCCTCCTGAATGCCGCTCCCCACCAAAACGGCTTGGAAAATTCGAACCTTTTTCTACGCTGTAACGCGCATACGCAATCACGACAAGCTTCTCGCTGCCAAGCCTGCACAGGAGATTTGGGGTCTTGGCAAAGCTTGTGTCTCCTTGGCTCTGCTTGCTCCTCCACTCGGCCGTGTCCCGTTTTGCTTTGTTCACCTTGACCGTTACACAAACAATGCGCGGTGAGTGCATCGCAAATCGCAATCCCTGTACGGATAATATGAGCGGAAATGGGGAACAAGACAGGAAACTCCTGGGTATTTGGTATCAACTCATGCAACTTTATGCAACCCCACCATCTTGCCCTCGCGCCAGATCAGAAGCCATCAACGCCAATAATAAATCAGATGCATCGTGTGCAACAAAAAGCCAATCGCTTCCCCTTTTCGTACTTCCCAGCGTGTCCCGTCGTTCTGTCTTATATCCCCTCGTCTCGTCCCCTTACTCGTCGTCCGATTCCTCAGGCCCGTTTCGGTAGCGCATTTCCAGCACCCACTCCTCGTCAAAGTCGATTCCCCTTCGGATCTTGGTACCGGCCTTCCTCCAAACTGCGCTTCCCAGTCCAATATCTGCGATAAATAGTCGCCACTCGTCCTCATGAGTTGTATGGTTCAGGGCCTCGGGGTCATCGTCGTTCGGAGGCGTGACCGCTTCAAGCAGTCCTCGTTTAGGAGCTCCCATGGCAACCACATATCGCGGCTTGACAAAGAGACGTCCTCCGTCAATGACGGCGACCTTGCCTGATGTGGGATCGATGCCCGTTGGGACGTCGACCGCTAGAACAAATGCCTCGTTACGGTTCGCCCACTCCATCAGCTCATACACTGTGGCCTGGTCCGCGGTTCGCAATTCCTCAAACGAAATGGTCAAACCAAGCAACGCATCCACAATGAGCGAGATCGACACGGGGGACCCAGTCGCCGAACTCTTCCTTAGATGCTCGAAGAGTTCCGTCTTGTTTAGAATCTTGCCCCCAAAGTTCCGATATAGCTGGATCTGTTGCCGTAGGTCCTCAAGTAGATCTCGCTCTCGCTCGATTCCCACGAGGCAGAGCAGTACGTTGATATTTTTGTTCCGCAGATGACGACCCGCAGCAATGGCCCGGACACCGGACCTGTTGTTGCCAGCCAAGATAACCACCGCTGGACTGGTCAAGACAGCACTCGCCGAAGGATTGGCGCCTGCAAGCCCGAACCGAACTTTGATGGCCGGTTCTGACAGCGCTGTAAATGCTACCTGAGCAATTCCTCGACCTGCATTCTCTGCCATGAGATCTTCCCTCAATCCAACCTCATTGGCGGCAATGTTCTCAAGATTCAGCATTTGCAGTGCAGAGACGGTCTCGAGTCGCCGGTTCGACGGGACGAGGTATAGACCGGGTGGGTGACCTTGCTGCTTTCTGCTGTCAGTACTGCGTGATTCCGGTCTGGAAAGAGACCACCGAGGTCTATGACTTGAACGTACGCCAGAGTTGACTCGGCTAAGTGGCAGACCTCCAGGCACGGCAACGGTACTAGCTTTGCGTGACTGGGATCGCCGAGAAGGCCCGGACTTGGTATCAGTTTTCCGATTGCTCTGGCTGCTTCGCAAGTCTCGGCCCATCAGCCTTTCTGCCTCATTTAACCCATCGTCCGCTTCGCTGTTCCAAAAGTCTGCGTTCTTGCCGGCGACTGATGGCACGTCCAGGACGTTCTCCGTATAGTGTAGGTTCTTTCCTCCAGCGGTCCCTGGCTTGGGTCGGCGGTTATGCGATACCAGCCGGCTCGCATCATCCACTTGATCTTCTTTTCTCATCTGGTCAAAGATGGTGCGCTTGTCAAATTTGGCGAGGTTGTTCTCAAAGTCAAATTCGCCCATCTCCTCTGTGACGTCCTCCGATGCCCATCCGTTGTCGGGACCCCCCTTGCGGCCCTTTCCATTGCGCTTCAGAGAATTGAATGGTTGGAATGAAGCAGTGCTCTGTAGAATCGGTGTCTGTCTCCAACCCTTGCCACGACCGCCCTGGACAAGCGGCGAGCCTTCAACTGGCCGTCCATCATCTTCAGGACGCTGTCCCTTTCCTTGCTTCGATTGCCGTGAACGTCGCTTCTTCTTCTGAGATGGAGTTTCCTGCGACTCAGGGGCTTGGCCGTTCCCAGGTTCAGGTGCCGGGCTTTGAAGAACGAGGTTGCCCAGCGGACTTGTGATATCGTAATCAGGAGGAGTGGGACGCACTGGAGTGCCTGCAGAGTGAATAGATGACACCGCACCGGGCAAGGGGGCTTGCATTTCAACGATCCCGCTGTCAACGGAGATGGCTTTGGCATCCGGCGCCGATGGCGTTCCAGATGTTGGCCGTCGTCCAAGGCTGAGAATCGCTGGGTCGACAAATGAGGGCTGCGAAGGCGGATGCGAAGGGGGTTGCGAAGGCGGTTGCGAGTACACAGGCGTGGCGACAGCCTCGGCGGGAGGCGGGACAGTAATAGCCGGCCCATCATCCGTCTTGATCTCCGAGAGATCTGCGATATTGCTGGCATCAATCCTCATGTGAGGGTGCCATTCCTTGGTCCCAGAAACAAACACTAAAGTAGGAGTGTTAGCGAAACTCTTGGTTAGAATATTGGGGCATACGCACCGTTCGTCAAAGTCAGGCAGCTGCCGGCCTCAACGTCCCTGACTGTCCCTGTGATGTGGTACGCCGGGGGCTCCCTCAGCACCACCCGCATATGCAAGCCGATGAATTGGTTCGCCATGATGAGATGTTGCCTCGCGTGTATCTGGTCAAGATTCCTGGTGTTGCTGCTCCCTTTTCCCAAGCGAGAGCCCCAATTTCCGGTAATTAAGGCCCCCAAGGCGTCATCAAGACTCGGGGTTGCGGCCCAACAACTGAATCACGGACACGCCGTGCGGGGATGCTAGGTGCTTTGACGGCGCAGGATCGATGCGTAAAGCTCCTTGGATGTATGGGCGAAAGCAGCGAGCGTGCGGCCGATCGACAAGCCGGTTACTCGACGTGGAGGGTATTCTCGGGTGCGGACTGGGGTCAACGAGTGGACGGGGTGGCGGGAGACGGACTCGGAAACTGGATCGCGCGAGGCCAAGGTTCCAAACTCGAGTATCGATCGCTGGGGGAGAGGCTCGCGCTATCGAAGGGCGATTCTCGAGGATGCTGGTCGGGTAGTTGTGACGTATTGTGTGCGCTGGGGTTTGCGAGGTTGAACTTCCCACAGAAGCTTGCCCCATACCGGAGCAACAAGTCTCCCACCACGCCAACCTTTTTCTTATCGATAAGCCGGGCTCGCCGTATCTGGTCGTCTGACCCCAGCGTGTCACAATTTTGAAGACAGAACCTTGCTTTTGGCTACCGTATAAGCCGCAGCTTAGATTCGATGGCGTTACAGCGAATTCCAGCTTGTGAAATATCGCAAGGGGTCCTCTTGGATGCAGGCCGGATGAAAATATCGACCACACTGTCTCCAACCACTGAGTTTGGTGGTATGATTTTATGCGACTGGCACGGAATATCGTTGTGAGTGGGATATGCATGTGTAACAACACGAGACACTTGGTCGGTCCTCAACAGTCACCCTTACGCATCTCCAAACTCCAGTGGTTTGAGTGGATTTGATACATTTGTTGTTTCCTTCTCGGCCGCACCCGAGATTAGATATCTAGTACCTGTCGATTCTGTCGTCGACCCTCAGTTCCAGCCTCTGGTCACAGAGCAGAGGCAGCTTCAACGCCAGCTCCCTTGATTCCGTAGTTCTACCATCCATGTAAGCCCAAAGATAATATGTATGCGCCGGTCGATAACAAATCTATACAGTCGACCCTTTCACCTCAGACAAGACTTCCTTAGTAACCGTATGACGCCATCGCCTCCTCGTCATCATCTAAATTGATAACGGTCCGGGCCTCCCGCTTTGGAGCCTCCGGCCTTGGAGCGGCTTTTGGGGGGGCTTCCTTCTTTGGGGCCTCTTTCTTCGGAGCCTGATTCCTTGGAGCCGCAGCCCCAATGCGGTTCGTAAGGAAGTCGTTGATCGAATTGGCATTTCTCCCGTTGGCTTCTTCTGCGGTGTATAACTTGTTGTAAAAATCAATGACTCGAGGATGGGCCATAACTTTCCACTTGTCGAAGCCTAAGACCTGGAGGCCTTGCTGCGTTGTGGCTCGACTGAGTGCCACATACGCCTGCCCTTTCTCGAATACACGTCCGAGGTTGACTTTGACTCGTTCCAAAGTCTGACCCTGGGCTTTGTGAATGGACAGAGCCCATGCCAAGATCAAGGGCAGCTGTGTGCGCTTCGCTTGGACGTCTCCATTTGGAAGCTCGACCTTCCAATCTTCGGGCTGGCAGAGAATGACGCGATGCGAGCCGTGGGTGGTCATGAACTGTACTACCGGAAACTTGACGCCTGACTTCGTTTCTGCCTCATGACTGAATGCTTTCAGCTTCCTCTTTGCCTTGGACATCGGATCTTCCTCCATAAAATCATCCGTGCCCATGTCAAACGTCTTCTCGTCCGAAAAGCCAATGACCTTGCCCAAGGACCCGTTTACGAGGGACTCGTCGAGATTTTTGATGAGCATAACTTGGGCGTTAAGTTTCAAGTCGATGCTTTTGGGCGCCATCATGTTTGCCAAGAGCTTCTCTCGAATGGCTGGGTCGCCTGAATCCTGGGCTTCGTACCGGCGCACCGTGCCCGGAAGATCTCTTAGTCGTTTCTCATTTGAGCCCTCCACCTCATTTCGTGTAGAGAACAACTCAGCCATGCCTAGACCGTCGTTGAATTCAAGTGGTCTGGCTAGAGCCTTGAAAGCGCGGACAGTGTCTTCACTGATTTTACCAAGGCGCATTTCGTTGAGCATCTGCGCGAACTGAGGATCGCGCTGTCGGAAAACTTGCGTAAGCCCGATAGTGTGATCGATTGACGTATTCCATGTTGCAGAGTCAAAGGCAAACTTGGTCTCACGCTTTGCTGCTTGATCGGGAACTGGCGGAAGTTGAAAAAAGTCGCCAGTAATGACGATTTGAATGCCGCCCCATGGTCTACCATTGTTTCGAATGGTCCTCCCGATCTTGTCTAGCTTGTCGAATAAAGCTCCATCCACCATGGAAATTTCATCAATGATGAGAATCTTTGTTTTCAACCAGCGGTTCTTGGCCTTGATATTTCGTCGGATCTTCTTTATCAAGACCGGAGCCTCTTCTTTCCCTAGACCGATGCCTAATCAAAGGGTTAGCAGCTGTATCCATATGCGTTGTCTGAGCAAGTTACCTGAAAAGCTGTGAAGAGTAATTCCCCCGATATTGCACGCAGCAAGACCAGTTGACGCCGTCACAGCGACTCTCTCGGGGTCACTGGAATATTTCTTCTTTAGGTCATTGATGATAGCCCGCATCAGAACGGACTTTCCAGTACCAGCCGGACCAGTGAAAAACACACTCTTCTTCTGCTCAACAACCAGATCCAAGACATGTCTCTGCTCGTCACTGAGAGAAATAGCATAGGCCGTCTTGGACGATTTACCGGCTCGTTGGGGTTCCTCCGATAGGGAATCAGGATCTTCCTCAGCTTCTTCTTTCAGCTGACGTTGACTTTTCAGCTGCTTCTTTTGTTCCTTCAAAGCACTGGCAGTTGCGTCCCATATGGATATCTTGGGCTTGCGGATAGGCGTCTTCACGGTAGGGCCCTGGTCCTCGTCGTCATCCTCGGCATCCTCTTGTCGGAAGCTGGCCGGAAGAACTCGTCGTTTGGCCTTCTTAGGAACATGCGAGTCCATCGAGTCCTGGTCTCCAGAAGACTCGCGCTTCAAGGACATTTCGTTATTGCTTGACGGCACTGGTATCGTACGCTGCACAGGTGGAGGCAGAAAATGCGACGCTGGTGATGACGACCAGGGGATATTCGTTTCGCTCTGGGTAGATTTGGGCGGAGGAGGCATGCTGCTGAAAGAAACAGGTTTAGGTGCAGGCATAGTGGGGAGAGTCGGAAGAGCAGAGGGGGCCTCATAATCAAGATCAAGGTTATCGTCATCGCTGAAGTCGTCTTCGGCAAAGAACACTGCCTCTTGAGCCTTGGCATGGGCTTCTGGTCCGGTAAGGTCGATAACGCGGGATTCTTGCCGGACTGTGTTCGGTGCACTGTAAAGAGAGGCCAATGAGCCACGACCTGCGCCGGGTACCGGTCGATTAACAGTAGAGTGGCTCATGTTGGTGGATCGGCCATTGTGCAGATTCGGAAATGGTTGAGGGGTCCTCGCCGACGTGGAGCCAAAGCCTGGATTCTTGAGTTGGTCACGGATGTCGGCGTTTGCAGCGCTGGGGCTGCTCGAGGGAAAGGGCTGCTTGGCCAACTGTGTCCCCCGAGCTGGCGCGCTGGCCTCGTATGCCTTGTTCGCCTTGGCTAGCATTGTGTCGAGGCGATTGGAGGCCGGGGGGCCAAGGGTGTGAACATGAGCCTGCTGGACAACAGTTCGGAGGAAGTGGCTGCAAGTCGGCGAGGATCGAATCGGGAGACGGGCGATGCCGACCGTCATAAACCAGACCGTGGCGAGTGTGTCACGGATGTCGCGTGTAATGTGGTGATGTGGTGAAGCACGGTGGAGGGGTGTGATAAGGACTGGACGCCTGCTGAACGCTCCGAGCCAGCACGACGCCGGCAGTTCAGATTAGGCTGGGATGTCAATCAGAGGGCCCCAGGGTCGACCTCTGAATGGCTGCGAGACGCGACGGGGCGTTCCAAATAGTGTGTTCCGAATGGCCACCCCAGCAAGTTAATTCAAAGGTTGACGCGTTGTGGTCGCGACGTGCAAGGCCCCTCAGTGCCGGGTTCGCAGAGTCACCTGACTCCCTTTGGACCCACAAAATTACATTGAACCTCGCATCTACGGTGGTTCTTACATACCTACCCAGACCAACTTGGATGAAGAGGAGCATCATTGTCTATTCACGAAAGAAGCGATATTCCTGCGTTGATTATCATGAAGCATATCATGAAGCATTGCTACAGTTCTGTTGATTATACAGCATTGTCTCCTTTCATAATAATTTGACAAACCCCCGCCCTCATAACACCACTTCCCGTCATCCCGTTTGCCCTAGCTCATTACCCCAAACTAACTACATATCAAATTGTCATACAGTGAAAGGTACCAGGTATCGTGTCATACAATCATAATGAATTTCCCCATTTTCGTTTCAATTTCAATACCCTCTGTGAATCTCCCGTCTTCCTAGAGGCTGGAAGGGGTGAGCCTCTCTTACAAAAGCCGGCTCTCTTTGTCGCATGTATTCATGCGCATCGCGTTCCGGCCAGCGGGACTCACGCTCTCTCGGATTTTGATCCTCCGCGAACGTATCACGGAACCTATTCGGCAGCACCACTCGTCGCTGGGGCTCTTGCGCAAGACGATCAAATCGCTCGTCATCCCGACGAAATTCTTCGTCGCGATACGCAGCATCGAGGCGTAGCCTTTCTAGGCGGCTCTCGACTCGTTCAAGTCCATCTTGGAGTACCTCATGTCGGGCCTCAGATGGAGACACACGGCGAACACTAGGCCGCTGTTGGTGAATGCGAGGCGGCAGCAATGTGGTTCGTCGCTTGTATGATGGCTCATCGTCACGAAGAATAGGACGAATAGGACGTCGATCTTGTCTGAATAGCTCATCGTCATGCAGAATATGGCGCCGATCTTGTCTGTGTGGCGCCATATCCACAGATGAGAATTGGGGCGAGGGGAATGGAACTTGCTCGGCGACAGCAATCGCTGGAGGATAGCGGTCGAGAATGTAATTCTTCTCGTGCTGGGAGTGTTGGCGTGGTAGAACGACACCAAAGTGCTCGGGGAGCTTGATTCGCTGAACAGGGGTTCTGCTCCGTCCCCGACCGCGCTTCTGAGAGTTTGGGGCAGATCCGAGGGAGGACTGAGGCGTGCTTCCAGTTGAGCTGCTTGAATAAGAGTCTTCGGAGGCCAAAGAGCCGTCAGAACTTCGAGGTGAGCCACGGTGAACCTTCATGGTCTTGCCAACCGTGATGACTTGAACATTTGGCGTCATTGGCCTGGGCTGGTTGTTGTCCTTGCCTTCCTTGCCTTCCTTGCCTCGCTTGCCGGCGTTGTCCGGTTTGCCCTGGGTTGGAGGCTTGGGTGGGTTGTTCGGAGGAGGGGCCTGCTTCGGTTGGTTGTTTGGAGGAGGAGGTCCCTTTTGCACACCGGCGGGAGGCCCGGTGTTGGGGGGAGGCATGGAGTTGATGGGAGGCCCAGGGTTGACAGGCGGCCCGGGGTTGGCTGGGTGCATGGGGAGGTTGGCTGGGCCGCCTGCTGGATGCATAACTGGTGGAAAGGAGACGGGCATTTGCTGAGGAGGGGGAGGCATTCTCATACGTTGTTCTCTCTCCTCGAGCAACCTGAGGCCACTCTGTTCTGGAGTGGGTGTCCTCTTGAAGTATGCGGTGATGGAGACTCTTTCATACTTGGGCTTCGACTTGCCCTTTTTTAAGTGGGTACTGACGTATTTCTTGCTGCTCTTCTTCTCTTTCTTGCTCCCTTTGTTATACTTTTCGATGTATTGGAGTTCTCGTTCCTCCAGCTTTCGAAGCTTTGACTCGAATTGGACCAACTTGTAACAGAACCGTTTGTCTGGATCTGTTTGAGAAAGCTTCTCCTGGGTGAGCTCCAGTTGACGCTGAATAGCGAGGGAGCAGGCTGCCTTCTTCTCGGTGAGCGGCTTTGTCTCTCTCTCCAGCACGCGAACTTGGCGCTTGATTTCCTGCTGGGAGAGGTCGGTCTGTGTGATCTGCCTGACCTTTTCCCAGGTGGGTGTCAATGGAAACCCTTCTTCGTCAACGTCGTAAGCGTTGTCCGTCTTCTCGAGTCGAATTACGACGTAAGAAGACAGCCGCTCACGGGCATCAGCCTCAGTGAAGCGTTCGCTCCTAATGTCGGAAATCTCGACTGTGTTTCGGGGTCGTAGATCATGAGGGACCGCATGCTGAGGAGGAGGAGGGAAGCTTGGAGGGGGGCCGATATGCATCATGGGTTGGTTTTGGGGCTGCATGTGTTGATTCTGCATGTTTAGAGGCATGCCAGCAGGGCCTCTGTTGTTAGGTTGCTGCATTGGGGGACCTTGAGGCTGATGAGCGGGACCGTTCCCATTGGAGAGTTGGATAACGCCGGGAGGAAGATCTCCAGGCATGATGTATGGAAATTGTGCTGTGTGTTTGGATGGTATACTGACCAATTCCTGAGGCAAAATAGGCTGGGGAAACAGGGCGAGATATAGCTGTCCGGGCGAGCAGACAATCCAGTTCGACGACCGATATACGATATCGATTAGCAGCCTACCGCGACTCGACGGCGCAGCACCAAGCAAAAAGTGAGGCTGTCCGTGGAGGTGTGTGCCCCAAACAGTGAATGAGAAGATGGGGGTCAAAACGAGGCAACCTGGGTGAGGGGTACGCTCCACGTTCGGTGAGGGTGTGTTGACCGTGGATCAGAACGCTCACAGGCTACCGTGAAAGTGCGGATGCGTGGAGGGGCGGGATGTACAAGGAATTGAGTTGGACTAAAGGATTGAGGAATGGATTGTGTTTTTTTTTGTGATATTCCGGATGGGGTTTCCAAAGATATATGCTCTATGGAGCTCGCAGCCGAGCATTCGACACCAGCACTGACTTGACTTACACGGCGTCGTTAGGTATCAATTGGGACGACTTCTTTCAACCTCGAGTTTGTCATCGAGAGCCGCCGCCGCAACAGACTACAGTACCGGCATGTAAGTTAAACAAGCCGACGCCCCGGGCGTATCCGCGCAAGCTACGGCACGGCACGGCGACGAATCCCATGGGCAAATGATGGCCACCGTCTCCGGGCGGAGTAGTTCGCAATGGCTGAGCTCCACGGGCGAGGCGACCAACGCGCCCAGCCAATGTGATGACGAAACTTGGATCCAATCAACCGGTTTTGACGAGTCACCGAGCACTCGTTGCGGGAAGCGGTTGATATGCACGTCGTCGACTGACAAGATAGAAACTTGGTCATCGGTGGATGCCTCCGCCCGGCGCTGGATAACTACCGAACGAAGCCCCCCTGGCGCGGAGACAGCCAACAACCAACTCCCAGGGCTGAAAACAACTACGTGGACAGGCGAATGGCGCGAAGACGTGGTGCATAGTTGGGTGTCTTTTTTGGAGGGATGCTGCGTAACCGGCTTTGTAATGCGCGGTGCATAGCGACCTCAGAACCTCTTGGTTGACTGACTGCATTGATGTGGCGTCCTGTTCTGGCTTTCAAATGCTCCGACGCGACGCTGCTGCGCGGTTGCTTTTGGCTTGAAAGAACACGGCATTTGCCACACAATCTCTGTGTTGCCGTCGATCACATTTTGCAGTGGTCAGGGCAGAATTGACTCAGAGAGCCCAACTCGTTTACACAGCATGAACATCCGATTGTCGAAGCCTGGTGAAACGCGTTGCCGCTCCGAGTCTCTCTCTGACTTACATGATGATGGCCCATCCACCTGGAGCCTCTACGCCCACCTGGAGCCTCTACGCCCTCGCCCGGTTCTTCCGCCCGCGACTGGTGAACCATTCCGTTCGCGCTATAAACGCCTACTTATGCAGCCCATCGACGCATTCAACCGCAAAACCTGCTTCGCCCGGGCCAGACGCGCTGGAGCTGGAGCTGGATGTCCCATAACGGGTCTCCGCTGCGCAACATCGCTGGGCCACTTGGACGGACCGCCGGACCAAGAGTCGATCGGCCGCATGGACTTTCAGCCATGTGCTGCATCGCACCACTGCACTGCCTACTGCAAGCAAGTCATCGGTGATCAACTGGGGACTTTGATCCGATTGATTCCCATGGAAGCGGCCCCAGCAACGCAGCCCTGTGACCCAGTCGTTGCGCCCCCTTGCGCCCGGCTAGTTGCAGCGGCCTACGCAGTACTCAGCACGCAGTACGCACTCCTACTGTACAAGGATCCTTCGTCGGCCGGTTGATGCTCCCTGTGGTCAGCAGTCGCCCGGCCAGACTGGATTTGTGATTTATGCTTTCAACCTTCAATGCAGGCGTTGGTGTGGTTGCGTCCACCGAGCCCATGCGAAAGCCTTACTCTGGTGCGATGTGATGGGTTGTGCACACTTTCGCCTCGTTTTGGGGGCTCCGGGAGACATCCGGTGCAATCGGGTTGCCGTCTTGATGGATTTGCTTTTTTCTTTTTTTCACAACTGTTTATTCTAATGCATCCGGGCAGCTCGTACAATGTGCTGCCTAGCCGTCCCGTGTCTGCCGCCATCGCAAGCCTTGTTGTCTCACCTGCGGGCGCTGCCGCTCTGCTGACCTCTGTCCTCCCACATTGACAACGCGAATCCGATGCTCTGTGTCTGTGTCATGTTTATTCTGCCTGCCTGTCTCACATCGCACGTCCCGATCCGCGACAATCAGTCAAGAAAGGCCCCGGCTGAAGTCGTATTAACAGTGCCAATCGGGTGGGCTGTGCTTGTACTTTGGGGTTGCACACGGACGAGGTTCCCCCGGATCGACACTTATCGTTTCAACCTGTTTTACCCTCTCAAAGAGTCACGGTGTCGGCTTGAAAGTGCAACTATGATAAATCTCGGCAGTGCCAAGTTGCGTAGTCTTGCCGCTTATCCACATACTCAATAATGCCAAGGCAAAGTGTTGAAAGACACACCGTGTCCTTTTCTTCCCTGACAAATCCAGTTGGATGATCCTCTGAATAAGCCGGGATTTATGTTCCATCGGGATTCGGCGTCTCCTTGGTCCTAAGCTAAAATCGTCATGCCTCTAGTGTGGGTTGCCGGGTCTAGCCGCCATGTCGTCACGGCGGACGTCAACTCATAGGTGTTATCATTATGCTAAAAAAGAGATGGCCAATGATAATTTGGACGCATCATGCTCTCAGCGTCTTGGGGGTGGCACTTACTTGATGGTCGTAACAGAGGTCACCCGTTCGCCTCGTTCGGGTGTAAGCGGACGAATTGTGCATTTGCACTCTTGACCATGGAACTCACAAACCCTTTCTGCCATCTTTTATATTATCCATCAAGATTTTTGAGCCTACCACGTATAACACAATGTGTCAGGACCCTTTGTGCATTTACAAGGGGCCCAGATCTGTGACCCTGGTGCCAGCATCCTGCAGCCGCGGAAAGACTGCAATATGCCGTTCTCGTGCAATCGACGAGATGCAGGGTATTGATTATGTCATTCTCTGTTGTCTACATCACATTTTCCGGACTGAGTTACTATGTGCAGTGATGAAAATCACAGTCTTCAAGCGTCCCTACGTTCACGTGCCTGGTTGATGGCATTTCTGCTGAATTACTCCATATTAGTAGACTCTTGTGCCTGGCGGAGCTACTACCCTGCGCTCTTACAAGTCACCTCAAAGTGACCATTTGAGTATTAACCTAATCTAGTTGAACTCGGCTACAGGTTCCATTTCACCCTCGCATTCTTTGATGTTGATGTAAGTGAAGCAAACTCCAAAGAGACCCGCCCAAAAAGGAAACAAGGACTTAGACGGACACTAACCTCAGCCCCTCCAGGCAGCCAACACCTCCGCCATCCCTCCATCACCACCCGACAGGTTATAGATCAAAATGAAGAGCAATTCTCTCAGCGAAGTAGCTTCATTTAACTCAGATGTCTCTTGATATACTTACCTTGTCCCCCATGGCCCCACTCTTCGCTTTCCCTCTTTTTTTGCCCTTCGCTCCGTCTTGGGCCTGTCTGCCTGGACCCTTGTAGTGTGTCTGTTCGATTCCCAGACACTGGCGGCAGCTTTGGCCTTGGTTTTTGAGGTCTTCTTGTGAGGGATGAGATGATATGTGCATGTTTAATTGTCTTGTAGTATTAACGGACAGCCATTGATTGCTAAGTTGTGTGATGTTTCTTTCTCTTTATACAACATTGATCACTCGCCCACATATGACCATCTATTTACCAAGGACTGATACCCTTGACGCCTTGCTCCCGAGTTTAAGCTAGGTATACATACGCGTTTCCTTCTCTCTCTATGTAATCCTTCTCGATCAGGCTGTGTTTTTTACGTCAGTATTCATAGATGTAGATGCGTTGTTCGTCAAGACTCACCTCTCAATCTCCTTCTTGATCGCTGCCGGCTCGACACTCCCTCGCTTCTTGGTTAGGTTAATCACCTCGGCAACCAGCTCGGCGTGGCCCATGGACTTCCGGCTCTTCATAATCCTGACAATGGCTGCCTGCGTCTCGAATCGCCTGTCTTGCGCAATCCTCTCGTTCGTCGCCTTGTTCTCTTCCTTGGTCTCCTTGAGCTGGATTTGGTTGATCTTAACACGGTACTTGGGGTCTGTAAAGGCCTTGTTGAACGTAAATGTGTCTGTGGGCTTGACTTCACGGCCCTTCGGATGCTTTGACAATACCCTAGCTTTGCCACACGCCAAGGACTGCAGAGTGCGATCGAGGTCGCCACCTTGAAGGCCAGTGCCGGTAGCAATCTGTTCATACGCGAGGAACCCGTCGGCTGGCACGTTGTTGAACATAATGAGTACAACCGCTTGGTAGGCTGACACGAGGAGCTCCTTCACGCCTTTCTGGAAGGTGGCTTTGATGGCGCAGTGAGCCAGGGAATGCTTCCAGGTCAGAACTCGCCCGGTGTGCTTGTTCTTGTAGAATTTATCGAACCGCTCGATCTGAGCGGCCACTTCGTCGGGTAGGTTGAGCCTGACATCGGGGTATGTTGGCCATGCAGCTGCTGAGAGAATCATGACTTGCAGGTCCAGGGGCGTCCTCCGGTCCGCGCTGCCCTGGCACCACTGCTTGTACGACTCCATCTCGTCTTTGGCAAGCTCTTGGTCTTTGAACATCTGCTCCAGGTTATGTGTGAAATTAGAACCGCACTCGCCTCGCAGCTTCGTCAGCATGTTTCGCTCTGCATCCTGGCTTGCGCTTCGTCCCATCAACAGTCTTCGAGCCAGATCCTTCTTGTAGAAGGCCTCGAAGGCATCTTTGCCCTCGATAAATCTGAACAGCTCGAGGGCCTGGTCCAGTTGTCGATCCAACTCTGCGTCTTCGTCGCCTGTGCTGGACTGGCCCTGCTTCTCTGCCGTCGCTCGGTCCTTGACGTCTGATAGGAGCTCTTTGGGTAAGGTTTTAAGACCGCCTCGGAGCAGCATGTCAATATACTTGGCCGTCATCTCCCCAATCTTGGAAGTCCCCGTGTTCCAACATGAGGCAACCTTTCGGTCGTTCATGAATTTACCAAATGCCTCCCTCATGCCCCAAAGGAAGTCTTCGTCTTTGCCAAAGGCATCTCGGATCATGAGATCTAAGGACCGCCGCAGCTCTAATAGGCGAAGGACCATCTCGTCACCCCGCGCCTTGTCGCTGATGATGGCAGCTCCAGTCGCTCTGATGTAGTCACCCCAAGGTGCTTTCATCTTCTTTTGAATGTTTGATAGCTTCAGCAAGTCATACAGCGCCTTCATGGACTCGACTTCTTTGTCGGATAGGAGCTTTGACAAACTGCCGCCATTCAACAGCTTGTCCGAATAGTGGTCGATCAGAGTCGAATGCGCAGAGTCCATCAATTGCTTCTCGGTGGTGCTGTCGAAGTTGAACGCAATGCATCGGTAGTCTTCCTTGCCGAGGAGTTTCTTGCAGACCAAGATGTAGTCCTTCAGGCTTGAGGTGCTCCAGGCTTCTCCAAATTCCCTAAAGTACTCCTCCGACTGTTGCAGGAATACACGCTCAAAGTTCTTGGTATATACGCCGAGGACGAACAGCATCCGAATCGAATCCTTGAGCAGGGCTGCGTCCATCTGGTCGTCGCCTCTTCTGTCGTATTCGATCAGCGCGCATATGCCAGCGATAGCTTTGCTCCCCGCCGAGTTGTTGTAGGCGAGCGCTTGAGATGGAAAGACGGTTCTCCTGAACTGGGTGATGGTCATGTCGTTGATTGAAGGCAGACTCTCGCGGAGGAGATAGGTGCGGTCCAGGAAGCTAAATGTCGATCGGATCAACACCTAGAATCGCCGTTAGCCAGTGCACAGCACGCACACCAACACCGGCAGAACATACCGTCTGGGTATTCCACGTCTTCCATTCCGCCAGCACGCTCCTCAGCGTATCGAGGTTCGATATGCCCCCATCCCGCTGGATCCTGGGATGGACAACCCGCTGCAAGTGTACCTCGACCCGGTCCTTAAGCAGCTTGTACACCTTGGCCGGGTCGCCCTTCCGACAAACATCCTCGACGCCCCGGTACAGCCGCTCGAGCGGGACGTCCGGTTTCCTCCCGGCGAAAACAGCCTCCAGCGCCCCGTCGAGCTCCTTGTCGGTGCGCGCATAGTACTCGGCTACCTGGGCATCACGGCTGGTCGGGGGACGCAGGTTCTTGATGACCAGCTTCTTCGCGCCGGTGTATGGCTGGAAGGCCGTCGTGTTGGTGAGGTCGATGGTGTCGTAGAACCTGCCCCGCGGTTTGGCGCTGGCCATGACGGGCATATCGGCGAAGCGGGGACGCTTCGAGATGGCGGCCGGCGAGGAAGAAGAGGAGGAGGAGTCGAGGCGCGGACGTCGCCGGGAGGGGGAGATCGAGTCGGCTGGCGCGGATTGCATGGGCAAGGGAGCGGCGGAGCGACGGAGGCCTGGAACAACCTTATTCGAGCTGTCACGCAGGCCTCGGTTTCACGAGCAATCGACGCGGGCTGGCGGGTTTACGGCAGCGAGACAGACGGGACAGTCTTGGTGGTTTGGTGTTAATCCTGCAGGATGCGGACGACAGGATGGTTGCGCGGGGAGCGAAGAGGGATTCGGCGATGGGGCGATTGGGAGCACGATGGATGCGTAAGAGAGAGCTGGGGTGGTTATGTCACTTATTAGATGGGATGGGCTGGTGTTGAGGCGCGATAAGATAACGGAATTTGGTGGAGCTGAGCGCCCTGGAGCAAGCATCTCTCTTCTTAACTCCGGGGGCCAACTCACACCAAGCATCCACATATTGACGGATACAGAGTACGGAGTAATTAAATGACAAATACACCATGGCCTTCAAAAAACCTGCATAGACAAGGGTATCGCGGAAATCATAATTTACAATAGAAGCACTTGACAGATACGGCTTCATCAACCCTGCTATAATCCCACACATGTGCCGTCGCCAACCGAAACGCGCATCATCCAATATCCAGATAGTCTACGCATACGCTGCCCATCCTACGCCCATTCGTTAGCCATTGCCACTCGCCAAACGTCGGTACAACTTACCAGAATACAAAACTGCCAGGTTTCGCTCGTCCGTTGCCTGGTTGATCAGATCGTTGACCGTCGCCGTCACGCTCAGAGTCTTGGACAGCTTCTTTCTCACAATCTCCAAGGCGCGATCTGCTTCCGACGGCTCGTTGACGTGTCCCGCCGTCTTCTTGCCCTTTTTCGTCTCCGCCTCGCTCTGCTCTCCGTCATCCAGGGCTCCGTCGTCGCTGTGTCTTGCCTTCTGGAGCTTGGCGAGTCGCAATGGCGAAATCGACCATGTATACAACGGATCGTACCGTAACACGTCCAGGATGGTCATGATCGAGTATTGCTCCTCTCGCAAGGCATCTAGCGTGAATTCACAGCAACGACGAAACACTCCCTCGGTCTTGGTGATTCCCATACCGTCGACAATATCTCTGGTAAGTCGGAAAGGCACCAGCTCAGGCACTGGCAAGATTCGGCCAGCCTCGAAAGCCACACCAAGATCGATGTGTACAACCTCTCCTGTCTTCGTATCGAGCAAAATGTTGTGTCCATGTCTATCGCCGAGGCCCAAGATGTGACCAAGCATCGATATAGCTGCAGTGCTTCTCGTGTATGCCAATCGCTTGACAAACCAGTCGTCGGGGTCCACAAAGTTCTCCATGAAAAAGTATCTCATCACTGGGTGAAACTTATCCGTAACCTTGCGATACGTGCTCATTCGGGTCTCCACCGTCCGGCTTTGTACGTTATAGATTTCCTTCCGGCATTGGGAGCCCTTGAGATCCCTAGGGTAGTATCTTTCGTGTGCAGGCATGAGGAACTCGTGCAGCGGAATGGTGTTGGGAACGAACTCGATCAATCCAGAGGACGCCGTAAGCGGGAGGACTTTGTAGGTTCTGATCCCAAGACTGCGCTGCTGAGTGGTTCTGTGAAGCTTCAACAGCGACGAAACAGCTGAGAACACCTGCTCCATGATGGCATCTTGCCGTAGGTCATCATGACCACCCTTTACCAACTGCTTGTAGCGCACACCATCACTTCCGAGTGCCGTGATTATCTTCGGTGCACTCACTCCAGAAGCGATTGTCATTTTCGGATCCAGTCTTGCTATGATCGGGACTCTCGAGTAGTCTTTCGTGGCCGAGAGCTCGATATGCATTGTCGGAGACGGGATTTTGTATTTGGCCAGGCAGTTTACCAGATTGTGGCCCGCTGAAGACTCCTTCAGTGCAATCTTTGCTCCGGACTTGTACTTGTTGGGGTTCCTGTCCATTGCGAGTCCATGATAGTACTTGCTTGTCTTGTCGATTGACACCCAGATATCTGCCACTGACTTTGTAGAAACAAGTCGATGGGCCACTCGATCGGTCGCCTTCACACGCCGGACTGCGACTTCGTCCTTCTGCTGAGCCTTGGCCTTCGTTCCAGACCAGATTTGGTACATGCCGTGGTAGGGGTGGTCCACGCAGATATTGTAGACCAGTTCCATCAACAGCTGTTGAAAGGTACTATCCTGATCTTGGAGTCGTGACGTAAGTTGGTTCATGAGGCTGGCAAATTTTCGGGTTGGTACTTGCGAAAGGTGACCCATCACCGCCTTATTTGTGGTCTCCTCCTCTGATCGCTCAAGCCACAGCGCTGTAAAGCGCAGAGCATCGTTGTTGTGTTCATCAGAGGCTATCAGGGACAGCAGGTAGTTTTCGAGGCTGAGGCGCACGAATTCGCTACGAGTCTGTTCGACTCTGCGCAGCTCCTGTTGATCCAAATCCAGCCACTGCCTCTCCTTGTTCAGCACATGGGAGTAACGAGCCTTGAGTTGCGTGTCTTTTGTACTAGATACCAAAGACTTCAGCTCTGACACCTCATCACCCTTGGCCTTTTTCAAATTTTGAAGTCTGGTCAGGTCCTCCAACCCATCTGGGTCTTGAAGCTGCTGGTCACAGAATGTGGCAAATTGATGGAACACCAACCCGGCCTCGCGGCCCTCACCCTTACCCTTGAGTTCTTTAAGCGCCGGCTCCAGGTACTTCTTCTGGATATCCTGAGGTTTCTCGAGGCGAGCAACGGAAACCTGGAACCCGATCTTGGAAAGTAGGTCAGATCGACTAACAGGGATGGTTTGCTTTCTGAGTGAGGAATCTCTGTCAATTCCTTGGAGCATTCGAATCGACGTGCTCATCTCTCCATAGTCCCAAAGAGAGTTGGCTGCTTCAATTTGAATAGCGGCATCAACATGCAGGTCCAAATCGGTGCAAGGTACGATGAGTTTCGTGAGACCAGTCGAGATATTGAGACTCTCTTGGGTCGCTTGGTGGTAGCGGTATATCCCGGAGGCTGTGATCATCGACTCTACCTCCATTTGTCTGGCAACTGCAGTTGATAGCTTGATATTGGTTTGGAGAGCACTTCGTTGGCTGAGCATGCTCATCGCAGTTCCACGACAAGACAAAATTTGGCTCACACTGTCGTATCTAATATAGGTTAGCATCTTGACTGTCAACTCCACTTCTCGAGGCTACTCACAATCCACTCCTCATCCATTCACTCCGATTCTTGAACTTGCTCAGAAGGTTGGCCATCTCCGCGGTATCGGAAACTCCAAGTACATCGTCGAGTTCTGTCAAAGAAGCCAAGGCACCAAGTCGCTTTCTGAGAGCAGTAGCATTGAGTCCATGTGCCTTGAGGCTTCTCATCGTACGACTGAAACCTTCATGTACTGCTGATCTAACGAACGTGACATCAGTTGCTTGGTGAATGCTCTGATATGCTTTGTAAACAGTAACAGCGTGGTTGTCACTTGCTGGAGCAGGAAGATTCCAGATCTCTAGTTTCCTTGCTGTACTGAATGTGCTTTCTAGGGACTCAGGTGTGGTCTCGAGACTCTGCTGTGTTTGAAGCAGCGAATTAGATAGACCAGACAAGCCAAGTGTGCTCAAAACATTAACCAAAGACTGGCCATCCGACTCTGACATCTGGTTTCTGAGTCGGATGTTGCTGTCATATTGAGCACCACGGAAGGCAAGACTCTTTGGTCCATCGTTTTCATATTCCACACGGGCCAGAACCTTCGAAAGGCTGGCCTCTTCTGGCAAACCATAGTAGGCATCAGGATCGTCGATGTTTTCGAAGATTGTGAGTAAGGTTTCGCTCATATCAGTCTCCCTAATGGCAGAAGAGCGTCGTGAAGACCGAGAGGTTTCGGAAGAAACAAGCTCCGCGAATAGCAGCGCTGTCTTGTGCATTCCGCATCGCGATGCTGATGCTGAGACCAAACTGTAGTCCAAGTCTAGCCAGTTCAATCTATCAGCTATCGACGTTTCCTTAGGGTACTCCTGCGTCCTAAGATACAGGAGCGTGTTGATAAGTAGCTTCAAATTGTCTCTAGCAGCTGGAACCGTGTATTGGAGCCAGTCCTTCAGCGCTCCAGAGAGGGCACGTTTCAGTGTCTGTTGCTGGTTCAGCTGGAAGAAAAGCACAAGGTGTATCACAAAGGGAAATGCGTCCTCCGCAAAGTCCTCTACTTTGGCCAATATGGGTGACAAGATGGAGAGGATAGTCGAGTCGGGGACGGACCGAGCTAGGTGAGCGCTCAAGAGTGGAAGCCATTTTTTTGACGTTATGTCTTCTGTCCACACATCCTGATCGTTCATCGATGACGCCGGTGTTCCTTTTTCGGATATTGGGGAGCTATACGAACCCCACTGAGACGCGAGCAAGAGAGATTCGGAGAGACTCCTTTGGCAAGCCACCGCCAGCGGCTCCTCCTCTGGAGCCGCGGCGTGTGAGACGGCGGTTCTCAAGGCAGCCTCGGCCAGACCCGCGGTGGAAGAGTCTGGACTCGACGTCAAATCTTGAAGCAGATACAGGAGCCCCATCTCTGACCCATTAGGTCCGGGGGCCATCTTTTGGTACTGAGCCAAATGTGATTCGCGAAGGATGTCTGTTGGGATTTCCCCCGAAGCTGAGAAGGACCGCCCTACAACTCGGCCGGCCCATGATAGGTACTCGTCGCTCAAGTTCTGGGTGTTGCAACTCTTCCAAATGGCAGTGACATGCTTTGTCGCATCCTGGTCGGTTTCGATAATATCCTCCCTGCTTGACACCGGAATGCTGAAGTCTCCACAAAGGAGGCCAAGGGCGAGTTGGCGAGATGAATCATTGAGAAGTTGGTGATCTGAACTCCCATCTTCTAGGATATCCAGTAAAAGCTTACTCTCCGACGTTCCACGCTCAGCATTTCCGGAAGATCGAATGCGGGCTGCTGATTGAGTAATGGACTTGAAGGCTTTCGCTTGCTCTACCGTCTTGAACCCTGGGGAGTCGTAGTCCTCCAGATATTTGCTGAACCATCCATGGAACCTTTGTGCTTTGCTCATCGTGGCCTTGAACATGCTCTCTTGGGTCGTACTCGCTTGACTTGACTCGAGAAAGACTCTAAGAGAGGCCAGAGTCGATAGCGCGTATCCAGCGAGGAAGGGCGGTGTATTGATCAGATGCTTTGATCCTTCGGCCAGAAGGTACTGACTGATTCCCAAAGCATCATCTGCGCATTCTGAGTCTACAATAAATTTGCGGACAGAGTTCAGCAACATTTCCAAGGGGTATGACTCGAGAGCAACAGGTCCGGCCAGGGAAATGAGAAACCTCACTTTTCGCAGAACAGCGCAGGCGTGCAGGGGTCCCAGAGCAGGATGGACAGTGTTGAAAAGTTTCCTGGCAATCGACACCACCAGCGCAGGCGTCCATAGTTCATGGAACTGAAACTCTGTGTCTTGGCAGAGGCGGAAGATCTCGTGGATGAGATACTTTGCTTTGAACATTGGCTGTTGGTTAGCTGGAAGGGTTGTGGGGGAATGTGCAATCCCTTTGATTGTTCTCATGATCTTGCTTGCATATTCCAGGTTAGAATATCTCCCAAAGATCTTCTCCACCGGGTTGTCCTGGTCGATGAGGTCGAAGAAGAGAGCCACGATATCAACGAAATGGATGTAAGTCGCTTCCATATAGGCCGTCTTGCCGCCCATCAACTTCTTGATATGCTCCTCGCCTCTCCCTTTGTCAGAGCCACCCATGAAATCTCCAAACATCATACTGTATGCAACAGACGTGGTGAAATTGCAGCTTACGAGCTCTCGTTCAGTCATTCCGAGTAGTCGGGCAAGCTCTATGCAGGTCTCATCTTGTCCACGCATTACTGTCAAGCCAATGGCTTCAGCTTGGGCAGATCGAAGAAGGTCCTCTAGGCTATCGAACCCGAAGATGGAGAAAGGTATATCCTCGATCAGATCGCTTTCAAGCCAGGTATATAAGAGTTGACGACAGAACAGGCGAAAAAGCACCCTTGGTGACTCCAGTTGCAACGTGCGAGACACGCCAGCCAAGCAACGGGTCGCATACTCTGTAGAGTTGGCGATTTTGCCTGGTGTTTCAAAGATGTGATATGTACATCTGCGGAGTAGTGTTGGCCACCGACACGCTAGCCGGGACAGGACCAACAATCGAAAAGCGATGCCAGCAGCATCTTCGGGGTCGGTTGGCAAGCTGTCTAGAACATCTACAAACACCTCGTCGTGAAGCGTGAGGATGTAGAGGTCGAAAACGTCGGCAATGTTTTCAGCAATTACAAACTTGACAACCATCGGTCCGTTTTTGAGGATATAGAGGAGTGAGGTTCGGCAAGAGTCGATTCCGAGGTCCTTGCCATAATCGGAGTCCGCTCTGAGAAGAGTGAACAAGAGTCTCACCATTGAGACCTGCGCGTTTGGCGAAAAAATATTTGACATCAAGCAGACTTTGACAAAGTGATTGTACAAATCACCAACGCTATCCGAAAGATCTTGCTTGTCGTTAAGCCAAAGACGATGGAGCCCGTCAATGACGCCAATGCCAGTACTCAATGCCACCTCGCAACACTGGTAGTCTGGCCGACTGACAAGGTCTCCGATTCTCTGAACAATTCTCAGGGCGCTGTCGAGAGTGACGACCAGGTCGGAGTTGAAGAGCTCAATCAGCAATTTTTGACACATCAGTAGCTCATCGTCTGTCATGTTCAAGAGAAGATCGACAAAGATATCAGGCACGTGGCCAACTTGGCTTACATCTTCGTCGATAATGGACAAAAGACGCAATCGGGTCTTAGTGTCGGTGTAGAAAGCAAGAGGGTCCATAGACATCTGAGCGTTCAGTCGCGGAATCGTGCTAGGACTGGAAATTGAGTTCGTCCTACTGCTTTGTGAATCAAATTCGTCGTCGAGATCCATCAGGTCCACGTGGTCTCCAGATGCGTTTTGGGTCTTCTTCTGTTCGATGAGACCCCATATCTTTGCCAACAAATGCAAAAGTCCAAGATCGTCTGCGTGTATCCTGTGCAAGCTCGCAGTACTGAGGTCAGGAAACAGGGGCCGAATAGTTCGAAGAACCAACTCAATGAAGGCAGGCGGTTCGACGGAGTCTAGTGCAGCATCCAAGCCTTTTTCAACGATATCCACTATCGTTGACTCGACAGATGACGACTGCGTCGAATTGAGATCGCCAATCTGTGGTAGTAGCATTGTCCCGATCAAGCAAGCTGAGAGGAGACTCTGAAAGCGATCAAAAGAGATCTGGATGCCTCCTTCGTTGATCTTTTTGTTCCAGGAGTTGCAGAGTTCAGTCAGCTGCCCAAGCTTGGGATAAAAGAGCTCGAGAATGAGTTTCTTCGAGGCATAGACAGTGCTGGGATCGATAATTGGGACCGAGATATTGGTGCGCGAAGAGGTACGAGGTCTCTCATCTGCATTCTTCTGTCGTTCCTCTTTGAGCAGGAGCGTGTATCGGCTGAATGGTTCGATTTCGCGAGAAGATTTCCAAGTCTCACCGAGGGTGCCTCCAGAGACATTGTCTTGGGGCCCGGCAGCCAACGCCTGTGTCCCGCAGCATGCCCGGAGCAGGTTTACAAGATCAAGGGGCCGGACGTGGACCGAATGATAGGACGCATATGTCGGTTCGTCTATACAATGAGTCAGACTAGATCACACAACAAAAGCTGTAGACGTACTTGGGTTCCAGCGAAGGAAAATCCATCTGATGATGTGGTTGAATGTGCTCTGGCTTGCACTTGGAATTCTGGAGTTGCGAATATGCAACACATGAAGCATCAGCGCGATCGAGGCGTCACATAAAGTTCCCGGGCCGTTGACATCCGCCGATGTTACAATATTGTTGATGTCCTCGGAGATTGAATGGTACGGTAAAACATCTGCCTCGAGTATGGTATGCAACAGGACACAAGCCGCCCTGCTGGTCCCTGGCAAACCGATTGATCGAGTAGCTAGGTGCCATAGCTGTCTCCAGATATCTCCCTGGTCGTGGTGATTTTCAGGATATAATGCGCAACTATTAAAAGTCAGAAACAAGGATAAAGACGACATGGGAATGTGGAAGATACCTAGCACATGCAATAAGAGCCCAGGAAGCGGTAACGGAGTTCTTGTCGCCAGCCAAGGCGACGAGATCCGGCAACAAGTCAATGAGTTCATCTCGCCCAAAGGAATCGGTGGCAAGCATGAATGGTACCAATTGGAGAGCGGTTCGCCGTATCGCAATATCTACGGCCTTCAGCTTCAGTCTCACCCGGCTGGAATCCTGACGGAGACGACGCCTTTTACGTGGTTGCAAATCGATGCCAGGAGCAACTCCTGAACTCTTTCCATGAAAAAGAATCATGATGCGTTCCAGAAACCCCAGATTTTCAACCAACGCCCAATGGCCTTCGCCATACGGGTTATGCGGACGGAGTCCAAACTGTGGCAGTTGAGGGTAGTACGGGGGAAGACTGTATGGTGAGAACGTCACATCGCTCAACTGCAGTCGAAACGCCTCACCACGTTTCGAATATTCAGCCCACAGGTTTTCTGCCAAGTCCTCGATATCTCTGTGAACGGCATCATCGGAAGAATTGAGGGCCGAGTGTTCAATGTGCAGGCGTGTAATGAAGATGCTCCTAGATATCTCGATTCTGAGAGCCCTGATAACTTCGTCTTGGGATACTTTCTCGGATCTCCACCAATAACTCATCAGCGGCAGGAAGCCTTTGACTAAAGTGCTCGCATATGTCAAATCATCCGCGTGGGTGGCCGAGAATATGGCATTGATGATGGAAAATCCCAGAGTTTGTATTGAGCCAAGACTCAACTGCTTCATCCCCAAGACTCTGAGGACAATTTGAGCTATGTCCCTGAACCGTCGTGGTAGCGGCGCGTTGGCAGCCATGACTAAGTTGTATAGCCCTTCAAGGACGTCCTTAAGAGGGCCACCCTCTCCGTGTCCAGTCCGTTTTTGACTTTGGGTTGATGGGGTTGAACGGCCTGTCGAACGGCCAATGGCTGAACCAGGAGCTGGTGATGCCCGAGACAATATTGGGAGAGAACTCTCCCCTTCGTCGGGAAGCATGTGAAGTGCAACATCAAGGAAGAAATCGACGCAAGCCTCCCAGCGTTGACCGTCTTTTCGTGACAGAAGTTCAACGTGAGCTTGCCTAGAAAGTACCTCCGTCAGAGCCTTGACGTAGTCTTGGAGCAACGGCGGGACAAAGTCGTCATTTGGTCCTGGTAGAACCTGGGTGATGTGATCTATAACGGCAAACAATGTTTTTCGCCCCAATTTCGCGATGCTGCGTCCCGCTGCCATTCTAACAGCCACGGCGCATTTCGATAGCCGCGACGCCGCAGCATTTGATGTCGCTTGCGATTTCCGCTTGTCGTAGTAAATGGGCTTTTCACGTAGTACAAAGCTGAAGATGGCTTCAAAAATCTCATGGTAACTTTTATCGCCAAGATCCGAACTAGAAACAATGTCAGAAAACACGAGGCTTGACAAGGTAGCAACAGAAACTCACAGGTTGGTAGAGCGGTTCCGCGGGTTTAGGAGATGTGCCAACTCTATGCCAAGTTAAATGAGTGCAAGTTTTGGGGTCAGCTGCAAGTACCTACCGTCAACGGCTTTCTCTCGATCCTTTAAAGATCCAGATTTAACATCCCCTAAGACACCGTCAATACTAATACCATGCGGAGAAGGGTCGGGGTGTGACGTACGCGCCAGATTCATCACGTTGGACATGTGAGAGGGCGCCATGTTGATTACGTGGGGAGAGCTTTGCTCTCGCGAGATGCTTCCAATTCGTTCTATGGAAGCGCATCGAGCTCAGTATGGAATTTTAGGAGCGAGGGAAACAAGTCTCGTTCAGGAAACTCAAGCCGATGTCTTAGTAGCACCGTCGCAGGTCTGAGCTCAAAAGGAATTGAAAGACGTGGGAAGGAAACAGCATAGAAATCGGCCAGCTCATCCATAATCTAAAAGCAAAGCAACGGATCACCGCGATTTGTCGACATTCCGCCGATGCGCCGGGTTTTGACAGCTTGGAAGCACGATCGTTGCCTAGGTAGGACTTCCGCCTGATGTTGATGAGCTCCTGGAGCTCCAGGCACAGTAAACAAGCTGAGCGGCAGAATTCTCACCGCCCAACAGCTAACTTGTTTATCTCGGGCCGCAACATCTCGATTCCGTGACAACAGCCAATCAAAAGCTCAGACATCATTAACTGACCGGGGTGCAGGCAACAAGGCTGCAGAATCTCAAATTCGCGACCGCCAGCAATCATCAAAGAGACCGCGAATCCACGAATTATACGCACCGCGGTGCTGTCTTGCACAGCTTGCATCCTTTGGAGGCCATTCGTTCTTCGTCCAACATGCGATAGCCCCAAAACGCCAACATGGCCGAAATCACAGCACTGGATGCCCTCCAAGCCTTCCACCAAGGGCTTCTTTCGTTACGTGAGGGTCGCATCGATGGCGCCGAGACGCTGAACAACGAGTTCCTCGTGCAGGTCTTTGAGAAGGAGCTTGGGAGGCTTTGGTCCAAGCCACCACGAAGCGATAATAGTCGAAATGTGGTAAAGACTGGTATTGATGCCCGTTTCGCGAAATGACATACGCGATTACTGATTCTCGACAGGCAAGGTTGTCATTGACGGCGACGAATACTCGATAAACGAAAACTTCCAACAAGATGCGCTTACCCTTTCCGACGAAGTCGATGTCGACGAACTCGAAGCCACGCGATGCCTCCTCGAATCGCAAGAAGACCCTTCCACTCTCGGTCGATCTCTCCTCGAATGCGGCATCATCAGATTCCACCAACAACGCAAGTACGTTCTCGATGCCGTACGCCTTCTGCTAGAACTCGAGAGCCTGGAGGGAGAGCTTGAGGACTCTGATGCGTTGGAAGGCATCAAGCTCTATGTGGCAGAGCGCTTGCTTCAGCCCGCCATGGGTGCAGATGCTTCTAAACGCATCGTGCCACGGTGCATCGCTGCTATGAAAGAGATCAAGGCGTGGTTGCAGAAGCTAGCGGACAAGATTGCGGCTGCTCAAACTCTGGGTCAGGCTGGCCCAGGTCGGATTTCTGAGGAAATGGAGACGGTCGAGTTTTCTCGCGTTAGCTTGATGCAGCAGCATGAGCTCCTTGGAGTCATACTTTGTCGCAGTGTCGAAATGAGGCAAGCATCAACCTCAGACTTCATGGAGTTCGTCTCCACGCTGAAGAGACTTGACAAGTACGATGCTCTACTAGGTAAATACGTCCAAATCCAGTGCAACTCAGGACATGCTAACGTCGCCTAAAGTCCATTTAATGCCAACGATTGGAGCCTACATATCAGTCTTCGGTTCGGCTGAGGGAGGTTACGACTTGATTAAGGCTCGAGAGTTACATAACAAACTCTTCCCCACCGATGAGACACCATGGACGCTCTCTTACCTTCAGGCCGCGTTCCGGGCTTGGTGGCTCGCAGAATACAGTGGCTTCTATGTGGATGATCCCCCAGAGGCAGCGATCCCTCCTAATACGGATCTAGATGAGGGTAAGTGCCTCGCGCATTGCTATGGGCGCTGGCTAACAGTACATCAGAGGACCGCCAAAGGTCGAAACAATTTTTGGAAGCTTTGAAGGATGGTGCTTTCGATTTCCTACTTTCTATCGCCGCCGATGTCAAGTCTCCAGATTGGCATGACCCTGTGAGAGCAGGCATGCGCAAGTGGCTTCAGCGAAAATCCCCTGCTCTGGCCGCTGACGCAGTTCAATTCTCCGCCTTCTTCCAGACATGTCTCATGGCTCAACTCGAGGTCTTTGTGGATGCATTCATTTCAAACTTGCCGGATGTCCTCCGAAAACTCCGCGTTGAGGAGGATGAACAGCGCCAGTTGAGCCAAGCTCACGAGCAAGATTTGGATTTGGAACGGTTCTTGCTCATTATTGCATATTCATACGAGGGGCGACCCGAGGCAGCCATGAACTTCTGGTCCGATCCTGAGAGCAATCTTGCTGGGTTCATGCATTGGGCTTCCCGCAGGGCTTCGACGCCTCTGGTCACCGCGTTTTGCGAGATGCTACAGGCCATATCAGAGAATGAAGAGTGTGCCACCGCATCCCATGAGTTCCTTGTCGACGAGGGTCACCATTCCTCTGGAAAGATGAGAAGATCTCAATCCTTAACATGGGCCCAGATCTTCAGAGAACTGGATTTCTTTTCTGGAAAGATCAGGCAGAAACCGACTCAGACTCCCCAGTCGAGATTCCGCGGCGATAAGCCAACCAGTGACCAAGCAGAGACCGAGCCCGAATCGGCCATGATGCTTGAATGTTATCTTCGTCTGATGTCGAAGCTAGCAAGCGAAAGTGAGACCACCAGACAATTCCTTCTTCACAACCCCAACTACAACTTGGTTGAGACTCTCTACGAACTCGCCAGCAGTCCAATCCCCCCTCGGTTACGCGGCTGCACCTTCATGGCACTCAAGGCTTTAATGGCCAGGAAGAGTCTCCAAGAAGGTCATGTCATGTGGAATTGCCTGGACACGTGGATTGCAGGAGGTTATGCGCCCGCCCCGGCAACAGGCCCCCATCGCCAAGCTCAGCTTTCTCCCACTGTATCCATGGATCGTATCTTCGACGAGATTAGCAACGGCTTCGAAGATCCAGAATCCTTTATTCAGCTCCTGCTGGTGCTGGTGTGCCCAGCCATTGATAGCAGTCCACTAAATGACGGTCTGCCGTTTCCGGAAACCCTCGGATCGGTGTTTCGTATGCCAGGGATTGAAGTCTACGTGGATTTCGTCATGGGACTTGTCTTTTCTTCGAAAGCAAACGACCTCCAAGATGCACACCAGACACGGGTGCTCCGGCTTAGTTGCCTGGAGTTTATCCTTACCTGCCTGGCCACCTTCAACGAAGACCTCATTGTCATGGCCAACGAAACGAGCATCAATGTTGACTCTGTCATCTCAACAACCGACCTCGCAACGTATGTTAGAATGCATCCGTTCGCCAGAGTAATGGAGTGGATGTTCAACGACAAGGTCATGACGGCGCTTTTCAACACCATCCACCAGGAGCCTGTAGATGTCGGCAATGCTGCCCCTGACTCGCCACTTATTCTCGGGATCCTCCGTGCCGTCGAAGTCATCACGAAGGTTCTCGATCTCCAGGCCACCTACCTTGAACTGGTCCGACCCATAATCAAACTTCAGTCAAACCAGCGCCGGTCCCCCGTGGCCAACGCTGCGTTTGCTTCATTTGAAGACGGGCTGGTTACCAGACTGAACCTTGTCGTCGATCTTGGCAACTACTGCGGCATCGGACACCCTGAAGTTACTCTTGCGTGCCTGAAGCTGCTCGAAAAGATGTCGTCCTCTTCCAAAATCACCGCCATCTGGTCAGGTTCTAGCCGACGCGCCCATCGCAATAAAGCGATTGTTGCTCTGGAAGCCAACGGTGAACACGAGGCGATATCGCGCTCTTTTGTCTCTGAGTTAATCACTCCCCTTGAATCCGGGAGAGAGGCAGAGTCACCAGCCTATGTCACCAAGATCTATATCCTCGACTTTTTATACCAATGTCTACAGGAAACGCCCAGGAAGCCGACCATCGCACATTTGCTACTTGGTTTCAAATGCGGAGTTGACTCCCTCTCAGTCGATTCTAAGGGAGCATTTGCCGACAGGACGTCCCTATTCCATACCTTGTTGAGACTTCTCTTAGAGGCGCCCTCCAGCGATGCTCAGGGTATGCGGCAGTGGCTAATTGCCATCAAGTCACGGGTGATGCGTATTCTCCATATCCTTTGGAGCTCGCCCCTTTCCGCGCCAGTCGTGAACGATGAGTTGCGCGAAAACGAGATTCTTTTCCACCTTCTTCTACGTGAAGTGGTGATCAGCCCAGAGCTGCCTTGGGAGGGAGAGAATGTGACCATGGTTCACTTTCCCATGACGGACGGCGCGATCGCCCTCATCGACTTCTTGGTCTTGCGAAGCATGGCTTTGGAGTACATTGCCATGGAACTTTGCAGCATTTCGCAGAACCGTATGCCGAGTATCAAGCGCCGAATCTTCGAGGCTCTAAATGGGCAGATTATTGGGGAAAGCAACACCCCTATACAGATCCCCACCATCTTTGACCTCTACGACTTCCTACTTCCAGAGGGAGTTTGGGATATTCCTCTGCCCCCGCTTCAGTTCTATAAGGACATCGACTTATCGGTTTGTTTGGAGATTGATGTTGACTCAAACTCAATCTACAACATCGAGCGCGTTAAGGAGATCCTACTCTTGAAGCGTGGCGAGTCTCAGGGCTCGGGTGCACTAATTGCAGCCCAGGACTTAGCAGCTCTTGAAAGGGAGGAGGGCATGATCTTGGAGTTCCTCATCTCATCGAACCGACAAAAGCAGCTCGCCACCCAGAGCCTCAAGGTTCTCAAGACCTGGACCAAGCTCTTGCTTGTCATGATTGAGTCCAACGACTTCAAAGGCACAGCGCAGACCTCCTTCTTCTTGCAAGCTCTTCAGTCAATTCTCCCAAGTCTTGAGGCCTTTGCATCCGAGCGACCTGATGAAGCGATCGAATTGGCGAAACTCGCCAGGATTCTCCTCTTCAAGCTCGACTTGTCGGCCTCTGAGGGCGACAAGAATGGCCAGGCCATCGGTAACCTGATCAGCGACAAGCTATACCAGCTCTTCCAAATTTGCCTCCAAGCAATCGGCAAGTGGGCTGGCACTCCAGAGCTGAGATCGGTTTACTACGGCATCTGCTACCGCTACTTGACTGGCATCTCAGACCAGGGGCCATTGACCTCCAACCGCCCCAAGACCATTAAGACCATCCAGGTTTATGGGGAGAGACTTATCAACGTCATTTGCGACGATGCCTATGGTGGTGAGGCGGAGTGCCAAACAGCAGCCCTCATTCTTCTTAACGCCTTGGTCAATATGGGTCGGCAGGAGAGCGACGATCATGTTGTGGAGACGTTGAACCGGCTCAACTTTATCGGCATCATGGTAGACTCGCTCCGAAACATCATGCAAGAATGGCATGAGGTCTTCGCTTCTGGTACGTTGTTACTCGAGTTGAAACTTATTAGGTCGCACATTCACTGACTCTCACAAACATAGGCCTCTCTGAGCAGCAGAATTACCAGAACGCACGCCTCGCGCTCCTCCTAGAGCTCTCGCAGACCCGAACCGGTGCCAAATACGTCCTCCATTCGAACCTCTTCCGGGCACTCGACCTCTCTGGTCTATTTGCGGCGGATCCAGAGCTTCAAACCAACGGGTCTAACCCACGTGCCCTGGAACAGCACTTTGACCTACTCGCCCAGATGGTTCGAATCGTCGGTGCCGCGCTCGTAAGCCGTGGCAGTCATAATGTCGTACAGGGTCGCCGGTTCCTCACTGATCACCGCATGCTCGTCACGCACACGCTCAAGCGCAGCGCGGGTATTGGTAGCGGCACTGCCGACGACGGCCTTGACCTGCGGGTGGAGGAGTTGGCTGAGGGGTTGATGGTTATCATTGCAGCAACAGGGTTCCTCGAGGTAATTAATCTTGCTCCCCCTATCAAGTTCGTTGCAGAAATAAGCAGCTGACCACATATTACAGTTCGAGAATGACGTTATACCGGAACCCAAGCAGCAGAACATTGGACTCTTCCATTAGTTTGAACAAGGAGGGATTGAGAACTCACTTAAGGATATTACCGAGTACCTATGTTGTGCGTATTTAGTTAGGATAGATGTTACGCAAACTTCGGCGGCGTTGGGAACGAGTGGCAAATCTCGTGTATGAGTGTGCTGTGGAGGAGAGTGAACAATTCACCGCTGTAGATAGATAAAGAGACCCAAAAAGCGATTCACATTTTGCATCCCACCAAAGAAAAGGACTCACAATGCGACAAAGGGGGGAAATGTTTGTGATAGCAAAATCGATCATGAAAGCTCCAGTGAGCTGCCTGCAACACTCTAAGTCTATGCGGAAGCGCCTCCTTGCCTGACGTGTGGTCCCCCTCAGGAGACATGCCCTGCCATGCAAGTTCCCCTTCCACTGTCCCCTTGATACTCCGTACGCCGACACCACAGCGGCATGGGATTGTTCCCGCCGCGTGCCAAAAGTGAGATAAAATTCAAACCCCCCGTGGTCCCCCCTGTCCATGCAAATGCTGGGTATCTTGAGTCGGACGGTCCTGTCCTTCCTCCCAACGCGTGATAATGAACCTGCGACCCCAAGCGTATATCGTCGATAATTAGAGCACATTTCCCCTGAAGGATTAACAAGATGCCTGTGGTTCTGTCGGCTAAGGGTAGTATGAGTGAGAAAAGCCAGCTCCTCAGGATATAGGAAAAGGGAAGCCTTAGTGAAGGTCTAGACCCCGATTGAGAATTGGGTGCCATGTACTCCAGATTGATTGGTCATCGGCAATGCCCCGAGTATCACGACTGAGTGTCGGCCTTTCGCTTGCCTTTTCGGGTGGCTGTCATGAGCTTGAGCTCAAGGGGCCAGAAGCCCTTGGTCTTGCCGTTGTAAGATTCTCGGGGCTTCATGTCCAGCTTCTGACGACACATTGGACACTTTCCTTTGGTTGCCTCAACGTGCAGGGATGAATGCAGGCACTGCGCGCAGTATAGGTGCCCTAGAGATTTGTGTGAGAAGATGAGACAGCGTGGCGAGTGGCGAGTGGTGAGTGGCGGGCGGGTGACGATTAAGTGAAAACAAGGAGACTCAACATACCACAATGCGTTACGGTCAAAGTGCTGGCATCGTCCATGCAAATGACGCACTGAAAGGCAGCAAGTTTAATGCGTTTATCCTCGACCGGTTTCCTCAGTTCTTCCGGCACCTCGTTTGCATCGGTCAGGTCGATGGTGGTGAATTCACCGGCACGAGCGTCGGCGCCGGGTGTGACGGGCCGCTGGCCAGGCTCGAAGAGTGAATCATCGACATCTTTGGAATCGAGTGGTTGATGCTTTCTTCTTGATGGCGGCTTCGAGTGGGTTTGGGACGTCCTGCGGCGCTTATTGGCGTGCACGGCATCGTGAGGGGCGGCCGGCGGAGGCCTTCGGCGTGTCTCTGGCATGGTCTCGGAAAAAGAGCTGGAAGGGCTGTCGAAGAGACCGGAGTCGTCGAAGGAATCGACGGTCTGCAGTGTGGACTGAGACTCGCCGGCGGTGGTGGAGGAGGAGAGTTGGGTCGTAGAGCGCTGAGGTGCAGTGAAGTTGAGGTTGAGGATACAGGCGCCAGAGGGGTTGCGTGGGGCCGCTGAGGTGCTGGGGCACGGCGCCGAAGGCAGCGGCCTGGGAGCCTGTTCCGACGGACGGGTTTGGCTGTGGCTCGGGCGCGGGACTCGAGGCGCGGCCGGTTCGGCGAATGAAGGGTAGCTCGACGGCGAGGAGAAGTCGTCTTCGGCAAACGCGGATAGGTCGTCGTCGACAGAGGCGCTGCCGGGCTGCGAGGTGCCGAAGGGGTCGGGGAGGTTCAAGAGGTAGTCGTCGTCGATGTCCCACCAGTCGACGTGGTCGGGATCCCACAAAGTCGAGGGCGCGGCGATAACGGAGGCGTGCGATCGATTTGTCACGGGCGTCGAGTAGTTCGGGATTGCGCTGATCGAGGCGGTCCGCGTGTTCGAGGGATGTTGTCGGGATCGTGTCGTGGTCGGAGAGACGTTCGGCTGCGCGGGTGGCAAAGAGCGCAATGGCGGCTGACGAATATCATGGCGAGAAAGGGCAGCCTCAGCCTGTGCCTGTACCTGTGCCTGTGCCGGACGCTGTCCGGTGGGGGAGACGAGGCGGCTGGCCATGGAGATGGCAATCGGGGGACGGTTTGTATTCCAGGTTGTATTCCACAACAGGGCTGCGTTGTCTGTTCGGTCGACGACAAACGAGCGTCAGGAGCCGACGACACATCAGGGAGCGAGAGAGGAGCAGAGAGAGGAGCAGAAGAAGCCAAGAGGAAGCAAATGAGACAGAAACGACGATTCTCTTGGGTGTCTAACCTTGCAGCAAGCGGGTGACGAAGGAGTCCATCAGCAGGTAACTGTGGTCCATTGTTGATTTGCCGCCGTCAGGTCGGGAAGCCTGATTACAGCGTGGGAGAGTGGAGGTGGCCCAGTGGTAGGGGTCAGTGTGGTGTTTGGTATCGGCACGGCCGCCGGCTCCGGAACGGCAAAAAGCCAGGACAAGAAAGACGCGAGAGCCAGGCTCCAAGCTGAGAGGGTTTCACGCCAAAAGGGAGGGAAAACGAACAATGGATTAATTGATAATCTTTGGACGATGCGGGAAAAATGAATCTATCCCGAGGCCCAGCCGCAGCGGGGAAGCGATGTGTTCGAGAGGCACAGGTTAGAGCAAACGGACGGCGGATGCACAACGTGATCAGGCCATAGCGAGGTACCAGATAGGTACATTGTCCCGAGGGTGTTGCACACACCTACATACTGCCACACTCGCTTGCGACACAAAGGGGCGTAATAAATACGGCAGGCCTTGGAGGCATTGTTCCGGGCGCTAGAGGGAGGATATTGTCAGGTTCAAGGCCCCGTTGATCTTCATCCCCTCTATTGAGCCATTTTGCTTCCATGACAATGCAATAGTTCTTCAAGCATGTCGTACCTCGTAGCAACGGACGCTCGTACGCAGGATCTAGAGGACCTGCGGTTTGCTTATGACCCGTCACGGAACGGGACCCTGCATTCGATTCGATGCATCACCTCGAGGTCGAGTGAAAGTACCATCGAGGAGTGCCCTCGAATTAGAATGCTCTGTCCAAAGACTAGTCGTTAAAGTCGTGCTATAAACTAGATGGTTTCGGCAAATCCTGCACTTTGCCCTTGGCAATTAGTGAACACCCCATCGAAAATACTTTCTTAGACTGTAGTCCAGAAAGTTTGCACCCGAATGCTTGTACTATGAGAGGTCTGCTAAGAATAAAGAATCTTTAAATAGGCACATAACACTGCTTTATAATAAATAACAAGAATAAATCGGAATACTTCACTCTACCCACTTGCCTGAAGACTTGTATTGACGACAGACTGTACCCTAATAGACTAGGTACCGAGCGTAACTTAGTGACTTGAATCGAGTGCAAACTTTATGCATCCCACTGTATCCCACCCAAGTCTTATCTCCAACTCAGAGGCCATGTCAAGGGCTCTGGAATGTTTGCCACATGCGCTGGAGCAGCGCTACTGCACGCAATGCATGATAAATTGAAAACCACAACTTCGCATGTATTATTTTTTGCCCCGGTCGGGAGACCCGTGTCAGTGATGAAATAGCGGCGGCATCCTGTCGATTTCTTTTCCCTGATACATCCATCCGAGAATCCCGTGCCCATCCATCCATGACTACCACGATGAGCTCGCTACCTCCCATCTCCTCCCCGCGCGGGCACTGGCTTCCCATTGGCTGATCGCTGAAAGATTCCCAAGAATCCTGTCGTCTCCACTCTCCGGCTCCTTCCCCACTATCCATGGGGACCCACCCTGCAAAGCCGTCATCCACCAAGATCGCGCCCCTAAAATGGCAACCGCCAAATTCAGCATCACGTTTGCACCTTACGCACGCACCATTGCGATAGCATTAATCAACCGCGCCAGCGCTTCTGGCCGTGCTGGAACAATCACCTCTGGAACCATCACCGTCTTTCCGTCATGTCGCTGCCATTCCACTAATCATGTTTTCTCCCGCCGCTGGCAATATCCAGCGAGGCTCGACGGCCAGCTTCATCCGCATTGCCCGTCACCAGGCATTTCGTCGCCATGGCTGGCGCACCCATGTACGATGGCTAGCTGCCGTCGCAGACACTACCAAACTGAAAGAGCGAAATTCCCTCGCCAGTACGTTTAAGCGCTTTGATTCTCCAGCTTTTCCTCTCCTCTCTGACATTCATCTATCAGTCCCGTCGCAAGCTCGACACAGCGAGATTGGCGTCCAACAACTCAGCTCCCATGTCTTCGAACAAATCTTCCCCGATGGCAACAAACCCGCTCCCCCAGAGCTTGTCGAGCTCGCCAAAGACCACCTCCGCCGCCATGATCTTCTCGGCAAAAATACCGATAAATCCGATCCCATCGCTTTCGATCTGCCCCCGCTGCAAGGACGTACTCTCGATGAACACTTTTATCGGCTCGGTATGGATAGCGCAGAACCCTACCTTAGCTTTTCCAAGGAATTCGCCCAAGTGAATCCTCCTCCCAAACCCCAGAAGTGGGTGCGCCGCAGCGGCTGGACCAAATACTATCCGGATGGGCGAACTGAACAGGTGGATGCTCCGGACGAGACGATGCTCTGCTTCGATACCGAGGTCATGTGGAAAGAAAACCCATTTGCCGTCATGGCGTGTGCCTCGAGCCCGACTGCATGGTATGCATGGCTTTCTCCGTGGCTCCTTGGCAAAACGAAGAACGAGCGACAGCTCATCCCCATGGGTGATCCCACCAAGGACCGAATCATTGTTGGACACAACGTGGGGTTTGACCGCGCTAGAATCTTGGAGGAGTACAGTATCAAACAGTCGAGGACCGCATTTATGGACACCATGTCGCTACACGTAGCCGTCAACGGCATGTGCTCCCAGCAACGACCTACCTGGATGAAGCATAAGAAGAACAAAGAGCTGAGGGAGCGGGTTGCCAGCGAAACTCCAGACCATGACCTCGCGGAGCTCCTGAACAGCCAAAGCCTGAATGATGAAGAGGAATTATGGGTTGAACATAGCTCAGTCAACTCGCTCCGAGACGTGGCCAAGTTTCATCTCGACGTCTCCATCGACAAAGCCGTTCGCGATGATTTTGGCGTGCTAGATCGCGATGGTATCTTGGCAAAGCTGGACCAGCTGATGGACTACTGCGCTTCGGATGTATCCATCACCCATCGCATCTATCAAATAGTCTTTCCCAACTTCCTCAGAGTCTGCCCGCATCCCGTCAGCTTTGCTGCTCTCCGCCATCTCTCCTCCTCTATTCTACCGGTCAACAAATCTTGGGATGCGTACCTTGCCAACGCCGAGGCAACCTATCAAAAACTTTCCGATGCTATCCTGGAACGACTTGTCGGGTTGACAGACAAGGCACTGGAGATCAAGGACGACCCAGAAAAGTGGCAGAACGACCCTTGGATGCAACAACTAGACTGGTCCGGCCAGGAGATAAAGATGGTTAAGGGCAAGCGAAAAAACGATCCACCGAGACCTGCCGCAAGACAAAAGAAACCGGGAATGCCCAAATGGTACAAGGACCTCTTCCAAAAGAACGATGCGCCTATTAGTATTACAGTGCGAACTCGAATCGCGCCTCTGATGTTGAAGCTCCGCTGGGACACCCACCCTTTGTTCTGGTCTGACAAGTATGGTTGGACATTCCGAGTCCCACAAGCGGAAATTACAAAGTATATTGGAAAACAGATGCTGCAGTGCGTCTTTGACGAAACCGAGCCGGTTTTGAGAGATGACCGAAACCATGCCTACTTTAAGCTCCCACACAAAGATGGCCCAACTGCCCGCTGCACGAACCCAATGGCCAAGGGTTATCTATCCTACTTTGAGAATGGGATCCTTTCATCGGAGTACTCATACGCCAAGGAGGCGCTCGAGATGAACGCTTCGTGCTCATACTGGATTAGTGCGCGAGACAGGATCAAGTCGCAAATGGTCGTCTATGAAGAGGATCTCACACCAAGCAACCGCCGAAGGAGCAAAGTGAGCACTGCCAACAACAAAGGCTTTATCCTGCCACAGCTCATTCCAATGGGTACCATTACTCGCCGCTCCGTAGAGAATACTTGGCTCACAGCAAGCAACGCCAAGAAAAACCGAGTGGGCTCCGAGTTGAAGGCAATGGTCAAGGCTCCGGAGGGCTACAGCTTCGTTGGAGCTGATGTGGATTCAGAGGAGCTTTGGATTGCCAGCTTGGTGGGCGATGCGACATTCAAGCTGCATGGTGGAAATGCGGTTGGTTTCATGACCCTAGAGGGGACAAAAGCCGCGGGCACCGATCTGCATTCACGAACAGCGTCTATCCTGGGCATTACAAGAAACGATGCCAAGGTTTTCAACTATGGGCGTATCTATGGCGCAGGGTTGAAGTTTGCGGCGACATTGCTGCGACAGTTCAATCCCAATTTATCGGAGAAGCAGACGACGGATACGGCGTCGAAGCTATATGTCAACACAAAAGGAACCAAGACGAACCGAAAGACGCTGTACAAGCGACCTTTTTGGAGAGGTGGTACTGAGTCCTTCGTCTTCAACAAGCTCGAGGAGTTTGCGGAACAGGAGAGGCCCAGAACGCCGGTACTCGGTGCCGGTATCACAGAGGCACTCATGGGACGGTTTATAAAAAAGGGTGGGTTCCTGACATCTCGCATCAATTGGGCGATTCAGTCGTCGGGGGTTGACTACTTGCACCTCCTTGTTGTCGCGATGGACTATCTGACACGGCGATTCTGCCTCGACGCTCGACTCTCCATCACAGTGCATGATGAGATCCGATACTTGGTTAAGAACGAGGACAAGTATCGTGCAGCCCTCGCGCTCCAAGTGGCCAACATTTGGACACGAGCCATGTTCGCTCAGCAAGTGGGCATCGATGACCTTCCGCAGTCGTGCGCCTACTTCTCGGCCGTGGATATTGACCATGTTCTGCGGAAGGAGGTAGACATGGACTGCATCACACCGAGCCACCCGAACGCCATTCCACACGGAGAAAGCCTCGACATTGTGACTTTGCTCGAAAAGGGCGACGAGGCCAGGCTTGATCCAGCCATTGTACCCGCTCCCAAGCATGCCCCCAAGCTGGATCACATCGTGTACACTCCCCGCGTGCCCGTCATGCAGGCCATTCAAGACACAACTGGAGAGAGTATGGCCTTCCTGAAGGCGCAGATCGTCAGCGAGGATCAAGAGCTGCGCGACATTGTCAAGGACGTGCAGAAAGCCAAGACTGCAGGCGTGAGGAAGACGGAGAAGCCGATGAGCAAGAAGGCGATGGAGAAGATGCTGCCGTACCGTACGCCGGCGCATCTGATGCCGACGAATGAGTTCATGTTGTTGTCGGATACCTTGAGCATGGAGTATCAAAACGGACACAAGGGAGCAGAGAACCGGTATCCGTGGGCGAAGAGCACAACAAAGGGGGCCGCGAGGCCAAGCTCGAGGCTCTGAGTTGTTCATTTCTACTAACTTACCAGTTGAACCTGTATATTTCTTTTGGATTGTCGCTGTACCGACTGTATGATACTGGACGAGGGGGATTGTATGTACTTCATGTATGACTGCATCTGCATTGGGAGGTTAGGGGCTTCAGGGGTTCTTGATGGATAGGTAGGTCACGGTCGGTGTTGTTATGAAAAGGGAAAAGCGGGGAGATGACGGCCTTGGGATGACATGTATGTTGTACGAGTATATCTGACTGTCTAGCTACCTGCCTCGGTAGTGTAATGTATTAAAATAGTAGTTCAATGAACGGTGTCTGATTGACGGCTATGGTCGAGTTGTGGAGGGCAATGTGCCGAGAGAGGCGGTATTCAAGCCGGGACTGTACTGTATATTTAAGGACCGGGGCCCGGGAGATCCGATCCAGGTTGCATTGACCATGATGCCGTCAATGGTCGACTTCCATTGGCTCGAACAAGGGCCGGGCGGCGCTGTCACCTCGGACGTTACAGGGTCAGTATCGCGAGGACGGCGTGGTGTGGGATATTGAGATCAGCCGGAGCGGCAGTCCCCAACTGGTGTTAGTGGGGGGGCCTTTAGTGGCTCCTTTAGTGGCATCGTGCCGTAGCATCGTGTAGTGGCGCCGTTTTAGTGGGTTTTACTGGCAGCTCACTGGGAGCTGGTGGGAAAAACAAGCTTCACGGTGCATGCCCGTTTCGTCATCAGGGCGGGCTGCCAGGTATTAACTTAGGTGGGGGGGGTTCTGTAATACCTAATCCTCAGCTCAGCCCAGCTCAGGTGGAGGGGCCATCTCTCTCTGCTGTCATCGTCACCGTCAACCCCGACATTGCACCATTTCCGCCGTTCGGAACCCAACCAGGCGTGCTTGATTTGATTATATTCCGCCGGACTCGCCCTCTCGTTGCCCGTGTTTCTTTGTTTCTTCCATCCTCTCGCTTCCAAGAACCTGCTTCATTCACCCCGCTTGCTGGACGAACGACGTGCCACTCTGGAGCCGAAGCTAGCCACCCCTCGATCCATCCATCTGCCCCAACAAACTAAACTCCAACGACACAGCGCCCACGACCCAAGACTGGGAGACAAACAACGCGAGCTTACAGCAAGAGTTAGAGAGAAGGAATACATCCAACTGGCCATCCAGCCACCAACCAACCAGCCAGCCACCACAGCCATGGCATCCTCCGTCGACGAAGCCGTCAAGAGGCTCCAAGAGTCCCGGCCTCCTGCAACCGACGCCTTCACCTACCTCACCATCGTCGAAAAGTCTATGTCTCCGGAAATCCTCCCGGCCTTCCAAGAGATCCTCGAAGATGCCCGGCTGACCAGCGATATTGGCTGGGACCTCGTCGAGATGCTCATCAACATCCCCGGCAGTTCGCCCTGCCTCGAGACCATCGCCCGCCTCGGGAACCCGCGCGAGGTCATCCTCAAGGTCCTCGAGGTCCTCGACTCCAACTCCGAGTCGTCAGAGGCCGGCGATGCCAACGCCAGCGCCAAGTTCATCACCCTCGTCGGCATGCTCACCATCTTGCACCGTCGCCTACAGGTCAAGGCGCCCTCGCGCTTCCTCCACTCCACCCTACAGACCGTCTACCGAGCCTACGATCCCCGCGGCGCAGAGACCACTGCCGCCGTCATCGAGCTTGTGAGGTCGCTGTCGGGGCGCCGACGTCCTCCGCTGCCCACACGCCAGTCGAGCACGAAGCTGGCTACACCCTTTCAAGAGAGCGACCCGTCTAAGAGCGCCCCGGATCCCGAGGCCGAGACGACGGACCAGACGAGCCCCGGAGAGCCCGAGTTGGTTACCCGGATGCTACAGTCGTTCATCACCAGCATCCTCGAGGCGTACGTCAATTCCAACAGCATGGAGTGGGCGTCAAGGCTTCTGGAATACTGTACTCCAGAGAAGATTGTGCCTGGCCGGCCAACGATGCTGCAGGCCTTCAATCAGGTAGCAGAGCTTCAGGCCATGGATGCCTTGGTCGGACAGCTAGTGGTAAGTTGGCAGTCCTCGACTCCTGTGCCCGTTTTGACTAATTGACTCCCTCTAGGCCGTTGCCAGTGACCTTGGCTTGTCAAAAATGACATCCGCCGAAGTGAAGCAAGTCCTGGAGGCCCCGGTCTCCAGCAACCCATTCTCTGGTGAGCCTGACTCTCAGCACCCGGAAGATACGAAGCTGTCTCCCGGTGGGTTCTTGTGCTTTACGGCATACCGTATGTTTGCTTCGGAAATCTTCGACGCCGACTACGACCATCCCGACATCAACATCTTCCCCGATCACCACCTTCTCTTGAAGCGTTTTCTCGAAGTCGAACCCGAGGCCAAGATTGTGGGCAACCCCGGCACCGTCGAGGCGCTCATAGTTGTGGCCTTGTGGCTCAACGACAAGAAGCGATTATCAGGCAGCTCCACCGCCAGTACAGAAAAGGAGGTCAACTTCATGTCGTACCACCACCTTCTGACCCTGGTGTCAGTCTTCCACCCAGCGCTCCGAGTCCGAAACGTGGCCACCGTGCTAGCGGGTCTCATTCTGCACGCCGATCCTGAAGAAGATGACCGACTCTCCATCATGGAGGATTTGTTAGAGAATTGCATGTTCTCGTCCCTGCAGGCCTGCGCGGTGACGTGGTTACGGGAAGAAATGATCGCAGCCCGCAAGTCGGGTTCCAAGGGTCGCTTCTCTAGTCCAGACTGCCTAGATGCCTTGCAATACACTCTCTTCCAGGACCTCGTACATCTCAATGAGACGGATTCGGTGGCCCTCTGGGAGTACTGGGTGCAAAACGCGCCTTTCCACCTACAGGTCGCAAACTTTGCCCTGTTCCTCTTCGGCGGGAAGGACTACAAAGACCTGGCACCGGCTGGAATGGCTGCGGCCATTGAGCACCGATACGTTCGTCCCTTGCTGTCCGCGGCGACAACGCTGAAGAGCGCTGTGGAGAAGAAGGAGATTGACGGCGAGGGTACAGAGGGAGAGGTCTTGATGCAGCTGGGTATCTTAGAAGATACCTTGGGGCGTGTGCCTCTGCAGTAATTACATTTGGGTAACTAAGCGGGCTGGTATAGGATGGGACGGAATGGAACGGGGATGGGATGGGGATGGGAATGGTCAGGAGTAACGAAAACGGAATCGGGAGGCTTCATTTGACATGGGTCTCGTTATGAACTCGGGCATGCAACAACGTTGTATGACACAATATATGATGAAAGGTACATGGGAATTGTATTTCAATGGCAATTAAAGAAATACGCAGGCGCTTGATATGCGGATGTTCACATCGATGTTGTAAGTGCGCGTGATGACTTTGGTTTGTGTAGGGTAGCAAGCCTCTTGTACGGGTATAATGATGGGCTTGAGCGAGCATTCGAGCGAAGCATTTCGAACCATGAACCCAAGCGAAATGTTATGCTCATGAGGAGGGCTATTTTAACGGCTTTATTGCATTGTTGGCAGTTCGAGGTCGATCGTGTACTCAAATTTAAGCATGGTGATATTTGCCTTCATATGGAACATTCGGACTCTCGACTTTCACCGCGCTATTGAGACCAAAAACCGAAAACGTCAAAACATGACCGTGTCACATTATAGACAAAAAAACAACTTCATTCCAGGTGGTTATTTGGAAACGTCTTGGTAAGACAAGAGTGGATAAATAATTCCCAAAATGTCTAACTTGAAGCCATCGTTGAGGTCTATGACGATATCTATTGAGTGAGCCCGTTTCAAACATATCAGTCATGCACACACACACACAGGTACGCAATGACAAGAATAAGCTCATGGCACTTCCCCCAATGAGACAAGGACACGGCAGTGCAAGGGACAAGAGCCAGTGATGTCACTAACTGTTCAGGGCATCAGAGCGTCAACACGCTAAGTCGAACTCTACGAGGCTCATCCAGAGCGCGTGTCCCTTCGGCGAAGTGTTCAATCTTTTCCAACTTTTCAATCCTGTCAAAAAGAGATCGATTGGAGCGTCAGCTTGCGGCGATGAGAGAGTGCCCATTATACAACTCAACGGACAACAGCTATTGGTGCAGTAAGAAAGACGCGTCCCTAGCGGTAAGCTGCACGCCATCTCCGTCACGAGGACGAGGCACATATCATGGCCCAACATCGAGAGCATCTCAGCGATGGGAACCGGGAGTCAGAGGCCGCGCTCGAGCCAGTGGAAGGTGGACAAGGCAGATCCCAGAGGGCGACGCTCCTAACCACTTTGGATGGGCGGCTTGCATACCCAGGCTACATACCGCCTGCTGTCGAGTCCCCCGAGAGTCGTCAGACTACGGTCGAGGAAGACGACACGCCGGAAACCGTGGGCAGGGATGACGAGCTATCGAGCCAGCCATCAGACTCCGGGCTGATACACTCAACAACAATGCCAACTCCAACAAATCCGCCGGAGCTTCGCAATCGACCAGCGTTGACGAGGATCTGGCAGAGTGAGGCCCCACGACCCGGAGCCCGTCGATCCTCGCTTTTTCGACCCTTGGCTCAGCGGGATGGCTCGTCATACCTGAACAAGGCCATTTGGGAGAGCCACGACTTGCGCCGGGCGTCCATTTCCAGCTCCAGCTCTAGCGATCTGGAAGAGGATGGGGACAATGATGAGCCGCGAGACCAGGCCGGCCAAGCGCTTCGTCCAGACGAGCTGGAGATATTTACCCTCGCGGCCACCCACGAAGATAGGTACCGGCGGTTCAGCGTGGGGAACCACAACTATCAGACCAGCGGAAAGGTGAAGAATGATGGACGACTGCGCATCACGGTCAACGAAAAGGCCAACACAGGTTACCTCGCCAAGGCCCTCGGTGCGGCAATGAATAAGGTCACTTCTACCAGAGAGGAGGATGTGCATGTCCCAAAAATCAAACAGACCAACAGCACTGGCACTTCGTCCGCGTCAACAGCTACCGCGAGCACCACTCCTCGCCCGCGCTTGAACATCGTCATCATGGTCATCGGCTCTCGAGGCGATGCGCAGCCGTTCCTCAGGATCGGAAAGGTTCTCAAGGAGGAGTACGGGCACCGCGTGCGCATCGCAACGCACCCTGCGTTCCGGGAGTTCGTGGAGCGTGACTCGGGCCTCGAGTTCTTCTCCGTCGGCGGCGACCCGTCAGAGCTCATGGCATTCATGGTGAAGAACCCGGGGCTGATCCCGACCATCGACTCGGTCAAAGCTGGAGACATTGGGAAGCGGCGGGCCGCCATGGCCGAGATGTTCGACGGGTTCTGGCGGGCCTGCATCGACGCCACAGATGACCAGAAGGATACCCACAACATGAACATGATGGGGTCCAAGAGCCCATTTGTAGCGGATGCCATCATTGCCAACCCGCCCAGCTTTGCTCATATCCACTGCGCGGAAGCGTTGGGAATCCCCCTGCACTTGATGTTTACCTTTCCCTATACGCCCACGCAGGCCTTCCCGCACCCTTTGGCTAGCATCAAGAAGTCCAACGTTGATCCTGGGTACACAAACTTCATCTCATACCCCCTCGTGGAGATGATGGTTTGGCAGGGCCTTGGAGACCTGGTCAACGAGTTCCGCGTCAAGACGTTGAGCCTGGACCCTATGTCGACCATCTGGGCTCCAGGCGCGACATACCGCCTCCATGTTCCATTTACGTATCTGTGGTCTCCTGAGTTGGTACCCAAGCCTGCGGATTGGGGAAACGAGATTGGCGTATCTGGTTTCGTGTTTCTTGACCTCGCTTCATCGTTCAAGCCACCAAAGGACCTTGAAGAATTTATCGCTGGCGGTGACATGCCCATCTATATTGGGTTTGGGTCGATTGTCGTCGATGATCCCGTCAGCTTCACCCATATGATTTTCAAGGCGGTAGAGTTGGCGGGCGTGCGAGCATTGGTTTCAAAGGGTTGGGGCAAACTGGGAGGCGAAAACATCCCGGACAACATCTTCATGCTCGACAACATCCCTCATGATTGGCTTTTCCCCCGGGTTAAAGCCTGCGTTATCCATGGCGGTGCCGGTACTACCGCTATTGCCCTGAAGTGTGGCTTGCCCACCATGATTATCCCGTTCTTTGGAGACCAGCACTTCTGGGGCAACATGGTGGGTGGTGCAGGCGTTGGACCGGATCCGATACCTTACAAGAACCTGGACGCCGAGAAACTGGCAGAAGGCATCACGTATTGCCTTAGCGAAAAGGCCCAGGATGCAGCGAAGAAGATGGCCCAATCGATCGAGAATGATGGCGATGGAGCAATCAATGCCGTAGAGCAATTCCACCGTCAGCTGCTCGCTAGGAAACCAACTACGTTACGATGCTCTATTCTCAAGGACCAGGTCGCTGTCTGGAAGGTGAAGGGCTCTCATGTGAGGCTCAGTGCTCTGGTCGCAGATATCCTTGTTGGAAACGGGCTGCTGAGTTGGAAAAGTTTAAGGCTCATAAGACATATGGAATGGAACGACTTCCAGGGCCCTGGAGAGCCCGTCACAGGCGCAGCGTCATCGATTGCGCGGTCCGTTGGCGAGGCCTTCACTGGGATCGTCAGTGTTCCCTACCGCCTGGCGAAGAGGGCTGCAGGGCACAGGGATAAGAAGAAAAAGAGCCTGCATAAGAATGGCTCCAGGAATGGCTGGATGGAGTCTGGGGCTTGCGATGTCGCCCGTGGCGTTGAAAGGACCGCTACAGCCATCGCAAAAGCCCCCGCTGACCTCTCACTGGCGCTGGCCCAAGGTTTCCACAACGCCCCTCGCCTTTACGGCGATGATACGGTGCGCAGGACTCCTCGGGTGACAGGCTTCCGCTCAGGCCTTCGTGCCGCACGATTCGAATTGGTGTATGGCATCTACGATGGGTTTTCAGGTGTCGTGCGCCTGCCCGTCCGTGGAGCGAAGAACAACGGTGTGGTTGGATTCGTGAAAGGAGTGGGCATGGGGCTGACCGGACTCGTTCTCAAGAACCTGGCTGCCATCGTCGGCCCGGTGGGATACACACTCAAGGGTCTGGTCAAGCAAGCAGGGCGACACAGGAGACCCGACAAATTCACCCGCCGGGCTCGTATTGTGCAAGGGCAACGGGAAGCCAGAGAACTGCCCGAATTGCGATCTAAGGAGCTCACTCAGCAGGCCATTGGGGGCTGGCTCATCATGAAGGATCTCTGTGATATGATTGCAGATGTAGAACAAGAGCGAGGCCTCGCGGGCCAGATTGACCGGGCGTTGCTGGAACTTGATGTCATGTTTGAAGATGTTGACACTGCAAGTAAGGCGCTGCAGGCGTTGAAGAGTGGTGAGAACTTGGACAGTATTCTGCATCCTGAACGTCAAGAGCGATTTTGCGACAGGGCGAAGAATAGTATTTCGCTTCGGAGATCGGTAAACATGCCGAGGAAAAGTCGGGAAGAGCCGAGCCGGGCTTCCTCTCACAGCACGCAGAAAATAGATTCGGAGACGGAAGACGCCGAAACGGGATATAATTCACCAGCGCCTCAAAGAGATGGGCTGGCGGTTTCTGGAGGTTAGAAGGCCTTTGAGAAAGATGTTACAGCAATAGCGTTGGGAGGCTTGGTCCCTGGAAGAAGACATGGACCAATTGGAGTTCTGTAATGGGCTAAAGAGTGGTTGGTGTGAGTTTGACAGGCTGCCTTGCACAAGATGGTTAATAGGGTGGTTCTTACGTGCGGCTGCCATACATCGTAGGCATATTCGTGTCTTGACAGCAGTCTTCGTCTATGTAAATGTACAACTTGAGGCGCTTTGGTAATTTGATCCGTTGGAAGAAAGTGAACCTTTGGAGCGAGTTGTCTGTGGTGTCTTCACCGTCGACGATCCCGATCATAATCGCGATGCCGATCTCGATGTCGGTTATGCTCCCTGTCCCTGTGGCGATCACGGTCATGCTCGCGGTCGCGGTCGCGATGCCCGTGTCTATCTCGTTCCTTCTCGCGTTCACGCTCTCGCTTATAGCTATCTTCGTTCTGGCGACTCTCCTTTCGCTTGCTCTCCTCCCGGCGGTAGTCGTTTAGGCGTGGTCGGCGGTTCTTCTTGCCGCCTTGGTTCCAACCGCCGAGGTCTTCGTCCTCCTTGAGCTCCTTGGCACCGAGACCAAGGCGGTTGGGGCGTCGCTTCACCTCCTTCACCTTGGCGCCACGGGGTTTGCCGTCCCAGCCCATGCCACGGAGGAGGGCAGCACCAAACTCTTCGACCGGCATGGCCTCGTAGTCCTCCAGGGTGGATGCTTCGCCGGCTTGTTCGACATCGCGCTTGAAGGCGTCCTCCTCGGTGGGGTGAATAACCTTTTCGTCTTCGGCCTTGTTTCCCAGTAGGGCATCCATGGCTTCGTCGTCGGCTGTTCGCTTGGGCGGTGGATCTCGTTCGGGGCCATCCGCTGGGGTTGGGTCGTCAGCCGGCTTGTCCTCATCCCTTTGATCGTCCTTGGCCGTCTTCTCCTTGATGGTCAGGCCCCATTTGAGGCCCTTATCCTGGTCTGCTGGCTCTGTCTCGACAGTAGTAATTTTTTGTTGCGCCCTGGCCTCCTCTGGCAGTAGATTCTTGCCCTTCTTCTGTGACTTCACATCGTTCCGCCAGTCGCGATTCCCTTGTCGGGCAATGACATATTCCTTCTTCTCTGTTCTGGAATCTTTGCTCTTCCTCTCAGTTTCCGCACCATCTTCGCCGAACCCAGTAATCTTCTCATGGCGTCCCCGGCCGTCGTCGTCGTCGTGTTCTGAATCGGAGCCTCCTCCCCAGTGCTTTGAGCGCGGCCGCTTGCCGAGCGTTGAAGGAGGATTGGGGCGGGAAGATTTCTTTGCACCGTTGCTCGATGATGGTGCGCCGAACTTGATGGCGATCCGCGGAGCGGCGCCCTTGTTCTCGTTGGACATGGTCCGGTGGTTGTGTCGTGGTTGTATTTAGACTCAGTCGCGATGGGGATAATTATTTCTGGGAAGGGAGATACGTCAGTTGAACAGGCAGGGAGGCAAATGTGGCTTGGGTGTGGCTGGTACAATCTGTAGGTGCGCTGTGGTGGCTACAACAAGTCGTTCAGGCATTCAGGCATCCCCGGCCCCCCTCCCCACAAATCTTAACGGGATGAGTGGCTACTTCAAGAGGGAGGGGAATTTTGCATATGCAGGATAAAACGCTATTAATGCAATTCGGAGACGAAAGAAACATGTGTGAAAATATAAATATGTTGACACAATCTAGCTTCGTCTTCGCAGTGAGTATTTATTTGCATGTAGAACGTAGAGGTGCCAGAGGACTAAGACGCTGAACGCCGAATGCGGCTGCTACCTAAGATTAAGCGTCCCCAGAGAGTTCAGGCTCAGTGTGTGCTTTGGTACTTTGCACCTAGCGCAAGTAGCGGTATGCTCGGGCATGGTGCTGTTAGCAAGCGCGTCTAGCAGACGACGAATCAAGGCCGGAAGCCACCTACCCCCCCCTGGTGCTGGTCTCCCCCCTTCCCTCCGTGCTGATAACAAATTTCCCTCTCCACCCGCTGTTCTTTCCATCCCTGCACCTTGAGTCCTACCTACCTAATAAACGCACTGGGACAAACGCCAAGTATTGCCCCCCAGGCCCTCTGCCTTCCGCCTTCCGCCCTCCACCCGGACTAAACTCCACTGCTGCCAGCGCCTGTAATCCCCCCAAACCACCATCCACCACCGCACCACCCCCCGAGATCAAAATTTTGACGCCCTCCACGACTCGACCATCGACGACAAACGCCCCAAATCAATCAACGCCAACGTCTTCCATCGCTTTGAACGCGCGGATCTATCTCGCATCGTCTCGCTTCATCTGCTGCTACCTCCGTTTCGCCCGAAAACGGATGTCGCGGCTGCCGATGCTATGACTGAGGTCGGGTCTGCCGACCTTTCGAGACTGCTTCAATCAAAGCGTCATGAGTGCAGGTAAGTCGCGGCCCAAACGAAGGAGCGGATTTTTCCGATTCCAACGATGTAATTTTCGGCATGCTAATGTCGCTCAGTTCAATTGTGACGTCGCGGAAGCGCAAGCTGCGTGAGCTCTTCGCTGTCGCGACACAGGTAGAGAACCTTCCACACACAGTCCTAGCGAACCCCGACGCGCCCACCACAACACCTGCAGAATGGCAGTTCCTGCAAGCCAACGATATCTTCCAGTACGTCTGCCCAATTGGACTGGCGTTTTTCTGCGTTGCCCCCTTCGCGTTTGCCGTTGTGGTTGCGTGCGACGCTCACTAACACAATTACAGAGGCAAGACATTCAACGAGTCCAACATCCCCGCGAGGCCGGCTCTCTCCCTTGAAGCCTTGAAGAAGTCACTGGCTAAATCAGCTTTCGATGCGACCGAGGCTTTACCACCGCCGGCGTTGGACGAGGGGAGGAAGGATGTTGTACCAAGAGCCCAGGATAATGCATCATCGAACAGAACCCCTTCAACTATCAAACCCGATCCAAGCAATGTTCCTCCCATAGTTCCTACACCAAAGATTGCTTCGAAACCGACTCCCGCTGCTTGTGGCCCTCATGCGCCATTACAACCCGCTCGACCTGTGCCACCGCCGACGAATGGGCTCGTGAAGCCCGTTGCAACTCCTAACTCCGCGACGCCAATCCCGCTTGATGCCAGCAAGAATCAGCCCCAGAATCGTACCGGTGTCGTCGCGGGAGTTGGGCACGTTGCCCCCCTGCGGCAGACACCTGTCACGCTCCCTGCCGGGATGAAAGTACCACCAGCAACGGAAACGAAAGCCGAGACACCAGTTGAGACCAAGGTTGCTCCCGAAGCGAAGGCCCCTGCCACGACAAAGCCTGGTTCCTTGTTAACTAAGCCCACCGCGGATAGTTCTCGAGCGCCAGATGCCATGTCCTCCCCGGGATCGACTGCACAGAGTGCCACAACGCCTGCGGTTCACGATGTATCAGCAAACACGAGCCCGGAGAATGAGGGACCCCAGTACAACGAACCTGTGGACCAGAAGCCTGAACAAGATGTGGGTGCTAAGGAGATGGAGGCGCCTCATGCTGTGGAAGAACCTGCGCAAGAGGATCTTCAGACACGGGCCCTGAACGCACCTCCAGATTCTGCCGAGGCCCAGCTTCTCCAGGAGTCGATTCGATCGAACACCGTTGTGGCAAGCCCTGCGCCTGAGCCAAAACAGCCTGCGCCAGCTGTGGTAAAGGAGGATATCAGCGCACCTGCAAGGCCAGTCAAGCCTACCCTTGTGGTCGAGACCAAGCTTGAGCAACCGACTCCAAGTGACGAGACCAAGCCAAGGTTGGATGCCGAGGTCAAGGATGTTACAGCGAAAGAAATTCCCGATAGTCAGGAGGAAATTTCGGATCAAATGGACATTGATGGCCCCGAGCCAAGCGACAACCAACAAACTCAAACCGATTCCTCCGTTAAGAAAGAAAACCTTGTCACCGAGGCCCCATCCACTCCCGTGCCGACAGAAGCAGCACAGAGAGAAGTTTCCCAAGTATCTGAACGAGCCGTTACTAGAGTCTCTTCTGGAGCATTGCGACTCAAATCTGTGAACGAAATCGTTGGAGTTACCCCACGTCCTACTCCGACTCTCGAGCGAACTGTGACGAGCAAGAGCTTCGACAACCAGCTCACACCCCTTACTTCTACCCCCCAATCCCCGAGCATCAGACATCGAAACATTCCCACCCACCGTCGAGAAAGATCCAGAAGCCAGCCTTCCACCGTCCTGTTTGGAAAACAACCCAAGCGGGCTGACGAGAAGACGATGGTCTCGAATCAGCGAGACACGATCCAATCCACCGATGACTACTACACCCCCTTATTCGTTCAGGGCTTTGCAGGAAGTTCTTCCTGGATGCAGCCTATCGAGAAAATACTCTTTACTGCTAACAAAACCGTTGCAACCCCTGACGCCAATCTGGCAATTCAAGATCATCAAGCCTGCAAAGTGCTTCGAAGAGTATACCATTTGCAGCAGCACGACAAATGGTCTTTACGTCAACCGAAGCGCTGTCCAGAGCCGACTCGTCCTCCATCTCAATGGGATGTAATGCTCCAAGAGATGAAGTGGATGCGGACCGACTTTCGAGAAGAGCGCAAGTGGAAGAGGGCTGTTGCCAAAAACCTTGCATACGCTTGCGCGGAATGGCACGAATCTACGCCCGAGGAACGCAAGACTCTCCAGGTCTCTACCGTGACCCCCCCTAAGCCACGGGCGGCAGGAGATATGTCGATGGCTGATGTCGATGAGGACGGTGTCGATAACCAGCCGACTCCGGACCTCGTTTCGTCAGGCGACATCGACAGCCCTGACAATATGGATGAGTTGACTGATGACTTCATGGAAACGGTTGCGCCTTCTGCCATCTTCGCTCTCCAGGATGAAGATGTCGTCTTTGGCTTACGGAGAACGCCTATTGCTGATCAGTTGCTGGAGGAGCTGCCAATGTACGGACCACCACTAAAGGTGCCCAAGTTCGACCTTACCGGCCCCGAGTACGATCCAGATGCCCATTGGCGACGACCAGCTCTCCCGCTCAGCAAGTATGTCGAGGGGCAGATGAAGTTGGTTTCAGACGGTCCTCCTAGAAAGCGTAGCCGCTATGATTATCGAAACGAAGACTCCGAGGATGAGAGTGAGAGCGTTTTTGCTGGCAACGAAAAGTCGTCGGATATCAGTGTTCCACCACGGACCAACGAAGTTGCACTGTTCGACCCCGAAATGAGGCATATTCGCGATCGTCTGTACGCTGGTCACCAATTCAGACCGCCTTCGGAGCATCCTATGCCCACACAGAGCTTTTACGAATGCAGAAGTTCGTCGCAGTGGACACCGGCGGAGGATGACGAGCTGCGATCGCTTGTCCGAGAGCACTCATATAACTGGTCTTTGATTTCCAGTCTCCTATCTACCAAGTCGCTTTTCACTTCTGGTGCCGAGCGGCGGACACCATGGGAGTGCTTTGAGAGATGGATCAACCTGGAGGGGCTTCCGGCTGACATGCAGAAGACGCAATACTTCAAGGCCTATAACAGTCGGATTGAAGCAGCGCAGCGCGTTATTATGCAGCAGCATCAGTTGGCTGTACAGCAGGCCAACTCGGCTGGTGGTGCCGTTACTCCAGTCCGACGGCGACATTCGACGCCACTGAGAGTGGAGAGGCGACGCAACCAGAAACATCTGACACTTATCGACGCTATGAGGAAGCTGGCTAAGAAGCGAGAGACGACGATTCAGAAGCAGCAGCATACTGCATCTCAGAATGCTGCCAACAAGAAGACGAACGACCCTGTCTCACAGCGCCCGACCAAGACCCCACGAGATTACAGCCTGTTGCGCTGGGAGCGTGACCAAGCTCTGGCAGAAAAGATGGCGCAGTATGCGCAGAGGCAGGAGACTCAACGACGAGTAAGTGGCCAGGCAACAGTACCTCACACGGCGACCAATACGCTAACTCTCAATTCCCAGGCTGCTATGGTTGCTAGAGCCGCCCAAGGTCAAGCCGCGCAAATGGCTGGAAATCCAGGGGCCGCGCAAGCTGGTCAGAACAGTGTCCACGCTGCTGCGGCGGCCGCGGCGGCAGCCGCCGTAGTTGGTAACAACATGAACGGCGTCGGTCGAGTCAATGTTCCAAACCAGCTTGCCGCAGCTGCAGCCGCAGCTGCCGGTCAGGCTCGGCCTCGGATGCCGATGCAATCTCCTGCTAACGGCATGGCAGGTGTGCCGTCACACATGGCTGGTGGCCTCGTCCCGCCGACGCAGATGAACGGCGTACCACAGGCCCAGATGCAGGCTGCCATGCAAGGACAGCACAACCGCATGCCTATGCCCAACCCTCAACCAGATGTTAACCTGATGATACGTGCCCAGCGCATCTCAGAGCAGCAGAGAGCTGCCGTTCAGATGCAACAGTCTCAAGTCCCCGGGACACCCAGCCAGGCAACGAATACACAACAGAGTCCGCCCCCTAACATGCGCAACGGCGTGAACGGTGTCAATGGCGTTAACGGCATCAGCCAGCAGACCTTCATCAACAATGCCCAAGCCATGATGGCGTCGTTCAACGCTACCAACAACAACCACTCCACTCCTCCGGCCAACGGCCTCCATATGCCCTCCGGTCCGGCCGGCTCTCCAGCACCTCGCCCGCCGCCGCAGCTCCCGCCCGGTATCGCCAACCAACTTAACCAGCTCGAGGCCCAGTTCCGGGCCAAAAACCCGAATCTCACTCCCGAGCAGGTTCGCCAGCTTGCCACAGAGCATCTCACCCGCGCCATGATGGCCCAGCGCCAGTCAGCCATGAATGCTGCCGCCGGAGCTAATGGCCAACCCGGCCTAGCTGGCAGTATCGCTGCTACAACCAGCCCTCACCAGTACGCCGCTCTTCTCCGCCAACAGCAGCAAGCCCAGGCCAGCCAAGCCGCTGGCAGTCCCGCGCAACACCAGCGACAAGCCAGCGGGAGCGCCACACCATCAGTGGGCAAGTAAACGAGCACCAGCTTTGGTAGCGTGAACGTCAAGACAGGTCTACGAGTTGATGTGCATTTGGGAATTGTCTTTCTGCTCGTGCCAGCAAGGATGGCCTTGTTTGGTTCCCGCAGGATGAAATGAATTGGGCTGGCTGTTTGGAACATACCTTGTACATACATATTAATCGTTGTCGAGACCTACGTACATACACTTTCGACCTTTGAAGATTGCCCAAAAGTGGCGACAATTACAATTCTCAAAAGACGTTATTCCCCAACGATCACTGCTATTCAAGGTGACACGATGCTGATACGGCTGAGAGACAAATCTCTCGCAATTATCTCGTCATTTGATGGCTCATTCAAAGTCATTCTAGCAGTTGCTTGATCCGAAAATGTCTAAATTCTCATGTTCGCTGCCTTGGATCATCCATCTATCATGAGAAACTTAGATTCTATCAGGAAACCCAACGCCAATCATGCGACAAAATAATACAGTCCGATCCCATCCCGGAGACCCCCATACAATCTACATAATTCTCTCAGCTCGAACCCCCGTTTCCATTTCCGTTTCCGCTTGCGCTGGCTCGCGCTCCATCGCCATGGAGTAGTAGCCTAGGCTTGATGAAGTCCTCGTCCAGTTGGTGGAAAACACTGGCGGGGTCGTCGGCGGCCCACAGCTGTCGAATCGCGCTCGACGCTGTAAGGGTTGGAGCGGATGCCTCTCCTGAGGACGTAAACGTGCTGTTGTTGGTCTGTGGCATAGGGCTGGTGCTGGCGCGAGGGAGCGGCGAGCGGCGAGCTGGTGGCGGCAGATCAGAGGTATCAATGTCGCTACCAATATCCGAGTCGTCTGTGTTGGCACGGAGCAGATCGGACCGCTCGAATTCGTCGGGGTGCTTCATCGAGTTCTTGCGACTCTTGCTGCTAGGGCGAGTCCCTGTGTGTGGTGACGAGGCGCCAGAGACGTAGCTGGCTCCCTCACCTACCTCGAGGCTGTTCAACGCCACGCTGCCGTTTCTACGAGGGTTGAATCCGATGCCGGTTCCCGATCGCTTGACCTGGATGCCACCGCCAAACGACTCAATGTCAAACTCATCGTCACTATCAATCTCTTCGACCACGCCGGTACGGATACCGAGGATCTCGAGCATTCGGGCCGTGGTGCCACCAAAGATGATGACTGTGAGCACAACAACGACCAAGACAGTGGCCCTGAGCGCGTACGAGTTCTCTCCCGTGAGGAGAGCCGCAAGGGCGACACCCACAGCTCCACGAAGACCGGCCCAATAGAGCATGGCTTGGTAGTTGTACGGCAACTCGTCACCAACCTCAAGGCCGCGCCTGCGCGCTCGGTAACGGTGGAACCAGTTAATGGCCCTGGATAGGGGGAAGACAGCGACCCATCTGGCCGCACATACAGCCAGGATGGTTACGATAATCAGAGGCGGTTGGAAAACAAGGGCATTATCCGTGAATAGTGCCAGGCCGAGATAGATGAAGATGAAGTTTTCGGACAGCTGCGCCAATATTTGAAAGAAGAACTTGGTCGTAAGCTGGGTTCGCCTGGACATGTTGAAGTAGGCATAGTGCTTGAGAGTGATACCGCAGAACAGCAGCGACACAATACCTGCGTATATATGAGTATAATAAATCAGAGCAGAAATTGGGGGTTTCCAAAGATGAGCGGCATACCAGACATGTGCAGTCCATGGGAGAAAAAGTAGGTGGCGTAGGCAATGAGGATAATCAAACAGCTCTCAATCTTGGGGAACCGGCGGAGGTAAGTGAACTTCAGCAACAACGCAGTAGCCACGCCCACCAGGAAACCAATGAGCATACTGCAGAAGAAGACGAGCAAAAAGATGCCGGTACCCTCGAAGAAGCTGATGAAGCCGAGACTGCCGGCTTCCCCCTTGTTATACTTCTGCGCCGTCTCGAAGATGACGATGGCAATGGCATCATTCAGGATAGACTCTCCAAAGATGATGGTATACAACTTGGGGTCGACCTTGTAGGTGTTGAAGATGGCCAGGATGGTGACGGGATCGGTGGCGGACAGTGTTGCGCCAACGGAAATGGCGTCAATGAAGCTAATGTCCAGAGACCCAGGAACCCAGCTGAAGAGCCACAGAATCAAGCCAATGACAATAGCCGAGAGGAAGGTACCGGCAAATGCAAATGTCAGGATGGTACCTATGTTCCTGAAGAAGTTGGCCTGGTGTAGCTCGTAGCCCGAGGAGAGGATAATGGGGGGCAGCAGGAGGTTGAAGAAGATCTGGTAGTCGAAGCTGATGAGGTTTCGAATCGAGTCGCCCGAGGTGATGAGTAGAACGAGACCGACAATCATGCCTACGGTGAGGAGCAAGGTGAGTGTGTGGACTGAAAAGTCGGGGGCGTGGACTTACCAGCGAAGATGGAGATGACGGTTTCGTGGATGGCCGTGACCTTTTTCATCTGCACCAAGTAGCTGGTGAAGAAGGCGATGATGAGCAGCATGATGGAGATGAAGAGCGCCCATGCTGCGAAAAGTTCCTTCTTGGCGGAGTCGCCCTCTGTGAGACATGGTCAGCATGGCCAGCATGGCGCAAACCCAGGGAGTAACCATCGCGACAGATGGACGTATAGTCGTTGGAAGTCGCATCAACGTACCTTCGGGGTCGGACTCGTCAGAATCTCGCTCTGTTCTCGATTCGTTAGCCCTGTCTCGCGGGTACTGTACGCATCGCACGGAGCGTCGACGTACGGAGGAGCTTAACGCCCATGGAGGCGAGTTCGGCGGACCACATGGCTGCTGCAGCGCGCGGTGCGTCGTCTCGGCGTCGAGGGGAGCGATATGCGATGGTCGCGGGACACGACAGCCGAGATGGCCTACGCGAGCCTCGTCAGCGGCGTCGCAGGGCACATGAATTGGCGGAGTCGAAGCTGCGGAAGCTGGCGACGCCTGGCGGATAGCGGACGGCGTGGGGATTGGGGTCGGAGATGGAGGATTGAAGTTGAGGATTGCGGAATGGCGACGTATGGAGAGGGAGCAAGTTCCGCGAGGTGTGGTTGATTTAATCGACTGCCTGATTCTGGGGTGGGCGTGTGATTGCTGGGGGTAGCCGCGTACATAGTAACTAGGACTAGGTAGGTACCTACCTACCTACCTAGACTGGGAAGGCGACAGCTTTCCACAAAGGCCCCTGTTGATTGGCCGGCGCCCCACGCAGTGCACGCCACAGCGGCCGTTCCACGCTGGACGCCCTGGAGATGAAGCCGGAGGAGCAATACCGCGGTAATACCAGACAGCTCAGCTCAGCTGCATTTCAGCCGGCGATTGCGTATGTGTCTCCCGAGTCTGGGCATGCTGGCAATTTCTTTAGGTTATTCCGGGGACGTGGATTTTTTTTTTCTTTTTTTTTTTTAGAAGCGAATAGGAAGAGCCGCGATCCAGGGTGTCTTCCCCAGTTGCGCTATACGCGGAGGAATCACGAGCCCATAGGTACCTAGGTGTTGAGACTGACATTGAGTTTCAGGCTCTCAGCTCCGGGACGCTCACTAAAACTTCCCCGGACTTTGCCAAGTGCCGACGCTCCAGGGCAGCTGGCCAGCATGGCATTTCGTATCTATTTACTCCAACCTCTATCAGGGCTCTCTTTTATTCCATATCAACCACATTCGTGGCTATAAAGGCATTGCCCCTTGCTGCTGCTATGTCGATCGCATTGCGACAACAACAGCCCCTATCATGGTTCCAGGTTGCAACTATGTCAGCACTCCAGCAATCAGCTGTCGCGCCTAAAACGAGGGTGAGCCTCCACTATAACCTGCAAGCCGGCGGGGCACTGTCGCACCCTGGAGGGGGCTTTCAGGTGGGGGTACCGGTACAGTACATGCTCCGAGCTCGTCCCAGGCGGCTTGCGCTGGGGGTTTGTTCCTGGTGAGGCTCTTCAGTGGATGGGGCCACTAAAAATTGCGGCCGAGGGAGAGCTGGCTCTGGCGTAGGTAACCTCCAGCTAAACGCCAGCCGGGATTCTCACGCTCGCAATTCGTTGTTTCGTTTCCATCCCCAGCGTCGGCCTCCACGTTGTCGCAAACCGCGCCCGCTGCCTGCTGCCCGCTGCCCGCTGCCCGCTGCCCGCTTCCCTCCGACGATCAGTAAACGCCCCCGTAGTCGCATTTGTCGTGCCAGCTCGAATCCTGACTCCTCTGTCCTCGAGCTACCCCGAGAGCATTCGCCCGGGACCACTCCCGCACCCGCCATGTACCACCTCGCCAAGGGCATCTACCGCTATGCGACCAGCAAGGAGGAATACTCGGTCATCCTCCTCGGCCTCGACAACGCCGGCAAGACCACCTTTCACGAGCAGGTCAAATCCATGTTCATCCCCAATGCTCCCGAGCCCAAGCTCAAGACGGTGCCCACCGTCGGCCAGAACGTCTCGACCATCCCGCTGGCCGACATGTATCTGAAGCTGTGGGACGTCGGTGGCCAGCACTCCCTGCGCAATCTGTGGCAGAGCTACTACGCCAGCTGCCACGCCATCGTCTTCATCATCGACAGCACCGATATTGGCGACGGAAACCTCGAAGACGGCGACAACGACGACCGCCTCGAGGAATGTCGCCTCGTCCTCGAGGATGTCCTGCAACACTCCGAGACCGAGGGCGTGCCCCTGCTGATCCTCGCAAACAAGCAGGACCGGGAAGACTGCGTCGAGACCATCAGGATCAAGGAAGGGCTGGTAAAGAAGGTGATGGAGGGCGACAAGGCCTTGAGCATCCGCGACTCGCGAGTCCTGTCCATGAGCGCCCTCACGGGCGAAGGCGTCAAGGAAGCTATCGACTGGGTGCGCACGCGAGTACAGTGGAATAAAGAGTCACGACCGCCTGTCATGCGATAGCCATGCATTATGCTAGATACGTGTAATGGGCTACGAGGCTACGACACCGACTGGGCTCGGAGGGCGAGAGCCGTTAGACTCTCGGCGGCGTATGGATGGGGTTCACTTAGATCATCTTCTTGGTCTTGCATGCATGGGAATATGGAGCGGTCTAGCCAGGTTTGTCTGGGGTATCATGCTTCTATATTTTGTCGTTATTTTTTGGCTGTTTCTTTTTTTGGTTGCGCCTGAGATATCATCGTCACCTGTCGTTTTCCGCCGTCAGTTCCGCCACGAGTCCCCCCTTGTCTCTCCGCTTCGCATCCTCTGCCAGTTTCCGCTCAACCAGGTCCGTGAGCTCCTTGGACCTGTTCAGCGCCCCAGTTGCGCACTGGATAAACAGCGGCGCATCCAGGGCGGCGCCTCCGAACTTGGCGATCTGGCAGATCTCGCCGTGCCTGTTGATGCTGTACGTGCATGTGCTCACTCGCAGCTGCTCCTCCAGCCAAGTCGTGTCCACGAGGACCTGTTCGCCCTCCTCGCCAAAGAAGCTGAATGTCACACAGAAGGGTGAGTGCAGCCAGCTCAGAGGCACGGGCTCTCGTTCAGCGGATGTGTAAATCGTGAGCGTCTCTCCCTCGATGCTAGAGTCGGGTTTTCGGAAATGTCGAAGGGCAGCGATGACGGCCAGACAGGCGCAGTCAGTCAGGTTTCCGTCGTGGGTGAGGACGTGGAGGTCGACTCTGATGGACCAGCACTTCTGGCCTGCGATTAAACATAGTGACTCGGTGTCCAGGGCACCGGATCTGCGAATTGTCTTCTCAAGCAGCCTGGACAGAAGCACTTCCTCCATAGACGGGCGGTTGACTTCGTAAGAAGGGGCGATCATTGGGCTGAGTTCTGAAGCGATTGTGAAGACTCCATCAAAAGGTCGGTCCGTATATGGCACCGTGACTTCGGCCGAGACCTTGGCCAATACCCTAGACCGCCAGTCAGTAACTGTGTGCGAAATCAAGACTCAATGAAGGTACCTCGTCTTTCCAAACTTGACCTCAGCTACGCCATACTCATCCCCAAAGGTGAGTTCCAGCGATCGGAACTGGTCGAATTTGCGCCCATCTACCCGTAAGCCCTCTTCGAGAGCTTGGGTGACAAAGGTCTTTTCTGAGAGAGATGGCTCAGCTTCTCGAGGCATGGCGAAGTGTCTTATTTTTCTCGTTTGTTGGAGAGTTTCAAGGCTGTCGGAAGGGCTTTAGACGGCGCTGAAATTCATACCAAAAGATCGTGGGGCCGTGAGATCACTGAGAAATTCTGCCGGGCGGTGAGCTCGCATTTCACATGGGCCAGCAGCCTCTGGCGCGTCTCAGCGACCTGCAAAGCACACGACAACCACGTCGACGTCGTCATATCTCTGCAATTTCTCCCATTAGCAACTCGGAAACGGAATCGCCATGACTACCGCCCACAGGCCCACCTTTGATCCCGTCAGTCCTCCCAGAGCAACGTCGATTCCATCCATGCTAACACCTCCTAGGCCGTTGGCAAAGAGGCCCTCCGCGGCCCTGCCTACCACCAGCGCCTCCTCCCCGCCCACACCCAGCTCAAGTACCGACAGACCGGCCAGGGCGGCGACGCTGACGGATCGACCCGCGACCTTGCTGCTGAGCTGCTCGCCGCCGAGGCCGCCTTCTCCAAGAAGAAGAACGGAGTTCTGGCTCCCTCGGACGACGCCGACGAGGATGACGATGTCGAGATGTCTGGGGGTGTGAAGCGGTCACTGCCATCGGCGACGGGAGAGGACGAAGATATGGATGCGAAGCGGAGGCGAATCTTGGCAGAGACGAGGGATATCGATGCGGACGACGACAGCGAGGAGGACGAGGAGGACAGTGACGACGATGACGACGACAGCGACGATGATTCAGATGCGGAGCTGCAGAGAGAGCTGGACCGTGTAAGGAGAGAACGAGAGGAAAAGAAGAAGAAGGAGGTACGTCACAACAAAATCCGCGCCTTTCCCCCAGGAGTCGAAATCTAACACTTGGCGCAGGAAGCCGAACGCCTCAAGGAAGAGGAGGACGCCCGGGAACGAAACATTGCCCTCGGCAACCCCCTCCTTAACAAGCAAGATTTTACCATGAAGCGTCGGTGGGACGATGACGTGGTCTTCAAGAACCAGGCCCGCGGCACCGAGGAGAAGGGCAAGAAGAAGGAGTTTGTCAACGTAAGTTCTTCATTTCCCCTTGCGCATCTGTATGAAGCCTTGTCATTCCCCGTCCTCCCTCCATTGTTTGATAAGCTACGGTTTCGCTGACCCTGGCCTCTCAGGATCTCCTCCGCTCCGATTTCCATAGACGCTTCATGGGCAAGTACGTTAGATAGCTCATCTCAGAGACGCCCATTGTTAGACATTAGATACCCTCATTCAATTAACGTTTTCTCGACCAATTGTCTGTGTCGAGCGACCCTGTAGTTGATGCCTGAGCTGAGCCGTTGCACGACCTGGGCGAGCGTGATACCCTTTGATAAACATGGTCCCAAAAAGAAATTCTGGGCAATACGACACGCGCTGACCGAGCCGGTATCATACTCCTAAAACCTCAATAAGGCACGTTCCAGAGTATAGCAGATTGGTTAAATTCCATGCTATTCTCTTTCCCAATCTCGTAATACAATTAGTAGAAAAATCCATGGAATCCATGTCTTTTCTTCCTTCCTTCTTTTTGCTTAGTCTTGAATACATGTCGGAGGAAGCGTGTCATTGGGAGTTTGAGAGATTGCTGGGCCATCCAAATCTTCTCTTCTCTCCTGTTCCAATTTCTTTAGTTTCCGTTTCTTTCTATTTAAAGCGATCTTCTGCCCCCAAGTCGGTGGCTGCGGCGGCAGTGGAGAGCGAGCAACCTCCTTCAATATCGGGACCCAATCTGGTAATTGTTTTCCGCTCAATTGACGCTCCACGTCTCTCACAGTAATCATGAGTAAGGCCCGAAGTATGAAATGAGCATCGTTTCCGGCGGTATGGAGCAGCGCCTGTGGAATTTCAAATTCCTGGAGCAGTTGTTTCAGGCTGTATCTATAGGAGAGTTGTAGTGGATGCTGTGCAGCATTGACCGTGTCGATTGTATAGAGAGGGTTGAGATTGATGTTGAGTCTCTGCAGAACTGAGAGCTCCCGTCTACCGCCGTGGAAAACAAGAGTAAAATTTGGTACCTGCAGGTGTTGTTTTAGACGCGCTTCGAGACGAGAAAGCGTAACGAGCTTGGGCTTTCCGAACAAGAACAAGTTATCCCTCTCGTGATAATAATAGGCGTCTTCGACAACCCAGTGGTGGGACTCTATGACGCGAGATGCTAGATTAATCTCTTGCTCCGGTCGGCAAAGGAGTAAATTTTGCAGCGATTGGGTATTCAGGACTGAGACGCCGATATGAAAGCGCTTTATAACCCCGTCTTGCTCTTCGAGCTTGTCAATATCGATGCTGATGAATCTCATACGCCGCATATGTGAGTTCGCATCGGGTGGTGACGCCGCCAATGGCACGCGAGGCCATGGAACGGGAACACTGCCTAACTGGGCTTCGCCGCAAAATCCGAATATCCAGCGGAGCACGACGGTGTCATCTCTCAGAATTCCCTTATGAGCCGGTTCAGTGGGTGTGATGTCTGTGGATTCCGTCGTCAGTGGCATCGTCGTCTCAAGAGACATTTTTGAGCCCGGGGCAAAACAAAAGAGTGTCCACGACTGGGATTTGCGCCTGTCAAGGAAGATAGAATCTCCACGACGAGTGTTTAATACTGTGTCGGGGCAATGATATTCGAGAAAGAGAAGTTGGGAAATGTCGATGTACCCTAGATTCTGGAGTGGTTGAGTGATAGATGGTTTGGCTGTCAAGGTCCCGCGCTCGATTTTTACGTGTGCCTCTCTTTTCACTTTTACTTTTTCACTCGAGAATTTATTGCATGAGTATTACTTGGCTGACCATTCTGTCTGCCTTGTCCACTCGCCCTGCTGGCAAAAGTTTCCCTTTCCCGCAGTAGACTTCGATCGGCTGGTCTACCCTGCTCGCCTGCATCCAACTTACATTTTTATATCCGGCATATTATCCGCTTTAGATTCTGCCAAAGGGGAAGATTCGCATCAGACTCTGCGATGAAGCATCCATTCCTCTGCCTAAAGATATTCGGGTCCTCCTGGCGTATGTCCAGGTTACCTCCTCTAGCATGAGCCATATCATTGACCAACCAATAAGTTGCCCTCCCTTCATAATCATTTCATCGTACCCAGAATCTCCACACCTTTTAGATTTCTCTTGGGTTGCACCCCGGGATGAGATGCTTCGCTCGTTGAATGGTCCTATCCCGCTTATTTTTGCTCAATCGATTGCTTGTGTCCGTCGTCTGAGTGGCGGTCCTCCTCGGCAAGAATCTGGTACTCCATGCGCTCAAAGGCACCGAGCACCTTGCCATACTTCTGATAGAGGCCATCGCGGAAGCCGTCGTCCACACGCTCGATGGAACCCTCTTCAGTCCAGCGCTTGCCAATGAGCTCGTCGAATGTCTCGCCGTCGTCACGCTCCATGGCCCACAGCGCCTTGTATGCGCCGCCCATGGCGCAGGCGTTACCGCCAACGTCGAGCTTGTAGACGCCCTCAGAGCCACCGAGGACCTCACCGATGACCTTGGCGATAGCTGGGTTCAGCGAGCCACCGCCCACAAGATAGATGCGGCGCGGTTGGGCAGGTAGGCCATGGCCAGGGCTGTGGACGAGGTTGTGGGAGCGGAGGCGCATGGACAGGGCCTGGGACTCGACGATGAGGCGCGCATCCTTCTGCTTGTCCCAACCGTGCGTGGCCTCCTGGAGGCCGGAGCCATTGCCATCGCAGGTATAGCGCCAGGTACCGGCGCGGATGTTGGGAACCGTCTCGCGGAGGCAGAAATACAGGCCGAGCTTGGAAGGGTCGTCGGGCTTGGTGACGTCCATGGGCGGCGTGTCGAGGATGGCCTTGTTGAAGTTGGCCCAGGGGTCGCCGGACTCGGGCTTGGGGAGCTGGTCGCGGACGTTTTCGCGGGCCAGACCGCCGTTCTTGTAGCACAGCATGAACATGTAGTGGCCCTGAGTGGTCGGGTGGTTGAAGAAGTGGTAGGCTCCGTCGGGCTTGTACTTGGGAGTATTCATGAGGAAGGTGGTCGAGGTGCCGAGGGAGACGATGGCGTCGAGAGGTCGTAGGGGCAGGGCGAGGATCGTAGCTGGGTTGTCGCCAGTGAAGGGAGTGATCTGGCAGTCAGGGCTGAAGCCGTGGCGACGAACGAAGTAAGATGAGATGCCGCCGAGGATGGCACCGCCATCGAGACACACGGCACCCAGCTTCTGGCGCAGCTCGGCGGCGCCATCCTCGCCTCCTGCGGCAAGGGCGAGGAGCTCTTCGCTGTAAGCCTGTTTGGACATATCCCACAGGTTCATGCCGCACACGTCGCTGATGTCCATGGGGGCGATGGAGCCGAGGAGGACCGAGGCCAGCCACGACGAGACGAGAGAGATGTGTGCCGTTTTGGCGTACATTTCGGGCAAGTCTTTCTTCAATCGCATAATCTGAGTGCCGGTGAATCGCTAGAAGATGCAGGTCAGCAATGTCTCTGGGCGTACAAGCACACTCTCGCATGTCGACTTACATGGTGCGCGCCGCTTCCCGTCACCTCGGCGAGCTTCTGGCGACCACCCAGGGCGTCGTCGAACGCATCACACTGCTCCTGGGTGCTGTGATCCTGCCAATTGGGCGACCACTCGTGCGCCAGCGCCTGGGGGAGCTGGTCGACAAGCGGCTTCTGGGCATCCAGGCCGGTGAGGATCTCGGAGGCATCGGCGTTCCAGAAGACGCTGCCGTGTTGCTGGCAGGAGCCGCTGACGGCGCGGATGCGAGAGAGAGGGACGGGCGCAGCCTCGGCGAGACGGTCGAGAACGAGGTCGAGCGATTCCATCCAGAGGGCGACCGGAGCGAAGACTTCACCGGTGGCGTCGCGGACGTGGACGCCCTTGCGGATGCCATACTTGGCGCCGAAGTCGCCGTCGAAGTCGACTTTGGCTTGGCCGATGGCCTTGAGGTCGGAGTCAACGATGATGGCTGTGATGAGTATGAGTTAGTTTGAAGAAGTGGATAAATCAATCGAGCGGCAATGGAATCGTGACGGCGGGGAGGGTATCTGTCGTTGGTGGTGCAACATGGCAAGGACATAACCTGCCTTTGAGTTGTTGGGTCGACAGGTCAAAACCCAGGTACAGAGGTCGTGTGTCGGAAGGCATGATGGCAACTGGATCACAGGCACTTCAAGTGTAATATCGAACGGCAATGGGTCGGCCAAGACGGAGGCCCGTCAGCGGGACTAGAGGCTCGAGAAGGGAGACAAATGCGCAATGGTCGTGGGAGTGGCAAAGGACAAGTGGAAATCGGACGCGGGCAAGGCGAGATTGGCTCGGTTGGATAGGGCGGGCTTGAGATTCCCTTTTCGACACGGGTGAACTTGAGCAAGGCCAAGACTACGTCAACAAATGGATGTAACAGGAAGAGAGGGAGAGGGAGAGGGAGCTTGTAGTGGGAGGAGGAGAGGCGGCGGTTTATACCTCCATGGTAGTAGCACTGGGCCTTCTTAGACCGCCACCCACGCTACAGACGCACTGCACACTCGCGACAGTACGCCGTGCCTTGCCTATTCCGCACGCTACCGCACGGGAGACTGCGGGAACTTGGAAGGGGGGTAAAGGCGAGTAAGCTATCGTGAAAAAAAGAGTGGAGGAGGGGAGGCGTGGGAATGGAGGGTGCGCTGAGTAAGAAGACGAGAGAGGGAGAGAGAAGAGCAACAACGGGCTGATTGCCACGCACATTGCACCATTCAATTGCGAAAAACAACGGGATTCCTGACTTTGATTCCGCTGTGGTCCACGCCTTGCAGCTGATCGATCCATTTTCCCGGCGAGCTGCCAGCAAGGCGAACGGGGGGCGAGTCACGATGGACAGTGACACTGGAGACACAAATGCTTCAGGATTCAGGATGCCGTTGTTGAACCAGGTTGAATCGTATCGGCGTGGGGTTGTACTTAAGTTACTTACTTATTATTATGGGTTGTATCGGTACCGCATTCGTCACCACCAGCCGCCGCACGGACACATGACGGGGGAAAAAAGAGCCTCTTGTATCCTTGCGTGTACGAAGTACAGTTACTCACTCTCTACCACCATCAAAGAGGTACCTATCCGGACGGCGTTGGCATTCACAGGCGCGTAGAGTCACCGCTCACATGACGGTATACTCATTTTTATTTATTTATTTATTCCTTCATCCCTTGTCCTTTCCGTCTCTTGTTCTGGTTCTACCTATTTTCCCTTCCTTCTTCTATCTTTAGGCTAAATTCGAAATCTCTATAACCCGCCCAATAGGGTGTGTGCATTCGTCAGTCGGTAGACCGTCCCCGTGAGCGCGGTGAGGCGCCAATGGACGACGAGCGCTTGTAGCGAAGAGGAGGCTTCTAGCCCAAGGTAGGCTTGGGCGACGTGCAGGAGTTGGGACCAAAAGATGGGGCTGGTAGTGGGAAATGGACGAGGGCGAAGGGAGCCATGGGAAATAGGACTGCAGTAGCATGCAGCATGCTGCAGGATGATGCTGCAGGATGCCAGACCGACCCGAACCCCGAAGGAACCTGGCGCCAGGGCCATCAATCGAGTCTCCTCTTGTACTTGACGGTTGGCCCTCGACTGCCGGGCCGGTCGTGGGGGGAGGCGGCACACACGCCAGATACGGCTGGGGCCCCTGTTGGAGCGCGTCTAAACGATGGGCGCCCCTTCCAAGCTACTGCGTCCCTGGTGTCCCATGATGCGGCAAGCTTGATGCTGCAATGTTCCGTGTTCCCATGCGTTTCCAATGCTCCATTCCCTCCAATGTCATGTTACAATGTAGCGTCTGCGTGCGTGCGTATCAGCGCCGCCCTGATGCATGTGCATTGCATCTCTCCGGCACTCAAGCCATCTTGGGCCTTAGATGCTGAAGGGGTAGCTCTCGGGGTTCTCGGAGAAGATGGGAGGGGTGTAAATGTGCGTAAAGGTATGTGTAGTTGTGCATGTGTTTTGTTGTGTGTGCTGTACTCCGTGTCCGTCAGCTCGTTTGTCATGGGCAGCTTTTATCCGAAATTCCAGCTCTTCCGGACGGGTATCCACCCCGAGCCCGCGGCACCACCCGATCTCAGTCACCGCCAAAAAGTCACAGGTCCAAGGACCCCAGGGCCCTGAAGCTTGACAGATGACCAGGAAGTGGGATAGGGAACAGCATGGGGGTTTTCAATGGTGGGGGGCTCGATGCCAGGAACCCGTAGCCTTCTGCTCCCGGTCACCGCTGGCTCTTTAATGCCTGTGCTTGTGATCGTGGTTGCCGTTGGCCGCGCCGTTAGTCCCGTTGGGCTTGTGATCATGATCGTGGTCATGCTCGTCCGTTTCGTCACTCGATTCCTCCTCGTCCGGCGACGGGGTGTCTGTCCCCAATATGAAGTCGTCAAACTTGGCGTTGACGGGACCCTCCTTGGGTGCGAATCGGACTCGTATCCTCCTCACGCCGCGCACCTTGCCTCCCACCTGAGTGCGCACTGCTTCCTCCGCTTCCTTGGCCTGTTCCATAGTCCACACTCCCGGTACCGCCAGTTCCAAATCGACCAGGTAGTTCTGTCCAGATTTGACACCGCTCACATCGCGCAGCTCCACGTTGTGCTCGTCGCCCATGTTCGCCAGTGCCTTCTGTGTGTGCTTGCGCACTGATGTCTTGATCTCGTCGTCGATGCTCTGATCTGCCAGCTCGCAGAATGCCGCCATCGTGTTACCCCAGCCCGCATGGATCACCATGATGGAAATTAGCAGCCCGCCGACGGGATCCAGCCACGCGGCGTTCTCAACAGCGTTGGCACCCATAATGGCCGCCAACGTCACAAAGCCCGTCAGACTATCGACTCGGTGGTGGATGGCATTGGATGCCAGGACGGATGACTTGCGTTCCCGCGCAACCTTCATAGCTACGATTGGTCAATTCCACAATTCTTGCTTTGGACTAGCGACCCCGGAATATTTTTTTGGGGTCCGTCTCATAAAATGATGGCAGACGCGTCTCAAACGGCGCGAGGTAAAACAGGAAATTTGCACTTACTTGCGTGGTAGAGCCATTCCTTGATCAGAATGGTTCCTGCAGCCAACCATGCCGCATGCATGCTCGGGATCCCCAGAGCCGCAGCCCCGTGGGAATGACTGTGGCCGTGGCCGACGTGTTCCATGATACCATGCGCCGCCTCGGGGTAGAAGTGACCATACAAACTGAGCCCGCTTTCCCAGCCCATGTATAGTCCACCAGCTAGCAACATACCCGAGACACCCAACGAGCCCAGACTCTCAATTTTGCCAAAGCCCTGCGGGAAGCGGTCGGTCGGCGGCTTCAGACTCCATGAAACGGTCGCGAGGGTCAGAATGTCTGAGGCGAGATCCGTGATGCTGTGCCAGGCGTCGGCCGTCATTGCCTTGGAATTGAAGGCCCATCCGCCGGCGAACTTTGCGATTGCCATGCACAGGTTCGACAGCAAACCGATCCGGGTAATCCGCACGCCAGGGTCGTTCTTGTTGGTTGAAGTCAAGAAGGCATTGTCGTGATGATGGTGGTGATGGCCGTGGCCGTGGCTGTGGCCGTGGCTGTGGCCGTGGCTGTGGCCGTGGCCGCTGTGGGCTCGGCTCTGCGTTGTCGACACGGCCATGAGGGCGGGTAGTGAGCGAAGTTTGCTGCGAAGTGTGGCGAGAGGGGGAAGATTAGGATGTGCGCGAGAGGATGTGGACGGGGAGGAGGAGGATGAAGATGAGGAGGAGAAGGAGGAGAAAGTCGACGGAGACTGGGAGGCGCGGGCAAGATAAGCGCAACTGGAAAGAGCGACGACGGCAGATGCAGTCCGAAGGACGCGTAGGCAAGCAAGGTTTGGTTGATGTGTCCTCAGGAGAAGCATCTGGCCTCGCCCGTGTCGCGAGACATGTCCCCACGACAAGCTGCGCGAGGTGTGGGCGGCATGGGCGTGGACGTGCGCGCGTCTAGGAGCTGAAGCTGGCGTGGCGGCCGTCGCTTTGGCCGACTCCGACGTCACTCCAGACAGGCACACGTCCACGCCCATGAGACGCCCGGCCTGGGAGCTCATAAGGCCGGCCGGGTGGTGGGCGCAGGGGGGGGCGTGTGAGGGAAAAGGGCGCCGTCCAGGAGGGGGACAGGAGGGTTGACAGCGTCGGCGATGTCGAGAGCGAGGGCGGTAGGTGGTGTGAGGCCCGCCGGAGAGAGGGAGAGGGAGAGGGAGGAAGATGGAGAGAGAGCCTTTGGTTGACGATTTGCCTCGCCTCGTTCGTCCTGGTCCTGGCCTGGTCCTGGCTGCGCCCGTTAACGGAGGACCGACGCAGTTGCTCGGGTCGGCGCACCAGGTGGTTTTGCTCGGTTGGCCCGGCCAGCTGGGGCTCGTCGGGGGCTTCGGGCGCTTTGGGGGGGAATCTGATGCGGCAATTGGCAGCTAACGCCATCTGATAACTCTTTGACAGAGTAGCACGGCCTGAGAACCCACTCGAGCGCGCGCGAACGCGGTTCCGGTCGCCGGAGTTGGGATTGGAGGTTTTCTTGTCAGCTCCTAGTAATCAGCTCCAGGTAATCAGCTCCCGATGCCGACCCGGGGCGGTACGGGAGAGTCAAATCAGCGAGCGCAGTGGTCAATCACCCATCTTTCAGTGGTCGTGGTGCAGGTTCGGCGCAGTTCGGGGCTCCTCTAGGAACTATTACAGGACTACTACAGGACCTGGGTCTAGGGAACACTTCCAGGGGTGTCTCACTGGCAGTCTACCGAGAGAGGGGCTCCGTTCCCAATGGACCTACGTAGGTAATAAATAGCCTCGCCATAAGTATGGCTCCATGTGAAAACTGTACGCATAAACCGCTTTCAGAGGGAATCAATTCAGAGGGAATCACTGGCTCACCACTGGCTCGTTCAGGGTCTGAGCCGTAATTCCGAGGCGTCTTCGGGGGCTCCCGTCCATCCTCTCCAGGGGGCCCTTTGGATCTCTTGGTCAGCGCCTTTACAAGGCTCGCGCAGTGGGTCGTCGGCGCCACACTCCCCAAAGCCACAGAAGGGTTCCAAGGTTGCATTTGCTGACGAGGCCACGAGGCTGAGAGGGATCGTCCATGCGAAAAGCTGAAACCCATGACGCGCCTTCCTGCACCCTGCGTGGCGATTATTCCCCAAATCTATCAACCCCAAACTTCGCTTTCCAAGCCGCATCTCGTCGCCACGTCTAGACTTGCGTAATTCTCATCTCTCGCTTTCAAATGCCTACGTAATAATACCACCCCCCCCCCCCCGTTAATTTCCCCCCAATTGTTAACCTTATTGGATTACCCCTGGCCCATTGTGTTTCCCGTCCCCCCCAGCTGAGCCAATCTCTTGTCAAGAATTGGAAACATCGCTGTCATCTCGAATCCTAGTCTGGGGACGCTGGGTGGCTCTGACACAAACGAATCACCGTAGGGCACGAGGCATACACGGCAGACCAGCGGCGCTCGGGTCAAACCATGCCATTGCATTACATTATTACATTGCGTCACTTCACACTTCACCACACGGAACATCGCCCCAATGAGGAACACTCTCTTCCGCATCCCGTACACGGATCTTCTGCCTCCGTCAAGCATCACGCCTACCTCGGCACGCTCTCTCCAGGGCGGCGTCGACGCTCTTCATCGGTTCTTTGCCACCCCGTCCCCGGCCCATTTACCTACTTCGACCGTCGTCATCACCGGCGCCGGCTTGTCTGTGGCCTCGGGTCTCGCCGACTATCGCGGGGTCAATGGCACTTACAAGGTGAACAAGGCTTACCGTCCCATCTACTACCCCGAGTTCCTCAAGAATCATGAAGCTCGCAAGCGATACTGGGCGCGAAGTTTTCTAGGATGGTCTAGTCTTGACAAGGCCTCGCCCAACACGGGTCACTATGCCGTGAGGGATCTCGGCCAGCTTGGACTTGTCCGCTCTGTGATTACCCAGAATGTTGATTCTTTTCATCCTCAAGCCCATCCCGACTTGCCTACCCTTGAGCTACATGGATATCTAAGATCTATCATCTGCACGACTTGCAAATCCGAGTTCTCGCGAGACGAGTTCCAGGCCGAGTTGAGCCGCCTCAATCCACGATGGGCTGCTCTACTGAAGGAGGCGCTCGCATCTGGCGCCTTGGACACCGAAGACCCGGATGAGCGGAGGTTCAGAGGCATCAAAGTGAACCCCGACGGTGACGTTGATCTACCAGACGCCCCTTACACGACCTTCAGATATCCGTCCTGCCGCAAGTGTTTGTCAAATCCGCCCACCCAACCCGACGGTCATAGACACATCGTTGAGGTTGATTCAGATGGTGCCTGGGCGCATCCCAGTACTGCGGGCATCCTCAAACCCGCCGTTGTCATGTTTGGAGAGAATATCAACCCCGCCGTCAAGGACGCGGCTGAAGATGCTATTGACAACGCAGGGAAGCTACTCGTCCTGGGTACATCCCTCGCAACATACTCCGCATGGAGACTCGCTAAGCGCGCTCAAGATCGGGGAATGCCCATGGCCGTTGTCAGCATAGGCGGGGTGAGAGGCGAGGACGACTTTTTCAAAGAGCTCGACCCTAACCAACAGGGCGAGCAAGGCGTAAGAGTTGAGTTGTCGACCGACGACCTCCTTCCGGCCCTTGTTTCGGAACTGCGCAAAGACGCAGCGGTCCTATCGTCCGGAACATCCACATCTGATGCTGTACCAGGAAACCATGGCGTTTTTAGGGACATGCTTTCTTGAATACATGTGCAGAGCCAATTAGAAAGATAGAATCATTTAGAAGAAATTTCCAAGGCTTCTAGTCTTCGCTTTCCTCGGCGCAGCTTCGGTAGTGGATGCTGGCTCTTCGATCTGGGCAACAGCTTCCACCTTCGTGATTGGTTCGGATTGGTTCGCCTTCTCTTGTCTCTGCGCCTTGCGCGTTGCTTCGTCCCGCTCAATGGATTTCAGCACTACCAGCAACGTCAGCAACATATCCCGTGGATGTCAGTGTCACAAAGAACATACACTCTTCCCAATCCGCCTCCTTCTTGGCGTCTCCAGTTCCCAAGGTCTTCTCCACATCCACTGATTCACCCCTCTGGATCTTCTCCACAACCTCCCGAAGGGTCGTGATCCGAGCCTCTGACTGTCGCATGTACCGGTCGAAGGAATGACGTAGGGTAATCATTTGGATCGACATGGATCCGATGAGCAGAAAGATGGCGATGAAGAATGTCGCAGGGTTCCATTCTCTCGCCTTTTTTTTGCTAGCTGCCCGGTTCTCCTTGCGAAACGGCTTCGGTATTAGGGATCTCCAGAATGTGCCCGCCACAACGGTCGCCGGGACAGTACTCGAGAATCGGATGTTGGAACGAGGGATATGGGATGCCTTGGTGGAGAGCGAAGTAGCTGGCAAGCTGCCGGGCCGCGTGAGGAGTCGTCGAATTGACATTTCGCTGGTGCGTATCGTCGTCTGCATTTCAAAAGAGATATATCGCTACTTTGAAGTCCCGCGGGTCCAAGACTTTGTTCCAGAAGAAGTTCAGAGCACGGGCCATTTGATCCAGGACCGGGCGGTTGCCCCTGACAACCTCCGGTGTTTAGCCCCGAATCGCCAACCGGGGGCTCACGCACTAATCATCATTGCTTCAATTGCAGACTCTCGTTCACTAAATCATATTGTGTCTCCGCTTGGATAGGGGCTTTGGAGTTCTTGCGACGATATGATTAGGAGCTCACGCACATAACATACATGGCTTCACTTCAAGCAAAGGCCGACGCTGTCAAGGCCGCGCTCGCGTCAACTTCGACATCCACGCCCACCACCGTCGTGACGGTCAAGGAGTTGCTGCTCCCGGACGCCGAGACGACATCCACAACATCACAAACAACCACACGAACCGCGCGATCGAATACAATCCCCAAGACGAAGAAGAATGGCACCGGCCGTTCCACCGCCGCAAAGGCAGTTGCCAGCGCGCAACCCGATCAGATGGCCATCAAAGACCGGGCTGCGCTGGCGACTCACGTTATCAACATCACCATCAAGTCCCTAACTGAGGCCGCGAAGCCTCCGCCTCCAGAAACGCCGAGCAAACGGCAACCGTCTCACAACGAGCTACGAAAAGCCCCCGGCCAACGGACGCTGAGGAGGTCACTCTCCGCCCCTTTGTCCCCGATACAGCCTCGGACACTCAACCGAACCGCCACTTCGCCAAACATTGGCTCGAAAGCGACGACCACCCAGCCTGCGGCGCATTCGACAGGATGCCTGGCAACAGTCGAATGCGCGCGAACTGCCTTCGCGTGCCTTCGATCAATCAAAGGCCCCGTACAGGCGAACCAGACGGACTTCCAGCTTGAGAATGGCATGTCGGCCTTTGTCGGGAAGCTACTGGCTCTTGGTCTTCAGGAGCAGGCGATCAAGGAGCTGAGGATACTGAAGCGCAGGCTGGGTGCTGCCACCTCCAAGGACGCGGCGAAGACTGCGAAATCAGCACCAGCCGAGAGTCAAACTGCAGCTCAAGTGATCGCCGAGCTGCTCGACTACGACGGTCCAATCCCGGATCAGAGCCTCCCCATTATCACCACTTGTCAGATTCAGGTTGTCCGCCTCATCGCCCTCTCCAAGAAACCCGCCCAAATCGAAGCCGCGCTACCTTTTCTCCGTGAATCGCACCCCTCCTCACCACTCAATCTTTTGCAAAAACTTGCCGGACTAAACGACAAGGAGGGGCAAAAGGCTGCTCGACAGCTCGCCTCTCTATCGCAAATTCTTCTCTCGTTGGCACCGAGTGTCTCCAGCAAGGAAGATCATGTGGCGACGGAATCGAGACTTAGTCCCTCTCCTAGTTCGGCCTTTCAACTCCAGGTGCTATGCTTCAGGGCTCAGCTGCGATGGTGGAAATTGGCAGGACACCGGGGTGTTGTGGATGACGACGTCCTCTCACCTTTTACACGATGCATTCGCGCATTCACAAGACGCCAGCCAACCGGAGATGGCACTACCTTCACCATGATTAGTACATCCTTCGACGCTTTGATGGAGCTGGTTCGCTCGCAGCAGTCGCAGCCCAGGAAATCATCCGATTCGCCTCTTGCGACCATCTACCAGCTCTTGGGAGTTGCCGCTCATACTGAACGACAATACGAAGAGGCGCACCACTGGTTCAAGCAACTCAAGGACTTGATGCAGCCCGAACAAGACTCGTTCGTTCGTGTTTGCTCAATTTCTGCACGCCTGCTCGCTGCCGCTTTGAAGAAACCCTTGCTCGATCGCGATGCAGACAAGTTGGTTCTCGAAATTGTAGAGAGTCTTGATGGCAGTCTAAGCGGAAGCGTCTCGGAGCTTAACGAGCTGCTGGAAAGTCTCTCTCTTGCACGACGATCGGCCGTCGGCCTTCTCGTCAGCAAGATCAATGAGAAGAACTCGGGCGACTCTTCCAAGATACTCATTGACCATCTCAAGTCATTTCTCGTTCGATATCCTCGATTCGCTCGTCGGTGGCTGGGTGCTCCTCCAGCCAGAGACTCCTCTGCAAAACTCCTTCTCCAGTTCGATCAGAGACGACAGGTTCTTATGCAGACCATCAGTCAAGTCCTTGATGGAGCTCTAATGGTTGTCAATTCTGATATCCAAGCCGACTCGATCACTTGGCAAGACCTAGACGACATATTGCAAGACTGCGCCAAGCTGCTGGAGTCTGTTGCGGACCCAATGCTGTCCGCACCGCGCGCCGACCAGCTTGGGAGCTACTACGTCAAAATGTCCAGTCTTTACTTTTCAAAATTCACACAGCTACGGAAAATCACTGGAAAATCAAAGGACATCAGCAAACAGATTTTGCAAACTCTCAGTCGGTCTATTGAGCTGGTCAAGGATCGACCACCAGCTCAGCAGGAAAAGGCTCAGCTATCCATCAAACTAGAACTCTTTGCCGATCTCTGCAAAGGAGCTGGTAGAGGAAACGACGCGGTCCGTACGTTGCGCTCGATTTGCACGAACATGATCGAGGAGGGGGCTTTGCTCAAGGTGACAGCTGCTATGGCGTCCCAAGCACCCAGCGTAGCCTGGAGTGTTGATGAGAAGGCCGAGACTCTCTCACGGACTCTGCGCTCGATTGCAAAGTTGGACCACTCTTGGAATGACTGGGCATTTTTCTTGCCCGAGGCCGAGCGCGCTGCGGTGCTTGAGCATCTCATGGAGATTTCGAATGGCACATCTGCTCAGGGCAAGCCCCTCAAAATCCATGACCCATGTGTGGGAGCACTTCTGCGGCTTTACACTCTTGACCGGTTCCCAATCCGACGTCTGCGTGTCTTGCTTAACCTTCTCTTCCAGAACCTTGGCGAAGGGAGTGAGATGGAGAAAATTGGAGCCTTGGCTGACGAGGCTATGCTGAAATCTGAGGGCAAGTCAACTGGAGAGGACGCTGCTCTGGCTCGTTACGTTCCGCATTTACAGGCATATCACGGTTCAGTTTCGGCCATGGCTGTGAGTAGAGCGCCGTTCCCAGCAGCCGCTATGAAGAACGCCATTGCCTCCTGGAGATCGATGACCGAAACCTGCCACAGTCGAGACGACTTCCATGAGAAGATCGACAACCCCGACAGCCTGCTCGCCCACCTGCAGTCTGCCAGTCAATTTGCGAGCCTCCGGGGTGAGAACACCCTCCATCTCTCAATCCTCGAGCTTTCGACAACTATTTCGAAGGTGTTGGCGGAGCCAACGTATAATAACGTAATTCTTAATCACACCCTGCTGGCATCGCAGCATCTGAACATCGGACACTATTCGGAAGCAAAGAGAACATTAGAGGTGACCAAAGAACTTCTGGAGCAAGCCGAAAGGCCTTCTCGAGGGATTGTTGCCGCATTTCACCTGTCCCAGGCGGAATATTACACTGGCATCGGCAGCATCGATGAAGCGTATGTCGACTCGATATCTTTAAAACAAAGACTAAGCTGACAGCATTTAGTAATTCCTCCTTGGCATTCGCTAAAGAAATCTACAACGGACCGACCTCATCTTGGGCATTGTCCAAGTCGCAGGCTAATCTAGCTCTTGCTCTAGCCTCATTCCTCGACTCTACTCTGGCACTTAAACAAGGAAGGGTTCAAGATGCCCTGTCTTGCATAAAGTCCAGTGTTAGGGTCCTTTCTCACGACTGGTCCAAGTTCGAGGTGACACAATCTCGGGATGGTACCCCCAGCGAATTAAACACATCTACAAGCAGCATTGATAGTGTCAAGGGAACAAGCTTGGGTCAGGTCATCGGACCGCGATTCTGGGCCCTTGCTTTTCCGTTGCTGCGTGGTCTTCTGCATATCTCCTCGGTGTATGCGCATCTCGGCATGTTCCAGGAGACAATTTACTATGCAGAGTCTGCTCAAAAGATCGCCGAAAGTACAGGCTCACCTCTGTATAGGGCGCAGGTGCTTGCTTGGACTGGTTCAATCTACCACCGTGCCGGGAAACTCGAGAAGGCTTTGGATTTCGGCAACGAGGCGGGTGACCAGATGCCGGAAGATATCTGTGTTTCTCGCATTCAACTCGCGTGCCAACTCAGCGACCTTTACCGAGATATCGGTGACGAGGAAAAGGCAGCCAGCATGCTCAAGCTTGCCGAGGAAACTACCCAGCGCCTTGGAGGCCAGGGCAAGCTCTTAAACGGATTAGAAGGCATCGAGAAACCCACGACCACCATTGTCAAGGGACGAACCACCGCCGCAGCCAAGACAACACGGACTACCAGGACGACTCGGGCCAAAGCTGCTCCTACTCCAGCGCCGCGAACTCGAAAGCGAGTAACGACGGCGAAAACCCCATCATCAGTAGATGCGGTCCTGAGTCTGCCCAAAGATGTGTACCAAGCATCGTTGATGGCTTCGATCATTCTTTCCAGAGCTCTGAGCTTCATCAACCAGAAGGATTGGACATCGGCTTTGTCGACTCTAGAGGATGCAAAGGAGCTCCCTAAACTCTTTGGCACCCTCTCGCAAGAGCAGGTTGTTACCGCGATCTCCCTTATCGGCCATAGCACGGAACAGATGATTCATGATCCGGTCTTCTCTGTCGTTCAGGATTCAACCATTTCGTTTCCGGCTGTTTCCAGCTCTGATAAATCGGTATCTAGAAGAGCGTCTATCAGCCAGACTCCGCCTCGGAGGGGCCGAACTGCAGCTGGAAGCGCAGACCGGAAGGGTTCCAAGGAACGTGGCGTGCCTGCGTTTGCAGATGCGCTGAGGCAGGCCCAGGAACTTCTTCTTGAGGCTCATGCCTCGACTCTATCAACTGCAAGCAGCACTATGGTTCATCGAATCTCCGCATTGCTACAGAACACGGTTATTCTACTTTCCGCCACTTCAACCACCCAGTCTAAGGTCCTTGCCGGTTCTGGGTTTGCGACTTTCTCCGTGGATCTGGCTCGAAATGTTACATGGAGGCGAGAACAAAGCACACTCCTCAAGGATGGTGCTCAAACCCAGACGAAGGCGCGTGAGCCGCCTCAATCCTCGAGGCGAGTGAGCCTTGGACTCACAACGGAAATGGCCAAGTTCCAAAAGAACTACGTGGAACTTGTCCCTCACAACTGGAGTGTCATCTCCGTCTCTCTCAGCGACAATCGCCATGACCTGTGTATTACGAAGTTCCAGGCTGGCCATAGTCCTTTCATCCTCCGACTACCCCTTGAGAGAGCAAACTCCCGGGACGCTGACTCGGAGGTGTTTAACTTTGAGCAGGGCCGTGAAGAGATGCTGGAGATTATTCAACTCGCCAACGAGAGCAGCCACTCTGCCAGTCGGGACTTCACTGCCAAGGGCGCGAGGAGCGCTTGGTGGGCAGAGCGCGAGGCCCTAGATTCCCGACTACAGGATCTTCTAAGCAACATTGAGACGACATGGTTGGGTGGCTTCAAAGGGATTTTTTCTCAGCATGAACGACGGCCCGACTTGCTCGCGCGATTCCAGAAGAGCTTTCAGCAAATCCTTGACAGCAGTCTGCCGTCTCGAAACAGGATTCGTGGAAAGAAGACGGCCAAGACACCGAAAGTCTCTCTTGATCCTCGAATTTTAGACCTGTTTATCGGCTTGGGCGATCCTACTGACCCAGATGTTGACTTCGACGAGGCCCTGAACGATCTGCTCTACTTTGTGGTCGACATTCTCCAGTTCCACGGAGAGCGCAACGCCTACGATGAGATCGATTTCGACGCCATGGTCGTGGAGACATACGACGCCCTGCGAGGTTACTATGCTGCTACCAAGAGCGGTGCGGTGCGGATGGATGATGCGCATACCGTTCTTGTCCTGGACAAGGCGCTCCATGCCTTCCCCTGGGAATCGATGCCTTGTATGGAAGGTCTCGCGGTCTCGCGTGTACCATCCTTGGCTTGCTTGAGGCAGCTCATCCTCGAGTCTCAGCCTGCGAAGACTGCTACGGAAGACGATGCCAGGGATTTGCCAGAGGGACACTACGTCTCTGCTGACCGTGGCACTTATATCCTCAACCCTTCCACAGATCTCAAAAACACGCAAGTGACTTTCCAGGCCTCACTGAAAGCCCTGCCCTCCTGGAAGGGAATCGTCAACCGAGCCCCCGAGGAAGCCGAGTTTGAGCAGGCTCTGTCAAGTTCCGAAATCCTTCTATACTTCGGCCACGGTAGTGGAGCGCAATATGTCCGTGCCAGGACCGTTCGGCGTCTTGAGAAGTGCAAGCCCGCGACGTTCTTGATGGGCTGTAGCTCGGCATCGCTCACGGAGGCGGGAGAGTTCGAGTGCTACGGCCCCGTGTGGAATTACATGATGGCTGGATGCCCGGCTGTGGTGGGCACGCTTTGGGATGTGACGGACCGCGATATCGATCGTCTCGCGGGACGGTCGTTTGAGGAATGGGGACTGGTTCCCAAGGGGACGTTCCAGGAGGAGAAGCGCGGCAAAGGAAAGGCTACGGCCTCTTCAGATGACGAGTCCGACGACGATGAGGACGAGTTTACTCGCCATGTTTCACTAGTAGAGGCGGTTGCGCGTGCAAGAGCGGCCTGCCGCTTCAAGTATCTGAACGCGGCGGCTGTGGTGCTGTACGGCATCCCAGTATATATCAACAGGGGAGGCGAGTGAAGTCGCGAACGTGTATAAAGCGACGCGTTATGTTCAGGGGTTTTCATACGGCACATCATAACATAGACCCGACATAGCATACTGGCATTGCATTGCGAGGCGTTGGACATTTGGGGCCATTGGCTAGCTAGCCTCTTGATGAATTGATTTTTTCTGAATGACACGTCCTTTGAGTACCAAAGTGCACCAGCATCTACGAATACGAAACAAATGGGTTCGAAACAAAGACGGGTAGGGTAGTCTTCAAGGCGGTTAATTCCGGCGTGGCATGATGTCGTGCCGGATACCCTTGCTCCGGAAGATGAGGCTCAACCAGGATATCTTGTTGGGAATCATGTTGATGGACCTCAGCTTCAGACGGGGCTCGTGATGAAAGGTGAACCTAGACGCGTAGAAAGACATGCGGCCGCATTTCGAGGATCCATTTACATCCGCCTGAAGCGAAAGAAGATTGCAAGCCTCCGCGCTTCCACGCGCTCAGAGGCGCAGGCGCTCTGTCCAAGCTTGTGAATTTCCAAACGAGATAGGGCGCCATTGCATGTGGAGTAGGAGGGGGTCCTTCAAGTCCGAGTCAAATGTCAAAACGTTTTTAGTACTGTTATCGAGAGAAGAGGACTTGCAGGAGAAATATTCTCCGAGGCGTGTGGGCTCTTTCTATTACAGGAGGATCCCTGTCAACGACGAGGACAAGGATAGCAGGAGATGCGTAAGGCGAGGGAGCCCAATGACACTGGAGACCTTTTGGAAATGAGAAACCGCGAGCCTGTCATGCTACACACGCGTTGAGGCAAGACTCAATTGGTTGACAAATGCTGGGGGTGGACGAGATGCAAGACGTCGGAGGGGGGTAGATCGGGGTTACAGAGCAGGTGAGAAGATGAGAGAGAAGAGGACGCGATGGAGGCAAATGAGGCGACTGTATCGTGTCGTGTAACTCCCTCTGCAGACGGACGTACATAGGTAGTAAGATCGCAGGTGTGAGGGGAGGTTGTCCTATGACCGCAGTATGACGGGTATTAGCTCAGGCTATAGTGCTGGCCATGGTAAGAGCGCCGAAGTGTGTGGTAACAGCCCGACAGGGGCTGGTCTCACCGGTGCAACAGGGGATCGGGAGGGGGAAGGAACTATTCATCGAGAGGGGTCGAGACTCGAGAGTATTTGCAATGTCGTCCATGCCGCCGTTTTCGTGTCATGGTGAGACACGGATGATTGCGTGCTGTTGTTGTCATGTGGTGATGATATGGTGTCCGATCGCGCGTGTAGTGGCTGCTTGGTTTCATTCCATGTTAGTGTACAAGCCTCAAAACAGTGCAGAACTGTCTTGCAGAGAACGGGTGTACGACCTACTAGAATAAGGGTCGGAGATAAGAGCAGACTCAGAAAGAATATTCGAATTGACCATGCTGCGCATCATTTGCACAGGGGGTTGCATTGAGCCAAGATAAACGGCTGGCTGGCGTGAACTCAAGGCGAGGTCTAGACTCCAGGTCAGTCCTCACAATCCTCGAATCATCACCGATCAGCCATGCCACCTCTCTCGTCGCTCTCGCCGTCACCTCGAAGGTGGCCATGTGCATTCGCTTGCGGACTCGGTTCGGGCTGGCGCAATTCAACAATTGACCTCACCAGTGGTATCAAGCCACGTTTAGAAACGAACACCTTGGCACCACGGATATCGGCTCTAATAAGACGGATCAGTGACAAACTGCTTGTTATTCACATGGAAAATTGAACAACAACCAGGCAGCTACGTCATGATTGGCCCCCTTTGTGTCACGAACGCTAGAGCCGTAGCCCGAATGCGACGGTATCAGTGGCTTGGTAACAACATCCCCATCTCGAGGTCGATCATCGTCCTGGATTATAGTCGTTGGGGGTGACAGGACCTTCAGAAGCAGCTGTAAACGCCCTGGGGTAGCACTTTGGTAGCCTTGCTGCAAGGTCGGCAGCATCGAGCATGGGAGTCGATAAACATGTGCTATGGGTACCAGTCACGATATGGACGTCCCTTCTTCAATGCGACGTTGATGATTTTCAACCGCCTGATCGAGCCCCCCCCCCCAAGCTCTGGCGCGGCAGAGCTTCTCGTGGCACGTAGCCATCCAGATATAGTTGAGATGCAAAGCGTCCCTGATTTCCCCATACTCTCCACCATGAACTTTGTCGGTTCGCTCTGTCCAAACCACCATGATTCCCGGGCATCGAAAAGGGCTTCGGAAGTATGAATAACAGGTCATTGCATTGTCTCCGCTATGCCGGGGTGCACAAAGACTCGTTCTGACAAGATAAGGTAGACAGACTGTTGAGGTGGTGTGGACGAGATTCTTATCTGGTTAAGGACTGCATCGTGGCCATGAGCAATGTTAGGAGACAAACCGGTGTAAATGCGTTGCGAGGGACCATGTTGCGGCTATCACAAGCCATTGAATGCAGCAAGCAAGCGGCAGGACATTTTCAATCTCTCTCCCCCCTACAGCCACCCGCTCAGCTGTGAATCGTACTATTCTTACGCGATGATGATTGTTTCTCACTGCGGGCGTGAACCATCCCCTCTCAAGTGCTGCGCAAACACGCTGAGTTGCGTTGCGTTGCGTTGCAGCGTCGCAAGCGGGCCCGTAATGCTCCTCAGAAAAAAGAGGGCGCCTAGCAAAGGGCATGTCAAGCGATGAGTAACGCCACCAGATGGGAAGCATGTGGTAGATTACACTGCAGAATTGCAAGCTGAGCCTCGAGGAGAAAGTTCAGCAGCGCGTACACGGCATATCCATGTCACCCTGTGGCGGCGGGTTGACGGGATGCCGTGAGACATTGTTTTTGGGTGGTCATTGTTGTCAGCCGCCCTGTGAAAACGTATGCGCGGTGCGCATACGTGCCCTGTCTACCTAATAAGAGACTGCACAGGGTCACGAGGACTAGCCTGGGGGAGGCTAGGGCAGTTTTTAGACCAGGGATGCTAGTTAATGGCGATAGTAAAGCGGAGTCAGCCCGCAACGCGAGATCCAGTCCATCCTGCCTTCATCGCATCGAGGCCAGGCCTCGGTCCCCTGCTAGGCCATGTCGATGCATCAGGGATAGCCACCCAGCTTGCAAGTGCTGTGTTGGCCTCCGTCACCAGCTAATTAGTACGTAGTAAGTACTGATGGCAGCCCAAAGCACGGTGACCGGTTGGTTGGCAGGTAGGTATGTTGGTTCATCCGTCCAGTTCAGCACCCACGGTACCTGGTCTTGTCTCCCCTCGTCTGCGCTTGGCTGGCACTTCCGTCTCACATCATCAGGAATCCAATTGATAGAAGGTTCCCGGATCCGCTGGCCGGGTCTGTGCGAGTTTGCCGCTGTGGGCTGTCCGAGAAAGTCGGAGTATTATCTGACAAGCAATCGATGCGGATTGCAGATGGAGAGCCGCCTGAAGGAGCCGCCTGGAGAACTAGTGTTATTTGGTTGTCGCCGCTGCTCCCGTCATCGCGAAAGATCCCGGCCTAGTCCACGAGGACTCGGGATTTGCCCTTAGGGGTTGGGCGACCCCGGAGATACCCAAACCCCAAGCCCACACCTCCTTCACCCCCGCCCTGTTCCCTCGAATCGCATTTCTGAATGTCGGCGAGCGGATTGCATCTGCACGCTCCCTTGTCTTACACTTCAACATGGATGCAGCTTGTCAGGATGCAAGGTTATCTGCCCTGTAAAGTACCTTCTCTGTCCCGTACTGTTGCAGCCCCGTCCATGGCAGGCCGCCACGGGGCCCAGACAAATGAAAAGCAGGGTGAAACAAAGCAACGTGAATAGGTGCAAGAGGACAGAGGAAAGTTTGCCAGGGGGAAACAGCGCGGGCTTGCTGCTTAGATTGTGGACACAGCCCAGGGGACGGACGATTGGAGATCCCATGTCTGTTGTTGCCTCGAAGCAAATCCAGAATGGATCACGGGACAAGGTGGACCTCCGCCACCACCACCGAGGACAGAGGAAAGGTTCTGGATTGCTGGGTTTACCAATAAATTACCCTGCCGCTCATGCTGTCTAACTTTGTTCTTTCTTTTTTTTTTCTCCTCTCCCCTGTGGCTGCGGCCCTCCAAGCCTAGGTCTGCGTCAGCTCCCCTGGCGCTGGGGGGGCGTTGTTGTAATTGTCCTGCTTTCTGAGGGCGTCGGGCCCTGGGCTGGCGGCGATTTGTGTGGCACTCGCTTGGTGATTTGCGGTGAGATTTCAGTTTCTGGACGGGCATGTTTCAACGGTGGAAAGCTTAAACAACGACCCTCGTCTCTTAGGCCTCTCCGACTGAGCCTTACTTTGGCTAGGCCAATGTGTCTCATTTCTCTATTCGAATTGCGAAATAGTGCTGCCATGTGGACGGACTCACCCTTCACGACTTGTTGCGACAATGAACCGGCAGTACCCAACAAAACGAGGTCTTCTCTTCACCGGGTTCCGGATTGCAGGGTGATGCTTGCCTGCGTGGCTTTTTCTCCCGATCGAGTTCTGGTTGCCGATCGTTGCCGAAGCATCCAGCGCAAGGAGGACAGGACGCAAGACGTTGCGATTCGTCTTCCCTGGGGACGATGCCTGTCTGAGTGCGGTTGTCGCATGGAGGGTATCCCAGGTAGATAAATGGACAAGGCCTTTGCAGCGTCGTTGGGCTAAGCTGGAGCTTCCAAGGGACGTATGCCTATGATCTGAGAGTCTCCATGATAACTGAGGCTGCACTCATGAATTGCCTTGATTGGGGCTAACGGCGTGGCTTTCTCTGCATTGGGTGGACTGCCCCCTTGGCAATGCCACTCCAAGGGCCGTCTGGCAGCAATGGCGAGAAGGATCTTGTCTGTATTGGCTGTGTGAGTGAACAATTGTCATGTTTGCGTGGTGTGGTATGCGGTGCTATGCGTTGTGTGTATCCCTCTAGACGGGCACAAGAGGGTGGTTGCGCGTGCGGGTGTGTGGGGGGGAGAGGAGGGATCTTATCCGTCAGCCAATCTGCATCTCAACGCGTCCATTGTAGTGCATTCACTCATGGTAGGGGGAGCGCCTTCTTCGGCCTCAGCCTGCCTCTTTCCCGTACTTCGACGAGGCAGGTACCTTCCGAAGCTCAATGCCTTGCAGGTTCTCTCCCATCGTGAAGCAGATGAAGAAGGCGCGCGCTTCTAACCTCAGGCTGCAGGGAGACGTGCCTCAAACTACCATCCTCCCAAATTTATGTCGGCACTCGAAGCTTCCACTAACAAATGCGAGCATGCAAGGTCGTTTTCTCGATGTTGTCTCTTCACCCATGCCACCCCAGCTCGACCCCGATTCGACTTGCCCACCACCATATCCCGGGCCGGCCTAGGCCCCTAGACAGCACAGTACAGGATCACAGTCCACACACACCACCTCGAGCTCTCGCTGGGGCTCTCACACTCACACGGGCGATTAACTCGCACTAACACCGATATTGACGCTGACGCTGGCATGGACGGACGCCGATTCCCTCGCACATTCAGCAGCAAGCACGCACACACGCGCAGACAGCTCGAGACACAGACCAGCTCACCATCCGCTCATCCACTCGTCCACTCGTCCACTCGTCCACTCATCCACTCATCCACCGGGAACACTGGGAACGGGAAGACGCACACGCCCCCCTTGTCACCTGCCACTCCCCTCCCGGCACGCTTCCCACGTCCAGACTCGCCGGCGTCGCTCGGAGTGGCCAGGGCTCCCTCGCTCCTGGACGCCAACAAACGCAGGCGTTTCTTTACCCCACAGTCACACACCGCGGCCGTGAGCGGCGGCCTATCGCGCCCTCTGCTTTTTCCTGCCGGGCCTGTCTCCACCCAGGGAGCCTTAAACCCCAGCTTCGACGGCTCGTCCTCTTCCACCCCAGTGCCCCGTCTTTTCCCTCTAATTTTCCCTCTTCCATCTTTCCAGGCGACGACCGGTTTGCTTTCCTGGCGACTCAAGCAATTCACCATCGCTCAGACCCCGGCTGCCCGCTCCGACTTCGCCACGCGGATTGCGTCCCAGCGCGCGGCCGACATCGCCATTCAACCATCTTCAGAGCTTCAGCAGGGACCCAGCCAGTTGCCCCAGTCTCAGTGCGGGGAGGTGCTGAGTACATACCCGACGCTGACGCTTCCCCATTCGCCTCCAGACCTCCGGTCCGCAGCGCACAGTCCCGAGTTCCCGACGACTCATGAAGGCTTCCCACTCCTGCGCCTCGATCCAAGTTCCACCCTCCACCTAAAGCCTTCACCCGCTCCCGCGCCAGTTCACCTGTGCTGCCACCTGCTGTCAGTAGTAGTCCCTGAGCCGTCCTCAACTTCGGCCTCAGTGGCCTGCGCCGTACAGGCTTCGGCAAAGCCATGTCACCCAGCCGCACCAACTCCGATCCTCACCAATTTCGCAATGCCCATCAACCTCTCGATTCCGGCTCCCAACTCTTTCACGACACCTCCGACTCACACCCTCAGCCACGCGATCAAGCCGCTTTGATGGACGCCTCTCGATTTGACGACTTCTCCTTTCCCTACCCAGCCATCTCTAATCAACAATCCCTCCTCTCCTTGGCGGACCAGACCAATGCCGCCCAACCCGCCGAATCCTTCTCTCAACACCCCTCTCATTCTATCTCATCCATCCACGCGCATGGCCTCCCTTTCAAAACCACCCATTCAGACCACCGGAGCCTGAGCAGGGATGGATCCGATGCTGCCGCGGACAGGAATTCCCCCATCGCCAACTCTCTCGAGGACTCCGTGGCCGACGAGTTCGGTTTGGCGTCTAATGGTCGCGCCGATGGCACTGATCTAGGCGGGAAAGCGAAGGAGGATAAATTGGACGCGGCGCCTGCATGGAGTGAGTTGAAGACGAAGGCTGGCAAGGAGCGCAAGCGTCTCCCCCTCGCTTGCATCGCCTGCCGTCGGAAGAAGATTCGTTGTTCAGGAGAGAAGCCAGCCTGCAAACACTGTCTACGCTCGCGCATCCCCTGCGTGTACAAGGTCACCACTCGCAAGGCAGCGCCCCGCACAGATTACATGGCCATGCTAGATAAGCGACTAAAACGAATGGAAGAGCGCATCATCAAGGTCATCCCCAAGTCCGAACAGGAGTCGACCACCGCAATCACTCGAGCTGTGGTTAAACCAGCAATCCCCGGCACACTACCAACATCCAAAACCGCCTCTAAAAAGCGTGGTGCCGATGAAGCCTTCGGACCGGACCTGGAGGCATGGGCCAAGGCACCGTTAAAGCCCAAAATCACCGGTGACGATAGGCCGAACTCTCTTCAGGTCCAAGAAGCCGAGGAGAACAAGCTGTTACACGAAGGCTCTGAAACGTTGCCATCCAAAGAGATACAAGAACATCTTGCTGAAATCTTCTTTGATAACATATATGGCCAATCCTATCATCTCCTTCACAAGCCGAGCTACATGCGGAAGTTGAAGTAAGTAACACTACTTCCCATCCTTTTACACCCCCGGCCCCTTTCGTGCTAACCAATTGCAGGAGCAACACGCTACCTCCTGTTCTCATTCTCTCCGTATGCGCTGTGGCTGCGCGCTTCACAAGTAATCCTCAATTAGGTTCTTCAACACCCCAATTCATGCGCGGCGAAGAATGGGCATCGCATGCGCGGGACATTTGCACCAGGAGATACGAGTGGCCTAACCTCACAATTCTGACATGTCTCCTCATTCTCGGGCTTCACGAGTTTGGCACATGCCAAGGGGGTCGTAGTTGGGCCCTTGGTGGGCAGGCAATCCGGATGGCTTTCGCCCTCCAGTTGCACAAAGACCTTGAATTTGATCCCATGGGGCGAAATGGGCAGAAGACTGAGCTCAGCTTCATTGATCGTGAGATTCGAAGGCGTATCATGTGGGCCTGTTTCCTAATGGACCGTTTCAACTCTTCGGGGACAGACCGGCCTATGTTCATCAGAGAGGAGACAATCCAGATCCCGCTGCCTATCAGGGAGAGGTACTTTCAATTGGATATGCCAGCACCCACCGAGACACTGGATGGCCGAGTACTCCATCCCGCCGTGCTCGATGACGGGCAGCCCGCCGACGCTCTGCAGAATATGGGCGTTGCTGCATTCATGATTCGGGCCATTGCCATCTGGGGACAAATCATCACCTATCTGAATCAAGGTGGAAAGGAGATGGATTCTCAGGCAATGTGGGACCCCGAATCTGACTACGCGAAGCTCTTGAGCGACGCAGAAGGTTTCGAGGACGCCCTGCCACCTTTGCTTCAATACTCCCCTGAGAACGTCGAAGTACACAAGACTGAAAACACGGCGGCTCAGTTTTTCTTCGTCCACATTTGCATACAGCAGAACATTCTTTTCTTGAATCGGGCGGCTATGAATGCATCCAACGCACGATCCCGAGACGAGGTGTCACGCGATTTTTTCTCAGAAGCCACCAGGAAAACAATCGCCGCAGCCAATCGAATTTCCGACTTGCTCAGGGAGGCTGATCGAATGCGCCAGTTTGTTTCGACCCCGTTCGCAGGATATTGTGCCTTTTCCTCGACAACGGTTCATATATTGGGACTAATTTCTCGAAACCCAACGATGAAGCCTACTGCAGAAGCCAATCTAACCACTAATGTCAAATATCTGCATAAAATGAAGAAGTATTGGGGAATGTTCCACTGGATGGTTGAGGACGTTCGGTCACAGTACCGGAATGCGATTGACGGCGTACGCGCTGGCAACGACCGCACCAGCCAGGCGTCTATGCTCCAGTATGGCGATTGGTTCAATCGATACCCGCACGGCCTCTCCGATGCCGAGTTCATGGATCCTGCCATCTTCAGGAAGAAGGACAAGGGAGCAGACGGCGTCCTCGAGGCGAAGCCCGAACTACAGTCGGTAGAAGAGTTCATTTCAACACTGTCGCCATCTCAGAATGGCGACCCTGCCCGGGCTGCAATAGTCAAACGCAAGTCCATCTCCAAGAAGCAGGGCAGTGCAGGTGTGCAACAAGGACAACAGCAGCTTGAAACGATGTCTACCGGGGACCTTGGTGGACAACCGGGGCCGGATCAAATGGGAGTTGGGCAGCAACAACAACGCAGGTTCTCTGGCGCCCTGGGAGGCCAGACCAGCGGTCCAACAGGCTTCAGCCCGCTGGCTGTACCGCACTCACAAACCGCGTCGTATAACACCACCATGTCACCTATAAGCCCTGCCAATGTGGCAGCATTTCCGCACCACGCGCACATGCCACATTTCTTCCCTCCGGATCTGCTTGCTATGAATCTCGCTCAGCAAGGAAATGGAACCCTCCAACCGCTCGATCGCCAACTCGTCTTTGGAGGGTACTCGATGGATTCTGTGGACGGCCTACCCAGTGGGCAGAACATGATGGACGGTGTCGACTGGGACAGTATCGCTGCAGGCGCTCAGAATGGTCGCGGCTCACACGGCCGTCGGGCCAGTGTCAAGAACGGCATCAATGGGCAAGCACCTGGCCCTGCGGATGGAACGGCTCACTTCAACGGACAGGACGCATCGTCAGCATGGTTTATGCCATTCAACTTGGAACCACCAGAGATGTCTCAGGACCTGTGTCTCGGCGTCGGAAACGTAGACCCATTTGCAGGTATGTTTAATGGAGGGGGGAGCGGCTTAGCGACGCCGAATCCGTTGAGCGGGCTACAACACGGCCCCTAGGAGGGACGACATGAGTACGCAGCTCAACTCGGCAGGCACCGTCAACGAGCACAGCAGAAAAAAAGCTCAAGATGAGACGTCAGCGAAACCGGACGGGTTCAAAATATATCCACATTGTATACATTCGGAGGAAGGAGTTTCGGCTGCGAGTGAAAGAAAAGGAAAATCTTGCCTTATTTAGTGTTGGAAGGCCTGAAGTAGCGGGATCGGAAATTTTATCAGCAACACCCTCACTATCATGTTTGCTTGTCATTGGGGAGGCACACTCGGCTATACCAATTTTTTTCCTTTCTTGCTTCGCTTTCTTTTTGGATACCTCTGTGGCATAGCCTGGAGATGGGATAACGTTTATGGCATTGGCATTTTGGGTATTACCATGTCATAAAGAGGCATGCTTGTTACTGTACATGTAGCCAGGTTTAGGACTCAAGCAATGGTGGGGGGCAATAAGAGATGAACCTGTGCTATATTGGAGACTGGGGCCACACCAAGTATTTCTAAGAGACTACTATAACTCACGTCAAGTTTAGGAACAAGTCTTACTGTGTTTGTCCCCGAGCCGTCCTCGTTTACCATCTCACGATGTCGCTGTGAGGCGAAGGCACGGTTATAGCGAATGCCATCCTACTCTTTTTACTCCCCCTGCTTGTGCCAAGCCATGTCTCTATCAGTGGTTCGCGAGTTGAGTGGAAGGGGAGGTGTCTTGTGGGAAGAAGTAAAAGTATTCAACGGGACGAGACGAAGACAAAGGGTGTTTGCGCTTGATATACCTATGTACAGTAGATAAATAGCCAGAAAAAAACGAACACAAAACACGATAGACTTATAATCAGAGATTAGATGTTCCAATTACTTCTTTTACAGATGGATAAATCCTGTTCTCCATTTGACAAATTTTCTGTATTCGTCATACACACTAACCCACTTTATAAGAAACATCATCGATAATCGATCATGGAACGCCACTATGACAATGCTACAGCGGCGGCATCTCGCTTGTTCAAGTCCCCAACAAGCTCTCGAGCCACCGGAACAAACCCAATCAATCCTCCGCCTCCACTGCGGGTGCGGCAGCACCCTTCTTGCCCTTGGACCTCTTTCTCTTTTTCTTCCTCGCTTCACCCACATCACCCACCACATTGCTCGATTGGCCCTTCTTCTCCTTTGTCTCTATAACCGAGCCGCCAGCGGCGACATCCTCTTCGTCAATCACACGCTCAAAGCCGTAGGTGGGTCCGGTACGCTCAAACTCAGAGCCAAAGATGCCGCGGCGCCATTGGCGCAAGCGAGCCTTCTTTCCAAGCGTCTTGCGGTCGCGGCGCTTCTTCTCCTCGTCGCGGAAAGTAGCGAGCTTCTTCAGGCCGGCGAATTCGTTGAGAACCTGGTCTGAGGGGGCAAGGAGGATGTCGCGGGCGGTCATGCCGAATGACTGCGGTGAAGTCTCGCGGTAGCGGAAGGGCGTGTGGTTGGGCTGGTTAAGGAGAGCATGGTTGGTGAGCTCGAGCTTCGAGTCGACGAGGGCTTCGAGTTTAGAGCGTTCTTGACGGGCTTTCTTTTGGGATTCTTGACGGTTGCGCTTGTGATCTGCCGTCTTGCGCTTCTTAGAGGGCGGCCCATCTTCGTCCTCACCCTCCTCATCCTCGGCGTCGTCACCTTCGGCGTCGCTGAGGCTGATCTTAGGCTTCTCCTCATCCTCTTCAAAGTCGGAAACGATGTCGTTGATGTCGATATCGTCCTCCCATTTGGGCTTCTTGGGATGCCTCTTCTTTCCTTTGCTCTCATCCTCCTCATCATCATCCGAGACTCGCATACCGTCGTCGGCTTGCGCGTAGTAGTCGTCACCAAAGCGCTTCAGCATCTCCTCCTCCCACTTGTCGTTTTCCCAGGCTTCATCCAGGAAGTTGATCCAGTCCTCGTCCTTAAGTTCCTTGCCCACGCTGCCGACAGCCTGCTTAATCTTGCGTAGCTTCTCCTCGGCCTCATTGAGCTTCAGCTTCCGTAGGCGGGCCTTCTCATCGCGTCGTTCCTGTTTCTTGGCTTCCTTTTCCTCGCGCTCCAGTTCTCGCTGGCGTTTACGGCTATTCTTCTCCTCCCGTCTCACAGACTTTGACGCGGCGAGGTCTCGGGCATATGTTCGGAGGACTTCGTTGCTTTTATCGGGGTCCTCAAATCGCAGGTTGTATGCTTGCTCAAATTCGTCGGCCTTGTCATCGCCCTCTCCTTCGTCAGACTCAAACGCCTTCCAATTCGAGCCATCCGGGGGGACCCAGGCGCGAGCAGTCATGAAGTTGGAAAGGAAGTTCTCGGGGTTCTTGTCGGCGTTGGTAACGTCAAGCTCAGTCACCTTCAACGCCGCCTTCCGTGATGGGTGGACACCCTTGGGATCTGTTTTAGCCTGCTCCTTGCGCTTAATGAATCCTCCCTCGTCCTCCTCATCGTCGGATCCATCTCCGGCGGTGGCAGCATTGATCTCGGTCATGATTGACTTCTTGAGGGCATCTTGCTCCTGGAAGTAGTTTTTGGGGGCGTCATCTTCGTCGTCGTCGAAATCACCGACATCGCCAGCTAGCAGCTTCTCGCGGTGGTAGTCTCGTAAGTAGATGGGCTTGTCCTTCTTTTCCTTGCTCTCGGCAGCAGCTTTGGCTTCATCGGAGTCCTTGTAAAATGTGACATCTTTGTCGTAGACCTTGGGGTCTTTGTTGCGAATCGCCTGGAGAGTAGCTGAGATCTGCGCATCGAGGTCCTCGGTCGCAAGGAAACCATCCTCGTCTTCGCTCTCGTCTGACGAGGAATCGTCGTCGTCGTCACCCTTTCCGCCCCTCTTGTACTTCTCCTCCAGCCGTTGCTGTTCCTCGCGCTTCTTGTTGTGTTCAAACCGACGGGCGAATTCTTCGTTCACTTTCAGGCTGGGTGCAGCAACAGGTGCCCCTCCATCAGACTCGGAGTCGCTGTCGTCCAGGAGTTGGCGCTTTGAGCGCTGGGGGTCCTCGGAGGCTTTCCCCATGATGGCCGTTGTGTATGTAGACAACTCTCGGTCTCTGACAATTGGCCGTTTCCCGGGTAGTTGTCGAGGAATCAAAGTGCAAAAAATTCAGTTGCCAGCCAAATGGGGTGAAGTCCGATCTGCACGCCTCGGTGAGAGCTCACCCTCTCTCCTACAACTTTTTTTTCTGCCGGCTGGAAATTTTGGCGGGGAGCGGTCGGCAGCGGCAGAACATTACGCCGGCGAAGCCAAATGCCCCGCCACCAGCCACAAGCCACACTGTCATGGTCAACGCTCAGCTGCGAAGAAGGGTGCAGCTAGCCAACCACATGACGCTGTGTTTCGCAGTGGGCCCAGACGGGAGGTTCTAGTGGTGCGACAGTGCAACAGTGCAAGTGATGGCTCAGTACGTACCTTCCCTTCCCTGTCTTTTCCAGTTGCCTTGACGTCTAGTAGCGCTCCAACGCCCCGGCCTCGTCATCGCCAGCCAACCACCGCCACTGCCACACTGCCACTGCCACTGTCTCTGCTCTCTGCCTCTACTCTACCTCTGCCGCTGGCTTCCATCGACCGACTCCCACCAGGCAACTCTCATCGACTCGCTCCCCCATCGCATCGCAACGCAACTCGCTTCTGCCTCCAACTTCCAACATTCGCATCCTCCGCATCCTCCGCTTCGCATTCTCCCGTCTCCGAGCGGCTCCTCTGCGATCATGGCCGATTCTGCAAACGCTCCCAAGCCGAGCAGCAGCGTCAAGCTGGTGCTGCTAGGCGAGGCGGCGGTCGGCAAGGTGCGACCCCCAAAACCCCCCAAAGTGCACCTCGCAGCATGAAATTGACACATGCGACAGTCATCTCTCGTCCTGCGATTCGTCAACAACGATTTTCAAGAAAATAAAGAGCCAACTATTGGTGGTATGTCTTGCCGGCGTTTCCGTCTACTCACCATCCTTGACATGGCCGCTAACCATGATGCACAGCGGCTTTCCTGACCCAGAAATGCAACCTCCCGACGCGGACGATCAAGTTTGAGATCTGGGATACCGCCGGCCAGGAGCGCTTCGCCTCCCTCGCGCCCATGTACTACCGAAATGCCCAGGCCGCCCTCGTTGTCTACGACCTCACCAAGCCCACCTCCCTCGTCAAGGCCAAGCACTGGGTCGCTGAGCTGCAACGCCAAGCCTCTCCCGGCATCGTCATCGCATTGGTGGGCAACAAGCTAGATTTGACGAGCGCAGCTGGTGCTGTTACCGCCAACGGCGAGGATGGCGAGGATGGTGATGACTCGGGCAATGCGCGCAAAGTTTCTACAGAGGAGGCACAGTCGTACGCCGAGGAGGAGGGTCTACTGTTCTTCGAGACCAGCGCAAAGAGCGGACACAATGTTACCGAAGTCTTTACTGCCATCGCAAACGCTATTCCCGAGACGTCGTTGAAGAGCGCAAGAGGCGCCGGGGCCACTAGCGCAGCCGCCAGAGGAGGAGAGGAACAACGAGTAAATCTCGGGGGCTCCAAGGACGTTGGGGCCAAGGACAGCTGTGCATGCTAGTCAGGCGATGGGTGGACTGGAAAGAGAGAGGGAGTATGCGGAGAGTGTTTTCGTATTGTACGGTACCCTGCCCTTTCGTGCGAGCCGGCTGTTTGGGAATGATGCTAAGAGAAGCGTCTGGGAGTTGATAATGTGTTTTTGCAAGTTGAGTATGTTCAGGCTCTAATTCTACTTGCTCATCGATATACATGGATTACCTCTATTACCTCTGTTACCTTTGCTACATCAAGCTCGCCCGCCGACCCTAGCATACCAACCTAATGTAGATGCAAATGTGTCGCGTGACAGCATGGATTACAAAGGATTTCTCGAATGTCTTTGCGTTCCCAAAGGAGTCTAAGATGAGAGTGAGATTAGTGATGTGAGAAGGAGAAAGAGAATGAGAGGCATGGCTCGCGCATAATGCATCTCATCTCCCTCCATGTCGGCAGCGTGGCCGAATGCCAGCCAGCCAAAGGGACGGGATCCTAGAGATTATAGAGGTCACGTGATCCACAGCTCAGCGTGTCTCCGGCGCGCGTCGCTGGTTCTACAAGGGCCCACTATTTTCGCACCAGGCCGAGTCGACGGGGGCAAACTCCTCACGCTCTCAACACCGAGCAGTTGCCATTCGCGAGCGAGCAAAACAAGGCTCGGCCCTTATTACCAATTACCACTGCTGCATGACTTGCTGCTTATCCGTCCATTGGGGTTTCGTCTCGCCTCTGTGACGTGGCTGAGAGCCTGCCTCCTGCACCTCTACCCGACGCCTATACCAGCAGCCTTCGCTCCGGCCTTGGCCTTAGCCTCGCCTCGCCTCGCCACGCATATCGCATATCGCATATCGCATATCGCATATCCCAAAGTTACTCCCGGCTTCTCCATGACGCTCCCTCACACGCTGTAACTTGCCCCGACACAGGAGCTGCGCGAAACAGATATGGCCTCCGTAGCTGAGGCTCAGGCAGAGCTCATCAGGTAGGTGTTGCCAGCTGCCCGCTGCCCGCTGGGGAGCACCACCATGTTGCGCTTCCGCTCAACTAACCATTTTCCACAGCTCGCTCTCTCCCGACGACATCCCCATCAAACTCCGATGCGCCATCTGCAGCAAGCTTGCCATAAATGCCTTCCGGCTTCCCTGCTGTGAACAGGCCATCTGCGAGACCTGTATGTGTGGTCGACCTAGAGACGCCCAGACTTAGACTGACTTGATTCAGGTCAATCGAATCTTCCTCCTTCCTGCCCCGTCTGCGAACACTCCCCTCTCTCTGCCGAGGACTGCAACCCCAACAAGTCCCTGCGAACCACAATCCGGGTCTTTCTCCGCACTGCCGAAAAGAAGCGAGAGGCGAGTCGGCCCAAGGAAACCAAAGACTCTGCGCCTCCGACGCCAGTTGAGGCGCCCAAGCAGTCCTTGCCAGCTGTAGAGCCACCCGTTGCGGGTCCGCCCGCTGAAGAAAACCACGGCGCAGACGGGCAATTAGCAGAAACCGTTTCTGCACCCAAGGAGACGCGCGAGACCGGCTCCCTTCAGCCTGCTGACGATGTACGGTGCCCCACCTCTGCCCTTCCAGAAATCAGCTAACATCTCGGACAGGATATCAATGGTCAGGACACAACCATACCCCAGCCAGATGGCGTAGGCGAGCCCAAGGCCGCGCCGGCCGATGAAGGCGAGGGAGAACCTGGCGCCGAGGATTCTAACGAACAGGCACTCGTCGAAAAGGACGATGGTGGCGACCAAGCTGGCGACGACGAAGAAAACTACGATTCGGAAGCGATGAACGGCGGGTTTCCAAACCCGAACTTCTCTGGGTCTGGTGACATGAACCAGATGCAGATGATGATGGCAATGCAGAACGGCATGACTCCCAACGGCTTTGGTGGCTTTCCCATGATGAGTAAGTCTTGGAATATCCACACGACAATCATATCGTATCCAGCACTAACGCATTTTCCAGGCATGCCAGGCATGGGCATGGACCCGATGACAATGCAGAACATGTTTATGAACGGTGGCTTTCAAGGCATGGGCATGAACGGCATGGGAGGCTTCGGTGGAGGATTTGGCCAAGGCTCCAATAATAACTGGAACGGTTCTCAGTCGTGGAATTTCGACCAGAATAATTACAATCAAAATGGTCCTGGCATGGGAACTGGTGATTTTGGGAACTTTAACTCAGGATTCCAGACAGGATACAATCAAGGTAATTATGGTCACTTCAATGACTATCGCCGCAACAACTTCGGACGTGGTCGCGGGCGAGGACGCGGATACTACGGCGGCTATGGCCGAGGTGGCTACCAGTTTGGAGGCAACGCAAGCTACCAGGACCAGGGTCAAATGTCCCAATTTGGATCCGGCGTACAGGGCCAGGGACAGGGCCAAACCGACAACAGCGGCGCTGGTGGTCAAGGAGAGTCTGCTGAAGGACAAGATGTTGACGAATACGGCCGAGCAGTCCGAGCAGAAGTCGCCGACGGAGACGACAAGACCAATGAAGCCGCCTCGGGCGGTGACCCAACATCCGGAGACCAGGATCCATCTCGTGAGGCTCTAGGCAATGAAGCAGGCGGCGATGTTCCCACGGGCCCCAATATGGGATCTGCAGGAAACCCCCACCAACGCAATGGCTCTGGGACTATCCGATCTGTTGTCGTCGCGCCAGACGTTCCTATTAACGCACCGACAGGACCCAAGGCGATGCGACAAGGCCTCCCCAACACGAGCCTTCTCAACCTCCGAGCAAGAGGCTATCAGGTGGGTGGTGAGGCGCCGCTGGTCAAACCTCATGTCTCTGCGCGAGAGAGTCCCGCGGAGCGAGGTCGGACCAAGAGTAATTCTCCTGAACCAGAGAAGGACAAAGACAACGTGACCCGACCCGAGCAGAGCAAAGACCGATCCAGAGGCCGCGACAAACGTGACAAGGAGCACGACGACGGCGAACCAGATAACACCGGCTCCAGATCGAGGACGGCTAGTAGAAGTCGCAGCCAGAGTCGGGACCACAGGAGCTCACGCCGACGTAGACGTCACCGCTCGGAGTCGGCGGAGGATGAAGGCTACGACGACGAGTCCCGTCGTAAGAAGCATAAGAGTCGACGGCATTACCATGAAGACGAGGAGTCCTCGCGCCCCAAGGATAAGGATGACAAGTACACGGAACGATCCCGGTCAGCTTCCCCAGCCGACTCCAAGCGTTCGGGCCACCGTAGCCGCCGGGACAGAGACTCGGACAAGCGCAGAGACCGGGAAAGGGACAAGTACCGGGACGACGACCGCAAGAAGTCCTCGAGCCATCGCTCCTCGCATCGTGACAGGGACTACGAACGAGACCGACGCCGCGACAAAGACCGAGAGCGTGACAAGGACAGGAAAGATCGAAAGGATCGCCACCGAGACAAGGACCGCGACCGAGACCGAGACCGAGATCGTGATCGGGACTCGAGGTACAGCAGTCGTCGACACTCGACCGACGGGCCAGACACGCCCGCTGAGAAGGACTTCAAACCCCCGACTGGTCCGCGGGGCCACGATGCAAAGGGCTCTTCCAGCAAAGCCGACAGCAGCACGCGGGACAAGGACAAGGATCCGCATACGCTGGAGCGCGAGGCGCGGGACCGCGAGCGGCTGCTCAAGGAAGCGCAGCGCATAGCCGGGCTCGGGTGGAAGCGCAATCGCGACGGCGATGACGACGTCGGATCCGGATCCCGCAAGGGCCGGCGGACGGCGTCTTCTTCCACGGCGGCTGCCGGAGCCGGGCGCCGCAGCGAGGCCGTCAGCGGCGGCGATGAAGAGGAGCGTATGCGGAGGCTCGAGGCCGAGCGAGAGGGTGACCGGTGGAGGTAGACGCCTTCAACCGGACGTCATTAAGACGGTATCCCGCTAGCAAGAAGCACTCTAGCAAGCCCTAAAGCTCAATGGAGCTAAGACTTTGGAAGACAAAACTGATGCGCAGTTGTGGCGATGGTGAGAGTGGTGTTTTTGGGCTTGGTGGTGATGAGGATCTTGCTTCTGCTTAAAGGGTTGTTGTTTGGGTGACGAGGCGTGTATGAGGAAAAAAGGGGAACCTAAAAGAGATCGCTGCTCACAGGCCACAAAAATAACGGGACGGTGTGGCTGTAGTATTTAATACAGTCTCGTTTGGGATTATCTTGACATTGTTGTCCGCGTTTGTGATGTTGGCGTAGTGTTGAGAGCGTCTTGCACGCGTGGAGCTGGCCAAGTACTAGTATATCGCCTCACTTTTGTAGTTGTCTTGGTCCTTGTTGTCCGAGCCATATTGCCGTGCCCATATGGCATCAATCATTGGCTATGTTGGGTGTGAGGCTGTGTATGAGGCTGACTGAGAGGTTGTATTTATTCTTCAGGCACAGCGCTTCCCATCACAGCCTCAGCCTGATTCTCTTCTCTTCCAACCCCTCCCGGCTTCATTGCCTAGGACCATAACCAACGTGCCATATGTTTCGCCGTGGTGATTTCCTTCCCGCGGATATTATATGACGCTTCACTTTCATTACATTGCGCGCCACCTTTCGATTCTCTCCGAGGCTTGCTGCGATGGAAGTCGCCGCGAGTCTGGTCGCCTTCGTCACCGCCGGCATCCAATCCACCACAATCATCTACAACACCCTTTCAGTGATCAAGGATGGCCCAGAAGTCATTCGTCAGGCCGCGCGAAATGTTCAAAGGCTAGGCGTCATCCTGAACCACTTAGGGAAGCACAGCTCCATCGACAGGGAGCTTAGACGACATATCGACGAGTGCGCCGCTGATCTCAAAGTCTACGAGGTGAAGCTTGGAAAGCTGTGGAAGAAGATCAAGCATGTGGTGGGTGAGAAAGACATTGCCACCTTATATTCGTCAATGGCAAATCACATTGCTATCCTGGACCTACATCTGAGCACTCTTCAGCGGTAAGCTCTCTAATTTTCCTTCTTTTTTCCCCTTGATCAGCCTGACACTTATGTGGTAAAAGTGACTCGACCATTGAGGTCCACGAGGAGGTCCGTATCCTTTCACAAAATATACAGACCTATCAGACATGCCTGGAGAGTCGAGAAACGACATATACCCAAACGACAGCGTGTATCAGCCAGTCGGTGGACCATGGCATAAGCAGTATCCGAAGCGCTATGGATGGGATGTCTCTCTCGTCCAAGGCGCAATATCAGGAGATCCTAGGGCTGATTAAGAATCTCACTGATCAACTCACTACCTACTCAACTCCGTTCGATAATTCGACGCGCATTGTTGAGCTCGATGACGAACAGTCCGTTCTCTCCATGAATTCAGAGTCTATTCATCTGGAAGAAAGGGTTACTGGCTTACAACAAACTATTATCCAACTTTACGACCTCGTCGAGTTGGAAGTGGTTCGGCTGGCTCGACTCGACCAGACTCGGGCTCCATCGACTAAGAATACGGGGGTCCTAGATGCTTTGTCCGCATTTTTAACCCATCTCGAATCTATGGCCACTCCGGTTGGGGCCTACTCTCGTCATATTATGGACATACAAGAACTGTTGAAACCATTGTCGCATGCCCTCATGTGCGCGAGGATGGTCTCTCTTGGTCCTAAGAGCCGTAAGATTTACACTCTATTGGTCTTAAAATTAGCCCAAATAACGAAAGCGCTGACAATTATTTATAGACGATGAACAACTCTTCTGTGCAAAGACTATGAGGCTTTCACATAGGGAGCGAGCCACGTACGACGTGGGGTTTGCTACCTTGGATATAACCATCGTAGAAAAGTATGAGGAACGACATCTAAGACACAATCAGAGTTCCTACGTGGGTAAAACTCGGGTCCCTAAGGGCGATACTGAGGAAGTATCTTATACCGTCTCACTTCTTCCCAAAACACCTGGCCGGATGCTAAAAATCTCATCCACTCAATACCATACTCAAACTGGGACTTTCCTCGGGATCCCTTCACTCAGTTTCAACCGCACCGTCCCCAGTGATTCTCCAGTTTTCGACCTAGTGTCACGGGGTCGAATGGCAGACCTGCAGAAGCTTTTGATGCAAGGCCAGGCATCGTTGAGGGATCATGACGAACATGGCACCTCACTTCTCCAGGTGCGTCTACGACGAGAACCCCAACTGCACAGCTTGTTATTGACTTTACGCAGTACGCGTTTACCCAATTACAACCAGACATGTGTAGATTTCTGGTTGATCATGGGGCTGATGTCGATCATTTGGCACGCTGCGTAATAAGGGGGTTCGACCTGACGATTAACGAAACTGCCAAGTATGCAAGAAGAAATGTAGCAATTTTTGGGGGGCAAAGTCCACTGATTCTATACATAATAGGGCCGGTGTCTTCCACCACATTATACCCGATTTTGCTTTCAACGGGCGACAATTTGCACGTCTAATCGAGTGTCGAAGGGTCCTTCTAAATGCAGGAGCAGACCCAACGATTTGTTATGAGGAGGATGGTGTCCCCTGGGGGAGCGCACTCAACTATGCGTTGTATAGTGGCACACCGGTATGACAGCCCCCTTGCTCTTCTCTGAAAGATCCATATTAATCCACGGGCTCTCCTGTACAGGAGATGATGGAGTTGTTTCTAAATCACGCTGGTCCATTTGCCGACGTGAACAACAGCTCGACAGACCCAATGGGACAATCTCCCTTTCTAGCGTACTGCTCCGATACGCAATGGACTATCGAGGGATTTCAAATGCTCATGCGAAGAGGAGCTAATATCCAAGCTCGCGATGCTCGCGGCAAAACAAGCCTCCACCTCTGCATCTACGAAGGTGATTTCGTGAATGATTCCATGACGCCCCGTGCAAAATTCGATGCGCTGGTCTACTTGGTGCAGTGCGGTGCGGACGTCGATGCAGTTGACGACTCCGGCGTTTCGGTTTCCCAAACTGCATACGAGAGTGATGCAAGGCAAGGTTATTACGCAATCCCACCACGATATGCAGGACTCACAGAATTCGTTCGCGATATCGATGCAGTTGACAGCTTCGATGTTTCGGTGGCCCAAATTATAGGTGATCGGCATCGGCAGTCAAACAGTCAAGTGGGCGACATATGGGATGCAGTACTCGCAGAATGCGGTCACGATGTCGCTAAATATCACAGTCGCCATCCGAGAGTAGCCAGGTATACCAAGCATTACACCCCAGCAGACTTCAGAAGCATTTGGCAAGGAAATGAAGAGCGATGTCCTTATTACGATGAGGATGAGTTGTCTTGGCTATTGGAGAACTGGGAAACTGGTTTCTTGCCAGCGCTGAGGGAGGGGAAATGGGGGGATTGGGGGAACATAGAGTGGGAGAGCGTCTCAGACTTTGGCTCAGAGGTTGACTCGGACGGCTCGATTGATGGCGGCGTTCAACTAGACGATGATCACGATGCCGAGACGGTGGGATACTGATTCAAAATATTGTTATTCGAGTTGGCCCCTTTACTTCGGATAGAACAAGGTTTCAGTATAAAAGGTTGTTGAGTATTTGGGCGAGTGTTGCTATCCAGACTGTAATCCTGTGTCCACATAAAATCTGCCAAACTAATTTTCTTTTGTCATAGAACCTAAGATAACTAAAAGTTTAGAATAAAAGCCGAATACCTATAAATTATTTCCCACATACCTCATTAATCATTAGGACTTTTTACAGTCCGAATAGCAATATATTGGAAGATACCTGTATTATAAAACCTCTAATAGATGAATATTCTAACCTTAGTCAGAAGGGGGTCTGATAACCTCTATTCCGGCCAGCCGGACCAAGCAATCATCAACATCATCACTGCTTTGAACACCATGACCCTGATCAAATTGACCGTATCGGACCCAATACAATACTCATTTGGGTGGCAAGTGACAGGATCAAGGACAAATACGGCTTCGAAAACTCCACCGCAAACATACATTGCTTGAACATCGTCAACATAAATTCGAAACAGTTGTCCCACGGTAGCAAACATGAACAACCATCATACCGCATCCCCATCAAATGCTCCTCCATTTATTGCCTGAGATGTTCCTCTCTTATTGGAGCTTCCCTCAGCGGCACAGGCATTCATCAGGCCCTAAACCTGGGCATGTCTAATCGTCCACAACGCCTTCTCGTGTGCCCAAATACAATCAGATTTCCCGATGCGAATCCTCCCCGCCACATTTGAATCATGCTGGCCAGAAAAGATCTCTTTAATAAATACCCTGCGTGCGGTATTGGAAAGTGTCATAGCTGTTGCGGTGTTAGTGCTTGTGAACCTGAAGAATCGTGGGGCGAACACTCACAGTCGAGTGTAGTAGCTACCAAACGACTTCGCGATGAGGTCAGTCTCAACAAATTGCTCCGCCTCGTCGGCACTGAGGTGGAGCTGAAATCGCTGTCGCAGAGTGTTTGTGACCTGAGCGACACCGACAGCGAAGCAAGGCATCTTTGAGTCGTGACCCATCATCGCAACCAGGTCAATGATGTTATCTGCGGAACGGCGCAGTGCTATAAAATATCAGATAGGTTTCTTGTCAAAGACTCTCGTGGGAATAACTCACCTTGGAAAGCATGCTTGCACAGTCTCTTATAGTCCTCGTAGTCAGGCGAACCCAAACCACCCAAAACGTCCACATACTCGTGCGTCAACTTGAACGGGGCTGCTTCAAATCCAACCGAGCCGGGAGAGTTGGAGAGTATGAATCCAAAGTCAATGTGGATGATGTGGCCTTCGCTGTCCACCAAGACATTTCCGTTGTGTCGATCCTTGAGCTGCAGGACATACGAGATGATGCTGTATGCCGCCAATGACTTCTTGAACGCATCCACGCCAGCCTTGAATGGCTCGCTGTCGGGCGGTCCAAAAGCCCGGAGAAAGTGGTCCCTGAGAGTGGCAATGCGATGTCGAGGGTTTTGACCCGCCTCGACAGTCGCGAGAGTGAGACTTCGCTTCAGCGAATGCAAAGAGACTCCGCTGGTGATGGTCTCGACGAGACCCCCAGATTCACCCGTCACTAAGATCCGCATCCGCTTGACCCAGACATCGGTATCGGAATCCACCCAAATCTTGTGGCACACATCAATGAGCTGGCAGGCGAACGCCTCCTGTCGTAGATCCGCGCCGGTCTTGACAATAACGCTGATCAAATCCCAGTTCTTCATCCACCCGTACGGAGACGACTTGCGAATCCGTTCCTTTTTGGCCTCCCAGGCCTCACCGAAGACAGCCGCGCTAGGGTCGTCGCGATCGCCCCGGCGCTGGACACCACCAGTTTTAATATCGTTCTCCATTCGCTCTCTGCCAGCACTGGCATTGAGATTGGGGTCAATCACAGCATCCTCCTCCAAATCCGGATTGCTCGCAGTTATTGGAGTAGTGCTTGCCCTTGCAATGATGGTGTCGAAAGTCGGCCCTTGCTCATCGGTGTCAAAGCTCTGCTCTTCCAGACTCTGCATGCTCGCAATAATCTTGGCTCTGATCGCCGCCACCTCCTGCTTCGGACGCTTCCCGCTAGTGGCATCGAGCTGTGCAAGCATTTGAGAAGCAGTTCTCATGTGAGTAGCGAGTGCTGAGAAGTCCGGTTGATCGGCAGAAGGGTTTCGCTGCATAGGTAGCGTCATTCTCCGAGGTCCGAGGCTCGGGCTGGTGGACCTCGAAGGAATCGTTTCTGAAGTTCGAGGTGTCACAAAGTCCAGGTTTGAAGGCGATGCCGTTGTACTGCTGGGGAGGCGATGGGGTGGACGATATTGAATGGCTCGTGGGGGGAACCTGGCTGAATCATCGTCGAAGCTCCTAATAAGGGGAGAGCTCCCCAAGTCACCAGACGTGGGCTCGAAGACACTATCAACCACGGGTTCAGGAGCCCGGACCGTGGGTGACATTCGAGGGGATTCCGATAAGTCGAATATGCGCTTAGACTTGGCACTTCCGTCGAGCAAGGAACCCAAGAGGCGCTGGTTTTCAGAGGCGTCAGGGTCAAAGGAGAAGTCATCCCTAAGGACTTCGATCATGATCAAATACGGCACTTTCTCAGCACTGTTAAGCACAGTCGCCTCCGCAGGGTTCACGCGCACGATCCGGTGGTGGCGGCTTTTTCCAGGAGAACCGTTCATAAGAGTCGGTGGGCAGATGACCGGGATGTCAACTTCGGCGGGAAGGTCCTGAGATATTAGCGCAAGCTCCGCTCGAAGGGCACTCATCCGGGCAGGTTTCGGGACGAGGACGAGCCGGTTCGAGATACCCTCCAACGCAGTCAAGAACTGAGTCTGGGATCTGAAGTAGTGCTGTCGCAATAGTCTCGTCTTTTGCACGGGCGACAACTCGGTCGTATTGAGAAGAGCCTTGGAGTGATGCGAATGTCTCCGAGTGGTGTTGTCGCCAAGCCTTGGTGAAACCCTTGCCGACGCGGGCGTCGTTGGTCTGGTTGCAGGTTGCGGGGACGGCAAGGGGAGGGAAGATGTGCTGAGTCTGGCCTCCAGCGACTTCATTTCGAGGGCGGATGCTCTCTTCGTGTCAATGGGCGTCTTCGACCTTGCGACCGGGGAGGCCGATGCCGAATCCGTGACAATCCGAGGCGTCCTCGAAGAACGATCCCTCGACGGTTCCCTCGAGCCTTTGGGGTCCGGCGCACTAAAAGTCCTCCCGGTATCTCGTGTCCGCCTTGACCGCGAGTTTGCCGAGTTAACGGTGTGCGCTCGGGAGGGCTTGGTGTTCGCCTTGGTCTCTACCGCAGGATCAATCGTCACCGGCTGGGGCTTGCGAGCCTGCGCAACTGCGAGGGGGCCGGCCCATCTTGGGAACATGGGCAAGGCGACACTGGCAAGGACGAAGCTGGAGAGTACGGTGACGGGTAGCACATTTTCTTTGATTTTTTCATGGCGAGCGGTATCGGCCACGCCAAAAACGATGTGCTGGACCTTGTTGTAGACTCGGCGACAGGTCTGGAAGGAATCGGATTGAGGGTTCGACGAGAGATCGTAGAGGTAGGTCTGGAAGAGCCAGAAGGTCTTGAGCGTGTCAGCATCTCTTCCGACATGAGGCGGCATCCCGCGCATCGTTCTTTTCAGTGCAGACATACCAAGAGCGCGGCTGTAACAGATTCCTCGCACAAGTCCAACAAAAACTCCTCCAGGGCCATTGACTCATTGTCGACGCTGATTATAAGGTGGCATAGCTGCGGCAAGAAGAATTCGATATCCTCGTAGGGGAACTGGCGCAGCTTATTGCAAAGGACATAGTGAATACCCACGTGGTCGGCATAACGACTGCACCACGACAGGTGGCATTAGCGACTGCATCAAGACACGATTTTGGCAATGGGGAGAGCGAGAACGGAAAGGCATGTGGTAAAAACGGGTCGTCTGGTAAACTGCCGAAAAGGCAACGACGAGAAAATGGCGGAGAGGATAAGAATATCGACCTGCGGGGGGGGGCAGAGGACTCACGAGAGGTACGAGACGGAGAGAAAGGGGTTGGAGTTGAAGACGTCGGACTCGAGGAATCTCTGAAGCAAGTCCCACGACATTGGGTTACGCAGGGGAGCGGGCAGCAATGAGGGACAGCTGGCGGTTCCTCATCTAGCTTCGGTCAGGCAGAGACGGTGTGGCGAAGCAGCAACGGAGAGACGGTGACGAAGGCGCAGACGGAGGACGAGAAGAAGGCATTCGCATTTGGAGCTGGATGATGTGCCGTCTCGTCGCTCGGCGGGCTTGTGGGAGGTATCCGTAGTGGAGGTCCCCTGCTAGAGCCCAGGTGGGTGGAGGTACGGCGCCATGTCATAGGCCGCCAGCGCGCCTTAGGTAAGGCAAAACGGCCCGCATGCGCTGCGGAGGGGGATCGTGGAAGGCCTGTAGACGCCATGCCTTAGCAGCAGGCAGGCTGGCAGCCCTCCAACGCACCTGGGGAGATCGCCCACTCCCTAAAAGAAGGCCACTCAGGTGCGCGTCGCTGGGATCCTTGCGACCTTGTTGGACAGCTCGGAGATGGGCCGGCTCCATACGCTCGTAACCTGCTGCATAGGGCGCGGAGATGTCGACCTTTCCACAACGAACGGACCGGACATGAGACCGTTTGCGATTGAGTGGCTACCGTTTTGTCATGTTGACCGCGCAAGATGGACAACGGTCCTCGTCCTGATTCCTCACGGAGACTTAGCTACCGAGGAACCTCGCAGCCCCCCAAAGTCGGTGAATGCTTCGTCCCTGTCACCTACGTCAGCGGTGTGTCTACCCCTCAAGCAGGAACATGTACCTCATCCGGAGCTCGCACCTAAGAGGCAGCAATACCTAGGTACCTATGCACGTTAGGTGCGCCCAGCCGCTGCGAGCAGCCTGTGCCAAAGTGCCAAAGTGCCAAAGTGCCAAGGTGGGGTTGTTTTCTCCGGATATCCGTACCTCCGTGCTCTTGCTCTAGGGTAGCGTTGATCACAAAAATACATCTTCCATTGATCATAACGTCTTGCTACGGGTCCAAGTAATCCGTTGATGGATTTTAATTGTTACGGCTGTGTCCTTATTCTACATAGCGACACTGGGATAATAAAATTTGCAAAAATGGGGGACACGACCATTTTCCTCACGCAGCCTAAAATATCATTGATGAAATGAAGGGAAGAAACGAACCCCTTGAAATAAACATCGCTACCACCTCACCATCACATCTCGACATGAACGATAAATGAAGGCGGCGCGAGCTCAGTCACCAATAAAATACACAGAATACAAACAACGAACCGACAAAGACGTGTGAGAGTATTCACCAACTCAAAAAAGAGGTTGACTGCTGTTTAGGACAGACATGCTATCATGCTGAAGGCTCAGAAGCCAGCTCGGATAGAGCAACCGACAGGGAAGAAAATAAAATCTAATAATACCGAGAGACAGTGCAATTACCGCCAAATATCCCACTCAAGAGGAAAGTTAGATATCCTCTTGGCGACCAACGCCTGTTGTATGCGGACCCCCTTGAACGCCATTTCATCCTTAATCGTACCTTTCATGAATGCATCCCAGTTTCTTCTTTAGCACCAGACACCAGAGCCGTGTTGCCAGGACTCGTAACCACTTCAGACCTTCTTCTTCCGCCCTCCCCGGGTCCGCTTCTTTGGTTCCGCAATTTCCTCATCACTCGAGCTCTCTACCTTGGCCTTGGCCTTGCTGCCCTCCTTCTCATTTTCTACGCGGCTGACAATGTCGCGCAAGAAGTCCCATTGCTCGTCCGTCTCAACCACGTGCTTGAGCATTGAAGCAGTGACTCGCTTGGAGCCCTTGTCCTTGGCAACATCGGCGCTCTTGGTCACCATTTGGATCATGAAAAGCTCGAGCGCCTTGCCGACAGCGATAGGCGTCTGCTGGGCGACTTTACCGACTTCCTCGTCCGCTTGCATGATTCTCTTGATCCTGGCCGTGGGAAACTTGGTTCTAACGGGCGAGGGCTCGATTATGGGTGCCGGGGGCGGCGGGGCTTTGCGTGGAGGCATCTCTGCGTGGAAGGGCGCTACTGTCGCGGTCGGAGAGAGTGGTAGGGCGCCGGGACCCAAAGCAGGCGCGTAGTGTTGTGGGTAAGGTAGTGCTACACTGGAATACAGAGTTTGCTCCCCGTACGGCTGAGCATACGATGGCGGCGCGTGCAGCTGGGGCTGGGTGGTGGGAAGAGGGGCAGCTCCGTAGCTGGGATGAGTAGACAACCTCTGGTCGGGACTGGCAGGAAGATATTGATGCTGCACGGGCGGCGAATGGTTTTGAAACTCGGCCTTGATGGTGGTTTGCTCAAGCGGTGGCAGAGGCGGATGTTGTGGATGATAGTGGGGTTGTTGGTAGAGGTCGCGGTCGTAGTGATAGTCGTGCAGATCAGCGGGTTGAGGAGGGTAGGAAGAGGAGGACGGGTGGTCGTAGGATGGAGACTCTTCTTTATACTCGAGGCCAAGGTGGCTGTCGGCAGCGTGTAAATGATGGAGTTGTTGCGGTGCGGGTTGGGTGGGGCTGGCCGAGAAAAAGGATGAGAGGTCCGGAGACTTGGGCGCGTAGGCATCGTCGGCCGACATTTTTTTTTTGTAGTTGGCGGCGGTGGTGGTGATTAATATTGTGGGGCGCGCGGCGCGGGTCCCGACGGGGGTCGACGAGTTAGTCAGCTGAGAGAGCGACGCGAAAGATGCTAATACAGCCCAGCTGCGCCTTGCGGGCTGGGTATCTGGGTTGCCTTTTAATAAGACGACCCAATGCTTAGGCTGTATGGCGATGCACAATGGAAGTAAGGAACGCAAACGAGGGTGTGTGATTGTACCGAGTGCACTGCGGCGGCGGTTGAGTACTGAGAGCACCCTGGGACCTTATGCGGGCGCGTGTGTTGGTGTGGATGCTTGCTAGAGTGCGTGCGTGGTGGGGAGCTAGGGCGCGTCTTTGTGTAAATGGACGTGTGATGCGCGGAGTGTTCTGTTTTAATGCCTGCTTCGACAGATGTGGTGCCAAGTTTTGTCCTTTCGGGTTGCGACGAGTCGTTGTACAGTGCAGTTTGTGTTGATGTGTTGTGCGATGCGATGCGATGCGATGCGTCTAGTCGTCACTGTTTGGAGGCGCTTGGCGAAGATCGTGATGGCTTGACAGCATGTATAGGTATCCAGTCTAGCTTAGACAATCCAGCTGGGATCAGTGCCAGTTAATATTGGGTCGGTAGGTAGGTCTAGATCACCTCAGGTTGCTTCCCTCAGCTAATTACTGCGGGGAGATACGGTGGCTGTAAGCTGAAGGGCTCGGCGCTGATGGGGGGCTGCTTTGCGGAGCAGCTGGGGTTCTGCTAATAAGCTCGCAGCAGCCGACCACGGGGTCACGGAGCACAGCCAGCTCCTATGGCCGGGATGACGATGTGGTTTGATTGACGTGACCTCGGGTGGGGCTCGATGCAAGATTGGTTCACCCTGGACCAAAACACCTGCAACTCACAAAGAGACTGTGAGAGAGTGTGCTTGGGTTTTTGTAGTGCTGCCCCACGTCTTTCTTGCAACACAAGAGGCAAACTGGAGGATGCGACCACGGCGCAAGCGGTTGGCTGCAGCAAGTTGGGTTGGTCTGAAAGGAGAGGAGGGGTCAAGGAGTCAAGGGCCTGAAAAGATAATTGAGGGAGTGATTCTATTCGCCAACTAGAGCCAGCAGGGGAGTTGCACTAGCTGTCGAATAGAACCCAGCTTCTCTGTTCTTCCCTCACAATCTGTCGCCGTCTTCTCGCTCCTGGTTGGTTTCCCTCTTACAACCTCTCAGTCTCAGCTTTAGCAGGGGGGATGTACTCCCGGCTCAGGCGTCGCTTGGAGGTGGCGGAGCTGGTGTAAGCGGGAATCTGCCAACAGGGTGTGCTGTGCAGTATGCAGGAAAACAAGACACTGAGGTCGGAGTAATCAAGGAGTAAACAACGGAACCAGGTATTTCCAGGTTGTCAAAATGAAGAAGATAATGAAATATGGCTTGGGGCTGGGGCGAGGATGGATCTCGATAAAGGTGTGGCGGCGAAGGATCGCGATGCGATACGGTGGACGCGGTAGGTGCGGTCGGGGGCGTCGGGGTTCGGGGGAGGGACAGGCCAGCCGGCACTGGGCAAACGGTAGGCGGCGGAAGATGGAGGGAATGCCGGCCGTTTATATGCGCGGCGCGGGGCACTCCTTCTGACACACGCCCCAAAGGCATAACTCATGCCCAAGAGCCCCAAGACCAAGCCAAGGAGAAGGAGGGGTGGGAGAGTTGTTTACGGGGCATTGGGCACCATCCCGATTGGGAAAGCGCACTGTGCATCGTTTGTCGTCATTCTGTTAGCTAAGTTACCACCTTTGGGTTTCCACCCGGTCCAGTCCGGTTCTCAAGCTTATAGCCATAAGTACATGCTATTCTTCAGCATGCCTAGATATAAAGCTAGCATAAAGCTCATCTCGTTAGGTTCCTCGCTTGCCTCGGAATTGTTACAAGTTCCGGCCATCATCGCAGATACAACCGTCAGCTTTGTTTACCTGTCGTAGGTACCTATGAACCCGCCTACTGCCTCCTCCAGGGTAGTACCGCTGCTAATCGATCGCCCGGTACGCGACCCGTAGCTGCGCGCGTTGGTGGGGCCTTTTTATTTTCGTGTCGCAAACATTCATCCATTCCTCCTCGTGCAACTCCCGAGCTGAATCATCGTCGTCTGGATCACACAGAAAAGGCCTCACGCAAGGGATGGATACGTGCATCGGATAGATCACTCAGGCATGAGCTGGATGCCTTGCTGCAAGTCATCCCCAGCCCCAGGCTCCTCCCTCAGCCGTTATCGTTGATTCAACCCCGAGCTGGTGCCTGACCAGCGTCGGCCCTGATATTCTCGTTGCCTCGGCTGCCTTCTGCCTGTGACCACCACCCCTGGCCACTCGTTGCGACATGCGAACCACTGCAGGCGGGCGGCTAATTATTGACGGTTGGATGCCTGTCGGAGGCTGAAACCCTCATCAATCCATTTCACACAGCCCGAACACCGACTTTCATAACCACGACTGCAGTCTAAGCGCTCGGAACCGCTGGATATAAATCAAGCGCTGATTTCAATATTCAAAATGAGTACGATACCTTACCACCATCTCCACCATCCCCACTGCCTATGATGATACAAATTGAGCATTCATTTCGGAGCAGGCCTGGTGAGGACGAAGCCGAGTTTAAAACATTTGGTTCCTGAATCACCGCTTTATGGGCCTTGTCTATGATTTTTTACTTGATCTAATCTGATTCTCACGCCTTCCCTCTTTTCGTCCCGTCAGCCTCCAGTGTTCGTCTTCTGATCTCATTCACAGCGGCTTTTAGCCCTTGCAACCTCTTCTCTTCGGTGCTTGACAGAAATAGCGACACCACGGGCCACGCATGGATCCCACCATTAAATTTCTGTCCTTCCACCTCGATCCCGATTTTGGCCTGTCGCTTGAGAAAGTCTTCGATGTCGGGTGCAAACACTTCTTCCTCACCAAAGATGACGAAGTAGCCCCGTTCCGGGCTTGCCGACCTCCAGAGTTTGTCGTCAACGCAGTTTCCCGGTGAAGCTGGCTGCTGTTGAACCATGGCCTCACCTGCATAATCGTGCGCGTATTTCCACAATGTACGCCGGTCCAAGAAGTCACTTTTGGACGCATAATGCAAATTCGACATGAGAGTTACCCACGGCGAGATTAACGTAGCCATGTGCGGGACAGCCAATGCTGGCGGTTGAGAGTCAACCATATCTCGGTGCATATGCGCGTCAGCCCCCCTTCTCTCCTGGCTGCCCGCCTGAGCACCCAATTCCAACAATAAGCTGAGGATTAATGCGCCACCGGCCGAGTCTCCAGCAACGCAAACCTTGGAGGCATCCTTGACAAACCCGAGAACGTGCTTGTAACCCTCTAACGCCTCTAGGACCTGCCTGGGGTAGACGTCATCAGGTACTAATGTGTACTCAAGCGCGAATATGGCCGGGTTGGTGAAACCGGCTTCCAAAAGTAGATGATGCCACACCATTAAAAACTCCAAGTAAAAGTAGCTCGATCCCATGGAGAAACCGCCACCTGGAGGGTGTTAGTGTGTGACCAAGACGTGACGATTGTATATTCCCCCCTCACCATGGGCATAGTAGAGAACAAAGTCAGGAGGCTTCTCAGGCCTGTGCATGATCCAGAGCCCCTTGGTTCGTATACTTCCCTACAGACAGTCAGGCATCAAATCTTCTCCTACGTTATGGTTGGTATCTCATACGTTTCCGACGGCATATTCCTGCCAACACGTGGGGGATTTCAAGTACCCATGGCGGAGCATTCGCCAACGGAGGAAGGCGAGTGAGACGAACTTTGAAAAGAAGCTCCTGGACACGCGAGCCGGGATAGACTTGAATGCGTACCGCACACAGCGGATGACAACGTCCTCGAAAAGCGTGGAACCTTGGATAAATGCGGCCTGTTGGCTCACGTGCGTAAAGTAACGCTCCAGGACAAGCTGATAGGGGAGCTTGAGCACTGTTTGACATGTGAGCATGAGAATCATGTGGCATCCGTCGGAGGTAGACGAAGCGAGGGGGGGTCAGGAACCACGAACAGAGAAACGGCAGGGCCTTTACGGCGACGACAAAAGTTTGGATGACCCCAACGTCCCAGAAAAGCTGCGGCAGGAGGAATACGCAGAAAACAAGGCAGTCGATGAGACTGATGGGGCCGAGGATCATGGTGGGATGTAGTGAGCCAGGTGAGACTGAGGGGCAATATGGCTCAATGCGCCCGCTGGAGGGTGGGTGACTGGTTCCCTTTGAGTGGACTTTGAAGTCGAATAGTTTGAGGGACCGAGAGGAGAAAAAAGATGAATGAGAGGGCCTGGAGAAACCGAGGTCGCCGCAATTGGACCCCCCGGTTGTTGACGCGACGGAGAGGATGGAGGGGCCGGTATCGTAGGTAGGTACCTATTGAGGTAGTACGAGGGTTATCTCGACACAACTCAACTCGGCCACCAGGGCGTATCAAGCGGCTACATTCATCAATACCACGATATCTCTGAATGCTGAATCGTGGGATCATTGACGTAACTGAAACTATGGAATAGCCCTGCCTAGCGAGAGGAGGTCGCACTTGGCGTTCGGTAGCTGACATAAGCTAGATCTACCTTACACCGCATCGACAGTGTGGCATTGCAACTGCCCGTCTGAACTCTCTCACAAGTCTGCAGACGGGAGCGTACCTGAACTTGGAATAACTCGCCTGTTCATGCAAAAGGGACCTCTTATTTGAGTGACAAAGGTCATTTGCTCTCAACTTCAACTTGTCTTCAATCACCCATAATCTCCACGATTTCATTGAACCCACCACCCCATTTGCTTGCCACATCATCACAAGCAACTGTCCGGCATCATGGGTGAAGTGCCACAGGAGGACTCGCCGTTTCCGCTGACCGAGGTGGACAAGTTTGTACTGTCGCAGACAGATGAGGAGTTCCATCTGCACGATTGGGAAGATCTCAAGGATATCATTTGTAAGGGATTGAAGCATCCGGCATATCATGAACACGTCGTTGGCTTGCTGTATAGTTTTACATGTGCCATACTAACATTATGGACAGTAAAGAACAACCTGCAGGTACTCAAGCGCAAGCCATCTGACTTACGCCGATACATGCAATGGACTTCGGAAACCAAAGCCAAATATGGCTCAATGACACAATTCCTCCTCGTCAATCGGTTACCCGACGCTTGGGGTGCCCCCCCCTTCACTCCGGCATCCACCATCCCATTTGAGGACCCCTCCGACTATAGCATATTGATTAATGACTGGCCGTATGGACTTGACCCAGAGATCCGGCACATTGTTGTGTGGTTGCGCACTAGCATTGCAACTGATGCCGACACCGGAGACATGACACCGGAGAGTAGGGCTGTGTGCGAGGCCTTTATCAAGAGGCAGTTCGTCGATAAACTTGGACGAGGAGGGGAGGATCGGGTTGTCTGGTTCAAGAATTGGGTAGCCCTGCAGAGTGTGCGCGCCCTGGAGCATATTCATGTGTTGGTGCGCAATGTCGATGACGACACCTTGAAGGAATGGACGGGAGAGCAACCTCAGCAGAACACTTAGAAGTCGACCGCAGCCAGATGGTCAAGTAATTGACAACCATAGAGCCTATGAATAGAAGATAAATCGACTAGGCGTTTCGTCTGGACCTGCGATTTCCCTGAGGCATAGCATCACCAGCGCCAGTACCTTGAAACTCGGCCATCTTCTGCTTGCCCATGCCGAGCAGTCCGCCGCCTAGATACACGCCGTAGGCGGGGACGGCGACCCAGAGCAGCCAGCCCCAGTTGCCGAAGAGGACGGCGAGAATGGCAGATGCCCAGGTGACCCAGATGACGTCGAACATGTACTCAGTCAAGCCGGCGGCGGCGAGGTCCTCGCCAGCGGAGCGAAGCGCCTTGGTGGCCGGGTCATACTTGGGGCGACCCGAGACCTCCAGGATATACTGGCAGATGAGAGCCGGGGCGGAGAGTAGGCCGTAGAGCCAGAGGGAGCGGGGGCGGAAGAGAAAGTGGGCGAGGAGGAAGAGGCCATTGACGATGAGGGAGCCAATGTGGAGGCTATTCAGCGAGGCCGCGTTGGACTTGGCACGATCCTTCTTCGCCTTTTGAGCCATTGTGACTTGTGTGTAAGGGCAGGAGTGGCTCCGAGATATAAGGCGATGTAGATGATGATGGCCACGAGCTGGGCGATGTCGTGGGACAGTGGCGGGTATGTGTGAGGCTGGGAGTGAGGTTGTCGTTGTGAACAGCGAGGCCAGAGTGTGACGTGCGGATTATCAAGGCGAACACATGGTAGTTAGGGTGTGGCGCCACTAACTCCAGAGACAGAACCTTCCAGTGGAGTGTCCAGTGGAGTGTGGGACGGATATTAGTGGGCGGGACACTGAACACAGTGAGGTCGGGTGGCTGGTGGGCGCCGGCGGCTGGAGGGTTGGCGGTACTGCAGTGTCCGGAGTGACGACTTCGTGCATGAAGGAAATATTGTAGATTTTCCTCGGAAATCTTGGTAGACACTCCAAACCAGGGCCAATGAGTGTAACAAGACATTTTTGAAAGGCAATCTGAGTTGCGTTTACAATGTACCATCACACCACCCGGGCTGCTACAGTCCCTAGGACCGGTGGACGTCCGAAAGATACCTCTTTGGGCTGGGGATCTAGCGCAGGTACAGAGGTATCCCCAGCACACACTGCTGCAGAGCGTCTCTGTTGCTAGGCAAACGCTCCCTGGCGCGCCTCATCCAATCAAGGCAACAGAACCACAACAACTCCGGGCTGCGCGCCTGGCCGCCACCACCACGACCACTACCACCGCATCCGCATCCGCCGCAACTCTGGACATTCACACCCAACATTCACGCTGTTCACGCCCTTCACGCCCGCCGAACAGCATCCCTCCAGCCTCCTCTGTGGCTCTGCTGCTGTCGCCGCGCCAGACCATGTCCCGCCTCTCGCACACTCGGTCTTGCTGGTAGTCGAGTTGTCTTCCTTTCTCGCCGCTCCATCCATGTCCATTGCTCGTCTGGACCCACCGTTCTGTTCTTGTTCACGACTACCCTGCGAGCCGCCGACGCCTTCACGCCTCGTCGTGTCTGCCTCCTTGCTTTGTTCTCACGGGGCTGCACGTCCTCGGCGCTTCCATCAGGGTCACTGGGACTGCCTTTGACTCGTTTCCACTAATTTCTAATCCTGCTGGTGGTGTTGGCGACGACGACTGACTACAACCGCCGCCTGAGGGTCTTTGTTTTCTTTCGATTTCGAGTCCCCGCCACGCGCACGACCAACGACGACACGACAACAACCCATTACGCCGTCGACAGACCGATAGCGGCGGTATCCCAAGTCGATTAGGCTACCATTGATCCGTCCTTCCTTTCTTCGCGACTGTCTCATGGCCTGGACACGTCGCTAGCCTCTCTCAGCGCCATCACTTCAATTCCCTTCACCTCTCCTGGACAGCAACATCCAGCATGGCACCGACCCCAACGGCCATCAGTGGCCTCCTGCGACAGGCGATCCACTACCATCTCGACAACTCCTCGTACGAAAACGCCCTCTTCTTTGCCGAGCGGCTGACCGCCCAGGACCCCAAGTCCAGCGAACCCCCTTACCTGTATGCGCTATGCCACCTGCGCCTCGGCGATTATCGATCGGCCTACGATGTCAGTAAACCCATGGGCTATCGTGGCGTCCATCTGGGATGCGCGTGGGTGTTTGCGCAGGCCTGCATGGCCTTGGAGCGGTACAAGGACGGCATCACGGCTTTAGAAAAGTCGCGAGGACTGTGGTCATCCAAGACAAACATGGGCAAGCATAGCGCAACCTCTCGTGCCGGTCTGCCCGATGCATCTGCTGTGTTGTGCCTGCTGGGGAAGCTGCAAAGAGTCTACGACGACAAGAAGAAGGCTATTAGCTGTTTCGAAGAGGCCTTGAAGCTGAACCCGCTCATGTGGGATGCGTTCACGGCACTTTGTGACATGGGCGTCGCCGTCCGAGTGCCCAACATCTTCAAGGTCGGCGACTCACTCTTGCAGAGCTTTGACCTGGACTCTAGTTTAGTCTCCGAGTCGAGAGAAGGCTCATCATCGAACTCCCTAGACGCTCCCCTGAAGAGGTCGCAGCGACAGGCCGTTACGGACTTGGGAAACGACCCCTTTAACATGAATGTCTCTCCCACTATCCACGAGTTGACAAATGGCGACACATTTACCGAAAATGGAGAGAGCGAGTTTATGACGAAAATTCAAGCAGCTAGGTTACGGCTTGCAGCTTCGACGAACAGCCTCCCTGGCTCGGATGGCATGGAGACTCCTCCTGGACCATCAACAGATGTGCCGACAACTCGTGCTGCAAATCCAAACGAACCTCCCCATGCGCCGCCTCGCAGAGTACGGAACGCTCAAGTCCTGGACCAAGGCCAGGAGGCACCGCCGCGGATGAACTATCGGCTAGGATCGAAGCGATCGACCAGGGCCCAAGAGAAGGGACACGACCAGGGGTCAGATCCCATGATGACGGATCCTCCAAATCCTTCCGTGGGTACTCTGCGTTCGGCCATTCCCCCAGTGGAACGGAAACGCACAGTATCAGGACACCCAGTGCCGCGCTCAGTCAACTCCGAAGAACCTGGGACCAGACGGAGTGCAAGGCTTAACATGTTCAGGCCATCTACAAAGGCCAATTCAGGGGCCGCAGCCGTTGGAGTCTCGGCAGGGCGAGAATTAAAGAAGGCTAGGCCCCAAATCTCTCGACTGGTCCGACCCGGCTCTAGTGGATCCAACGTTGGACGTGTTGTCAGTGGAAACCGTAAGCCGTTGGAAGAAGCTCACGCCGACGTGGACCATGGGGAGACGTCGAGGGTCAAGGAACTCCCCCCTCAGCCTGTCGTGCCGAGGACGGCAGAGTTAGACACTGCTAAGCTGGAGGAGGCTTTGAAGTGGATTCTCGACCTTACGAAGAAGCTCGCGAACGGATATTACTCCTTCTCACAGTTTCAATGTCAGGAAAGCCTGCAAACCTTCATGTCGCTCCCTCTGGCTCATCAAAATACCCCGTGGGTGTTGGCACAAATGGGCCGAGCACACTATGAACAAGCATCGTATGCGGAAGCGGAAAAGTTCTTTAGAAAGATGCGGGTGCAAGCCCCGTCCCGCCTGGAAGACATGGAGGTGTACTCGACGATTCTGTGGCATCTAAAACGGGAGACCGACCTTTCGTTCCTGGCACACGAGCTTGTTGACTCTGCTTGGCACTCTCCACAAGCCTGGTGCGCCCTGGGCAATGCTTGGTCGTTGGCCCGCGATCACGAGCAAGCCCTACGATGCTTCAAGAGGGCGACACAGCTGGACCCCAAGTTTGCCTACGCATTCACCTTACAAGGACACGAGCATTTCACCAATGAAGAATATGAAAAGGCTCTCACCGCGTATCGACAAGCGATATCAGCTGATAGACGCCACTACAATGCCTACTATGGCATTGGAAGGGTCCAAGAGCGCCTGGGCGCCTATGACAAGGCGTACACGCACTTCCATGCTGCTCAGAGCATCAACCCCAACAACACCGTGCTGATCTGTTGCATCGGAACGGTCCTGGAGCAACAGAAGCAAATCATGCCAGCGCTGCAGGCCTTCAGCAAAGCCGTTGAGCTAGCGCCGCGGTCCCGCGAAGCGCGGTACAAAAAGGCTCGGGCCCTGCTTGCCGTGGGTCAATTAGAAGCCGCACAAAAGGAGTTGATAGTCTTGAGGGACTTGGCACCTGACGAGGTGACAGTACACTTCCTGCTCGGCAAATTGTATAGGAGCATGGGCGAGAAGCAGCTTTCAGTGCGGCACTTTACCATCGCTCTTGCTCTAGATCCAAAGGTAAGCTTGAAATGCCACTGATTTATATGTTTTGTAGTGTCGTACTGACTGAGATGCGATAGGCGAGCCAGCTGATCAAGGAGGCGATTGAGAGTTTTGAAGATGATGTGGCGATGGATGACGGTATGATATCATGAGTATCGAGGTTTTAATGGGTAGCCTCGGACCGTTTGATAAGTTATTTTTTTGGGATGAAAACAGCCCCTGAAGTAAATCGTAAGATTTGGGGGCTTGCGCCGTCGAGGTTGTTGGGGGCATATCCACGTCCTAGTTCCATTATTATATGGGATGATTCGGAGGTCGGCGGATGGACGGAGAGCTGGAGGCGGCGCAACGTGAACGTGATGGCATGAGATCATGTGGCATGGCATCGGCGTTTTTCGGCATGACCGGGCTGCTTTTGGCGGCTTGGACTCTGGGAGGTAAATGGAACTGCGGGCTTCTTGTGTATAGGTACCGAAGCATGCGTTGCAGCAACTTGTATATTAAGTATGGCGGCGGTTGGAGAGGGGCAGGATAACAGGGAGGGTTTTGGGGCACGGAACTGAAGACAGGGTACCTAGATAACGAAGAGCCGGTGGAGCTGATGGGATTTGAAGTCGTGTTGGTGTGTTGTGCTCGTTGGTGACAATTTATGTGCTGTTGAGTTGGTGAGAGAGGGGAGTGGATGAGGGGGGAGGAGAGGATGTGAATGAATGTAAATGAGTGTAAATAAATGTCGGAGTGAATCAATGTGATAATGGGGCATTGTTGTTTACGTGAATGCTACCCTATTGACCAGCTTCCTAGATTCCGTAGATTACAATTTATGCGCATGATGAAGGCTGCCTGGAGTTTGGACATGCACTAGGGATTGTGGTGTGGATGGTGACGTGACTGAGGAGATGGATGATTGACGTTGAGTCACCTTCTCCCCCAACAGAGGAAAACAGATAAACCAAAGCCAACCAGGCCATCTGAATTACTCGATAAGGCGCATAGGTGATACTTGTTACCCCCTGGTTGGGATGGGCTGTTTGGCAATTGAGTGGTGAGGAGGTGTGGTGTGTGGACTGGATTTTGGTGCGCTACTTGGTGACATGTGGTACCAAAACATGCCCAACAACTGGCAGTCAACAACATACTTACAGCTTAATTCAGCATGAATATTTGGAGGCAACATGTGGCATAGGTTCTATCGTATTGGAGATTCCTCGACATAGGCCGACAGGAGAATGCGCAAGATCCGGAGACGAATCTCTACAGTCCAAACACAGCGTCTTCAACTCTCCGCACCTTTCTCGGCATTGCCATGGAATGCAAGCAACGGACTGGCACATGATGCATAATGCATAAAGTCGGTCAGTCACCTGACGCTGGTTCCTGAACCCAAGGTAAAACCAGCTTGCCAGCCTCCCGAGAACAACAAAGCTAGGACGGTAATTAGCAGCCAATGACAAAACAGCCTGGCGCTTAGAATCAGCAGGGGCCATTTTCCCCAGGTCCACTGCAACACAGCGCACCACAGCGCTGCAGCGCCGCAAACCACCCCTCCGTCAGCCATCAGCTGTCCCAAACCGGTATAGCGGCGCTCCGATTTTCGAATTTTTGGCCGCCTAATTGCGCCTTTACGCTTTGGGAGTTACTGATCCCGCTGGCCTGGGTTTACTGATTGCGAGCACTTATTTATTTCTCGCCCGTCGCGCCCCCCGCAACAGCGATTTCCCCTTTTCCCTTTCCCCTCCCACTCCAGTGCATCATAACAACTCCCAAACGCGTCTCTATCCACACGTCATCGCAACAACGCGATACATCTACTTGATTTCATCAAACCTTTAATACATCCATCAACATGACTGGACGTAAGTACCATTCCGATATTGGTATCACGCTGTCGCGTCCCGGCTACGCGTCTATCATCGCTTGGTGATGGCGAGGTAGCCGCAGAGGCGCGGTGCTTTGATACAATACAAAGCAACTCCATCCTCAACAACCACCGATGCTAACCATCCTCAACAGGCGGCAAGGGCGGAAAGGGTCTCGGCAAGGGTGGTGCCAAGCGTCACCGCAAGATTCTTCGTGACAACATTCAGGGTATTACCAAACCCGCTATCCGACGTCTCGCTCGTCGTGGCGGTGTCAAGCGTATTTCTGCCAGTGAGTTATCCTTTCTCCTCATCATCACCAACAGTAGCTAATCCTTCCTTCAGTGATCTACGAGGAGACCCGTGGTGTTCTCAAGACCTTCCTCGAGGGTGTCATTCGCGACGCCGTCACCTACACCGAGCACGCCAAGCGCAAGACGGTGACTTCGCTCGACGTTGTCTACGCCCTCAAGCGACAGGGCCGCACCCTCTACGGTTTCGGTGGTTAAGCGCTCTCTTTCTGCGCTCCTGTGTTGGGGTGGTTGGCTGTTGAGGATTGCACACACACATGGCAGGGAAAGGATGTATTTGATTACGGCGTTGGGGGAACCGGTCACGATATTACTAGGCGTCATGGCAGACGACCTGTCGAAATGAATACCACATTGCTTTGCACGATGACTTCTTTGTTCCTTGACTTGACACCTTGTACATGCTTGAATCGTGGGGGTCATCTGCACGGCATGTTGACTCATTGGGCACGTCGGTACGAGAGGTTGGAAGCTTGATTAAATTACGCAGTAGATCGTTGTCTTGGTATCATAACAGTTGAATCACAAATACTTCCTCCCCGCCGCTGCTACCCTCGTCCGGAATATGGGACTCTTGACTTCCATGTTGGCCTTATAGAAAGGGCTCATGATGGCCTTGACCCAGTTCTCATACACTTCGGTGAAGAACATCTTGATGGCCTCCTCGGTCGCTGGGCTCGTGGGGTTGGCGCCAATGGCCGTCGATGACCGCGACGAGCCACCAGACGTCGGGACGATGGGCTGGTGTAGTAGGAGGAACTTGACGTTGCCCGCGGTGACGAAGCAGGAGATGTAGTTGTTGAAGAATTTGTCGATGCACTTGAGATACCTGTTTGCACAGAGGGGAAGAGAATTAGCAGTCCGTAATCGCCCTTTTGCTGTCCCGCGCTCCTGTCTATATCTCTGGGGTTGGCTGGTATAGTATAGGATGCACTGCCTTCCCGTCGCTCCAGCCGCTGAAAGCCGACTTGCGCTGGGACAAGATGGAATCGCAAGGGTGACTCACATCTGGCCATGTGACCACTGGACTTCCTCCGCGATATCCAAGCTCGAGTGCAGGATGAACTGGTTCAGGTGCCGCACCTGGTCGGTGAAGCGCGACTGGCCGTCGCCGCCTTGTTTCGAGGTGCCGAACTCATATTCGAAGAGGGGGTTGTCCTGGCTGCCGACAATGGCAAAGTAGTAGCTCATCGTGCTGCGCTCCGCATCGGCCGCCGTCTTCAGGCTGGGCGGTCTCTTGTCGTGGTGATGTTGGTGATGGCGACGTCCATTCGTCTGCGCTTGCGGATGTGCTGCAGTAGCTGTCAGCCACTGTACGTGTACCTCTTCAGCGGACACTCCCCCACTAAAACCCCACGGACCGGGCCACACAATATTCCGCTCCACCCCCAGGAGCCGGCAAGCGTGGTGGCAGCGCGGCTCTCAATGGCCCAGCTCAGCCGACTGTAGTGGAAAAAGTTGGACGTTACGTTCCATTCGACAATCCCGCAAACCTCACCGAACCCGCACCCGACCACCCACCATGTTCGGCCCCTTCCGCTTCACGAACCCGTTGTCGGGCGGTCTCCTATGGAAGATCCCCTGGAGGATGTCCAAGTTCCAGAAGCGCCGCCACCGCATGCGCCTCCGCGCCGTCGACAACGTCGTCGCGACCGTCGACGCCGCCCTGGCCAAGAACGGCCAGACCCTCGAGGCCCTCGAGCGATGGAAGGCCGAGATGCCCACGGAGGCTGAGATGCTACCCAAGGACAAGTACACCATGTTCGACAGGAATGCCAAGCGTTACCGCAAGGGCATCCATAGTACGTTGAGCTTCTGGAGTTGGGGTGTCATGGCAGGTATCATTGTGGAGTGCTGACCTTTGGAACAGAATTGCCTAAGTGGACGAGAGTTTCGCAGCGAGTCAACCCCCCTGGTTACTAATATGGATGAAAACGGGCTGAACGAAACACCTGCGGGTTGCGAATCGAATGGGAATTGGGCGAACAATGCACATCTCTTGCGGTGGGATTGCTGGCGGATCGGGATCCCGTATGGTTCCATGTACAACACCTTGTTTCGACTACGGAGCACAAAATCTCACGACACACGCTGCCGAAATACCGCGGCATGAAGGCATGGATGGTGGCCCCATGCGCAGTGCGGGAATAGACCAGGACGCTTATGAAATGGCTGATGTGGACGAGGTCAGTGAAGGATCAAATACAAGAACATCTAGACCATATAGCCTTGGCACTACCAAAATGACAAGCAACTTTTTTTCTTCAAGGGTATCAAGTCTCATAAACACCCCCAGTTGTAAACTCCCTTTACCTGGGCTTGCTCTCCGCCTCCTCGTAGTTCCTCGTCGGCTCGTCCTGGATCGCCCTGCCCACTCCGCCACGGCCCTCGTCAAAGTCTTCGCGGTACTCATCGCGGACCTGGCCGCCGGACTTGCCGCGACCGTACTGACGGCCCTCCTCGAAGCCTGGGTCAAGATCGGTACGGATGACGCGCTCGTCGAGCTTGGTGCCACCAATGTACTTCATGCAGTCGAGGGCGTCCTGGTGGGTGTAGTATTCCACGAAGCAGAAGCCACAGGGCGTCTTGTTGAACCGGTCGAGGCCCATGATGAGGCGCTTGATCTCGCCGCACTTGGAGAAGAGCTCGTAGACCTGCTCTTCGGTGGTGTAGAAGGACCTGCGAGGTGCGATTAGTTTGCTATCTTGTGGGGCATCGTGAAGAGAACGCACAGGTTGCCGACGTAGAGGGTGGTCGCATGTGCTAAAGGGTCGACAGGAGGCTCTGCGGGGGCGTCGTGCTCCTCATCGTCGCGATCGCGTCTTCGCTTGTTCTAAGAGGGCGTGAGTGCTTGCGCAATGGGCGAGGAAAAGGATAGGTGCATACGCGGCTCTGGTAGTAGGCGCTGGGCCTGTCGAGGCGCTCGACGGTGCTTCGGACGGCGGGTCTCATCGTGGAAGGAGCTGTTGTGGCTGGAACTGGTAACAAAATTTGAGGATCAAGAAAGGCTCTCCGTATATAGAGAATGGGGGATGGGGCGGCACGGATTGGGCGCAGAAGCGGTCGGTGAGGAATGGCGCTGAGCTTGAGGTTCGTTGTGTTGACGGCGACGAGGCTGGCCTAGAGCTTGACGATCCAGTGGGTCCAGGCGCTCATGCGGCTGCTAAGGCTTTGGTGACGGGGATTTAGGTGGCACCTGGTACCTGCCGCTGGGCCACAGGCGCCTACAGGGGGCTGCCTTGGCGCTAGCAGCGACGACACTTTTCCGTGCCAACCTCCCAAAGTTTCCGTCAGCCTCGTCTAAACAGCTTTCACACCTAACAAAGCATCACCAAGCATCACCCGACTTTGCGCACGCCGCTTTTCGCCCCAGCAGCTTTTCGCTCCGGCAAACATCTACCGTACCGCCCGAAGCCCCCGGGAGCTACATCGCAATCGCGGCCGGCGCCCCTACCACATCTTGAGCTGTCTCTGCTCTCCCAGAGACTTCTCTCGCCATGCCGAAGGTCAAGAGCTATTCTGCGCCTTGGCTGTCCAGCAATGCTCCCGGCCACGGTCTTTTCGAGCCCAACCCCGAGACGAGCCGGTCGCGCACCGTCGAGACTGCATATGCATCCAAGAAGAAGCCCGTCGCGGGCCCGCGCCGTACGATTGCCCGTCGCGGCACCGAAGTCTTTGTTGCCGTTGGGCGCGAGATCCGCTGGGGAGACCTGGCGTATTTGAAGGATGGCTGGGCGAACCGGCACGCAAAGGGAAAGACTGGACAGGGAACTCGCATCAAGCGCGAGGATTCTTCGCATTCAGACGTGGATGCTGCCCTGGAGTCGGCAGCTGGACTGAGGGTAAGTTGGACTCTGATCTGCGTTAAACATGGTGAAACTCACCAGACAATAGACCATCAAAACCCCCGTGGCCGACGACATTCGACAACTCATCATGTCTCCTAATTCAAACTACCTTGCGATTCTCACAACCCACACGGTGCATATCTGTGTTCTACCGGATCCCTCGCATTTGACGAGTGAGGACGGGGGCCCTCTCAAGCCGAAGATGTTTACTTTGGGACCAACCACTCATGTCACTTCTCGATCTCCCATCATGTCCGCCATGTGGCACCCGCTGGGAGTCAACGGCTCCTGCATTGTCACCGTCACCGCCGAGGCCGTCGTGCGAGTCTGGGAACTCTCTTCCACCGACCGGTGGTCGTTCGATTCGCCTACTACTTCGGTTGACCTGAAGAAGCTTGTAGATGGCACGACGCTCGACCAAGATTTCTCTGCGTCAACATCAGCTACCAACAAGGCATTCTCACCTGATTCATTCGAGATGGAGGTTGCTGCAGCCAGCTTCGCTACCAAGGGCGCTGGCGGATGGAACCCAATGACTCTGTGGGTGGCCATGCGAGAGGGCGACGTTTACGCACTATGCCCACTGTTGCCTCAGAAATGGGCGCCGCCGCCGACTTTGATCCCGTCGCTCTCGGTGTCGATTGTCACCACGGTTGCCAGCATTGAGGACGACCCTGAGATCGGAGAGCAGGAGAAACTGCTCGCCCAGCAGCAACTGGAATGGATGGGCGAGCTTGACTCCCAAGAGCCGCAGATTGTTGACGGCCGCCTCGGAGACCCGATCATTGAGATTTACACCCGACCATCTCGCCCGGGTGTTATTCCTCGCCTGCAAGGTCCTTTTGAGCTGCAGTCGGACCCTGACACTGGCGATGAGTTGGACACCTCCATCACTGACATCATGGTTATTGGAAAGAAGACGGAAACCGAGGAGCTCATGATGGGCGAGGACGAAGAAGACCTAGATATGGACGATGGCGACCAGGAAGGGCTGTCTCTTGCAGTAGTTTGCCTGCTTTCGACGAGCGGTCAAGTTCGTGTTTACTTGGACCTCGAGGGCGTGCAAGCTCAGTGGTTGCCACCCAAGAACAAATCCAAGCTCGGCCGTCTCTTGGCAGAGTCTGAGCCCCCTTCCCTCCTCTCTTTCCAGGCCATTGACACAATGAGCCCGGTCGAGATCAACGAGGAGAGTTGGCCCGTCTTCAGTGAGGACGTCATGTCTCGCTACAGCTTCTTTGTAACCCACCATGCCGCCATTACCTTCCTCTCGCTCACGTCGTGGATCTTCCGCCTCGAAAGCGAGCTTAATGGAGACTCTGAGGCTGGCACGGACTTCAGAATCGGACTCCTGGTCAACTCGCAGTCTTCGAGGGATAGGATCTACTCGCAACCAACTGCCGACGTTGCAGTTCCCTTGTCTGCGGCTAATGTAATCCGGGACCCTGACGTTGGATACTTCCTTCTATCAGCCACGCCTTACGATCCGATCGCCTTGACTTTCGAGACGCCTGAGGTTGATCTTGCCCCCATCCGACAGGAAAGCCCTGTCTATGAACGAGAAGTTAGCATGGCGCCCCTGGACTTCTACGAACCACGTCCAGTGTTCAACCCGTCTTATGCGTTTGACGAGGGATCGGCGTTGCCCACATTACTAGAGCGCCTTCGCACATCACGTCATAAGACAGTGGTCAACCAGGAAGTGAGGCTGAGCCCGCTTACCCTCCAGATCTTTACCGATGCCCACAAGGTCTTGGCAGATGAGACGCACCGGCTGGGGATGGCTGCCGCGGAGGTGTTCCGTCGCTGCGAGCTGTTGCAGTCGGAACTGAAGCAACAGGTGATGAAAGCCAACGAAGTCAAGGGTAAGATCGACACTATCAATGGAGCGCATCGGGATGGGGAGGCTGACAACGCCATGTACGATCGTCGTATTGTGACAGCGAGGGAGCGTCAAGGACAGCTTGCTCAACGCTTGGAAAACCTGCGGAAGATCGTCGGCAAGGCGACCACTCGGGACTTGAGCGCCAAGGAACGGGCGTTTGTAGAGGAGGTGCGGACACTCGAGGCCAACGTATCTGCGTCGGCATCTGAAGAGCCGGCATCATCCAAGACACAGTCGAAGCAGCTCTGGAAACGACTGGCAGATGTGAGGCGACTACAGGAGGAACTAGTGGCGGAGGTAGAGGCGCTGAAGAAGGCCGGAGATGGGGATCCTTCCCCTGCGCCATCGGCCGAGATGAGGATCCCGCAGGACATCAGGCGGGCGAAGCTGCAGCAGGTCCAAAGCTTACTCTCACGAGAGACGGCATTGGTGGAGGCGGTAACGGCGAGACTGGAACGACTTCAGACCAATTACTGAAGAAATTGTGTACGGTGGCTTTAGATATAAGATGACTGCGTGTCCTTCATTTCAGATTTACTCTCCCCCAGCCAGTCGTCCTCCAAGAGGGTGAGACCTCGCTCACCCCATCAGCCATGTTTTCTTTGGATAAGACGCATGCATGAGAATCCAAGGCTGGGAAACCTCTTATCCCGAGAAAGACTATGATCGTCGACAAAAAAGAAACGAAAGTCAAGGCGACCACCAGCGAAGCCCGAAGCCGGGTCCGGGTTTGGCGCGTTCCGTGTCGGCTGGCGCACTACTCCATAACGCGAGAAGCTATATCCGGAGCGAAACAGGTTTAAGCCAGAAGTGCCCCCGAGAGACGTCGATCCGCCGGCGCGTACGGATATGGATGACCAGGTTTGCCGCTTTTGAAGCCTCTTGGGGGCGTCGAGACAAGCGGGTCTTACTGCGAGGGCTAGGATCAGCCCGTTGGGTTGGAACTTGGATGATAGCCAATCAATATCTAGGGCGGCTAGGCCCGAACACAGTACACATGTACCCCCAACACGACGAAATTACGAGGTGGCTTTCGATTGACTTTCGTGAGAATGAACTGAAGGGGGTGGCGTCTGACTTGTTGAGGCCCGGGGCTATGTACGGGGTTGAAGCCTGAACGAAAACGAGACGAAGATGAAGCTTTTGGTGTGGAACAAGGGCTGAGGCCGATGGCACGGGAATGGGGGTTGAGACGGCCTTGATTCTTCGAGGTTATCCCGGCATGTTCCCTGTGCCAGTCGGATCCGACGATCTGGGCCTCGTCGTGCAGTATTGTGACCTGTTACTTCTGGGGCGTCCGTGATACGGCTTGTACATTGCTCCACGTTGCTGGCGCAGGCTCTCGCCGAGCTTAGAGCGGCCCAACGCATGAGTCTAAGGCATTCGTTTACGCATAGGGCAGAAGCCATAGGGCACAGCACAGCACAGAGACGCTTGTCGGCGTCTGGAACCAGAGAGACTCGCGTTAGGCCGGGCCTCGACGGTCTGAGAATGAGGCCTCTCTGATAGTCTGCCTTGGACGTAGTGCTTCAACGTCTCGTCCCTCTTCGCCACTCATGATAGGGTCTACAGTACTTCTGCGCAGCCGTCCGACAGCACATGCACACGTACAAGGACGAATGCAAGGCAAAAGAGAACGATGGGGTGTTGCAAGCCCTTCCAGACTACACCCCTCCCCTCTTCCATTTTGGTTGACACGGCAGGCCGGCCTGAACCACGGATGGGGTTACATATCTGTCGTTGGCCTGGCTCGCTCGCCTTGTTTTTCGAGACAAGTCAGGACGTCCTTGTCTCTCCCGTGCGGTACCGGCAAATACCGCCACAACTGACCGTAGATAGTTGGTACGTTCAGGTATCAGCCGCATCCGGGAAAGGGGAGGGCATATAAGCCATCTGTTCGCGCACTTTTGAAAGGAGGCACAGATCACACCAGCTTCCAGATCCCGGCCGACTATCAAAGGTATCGCGGTATTCACTTTTGACAGTATTTCTCGATGACTGTATCCCTCTTGTCACCCCATTCCGCCAGAACCCCCACATCCACCATGGCGCCCCTTGCGAATGACGGCTCATATTACCGAGATGCAATCTTAAGTACGCTCTCACTGTCCTTTGCTTGTGGGCTTAGGAGCCATGTGCAATTTGCTGACATGAGATTTCTCTTCTCTTCCAGGAAACTCCAGATTCATCCATGATCCCAAGACAAATATCGACCTCATCGACAGTCTAGATACCTCGGGAACTTGGCACGCCCACGTCGTCAAGATTGAGGCCGGCAAACGCACCTCCGTCCTCACTGAGACATCTGGCAACCTGCATGATGCACTCAGGCTACTCCACATCAAGTCGGCGCAGGCGGTGCACCAATACACCACCACCAATGGCTTCGGCCTCCCACCAGTCGTCACCTCCTCGTCAAAGCGTACACTTGTCCGAGGCGGTGTGGCCAGCCCTAGGGCCCTCTCGGAGGTCATCGCCTTCTGCGGTTCGTCCAGTGAAGACGAAGAAGATGCATCTGAGTCGGATGACTCCCTCGACGGACGCACGAACAGGCGGGGGCGTCGCCAGCGTCGTAGTCGGCAGCCACACGGCGAGGCGGTGAGCAGCAAGAGCTCATGCCGGGACAACAATGCAGATGAAGACGAAGACGACGACAACGACGACGACGACGATGACGAAGAAGAAGACGATGGAGACGTCGTGGAAATTGTCAATGATCGCTCGCCTCGTCGTCGCAACGGACCTCCCGGGTGGGTTGCTCCGGTCCCGAGACCCTCTCAACCGCCCCGGGGCCCACTGCCGGGATGGGACAAGTTCCCGGCCGGCCGGCGTCCCGCTCCTCCGGGACCTCTCGCCCGGCTGCCTCCGCCTCCTGGCCCTGTCCCGGCACCGCGCCTCATGAGCATGGTGCCCCGGAACGTCGTCATGCCCCCGCGGCCGGTCCCCGCGCTGCTCAACATCACCTGGCCGGGCCGTGGCTGCAAGAACCTGCTCGTGCAGACGGTGCCGTCCGGCGATGCTCTGCGACAGATGGCGCTCATGGAGGCTCGTCTGCGTCCCGCGGGCTTCGTTAACCTGTTGGCCCAGGGCATCCCGCCGCCGCCGTTCCCGTCCCCTGATCTGCTGAGTCTCCGCGCCATGATCCGCCGCGTGACTCTGGACGGGGACGTCTACGAGGTAACCGGGTTCGGGGATGACTTGTCCTCCCTGTTCCGCAGCTTCTCTGGCATCCCCAGGTTTGACATTGAGGTGTCTGGCGTCATGGTGCCGGTCCCAAGACCGCGGGCGAACAGCCTGTCGAGTGTCAACTCGGATGACGATATCGTCGACCCATGAGCGGATGAGCTGGATTTCCTTTTATTCTCTGATAGATTTCCCCCCATTCCGGATACGGTCATTATGAGTTTGAACCTGGTGCATTTGTTTGGTAGTTTAGGAGCAAGCGGAATGGCCATCATACCCGTTCAAAAGAGCGGCGGCCGCGTCCCAGTGTTGTTTTAAGAAGGGGCATGTTTAAACATGGGAGCCGTTTTCCTTATTCTACGAGTCTTGTCTCCCCCAGGCGAGGGAATCAAGTGGACTATTTTTAGACGATATCCATTACAGGGACAGAAACCCGCAATCGAAACAATTTCGTGTGTTCTCAACTGTAACGCCTTCAACGTCTTTGATCCCATCAAACTCTAGACCGTCATGCATCTAAGCCAAGCAACAGTAGTTGGGGGGTTTTCCGCCAAAAGCCCCCGCAAACTCGCCTCACTTCACTTAACCCTCGCTTGGCGAGTGCTACCTCGCATCACCAGAGGGACTCATATGATGGGTGATTGGGGCCTCAAACTGTTGAGCCAGTGTGTGGGTGGCGATGGAAGGGCGCCATTCCGGAATCGGAGAGCAGCTGGGCATCGAGGAACTCAAGTATGTTGCAGATGACACGGCTTGAGACAAGGCGGTCACTGGCCGGGTCTGGATGCATTCCTGCAGTCTGTAGTCCGCAGAATGCAAGTTGGGTTGCATCGACGCTGCTGCGGGTCGCGGGACAGGGGCGAGACAGAGGGACATTGTGAGGCCAAGATAGGTGGCTCGGAGTCTAGATTTGAGAGCGAAGGGAGATGTGCTCCGAGGCATGCTCCGAGATGCACTTGTGTTCGTTGTCATACAGTGGAAACTCTCGTATATGCGCATGTCTATAACGCAGATTCCCGTCGCCAAGACGTATAGACGCCCGCTTATACACTTGTGCAAATGCGAATAGCCGCCACCGGGAAACATATCAACGCCGCTGTAGATCGACAGAGGCACCCTCACCAAGAAGAAGTCTTCTACGGCCTGCCGCAATGCAGTGTCACCGCTACCTGATGTCCCAATGAGGCGTCGTGCGAGGGGCGGCATGCCGGCGTGCTGTGTACTACAGTTGCATACTGCGACGCACTCGGTGAGCATATCGAGGCGTCTTGTCTTCCGGTTACTGTGATGCAAGAGACAGCGAATTGAAGGATCAAGGTCTCTTGGATTTGACAGTGCGAGTGTAGAGGAGCCAAGTCGCCAAGCGAAGGTGACATGGTCCTCTCGCCTCGAATATCTGCAATGTCTCAATGACTGGCCACCAAGTCGACCCATCCTCCGCTTCACACGACACTGGCCTTCACCGCACTCTGGATGAGCCAATCACGACCGGATGTAACAGTCGTCACACGAACCTGGCTTCGTCTGTACGCTGCCACCGACTGCCTCGCTTCCATACCCTCGGGTTTGCCGCGAGATTGCGAAGTGAGGCTACAAGCTGGTGGCCCGTGAGGTAGAGATCATGATATTATCACGCCAGAATAGCCCTCTCCGTGCGGGCCGAGGCGCTGAGCAAGGCGGACATAGCGGGCTTGGCGATGATCTCGATGTTTTCCTGGCCATGATTATCTGGGGGCCACCGGAGATGAGCGTCCTGATTGCCAGTATCGGTCTAGTTCCCAGTGTGTTCCAGCGCCGGGTTCCCTTGCCGACGGCAGTGGCCCAGGATGGCTTCTCATATGTTAGCCTTGATAATGTGACGGCGAGGCGAGTTTGCGACGCGAGAAGGAAGAGGCCGCCGATGTTGGCCGTGATGTGGTTCATGATTTGTCGAACGAAGGAGGCGGAGCGGCGATATAATGCTAACCAAGCTTAGGCAGCATGGCCTACTCGCCGGCCAGCAAATGGATTCGACTTCCCGGATTACGTGAGACGGACATCGGTGAAGCTACATTGAAAGACAATTGCTCCGAGGGAATGAAACTGGCGCCTCACTACGACTACTCGTCGTTGGATGAGGCCGGCTCCATCTTCATCTGCAAGGCCCGCCTTGGGTTGCGAGCTGACTAGAGCTGAGCTTGGTTTACACGAACTAGCAATGACTCTCTTAGCCAAAGTAGAACAAGTGTGGGACTAGGCAGCAGGGTGCAGTTGTTAATTGTACACCCATTTAGATCTGAGCAACGCCGTTATTCCTGCTTCGCTCTCGCCGCCTTTTCTTCCAAAGCAGAAAAGGCCTTCACAGTCTGTTGCCAGCTGTCCCACAGCAATACTAGTAACACGCACATTAGTACTCAGTCTAGAGTAATCAAATAAACCACATGAGCAGGAATCCACTTACCCACAGGGACGATTGCCCACGGCATATTAAAGCCAATGTAGTAGACCCAATAGTAGAGGAACTCTGGCCGACTGTAGGCCACACCGTACATGTGTCCTTCCACCCAGTTGGTCAGGTAGTATAGGGCTACGCCGTACAGGTGCGCCACGCACACAATGAGCTGCGTGACGTGTCTGCTAGGCGAATTGGCCAGAATGCCGCGGACTGTCAGCCACGAGAGCGGACCCCATGCAATCTACGCTGGTGGTTGAGTTTGGTCCGTCAAGACAATAAGAGGGGAGGGGTTCCTACGGCGGTGATGGTCTCGACGCTAATGGTGAAGACGTCGTTTGTTAGATATCGGGAGTCGGAGAGGGCGTATTCTTTCCAGAGCTGGGCGAAAGTGGTCGACATCCCCGGGAGCTGGTTGCGATAGTAGAGATAGTAGCCTGGCAGATTTGTTAGGCCGCTTGGATACGGTGATATATGCCTGGAAACCCCTGTTTACTCACCCTCAAACGCGACATGAAGGAACCCGCCTATTTGAACCAATACAAGTCAGCAAATAAGTTTCAATTGGAGGAGCCGAGAGGCGATTGCAAGTTAGGGTCACTTACACAAGGCAAACCAAGCAGCAGCGAAGTGATCAATACGCCGCAAAGGAAACCTGCTCTTGGCGGCCTGCAACAAGACCAACCCGACGACGGCCGCAATTATGCCGCCAAACACGGGCAGAAGTTGAACGACGGTCGTCTCATTCGGCGCGTATCCCGGGATTTGCACATTCAGCGGGTAATACGGATGTGCGAGACCCGGCTCCGATGCCGAAGTCGCGTCCGGACCCGGGACCGATTTGGCCATGGTTTTGAGAGCGTGGAAATCGAGTCTAGAGGAATGAAAACAAGTATGCACGTATTTGGAGCTTGGAGGGTGATATATTATATCGGAGAGAGATCAGCCTTGTTTGTGCATACCTTGGGAGTAATCCAGGTGTCAAGGCCATGTATGAATGTGTCTGACTTCTGGAAGGCTGGCGACCAGCACATGATTTAAATCACGTGACCAATAATGCAATTGTTACCGCGGTTTCAACAGCTTCACATACCTGCATGCATAAAAGAAAAGAAAAGAATTATAGAGGAATAAATGCTCATAATTAGTGGTAATGTATTTACTCCGCAGAAATGATATACTAGTGTGACAATAATGATCATCTTCAGGATTTGAGCAGGCACATGTATGTGTGCTGTTAGTTAAGATGAATATGTGTGTGAATAGCAATACTCTACTTCTACGATTTCCATGATATCGCAAATTTTCTCATTTATAGCTGCCCGGGGTTACCCATGGGATATATACAACAGCCTCCCTAAATATTCACATACACCAAGTACATCGTTGTCGTTGGCGTCCAAGTCTAGATCAAGTGTGTCATTATCCTTGATACCCTCCAGGCCATGAACCTATTAGTAGTACACATCCCCCTTCATCAACACCCTAGCAGTACGGAGCAACTGGGCTGATTCAATTTTCCCATCACGGATCGTGGTGCCAATATCCACCGTGCCACTCGGGTGTCCAATCGTAACCGTGTCCTTGGACTTGCCCGCAATCAGACCAGCCGCAATGGTCCCGGGCAGCTGGGACGCAGCTCCGAGACAGAGCGCGAGCGTCAACGGAACCGCCTTGTGAGCCTGACCCATGGATAGAGCGAGACATCGGATGTCGATTTCGGGCGCGCCGCTGGAAGGGAAGAGGAGAACTATCTTGGGGACGCTCTGGGTCTGAGGGTCGAGGCCCATCTTGGAGGCGCCGGCACGCCGGATGTCTTCGAGCCGGGCTTTAAGAACCGCATCAGCCTCGACTATAGGCGGAGTTAGCGCCATGTGATCCGTTAACCCGAGGCTCTCGGTGCTGATGAAGACGCCGGGGTTGCCGACGTCGATGAGAGATGCCTGGACAGTGCTGCCGTCTGATAGTTGGAGGACATCCACTGAGTTCCCAGTAGGAAGAGCCTTGCCCGTCTTTGCACCTGCAGGATCCATGAAACTCATGGTTATCTTTGACCCAGTCCCAGGCACGCCGTCCATGACATAGTCTCCCTCGTGAGAATAGCGTAGTGGCTCTCCGGCGACGCTGAAGCGCGACACCATGACCTTGTTCGTATTAGTATTGAGGAACCGCACAGTTGCCCACTGCTGGCCGTCCGAATCACGCTCGACAGATGGGTTCGCGACGATGCCACTATCAAATGCTGCGGGACCAACAAGAGCGGACATGTTGCCGCAATTCCCAGCCATGTCCAGCTCGGTTTCACGAATGGCGACTTGCACAAAGGTGAAGTCGACATCGATATCCGGGCGCGAAGGCGGGCCGAGAATGACAATCTTGGACGTGGATGAGATGCCGGAACCCATGCCGTCGAGCTGTCGGCCATACGGATCCGGAGAGCCCATGGCGGCCGGCAGGACGGTGTGCCATTGTTCTTGTGGCGGGAGGTCGCGACGATCAATAACGAGGCCGTTGGAGGTTCCGCCACGCGCGAAGAGTGCGGGAAAGCTGCGGTTCTGGGATGCGAACCATCGCCGAGTTGTCATGGTGCTGGGGCGTCTGATGTGTGGTGATGGGGGGGCCGAAGATGGGTTCGCGAGGCGCTGGAGAAGATGACGCGAGGCCTGACCTTTGAGGGACCGTGGCATTCTCGTCGCCATCGTTGTGACTTGGATTCCAGCCGAAGACGAAAATGCCAACAGTGAAGCGTTTTGTATAAGTGAAGTAGAAGATGGGAGACGAGCCAACCGCGATCGGAGTCTCGGCTTCTCCCCGCTCACTCGGCGAAGCGCACGGGACTCGTCCGTCACTTATACGGAGAATCCCCGACGAAATCAGCGTCAAACACGTACCCTTTCAACGCCTGAAGCCATAAACCACAGGAGGTATGATGATTAAACCCCAAATAATTAGCTGGTACTGAAAGCCGATAGCAAAAACCGAGGCTCACTAAAGTCTCCCATTTTCGTCCCTCATCCACCCCCGTATGTGCATTACCCCATGATTCATCAGTTCCCTCAACCAGGCCGGCCCTTGTAAGCCACATGATAATACTGCCTAATATCTGAACGAGATCAACATACTCCAAGAAAGTAAAATGGCAACTAATTCCTGACATGTATGCCGCCTTCGTTGCTATGGTCTAAGTAATAATGGTGTCTTGAGAAAATCAGATGCAGAAGAAAGTGCAAACCATCGTCACTTAGCCCACCAAAGCATACCGTCATAAATACTGGGCGCAAGGAAACCCATCAAAACACACTCGTCGCCGAGTCTACTCCCAATCCTCTCGTTCATTCCGTCACTCCCAGAAACGCCTCATAACCCGATCCGCATACCCTTCGTCCAAGCCCCAGTTGTCAACCGCGTCCTGGATCCCACGCTCCATCCGGTCCACGTACTCGTCCCGCGGCACATCCTCGTCGGTCCGCTCGCCGTCCACGTATATGAGGGCGCGTAGCGGTGCTTCGTCGGTGCCGCCATCGCCGTCGCCGTCGCCGCGCACCCACTTGACGTCCACCTGGAACTTCTGGTACGCCCATGGGACGCCTTCGTAGCCGTCGAGCTGCTCCTCGTCCTGCGGCGGCAGCAGATACAGCAGTCCATAGACGCCCTCTTCGTCTCTGGTTTTGCCCTTGCCCTTGTTGCTGCTAGAGCTCGATACTTGTCTGTCGTCGTAGTTTTCGTCGTCCAGTGTGACTTGCGCAACGTTGGCATATCCGCGTCCGTTGATGAACCACTTCCACCCCTCCAGATGCGCCAACCCAACAGGCGTCGAGTAGGGGCAGCGCTGGCGCATCTGCTCGGTCGACAAGTTGGACCCATAGGCGAAGTACAGCACCTCGCGCCGGTTGTCCTGCATCACCGTCATGTTGCTGTCCTGCGACTGCTGGCTTTCCTCCTGCGAGCTCATGGCGGGCGATGCTTGTCTGGCTGGTGTCCAAAGCAACTAACGGTAATAAAGGCGGGTTGGTTGGTTGGTGTGCTGGTGTAACAGCGAAAAGTAGTGCCTGTGGTTCAAGGCCGACAAATCGTTGCAGCGTTGCCCGATGGCGCTTCTTAACGGCAAGAATGTATTTTCCAATTTTCACGGCTGCTCATTAAACATTTGTTTTCAGGATGAAGTAAAGTGTTGACGGGAGGCCTGACGGTGACACGCCCATAGTGGGTTGCATGTAGGCAGCAAGGCGAGCCAAGCCACAAACCCAAGGTCCCAATTCAGCTCAGCCTACAACGATCCACAAACAAGTCCTAGACAGCACAAAAACAAACACTGACTAGGAGGGATCCAACCGGGGTGAGAACGTATAATGCTGGTGCACAAGAGACTCGAAAATAGAACGTTTTAACTGTTTCCTTGTATTCATCTCTAGCAGATAGTAGATGCCTCCAAACTCCTTTGTATCCCTCCGTTATCATCCCCCAGAGTGCCTCCCTTTTGGTATCTAAATGCCGTGGTCCCTCCTGAGCCATGGATGCAGTTCTCTAAATAAAGCGAGCGTGATTATTCCACCAAGTCATTTCATCAGGCATGGGTCTTCTTCCCCTTCTCTCGTAAAATTACAACATCTCTCCATGGCTACCACAAAGCCATCTCTCTTCGTTATCATCTTCCTTTCTCTCTCCTTCTCCTCCCCCCTTCCCCCCTCTCCCTCAAATTAAATCATCATTTCCCCTCACTCGGGGTATCATTAGGTAATGGGCACCAAGAAGGGACTCAGAATTAGCTCATCCGCACTAGGCCGCAGGTTGTGATCAATCTCGAAAGTCTGGGCCAGGAACAGCTTGGCATCCTCGCTGGCGTGCTCAGGAATTGTAGGTGCAACCTTGCCACCTCCAATCTTGAAAATGGCCTGCAGTTGGCTGCAGTCTGGGAATGGATGGCTGCCCGTCATCATCTCCACCACGAGACAGCCAAGGGACCAGATGTCCGCCTTGAGCGTGTATGACGTCTGCTTGACCACCTCGGGCGCCATCCAGAAAACGGATCCCTGAAGTGAGGGTCGATGCTTGTTGTTATTAGCACCACTTAGAATGTTCGACGCCTCGAGCTTCTTCGAGATACCGAAATCGGAAATCTTGATGGTGCCCTTGTTATCAACCAGGATATTGGCACCCTTGATATCTCGGTGGATGATATCCCGGTTGTGCAAGTATGAAAGACCCATCAGGATCTGTCTCACAAAGCTTCGCACGAGAGGCTCCGGGAGGGCTCCGTATGAGTTGAGCATAGTCTGTACGGAGCCGCCAGGAACGTACTCGAGGAAAATATTGAGGTGTTCCACGGAAGAACTGCAGCCCAGGTACTGCACAATATTGGCGTGTCTTAGTTCGCGGAGAAGGCTGATTTCCCGCTTGAGGGCCTCGATCATGCTCTTCTTGCGCGAATCATTCGGGCCGTTGGCGCCAGGGGCCGGCGCTTCCACTTGCTTGACCGCCAGAAGCTCGCCCGTAACGGCATGCAGCGCCAGGTAGACGGAGCCGAAGGAGCCCTGTCCGATGAGAGCGCCCTTCATCCACTTGTTGTCATCCCAAGACTCGCCTGCTAGGAAGCTCTGTAGTTCCTCATCTGCATCATCACCGTCATCTGTCAAAGCCTGTTGTAACTCCTGGAAGGAGCCCGAGCCGGTCGACACTGTATCGCCGTCAAAGTAGCTGGTGGTTGTAGTGTTGCCTTCGGGGTCCGTCACACTCAACCCGGTCGTGTCCGAGTTGCTCTCCGTGAACGAGACATATGACTTGCGGTTTGGCTCAATAGGAGACTCTTCTTGGAGCGTGTCTAGCATCGAGGATGTCACTGAGTCACGGTTGTAGCCATGGGGTCGTACGTGAGAGTCACGGGTACGAATCTTGGCCACCTGAGTGTGGGCATTCAACCATGAATCAGCAATAGTTGGGATCGGGGGAGCGTCCTGGATGCTAGAGGCAAAGCTGAGGTTGCTGGCGACACTGAGCCGGCTATTGACCTTGCTCAGGCGCGTCGACCTTCTCATAGAGAGTCGGGCAGTTCGGTCAATATCCTCTCGGGTGTGATCCGGGAAATAGGACGTCAGGTCAGAGGCAATAAGCTCGCTTGGGGGTCGGAGACCGCCAAACTGTCTGAGTCCAACCTTGCGTGGCTGAAGCTGAGATGAATCAGGCGGGGCTGGTCGTTCTAGGTCCTGAGCCGCAGTCTGTACGTTCCGTTCTCGGTCTTGGTAAGACAAGGGAGAGAGGGGAGACTGGAGTTGGTCGTTCCACTTCTCACCCAACATCTTTTGAACTTTGAGCTGACTCCGCTTGTCGACCGTCTCCAAAGCCCGTGCATGCTTTTGTTGTTCCTCCTCCATAGCAATAGCGGCAGCGCGCTGAAGCTCCGGATCCCCAGGTTCACCGGCAGGAACCCTCCTGAGGATTAGTCGATTACGTTCGGGACGACGTTGGTCTTTGATGATGCGCCAGAGTTCGGTGTCACCAAGTCGTCGGCATTGGGAAGGGTCGGGGTCGATGCCGGCGAGAACCCAAAAGCAGTAGTTTCGTTCGTGATCTTCACGCAGGGCGAATTTTCGCAGCGTTACACGCATGACTTCTTCGCAGGTATTACAGTCGAGGATCTTGACCACTTTAGTCACACCCCCTGTCGAAATAACGCGAATAACATCTTGTCCCTGTGGTAAGGCAGCCATCAGCGAACCATCCATACTGGAATTATTCCTCGTATGGGATGTTACCAGACGGTTTGTCGGCATATCTGGGGACGAGCCCGCATGTCTCGCCGAGCCGGGTCCCCCACTGCCGTGGTAGCCAGGACCTTGGGGATACCTTTGCTGCCTCGCACCTCGGGCATCACTGCCGGGTAGAGGAGAGTTGGGTCGAGAGGAGGCATTAACCATGTCAAACCCGGACAGGTCAATCTGTCTCGAGTATCGCTTGTTCGCGGCTGGAGTAGGCATGGACCGGGCGGTATTAGGAGGGCGCGGTGAGCCACCAGAGGGGCCAATGACGTGAATATCAAGGCCACCAAACGAGTCCTAAAGGGGCCACAGTCAGTGATGCATCCTGCAATATCAGCGTTTCTAGAATTTGGGCCTACCCTATTTCGCTTCTTCTGGTTGGCGTAGGCCTTGGTCCTAAGCTTCTTGATGCCGAGAAACAGGCGAACGCGATCGCCGACTTTCTCGATGCCCATTTCCTTGAGGACCTCCTTGTCCATCTCGAGGAGGTTCTCGCCATTGATGTGGTTCTTCCGGAACAGCTTCTCATACTCGCCACACTTGACGCTGCGGAGATACTCGCACACCTTGTCCTCGTCCCAGTTCTTGACTGAATCGGGGCCGTCGGCATCCGAGAAGTCAGACTCGGTAGGGCTAGCATAGATCTGACTCGTCGTGGGCATCGTGGGAGCTCTTCGTGGGGGGAGCATGGCGGACTGTGGTGTAGGAGCGAGGCTGGAGGTGCTGAGGCCGGTCGGAAATGACGATTTCGACGCCAGCATGGCCATTCTGAAGAGACGGCCGGGTTCTCAACAACCGGTCGATTCGGGAAGCGGAGTCGGAGAGCGTGTTGGCGGGGGAGGTATCGTCGTTGAGGTCGCTGTCGAGCGAAACGGTGCCTGAGACACCGGAGCAGAAATGGATATTTCCAGGCTCAGCCACGGAGATTATTGGAGCTGCAACGGTTCGGTCGTGAGTGCAGGTTGCAGCAGCCGGAGCCGGAGCCTACTACCTTATGCAGCACGTTTTTTGCTGGATTATTAGATAGGTGGAAGCGGAAGGTGCGATCAACGCGGAACGCCGGGAGGGCGGGAGATAAGTGGAAGGCTTCGCGATGCAGAAGTGAAAGGCCAGGGCGGGATGGAGATGGACGAGGACGAGACAATAGGAGACGGAGCGTTTGAGGATTACTACGGAGTACGCTGTGGATGGGATGCTCTGGCAGGCCAGGTACAGGGGGGGCGGGAGGTACAGGAAGGTGCAGGGGAGGGGAGACGGTCGGCGCTCACCTCCAGGTACCTCCCTGGAATACCTACACGCCGGTACCTACGTCACGGCGACTGGCAGCGCTGATCACGCGGTAGCGCATCGCCATGAGGGGTACCGCCCAGCTCAGGGTACCTGACGGTGAGGTGGTGCCGGGCCTCGTTAGGCTGGTTCAGGTTGGCGGACTTGGCCTGTGCGGCCGCGACGATTGGACAGCGGCAGGAGGACCCCCTGTAATCTGTGGTGGTGGACGTCGGAGAGGTGGCAATGGCCGCTGTAGGGATTGGAGTTGAAACCTGCTGCGGCGCCATTCGCATGAAATGACGGACCCTAGGTCAGATTACAGTACATACGGAGTACAGGCGGACCCCCGGATCCTCCAAGAGCCTGCAATGCAAAGGAGCCATCCTCGCTACAAACCGATCTCTGGCTGCGTGTTGTTTTGTTGTTGCGCTGCCGATCACACTCTTGTGTACCCCATGGAGACGTGGGAGACCTGGCAGCGGGCAATATGGATGATGCTATTTTCGACGTGCCCAGTGAGGGGGGACGCGGAGGGGGAGATGAAGGCCAGGTGGTGGGCGGTTCCATTAACTGATGACGATGGCGACGGTCCCTCATTCCACGGGTCCCTCATGCTCGCCGTCACATCACCGGGTGTGCATACGTATTCTCCTCGCAGCAGGCTATCGGATCGGACCCCTCTTCCGCCTCTCTGCGTCCCCCTCCGTCGGTATCGCCATGTAGACGCCCGAGATGGGCTGAGACTGAGCCGAGCTCGAGTTTCAACCCGTCCCCAGTCGTCTCCTAGTCGTCCCATGAAAACATCCGCATCTCTCGACAGCTTCACCCCAGACCGAGGCAAACAAGATAACATAACAAAAGGACGAGGAACCTCACTGCCGAGCCTGCTCGCCCGAGCCGCCCTGATGCCACGAAGCACCCATCATCGTCAGACGGCCGGTCCGGTGTGCCCAGGACCCTGGACCAAGTCGCTCGCCAACGCTGAGCGATTCGTGGACGGGCCCTGAACGGCGTCGCGGCCGCTGATTCGGTGGCACAGGGGTGAAACGGTGAGACCCCCAGACCCTGGGATTGAGCGGCTGCAAGTGATAGGCCAGGCGCCGGGTCAGCATGAAACCGACCGCGTTTCGACCAGGGCCGCTCGGATGACGCCGCGGATCGAGGCTTGAGGAAACATGGGCTTCTGGATCCGGACAGGTGGGCGGCACATGGTAATAGAAGGGCATTTCCTCATAATGCTGGTCGATAGCAATAGCTGGCCATGGCTGTTCGATAGCTTCGCCTCCGGTGACTCAGTTGACTCATCTCCAGCTTCTCCAGCCAATCGCTACAGGGACCTGGATTCACAGAACCGAGTTGGAATATTGTTCCGTGGCGATGCCCCCCTAGAACCGAGCCTGGGCGCGACCCGGCGATGCAGTGGCGGATCGCCTCTAACCGTCTAGTTACAGAGCTATTGACAATGACTGAGCCACTCAGAGGCAGCGGGTTGCCTATCCCACCTCGTGTGAGCGAGTGCGGGACTGCATGTGGTTTCGGAGCTTCATGGAGGTGCGAATCCACTCCTCCTCCAGAAGGTCTGGAGCATCTTGGCTTTACGGGGTCTTGACCTCAACCGCCCCGGCGTCCATGGCCGTGCACCGCACCGAACGAAACTAAACATACGATTCCTTTGTTCTGGATTCACGCGACGGATTAAAAAGTAACGACCAAGCGATGCTATTGAGTGCCACGAATGGGTATTTGTCAAGCCGTCCTTTGTGCATTTCAGCTCGGGCGCCTCTTGTCATGTTGGGGTTGCTCGAGGAAGCATCGGAACGTGGAGGCGCCCTGTCGTGTTTCATCTTTCCTTTTTTCCTTTTTTTCCTGGCAGGTGCATGGTGCGCCCACAACTAACAAGCCAGAACGCTGCACAAAGCAGATCTCTAGCTCTAGAACCCGCTAAAAACTGCCTCGCTAGCTTGAGACACCCAAACACTGTCGGGCCAAGCACACTAACATCCCCTTGCTGACCGCCACGCTGTCGTCCTCGGAGCATGGAGAGGCTTTTTTTCGACAGGGCATTCTAGAGCCTCATTGGAGCCTCATTGGAAAGCCTCCTGGAGTGGGCGGTGTATCGGCCTCTCTGGAAGAGAAGGCGACTGGTGGAACAAGAACGACAACAACTCCGCTCGATTGCCACCCGAGTTTCGGTTTGTCTCTCCCACCGTCAGACTATAGGTCACGCGCCGACGGCCTTCGGACTTTTCGACGGCCACGCATGGAGGCCCATCTTTACGAAGCTGGCAAGCTGACAAGCTGGTAAGCTAGACGCCGGAACAAGGGACCTGCCTGAACGCGAAAGAGATCTGCGGGGACTAGCTACGACATCGACAGCGTGAACTTCATTCAGCCCTCAGCAAGACTTATTCATGCGCTCGCTGCTTGCATTCTGAAAACGCTGCAATATTCAAAGACCGCCCTTTTGCTTCCAAGCAAAGCAAAATTGTTCTAATAATCCATCCCAGCCACGTGGTTGCGACCCAGATTGTCTCTCTAGGTAGCATGTAACGTGCTTGATCTGTCAGGGACGTGCTCGTTCATCCTGGCTGGCGCCGGATAAAAAGCACATCTGTAATTACTCGTTTGGCATGTTTGAGGAACAATCTGTGCACGCCCCATGTGCGTTCATCTTCACTCTTCCCGTCTCCCCTTTTTGCCCCATATGTCAATATCTTGCCAGTCACTTCATGCTATTCCCAACACAATTGGTGAGTCGTCTCGAGTGCTGGAGATTCCGTCTATGAAGAAGGTATGTGGGCAGGAGAATTGATGTAAGATTTGCCAGCCACTAAACATGCACAATGTTGGGGGCGTAACATCTTCAGTTTCTTTCTTGTCCTCCCCTCCATCTCTCTTTCTCTTCTTCATGAATTTCCACACATTTTTCTTTAGTCGAAAATGGTTTCCCCTTCGCAGCCCAACATTAATCAATGGATCGATCTCCATTTGCACTTCCCGCGTGCGGGACCCCGCATGTCGTCACGAGCCAGTAGGCCGTTCTATCTTGCCCCCCGCAATCGTCTGCCGGCAAGCTGCTAGTGCGAACATTTCTACTCAACGTCTCAACCCACAACTCTGGAAAATCATGACTCCCCCACGGATTGCACCATCGCCGTGACTCTTAGGTGTGCACCATTGACCCAATCCCACCACGCCTCAGACTTGCCGGCACCCACCTTGACAACTCCGTACACCACCTCTCCGATCAACTCCCCGGAAGAGAAGAGCTAACCCACTTCCACCCCACCCCATCCCGTTGTTTGGCACGCGACGTGGTCATCGTCACCACACGCACGAGTAATTGTCACGACGAGAGGCTTCTTCTGTCACATTTCACAGGCTCGGGGGATCTTCCTGCCTCGTCTCGCTTCGGACTCACCCCATCCCACACGGCGACTTGGACATCATGACTGCCTTCCGCAAGCCGGTCGTCAGTTTCCTCGGCCCTGTTGCCTCCTACACCCACCAGGTGAGGCGATTCTCGGGCGTCCTTTCACAGTCACTTGCATGGCACTAATCCGGGTTGAATTTTTTATGCAGGCTGTCCGACAGGCCTTCTCTGAGTCTTCTTGGGAGCTCCGGCCCGTGGTCACTATCGACGGTAGGCATCAATACGCCGGCAGTTGTGTCTTCATCGCTGATGCCCTTGGACAGATGTCTTCGACCAGGTCCAAGATGGTGAAGTGACAGCAGGTGTTGTTCCTTTTGAGAACTCCACCAATGGCTCCGTAGTCTTCACTTTCGACAACCTCGCTGATCGGTTCAATCGTTATCCCGATATAACTGTTGATGGCGAGACTTATGTCGATGTTCACCACTGCCTTGTTGGCCATAAAAGTTCCGTCCCAGCCTTGGAGGATACCGCGGAAGGATCCGGCACTTGCACTCCTACGGCAACCGACCCATCCCCCCTCAAGCCTCGATCCAAGCCCCTAGGCAGCCTCAAGCACATCCAGCGGCTGTACTCTCACCCGCAGGCATTCGGTCAGTGCACCGCATTCATATCCACCTACCTCAAGGGGGTCGAGATTTTCGAGGTCAGCTCGACCAGCAAAGCTGCAGAGATTGTGAGCAAGGATACGACGGGGACTTGGGCGGCGATTTCAAGCCAGCTTGCAGGCGAGATGCATGGTCTAGACTTCCTCGGCAAGTCCATTGAAGACCGAGAAGACAACACCACCCGTTTCTTAATCATCGGAACCAATCCCTCTGTCCCCAGCAACTGGGATGACGTAAAGAAATCCATCGCCAAGTCTGGAAGCAAGTCCCTTGTCTCCTTCACCGTACCTCACACCTCGCCAGGCGCACTGGCCGATGTCCTCGGTTGCTTCCAGGCCTTCGACCTCAACCTGACCAGCATCAACAGCCGACCGAGCTTGGTGCAGCCTTTCCAGTACATCTTCTTCGTCGAGTTTGAGGGCCACAAGCACGATGATCCGGATGGTCGAGTCAAGGGCACGCTGGAAAAGATCAGTCGCGTGGCCCAGAGCTGGAGATGGCTTGGAAGCTGGCAGAGATACAGATAACTAATACCAGTCCACTCTCCCACGCGATACTTGGCCAAGCCTCCACTCCGGCCAGCCTATACCGCATACCCGCGATGCAGGGCCTTGTGAGAACTCGGGGAGTTCCCCCATGCTGACCGAACGCCCGCTGCAAATTGCTCTCGAGGCATTGGCAGGCTGGCAGTTCTCCGTAGCTTGGTGTGGGTCTTGCGATTGCGTGCTTCCTTGACATGACTTGACCAACAGAGAGGGATGTACCCAAACATGGCCCGATCCGGGGAGCTGGAGAGCATAGCCGACCCGGATATTCACAGTGTGATCGCCAGGTACTTGCAAACGGGCGCCACCCCCCATCTTCCATGGCACCATGACCATCTCAACAGAAACTAGCCACCACTTGTCCCGCCAGCCCGCCCGCAACTCGGGATGTTGAACCTATGGGCAGCATCCGGCTTACGCGATGAGAATCCCCTCGCCCGCAATCTCAACGTGACGAGGACAAGGAAGAGGGCAAGGAAGAGGGCACCGGCCGAAATGGACGTGGGGTTGCCCGGAACTATTGGCCCTGGTGGTGAAGAAACGGTGGAAGTGCAACGTTGGAGCGTGTCTCGGCGGAACCCACCAATGGATCATGACGTCGTCGCCGCATGCGAGGCACTTCATGACGACCAATGCCCGTCACACGTCGGGGTCGGCGTGGGAAGATCCCAGTTCCTCGGTGGATCGGCTACGGACCATCGCTGAGAACCTAAACATAGCAGTGCGTCTAGTATTCGGAGCGACGACCCGGTCGCATCCAAACTCTTTTGAAAAGCTGGTCGAACCAGCATATTTAAGAGGTCAAGGACGCTCCCCCAGGCTCTCCTGGATCTTGTTCTTTGCCAATTCATCTCTCACAGCCAACTTGATGTTGACGCGACAACACCTAACTGCTATTTCTCCATTCTCGTGCTGGTTCTTCCTCCCAAAATGGCGCTCCGCCCTATCTTCGCCGCAACACACCCACGTGCTTGCTCTACGGCCTTCGAGAGGGTATGAATCACCAATTCCCATCAATTCCCATCAACGTTTAACCCCTCTGTTACGGGGAGTTTGCCCAATTCATCCATTGACTTTGAAAATACAGGTCTTCATGACTCGTCGTGACATTTTGGAGAGCATTCACGAACCTTTTGGTGATGCATTTTACTTCGGTCCCGAGTTTCTAAGCGATCGCTTCCGAGACGATGTCGCCACGCGCCAGTCTAGCGGCTATGCCGAAAAGACATACAAGGACATCCTCGATTCCATCACGGAGGCAGAAAAAGAGGTTCGCCATTGACCCCTCTCTTTCGCCTCTTCAATCCTACTACCTCCACGCCCCCCCAAGTGAGGGGCTCTGGTGCCTTGACGTCGTATGAGACCCACCTTCCTGGGGATCGTCGTCAACCGCGGGTTCGCGGCAATTCAGTGCTGCCACTACGCACTTGGCACAGTCTATTGAAGGCTGTTCCTGATACTGCCATACCCTGCCCTGTCTTCCCTACCAGATGCGCTCCGAATTGGATATCCAATCTCCGCCGTGACAGCCAATGTCGTTGGGAGGGACTGATGCTTACGCTCACTAGGGCAAGCGCATATTCATCAAGGATATGGCGTATTATCTCATGAAATCGGACAGCAGGCCGACCCAGATCGCGCCGTCTCTTGGCGAGGAGGAGCTGGACAACCCCACGGTGTTGCCCCTCGAGGTTCTGAAAAAATTCCAGTTCACCTTCTTGATCCGTCACCCTCGTCGGGCCATCCCCTCGTATTACCGGTGTACAGTCCCCCCTCTGGACGAGGTCACTGGTTTCTACCACTTCATGCCCAATGAGGCTGGTTACGAGGAGTTGGTCACCTTGTTCGACTTCCTGCTCGAGACGGGCATCGTCAACAAGGACCAGCTGGTCATCGTCGATGCCGATGATCTCCTCGACAACCCGGAGAAGACGATCCGTCTCTACTGCGAGAAGACGGGCATCGACTTCAAGCCCGAGATGCTCGACTGGAACGACTCGGACAAGACGCACGCCCGCGACGCCTTTGAGAAATGGAACGGCTTCCACAACGACGCCATCAAGAGCTCTTCTCTCAAGCCCCGCACCCATGCCCAGGTGTGTATCTGATTCCCCCATTCCCTTCGGCTGTGTCACTCTCCCCGTGTGTCTAACTCCCGTTGCTGGATGTCCCACTGATTGAGCTAACAAAGAAGACTTCCACGACCGAGTCGGAGGACAAGGATTGGACGGCCAAGTGGGGTCCGGAGGCGCAGAAGGTGATCCGCCAGACCGTTAACGAAAACGTCCCCCGCTACGAATATCTCAAGCAGTTTGCGCTCGAGATTTGAACATGGACATGTTATTTTCGTGCTTGTGCTTTTCACGCGTTTACGAATTGAAATGGAGGAACTCTGCTTGCAGTTTTCAATAATGTCGGATTGTTGTTACACACTATGATACAACAACGTCTTGGCTCTACGCCTTCAATGTTTTTATACAACCAGATTTGAGAACCCTTCTCTATATCATCTCTTCCGGCATCAGACCCAACCAGACTTGTGCCTTTTTCGATCATTGATGTTCGTGACCATTCTCCCAAAGGTGAACGTAATGCAAGTGGTGTTTATTGAGTCATCGGCTTCGTCTCCTGCTTCTCTGGCTTGCCCTTGTCCTCAGTCTTGGCTTCAAGCTCTGTGACCTTGGCCTCTCAAGCCTTCTTCTCCTCCTCCACAGGTGCTTCGGAGACGTAGGAGGGCTTCTCGAACATCCCATGCGTGACATTGTTGGACCACTCTTCGGCGTACTGTCGGTCCTGGTCATTCGCCCAGCTCACTGTAACCCCCATGAGCTCTTGCTCTACACCCTCGGTGGCCTCGGTCTTCACAATCTTGTTGCCGCGGCCCAGACCGCTCAACACGGCAGCCATGTCGGCGATGGCGTTGGGCTTCTGGCGGTTAAGGGCGATGCCACGCTCCTGCTTGGTTCGGATGGGGCGGTAGTCGGGGTTGCCCTTCTTCTCCTCCTCAGCGATCCGCTTCCTGTCGGCGGGGGTGTACTCTTCGGTGGGTTTGTAGCGGAACTCGTCGTCCCAGGCGACCTCGTGCAGGTGCTTCAGCTCGCGCAGCTTCTGGAAGACGGAGCGGCCGACGGAGCCCTGGCCGGCAGGGAGGGAGATGCGGGCGAAGGGGGACCAGTAGTCCTTGCGGAGCTTAGCGGGCTTGGTCTTCTTGCCGTTGAAGGGGAGCTGCTTGAGGCCATGGAAGCCCTGCGGTGGATGGTCAGCTGGGAGCTCTTCCAGGCTGGGGAGCTTCAGTCGGGTCCGCGGGGTGCAATTGAACATACGCTAAGCTTGGGCTCGAAGCTGTAGATGATCTGGTCCGATCTTCGGTGGGTGAAGACCCAGATATCCTCGCCGTGGCCCTCGGGCGCTGGGAAACCCTTGGCCGGGCGCGCGGAACTGGTGTGGGCATGTCGCACGCACACCCGCAGGAGGCTGGGCAATTGGCCCAGACGGGACACCGGTGTCGCATTCATGGTGGCCAGCTGTGGATTGATCTGGCGGGCTGAGGCTCTTCGCAATCGCAAAATCCTGCCCAGAATGCCAATCACCAATCGCACAATGGAGCTGAGCATGCGCGTGGTCATGTGACGCAGACGGGTACGTACTTCTCTTCGGCCAAGTCCGCTTGGTGCGGGGGCCGTGGCTTGCAGAATCATGTGACGATTAGATATCCGGCGGCCAATGGCAGAGCTCGCTCCCCACTGCCAGCACTGCGAAGGCGCGAGTGACATCACGAAAGATCCCGAGCTTTCTAGGACATTCCTGGATGCTTCTACAGTCGGCGCGAGCCTGCTTCATGCACCTGGCTGCTTCGTTCCAGTCCATCCGATCCACCAAGGCTTTCCCTGACTTTCCCTGACTTGCATCACAAGATCCACTCAAGTTGTCGATAAATTACCGACCTCCAAGCCACTCGGAACGGGATTCTTTCTTCTCAAACAACCCCACTCACATCAACAACAGATACCCAACCGTCCAAGGTCACGAAACCTGACGCAAGCCGTCCAACTTCTTGGGCCACACACTACAGACGCCCACGCTTCAACATCAACTGTTTCGTACATAACATCTTTCGTTTTCACATAGTCGCTTTCCCGCACACACTTTCATCACCATGAATTCCCGCATGGACTTCACAGACCGGGCCCAGAAGGCTGTCGAGGACGCCATGGCCCTGGCCGAGCAGTACGGCCACTCCCAGCTAGTGCCGGTTCACCTCGCCGTCTCGTTGCTGGACCCTCCTCCAGACCAGTCCAAGGACCAACAGAATGCCCCCACCGGTACAACCAGCACGCTATTCCGCCAGGTCGTCGAACGGGCGCGCGGTGATCCTCAGATCTTCGATCGCGCCCTCAAGAAGACGCTTGTCCGACTCCCCAGCCAAGACCCTCCCCCCGAAACTGTGTCGCTGGCGCCACAGTTCCATAATGTTTTGCGAAAGGCCATGGAACTCCAAAAGGTCCAGAAAGATACATACATCGGCGTGGACCATCTCATCACTTCGCTGGCCGAGGACACCAGCATTCAGGCTTCGCTCAAGGAAGCCAACATCCCCAAGCCCAAGCTTGTCCAGGAAGCCGTCCAGGCCATCCGAGGAACCAAGCGAGTCGACAGCAAGACAGCCGACACTGAGGAGGAGAACGAAAACCTGGCCAAGTTCACCATCGATATGACCGAAATGGCCAGGGACAAGAAAATCGACCCCGTCATCGGTCGAGAGGAGGAGATTCGCCGAGTTGTGCGAATCTTGTCTCGACGAACCAAGAACAACCCAGTCCTAATCGGCGAGCCCGGTGTAGGTAAGACCACTGTTGTCGAAGGACTGGCTCAACGAATCGTCAACCGCGACGTGCCCGACAACCTGAAGAGCTGTAAGTTGCTCTCACTCGATGTCGGTGCCCTAGTTGCTGGTAGCAAGTATCGCGGAGAGTTCGAGGAGAGAATGAAGGGTGTTTTGAAGGAGATTCAAGAGTCCAAGGATATGATTGTCCTGTTCGTCGACGAGATCCATCTTCTCATGGGCGCTGGCTCATCAGGCGAAGGCGGTATGGACGCCGCCAACCTGCTCAAGCCCATGCTTGCCCGTGGCCAATTGCACTGCATTGGTGCCACCACCCTCGCCGAGTACCGCAAGTATGTCGAGAAGGACGCTGCCTTTGAGCGTCGATTTCAGCAAGTCCTTGTCAAGGAGCCTACCATCCCGGAGACTATCTCTATTCTTCGAGGTCTTAAGGAGCGATACGACAGACACCACCGTGTCACTATCCTTGATAGTGCCCTTGTGGCTTCCGCCAACCTGGCTGCGCGATACCTCACTTCTAGGAGAATGCCTGACTCGGCTATCGACCTTGTCGATGAGGCTGCCGCCGCCGTTCGCGTCGCCCGAGAGTCTCAGCCTGAAATCATTGACTCCCTGGAGCGCAAGCTGAGGCAGTTGATGATTGAGATTGCTGCCCTCGAAAAGGAGCATGACGAGGCCTCTCGAACCCGATTGGGACAGGCTCGCAAGGATGCCAAGAACGTCGAGGAGGAGCTGCAACCTCTCCGCGAGAAGTACCAGGCTGAGATCAAGCGCAGTGAGGAGATTCACCAGGCCAAACTGAAGCTCGACGACTTGGAGAAGCGCCTGGAGGATGCCATGAACAACTCCGACCACGCCAAAGCTGCCGATCTCAAGTACGGTGCCATCCCCGAGCAGGAGGCTGTCATCAAGGAACTCGAGGTCCGCAAGGTTGCCGCCGACGCTGCTCTCAACGCAACTGGCGCCGACAGCGGTGGCGCCATGGTTACCGACATTGTCACCGCAGACCACATCAACGAGATTGTCGCCCGATGGACCGGCATTCCCGTCACCCGACTTCGAACCTCGGAGAAGGAGAAGCTCATCCACATGGAGAAGGTCCTCGGCAAGGTTGTCGTGGGCCAGAAGGAAGCTGTCCAGTCTGTCGCAAATGCCATCCGACTCCAGCGGTCTGGACTCGCCAACCCCAACCAGCCGCCCAGTTTCCTGTTCTGTGGTCCTTCGGGTACCGGAAAAACGCTTCTTACCAAGGCCCTAGCCGAGTTCCTATTTGACGACGCCAAGGCAATGATCCGCTTCGACATGTCCGAGTATCAGGAGCGACACGCCCTCAGCCGAATGATCGGTGCGCCTCCCGGCTATGTCGGTCACGATGCTGGTGGCCAGTTGACCGAGGCCCTTCGACGAAAGCCCTTCTCGATCCTACTCTTCGATGAGGTTGAGAAGGCAGCCAAGGAGGTCCTGACTGTTCTGCTTCAGCTCATGGACGACGGCCGAATCACCGACGGCCAAGGCAGAGTCGTCGACGCCAAGAACTGCATTGTAGTCATGACCTCTAACTTGGGTGCTGAGTACCTTATTCGTCCTGGCGCCAAGGAGGGCAGAGTTGATCCCACCACCCGCGAGCTTGTCATGACCGCTCTGCGAAACTACTTCCTTCCCGAGTTCCTCAACCGTATCAACTCGGTCGTCATCTTCAACCGTCTCACCCGCCGCGAGATCCGCAAGATTGTGGACATACGACTAGGGGAGATTCAGAAACGCCTCGAAGACAACGGACGCAAGGTCAAGATAGACGTCTCAGAGGAAGGAAAAGATTACCTGGGCAATGCGGGATACTCCCCCGCCTACGGAGCCCGCCCGCTGTCCCGCCTTATCGAGAAGGAGGTGCTCAACCGCCTCGCCATCCTCATCCTGCGTAACAACATCCGCGATGGCGAGTACGCCCGTGTCGAGCTCATCGATGGCAAGATTGTCGTTCTATCCAACCATGAAGACAGTGAGTTGGGCGAAGATGAGGACATGGTGGACGAGGATGATGTAGAGGAGATGCTGGACGATATGGACCAGGACATTTACGACTAATTTGTCTACATTGTAACATGAACGAATCGGTGTGCTGGTCGGGCTATCACCACGAGAATGATGACATAATGGATGGGGTTTTGGAAACTATGAAATAAATATTTTGTTTAGAGCATACTTGTACTTAGATAAAGCTCAACAAAAGATGCAATGATACACCAAAAGTTGAACAAAAGCAAGGTCCCACTCATGATTCGTGAAGTCTATGTATCAACTGAACCCGGCCATGCAGTTCTCCTCGCCCTTTTCAAATTGCTACTCCCGCTAAGTAGGTCCGAGGAATACAGCTCCATCTCCGCCCCAACCAAATTCGTCCATGAACATGGTCCAGTCAACATCTTGAAATGGGTCTGGGCCTGTATTCATGGGTTGTTCTGAGCTTGTGCTGGTAGGAGCAGATATGTTTTCTAGGCAGTCGAACCGCGTCAGCAAGAAGACGGCACAAGGAGGGGCGTAACTTACGGAATGCCTCAAGACCCTTGTTGACTCCTTCTGTGCTTTTCTTAGCGTCATGCAAGGCATCACGGAAACGTGTAAGGCACCAGTATGTGACAGCGGCGCCGAGGCGTTCAGGCCAAGCCCCGGCCGGTTCGAGCGACTTGGGGACCACGTTGCGTATAGACCAAAAGGCCTCAATAATAGCAGCGCCACGGGAAGGCAAGTCGTTGTCACGAACACTGCAGCTGTGCACTGCGGTGCGGATCTGGGCGGCAATGGCATCAGCGTTCGCCGGAGTGACGTTGGCCGGGGCGGCGGTGGAGTTGAGCGTGGAGATGAGGATGGAACTGGCGTCTATGACGGCGCGATAGACCCAATGGGGCCCGTGAAAGAGAAACTTGGAGTGAGACTCGAGGGCGAGAGCAGCCGTGAGGAGAGCGTGAGCAGTGTTGTAGGCGCGGAGAGCGTTGAAGGGGAAGTTGGGACGAGGCGCGCCTTGGGGAGAGGCGAAGTAGTAGGATTGAACTTCGAGTTTTGCCAAGAGCAGCATAAAGCGGGAGCAGTCTGCTTTCTGGTCAGTTTTCCTTTCTAACACGCTATTGTTGAATCTTATGAGCTCATACCTGTATCAACATTGGTAACAAGTGGTCTTAGAGCCTCGAAATCGTCTTCCCATGTCTTGACTGTTCCTTCTGTGACGCCTCCGTAGGACGCTACTTGGGCCGCCATTGCCATGTGAAGACGGTTTATAAATTTCTGAAGGTCAAATAGCGCCATTAATTCAGGTGCTAGAGTATCTCCCACGACTTTCTTGCACTGGGCGTCATTGTGCTGTAGGAATTGGGGTGGGCATCCACTAATAGTTGATATTCTAGTGGCACTGTCAACTTCACACTTGTCAAGTGTAATAGACGAGTGTGCGTACCTCTGTGCAAGTATAACGCAAAATATCCATGTTATTGAGGCCTCATAGTCGGTGCAAGTTATGTTCTGGCGTCCGCCGATGCAGAACCTGGGATGGGATCCACGCCCAGTACTCAAACCGAGAAGCAAGCAAGCGCTCAACGCTGCCGATATTAGTGTTAATGATGGATCAGCCACAAATCTTATAGTTGGCAATGGCCAGGCGCATATTATAAGGATGGCATGAATGGTTTCCAGGTCCATCGTAGGGGCCGAGATTAGAGGGCCAACATCATGTTCCAGCTGATCGACGAGGCTAGTGAAGACGTGTTCCTCTTTAGCATACCGACGGCAAGATACATAGATGACGATCCAGAAGAGAGTTGGGCAAGCCTGGTAACACTCGTCCGGGTTCTTCTTTCTTAAGACGGGGAGATATGGGTGGAAGCATTGGAGATATCTGCACATCTGTCAGCATCACAAAAGTCAGTACCGGCGAGGCATCTCACTTTTCAAAGTACCAGTCAATATCTTCACCGGGTATGAGTTTGTCATTCAGAATTCGAGATGAAGTTGGTCCCAGGCTCTGATACTTTGCTGGGGTTGGTTGCGGTTGTGGGTGCACAAGAGAAATATCCGCTGATGGAGTCACGGCGGGAAGGGTGGCTGTTGAGGTTGAGTCCAGGCGGCTGACTTGCTCCGGAAATATCGTATTGTTCACTTGCGGCGTAGGTGGGCTCCAGGAGGGCTCTCCGCTGTTCCGGGGATTCACAGCCTCCTTTATGGACTTCAGTTCCTGCTCCAGCAACTCAAGTTTGCTGATCAACATGTCAGCGCAGGTCTAGGGTAAGATATGAATTCGATGCATTTCAACTGAGACGACCCCGTTGCGAGACTCGATTAGATGAGCGGGACCTCTTTATCCATGTAGTCATACCTTCTCTTCGTGACTCTCTTGTGAGTCCTGTCGTAGACACATGCGAGTTGCAACTTGGCACACCGCTGACAGGGCTGTCCCGCCACCGAATTAGCCCTGCATCGGACCTAAGTCTCATTAGCCTCACACGCTCATAAAACATGGGCGAACATAGGCTTCGAGAGCTCACTTTGGAATCGCGACAGGTAATGCAGGCTACATTCCGTCTAATCTTGTCCTGGGAAGTTTGTTGATATTGCTGATGCTGTCCCGCGCCGGATGCTGAACCGGGGGAGTCTCCTAAAGGCGGCGTCGGGGCCATTGTACGTCACCACAACCCCGATACCAGAGTATTTAGTCGTCAAAGCCTTCTTTTGCCGGCATATTTCACTGCAGCAGAGCGATTTGACGTGGCTGTATCAATGTTGCTCGGTGACAAGACAACCAGGACCCGCACCTCGTAGAGATGCGTGGTTATGGTTGGATTTGGTGACGTCACGTGGGCGAACTAAATAGGTAGGCAAGTACTTAAGGGAAGCCAAGTGAGGGACTCAACCAAAGACGGCGACATGGCATGAAGCGTAAAGAGGCATAATTTATCAATGGATATCAAATTTTATTGATTTTTTCAGGTCGAATAAATTTGGCGAAATAGTTTTACGCCAGTATTTCCCTGACATAATCGTTATGTATACCCGCGTCGTATTTAGGCGCTGTTAGAACACCATCTAGACCTTACTACGAACAGGCTCACTGCTTCTTCTTGGTAGCCTCGCTTAGGTTGGAAGGCCGCTGGCTTTCCGATCTCATCATGGCGCCGACAAGTTTCCATAATACCCAAGCAAAGCCCAAGGCTACAGCGACAGTTGTGCCTATCCCAATGTAGTCTGCCCCCTGATCATTCAGTACGGGGACAGTAACTGGGCTCATAAGTCGCTTTCCACTCGTCGGTTGAGGGGTGATGTGCCAGAAGACGGTATTTTTATCAAACAACTCATCAAATCCCAGGTGGACGCGATCAAAGGGGTTGCTCAGGTCCTCCACTTCCGACGAGCAAGCCCAGAAGACGGCGGGATACGGGACCTCGATTTCGACCTCTCCTGTCGACGAGGGCTCCAGGTATCGGAGGTGAAGTGGAACCTCGGCCGTCCAAGGCTGGTCTTGATTGGGAGGAGGAGCGGCCAGCTCCAGGAGGACCCTGGAGCCCCATGAGTCAGTTGTATAAGCGGGAGCCTCCAAGTCGACGGGTAGACTCGTGTAACGAGATGCAGTGAGGTTCTTGGAGGCCAGGAACAACTCATCCGCTAGCTGGTAGCGGTCTGCGAAGATGGCCTTTGGGAGAGTCAAATATGCAAAGGGAGAACACTCAGCATCATTATCTGGGGGTTGGTTGGAGCCCAGACTCAATTGGAGGGTGGGGTGAAGACCTGTGGGGGTTAGAAATCTGGAGGTGAAATCGGCGTCGATGTGTCGGTGACGGGAAGGGAATGCGAATATGGTGGGAGATGGTTTGTTCTTGTCATTCAGTACTGTCACGACGCCCGCGAGCCCGAGCTCATGGGCCTTGATAGTGGGTGGCGTGTTTCTGACGAAGATGCCGACCTCTGTCCTCCGGGCGTCAGAGGCAGGGGCCGTGATAGTCTGGGCTCGAACGGGCCATAAGGCGTTGATCTGAAGGGCTTTTGACACGGCGTCGAATGACAAGTCCAGGGCAGCAGCGGTATAGAGGCCACGGATTCGAGCCTGGCAAATAGAGTCGAGCTCAGGGCAGAAGTCCTGGGTGCTTGATGCTATAAATAATTGCAGATCCTCTAGTGCTTGGTAGAAGTAGAAGGATGGAGACACTGAGGGATCATCTCTGCTGGATTTTGTGAAGGACTCTGGTGTCATACATGCCAGAGACCCAAATCTCTGCATCCAGGTGCACAACTTGGTTCTGCTCCGTGTGTCAGTGAAGGAAGACCACCGCTAGGCTGAAGCCGAATCTGGGCAGTAAGAGTCACATACGAATCATTCTCATGCGATTGCGAGGGAGAGTAGGATAGATGGAGGCCAGGTGATAGTCGGGCGCTGAAAGGATCCAGCGTCGTGTACTGCAGGGGGCTAGCCCATCTGACATGCAGAGCTTCGAATCCTCTGAGGAAGTCGGCCAGCTCCTGGGGCAACTCGTCGAAGTTGATGGTGAGCCGGTTCTGTCTGGCCGTCTCAATCTGAGGACCCAGTAACCCGGCGTCCTGCAGGTCCAAGGTGTCGGGGTCGAAGTTGGGGTCCTCGTGGACAAAGGTGATGCGTTCCCGCATGGCTGGCTGGTTCTCGGGAGGTGAAGTGCCAGGCTCTGCGCTCGGCGGCTGAAAGCCGTAGCTTGTATCTAGTTGAGAGTAGCGAGCTGTCGCGTGCCGCTTGACCACTTCAACTAGTCCACGGTATCTCAAACAAGCAAAGGGCCGCAGTGTAATCCCCGGATCCTGGAAGCAATCATGCAGCTTAGCGCGGCCGAAGGTGTATATGTGGTGTAAGGATGCGGTGGATGTGGTGCGGCACACAAGGGGCGACAAACGGTTTGAAGGATGGTTGCGGCCGATGGCAGGATCCTGACCGTGGAGTCGTCGTGCCTTCCTAAGCTGGCCTCCAGAGCTTCGGTATTGGATTTGGGGCTGCGGTGGACAGATCTCCCCAGTGACCAGTGACGTCGCGGCAGCTCGGCTTTGGTTGGCCAGAGTTCCGGCGCGGTCGCCGGGACAGGCCGCTACGATGCCCGGGTACAGGGTACACGTGAATTCAGCGTGGTCAGTCACTGGCTGCTGCTTGCTGGCACCCGCTGAAGCTCAAGAGGGTTCGCGAATCGCGGTACAGAGTACCCCCCCCACCGAATGCCCCTCGCCCCTTCCGTTTTGGTCACCGCCGGAGGGCTGCCGCTAAACCGGTTTGGGGACCGACGGTTGATTCACTGCGCCTGCCGCTTCGGTCGCCCATTCTGCGTTTGAAGTCGCTCACCTAACTACCATCCCATTCCCAGTCCTCGCACTTCGACATGATGCCACCAAAACCTCTGGTTCTTCGTCACCCATCATCTTCGCAACTGCTCCCGTGAACCGACGCGACAATGCCCCAAATGCCTCGACCAACTATGCTCCCCTTCTAGAGACCAAGCACCGGACGACTTTCACTCCAACCGACCCGCTTGCGACACCACCATCTGCGATAACGATAGCGATCGTCGCTGGCGGCCAACACTTGCCTTGGCGACCCGTCAAACAGCTTTGGAAGAAAATAATCCGCATTCGCCGCAATGGCTGATCACCAACCGTATTTCACCATCCGCTCCCGAAGGCCGGCAGATGCTTCGGGCGCGCGAGGTCCTGATGGCATGGTGCGTTGTTCTACAAGGCGTTTTTGCCTTTCCTTTGGCCCAGTGCGAGTACTTACACGACTTTGCAGGCTGGCCCGAGTGGAGGAGACTTTCATGCCAGATCCGCGACTCACGATGTTAGCCGTACGAGCTTCCATGTAAAACATATTGGCCAGTTTGCCAGTCGACTCGAAGACGTAAGCTTTCCCTTGGTTGTTTCTCACCAGTACACACCCTGATCCCTCCTCAGTCTGCAGCGCGAGCCTTCCCGAACCGTGGCCGATCTTCCCAACGATACAGCAAAGTCCAGGCGTTATTATTGCACTGGAACTCAGATGACCTCTTTGTCATCCCAGAACTGGAAGATCTGGAGAAGTGTCTTAGCGAAGACTATGGCTTCAACACGGACATTTTTGGAATTCCTTCCGAAAACTCACATCTGGAGTTGATGTTGAAGATCGGCCAACTTATCAAGGACCACGAATCAACAGACACTTTGTTTTTAGTCTACTACGGTGGCCACGCTAGAATCGACGAGTCCAGGCAGAGCACCTGGTGTGCGTGAGTACAACCCTTGACTTTCATCAACCATTTAGCAATTCTGACATCGCCCACCAGGACCCGGGAGGCTTCTTCTCCTTGGTTACAGTAAGTTGATCCTCAACTTGACAACTATACAACAAGTCTAATCAGCCCTAGATGGTCCGCCATTCAAACTCTTCTGGAGAGATCCGCGTCTGACGTACTCATTTTGCTGGACTGCTGCGCAGGAGCTGCAAGCGCCACATTTCCAACTGGAAACAGCATCACGGAGACGATATCAGCTTCCAGTTGGGACGCTATCGCGCCTGATCCAGGACGGTATTCATTCACCAATGCTCTCATCGAAGTCCTGCAGGAATGGCGAGTGAGAGCCTTTTCCGCCGCCATGCTCCATGCCGAGGTGCTGGCTCGCCTTAAACACCCTCGCCCGATCACCATTAACGGCAAATACTTCGAAGCTCGATCAACCCCCGTTCACTTCATGATGACAGCAAATCACAAGGCGCCCAGTATTGAGTTGTCTCGGATATGTTTGGGGGTTGACCACCCACCCTCACCCGAGCTATTGCCTATGCCCGCCATTCCTCACGAGACAGGCAGAGCTGGGGACCCTTCAGCGGCCCCTCGCAACGACCACCTGTTCACTGAACCCAACGAGGACACCCCTCACGTCATGATTTCCTTGGCCCTGGAGGATGATCAAAGGCTAGACATCAATGCATGGGAACAATGGCTTGGCGCTTTCCCTGCCATGGCCAAGTACGTCAAGGTCCAAGGCGTCTTCAAGAGTCACTCAACACTGCTTCTGGTATCAATGCCAGTTGGCATCTGGGACATGCTCCCAGAGGATCACGCTACTTCTTTCGTTGCATTCATCCGATCAAACAACCTCATGACGCAGAAACAGCGGACGCCTTCAGTTCCCGTCTTCGTCCCCGCGCGTTCCTACCCTACTGAAAGCGCCAGTACCGACTCTGCTTCATTTGTTTCCGGCGTCTCTGGCACTACGTTCGCTGCTACTGAGAACACAGGACTCACTGGCCAGATGCGAGGCGCTTTCAGAGATCCGACGTATGGTAGGCATGCATCAGGGCCCGTTGTGAGGAGCACGCTCCCAGCTCTCCCACCACTCTCCCCCATACACTCGCCGTTGCAACCTGGATCTCCCCCACAGAGTCTTTCTCGTCCCGTGAGGTCTATCCCCTCTTCGACATCACTCTCTACTTTGCAAAGGCAACAGTCATCTTCGTCTTTGGGGGTGAGTGGTAATCTCACGAGGCAGATGATCATGAATCAGCAGCAAAGTCTGCGACGTACCACTTTTGGCGACGATGTCCCAGAGCCCAAGAAGTTTTCTCCCCATGTCGAGAAACGACTGGAAGAATACTATCAGTATGAGCCACTGCCAAATGATGGCCAGAAGGCGTTCTTCGCATCAAACCTTGGTGTTGAGCCTTGGCATATCGAGGTTTGGTTCCACCATCGCCGACAGAGAGACGCATTCGCCCAACGATTTGCTTCTTTGCAAGCTGAAGATGCCAAACACCAGTCCCTAGACGGGCCTCGCATGATATTCCCCGCCAATCTCAATGAGCTCCTTGACATTTCGATACCGGGCCAAGCTCTATTGATTGACCTCAGGTCACTATCTGAATACCAAAGGTCACACATTAAGGGGGCCATCCATTTGCGCGCTCCGCAGTCTTTCTTACGACCTGCGTCGCTAGACATGATTGAACGAGCATTTGCTGATGCGCAAAGCCGGAGGACGTTTTCACACTGGCAGCGCGCAAGGTGCATTGTATTCTACGCTCGGGGTCTCGAGTCGCCACCTGAATGCCCTCCTGCCGAAGCATTGTTGGAGAAGCTCTGGTCAGCTGGCTGGAGCGGACAGTGCTTCATCTTGAAGGGTCACTACCGCGAGTTTAGTGACTCGTTTGGAAAGCACATTAAGAGGGCGGATGAACAAGATCTGCCAGAGGGACAACAGAGGGAAATGCCTACTCAGACCCCCGAGCAAATTTCTGCCAACCAGCAAAAGTACGCTGAATTACTCTCTCATCTTGGAGGAGAGGACCAGCTCCACTACCTCAGTACATCTCCCGGACAAGGCGGAGAACGCACTAGCGCGATGGTAGAGCAAGAAAAAGAACTAGAATCCGAATTCCAGACTCGGTTCCCAGCTCTATTCAAGAAGGCGCAGGATGTCCACGGGGGCGGTGCTGGAACTTCAGATGCGGATAGCTTTGTTACGAAAGCCCAGATGGTCGAGTACCTGGATCGTGGTTTGACAAAGATTCGAGACGTCCAAACAACGGGACCAGAAACACCCACCTACGCACCCGGTCATTCGAAACTGGCCGGCGACGGGTCCTACTTTGATAGGGCGTACGGGGACCGGGAGTCGGAAGAATATGTTGATGTTGGAAGAAGCGACGGACAGACATCGGGCGATAGCAGTCCACAGATGGCAGGAAAGGGAAAGGAGGTTGGGGTCGCGCAATCACCCGATGAGATTCCTCGCAGAGGACGCGGAGGTGGACTTTTGAACAAGGTGTTTAGACGGGCGTGAGCATTAACGGATGGGTACTACGGATACGGTCTCGGGAAGCTTGTACGGACATGTTAACGGTAATTGACAGTTGCCTTTTGGTTTGACTGAGGCGTTGAGGATTGAGGATTGGGAGGTAGCATCTTGGTCAAGATGTGGGCATGATACACACTTGGATAGGATCGAGTTCCTGGATACGGGTCAAAGGCGCGGCTTGCAAAAATTCTCAACAATATCTAGTTCTTGTACATACATGGTTACCGATTTCGGCTACGTTATATTTCTACATGGGAGGATGCCAAAAGTCGTGCGCTTTTTCAACTACCTGCATGCTGCCCCTCGCTCTGTTTTCTGTGCGGGTTCTCGAGGCAACACGACAGATCAGATAGCGCACCTGACACGGCCGTGTACGACGCAGGCGGCATGGCCTCGTTTTCGTGCCACGTCGGACAAGGACCAGACCCGGAGGTGAAACGTCGACGGGTATGAAAGAAGAAACGAAAGCGCGCTGGTCTGGCAGCCCGCCTCCTGCGGACTACCCTATAAGGATATTGTCGCGATTCCAGAAACAACCGGCCGCCGGGTACATCACGGCCCGGCGTGCAACATGGCGGCCTCGTGCACGCGCGACGCTAGGTGACACAAAGGCACAGCAGGGCGCAAGCGCCCAGATGAGGCGGGCGAAACAGGATCAGGTCGGCGTGTGGCGTAAGCAGCAGAAGAAAATAAACGGTGCCATGGTTCCTGCGAAGGTCTTTTTGAGGGCTTTGTGACAGGGGATGCGTCTGGCGAAGGGGTGAAGGGGCGAAGGGGGATAACTCGGAATAGGGGCAGGGGACGGATGGATGACGGATGGATGGGTGAGCGAAGGGGACGCGAACGGCGTGCGGCTACGATAACTAATCGACTATTACAATTTGGTATTCTATATCCGGGTCCGTAAGTATTGGTAACGTTGAAGTAGGATCAAAAGAGGGCAAAAGGGAGAGTGAGAGTGTCAGTTGGAGACGACGATTGGACAGGAGCAAAGAGGCCGTCCACCTCCATCGGGGACCGGGTCTTGAGGGGGATGCGATCGTCGCCGTTAGAGTAGCTTCGGCGGGAACGGACGGGGGCGGTCGGTCGGTCGGCCGGCCGGGGGTGATGTGATGATGGACAACGGCATGGACAGCGGCGTGGACCCGACTCGGACCGTACAGTGGCCTGTACAGTATTGGGAGTGAATCCGTTGAGAGTGGCTCAGTAGAGTGAGTGCGGCACGGCTTGGTAAGCCTCCTCACAATCCGGATCATCGACCTGGCTGGTTAGTATAAAGTTGCGAGCGCTATAGAATAGAGGGGTCAGGGATCGGAGGGAGAAACGAATGCAGGACAAGAAAACGGCCGACGATGGGACCGACTGGGGAAGGGCCCCCCCCGGGCAGCTGAGCCACGGTCCGGTCGAGATAGTCCTACTACGTGACTTAGTAGATGCTCTGTGCCATGTAATGTAGTATTCGCCTACTTATTGTCCGTGAGATATTCCTTGTTTCTGACTTGACAGGACGCTCGGGCCCAGGGGAAAACGGGGCTGGAAGGGGATGGGCAACAGGGCATCCGAGCAAGTCAGGGGTATTAAGGGCCTAGAGAACAGGGAAGACAGGGAAGCACAGGGAAGACAAGGAAGACAGGGAGGACAGGGAGGACAGAGACGACCAAGGAGACCATCGCCGGCTCAGGGGGGAATTTTGGATTGACAGCCCAGGGCCCTTGGCCTTGCAAGGGCTATAGCGTACTCCGTACGAAGAACGATGGAAAGGGCTCCGAGTCCGCTAGGGTAGTATTGGCATTGGAGGGGCACTGGAGAGGGACGCGACCGTAGAGGGCCAAGGGGTAGCGATTCTGGCTGGGCTCGCTTCGGTTCGGTCAGTGAAGCAAGGTAAGAGAGGTTTGGAGGGGAGAGAGAGCGGGGGGGTCAGAGGGGGGTTCAGAGAGGGTTAGCAAAGGTGAAATCGTGCCATGCTGGTCCCAGAAGCTGGCCGTGAGGTGGGTGAATGACGATGGTGAGTGGTGAAAGGGAATTGGTGAGTAGTGAATGGTGAATGGTGAGTGGTGGTGAGTGTAGATGCAAATGGAAGGCGATGAAAGCCAATGAAAGCAGTGAAAGCCAGTGAAAGCCAATGAATGCATACCAATGTACCAACATCCAGCGCATCCATGCCTGACATGCGATAGAGTTGCCTGCCGGGGGAGCGAGTTTCAGGCTGCCCTACCGAGTCCGGGACCTACGTATGTACTCTGTACGTATGCTGGTACGCTGGTTCCAGCTCCTCTGGGCTGGGCTTGGGCTCTGGTTCCGTTCCCGATCGCGTAGCCGGGACAAGGGGTTTGGCCCTGTTCCCTCCCGTTCCCGCAGCCGCAGCACGACGGAGCGAAGGACGGGGGAGAGGATTGATGCATCTGACGACAACAGCGGCAACCGCATCAACCGCATCAAATCAACCGCAATAACCCACGATGACGGTGGACGGTAGACGGCGAGTTTCTGAGTAAGACAGCGGATGGTAAGGTAAGGTAAGGTACTAATGATGGGGCATGGGTCATGTGACGCCAAAGGATTCCCAAGGGCCCTTTGCACTAGGAAGGACCTCTGAACCAGGAAGGAGTCAAGGAAGGACCCTTTGGACGCCAACAGTAACCATCCCTTAGGTACCCATCATACCTGCCTTACCTAGGTAGGTATTGCTACCTGCCTTATTACTAGGTAGAGGCAGGTACCTACCTACCTACTGAACATCCCTTGACCTAGTCCACAATCCTGTCTTCTGCACAATGCACAAGCAGACGGACAAAAAGGGAGCACTACTGCCAGTCCGCCACCACCACGCCGCAGCTTACACCGAAGTCGATGAAGAAAAAAGCAAAAGCAACAACGGCGCAGCACCGAAAAAAAAAGGAAAAAAAAAGGTGGCCCCTCCTCCATCCTCCCTGAGTGTGCGAGCCTCTGCAGCTTCTGCAACCAACTGCGGAGCCCCCCCCAAATGACTGCCGGCAGCAAGCTTGAACGCGCTCTGACTTGACTGCTTCTGTTCTTCTCTGCCTTTGGGTTCTGCGTTGGGCTTCATTCCGAAGCCCTTGTTCCCTGACCAGAAAAAGCAAAATGCCAAAGAGAAAAGAAACCATTGAGAAAAAAGAGGCCGGCTACTGCTCGCCGCCAGGCTTGTCATGCGCCCCATCGAGCCAATACCATCCCGATGCCACCCAACCCATCCAGCAGCTGTCAAACTTGTCAAACTTGACAGCCGGGGGCGTCTCAGTCGCAAGGTATGTTTCTGCACATGGATGTACACTCCACCGCACACCGTCTCACACCGTCTCGCATGTATCCTATGGCTCTCTGTACATGGTCTCGGCGCTTCGTACGTGCCCACTTTGCATGGTAGGTATATCGCACATCATGTGTCAAACACACGCATGTGCTGCCAGTCACATTGTGTCGGGTGCTGGCCCGGAGTACAGCGCCGCCTTTGGGGCTCCGTTGCGAATCAATCGTCGAGCGCCGTGGGAATGACTCTTCGAGCCGCCTCCCGGGAGGACCCAGCACGGCCTTGGGACACGTTTCGGCTGCTGTTGCCCTCGCTCGCTCGATTGCCTCGATCTGGATGCGCTGGTTTGGTATGGCGCGCGCGCCTACAGACAGACGGAAGGGATACGAAAGAGGAAGACAAAAAGAGAGAGTTGGAGCGGAGGACTCCGGGTTGTGTGTGGCTGCTTGCTTGCTTGCTGCTGCTGCAACCGTAACTCACATGAGAGATCGGACCTTTCCCCCCTTCTCTCTTCTTTCTCCTCTCCCATCTCACGATGCATCCTAGTTTCTGTCGGTCGTGCATATTGGGTTGGGACTTGCGGACCCGTTGCGTTGTGAGGTTGCCGGTGCCCAATAATCGGAGCATAAATAATGACTTTCTATCCGCAGTGGGGGGGCTCGATTATGCCTGTTATGACGGCTCTGTCTGTCACTCTACCCTGTCTCGTGGCACCCATCTTTGCTGTGCCGCCAACCTGTCAACCACCACTGACAGCAACACTAACTCCGGACAACCAAGGTACCATCGGGCCACGGAATAGTCTAACCTGAAAACGACAGTCAACACAGGAAAACAACCAGGAATTCAAACGTGCATCCCCGGAGATCAAACCTTCAATGGGCCCGGCTTTGCAACGTTTCCTCCGAAGGGGCATAGTCCCGGAATCAAATGCCACCATCCAAGGGGCCACGATGCCGTGGATAAAAAGTAAGCCGGACCCTTAACAGAAGTCGACTAAGTCGTTCGATCGCGCCCCCATCCCCCCCTCGTCTTTCCCCCCTCCAGATTTAAGCGGCCTTGCCCGGCGCCGGCCAAGTTTCCTGAAGGAGCACCCTCTTGCGGGATCGGCGGGGACTCTTTGTTCGTGGGCCTCATCTTCGCCCGGCCTCCCGTCGCTTTCGTGTCGCCGTGGAACCTGGGCATTTTTGAGACTTGACGGATTTCTCAATTGCCATGCGTGAATCTTGGGGGCGTAGGAAAAGAAGGGGCACAACCGGTGAGGGAGGGGTGCCTCAAAAAGCAAATGCCCAATTCGCAATCCGCCCTCTATTCAGCCTGCCCCACGACGCTATTCCGGGGCTGTCCTCTCTGACAGTGTCACCATGTTACCATGCCCCCATCCATATCCATAGTTCTATGCCCATTCATACCGGTGCCCATCCATACCCAGCCATAATCCTTCTAGACCTATCTAGCCTGTGCACTACCACCACCTGCCAAAGGCTCCGAATGCAGGCCATCTGAACTGGCAGTCAACCCACCTGTGCCGCTGCATAAGCCGTAGTCCCGAGCACGGGTACCCCTGCATGGTATGACCATTGTCTTCTTTGTCTTCTCTGTCTCCGTCCCTCTCTCGCTCTCTGTTTCTGTCTCGCTCTCCGTCTCTCCGCCTTTCTGCGGTCTGATTGTTTAGATTGTAGGGGGGAAAGTGGCTGCTGTACCTCTCCCCTTCCCCTCGCTGCCCCCCCTAGGATGCTGTCCCTATCCCGTAAGGGACTGGGACTCGGGGTGGCGCACATCCTTCCGTCTCCATCGCACAAGGGCCACCTGCTGGGAGCGGAAAGTCGGGTATTTTGGCTTTCTGCAAGGTTGTCGGTTCTGGGTTCTGCGTGCTGGGTTCTGGGCTCAAGAGACTGACAGGGAATGGCAATTGCGCGGAGGTTGCCCGCTCTTAGCGAGGAGCCAAGCCGATCTCTGTTACGAATGGCACCTCGCTCGATCGCAATTGCGAGTGTGAAGCATTCTTGGCGGGGCCCTTTTGCGAGCCCACAATCAACGACATCAGGCGAGTAAGTTAGTTGCCCACCCAGCTCTCCTCTCGTCCGCCCGACGACACTCTGGATGGACCATGATGTCCGACTCCCCGTCAATGTCACCCTGCGATCCTTTCTCGGTGTGACAGACGGGCAGACACGTTCGGAATATTACGTGAATTCCGAATCCTCGTCTGTCCTCGTCTGTCCTATTGGGGCGTTCCGGGTGGACGAGCCCCCTTGTACGAGACGATTCCATCGCAAGCCCAGCTTGATCTGACAGTTACATGGCGGAACCGACCCGGGAGACCAGTTCGCGGACGAAGTTCGAGTAACCCGGCGGCGGCTCAAAGGTTCGTCGTCGTCCTCTTGACTCTCGTCTCCCAATTCGGGACTGCAATTCCTTCGTCCCTTTGGTCACCGCCTCTTCTTGTGTAGCAGTTTGACAGAGGCCGTATTCGGCAGGTTGGGTACATACGGGCTCAAGTCTTTCAACGCCGACATGACCACATCACCCGCCCGGGGCTTCCTGCGGTGGCTCTGCATGTGCCGGGTACAACTGCAGGAACCGTTCACCGGTGTCGACGTGACTCCCGCTGATTGATTCCGACGATCGCATCCCCAAAATTCCCCGCCGCTGCCTGCTCCATTGCAACGTCGCGTTGGTTAGAGCAAGCTTTGACCAGACCGGTGCCCGACTTTGTAGCTCGGTTAGGAGACCTCATCGACGTACATGAGGTGATTGGGCTTCGGGCATAGTTCGATCCCAGGTTAAAGCTGGGAACAAGCTGCGTAGCCATACACACACCGAGGAGAGTGGTTACCTACATCCGCTCTCGACACATTCTCACGTGCGACAATGAGACAAGCCATGAAGGCTAGAAAGATCTGGAACAACCGTGTCACAGATGCTCCACGATTCAACGAAAAGAGAGCCACACGCCCCCGTGCCAAAGGAAGAGGCAGCGGTAATCGCGCAGGCGGGTGAGTGCGCAGCGTGATATTGCAGCATGTGCTGCGCCAAGCACTCTTCCCATCCTCCCCGGCATGAGACCGACGGTAGACGACGAACGCTGCAGGGAGCCGCCAACACCGTAGACTCACCGGTACATGCAGGTCACCATGGTGAAAGCGAGGTCGGGACAGCGGGCAAGATTAGCGACGACGCAGTCTGCACCGCACCCAATCGGTTGGGCATTGATAACTTACGATCTTGGTCGTGTGGCGGCCGGGGGCGTCATTAGCACGTCTTGCCTTCGTGGACACTCATGATTGCTTTTTCGCTTCGACGCAGGCCTTGGCGCACATACACACGATGTCCAGGTCGAGCTCCCCCCACGTTTGAGAAGGGCTGGACCACGGCTTGATGCGCCCGCGCACCCTTGGGGAATGGAGATGCAACGCAGATCTGGCATTTTGACAAATCCCGTAAACTCCTGCAAGGCGGTGAGCCTGCTTCCCCCATCCGCCCTGCCGACTGTGGCGGGGACTTTTTTCCTGCTATGCAAGGTGCGTTGATCGATCGTTGGCAGAAGCGTAATGGATGGTGACACAGAGATGAGACGGGGGTGTCCCGCAAAATGTGTCAAAAACCAGATCTGCTCGGCCCTTGGGGTTCTGAGAAGTGGCCCACTAGCTCAGGCCTAGGGAGCTTGCCATCTGACCGGGGGTGCCCTACATAGCACGAATGAACCCTCCCTCTGTTAGCCAACGGGGGTGGTCGCCGGGTGAGGTCTCATCAGCCCCTGTGTCCTGTGCTTGGAGGCCAGGACCCCGGATCGCCTTTATCCTCTATGCCTAGTATGGGCGGGCTTGCGAGTCCAATCCCAGGCCAGTCCTGCTGCCCAGTTGGTCCAACGCCATCATCGCCAGGAATATGCAGCTCAGAGTCGACATGTAACGGTTGCGGAGAGACTTTCTGTCACAGTCAGCAAGAGGTTTGGTCTGGTCTTACCCCGGGTATAACAAGACAAGGCTCATTGCTAGGGTTGGGTTCGCATGGGAAATATGCAGAGGATTGGCCCGATGCATTACTTAGTTGTGCATGGCGGGTACCGCACTTCGCGTGGTGCCTCGGTGGGCACGGCATCGCATGTGCGAAATCAATATTCCTGCGTGTTCCCAAGGAATCTTCTGCTCGGGACCGATGCTGTGGGCGGCCACCGAGATGGAACGTCTGGCTACATTGTCGTATCTGGCGCCGGCCCGAATTTGGCCAATAGCAGGTCGGATTTTCGACAGAACCGCTAAAACCCTTGGTATCACCACTCATGATACATACAGCGCCCTGATGTAGAAGCTGTAAAAGCCTGTAAGTGTGGATGCCGTGACTAGGCACGCGGGCCGTCTCGGTTGCGTTGCGATCCTTCTTCTGATACACTCGGCTCTCGCCCGGGGTTCGCTCAGGGAGTGGAGATGGTATAGACAGTCACGTCGTCTGCCAAGTGTCCGAGCAAAGACTAAGCAAGACCAAGACCAAGACCCAGAGCTTGACCCATTGAGTGTCAATGCTGGTCGAGATGATCAGCCGGCCCCTCCCAACTAAGTGGGTTTGATGCCAGGAGCCTGGTCAGAAGTAACGGCCGACGTTGGCAACGGCTCCATAGCGGAGCAACGAATACTAATCTTTTCCGAAGCATGGCGAGCTCTAATTGCTCTATGCTGTACGTACCCGAGCCTTCTCAGTTGCAGTCTTGTCCAAACTCGTAGCTAGGCCGTGTTACGTGCAACTGTTTGGTGCGTGTGGGATGCTGGCCCGCCATGTGCTGTGCACATGCGTCTCCAGATCGCCGTGATCAAGGTGGATCGCTGCATAAGATGTGCAACGTGATGGCTGCCGGCGTCAGCCCTAGTCATAGTCAAGAGGCAAATCCAAGAGAGAAATCATTCGAGGCGGCCGCAAGAGAGGAGCTACGCCACGATCTTCTCGCTCTTACCAAGCTAGCTGGCCTTGCTCGGGCCTGCGCGCACGACATGTGCGATGTCCGAAGTAGATGAATGCCCTCCACCGGGATGCTTGTGTTGGTTAGGCGTGCCACGGCCCTGGCAGGAAACCTGCTTGCCCCAGCACCTGTCAGAACCAGGCCGAAGGAAGCTAACGCTAGGACAGCAAATGGCATGTAATAGCACTCAGCAGGCATCATGAGTCGAGTGGGCCAGAAACCGCGACTATAATAGAACAGGAGCAACAGTAATAAGAGAACGGTTCACGCAGGGGGTGATGAAGAGCCAGGGGTTTGGCTAGTGTTGACCCGTGGTGGGACATTTGGCTGGGGGAGGCGAGCCTGCAGGGGGTTGATTCGTGATGTGATCTGGTCGGTGCAGCTCAGCACCCTGCAATTGCAAACGCAAACGGTCGAGAGAGTCCGACGGCGGGAACCATCCTGGGCCGGTTTGGAGGCTGGGTTGGTTCGGGATAGTTTGGAGTGTGCAGCCAGATATTCGGGACGCACGTCCCGGCTTTGCACAAGATCAAGTGCGACTATATCCGTATGCGGCGCAACTTGTGTCGAGAGGTCGGCGACGGGGAGGAGGCATATTGCGTAGTGTAGGTGAGCGGATGGTGTTGGGTGGCGGATGGTTGGCTCCAGCACAACATCGTGAGTGGGTAGAGATGGCGACAGCCACGGTGATGGTGATGGCCACGGCAGCAGGCTGACTTGCAAGTGGCTGACTCGGACTCCCGTGACTCGGGCATAGCGGCTGATCCACGGGAGCGGCTCATGATTTCTCCGGCCCACTGGTCGACGCCTTCTGGACGCGTTGTCAGGTGGGAGGTGGGGGAGGTGGAAAAGGTGGAACCTATGTGGGCCGGAGTCTTCTCTTCCGTAAGAAACGCCAGCCAAACTGGGCCTTGGTTGATTGACTAGTTGCTCCACGCTTCTTGTCATGCCATGTTCCAGGCCATTGAGCCCGCTGAGGGCCCAGGTCAAGCCCAGCACAAGCCCAGCACGAAGTGGCAAGTGCCGGTGGCTAAGCTTTGAGCAACTTGAAACAACCCGTGCCCAGCCGGAAGCCAAGCCCAGGCGCCAGGCACAAGGTTATATGGAAGCTACCTGTGTTCAGTATGGCCTGACCGTTTGCCTATGTCCTGCAATTACTTGTTCCCGCCGACAGCAGTTAGCTCTGATCCAAGCCGATTCACCATGGCAAGCTGTGCTATTCTGAGAGCAGGCTAACTATTCCGCGACCCTAAGTGGTGATGGTGAAGGTGACGGCCTCGCGGATTGTCGTCTGAGTAGGTCGACGATAAAACGAAACAAACGAAATAACCTTGATGCGTAACAGCACAAGTATCATTAAACAATCATATCCATCACAACCCCCTTTCTTTTCGCGACTTAATTGCGCTGCATTATACCAAATCTAACTACTCGGTAGTATGCTCCGTATTCCACCGTAGAATGTAGCATCGTGACAGACAGACAGACAGTGGACGACCTGCCAAGCGGCCCTGGTCCGCAGGCCATTTGAACCGTGGCCCTCCCTCCAAGCGACGTTCATCCCATCCCATGTCAACCACATCAGCGACCAATCGTGAGTTGGTGCGATGCCCATTACCCTGTCTCGCCTCGGGGCGGGCCCCATCTGTCATGGCGCGGTAGGATCGTCGCGACGATCCGCGCAGCCTGAGGAGCCAATCGCAACACCGCGCGCCGCTGACAAACATGGCCTCCCCGGCGCGCTTCTCCTTGTGCCTGTCGCGCCGCAGGTAGTTCGAAGTCGGCCTTTGGTCGCCTGTCCGGCGTCCCTGGATTGACAGCTCCTCCCGACCGGCGTCGCGATGTAAGCCACGGAGCCGTTGTATGGGGTTTCAAACGTGCGCCTTGGACTGCTGCTAGGCGCAATCTCCAGGCACTTGGGCCTGGACCGCCATCTTAACAGCGACGAGCGCTAGCCGCTGCGGTACCCGCGAAAGCCGCGGCCGAGTCTATCAGATGGCCATGATTCGGGTGGATGCCGCAGCTGACTCGCCCCGGGTTTCGTTGACTGCTGGCTTGGTGAGCGTTGGAGCAGCACTGAGCAGCACTGAGCGGCACTGATGTGCAAACAAACACCAAACACGTGCCCGCAACTTCTTCCTTACAGAGACAGATGCCAACCCCACACAGCCTCACGGCTACACGGGACACCGACAAACCGACAAACCACAAACGAACGGGAACGTGGTAACATGGCATCGATCCCACACATACCACACATACCACACATACCACACACATGCTCACACAGGCTCTCACACACACATCGATCCAGCCACGCTGCACAGACCGACGGCACCGTCTCCGGCTCGCCGTGCTTCCTTGACTGGCGCCCGCGCGAGTGACCACTCAACCGCTCCCCTCCCAGATCAACCGTTCCGTAATTACGGTCCCTGGGAGCTAGTCTAGCCAGCGCGACGGCGGCGGCGAAACCGACGTGGGCCTTCATTCGACGCCGTGGCCGTGGCCGTGGCCGTAGCCGTGACCGTAGCCGTGGCCGTAGCTGTGACCGACACGACAGGGTGCAGATGCCATCGCGCTGACGGGTGCCGTAGCCGCCCTAGTGTCTGCCCTAGCCGCACGATGGTGGACATGACAGCCCGTCAATGTCGAGGCTCCACTGCAGCGTTTCTCACGGTTTGCGGGCTGGTGGTTTGCCTCCCCCACCGCGACGCCCAGCCGCCCAGCCGCCCAGCAAATGGACAAGCCCGCTGGACACTGGGCCAGAGGCAGAATAGTAACGCCGCCGTCCCAAGGCGTCGTCGTGTCGTCGTCGCCGTCACCCGCCTAAACTCTAATGATGATGCCAGGTCCGAAACCCATCGGGCTGGGTCAGAGCGTTTTGCATGGAACCTCGTGATCCTCTCAAAAGCCAGCCAGCGCGTTCTGGTGGCCTCTTGCTTTCAACGTCCCCCCGACAGAAGCAATACGCCAGCATGGTGCAGGGAAAAAAAAGCCACCAACCTTTTCGGCCGATGAAACCAAGGACGAGGCCACAGGCAGATCTGACGTCCCCCAGCTCGGAGTATAGACATTCTGTGGCTTGCTTGCGCTGGCAGAAGCTCCGTCCACCGTCCTCCGTCCAGAACGCCAACTTCCAGACCGTGCTGTCGCTATGCGTGTGCAAGCGCAGGTGCATATGCAATGTCACCTTAAGACCCGGTCTGGTCCTCCGCGAGTACAATGCCATTCATCACACGTTCGCAACCGTCCTGCCCTTCCTTGGCCGGGGCCAGTGGTCAAGGGACGGCGGGCGGCGGGGCGGCGTGAGGCCCCCCCTCCTCGAGAAGAGCGACGACTTTCCCACTAACAACACACCGGGGGACATCTCACACGCCATGGCGTGGCGGCCACAGCCCTTCATCAACCCTCAACCCAGTCCAACCCAGTCCAACCCAGCCGTCCTCCCATCTGGACTAGCTCCCTGAATCGAGAAACCAGCTCCCGGGGTGGGTGGTGTCCTTGCGTTCGTTAGACCCTTGTCCATGTCGGAAAGCCACCCCTGAAGGCTAGAGACGCCAGAGACGGGCATCCCAAAGCTACCCAGCAACAGCCACGAGCCTGTCAAACCCGTGTATTTGGAGGGAGGGGGGCTGGTGACGTTTCTCAGTCGTGGACGACGCCCAAGGTACTTTGTACACGTCCATTTGTTTCTTCATCTGGCTCGGTCCTCAACCCCCTGGTTCCCTGATCGCCCGTGTTCCCTGTCCATGCTTCGCATACATAGTACTTGGTCCAGTTTGGCATAGTTTTGTTCCGTCAAATCGTCTCCGCCTCCACATGGTACATGCTGAGGCGTGAGGCGTGAAGCGTGAGGCGTGAGCCCGAGAGATGTCTCTCTTCTCTTGGCCAGCGGCGCGGCGTCCTGTTTTAAAGAACCCACCTCCCCATTCCCACGCTTTGTTCCCACGGACTCGTCTGTGGCTTGAATGAGTCGGTTTCACTAACACCGCTTCTCCAGTTGAGCCTTGAACCCCGGGAATTCTCCGCCAGCCTGCTTGTTTATGACCCTCCCACTGCCATTTCCTATCTTGGCTACCTCATCTGCATCTGCATTACCCTTCAACTTAGCACCGCACTACTTGGTTGGTGCTTGAATCGTCGACACCATCCACCCGCCCCCAGCACACCCGTGATATACAAAAGCATTGGTCCTCCCACTTCGCGGATGATCGTCCTGGCCCGTCCACTACCCTCTTGCTACCATATATTACATTACCCACATCCAACCTCACCTTGACCATTGCTCTTTCCTGCTCAATCGTCGACACTACCGCAATCTTTTAATACATCCTTCCCCACGACTCCTCCCATTCTTCACACCGTCTCTTGTCGACTTGCCAGTCAACTCGTTGCTGGACGTGAACCCGGACTTCGCGCCAACACGACACCACCTAGCAACTTCTCTCCTCGTTTTGGACTAATCAAGGTATGGCATCTACGCTCCATCCTGCGCCGGAATGCCGAAGCTGATCCAACAGAAAGGCGTTGACCGCTGTGCGGTTTCTTCTGCCCTGACCGGCTGTATTGTTATGGAAGAGAGCCCTTCGCTGCCTCGACAGTCGGACCGAAAACCTCAAGAAACTGCCCCTCGACCACCCAACAACATGTCTATGCTTGCTACCGCCAGCCCCTCACCGCACCCGGCTTTCGGTATGCCCCGGCCATGGGAAGTGACTCGGTGTCCCGACTACTCCCTGCGGCCGCGAATGGAAAACGACGGAGTAGCATTGCCTTCCATTCGACAGGTATGCAACAGCTCCGCGGGCACCCTTTGCATTCTCCTTGCTAACCTGCTCCAGGCTTTCCCCGAACTGCAACTTCAACCTCAACCCCAAGCAGCCGTAGCAAAGCCGGGATCAACAGTCTCTCATTCTCCTGCACCACCCATGAGCGCAACATCTCCAAAGTATATTCACTCGCCTAATGAAACCAAGAGGAGGAGGTTGTCAATCGAGGCGGACCAGGAGTACGAGCGAGCCCGCCAGGTCCCCCGCCACTACTACAGCCCCGAGCGATCTTCATCGCGACAGATTTCACCTAGCCTTCCAATGCAGTCAACGCAAGAGAGCTGGGGAGCACCCTCAAGACCGAGTTCTTTCATGACCAACGGAGCACTACCGGCGCCAGCTCACCTGGAGATGAAGGACAGGGCAGACCCTCGAAACTCGCTTCCCAGTCTTCCCCCGCCGCGAACCATGGAGCGCGAGCCCGCATCCGCGAGCCGTTTGCCAACACCAGTGGAGAGCTACCGAAGCTCGCAGCAACCTCCTATACCCCCACACTCGGCTGCTCCTATCCCAGAGTCCGCTCCGTCACCGTACCGCGAGCCCGGCTACGGTTACTCCTACCACCACCCCACCCGGTACCAGTCATTGTCTGCTGGTTCCGCCCACTCATTTGAGCGAACACCGTTCACCGCCGGAGGATACAACACCCCTTACCCCGAGTATGGACGATACGGAGAGATGGGCCCCATATCATTGACCGGCGACAACAAGCAGCGGAAGCGACGAGGAAACTTGCCCAAGGAGACTACGGACAAGTTGAGAGCCTGGTTCGTGGCGCACCTGCAGCACCCGTACCCAACAGAGGACGAAAAGCAGGACCTCATGCGGCAAACGGGTCTTCAGATGAGTAAGTGTCCACTCTGCGACGAATTGAGTCCTTTGGACCACAAAACCTAGAAACTAACGAGTCTCCTAACAGATCAAATCTCCAACTGGTTTATCAACGCCCGACGACGTCAGTTGCCTACCATGATCAACAACGCGCGCGCCGAGTCTGACGCCATGACGGGCGCTCGGGGTGGTGACATCAAAGTCCTCGCCACCACGGAGCGTGGCGACTTCGATCACAGCAAGCGGGAGCCGGCCGCAGGGCCCCTGAGTGACGGCGAGGGCGCCACTTACGATGAGGACCTCGAGGTGATCAAGCAGCACCGCGGTGCCAACATGAGCAGGGGCAGCGTCTAGTGCCTTTTTTTTTTTCGAGCAACCCTACTTGATTTGGGAATAGCGGCGTTTTAGGGGCAATCAGCTAGGGAGCGGCTGGAGACGATGGCCATCTGCGCCAAGATGGAAGGCCCTTTTTTTCTTGTTTGAATACGTATGTACAAGTGGGGACTGTATTTCATGGCTGGGAAGATGGCGTCCACGATACGAGAAAGAGGCAGACGGAGCAAATGGAATGATTCGACACCAAGCACACGCAGGTTGGGAAACGGGCACAGGAGAAACGGGACACCAAGACAAGACTAGATCCAAACTAACTAGATACCGATGGCAGATCTGCGGACGCTGAGAGCAAGACCCAGACGCCTGACAATGAAAGCTCCGAAGGGGCGATGAATGAACCAACAAAGCAAGCCGCTCCTTGATGACCCAGCTCCACTCCCCACGCCAGAGCAGACAGATGTGCTGTTGGCCCCCATTCCCACCAAGCCATGAGTTATGCACTAAGCCCCTAAGCTGGATGGTCTCCCACGACATTGCCTGGCCCCATTGCAAAAATTGGGGGGGAGGGCGCTCAACCCAGCGGCGGGGAAACCCGACCAACCATCAGTAGCGGCACTAGCTAGACCATCTCTACAGTAGGGCGGCCGGGAGAGCTGCGCTTTGGCCTGCGTGTTTGGTGCAACGGAGCAGCGAGTCCTGGGCCAGCTGGGCCCCCGTTGGTGGCGTGGGAAGTGCCAGAGTAGATCAGGCGTGTTTGGCAGCGGAGCAGGCGTGGACGGACCCGAATCACATTTGCTTCCAAGAGAGGCGTCCGTGGGGTGTTTCGGTTGGCTTCCTTACCGAGTCCTCTATTCCATGTACTCTTCTCCTTTGGGAATACGGAGATTCCCCGGGGCTAGAGATGCGCGAGACGGGATGCGGCGGCATGAGGAACGCAGGTTATCCATGACTTTCAGGAGTTGAGCAGGGTTGCATACTGCCGAGAAGAGATATGTGGCTTGCCTGTTGATGAAGCAGTCAGAGTCTCCGTTGCGCTATATGCGGAGTATGCGTGGAGAGTCCATCATCACTGACGGGGTTAGGTATTATCGAGCTTGGTATGTGAGGGGGCGGGCTCGTGCTGTAGGAGAATTTCACACACACACACGCACACACACACACACACCAACAGCGGAGACGGTAAGTGGGAGTCCAGTTTACAGGCAGTCCAGCCCACAATAATAGCCTACTTTGTATGCGCGAGAGAGTTTTGACGGGCAGCAGCCATCTGGGCTTAGTGGTGTTGTCTGCGGTCTCACCCCAGGTCATGGGGTTGAGCCGTTCTTCTGCGGCAGTTGACTTGACAGGGCCAACGAAGATCTGCTTGTTCCCTCTCGCCGCCGTTTGTCCACGATCCACACAGCATCGTGAATAACGATAGGCAGGAATCATACATGCCAAGTTGACCGGTGAGAGAGCCTCCTCCGGCAGGCAAGGTCCCTGCTGACCGGCAGGCTTAAGCGATGGTTGGCACACCCTCTCGCTGGAACAAGCATCAACCAGGTGGTGCCAGTCTCGCACAACGGCAGCTGCTATAGGGCCCAAGAGCAAGGACGGCATGCGCAACCTGGGGAGTCCCTGAAAGAGGATGCGCCGGCGTGTGTTCCATACGGGGCTGGGCCTCGACGACACATCTGCGGGCCGAGCGTTCGGGAAACAGACGGTGGGGAGAAGACACGGTTGTGTAATCACCAAAGACGCGACCTACTGGCTTGGTACCGTTCAAGACGCACCGGTGACCGCAAGCAGCCGAAACAGGGCGTTCGCCGCGGCGAGGTTGGTGGGCCATACAGCAGGTGGCGGTATTGGGGAGTGCGCATGTTGACAGGTGGGCTCGACTGTGAGGTGTGCGTTGTTGCTGCAGGAAGAGTGGTGCCAGCGGATCAAGATGGATGGAGCTCATCATCTCCGATCCGCCACAGTTGACGGGGAGTGATCTAATAGCAACCGGATCTCTGAGACCTCATTCGATTTTTCGAATATGTAGGGGCAAGCCATCATCGGAACGCAGATACGATGGCCCGAGCGAGGGTGAGCCGCGCTTCAGACCGCCAGTCTCAAGTTTCTGCATGTCTCAATACCCCATTTCTTCATCTCATTGCCGCCATCTATCTGTCAATCTGGTGAGACCCCAGACACGGACATGGGGACGGCCTGTCTGAAGACGCCGGACAAGACTAAAAGGGGTGGACTGGCAGCTTGGGCCCATGCGAGTTCGGGTTATTATTCTCGTCTACTCGGGCATCTGGACCGAAGTGCGGTCCCGGGATCCCACGTCGTCGCCGCAGCGGAGGGGCACGCGGTCTAGACAGTCGCGCGGCTCTTGGGTAGTCGCAACCTGTGTTGAGCCCTTGGCGTTTTGAGTATTGCGTGAATGGTATATCGATGTCGCAGACTCAGAAATGTCATATGGGAACGTGTATGCTCCTACACCTATATCTGTGCCTGTATCCGTGCCTGTACTACCTCACATTGTCCCCCTGATAGCTATGCCACGAGAGGTGCCGACAGAGCTCCTCTGATAGCTTCCGGCGAGAGCTCCTGCGGAACTGTTGTGTGAGGTGGAGCATCAAGAAAGTCGTCTTTGATGGTTGCTATGTTTAGTGATCCTAGGTAATTTGACAATGGCTCGTGCGTAACTGTTCATCCATTGCGGCTGTCGAAGCTGAGCTTCTGGACCACTCATAGGCCCCGATGCCAGGGTTGAGCATGATTTTGGGAAGCCGACCGTCGTTTCAGGGTGAACCAAAGCAAGGGATGTGGGTAAGCCCGCCGGCGGCAATCTGCTTCCGCAAACAAGGTCCCTGGTCGCCACGCCGGATCGGCATTTGCTGGGGGGACTTGGCCAAGAAGAGACTGAGAGGGCCTGAGAGGCTCGGAGGCCCAGGTGTGGTCTTGTCTGGCGTGTGACCACAGCTCCGCTCCACCGGATGTCGCCCTGCAAGCCATAACCTGCGTCCAGCGTTTCAGGGCCTTGACGCTCCCGTCCGTGGCTTGCCCCGGTTGCCCCCTGCTGGCGTTCCCAATCTTCAGAGCCCGGCCCTCCATGGGTCAACCCCGTTGGTGGCCCCAGCCAGCTCACCTCTGGGAGGGCGCTAGTCTCTCTTGTCGATCTTAGATCGGCCGGGCCCCAAGGCCAAGCGGCGATAGCGCCGTCGCCTAGCCGTCAATCGTCAGCACCGGTCGCGGACGGCTGTGCCACAGAGCTCGCCAAGGTGTGGGTGTTGGCCCTACCAGAAGCCCTGTCAAAGTTCTAGCTCGGGCTGTTGGCTTGACGCGGACCCTCTTCACCACCTGGGCTTTGATTTTTGTGGTGGAGTCATTCACTGGAGAGGGAGGGGACCGTTGCCTGGTTGCTCAATTGAATGGTATGGTTCCGTTTGTGTTTTATGCTGTGCAGCGTTTCGAAACGATGCTGTCTCGCGGATGGTTCATGGATCGTGATGGACCCGACTCCTTTGCCTCACGTTCCGTGGTGCGTCAAAGCAGCTGCATTGGCTGGGCGATGATGATCTGCGACTGGTGTGCGACTTGGGCATGATGATGATGGTTAGTAATCCAAACGCATTCTAGGTTGGATCCGGCTCGTGGGGTCGACAAGGCGTTTGTGGATGATGCTGCACTTACACGATGGAACAATCGGGGGCTTGAACTCAAACCAGGCCGCCAGTTGAAAATATGCCGACATGGTTGTGATGCGGCCATAGTCTCCCATGTCTTGTCCCTAGCCCCTCGCGAACACCGAGCTGAGAACCCGTGGCAAGGGGCGACTTGGGGGGAGGCCATGGTCATTCATGCGCAACATCGTTCGTTCCTTCGGAGCCGCGGCGTAGTCCATGGCCACTTCTTGAGTCGAGACTGTGACTAATGGCAGCGTCACCGCCAGGATTCGACGAGCTATCGACACAAGCTCGTGGTAGCGGTGGTGATCAGTGGCCAGAGAGTCTTGCGACTCGTCGGCAGCCGTCCAACGACAAGGCATTTTGAGGTCCAGAAGCCCACGGCCCTGGTCGGGGGTAGTCTGTACCCATGTCAGGGCTGCAAGACTCGAATGTTTGGGGTTCCATTGAGCAGGTTGATGGAGGAGTGGGTGTTTCTTCGCGGTCGTGGTGGTTTGTTGGTGCGCCTCTGAGCATCTGGGTGCCTCAGGGCGCTTCCGGGGTGCCTGATGGTGCTGCCTCAGGGTCCAGGTGCTTCTGTGGCGGAGGCAGTGCCCGCGACGGGGCATTTCCCCCACGCAGGCATGTAGGCCCTGTAGGCCCTGTTCTGTACTGTATTTGTGCTGCTGCCCTGTTCCCTTCCGGGCCGTCACGGCGGGTACGCCGAGCCGACAATGTCGCTTCTTCAACGTGACCTGCCGACCCTCCCGCGGGAGAACAATAAATACATCAACGATCGGCATGCGTCCACTCTATATGCGTTTCTGCACGCAATTGAAGGCTTTGAGTTAACTCCAGGACGTCGCTTCCTCGGAATAAGACTAACTCCCGGCCGAGGTGACTCACTTTGGCTGATCTCGGACTTTCTGCCCTCGGCCTTCGGCCTAAAAACTCTCCGCGGTGAGAAATCCATAGCCTCTACATATGTCAGCCTGATTGGAAACGTGACTTCGCGTGTGTGCGTGTGCTCGTTCGTGTGCGTGTGCGTGTGTGAATACGTATCGACATTGAACGCCTCGTGTGGCCAACGTCACAGGCCAGTTGCCTGCGGTATCAAGCCTCATTTTCCATGTAGAAGATATCGTCACGGCCCGTCGAAGCGCTGCTCAACCTCTTGCTGCATCTCGTCGCCCGGATGAGGCGAGCCGGACACCATGCCGACGGACAACAACGAGTCCGACCCATCCGCGTCCGCGGGCGCTGGCACGGAGCCGCTGGCATGCGTGTCGTGCCGCGCCCGGAAGCTCAAGTGTGACCGCATAACCCCGGCCTGTAGCCGCTGTATCAAGGTCTCAAACGACTGCGTGTATCCCGCGTCGCGGAGGAAACCGACCTTCAAGCGAAGGAACGTCAAGGAACTGGAAGCCCGTCTCGGTATTGCCCTGTCCCCATACAAGCAGCGCCAACCCGTTGCTTTGTTCGATATGGTGCTGACTGTGTTTAACCAGCCCAAGTCGAAGACTATCTCAAAGATGTCAATAGAACTGCAGAGGACAATGCCGACAATGATAGTCCGGACCAGCCGGTTCAGCCGGACATGGACTTCAGCAACCAGGAGACACATGCCCAGATACCCCAATCACCTGGAATCACAACGGAAACCCTCCCTGAGCCCTTTCTCATCCCTGATTTTGTCCCGCCAGAGGAAACTCCAGGGTCCTTCTTCAACGATGCTCAGTTGATGGGGCTGGGCATGACCGAGTCACTACCCCCCCTTGAAGTCATGGAGGAACTGTATGAGCATAGATCCGTCAACAAGCATATCCGCACATCTCGGCTAACATTCGCAGCAACCATTCGTTTTTTGCAAACCAACACTTTTTCGTCCCCATAGTACACCCGGGACGTTACCTACAAGCCTTCTACGGGAGCCCTTTGATGAAGCCACCAATGTGCCTGCAGTATTCCCTCTGGGCATTAGCTGCACTTGGACATGCCAAGTATGACAAATACCATGACGTCTTTTACAATCGGGCTCGAAACTATGCCGAGATGGATGAAATGAAGGTGTGTTGGGTGAATCCATGACTGCAGAAGCAAAGACCAATGAGTAACGTCGGCAGGGCTTTGGTGAACATTTCATTACTGTTAGGCACGCACAGACTTGGGGGCTCATTGCAACTTATGAGGCCAAGAGGATGCTCTTCACCCGATCGACTATGAGCTCAGCTCGAGCAGTTCGCCTGTGTCACATGATGAGTCTCGATCGCATCGATGGTGATCCCCTAGGATTGCCGCCGAGCCTAGGACCTCCATTGACCTGGGCGGAACTAGAGGAGCGAAGAAGGGTTTTTTGGGGAGCATTTTGCTTTGATGCCCATGCGACCATCTCCACTGGCTGGGCCAGCCTGATCCAGACAGATGATGTAAGTTTGTGTTGGGTTGTGAAAGAACGTTGCTAATGTGAGAATATGTAGATTGCAACACGACTCCCGGCCCCCGAAGCTGACTTTATTGCGGATCGCAAAGTTGAATCAGCTTTCTTACACGAGGTCTTCCAGGGAGCTACTTACAGCGGCTTCGCAGGGACGGTGGTAGTGTGCCAAATCTTCAAGATCATCCTGAACCATGTCCACCGCAACAAGCCGGGAGACTACCCTGACGACGTGATGCACGGTGGTTTCTGGAAGAGACACCGTGAGCTAGACAACACTTTGTCCAGCGTTTTCATGTTTCTGCCCGAGAAAATGCGCTTGCCACAGAATATGCGAGACCCAACAGCCACGCACGCCAACCTCAACTTCCACGCCTCCATCATCTGTCTGCACCATGCGGCGGTCGAAAAGGTTGAAAAGCACAACCTGCCCGAATCTCTCAAACAAACGAGCGTGATTCGTCTGAAAGGAGCTGCCGAGGCGATTGTCAACGTTATCAAGCTTGCCGCCCACGCTTCCACTATTTTTGTAAGCAGTCCGTGCTGTTCTTGATAGCCATACCTAACCCCTACATATAGAAAAGTCCACTGTGTGCGCTCTCGATGTATTGCGCAACTACGGTGTACGTGTACTTGGCCAAACAAGATCCAGCAGCCGGCCTGACATCGATCGATATCGCCAATCTGGAAGCACTAATCAATGCAATGGAGGCCATCGCGCGCACGCATAATGTCACCCGTGCGTTCTTACAACAGGCTTGCTTAGACATCGAGCGCAATGGACTCTCCTCCAGCGTACGAATGCCGATGCTACGCAAATACCGCAATGCGTTTGGTGGAGTCAGATCAAACATCCCGATGCTGGCCCGAAGTTCGGTCGCGAAGCACACAGCAGCTGCTCCGGTACTACCTGGAAACCAGGGTCTGAGAGCTGTTGGCTGCCCGTTTACACTCGAAACAGAAGGTGATCTGGGCAACATAATCGGAAAGGACTGCTTCCAGGCTGTCCTCGGCGCCGTGTCACGGAACGTTGCGCCTCCTCAACAGCTAGAAGTGGCGACGAATAAACGGAAAAGAACGTCCCCTAGCCCAGGACCCGACCTGATAGCCGGCTTGGGCCGTCCCCAAACCTCATCCGTGGATGCCTCTGCGCTGGAAGATACTGTGACAATGCCCACGGGTAGTAGGGTACCAATATTCCCGCCATCTGCGCAAATGTGCACCGGAAACATCGGCCTTCCTAACCGAACCTCGTCTTCCTCGTCGTCTCCCTGTAACCATGGGTCGTTTTCTAAAACAGCGACGGGAAGCAGCCATACTTCTCCCGGCCTGGGGCTCGGGAACACGGCTGAGGAAAACCGAATCGATTTAAGAGCCTTCCAGGACCGCATGACGACGCCCGCCTGGCCGAACGCGGATGAAACATTTTTTGCGCAGATTAACGAGACGATAATCAATATCCTTCCCGCCGAGAGTGGTGATGCTTGGGGCATCCTGGATGCCGACCTGAGTTGGGACCACACGAGCGGTCTGTTTTAAAGAATTGTACTCCGGGGCAGTCTATGGTTCAACGGTCTTTTAATATGAGACACGGGTAATGTGTGTCTTGGAAATGGGTTTGGAATGGAGACTGGCGCGGATGACTTGTACGATACATGCCATTTGGGTTGGAAAACACAACTCTTTTGTATTTTAGGGGGGATACGAAGTAGACGATGATTGGGCTCCATTGAGAGCAGCGAAAGTAACAGGGACAGAGTCTGATCCAGGTACTGCAGGTACTCGAGGTATTCCAGGTATTCCAAGTACTCTCTCAGAGCGAGTAGTCATAGAGTATTAAAGAATCAGCGAGCGTTAACGCAACGGTTGAATATGGCCTCGCCTCAGGGACGTTGTCTTTTGCCTAAATAGGACGTGATACTCTTAATTAAGTTGTAACATCCGAATACAGGTCTGCGAGAAGTACAGATTGTATGTATGCCGCGGTTGGTCCAGGCGGATGGATGCAATGACGCGCGTCAGCAGCACGTCTCTAGCTAAGACAAGCACCATGACGAAGCCCCTGAGACTCCATTTCCCATTTCCCATTTCCCATGGTTCATGAATGCTCAATTGGCTGCGCGGATCAGGCCACAGCTGCAAGCTCAGACGCTCAATTGAATTGAATTGACTGATTGGATTCCTCGTAATTCACTTGCCATGACTCCACCGCCCATCATGACATCTCCGTTGCCGTGAGATCCGGTCCGTCCACGCTCTTTTGCCTCGTCGCATCGCACGTTCGCAACTGCAACTGCAACTGCACCGCCGCCGCCGCCATGATTTCATACATCGTCGGCCTCGTCGCCGTCTTGCTCGTCTTCTCCAACCCCATCAGCGAGCTGCTGTTCCCGGGCCAGGCCGGCCGCCCGCATGTGTCGCCGCGGCCGCAGCTCAACGAGTCGCTGCTCGCCATTGACGCACCGAATGCGACGGTCCCGGCGTGTCCCCCGGATGCGTATACAGCGCGCATCCTGCACCGCGCGCCGCTGGTCGTGTACCTGGAAGGCTTCTTGAGTGCGGAGGAGCGGCGGTATTTACTGGATATAAGGTATGGTGGGCCAGTTCTCTCCGGTTTAGTGTTCCACCGCGGAGAGGTTGCGCTTGAATGGGACTTCAATTGAGGACTTGATGTCCATCATGAAGCCGATATCTAGACCACTTACACAAGGTCAACAAACTGACTCCCCCTAGCGAATCCCTCTTCGAACCCTCAACCATCACCAACGACGGCGACGAGACGCATCGCGACACATTGGTGCGCGACTCGCACGTCGCCGTCATTCCGCGCAACGACGCCGTACGCTGCATCGAGCGCCGCTCGCGAGCCCTACAAGGCTGGCCGTCGGACCTGTATATCGAGCGCCTTCGCACGCAAAAGTACACGGCCGGCGGCCACTACGGCTATCATTTCGACTGGACCGCCAACATCGGCGGCTGGGGGCGCGTGACGAGCATCATGGCGTGGGTCGACGGCTCCGACGACCTGCGCGGCGGCGGCACGGCGTTTCCCCTGATCCGCAAGCCGGAGGGCGAGGAGGCGGAGCGGGAGTGGTGCAGGTTTATCGAATGCGACACGAAGCTCAAGGATGAACAACAGGATGGACAGCAGGATGATCGTGGGGTTGTCTTCAAGGTCGTCCCCGGCAACGCCGTGTACTGGGAGAACTTTGCGCCTGATGGCAGAGGCTATGAGCAGACTTGGCATGCTGGGCTGCCGGTCGACGAGGGCCTCAAGGTTGGGCTGAACATTTGGAGTTTCGGGCGCATTTAATAGCGGGCATCGTCTCCATCTTCTACGGAATGTTGGCGTCTTCTCCGGAATGTTGTCATGAGCTACGACATGGTGTTGTAGAAAAACTATCAAATCACTATCCACTTACACACCCTACACGTATCTCGGTCTCAACCACAAACAACATAGGTATTGCATCGCATCGCATCATCCTCACACTCCCTCTAAACAAATCACCCTCACTTATCCTCCCACTTCCTCTCACATTGTCCCACCCACCGCCCCCAAACTACCACGCGTCCCTCAATCTTTGCCGCCACAGCCTCCCTCGACGGCTTCGACGCCACAAATTCTGGGTCAAGCGGCTCATTCAGGCCGACGACCTCAAAGAAGTCTAGCATCATCGACACATTCGATTGTCAGCGAGTCTCGCTCCTCTTCAAGTGTTTTGGACGAGAGACCAAGGGGGAAACGACTTACAGCGGTGCATGCCGTGGTTGATCAGCGGTCGTGGCAGGATATAGATCTTGCCATTGCGGCTCATGCCGCTTGAGAATCCTCCCTTGAGTCGTGTGGATGAAGACCAGTCAACAGGTTGGAAGTCGCTATTGACAACACTCAGCTTCTCTGCTGGAATCCCGAGATATATTCTACAGCGGTCAGCACGTCTATCACCATCTTCGCCCATCAACACTCACCCATGGCAAATCGGCGTCGGCAACGGCGCATCGAAGTCCTCATTGACAAGCAGCCACTCCTTGACGCCGTCACAGGCCTCCCACGTCAGCTCCGGGATGAGGCCCTTTCCGCCAGAGATGTACTCCTTGCCCAGCGTTGCGCCGTCCGCGCCGCAGTCTGGCGAGGTGATGTGTAGGGTAGGCTCCGGGTGCGCCGCGAAGGCCGGACTGGTGGTGAAGGCTTTGTCGTCACGGCCTTTGAAGTTTTTGAAGAGCCAGCTGGCGGCGACTTCGAGGTAGGCCGTCATCTTGAAATGGGGTTTGTATTTTGTTGGAATGGAATGGAAGAGTATGTAATGATGTTAACGACGAGGGTGACCAGAGATGATTAGCTTGTCGTTTTGGACGGTGATACGGTGACTTTATACATCAAAAACACACCATTCGACTGAGAAAAAACGGGCTAATATGTAACCTGTGGACCAAAGTACGTCCCGTGGAGGAATAAAGTCCGAAAAGTCCTATGATTAATCCAACTTCCTCTGATGGTTGTCGTGGTTCCGGTCGGTCGTACCGGGGATAATCTGACATCGGTGCCGAATCGGCCAAGCTTATTGGTGGTATATCATTATCGCCTAACAACCTACGTACTGAGCTCTCTCGGGTTCGGATAGGCAATATTCAAATCTAACTTACCCCTAATTATAAGTAGGTACGGACAGGAAGCAAATTATTGTACGTCATTCTAGGAGGATGTGAGGACGGGGTCATGTGTGGTCATCGAAGGATTCATATTCACGTAAACTAAACATCTACCTCTATGCCCCGGCTGGCCATGCCTCAACTCTCTTGTGACAGCTACAAACAACATTTAAATGAACGCTGCGCTATTCAATAATCCACCGACATGTTTGAAACGCCACCGTAATGCTGCCTATAAAATAACGCCATGTAAGCCCCATCGCAACACATGGGCTCTAATAAATGACACAAGAATAAAAGAACAACCGCCTACATATATCGTTCCTGATCTCTAGGCTAGAGACCCCACGAACACAAAGATCAGCGTCACAACACCTATCCATACCGAACCTGAGATAGAAGGAGAGATTGCTGAGGCTCCAGACCCAGTGTCGGACCCGGTGTCAGACCCGGCGTCGGACCCGGATGCCAGGCCCGACTCAGCAGACACGGGGTTTTGTGCGGCAGTCGCTGAGGGCACAGCATTTGTACCTGAGCCAATCTCGACAATGTCCGTCTTGGTGACGTTGAACTTGCTTTGGGCTAGCGATATCTCGTTGTTATCTAGGTCGAACACAACGAACGCGCTCCTGAGGAACGTGTCACCTAGAATGTTGGTCCCGGAGGATGGGGAGATGCCGAACATGCAGGCAGCCGTGCCATCGCTGAAAGAGAGCTGTTGGCCCGTAACTTGAAGGACGTCGATGACCATTTCGCTGATAGGGACGACAATCTCCGCTGGGTCGCTGAATTTGAAGGTCAGATTTCCCGTCTCTGACCCGAGAGAGCAGGCAACATAAGCGATGCCGTCCGATTGTTGGTATTCGGCACCCACCTCGGTGAATATTTTGTCGGTAATGCTTTGGGGGAGATACGTCAAAGAAGAGCCCGTGTCGAGCAGGACAGCGAGGGCGAGGTTGTCGTCGAGGGTGGTTGACCCAATGCTGAGGCTAGTGAGGGTGATGAAGAAGTCGTCGTACTCGCCGCCGTTCTTCTGTATGGGCACCGAAACCAAATCGCCTTCATATTGTGCGCGATCGACGCCGCCGAAGAGAATGGTGCCTGTCGCCGAGTCAAGGTCGTTGAGCCACAGACTGTAGGCGTTGGACGCAATCAGTCCGTCGGCAGCCATCTTAGCCGGCAGGTTGTTGTAAGCACTTTTGCCAGCTCGACCGACTTGGACCTCATTGGAAGTGTAGCCAATACCAAGGACACCCTGATCGGATGAGCTTTCGTATCCGATGCCGAATTGTAAGTTGGTGATTTTGGTATCCCCTACACGGAAGGTATCGGTAACATAGTCCCCAGCAGCACCGGACCCGTCGGCATAGGATATGTTGAAATAGCTGCCGACGTACTCGTACGTGGATGAGTCGTTTGCACTATAAGTCCCCGATTGTGCACAGAGGTTCGAGCGTGTAGAACAAAGGGTCGAGTCTAGGGTGTTGACCCATAGGTCACTGCTGCCCGTGTCCAGATGTAAGCGGAAGCTCTGGTTCGGGGTGCCCAAAGTGGCGTTGAAGAAGTAGAGGGTTTCCTGACGTGTAGTTAGTAAGACAGGATCCGAGGGACACGGCAGCAGAGGATGCTAACCTCGTTGTCGACGTCGACATCGATCGAACCACTACGCCGTCGCATGCGATTCCTGTCATGGGTAACGGGATCTTGGATCTTGGTGCGTTGCAAGTCGAGGCTCAATACGCGTGGGTCACCGCCATCCTGTCTTTTGGCCAAGGAGATGGCCCCGGTTGTTGAAATGGCGGAGGTGGTGATGGCGAACAATAGTTGAATCGGTCTCATTATGTTTTACGGCTGGCCGTCCAGGGATAATAGAAGGAATAACTCGGCCTCGCATTCAAAGCGGCGGGTTTATATAAGGTTGCGAAATCGCCTCACAGTGGGAATGATGGAATTATGCGGTCTGTTGCAGCAAGATCCGGTCTCGCATAATACTCTGCGCCTCGAAACCAATGGCCTCTTCTTATTAATTTCCCAGACCGTGGCAATGGGCCTCCCGCAAGACCGGCAATCGAGGCGCCTCGGGCGTGCGTCACCAGCCGACGTCAACGGAGCTTCGTTCGGCACAGCAAGGCCGAGTGGGTGTCAGAGGAGGCGCTCGTGAGGCGTCGCAAGACGGCGGCAGTTGCAAGATCCGACAGTTCCGCGGATCTAGCACGGCAAGGCGAGAAAAGAAAGAAAAAGGAAAAGAGCAGAGAAGGACAAAGCCCTCTACATGCTGGTGTCCCCGGCGGTGCACGTTGGTTTATTAATTATTCCTTCAGCGCAACCCAGCGGTACGACGAGATGGAGCCTCTTCTCCGCCGTAGTCGCAGCCAGCCGCACAGGGATCGCAGGACTTGACACAGGTGCCAAGCCCGCAGACAGACTGGGCGTGGGCCTTCATGGGTCGAGAGCGCCGTGTTCCCTCGTTCCTCCACGTCGTTCTCCACCTTGGGCGGAAATCCTTTGGTTCTTGTGATTCCATTCGACGCGCGGCCAGCGACCACGCCTCGAAAGGCCCAGCCGGTCGGTCCCTCAATCGAGGCGCAGGGGGTGTGTGGGTGGATAGCTGAGCTCCGTATCCGTAGCGTTTCTGCTTGGCGAAACGCCCGCTGCTGTTGACGCTGTGCTCTCGAATGACGGATGGCGGATGACGGATGACGGTGTTTCGAGATGGGCGTCGCGGGTTCTGTGAGACGGACTCTGACAGCGAGACGGAGACACAGAGAGACAAACCGCTGTTATTATTAGACAACCCAGGCCAGGATGAGACAGCTAAAACGGGTACGGCGGATGCACAGCCGCCGCTGGCGTGTGAGATAGAGTAGGCGCCTGCAGATCCATAGTGTCGAGCTTCCGAGCTGGCCGCCCGATGCTTCGCGCCTCCACTAAGCAAATGCTATGCGTATACGACACTGGTGAATGCGCAAGGACTTGTTGTATGGTGCGGGAATAGCAATTGATGGGCAATCCCACAATTGTGGGCGGTGGTGATGTCAAGATCCGGCTTGTTTGTCGCCGTTGGTGTAGTAGTGTTGTAGTGGGAGAGATGGGGGGGGTTCAGTCCCTAAAGTACGACGGTGCTGCACTATCAAATAGGGCACGACCAGATTCTCCAGGCATCCCATTTACAGCAACACCACAGCTCGATGCGTCTCCAGGCAAACACATCTTGTACTATGTATCGTGACCTGTGTTTAAATGACGCCTTGAAATCCCTGTTAATTCAGCTGCACCCGTGTCTCTCATCGTATTCTCCATCCATCTCCTCCACCTCCCTCAACTGCATAGGCAACTCGGCCACTGCAACCAATGCGCCACGCACACCTTGACGCCTATCTCGTCTTCCCCTGTAGATCCCAGATCTTGTTGACCCCAGCCTGTCGTCCTTCTGACCTGTATCAGTACATCGTTGTATGGCTAAGGTTCCTGTTTTGAGACCTGTGGCATCTGTTAATTAGGTTTCCCCATAATCGCATGCCTTAAGTCGTTGCCTGGCCTGGTGAGATGCTAGTGCAGATCTCCAAGATGCCAAGATTCATGTCATTGTACAAAAGATATGGGAAGCGAGAAATCATTCCCAAGGTAACCAGAGAGCCTATTCAAGTTGACTTGTTGAGTTTCCATATGATAAAATGGATGGACTGAGTATTTTACTATGGCCCATATGCTGTCTACATCTCGTCCATCATACCCAGCCCTATGGAACAACACATCAACAACTCCAATGGGAAACAATACTAACCCACCTAAAACCATCTCAAATGCCAATCCCCAAATCTCATACCTCATCGTCATCAGTGCCATCCTCCATTTCCACTTTCCCAGCTCACCAAGCCACATCTTGCATCCCCGCATCCACCCAATAACCGCCCTTCTTATTCTGATGCCTACCACATCCCCAAACAATGGACGGCCCATCAGCCACCACCCATCAGCCCTGTTTGGTGTCTGCCTGAGAGCTGAGACTAGATGACCCGGCTGTTACTGCGCGCCTGCGGAAGAAGTGTCCCAGCGAGGCAATGAAAACTGGTCTTGGCCTTGCTGTGGGTGGTTGCACGGGAGTTGTGGTGGCCTTCATATACAGCTGCTGACCCCCCTCTCGTCTTACGGGGTTTCTTCAACCGGATTTGTATTGAGTCGCTTTGAATCAGTTTGATCAATCCAGTCTTGTATTAAAAAACTACGTCCTTGCAAACGCTCAATATCACGACATTGTCGGACTAAGCCAGTCGCCAACCATGGATGCCGCTCTCCTCGCCAACATGGACCGTTGGTATGGCCATCATTGGCATCTCCCGTACAGCATCATGTCCAACAGCTAACAAGCACTTTGCCCCTATTCAGTCCAATGTACGCCGTACGTCCACTCCGTCCTTAGATCCTCCCATCCCACCAGAGCCCCAGCTAACTTGCAATCCCCAACCGACAGTCCTTCTTCGGGGCCCTCGGTTGCGCATGCTCCATCGTCTTCACCACCATCGGCGCCGCTTACGGCACTGCAAAGTCGGCCGGCGCCATCTTCTCCTCTGGCATTCTTCGCCCCGACATGCTGATGCAGAATACGTACGAAACATCTGAAACTCCATCTCGAACCGTGATAAATGAATGCCCCCACCCCAAAAACAAGGCTGATTTGAGTACTGCCCCTAGACTCTGCTCCATCATGGCACAGATCCTGTCTATCTACGGCCTCGTAGCGAGTGTCATTATCTCTGGCGGCATCACGGAAAAGATGCCCATCTATACTGGCTTCCTCCAGCTGGGCGCTGGTCTCGCCGTTGGCCTATGCGGAATGGCTGCCGGTTTCGCTATCGGCATCGTTGGTGATGCTGGAGGTATGCTCACGACACTTATGACCCCACGTTAAGACAAGTTTGCCGTCGCTAACTTGAATTCAACCGCACAGTCCGTGCAAGCTCGCAGCAGCCGCGCCTGTACGTGGGTATGGTCCTCATTCTTATTTTTGCTGAAGTTCTGGGCCTGTACGGCGTCATCGTCTCCATCCTCATGATCACCCGATCCAAGCTCGACGCCACCGTGTGCAAGTACTAAGAATCAATCATGAGAGAGGGAGGGGAAACTTGAAGCTGGTGCCTCGATTGTGCCAAAGCGCTGGGTCTGAGAATCAAAGCATCCATATGGATGATGTGTAATGACGAGAATTGGGTATCTGCAGTTCTAGAATTTGCCACGACACGCACATAAAAGCACACGGTTCGCTCGCTTCCATGATTTGCATGTCTTATTACAGTGCCCATTCATTGGCATCATCCTCTTTCGTGATGAAGGGCTCATCAATCCTCTTAATCGCCAAGTCACTGCATAGAATGCTGGGAACTCGTTAGTAATGAAGCGGCTAAGCAATGGAGGTTCAAGTCAACTTACCAAGCAGAAGCCACGAGAGCATCCAGCTCTGCGACCACAGCATCCCGTTGCGTCCCAGCGACCAACCCCTTGTGAATCTGCATTTGAAGTTCCCTAATTCGCGATGACCTCCCAGGGCCAGCCTGCTCCAGCACCTTTCGGCCTAAGCAATCCGAGTGAAACGAGTGCTGGCAGGGGAAGACGAAGAATTGCCTGCTCAGCAGCGGAAGCCCGCAGACGTAGCACTTCTCTCCGGGCTCCACGATCGCATACCGGTGGTCTAGCGCGGCAATGTCGATTTTGATATTGGTGGCTGTCTGGGAGGATTCATCCATCTCCTTCTTCAGCCCGTCAATGTTGCGGCTGTAGTCCTCGAGCGCCTCGCAAATTTCCTCCTTGAAGTCATCGATGATGACAAAGTCGGGAAAGAAAGGAATCAGATCCTCAATCTTAAGCAGATCGCACCGCTTAAGGAACTCAATCGCCGTCTTGATTCCGTTGGACTGGGAGATGACCTTGCGAGCCACCGCCAGCCATAGTCGCTTCCGTAGTTGCGGGTTCGACATTGGCCTGTCGGCGATGACAGCGGCCAATTCCACCTCATTGTGAGAAAGTGCAAGGTCGACGGCCTGGAGGTACTGCCCCATGCTTGTGTAGATGTGGACGCAGGAGAGAGTTCGGTGATGCTGGATGCAGAGACGCAGGGCGAAGTCTGGGTCGTACCGAGGCTCATCTCCTTGCGCCTGAAGGTACGACAGGAGACCAGACTCGTCCTTGCTTGGATGTGAGGCATATATCGACACAAGCGTGTTGTGCACCGCCGCATCCTCCGAGTTGAGCTGATATACCGCGTAGTTGAGGTATCTCAACGCCTGGTTCTGTGCGGTGCCGCCTGCGAAGGTACGGTTATACTCGAGAAAAGCAGGGATGAGGTTCCTGGGCTTGAGATCAGCATGCCTCATCAGGATTTCCACCAAGTCGCCTGCAACGTGCGTCATGAGCACGCTACTATAACGGTAAAAGACTTCGGGTTCCGTCTGTTTCTTGAGCACATTGAGCACCTCGCTCCACCTCTCCCGCTGAACCCAGTATGACAAGACGTAGTTGTAGTCGCTAACAGCGCTGGCAAAGTATAGCAACTCTCCTTCACGGCCATGGCTACTGATCACGTCGTACACCATCTTCCGATCGAGGTCATGCTTGTACTTGTCGACAAATTCTCGATACTCTTTCCTCACGGTTTCTAATAGTTGCTGTGACTCGGTGGAGTTTAGATTGTATGATAGCTCAGCCTGTGTGATAATAGTGTCGTCCAAGGAATTGAGCTTGGCCATGAATACCTCAACTAGCCAGCCGGCGACCATCATCCGCTGCATGATGGCGGACTTTTTGATGGTGGCAAGCTTTGTCAGAAGGAACTTGCGCAACGCATCGGGCTGGTTGTTATCTATGATGCTCAACGCAATATCCTCAAAAGGCTTGTTGCTTCGGCCATACACGGTAGCGGCCTCGATCCAGTGGCCCTTGCTGGCTAGGTGGTCTCCGTATGCTGCCGCCACCGTCTCCTTTTGCATCGGCGTGTGCGCGTGTTGGAGGGCTGGCTCGAACTGTTGCATCTTCATCATAATCTCCCAGATATTGCGATCCTCATCGCGCACTACAACCTCGAAGATTTCTTTCGAGGTGAACAGCCAAAATGTATTCTTTTGCATGTCGACGGAGAAGCCGAGGGGCCTCTGACCCTGGCCGAGAACGTCATGCTCCGATATCATCTTACCAGTAAGCCGGTTGGTAGTTATAACACGGCCGCCGACGAGGTGGATAATGTGCCACTGGGTGAGTGCAATAGCATCAATCATCTCGGATGTAGGGTTGCGTCTATCGGACGAATCAGAGGAGACAATCTGGGCCCTCGGAAGCATTTTAGACTCAGAGAAGACCTTGGAGCCAAGATTGCTATCCGGCGGGGTATTGAAGAGTCTACCGTGAAAGACTCCCTGAGAAGACAGCCAGGCGTAGGCGCGGTCTGGTATGTCATCGTCATATGGGCTCGTTTCAGGGGGATCGGGGGACACCGCCAAGCTGGAGTACGCCCCAGGCGACGTTCGTGGCAACTCATGAACCACCGGCTGTTCCGACTCGAACAGCCTGGTGTAGACGGAACCGCTGCCATCGTGCCCATGGCCAATCCTCCCAACAAGGTGGAACAGCCTGCTCTGGGTACCAATGACAACCCTTCGGATGTCTGCATTCCCCTGTAGATTATCCACCCACAAGCCGGTGATAGGTCCATCTGGAAGCTTATGGAGGTTCTTTAAATGCTTGACCTCCTTCTTGTAGAACTCCTTGGATGTCTCGATAAACGCCTCGTAAATGTTTCCGTCGGAAGCGCCGATCAGGATTTCCCGCGTGGACGCCGTCGGGAGCGAAGGGTTCCACGCCACACTCTCAATGGCCACGCCGCGTAGCCGGCCAAGCTGTCGAGGTTGCTTCGATTGTGAGTGGAGATAGTAGTTCTCGCCGAGGGCTGTGCAGACGATGAGATGGGACGCTGTCGGATCGAGAAACATGCGCCGGATCACGCCAACTTCGGCCGGCTTCTTGGGGAGGTCAATATCTGAGGCCGCACCATTAGCAACTGATCAAACCCACTCGTACGCCCCGTCTTCGAAGCACGCATGGACCGCGCGCCCAGCGTCGCCTCCAGCTCACCATCAATGTCCTCGGGTCGGTTCAGGTCGATGCGCAGGATGCGTCCGTTGGAGAGGGCGAGGATGATGACATTGTTTGCGACCTGCGCAGCGACGAAGTCGGCGGCAATGGAGAACTGCAGCTGCACGTGCTCGACGGTGAAGATGGGCACCTCCAGGTCCAAGTCCTGGATGCCGTTGGCGACGGCGCCGAAGCCGTCGCTGAGATCAAGGGCCATGGCGGTCGGGCGGGCTCATAGACGCATATTCGGCCGGTTGAGGGTATCGGGGCTGCGCGCGTCTCACTCGTACGGACTAGGATCTCGCTCGTACGCGTTGGAATGGATCGGGCGCGGCGGGGAGGCGCGTGGTCGAGGTCGGTGAGAAGGGAGGTTGGTTTGGTGACGGAGGAAGCTGGAGTTGGAGACGGAGATGGGCATGGTTGGGCCAGCACCACCAGCTCCCCACCTTGAAATTAGCTGCCTATTCGTGCATTAGCAACTAAGCTCCTGAGCCACAGCCTCGCAGCGATTACATCACCGTTCGCCATGACAGCATGACACAAAGAACAGCATAAACGTAATTTACAAAGAAATAACTAGAGCTATTTCTAAGGATGATATTGAGGTGATTTCTTGACAGCAAATGTTCTTATTTTCACATTTCTTTGCCCACACATACACGCACCTAAGTGCACTATCGCTTCTCGCAATGCATCAGTACACGAAAAGTGTGTGCCTGGTCTAATACATCTTCTTCAAATGATGCGTTTGGTCCCGTTGCAAAGCAGGTAGTCTTAGACCATGACGGTGATAAGTGTGCCAATTTATTCGATGAAACAGCTGGTACACCTCCAACTTTATGCGAAGCTGGCTGCCTGATTTCCAGGAGGGCGGCGATGGCTTATTCTCAGACTCTCTTGTTGAACGGTACGCCATCTGCGCTTCACAGACTCACTCATTCAAGGCAAGATGTTGATTCAATAAAGGGACGGACGATCGAAGCAAACTTCAGTTACGGTAACCACATGCCTTTCTCTGCCCAAAACAGTTGGCATGCAAGACTGGTCTTTTTCACCCACATGGCTTTCCATGATACAAAACAAGCCCAATTCTCCAAGTAAACATCGCCTCGGCCCCTAGTAAAATGCAGAGAAGTGATGATAGAAATATACAAAACATACAAGATTGGCCATCATCTTGACACAACGCCGCCCCCCGAGTGCGCCGAAATCAACATGCTCAACCAGAGCTGACTCCTGGCTGTAGCCTCTTAGCTCAAGCCTCTACCTCCATGTAACTCCATGGTAATTAATTAAGTTGGCCCCATGTTGGTGGTTTCTCTCGGCGGTGGAATGACCACCGACATTGCATCCTCATCGCCCGCATGGAGAGTCGGGTCTGGGCTGTCTTCGGGAACGTACTCTGTCGTCGTCGGCGAGATCGGCCGCCCAAGCACCGCAGCTAGGTCAGTGGGTTGGCTGTCGAGTGGCTTTCTTGCAATAATGACACGCATCTTGATTTGAAGCCCCTTCGACTTTTCTGGATTCTTGGCCAGATTGGCCATTTCTCGAGCAGCTGCCTCACAAGCCGCCTTGCACTTCTCGGGATCCCACCCCATGTGTTCAGTCAATAGCCTTAGGCAATTGGCCTCGAGGGCATCAAGACACGAGATGAGCCATATCTTGCCAGCTGACTTCTCCGCCACGGTAATAGGGATGACGTACTCGGTCACCCGGACATCGACAAAACCCGCTTCCATAAACAGTCGGGGGTCTAGGTGGCTGGTGCCTCGAGGGCGACCCGATCTGTTGGCGGCTTCTTCGAGATCGCCAGTTATGGCGCGCATGGGCGACTCAGGGGGGAACATGTCCACAAACTGTATGAATCCCTCCGCACTGTCAAAGTCTTGTACCTCCACCCAGCCTCCAGGCTTGAGTGAGTAAAAGGCGTTGTCGTAAATAAATCTCCAGTTTTGGAAGGCCCCCTCCATACCGCGAAAGTGGATGAGATCGTACATGTCGGGAAGGCGGTCCCAGTCCTCGGCATCTTCGATTTCGAAAAAGACGTTCATGGGGACGCTCCTCGTCTCGGCGATGGCGGAGATATCTGTCCCAATAACCTCACACCGAGGTGAGAGCTCGGCCATTCTAATAGCCCACTCGCCAGTTCCAGTGCCAACGTCGAGGATATGGGTGGGGTCTTGGATCGGAGCCAAGGTGTACTCGCCGTCCATGACGTGGACGAATACTTGGTGTTGCAAGGCTAGTCGTAATTGCTCAATCTCGTCGTTGGGCATGAAGTATTCGCGGCAGTAACGACGGCCGTGGATGTCTCGATAGTCGAGGTCTTGTGCCCACAATGACCGCGTGGACGCGGCGCTGGAGATTCAGTCAGCACCTAGACCTGAAGGACAAGAACGGTTTCAAATGCTGGGAGATACTCACATGTCAGAATTCGCCGTGTGGGAATGGTTTGGTGAAAAGTGCATGTCCTGGGCGTTGGTACCGGCAGCATGAGGGTAATGCATGGCGGGATAGATGGATATGATGTCGAGTTCTTCCTCGTCGAACTCGGAGTCCCGAGAACGAATCTCTTCGTCCGTGTCAATGATGCTGGTCATGGCCGTGTGGGCGCCGTCGCTGGCTGCATGCTCGCTCAGGGTACCGTCGCTGGACTGACGGCTGCTCTGGGGAGCGTACGATTCCTCCGAGGACATGGTGCTGGTCGGATCGGGTCTCGTTCGCGGTCCCTTGCGCTGCTTGGTCCGGCGTCTCTTGGCCATGGACGTCCAGGTCGAAGCAGCTATCGCAATCGAGAAGGGACGACAATGGCTGGCGACATGGTCCGGGTTCGCAAACTGAGGGTGGGAGTATTGGGGCGCGCGGAAGAGCGAGGAGCTATCCCGTGGGTCCAAGTCGCAGAGAGGTCGCTGGGTGACGGCGAAAGCTGGCAGAGCGGAACTGAATAGCGAGGCGTAGTGCAGTCGTCGTAGAGGGAACACAGCAGCAAGTCGTCGGGAACGGGAGCGATGGAAAGGACCGAGGATGCAGAGGTATGGAGGTCAAGCTGGGGGAGAGTCGGCGTTCGGAGGACAGGCGCAAGAAGGGAAGGGAACAGAAGTGAGCCCTGGAAGTTGGAACGGGCACCCGCTGTGCTTATTGGGGTAGTGTGTGGTTTGGGCCCTGGGGGGGGGGGGGGGGGGGGGGGGGACGAACTGGGGGACGGGGGCCTGGGACCCGGGGCCTGTGAACCGGGATGTCACTGGCCACTAACCGGTAACCGCTAACCACGGGCCAAGACAGAGCCAGACAATGGGAGACGGTGGGTAATGGAGAGCCAAGACTCCAGGAGCGAGAATGAGAGAGTTGACTGAGAGACTCGAGACGGCGTCGGGGTGTGGGAACTGCAGGGTTACCGTCACTCTGACTCTGGTAGGGGACTGAGATGGTAAAAGAACGGGCAGCCCAGTGGCCTGCGGCCTGCACCGGCCACTGACGACTCTGCTGGGGCACCCCAGCCGAGCCCAGGACGCTTCTAGTTAGGCGGCAGGCCACTGGTGGGCCTGGGACGGGGAGCGCTAACAGTTGACAAGACATGGATGGCGGGATGCACTTCACAGAGCGCGGTCACGACTCACGGACGGCGCCAGCTGCAGCGGAGCCTGGGAAGGGGATCGGCGGTCTTCCCTGCGGCTCTAGTTTGCAGTTTGTTGGTCCTCGAGGGGGGGGGGGGCAGAGGGGCACAGCACAGAAAAGCATTTGTCAACTTGGGACGCTCGGCTTTCCCCAGAGTTGGTTGTCGACAGCCTTTCTCGCAACTGCCGACTTCGAACCAGCTCGACTATGTTTTAAGCGAAACCAGGAGGCTTAGGACCGCGACTGGAGGCGCAGACGCCGTGGCGATGGCGGCGGTAGCGCCAGCGCGGCCCTGAGCGCCGGCATCGGGAACGGGGCGGCGGCGACAACTCATGGCGGAGAGAACAACCAGCTGTGTGCTCCCATGCGACTCTTGGGGAATCCAGGTCTGATACATACTGCGCTTGGTGAAAGCGGTTCTTGGACGACAGCCCTAAAGCGGAGTGTCGTCTAATTCATCCCCCGACAACACGACACCCCAAATGCGGTTGTAAGTCCCAACGGTAGTTGCCTCTCTCCCAGGTGAGGATCCGCCAACAACTTGCAGAATTGATACTCCTCCTTCTCCTCTTCCTCCTAATCCACTCTACAGCCCCTCATGGGTCTTTTGCTGCCATTGCCGGTGCCGATGGCCGTTGTCCTGCAAGCCATGATGCGATTTGATCTCCACCCATTGGCATATGGCCTCAGCTTTGGGGGCTCAGGATGAGGTCTTGACTCAATGCTCGAGGCCCGCGCGCTTCTCTTCTCTTCTCTTCTCTTCTCTCTGTCTATCCATCACCGACAGACGGGTCCAGAGGTCGATCTTTCCCCCACTCTCTTGTGGGTTTTGCACGTCTGTAGGCTTTATTGGCTTCCTTCGTCGTGTTGCACAAGAGGAAGCAGTAGTAAGCCGTCTACGTACCATCTGAGTACCGTCCATGTGTCCTGCGTCGTGCTAGCAGGACTGCTGCATGTGCCCAACGCATGCGGTTGCAGTTAGCTAGTCATAGTCAGGTTCAAGTCCAGTTGGGCCCGGCACCAAGGGCTGAGGGGACCAGTCAAGACCCTCAACCCATTCCTACGCGAGGGGCTGTCATATTCTTGGCGGGTGCTATCAGAGTCGGAAAGGGAAATTCGGCAAGATCCAGAACCGAAGAGGTGACCATTTCGCGGAGCTGCTGTAGCTTGAAGCACCTTTGCCTTGTACTACCCCAATCGACATCGGCAGCAATCCCACCATTCCCCATGCGACGGCGCCGACATGCCCAGACAACGCCAGACGAGGTTCCAGCCCCAGGCCCAGGCTCTCTTGGCACTGAGCCTTTCTCAAGCCACAGCCCTCTTTTGTACTACGTAGCAGCACGCACTACGCTGTACAGCGGTCTCTCGTGGTCTTTCCCGGGCCTGGCAAGGCCTCTCGCGTATCCCCGGCCGATCCTTGCCTGAGAGCGGCCAAGCGGGCTGGAATCCTCCGCTGCAGGGGCGAACTGCAACAGGGGCATCCCAGGAGAGTGTTGCTGGGCCTGTCCGGGGGCTGCTGCTGGGCCTGTTGGCGAGGAGGCCGTGCAGCACATCCCCAGCACATTCGCACCCCCCTGGCGAGGTCCGTCCGGCGTTTACTGGACGCCTCCAGCCTGGTGCAAGTCGATATCATCCCACGGCATGCGCAATGGCAGGCCGGGTTCGGATGGCCGGCCGCCCGAGCGACTTGGCATGCATTTCATCGACATGTTGATGCATGCGAGAGGGTTGCTGGGCTGCTGGGCTGCTGGGCTGCCGAGTTATTAGAACACTCCATGCTTTCAGGGAGCGCTCGAATTTCACCTGGGCTCCAGCGGGGTGGTTCGCTAGACGGCGGGGAGTTTGCTTGGACCCGCGGTGCCCACGCCGCCCCGTGGTAGTGGGGAGCGGCCCACTAGGGGAGGTGCCCGAAGCCTCTCAAGACGCTCTCTAGCAATAGGTGCGTGCCCTAATGTACCACGTAGTAGCAGGTTGCTCGATCCTTGGCGACGAGCGAGACAACGTCGGAGACAACAAGAAGCCAAACAACACTGGATGGAAGCAAGAATCGGACCATTTATGGTTCCGCTTGCACACTGGCATCCACTTTCACAGAGGAATCTACTACCTACTACGTAGCACGTACTGCGTAGTATTGTAGTACATAGACGCATACAAAGAACTCGAGCGAGGGGATTTCACTCGTGTTTCTTTCATCTCGTCTAAACACCTGCGTCGTCATCATCCCGATACATAACGACCCCCCCGCTGCGTCCCACGCAGCCGCCCATCTCCGTTCTCCATCTCGGTCGATTGACCTGCCGCTTCCCGCGTGCATCGATCGCTCAGGCCTATGATCGACAGGGCACTATCGCTTGTTTCTGCGATTTTTCGATTATTCATCCGTCCTCAATCGGACATTCCCTTCCTAGATCCACTCTGCTCCACGTCGCTAACGAAGTGCCTAGCACCTCGCTGCCACGGACCTTCTGCCGCTCACTCACTGTTCCTGATCCCACAAGGACTGTTGGTCGGGACTCTCGACAGGGTCTTCACCATTAGCCCATTTCGTACCGGCAGGCAACCCTTTTTCGGCAAATATCCCTCTCGCAGTGTATCCGCATGGAGTACGGAAGTACGGATAAGTTTCTCTACGCAGTAGGGAGAAATGGTGTCGGGAACTAACAAAGGTTGAATCATTGTCGGTGTTTGATTCCGAGGATGTCGCACTCCAGCGTTTCCCTTGAAAGTCCGTATCCCCGGGACCCGATTCCTGGGTCAACATCCGATCCAGACAATGCCAAACCTCCCGAATCGCATCCATGATGGTCTCGGAACGATCTGGAAAATACACCCAACCTTCTTCATGGCAGATTGTTGGTTCGTCCGTTTGCCGGGTTTCGACGGCCGGGCGTGACGTCCACCCACATGATATCCACGAGCGGTCCTGAGAAAGTCGGGTGTTCGCACGGGAAAATCCCATTGTGACTCTGCACGCCCGCGAGTACGAATGATAAACCTGGCTCTGTCCCGCCCGTCCCAGTGCGACGGTCAGTCTCCGGGCTGCTGGTTTGGCATCTGCTCCCACCTCGGCTCACTGCCTTGTCTCGGCCTGGTTGTGCACCATGCACCATGCACCATGCAGGAGGCTGCATTCCTAATGCGGCCCTAGGACACTTACTATGTGCCCCCAGTTCCAACTCTACGTACTACGTAGTAGCCCGCTGCCATGGGCCAGGCGCCCAGAGCGGCCCGTTCTCCTGGTTGTTTAGCGATGGCAGGGTGTTGCGCTGTTGGTGCTGCGCTCGGGATAACCGTGAACAAGGCGCTATATCTTCTGCGGCCCCTCTCTCTCTATTCTCATACGACGCGGAGACTATGCAAGGTAAAAAATCATCAAGCTAATATGCCCATGCTCCTTCTCTTTCTTTCTGTCTATGGTCTCGTCCTCTTCCATCACCTACCTGAATCCCCCCCGTCCTGTCTGACTGCCTGTGGGAAAATGCTCTTATCGCCTCCAGTCATACTCCGTCTATTATCGAGCAACCCTCCACCCCCACGCATGGTATATTTCGGTCCTTCCCTTGACCGTCCACTTGGATTTGGCTTGTTAGGCTTTGTTAGGCTCTTGGGCCGACATCAAGCAAACCGGGTTCTGGGTTTCTACCGTTCCAGGGTTCTAGCATTCCAACATTCTAAGTTTCTTCTCCGGAGCAATGCTCCAGGCGTTGTCTGCCGGGAGTGCGATGATGTCAAACTCCGTTCTCGGTCCCGCTCTCGGCCCCGTTCTCGGCCCCGTTCTGGATTCCGTTCTGGTTCCCGTCGTGGCTTGCTCCATTTTCGTCATGGTTGAGCGGCTCGTCCCGCATCGAATGCTCGTCATCCGGCATCACCTCCCCTTCGCTGACCACGGGGAATGGCGTCAAGACATGGCTAATATCTCCCCACCATGTCTCACCAAATTGCGTGTACCAGTCCACCGTGATCCTGAGGCCGTCTGCAATTTCGGTCTTCTGTTCCCATCCCAGTGACCGTAGTTTGGTGTCGTTTGTGGCATACCGCTGATCGTTGAATGGCCGATCATGCGTATATTTGATCCACTTGCAAACTTGTTCAGGAGTTTCATGTTCTATTTTCATCAAGTCGAGGAGCCTGTCGCACAGGTTCAAGTTGGACACCTCGTCATATGATCCAACATTGTATGTCTGGCCTATCTGGCCCTCGTGTAAGATGGTGTCAAATGCGTCCGCGGCATCTCCGGCGTACAGATACCTTCGGGTCGGCCTGCCGTTCCCGTGTAGCACTACGGGCCGTCCACGGTTCAAGAGGCAGGTAAACTTGGGGATGATTTCTGGCAGCAGTTAGGACACGCTGAAGCATTCGATAGGCCAAGTCGACAACACTCACTCTCTGGGTACTGATGCGGGCCATATACGTTGTTGCTGCGTACAACAATGACGGGAAGCTTAAAGCTCTTCTGGTAAGACTGGACCAGCATCTCGGCAGCGGCCTTGCTCGCAGCATATGGGTTGGTCGGGGCCAGGATGCTGGATTCGAGCACATCATCGTCGTCTGCGTTAATCTCACCGTACACCTCGTCGGTGGAAATGTGTATGAACCGCTTGATCCCTACCTTCTTTGCACTCTCCAGAAGAACATGGGTTCCGTACACATTGGTGTGGGTGAAACCATAGGAGTTGCCAAAGCTATGGTCTACGTGGGACTGCGCCGCAAAGTGTAGCACAGTGTCAATGTGATACAATTCCATGCAGTCGAGGACCTGGGTTGGGTTGGTGATATCACCATGATAGAAAGAAAAATTGGGTTTGTCCTCTAGCACGCGTGTGTTGTTGAGCGAGGAGCAATAGTCTAGTTTGTCGAATGAGACAATCTGGTAGGCTTCTGGGTATGTCAAGGTAAGATGACGGACCAGCCAGCAGGCACTGGGGAAATGGATGCGTGGTCAGCAGGTGTGGGAGACGACATTGCGAGACTTTGCATAGGGCGGACTCACATGAAGCCAGCTCCGCCGGTGACCATGATATTCTTCACGTCAGGACGGGGCTCGAATTTGGTGGTTCCTGTGAGGACCGGCGCCTTTTTCCAGACGTTGACATCCTGCACGTAGTGGTGACCGTTAACCAGGCCTGAGACGACGAGGAGTCAAATTAGTTAGCGGTGTCTCGACAGGGATGCACGGCAAAGACAGGGAGTGCTTGAAGCGTACCGTTGGCCGGTTCGTGAGTGGAGGCGGTCATGATGGCGGGGAAACAGAGAAGCAAGGGCGTCGATCTCTATAAGGCAAGTCTATGGGCATGAAACGAGTCAAGACAAGCTACGACAGCAAAGGGCGTCATGAGAGGCTGCCGCCGCTCGGAAATGGGGGCGAGCGAGCGAGTCGATGAGAGAGTTGATGCAGATTCGATGTGGTGGATATCGATTGGGGTGTTGATGCAGGCCGACGGAGGGGCAGAGGCGCCATCCCCAGCAAAAAAAAGAGAAAAGGCGTCAATCAAGAGACAGGCGGGCGAGTAAGGTGACTGCGTCGGATCAGGGCATGCACGTGTCGTGATGATGCTGCGAACTCGCCCGGTGAGCAGGGCATGCAAGGCTCACAAAGGCTGGCAGAACAGAATGAGGGCATTTCACAGCCCATGGAATTTCGTTGCCCGCGCGAATTGGAGGCGGTTCTGGGCCGCTGGCGACTGAGCCACTGAGCCACTGGGCTGGCATCCCGCAGGCGGTCGGTGGGCTCCGGTGCAGTGGAGACAGGGGTCGCTTACTGCCCGGGCCTGTCAGTTGCGAGTCGTGATAGGCGAAAACGTGACGACGGCCTCCTGTGGCGTTTTGCCGACCGGGCCTAGTGTGGCTCGCCCGTTTATTTTAATCCCGAGCGGATCAAAGCCCGGTGAACAGATGGACGGATTGGAGGGGGAAAACTCAGTAGCACGCTAGGGATAGGGATAGGGAGAGGGATCATTGTTAGAGCCAACACCACGACAAGGCTAGCCTTGTTTACTGTGCGCCTCTCACTCTGTGGCTGGCTGAGAGTCAGCAGTTTATCGTTAAGCGCAGCAATGGGACGCCGATGTGAAATGTTGGTGGGCTGTCATCAGAATCGGTTGACGTCGTGGACCCTGAACGCAACACGCTGCAACACGCCGCAACGTTGGTCGAGAACAACCTCCGCAATTGATAATAACCGGCAAACATCGACCTTCCTTTAGCCGTTAAAGTAAGCCCTCATCAGCCCATGGTACTGCTGACCGTATTCTCAAACATCAATGCCTTTAGGCACTTCTCAACGCACTCTTTAAGTTACCTAAGATACCCATTGACGTACCTGCGTCCGTCCCTACTCCGTACTCCGTGTGATAACCCCGCGGCCTTATTAGCCGGCGCCGACGTCAACTCCGTTCCAACAACTTCACTTCACGTTACTCTCATTCTCTAATTCTACCACACAGGACGGACAAGTCGGTCCGTCGGGCTCGCGTCGCACCGGAGCCGCGCTTCTGAAGTGCGCGCCATCTCGCCAAGACGCGGCGCGGTTACGCCGAATCGTGACATGATCGGCCTTTAAACCGCCCTCGCCCGCCAAATGCCGGTTTTGCGCTTCTCCATCACGGAGCTTTGGCCCCATTCTTACCCATCTCCTCTAGCTGGCCTCGCATCTCCCCATGGCCATGCCCAGTTGGTGCTTACTACGTACTTACTCACGTAGGAAACTCGGAAGCCATGGAAGCGGGCCATCGGCGTTAATTGCATGCGCCTGCAAGGATTGTCTCTCATCGCGGACCTGCTTCCCCAAGCGGTTATTCCTACAAGGGGTCCACGCCACCAGTCTCGTGTTGGCAGGGGTCAATCACTTCTATTCATTCCCAGGTTGGCTTGCGGTTGCTTCATGTTTGCGAACCCAACATTATTTGCACGACAAGCCGTCATGCTAACTCATTATGACATCGGGCGTGGGGATATAGAGAGCCGCGCAACAAGAGTCCAGCTCCCCCCAGCATCCCAACCCTGTGTAACCTATGAGTGAGAAGATGCCTGTATATATTTCTGCTCAACTACGACAGCATGTCCGGGTTTCTAACCCCGTGGTTCGGTTGTCAAATGAGAAGTGCTATTCAGTACCACAGTGCTTTCTAAATCATAGTTCGTTGAATGAAACACGCAATTGGAGCGAATAGGAGCTCAAGCAGCTCTAATACATCAGTCGCAATAGGGCATATGCAGAGTCACTACTTTTCTAATGCAACGCGGAATCATCCGGTTTCCAAGTACCAAATCTCACATAATACCAGAGAACAAAACTCGTGTTCTGACGTGAGCGCCCAACTGCAGGGGATATCATTAATGTTTGCTCGTAATCTAGGCTTCTAAACCCTCGGTAAAGTCTGAATTTTACAGGTTGAATCTCTTGCGGTCCTTCTCCATCTTCGCCTTCCATTCCCATTGCGTCGCATCGTCACCTTCACTGCCAGCTCGTCCAATGCCCTTGTCCACTCTCCTTAGCTTCAGAGTAAATCGAGGCCCCAACTCCTGTAGACCAGCGCGGATTTGCTCAACACCCTTCACTTCCTTTCCGTCAGCGCCAACAATGCTCTTCTCGGTCGCTCGCTTGTCTCGGAAGACGTAGCGGTGCCGCCGGACGAAGATGTAATCACGCTGGTTGTGCAGCGTCACGACTTGTCGCCCCTGGAATTCTGGCCGGGGAGGAAACAGGGTCATGAAGAGCTTGGCCGTCAGGAGACCAAGAGAAGTCTTGAAGTTGTTGAGAAGAAGTTCGGGGTAGTGGTTCGTAGGGTTACCGTGACCGGGTAGCTTCTTGCCCTCGACCCAGTTGGTGATGGAAAAGTGGAAGGTCGGGCCTGAGGGGAGGTGGACAACAGACAGGGCCGTGGGCTTCTTGGAGTCCTCTTTGAGGAGCACAAGAGCGGTGTAATCCCGGTTCGCAGCGAACTTGCAAATCTCCCTGAGTGAGTACTTGTGGCTGTGTCGGTGGGCGGAGCGCGGAATGTAGGAGCTGTTGGGGAACAGCTCGCAAAGGAGATGTGCCTCTTCGTGGAGGGTGGAGTTGAGGGAGGTTGTGACGAGGATTTTGGGCGTGGGAGGAGGGATGTCGGAGAAGAGCGTTGGGAACTTGACAGACAAGGACGTGGGTGTTAGGTCGAGGTTTGTGCTGGTGGTGGATGGGGCAACGCTGTTGTCACGGCGTGCTCTCCGTTCTCGCTTCTTTTCCAATGCAGCCTGGCGAGCCTCGTCATCCTCTTCATCTGAGCCCAGCATGCTGTCGACATCATCCTCGTCGTCGTCGTCGTCGTCCGCAGCAGCCTCGAGGGCCTCCTGCTCCGCTGCCTCGGCTTCCTCAATGCGCCGACGCTTCAGCTTCTCGAGGTCCACCTGCACACCAAGGCTGTCATCGTCGACGTCATCCCACACACGCTTCTGGTCGAGCGTCACAGGCTTGCGCTTCGCCAGACGGGCGTCCTTCAGCTCAGGTTCGCGGTCCTCTTCCTTCTTTCGGCGGTATCGCATTTCTCGGCGTTCCTTGTCCTTGGTCTTCTTGTGCTCGATAAAGAGCTCTCGGCGCTTCAGTTTGTTGGCAGCCTTAAGCGCCTGCTCAGGCGCCTTGGTACCAGCCATCGTGGATGTATCGCAATTGTGGACGCTGGGTCGGTTTGAAGAATGACGTTGGTCAATGAGAAGTGGAAATGGGCGGTTGGGAAATTTTGGCGTAGAGGGGCATCGTCAAGGTGGCAGAAAATTCCAAAATTTTGGCGGTGAAGCGCAATCGCGAACTCTCATTGGTGCAGAACCAGAGATACCCACCCAGATCTTATGAACTTTTGAAGGAAAGACATTCGAACAGACAAACCTTTTACTCCAGTCGCTGGTATCAGGATCCCAGAATCGACACAACAAAAAATAAAATGGCTCCCGGTGGCTCGAAACGGAGAAAGCTGGCCCACGACTCAGACGACGAGTCCCGGCCGCCAGTTGTCACCAAAAAGGTCCAAAAATCCTTCTTCAAGAACGCCTCAAACTGGAATCTTGAACAGGACTATGAGTCGCGCCCGCGCAAAGGCAAGAAGGCACAGAAGGATTCTAATCGCCTGCCTGTCAAGACTGCCGATGGCCGATTGGAGCAAGCCGACGCCATAGAGGAGGAGGAGACGGCGTCGATTGAGAGCGACACCGAGTGGTTGGAGGGCCGCGAGGATGAGATTGAGGAGGAGCCTGAAGTCGAGGAGGAAGAGATCCCCGAGGTCCCTGAGCCCCAGCAGATCAGGGAAGCTCAGGAGGAGCTGGCCAAGATTGCCATGGCCATGAACGAGAACCCAGAGGAGCACGTTGGCGCATTCAAGGCACTGGCCAAGATTGGACAGTCCAAGATCGTGACCATCCAGATGCTCGCCCTCATGACCCAGATGTCAGTCTACAAGGACGTCATTCCCGGCTACCGAATACGCCCGCAGGAGGAAAATGGACCCAAGGAGCAGTTGTCAAAGGACGTTCGCACACTGAGGCAATACGAGCAAGCGCTGGTGTCCGGATACCAGTCCTACATTAAAGAGCTCGCCCGCTGCTCGAAGATGGAGATTAGAGCAGCCCGTGGAGGCCAGACCCTGTCGACCATCGCCATCACCTGCGCCTGCACCCTCGTCACATCGGTTCCTCACTTCAACTTCCGTAGTGATCTGCTCAGGATCCTCGTGGGGAAGCTCAGCAGGCGCAAAATCAACGCCGACGGCGTCAAGTGCCTCGAGGCGCTCGACACGCTGCTCCGTGACGACGAGGAAGGGAGACCGTCTCAGGAGACGGTATCATTCCTCGCCAAGATGATGAGGGCACGCGAGTTCTACGTCGATGAGAGAGTCATCAACCTCTTCCTCAGCCTGCGCCTCCTCTCCGAGTTCTCCGGCAAGGCGTCCCAGGACAATGTTGAAGGAATGACGCAAGTCAAGAAGAAACGCGAGTTCCGCACCAAGCGAGAACGCAAGGCGAAGAAGGAATTGAAGGCACTCGACAGGGATATGTCGCAGGCCGACGCCGTCGTCAGCCACGATGAGCTTGAGCGCATGCAGTCCGAGACCCTTAAGCTGGTCTTCGCAACATACTTCCGCATTCTCAAGTTGCGGATGCCGCACCTGATGGGCGCCGTGCTCGAGGGATTAGCCAAGTATTCCCATCTCATCAACCAGGACTTCTTTGGTGATCTTCTTGAGGCCCTCAAGGACTTGATCCGACATAGCGATGACGACGCCAACGAGGATCCCGCTGCTGACGGTGAGGAGGAGGAGGAAGAGGAAGATGAGGACGACGTGCCAACTCGAAACCTGACTCGCGAGGCCCTGCTCTGCACCGTTACTGCCTTCGCCCTCCTCGCCGGCCAAGATGCCCACAACTCCCGTAACGATCTCCACCTCGACCTCTCCTTCTTCACCACGCACCTCTTCAAGTCCCTCCTCTCTCTGTCTACCAACCCCGACCTCGAGCTCACCCGCCCATCCAACACAAGCGACTCCACCACCTCCAAGGTCAACGTCCAGACCACTACCGTCCTCCTCCTCCGTTCCCTCACTGGCATCCTCCTCCCGCCCTGGAACATCCGTTCCGTGCCCCCGCTGCGCCTCGCCGCCTTCGTCAAGCAACTCATGACAGCTGCCTTGCAGATGCCCGACAAGTCCACACAGGCTGTCCTCGTCCTGCTCAGCGACATAGCCCACACTCACAGCAAAAAGGTTTGCAGTCTGTGGAACACGGAGGAGCGCAAGGGTGACGGTCGCTACATTCCTACTAGCGATAGCGTCGAAGGAAGTAATCCCTTTACGGCGACGGTCTGGGAGGGTGAATTGTTGAGAAAGCATTACTCTCCCAAGGTCCGGGAGGGCGTCAAGTTGCTAGAGAAGGGAATGAACAGTTAGATGTACATAAGAGACAGACACGGCGCAAAAGAATTAATTTCGTCATACTGATTTTGGACATATGTTCTGGAATGGGCGATTATTTAGGTTCACTGGACTCTTGTAAAGACATATTGCGTTGGCGTTCAACTTCGAACGCTTTGATGTGTCACATGAAGTAGTTACGAAACCCCCAAGAGCGAGTTTGTATCTGCCTTCATTAGTTTGTAGCCTAGCAGTTGTTTAGTTTCCTTCGTATTCTCTCGGCTAGCTGCTCGTCTCATATCGAGGTTCGGCTCCTATCGGCATTCATTCTTCGATACAAGATTCATACATAAGACCACAACCCCTTCCCCTGGGACTTTTCTTCGTCAATGCTCGATCCATTATGTCGTTCGTCCCCATCGGACTCGATTTTCTGCTGCCCAGTGCTCGAGTTCGCAGTTTTGTGTAGAAGTTGTCTTGTGCGGCTTCCTCAAACACATATCGGAGACTTCAAAGGGTGTTCCACTATGAGAACTTGGTGATCACTTTGTAGCCCACATCGACGCCTTTAATCCCTTCGTAGGCTTCTTTCGCGTAGCTACCGAGCTGTCAGAGGCGAGAGGGGTTGGTGCAACAGCTCCAGATGAGGCACCAAAGGGGAAAGTGCCCATCGTTCCTGACTCTGGCGCCGATGGGGGGATGTTGGCCTGCATAACATTGACGGGCGTTTGGAGATAGAGCTGACCGGTGGTGATTCCTGGGATAAGACGTCCGTCAGTAAATTGGATCGGAGTGACGGACACCAAATGGCCGTTCGATTGGCCAGTTGGCACAACAAGTTCATGGAGCTGCACGGGTGGATTCTGGACGTCGATTGGCTTGACTGGGGTCCATTCCATGGCTTCCGCAGATAACTTCGAGCCCCCAGAGCGAATGGGTGATAAAGCATTGGTACCTTGGTTAGATTTCTCTGTAGAGACTCGTTCCGGTATGAACTCGGGAGCTTTGGGGCGAAGGTTTTCCTTTTGCGGCTCAGTGCAGTTTCCCTTCTCAGGGCGAACTTGCAAAGGAGAAGGCCGAGTGGGTTCCTGAACAGCCTCTAGAGAAGAACTCCCTTGGCCACACTTTTTCGGCTGAAGAACAGGTTGAGTGGCTATTGGCACCAGAGTTTCATCGTTTGCAAGACGCAAAGATTCGGAAGTAGGTGCTAAAAACTGCGCCTCCACTATCTCATCAATGTCCTGGTCCATGAGAGAGAAGAAAGAATCCACCATGTCGTCTTTTGGTGTCTTTGGTGAGATCTCCAAGTCGATGAGAGGCTGGGGGACCTGTGTTCTGGTCAAGCCGGGGCCCATTGTTTTGACGGTAGGCTTCGCAGCAGCTGGAGTGATATGCTTTCGAATCGCTTCAAAGGCGTATCCATTCTTTTCAATAGATCGACGCTGTTGAATTCCGTCTGGGTCGAGTAACTCTTCTTTGGTGACGGGCTTTGCAGTAACGAGCTCGACATCCTTTCGGATCAGCTCAGGGACGGATGCTTCGCAGAGTTAGCTTCACGCGACTGGATAGAGCCCACATGCGATGTACTTACGGGTTTCTGGTTTGACACGGTGGTCTTGACGGCACAGGAAATCCAACGCCTTGCTTCCCATGATAGGGCCTGAGCTTATTTTAGAAGGATCTGAGACCAATGTGTTCGTATAGCTCCGTTGGCTTGGGGGAGGCACATTTGGCGGCGGTCGCTCCTGTCGCTGCTGCTGGTCTTCATGATATGACCGACTCCTATCTGTCGGGTACTGGTGGTTCCTCTGATCTGATAGGGTAGGTTGAGACTTATTCCCTCCAGTGATGGAACCGCCCTTGCCGCGATGTTGCTTTTCCTTGCCCTTCTTGAAACTTTTGGCCAGTTCCAGGGCGGCCTTCAGCTTGGCCTGGTCATTGTAACCGGATCCGTCCATCTTTAGATGGCTTCGCCAGCCTTGCGGACCAAGAGCAGCTTCCGAATGGGGATGCTGAGGTGAAGTGTTAGCTCATCCGGCAAGAGGAGCCCCATGTTCCAGGGTTCTCTGACGGTCAAGTCGACGACAGGATACTTACCTGGAGTGTGTTTCTGCTCGAGTGACTGACCGAAGCACGTGCTGGCTATGTTGTTGAGACAGAGAAGTGTGAAAGAGGTAACTCCTTGTCTTCTCTCAGGCGCGAAGATGCGTGCGGGTGATGCGAGAAGAGCGAGAGCGCTCGGTTCCAGAGAGTCAGACTGCTTCTTTTTCAAAAATCCCAAGACAGGATTAGAAAAGCAATTATGGTAGAAGGTACAAATATTGAACCTCGGCGTGTGTTGTGGTGGAGGATAAAAGGGAGAGTCGGGGGGTGACTGGCGGGAGAAAACACGATGGGGGAGGGAAAACACGGGAGGCGCGACGGGCGGTTGACGGAAGGAGCAAACCCGGCAAACTCGACTGCCAGTGTTTGAGGAGCTCTCATTAAACCACACCAATTTCAACCGCTAATCGATCCCATCTTCAGTTTGCTCTTGTACTCCAGACCAATGATACCTTTGTGCCTTACGAATTCTTTGGTAGGCAGACAAGCCTGTCAGCCATCCGTAGGAACATTCATCTCCTCAGGCCAGTTGGAAGAACCAACCAGTGCTTGTACGGCGATTTAGGGGCAAATTTTATCCCCCTTGATCCATAAAACTTATGGGTTTAGTGGTGATGAACGGTAGTGGTTAGGTAAAGATCACCCTGAAGTAAGGCCATCCTCCTTTCTCCCCATATGTATTTGACGCGGATATCTGGTCACCCATGAAGGGACCACCTCAAAAAACTTGTCCTCAATATTTTATTATAGGGTACATACTATGGCCTTGTGCTATGCCTCATTTCGGACTCGCTTGGGTGCAACCGTGATCTCAGTCGCATTGATCATCGTCGCTAGGTAATGTGTGTCTTGGGATTTATCCAGCCAGGCCGCATTCACGGGCGCCACCGTCTTCTGTACAAACTCCTGCAAAGCATTGGCACCAGGGGCATCGGTCGTGATTGCAACAGACGAAACTCTGGGTAGCCCCAAACAAGCACTCAGCCTGTCAGAGCACGGTTTGGAGAACCCGACCAACCGGATCTTCTTCTCAGAATCGAGGCATTTCGAGGTGGCACCAACCATCTGCGGGAAGTGGCAGTTAAATGATGACCCTTGGTCCCCGCGTGCTACAAAAACCATGGAATACTGTCGGTCAGAGCTGTCACCCAGCGGGTCAAGATTTCTGGTAATGGAGTTCAGGCCGACATCAATCCTGGCGTTTAGCTCAGGCGTGGGTGGCACTGGGGACTCTTCAGCGGGATCCTGAGACTTTTTGGCTGCCTTGTCCCGTTTTGCTGCTCTTTTACCCTTGGACGGTTTGGTATAACTTTGGCGATGTTGGCCCAAGGGGCTTAAGAGGCTGGAAACAACTTGTCAGGGGAATCAGGTCCGCATTAAAATGGATCGGAATTCTTTAAGCGAGTGCGTCTTGCTCGAAGATGGCTCATGGGGCTTACTTACTCGCATAGCAGTTCAAGAATGGTATCCTGGTCCCCGGAAGAAATCGTTGGCCTGTAGGCACAGTGAGCGGGTTGGTACAGCGCAAGGAAGCATACGGCGAGGCGTACCACGGGATAGCTGAAAATGGCGTGTCCAGTTGATGAACAACTCTTTTTCGACTGGGCTGTGGAGTGTTGGCCATGGTGAGTGACTCGACTGAGTCTTGGCCAACTGAGTTGTTGGCGGTCAGGGAGAGGAACTCCGTGTACCTTGACGATCTGAATGTCTCTAAGCAAATCAAATGGTCTAATGTTTAAAAGGGAGGGCGTGTGCGTGGATCAATTGACCGCAGACGGGACGACGTCGAAGCGTTGAGTGAGGGTTGAAATTATTCACACGAGGCGCTGTCTTGTGTGGGTCGGCGTGGCTGCCGATGTGGAGGTACCGTAAAAGGGTGTCCCGCACTTGTACCCCGTCGACCGGAGCTATCGACGGCCTGCAAAGCTGTCGATTACCGCCTCATGGGGGCAAGGCAAACATTACTACGGTGAGTGCAAACCCATGCGGGCTTGAAGATGACGCTGCTTCTATTTGCTGTCCTACTTTAGAACTATGTCCCTTGGCAATGCTTCATCGAGGCCTTTGAACTCTGCCCGTGTGTATAGGTAGGGAACTTAAACTAAATTTACCTCGGTGCTACCCACCACTGTTCTTCGCCGCACCCATCCGTGACATTGAAAAGGAAACCAAAGGAGGGAGCCGTCACTGTTAGCTCGGAAAAGTCTCCGCCCCGAGCACATCGAGCAGCTCATGAGATGATCCAACCGTTCCGTAGTCGCCGTTACGGGATCCAAGCCCCACGTGGGAGGCTTCTCAGCAAGACAATGAAGGGTGTGGCTACCTCCCAACAACGCAGGTATCGAGCCGGCCAAGGTACATCAGCCGCTGAGCACAACGAGCCGGGTGTGTGACAAGATGCACTTTGGACTCAGCTTGGTCAAGCAGTTCGCACGACATTAGCTAGCAGCCTCAGGCAGATGGTCCAAGTCACTCGCACAGTGTGCTGCACGACAGACAGATGGCCAATCTGCATTGGCGGCGCTCTGCTAATCCGTGACGGAGACGCGCCAGATCCCCATCAGGCTCCCACGGTATCGATTTCGCGTCTCGCAGTCTTCGCACGGTGGGCTGCCTGAACCTCCACGCGCCTCCCTCTTCTTAATCCCAGCTCGGGAGCTCCAAAAAATCTCCATGTCTTCGCATGCCCCCATCCATGTCTTGGTGATAACGCCCGTACCCCACCACCACCGCCATCACCACTGGGGCTCCGTGGTTCGGAATTCCAACTGGCACGGGGAGCTTACAGCTACAAGGCTGGATGCCACTGAACGTCGCAAGGCAGCTCTAGCTTTTTGCTCACGGTCAGACCCAAGCCTCTCTTGCTCTTTGTCCCTCGATCCTTCACTCTTCTATTCGCCAGCTCTCCCATGCTGCGCGTCCTCCTCCCCATTGCGCACCCACGGCATTTCCTCCTCAACAGCAGAACAACCCGCGGCCTCCCGTGGGCATTGATGCCATCGACGCTACAACCACCCCGTACCCCGCTCTGGCATCACCCCTGAGCAGGCAGCTTCAGCCTTCTGCCAGTTCGCTACCTCCCCCTCCATCAGCACCGGCTACCAAACCCACTGTCCGACCGCTATCGACCACTATCGACCACTATCGACCACTATCGACCACCTACCGGCTGGCCCACTATCCCCATCGACTCGCTGTCAACCGCTGGTCCATACTACCTAGGCAGCCCTCTGGCTGGGAGCCTCTCCCCCAAAAGGTTGTCTGTCCAGGTACCACTGGTAGGCGTTCCCTGCTAAGCCCACCCCCTGTGACTCTGGCGTCTTTGGCGGGGTACCCACACAAGCACCGCGCCCTGCCAATCCATGCTCCCCCATATCCCAGAGTTAACTCCCCATATCCGGATCCCACCTCTTCAATCACTATTCACCATTCACCATTCACCCATATCAAAAGTCCAGCTTTCCAGTCTCTCACCCCATTCCCTGGCCTTGGTCTCGCTCCACGCCCTTCCGAGCCTCGCTCCCGCCTCTTCCCTTCTCCGCGCTCTCTCTGCTTACCAAACCCACATGTTAATTTTGTGCAGCTGTCGCCGGGGCGTCTCTCGCGACGGTGTGACGTCTTTGCACCTCCACGCTTCGTGCCCTTCTGCCTCCATTCTGCACCACCCCGATGGACCTCGTTTCGAGACCCCTGGACCATCCAGACCGCGCCGACTCCGCTGAGCCAAGCTCGACACGGCCCAACCCTTTTGATGACGGCGACATCTCCTCCCGAAAACGACGGCGCACCTCCCTCTCGGGCTCGCCAGGTGCTTCCCACGATACCGTTAATCCTATCAACGAATCCTCGAGATCCTCTACCCTCGAAGGCGAGCCCCTCCTCTCCGACGACGCACCAGCTGCAAAGATCCACCAAGAACCCATCACGCCCCAAACCCCCGAGCAACGGTGTGTCTCACAAGAGCCTGCGACCGAGCCTTCATCCAGCATGGTCACGATAAACCTTCGCAACGCCCCTCTGAGAGACGAGGCATCATCTTCCCCCGTCTCACCTTCGCCGAGCACTAAGGACCCGGCCAACAGCGCAGCTCCCAGTGCCCGGGCCGATAACGTGAAAAGCAGCGTCGAAGACCCCGAAGTCGACATGGCTGCTCCCACCCAGAGCTTGGATACCCCGCAGTCGTCGTCGTCTAGTTCGGGGAGCCCCCCAATCGAGATCATTACAGTGCCATCCGATGAAGATATGCCATCGGGTCCGCAAAGCGTGGACCTCACGATGTCTGGAGAGGACTTGGTTTTGATCGACCCTGTTCAGGATTTCCCCTTCAATGACCCGGAGGAGAGCCTTGTCGAGACGGTACATCGACTTACTCAATACTTCTCAACCCGTGAGACTCCCCGTCTTCCCCTATCAAAATCACATTGCTAAGCAGCCCAGAAACCCCGTTAGATGAGACCGTGCTCGATAGCATCCAGCAATGGCTCGAGCAATACCTCAGGTACATCAAGGATGTCAACCAGCAGTCCGCTTGGGACTCGTGCCATTTAAACCGAAGTTTTTGGCAAGCTTTCCCGGAGGTTATTGTGGCATTGTCATGTCGAAAGTAGGTTCCTCTGATAATGACAATACCCGCACAAGCTAATTACATGCAGACCGCCCATGGCGAAGTCCCCCACACTACGAAGCGTCGTCATGGATCTGTATTCTGGGTTTGCAAAATTGACGGCATGGTTTATCGCCTTCGACCACCATATTATTCAAGAGTTGCTGTCAGCGCAAGCAAACCAAAATCGTCGCAGTCCAGATCTGCTCTCTCTCTGGTATCTCCAGTCGCTACACGGGCTCACTCGCCCACGATTCAGTGGCGAGCAAGTTCCAGAGACTGAACTTCCGTCCCCGCGATCAGACGATGCGTCCTATCTTATCAAAGAATTCCAAGGCAGTCAGGGCGGCAGCTTAGCTTGCCTGATTCAGTTCGCCGCTGGCCTGATCGACCTTATCCCAACATTCCCGAGGTTGGCCGATAGTTTGGCACCAATATGTCAGATTGCTGCAGACATCATGGGAGATCCCGTCCTCGTACTGTACACCCCACAAGGTGTGTCAACGCCAAAGCAACGGCTTGAGATGGGCCATCAGCTCCACAATTTGGTCTCAGATACACTCACGACAATGATCGAGAAGCATGTCACTCAATTAAACAGCGACAGTCTCACGTGCGCAATCCAGGCCTTGTCAGATATGCTCAAGTTGAGCCTTCAAGGTAGCCATCAAGCCGCAACCGACATGGTTCTGGAACATCGACAATCCTACCCCAACCTTCCACCCAGATACACGGCTGAGGCAATCGTCTGCGAGAAGAGATTTTCCATCTTGACAAAGCTCATCAGGTCAAGCCAGATGCAACTCCGAGTCATGGGTGTCACAACCATGTGCGGCGACCTAATAGCGTATTGGAAACGACATGGTGACACTGGAGAGGAAGTTAGCACCGCCTATCTCAACCATCTTGCCGAATATTTGCTTCGCACAGAGTTGATCGAGTACATTCTGGGTCCGAACTGCCACCCAGAGATTACGTTTGAGAGCGCCAATATCATTGGTTTTCTAGTGGTAACGAGAATGTATCGTGAGGAGCACACCGATTTATTGTGGCAAGGCATAACATCGAGCCAGGATCCCCGAGTGGCCGATGCACTGACCCGGATGCTCACTAATATCACAAACCTCTTCGACTATAACGGGCTCCTAGTTCTCTGCGGCAAGTTGCAAACGTTACCAATCGAGGGCTTTACCCCAGTAATTCGGGCTCTTTGGGAGGCCATCCTGCGACACATGGTTTCGAGACCTAGTGTCGACCGGCCGACCCTCAGCTTTCATCCCTATGATCTGTGTTTGCGGCTACTGAGAGAATCTTCGATCTGCGGGGCCAGCTCACAGGTAGCACATCCTGAAATCCAACATGCTGCAATGCAGAAATTTAAGGAACTTCTAGCCTACGGCCCAGATGCGGAAGGCCGCCAGCAACTATACGAAAGCTGCATCAAGGACATTGCCGAACAATCAACCACAACCTTGGGTAGCCTCTGGTGCTTGTCCATGGCTATTCGGCCCGCTGTTGTCGCGGAGGTGCATGTTTTAACGGAAAAGCATGACCTGGCGAAACTCATTGTGGACGAGCTAGAGCATGCAATCGAGGCAGGGCGAGCAGCTGGTGTTCCGGCTGTTCTCTATGGTGGCACCAATCAACCCCGAAGAGAGTTCATCGCTCACATCATACAACTCGAACCTCAGACGATCAGTGGAGAACTAGGAGCCAGGCTCTGGGCCATGTTGGTTGGGCCACAATCACCGGGCCTTGACGACAGGCGAGCCGGCTGGAGCATCCTCAACACTGTCAAGCAATCTTCATTCCAGAATCCATTTCTGCGGACATGCTTAACCCAATATCTCCCAGCTCTTCCCCCTTCGTGTTTCTGCGACGGCATGCTAGAGTTTGTGCGAGGCGGGATCTTGCCTCGTCTGAACGAAATGGGAGAGCTCCTTCTTGATGATCAAGACATGTTGGCAGCGAGTGGCATTGAAGAATTGTGGCGCTTGATCCTGGAGTCCGATGACACCAATCTTGTTGACCATTCAGTTCGGACACTCGCTGTCGAGGTTTACATTGAGAGCCGACATATATCGACAAACTCACTTCATCGAACCCGACTCATTCATCTCGCACTGGTGAACCGGTGCTTACGTCAACTGAAAGAGGCGGCACGAACAATCAAAGCGTCGAGTGATGGTACCATAAGCGGCGACGATGAGCCGATGGTGATAGTCGCAACTGAGGAGCAAGTTCATGAACAAGAGCGTATCTTTACCCGGTCCTTGAAATTTCTGAGATTCTTCTTGGAAGCCCATCAGTCGAAGCCACACTTTGCAGCGCCTGACTTGAGAACTCTGATTTCCCAAGCTCCATATCAGGTAGAGGGTGATTCTGCTGAGCTAAAGTATCAATCCTTCGATGGCAACAGTCAGACGGAAGTGAAACCGCTGAGCATCGGAAAACTCAACACGGCAGCCTCCCTTCTTGCCAGCCTGAAGCAAGAGACTGGATTCGACAACTATCGGGTCTACTATCGCGGACGACCATTTCTCCCCAATGAGCATGAAATTTGTCAATCATTGGAAGACCTTCATGTTCAAGATGGCCTCATCCTGGTCAAACGTGAGGAAGACGGTCCCTCCCACCCTGCCCGGGTCAAACCCGGGGCTTCCCCTCTCGAGGTTGAGATTTCTGCACATTTTGATGAGATGTGGGAATATCTAAGCATGGAAGAAAAGCTTGCGCAAGAGGTAAGAGTCTTGGCAAAAATCAATCCTTAGTTTTGACTAACATTTCAAGATTTACCATTTCCTTGTGAAGCTTCCGACGGATGGTCACATCTTGAAGTCCATCGACAGCGACGGGTCATCTTATCGCGATGTGTTTCCTCCCGGACAACCATACAAATCACTCTATGCAGTTCATGCGCTCCTCCAGTACACTGAGGCTGCCCTCCACGGAAGGGTAAATTCGGAACGTGGTGCTTGCGATGGAACTGAGGACCGTCCTTCTCAACCAGTTTCCTACGCTCAGGCTGTGAAGACGTCGTTGTCGTTGATCGTGCAAGCAATCTCCGACGAAGATGTTCTTGATCGAGCTTCTTTAGGTTTGCGCTTGAAACTTTCTTCTGCTTTGATCCATGCTTTTATGCGCTTTGCCGATAGTAAGTCGAACATGAACCCGAATGAGGTCGTTTTTAACCCGCGCCCAGGACTCGACACGCCAAAAGGCTCGTTCAAGATGGCCAACATAGTGATCCCTACCCCTGACCGCCTGGTCAATATTCTCGAAAATGCTACAGCCATTCCTGATGAAAGCCCGATGCCGCTCATAGCGGCAACGCTTTCTACTATAATGCGACTCTGCTTCCTCGACGATGAGTTCTGGGGGAAACTCAGCACAAGCTCTGCCTTTTCGTCACTGCTTCAGAGAATGCTTCTCACTGACCCCCGAAGTGGAGTTAGGGCAGTGACAGCCAAATTGATCGAGGAACGCTTTTCCCCTGATTATGTGTTTTCAACTCATCATTCCACCATCCCCGCTGGTGGGCCGAGAACAACGCCTATGACGAAATACTTTTGGACCATTGTTTCCGATTTGGTGCCGCAAACTGCCAGATCGCCAAACCAGTGCGATGAAGTCTTCCGGATGGCCCATTCTCTTCTCGTGAAGATGACCGCCAGATCGCCTGAGCTACTTGACACCCCCCAGCTTGCTTTTCGGACTAGTCAGCTTCTACTTGATCATGTCTCAACAGAGAATGTTGGCCAAGTGGGGTTCGGCGACTCATACGCAAAAGGCCTGACGTCACTTCTGCACTTGTGTCTGCAGCTGGATAGTTCCATCGCAGTATCTGCTTTGCCGGTTACTCTTGCGAAAGATCTCTTCTGGAAGCATCTGTATCCGGCGAAGCGAAGCCAAAGCGAGCAACCAGTACCCAAAGTTCTGCTCAGTGTCGAAACGCGGGCGAAGCTGTCCGAGATTGTGTTTAGTCTAGCGAAACATGACAAGGAACAAGTCCAAGGGCTGGTGACGGACCTTGAATCCCTGGTACCATTCTACTCAGACGATGAAGACGATCCATATCTCTACGAACTTCCGTATCAGTTTGAGAGATCAAAGGCACTTCGGTCACCCTGTGGTTATATTGGCCTTCAGAATCTGTCCAACACTTGCTACCTCAACTCGCTACTTACGCAACTTTTCATGAACACTGGTTTTCGCCGTTTCATCATGAATTCCAGAGTTCGTGATCCTGCCAACACCCAACTGCTGCTCTTCTACACGCAGAAGCTGTTCGGTTATATGCAGGAAAGCTACCGGCGATATGTTGACCCCACCAACGTTGTGAACTCCATCAAAACCTACGATGATACTCTTATCGATATCCATAACCAAATGGATGTGGACGAGTTCTACAGCCTGCTTTTCGATCGTTGGGAAGGTCAACTGCTAAATAGCGAGGAAAGGAAGAAACTGCGGTCGTTCTATGGCGGCCAACTTGTCCAGCAAGTCAAGTCCAAGGAGTGTGAGCACATTTCGGAGAGGCTTGAACCATTCTCTGCTATCCAGTGTGATATCAAAGGAAAGAGCACCCTCGAGGACAGCCTTCAAGCATATGTGGATGGCGAGATCATGGAAGGAGGTAAGTCTTCGCCTACTGCAGATCGTTCCAGGTCATTAATCAAATGCCACAGACAACAAGTACAAGTGTTCAACATGCGATAGACACGTCGATGCTATCAAAAGGCGAGTCAACTCCCCCATTGACTCAACTTTCCGTAACTGACCGCAAACAGGGCGTGCTTGAAAGATATCCCGGACAATGTGATATTCCATCTGAAAAGGTTCGACTTCAACCTCCGCACCTTGCAACGGAGCAAGATCAACGACTACTTCTCATTCCCTGCGCGTGTCAATTTACGGCCGTATACTATTGAGCACTTGAGCCAGCCAGAAAATGACGATGAAGAGGACATGTTCGAGCTTGTCGGAGTTCTTGTTCATTCTGGCACAGCTGAATCTGGGCACTACTATTCGTACATACGAGAGCGCCCTTCTTTCGGTGACCGGCAGAGTTGGGTTGAGTTTAATGACGACATGGTAACACCGTGGGATCCTGCAATGATGGAGAGCTCGACTTTTGGCGGCCCCGATCATCGTCCTCCCTACGACACGAACGGTATTCTGTACGACAAGACTTACAGCGCTTACATGCTCTTTTATCAGCGCACTTCTTCGCTCCGAGCTGAGCAAGAAGCGATGGTGAAACTGAGCACCCCTGTGCCTCTCCGAGTTCCGGTAGCGGAGAGCCTGAAAGACCACATCCTGGATGAAAATACCATCATTCTGCGACGTCATTGCCTCTTCGATCCGAGCCATACGAGACTGATCCAGATGCTCTTTCATCAATCCAGAGTCCTCTGCGAGAGAGAATCAAACAATATGAGCCTCGATCAAGGAGTCGATGAATATATGTCTCCCCAGCTCGAGGATCATAGTCTCAAGGATTTGGCGATGCAAGTAGTTGTTAACAATCTTGATCAAGTCGTCACAAGAGCAAAGGATATCCCCGACTTCCAGGCCTTCTCAAAGATGATTAGCGACGCCATCGTTGGGTGTCCCCAATGTGCGCTTTCATTCTTCGAATACTTCAACAGGCGCCCCAGTGTTTTCCGCGCTTTGCTTCAACGAAACCCGGACTCCAACGTTCGTCTCTTCATGAGCAAAATGTTTATTTGGGCTCTCGAAAGAATCTCCAGCGCACTTCCCGCCGTCTATGACCCACCGCCTTCACGAGACGCAAGTACCGAGATGGGTGAGGATGAGAACGAGATCAGTCGTGTACGCCATGGCAGTAGACGTTCCGTTCTTGGCAGCACGATACGTATCTTCAACCACCTTTGGGGGTATTTCCACATTCATATCAGGGCATGGGATGAGCTCTTCACAACCATTCTAGGATTTGCCAGATTGGGGAGTCGCGAGGTTGCATTTCTCCTCGCAGGCGATTATCTGGCCAAGCTGCTCCGGATCGTTTCAGCCGACCCAATGATGGACCTTCCGCCGAATTATGCCCGAATGCTACATAATGTTATGCGGCGAATCAACACCACGCGGCCCCCATCGTACGTAGCCATCATCGCGGTGATCGGCTATTTGATGCAGCAGCTGGAGCCGGAACTTGGGCCTGAGACGATCATTGAAGACCCCACGGAGCGACTAGACCGCATGGAGACGCCATTCAACTGGACTTCTGAGGAGGTTGAAATTGTTCACCACGGCCTAGAGGCAAGCGTGTCGAGTCTTTTCGTGGAAAAGCTATTGGCGGTCGACCAGGCCCACGATCTCACCGACGGTATAATCCGATTCCTAGTTTCAACTAGTGTGCAGATGGACACGAGGACTCTGGGCACTTTGAAGCGGTGCATCCGAGGCGAAACGTCAACACAGGCCATGGACCCATTCTTGAGAGCAGCAAGTGTCTATATCGAAAGCACCGAGCAGATCGACAACGCAACAAAGATGGTGCATCACATCTTCTTACAGGCCAAAAGTTTGCAAAACACCGAAGGCACCCTCTTCCTCGAATTCTTCAAGACGGCTTTGAATCTCAAGCGGTCAGAAGAAGCGTTTGTGGCGACGGTTCGCGCCGACAGCCTCAAGCTAGTGCCCAAATGGGGTCCTTACCTCCTTGTATACCCGGACGCCACTACTCGATCCAATACGGAAGACTTCTTTGATCGGGAGCTCTTCCAGTTTGTGGCTCATAGTGGCTCCCTCCAAGAAATCGGTCTGGAGCGGAAGGAGGCCATGATTCAAGCCATCAAACAGCTTGGTCTCATGTGCCTGGCGTATCTGCAAGAGAACCACGTCAGACGGCGGATACACTTGAGACGCGACGTGGCGAGCATCTTTCTCCAGGTGATTGGACAGTGCTCCATGGTGATTGACCCAGACCCCGAGACACAAGAAGAAGCGGATGCCGACTTCTTGTCGCTGCAACGCGGTAAGTGGATAGATTTTCGGCCGAGGGCTGGGTCAAGGGAGGTTGCGCTAACTAGCTTGGCAGAAGTCGTGGACCCTGTGCGAAGACTCGTTATCGATGATGTAGAAGAGGAAGGGTCCGGTATGTTACAGTCATTCAGCGACTCCGACACAATCACAGCAGACTTGGCATGACGGCTGACCTTGGGCAAAGAATGGGAAGGCTCCTGCGGCTCATCGGATCACATTGATGAAGTGGGGATGAGCAACCCAGCAATCAACGAATTGAACGACGTGGATTTGGTATAAGAATTACGAGAGAGTGGGCAGGATCATTGAAAAGGGATCGACATAGAGAAAGGAGCAGGCCCTAGCGTGGCTGCAAACAAGGGCGTTGGCGTCACGGAAAGGGATGCTTTGACTGATTTATTTTGTTTTGTTTTTATCGATGCTCCCTCCAGATGAGGGACTGGCCAAGATGGACCTTGAGCCACTCACGAAGTTATCGGAAACGACTAGAGACGAAGGATCTCCGGCCAACGCAAGAAGCAGGCAAGCAAGATGCATAGCATAGGAGCGACGGCGCAAGGGGCATGAGCACATTCGAGCTGCTGTGAGGAACAGAGCATGGCATTGTCGGCAACTGCGAGGGAGATTTGGCTTTGTTCAGAGACGTAGCGGAGATATTCATTTACTCTGCCGATGGACAGGCAAAAATAGGGACGTGGGCGGAGGGGGGATGAGAAAATGAGAATGAGAATGTGCCTCTAAGTATACGAGGCTGTGCTGGGGCCAGCAGGTCTGTGGCAGTGAGAGAATGAATACCTGGTGAGTTTGACGGTGCCTGTGACGTGGAATGGCTACATGATGGTACTTTCATTTCCCCTTGAGTGGTTCCGTACTCTACAATGAAGTGTTGTCTTACAGCTCCTTAGAGTCGAGAGGTGGACATCAATAATAGGCGGGAGCATGTAAGCTGCATTGACGCCTCAGTTCCACGACCCACCTCACTCTGTGTAAGCGTCATATCATGTCTTAACCAAGGACAGCCAGTCCAGGGACCGGATATCGTCAAAGAGGCAGTAGTGGTCAAGTCTCTTGGGTTGATGTGGTTTGTGTGGCCTGGTATCGTGACCCTCAGATGAACCTTGATCTTCATACGACGATAAATTCTGTCAGCCAAGGTCCCGCCGCATTCTTCAGCCAAGGTCCGCACGGCTTGCTTGATGCTATCTTTAGCAGCCGCCTAGCCGTAGTGGTAGAGAGAATCGAAGCATGAAACTAGGTTGTGAGGTATCTCGAAACATCTTGCCAATCTGCAAGAAGCACATGGCCGACCCAGAGCGGGCCAATTCTTGTTTGTCAAGGGCCAGGTTCTATAAAAAGCATCGGAAGATATTCGCCTACTGTCAGAGTTGATGGGCAATTTTACGCGCCTTGGTAGGGCGGGCGATTCTCAGCTCCCCGCTGACTGCGTTGCAGATCAGGGGTCATGGACAAAATGTGTGGACGTTTCTTTGATTCACGGACGGCCACGGTAATGGGGGTTAGTCTCGGATCCAGGGCTGGCCTGATGACGGCGGGCTAGTAGGGATAGAGGCCAGGTGAGGAGGCGGCCTGGTAGAAGGCGAGTGTAGTGTTGCGGTGGGCGGTAAAGAAGAGGTGAAGAATTGGCGGCGAGGTAGAATTGGTGATTTGGAGTGGTTAATTGGACGCCGCAGGGGCGGTGGAGGACGGCCATGCAAGGGCGGGGGTGATGGGACGAAATGGGATGGTGTGAGGATCTGTAGATCTCGAGGAACAGGAACAGGAACAGGAACAGGAATAGCACAGGGGTAGGAACAGGGACAGACAGGAACGAGAAACTGGAAACTGGAAACATGGAAACATGGATGGAAACAACGGGGCTAGAGAGCAAACTGCAGCAGACCAGAAGCAGCCATGCCATAGTTATCACATCACATCGTATCATCACACCTGGTCGTCTAGGTACGTAGTCTCATGAGTCCTGTGGCATCGATGGTGTCTCGCTCGGCTCGCAGTAGCCAGCTCCCGACTGCAGTAGCATTCTCAGTCTCTCAACCGGGTACAGAAGCCGAATGCTAAGACTGCGCTGTCGTTCGAATCACATTATCCCCGGCCGACCGCAGGGTCTCGGCGTAAATATCTATCGGTGGTGTTTTTGGCTCGCCTGCTATTTTTATCATCCAGGCTGACCCCTCACTACAAGCGCCCAATCACAGCGCGGTCCAGCAACCCCGCCGCGGGCCAAAAATAGCAGCCGAGCGCTGGGGCTACTGCACGTTAGCCGCCCGCATCCCTGGGGCTTGCGGGTCGTTCAGTGCGCTCAGTGCGCTCAGTGCCCAGTGCGGGTGTGCTTCAGTGTGCTGAGTGCTGGGCGTCCAATCCGCTGGCCGCCTGTCAACACCACCATGATTGCATCTCGGCACTTGGTGGTCGCTGCAGGAGGCGGTCTCTCTCCAATCTCACTTCAGCTCGTTTCCTGGTTTCTCGATGGTTGTTGGTCTTTTTTTTTTCTCTTTTTTTCCCTTTCCCTCTACCACATCCGGCCGCCTCTACCAGTTGCATTCGTTGTCGTGCCCCAAGACCACTTACACATTTCCCCTCTTCGCCCGACTCCCCTGCCACCCGCTGCAACATCAACCCATCACGCATCCACCCTCCCCTTCCCCTCCCCCTGACAACGCGCACTATCACGTTCCCTAGCTGCTTTTGTTTCCTGGCTGCTTGTTTCATCTCCCTATGCGCCCGACCTTGCCTTGCTCGATATCCTCGTCCTGTGTGGGACAGGTCGGCCGCGGACGAGGCCAGTCAGCCCAGGCCTGCTGTCAAGTTTCGGAATCTGGAACACAGCTTTGATTACTTCTTTTTTATTTTTGGGACAACCGACGGAGACTGGGCGTGTTTCGCTTTGCGTGTCTGAGAAGATACGATATAAACTCAGCTTGCTTCTCTTTCATCGCCGTCAACTTCTCGCTTCGTGGTGTCGACGCTAACATATCGCGGCCCCGCCTCGGGCTGAAGAACAAGACTTCGAGAACAGAGTTGCTGCGCATCTGTCTATCTGTCTACCCGCCTCAGATTCGATCCGCGCGTTTCTTCTCTTGTTCTCAGTCTTGCGCTTCTCTACGCTTCTCTCTCGCCAGCCATCGTCGTCATGTCTCTCAAAGACAGAATCTCCTCGCCCCTCGAGGCTGGCATCTCCATCCTCGACGCCCACAATCTCCCTCCGCATATCATGCCCGCTCTCGAGTGGGCTTCGTCCCGCCTCGCCCGCAAGTCTCTTCACGTCACCGTCGTCGTCGCCCGCCGCGATTATCAGTTGCCCTCGGTCGTGCCTCCGCTAGGCTCCCCCGGCCTGCCGACACCTACGACGCCGATGTCTCCTGGCCTGCGATTCCACTTCTCTTCGGGTCCTGTCTCAGCGCTGAAGCAGTTGGTCCGGTCTGGATCCTACAACGGGCCTACGCCGATGCGGTCGACAGAGTTCTCACGAAACGGGATGGCCTCGCCTAAGCAGACCACAGCCAACTCGGACATGTCAAATCCCAGGATGAGGTGGCCGATGTCTCCCGCCACGCCGCTCTCACCCCCGCCCATGACTCCGTGTACTGCCTCAACCACGACGACAGACACCATGAGCTCCATGATGTCGTCGGCTGCCTTTGGCATGCGCTTGGTCCATGCCGGAGGATTGCCCCCCAAGACTGAACGAGCTCTGCGATCCGTCATCGAGAAGGCCGAGAAGAAGTTCCGCGTTGGGCCAGTCCACCAGCCACGCTTCTTTTCGTGGACCCCGGCTAACACATCATAGACCTGAGTGGCTCTCACCATCAGCCAGCCCCCCCGCGTGCGGCCTCACGAACCAGCTCGTCCACCGCTCCATCATCCAAAATGAGGTCCTATTCTCCTCAGAGGGCCTGACACTATTGTCTCTAGACCGCCTCTACAGCCTCAAGAGCGCTCTCTCCAGCTACTCCAAAACCAAGTCCCCTCTGCGCCTCGAAGATGCCGTCGATGAGCTCCGTCGAATTATCCTGGCTAACAACGGCGCCAAGGTCACCCGGTCTGATATCCTTCGGTCCTACGACTGGCTCAGCGTGTCCCATTCTGCCATTGCGGCCCTGGACCGCATGTATCGACGCGCCTATGGCGGGCCTGAGCAGCTTGGTGGCATCTCCGGGATGACGAACTTCTTCGACCCCGTTGTCAAGTCTGGTAGCTTCTTCGATCTGGATGACAGCGACGATAGCGACGACAGTGACGACGAAGTCGAGACGGAGATGGTTCGGACTTCTCCACCTATACCAGAGATGACCCAGATCCCCATGCCGGAGATGATTCAGATATATCCACCCACACCAACAAAGAAGCTACCTGATACCCCATCGCCCAAACCTCCCTTGCTCAAACTCCAGACCAACTTCGAGCCAAAACTGATAGGGCCAGAGCCCAAGGCTATCCCCAAAAAGGAGGTGGAAGAGGACGGTGATCGCACAGCACGCCCGACAGACCGGCTGCTCTTCACGATGCACTCGTGGACCGGCAACGGCGGCACCATCGACCAGGTCCTGAGCGGCCCCGTCTTGTTGAGTCCAAGCATCATGAGTCCCGATCTCCTCAGTCCTGACCAGTCTGGTCTTGGACCCACGACACCAAACGGCTACGACGACATCTCCCCCACAACTCGTGGGGAATGGGGTTTCTTGATGGTCGACGACGCGTTCCAGGGCGGTAGAACGGTGGCAGTAGAAACGTGCTAGGGCTGTTAGGGCTTTTGGGGCTGTTGGGGCTATTATATACCTTTTAACATTGTTAGGTTCGATGGTTGGCATTTTGTTTATCAGAAAATGGTCCCTGTATGATTATGACTGACGCAATCCTTAGGTAGGTACCTAGTTAGAGCGAGGTCGTTTGGGTGTAGACATATCGGTTAGGCGTGAAAATGGAACTTTTGTCATTCTTCGATTCTGTATAAACGTTGGGTATCATTGTGCTCTCATCACCAGCCGTATTTGTTCGACGCCTCCTTGCGATTCGTCTTCCCCTTGGCGAAGCTGTCCTCCAGAGCCTCCTTCTGGTTGTGGACGTTCTGGACGAGCTGGCGCAGGCTGTGCTTGCCGCCTTGGATGGCCCGCACGGGGTTGTGCGTCTGCTGTTCCCCGGCGGCGCGAATCTCCTCGTTGTGCTCGTACTCCTTGTCCATGTTGAAGTTGATGACGTTCTTGGCCATGTGCTTCCCTTGTCCACCACGCCCAAACAGCTCACGTTTCGCAGCCGCCGATAGGCCCATGTCATCTACTATCGTGTCCAGTGATTCGGTTCCCGGGGCGGTGGTTGCGGAGGGACCGGTCTGCGCGTGGCTAGCATACTGGGCATAGTCGTCGTATGCGCCGCTGTCGTATGGGTTTGCGCTATCCTGTTTCTCGAACAGCGGTTCATAAGCGCCACTCTTTTGAACAGGATCCACGGGTTCTGAGGGCTCCTCTGTGTGCATGGAGAAAAGTGAAACCTTCTTCGGGGCCGGTGCTGGTGCGGGTTCCGCCTTGGTCTCCGTCGCGGTTTGTGCATGCGATTGGGCTTTCTGAGCTGCTGCCTTGGCCATCGCGGCGCTCGTAGGTTTCTTCTTCTTCTGTGTCCGTGCTACCGAGAGAGGCTTGAACATCAACGGCTTGCCCACCAGCTTGACTTCCTCCTCTGGCTTCTGTCCTTCCGGGATCGAGGGTTGCGCGGCCGCTTTCGGTAGGGGCAGGCCCATGCCACCCGAGGGCTCGAAATCGTCATCATCCCCGGTGCTTCTGCTGAATCCGGGCGCGGCACTTGTCTTAAAGTTGACACTCGGCTTGGTTTGGCCAGCGCTGGTCGTGGCAGGGGCAGCCTTTGGCTTGTTTGCGTTCTTCGGGGCGGGTAGAAACGAGTTGAAGCCAGAGAATGCACCAGAGCCCCCCATCCTGGCGCGTTTTGCGGGGGGCTCGTCGCCATGTGTCTTGGGGGCTTCGGCGGAGAGTTGCGGGAGGTTGACGAGGATTCTGCCCGGGTTGGATCGATCGACGACCTTTTGGAAGGGCTTCTTGGAGGACGTTTGGGAGGCCTTGGGAGGCGGCTTCGGGGCGGTCTTGGCCGGGGCGTCTGCCTCGGAGCCTGAGCTATCGGAGTCTGAGTAGTCAACAAGACCCATATTGGGCGACTGGTGGCGGGTGGTGGGCGACGGTGTTGGTGTGTAAGAATTGGTAGTTGGTGGATGTTGGAAGTTGGAGGTTGGAAGTTGACTCGACTTGTCCCGTCTTGAATCTCGAAATATCCCAGTTAAATGGGTCCACTCCGACTGCAGCGGTGCAGCCACAGGTGGTCTTAGCGCACAACTCCAGGCTGAGCCACCCACTGGCCGACCCCACGATAGCGACTCCAACCACTAAACCGTCTCCCTGTCGAGGCCAACATGCGCCTTTGAATCCTCCGTCACCTCTGCGTCGCACACGTCACCATCTGCGAATACAGCAATGTAGATGCTCGGTCCTGCGCTGAATACTCGTCTATCTGGCCACGCGACCTCCTTCGCGTCGAATCCGTCGCCGTCATGTCTATTATCCAGCTAGAAGAGTACGTCCTCTGATCCCTGGAGGCGACTGAAAGCCTCCCCCAAACCCGCGAATCGCCCATCCATCATGCTCACGTATTCCTCGCCCGCAGACTTGTTTCCTACCAGCTTCGATCGAGCTACCTCAATGAGATCGCCGATGGCGTGGGTGAGCGCCTACTCACCGTCAACGACAGCTTCCTAAACTCGGCCCCCTTCAAGGCCGCTGGCTGGCGCCCCAACTCGTCCCATATCAAGCGCACCCATTCGCCTCCGATCCCAACCGCCATCGCCTCCGAATACTTCCAGGCCCCGCGCCAGGCTGGCCTGACTCTCGAGGATGGAGACGAAGACGGCGGTATGCTCACCGCGGGCGGCTCCGACACCATGGGGCCCGGCATGGCCACCAAGCGGCGCAGGCGCCGCGAGCAGCTGGAGGAGGATGACAGCAGCGATCTGAGCGACGATAGCGACGATGATGTGGACCAACGAGCAGCTCAGCAGATAAAATTTGCCAAGATGCCTGTGAGACACCGTGCCGGCTCTTCTCCCCTCCAGAACACGGGCTTTAGGCAAGCAGGCACCACCTCGCCAAGGGCTCCGCGACGCGGCTCCCAGTCAGCGCTGGAGACTGTCAAGGAGAGACCCCGGCGCGACACTGTCACCAGCAGCGAGATCTCATCCGAGAATGAGCTCGACATTCCTACCTACCAGAGGCATCGAGACGCCGCCAGGGCAGCTGCGAGGTTCGCCAAGCTACAGGCCCGAATCCTCGAGGAGCCTACGCCAGGAGTACAGCGGGCCGATACGTCTCTGCTCCCCGAGGAGGAGGAAGACTCGGACGGAACAGACATTTCTGATGACTACGTAGTAGAAAGCATCGACTCGGCATCAATCCTCGACGGCGTTGAGAACCCCATCAATATGAATGCCTCTCCCACCCGGCAACTCGTTGGAACTCCCCCAAAGAACTTTGTTCGACAATCCACAGTCCGAAAATCCCGGCCCCCGACACAACCTATCCTGATGGGGGCTCTACCGCCTCCTCGTCCCATGAGCATGCTCAGGCCGCTCAGCGTTGCTCAGCCCACGAGTCTGCTGTCGGCAGCGTTGAAAGCCAAGGCACACAAATCCAGCATCCCGTTCCAGAAGTTTGCGCACTTCAGTGGGCAGGGGACACAAGGGTCCATCGGCGTGCGCATTTACGCACCCTTCTCCAAGACGCCAAGCAAGCCGTTCCAGGTGCTTATCCGGCCTCGTGTCCAAGATGGCCAGGGCGCCGAACGCGTCGTGACGGTAGCGGATCTAATTGGACTCAGCTTGTATCGATACAACGAGGAAAAGATAGACCCTCCTCTGCCGCCAAAAAAGCTCAACATAAACTGGTGGACACTGCGAATGGTAGAAGAGGGCGGCGAGGTGGACGATGACTTCCCTCCGTTCGAGCGAACCAAGCCTTTAACCTCGTTTACGACTGTCAACAACGCCAGCATGCGAGGAGGCGGTCGTATGCGGTCCAACTCGACAGCATATGACGACTTCGCTTTGGCAGCAGCATCTGAGGATGAGTTCCTCGAGAACAAAGCACTAACACCACAAGAGGACCAGGAGGAGCCAGTAGCGCAAGAACCTATGCCCGAGCCGCCGCGAGTGGATGAAGATGCCACCCCCAAGAATACCCCCGGCCCATTCAATTCCTTCTTGGCCCAGCGGCCCCGGCAAAACCCCATCGTCACAACTACGTATCGATCGAATGCGGCACCGGCAGATATGCCACAGGCTCCAGTATCGGCGCCAAACACTTCGCGAGGACAGCAGAAGCTACTCCGGATCCAAATAATGTCATCCGACGTTGCCCCTGGCCAGATGGTGACGCTGGACGTTACGACTGACACGTACCTCGCTGAGGTCCTGGACATGGTGTGCAGAAAGAGACAGCTCGATAAGGCGAACCATGTTCTCAAACTACCCGGCTCCGGAGCAGTGGTGATGATTGACAGGCCGGTGTCATCCATCGGCAATGTTAGCGACCTAGAGCTGTACCGACGCCGGTTCGCGACCGATGGCCCCCTAACGATCACTGGGTCCCCGGGTAACTCATCGCCCAAGATGCTGCCCCTAACAGACTCGTCGATGCAGAAACGAAGCAAGAAATCACACATGCCTATGGTGGGAAGTCACCCGTTGGCGCGAGAGGCGCTGAAGCAGGAAGAGCTCAGCAACGCTAGCTACAAGAAGTACACTGTCTGGCGCAAGCAGCCAATGCGCATCGTCGGGATGAGCGAGCGTATCCTGGTCATCGACGGCGAATATATCCACATCATGCCTGCGTCAGGTGGCAAAGCGCTGCACGACGGCTCAGGCAAGACGACGACGGTGCATTTCAGCAATGTGGTTGGGTGCAAAGTGCCCCGTAAACACCCTACAAATGTCAAGGTTAGTGCATCAGCAAACTCATTCCCCTGTGATTTTGTTCTTCTTTCTGCTTCTTGGAACGTGCGCTCTAACATGGCGTCAACAAATAGCTCGTGGTATACAAGGCGACGGAGAGCAAGCGGTATGACTTTGAAGCTCGAAGCGCGCACGAAGCGGCCGAGATTGTGGAGGAACTAAAGAAAGGCATCTCACCGTACCGGGAAGTCTGAAGTGGATGTTTGAACTGTGATCGTCATAGGCGATATCCAAGGCCTGTGTAGCTATGGAAGGTCGAATTGGTCCAAGGAAGCAGTCCTGCCCACATTTGCCCTTGCCAGTTATGTTTGCTTTGGGCAGTGAGACGACTTGATCTATGCGGACTGCCCTGCTTCAGTAGAGGAGTCTCGGCTTTGAGGGAGTAGTCTCAGACATCTCGAGGCCCTCGCAATCAAGAGTGCCTCTTAGTCGAGCACTTCGGGCTGGACTGATTGTGGCTACGCGAAGAACACAGTGAGTATGCGTCCCCGTTATTGCGTACTGTAAGAGAGGAGAGGAAAGGCGAACGGATAAGCAGCCAGTGACATGGCGTCGGCTGACGCCAATGCAATGCTGTGCGGCCATGGCTCGTCTTGCAGGCATGCTGCTCCTTGATTTAAATAATTAGTCTTGGATATTTTGCAAGGCTACAGACATAGGGCTAAACAAGAAAGCATTTAAGGGGATCTGTAATATTACACACATGTTGAACATGTCACATCTTCCTGAGTCGTGCCGATCAACCTGTGATGTCTCCTTGATACAAAGCGAAAGACTAACAGGTAGGCTGACAGTCATATATCCTCTATTCCCTGCCCTCGAGAAGCTCCAGAGTCCTGTGGTCCATAACGGCAGCCGAGTACCTCTCAGTAATGGCAAATACAATGTCATCTGGCTGCATCTTCAGAGGCGTCACGGCCCACAGGAACCCATGCAGCGTGTGTCGGCGGTAGTCATGCCAGGCGTCGTCCTTGGTCAGCTTCGGGCCGCCTTCAGCATGAAGAGTCTCAAGATAGCCCTCAACGAGCGAAATATCGTGCTGGCGTCGGTCCTCGATGGTCAGAGCCCCGGTCAGGAAGTAGACCAGGTCGTGGACCGGCGAGCCGTACTGGAGACACTGCCAACCGATGAACCCAGGCGTGCCCTCATTGGTGATCAGCGTGTTTCCTACGTGGTTGTCACTGTGGATGATGGATTGGAAGCGCTTCTCCTCGTCACTATGCTTCCACAGCGCCTCGTATGCGCGCACCATCCTCTCGCGGTCCTGCATCTGCTCCGCGACAGGCGGCCTGCAATCTTCGGCGAACCGGACAGCCCAAGGCTCAGGGCGGAGGAGAGCCAGTATCACGGCCCTCATCGGGTTCGCCAGCTTCTCTCCGTCTTTGCCGAAGAGCCACGGGTATTCATCCTCCTTGCTGTTCCAGGTCTTGCCGTGTAAGCTGGCTAGTTGCGCGACGCCCTCGCCGGTACGTGCCCCACATCTCCGGGAACATATCCCGGACCACGGGGTTGAAGCCGCCCTTGACGCACAGCCGCGTCGGCGTGTCGGTTTAGACGTCGTCGGCGAACTTCAGGTCGAGAAAGACCTTGCTCGATGTTCCGTGGATGACCGAGGCCAGCTTAAAGTCCGTGACGGCGACGCCCAGGGCCTCGGACAGCCATTCGGCGCTGATTTCCTCGGGCGTCAAGGGCAATGCCTTATCCGAGTCGAAGGAACTGCGAGGAGCCTTGGCGCCCCTTATCAAGGAGTTTGACATTGTCGTCAGTGGTGGGAAAGGTTTGATTGTACGAGAATCATAATATGCCGGGTGAGAAAACACACGCATGCGTAGTAACAGGGCGACGAGACGAGCTGGGGTTTACATACCTTCTGCAACCCCGACATCCACCATGGACAGTGGAGAAGACGCTTCTAACCCAAGGTCGTCCTTGTCTTGGATCGACGACCAATTGCTGTTTTAGGCCCGTCAGCCTATAGTAATCGTCGTCTCCCTGGTCGTGTCTTCTTTGACCCCTGTGCCAAGGGTTGTCTGGTAAGATCAAGCACGGCGGTATGCAGGGGCTCTGACAGCGAACCGCGGCCCATTCTTCTGGTTCTCGGGATCTAGTGAGCTTCTTCTTATGCATCTAACACGTATTTATGTGTTCGCGCGCATACCAGCTCGTTTCTTTGCCTTGAATGAATTCTTCCCAATCGGAGAAATTCACAACGCAAGCTGTATTGCGAGACACGGGACCAGTGCACCGTGATGCAAGAGAGTCTATATTGACAGCTTGTGAACCAATGTTACATCGTGTACGCAACCAACACGACAGTGACTCACGCAGCAGTTGCAAGTATGACAAGTCTAGCCAACTCAGTGGGGAGCAAGGTGGTATGAGATCCTTTGCCTAACGATCCCTTGCCTAACGATCCCGGCTGCGGTCGATGCGTACAGAGGCGAATCGGCCTCCATCGCCACTAATAATGCGCAATACTGCCGCATCACGGGCCGTGTCTTGAATAATGGGTCATGAGGAAATGCCATGAGGTGACAGAGGCAATCACTCGTTACTATTGAGATGATTAATAAAGGAAATAAATCACACTGAATCGGGAGACAAGGAAAGCCATGCTCAGACAAGCTAGGAAGGATAGTAACCTCCAACGTGAAGAGAAAGACGGTTGCTTAGGACCAAGATATGAGCGTCCTGCATTACGATGTGTTGGATGTGTAAGATGCAGTTCAAAGTTCCATGTTGGGAGGACCATTTGACTTCATATAAGTTCCCAAGGCAAAGAGGCAGTTGTTATCTCAGTATTCGAGCTGAACGGTCTCCCTGGTTGGCTATGCAAGGCTCTCGCCGGTTATTTCGCCAGAGATCCCGCACTCAAACCAGGCACAAGTGGGCTCCCGCAACCAGGTACTCTGTATATCTGAACGCTCCATAAAATCGAGCAACGCTACTCCGTAGTGTACGGAGAGCCGTGCTCGGCTGTAAATCTGGCCAATCTGTAGGGGAGATTACAACTCTCTCGTATCCTTCCCCGCAGTTCAACCTCAAGCCACATACTATACCAAGTCTAGTCTCATAGTAGCGTTGTTTAAGTTGAACGAGTCATGACCGAGTATGCTAGATGCGACTCAGGCAAAGCGGCAGTAAGCATGTCAGCATTGCACTGTGGCTGAGACATGGCTCGAATTTCATTCCTTAGAGTTCCTAGCAGCACTCCAGAGCTTGCATGGGCAAAATTCAAAGATGCTGCTAGGACTTATGTAGGATAAACCTTGGATTGCTTTCGGCAAACGCCTCTAGACTCAATTTGCAGTCCCCAGAGATGGCTACCCCCTCCTCTCCTCTCACCTCGGCCGGTACGCCTCCTTCTGCGTACCCTTACCAGTTCACATTCCATGAACGAAAAAGCCTCGGTCTCTTCTTGTCCATCTTTCCCAAAGACGACGAACCGATAGCACCCAGATCCTGACACAACAACGGACGAACAGCCAGTAACATGGGCCATGTGCTGCCTCGCAACTCGGGGCCCTCCAATTTCAGCCATGGGTGGACCTCGGTCCAGGTGGCCATAGTAGTTACGTTCTCCATCACCTTTACCTTGTCAACAGCGTCCTTGGTTATTCGGTATGTGACCAGCGCGATTATTGTTAAGAAATTAGAAATCGACGTCAGTGAGTTACTCTAAAACCCTAGAGTCTACGGATGCTTGGCTTACAAGCTGTCAGTTCTTATCACGGTAGCCTGGGGTGCAGCATTGGGCCACTTTCTCGGCTTGTTTCTGGCCTTTCCATATGGATTGGGTCAACACGTCTGGGATACTGACCCTGCGGAATTACCGGAATTCAAAAAGGTGAATTGCTTTCCATTAAAGCTGGATGCGTGCTTCTAATCCATGACAGCGTCTATTAGCCGCTCTCGCGCCATATGTCGTTTGTCCAGCAATGACGAAGCTGGCCATCCTCTCCGTTCTGTACCGCATCAGCCCCGGCCGATGGTTTCGTATCTTCACGTATTCCCTCGCCCTAATAATCAGTGTCTACACAATAGTCTTTATAGTCATACTAGCTGGCCCTTGCAACCCCCTTGAACCCAGCGGCTCCACATGCATAGGCATTGGTGCCAAAACCCATGCGGCGCTCAACATAACGACGGATGTCATTATCATCATCTTGCCTCTTCCCACGCTTTGGAAACTGCAGATGCCATTCCGGAAGAAGCTGGTTGCAGGAGGGATTCTAACCCTTGGATCTGCGTATGTTTTGCCCTCTGCTTTGGTTGGGTGTATGTGACTAGCTAACGTCTCATTAAAGGGTCTTACTCGCGTCCATCGCTCGCGCTCCGTACGTCGCGATGCTCGCCAACAACGGCGACTTTTACTATACATTAGCGAAATCAGCTGTATGGTCAATGCTAGAGCTGAATTTAGGAATCGTCTGTAGCAACCTCATGCGAATGAAGCCCTTTATCAGCCGGTACTTTCCAAGGCTCGCAGCCAGGCTTGGGCTGTCATTGGACGATTCTGCAGGCTACAGGGAGGGCACTACTGCCAGCCATGTGAGAGCGGCAGAGCTTTCTCACGCCTTTCAATTACACAGGATAAAGGGGGGGGAGGGGGATGGCATGCCTGAGCATAGTCGTAGCGAAATTCCTCATGCAGAGGGGTATGGAATAAATATGGATAGCAGGAGCCTGGAGCTTAATAATAGGAGCACGGAGAGCATATTGAGGCAGTAGAAGCTATATTCTAAATAATATGCCGCTTAATTTTTGTGACATAATCGCAGGCGCAGAAATATCACCAAGGCTACCGGCAGCACCAACAAACTTGAGAGCTGAGGCCCTGGGTAACTTGGTCCGTAGGCTGTGCGATCCTCCGTTCTCCGGGTCCCGGTCTTCGGTTCGTTTCGTGTGTGTTGTTGGTAATGCATTCGTATGGAGACCGGACAACTGTCAACTGACACAAACACAGTCAACCATGCGGTGGATGATCCATGTACACCAACCGTTTTCGTCAACGCCATATCACCGCAGCCAGTTCTTGAGCCATGCGCCGGCTTTCCCAGTCCGGACCATTCCCGCAGGAACCAAAACGAACAACCAAGAAGCAAACTTGCCGAGGCACGCAGCTCCGGTTGCGTGATAGAGACACTCCTTCGGCTCCACCGTGACGCACACAACGTCGGCTACGCAAAAGAATACCAGTTTCCATGGCCGTCACCGTAATCAATCCATGATCCGTGTTCCGTAACCCGTGGCTCCGTAGTCCGTGGCCACAGATGCCGTGTGTGTGGGCCCCCAGGTGGCTCGGCTCCGGGTGCATTGCGTGTTGGTGCGTACAAAGTACGAAGGGTATGCATCCAACTCACTCTTCTGCTTCTATTTCTGTTTGTGACTAGTGCTGTCGATCTTGATACAGAATCCTTGCGGTTTTTTTTGTGGTTATTTCTACGTATTATGTACACCCTTGCCCCACGGAATCCTCCTCTCAAGTCCGGCCGTTGAGGTGATCCCCTCAAGCCCCTTGTAACTCAAAGTCGCCACTCCCAGCAGATGCATGTATTTTTCCGAGGCAAACATCTCTTTGAATATGCAGGTACGAAGCCTCAGCCATGATCCTGCTCGTCGTCATCGCCAAGGCTAATGTCTCGGCCCTGATGCAGCTTCCCGCTCAACCATGCGCCGTCCCTGAGCGAGCAAGCAACAAACAAGCCAGTTCGGGTGTGGCAGAAACCTTGGAACTGCGAAGGCCCCAGGTGTATGCCCAATATTCAGCAGTTATTCCCGCAGACGACGAGTCTCATGGATGCCAATGTCCCAATCCTCTTTCTCTTGAGGGCTCAGCGATTGTTTGATGGCCTCGGGTTGATGTTTCAACATCCCGTACAGACATGGGCCACAAAGTGATGTCAAATCCAGGTCAATACCATCCAAGCCGCACCACTTCAACCTCTCTACCGGCCAACTACTCCACTGAAATCGATGACATGGCCAAGTCCGCCAAGCAAAGAAACCCGGGAGGATGTGGTGATGGGGGGTGGGGATAGGATCAAGAGAGTGTGCATAAGGGAGGCTCCGTGAGCTAGACATATAACATCCCGATCCTCTCTGCATCGAAAATTTACTTACCCTCCCTCCCTCTTCAACTCAGTCGCCGTTTATCTTGTGCCCTGACCCGTGTCACTCTTGTCAAATTACATACTAAAGCCAACGATCATTCATAACCATACACCAAACCTTCTCAGTCCCCACACAAATACCGTCGCCATGAAGTTCTCTACTGTTGCCCTCACTTCTCTTATTACCGCCGTTACCCAGGTAAGTCTCTATCACGGCGTCAACATATCGCCGACTAACTGACCCTCCTCCATAGGCCCAGAATACTGACTCTATCGGCGATATCGCTTCTTCTGTCATCGCTGACGCCTCAACTCTGGTCGACGGCGCTCTCAGCAGCGTCACTGAGAGCGCCGGCTCAGGGGCCTCGTCGTTCCTCGCCACGGTCACCGGCGAGACGACCACCGTCGGCACCTCAAGTGCCTCAAACACCCAGTCAGTCGGCAGCAGCATCATCCTCAGCGACATCGGGAGCCTCAGTACCATCCTCCAGACGGCTTCCGGCTCTCCAACTATATCCATCAGCTCAGAATCCGACTCAGCTAGCCGTAACTCGGAGACTGCCACCTCATCCGACAATGTTCAGAGTACCTCTACTAGCGACGGTTCCGGTGCCATGCCTACGGCGGCTGTGGCCATGGGTGCTCTCATGGGCGGTGCCGCCATCCTTGCCAGCATGTAAAAGGTAGAATACATGTACATCATTGGCACGGCGCTTCATAAACATGGCTCAGGAACAGCGTAACGCTAGCTAAATCAGCAGCTCGGAGCAAGCATGAGAAGCTTCCACCACCAACAACCCTCAGCAGTGCCAACACAGCCAAATCAAGTTTGTGTCGGCGCTCGGGACCTAATGAGCGACATAGGAACTCGGTCCTACAGATCATTGGTATCACCCTCCTCTTGGTCTGAACTTGGACGAAAGATACGGAGACCATCAGCGAGAAATCGTACCTTGGTCAAACACACAAATTGTGCATAACATGGTAATTTGGTTCTCATACTATGGATTTTACGCTACATCCTATCTGGCAACACATTAGGTGACGTAATACGAATCCTACCAGTCAATCCAATTGTCATTTGATATCCTCAAGATTCTCGTTGGTTCATCCTGCTGTGCTACCCGGTTTTACCCTAATCCCCTCAGTCTCGGGGTTCCAGCCTGTGCCACTGGGAGACCCTGATGTGAGATAACGACGTCTGAGCCAAAAATACGAGGTTGTCGTGACATGATGCTTCTCTGTTAGGCCGTACGGATGTGGCTGTGGTCATGACCCACAACAGCTTTACGAAGTATTCAAGCAATAGCTAAGCCGCGTTTCATCAAGTTAATTTCGAACACGAAGGGGTTTCAGCAATATGTATTTCATCCGTAGTGTTCACTTCACCGGTCCTAAGTCAAGTAGCTCTAGGTAGTACCGTTCCCAGCCAACATGTCGCTCATCTAAAGTACAGGGTAAGGGTATCTATCATATGTTGTCAACCGCCGAAGCCGCCTCTCGATTAGCTTGTGCCTCGAGCTTCTCCCCAGAGTCTATCAATGATTTGGAAAATGGCCGTCACGTCTTTCATGATATCGCCGTCCACCTGACCGCCCAGCCGTTGTTGCATCTTATCTGGGTGCCAGCGCACACGCTCTTCTTTGAGCCTGGCTGCAAACTCTTTTTGCCCAACGTCTTCGAGGCTGAGAGAATGGACAAAGAAGGCTCGGACCTGCTTCTCTTCTACATCCTGCCGCTTTCCGCTCTCAACCGGCCAGTTGAGTGTTTCGGGCGTGCCATCCCAGGCAGACCACGCCTTCGTGTATTCCTCCCAGCGGGCGGCCCATGTGCGCCGCTGCCTGCGCTCCTCGCCACGGCGGAGGCTATGCTCCATCTCTTCCTGGAGTTTGCGGTTGTGACGAGCCTCCTCCTCTTTGCGCTTCTTTGCTTCCTCACGCCGGGCCTTTTCTTCCAAAAGGCCGGCATTTGTCTTCTCCCACATCTTCCGGCGGACGTATGTAGCATACTCCTCTTCCGTCATCTGCTCGAGCTCGCCCGAAGGTCCAACCTTCTCGTTTGGGTAAACGTGAACAGGCTGTCCATAGACCCCTTGCCAATATGAAGCCCCCTCATCGTCTGCCATAGCGTCGAAGAGAGACTCCCTAAAGGCAGTGTCGGGGTCTAGCGTCTGTTGTTCAAAGGGATTGGGCGGGGTGGGAGATCGGTGTCTTCGACGGTGACGGTGACGGTGCGACCGGTGGTGGGAGTCGTCATCGCGGTGGCGGTTTTTGTCATGATCACGACCGCGATCGCGATCGCGAGAGGAACGGCGACGGGATTTGTGGTCCTTCAGCTTTAGGCGTGACGGCCTGGGCTTTGTCTTGTCGGTCTCGCCATCTGCGCCGTCCTCGGTCCGTCGTGAGGTCGCGCCCGGGGTTGGTTCCTTTACGGGATCATCCTTGGCGTCTTTCGTCTTGTCTCGAGTTCGACCTCGGGTTCGATACTGATCCTCCTCTGGATCCCGATCTCGCTTCCGGGGACGGTCCGGGTTGATGGCGGAAAGGATGTGGCGTCGTCTCGGAGACTCGGGTGCGTCACCCATCATGGGAGGGCCATGCGAGACGAGAGCATCTAGTCTGCGGTGTCCCAGCAAGAGGTTCCGGTGAAAGATGGTGGTGAAGGTGAAGGCTAGGTTGGTGGTTCTTCAATAAAAGTAATTCGTTGTGGGGTAAGTTAAGCTGCACCTGGAAAAGGTATGCGCACGGGCCACCAATGCCCGACCCAACGGTTTGCCCGTCGATCATCCCTAAGGTAGGACATTCCATGACAGTCTCAGGCTGCCGTTGAGTCTGTGAGCTGCCATTGTTTCTGAAAAAGCAAACAATTCCACAAGGCATCTGATTACATATATCTTTATCTGTCGCTGGTGCACTTTTGTTTCTTCTTCGCACCTTCGCCAATATCCAGACTCCCACCACAAGAAGCATCAACGAAGCATCGTTGCCCCGCTTATCCATCCAGGCCCCACAGCCGGCTCACAATAACAATCACCTCGAACGTCACTTAGAGCGGCAGGCTTTAAGCTGACGATTCGTCTCTACGATGGTTGACTGTGATGTTTGCGACAGGTTCTTCAAGACATCGTCGGCGCTTCGGCAGCATCTCGAGGCGTCGCAAACACAGCATCCGACCTGTAATCGACATGACCGCATCTTCGCCTCCTGGTCGGCCTTACAGCAACATATTGACGACTCACAATTCCACAATATCTGCGACATATGCCCCGATGACGATTCCGATTTCCCCACCTCTGATATGCTGTATGACCATAAAGTTGAAGAGCACGATTACTGTAACGAATGCCAGGTTCAGTTTATCAGCTCGTCCCAGCTTATTGAGCATGATGTGTCTGAACACAACATGTGCGAAACCTGCTCAAGATGCTTTGCTACACCGTCGAATTTGTTAAATGTGAGTGTCTCGCCTTCACCATACGCACATAGCTCACTCCCTGTAGCATCGCAAGACACATGCTGAAAAAAGCGTGGAGTGCCCAGGTTGCACACGATTCTTCATCTCCGATTCAGCCATGGTACTACACCTTGAGACCGGCGGATGCGCGTCAGGAACGAATCGGAGTGATGTCTGTGATATAGCATTCGATTGCTACCAGTCGGGACACTACACCTGCGATGACGACCGAGATTTTGACTTCAGTTGTCCAACATGTGACGTCCCATTCTTGTTCATGAGCGCACTCTTGCAGCACGCCGAAAGCGAGGCCTGTGATGAAACCCTGGAGTGGTATACGGCATTAGGAAAATTCCTGCATTTCTTACGTCAACGGATCTGAATGTCTAGGAGGGACATGAGGATATCCCGCTACATCTCCGTGTAGACGAGGTCATCGGTCGACTCTTGCTATGAATGCAAGGGAATCTTACACGGCAGCGCCACACGACGTGTATAATCTCCACTACATACCTGAGACACGGTATTTAATAGGAGTGCTCCGCCTTCAAGGAGAGAGGTGGAAAATATCAGGCAGATGAATGGACAGGACCCATAATATTAATTGAAATACACGTGGAAGATGATCATCTAATAATTTTGCCATACGCCGTTGAATCAGAAAATCGGGGGCCCACAGGACGTTGGAATCAGATCCATGCCGACTTCCAAGCACCTCGCCAATTAGCGGGACCCTCCATAAGCTCTAGTGGCCCTGATCCGCCCTCCAGCAGATTTGCATTTAGCGGGCTTCAGGGGGTAAGGGTCTCAATTTCCCCGCAGGCAGCCAATCGACAGCCTCCGAATCGTCGCAGGGCTACTAAATCTGTAGTGCGCTGCGTCGTCCTGTCTCGCTCATCAATTTAGGCCCAGTCCGCCAGTCTGACAACCTGTCGCGATTCTCCTGATCAGCCCTTTTACCTTTCATCTCATCCTCTCCTCGACCCGGGACGCCGCCCGGTAACGTGCCAACGCGCTGCAGGATGCGCACATAGCGATCGACCTGAACATTGACCTCTGCGCGCCGCTGTTTCGCTTTCATCCATCTCATCATGGGCGGCATTCTGCTGCTCCTGGGCTTGTGCGTAAGTTGGCTCCTCGCACGACCCCCTCGTGTTCCCCCTCCCGTTGCGGGCTGCCAACGACAATAACTAACATATCCGGCTGCAGCTGATCATGGCTCTGGCGTATGTGCCATCACCGACCTTGAACACGACCGATCTCGAGAATGCTGATTGATCCAATAGCTCGTTCCTGGCTGGAGCCTTGCCCCTGTCCATGACCCTGTCACAATCGCAACTTCGATTACTCTCCAGCATCGGCGTCGGAATCCTCGTGGGAACCTCCCTCATAGTCATCATCCCAGAGGGCATTGAGGCCGCCGCCTCGCCTGCAGAGACCGGCCACGTGCACCGTGTGAGGACCTTGGTCCGCCGGTCTCCCTGGAGCCACTACGCCGTGCCGCGCGGGCTCGGTAGTTCGATCCCTACCGTCAACACGGTGGCAGGACGAAGTCCATTGGGGGATGAGGACGCGGATGCCCTCGTGCGCCGGGTTGTGGCATCGGTAGGCCCCCGAGAACCGCTCGAGAACGAATCCGAACCACCTGAGACCTCAACAATACCGGCCGAAGAGAACCTCGACGACACTGACGGCAAGAGCAACGATAAAGCGGGAAACGAGAAGGCGGAAACTGGAAAGGACGAGCTTGAGTCTGGGCATGACGACGACGACGACGAGCATGCCCATGCCGCAGTTCCCACGTTCGAAATTGGGTTCTCCATGATCCTCGGGTTCGTGTTGATGTTCCTTATCGACAGATTGCCCAGACATGCAACCGAAAGCCTGCATTCAAGCCCCCAAACGAGACACATCAGCTTAGATAACCTTGGTGGAGATACTGCCTCGGTGGAAGACGAGGAGGAGGGGTTCCTAGGCTCGCTCACACCTACCCCGAGACGGGCACGCAGTCTCGCCACGACAACCGGACTCGTCATTCATGCTGCGGCAGATGGTATTGCCATGGGTGCCTCATCAACCACCACAGACATGAAGCTTGGATTCATCATCTTTGTCGCCATCATGATTCACAAGGCCCCGGCCGCGTTTGGCTTGACGTCTCTGCTCCTGAAGCAGGGTCTCTCGAAACGAGCTGCGAGGGGCCATCTCATTGTTTTCAGTTTGGCCGCTCCAGTAGGCGCCTTGATTACGTGGCTTGTCATCACATTGCTAGGTGCTGCAGGTCACGATGGTGATCACTGGTGGACCGGCATGTTGCTCCTGTTCTCGGGTGGCACATTTTTGTAAGTTGACCAATCTCCCCGCTTTCTCTATCACCGCATGCTGAGGCGAAAACAGGTATGTAGCCATGCATGCCATGCAGGAGGATGGTAGCTCGCACGGCCACGGTCACGAACACAGTGTCAACGGCTACGCGGATAGTAACTCGGCAGTGCAGCGAAAGCCCAAAGGCCCGCAGATGCGTGACACCTTGGCGACGGTTGGGGGCATGTTGGTGCCGCTTCTTACGCAGTTTGGGCACCACCACTAGTGGAGGGATTGGCTTCCTTTTTTGTATGGTGCCCGGCCGCTCCATCTGGAATGTTTCAAGTGGTGGATGAAAACGACACGACAGCGAGACTTGGGTATAGATGGCGCTTGTATTTCAGCAGAGCCGGCGAGCTCCTCTCAAGTGTCATGAATCAGATAACATCTAGAATTACTGGGAAAGTCAGGAAAACATGGCCAGGATGGGGGTTGTATGGTTATGGACATTGATGATGTAGGATAGAGGTTGTACACTAAGACCTGGTTGTCGTGTGTTGCAATAGCGGACTCATGGACTCATGGACTCGTAGACTCATGGAACGACTCAATGGACCAAGATATCCGGGCTCAGTTGATTGACACTCTTGGCAGTCTCCACTATGGCATGATTATGCAAGACTATGTGATTTAGATAAGGAGAAGGGGTTAATAGACCTAGCTCAAACAATATTCGGATTGGGGAGCTGGTTGTTTCGGCCATGTGTTTCAGTGAGAAGCCTGTGCGAAACGCATGGACTCGTAAGCAGCCCGCCAACATACCGGTCAATCAATCCACGACCCGCTGGCCCTAGATCAGGGATGAACACAATGGTGTCTTAGCTCGAGAGTCGCAAAAGCACACTCCTCTACTGGATCTGGATGATCTACGAAGGACAATCGGTCACTTTCGAATCTTTAACGCCATTACCGTATCCACGTGTATCCATTAATAGTCCCGGGATATACTGTAGACGCTGACTGCGGTTCATGTTCCAAGTACAGGGTAGTAGTTGGTGTAGCATGCAATGGGGATGGCGTGCTTCCCTCCAATGGCACCGCGTAGTTGACCAGTGTGGAGGATAGCAGGGAAATGATGGGGTGTGGCATCGCGGCGGAGGGGTCCAATGGTGGACAATGACGGGAGGACGACACGGTCTGTGTTACAGAGGGAGGCACGGGGATAGGGGCCATGGCAAATTATTCCCCCGTGCATGAAAAGCATAAGAAATTGTGTTGAACATATGCAAGTTTGCTTCTTTGGCTTCGTTGCAGGACGAGAACGACTGTCGATTTACTGGTTGTGGCAACAGACTATTGATCGTAACAGGAGGTCGAGGATCCTTCGCGCGAAGTTAGCTACACCAGTGCAGACACGAGTCAATGCGTGGTACATTTAGCTAGGGCACTCTCTCGCCCAATTCCCTTTTGTCGCATAGGTAATTGGGATTATTAGCGGGTGACCAGGGCCGTGGTGCAAGGGAGAGACCCAGGCGAGAGAAGGCTGCATGGGTTTAGGGGTGGTACATACGCGGGATCGGGATTGGCGCCGTCAAACGAAACGGGACTGGAAGAACCCAGTGCTAACCATTTCGTGGATCCGACGTCAGAACACGCCTCGGGGAGTTGGGCTGTGAGATGGTGGCTGCGCTAGGGAGAGGAGGCCGCTCGTAGTTTGGCTACGTGCAGATACCTGAAGCGGGCCATGATGCGGATGGATGGGAGGTGTGGGAGGGGAGAATGCGTGGGAGGGGGCCCGAGAGGGACATTGGAATGAGAGGGAGATATTGGATGAGCTATTGATTTATCGACGCCTTGCTAACTGTACGGGGAAGTTTGATGGGCGTAGGCGCCGTAGTGGGAAGGTTGGCGTCTCTATCACGGTCCGGGGTGAGTTTCCGGGCGTCAACAGCGTGGAGGAAGTATCCGTAGTCTGAACTGATGATGATCGATGGCTGATGGCTGATGACGCCCAGGTTGGATGGGAGTCTACTTCGTAACTTACTTGATGAGGTGTACCACGCACGTACAGTCAGAATGTGCCACCGCTTGGATTCCACATCACTGGGTCAAGCCAAACCACGCGCAGAACCACAAGAAGAACACGGCTCTCTGTCTGTCCGGGCTCTAGCTACGTCCGAACTGCCGACAAACGTGCCAGGATGTACGGCATGGAGCACGAGGTTGTGCATGCGGGTAGTGGGTGGCGGGTAGACGAGCTCCCTGTGAAGATTGTGAGACTGCCTCGACCCCATTCAGCGCGCGGCCGGGTTCGAAACGCATCCTGTTTGTAGACGGATGGAGTCGAGCATTATTGTTTCCCATTCCGCCGCCACCTGCTACAGGAGGAGGCGGAGGCGGAGGCAGCCCCTGAAAGAACAAAGCATGCATTGGCCGGGAGGTATCACCGATGCCGACCTCGAATCGGTACCGTGCATACTAAGTTACAGACCGAGGACGGGCGGATTGTGCCATTGAAAGTGCAATATAAGATTCCGGCTGGCTGGAGACGCCGTGAGAGGCTGGACGGGACGGGGCATCTCCCACACATGGAGGTTGCCCTTTTAAGCCGGCCTTGCGGGGATGAGACCCTTCTGCCGCCCAGTAAACGCTGGGAAACGGCACATCCGGCGTCTGTCTGTGAAGCACGAAGCTGGTACGTACCTCACTCTCATGGCGAGAGATACTTTCTTTTGCTCTCGGGCTGCTGCGTTGGAAGAAGTAGGTAGGAGGCTTGCATGCGCGAGGCGCCGGAGTTGAACCACCTGCAACCGATGGCGTCCAGCGGATGCTGCACCGCTGAGGGCACAGACACAGACCTCGGGACACGCAACACGCAACACACCACACACAGCACACAGCACAGGACATCCAACCCTTCATGTCCGCCCGGACAACTTGCAGGAGGCTGACGAGGGCGGCCTATGGGTGAGTAAAGGTACCTGGAGAGCTAGCTAGGGATAGGGACAGGCACATGGACACCTCTACGGCCCCTGTGGCCCCCTGTGATGGCGCTGTGCTATGCAGCCCGAGAGCCTTGACCTGGGGCTGGCATCCACCCGACCCAAACGAATACCTTACCAAGCCGGCGGGCAGTTAATTCAGGCAAGGTAAGTACCTCTCTACCTACCTACTCGCAACTCCGCAACTGAGGAGGGGGTACTCCGTACTCCGTACTCCGTGCTCCGTTCTCCGTCTTCTTGGTACTTCCCATGGAACTTGGCGGCTTCTGGGTTCTGGGTTCTGGGTTCTCGGCTCCTCCCTCCAGCCGCCCGTCTTCATTCGCCCCTCCCAGTAGATAGGTAACTAGTGACTCCCGCCCTCCCGCCCGCCTGCATTTTCCATCCCCAATTGCCCTCAGCCTTCAGGCCTCAGCTCTTGACGGCTGAAACTCTCTGCTCTTCTTGTCTGCGTCTGCTCCCTCCCAATGCGAGGATCCACCGGGAAAAGCCAAGCCAAGCCCGGCAACTGACTCTTGCACACAAAGCTGAGAGAGAGAGAGAGAGTACCAAGTACTTCGTTCTCCGTAGGTACTGGAGACAAAGCAAAGCGCAAACCCCCCCAGCAGGAACAAACTGATCTCGGCTCTCGCCCGCGGCTACTCCCACTGCTGCATGCAACCTGCCTGTGATACCTGTCCGTCACAGCGCTCTCACTTCACTCCCTCTTCCCTTGCCGCTCGAGGGGTCATTTAAGACGACGCGACAATCCGAAACTAAGCCTCTCCCGCGGCCTGCCTTTGGAGATCCTGCAGGACCGCCGTCAATCCGTCAATCGATCAACCATCCCTCGGCGACGCATCTCGGCGACGCATCTCGACGCCCCTTTGTACCTACTCGGCTGCGTCTAGGGAGCCGGAGACTCGACGTCGACTCGTCCGTCTTCCAGCCTCTCTCATTGCTCCAAGAAGGGTTCCCCGTCTCCATCTCGCTTTCGCTTGGCATTCGTTCAATCGTTCATTCATTCATTCGCTCGCTCGTCCGCCCTCTGCACTGCCGGATCTGAATTGAATTGAATGCCCTCCGTTGTCCGCCCTTGATCTCTCAACACACACGTCGCTTCCGTGCGGTTGCGTTTTTGGCCCAGTGTCTCGAGTCCCCTGGTCTTGGTCAACGCATCCGCCTTCGCCTTCGCCTTCGCCTTCGCCTTCGCCGTCCTCGTGCAGCCCGTGGCCGGTGTCACTTGAGACGACAGACAGGTAACGGATTCCGTTTAGCGCCCCCTCAATGCCGCCATCGTCTCGCCCTCTGCACCTCTACTCATCCTGCACCTCTACTCATCCTGCACCGTCACCACCGCTCTACTCCTGCTACTCCTGCTGCTCCTCCTCCTCCTCCTACTACTCCCTTTCCCCAAATCAAAAGTCTCCAACGTCCCGTCCTCGACGATCCCGTCCCCTCGCGTTCCACATTCATCGCTCACCTCATCGCTCGCCGCCGCCGCCGCCGTCGCCATCGCCGTCGTCTGCTCTGCCCGTCTACATGTACTGACATTTCATCCCTCCGTGTCCCAGGTGTCTCGTCTCTCCCCACCCGCTCGCTCATTCTTCGCCTCGACATCACCGCTAGCCATTCATCCTCTTCGCACATCTCCACCTTGCCACCGCCTCTACTAGCGTCCGCCTCCGGATCTCCAGGAGAAATCGACTCTGGGCGACGGGCCGGGCCATGGCCGGTTACCAGCGACCCATGAGCTTTTCCGAGAGGAGAGGAAGCGCCCTCAGCGACGAGTTGATACTCAACACCAATAACGCCATGTTGAACCACCGCATGGAAAAACTGCCTCAGCAGCAGCGACATCTCCGAGGGCCACCGACTCCTAGCATGTCGACACCCGCCGCCGACTTCGACCAGCAGCTGACCGGCTCGCCGCCGCCACCTCCGACGCCTGCCGCATCCCCGGGCCCTTCACATTTCCAGCCCGACTGGAGCGACGCCGCCGACGATGAGGATTTCTTCCTCGCCAAGGTCCGACAACACTTTAAGAATTGCTCTGGGCCACAGCGGACACGGGTTCTTGCCGATCTTCTCAACCTCTGCACCAGCCAGCAGTTGAGTTTCGTTCACCAGTTCGTTAGTCCGTTGCTCAAGAAGGACCCCTTCACGAGCCTTCCTGATGAACTATGTCTTCGCGTATGAGCCTCAAACCCTCTTCCTACCTTACTAGGCTAATCCGCCGTCTTAGATTCTGTCCTTCATCGACGACCCCAAAGTTTTAGCACGAGCTTCACAAGTATCCAAGCGATGGCGGGATCTTCTCAGCGACGACATGACGTGGAAGAATCTTTGCGTCAAGCACGACTACGGCCGACGACTGTCTGAGGTTTACGCGAACTCACAACAACTGGCTGCACGATCTGCTGCGCACCCCTTCAACAACGGCGACACGGAGATGGTTAGCAGCAACAGCTTTCCCGGCGCCCGACCCACCGCAGCCCATTCGGGCTCCCGGAATTTTGATGGTTCGCTGGCTTCTGGTAGACCCAAGCTACGATCTTACAAATCGCACTTCAAGCAGAGATATCTGGTCGAGGCAGCATGGAGGTCAGGTGGTACTAGCACGACAAGAAACATCACTCAGGAAGGTGGTGTGGTCACGAGCTTACACTTGACGTCCAAGTACATCATTGTGGCTCTTGATAACGCTAAGATCCACGTTTTTGATGCCGAGGGTGACTCTCAACGGACCCTGCAGGGCCATGTCATGGGTGTCTGGGCTATGGTCCCATGGGACGACACATTGGTCAGTGGTGGTTGTGATCGCGATGTACGAGTCTGGAATTTGAAGACAGGGTAAGCTGCAAGGTTTTCTACAAATCCAGTCAGAAGCTAACGTGGCTGCAGTGCTTGTCTGCATACCCTGCGTGGCCACACGTCAACCGTCAGGTGCTTGAAAATGGCAGATGCCAACACCGCCATTTCAGGCTCCCGAGACACCACGCTTCGAGTTTGGGATATCCGGACAGGCCTCTGCAAAAACGTTCTGGTTGGCCACCAGTCCAGTGTCCGCTGCCTCGAGATCAAAGGGGACATTGTAGTTTCTGGTAGCTACGACACGTTCGCTAGGGTGTGGAGCATCTCTGAGGGACGATGTCTGCAGACTCTGCAGGGCCACTTCAGCCAGATCTATGCCATTGCTTTCGATGGCAAGAGGGTGGTCACTGGTAGCTTGGACACCAACGTCAGGATATGGGACCCCACTTCTGGGTAGGTTTGCAGAACCCCGTCGAGAAAATTACCACTGACCGTTTTGCCAGCGAATGCCTTGCTATCCTCCAGGGTCACACCTCTCTGGTTGGTCAATTACAGATGCGTGGCGATACCCTAGTTACCGGTGGATCCGACGGTTCTGTACGAGTCTGGTCGCTGGAGAAGATGTGCCCCATCCATCGTCTCGCCGCTCATGACAATAGCGTCACGAGTCTGCAGTTTGACGATACTCGGGTCGTGAGTGGCGGTAGCGATGGTCGAGTCAAGATCTGGGATCTCAAGACCGGCCACCTCGTTCGAGAACTGATCGCCCAAGGCGAGGCTGTATGGAGAGTTGCTTTTGAGGACGAGAAGTGTGTGGCCCTTGCTTTGAGGCAAGGCCGCACGGTGATGGAGGTAAGCATATGATACTCGTCCGGGAATAGATATCGAAGACTAACGATGATAGGTTTGGTCCTTCTCGCCACCTGAGGAAATGCTGTACGACCGCCCCCTCTCTCTTCAACAGCGAGTCCTTGAGGACGATCCAACCCGACCCCTAAGCGCCATGGCCATCGACTATCGAAGCTCGCAACCTACTATCGCTAGCTCAAGTCGAGACCAATCAACCCAAGACGTCGATATGCAGGACGTGGGCCCCTCAACAGCTCCATTGCAAGGGGGGACGTTCTTCCACGACGACTAACGACGTCTCATTGACACAGCTAATATGATTGCATTTCAGATGCAAACGCTAATTGCTTTATTGGCCCCGGGCTCCTCGACCCGGAGGCCCGGCTATCATGGATTCAACACTTGTTATAAGGGATGGGTCGGATTATCTGCCCTCGCATTTGTATACTGGGCGTGCTTCAGGTTGTTATAGAGATGGCTGAGACAAATGTGGGAAGCATGTTTACGGCGTTGCTGCATCATCTGGTCGCGCATAGCTAGGAGGATTTGCATGGAATATGAAAGCATGAATATGGGTGGGATGGGATTTGGGAAGCCTCATTATTAGGAACGAACCAAGGAGTTGAGTCTTCAGTGTCTAGCTTGGGCTTGTGCTAGAGGCTATGGCGGATTGGTCTTGATTTGATATTGATTGCCAGCTATAATACCAAAGATATGGCGCTGAGTGTAAAATAGAGCTACCACCGGGTTGGGAGGCGCAGTCAGAGACCAATACCTATCTTATAAACAGTTTGGAAGTCTCTATGACTCGGGAGCCGGTCTCACTCGGTACACTGGGCCGCTCCACCCGCGTGTCTTTTTATTTTTTTTAATGTCTCGCAATATCTGGACGGATTCGGTCGTCGGGCCAAAAAGGAGGACATATGTTAGTGCGTGGGGGGCCCACACCAGGGATAAGTCCGGACTGTATTACACCGACGTTCTCCACTGAACAACGCGGACGCAGAAAGGTCAATGACAAGCGTCTTTGAACAAGTAAATACCGGGAATAATAGACAAGAGGTTAATAGGCCTCGACATTTAATCAAACCAACGAAAATACCATCCTGACTGGGATCCGATGCCGGAGAAGCGCCGGCTTGGGACACGACGGGCAATCACGTGGGGTCCCGCTAGTACTGTTCCAGCTTAGCCTTTACCAACAAGCCAAGCTCAACGCTCAACACCGCGATTTTTCTGAGCTCCATCCAGACAATACGTCGTTATCTCACGACAATCCTCCTCACTTCAATTGAACAGAGGCACCTCCAGATCCGCGATGTTGTCCAGAGCCCTCCGAGTCCCCAGGGCGGTGCCTCTGCGCGCCGTTCCCGCCGCCATCTCCGCCCGCTCCGTCACCACCAACGCTGCGTCGGCGTCTCTGAGCCACTCTGTCCCTCAGGTTAGAAATGCGCCCTTTCTGGACCACGAACGACGGCTGCGAGAGATTTCTTCCCACACGCCGTCCTCGACATCGCCACACTCTGCGATATGTAACTAACATCTGTCTATCCAGTCCGATGACGAGCGTTTCGCCATTAACCTCAGCGATGAGAGCTTCGAGACCTACGAGCTCGACCCTCCCCCCTACACCCTCGAGGTGACCAAGAAGGAGCTGAAGCAGATGTACTACGACATGGTCAGCATCCGGTATGTTCGAGTCTGATTCCGTTGGGGCCCACGAGCCTTTCTTGCTAATAATCGCGCAGACAGATGGAGATGGCCGCCGATCGTTTGTACAAGGAGAAGAAGATCCGTGGTTTTTGCCACTTGTCTGTCGGACAGGAGGCTGTTGCTGTCGGCATTGAGCACGCTATCACCAAGGAGGACGACATCATCACCTCCTACCGATGTCACGGCTTCTCCCTGATGCGAGGTGGCACTGTCCGATCCATCATTGGCGAGCTTCTTGGCCGACGTGAGGGTATTGCCTATGGAAAGGGCGGTTCCATGCACATGTTCCACAAGGGTTTCTACGGTGGCAACGGTATCGTTGGTGCCCAGGTCCCCGTTGGCGCCGGTCTGGCTTTCGCCCACAAGTACGAGGGCCGAAAGAACGCCAGCATCATCCTCTACGGTGATGGTGCCAGCAACCAGGGTCAGGTCTTTGAGGCCTTCAACATGGCTAAGCTGTGGAACCTCCCTGCCCTCTTCGGCTGTGAGAGTGAGTTCAACCGCTGAATCGTAACAAGACGGTGGAAATGCTAACCAATGGTCCATAGACAACAAGTACGGCATGGGTACCTCCGCTGCCCGCTCGTCTGCCCTGACCGACTACTACAAGCGTGGCCAGTACATCCCTGGTCTCAAGGTTAACGGCATGGACGTCCTGGCCGTCAAGGCTGCCGTCAAGTACGGAAAGGAGTGGACCGCCGCCGACAAGGGCCCTCTCGTCCTCGAGTACGTCACCTACCGTTATGGTGGCCACTCCATGTCCGACCCCGGTACCACCTACCGAACCCGTGAGGAGATCCAGCGCATGCGCTCCACCAACGACCCTATTTCCGGACTCAAGCAAAAGATTCTGGACTGGGAGATCACTACCGAGGAGGAACTCAAGAAGCTTGACAAGGAGGCTCGTGCCCACGTCAACGAGGAGGTTGCTCTCGCCGAGGCCATGGCTGTCCCCGAGGCCAAGCCCTCGATCCTGTTTGAGGACATCTATGTCAAGGGCACCGAGCCTCAGTTCATCCGCGGCCGAACCACCGAGGAGAACTTCTACTTCAACAACTAAGGAAGGAGGCGCGAAGGGGCTGAGCCGTACCTATAATGATTCCTAACTTGTTGCCTTTTGTAATATACAACCATGACTAGAGGACTAAATTGGTCCAAATGGACACGGGCGAGAACCCATGTTTACTTCTTGTGAGATAATGAAGGGCTACGCTAGGGATCCTGAAGAAATATCTCTGCCGTAATAAGACTCAAACCACTGAATGTTGGGGGTGAGGTTGGGGGCACGAACAGTTGGTGGCCCCCTGTAATATGGACCAATGCACAAATGCTACAGCACCTGCCTAGAGGCACAGGCAGCAAACGCCCTCACGTGACCCGCGTCGCGTCGCTTTACTTCCTCCACCGTCGCGAATCCAATTAACGCGATTCTGCCTGGCGGCGCGCGTCATGCAAAGAGCCGGTGTCAGCTGTTGGCATGGCTTTACAATTGCCTCTCTCCTCCATTGTCCTGCCTCGAAAGTGACGCTCCAACACCCAATCTGTCATATTCTTCGTTATTTGGCAGCAGAATCGCCGCGAACACTGTGCACCATGGCACCTAAGCAAGCGACCCTGGGGTATGTGAAGCCGAAGCAGAGCACGCTCGGGTGCGTTGGAGGGAACTTTCGAGAGGAGGAGCCATGATTCTAATGCCCGTCGCTTTGTAGGAAGTTTTTTGGAGCAAAGGGCGCGCCACCCCGTCAGCAGACGAAGCTGTCTTTCAGCACCAAGGCGAAGAAGGAAGAGGCGAAGCAGGAAGAGGATGTGAGCGCCAAGGAGAATTCGGATTCCGAGAAGGGTAGGATGCTCTCCCTTGATATGTGATGACTGCATATCCTGACTAGATGAACCAGATTCCAAGAAGCGGACGAGATCAATCGACTCGAAGTCGGCCACCAAGGCAACAACCGTGAAGAAGGAAGAGCTGGAGGACGATAGCGACGGCCCCGTCACCAAGCGAGCACGACGAACCCGGAACAGAGTCGAGGAGGAAGACGATGATGACGAAGTTCAGGCTCCTGTCAAGGCAGAGAAGTCAGCCAGCCCTCCACCAAAATCCAAATCGCCAAAAAGGTCAACATCCCCGAGGAGGTCGAAATCACCAAAGAAGTCGAAGGCCAAGAAGGAGCCTGTAGTGGAGGAGACCGAAGATGCTCCAAAGGACAAAGAATCCACCGCATCAGCTTCTGAGGCAGAGGAGGAAGCAGATATTGACGATGACGAAAAGCCCGAGGTTGCTGCCAAGGCTCGAGAGAAGGTCCAGACAACGCTCAAGGCCAAGAGCAAGGATCCTTATCCCGATTGGAAACCTGGCGCACCAGTGCCATATGCAGCGCTTTGCACAACCTTCTCTCTTGTCGAGTTGACAACCAAGCGACTGATCATCATGGAGCATTGCGCCCTGTTCCTGCGCCAAGTCATGCGTCTCACCCCCGACGACCTCCTCCCCACCGTACTGCTCATGATCAACAAGCTTGCCCCTGACTACGCTGGCATTGAGCTTGGCATTGGCGAGTCGTTGATTATGAAGGCCATTGGCGAGACAACTGGTCGAAGTCTCCAGGTCATCAAGGCTGACCAGAAGGAGATTGGCGATCTTGGTCTTGTTGCAGTCAAGAGTCGATCGACCCAACCCACCATGTTTAAGCCCAAGGCTCTTACAATTCGGGGAATTCATCAAGGCCTGATGGCCATTGCCACCATTTCTGGCAATGGTGCTCAAGGAAGAAAGGTGGATGGCATTAAGAAGTTGCTCTCGGCAGCTGATGCACATTCCTTGACAAAGATTGATGTCAACACCGACAAGGGTGGACCGAGTGAAGCCAAGTTCATTATTCGATTCCTAGAGGGCAAGCTGAGACTTGGTCTTGCTGAGAGATCCGTTCTGGTGTCACTCGCCCACGCTGTGGTGGCTCATGAGGCCGACTCGCGGGGTAAACTGCCCACAACCACAGATATGGAGAATGGAGAGTCCATTCTCAAGACAGTCTACAGGTATGTTGTCATAAGTTCTTGAAATGCCACATGATACTAATGATAATCAGCGAGTTGCCAAGCTATGATGTTATCATCCCTGCCATGCTAGAGCATGGTATCATGAAGCTTCGAGATAATTGCAAGCTTCGCCCCGGTGTGCCGCTGAAGCCCATGTTGGCCAAGCCTACAAAGGCGATCACCGAGGTGTTGGATCGATTTGAGGGCCAGACATTCACGTGCGAGTACAAGTACGACGGTGAGAGAGCACAGATTCACTACGTGTCTAAGGACTCCCCCCATCAACTGAGCCAGTCGACCCAAGAAGCAACTAAGCAGGTTGGTTCTGGAGTCGCCAGCATCTTCTCGAGAAACTCAGAAGATCTGTCGAAGAAGTATCCTGACATCCTCGCCAAGCTAAGCACCTGGGTCAAACCAGATACCAAGAGCTTTGTGTTGGATTGTGAGACTGTGGCGTGGGATGTGGATGAGAAGAAGGTGTTGCCCTTCCAGCAGCTGATGACCCGCAAAAAGAAGGATGTTAAAGTCGAGGATGTCAAGATAAAGGTCTGTGTGTTCGCCTTTGATCTGCTCTATCTCAATGGCGAGGCGGTTGTCGAAAAGGCTCTCCGCGAGCGCCGAGATCTCCTTGAGGCAGCCTTCACACCCGTGGAGGGTGAGTTCTCGTTCGCCACGCACATGGATGGCCAGGAGCTTGATGAGATTCAAGTCTTCCTTGACGAGAGCATGAAGGCGTCGTGCGAGGGCCTCATGGTCAAGATGCTGGACGGCACAGAGAGTGGATACGAGCCCAGCAAGCGAAGCCGAAACTGGCTCAAGGTAAGAGATGACTTATTCTGCATCACATGGAGTATTGGTGGGTCTAACACTTTGTCTCTAGATCAAGAAGGACTACCTCTCCGGTGTGGGTGACTCCCTGGATCTAGTCGTCCTAGGAGCCTACTATGGCAAGGGCAAGAGAACATCCGTTTACGGCGCGTTCCTCCTCGCGTGCTACAACCCCAACACGGAAAAATACGAGACAGTTTGCAACATCGGCACTGGCTTCTCGGAACAGGTCCTCGAGGACCTGCACAAGGAGCTCTCTGCCATCACCATTGACCGTCCCAAGCCCTTCTACTCTCACTCCTCGGGCGGCCAGCACCAACCTGATGTCTGGTTCGAGCCCCGCTTCGTCTGGGAGGTGAAGACGGCCGATCTGACCCTCAGCCCGCGTTACAAGGCCGGCGCTAAGGAGGGTGTCGACCCAGCTGGCGAAAAGGGCATCAGTCTGCGTTTCCCTCGATTCATCCGAGTGCGTGACGACAAGAGCCCCGATGCGGCGACGTCGAGCAGACAAGTCGCCGAGATGTACCGCAACCAGGAGAGTGTGTCGAAGAACAAGGGCCCTTCCGTGGACGATGACTTTGAGTACTAAACCCCCGTGCTTGCTGGGGTCCTGCCGAATTCCTCATGACGGTAGTGGACGGGGATATGCAATGATTGGAGGCGACTTTATTTGTCTTTGTTCCTGGGCGGGATGGAGTTGAGAGGCGCCTGTCCTGATTTCCCATTTTACGGCGTTGTATCATAGCATCTAAGCATCCGGTGAAACAAAAGGGGCCGATGGACCATATTCTCACAGCCGGCAAGGAGCATTACGAGTAGCACGTATTTGTGACTGAGATGGCAGATAAATGGCCGGAAATTGCCTCGAACTAAGATACATACATAACACTCATGACATGTGAAACCCGTGAGAACCCCGTCTCTATCCCGTCTAATGAATAAGCGTCTATAACATTCGTTCATCGCCCCCGATGCTGTCCTGGTCGTCACCACCGTCGGCTCCCCGCAGCAATCCGTGCTGCTCACGGGCGTCGTTGTCGTCGTTGGCCAAGCCCAAGCCCGTGACGCCCGTCTCGACGCCGAGGCCGGTCCCGCCGGGCAGGCCGCTGGTGCGACGAGTCTCCTCGGCGCCGTTGAGGACGTACCAGACGTCCTTCTTGGTGAGCAGGCCCTGGAGGACGCCGCGGTCACTGAAGAGGACGTAGCGCAGGCCGAGCTTCTGGAAGTAGCTGGCGACGAGGTGGAGGGTGCTGTGGGAGGGGAGGGTGAGCGGCGTCTGGTCCATCCAGGGGCGGAGGTCGAGCGTCGAGCGCGGGTCGGCGAGGGGCTGATGGGAGAAGAATGCCTCCGTCTCCGGGGCCAGGGAGCGCGGCGGCTGCGTCGAGGCGCGGAGGTTGTAGGTGAGCTCGGCGCGGGAGATGTAGCCAAGGAGGATGGCATCGCGCGGATCCGAGATGACGGGGAAGCCGCGGTAAGGGTGCATCTCGAGGATGGTGCTGAGGGAGGCGATGGTGTGGCCCGTGGCTGTCAGCACGACGAGGTCCTCGATGCGCGTCATGATCTGCGAGACGGGGATGTCTGGGATGACCATCTCTTCGCTGTTGTCGAGGAAGGGATACTCGTTGAAATGGATCCACGACTCGTAGATGCCGCGGCGCGAGAAGGCGTCGCCCACCCACTTGGAGATCATGACGGCGATCATGATGGGGAGCACGTAGGTGAGGGCACCGGTCAGCTCGAACATGATGACGACGATGGACACGGTCATGCGGGTGACGCCAGCGAGGGCAGCCGCGGCGCCGACGATGGCGTAGGTGCCCGGAGTGATGCAGGGGACATCGGGCTCGCAGGAACTAAAGAGGAAGAAGTTGGGGTGGTTGGAGACCCAGATCTCCATGACGATGCCGACGGCCCGGCCCGTCAAGGCGCCGATGGCCATCGAGGGCAGGATGATGCCCGCGGGAATCTGCAGGCCAAAGGTGATGGCGGCGAGGAAGAAGCCGACGACGGCAGCGAAGATGAGGAGCACGATGGTGCTCGCGGATGCGGCTCCCGTCTTGCAGAGTCCGAACGGGTCGTCGAGGACCTTGGAGCACTCGGCGAAGAGATTAGAGACAAGCTCAGTGGTCTGGAGCTTCATATAAAAGTTGGGGTAGTTGATGAGGGCGGTTAGGAAAGCCACGACCAGGACTTGGGCGATGGGGCCAGGGAGCCAGGTGTTGGCCTTCTTCCACTGGGCGACAGCCATGTTGGCCTTGATAAAGAGTCCACCGTAGATGCCCTGCGGCAGTCGTTAGCAACTCTGATGTTCTTCACTCTTAGGTGGTGGCAGGGAACACGAACACCGAAGATGCCAAGGAAGGCGTAGGGCATCAGTTCAAATCGATGCCACCCGATGCTGTACTGGACCTGATACATGACCAGCTTGCCAGATCGGAAGGGATCAAAAGCCTGGAGGACGACAGCGGCCGTCATGGCACACACGAAACTCTGCCACATGGTTTTGTCGGGGAAGTAGTACGACAGTTGCTGCGATGTGTTAGTTTCAAAGCCGGCGAGGGAGAAACAGGTTGGCGTGTACGAACCTCGAGACTGAACAGGACACCACCAATCGGAGAACCAAAGGCAACAGAAATTCCCGAAGCTGCAGCGGCCGACAAGACCTCTCGCTTTCGAGCTATGGCTTGTCAGTTATGAGACGAACCAAAGGGTAGCGTGTGCTCTTCTCTTACCTTCGTTGCCCTTGATATTGGGGAAGAGCTTGACAAATAGATTGGCACAACAGCAGGCAACATGAACCAGAGGGCCCTCTTTGCCGAGCCACATCCCTGAAGCCACGGCGAGAATCTAACAGAGTCAGTAGGAAACGAGAGACAGAGGACACATAACTTACCAGGCCAAAGGACTTGGTGACCAAAGTCCATGTTCCAAAGAATTGCTGAATGACAAAACCACCGAGGACCGTCTTGATCTCCGGGATACCACTGTGCTTGGCGTAAATAGCATACTCCTGCACAAGGAGCGCAGCCAGATATGCAACAAAAACCTTGCAAGAACATTGTCAGCGGACAAGGGCAGTTATAGCGGAATCGCATCGTAGTCATACCGAAAAGATGATGAAAAAGAAGTACTCGACGAACCACTTTCCGCCCGCCGAGGTGACACCCACAGCCTCACCCCACGACTTCCACCCATTACACTTAGAGCCCTGGTCATATCCATAGCAACAGAAGCCCTTGTTCAAATAGAAATGCCCACCTTCGGGGCCGCCGGAGCAGAACCCCAGCTTTAAATCGCCGAGCCAGTCGGTGGTGACGTCGATGCCAGCGGCAATTGCGCCAACCGCCATGCCCGTCAGCAGCAGGACGATCCAAACCTGGCTCGCGTCGAGGAGGCGCTGGATGGGGCCGAGCACGCCAGAAGCGCCCGAGTAGAGGAAGCGCAAGCGCTGGCGCTCCTTGGTATATTCGAAGATCCAGTCGATGGCCGTCAGGTCCTCGTATCCGACACGCCGGCCAGGGCCTTCCGTGTACCAGTCGAGGGGCGCGCCATCCTTGGAGGAGGCATTGAGAGTAGCCGAATCGTTGCGCGGGGGGCTATTGGGGCCGCCAAAGACGGCAGGCGGTGCGCCTCTGGCGGGGGGTGTGGTGGAGGAGCTGGAGCGCGGTGATCGCAGGCCGGTGATGGCGGAGAGGAGGCGTGCGGGAGCGGAGAGAAGGGAGGGCGCCTGTCTGCGCTTGAAGGAGATGGAGGTGGTCAAGTCGCTATTCAAGGGGTCGTCATCCAACACATCGCCGGCGTCTCGATCGTGGCCGCGGCCTTGGTCATCGCCGTGGAAGCGGCCGGTTTCGCGGTGGTTGTCATGGGTGCCAAGGAGATCGAGTTCGTCGAGGTCGTCAGGGTTGGCAGCATGCGACGAACCGGATAGTGACGTGGATGCAAAGGCATAAGGGTCGTTCTGGGATGCTCCAGACATGATGTGACTCATACCATTGTGCTCGTGCGATGCTCACAATCTGGAGTCTCGGGTCGTGGAGATGTCAGGGTCAAATGTCGTGGTGTTGAAGGCAAGTAACAGTTAACGTTATGGTGTAAGCTGGTAGAGAGTTACAGTGCAGTCAATGCAGTACAGGTACAGCGTAGTGCTGGAGCCGGAGCCTGTGACACCTGCAAGGGAGCTCGGGCCACACTACACCACTGTAGGCTGGTTAATTGGGCCAAGGCTGTCGTCAATGCAGATCTCCAGGGTCCATCATGAGAATCGCTCGCACCCATGATGATATTTTTGGTGATACAAAGCAGCCCAGAGAGCCCATCGGCTGCCAGTGGCTTTTTTAGCTGTGGGAACACCAAAACCACCAAGTTAGGTGACTTGTAATTCAATGACTTCCTGGCCATTGCAGCTTATAGACGCGCTGCGTGGCCAAACTCTCGACTAACAGGATAACCTTGACGGCCAGGCACCAAGTCGCCAGGACCGGACCTCATGTCACTCCGTAAGTCGAGTTTAACCCTGTGAGATATTCCAAACTGAGACTTGGGATTCATTGACGTTGTGCATGCATAGCTACGTCAGGCCACAACGCGGGTGCCTAGTTTTGTGCACCTGCGATACTGCCCTTATATACCAAACTAACTCGCTCAGTTTTCGTCCTTCGGGACAGGTCAAATTTTGAAACAATACAGAGAAGATTAGCATGGCCCCTGCGCTAAGGATGACACGCTCTATCAAAGAGAAGCTTCAAATTTTTTGCTGAATTTTATGCTGAATTCGATTTTTGCTTCCCTGACCCACGGCGAAGGTGGGATCCGCAAGCTTGTGGCGATGTCGTTGTGGTGAAGACTCATGCTAGTGGTGGCGTGGTGGTCAAGTGAGTGGGTTCCGACCCAGCAAAGGCTGTTAGTTCGAATCCGGCCAAAACTCGACTTTTTAATGAAATTTCGATTTCTCTACGTTGCTTTTGGAGACCTAGCAAACAAGAAAACCACCAAGACACATTTTTCGTGTGTTTTATGTGTTATCATCAGGTTTCTGTAGTGCTGCTCTGCCCTCCGGTGGAGTGATGATGGTGGGAGAGTCAGTCTGCCCCTACCGCATCATCACAATCAATAACATCACATCCACGTAGTCTTGTCCGAGAATTCTACTGAACAGGTTTTTTTATTACTGGTTTACTGCAGAGGCTACTGGCACTATAAGATTGATACAAATGCGGGCTATTATGAGGGTGGTCATACGCATGAGTTACGAGCAATACAGCCATGAGAATCCCATTCCATCGAGGAACTAGGCTTTGTAGACAAACATAAAGGTGTCAAATTCAGATGGATAAGACAAAGATCTCTACAATTATAGTATACACCAATCTCTTTTACTAGCGCCGCTTTGGGCCTCTGGTGTATAGGCGAGAGGGAGAGGGGATTCCTTTGTGAAACTGGGGACTTGTGCTATTTGTGTATAAGGATACTAGCGTTGGGTGTGCGAATACAATATTCAACAAGAATCTCGATGTTCATTAAATTATTCTACTTCTGTATATCATGTTGGCATTATATCTTCGTTGCCACGCCTCTGTTCTAAGAAAACTGGTCGGTCCCGATTGATGATGTTGATGTTGAATGCACTTAGCGGGGTGGGTCGAACGTGCTGAAAATAGCGGGCCCAATGATGCCGATGGAAATAGTTACATATTCCACCAAGGCACCCACTTCTCATCTTGTCGTTTCTCTCAGCAAACTAGTAAAAAAAGCCCGGGTTGATATTCTGTCTGGCAATAATCGCAGGGTGACAGTGCCCGTACAGACCCAGCTAGAGCGTTGGCCATGCTGAGCCATCCGGAAATCTCTTAAAAGGCACCACCCACCCTGGACTAAATTCAACCAAGATGGACAACTCCACGCCCAACTCCGAGTCGCAAGGCGCTGCCTCACAGCCCACCAGTCCTGCGGACCTCACCAAGCTTCAGACTCTTCTACGAGCCAAGGATGACACTCAGAGATTTGTTGGACTGGCCCTTCTCAAATCTGTTCTCGACAGCTCCCCCGAGCTTCGAGATGATGATCAAACCGTGCAGAGCCTCTGGGCCAGTCTATCACCAAAGTTCCTTGACCGGTTGCTGCGCACTGGATCCAAGCCGTCCAATACCAATGCAAAGGAAATGCTCGATCTGGCCGTCTCCGTCCTGCACATCTTTGCCATCTTGCTCCCTGAGCGCGCGGGCAGTGACCCCAAATTCCTTGACAGACTTCCCGGCCTTGTCAGCGCCGTTCTCTACAGGTATGACTACATACATTCAAGGTTTGAACACATTACTCACCGTGGTGGTGCAGCTCGAAGGAGACTACGACGATGATCTTGCAGGTTCTCCATACGCTGGTTAGTTCGCAGGATGGCGCGAAGGCGTTTGTCAAACTTGACGACATCACCTCCCTCACTGAGATCGCCCCAGCACATGCCCCTGTCCTAGATATTCTGAGCTTTGCATGGCTGAATGCCATGACTGTCGTTGAGGACCCAGCTGCCTTGGCCAGCCAGGTCGATGCCGCGATTCAGAGTCTCGTCTCATCATTTACGGGCACAGATGCCGTCACTCTGCTCGAATTTCTCGGCTACTTTCTGCGCCATGCGAATTCAATTGTATGGAACCCGCGCCTTGATTTTAGACACTCGCTTATACTTCATTTAGATCATCCCTCGCCAGCCTAAGTGGCTCAAGAGTGTGGTCAACTATGTCCAAAACCTCGTCATCAGTCGCCCAACACCCGAGGCACGATCAGCTTACACCAACGCCGCGGCGTCTCTCCTGCAGACATACCAGGCCGAGGTGCCAAAACTCCTCTTCATAGACTCCAAGAATGATGAAAAGCCATTCTCTTACCTATTCGTCAACCTGCTGTTCATTGACATCCGGTCCTCTACCCCTACGCTCCTGGCGCAGCTCAACAAACCCGAGTATCCCAAGGTATCGCGAAGGCTTGCGTCTGCCTTCGACGTCATCTCCATATTCGTGGGATACCTTATCCAGTCCCTCGAAGACGAGTCTTCGGACGCACTAGTCATGTCGCCAGACAACCTCCTCAAGCTCCGCAAGGGCATCTCCGAGACCATGTCCGTTACCATCGAGTACCTCCGTGACCGGTGGGATGCATCTGTTGCTGGCGCAATGGGCCTGCACCCAGACGCCCGCGTTGGGACCACCGATACCGTCACAGGCTCACATCACTCCCTGGCCTGGGACTCGATGAAAGACAATGCTGAAGATGACATGCTCATCCTTTCCGCCGTCCGAGCACTGGCTCTCTGGCTGCGAGAGGATGACAACGATACCCTGCGCAAGGAAACAACTGGACTAATGGATATGTTTATGGACCTCTATCAATCTAGCTCACAGGATAAGCTCGATTTCCGCTCTCCCATCCTGGTTGCTCTCGAAGGCGTTACCGACCTTAAAAAGGGCCGCGAGTCTCTTCTCGCCAATGACGGCTGGCAGGTTCTCTCTCGGGACCTCACCTTGATCTTCCAGCACAGCTCGCCTACCAGCCTCGCCGCTGACGCCTCCCGCGCTACTGACATCGTCCGCATCCTCCTCCCCATTGTTGAGCAGGAGACGGGTGGCATCCCTGAGTCCTGGATGGACCTCATCACTGCCGTCGCTGCCTGGGGAGTCCCTGACCAGGAGCAGCCCACGTTGGAGCTTTCGGTTCAAGAGGCCCAGCTCGCTGCTTTACAGCTATGCTGCGAAGTTCTAGTTGGCGCGAACCGTGGGATGCGGCAGAGGTACAAACACTCTATTGGGGCCATTAATGGAATTGCTGCACAACTTGCTCGACACGTTGACCGTAATGGTCCCCTGAGAGAGATGTTGGAGGATGTTCTGGCTACGCTTGGTGGCTTAGCCCAGGGTGGATGAATGAGACCATGGCATGTGTTGCGCAAAACACACACATTACACAACTGTCTGTCTATCTCACACGCTATTCCCACTACCATTTGCGGAGTACAGAGCATCAGAAGTAGCTGAAACTGCATTTTGCCTTGCACAAACAGGTTAGGTGCTTATTCAGCACACCGACACACCTCACATGTCGTCAGTGTGATCAAAGTTCGTCTACGACGATGAGAGAGGTCAAGTCGGTGAGGGGTAGACGGCGAGTCCGCCGAGAGATGACGGTTATATCTATTTAAGTAGACAGTTGATCTAGGTGCAGCATTAAAATATGAAACCTAGCAAAATCATACAAGCCAAAGATAAAACCGCAATATTGTCCCTTTATCCACTGATTCTTGCCATTTTCAAGTGGTAAAGTACACTTAATTACCCTAAGGTGTATATGAACGCTCTCAGAGCCCCCATTAACCGTCTCAATCACTTCACCAACCTGGTTCGTTCAGCACACCCGCGGACTCTCCACAGCATGACTGCCACGCATTACGACGTCCTAATTATCGGCTCCGGCCAGTCTGGGAACCCCGTTGCCAAGGCGTTCGCCAACGCCGGCCGCAAGACTGCGGTGGTGGAGCGAACTGCCCTCGGTGGGACATGTGTCAACGTTGGGTGCACGCCAACCAAGACGATGGTCTCGTCTGGACGGGCGGCGTACCTGGCACGTAGGGGTGCCGACTATGGCGTGAAGGCTGGCGATGGATCTGTGGCAGTTGACATGGTCCGCGTTCGGGAGCGGAAGCGGAACATCGTCAAGCAGTGGAATAGCGGCAGCGTGAGAGGACTGCAGACGGCAGGCGTGGATGTACTGATGGGAGACGCAAGCTTCGTGGGCAACCGGAAGCTGAAAGTGGTCCTCAATGAAGGGGGAGAGAAAGAAGTGAGTGCCGAGACGGTGTTTCTCAACGTTGGAGAACGGCCTTCACGACCAGCAATCCCGGGACTGGACAACGTGGACCCGGCACGTGTGTTGGACTCGACATCTATCATGGAACTCGACGAGGTCCCGGAACATCTGGTTGTCATGGGCGGGGGATACATCGGCCTGGAGTTTGGGCAACTCTTTCGACGTCTGGGGGCTGATGTGACCATCATCCAGCGGGCCAAACAGTTGGTGCCACGGGAGGATGAGGATGTTGCGCAGTGCATGTTGGACATTCTTCGAGAGGATGGCATCACCGTCCATCTGTCTACCACTGTGGCATCGGTATCAAGTGCCAAGGACGCAAAGTCCTTTTCAGTCACCGCCGAGAAGTCGTCAAACAAGGTCGAGGTTTCTGGCTCTCATCTCCTGGTGGCGACGGGCAGGGTGCCTAACACGGATGGATTGAACCTATCTGCCGTTGGAATCAAGACCACCACCAAGGGCCACATCATTGTCGACAACCAGCTCCAGACCACCGCTCGGGGCGTATACGCGCTCGGCGATGTCCATGGCGGCCCCGCCTTTACACACATCTCCTACGACGACTTCCGCATTATCCGTACCAACTTCCTGGCTGACCAGATGCCATCCACGACCCCCCCTATGGCCACGACGCAGGTCTCACGCTCGCGTACCTCCACACCATATTGTATGTACACCGACCCACAGCTAGGACACGTCGGGTTGCACGATCGGGACCTCGAGGGCCGGGACGTGAAGACGGCCAAGATGCCAATGAGCTATGTCGCCCGGGCGCTGGAGACGGACGAGCCGCGCGGGATGATGAAGGCGACGGTGGACGCAAAGACAGGTGAAATCCTGGGATTCACATGTCTAGGAATCGAGGGTGGCGAGGTCATGTCCATTGTGCAGACAGCCATGATGGGCGGGTTGAAGTGGTGGGACCTGGAGGCAGCTGTATGGGCACACCCAACTCTGGCTGAGAGTCTGAACAACCTGTGGGGACACCTAGAATAGGAAGGCCGATAGAGCATTGAGTGTCTATGAATATGAACCTATTCTCACGACGCTTCAACAGGTGCTGTCTGAGGCTGCGTGTCCGTGACGTTTGTAGCTTCACCCTTCTTCACTGCGGCTTCTGCTTTGGCCCTTCGCTTACGCGCTCGACGAACCTCAATTTCGAGACTGAGCATCTCGGCGTTGATAGAGACGAGCCGGGGAATGATGTCCTCCACCGCTTGGATTGATTGAGTCTGGGCAGTGCGGAGCGGCATCGGGGCGAAGAGTCCAAACCAGTGCAGAGGATTCTTGTTCTTGCCCTTCCTCTTCGGAGCTGGCGTATCATCGTTTTCGTCGCTTTGCTTCTCAGTCTCCTCAGAAGTCTCATTCTTAGGTTCCTCTAGTTCCTCCACAAGGGCATCGACAACGGTAAAGGTGGGCTGTAGTTTGCCGTCCACACCAATGGCCAAGCGTCGAGCGGCTTGCATCCTCTCATCGTAATGGTCCTGGCCGTACCTCATACCCCGCTCGCCAGAGAAGTTTGCTCGCGCAATGTTCTGGTACACACCAGACTGAAGCTGAGACAGACTTTGACGCAGGACAGTGTACTCATTTAGTAGACCGAGGTAACGCTCTAGGAGCTCGTCGATGTGTTGTTGTTCCATTGCGACAGCGTTACTTGTCAAGGGCGACAGCCTCTGAAAGTTTCCGTTTGTGGAGCAGGGTGAATTGCCGGGAGCTGAAGGGCGTCTATTGGTGCTCGGGCAAAGAGCAGAAATCCCTAGAGATCCAACGTGGTGAGACGGGTGAGAATTGAAGTTGAATAATGAGTGAGGGAGAGTGGATGTCGTGGAAGCCGAAGTTGATGCCTGTTGGTGCGTTAGCTGCATCAATTCGTTTTAGCGCATGTGCGGCTTTGGTGGATGCCTTCGTCTAAGGCAGCGGTTGGGACTGACCGCCATGAAGACAACATCGTAGTCGAACATGGAGGAGAATCCAAGAGGTCATTTTCTAAGACTTATTTTGCAGTCCATATACCTCCTAATAACAAGTTTAGGAAAGGATATTTGATCATAATACTCCCAGGTATGTATACCTCCTATTGTATTTTATTTGCGGTTCAATCCTAATGATGTCTCGAAGCTGGGATTCCTTTGACCGCGCATACTAATCTGCCTATGATCGTGATCCAGTCTGGAACTTCACTCCCAAAGGCCTCCCTGTCCAAATCAACTGTGGAATGGCCGATACAAACGAGACCAGACCTAGACTCCAACCCACCGTTCCCCACCCAGCCGTGTCCCTGATCAATCCACCCATGATAGGGCCCAGCATCGTACCGCCCGAGAAGGCCATGTTGTACAGCCCATACGCCTGAGCCACTGGAACCTCATCCGAGTCCTCCTCGTCACCCTGGACGGCCCAGTTGATCTCGGCCATCAACGGCCCAAAGACACACGCCATGGCGATGCCGATCCCGACAAGGAGGCCGCACAGCATGACCTTCTGGGCCATGCTGTTCTCTGAGACGAACCGTAGGCAGATGAGGAACGGTGTCGCAAAGAAGAAGCCGAACGTGGCCAGCCACTTGGAGCCGTATTTGTCGCATAACGCACCCACGAGCGGGGAGCCAAAGCTGGGGAGGATGACGGGAAGAAAGACGAGTCCGCTGCCGATCGAGTCCCAGCCAAAAATATCAGAAACGAGTAGCGGGAGGGTGCTGTCGAATGATGTCTGGATGATGGCCTGGACAAGGGTTCCCCAGAGCGCGGCTAACAGGCGTGGCTGACGCAGGAGCTTGATCAGGGTCCCAATAGGAGAGTGAGAAGTACGTGATGTTTCTTTTGGCGATACAGGTACTTCGGACTGTGTATTCTCTGCATCTTTCTCGGGTCCTGGTGTTGCTAAAGTGCCCTCGCGATTAACTTCGGGATCCTCAGACGGCAGGTTGGAAGGTTGATCTAGCCATCGCTTGGCCTCCTTGACCTCGATGATGACGAGACGTAGCACAATATCTACCACCAACAGGCCGAAGCACATCGCAAACACTGGATAGTACCCCCCTTTTGCGTACACAACACCGCCAAGCAGCGGTGCCGTCAGGATACCGAGACTCGCCGACATGCCGACCCACCCCGTGGCCTTGCCGACGTCGTTGCTATCCACGGAGTCAATGACGAGGGCCAGACCGACAGTCCAGGTTAGTGATGCAGAGATTCCCTGCAAGGCGCGGCCGACCATGAACATGGCGAGTGTCTTACTCAAACAGAGTATTACGGTTGCTGCGGTTAACATGATGAGACCGGTGAGCATGGGCAGTCGACGGTTCCCGATGCGGTCGGCAATGTAGCCCCATATCGCTGCGTTTAAGTGAGTCTCTGAACGGGAACTAGGAGATGGACGGGGCCTATACGGGAAAATATCAAGAGTGCTGCCCCATAGACGGCAAGTGATATTGACACCCAATATTGCACTCTGTCTGCCTCGAGGCCGACTTGCCTCTCCAGCGAGAAGGGCATTATAGGGACGATGACGGCGTACAAGAAGATATCCTGTGCCACCGAGTTAGTGCCTGGCGCTCCATCTTAGGACATGAGGAGGTGGTATTACGGTGAAGACAGCAAAGGAACAACAGGTAACGATTAGGCCCGCGGAAGACCGCAACTTTAGCAGAACTGGCGGCTTGCCGTGCCGTGGCAACTTGATGGCGGTCATCGTGTGGTCTCTGGAAACACCTCGCTCTCGAGTCGAGACTGGAAGATGGTATATTTTCGTATAAGATGGTTGCGCTGAGATGCCCTCAGCCATTCTTGAATCCAATTTTCTCTTATTTCCCCCCCGTCTCCGCCCTCCTCTTGGGCTTTTAAGGATGACGAGTGGAGATCACGCAACCCGCGGGATCCAGTGGCCCAGATGGGGGTTAGCGCCCCTTCAGCCCCGGATAATTATACAAGAGGCAGAGGGCGAGCAAGTTTCTATCACCAGTTGGTTGAATGGGTGGAGAAATACTCTTTGTCAACGTGAGTTTGGTAATCAAACTCCGTACATACTGCGGGATGCTCGTGAGAACCGCTGTGTGGTTGGAGTGCATATGCATGGACCACTGACACGTCTATGAGCTTTGGCACTCTAGTCACAAACCATATGGATTTTATTAACCTTAGTACGACGGACATATAGACACGGTAGTGGGGATAATCCGTAATGCTGGCCTTTAGGTTGCATCGAGCCGCCTGTTTAACAACCAGTCCTTGTCCTTGAATGGTGATATGACACGGGTTAGTAATTATCAGCGCGGTATCTTCCGAGAAGATCAACATGGCGTGGCTTTCGACGTCTTTTGACTATTGGGATGGTTGCTTTTGAATTGCTGAACCCTGGCCTGTGTACAGAGGGCACTCAATTATTCATAACAGCGCGTGGCCAAATTCCAAAAGCCTGTCTAAATGGGCTCTCTGGAGCAGTGGGAATTTAATAGGGGCAAAACACGTTAATTGGATCGTTTTGCTGCCGACTTGACTCTGGTTTCTTGATGGGTTCTTGGACTTGAGTTGTTGGTTTCGGTGGTTGGCTGCTGTGTTGCCTGTCCTCCAGAAGATGCACCCAGACTACAAGATTAGATGACCCTTGTTCTCAACAAGGTTAGGTTACAGTAGTCAATTGACTCTCGATCGGGGAGATTTGCGCGGCCAACCAATATCGAGGTTTCAACCCCAGATGCAGAAGGATGGGAACCAGCGCTGTGTATTTCAAACATATACTGAACCGGGCCGACTAAATGATACATCGGAGTCAAATTCTTACGAGTCCCAAATGATATTTTGTTCCGTTGCACTGCAGCGATCCTTTCATAAGTGCGCCTCGTGGCAGCCCTGATCGAGTGGGATTAGCGCCCGGCGGCAGTGTGCATATGTAGCCCGATCAAGCTAATGAATTCTCCCTCACTGGGTCCCTGCGGTTATGGGTCTCGGGCAAGCAATAATAAACTTGGAGGGGAGGTGGAGATAAAGGGAAGAACTGGCGTTTTCCTGACGCCGAGAAAGGCCTGGTTCCTTCACTAATGACCATGGCCTGTTTGCAGTAAAATAGTTACGTGGTGTGGTTGGGGTTGGGGTTGGGGTTGTGCGGCTTGCCAGCATTTTCAGTGACGCCAGCGCGTGTCATCACAGCCCATGAAGCAATGAGGGCTGGAGTCGGAGCTTGCAAACGGGTCAAATCATTGTGAAAGGCACCTTGCGTGGGGCAATGTCCCTTGAGATATGGAGACAAGCGAGAGGACGTGGCAAGAGGTCGTGGGGGACGTTGATGGTGAGAAGTGGTGATGAGGTAACAACACAACAACGACTGCGAGAACATCGCTACGTGGCGGTGATTCTGGTGACGAGGAGGGTTAGGCAAGAGCACGGGCTGCGCCGTAGGCCGTAGTCCGTAGTAGGGGACGCTAGCAATGTACGGCGTGTGCTGGAGGAGTCTGTCTCAAGCTATCCTGATGGAATTCTTCGACGGCGTGACGGCGTGACGGCGGTTGGGCCGGCGTTAGTTGGTGGGCTAAGGTGAGACAGGCAGATCAAGCCCGCAGGTGACGAACCGGGGGGGAGGACGAAAACCCACCAGAGCTATCTGTGACAATGCAAAGTGCTACTACGTAGCACGTAACTTGGGAGATATCCCAGGCAGGAGGAACGGCTGATGGACCGCCAGGGGCTGCACGTCCAATGCCGATGACACCAGAGCTCGTGTACGAAGTACCGGCGTCGGAAACAAGGTGTTTTGGCGACTCGCAGGCAGGCCAGGGGTCCAGAGAAGGAATGGAAGCGGGATTGACGAGTCCTTCGCTTCGTAGACGGCCCCATCTAGACGAGCACGAGGTGCCGAAGAGTTGGAGAATGATGATGATTTTCGGGGGGCCTCATGGACCCCTTGGAGGCCCTTGTTAGGGACGAGATTTGACCAGAAAAAAAGTAATATCCCTGGGCTGAAGCGTGAGCGCCGTTTGCGCGTGCAGAGATGAGGAAGTTGGTGATTCCCTCGTCCGTCGACAGGGTGCGCGCTGCAGGGCCCCGGAAGACGGTCTCTAGGCCGGCGATAGGGAGCGAGCTCTAACGTTAGCGGGCGGCTGGCTGCATCCGTGCTTGGCTCGGCGCTCTGGGTCCTGGACAGGGCTGGCGATTTGCATCTGGGCCGTGAGACGGGAGGGCCGTTGCCTTGCGGAGAGTGGCTTGGAAAGGTGCGTCGAGGGTTGGTTGGTTTGCTGGTTTTGTGATACCCTGTGAAGACGCGTCGTTGGCCGAGGTCCAACTGGCGAAGACGGATTGTGGTGGCCGTCTGCCTCACGTCGAATACGATGAGACGAGACGAGGCGAGGACGCATAAGCGAAGCAATCAAACAAACAAACTTGGCATCGAAGAAGTGAGGCAAGCAAGCAGGCATCACGTTGTGTAATGCTCCGTCGGGACTACGACGTACTTCTCCTCATTACGGGGTACGGTATGTGGTTCATCGTCCATCGTCAATTAGAGAGGGTCCTCTCACACCCCGGTCGCCCAGAAAAGGGCCCGAGAAAACGATTAATCAATCAAACAAACAAAACAACCTGCGGCGGTTGGTTTCGTCCCAAATTCTCAATGCGCCTTATCCCGGCTTCGGGGGTCCAGGTCGAGGATCCCTGCTCGAGGATCCCTTGCTCGCATCGAGCCTCGAGGGGCACGACGAGGCAGTGGGCGCGGGCTGGCCACGGCGTTTTGGTGGCCGCCTCGTCATGCGCAGTTCGCAATTTGCTTTGGGAGCACGCTTTCGCACACGGGGAGACGAAGCAAGCCGAGAAGGGAAGGGAAGTGAAGTGAAGTGAAGTGAAGGGAAGGGAGGCGGGCTCAATTTGCGGCCTCTCGTGAGGGTGAGGGTGAGGACAGCCATCCAGCGAAGCCAGCCAGCCCATCCATTGAACCAAGGATCCGATCCAACAAAGGGCAAGGTCCGCCTCACGCCTCGGGCTCCTTCGTACTAATTAGTTCGACGTGGACGACGGTCCGTGGGCCGGAGCGAAAGCCTTCACACCCAAGAGTTGGGCGGCGGCCATGGCGTAACTTTTGGGTAATCGGCTGGGAGCTGAACACGACCCGAGAGGAAGCTCGAAGTTGATGGGGATTCCCTGCAGTACAAAGTACACACGCACACGGCAGGGCAGACAACGGCGTGAAAGGACAGGATATGACAGGATAGGATGGGACAGGCATCACCCTTACAAACAGCCACAACTCTTGGGCCAGGGAATCCCACCATCGACTTGTCTGATTCCATCGTCCCATCTTGACAACCCCTCTCCTTTGTGCCCCTCCTCTCCCCCTTCCCCTATTTTTCCCCCCCGTTATTCGTCTTCTTTCTTTCTTTTCCGTGGTTTCGTCATTTGCTGTCTCGCAAGATGCGACGCATGTCGGAAAAGGCCCCAGACAGCACGACCCATCTCGGCGTCGATTGGGTCGCCGTGTTTTCTTTGTCTTTGCCAACTAAATGGAGTGGCGAAGAGTGAGGTCATCATGTGACTGGATAGAGTAACTTTTTCTGTGCTTATTGCAGCACTTTCTTCTCTGCTTGGTGTGTAGTATTACCTTGCAGTGAACAAAGAAGCATCGCTGTTAAATGTTGCATGGTTGCATCACTGAATCGCTGCATCACTGATGAATCGCTGCACGTCTAAACTACGCCCGGGCCTTGTTTGCACTGTATCTGCCAGTTACGCCGTACCCGGCAAGTTACTCCGTACATGTCTGTCCCCCTGATGGCGCGCCATTCTCAGATGCCGCATGTAGAAATGTAATTGTCCTTTCCGGGCACTCAACTCGAAGCCTGTCGCTCAACTCGAAGCCTGTAGTCCCTCGGCATCGTTCTCCTTTCCCATTATCCTGCCCCCCCTGAGTGCTCTCCCCCCCGTTTCACATCGATTTTCCGCAGCTGCCCCGGTTGGTCATCACAGGCCTGTTCCCCTTCAATCACCAGGGGCCGTAGCGTTGCAGAGCGGACAGACAGCACGGCAGAGGTGCAAAGCCGCCCAGGGATGGAACCACGCCAGCCGCTAGGCCAACGGCTACCTATTGCTGACTTTGTACTTCGTACTCCGTACTCCGTACCATACCATCAAAGCGCAGCTGGGCGAGCTAAGCCAGCCTCCTGGGCTGGGCCATACAGACTGCTTGCGGCGCAGAGGGCGGTGCCTGAGGAGAGACAGTATTAAGGTAGGCTGAGCAGGACTGTGGGCGCTTGTAATAGGTGGCCGCCTGTATTTGGGGTTTGATGCATGTAGATGCCCATCCTTTGCACCCGCTGCGTACTAACATAAAGCAATTGAAGGGAAAGAGAAAGAAAGAAAAAAAAAAAAAGGCTTCTGGCCACGCGCCCCGGCCGTCCTCCCGCCGTCTCGGTGCACCCCCGGCCGCTCACTGCTGGCTCACTGGCTGGGAACGGCTCTGGACTGGAGTCGACGGCGTTCTTTTTACCCTGGCCTGGGCTGGCTGCACGCTGAGCTCCACCTGGTAGCCCCCCCCCCCAAAGCAAGCCTGGTTTATGGCTGGGCTGGGCTGGCTGCTGCCTCCGCTGCACATCCATGATAGCACCCGTCCAGGCGCTGCAGGGCCAACAGGCTGGGCGACTGGGCGATTGGGCGCCTGTTGGCAGCCTCCTGGGGCTGGCTTTCGGCTGCTGACCTAGGTACCTACCTACCTCGTTAATACTGCTTCGACTTGGCCTTGACCTAGGTACCCTTTCCAGGACTCCACATCTCTGTCCACTCTTCTCCTCTCGTCGCACTCTGTAGGCCTGTAGCCCCCCCCTCTCTCCTCTCCCCTCCCCCCATTCTCCCGCCTCAATCCCCATTCACTCACTTGAGGTTCCCACCCGCTTGCACTTGGCCTGTCGTTCTGCTGCCCGTTAACTGCTTAGCTCAACTGCCTAGCTCACTGCCTTCTGCCAACCATCACCACCGCCTACGACGGCCTTCCTCCTTCACCTCACCTTGCCTCACCATACAACTCTCCGCCAACCAACCTCACCTCATCAGCCGCCTCCCACCCCCGAGACCTCCCCCGACATCCCGTTCCGACTCCGACCTGTTCCTCTGCCCCCGATTCAACCTCACGCTCTCTCGCCCGCTCGCCCGCGCGCCCGCCGATCAACTTATCGTCACTCTCTTCGAGGACCTGCATCCCGCATTAGGTAGTCGAGCTCCTGCCGAGGACAATGGCGGTGGTCGCAACTATCAAGTATGTCCTGCTGCCTTTTGCATTCTGCCTGCGCCATTTCTGCCTCCTCTGCCTCCTCTCCTTCATCTCCCTCGTCGAGTTTCGCCTCGAATCGCTCATCCCTTTCGCCTTTTACCGACTCCATCGTCATCATCGTCGTCGTCGCCCACCGCCTCCAGCTCTCCCCCCAACCCCCAACCCCCCGGCATCCACCCGCGCATCATCACTGCGTACCTCTCTTCTCCCCTGCTGCTCCCTGCAAAACTGTCACTGATCACTGCATGCGTCTACAGGTGCGTCGTCGTCGGCGATGGTGCTGTCGGAAAGACTTGTCTTCTCATCAGCTACACAACCAACAAGTTTCCCTCCGAATATGTCCCGACCGTCTTTGATAACTACGCCGTCACCGTAATGTGAGTTTATCTCTGCGCCCAAAGATCTACGCTTGCCCCTCGCACCCCACCAGCGATTGGTACTATTTTGGTGTCGTCGCAAGTCATCGGCCCGAGCAAATATCTCGAGAGCTGTGGCTTAGCAACATGGCGGGCGGATCTTGTCGCTTCGCATGCGGTCTTGCGGTTCTCGAACACCAACTGACTAGTTGGTGACAGGATTGGTGATGAGCCCTACACACTCGGCCTGTTTGATACCGCTGGTCAAGAAGATTACGACCGACTGCGACCTCTTTCATACCCCCAGACCGACGTTTTCCTCGTTTGTTTTAGCGTCACATCGCCCGCCTCGTTCGAAAACGTCCGCGAGAAGTGGTTCCCCGAGGTTCACCACCACTGCCCCGGCGTTCCCTGCCTCATCGTCGGCACCCAAGTGGATTTGCGGGACGACCCCAGTGTCCGAGAGAAACTCTCGAAACAAAAGATGGCCCCTGTGAGGAGGGAGGATGGCGAGCGAATGGCCAAGGACCTGGGTGCCGTCAAGTACGTCGAGTGCAGTGCGCTCACGCAGTTCAAGTTGAAGGATGTGTTTGACGAGGTATGTGATGAGAAATGGGACCCTGCGAGTGTTGTTTTGCGCCTGGGTTGGAACTGACTCGTGATATCACAGGCCATCGTTGCTGCTTTGGAGCCCCCCGCCCCGAAGAAGAAGTCGCATAAGTGCCTTGTCCTATGATTGGGGCAAGGTCAAAGCCGCGGCCCGGCGAGGGCCACCATTGTCCGTCCTCCCCTAGGCATTTGGTGACCAGACAAGGGAAGCTCCGTCGACAGGAGTCTCAACCCAGATCAGAGGGCTGTAGCGACATGCGGGACGTGGTCTGGGCAGACGAAATGAGACGGAGGGTCTGTGGTCGATCTGACACGCGGAATGAATCGGGCAATGGAACGAAGCTTGGGGAGCGGGTGTCTCGTTTCATGAGCATGGCGAAAGATGGGGCGCGTCGGCGATGAAGAGTATGGGCGCTTGCAGAGGCCGTCGAAGGCGGTGCCGGACAGTGTCTCTGTGTTTGATGAGCCAGCCTTGTGCCGTCAGTCTTTCTGCGTTTATTGGACCGGAATCTACAATGCTCTTTATTCTTGGTTCTCTCTTGAAATCTTTGGGAGGAAGCGAGAAGCGGAGAGAGGAGGAGCGAAGGCGGGGGAATTCATAAAGCCAGGCGGGAACGCTTCGATAGGACAGTTTGGCGATTGGAGTGCATTTTAAATCGATGGTCTTGTGTTGTATTTTGCAAATGATGCCGGCGCCCACAACCTATGGAGTATGGAGTATGCAGTATGCAGTTGGTGGTCTAGCTCACGGTGGATGTACCAAGCCCGCCACTCACCGACGACCAAGGTGGAGGATGTGACGTGATTTGTGTAAAATGGCTTGGGACGATTGCGACAAATCCATGGATGCCCGGGGTGGCCTCTCACCTGGGGCTGAGCTACGTTTGGGACGGTTAAGATAGGCCTCTAACTTAAGCGGTTGTTGGAAGTGGTGGAAGTGGTGGAAGTGGTGCAAGTGTTGGAGGACTAGGCAAACCTGCCCACTAACCACCCAAGATCTCTTGGACGCCGGGCCGGTGCACAGCGTGCTGACCGCCGGGATGGAGAGCGAAGAAGTCGGAGGTACTTGCCAACGTACAACAGACTAGTAGTGCCTAGAGGTCGGTAGATATGGTTCGTGGGACGAGGGAAATAGTGGGATCGCCTCCATTCTCCCTCGCACTCTTTCGGGGTCTCTTTCTCCCTACCCAGTTACTGCTCCCTGACAGGTCATGCATGGGACGGCATGCTGTGGGTTTGACAACGCAACGCCCGTCTGGGCTGCTGGGGCGGCGGCGTCTGCAGTTGCGGTTGCAGCGAGTTAGTTGCAGCCCAGGCGCAGGCTAGACGTGGCCAAGGATGCCTTTCCCCGCCCGCTGGAGTCCCGTTTGACGCCCGCCGCGGGTGAAAATTAGGAGGGCGAGTCCATTTAGCAAGTGGTGCGTGTCTGGAAACAGCAGGTAGATGTTGGAGGAACCCCGGTTGATGCTCACGATAAGCCGTGGTTGAGGTGCCTTTCCTGTCGGGACGAGATGAGCATTCCCGCATGGGAGGACGGTGATTGGGCCATCGGGCGGCCGTTAATGACCTGGCCAGAGGGCGACTTGGATCTGGTCGAGGCACACGTGAGTGGTCCTCACCGAGTGTCGATCGACGACGGGATGTCGGAGAATACCCTTGCTAGCATATACAATCCAATGCAACGATTCGGAGTAAATCGACCGTGGCAAGGCAAGGAGGAATGCGGGAATGCAGGCGAGTAAAACGGCCGCCTATCAGCAAAACCAAAAAAAAGAAGACGGGACGAGCCAAGACCGAAACACGCAGACAGGCTCCGGGCAGAAAATCGGCAAACTTACACCACCGCTAATAAGTGCCTTCTGCGAGGCATCCATAACGATTCACGCTCTACTCAAGTACAGACGATGCCTTCGCCAGTCGTCGCTGTGGGACTGCCCCCCGGCCACTCGTCGTCTTACGTATTGGATATTCTTTCGACTGAGACTGATTGGAAAGATGTAGAATACGGTGTCATCTAGAACGTAACCAGCCGTACGCCATGGGATCCCTCGCCGAACACTTCCTTGGGGATGGTGGGAAGCATAAATCTTGGGCTCTACTTACAAGGCCACTTGCACTTGTATGCCCCGATAGGGCTGTGGTGAGCCGGCCTTGACCGGGAATGCCTTCTTTCTCTGGCTGGACGAGATTTGCAAAAAAAGGAAATTTAGCCGGAAGCCCACTGCGGGGAAGAACGTCCAAGTCGGCTCCGGTGACGGTGATGCGATTGGCCAATCAACTGGGCTATCTCAGTACTATAGGGCATCTACTCGGGCGGCTCCAATTCCCCCGCGGGCATGACGGGGTCCAGCATTGGAGGGAATCTCGCTGTCTGTTGCCTCGAAATGCGGTGCCACGGATGCCGGGCTGCCCAAGCGACGCCTGTGATACGTCGAGCCGATCAGTTCGAGAGGGTGCGTGGGGCTTGGGGAATTGCCGGCGCATAATGCATCTGTTGATAGCTCGCCAGAATGTTGCAGCCCGTCCTTCCTCCGGCTTCTGACTCGGGGAGGCCGGCGGCGGCAGTGGGTATGGGGGGGTCACCGCCGGCGAGGCTGCGGGCTTTTCTTAATGACGATGTATTTATTGGCTTTGGCCTTCTCCTCCTTGATTCCTGGTTTCTTTTCTTGCTTGTGTTTCCGTTACAAGCTCTGCAAGCAACCTGCAGATACCGACCCTCGACGCCATGAAGTGTACCGCCCTCTTGAGCCTGCTGGCCCTGGCGGGGCTGTCTGCCGGGTGTGGCCATGATCATGACGACAAGGAATGGACCCAGGAGGAGTTGGCCGAGCTCCAGGCGAAATGGGGTAACGAGGTTGGTCTATATCCCTTGCTGGATCTTCCTAATTGAAGCTCGAAATGAGAGGGGGGCAGCATGAACTGACCATCCCATCATCAAGTGGTCCTTCAACGGCATCGGCACCTTCGCCCACCTCAACCACGTCAAGTGCCTCACCGAGCCCACCGAGCCCTTCGACATCGCCATCGTCGGCGCGCCCTTCGACACGGCCGTGACGTACCGCCCGGGAGCCCGCTTCGGCCCGCGCGCCATCCGCCAGGCTTCGGCCCGCCAGACGTCGTTCCGCGGCTTCAACCCCCGCGCCGGCATCAACCCGTACCAGAACTGGGCCAAGGTCGTCGACTGCGGCGACATCCCCATCACCCCGATCGACAACAACATCGCCCGCGAGCAGATGACCCAGGCCCTCAAGCAGCTCGGCCGGAGGAGGACCGTCAGCGCCCTCGCCCCCAAGCCCAAGCTCATGACCCTCGGTGGCGACCACAGCTTGACCCTTCCTGCGCTGCGCGCCCTGACCGAGGTCTACGGCAAGCCGATCCAGGTCCTCCACTTCGATGGTGAGTCTATATCTGCATCTCCGTGCTTCTAGAAACCTTAGTTGGCAACACTCATTCGCCAGCTCACCTCGACACCTGGAACCCCGCCGCCTACCCCTCGTACTGGGGCGAAACCCACTTCACCCACGGCTCCATGTTCTGGATGGCCAACCAGGAGGGCCTCCTCTCCAACTCGTCCTCTGAGCCCTCCGTCCACGCTGGTCTGCGCACCCGCCTGAGCGGCACCGACTGGGCCGACAACATCGACGACACCGCCCAGAACTGGATCCGCTTCCCCGCCGACGAGATCGACGATATTGGTGTCAAGGGCATCATCAAGGGCATCATGTCCGCGCTCGGCACTGAGAACCCTGTTTACCTGTCCGTCGATATTGACGTCCTCGACCCGGCCTTTGCTCCCGGTACCGGCACCCCCGAGCCCGGCGGCTGGACCACTCGCGAGTTCATTCGCATCCTGCGCGGTATCGAGGGACTGAACCTCGTTGGCGCCGACGTCGTCGAGGTGTCCCCTGCGTACCAGGGCAATGGAGAGGAGACGTCGCTGGCTGCCGCGCAGGTCGTGTATGAGCTGATCACCTCCATGGTCAAGCGCGGACAGCAGGATATGGGCAAGGAGGGGGATTCAGGCCACGGTGACGCCAAGGATGAGCTGTAAACAGCATGGCAGGGCAGGAATATATCGGAATCTTTCTGAGGCCAGCCAATCCTACAGCCCGGAGTGGTTGTTGGCAGATGACGTTTGAATCTGTGAGAAGATGTCGGCAATGATACTCACATGAGGATCTGCCAATTGGAGGACTGTAAAAATGAGAGCGGGTTTGCCATGTACGCCGATGAGGCATGACGGATCATGACGCATCCGATCTAACGAGATGACGGAGTCTCCGACTCGCAAGAATGTATACAATGAGCATATGTAGCGTTATGAAAGAGGAGACGAAAACCAATTGATACCAAATTGCTTATCATGACATGGTCTGCAACTCGTTAGTTGAGCAAGTACGTGATGCAGTTTCCTAGGGGCAACTGTGTTACCTCTAGGAAGTTGCCTCTGGTCTCTGCCGTTAGGAGTCGACTTCGACTACCTTTGGCAAGACATTGCTTAGTTCAAAGCTCGTCAAATATATGCCATACGATTAGGGAGGACCCGAGTACGTCTAATTCCTGGTGGAAGTTTGACCTCTCTCCTCGCCGATATCGTAGGGCAGCGCAGGCTTACTCTTGTCAAGCCGAGATCATCCTTGATGATTTTTCATGGCAGACGCCCTGAAATAGCAATCCCGATTTCCAAAGGTTGTTGTCATCGATCGTACGGATGAAGGACACGAATACGACTCGACGGCCGGGATCCTCTATATGCTTGACAAAATGTCTCTCTCGTAGTGACGTTGTTGAGGTAAACGAGAGATGGGGGATGCCATCTACCCGTCGTTCTGGCGTGTTCTCACGTGGAGAATAAGGTCTATTCCAGGGAGACAAACCCTAGCGACTGCGGGTCATAATAGGCATCGACCGTCCGATGTTGGTGTCAGAGATATTATATTGTTGGCGGCTTAATGACAATGGACAGCAATGAAAGCCATGAATTATGGTTAACCACGACAGACACACAGACCAGCGAAGGGAGTTTGCTCCTGCAGCGCCCGAATGTCATGATGACGATGAGTCCCGATAAACATCAATCAATAGGCACGTTACCTTGCCTCAGAGTGGATATGGGCCGAGTTTCTTCACAGGCATGGCGAGCCAGCACACGGGGCCAATGATGTGCGTCTTGCATGGGTTGCTGAAAGCCATGCCAGGAGGCCTGGGTGCCGCCAAGACGGACGTTGAATTAAGTCCTGACGAAGTGGACGACGCAATGCGTGAATAACCGGGCGATAGGATTAGCGAGGGCGAGTCCTAGATGGAGAGGTTGAGAGGACACATTCAATATAGTCGAAAAGCTTGCTACTTCTGGCGGTAAACGAAGTTTTCGCTTCGAGCCGTGATGGGAGAGAGTTTCAGGTGACGGAGGCGATCGCGTACTAGGCGGCACGGTTCGGTTGAGCCAGGGTCCGCTGCAGGCGAATGTCCTTGATCTAGGCCCTGAACGGGACTCAACCCCGTGGATTGGGCATCGGCTTGTGTCTCTGCCGTTGTGATGTGGAAGAAACATGTGGCTTTCCACAAGGGATGAATAAAGTCGAAGCAATGTGCAAATACCCTAGTACCTGGTCCGCGTCCGCTGGGATGGCTGAAAGGAACCCCAAAGCCACAATCATTGGCTCCCAGGCCTTTCAATCAGGCTTAATCACGGTGGCGCGATGCTTCAGCGATGCTTTCCCATTCAAGGGAGGTGGTGCCGGCTAACAATGATACTGGACCTCAATGGTTTCAATGGTTTCAATAGTGAATGAGGCCGTCCGACCAAACCAACGTAGGCTTGGCCGGAGCCAATTCGAAAAGGTGGGGATGAGGCGCTTGTGGTGAATGAGCCAAGGGATGCACGTAAGCTACTGTTTGACCGCGTATGTTGTGCGGATGTTATGTTGCGTGCTACGGATCCAGAGACGGGGTATGGAAATGATGGTGCGGCGGCACGGGAGATGGCGAGATGGTGGGATGGCGCAACGATGGGGTCGGTGGAGAGGGCCGCAGACAGGCAAAAGCCCGTGATGACATGATCGATGATTGATGGCATTTTAGAGTGCGTCCTCTTGTCCAGAATTTGTCCTTGGGGTCGGCTCGATTCCCGCGATGTAAAAGTCCGACTGGGCTAGGCTAGGTGTCGTTTCGCATCCTGTCAAGCGTTCTCTGTAAGGGAGCCGAGGGGCTGGGTGAGGAAGATGGCCATGCTTTTTTCCAGGCCCAGGAATGGAGTGTCAAGCGTAAGGCATAAAGAACGGTAGGGGTAGGGAGACCTAACACTCCAACAACCCAGGGAATGATTAAGGCGCTGCGGTGGGATTGGTGGCAATGACATAGACAGACGGCCATTGGCGGGGATGCTGTCGTGACCGTTCCCTCATGGGAGCGGGAATCGCATCGGACATCCATGGCATCCATCCATGGCATCCATGACATCCATGAGCTCCCCCTGCTGATGCTCATGCTCGGGTCTTAGGGACACTCGGAGGGCCTCGGATACTCACCAGGCCAAGCAGAGTCCAGAGGCACCCTCTCTCCTCTCCCGCAGCACTGGGTGTCGAGGTCCCACGCGGCTGGTGCATCTGGAAACGCCTGAGACACTTCCCAAAATAGAACCCCATGGTTGCAAAGGCGGTGGCCGTGGGAGGCTGACCCCCTTGCGGCTGTTTCACAGTAACTAGGGCATGCGGCGAGGAGTCCGCCGTGAATGCAAGTGGGCTTGGAATTGCTCAACTTGCCGGGCCGGTATTGTACGAGAGAATGGGGCCTCACGGGAATGCCATCGAAAGCAAGTCAAGCGCCCCCCCTTGTGCCATGATGGTTGTGAATAAGTGGTGACACGACAACGGCAGCATGGCCCAGCGCTAACCAGGCTGCTGCTTGCCAATAGTACATACGGAACACACCACCAGTCAGGTCGCTACCAAATAACGTAGTACGGGCGGTTGGATGAAAGCCAACCCAACACACGAGGGTCCCCAAGGTTTCGGGCGGCGCCAGCGTTGTGCCCGGTATATTAGCGCGTAGAAACGGACAGTACCCATTACGCCTTTCCTAGTTGCCGTTAGCTATCCGCTACTTGCTGCGTAGGGGTCCAGTTTAGGGGGGGTTGAAGAAGACAATAGGAAACTTAACAAGGGCATGGACAGCAATGGTGGGAACTTTTCTAGAAAGGGATGGGAACGAGGTGGCATCGGGAAGTGACATGAGGTGGGATCAATCTCAAGGTGGGGGGCGATCGAAATCAATGAGGGAATGATTGATGATTGTGTGACCTTATTAGGAAAGGAAGCCAGGAGTTGATGGGATGGCGTGTGCATGAATGAAATGAATGAATAAATGGTGGATGGATGAACCGCCTTGGGATGTGATGTGGGAAGATTGCTGGTTGGCTAATGAATGAAAAGGGGGCATGGAGGGCGAGTCTTGAAAGGAAAACAAGGTTTTAGAGGTCTTAGAGTCCTAGACCCAACGGTTGGGAGAGCGGAGAGCAGGTAATTGCACGGTTCTTGCCTCCCTTTGGTAGGTACTTAGGGATCACCCAGGTTCCATTCATTCATTGCCTACCTTGGGTGGGTGGTGGAATTCTGCAGGCGATGCGCTGTCAAAGCAGGCGACAGGGCTGAATTCCCGGAATACGGACGTTGAGATAGGGGAAGTTACTATGTACAGCCACCCACACAGGAGATGATGGATGACTGTGTATCTGGGCCTAATTACCTAAATTATGCCATCTCAGGTACGGAGTATTACTACGTATGCAGGTGGTCGGATAGACCAAGCTAAACCAAAATGGTAGTCGAAACACCCAGCATCGATAGACATCCCGGTTGTTTCAATCCCCATCTTTGGGCTTGCGTTATATGGATTGCGTGTTTGGAGCACGCGGCTGGCCTCAAGTACAGTACCTGGCCGCTGTTCATCACGGGTAGAGTCGCGTGGTCGTTGAGGTAGATGCATGCAAGCCGGCGCCGTGTGGGAGCGTGTGGACTTGGTGGACGGGGGATGATTGGCCGGGCGTGCACAACACGTCCTGCTACGTACGCACTAATACGCACTCCCAATGGGGGGGGGATATGACACCTAAACGGTAAGTAGGGGGGGGGGGTTCGTTCAGGGGTTCCTCGATTCACGGGCTGCTTGTGCACAAAGCCGGCTCCCCACAAAGCAGTTGAGCTGGGTACAGGACCTGTGACGGGTAATGGACGTGAGACGTGTCGACTGAATGTTGAGACCAAAGAGCTACATAGTACCGGTAGACCAAGAGACCAAGAGACCAAGATAACAAACCAAGTTCCCCCGTACGTATCGTATTCCACCCCGTTCTGTAATTACAGAAACATGTCGCACACAGCGGCCTCGTCTGGACCGCTGAGCGGTGTCAGCATCAACGACCATGCCCCCTGTCGCCGTCATTAAACTATCGCCACAGCCAATTCCAATCTCGTCCTCTTTGGGCAATCGTCCTGCGTCGCCCCAGAGCCGGTGGCCGACCGTCTCGCTTTCACCCGCCGCCGCCGCCGCCGTCGCCGCTGCTGGTGCTGGCCAATCCTCTCGGTCGATTCGATCCGTCCCCCCCCTGGCTAGGCTGATTGCCCCTGTCGCCCTCGCCCTGGGGCACTGAGGACTGGGGCGCTGGCTTTCCCCTGTGCTACGTGTTCTGGGCTCCTGTCCCCTGTCCTGTTTTGTGCTGTGGTGGTGGCCTTCTCCCCGTTTAGCCTCTCTTTTGCTCGCTGGAACTCCTCCTTACCGGGAAGGCTATTCACCTGGCCACTGCTATGTACCACGTCGTCGGTCAAGGTACCTTGTCTGGGCATGCAGCCTCCAGCTGAAGCCTCAATTGCTGGCCCCTGGCTTGTTCTGGTTCCTGTTCCTGCGCGTTCTCCGGCGCATGTTTGTCCTGTCCTGTCCTGATTCTCGGAACTCCCCCCCCCCCCCTCTCTCTAATGCTGCAACTGCGACTTGCTACAGCACACTCCCAAATGCGTCTCGTAAATACGCACACACCCCCCAAATCCCCAATGCTTCCAGCTGTCCCCTCCCCTAAAACTCCCCCCGTCGCTCTCCTAAAAAGTCCCCTTCTCAGGGCTCCTTCCACCGCCGCCAACGCCGCCACCACGCCTCAGCTCAGCGTCTGCATCTGTCTCTCTTGTCTCCGCCATCCTTTTTCGGCGTCCCTATTATTTTCTTCATTTCATATCCCTCTCTCCACCTCCACCCATATCCACCCTACCTCCTCCACCCTCACTCCCTACCCGGTCGGCTGGTCTCTTCCTCTCCCTCCCTGACCTGACGCCTCTTTTTGCCTTATTACCTGGCCTTATTTCCTACTGCTTTGTGCTTTTTCCGGCCTCAGGCTCCCCGTGGTCCTGGTTCTGGACGTGGTCGCTTTCTCCAATCCGAGCTTTCTCGCCTTCTCTCGTTGTCTCTCTCTCTTCTCCACAGTCCACCCACTCCCACCTCCCACTCACCCTCCTCCTCCAAGGACTCTCCCTCTCTCCCTTTTCCCTTCTCTCCTGGCTCGAATCCTTTGGACCCTGCCTCCGAGTTCCAGCTCAGATGCTGTTCCGTCTCGCTTCCTTCTCTTGAGACACGTCTTTCTTCGGCTTCGGTCGACGCTCGTTCTGTCTGTATTACCTTCTTAATACTTTCTCTACTTGCTTCCCCTGGATGCTCGCTTGAGCTCCCCCCTACGCGCTTCTCGCTTATTCTCCTTCGACTCTTTCGACTATTTCGATACGCTCGCTCTCTGCCGCTTATACCTCTTACCGCAGCTGCCGCCTTGCCTCGCGATCCTTCTCGACTCGGCCGAAGCTCTTAAGATTCGATCACCCTATATACATACTAAACGGTCGCTTGCTGGGACGACCTACCTCGATTCCACGAGCTGCTTCCACTTGTTCACCTTTGGATACCACATCGCCTTATAATCCTCGACTTCTGTCAGAATTACTCTGCATACTTGACTTGCTTCTGCCTTTTGAGCTCTTGAGAGCCCCTTTTCACCCACTGGCCTGTTCTAACAAGCTTGGCTGATCCTTTCTCACACTCCTTGCTTCGTGCCCTGACTCGGCACGTCCAAATCTTCACAACGGCTGTTCTCTCGCACAACGGGCGGGACTCCCTTGTCCCCCCTCATCTGCTCGGTATGCAGGACCTCAATGGACCCGTCGGCCAGCAGGGCGCCCCCAATGGCGCTCAGCAGAACCGTTACCAAGGACACGTCTCGAAGCCTTCCAACAGTGACACTGGTTTCTCCCACGGCGCCTTCAACTCGAACATCTCGGGCTTCGCTGACCGCCATCCTCGACGTGGCAACATTCCCTCCATTAACACCCAGCCCATGACCCAGCAGCCGTCTGGCAATGGAGAGAACATGGCTACCCCGGGCACTGCCTTTGACATGCAGTTCACTCCCCTTCTCCCCTCGCAGCTGCTGCTTGGAAGCCCCTTCCAGCCAGGCACTCCCGCCGCTTTTGGTAGCCCTCAGTTCCAGAGCCTCCCTGGCTTCCAGCAGGCCCAACAGCACCTCAACAACCAGCAGCAGAACGGAATGACCAGCCCGATCCAGCAGAACATCTCGCCCCAGTCTTACCAGACCATGGTTTCTCCCTCGACCTACGGAGCTCCCCAGTTCTACCCGCCGCAGTCTCCTACCGGCGGGTTCGGCATGCAGAGCCCCCTCCCTCCCACCTCCCCCGTGTCCATGGGTTCTGGCGTCGTCACCGGAACTAGCCGCACTGTCTACCTTGGCAACATTCCCCCGGATACCACTGCTGAGGAGATTCTGGGCCACGTCAGGAGCGGTCAAATTGAGTCGGTCCGCCTCTTGCCGGACAAGAACTGCGCCTTCATCTCTTTCCTGGACGCCAGCTCCGCCACCCACTTCCACTCCGATGCCATCTTGAAAAAGCTCTGCATCAAGGGTCAGGATATCAAGGTTGGCTGGGGCAAGCCCTCTCAGGTCCCGACTTCCGTCGCCCTGGCTGTTCAGCAGTCTGGCGCCTCGCGTAATGTCTACCTTGGTAACCTCCCCGAGGAAATCAGTGACGATGAGCTGCGAGAGGACCTTGGCAAGTTCGGTGCCATTGACACTGTCAAGATCGTGCGTGAGAAGAGCATCGCCTTCGTCCACTACCTGTCCATTGCCAATGCCATCAAGGCCGTCTCCCAGCTCCCCCAGGAGCCCAAGTGGCAGGCTCCCCGCCGTGTTTACTACGGCAAGGATCGTTGCGCTTACGTTTCTAAGACCCAGCAGCAAAACGCCGCTCAGTACCTTGGTATTGCCCCCGGCTATGCCCACATGCTGACCGGTGCGGACCGCGATCTCATTTCCAACGCTCTGGCTCAGCAGTCCGTTGCGGCTGCTGCCGTTGCCACCACTGCTGGCGGCATCAACAACCTCGGCAACCGAACCATCTACCTTGGTAACATTCACCCTGAGACGACCATTGAGGAGATTTGCAACGTGGTCAGGGGTGGTCTGCTTCACCACATCCGCTACATCCCCGACAAGCACATCTGCTTTGTCACTTTCATCGACCCTACCGCTGCGGCGTCCTTCTACGCTCTCAGCAACCTTCAGGGCCTGATGATCCACAACCGCCGCCTCAAGATCGGATGGGGTAAGCACTCGGGTGCCCTCCCCCCTGCCATTGCCTTGGCTGTGAGTGGTGGTGCGTCACGAAACGTCTACATCGGCAACCTAGACGAGACCTGGAACGAGGAGCGCCTCCGCCAGGACTTTTCCGAGTATGGTGAGATTGAGCTGGTCAACACTCTTCGCGAGAAGAGCTGTGCGTTTGTCAACTTTACCAACATTGCCAACGCCATCAAGGCCATCGAGGCTATCCGAGGCAAGGAGGAGTACAAGAAATTCAAGGTAAACTTTGGCAAGGATCGTTGTGGCAACCCCCCTCGCCAGATGCAGCAGAACCAGTCCCCCCGTGGCGACGGTGTCACCTCTCCTGCACCCAACAGCAACAGCAACGGCTCCCAGAACGGTGGCTCACCCACCAACGGCAACACTCCTCAACAGTCAGCAGCGCTCTTCAACGCCAACAGCAACCCCCTGACCATGTACCTCAACCAGGTCTCGCACCAGGCCCACCAGCAACAGCACCAGCAGCACCAGCAGATTGCTGTCCAGCAGAATGCTCTCTTCGGTACTGCGCAGCCCTCGCCCAGTGAGATGGGCTTGGATGTCCCTCAGCAGGTTCCCATCTCTGGCCACGGCCAATCGGCCAGCATCTCCAACGGCTTCCCTGCGAACGGTGCTGGGCCCGGAGCCACCACCATTGGTGGCCTCCTAGCCCCTGGACCTCGTGGTCAACACAACCGAGCCGTGAGCCTGCCTGTGCTTGCGCCCGGCTTCGAGAACGGAGGCAACGGAGTGCCCAATGGTGATGGCGAGCGACGCGGTCACCAGTATCAGGCCAGCTTTGGCGGCATGGGATCTGGCTTCGGTCTAGCTATCCAGGGTGGACTGAACGGATGGGTTGAGGAAGAAGTTGCCAACTAATGAACTCCTGCATCTCACAAATTCACTCTCTGCGCGGTCGAGAAGTAACGGGAAAAATTGCCTAATTGTTGTAATTGCCGAACGGGTCCTGTGCCTTGTCCTTTCATGTTGGGTTTACACACGCCTCATTTCTTTGTTTCATCCCTTTTCTTGATAATTACCTCATTCGGTGTATGATGTTGGATCTGCCTTTTCCCGGGTATTCCGCCCTGCGCGAGACGTTTTTCACCTTTGGGTTTCCTATTCCATGGGCTTGGAAAGGAGAGACGAAGGGGGAGTGTTTGTGATTAATAGTCCCCGGAGAAGCGGGGGCCTCACGGCTGAAATGTGTAGGAGAGTGCGAATTGTAGACGGCACCAGTGGTGGATAGCAGGGGTTGTATCATCTGCATGTATGTCTATTGCGGAGTATGGTTAAGTTAGGTACTATAGTCTCGAATGCGATCAGGATATGGTCAGCTCCCAATAGCTTCCGATGGCCATTCTTTCATGTGTATAATCACTTTTCATGTGCGGTCTATAACTACGGCTAGAATGACTCGCAGCTATGTCGGCGTGTTTCCATAGCTATGTAAGACCGGTCTCTATAATTTGAATAATCAAGGTCGTTCCCAGTGGCGAATACGTTTTGCCAACTCCCAAAACTCCAACAACAAAGAATGCCAAGCGGTTTATTGATCCCATTCCTTCAGTTTATTTGACATGATTAGTATCCAGCCGGCTCGGGCTTTGATGGGAAGGCCGGGTCTTTGATGTTGGTGCGGCACTGCTGTTTCCAGTTGAGAGGTGTGAACTTATCAACGATGGCCTTGAAAGCCTCCTAGGAAGAGAAGTTATGTCAGTAAAGGAGAACAATGGTCGATTGCTGAAAGATATGGCAAACTCACCAGGGTGCAGAAGGACTCGTCGCCCTCAAGGTGCTTTCCGGCCGGTTTACATCCGGGAATGGTGACGGGGTGGTCGTTATACCGCAGGCGGACATAGTAACCGTCCAGGCGTGCTTTTTCGGCGTCAGTCAGGTCGGGGGTCTTCTTGCGGCCGATGCCCGGTGGTGGTGATCCCGGGCTGGTGCCGGAGCCAGCGCCCGTAGCCCAGCCGAAGAGTGATGAGAGCCCACTAGACTTGGCGGCCGGAACAGGAGTGGCAGGAGCGGAAGCAGCTCGGTCAGCCCGGCGGAAAAGCTCGATAGCAATGTGACTGGTGAATGGGGGCCAATTATCAGTGTTGAAAGCCCCCAGGCTTGCGAGGGCACCGGCGAGTGTGGTGTCATGACAGCCGCTCATACCGAAGCGGACAGGCTGTATAGTCCCTTTGCTGGACGCGAGCTCATACTCGCCGTCGGCGGAGGAGTGCTCAGCGCTGCCAACCATGCGGGCAACGATATCGCCCAGCAGACCGCCAATGCCAAGGGTGCGGTACTCTTGACTCTCCTTGTAGCCAGCGTACCACTCCTCGACACCAATCTTCTCTATGATGCGCTTGACCTCCGGGTCGTAAAACTCCCTGGGGAGTTTCGTGGCTGGGCCGTGTGCGGCGGTGGCATTGATGCTGTCCATAACACCACTAAGACGTGGGTGGGCATCAACGGCCACACGGGGGCTGTCTTCGGGCATCCAGCGGCCAAGGCGCTTGGTCAAGAAGGCCATCTCATCCGAATCGTTCCAGCGGCCAGCAGCACGCTGGGCAAATGCACGGGCGAGGGCGGCGAAGCGGCGACAGTTGCCGTCGTTGGGGAAGAGGGTCTCATCCGCAGGAGAACGGATGAGGATGGTCGGGGGCGGGAGATCCGGTGCGCGGGAGGCCGGCGGATAAAGGCCGTGAAGGGCCTGTTGAAGAGAGTCGAGGGCGCGGGGCACGGGGGTGGCCCGGAGGTAGATCGGGGCGCCGTCGGCGAGGGCGGGCGGGAGGAAGCCGAGCTGGTCGACGTATAGGTTGCGGAGGCGGCGGCCGAGGAAGGTGGTGGTCTCGCGGCCGCGGTCGGTCAGCATGCCCATGTCGCAGATGGCATCGAGCTCGGCAGCTGGGCCGGCGGCAACAATTGCGGCGTCATCGGAGCCGAAGGTCTCGAGGCGGCGCTGCCACTCGAGGGCAGTGAGAGTCTGCGTAGTGCGGGACCCAGCGTCACCCGGGACGAGGAGCGGGCTAGTGAGGCGGCGGACGGCGGAGCAGTAGGGCCAGAAGGCCGGGAGACCGGTATTGCGGAAGCGGGCTGTGATGGGAGTACGCTCGCCGTGGCGGAGGAGGATCTGGACCTGCTGAAGGCGTAATTGAGGGGGGTAGAGAGTGGTGAGCTCAGCGTCGGTATACGACGGCCGGGGCTGGAGGGTTGACATGGCGGGTACGTATCAATCCGCAGATCGGGCGATCAATGGACTGAGACAAGAGGCTGGGGTGAGAAAGTACCAAGAAGAGATGAGGAGGCGAGGAGATGGCCCAAAATTCGGTGGTTGGGCATATGTCGAAGCGGTGGTATACACGCATGAATGGGGGGCCGATGACGGCAAGTGCGGGCCGGCCAGACTGGGGCCCCACCACGGTCGGAGCCGGACTCCGGAGCCGGGATTGCAGGCGTCTAGTCTACGAGTTGTGAAGGGTTCTTTGGTTCAGGGACGTTACAGGGGATATGTCAGACGCGAGTGGTAAATAGTAAGCAATGCGCAATGCAGTTGGCACAGCAAAGGCGATGAATAAGACTGCGGATATAGTTCGCCCGGGTACGACGGATACGGCGAGTACGAGGTACGAGATGCAAAGGAAGCGGGAGGTGAGAGCAGCAGCAGCCAGTCCCGTCAGCAGCTTGACCGAACTAATTGCTGACTGGTGATTGGACTGAAAATTGGACTGAAGTGGCGCACGTTGGCGGGTGACAAGACGTAATAGCACATCGGACGAAAGAGCCAGCTCGTTAGCTCCAAAAGCTCGGGACAGCTTCTGTGCTCCAATGTGTAGTGCCTGCTCTCTACTGTGGAAAGGAAACGTCATCTCTTACCTCATTCTCGGGCAATTTAATTCGGTCCTTTGGAAAGCCCGTCCCAGACTTTACGGCGGGGCACGATTGTGGGGGACGGACTGGATCCATAATCACATGCCGCCTGTCCTTTGACTTGGGCTCCTGCCACGCGAAGTCGTCCCAGCTCCATGGCTCCTTCCTGGAAAGGGCCCTGTGCCCGTACTTCCGGACCTGCCTCGAGAGTGTGTTGTTAATCTGCGTGGCTCAACATGTGACAATTACTCCATTCACAGAATACCTACCTTAGCTCAGTATTGCAATGGTTCCTGGATCTGCACCTCCAAGCTTTCCTCCGCAAAGAGTAGAGTAGCTTGCACCATCGTCGACAGAAACAGAAACTTCGCCTCCAGATCGCCGCTTCCATCTCTTCGGTAAGCGCCGGGCGTCTAGCTCCATATTCCCCAGACGCCAGGGTCACCTCGCCGCCGCCATTGGGCCCAAAGTCCCCGTCCCTTCACTCCGTTAGCCTAGGTACCCAATGACCTCATGGAGATGCTGACCATCTGGATCTAGGGCTCATGCTGGAAGACATCTGGAGACCGCCTGCCGGGCTCCTTCTCAGCCCGAGAGCCCGGGTAGATAACCACAGGACCCCCAAAAACCATGGCAATGGCCTATCTCGTCGTCCGTTACCTTGTCGAGTTCGGCCAAAAAAAACACCCCACGGACGAAATACACGCCTCGACTAGACCAAAGTTCGCCGAAGCTCGATCCATGCCCCGGAGTCTCCGGAAGGGGCGCAGCCAGCCGCTCCTTCGCACGCGACGAAGTCGGCGAGATTTCGAAAGCTCCACTGTATGTGCTGGTCCTACGGATCTCCCTCGTCGGCCTCACATTCTTATCTCCTCTTTTCCTTCACGTTTGCTTGCTTCATGTGCCGAGGCATTGTGATACCCTCGCTTGTCTCAATTTATCAGTCCTTAAGCAAGCGGCTGTAAACGAGAAGATCAAGACCTTGCTACCATTCCTTCGATCCTAACTCCCGTCGCCACTCTTGCAACCTGGTCTGTTCGCGCACAAAACAACCGAATTGACACAGTCACGATGGCCAACGCCTCGGTTGAGCCGATTGAAGGCCCTCAAGTCCCAGCTTGGGATGTCTTGGACACGCCAGATGACGACTCAATTATTCGGAACCTGGACGACGCCGAGGCCATCTTGCAACCTGCCCTCAGTGCCAGGGCTAGGCATTTAACCTCTCAAAACACCCCGGCAATCGAAAAGGTAGCAGCACTAGAAAGGAATAGAAGCGGTTTCTTCGATATACCCTCAGATGGTGATGGTGACTCGAGTCCCGAGCCAATCTCGTCGCCGGAGAGGTCGCCAGAGATACCCGAGACGCCAAGACTAGGTCAGTTACCAAATGGCCAGCCAGTCCGGGATCCTCTGCCTTCGCCATGGCGAGCCGAACCGAGACCAATCAACACCAAACCCTCGACATCACGTCCTTCGAAGGGAATTCTAGGGTCTGCTCTTGGGCCAACCAGGAATCGATCAAGATCGGCAGGCCAGGAGGCATTGAGAAGAATTTCAAAAGCATTCCCGTCTCTCAGCTCACCCTCACACCTCTTGCCCTCCCTCCCGAGCTCCTTCTTCTCAAGCTTTACCGATAAACCCAGCACGAGCGCCTCCAGCAAGCTCAACCAGTCGTCATCAACCACCCAGTTCCAATCTTCCAGAAATGTCCCCGGCTCAATACTATCCCAAACCCCACAGACAAGGGCTCAGACTCTTCCCACCCAAGCCAAAACTGCCAGTCCGCGGTCGATCCCTCCTTCTGGATCACGCCCGAATATACTTCGCCGGGTGACCTCCGATGATAGCCTTCTCTACCACAGTCTCTCGCGAGCATCTTCCCTCGGTAACGATGATCAATTTCATGACGTGCGTGAGATGGTCAACACCCGGCTTATGGCTCTCAAAGATAGCCTTCCATATGTGCCAAATTTCAAAATGCCTAACCTGCCAAAACTCTACCAGCAAGCCAGAAAGTCGACGCTTTCTCTCCCCACTGTGTACTCAACTGACGCTCTCGGGCAGTCGGCTGAAAATACACCGCGGGAGTCCCGAACAGCTTCAAAAGACCCATCTACGGCTCTCGATCGCGTTCTCGAAGAACTCGCGGGTGATGTAGTAATCATGGGGGGATACCGAGGATCGGTCCTGAGGTCGGCAGAGGCCCCTCACCAACAACTCTGGGCTCCGGTCAAGCTCGGTCTTAACATGCGGAAAGCCAATCTCAAGGTTGGTCTGGAGGATGAAGATGAAGAGAGGATGGAAGAGACCATCATTCCGTCTGGAATGTTGACACACATAGGTCCCATCGACATCTCACGCAAATTCATCAAGAGGTTGCAATCTTGTGACAACGCCCGTACTGGCAAGTTGCGTGTTTGGGACTACGGATATGACTGGAGACTCAGCCCTCATCTACTATCTCGAAAACTTCAAGAATTTCTTCAAAAGCTGCCTTCAAACCAGCCCGGGAACCCATCCCAAGCTCGGGGCGCCCTCGTCATTGCTCACAGCCTAGGCGGTATCATCACACGCCACGCCGTCAATCAAAGACCAGACCTTTTTTCTTCGGTCCTGTATTGCGGAACTCCGCAGACGTGCATCAACATCCTCAACCCTATGCGCCATGGTGACGTCGTCCTCTTCAACGAGAAGCTCCTGACAGCCCAGGTCAACTTCTCTATTCGCACCTCCTTTGTCTTCCTCCCGGAGAATGGGTTCTGCTTCGTTGACAAAAACACTGGCGAAGGGTATCCCATTGACTTCTTCGATCCTCAGGAGTGGATCAAGTGGCATCTAAGCCCATGCATGCAGCCGACTCTGCCGGCTTACAACCGCCAACACTCGTCCTCGTTTTCGTCCCGAATCCACTCACTGAGGCCTCGATCAGACAGCAAGGCCGACAAACAGCCGCCGTCGCCCACGACAGCTAACCACAACCCACTCACACCGCAACTCAATGGGGGCGCCGCCCATCACGATGAGCCTGCGCCTTCGGACCCCGAACGAGAGCGCTATCTCAAGTACCTAACCAAGACGCTCACCAGAGTTCGTCAGTTCCGCTCCGAACTCGCCCACTCCCCTGCGCACCAGGACGCCAACGCCTACCCGCCCCTAGCTCTCATCTATGGAAAGAGTATCCCCACTGTATACGGCGCTCAGGTTACTCACCGGGACGGGATCCGCTGCCAAGACGCCTACGACGACCTCCTCTTCCGGCCAGGTGACGGTGTTGTGCTGGCCAAGGAAGCCATGCTCCCGGACGGTTACTCTCTCGTCCGTGGCGGCCGCGTGTGCACCGAACGCGGTCACATCACCATGCTCGGCGACATGCCGGCGATGGGGCGCGCCCTTGAAGCCTTGCTCAGGGGTCGTCGCAAGGGCATTGGCCTGGGAGTTGGGCGTGCCGAGAACTAGGGGATATAAAGAGGCGGATGCCCACCGAGTCAGGTAACACTGCGCGATGCCATCTGCCCCGTCCCGCAGCTAGATACGGTATGCGATGAGATCGAGCACCAGCCCCCTTCCTCGGAGCACCAGGTTAGGTAGGGCAAGTAGGGCAAGGATAACAGAAGGAAGACAGTCATGGAAGAAAAGTGTGGATGAATTAATGAACAACGAAACGGTATATCCGTTGTACATGCATTATTATGTGTTGGCGTTGGTGGCCTTTTTGTATATAGACATTGTACATGATGCAATTGGCACATGGAGCAATCTGAATGGTTACGTTTTCCCATTCCCCTTCCTATTGACTCCCATAAGGCCCTTTTTGTACACCGCCGGTCCCTTGTTTTTGTTGTTGTGTCACAGGCATTTCAAGAGGCCCGTTGTCGCACACAAACTCCAGCATTAGTGAAATATTCTTGTCGCCAACCAAAAATGACGGTTGACGACGACTTGTAACCCATCCCAAATATCCAGGGCGCCGGGGCCGGAATCGGCGCTTGCTGGGTGGATGGTGCTGTTGCACTCCCGGTGAATTCGGGGTGGACTGGTGGCCAGCAGGACGTATCTGAAGACTTTCCCTTTCAGTCTGCTTGTAAGGCGAGCTGGCAACGCCACTAAGGTAGATATAGATATTAACAGCATTGCATCAAAGTATGAGAAGCCTTTGACCAGCAATAAGTGGCTTTGTTCAAAGCGGACTCGCAAGGGTATCGTGATATTAGTGAGTTCTTTCTCTCTCTTTTTTCCCTCTGCCTCTTGTCGCTTGCACCTGGGCCAACTAGGCGGCGGCACTGACAGAGTTCCAGGACTTTGGGAAGACGCTCAAGGGCAGGATGCTCCATCGCGGAGGCTTCCAGTGCGGCGTCTGTTCGCGCAGTGTCTCAACGGCCGTCTGGATTTGACGGGCCATGCGGACGTACACCATGGTGGGCTCCAGGTAGTCGGACCACATCGAGTCCAGCGACTCCTCGTCGCGGGGCACAAAGATGATCTCCTCGAGCCCGGGCATGCGAGACTGGAGGCGGCGGAGCAGCTCAACGGTCAGGCTGGAGGCGGTCATGGAGCGGTAGGTGGTATCGATCCAGAACAGGGCGTCATTGATGGCGATGCGGCGGACGGTGGCGAGCTGGTCGGGGTCGCACATGGACATGCAGGTATTGAACTGCGAGTCGGCGGCCATGTAGCCGTCGCGAGGGCCGAAGTACATGACATCGCGGGTCGGGTTGAAAAAGACCTGGCCGGGACCGCGGGCGAAACCGAACTCCAGCTGGTAGTGCTTCAGCGCTTCGGTGCGCGACTCGGCGCAAACGTGGAGGTTAGCTGGGATGGCGGCGGGTGAGGTGCAGCCGGTGTTGAATGAGAGACGGGATTGCGAAGGCTCCAGAGAAGAGGGCCAACTCGAACCGCATTGGATGGGGACGAGTCGAGTCTGGGGCAGGTTGTAGTTCCAGATCTTGAGACGCAGCTCGGTGGGAAGCCTGTCAAAGAGGTGCTGGCGGAGGGGCAAGGCGCATGTCAGTGTCTTGCTAGTGGGATGCGGGTGATCGGCAAGGCTAAAACTCACAAATGCGGGCGTGTCTGACGACGGCGGGGAAGTCGAGGCGGAGATCATGACGGGTGAGTGCTGAAATGTATGGAGCACTCAAGTATCGGTCGGTTGGTTGATGGAAAGATGCGGGAGAGAGTGAGGGTCGAAGGATGAGTGGCAAAAGGCAAGAGCCGTATGACGATATGGCGATATGGCGGGATGTTGGATAACGGAGGACGGATGACGGATGACGGCCGGCGGCAATGGACCGAGGCGGAGGGAGAAGCCTCAAATATGGGTGTGATGAGCAATTCGGAGCACTCGGCAAGATTCAGGGCTTGCAAAAGGTTCGAGGGATGAACACAAGAGACTGCAAGAATCGAGATGGAGGAGGAGGGGAAGGTGGGCAGGCTGACGGGGACTAATATAACCAACGACTGGAGGGAGACGGACACGGACACGGAGTCGGTGGCTGCGCTGTGCCTCCTGCTTTGTGTGCTTTGTGCTTGCACGAGTGACGAGCGTACTCCGCAGGGACGAAGGACGAGGGACGACGAGGGACCAGAGACCAGAGACTAGAGACTAGAAACGAGAGACCTGGCATCGTCTCTTTGCATGGGACCCCGTCCGCAAGCCCCAAGGCATGTGTAAGTTACGGGGGCGTAACCCAGATCAAGGGTCGAGACTCGACAGCTCCTGCACGCTCTGGCGCTCTGCGCTGTGCGCTCGAGGCGGCGGACCAAAGACAGGAACCGACTGCTTGGGTCGGAGCAGACAGGGGGTGTCTGGTGCGTTATCGCCTGTCGCCATACTCAAGCCGCTCTGGGCCTAGAGGGTGATGGATGTGCGCCTCTCCGGGGACCCTCTTGCTGGGCTTGCTGGGCTTGTTGGGCCTTACCCGGTCCTGGACTCCTTGTTTCTTTGCCGGGCTGGTCCCTTCGTGCCGGGTGGGTGGTTCTGTTGCGTTGCTTCTTTTTGCTTCTGATGCCTCTGCTGCGGCTCCTCCTATTGCTGCTTGCCGGCCGGCGCTGGCGTTGGCGTTTCCCGCTGGCTGGCAGCCTGAAGAACCGAGTCTCCAAGGGAACCTCAGCTCAGCGCCCACCGGCTTGGCTGCCCCCAAACTTCGGGCTCTTCTCCTATGGCATGCATGGTCTCGCCGTCGCTGGATTCGCCGGCTCTGGAGTCTCTCACCCCGTCAGTCTCGCTTGAGCCGCCCACGTTCCGGGCCCGCTGTGGAGGCAGGGGAAGACCACAGGGAAAAGCCTCGACCGGGCTGGTCTCCCAAGCCCTCGTATTGGCCATCGTCATCCCTTCAGAACGGAGAAGCCAAGATTGACAGAGTGTCGGAGAGAGCAGAAGCCGGCGGATGGGCCAAGCTATCCCCGATCGATAGGGCTCCCAGAGGGTCCCACGACAAATATGTCATCTCTTGCGCCTAAATATGGACAGGCCCTTTCGAGGCCCTGGACTCAATATGCCTTTGGGGGCCGGGATCTGCGACGGCTTCCCTGGACGTGCCCATCGCCGCGATTGAGACATGGCTGGCTTGAAAATCCCACAATTATCCCCAAACCTCCATTTCGACTGCAGAGAGCTTGCAGGCCGAGGTCGATGTCACTCTCATTCCAGATCCACGGGGCTCTCGCACTCGGCTCGACATCTTAACCGCCATGCCTTTGCCGGATAAGACTAGGAGCTCTGATGCTCGTCGCTGCGGGGCGCTGTTGGTCCAAAGTGAAGCCCATTTTCCCTCCCCGTCGCTATTTCACCTGTACTGTACTAGCTCGTGCAGCCCTTGAGAGAGCGGGATGGAGGTGGAGTCGTCCCAAGTCCGTCTCCGCTGGCTCGCTTGAAAGTGGGACACCTAGCACCTCTGTTCTCCACTTGCGGTCCACCTGAACCGGGCCAGACGGAGAGGATCTTACTAGACGTCAACAGCCGAAATCCAATCAACTTGGATCTAGACCACTCGCGGCCGCCGAGGCGTCTGGAGGCACCCGCGGAGGAGAAGTTTATTCTCCGCGTCTTGGTAAAGCCATCATCCACTAGCGAGGAACTCACGCTGTGAAGCAGGTGACTGGAGCTCGGCGAGGCGGAACCACCAACCAACTTGACAGACCCCCACAAGCCGGCTCGAACGTAGGTACAGAACAGAATTGTACTATATCCGAAGGCGTACAGGCTCAGCCGTCTGCAAGACATCAAGCTGCATTAGAGGCTCCCCCTCGGGCTCCCCCTCGGGCCGTCAAGGGAACCGTTATTGCTGGTCGTGCCGCAAGCACAATATCATATCCGACTCGTACCCACGGTCCGGCATCCAAGTCATCCCGTCCTCGGCTTGGTCTGGGCCAAAAGGTCCCCCGTCTAGGTGGGGGGCGTCGCGGGTTAACGGGCGAAGTGGATGAAACAGCTGCAGTCTTTGCTTTACGGTGTAACGGTCCGGGGCAGAGATGCAGAGTCGAAGGCTGTCAGCGGCGCCCTCAGTGGTCAGCATTGACCTGTTTTCTCAGTCATGATCCTCCGGGAATGCTCAGCGCCCCTCTGTTGTGTTCCAGAAATGGAGTTTGTCACGAACGAATCGTCATGGGTGTTTGCTGAATACCGGCTCCAGTGCCGGGTGGGGGATTTCGCATACCACCTAGCTCGCCCCAAGAGTCCGTAGACCAGGACCTGGCTGCTGCTGTACCACGAATGCCATACTCGTCAACACCTTGCCGCCTTGTCACACGCCCCCGGTCTTCCTGGTCCCCTCGATGTCCCTGTCATGCCCCCATGTCCGCTGCCGTTCTGTGCCCAATGCTGACTCGGCCGGCATGTTCTGGGACAGGGCGGTTTGCAGTGTTTGGGCAGCAAGCAATACACGCTACTGTCGATCATCCGTGGCGCGTGCGGGCGGTGGTGGCGGGCATCATCACATTCAAGCTCGACGCTCGAGCCACGATGGACGAGCTAGTCGCATGCCAAACCCTCGGTGCCGACATTGTCAAGACAGGCCGACCCATTTCATCGCATCAGTGTAGAATGGCGTTTGTCTGTGCGTCCTCTGGGTCCTCAAACATGCAGCGCATCACCTCCTGCGGCGCGGTGCTCCTTGCGACAACCTTTGGCGAGAAACCCGTTCATGCGCAGTCGGAGTCGGGCACAGATTTGCATCCACCCATGTCCGCAGGATCAACCGGCAAAAGCAAGACGGAATGCCTCATCTCGGGTACCTGCTGAGCGAACAATTTGAGCCAGAGGCCTGCTGTGGATCCGCAGAGCTGAAAAGGATGTTGTGTCGATTAATTGATTCATCATCACCAGGATGGACGGCAGGGACCGAAAAGTTTCGGGGCGCACATTAAAAGTACGTACCTGTCCCCATCTGCAGTGTCACCTTCCTCTAAGGCACGACACCTCTGAGTACAGGGGTCGATCACGTGATTGATGAGAGGCATGTCCTGGTATTGTCATATCACGTGTATATACATGTGACCCTGCTTTCTTTCTTCTCACCCTTGATCTCCACCATAGCTCTGCTCCACCCACATCGCCAACAGCCACTCCATTCCACCGCGGAGCGAATGGCGGAATAGTGACGCCCGCCATTAATCTTGCATTATGACCATCTCCTCCGTCCTCGTTTCCACCACTAGTTATTGTCACGAACCTGCATAGCCGCCGCGCCGGCACTTTGCAACGCCGTGGGTCGCATCTGATGTCTGGGGATAGCTAGGCGGTTCATGATTGGGTATGTGCACTTGTAAGCGCCCAGTTCGACACACCTCTCATCTAGCACCCCGATCGACGAGCCAATCCCAAAGCCCTAAGAGATGGCAATCCAAACTCCAATCTAGATCAACCTCACACCCCATCTATCCCTACAGGGCACCGCGCCTATCATGCATGGGCGCTTCGCTCGTGCAGGATGCTCATCACTCGTCATTGGTCTCTCCTAGCCATGGTTGTCATTTTTGGAACTGTGGTTCTTGTCAAGCGGCAAAGGATGCAACCCCAAACTTGGTTATATCTCAGCGATTTTCCCGCCTTGGGAACCATCAGAGTGACAACCCAAGACTATTTTCTTTGACTGTTTCTTTGTTTCTTTTTCCTTTCCTTCATCCTCCAGCGTCTCTCCTTCTTCCCCCACCCAGGTGGCAATTGTTATCACTGTTCCGTGTTGAGCCTTTCCTCTACCATTCCCTTATACATCCTTGGGCATCATGTCTACTACTGATTCCAAGACGGAAATGCCCGCCTCCAACTTTGAGGTGGATTCCGAGGATCTTCGGCTGGATTCCAAGATTCGCATGTATGGTCTCGTCAACAATGCCAGGCTGGCCCTGACGGCGCTGGCCCTGGCCGCGGGCATCACCATCCTAGGTGTATCGGCTGATTCCGTCGCCGTCTATAATGCCACACACGTTCCTGACGACTTCCTACTTCCGCTGTGGCCATCCAACCTGGATTTCCGCCCAACTGTGGCTTTGGTGGCTGGAAGTGCCATTGTGATTGTGGCCAATGCTATGTCGCTGCTTGCCAGTAAGACCCAAGTTGTAAGTCCCAGCTGTCACTATTTGCTTTTGGCGAATTCAACACTAACAGTCCCTCGAAAGGTACGGAGCCATTCAGGAGCACACATGGCTTTGTCATTTGCCGCCCCGGCTATCGCTTTCATTGCTGCCATGATTGCCATGTCCTTCTTCTACGCCGTAAACGCATCGACCACAGCCGATTCGTTCCAGAGCTGGACATGCCGGTGGAAGGACGTGGCTATGATGACACAGCCCCACTTCGGGACTCTGTGCAAGCAGAGCAAGGCTGGACTGGGTCTCTCCGTGTTCCTGGTGCCCCTCCAGGCCATCATTCTGGGGATGGCGGGATACCAGGCTAGCATTCAGAGACAAGTCGACCAAGCCGCGCATGGTCCCGAACACAAGACGGGAAGCCCGGCAATGTCTTAGAAGTTGGGGTGAAGCGACCCAGGTCCCTGGGTCGAGGTCAGCTTGGCTTGACAGGGGACGGTCACTGGCAGCAACCCTTACGTTGCCCCCTCCCAGTGGGTGGAGAGGGGACAGGGGGGGGTTGGTGGAATAAGGTCGAGGCTCTCGGCTAATTTACATCTTTTGGGACGTAGATGTGGGTGATGTGGGTGGGCGTCTTTGCTTTTGTTTAAGCCGCAGGGTCTGGGCTCCTAGGATTCTGACAGGTCATATTTCGATTTTGTAATCAATTCGACCTTCATTAAGTTAACTTATGCATCCAGCTCCTTCTGTCGAACGGCTGAGACAGGTCACGACTGTTTTGTCTCAGCCCTGACTCGGGGATGCCTAGCTTTGTGTCAAAACTTCCATTCCGTCAACTCGGGTATCCTCACACCAATTCACCTGCAGACGTAGCCGCTCCACCTCGGATGCTTCCGTTGATGGTGAGTAGTATGATCTGGCAAGTTCCGGAAGGACAGTGCCAAGGGGGTGATCTAATAGTCTTGCCTCTGGAAATTACCTAGCAAGGAGGAAAGAGGTATCAAAAGGCCGGGACTGGATCTCAAGATACATACCCTTGGATGTATCAAATAGGCCTAGATTGATGCGGGTCACATGCGCGTATCAATAACCCGGCGATTCAGCTGAGTCGTGAGTACCGGGAGCCCCTGCTGTCAAACAGACAACGGTGAGCAAGGATAGCCTGACACGAGGACAACTGACGTTGGGCTCCCAGGAACGGGAGATCCCACGAGTAATCATACCTGTCGGTGATGGCCAATCTAGGGCATCTGAAGCTTGGTGCAGATTTGTTTCACATTGTTGTACCCGGGTTCTTCTCAAAGGAGCAACTCACATCACGAGTTGTGTAACAAGGGAAGTTTTACACGGAAGGATTGCACGGAAGGTTTGCACGGAAGGACAACACGGAAGGACAAACGCTCGACCATTTCGCGACGTTCCCGTCTCCCGTCTCCCGTCTCCCGTCTCCCGTCTCCCGTCGCCCCTCATTCTTCCTCTTTTGCGAGTTTCGTAGAGCCGCCATCAACAGACATCCTGGCTATCGGGCGGGAGGAGATAAAAGCGCCGAGTTTATGTTTGCTACTTCCTTGTGTAGCCCTTGCTTTGTGTCCGTCCCGAATTTGCGCCGAGTAAGTCCCAGGCTAGTAGGTAGGTACGGACTGGATGGTCAAAGTATCTCGGTCTCGGTGCTCAGGCACGCTCTGGCCTTTTTTTGTGTTGTTGCATTGATTCACGGACATACGCCGACGCTGCTTTTTCTGCTATTTCGCTGGCGGTCTTATTGGCCGGTATTATTCGCGCACGTTCTGATGTTAAGCACCGTTTCTCATTTCGCTCTCAGATGATTTCAGGCGAGATCCAAGCGACAATCCTCCCAGGCTCGATATCAAATAGGCGACCATGGACGACACCCCAGATTCACAGGACCTCTTCAAAGGAGCATCCGATACGAGAAAGACCACAGAAGACCAATCATCGCAGCTTGCAAGCCCCCCGAAACTCACCTCGCCTAAGCAGAGGGTCAAGTCTAGAAGGAACATGCCGAGCCTCGAGCCTGTCATGGAGGGTGACCAGAAGTTGCTGAGGGACATCCGAACTCCACTCCCAGGGGATGTAACAACTGTGACGCGGAAGAAATCACGCCCAGAGCTCTCGAAGCAGCGTAGCCTTTATTTCGAGGAGGTATTCACATCGAAGGAGACGGATCTCTTAGGGGACATGGTACGGAGTGAGGCCATTGTCCTGGCCGAACTCAAGACCAACGTCGTGGTAAGCTTCATCTTTTGTCCCAAAACCGCGCTTGATCCTCAGAGACAGCGTCCTGATACCAAACACACTAGGTGCATGACGAATTCACCTTCGTCAAGGAGCTCTCGCAGCACCTGGCAGTCAGATACCACCGGCCAGTGAGTTCCATTGTGGTAACACTCCATCACAGTGCGTGCATCTTCTTTGGAGGCTGCTGCGACCCAGCCTACATCCTGACTGTCGAGGCACTGTCCAGCCTGGTACAGACAGCCACAAACAAGCGCAACGTCGTACTTCTCCAGCAGCACATGGAACAGGCAATCGGGGTGCCGGCATCCCGGGGCTACGTCCGGTTCGTGCCCATGCTGGAGGAGTGCTCTGGGTGGAAGGGAAAGACAGTGGCAGGCGAGATCACAGAGGTTAGTGGGCACCCGCGGGTTGGGATGGAGAACCCCGTTCGCCGGTCAAAGACCTCCAAGGTTTGTGTCCTGCGAGATAGCTAAAGGGGAGTTTTTTGAGTACTAACAGCTTTGTACCCAGGGATCTCCCAGCGAGAAGTCAACATCTCCCAGAGACAAGCCAGTGTCACCCAAGGCAAGGCCCTCGATAGCAGACGGCCCTAGGGTTCACATAGGTACTTTGTTGCGGGATCCGTCACCCGAGCATGAGCCCGTGAGAGACATTGACTCTCAAAGCCCACGAGACGAGGCGCATATTCCAAAGACCCTGAGGCGTAGCAAGAGCTTTGTGCAATCGCTTTTCACGAGAACGTCTTCTCTCGCACAAGGGGTACAAGGGGGGCGTTTGCACAGGGGTAGCTAGGGTTAGGATAGGAATTGGTGAGGTTTGCCTGGGATCGTGCTGATTGAGGGTTTACTACCGAGAAGCATAGATAATGCTTTTTATGTGATTTTACTGGCAAGGTGCTGAGGGGTGGTGGTATTTGAATCAAGTTGATCCCACGCGACTTGGGAGTGTAGGGTGGGTCGCCACGAACACAACGTGTGCTTGATTTGGGCAAATTGTATGAGACTTGACTAAAACATGAGTGTACTTGTGTTTCAAATGTGAATGGTTATTTTCCCTGATGTTATTTTCATTTCATAGTCTAGAAATCCAAGGCTTTCACGAACAGTTTGAGTTTGGTTCACTCTTTTGGAAATTATCCGAAGCAACAGGCACGCTGGAATATTGGTCTGCAGATTGAGTCGAGACCAATTGAGAATGGCTTCTGATTACCTTATCTTCCTTTTCCATGTCACGCCCATCGTATGATTAGAGCTCATTCTCGTTTCCCTCTAAGCCAGGCAACAGCGTTACAGAGACCAGAATGTAAGTATATAAGCTGCACCGCATACTGGAATCTTACAACGCTGCCTACGGTCAGTCAGTCGGTCCACGGCACCACTTAAACCTGCCCAAGTCGAGAGAGTATAGCATATTAAGTAGAGTCTGCCTGTAGCAGAATTTACTGAGGAAGTGCTCGGCTGTCCCTATTGACCGGGTCTGAATCTATCTGCCTGACAGTCGTGTCTCGCATCCTAGGTCCCGTGACCCCGACTCAATTGATATGAGCTGTAGCCTGGCAGTTGGTGGCTTCCACTGAAATTAGCGGGACAGGGTGACGTAGCGCTAACTGTAGTGGGTTATAGGGGCTAGGAATGACAGCTCCCCGCACTGATGGAGGACCTTACAGTGGACCTTCACAGCTCCCCTCACTGGACTGGCCGCCCGCCCTTTGAGTTCTATCCTGACAACTGCTGGCTAAACCACAAGGCCATCAAATCACAATACCTCAATCCCTCCGTCCTCCCACATCCCACATCCCACATCCACACATTCTCGACCGACGCCTTGACTCAACCCTGCAAGGGCACAAAGTAAAAAAAAACCCACGACTATCGACTCTTGGCTGCTTGCTTTTCGGGTGTAGGCGACTATTGGACACCGCGCCGCCGCCTCCCTCAGCCATCTCATCAACTCCCTCGACTGTGGTCCAGTTGATCGCCCTCGCTGCGTCCATCTCCGTCGGCCAGCGCCGCCAGCCAAAGCAAAAAGCACCCAGCAGCAGCAGCCTCAGCCCTCAGCCGCTTCAGCCTCGGGGTCAGTTTGATGAAACGCTGCCTACGCATCTCTGAGCCCTGCCTATCACCCCCCGGCTAGCTGCGTTATCGTCTGGTGCCGGTTGGATTTGAGAAAACGATGGAGGTAAGAACCGGGGCATTTGCCTATTGTTTTCCTGCTTGTTGTTGTTTTCTTCCTTTTCTGTCTCACGTCGTCGTTCGTTTTTCCGGTGATTACGGCCCTATGTGGTCTGGCCGCTCAAGTGGGTGGTGCGGTTGCGATGCGGTTGGTCCAGGTGCCACCACCACGGGAATCAAAAGCATGGAGAGCCATGGAGAGCCACGGGAAGCCACGGGAAGCCACAGAGCGCGACAGAGACGGAGGAAGCGACTGATCAAGGATCCCAAGTCGACTATCCGGGGTGTACCACCATCGATCCCGGCAGCCTCGCCTTGTCAATCACTCACCCTCTCGGCCGCGCCTCTAGCCCTCGACCCGTCCCGTGTGTGTCGTTACGCCGACCCGATATGGAGCGGCTCCTGGCTGCCGGCGGCGGTGGCGGCGGCGGTGGCCTGGCAGGTTGACTCACTGCGCAGACAGGGCTGGGTTGGGCTGCGCTGCGGATGAGCTTGTGTTACCCTGAGCGAGCTGGCTTCGTTATATTTGGCCTTTGGCCCCGTGGCCCGCGTTTCGGCCCATGCTCCTCCACGCCCGGGACCTCAAAGCCCAAGCAGAACCGACCAGTGTGGCTGCGACAGCAACCGCAAATACGACAGTGTGCGCCTCGTGTCCACGGCAGTCCGGCACCCAACCTCCCACTGCCGTGTGTCGCAGCCTGGCCGGAGCGACTGGGCCATAGACGGGACACGTCCGATTACGGCACGCGGCGGATGGGCATCGACGACCCGGAGCAACACTGAAGTGTCGAAGAAGTGCCAGATGATATTTGATATCCTGAGTTGTATGGCTTTGGATGAGATGAGATGGCACCGAACCGAACACACTTGTGGCTAGTCTGGACCAGCGTACAGACCGCCAGGCGATAGACTCGACCTTTTGCTTCTTTCAAGTGAGACGAGCTGAGAGTGAAAGCTACGGCTGGTGCACCAGTTCCCCTATCACCATCAGCTCAACCCTTAATCGAGTTGCGTCCCCCATCATCAAGGAAAAACAACGCCCCGGAGCACAATACCATACTGCACCTTCACAACCTCTCTACAGCACTTCCACATATAAAATCCACCGCCCGTCCCTACCGCAGCACCATGTCCCTTAGCCCGCCCCTCCAAGACTTCGCCCTGCTCTCCCAAGGCGAGGGTGACGACTCGTCCTCTCAGATTCTCCCTGGCAAAATGAGTCCAGCCAAGCTAAACCTTCAACGTCTCTATGAACAGTCCCGCAGAGGAGCCCCGAAGAAGGATGCCCCCAATGCCGCCGCTGCCGATGCCACCACCACTGGCGTCCCGGCCAAGGGCAAACCTCGTTTATTACTTATGGGCCAACGACGGTATGTAACCCTCTCGGACCGTGTCATGACATGTAGCTGACAAGCTTCTTTAGAAGCGGAAAGTCTTCCATCTCGAGCGTAGTCTTCCACAAGCTACCGCCCAACGAGACCCTTTTCCTTGAGTCGACAGCGCGTATCCAGAAGGATTCCATGGCGTTGGTACCCTTTCATTTTTTCTTTAGTTGGACTTGCTGACTTTTCGTCACAGATCTTTCATGGACTTCCAGGTTTGGGACTTTCCCGGCCAGATTGATATCTTTGAGAACCCCGGTTTCGATATGGAGGCCATCTTTGGTGAGATCGGCGCACTCATTTGGGTCATCGACGCCCAGGACGACTACCTCGAGGCCGTAATGCGCCTTAATACCACCATCCTCTCCCTTCAACGCACCTACCCCAATATTAACATTGAGGTCTTCATCCACAAGGTCGACGGCCTCTCGGACGACTACAAGCTCGACATCCAGCGCGACATCACTATTCGCATTCAGGACGAACTCTCCGACCACGGCTTCGAGAACGCACCCGTGACGTTCCACCTCACATCTATCTACAACCACTCTATCTTCGAGGCCTTCTCCAAGGTTATCCAGAAGCTCATCCCTCGTCTCGGTACCCTCGAGTCTATGCTCACCAACTTGTGCCGCACCTGCCGCTTCGAAAAGGCTTACCTCTTCGACGTCCTATCTAAGATCTACATCGCCACCGACAGCGCCACGGCTGATATGGCTAGCTACGAGATCTGTAGTGACTACATTGACGTTATCATCGACATCACAGAGGTTTACGGTACGTGGCAGCGCAGCGACGATGGCCGCCGCCGCCTCGAAGGCGAGCCCTGGAGTGCTCCGCTTGACGACCAGGTTGGGTGTCCGACCGCCGAGAGCTGCTTGGTCTTGCACGACAGTAACAAGCCTATTATGCTGCGCGAGGTTGACCGTTACCTTGCCCTCGTCGCTATCATGAAGGAGGACTCTTACGATAGCATGCCGCTTGTTAACATGAACGTCGAGGCTGTCGTCGAGGGCCTGACTGAGTTCTTTAACATTACCAAGCCTAGAGAGGAATGAAGGAATTGCTAAAGGTGCTCTGTGTCTGTCTTCTTTACTTTATCATGTATAAATACTTATAAGCGTACCATTAAGACCTGCTTTCTGCTGCATTGCCACTTGTCTTCCGTCGAAAAGCCACAATCTGGAACTAATCATTGAATTTCGGGTTCACCGTCTAAGTATCTCGTGGCACATGATTTATCATATTCAAGCCGCAGGGCCGGGCAAGGCAAAGGTTCGCAGAGTGGAACCGTTGCTTTCCAGCAAGCAGACCCTCGCAGGTACCTCACCCCTGATATCGCTCTTGTCATGAACCTCCATCCGTACTGGTCGCAGCACTGGACCCTCAGGAAAAGAGTAGGCCATGAAATCATCCGCTGAGACGGGAGTAGCCTCAGTAGCATTGCTAGGATCGTAAGGACCGTAGGCAAGTTTATCGGGTAGGATTGGCACGCTAAGCGCTTTGAACACGTTATCTAACGACGGAGTTAGGGCTGTAATGGATGGAAAAGGATCAAGGAATACGTACCCTTGTCGGTGACGAGAACGATGAGAGTTTCGTCGTTGAGAAATTTCAGGTCGACGAGGGTCCGGGAGCCAAGGTCAATGCAGCAAGAGGTCGGTGGCAAATTGTTACTGATGCCGTTAACGATATCGATGCCGGCGGAGAAGATACGGACTGAGTACTGTCAGCATGTATTGAAGGAAGTTACATAGTATTGAGGAATAGTGACCTTGATGGCTGGTCTCTTTGGACGTCAATGCTGTCACCATTTTCATATCCTGGGCGAGAAGTCAGCATATCAAACAGCGAACCGAACGCATAAAACATACATTGCTCGTCGTCCTGCACATTCTCGTGTCCATTTTGGTAATGGGATTGCCAACTGAGAGCTTGATGGGCTTCCCAAACCGGACGTTCCTTTTCTTGGCTTCTGCAATGTCTTTGAAGATGCGGTTGGACCACGTCGTCACGTATTTAACCAAGAAGTCGACATGCGGTAGGGCCTTCATGCTTGGTTGACCATTCTCCTGGTTGGTCAGCTGCTTGTCGAGCACGTCCAGCAGGCTAGGGCCATCCTCGATGTGAGCCCAATCTGCACTGTAGTCGTCCTTTTCGATCTCATCGAAGAAGATCTTGAGGGGGCTCTCTGTCAAATATCGTTCGATGTATGTGAGAACCTTGCCATGATCCATCGTTGCCTCCTTCTCGGTGAGCTCCTCGATCGCCGAGCTAGAGGACGCGAGGCGGTCGATCTGGAAGCGCAACCACGTCGAAAATGATGTAAAGTGCTCAAGCTCGTCCATGACGGAAATCAGAATTTTGTGGCCAACGAGGTTGAGGCAGCTGATAATATCCATGACTCGGTTGATCTGCGTCGCAGAGAAGCCAATATCGTCACGGGTATCGTAAAATTGAGCGAGACCACGCAGTCTGCTCAGTATAATGGAGCATCGGTCGAGGGCTGGTAAAAAGTTCTCATGGACCAAGCTTCGGAGGTTTTCGAGTCCGGAGACCACTGCCTTGTCCCAACGTTTGTGTCCCTACACACCACATCAGTGTGCATTATTGTTTGGAGGCTGGTCTACTTACCCGCTCGGCGAGACTGTCAACGAGCCATTCGCGGACTGGTCCGTAGGCATGCCCAGTAACAACCGTGTGGTACAGGGCCGGGACTATTCCGCGAGGACCTCTCTCCATATTTTCAAGATCGCCTTCGACGCTTCGTAGAAATCGGCTAGGGAGTTCGCGAGTGTTCTTCCACTCTACTTCCATGTGAAGTTGTGTTTGCTTGAGATATCTCAGCAACTTCTGCAACGTTGTCAACTTGGATGCTAGAAGAGACAAGTTAATAGGCGAAGAAGAGATGAACGGAAGATCCATGGGGACGAGGTGCACTTCCTCTGGCCCCTCAGCCTTGTCTGCGAGCAACAACGCGTGCGTTGACACCTGAGGGTGCGAGGCATGATGAACCAGCTGAGGCGCCGCTGAAGCTCCCAAGGTCGGACACGGGAAGCTACCGATGATGAAAGAGTCGTAGATGCTGAGCTGCAGTTTGCTATCGCTGGTCCCGATAACCATGACGTTAACTTGGTCGTAGTCCTCAGGCTTTAGAGGCTGGAAGAGAAAATCGATTCCCGTACGTAGGGTAAACACCATAGCATCTTCCCTATAACCGATCAGTACAACTGGATAGGACCATGCGACGCTCGATACATACCCTGCACCGGCGCTGGCGCTCGGGAGGGGGCTGATCTTGGGCAGCGCGGTATCAACCTCCAGGAAGGTGAGCTCTCGTGGGAGGTCCATGGGGGCATCATCTCCGCTAAGGCTCCCTTCCTTGGAGAGGCCGTTCCTAATGGCCTGAGCGACCGCACTGGTGCTCTTGGCGGCAATGTTGCTGCTTGCCCAGCCAATATGTGTGATCCTGGTCCCTGGCGACTCGCACACTTGGATGTGGTGAGCTGCCTTGTTATTCTCCAGGCCCATCAGCCGCACGAAGCCATCGCTCCATCCCACAGCAAGGAACTGGCCTAGATGATAGACAACGGCTTAGATGCCGAAAACGAGAGCTCACGGGACTAGTTGGAGGGAACTCACCGTCAGGCTTCCACGTCACTGCCTGTGCTTCGGGAGCCTTCTGACCAGGCGCGCCGACCTGGTGAATCTTGGAAACAGCTTGCTTAGGAGGCCGATAGATGAAGAGATTTCTCCCAGTGCTGTCCCATGTCGCCGACAAGTCCAGGGTTGGACAGCTCACGGGGTAACCATTGGGAGCTCTTTCGTCGTACTCAGTCTCGCTGAAGAGCGCGAGCTTTTTTTCCTCAGACATGGCTGTTTGCCCTCTCAATCCTGAGATTAAACAAGAGCCTTCACCTATAAGAACATCGCCAGGAAGTTTTGGAAGGATCTTGTGAAGTCCTGCGTTGGCGAGCTTGTAGGTGGACTCAGTCTCAGCAGCGTGTAGCTGCGATTTGTTGGTGTTGGGTCTACGCGACAGGACAGTGTCGAAGCCACATTTTGCCACTGTGCACGCATCGCCCTGATGTGACAACAACCACCACAGCAATTTCGGAGACAATATATGCAACAATTGCAAGGCAAATAACTATTGCGAGTTGTTCTACCATCATGAAAAACACGTTCTTATTCCATATTGTCATTGCGCCATTAGGTTCTAAGCCCCAGACACTCCTGATGCCTACTACTTTCACGACACAGCCCACCAATTCATAGACCGACCCCGTTCAGCTCCCAAGCTGGACTATTTCCCAAAGACGACCGGCTTTTTAGGCTCCATCTACTCGACCAAGAAGTTGTCTGAGTGACACTTGACCTCCCTGGAGAATGTCACCTCCTCATCCTCCTCTAGAAGCGACGCGGAAACAATCTGTGTCATGGTTAGCATGTAATCAGCTGGGTGGAGGGGGGAAACTCATACGTCAACGTCAATGTAAGGCGCCGACTTGCTGAACCTCACGGTCATGGGGAAGAAGTCGTTCTCATCGCTGGACTCAGCCTCGAACTCGAAGGATCCGCTGGGGCTGTCTCCATCCACGTTGCCGATGGTCCATTCCACAGCGTCGCCTGACACATCATAGGTGGCATCGAAGCTTGAGACAACAGGCTCACTACCAGAGTAGGGGATAATGACGCTGACATCCTTCAGAGCATCGCTGCCGGTCAACTCGTATTCGACAGTCATGTTGTACTTGTCACCCTCCTTATTGATCCAGACAGTAAAGGTAATGGGGCACGCGCTGGCATCATCGACCTTGGGGGAAGCCCTCCATCGCAAGACACCGACGGCGTTGTTGACGGGGAATCCTCGGGCAGTGTTGCTCATCTGGATGACCTTTGAACTGTTGAAGAGGTTACGGTCGACATTGGGGTGAGTGCGGAACTGGGCTCCATGAGAGGCGACAGCATGGAGACCAAGCTTGAGCTTGGTTAAGCTAGGGTCTGAGATGCGAAGTGTAAGGTCACCGGTGATTGATAGCGAGTTGACGGCACCTTCGCGGGACAGCTTGGCCGAGATCGTTTCCGAGATGGTGATGTGAATAGCATCGCGGTCCATGGTGGAAGAGATGCGGGGCTCGGCGGGCTCAACGTGTTGGGTCGGGGTCGGAGCGACGAGGGGGGTATCGTCAATCTCACCGCCCATATCACCTCGTACTCGCTCGAACATGTCGGTCGTCTTGGACTTCTTTCCGAGCTGCATACCCTTAGCCTTGGGAGCCGAGGACCTATATGGTATTAGTCGCCCTGTTGCAAACAGGCACGGGAAATGCCGCTTACTTATTGAACGTCTTGTTCTTCTCAGCCTCATAAGAATCGTAGGTATCGGGGGCGGTCGATCGCGCAGGTGCCGTGTAGGTGGGATAGGTGGGGGTGCGTGGCATGCCTCCAGGTCGACCGCCGCTCCGGGCGGCGTCCTTGCGCTGCATCTCGAGCTGCTTCGCCTTCCGTTTCCGCTCTTCAGTCGCCTCCAATTCCTTGTTCTAGGTGGTTGTGAGCATCGATACGGGTGCAGGGAGGGCCAAAGGGGGGCAGGTGTGCTTACCCGAGCGATGATCTCCTGGATGCGCTCTTCGTGGCTCTCCATTTCGAGGAAGGTCTTGATCTGGCTGATGGTTAGGTTCTCTCGGTAGCCGAGGGTGACAAGCTCGTCAAAGGCGCTGAGAAGCTCGTAGGCATTCTTGACGATTTCGCGCTCGTCGAGGGTCTTGCATGTGCTGGTGACGACCTGGGCAAACAGGTGAAGGGAGTCGATGTCCTGGAGGATGTTGGACTGGCGGTTGGTGATGAGGACCATGTAGAGCTCGTCGAGGGGCTGGTATACGAAGCGGACATTGTCCTGCTCGACGGTGGTGTGCTGGGTGCCGCTGTCGGCAAGCTTAGGGAACGAAGCCAGGAGAGCCTCTATCCGCGATCGTGGCATCTCCCGGAACTGTCTGGAGAGGACAGCTTTCCCTCCTCGGGTGCAAATCGAAGCCGCGAGGACGACCTGGGGCGCGTCAGCAGGGGGGACGGGAGATGGTGAGTTCAGGAGGCATTGCGCACCATTGTGACAGGCTGGATCGAGTAGATTCAGTGTTGTGTGAGAAGACAAGATGTTGCGTTGGTGGGTTCAAGCGTCAGTCGTCCGCCTCCTGGAGCTGCGGGCCAATATTCTAGGTGTGCGGACCGTGCTGGCTACAGTGGCTACCGTGGCTCGTGGCTCAGGGAGCGTGGCGTAGGTGGGGCTCGTGTTGGGGACACCTGGGATCATTTGGCTGCTCTATACGCTAGTACATTTAGGGTAAGCGTCAGCCTAAGGAACTTCTTCAGCAGCCCAGGCTCCACGCCCGTACCGCACCTGCCTAAGGTATTCAACCACAGGAATCTTTGAAGCCCGCGACCCTTTCATCTTCGACCTCCCAACTTCCACCGTTTCGCGTTTGCCGCTGCCTACGATACCGCCCTTCTTTGAGAACCTCCTCTGGCCCTGCCCCTGGACCATATTTCATCACTGGCGCCGTTACCCGATTCCTGACCCCGGAACAAATGTCGCAGACCATCCTGATTCACATTTCATGCTCGAACCCAGCCCATCGGCAAGCCTTTGAATGAGCACTTGGTGTTTGACGCCCTCCATATTTGAAACCGACGCCTGCCACCGGATTCATTTCGTCCATAGCTCTCGACCGACGAGACGCTATTCCGATCGTCGCGAACCGTTGCGAACCGTTGCGAACCCTAGCTTCGAGCCGCGGCTCCCCCGCAACAAAGAACCCTTTGACCCCAACCCTTCCGAAGTTTCCGAAATATGGCAGAAATCGACATGGAGGTCGATGTGGCGAGGCCGCTTGAAATGGACGTCCATGTCGACGACGACTTTATTGACTTTGACACCGACATGGTCGATCAACCCGAGCTAGCGTCACTGCAAAACGAGGACAACCAGAAGCTCGCCGAAACTACCACTAACCTCGACGATGATACCCATGATATCGAACTTATTGAGAGCCTCGAAGAACACGCGGAAGTTACAGCGATTCCAGAAGAAGAAGACTTAGGTGGCGTTGAGAACATCGAGGACGATGTGGATCAGACAGGCCACGACGCGAGCCACAAATCCGAGCATGACTACCATGCTACAGAAGCTGGTGCCCGGTCATTATCTCAGCATCCAGAAGAGGATGATGGTTATGTGGAGATTCCGAACGATGCGGACAAGAATCGCCAGGATGCCGCTGACGAGATCGACGCATCCGATCATGAGATCGACTACGAGTTCGAGGAAGAAGCCGGTCAGCACGATCTACACAGCGAGCTTGACTTGGATGTCGAGAAGAACTCAGCACCTCCAAGCACTGAGGCTGCTGTTGAACACACCACTGAAGACGGTGTTCTTCAATCCGTGGGAGATGTTGCCACTGCGGACTTAGAAGGTGATGATGGCGAACATGGCGATTACGGTGACCACCAAGAACAACCGGAGCAGGATGAAATCACGTATGACGATGATGAGGGTGATGTGCCTGAAGCAACTACTTTCCAAGATGACGAAACAACGCCTAGCGGCAGTGTCGTAGCCGTTGTCGCGGAGAAGCTGGATGAAGAGTCCCAAACAAAAGACGAAGGTTTGAGTGAAGAGAATGGAGCCTTCCATGATCAACAAGCTGAAAAGAAAACCACGCCACAACATGAAGCGGCCGAAAATGTCGACTTCGATGAGTATGATGTTGCCGCAGAGGACCAAGGCGATCTCCAGGATGGCGCCAATTTCGAGCAGCAAGACTCATCTGATTCTGGCGAGAACTCCGCTGCGGCCTCTGACACCGAATTTCCCGCAATTACGGTACAGTATAAAGGAGATGAGTTCCCTTGCTTCTCTAATAGCTCGGACGGATTCTTTACAGAGACATCTATTATTGACGAGACTATGGACAAGGTGCTGTCAGGGTTCCGAAACGAACTGGCCAGTGAGATTGCACAGGAAGAGGAGTTGGTCTTTCAAGTCGACGAGCTTGGACTTGAATTTGCCGAGGTAAGAAAACCCTTTGGATCGTTGAATGATTGGGCACTAATCAATTTGCAGTCATGCCTGCAGGATTCCCTTTCCAGTGTCACACTACGCCAGATTCTTGAAATCTTTGACTTGTTAGTCAAGAATCAGGATCCAGAGAGCTCTCGGACATTGTACACATATCTCTTTACCAAGCCCTCCGCCAGCAAGCGACTGGAGTCTCTAATCGAGAGCGCCACGGCAGGCAAAGGCCTGGACGAAGTCATCCATCTTTTCGAATCCCCTGTAGCGGCTGCTGCTAGCGTGCTAGAAGCCAACACGGCTGATGATGAACTTGAGGAGCGACTTGATAGTTACGACAGCCCTGCACATGAGGTTGAGAGGATCAACGAGGAGGCGGTTGAGAATGATGTCGAGTACGACGCAGAAGAGGGTGCTGACTTGGATGTCTCTCCAAATGACAACCATGACTCCAATGAAGGCGACCAGGATGCTGCAGATGCTGGTTATACTGAGGGCGACACTATTGACCCTACTCCTGAAGATGCAATTGCAACAAACGACGAAGCATCAAACGCAGCCGCGATAGAGGATAATGTCGAATCAAATGGTAAACCCGCCACCCCTCACCCCGGTCTTTTTCCTACTTGTTATTACCCAGACTTCTGCCTCTGCGACACCTGTGTGGCAGGATACGTCGAAGAGCATGGCCGAGAAGAAGGGGGGTTCCGACACGCTCTCCAATTCGGACAGCCGCTTGAGCGGATGGATGTGAATGGCGAGAGTCTAATGTTCACCAACGCCCTGCGGAAGCACGGTCACTCAATCTCCGATTTCAGCATAACATTTTCCACAACTGAGGCTGACCAATCCTTCATAGCTCACAACGAAAGCGAATCTAACCCGTTGATGAACCCGGAGCTCGATGACGATGCTGAGGTGGACGATGAGGTTGACCTTGAAGCCGGTGGTCTTACCAATGAACAGAACTTTACCGACCCAGACGGAACAAACGTGGGCACTGCTGCCACAAGTACGACGACGACTCTTAAAGACGGCGACGAGACGGGTTCCATAAATGCGAATGCGGCTGCGACTGAGCTGCTGGACATAACTGAAGCCGCCGACGGGGACGACATAGGGGAGATTGATTGGAACGACGATCCCGAGGCAGATGAGGAGATACAAAGCCCATCTGTGGTTGGGAAGCGAGCCCGGGGAGATGACGAAACTGATGTTGAAGATGAACAAGGTATGCACCCCGAGTTGAAATCAGTGAAAGACCTTGCTAACACGTTATTCAGACGTCAAGCGTCGTCGACCCTGAGCCGCAGACCTCAAACTAACTTTGCCACCCCCAATGTTGTGGCTTTACACCAAGCCGGGCTAGAAGCCAAACAAGCATATTGGCTACACCGACATGGGGCAAGAGCCATGCCTCGATATTATTTCCTACTCCCAACCCGAGCCCCTACTGAACCCAGCATGGTATCTGTTCTGGTGGTAAGAAGAGCCATGCATCCTAACAACATATTATGCCCTTGGTATTGATGTTTTCTACGTCATGCCCGTAGCGGCCAAAACCAGATCAAGGTAGGTTTAAAATGAAACGCGGACTAACTTGACAGGACCGTTTTGATATGACACGACAACTTCAACGGAGTGTCATTGGGCACGAATGCCCTTTAGTTATTGGCTTGTCGATTCTTTTTGATTGTTCTTTATTGATGACGCCTTCGTCGATACCCTTTTACTCTTCGGATAAGCAACGCAGCATCACGACGCTGGTCGGTACGAGATACCGAGAGAGTTTGACTTGTATGATGAATGGTTTTGGAGTGGGATAGGGCGTTGGATGGATTAGAACACAGCACCCATGTCTCAGCAAGCGATGGTGGGCCCGATCTGCAACACTACATAGTACATAGTCGATGCTATGAACCCATGGACAGGGGAAGCATTTAGGAAGCTAGCCTCAATCTTTGAGAAGCATACGGAGTAGCTGTTCGATAGGGATGCCCTCGAGTGGCGGTCTCGGGGAAGTGTTATTAGTGGGTTTTCCTCTAGATTGGGAGTTGGCCATGTGGTCGTCGGGTGAGAGGCCATAACTGGCCGGAGCCACGATCAGAGTGGACTAGAATCTAGGACGATTCGAGTATCCTCGGAGTCTTGAGCAAAATTAATTGGAAGAAGATAACTGATCTTGGCTCGATATCGCGTGAGATTGTCCCGGAATCAAGATCGACAACCCTGGAAATGGTGTAAATGGCTGTCCGCGTAATGCTCTAGATTCCTGCGAGGAAGCTATTGCTCTGTCCTACTCCATTGGCGCAGCCCTTCTTCCAGCGAGTGGATCAAGGCTCTCGCCCTCTGTGCCTCAGTGCCAACGCGGCCATTCTCTGCGTCCTCAGTGAAACTTACTCTTTCGGTCCACCAATCTACCCAACTCTCGGCTCTGGCCCCTTCTGCGGCCCTGAGCAAGCCGACACTCACGTCGATTAGGCCTGGGCGCCATTTGTCATGCCAAAAGACTGTAGCGCCACAAGTTCCGCAAAACTCGCGAAGGACATCGGGAGAAGACCGATAGCTCGTCAAGATATCGGCCGGCAGGGCATCAAAGTCGAGAGGGACAATGGTTTCACCCCCATCTGGTTCAGCCACGTGGAAGAATATGTTGGCTCGGGGCACAAAGGTCCAGGTTTGAATCTCGAATCCTGCGGCGAGACGACAGGAGCGGCACGCGCAGGTTCCGGCAAGGTATTTTGACCCGGCGGCGCGGATCCACCACTTCTCGTCGGCCGGGTTCTGCGTGATGGCCTTGTCAGTCGAGCTATACGGGTGGATTAGATCGGAAATGTTGGACCGGGGGAGATAGCTCGCGGGGTTAGGGCGGGTGACGTGGAAGCGGACTCGGCCGCAGGCGCAAGAGGCCGGGAGATGGTCTTCCTGGAATACAGCTTCACGGGCGTGAGGTGGAGCCGCGGCCTCGAGGAATTCCATCTTTTGGCCCTGGAACTCTGGAATCCACACCGCGATACCCCCGTCTTTGGTGTCGGAAACGTGGTCGTGATGTGTGTATTGCATCACCTTGGAACTGTCCTCGGGGATGCTCTCAGTAATGGCACCTGTGGCCAGCTCCCATTCTGTCTCGCCCGAGTCTGCTGTTTTGCAGCGGAATACATGGCAGCCGCAAGATGAGCAAAAGTGCCTCGTCCATCCATCTGCAGCGTCGTATGGTTTAACACCATGGGGAAGACTGGGAACCGCGATAGGGCAGTATGACGCACAGAGCAAGCCGGAGGTGTAACGACAGGTATTGCAGTGGCAGAGGGAGAGGTTTCGCGGTGTATCTACGGCGGGCCGCGACTTGACGAGTTGAGAGACGGAGCCGCAGAGGCAGGAGACGCGAAGAGACGGTGGCTCCATAAGATGAGCGCGGGTGGGTGTGTTTAGTTGAGTCGGTACAGTCCTTGAGCAAGTGGAACTGTCAGAGTGTTCAGACGTTACTATCGTGAGAAATGCGGGGCAGTCTATTCATATCCCGCATGTATCTACCAACTATACTGGGCTAAGAAGTGGTACATAGTACGAGTCCGTACTCCTAATGTCGTAATGTATTTCAGGGGTCGAAACGGGCGGGATGAAGAGCAAGGTGTGGCAGCCTGAGAATGACATCCTTGTCGGGAGTTCGTCACTGGAGCCCGAGCACCCGAAACTCCGAGAGGGCGCCTGCGGTGGCTTGGCTGCCATCAAGGGCGACGAATGGTCTCGTAGTGGTTTTGGGTGGGTTTTCATCATGGTCCTACTATGTACGGAGTAGACTCGTGGGGAATGGAGAATGGAGAACGACCAGGGCTCAGGGATCTCGGGCCTGTCCTGTTTTTGCCTCTCCTCTCATGTCACTGTGCCATGTACCTTACTCTGTACCTGGACGGAGAAAGTCCTTCATGGCCCAGAAGGCCGGGACTAAAACTAATAACGCCCGGTTAAGAGGTTCGCTTCGTTTGGTCATGAATTTGGCCCTTGAATGGCGAAGATCCCCCGAGGACAAACGAGGCTGGCTGATGGGATGGGATCCCGCCAAGGAGACTGGGGTGTAAATGGGAGGGGGGCAGATGGATGATGTGCTGGCGGAGGGATGATGCTGATTAGTGCTAGGGCAATCTGCCAGATGCCTGATAATGACAGTGGACAATCAAGGAAGGAGGACGCCGGAGATATGTCCGCGGACGTTGGAATGTATCGACAGTTCACAGTTGTAGGCGCGAAGCTTCCGGTCGATCAGGGCGCAGCCGATTAGCCCGGTCTGGCCTGGCCTTGTCTCGTTGATCTGGCCTCATACGGAGTAGACTACGACGTTGTACCTTTTCCTGCTACCTGGAGTACTTTGGTAAGTCTCATACTACGTAGTAGTCCGTCCTGGGCAAACTCAATTGGATCCGAGGCTTGTCGCAGGCGTCATATCACGACACCCACTATCGGGTCATCAGAATCGCTCGCGTCTGTCGTCTGTCAAGCACCACCATGTCTACCGCGGTCCGTCCCCACCTGTAGGTACCTAGGTAGGTAGTCAGCGCTTGTTCAGGAAACCAGCCGCACGCTTGCGTTGCTGACTGGAAGGGGTCGCTGAACTGGACCCAAACTAATTCAGCCCATCTAGCTAATTGGGGTGAGTATTGCTGACGCGGACGGCAGACACGAGGACGACGCCTGCGCAATGAACGCCAGGTATGGAGACGGCTGAGAGAAGGGTGTGGCGGTGCAGTTGCGGCAAGGGCGCCATGGTTTCTCTAGCAAGGCTACGTAGGTACCTAACCTAACACAGTATGTGACGGGACAATAGTAAGTCAAAGTAAAGGGATGGAAGGGATGGCTCAAGGAAGTGAAAGGAAGAAAGAAAAGAAAAACCCCCCATATCGTCCCAGCGTGTCTTGCGTGTGTGACGGCATATGTGACACTCCTGCGTCGGGCGTCTGTCTCGTTCCCCATCTATTAGAGGCTGGGAGGTACCCGCAGCGCGTGCGATGTACCGTCTAGCGGGTGCAGCAATCGAGCAGTACCTACGTACTCCCTATCACAGCAGTTATCGACCACATTAGCTCAGGGGGAAACCCTCCCTCAGATCAAGCCTATCGCGGATCGAGGGCTGGAACAATGTACAAAGTACCCTCCTGTCTACTACGACATCTTTATATTTTTGTGTGTTACTGCACCTCTCCGAATTGAGCTGGCAGGCAGCCGCATTCTCGTCCCCCTTCTGGGTCTGGGAGGCTCAGGGCTGCCCCCCCGCCCAGCCTAAACTGGCCTGAACTGACCTGAACTGAACTGAACGGAGGAGAAGGGCACACGCCGTGTCAGGATTATTCCCTCCCTCCCCCCCCCGGACCTCGGCCTCAGCGGCTGTGTCAGCGGTCTGTGTTCTGTTCTGCATTTTGCGTCTGTGTCTGTATTAGCGGGCCGGAGTCGGGTGCCAGATTGCTAAATTGTCTGGGGGAGTCCTGTCGGTACCTTGGTGCCCCAGGGCTCCCAGGCCACCTTCCAGGGCTTCAGGACACCCGCTAAGTTTCAGAGGGCGACCCCCCTGCCGCCTCTGGCCGTCCCTGGAGCTGGAGGACCCGCCGCAGTGGGGTACACGGCCCTCGTAGCGCCCCCCCAGACACAGTGGACACCGGTGGACCGGCGGGGCCAACAGTACGAATACAGCGTTCTCAGGGAGGTGAGATGCGCTGAGGTGAGGTGTCCTTCCATTTTAACCCACTGAAAAACCTGGCGCGGTACCTGTTGCGCATGGTACAGCCTGGGTCCTGGGCGGTACCTGGCTGGCCCAACCCGCCTAGTCTCCCCAAGCCCACGCAGCACTGTGCCGCCCCTTCGCGCTGACTCCAGCCTCGCTCGCCTTGGCCGTGCCGCTGCCTCTCTATTTTGTCCTCACTGAAAAGAAAAAAAAAACCCAGCTTGCCTCGTGTTTCTTCGTCCGCGCGCCCTCACTCGCCCCCTGGTCCCATCAAGTCACTAAGTCACTAAGTCACTAAGCGGCATCCACCCACCTCGAACCTACCTCCTCTACCAAGTACCTGCCGTAGGTACTTGCCTTCCTTGGACCGCCGCCTGGGCCACCCTTGACCACTTCGACCACCTCTACCACCAACGACTACCAACCCGTCCCCCGTCTCCCGTCCCAGCAAACACGCAGCATCCAGCATTCAGCCAAGCTGTCCCTTTCGCATCGCATCGCATCGCATCGCATCGCATCGCACCGCGTCTGCTTCCCGCGCGTTCTCTCCCGACTCCGGATCTACGACGACATTCTCGACGACTAGCTACGATTAAGACCAAGACGACGACGACGCCGACGCCAACACGGCAATCTTTCCCTCGCTTGCAGCCTGACGTCGCGACCTTTCACGACGGCAATCCTCTAGTTGGCCCCCCTCCATCACCAGCCGAGCCAGACTATCGCCAACCCCCTGCGCCGCCATCAACGACCACCGCGACTTCTACGGCGGCTTGATGCATCGTTACTGAAGCCCGGAGACTTCTTCCCCGCAGCCTCTGTCTTTCTCCCGTCCTTTTCTTCTCCCAGTCACCCTCGTTTTCCTTGGACCGGCCTCCTCGCCCGGTGCGAGCCCTCACCAGCGTAAACTCGTGTGTCCCTGGCGCAATCCACCTCGGCCTCCAACCGAACCAACCCCGACGCGCATTCAACGCTTTTGTCGACCACCTCTCGCAGAAGCGCTTTGTCGCTGGCTTGCACCCGTCTTACACCATGATTGAGGACAAGTATGTTGTGTCCCGCCTCGCCACCTACTCCCCGCTCAGAGATGTCTTTGCGTCTCCCCCCTCGCTCATGTCCTGTCCAGTCGAAATCCTCCATTCCTCAGCCCCATCGATTCGCTAACTTTTTGCATCAAGGTATATCGGCCTGGCACTTGCCATGTGCTCAGCTCTTGCCATTGGTATGCTTCACGGACTGTCTACTTCGATCGCGCTCATGCTAATGCTTACTCTTTAGGAACCAGTTTCGTCATCACCAAGAAAGTCCGTTACCCCTGCACCGAACCCCAACGAGCGAGCCGTCGATTCCTAGTCGAGGACCCGATAACGTTGGGCCCCATACGTGCCTCTGAACGCGCCACTGACTGTTGCACCTAGGGATTGATTCAAGTAGAGGAGCGTCATGGTGTCGAGGGTGAAGGATTTCTATACCTACGGAATCCTCTGTGGTGGGCTGGTATCGCGACTTGTGAGTCTCGTACCTCTACCTGCATTGGAGCTGCGCTAACTTGACACGCAATTCAGTGGCTACAGGAGAAGTCTGCAACTTTGCGGCATACGCCTTTGCCCCCGCGATTCTCGTCACCCCTCTCGGAGCCATCAGTGTCCTAATCGGTGCTGTCCTCGGATCTTACTTCCTTAAGGAGGAGCTGGGAACGCTGGGCAAGCTCGGTAGCGCCATCTGCCTCATCGGCGCCGTCGTCATTGTGCTCCATGCCCCTGCGGATGAGGACATTCAGACCATTGACCAGATTCTGCACTATGCCATTCAGCCAGGTATGTACACTCTTCAATGCGCGCTCTTTCGCTTGGACGCCAACTGACTCCAAATTGCAGGATTCCTTCTCTACGCCATCGCCGTCGTCGTCTTCGCGCTCATCATGATCTACAAGGTTGCCCCTGTTCACGGCAAGAAGAATGCACTCATCTACCTTTCGATCTGCTCGACCGTCGGCTCCATCTCCGTCATGTCTGTCAAGGCTTTCGGAATCGCCCTCAAGCTTACTTTTGCCGGCCACAACCAGTTCACCCACCCCTCGACCTACGTGTTCATGATTCTTACCGCCGTGTGTATCCTCACCCAGATGAACTACTTCAACAAGGCTCTGGCCGTCTTCCCCACGAACATGTAAGTTACCCATGTCTCGTTGGAATGAATACTTGCTTACCGGACACCTCCAGTGTTAACCCCCTGTACTACGTCACCTTCACTACCGCCACCCTCTGCGCGTCTTTCATCCTCTTCAGCGGTTTCAACACGACCGATCCCGTCAATACCCTCTCTCTGATCTGCGGTTTCTTGATCACTTTCACCGGTGTCTATCTGCTGAACCTCTCAAGAGGCGACCCCCACGGCCACAAGCTGATTGTTGGCCGAGGAGGATCCGATGCCACTGGTACTGATATGGTGTCCGGCCTCCAGACTCGCCTGAGCATGCAGTCCAGGCGTAGCTGTGACCCGCCGCGACACAGCGTCAGCAGCCTGCATGGCGATCGTGAAGGCCTGATTCACGCATACGACGAGGAGGAAGCCCATGGCTTCGCCCTGACTGACCTCGCCGAGGACAGCGACGACGATATGCGCCGATCTAACGGCAATGGCAAGGCACACTACGAGAACGGTATCGAGCTCAACAACCGCAAGTATGGCGACAGGTAATGCCCGCTTGGGCAATAGTGTCCCTTATATGTGAGAGCAGAGCACATGGATACTGCTGGAGGCGTCCGCCAAGTGCTATTCGCTCCAATTTTCCATCTTTTCCGTCATCTCTAGGGAACGCCATTGTACATTTCCGACGCCATTTGACCGAGCGAGAGGTTGTCGGAGCATGACCAGATGCATTCACGAATGATACATAGACGCAACGGGATTCGCAGGTGCAGGTGCCACCACCCAAAGTTGCTCATGGGGGCTGGGTCTCGGGTCAGTTGAGATGTATTGTCTACTACCACTGGAGTATGAATGGACACGGTCTTGGGAGGCGTTGACGGATCTGTATCTGAGCCAGGAAGCTGGCTCTCCTTGTATGATACCGGGGTGCATGACACGACAGGAGGAGGATACACGAAGACTCCCTTTGCCATATTTCGGGACAACAAGGGCAGAGTCTTACGCATGAGAAGATATACCAGCCACAATGCTGGTTCAATGGGATGTCAAGAGAACTGGATCGGGATGTAGTAGATTTTTTTTTCATCGAGTCGCAGGGCTTTTCGGGGTTGGGAGAAGGTTGTCATGTATTGTTTGCGCTGAGTTTTTGGATTCTTTCAAAAGGGAAGAGTAGCTTCACAAAGAGCTTAAGATACCCGGAAAAAAATCAAGAAAAAATACTCAAAAGATACTCTTACCATTTGCTCTTGATCGCAGCTCCATCGAGCAACGATCGTAGTCGCTAGGTGTCATTTTCGCGTTGTAAGGGGTGTAGTGTGTCGACGGCCAATTGAGCCCGGTTATTGCTTACTCGAAATATTCGGGAAATCCTACGCTGACGCCGATGGAGTAATTCCGTTCGTAAATTTATATAGCCCGCAAAGATCAATAACTGCCATGGCCTAGATCCCGCTGGCCAGGAGTTGACAAACAATTGTCGCTTGAGGTTACGTTTCCTAGCCTGTCGACCGTCTACGATGTACAGTTGGCTGTGCAATCCAATACCCAAATCATCACCCATGTCACAGAATAAGAGACACGAATAGAATGAGTGTTGGTAGACAGAGAGAAGACACGGGTCTCGTACGTGTCATCAGAATCTTCGGGTCTCATTTTTTTTATGCTTTGCCTACCATTACAAGCAAGAATGAAACCGTCCGTGCCCTTTAGCAGATGCAAATGATCAATTGACGCCTGAGTAGACCTCCGTCCCTCAACCTCTTTCCCAGCTCCATCATCTCATCAAACCACGGGAGATATGGGGACCGCCTATTGCTCAGCGGGCTCAGCACCCTCCTCAGCCTCCTCCTGCTGCTCGGCAACTCGTGCGTCCTGGGCGGCCTGGTTCTGGGCGGCCTTAGCGCCGTAGTCCTGGCTCACGGGCTGGACAACAGCCTGCTCCTCCTTGGGCTCGATGATGGTAACGGCATCGGGGAGAGCCTTCTGGGGACCAGCCTTGCCCTCGGGGTCGGCACCACGCATGATCTTGACCTTGATACCCAAGACACCCTGGCGGAGCAGGACGTGGCGGGTGGCGTGGTCAATGAAGTCCTTAGCGGGCTGACCTGAGTGGATCATGAAGCCGTCGGTGAACTTCATGGACTTGGCACGGGCGGCACGGAGCTTGCCGGAGACGACAACCTCGCAACCCTTGGCGCCGGACTCCATGATGAAGCGGAGGACACCATAGCAGGCACGGCGGACGGCCAGACCGTTGAGGAGCTTGTAGCGGAGAGACTCGCACTGAGCGACAGCGGACAGACCACGGTTCTGGACCTTGGCGGCGTAGAGAGAGACGGAGTTCTCGGGGAACTTGAAGCGCTTCTGGATGAGCGAGGTGAGCTCACGGATGCGGCGGCCCTGCTCTCCGAGGACCTCCTGGGTGTGGGTGGCGCGGATGATGATGTCGGTAACGGTGGGGGTGACGCGGACCTCGACGCCGGAGTAACCCTCCTCAGCGAGCTCGCGCTGGAAGAACTCGTTGAGCTCGGCGTAGAAGACACCGTCAGCGACGAACTTTCTCCGCTTGGAGCTGTTGAGATAAAACCGTCAGCAACATGATTCATGAAACTCAAGATATAATTCTTGGTGCAGTGTGCGTGGTTTTGCAAAATTGCGGCCAAAATTCCCACGACCGCGGGGTGCCTCGACGAGACGAATTATAACATCGAATCGACTCGGCGACGGCGCGCGGGACGAGAGACAAGACGACAGAGACGGGGATAAACTCACATCTGAGCACCAGGGTGAGCCATTTTGAATGATTTGGTAGGAACTGTTGTCGTGGACGGAGTTCGAGGGCTGGTTGCAGAGAAGGTTCGCGATCCGGGGACTGGAGGTGGATTGACGAGCCTCACAACGTTTGGCGGTTCTCTCAATTTTTTGGTGTGGGTTGAGCCCTAAATCTGGCTGGCACACAACCCGCGCACACAGCAGCGCAATGTGGAGGCCAGGGTGAGGAGGGGGCACCGGAACCCGGAGAAACTATTGTTCACCGGCCGGATCCAAAACCAGGGAAGGGGCAGCAGGTCACGACCATGGACCCCTGCCTGATGCGGGTCCCTCCTTCTTTCAAGGGCGCTCGGACCATGCCTGACGTCTGTCCCTTCGTCCTTTCCCTCCCCGTAGTACTACGGTATCAGGCATAAGTAGGGGCCATCCCCCCCCCCTTGTAAGGGCCCAATTTTTGGTACTGTAACAGTGCCAATTCTAATTCAGCAGGGCCTCTGTAAAGTCTTTCTTTAGCCGCCAAACGCCTTTGTAGCCAATTAAGATATCAGATGGCAGCTTAACTATATAATACTCTTTTTACTCTTATACTTCCTCTCCTTTTTAGCTGTTATTTCTGTTAACTATCCCGTAAATACCTTACTCCTAATAGTGCGAATATTTAATTCGCACTATTAAGTGACAAAATTGCGGATCCTTATAAAGTGGGGAGGAAAGCCCCTACTTATATCTGATACTGTAGTAGGTACTGTTATTAAGCCCCGTACTAGAGCCTGCAGCCTAATAAAACAAATAAAAGTATAGCTTGATATTTCATATATACCTCTGAATAAATTAATAAACTGAAAAAGAAATAAAATAATATATAGAATAGTAAGTATAATATTTAATATTATACTAAATAAAAGATAAAATAAAATATTTAATTAAATATTATTAAATTATTAATAAAATAGTAATAAAAATATAATATATCTATAGTATATAAAATTTTTATGGGGGATTTTTTGGGGGATTTTTTGGGGGGTTTAAAAAAATATCTTCAAAAAGTTTAATTAACTTAAATATAGACTTTACGGATGGTTTACCTATGTACGTCCACGGCTTGTGATGATGGACTGAGCTCGGCAACCTCACGTTAGACTCACTGCCCGGTGCCTGAGTGCGCACCCAAAGAAGCTCTTTCTCTCCCACGTTTGCCATCTCTTCCGGGTGCGCGTACTCACAGTGGTTATTGTCATCCTTCTACCATCCTCTCTGTCAGAATACCATGTCGGAGACCACATCATAGCCCCAAATATCCCGATCCTCCTGCGGTCTTTCTTACCTCATCTCCGACTTGGCGATCCCGGTCTACACCTCTACATCCTCCAAGCAGCATTTCCTTATTCGACAGTGGAATAAGCCAGACGCCTTCCTTTGCGCGTAGTCAGCCACTACAATGGAGGCTCGAAAGGTATGCGCAAACCGCTATTCCCCCCCTCTCTTTGCCTCTCGTCTTAGGCCCGTCGGATCTCTTTACTTTAGTGTCCTAACATCGCTTGCTCGCCTAGATCGTCGAGAACATCCAGGGCATCTACGGTGGCCAGACGACCAACGGCACGATTCGCCTGACCGACTACCATCTCGTCTTCTCCGCCCCCATCGACCAGTCCGGTACTCCCGCCGCCTCTCAACCGAATCCTCCGGGGGGTCCGCCCAAAGTCCGCGAGCGATGGATCACGTTCCCCATGATTTGCTACTGCACATTCCGCCCGGTACCTCCAGGTTCTCGACAAGCTCCATCGATCCGTCTAAGATGCCGCGACTTCACATTCGTAACCTTCAACTTCGCCGATGGTGACGCCGCGCGCGACACGTTCGACTTCATCAGAGCGCGAACTTGCAAGTTGGGCACCGTCGAGAAGCTATATGCCTTCAGTCACAAACCGTTGAAGCACGAGAGGGCAGTCAACGGTTGGGCGGTCTACGACCCGAGGGCGGAGTTCCGCCGGCAGGGAATCAGTGAGAAGCTGCCGGATAGAGGGTGGAGGATCACCCACATCAACAAGGACTATACATTTTGCGACACCTATCCCGCCTTCTTGGTTGTCCCCTCCAAGATCTCCGATAATGTCCTCAAGTACGCGAGGGAATTTCGATCCCGTAATCGCGTTCCCGCACTATCATACATCCACCCCATCAACAACTGCACCATTACACGAAGCTCACAGCCCTTGGCGGGAATCACGAGGAAAACAAATGTGCAGGATGAGAAATTGGTAGCGGCTTCTTTCTCGGCACTGATGCCAGCTGGCTCTGAGGATAGCACACCACTTTCGAGTCAACCCGATATCTCTAATGGGGGCTCCTTTTTAGAACGAGAGCTCTCTGAAACTGAGCGCTATGAGGAAGAGCTCATCTCGAAATCGGCTGCTGTCTATGACGAGAAAACTGGAAAGCGCCTCTTGTACGGCGCCCAGCAGAGCAACCTCATCGTGGATGCTCGTCCGACCATCAACGCCATGGTGAACCAGGTCCAGGGGATGGGTTCAGAGAACATGGACAAGTACAAGTTCGCACGGAAGATTTTCCTTAGTATCGAGAATATCCACGTTATGCGAAGCTCCCTTGCTAAAGTCATTGACGCTATCAAGGACGCCGATATCTCGCCTTTGCCGCCGAGTAAGGAGCTGCTACATCAAAGTGGCTGGTTGCGACACATCCACGACGTCCTCGACGGCTCGGCCATCATCACGCGGCAGGTGGGGATCAACCACTCCCATGTCTTGATTCACTGTTCCGACGGCTGGGATCGTACAAGTCAGCTCAGTGCCTTAGCCCAGATTATGTTGGATCCCTACTACCGTACCATGGAGGGCTTCATTGTCCTGGTCGAGAAGGACTGGCTCTCCTTTGGCCACATGTTCCGGCTCCGGTCCGGGCACCTGAACCATGAGGATTGGTTTACGATCCAGAAGGATGCATTGGCCGGCGCCAAGGTGCAACCGGGGGAGAATGACGGGCGGAACGATGCTTTCCAGAACGTCCTTAGCGGCGCGAAACGATTCTTCAACCAGAACCTAAATCAGAACAAGGACGATGGAGACCTTGATACCATCAGTGAAACGGCGTCTGGGAAGGTTGTCAACGAAGAGGCAACGACTCCTAAGATGATCAGCCCTGTCTTCCATCAATTCCTAGACTGCACCTACCAACTCCTGCGGCAGAACAAGACGCGATTTGAGTATAATGAGCGATTCCTGCGCCGCCTCCTATATCACCTGTACTCGTGTCAGTACGGTACCTTCTTGTATAACTCGGAGAAACAGAGACATGATGCTCGAGCGCCCGAGCGAACATCTTCGGTGTGGGATTACTTCCTCTGCCGAAAAGCCGAGTTCACGAACCCCGATTTCGACCCCACGATTGATGACCACGTCAAGGGCCAAGAGAGGATTATCCTGCCCCGGCTGAAGGAGATTCGGTGGTGGCACCAATTGTTCGGACGAACCGAGGATGAGATGAACGGAGCGCTTAATGCAGCAGCTACCGCCGAGAACGACCGACAAGCTGCCATCTCAAGCTTCCAGTACCCCAGCGTAGCCCATGCCGAGCAGGAGCCTAGGTCGTCAAGCACCAGCTCAGACAACCCTTCACTTGCAGGAAATCGGTCCGTTCTAGCTGGTGTCGAGAATGCGCACGAGGCTCTGACGCCCGACACACGGCACGCCACTATGGAACGAAGCGCATCGGCAGAGGGCGGCAATGCCTTCGCCGCAATCCGAGAGGGTATCACAGGCCTAAACCTGGGGAAGAACATGCTTGCAACCTTTGGCCAAGGCGAAGCATCATCGTCCAGCTCGACCCCCGCACCCACCCGCACTCGTAGTGACCAAGAACTGCGGGAGATGGCATAGAAGGTCATGTTTCCGGCGCCGGCCGCCGGTCCGTACTTGATCGTCGAGACCCAAGACTCCGTCCGGTACGCCTGTCCCAGGCCGCGATCCCCCGCGGCGCCGATATCGACGGCTCAAGACGTGACGTCCTCGACCCACGACCAAGGTAGTGGACCCAGCTTCCACAGCGTACCGAGCGACCTGAGTGGCGAGTGGGAGTGCATCCAGCGGCGCGAAGCCGATCGTGACACCCAGCCCGGCTGTCTAGAAGGACAAGTGAACGCGAGCTTCTCCTCGTGGAGGTGCCCTAGATTGACGCCAGAGATTTGGCACCCGCATGGCGACCAGCAGTCATCTCCAGCGATGACTCTGAGGGAAACACTGCTAAAGGACGGCGAGAGACGTGGCGTGGCCAGGTCATCAGCTTGAGTATCTAACTGTCCTGACTTCGTTTCCAGTTATGGAATCGCGGCGTTCTGCTAATGGTCTTGGCCTCTGTGGCACTGTGTTTGCGGTGTCTGGGTGTTGCGCTGGTGAATCAGAAGCGAAATAATTAAATGAGAAGTATTGGTGACAGAGCGTGCATTGTTGCAATCAGGACCTTTCGGTGGGCCTCAAAAGGCCATCTAGTCCAGGTATTAGAATTACAACTCATTAAGGAGTCACTTCCAGGGGCGCACAAGTCATCCTGATGAATAAAACCAATACAGCCCACAAGGATCACGTACCTTTGTGCCATTGCCATCAGAGCCTAGGTACGTAGGTACATTGAGTTCTTCCTAAAATATATAATGAAATGGGAACTAATACTTCTCCTAATCTTTAGGGAGTAGGTATGTTTAGGTAGGGAGTATGTTTAGGGAGTCTGTCCAAGTATTATACAATCGAAACTTGATGCTGATTGTCATAATGAGGAGTGAAGTAAATGGTAAAGATACCACCAATACACACCTTTAATCACTGTGGCCTATATATCAGCAGGTATGCAAATAAATTGTGTCCTTTATCTCATCGTGTAGTTTTTTTTTTTGTCTATCTCATAACGTCATCCCGGGCGTGACAACGTCTTCTACATGCGTGAGTTTGGTGGACGGTTACCAGATCCTCTTGGACATGTTTGCAATGTGGGCAAAGTGGTCTAGTCTGCCCTCAGATCTCCGTGGTGTCACTCCCCTTCGTTCGCTTTCGTCTGAGCCATCTACGATCCGCAGCTTGAACCCATGCTCTTTTCGCCCTGACCCCCTCTTCTAAACTCTCACCAAGTCCTCTACAAGAAATACTCAATGTTGACCTCCAAAGTGCTAACGGGGTACCTGAAACGAAGTCAGTATCAGTTGTGTCGTTGTAAGGGTGGATATCTTCTCGGGTACTCACTTCAAATCAAACTTCTCCAACACGGTGGGATGCAGGACACCGAACTCGCCGATGCGCGCCTCCTTTCCGCCGTAGCGGAGGTAGACAGCAGCAGCGTGGCCGGGGAAGAAGGTAGGATCATCGAGCTCCTCGATCCAGTAGCCGTCCGGTTTACTAGGGTCTTCCTGGGTGAGGAAGGACGTGCGAAGCATGAGCAGGACGCGATCGAGAAGACCATGGACAATCTCAAAGCCGCTCGTTCGGCCGTACCAAGCGGCGGAGAAGTGGCGCTCGTTGCGGGCCCTGCGCTCCAGGGACTCGTCCTTAAAGACAACGTCGGAGACCTCAAAGATCTTCATGGGGACGCTGTGGCCCTTGTTCTCACGGATGGTCTTGAGAAGACCAGGCAGGAGTGTCGACCGCACGACCTGGTACTCGGCGGTCTTGGGGTTGGCCAGGCGGACCACGGTGTTGCCGTCATCCTTGCGGTTCAGCCAGGAAAAGTTCTCATCGTGACTGCACAGGCTCAGAGGCAAGACCTCACTCCAGCCGGCCATGGCGGACTCGGTTCGGATAATGTCACTGAGCTTGTTGACCGGCAAGGGGGCACCAACAGTGGCACTACGGGTGGGAGCGGTGCGGGGGAGGTTGTTGTAGCCATAGCACACGGCGAGATCCTCCATGATGTCGCATTGGTGAAGGACATCGGCGCGGGTGGGAGGAATGGAAACCTCGAGGATGTTGGAGTCCTTCTCTGAGAGCTTGCAGGTGTATGACATCTTAGCGAGAAGCTTGCAGAGGTTCTCGGTGGACTCGTTGAGGCCGGTACAGCTGTTGAGGTAGTCAATCTCAACGTCGAAGACTCGAGGCTTGAAAGTGGGGGTGACGCGAGTGAGGTTGTTGTGCTCCGAAATGATCTTGATGGGCTCGACGGTGAAGGGGTCGGCGCAGTACATGGAGAACATGGTGACCATCATGTCAGTGACAATCTCCAGCTTGGTGAGGTCGGTGGCGGTGATCTCGATGAAGACGTTGGTGGTTTCAACAGTAATCTTGGAGTGGTCGCCGTTGATGATGGGGGGCAACGATCCGACAATCTTGTCGGAGTCGAAGATGACTGGGTACACGGGGGCATCGCGGATGATATGAAGGTAGCGACCCAGGTGCTTGTCGTTCTCGTAGAAGGTCATCAACTCCTCAGCGTTCATCTCCTTCGTCTGGTTGAGGGGGGTGAACTTGATGTCCTTCGGGACCAGGGCCTCATAGGTGAAGGGGCCCTTGACGGTGTCGAGATCATGGGTACCGATAGAGACGAGGGTTCGGTTGCGGGCCAGATTCTGGTGGAGCTTGTCTTGTAGGGCGATGAACGACTCGTAGCGGTCCTGTGTGAACTTGATGTTGCGCAGGATGGCGCCAGCGACATAGGGGCGGACCTGGTCAGTCTCGGGGTAGACGGTGATGATCTGCAGGTTGCCATCCTTGGGCTCGACGACACGGAAATTGGGAGGAGGGACGTGGCCGCGGAAGATGTTGAGGTTTAGGGCGATGCCCTCGAAGCAGAGCATATCATAGCGGTTGGCGGGGATCTCGATCTTGAGTTGAGGAGGCTCCTGGACGCCATTGACGATGGGGCGGGTGTCGTTCTCGGTATCTTCGTCAAGCTCGATGCCGAATTCGAAGCAGAGGTCCTCGAACTCCTCGGTCGTAAATCTGTTGCGCACAGAAGTGACTCGGTCAGTACGGCTGGTTGCATCTCACAGTCGACACAGGGTGATGGAGGGGGGGTAATGAGGGGCATCATGATCCGCACTTTTGACCGAGGGCCTCGTAGAGCTTGTACTTGTCGACGGAGATGGTAGGCATGGTGAAGTAGAGGACTCAGTCGCAGCCTCTGGCCTGGGTGGTGATCCTGTCCAAGAATTGTAGGCGTGGATAGCTCTCGTCGGTTGGGACTGAGCGTGTCGACGTGGGACGTGGGCCAGGGCGTGTGGATTCCCACTGACTGAGTCACAGGAAATTTTGGGGATGGACGTCGTTCGCAGCAAGGCATCGTTCAGTGAGGGACGCTGCTAGGATATGATGAGACTTTGGCTTTAGCAGCTACTGCTCACTAAAAGAAAGTACCGTGCTAGCGGCGACCTGGCGGGGTGATTTCTTGCCCGGATCATCGATGCTCCAAGTCCCGGCGTCAGTTTTGACGTCGTGTGGCTGGTGAGGGGCAGCAGCTGCCGCTGTGACAGACACTGGGTCTCTTTGGGTTAGCGCCCCACGTGATTCTGGGGACGGCGATTAAGCTGAACGGTGGGGCCACTCAACGTCACCATTCCAGGAGCTGAAGGAGCTGAAGAGCTGAAGAGCTGAAGGTGCCAGCTATTGAGGCCTTTGCAAAAAAGCGCTTGTTTGTACTTATCACAGGGTAACATTAGCGATTGGATTGGTTTTTCCTCAGACGCAAGTTGCAAGAATTATAGGTCCCTCCCTGAATGTATTCTTGGTTGGGCACCACCTACCAGAAATAGAAAGGCTTGGCGCTCGAGCAAAACCTCATCAATCTGAGACAAAAGACGGAAAACAACAGGTCTCAACAGCTTCCATTCTTCCTACCATAAATTTGAGCAACCACTGGACCATTCTCCGTCTCCATCATAGCAACTATCTGTGTTGTGTGTTGCCACGTTTCTGCTACCCGCTCACCTCTCAAAGCAACGGAGCGGCCGACTGCAGAGTGACATCGGTATCACCATTACACGAACTGGACAGGACGAAAAGGAGGATGGACGTCATCGGCTTCCCTGCCGGAAGTTTTGTACCCTTGCAGATTTTGATATTATTTGAATCTGCAAAGAGATGGGATGGGTTACACTGCGAATTGATCCTGGAGCTTGAGATTAGCCGACCACCTCAGTACACGCTCCCACGAGCGATTTCACGCAAGTGAGCGTCCGTGCGGGTGGCCCTGGAGACGTGGCGAAGAGGACCTGAGCTGACGGTAATCTGCTGGGCGAGGCCCTATCAAAAAACAAATATGGATGGATCCATCCCAAAGGCCTTGACTAATTTGGCCCGGATTCCTTTGACAGTCGGAGAGGGGGAGCCGACTTGCGATCCCCCCAAAACGCCCCAGCGCCCGGGTGCAATTTTTTAAAAACTTGTGCGTGTCGCCTGCGTGCCTATCACGGCATCCCATTCGTGGTTGGAGGCTGTGACTGGTGCTTGCTGTGATGGCCACTGTAGCTCATCGCTGGGGGTGGCCTACGAATCCAATGAGATGAGGAGCCACAACGCGCCTCCCCACCCCAGCCACACCAACCTAAACCGCCCCTGGTGGCTATTTCCCTCCTCCCCTCCTTTGGCCTCCCCCCTGTTGCCAGCTACAGCCTCAAGTCCGTTAGCAGCAGTGTCGAATATATGGCCGAGCTTGGTCATGAACGCAGAGATCATTCTTAGGTTGATGGCGTTGTCGTCCACGAGCAGGAAGCTGACTTGTTTGCTTGGGGTTTCCAAGGACTCGAAAGGATCTGTTCGTTCCGAAGTGCCTGGGTGTGGCGTGGACAAGACCCTGCTGGGCAACGATATCTTCTGAGCTTTGCTCTCGACTTATGCCCCTGCAGACGATATGTCACTCGAGCCCATGTCCGACTTTTAAGTACTCATGGCTAACTTTTGTAACGACCTAGGCGACGAAGCCTGCTCCGTGGCCCATCATTTCATTATGAGCGACAAAATTATGGCTATCTTATACGGGCAGATCCTAGTAGTTTGTGTTAGCTACTGTGATGGTGATCAAAGAGCGTGGTAAATGTGTGACATACGGCTGAGACATGAACTCGACAAGATCGTAACTAGGCTTACTAACTAATCTGCATTTAGCTTTTAGCTAGCTGAACTATAGCGAAGATTGTGATGAAGTTGTTAAAGCACAGTGTGAACTCAAGGTCGCATTAGTTATTAAAGGAAGGGGAAGGTTAAGGTGATTCAAGGTGATGCTCACTGAGCAAGGGTAATTAAAGCCTGAGCAAGAGCAGTGGTGCTGACTAATTAGGCCAGACACCGGGCGACCCCTACCTGCCCCGGACCCGGTGCGTTTAGCATCACGTGATACCTTGCACCAGATCCGGTACAAATAGCATTCCTTATATAAGTAGCGAGAGCGCCAATAGCTAGAGCGCCTATAGCTCTCTATACTTATAGAGGCTATAGCAGCTATCTTTTAACCTTTTAGTAGCTATAGTATCTACAGCTTCTAGCAGCTATATTATTTAAATATTATATATAAGAAGCTGAAAATACTATAGCTACTGGAAAATTATAATACTATAGATACTATTACTGCTAAAAGATTAAAGTACTATAGATACTGTAGCTGCTAGAAGGTTAAAGTGCTATAGGTGCTATAGCTGCTGGAAGATTAGGGCGCTATAGGCGCTGTAGCTGCTAGAAGCTTAGGATGCTATTGGTGCTCTCGCTACTTACATAAGGAATGCTATTTGCACCGGATCCGGTGCGAGATATCACGTGATGCTAAACGCACCGGGTCCGGGGCAGGTAGGGGTCGCTATGACACCGGCCTCTTAATTTTCGTGGTAGACTAGGTACCTAGGTACCTAGGTACCCAGATCACAGAGCACTCACCCACCATCTTAGGTACCCACCGACCTGCCTAAACCCACCCGCTGCCCGCTACCGCCCGCCACCACCGCTGCTGCCACTGTTGTCAAAGAGCCTCTCTCCCTCTCTCCTCTCGCCCCGACGGCCAACTCAGAACATCTCCCTCCCTCATTTCATTCACATGTCCACGGCCACGGCCTCGACCTCCACGACCGCATCCCCGTCCGCGTCTCCGGCCACATCCATCTCCGCCCGATTCTCGTCCTCGCCGGTCAGTCGCTGTCCGATATCGCGCTGACCTGCCTCTCCGCTTGGCCGTCTCGCCTGCCAAAAATCGTGTGTTGGGACTCCGCGCAAATCATTGCATCACCCACCCGCACGCGATCCACCCCCCATCTCCATCCTCCTACCACTCCTCCCTGACGACCACTTCGCTTCCGCCGAGACGCTGCCCGCCTCCCTCGACACTTCCGCGATCCTGCCGCCCTGCACGCCCTGCACGCCATGGCTGACGCGCCCAACTCCAGCGATGAGCTGTACCCCATCGCAGTCCTCATCGACGAGCTAAAGGTATGGCGGTGACGCCACGCTATCCTGCTGCCGCTGCCTCAGCTGCCTCTGCTGCCTCTGCTGCTCCTGCTGACCTCCGTTCCCCGCCAGCACGACGATGTTTTGCTCCGTCTCAACGCCATCCACCGTCTCTCAACCATTGCCCTCGCCCTCGGCGCCGAGCGAACCCGCGAGGAGCTCATCCCCTTCCTCGATGGTCAGTCAAATCTTCGCCTGCCGCCCCTCGTCCTTGCTGCGTCCCTGCTGCGTCCCTGCTGCGCCCCTGTTTCGTCCACCCAGCCATGATAGAACAGCTCCCCTAACCATCAAACATTTACAGAGTCCGTGGAAGATGAGGATGAGGTTTTGGTCGCCCTGAGCGAGGAGCTCGGTGGTTTCGTCGAGTACGTTGGCGGTCCCCAGTGGGGTCACGTCCTGCTCTCGCCCCTTGAGAACCTCGCCGCCATCGAAGAGCCCGTCGTGCGCGACAAGGTAAATTCACGCTTCCCCGTCTTCGCCATCCTCTCCTCGCCATCCTAACCATTCCACACCCAGGCCGTCGAGTCCCTCAACAAGATCTGCAGCGAGCTCTCGTCGCAACAAGTCGAGGAATACTTTATCCCCCTCACCATCCGCCTCGCCAAGGCCGATTGGTTCACATCCAAGGTCTCGGGATGCGGCCTCTTCACAACCCCCTACAAGAAGGTCTCACCTCCCATCCAGGAGCAGCTGCGCCAACAATTCGGCCTTTTGGTCCACGATGAGACCCCCATGGTCCGCCGTCAGGCCGCCACCAACCTGGCCAAGTTCGTCAAAGAAATGCCAGCCGCCATCGTTGTCGATGAAATGATACCCCTCTTCCAACACCTTGCTCAAGACGACCAGGACAGCGTCCGGTTATTGACAGTCGAGATCCTCATTTCCGTCGCCGAGGCCGTTCCCAAGGAGCAGCAGTCAAGCCATGGTGTCCTCCTCACGTCGCTGCGCAACTTGATAGAAGACAAGAGCTGGAGGGTCCGATATATGATTGCGGATCGATTTGAAAAGGTACACCGGAGATGCCCAGTCCTAGTCGCTGCCTACACATGATGCTAATCTATTGTCTCCCACAGATCGCCAAGGCTGTTGACGAGGAAGTCGTTTCGAGGGATCTCGTCCCCGCATTCGTAAAGCTCCTCAAGGACAACGAAGCCGAGGTCCGAACCGCTATCGCTGGCCAAATCCCCGGCTTCTGCGCCCTCGTCGACCGCAACACGCTCCTCAATGACATCATGAGCAGCATCGAAGACCTCGTGTCCGATACCTCCCAGCACGTCCGAGCTGCTCTGGGCACCCAGATCAGCGGCCTAGCTCCTATCCTTGGAAAGCAAGAGTACGTCCAACGCCCCTGTTTGCTGTCTGACCCATGCTTACGTCTACTACAGAACTATCGACCACCTGCTCCCTATGTTCCTTCAGATGCTCAAGGATGAGTTCCCCGAGGTCAGGCTCCACATCATCTCGAAGCTGGAGCTCGTCAACCAAGGTACTTGGTCCCAACATCCCTGCGCGTTGAGACCCCCGGCAAGCTAACAAGGACTAGTGATTGGCATCGATCTCCTCTCGCAGTCTCTCCTCCCTGCCATCGTGCAGTTGGCCGAGGACAAGCAGTGGCGAGTGCGCCTGGCCATCATCGAGTACATCCCGCTCCTCGCCAGCCAGCTAGGCGTCCAGTTCTTCGACGAGAAGCTCAGCACTCTGTGCATGGGGTGGCTCGGAGATACCGTCTTCTCAATCCGTGAGGCGGCAACCCACAACCTGAAGAAGCTGACGGAGGTGTTCGGTGTGGAGTGGGCCAGCGAGGCGATCATCCCCAAGGTCATGGCTATGGGCAACCACCCCAACTATCTCTACCGAATGACGACCTGCTTTGCCATCTCGGTAAGGCGCTGCGCTTTTTTCCCTGTGGTGGATTTCTAGCTAACCAAGACATTTGTGTAGACTCTGGCGACGGTGGTGAGCATGGATGTGATTGCCAAGTCCATCTTGCCCATGCTGGACAAGCTGGTCGGCGACGATATCCCCAACATTCGGTTCAACGTTGCCAAGACGTATGCCGTCCTGATCGAGGTTCTGCGACGCCTACCCGACGAAGGAACGATGTACGACCTGGAGAAGCAGAGCGCCGAGATCGTGCCGTCACCGCGGGGCATGGAGCTGATCCAACAGAGGGTCGTACCCAACCTGGGCAAGCTGCAGAAGGACGATGATGTGGACGTGCGGTACTTTGCGACAACGGCGGCGGCGGCCGTGACAGGACCCATTGCGGGTGGAGAGCCTATGAATACATCACCATAGATGAGAGACGTAATGAAGCAATTCTTGTTGCCACGACAGCTATTTTCGTTGCCCCTGTTTTACGACTCTGTGGCCAGAGGACATGGAACCATGCGGCGGCGCGCATTGCATTCTAGAGGCTAGGGCGAGGCACGGCGAATGGATATGCACCCGGATGTTTTGCGCAGACGAAAGAAAACTGCTGAAGGGTGACGAGAGTGATGAGGGGATGAGGTTCACAAGAGTGAGGGGAGTGATGAAAGTGACAAAGAGTGCGTGGCCAACAGGCGGGCTGGGTCAGCAGGAGTGCTGGTGTTGAGGCTAGAACCCAACGGTCCGGTCATCGACTGGAACCCAAATACCGATGTATGATACACAGAGTTTACAGAGATGATGGAGTGAATGGTACTTGCATTTGCACTAGGTGCTGAAGTCAGCACGCAACCGTGAGAGTGTCATTTCGAAGGGGGTATCTTGATTTTATATTCATTCTACTATGCATCAACACCGACGCCTGCCTACGCCTACACCCTGCGGAAACACAGAGTGCTGATGGTCTGCCCCTTGGCACCGCCGAAGCTGAAGGACTTGTACTCGACCTTGCCGGCAAGGTCGAAGCCGTCGTCGCCCCGGCGCTCGAACCAGCCCTGCAACTCCGACTCGGTCCAGTTGCAGCTCGTAACGAGGAAGATGCCGCCCTTCTTGACTAGATGCAGAACGCGGTCCCGATATCCCTCGCAAAGGCGTCGGCCCTGGGCGTCCTGTTCGTCGCTGAGGCAGATGGCGTCGAAGGTGCCCTTGTCCAAGACAATATCCCAACCGTCGGCCTGGGGCCCGCTGAGGACGGTGTCGAAGGGCCCGGCGATGACGTCCCACTCCTGGAACTCGACGGGGTTGGGAGAATCGGCGTCGGGCTCGGCGTCGGCTTCGGCTTGCTTGGCCACGGTGATCTGGCGCGCGAGGGCGATGCTCTGCGGGCTGTAGTCGACGCCCAGGGCGCGTCCCGGCCAGGATTCGTCGCGGAGGGCAAAGAGGAGGGAGCCGTTGCCGCAACCGAGATCGAGGAAGGTGGCGTCGTCGCGAGAGATGGTCAGGTCGTCGACGAGCAACTCGAGGTCGCCGTCGGCCAGGCGGTCGAGGAAGTCGAGGATCTTGGTCTCAGCGTCGGAGTCGTCGAACCAGACGGTACCGATGTCGGACGGGTCTGCGGCGTGGTTGGAGATTTCGCGGGTATAGAGGGTATCCCAGCTGTTCGTGGCGGTGTTAGTTGGGAGGGGAAATAAAGCAAGGTGGGATCGGTTGGACGAACTATTCCTTTGTGCCAAGCTTGGAAGGCTCAAGGTGCTGGGGTTGATCGAGTGAGGCCATTGCGAGCGGGCGGTGCAGGGGAAGAGCGCAAGTCTATGAGTGTGAGGGCTTGAACCTGAAGATTTGGACGACGAAGCTATTGTGACCCTCGTTCTTCGTTCTTGGTGGGGGTGGTGATGCACGGCCTAAACCGGCAGGCGGTGAGACGTGGGGTCCAGACATTTTGCGGCCATGGCGTAGTGGCGGGTTGTATAAAGTCCACCACCACGACGATCCAGAACCAATCAATTGTTACCAGAACTGGATGCGACACCAAGACAACTGGAGCCCAATCAATTGTGGCCAGGGTTGAACATAATCTCACCTTTCAACCAAGCCACCTCATAATCAAACCCCTCCCCTTCTCAGCCATCGGAACCAGGATGTCCCGTTCACCAGGACGCCCACATCCAATCAATTCTAACAAGGGTCCTGCTCACATCGACAGCTCAAGACGAATCAGTCGACCAGGGCTATAGACACCACGATAGCTGAGAACGAATCAATCATAGCCAAGGTTCAACACTCCAAATCCACTCAGGACCTATCAATCTATCAATCTATCAATCCGCACCAGGGTCCGCAACCTCACGACCGCTCCAAGCCTATCAATCATTCCAAGGGGAGGCCACTGGCTGGCTTTGTCCTGCCTCTTTGCTCTCTGGATATATCCCACCAGAATAGAGGAACCGGGCTGCTCTATAAACGGAGAAATATGCCTTCATCCTTTTCAGTTCTTCAACTTGTCTCATTCCATCTGCCTGCGTTGGCTGTGTCATTCGTAAAAGATGGACTTCCCAGCAACTTATTTCCGTGCACTATCTCTGTATACACTCTAGTTCTGCATTATTTGCCATCCTCCCCTTGCTTCTGAACCAGAAGATTCGTCATAACTATCAGTTGCAGTTTATTTTAATACACTGAATTCAATATTGTCGAATTCCCTCCCAATTACTCGCATCACAACCCGATACCGCAAAAACATGGATCCTTTGTCTGTCGAGTCTACCTCATCATTTGGAAAAGCCCCAATCTGGCTAACGTTCTTCTCAATAGTTCTGTAGCAGGCACTTCCATCGCCTTGGCTGGCACCATCACCACGCTAACCACGAGCCTCATAGCATTCATACGGGACGTTCGTGATGCCCGTGGTGACGTTGAAGAGATATCGCTCGAGCTGCATTCTCTGAAGATGATACTCGAACTCCTCGCCAATGACTCAACTGTCCTCTTGCCCCTAATTATCGAAACACAACTCGACTCCGTGCTGTCAAACTGCACTCGTCTGGTCGGAGACATCAGCCAGTGCATTCAACAACATCAGGGCTCGCGGCTTCAGAAGGGACTCAGATGGGTAGCGATTGGGAGAGGCGACATGGCCAATCTGAGGTCAACCCTAGAAGCTCATAAAACAACCTTGAATCTCCTGCTAGAAAAGGTCAACCAGTAGGTTTTTGCATTTGATAATCCCAGAGTTGGTTGTCTATATTCTCGCGGTTAACAGCTCCCAGGACAAAATTACAAGAGGTCGATTGTACCACCCTGGAGATCAAGACTCGCACAGAGGCGCTATTCCAACATACCAAGGCTATCAAAACCGATACATCCAGGATCCTTGAAGTTGTTGAATCCCTTGCCAGATTGTATGCCAACACGCTCATGAGTGTTGCACAAACCCCTCCAGCATGTATGCTAGAGAGATATCTCGACGAATCAACCACCTACGCCAAGTCGGGCATCGGAGAGTCGACAACGGAGATCACGGCCGAGGATCACAAAGTATCAAATTCCTTTCGACCACGGCCGTGTGGTGGACCTGACGCAATGCAATGTTGAACGATGCTGTACATATATTCTATACATACATTTTCAAGTTAGCGAGCGCATTTTCTAGTCTTGTTTACATTCAATGTAATAAAACAATTCGTACCGCGACTGCTTGGGCTTTCATGAATCACGAGAAACAGACACAATCAAGAGAGACAAGAGAGAGAGTTGTGCGTCGTTACGCTCGCATTCAAGTCGGCGTATTTGGCAATAGTACAAGGTGCGTCCTCTTTCTAAACCTCCCCAGGTCAGCTAAAATATAGTGGACGAGAGAAGATCAACGCCTTCCATGCAGAAACCGGTTGCAAAAAAAAAAGGATAAGAATGGCCGAGATAAAAAGTCATCTCGGCAGGGGCCATTGACTAAAAATAGCCCATCTTCCTCCCATATATATATGCCTTCCATCCATCTTATTCCTTTTAGGTCATGAGGACGACATCATCTCGTCCGTCGATCGTCATAAGCATCCGTCAACAAGAGTTAAAACCAATAAGTTCCCAACACCAGGCCCGTGTGACATAAAAACCAAGGCTTCCCAAGCAGCAACCGAGAGAGAAAATAACCAAGCAGAAAGCGACACCCGACCCCGTGACCAGTGGCGAGAAGGGGTCGAGGTTTGAGACTTCTTTTTCCTTATACCGGGGGGGGGGGGTGGTAATTTAGTAGAAACTCTCGACCATGGTGTCCTTCATGCTGGTGTTGATGTTGCTGGGGCCCTGGCCCTCGCCGAGGCGGAAGACGCTCTCGATGACGCTGAGCTCGGTGGCGGTGGTGTCGAGACCGGTGACGGCCAGCCAATCGTTGACGACCATGCCGGCGCCGACGACGTTGGAGCCGCGGTTGAGGGAGCCGGCGACGAGGGGAACCTGGAGGAGTGAGGACAGCTCATCCTGGTCCTGGATCGAGGTCTTGGGATGGACGAGACCACCCTGGTTGGACAGGCTCATGTAAGAACCGACAAGGACATTGTCGGCGACGGTCTGGCGGAACACCTCGACGCCGAGCACGTCGGCGATGATCTCCTCGGTCTCACGCTCGAGATCCGGGTGGATGAGGGCAATGTGGTCGTTGGTGACGATGACGTTGCCGAGGGCGGACAAGCGCTCCTCGATGCGCTGGATGCGGACCGCGTCGGGGAGGGAGTTTCGCAGGTGCTGGAGCTCCTGGTCGCTGGTGGTCGTGGGGACGAGGAGGCCCTTGCGGTTACCGGCGGTGAGGCGGCCGACGATGCGGGTGCCCGCGATGGTGGTGCGGACGGTGGGGATGAGGTCTTGGAGCTCGGCCTCGAAGACACTTAAGATGAGGGTCAGTCGAGCGGTTCAGGTATGGAGTGGGAGAGGGTAGGAGAGGAGAGGATAGAAGAGGAGAAGGGATGGGAGGAGAGGATAGAAAAGGAGAGGAGAGGGGTTGGTGGTTGGCCATACGTGACCCCTCGTCGTCATGAGGCATTCGGAAGCAGAACTAACCTGTAAAAGTTCTCGCTAGCGCCGTGGGCGACAAGAGCATATGAGTTGGTCAAGGTGGCAAAGACACCAATCCTACAGAGCAATTCATGTTAGTATGTTGCCTTTTTGACGTGATTGTCTCAAACCCCGCGTCGATGCGATCCCGCAGTGAAGCAAGCCAGGCAGCATCTGCACCTGCACCTGCACCTGCAATGGCGGGGGCGGGGTTCGCGGCCTCACGAGAGAGCTCTGGGGGCGAGGTACAACATACTCGTTGGAGTTCTCAAACTGAGCGCGGACCGCCATGATTGCTGATGTTGTCTGGGTGGTTGCAGTCGTCGTGACTAGAATCTTGAAAGGTGCGAGGGGGGAAGAACGGCTCTCTGAGTAGCAGAGCCTGGTGTTTAGTCGTTTGGTGGTGTGTTGTAGGTGTTGGGATGTCGCAATGGAAAGGCGGATGGGTCAGGGCAGGAGATTTTTTTTCCTGCCCCTCTTGCCGACCTTTATGTAAGGATGCTCCAGAACGGGCCTTGTAAGCCTTGCGCCGCAGAGGGTCGCCGGCTGTTCTCCCAGGGCCTCTTCCCACTGAAGCTTGGCTGCTACGGGCTAGAGTCCAGTGGGGAGAGACGTCGGGTTGGGCCCACCTTGGCGCGCTGTGGTGGGAGTCAGCGGCTCCAGTGACCCAGTGACTCAGTGACTCAGCATCGCATCGCATCGCATCGCATCGCCACCATGCGCGCCAGCAATTATGACTCTTCCCAAGTCTTCATTTCCCGCCCTTGCGTCCGTGCAACCTGTTGTGAGAGCTTGCGTTTCGATTATGCCTCTCCCGGATGACTCCTCTCTCTCGCTGGGCTCAGTCCCCTACGGTTGCAGGCATGCAAGCAGTGCGCCATGCCTGCCCCTCATTACCCGCTGTGGCTGTGGGGGCTGTCTGCCCTGTCCATTTCGACTCATTCTGAGTGTCTGACGGATTCGGCAATTGTGGAAACCCCAGGTAATCATTGCCATACCATCCGTGTCATAACATGCCATCTCTAAGTTACCGAGTACATACCACCGGGATACAGGAGCCATCTTCTTTTGCATTTCTTCACCAAACACTCATCAATCGGGTCCTATTAAACGAGAAATCCTCAACTCAGTCAAGGTTCAACGTCGTAACTTCGTCATGTCCCTACCCAACAACAACTCCTCCCCACCCTCGAAGCAGCCCAGATATTCTCCCGAGAACTAGGCAGTTCTAAATTCAACTAGGTACGGTCCAAATCGGGTGTGTATGTATATATAGAGATGGCAAACCGACCAAGACACATCCGGTCTTGTGGCTGCCCTTCACATCCAGTCGGTGCATAAAAGAAAATATATGTCCTTCGTCATCATCCATCATTTGTCCGCTGCTCGTAACCACATCCATCCATCCCAGCCTAAGCCATGTTGCCATGCCAAGTCTAGGACTCTGTGGGAATATCTCTCTCCTCCCCTCCCCTCTCCTCTCTTCTCTTCTCTCTCCTCTTTCCGCTTCCTCGGCCTTCCTCTGTCTCCTTTGTATGAATCTTGCCATCGTCTCTTGTCTACGCCCGCCTGCAAATCTTCCCTCCGGAATCTCCCAACTCCAAAGACCATGACCGCCAGGCTGCATATCTCTCCCCTTATCCCCGGCCGCCTTAACAAATCGCTGTAATTCCCCCTCTCTAAAGAGTCCAGACCGGTGCCTTCATCAACACCTGTCGTCCCCGCACCTCCAGCGCAAAGAATCCAGCGAATCGTACTCTGCTCGGATCCTTGGGCAGCGCTGAAATTGAGTCCACGTCAGTATCCGTCATTCCACTCGTCGATACATTGCTAATCTCCCTCCCGACTGCACTGGGCGTCATTGCAGATTTAAACATACCAGTCTTGGCCTTGTCGCCCCGTCCGTTCTTGTCCTTGTCCCCTTCATCGTCCGAGTCGTCATCGTCATCATCCTTCTGAGCCTCAAGAACCGGCAAAGGTGTCTTCTCCACTTCCATCAGATGCGGGTGCACAATCTCTCCCGGTAGCGGGTAGGTAATGGCGACATCTCGGCTCTCCAGGGGAAGGTTAGCAGCGATGCCTACGGCCAACTCCACAATCATTGACGTGCTACCCTCCACACCAGCTGGTGGCGGGCTGTTGAGGAACTGATAAAGGCAAGCCGTGAGGTTGGTGGTCGCCTTGTTTGTAAACGAAGTGCGGCTGTCCGCGCTTGCTGGCGAGTTGAGCTGTCGGTGTAGGCCCTCAAGTGTCGTCATGCGCCAGCTGACTACCTTGTTTGTGAGTGCGTTCAACTCCTCCTGACTGCTCATCGTGTACGCATTGTGTCGAATGCTAAGCTCAATCTCCTTGAGATCTTGGCTCAGCTGAGGTTCCAGGCCTGGGTGGAAGCATTTGTTGAACACCTCCTCCACTAACCATCGCGATATCACAGCTCGTCCCACAGCCGTCATCTCCTGCTTACCCGTCTTCAGGGCATCAACACTAACGAACTTGTCCAGCCACTGCGGCACGCAACGCCAGTCCTTTCGAATGTTGAACGACAGGTTGTTGATAGCACCGTTGAGTCGGTTGAACCGAGTCGAGTACTCACTGTCATCGAGTGCCGTTCGCGACTGCGACATACGCTGGTTGGCCACAGCATTCTGGAGCTGCTCGACCTGGCCGCTAAGGATTTCGATCTGCGACTTGCCATCAAAGTAGAGTCGCTTCACATTCTTGTACTTGGTCACTGCCAGCCAGTTAGTACATCAAACACTATACCACCACGGCACTGGAATAGACAACGGGACAACGTACGCAAGTCCTTCATCCCCTTGTCACCTTCGGCCACATCGCTAGGGACAGCGGACGAGGGCTGGGGGCTGTCTCGGCCCTGATCAATTGGCTGACCCTCAAACTGCGAGGGTCGATCACTGCGGTAGACGGGCGGCTGACCAGCGGCCGTTCCAGGGACCGGAGGAAGGGGGTTCATCGTGTTCAAAGGCACGTTGCTGTGACGATAAGCGGGGGGCGGGCCGCTAGGAACGTCGACTTGGCTGCGGAGCGGCTTGTTGTCGGTGTCGGGGTTGCGGCGGGAAGACGGAGGACCTCCGGCGGGTGGTGCCATGCCCGATTGCTGGGGCTGTGGGGTAGTCTGTTGTATGGGTGGTAGGCTCAGAGTAGAGCCGTCGTTCTGCGTGTAGACAGCGTGATTCACGGCAGGAGATGTGTGTGCGGACTGCAGGGTGGCAGAACGTTGATCCGAGTCGGTAATGGGCGACTCATGCGAGAACTGGGAGACGGTCTCGGGGTTCTGTTGGTGGGAGCTGAGACCTCGGTAAGCGCCCGCGATCCTTGGATCCTGGTGATAGTTGATGGGTTGCTGCGACTGTTGTTGCAGCTGCTGCGGATTGGCAAAAGCGTACGCCTGCTGCGAGGGGTTCTGCGGCGAGTGTGGTTGGTCGTATTCGGTCGTGTCGATGTGAGGCTGTGGCGGCTGTTGGTCCTGCGGATGCACCTGGACGTGGGGTTGCGGCGGCGGCGGCTGCTGGACCTGCTGGGGCGGGGCTGGGTGCTGACGGTAGGCTGCGGCGTCGTAGGGGGCCTGCTGCTGTTGCTGAGGGTCTACGTCGGCAGCGCCAGAGACGTGACGGATGGTGTTGTGGAGGGAGAGACGGGAGTTCTGCGACGGGGAGTGGGAGTTAGATTCGTGTGCAGGATAGTATTCATCAATGTCGCCGAGACCTTGGCGAGGAGAGGGTTGTGAGAGGTAAGGGGCCGCCTGAGCGTGAGCGTGGGCGTCGCGGGCTTGCGGCTGCTGCCAATCGAGACCGGGGTTCTGGGGTTGGGGTTGGGTTTGGGCGGCTTGGGCTTGGAATGGGGTCTGGACCTGGGCCTGGGCCGCAGCGCCAGCGACCGTGGCTGGTTGGGGTTGACTGTGTGTGGGAGAGAGGGATTGGGATTGGGATGGAGAGCGAGAGTGGGACTGGGATTGGGACTGGGACTGGGACTGGGATTGAGAATGTGATGCGGAGGAGGAGTGGGTGAGGTGCGAGAAGCTGGTCTTGAGGGAGGGCGGTGGATTGCTCACTCTCTTGGATGGTCGGCGAGCAAGGCCACCGGTGTTGTCGTAGGAAGGATTGTGATTGTGGCCGATGCTGATACCCTGCTGCTGCTGTTGTTGCTGCTGTTGCTGCTGTTGCTGTTGTTGTTGTGTCTGCTGCTGCTGTTGTTGTTGTGTCTGCTGCTGCTGCTGCTGCTGCTGCTGCTGCTGCTGTTGCTGCTGCTGCTGGTCAGGGTGGGCGCCCTTGTGGCTGGACCCGAAGATACCCTTAAATCTACTACGGGTCGACCGCTTTTCGGGGGCTTGCTGCTGGGTTGGTTGGCCCTGCTGCGGCTGAGACGATATGGGGCCGGGGCCGTGGCTGCGGCCGTAGCTTGCGGCGCTGTTGAGATCGTCGACCGAGGAGGTGGCGATGCTGTAGGCTTGCTGCGGCGGGAGGTGTGTGCTGTAGCGAATGCTCTGGGAACGGCCTAGGGCAGCTTGATCGACAAAGTCACGACGGGGCTGGTTGCCATCAAAGATGGGAGACGTGCCGACCCCCTGATGGTTGGGATTCGGACTCTGCTGCAACAGAGGGGGGTTATTTATCGCGGCCGTGGTGCTGCTGGCGGCTGACGGAGAGTTGTAGAGGCGCGGCGGGGGAGGGGCGGCACTGGCTGACGAGGGGGACGACGACAGCGGCGGGGGTTGCTGTTGCGTTTGCGCCTGCGATTGTTGCGGCGGGAGGTGCTGGTGGAGGGGGAGGCTTTGTTGCGAATGCTGCTGTTGCGAGAGCTGCTGTTGCTGTTGCAGGTGGTGAGGTGGAGGCTGCTGTCGTGAATCAAACGACTCGCTGGAGCTGAAGGCGGTGTTGTGAGACGAGGACAAGGCTGAATGGGGGGTTGCTGTCGGGTGGGCATGGGCGTGCGCACTGGCGTTGGCGCTGGCGTTGTGGGCGGGTGAGTTGGCCTCTTCCAGCAGAACCTGGTTGTTCTGGCTCTGCTGGCGTTGATGTTGCTGCTGAACCTGCTGCTGCTGCTCAGTTACTGTCGCGCCCGTCCTCCCAGCGCTTCCGCTCGACGACGATTGCGGCTCGAGAGCGTGCTGGGACCGGTTGCTGTGCCTGCCGAGGCGACCGAAAGCGGCCATCCTCGAACAACGGATTGGCGACGATTGACGGTGACGGGAGACCTGGGAAAGGGCTCGGGGGTGGCTTCGTTTCGCGGGGGACCGACGGAGAGGGAGGAAGAGAGGGAGGAGAGAGTCTGAGTATTGGACGGCCGACGGCGAGTTGTTGGTGGAATTGGATGGATGCTCGGACGCGCGAGGCCCGTCTCTTTGGGGTCGTCTCTAGGTCTCTTCGGGGGGTGTAGCCCGCTGTTGGCCGTAGGCACCTGCAGTGCTCCAGCGCTGAGATATTTGGGTCAGATAGCCTGCTGGAGCTCCTGAAGATGAGGTGTCGCAGCCCTGTAGGTAAGGGGGGGGGGGGGGCTTGTACCTACGTACTGGGCTGACGTCGACACCTCCATCTGAGTGGAATCCCTGGCGGGGCCTGGCTCCATGTCGGCCGGGGAGGGAACGTTTGCTAAGCTCCCCTGGAGCTCTAGCGCTGTCCGAACGCCCCGACCTACGAAGTATGTAGTACTTGGGCTGGCTTGGTAGGGGCTCGACATATTCAGGTTTAGCATGGCTGCCGCTTTAGTTGCCACCTGTCTCTAAGAGCTGGGGCTGGGGATACGAGTCGCCGTCTTCAAATTGCATTGCACATGGATGTTAGGTAAAGGAGCCAGTTTCTATTCAAAGACGAACTCAGACGCGGCAATTAGGCATCCCCTAGTCAATGAGACCCCGAAAAAATAGAAGCCGAATAGTGCGCCGAGGAATGCCGGGAGGGATGAAACGGGGAACCCTTGGTTCACAATCCCGCTACGGGGTTGAGTAAGCGGAGAGGCGATATGCACTAGGACCCAGCTGATAGCCGAAAATAACAAGATAAATGTTTCACTATACTTAACCAATACACATTTATTTGTTTGAGATATGACGATAATACCACGTCACATCGGGGTTGCTCGCTGTCCCGCATGCTCCGCCCCGGGCTTATGTCCGGATACAACTACCTAGGCGATTGACAATTGCTTGGCAGACCAAAAACCGGTTGCCAGGAAAATAAATCTTGTTTCTCATATTCACAAACCTGCATATACGGTAGGGCTGAGGCTGTTTCCAGCACGAGCACGAGTTGCAAAAAACATTGGGTAGTGAAAGCTGTGTTGCAGAAGCACACCAATACTCCGAGTAGCAACTGCAACCACACATAAAAGCGGCGATGCTCAGTGCGTTCTGCCCCTCCTTGGTTCGCCGCAGATACGCCCAGTCAGGACAGAGTTCTCAGTAACTCAACCCACAGGCAGGGCTCCCGTGCAGAAAGTTGCGAGGTGGCCGGATCCCAGGCACGGCGAACTAGGGACCATTATTCCCCTCAATGCGAATCCGCCTCGTACAACAACAAACAACAAGGTGCAAGGCCAAGATATTTTCCTTGCTCGCCGAACTCACTTGGAACTGGGGTTAGGCGGGCACACCGGGGAAAGGGGCTGGCTGGGGCGGGTCCTGTTCGAGGTATCCTCTTAGCGTCAGATGCTACTGCTGTAGGCAAGAAGCTGGACTGAGAGGCTGACAATAATCCAAGCCAATGTGAGCGTGACTTTTTTTTCTCGCCCGCGAGGATAGTTCATCCACCCCTTCTCCAAGCCAGTCACATCGCAGTCAGCACTTTCTCAGCTGCGGGTGGGACGTGGAGCGAAGACAGGGTGGCGGCGCCTCGAATGGGGCTGTGCTGGAAGCGGGCTGCTCGCTCTCGCATCTCGAAATGGATCCCGGCGCTGTCAATGGTACCTCTAGTGAATTAATAAATCCTAGCTCAGGGCAGGCTGATCAACGCAGTCCACTTGCTCTCGGTGGTGTCCTGGAGAGGTAGTGTGTGCCAACAGGGGGCTCTCTAGCCTTGAGGTTCACTGCGGGGAGAAGAGCACGAGGAACAATGGGTGGACAACATCTCGGGCGAGCATAGCTAGAAAACCAGTGCGGTGTGAGCGAAGCAGCTGGTCGACAACAGGTGGAGCAGTTAACGAGACATGGTTGTCAGCCTGCCTTCTTTGGTGAGATCGGGCCGGATCCAAGGGGCCAGATATGTGCTTGCTGGCGAAGTGCAAATTTATCAGTAACGGCGGTGCTGCAGATGTGATGCAGGAGTCTGCACGTCTACAAGATGCGATAGACGGCTGAGTGAATGTCTTGAGGGTGTGGGAGGCGGCGAAAATGGTGCAGAGTGCGGCTGTGGGAATGTCATCCCGGTCAGTGCCAACCCTACTCTGGAGTAGTTGCGGATGCTCCCACGGCACAGGCAAGAGAAGGGAAAGGACACTCAGCGGAAATGGACCGATAAATGGATCGATGGTGGACTCGCCAGCAAGCAGATCTTGTTCCGTATTCCATGCGGATGTCCTATCCGTGGAGGGGGACGTGTCCACCAGACTCTGCCATCAAGATTCTACCGCCAATATTTCCGCCCAGCTTGCAAATCCTCTCCCCTCTACTACGTAGTATGCCCATTCCCAGAGCTGAGCAGACTCGAGGTCCCTGCCGGCCACGGTGTAACTCTGCCGTGCCGTGCCATGCAATGTATCTGAACCAACGTGACCGTGACATGCCACGCGACATGTCGTCGACCTGTGCACGGCCAGGACGGGAAACCTGATGACGGATGGCCTGGCCGCTGGTTGCTCGTTGCTCGTTGCTGGTTTGATGCTATGAATAGCAATCCGCCATTGTAAGCTTTCTGTCAGACAGGGGTGACCAAGGTGGCGTGCAGTTCAGCTCTCGAAGCCCGGACCTTGGCGATTATCTCGGGCGGCCAATCAATGGCATGCGAGACAAAGGCGGCGGGGTGCCTTGCCGCGTCAGGATAATTAACAGCATGGAGAGTTCGAAATTGGCTCGGTGTTTCCCGCGTTGGGAATGTGGAGAAGGTTGAGGTTGGTCAAGGATATCAGATGAAAGTGTCCGTTGACAATATTCGCAAAGATGCTCCGAGAGGCGGACAGAGGGTCGTCGCCTTGGCGTGGAACACCGACAATTACGCACCACCGCCTCTGTGGCTATTGGGGCTGACTAAACGAGTTGAGATTATCAAACGATGTAAGACCACAAACCATTCTCGGACAGGTTTATTCATGCTTTGTGATATGCTTAGGTACACTAGATAACCAGAAATAGCTGATTAAATTCGATGTTTGATACAAGCTAGTTCGATGCATTCCCACTCCAAATCAGATGGCTTATTCTTCTCGCCGCCAACGTCGGGTTTATAGTAGCAAACCACTGCAGGTAAAGGAAGGGGAAACCCCGATTTACAATTATGATTGACGTTTCATTACTAGGTATAGACAGGTGGAAATGTAATTCCCCAAGATGTTCTCAGCCGGAGTTGGTGACCTACCCTATACCAACCAGATCGGTGACTCGGCGACCATCCGGGGACCAGATCTCTCACGTCGCTCCCAAATCGGCGAATAGATCGGAGAACACGCCAACGCAGGGGGGCCGGTGTTAGTCAAAGCAAAACCCGTATTTAACCAGTTTCCCAACGACACTTGCGTCTTTCATCTTCAACCCCGCCTCCAATTCTGCTACGAAGCGACATCTGCATATACCTTTGTCCATTTACCGTGGCCCCACTGTGTATAATCCGTACCCTTATCTACGTTGTCGACATTTACCGCCATCATGTGTTACGGAGCCACTTGTTCAACCTGCTGTAAGTCACCGCCGGCACCGGTATTTCCAGATCGTCTAGTAACGCTCGCTCGTGGCATATAGCAAAGAAGACGTGGCGCGGTTGCGGAAGCCATATTCCCCAGGCGCTCGCCGGAGTCCCGGAGAGCCAGTGGTGCACCTGCGGACCGCGGACCAAGGTCAACGGCAAGGAGTATCCGCCTGCGGCCAAATTTGAGATTCCCGGAGCGTCATGGATTGCCAGCATGTTCGGGGGAGGCAACAAGGGCGATGGTAAGGGAAAGGATGATTTGTGAGTTGTGAGTTGCGAGTTACTCGGGATCTGAGCGCGAATCGCGGCTCAATTGTATCGTTCTGGCGTCATTGGGAAGGGGCAATGATCTCTTGGGCATTGTTCGGAGGTGGCGTGTAATTTGTTAGTGAGAAGCGGAAAAGCATGGCATGGCATGGCGTGGCGTTGGTGGAGAGTCGTGCCGAAGATAGGCGGGAGCAGTGCGAAGAAAGATGTGAACAAAGCGGTAATACGCGGATCACTGTGAGCTCTGAGTTGTAAGGACCGCCAGAGAAAACAACGCGTAATATTTAATTGGATGGCCATGTGGATTTACAAATAAAAACACAATGGTTGGCTTGTCCCTCATCATCTCCAAGCGGATCGAGGACCAGAGTTGCGGGGATGGAGAGACCCGTCGTCAACCCTGACAAGCCGGGGCCGGCACCACCAACGGGATGAATCAGAGCACTAATTATTAGTCAAAGCCGCCAACTGTAACTCAATAATTAGCCTACAGAAAATACGTAACATATCGGCGCTTCGCTGGAGTGATAAGTGAAGCGAGGGTCCGATCCGATACCTTCCCCTCTTGGTAGGTAACTTAGCTCCCCCACAATTGTCCGCCCCGGACTCGGAACCGCGATTGCGCTGTCATTGTCAGTCACCGGCACTGATAAGAAGAGCTGCCGGTCTGCCACTCCTCCATCTACCTCTCTCGGCCACTGCCCGTTGTCGTCCCATTGTCTCCCATTACATACTGCTGTCACCGCCTGTAGCCACAAAGACGACCTCCTGGCCGAGAAGCATCATCATGCTGCTTCTCTCGCCCGTCGTCCTCACCGGCGCTGCGGCTCTGCTGCTCCTCGCCCACATCATCATCCGTGTTGCGTCACCCCTCTTCAAGGTCCCCGGCCCGGCCGTCTCCAACTTCACCTCGCTGGTCCTGAAATGGCATGAACTCAACGCCAACCGGACAATGTACATTCACCACCTCCATCAACAATATGGCCCCGTCGTCCGTGTTGCCCCCAATGAGGTGTCCTTCACTTCGGCGGCTGCGCTCAAGGAGATCTATGGCTCCGGTGGGAGTGGATATGACAAGACCGAGTTTTATAACCTATTCCAGGTCTATGGCAGGAGGTATGCTGGCCTGGATGAACGGAGCTACCAAGACGCCTTGTTGACGCTTTGTGACGTAGGACAATGTTCTCCACGCTGAACAAGGCTGATGTGAGTCCCCTACCTACCTCATGCACCCGCCATTGACCTAACTCGAGTACCAGCACGCGAAGCGGAAGAGAATGATTGGCGACCGTTATGCTAACACCAATGTCATGCGAGCGGCTCCCCTTGCTGGTGTGCAAGAACGCTCTAGGCGATTCGTCCAGCGCTGTGCCGATGCCCCAGGCCGTACGACTGATGTTTTTGTAAAGATGAGCCCTATCCTCCCAGTTGAACTCGTGGCTAACTTGACATATAGATGGGTTAGTTCGCAGCCGTATTGGTCCCCATTGCTCGTATACTAATTGTGGTAGCCCTCCACTCGTACGCCTGCGACTGTGTCACTCACCAACTGTTCCATCCATTTGGCACCGATTGCCTGCAAAAGAAGGAGGACGAGGAAATGATGCACCAGGTAGCTGCCGATGACAGCCTGCAGAGTACGCCCAATGAGGACAAAAGGCAGAAGCCCTGGCTGACCAAAAATGTTAGACCGTCTTGTACTGCATTACAGCCCAACCCTGCACCGACTCGCCTCTAGGATGCTTTCCTTCCTTGCAAAGCCTCGAGAGACTCCTCTAGCGGACAACTATGTCCTGGAGACTGCTAAAGAGGACCAACCCGCAGAATTTACAGTATTGAGTCGTCTCAAGGACAAGAATAGCGTGCTTGACACAGTTGACATGGCCGCCGAATGTCTGGACCACATGGCTGCCGGTATCGACACAACTGGCGATGTTCTGTGTTTCCTCATGTGGGAGCTGTCGCAGCCACGATCGCAAAAGTACCAGACTCGACTGCAGGAGGAGCTGCGTGCCAAGCCTGATGTGCCCTTCGATGACCTCCCCTTCTTGGATGCCGTTCTAAACGAGGGACTGCGATGTTTCCCGGCTATCCCCATGTCGCTGCCGCGATATGTGCCCCAGGGAGGTCGTGCGATTGACGGCTTCTCATTGCCGGAGAGGACAGTGGTCAGCTGCCAGGCGTTCTCGCTCCACCGCATTAACGAAGATGTTTTCCCCGACCCGGATGCTTTCTACCCCGGCCGATGGCTAGCAGCTGAGGGTGATGCCGAGAGGAGGCGTCTTCAGTTTGCCTTTTCCAGCGGAGGAAGAGGTTGCGTTGGAAAGCAGTACGTCCCATCCCAATTATTAAATCACAATGAACCAAGGAAAATGACCTAACTTGCCCTAGCCTTGCTCTTATCGAAATGAAAACCCTGCTCCGGGATGTCTATTCGCAGTATAATACGGAGCCGGACGCTTCCATGAAGACTGAGGCTATGGCCATGTCGGATCAACTCATCTCGTCGCGGCCACTGGGAAAAAGGTGCTTGCTCAAGTTTGTAGCACTCGAGGATGATGAGGATGTAAAGAAGGCGGAATGATGCCGAGCCCCATCCTGTCCTGCCGATGCTTTGGACCCAACCTTTGTTGAAGGGCTCGTGACTGGGGTATAGTCCCTAGAAAAAGCCCAGAGGAGCTTGATGCTCGTTGCGATATGAGACGCAGTTGATACGCAAATACAGGCTTCATTGGTAGACAAGACGCAAGTATTTAGGCAGTGAAGTGAGAACTATATTAGACGGGTCTAGGAGCATGAAGCCTTGGCCAAGTGAAGGGGAGATCGACGTAGTTACGCTGGCTGTGGTCCTTTAGACAAAGTAGGAGATAAGGTAGCACTAATGTCATCATCACCACCTTCTAATCTATCGCAGTGCGGCGTATCCTGGTAATCAAGTTGTATTGAGAGCTAAAGAGCCACTCATCGTAATGTGTACTCCGTTGGCACGTATGTACTGTGTGGCTCGTGGGCGCTCATGCAGGCAATCGCTGCCCGAGCATGGCTCGGACTCACATCCATTTGCCTTTCCACGATTGCAAATCCTGATACCAATGACGGGGAGCTGTCACTTGATCGGGGCTAGTGGCCTTCGGGGTGAGCTTGCATTTTCGTTTGCGAGGTTGGTACGTCTCTGGCGAGGCATGCTGAATACACATATCCCCAATGCCCAGAAAAGCTCGTAGAGTGAGTAGCCGGTATCTCATTGAAGACAAGTTTACTCCATTTGCCTTCTCTACCGCCTCGATAGTCGACTGGCTAGACATCCCTGCTCTCAGGTTAGCCATATTGGGGAAACACGCAAGGGAAAGTTCAATAATCTTACGGCAGAGAAAATAAAAGACAATAGCAAAGATTGCGCCTCGTATGAGGTACTCAACTGCCCTCCTCATCCACGCAGTATATTCGTGAATCACATCTTGGGTCAGATGTTGGGATATATCTTGAAGCATGGGATCTGGGACTGGGTCTTTAAGGACTGGTTCTCGAAGAGAATTCTTGGGCGCCCGCGGAGGCGAGGATGGTTGGAAGCCTGACGATGGGGTAGGAAGTGCCACCGAAGCAGATACAATAGGTAAACGCGGACTACAAGCACGACGGCCGATAGACAACAAGGCTAGATCGTGTTGTACAAGGCGCCTCTGCTTGAATCTCGCAATGCTGATATCTAGTCTCAAGCTCGCATCGTCATCGCCGTCAACTGGGGCTGTGTATAGCCCTAGTCCGTCATGGGCCTTGTCAAGTAGCGTCGAGATGAGCTCTTTGAATTGCTCGAGAACGTGGTCGTTGTTGCTATCGTCGTCGTGGATGAGGTGCTCCGTTATCTCAACTCCCCACAGGAGACGCGCTGCTTCGCGATACGACCCAAGGCTGTCTTCATCGAGGAACAACTGTTGCCATCGGACAAGGTCACTTTCGAATTGGTCGATGAAATCGATCTCGCCTTTATCTCCTGCCAGAGTCTCGGCGATGGCACGCGCAATGGCAAGGAGCGCTACCGTGTCCAGCACGTTGCTCGGCGTTTCCCCCTTGCAGATATTCTGTGCCACGGCAATACCAGTCGACCACACACGACGATAACTCGGGAATTTCTCGGTAACATTACCGAGTTTTGTTCGAGAGCTGTGCGAGATTCGAACTAGCCTCTTGTATTGTCGAATGAACCTGGCTCGAAGATTTTGGAAGCCTACCCGTTTGCCATAGGCAAACTTAACAAGAGACTCTGCAACGTCCGTATGGCCAGATCGTCCGAGATAGAGAGAAGCTAAGGAAGCGCTGGCGCCACGCCTAAGCAGAGCGTTAATCACATGTTGCTTTTTCGATTGAGAAGCCACGCTGAGAGCCGTGCCGTTGAAGGAAATGGCATTGATATCAGCCCCGGTTCTCAAGAGCTGAATGATGGCATCGATCTTGCCCTCGGCTGTCGCTCGCAATAGCTTTCGTGCTTTGGATGCCTTTTCAGATAGATTGGAATCGTCGACGAAGTTGATCTTTTTGTAGTTTGGCGCGAACGAAGTGTTCCAAGTCAGAATGAGTTCGAAGATATCTTGATGGTGGTTCTTTTGTGCTACATTCAAGGCAGATGCCTCTGAAAATGCATGCTCGCCGCGCACTTTCCACAGCGCACTGAGATCAGCCCCATGACTTAATAGTATCTTCACTATAGGGAGGCATCCAAGATCAACCGCTGCATGAAGCGCGGTAAAGGAGTGGGCATGGTTGCCATCTTTCATCTCCACTCTGAGGTTGATGTCTGCGCCGCGTTCAATCACGAGGTTGACGAAATCATCGCTTAAAACCTGTATTGAGGCGATTAATGGGGTAGTATAGCCCCCAGGAACAGAAATAAAGCAGTTGACGTCGGCTACCTTGTCCAGGAGTCGGGAAACCTCACGCGCATCCTTGGATTGTATGGCTCCCAGCAAAAGAGTTCCATCATCGCAAGGGTTGGCAGCTGCATCGCCTAGAGGTAGTTGTCCTGACGGATCGGAGTCGTAGGACGTGAAACACCAAGGTTCGGAGGGAACGGAGGGAGCGGAGTGAGGACTCTCGGCTGGGGTTGGCCACCCCCAAGGATACGAGAGCACACTGTCATACCAGTCGTTGTTGATAGAACTACGTGCGTTTTGGTTGGGAGGGTCCCACGGCGGTGATGGTGTAAGTAGCTCTGGTAGTAGCACGTCGCTGTTCGGAACCCCGGCGAAGAAGTCGACGACCGGTGGATTTAGATCCTCGAGGCCAATGTCCAAGTCATCGTTGGATTCGGTAGGTGCGTTTACTAGGACAGAATCCGCGCATTTGAATCCGTCGTCGAGCGCAGATATTCCCCGTACGACACGTTCGTTGGTGAACTTCGACCTCAGGTTATCATCGATGATATGTCTTCTCCAAAGTTCCCCAATACCGTATCGACTCCAAACCGCGTAATCTTCCAAGAAGCCTTCAACCAGCAATTGAAGTTTAGAAAATGTTGAGCTTTCTATGCACTCTGCGGAGGCAACGTAACTCCAGTCCACCAAATGCTCCCTCACTCTGAAGTGGTTCCTGAGAAGTTCAAACCCATCGAAGATCTTTTGTCCGGCGTCTGTGGCAATGTAGGGTATTCTGAGATGCTCATACAGAACAGATGATAATTCGCTGTCAAGGATTCTGACATGTATCGTGTCTGGCAAGCTGTAGGCATGGAATGTGTGCTTGCCAGTGTCGGATCGTCTGCAGTCGCAATTCGGTGAACACTGCCGAGTTTCAAGGTCGTCGTGGAGTTGACATCCCCACGAATCAGAGACGTAGACGGGTGAAAGTTCGTTGCCCAGCTCCATTGAGGCATGATCGGGGCTGATCGTATTAGACTAGGGATTATTGGCATATCCGAGGTGGAATCTTACAGCTCGTGGACTTCAATCCTGAATTTTGCCCCAGTTCTAATGGAATGTGGGCAACTTCTTGTTGATGCGTCTGGGAGAGAGGTAGGACTCAATACCAAAGGGTCGACGAAGGCATGTCCGAACTGCCCCGAGTTGTCCTGCCGGGAGGCGGCAGCGTTTTCGTATGTCTCATGGCCAAAGATGTCTAGACTTGGCCTCATTGTCTCTCGTTTCTGTCGCAAGCGATGACTCTGTTTGGAAGCCGCTGGATGCTTGTTCTTTCTCCTCTTGGACCACTTCGTAATACGGGCATCCGCATCTGGTGAGCGAGACTGGCCTGCTATAATCCTGTTCGCTCTCTCCTCTGTCATGTTCTTCTCGAATCCCCATCTTTTGAGGCGAGTCTTGAACATCCTTTCCCTGCCAGAGTGTTATTGTTAGAGTCATCATCTCTAGTTAGGCGAAGTGGGACTAATCACTTACGTAGCATGAAAGTTATATGGCGCTTCCTCGAGTATTTTTATGACATTGGTCAAGGGGAGGCGTTGCTCAATATAGTGCACTCGTGTGGTTTCTTTTATAGCCTCCCATTCTATCTCAGAAGGTTGGTGCTTATGGGCACTAACAGCAGCTGAGAGCGGATGCTGTTTATGAGCCTCGTCTCTATATCGTCGCTCACGACGATGGTTCGGCAGGGAAGCGTCAAAGCTGGACTGATGCTCCATTTCATCAAGCAAATTGTCTGATTTTTATCCAAATGAAGTAATAGGTGGTAGGTGGTATGGGCAATGCGCTTCAGGTCTTGCGTGTTGTATCTTGAAAGGTATCAATAAGCAGAGGCAGCTATCCTGAAGTCAGTCACAAGCTCTTTGTAAGAAGGCGATCGATGACGCTCTAAGTGAAGGGAGAGGGTCAGGCACGAATTTAAGTGGGAGCAGACCAACAAAAGGCTGGCAGAAGTCGGGGGATTAATCTACCGACAGAAATTACAATTTTGACCACTCATGTTTGACGATGCGAGGTCTTTTTGTTATTTTGGGAATTGCCGAGTCCGCAGGTACTTTGACAGATGGCAAGAGTGGCCCGTGACAACCCTGCAGTCGTAGACGGTTCCAGGTCATCAGAACAATAAGCTTATAACTAGATATCCTCAGGATTCTCAGACCTATTCACAAACGGGGCTCTTCCCTTAGGGGCGCCGTGGTGGCAGACGCATTACGGTTGATGCTATTGCTTTACCTGCGTCCTCATGTGGTTGAACTGTTAGCTATCCCGCTGCCTTTATTAGTTGAGGTTGACCACTGGCCCGACCAATACATGGCCATCAAAGTCCTATTTTTTTGGGCGGCGGCGGCGGTCTGATCTCGGGAAAGACAAAATGAAATTGCTGAATATTCAGTATCTCGCTGGGCTTTGATGGAGTCATTGGCATGTTTGGTTGTAAGTTCAGGTTCTTCATCGACCAATACGCGCATATATATGGCTGTCGGGACTTCTGCCGTTGTCTCTGCAGCTGGAACAAACGCCCACCGGTAAATCTTACGGTACCTGCACGGCAAAGGTGAGGCTTTCTGCCCGCTCTGGGAAGCCCCGAAACCCTATGACGAAAGTTGCATTTCTGCTTGCCTCGGGACGAGGTGGATGTGGCGGCACAGAAAGACTCTTGTTGGTTGATGACGCATGATTGGTTGCTTGGTTATTTGTGCCTTTTGCATGCAAATGAGGTTGAATATGGCCCAGCAACTGGCCAGTGGATGACCTCAACCTGTCAGCGTGCCAGTTAAATGGCCGCTGGCTGTGCTTGCTGTGCTGGCTGCCGAGACGAGCCGCTGATGGCCGAAGCCTGGATAGGTACTTTACCTGTGTCGCGGCGTGCCTGTGGACCGTACGCCGTGGGGCTCCAGGATTCAGGCAGGCAATTACTAGGCCAAGTGTCATGGCGGAGCCCCATAAGTACCAGTAGGAGACCTGAGGTCCCTTGAATCTGAGGCTAACAGAATCACTGGGCCGAACGATTTTGACCCCTGCAGACCGACCCGCCTTGGTCTTCCGGCGGCTCCAAATGGCCATTGGTGGCCCGTTGTGGCTGGGCGTCTCCAGGCGATCGCAGCGGTCCAGGGTGGTCGGGATAGATGCGTCCCTCCAGTTGTAGCGCGTGGGCCGCTGTAGCCTCGGTGGCTTTCAGTGGCTGCTGACAGTTGGCAGCTTGACGACAGCGTCCATCGATTGTATTGTGTGACCGACCCCTGAGGCTGGGTTGCCTGTCCGTCCGTCGGCACTTTCTTCGTGTGGCCTTGACCGGTGAAGGGAGTTCTGACCCGCCTCATCTCCATTGGTAGGAAGCCAAGTACCTGCCTTCCTGTGCTTCGTAGAGAGCACCTACCGGATTACCCGTTGTGCGCGCGTGTCTTCCCTGTCGCCCTGGGTTGTCATGCTGCGGGCAGGCGCAGCGGTGGGTAGCCGCTGTTGCCTCTTTTGTTAGTGGCGTTATTCGCACACGTACTCGTGAGTATTGGTACAGGGATACAAGTCTTCTCACATAAGGCCAAGCTCAATCCATGTACCTAGCCCGTGCGTGCAGTTGAGAGTGGACTCTTAGACTGTAGGTCTAAACCTGTTATTTTATTAAATAAACTAAAAAGCGTTATGAGAAAAAATAACTACCAATGGTCGATTTTAGTAAACTCATTCTACCATAAACTTACATTGCGTGCGTCATTCACGATTCTCTCTAGTCTTGGGGCACTCCCTTGTGCGTGCAAATAGCAATGTACCTCTGTGTGAATCGCAATGCCTTTTTTGCCGCCCGCCCCATTCTTTCTGACTCTGCCCAAAACCCCGTCCGGCCCTAACGTCGCCCCTCCTCTTTCTCCTCTCTCTTTCTTCTTTTCCTCCTCACATCAAAACTCTGCACAACTGCTAGAGACCGTGAACACCACTCGTCTTTAATCCCACTTCTGCCTGCTGACTCCCAGTTGGTCGCAGCGCGTATCGTTACCTACCCCCCGTTCTACTCCGGCTCTTTGCCTCCCAGACTTGCACCACCACGCATCCGTTGGCCTGACGCATTCTCGCTCTTGCCAGTCTCCTTTCTCCCCGTCGACCGTCGTCGCACACCTTTCCACCGCGGAATCGGCACATACACTTAAATCAGTTAAGGCACATTGCTGTATATGTATCAGCACGACCAGCTTTCCGTTTCCGTCTCCAGACACCTCTTCAAGCTGCAGTTATTTCGCATACCGCGAAAGCCGTGTAGCCCTGACATCTCTGACGGCTGAAGCCCCAGAGTCCAGATTTGTTAATGCCTGACCTTTAGCATCAAATTCATCCGGTGTGCCACATGTCAACCAAAAGTCCTCTCGAGCAGTGATTCCCCTCCGCCTCTCGACCGCCCCTCCTAGCTCCTTCATGACGCTTTCGTCACCGTAAGAGCCCATCAAGCATCAGCTTCGTCCACTCGCATTTTACATACAAGAAAAACTCCCAACACCGTCAACATGGCTCTCGTCAACGTCCGCCGCGATGTCAGCGACGTCTTCTATCGTTACAAGATGGAGCGCATCCAGACAAAGATTGAAGGCAAAGGAAACGGCATCAAGACCGTCGTCGTCAACCTGAGCAGCGTCGCTCAGTCTCTTGCCCGTCCCGGTGCCTACGTCATCAAGTACTTCGGTTTCGAGCTTGGCGCTCAGACAAACATTGACCCCAAGGACGACCGTTGGATCATCAACGGCGCCCACGATGCTGCCAAGCTCCAGGATCACCTCGATGGCTTCATCAACAAGTTTGTTCTCTGCAAGAAGTGCAAGAACCCCGAGACCGACGTCCATATCAAGGATGACCGCATCCTGCTTGATTGCAAGGCCTGCGGCCAGCGCTCTGATGTCGATATCCGTCTCAAGCTGAGTGGCTTCATTCTCAAGAACCAGCCTAAGAAGGGCAAGAAGGACAAGGCCGAGCGCAAGGCTGCCCGAAAGGCCAAGCAGAACGGGAATGGTACCAAGGAGAATGGCCAGGGAAGCGATGAGGCATCCGAGAATGGCTCCAACGAGAATGGTGACAACGCCGACGCTGACAGCGACGATGAGTTTCAGAAGATGCAAGCTGAGGCTCCTGAGGTCGACGAGGACGAGGAGGTAAAGGACCACGAGTGGGCCGTCGATATGAGCGAGGCCGCCGTCAAGGCCCGTCAGGCTTCGCTCCCCGGCGAGTTCAAGCAGAAGCTCAACATGGGTGATGACGATGATGAGGAGGGTGAGGGCAGTGGCAACACGGTGTATGACGATCTCGGCAACTGGATCCAGGAGCAAGTGGCCGAGAAGGGCAATGTTGACGAGGTGTCGTCTATTGACATCTTCGTCAAGGCCAAGGAGTTGGGCATTGAGGGCAAGCACCGCACCGTTCTTGTTCTCGTCCAGACCATCTTCAACGAAAACATTGCGGCCCAGATCCCTAAGCGTGCTAGCATGCTGAAGCAGGTATGTTAATATCGAAGGCTTGTCCATGACTCGACATTTACTAATCCGACGCAGGTTGTTACCTCTGACCGCCATGAGAAGGCACTGCTCGGTGGCACTGAGCGCCTCATTGGCTCCCTGGGCAAGGCTCACCCTGAGGTGTACACGCACATTGTCAAGATCCTTCAGCTGTACTACCACCATGATCTGATCAGCGAGGAGGTCGTGACCAAGTGGGGCTCCAAGGCCAGCAAGAAGTACACTGACATTTCTACCTCCAAGAAGGTTCGCAAGGCCGCTGAGCCCTTCCTTACCTGGCTCGCCGAGGCCGAGTCGGAGGAAGAGTCCTCTGACGAGGAGTAAAATCCCGTCGCTCTCCGCGATCCTTTCGTGTCTGGTACTTCGGGTTGTATTTGGAAGACTGGCTTGGTGGAAGGACTTGTGTGACACATGATGTTCCTCTACTGAGTTAGCCTGGACAGTTAGCTTGGTACTCTAGTTTGTTTCTTCTAGATTGAGATTACAATTCCACTCTGATCGTTTACCCTTCTGGAAACCTGGCACTGATCTATCGTTCGTAACCTGGTACATTCAATGTGGCCTGCAAGGTGAAATTGTGATTCACACCCAATTCAGTGACAATCGCCAACTAGTATGGGCCGCATTGGGGTATCATTATTGCCCACATCAGGCAGGCATCACACCACTTCTAAACTACATACAGATACATGTCCCTACATCCTAATCCCTAATTCCAAGTTTACGATGCCTCTGCATCTGTCATCGTGGCCTCCTTGGGTTCCTCCACTGCGTCCTCTCCATTCCCTTGCGTCGCGCCCTCGTCATCCTTCATAGCCGTATCCACGGTCGCGCCCTCGTCATCGTTCGTTTTATCTTCATCACCTGGCTTGTCAAAGATGAATGATCCAAGAGCCTTGGCTGCTTGATCTAGGTCATCATTGACAATGGTCGTGGCGAATAGTTCAGCAACCTTGGACTCATCGAGGTCGGTAGGGAGGTTCTTGAGAGTCGTTTCGACAGTGGTGTCGTCTTTGCCGAGGGATTTGAGGCGCTGCTCGAGAACTTCCGGGGTGGGGGGCTTGATAAGAATGAAGCGTGCCTGGAAATCCATGTCCTTGGCGTATTGTGCGGCCTGGAAAAGACGAGTCAGTACATATGCTAAGGTAGTAAAGGAGAGAGGACATCTGCTTACCTCCAGGTCAAGCTCGATGATCGGGACCCTGCCCGCCTCGGTTACAGCGTCAATGGCCTTGGTGCTAGTTCCGTAGTCAAACTTGTCCCGAGTGCCCGACTCGATAAGACGGTCGCCGTCGCGTAGCTGGTTGAACTCCTGAGCCTTGACAAAGTGGAAGGTTTTGCCCCTGACTTCCCCGTCGAGCGGTTCTCTTGTGGTGTGCCGCACCACGGTAGCGAACACGCCCTTATGCTCCTCCATCAGCTTCTCGATCAGGGTCGACTTGCCTCCCGCCAGGGGACCGGAAATAACGATGGGGTCCCGATCAGTGGGCATGTCCTCATCGTTGGCGGTGGGCTCGGAGGTGTCTTCGGCGTCGTCGCCCTCGGTGAGCTCCTCAAAGACGATATCGATCTTCTTAGGGTCATCGATCTTATCAAAAGCGGCGAGCTTTGTTCGGGCAGCGATGCGCAGAGCTCTCCAGCTCTTGCTAGCCTTCCCGGCTATGGCGGCTGCTTTGGTCTGGTCATTGGTTGGCATCTCGATCTCAAAGTCGTCGTCTGCAATCTTCCGCTTGAAGCTGTTGAGCTCGGGGATCTGGCACCGCTCATCGGCCTTGAGACGCTCCATGGCCGTCTCCTCGTCTTCGTCCCGCAGGAAGTCAAGGGGCACGGATCCCATGGGGACAGCCCTGAGGCGCTTGCTCGTTGCCGTGCGCTGGACGGTGCCCTTGGCCTCGATGAAGTTCGCCGGAGAGACGGGATCTCGTTTGATAGGGTGGCAACCTTCAATCTTCCAGCGAACCCAGTTCTTGTCTCTAGCCAGCACCGTCTCCACCATCCGATAAAAGTATGGCCCGTCAGAGCCTTGCCGTAGATAATCTGCTATTGTCCTCTTCATATCGTTGGCCCATTTGGTCTTCAGGGGGTTAGCTTGAACAACTTGGACATGGGTGGAGCGTGTTTCCTCTACTTACATCATCTTCACTGAGGATTTGGTCAATGTACATAACTGCCTTGTTCGTAGAAGCAGCTGCGGAGAGCTTCTCTCGCGACTGAGCAGACAATGAGAGAAGGAAGTCGATGATGATGAGGGCTTGAACCAAAATGTGTCGCCGGAAGGACAAATCGCTAATCTATGGCCAATATTAGTACTTTTGAACACATGCCACCACGGGTTTATCCTTACCTCCAGCTCAAAGAGATCTCTACTAGTTAAATATTTAGGGTTGAAAGCATTATTCGTATCGTCGTCTTCGCCGTCTTCTCTCTTGCGTTTCAGGCTCCTCTTGGAGTCTTCAGCCGACTTTCTTGATCCTCGATCATTGTGGATTGTCTGGAAGACTTTCATGGTAGCTCCTAGACTTTCCTTGAATGCTGCCAAGTGGGGTGTCTCGAACAGTCTTTTGGGTTGGCTGAAGTTTTCCTGGAGTGACCAGAATAGGGGATATAGGGCATTCGGGTCTAGGGGTTTGTCCGATTTCTTTGGATCAGTGGCCTTGGATGATAATCTTGACTCGATCTGCTCCCTGGGGCCCGAGGGAGGTGCATCCACGTCCATCTTAGAATCGGCATCCACAGGGCTTGTCTCGTATGTCGTGACATTCTCCACGTGGTATTCGCCTCGAAGGTTCACGGAACTCTTGTCCCCGAGTGGGAAGCTCTGGAACATGAAGATGAAGACTCGACCACAAAATCCCGTGTCTTCGGCACGGGAGAGGCGGCGAAGCAGTTCATTGCAGGTTCGCAGAATGATAAGTTGCTTCTGCTTAAAGTGATTCGATGTGATACGTTCTCGTCTCGATTCGAGGAAGTCGAAGATTTTGCGACACCCCGCGATTGTCTGGCTGTCGAGTAGCTCCTCAGCTAGCCAAAAGAGGAGCGCAGGGTCGCATTGTCCGTCGTCGGAGAGGATCGAGAGGATGTCGAGTAGGTTCCACACTTTGACGAAGTCTGGGGATTCGATGGTGGTAGTCGCCTATGTTGGTCAGCGCATGGCGCGCAAGCTTTGGGATGGCGGCGAAGCTCACAATGAGATTGCTGAATATCTCACGGGAGGCGGTCTCGATCATGGCATATTGCCGTCCCTTTATCTGGCTACTGGTTGACTCGCCATTCTCTGCTCCAGTGAGCGCTCCGGTGAGCGAGGCGGCAACCTGCGATACCCGACCGGTGATATCGTCAAAGTCGGACTTGTTTAGGGCTGGTTCGATGGTAGACGTTTGTTTCACTTTCTCTGCCTGCTCCAGAAGCTCCTTGAGTAGCGACACCGATGTTGCGACGGCTGGGACACCCGGATTGTCCATGTCCAGCGCCGGCATTTTGAGCGAACAAAGCGACGTAATGTGGACAAGACGTTCTCCGGTGCCGTCCTCGGGGGCCGGTTACGCGCAAAGAACGCGCCGTTGGCAGGGTGTTCGTGATCTACCAGCTTGGGGACAGAGTACTCGTTTCGGGGGAATTGCGATGGAGGATTGTTGAGTGCTTGGTGCTGTTGAAAGAGCTGCGCGTGGGTTGTCGACCTGGAGATGTTCAGACAAGGGAAGGCTGAGATTGAGGGAGTACAAAGCTAGGTCACCCTCGTGCCCAGGTACCGGCCTTGTGGCGTATTTTCTGAGTGGTCCGAAGTACACAGGCGACAGGGGTACTTGATGTGTGGCTTGGCAAAGCCGCCCGACGCGTGGGTCCCTGCGAGGCTGAAATTTTGGCAGAGGCTCGTAGCTGCATGAAGAAGCGTCACATTCAGAACCGAGAAATCCCAGCTTCAGCTCCGAGCCTCCATCACGACCGCTGGCGCTGCCCCAGCCACGAATCCATTGCCCGAGGACCCCCAGTAGCCCATGACGCGACAGGAATCTTTCGACAATGCCTAACGTGAAGCGGCTCAAGGGCAGTGGCGCCGCGAAAGCCCAGAAGAAGCCTGAACCGAAGCACAAGACCACCGACGGACGTCCAACACCGGCCGAGGTCGAAGAGGAGGAGCACCAGTTTGTCCAAGTCGCGCGGAAGCATTGGCTGAAGCCCTCGAAGAAGCCGGCCAAGCCCAAGGTCAAGAACGACGTCCTGAAGCAGAGCATCTGGGACCAGCTCGAGCGCGAGGGCTTCCAGTACAAGTCCCTGCTGCTGCTCGAGAGTCTTCAGACACTGGAGAGGTGCGCATCATCGAGCCGCTTGAGGAAAAATGCACACTGCTGACGCGCTCTCGTTATAGCTACCTGTGGCCCGGATACACCGAGGAGGCGTCTAACTACCATGTTTTGTTGATCGCACTCATCGCCAATGTCAAGAGACGAGAACACTTGGAAACTTGGGGTGAGTAGACTGCGTCCTTACCACGGAGTAGCTCGCTGACCTTTTCCTAGGGCTTTTCGAGGACAGACCGGCTGATTTCTCGTCCTTGTTTCGCCGACTCCTTTCCATGATGCTCGACCGAACGCTCTCCCTCACTGTCAGAACCCAGCTCCTCTGTTTCATGATTCACGCTTTCCAGAGTCTAGACTGCGCAATTGTCAGGAAGGAGTGCGCACCGCTTGTTTCGATCGGCATATGGCACAACTTGTCCACCGAGAAGTTGCAAGAGTCGAAGCTAGACCAAGCTCCTCATCTGAGGAAGGCGTGGAAGGCTGCTCACAAGCGGTACGACGCAGCTGATGACGCGACCAAGGCCCGCCTTCGCTTCGAGCGATCATGGCTTTACACGCTTCTCCTCGACTTCTTGGGTCTTCTGTACACAGAGGGCAGCAAAGCCGGTGAGTTGGCCCAACTTACACCGAAGTCATTGCTTCGCTGCTAACCAAACTATAGATCAAGCGCTGTACTGTGAGCGGTTCGCCGAGTTTGTCTCCGATCTCCAGAGCCAGTTGCCGACACGGCGCTATGTCAACACTCTGCTCCGGGATCTCCATCTCGTTCCGGCAATGAAGCTGTCGTCAATGTACAATGATGAGGAGAACACTCTTCTTCGCGAGCTCCATGCTCTTCTTTCTCACTACACCTACTTCACTATCGATGACCAGACGGGCGTTCAGCTTAGCTCTACGGAGGCGTATGACAAACACTGCAAGTCCCTGGGGAAGCTACAGCGCATTTCCTTGAAGCATTTCAAAGAAAAGCTCGCAGTTCTAGCACTATCGAATTACGGTGCCATCGATAAGAGGGAAGAGTTAGAGGCCTTGCTAGAGCCTCTCACGGATGAGGAAATCGTTCAACTGATGGTCCTTTTGGAGCTTCGCACCACATACCCCGAAAGTCTCAATCTCCCCATCACCCGGAAACTCCTCCTCGAGGTGCTCCTGACCACCTTTGAGCGCAGAAAAACTTTCCAAGAGAAGGCCCGGAGTATGGGTTTAGTGCCAACGGAGCATTCGCTATTCGACAACAGCTTCCAGCAGGCAGAGAGCTATGATGGCTCCCATCCTATGGCACTTCCCAAATTGAACCTGCAATATCTTTCGGTTGGCGACTTCTTGTGGAGAGCGCTTATCCTGTATCGCTGTGAGTCGTTTTACGGAGTTCGCAAGGACATCGAGTCCGCTCTGCGCCGATTGCGGCCAGAGTCGAAGCAGCCAGGCGAGACCACTTTCGCTGGATTCTCCAAAATGGCGATGTCCATCTCGAAGCCGACGATCTTGGAGGTGGTGCCAGCTCTTGTTGGCGATGACCAGCCATCGATGGTACGGGCTGAGGTTTTGGTTGATGTCCGACGACTAGGAGAGGGTGTACGTCGGGAATGGGACTCTCTCAGACAGGATGATGTGGTCTTCCTCCTCCACATTGAGCCCCCCACGACCAAGCCTACCAGCAATGGTGGCCAGGCACTGTCAGAGTCTGAGATGCTTGGCGTGGTGTCCGTTCGAGCTGCATCGGTTCTTCAAATCACCGACGAGAAGGGCCGCCATGCCAGAGAAGGAGCCGGCAATCTTGACAGCAAGCGTCGCATCCAACTCAAGTTAGACTCACAAACATACACCAAAGATGTCGAGCGAGCGTCAGCTGGGAAGCCTGATGTCTATGCTGGAATTAATCTGCTCCTCAGACGTGGCAGGAGGGAGAACAACTTCAAACCTGTTCTTGAGTCCATCCGGACCCTTGTCCTTTCCGAGGTCCCCTTGCCTGCCTGGCTCCATGAAGTCTTCCTTGGCTATGGAGATCCCGCTGGCGCCACGTATACGAATCTCCCTAACCGAGCCAAGAAGGTTGATTTTAGAGATACCTTCCTCGACTGGCAACACCTTACTGAGAGCATGCCTGGAAAGATTATCGACCCAGGTGATGAAGTCTCCGGCAGCTTCGGCCCCCCGTATGTGTTGGAGGCTGTAGAAAAGCCACAAGAGCCTAAGGGAACCAAGCCATCGAAGAAGCGTCGACGCGACGCGACCCCTGCTTTAATATCTGAAATCGAGACCCTGAAGGCTTCGACTTATCAACCTCCGAACACGGGACCGTATCCTATCGACGTCCCCCGCCACAACTCTGTGCGATTTACCCCGGCTCAAGTGGAGGCCATCACATCTGGTACACAGCCTGGACTTACCGTCGTTGTTGGACCTCCTGGAACTGGCAAAACCGACGTCGCTACCCAGATCATCAGCAATATTTATCACAACTTCCCCGAGCAGAAGACATTGCTCATTGCACATAGCAACCAGGCCCTCAACCAGCTGTTTGCCAAGATTGTCGCTCTGGATATCGATGAGCGTCACCTTTTGCGTCTAGGTCATGGTGAGGAGGAGCTTGATACCGAGGGTAACTTCAGCAAGCACGGACGAGTTGAATCATTCCTGGAGAACCGAGACCGCTATCTCCACGAAGTCAAGCGGCTTGCTGCCAGCCTTGGAGCACCCGGTGCACATGAGAACTCAGCAGAGACAGCTGGTTATTTCAACACCGTCTATGTTGAGCCTGCGTGGACCAAGTTCCAGCAAATCGCTGAAGCTGATGACTCTACCGCGGCCGATATTGTTGCTGCTTTCCCCTTCCACACCTACTTTTCCAATGCCCCTCAACCTGTTTTCCCACAGGAGGCCGACCGAGACCAGGCTCTGGAAATCGCTCAAGGTTGCTATCGTCACATCTCCAAGATCTTCTCGGAGCTTGCCGACGCCCTTCCGTTTGAGATTCTCCGAAGGGATCGCGACAAGGCAAACTACTTGCTCACCAGCGAGGCTCGCATCATTGCAATGACAACCACGCACGCGGCAATTCGGAGAGGCGAAATTTCTTCCCTCCGATTCCACTACGACAACGTGGTGATGGAAGAGGCGGCTCAGATTACCGAAATCGAGACTTTTATGCCATTGGCGATGCAAACCCCTGTTGATGGCAAGATGCCTCTCCAGCGGGTTGTGTTATGTGGTGACCACTTCCAGAACTCGCCCGTCATTCAGAGTCTTGCATTCCGCCACTATGCCAACCTGGAACAGTCACTGTTCTCGAGACTGGTTCGGCTCGGTGTTCCCACTATTACACTCGACAAGCAAGGTCGGGCTCGTTCGTCCATTGCAAGCCTCTACCAGTGGCGGTACCAGAATCTGGAGAACCTTCCGGATGTGCAGAGCAACCCACAGTTTGTCAAGGCCAATGCTGGATTCAAGTTCGACTACCAGTTTATCAACGTCCCTGACTACAAGGGCCGTGGCGAATCCGAGCCTACGCCTCACTTTGTTCAGAACCTGGGCGAAGCGGAGTATGCAGTGGCCATCTACCAGTATATGCGCCTGCTTGGATACCCGGCGGAGAAGATTAGCATCCTCACGACGTACGCTGGACAACGAGCCCTGGTGAAGGATGTGCTGTCTCATAGATGTGCTCGGAACCCTGTGTTTGGCCTCCCCAAGGTAGTTGCCACGGTAGACAAATACCAGGGCGAGCAGAATGATTGTAAGTGCCTCCCTTCTTGAAGCCACTGCTCTTGCAGGAGATGTTGAGTTGGCTAACCATTGATTTCTAGACGTCATTCTATCTCTGACTCGAACATCACGGGTGGGCTATCTTCGCGATGTCCGCCGCATGACGGTGGCACTTTCACGAGCACGACTAGGTCTCTACATCTTGGGCCGTCGGGAAGTGTTTGAGGCCTGCCCCGAGCTTCGCCCTGCGTTTGATCTGCTGTTGCAGAGACCTGACAAGCTAATGCTTGTTACGGGAGAACTATGGCCCGCGGAGAGGGAGTTTACCGAAGGGGACGGTGCTGTTGAGGGCGAGGTGCCGATGGAGGGCGTAGAACATTTAGGGCAATATGTGTTTGAGATGACCAACACCAAGATTAAGCAGCTGCAAGCTGAGCAAGGCGGCTCTGGGGTGTCTGAGTCCATCGCCGAGGAAATTGAGGGCGACGAGGAGGTGTACGAAGAGGATGATGGAGAGGAGGTCGAGGCGGATATCCTCGAGGTGCGAGAGGGAGAGTAAGTTAAGTTAAGTTAAGTTACCTGAATATTGGACAAGGACAGGGGCGTACTAGGACGGCATTAAACTACAACGCGGAAGTAAGTGGCGTGAGAAAAGGGCGCTGAACAAAATGGAATATGTTTCTGTTATGCCAGATATCGGGCCGCGAGATCTGAGCCGGCACATCTCAAGTGCGTTTTGGTGATGCATGACATATCCATCCCACGCGGTTGGACGCCTCAGGCAGGGTTCAGGCGTGGGTGATCTGCATACCTGCAGCCCTGGAGAAGTCTCTTCTGGGATATGTACCGAGCAGAGGTTTCTCTGACATCATCGACTACCGGGGATTGGGGCGACGGGTTCGACGACCCTTGATTTCCCCAGCATAATTTGACCGTGTAAATCGAGCGTTGGCGCGAGACATGTGACACAACCCTGCGTGGCCATGAAGCATTCGGCGTCCTTTGTTGGTTCCGTCTGTTAGGCATCGAGTTACTTGTTGAAAGGCAACGCGCGCTAATGGGATACACGAGGGACGGCTTAGCATTCCTCGGGGGTGCACAGGCAAACCCATGTGGTTGGACATTGTCCTCGGGGCAGGCAGAGAGAGGCATCCAAGACAATACCGGGCTTGACCATTGTCGGCGTAGCAAGCTATACAGTATGCGTACGGCTTTGACAGAACCGAGACTCTAGAAGGCCCTTGCCACCTTGCCGTCGACCACCGTCAGGCAACGATGGGACACGTCAGGGTCGTTGGCTATAGGCGGTGTATAAGCAGTAGGCAACCGGGGAATATTGCATCGGCATTTGTGGGTGACGGGTCAGATCTCTCGAGTTTCACGGCAGAGCACATGCACAAGGATGGAGGGATGGAGGGATGCATGGGACGCACGGGAGAGGGCGGGCATCGAGGGAGTAGTGTGTGGGTGCATGTGTGCCTGTGTGCATGTTTGCTTCAACAACAGCAATAGCGTGCTTCACTGATCAACGACAATATTTGGTGTAGTGAGAAAGGAGACGGTGAGTTGGCTGATCTCGGTTCATGAGTCAGGCAGCGAGGCGGAATGAGTTGTAACGCATATTTGACGGTGAGTGGTTGACGAGGCCGGGAATGGACGGGCTGCGCGGATGGCCTCATCAGCCGCCTGAGGCAAACAACCTGGTTATACCAAACATGAAGAAAGGCAGTGGTTCACTGATGGAAAAGGAGGAGTGCTTTACTGGCGACGGGGTTCGTTGGTGTTGGTGTTTGTTAGTTGTTGTGGCGGTGATAGTGGCAGTGATAGTGGCATTGCCTACCTTAGGTGTGGTGGAGAGACAAACAGAGACGGGTCCATGGTTGCCTGATACCAGATGGGTGACTGGGCACCACTGAATCCTTTGGGCACCGTAGCAGTCTGGGTCATTGGGTCATAGCCCGGGTTATACCAATACACTGTAACTACCTGCTGTGTATGCGAAGCAATGTCAGGCAATGGTGTTTTTTTTTGTCCGTGTCCAAGACAGGGCGGACCATCCCGCGCGAGTGCTCCCGGTTCCGTGACCGGGAATGCCCTGCTTCCATGGTAGGTTTTATATACATGGTAAGTTACACACTATTTGTACGCGACAATTTGGGATAAGTTAGGACAATTTGGAACAAGTGTACGGACGGAAGCAGGGCAAACCGAACCGCCAGCGAAACTGCACTGTGGTGTTTAAGCTTCAGGTTTCCCAGAGTCACGAACAAGGCCATTGTGTGTGCAAGCAAGTCATGAAGTTAGTGCGCAGAGTAGCTCGTTCAGAGTAGCTCGCTCAGAGTAGCTCACTCCGAGTGGTCGGTCCCGCTTGTCCCGCGCGGCCTTTTCAGTCCCTACAACGCACCGACTCAAGTACGTAGAAGATTTTTTTTTTTGTGGTGAACCTTCAAAAAGCAAGGTTGAACGGCGCCTCTAGCTTTCGGGTAGGCAGGGTTAAGGCACCGGAACTGGGGCTACAGTGTGATTGTGGGATATCTCGCACCTGGGGTGACATGCACACAAAACCGGGCGAAGAAGCCGGTGGATAAATTTGTGTGTTTGTTCGTCGTGCGTTCATCTGAGCCCCCGCGGTTGGTGAGAGAGGGCCAAAAGCAAAATGCAAAAAAGAGCGCAAAAATACACCATGCATGCCACTGCGTAGGTACTCTATAGGACTGTACAAGTGTATGGGTGTTTGGCGGGTGGAGTGCGCGCAGCGGTTGAGCCGCCCGCGGCGTCTTGTTGAAGAGCTCTTTCGCCCGTTCTGGTCTCCTAGAGCCTTGGAGGTGGGATTCGAGGTGGGACTCGGAAGGCGTTTCTGCCGTGGGCGTTTTGGACGAGCAGAGGCGTAGTCGAGCAGAGGCGGAGTCCAGGAGTCGACCATCGACGTACTAGCTCGGCAAACGGAAGACTTGTTGGTGGTCCCGTTGGGTGGACTGACACGGCGGACTGACGGACCGGGGGAGGGAGAGTCCAGAAGAGTAAACGAACAAAGGCTAGTGAGGACGAGAGTGAGTCACATTTTTTTGTGGATGTGGCGTGGCTACTGTACTGTACTGTACTGTACTGTACTGTACGACAAGAAGATAGACTGATGATGAGAGACGATAGGGATGAGGGCGATGGCGAGGGTTTGTTGGGTGTGGCATTGCCAGTCACGATGAGAGCAGAAGCGTCAACCACTGCCGTCAACCACCACCGCCAACCATCACCCGCTAATGTAGGTAGCCAGTTCAGTGCGGCTGCTGGTGATGATAAATCCAACGCCCGGTTCAACAACACCAGCCCCAACCCCACAAACAAAGGCACGCAGTCTCCCTCTTGCTCACAGAACAGGAAGACACGGAGACCGGGGAATGGAGAATGGATCATGGCTGTGATAAGCGAGTCCATCAATCCCACCGCATATCACTATGTCGATTCACCCTGCCCTCTTCACTTCCAGGTTCCCTCCGGCGCGCTAGAGCCCTCTCTCGGAGCCTCCATCCTTCTTCCCCTAGTGTAACCACGGTAGTGACGGTACGAGAGTGCCCGAGCCATGCTTGGGGGCGTGCGTGCCCTCTCATCTTGGCTCTTTATTAGGATCCCTAGTCAACCCCAAACGCGTGCTCTCGCTTTTCGTCTACTTACTCTCTGTACATCCGTAATTATCGACGAGATGGCGCGGGCTCGGGACTTGGGATTGGGCTCGAGCTGGTCCATGGCCCAGTGAAAGGACGGGTGCTGCCACCCGTGGTTGATGGTCCGTCTTCCACCCAACCCTTGTCTATCGCCATTCATTCACTGTCACCCACCCAGACCAGAAGCGTACGAATGTATGAATGTACGAATGTATGTGTGTACAATCTGGTACAGCACATCACGGCAGTCATGGTCAGCGGAAATCGGCGGGCACGGTGTCGCGGCACGATGAAGGGCTGCAATCGGCGAAAGCCGCCATGCCATCGTCTCCATGCACACGTCCATGCAGCCGTGCATCCTCCCATCCACCCATCGACTCTGCACTTCGTAGGCGGTGGTTGCGCGTCGACGATCCGCGGCATGGAGCATGTTCAGGGTTCATCGCAACTGAGAAAACCCGGCCAGGGCTGCGTTACCTCGAGTTATATCGCCGATCAGAGTTCCCGGGGGGATGGGTAGTACAAGCGGCATCGTAATACGTAGTTACTACGTACTGCACATTACATTACCCGACACGTCCTGCCGGACACGTCCTGTCCTGCCGGGGGTTAGTCGTAGGGAACACCTGAGATTACCTTTTGCTTTGGCTGGCATTGCTTGGTGTCGCATGTGAATGCTGGTAAATTATCAGGCAGCGCAACGCCGGCTGAGAGTCCATGTGTCTCGCCCCTTTACTCAGAAAGCATACGCAAATAATTCTTTCTTCTTCTTCTTCTCTTCACCTTCTCATGCTCGCTCTACTTCCCCTTTCCCCTTGCGCTGGGAATCCCGTCGTAATTCGCAGTGCTCTACCACGGTTTCTTTCTTCCTCTCCCTGTCCTTCTTTTTGCCCGCAGTCTCCTCCTGCTCCCCTCCCCCTCCCTCCCTCGACTGCCCACTGGGTACCGGCGATATCTGAGCTGCCACGCCGAGTGGGGACTCGGTGGCAGGTATCGTGTTAGCGTGCCCTCTCCCGCGGGGATTGACGTAGCAACCGAGTCTTTCCTTGTGGCCTTGTGGGCAAATGGATGGAGAAATTTATTAGTCCATCCCACTCTTTGAACCTTTGAACTGTCGAGTCCTCGCATATAGACAGACCATGCACCTACGTAGAAACCCACTGCCTTGCACGCACTGCTCTTCACTGCCCGTCGAGAGAGAACCTAGAACACTGGACATGAGCCGCAGTGACAGACAGGAGGTGCCTCAAAATGGCCACCACGCTACCTTCGGACATACCCTTTGGCAAGTACCTGCTGGGCAGCCCTTGGGGCCAGGACCAACCCGGAGGGAATCAGTGGCTTTTTGGGTCCGCCGTGGGTGGCCCTAGATGGCCCGGAATGTCCCCACGCACGGTGTGAGCCAGGCTCTTGGCGCCATGACGCACTGTTTCCTGGGGCTGCAACCCCTGCACGCGCACCGTGGAAATTCGCCGGCCAACGACACTGACAGTGACTGCTGGGCAGTGGCTGACAGCCCTGACACAGAAGCCCTGGGTGCTCTTTTCGGAGGCACCCCCCCCCCCCCCTCCTCCCTCGCCCCTTCCCGCCCATATCAGATCCTGCTGCCCAAATTTTTTTTTGCCGACTCCTTCCAACCCTCACCACTCAAGCAACCTCCCTGGTCCGGTGGAAATTCTTCTAACCCGACCCATTTCCATTTGCATCGGCATTGGAACCTGTCCTGAGTTTTTGAAACCAGAAGGACTCACTCCCCTCGGTTCTTTTTTCCCCTCGTCGCCTGCCGCGCCGGATCGTAGCCTGTCTCAGACGCCTGCGATCACCTCAGTCGGCCCTCGACCCTCCACTCCTTGGTTCTCCGCCCTCGTTCGGCCTGTCTCGACTTTTCTCGTCGAGCCGCCCGTCGACTTCCCGTCGCTCACCGTCGCGCCACTTCGCTCGCGATCCGCTGCGTCCTCGACCTCGACCTCCCGTCGTCGCCCGATCAGCACCCCGCCAACCGAGTCCTCGACATCCCGGCCTCTCCCGCCTCCGCCCTCGTCGCCGACACACTCACCTCTTCTCCCATCGCGAACGATCCGAACTCCCCTTATGACGTCGCCTGCGAACCAGCAGAACCCCATCCCGGCGACAAACACCTCCGCGACTACGGCTACTTCTTATGCCTCTGCTGCAGGTGCGCCTAAGAAGCCAGCCCAGGCGCCTGTAGTTGCGACTGGATCTCACCCTCCCGTCGTGGTCGGTGCCTCGTCGTCTTCGGCGCAGAATGCCAAGGGCGCCTCATCGTCTCCTGTGAACGGCAAGCCCGCCGTCACCCCCGCTGTCCCCGCCGTCGCGCGCGGCAGCTCGAACCTCAACGGCTCCGGCCCAGATCACTCTCGCAAGAGCTCCGTCACCATGGCGGCCAACGCCCCCAACAGCTTCGCCAACGGTGGCCCCGTCGGTGGTGCCAAGTCCGGCATCCAGTTCGGCTTCGACTCTCCTGCCATGGCTCACAGCACTCCCCAGTCCGGCAGCGCTGCGCCCATCCCCATCCCCGGTGGCAACCCGCGAGTCCCCTCGCCCGCCCACTCTCCCTCTCCTATTCCTCAGCCTTCTGCTAGCGGCGGCCGACCTCCTTCCGGTCTGCAGCAGCCTAGCGGACAGATGACCTTTGGCAGTCTCAGTAGCGATGGCGAGGTATGTGCTTAACCCTTCTCTCACTTTCTAGTCAACTAGGCCTCACCTCGAGAAACCCCGGCACTGACTTTCTTATCTCCGCAGCGCCACATGAGGCAGGGCTCTGTCCCCCCGAACCCCAACTCACAGCCCGGCACCCACTTCCGCCGAGAGTCTGGCCACTCCGCTCAGGGTGACGGCGCCGGTCGAGGCAACTTCCAGCCTCAGGGCGGCCGTGGCCGTGGCGGTTTCAACCCCAACTACAACCAGCAGATGGGATACCCCCCCAACAACCAGTTCCGCAACGGTCCTGGACAGGGTCGAGGCATGCCGCCTGCTTTCCAGCCTCAGCCTCGAAACATGCAGTACCCTAACTCTCCTCAACCGAACCGAAGCCCTGCCCTCGTCCCGTCGATGCCGAACACGCCAAACATGGCCCAGGCCAGCATGCAGCCCAACATGGCTATCCAGACGCCGCCTCAATACCACTACCCGCCTCCCATGGCACCCCAACAAGTACAGTTCCCTTTTCCTCATCCATCTGACAAATTATCTTTCAAACCCTCCAAGAGGAGCAAAAACCGTCGCGAGACGGACAAGGCGCTTCAAGCGGGGCGCCCACTCGACTCTACCAAGCGAAATTTGCATGGGGTCGACAACAGCCAGCATCAGCGCCGTTTGAGTAAACACGCAGAGCAGCCGTGGCGTGAAGTTGATAGCAACAACTTCCGTGCGGCATCCCATGCCACCAAGATCCCCCCCGATTCTTTCTCCTCACTCAGCCAACCTCGGAACGATTCTCGTTCCCTTGATCTCTCACCAGAAGGCGGCGTATTCGAATACATGCTGACTTTAAAAAACCAGAACTTCGGTTACCCTCCCCAGCAGGTTGACGGCTATGGACGCCCAATGTCGATGCCCTATGGCTACAACAACATGCCCTACATGGCTCCTCCCCAAGCTAACTCTCCAGGCTACAACCAGACTTTTGTCCCCCCTCCCTACCACCAGCAGAGCCACAGCATGTCGCGAACTCCATCCCAGCCTGAGCGACCCTCAAGCGCGAACCAACAGAGCCAGCCCGTCATTGTGTCCTCGACCCCTCAGCCCCAGAACGCTCAACCCAAGGGCACCCCCAACGCCAGCTTCGTTAAGCCTCGGAGGAGCGCAGCGATTCAGATCAAGAACCCTGCTGGTGAGGTTGTTGATACCTCGACTTTCAAGGCCCCGGCTTCGCCTGCTCCCAGCATTACCAAGTCCAAGACCCCTCCTGTCGTAACCTCGACACCGACTCCTCCTCCCAAGTCCTCGACCCCAGCGCACGGCCGTACTGACAGCCACGCCACCCCCAAGACTGCCAAGGAGATCCAGGATGAGCTCAAGGAGAAGATTAAGCAGGCCACCCAGGCACCTCAAGTGCCTGCCGAGCCCAAGAAAGAAGAGGTCGCCAAACCTGCCGAAGTGCCTGTGGAGGCTAAGGCTGAGCCTGCTCCTCCCGCCAAGGTTGAGGCGGAGACGAAGCCCGCTGAGGAGCCTAAGAAGGTCGAGGAGCCCGTCAAGAAGGCCGAGAAGCCCGCGGAGCCCGCCAAGAAGGAAGAGACTGAGGAAGAGGAGATGGACCGAATCATTCGCGAAATGGAAGAGGCTGATGCCCTACGCGAGAAGCTAGAGGAAGAGCACCGCGTGAAGCGTGAGGCTGAGAAGGCTGCCGCCAAGATCAAGGCCGAGGAGGACCGCAAGAAGAATGCCGGAAACGAAGACCAAAAACTCCGTGACCAAGAGCGTGAGATGGAGCGTCTTGAAGAGGAGAAGGAGAAGCGACGCGCCGAGTCAGCTGGCAAGACTCTCTCTGTTGCAGAGGCTCTTGCCAATGCCAAATCTGGCAAGGAGGACAAGGTCGATGTTGTCACGGACAAGCTCGCCGGTATGAAGATCGCCGAGAAGCCCTCGTCTCCCGCTGAGCCGAAGTCTACCACTGCTGAGAAGCGTGGCGCCAAGCCTGCTGCCCTCAACCTGGCTCCTTTGAACACCAAGCCTGTTGAGCCTCCTCAGCCCAGCGCCGCCCTGCAGTCTCTCAAGTCGGCTCGTTTCCTCAAGGTCATTGACCAAGATATTTACCCCTCCGGCATCAAGTCCCCCAACCCGTCCCTCAACGCCGCTGTCGCCAAGAAGGGCAAGACCTTCAAGTACGATGCCAACTTCTTGCTCCAGTTCCAGAAGGTCTTCACCGAGCAGCCTTCTCTGGAGTTCCACCAGCAGGTCAAGTCACTCATTGGCGATGATACCGGCCGATCTGCCTCCCGCACTCAGACCCCTGGCTCTGCCCGACACGGCTCTCGTGGCGGCGGCGGCGGCGGCAACTTCCCCATGGGCGCCTTTGTAGCACCCGCCGGACGAACTCTTCCCACTGGTACTACCTCGGCCGATCGATTCGCTATGGCTAGCGGCAGCATGCCTCGACCGGCGGGTGGCAACCCCATGGCCTCCTTCCAGCGACCTGGTGGCGCGTTCCCCTCGTCGGCCTCCATGTCCCGGACTTCATCCCAGTCCAACATGTCCAACTCTCCTCGCCAAAACAGCCGCCCGACTCGTGGTAGCCGACGCAATGACTACAACGCCAAGGATGCTCAGGCTGCTAAGACCATGCCTCTGACTGCTGGTATGGATCTCAAGCCCATTGCTGTCACTTCCAACGGCTGGAAGCCCACTAGCGTTGGCAAGTCCGCCGCCGCCGCCCCTCCTCCCGGTGCCAGTGCTGGCTACCTTGACCCTGAGCTTGTTCAGAGGAAGGTCAAGGCCGCCTTGAACAAGATGACCCCCGAGAAGTTCGACAGAATCGCCGACCAGATCTTGGAGATTGCTTCTCAGTCCAAGGATGAGACTGATGGCCGCACCCTTCGCCAAGTCATTCAGCTCACCTTCGAGAAGGCGACTGATGAGGCACACTGGGCCTCAATGTACGCCAAGTTCTGCAAGCGCATGCTGGAGACTATGAGCCCCGATGTTCGCGACGAGCGCATCAAGGACAAGAACGGCAACATTGTCAATGGCGGCAACCTGTTCCGCAAGTACCTCCTCAACAGATGTCAGGAGGAATTCGAGCGCGGATGGACCGTTAACCTGCCCGAGAACCCTGATAAGGCTGAGGGAAGCGCCGATGCCAAGAAGAATGCCGAGGCCGCTCTTCTCTCTGACGAATACTATATCGCTGCTGCTGCCAAGCGACGTGGCCTTGGTCTCGTCCAGTTCATTGGTGAGCTGTACAAGCTGGGTATGCTCACTGAGCGCATCATGCACGAATGTGTGCACAAGCTCGTCGACTATAAGGGCGTGCCTGATGAGACTGAGATTGAGTCGCTCAGCAAGCTGCTCCGGACCATCGGTGCCAACCTTGATGCCACCGACAAGGGCCGTCCTATGATGGATGCCTACTTCCAGCGCATCCAGACCATGGCTGATCTGCCTGACCTCCCGAGCCGACTGCGGTTCATGCTCATGGACGTCATTGATCTTCGTAGGGCCAACTGGGTCTCCAAGGAGACCAACAAGGGCCCCAAGACCCTGGAAGAGGTCCGAGTCGAGGTATGTTGTTCCCATCCATGCGCACTAATATATATGTTTACTAACATTCGATAGGCTGAGGCTGCCCAAGCTGCCAAGGCTCAGGAGTCAGCCAGGAGCAACCAGCGCGGAGGCGGTCGTCCTCCCGCTGGACGAGGCGATGCGCGCCACTTCTCTGCTGGCTACAGCCAGCAGCAGAGCAACCAGGTCGGTATGGATGATCTCCGCCGCCTCAAGGGCTCTGCCAACAGGGCCTCAAGCGGCAACGTCATGCTGGGTCCCACCTCGATGTTCTCGTCGCGCAGCAACAGCGGACGACGTCTTGGCCCAGGTGGCTCGCTGGGCCGCGCTGGTGAGGACTCGGGGGCCTCTTCTCGCACCGGGACTCCTCCCACCCGAGAGAACACTTCGCACTCTAATGCATTCAGGTGAGTTTGAAAGCAGTCCTCGTGTTGATGGTGTGCTAACTTGCGACACAGCCTGCTAGCGAACATGGAGACCGAGCACCCGGCCTCCCCCCCGTCTACTTCTGCCTCGCCAATGATGTCGAAGGCTGTCCCCGACAGCGGCAAGAAAGAGAGCGAATAAATTCTTCTTCCTTCGGTGTCTTGCATTTCGGCAGATAGACTAGGCAGGGGTGTGTTGTTTTGTTGCATTTACAGGCTTTCATCAGACGTGTCCTAAAAGTTTGAGCACGCATTTTGAACCATGATACCTCGCCCCATAGACAGACGGACGGACGGCCTCTCACTGGAGAGGGAGCACTTTTCGGACTAGGGATTTTTTCTTCATCATTGTGTTCACATTACCTATTTCAGGCCCTTCTCAGCGTGCCCCCAAGTGTGTTCCACTTCCTAATATTGCGGAGGATTTCGGGTTTCAGGGCTAGGGCGGTTTTCATTGATGTTCGCCGGCATGCACTGGATTTCAGGAACGGAACGGGGCATTGATGGGGGGAGTAGGATGCCATGTCCACCGCATCGATATACGTCGCGGGGGGCGGTGGATGTGGTGGAGGGATGGATTTGGACGCGGGTGAAAATTCAAGCAAAGGGGCAAAATTTGATTCGCATCGGATGGACTTGTGCGTTTGCCACTGCGATTTCCGAGACCAGCCTCTGGGTTCATGGCCTTCGCTGGGTTGAGATGTCCCTTCGACTATCAGGCCGGAGTCGGATAGGAAGGCCGTTGGTGTTGTCGTCTCTCTCAGGTTGTGCGCACGCATTGGATCGCCTCAAGAGACCACCGGTCGCCACCGGGTTGTCTCTTGGGCCGATGGATGATGTATGGGGGCGGTTGGCCAGGCTGGCCTTGACCAAATGGTCTTTTGAAGCCTTGCTGTACATCATCTAACTTCGAGGGACCATGAGCCGTTGGCAGACAAATACATATTTCATCAAACGTTGAGCGTCTTGTTGTGAAGTTGGTTGAAGAAAGGTATGAGAGACACGCATCGAAGCGCAGATCCAAAGCCAATCAATGGCTCGACAACAGACGGTTTGGTTGACAATCACGATGCTAGGTCCCCAGAGGTGTCGCCATATTGCATTGAGCCGAAACTACCACGAGTCTCGGTGGCATTTTCGCAACTCTACCAGGACACATCGAACTTCATATGAAGGCTGAAGACAGCGCGAGCCAGCTCGAAGCAAGTCATCTCCAAACTCAACCTGACTGAGTTGGCCATCCTGCGGGTTTATCCTTTTCTACGACAGAAATTTGGCCTTGCTAGCATACACGTTTCGGTCATAACGATCCTCGATCCATACTAATAGTTACTTCTAAATTCTCATCGAGTCTTTGACGGCACTCCTCTGTTGTCGGTTATGGCTTTGTGCTAGACTCAACTCTCAACTCCCAAACTCCGCTTTGCTACCCATGCAATTGACCTTCAACTCATTACACATGGAACCGCGCTTGGTAGCACCGGCAACATCAACTTAGACAGCCAGGCTCCCTCCAAAAAGCAAAATATCAATCGACTTCTTGATCCAAGTTCCCGAGACTCCACCGACTCCCTACGCAATCAGCATATCCTTGATTCCTGTTATACACATGTCCCATCCATTCTTGTTTGTTCCAATAATAGTTCACGCCAACTGCTTGTTGAATCCCAGCTTGACGAACAACGTGTCCATGGCGACCCATTGACGGCCGCACTTGTCGAGGTACTTGTCCACGACACCCTTAACAGTGCTGAACCGCACGCGGTTATGCTCCGCTACCGCGAGGATCTTATCGCGGTCCACTCGGGACACATCGCCCGACTCTGATGTCGCCTTGGCTCGCGCCTTATCAACGTCCCAGAGACTGGCAAAGTACAGCAGCTGGTTGTAGATGGCCTTTTCATTGTACTCGTAGCGCATGCGGCCGAGACAGTCGCGCGCGAGCCCCTTAGGCCCCAAGCATCGTGTGCCGTAGACGCTCACCTGGCGGGTGCGGTTTCCACACTGGGAGTCGTCGCACATCAACCAGCCCTCGTAATAGCGGGTTGTCTCAGTGCGAACGGCATGCTCGACCTGAGCCACAATGGACAAGGTTGAAAAGGTCGCGCCGCAAGCGCTGCAGAGGACACCCGATGCGGAGACGCCGTCGGGAGATGCAGCGAGGCCCTCAAAGGTGGAGTTGGCCTTACACTTGCGGCACCGCAGTGAGAGGCGAGCGCACTCGGCGAAGCGGACTTCGTCGGGGATCTGGGAGTCGAGGGGGTGGATCTCCAGATCGTTGCTAGAGCTGTTCTGCTGGTTTTGGAATGAACTGTATCGGCGGACATCCAGGCCAAGCTGTTCGGCCAACTGCGAAGTCGATGTTCCGACAATGTTGGCACAGAGACGCTCAACCGGAGGGAAGATCTGCTTGCCAATGTACCACTCCACATCAGGGATCAGGCTCGTGTCTGTCTTCAGATCTGGAGGAGCATAGGCTCGCTTGGGAGCTGGTTCGGAACTCGTGCCATCGCCCGTGATGATGTACGAGATGACGTCGCCCTTGCGGACAGTCTTGCCGCGAGCCAGCTCACGAAGCGCCACCTGGACCTGGGGCATCGAGTCGGCGTTGGGATACTCTTTGGGTGCCTTTCCGAGCTGCGTGTAGATGATGTACTTGGGAGTTGCGATCGCCTGTTCACGCATCTTACCGGCGATTTCTCGCAGGTATTCGTGGATGCGCGCTACCGATACCTCTGTGTCATCTCCAGAAAGAATCTCGTCGAGGAGGTGCTTGGAGATTTCCTTGGACAGCGCGCAGTACTCACGACGCTTCATGTCAAGACCCTTGACCTCCATCTGCTCCACGTACTTGCCATCCTTCTCCACGAGGTTGATGGCGGCATACTTCTTCTTCGCCTGAAGGAGGATGCGGCGGAAGATGTTGTCGATGTCAATCTCCAGCAGTCTATACTGCTCATTGACTGCTTTCTTGAATTCGTTTCCAACCCTGAGGGCATCGGAGACATTGTCTACATTCGCGTTGATCATGACAGAGTCAGTGTCGCCGTAGATAACCTGGAGCGACTTGCTCTCGGCAAGCTCCTTGGTGCTGCGGAGAATCTCACGACCTTTATAGGTCGTCAGTACGGCTAGAGGGCGAGCGTAGAAGCGAGATTTAGTGTAGCCCAAGCATCCGTACATGGAGTTAGCGGTGAGCTTCAGGGCCAGTTGCTTAATATCCCAGGTGGCGAGCTCCTCGGGGGTAGCAGTTTTATCCTTCATCAGACTCTTGACTTGGCGACGTCGGCTGACAAGCGTGGCAATGAGCTTTGGAAGAATGCCTTGTTCCTGGTTCTTAGGGACCTCAGGAACCGCATCCTCGTCCTCGGTCTAAGGGGAATGTTAGTTATTGATATACAATTAGACAAATGGTCAACTTACCAAGCTAGTTCTATCCACCGTGGTGAAGCAGATGTTGAACTCCTGGATGATGGACGGGTAGAGAGAGTTGAAGTCCATGACAAGCACAAACTTGTCATACAGACCTTTCTCTGGCTCGAAGACGAGACCACCCTTGTACTTGTCCTTCTTTTTGCCGTCCGCCACCTCACCTTCACGTTGTTCCTCCTCGACCTTCTGGCGACCACGGAATGTCTGCTTATCAGGGCAGATGTACTTGTGGCGGTGGAAGTCGTGCAACAAAATGTACTCATTTCGCTCAGCCCGGGTTCCCGTGAGAGTTCTGGCCCAGGAGTTGCCAGCCAGATTCGTCAAGACCTTGGTAAGGGGTAGCATCTGAACACTCAAGGCCAGCGCAGCAATGTAATGAGTATCGGCTTCCATGTGAGTGACATAGTCCATGAAACCCTGCTTTTCCTTGGCCCAGCTGGCCAATGCGGCCTCATTATCAATCTCACGACGGCGGTTGTCTCCAGCGAGGTAGAGGCTGCACATTTCGGTCAAGCTCCAAGACTGGCACTTGAACATGACCGACTTTCCAGCCTCGTTAGCAAGATCGCAGAGCAGACGGCCAGCAATAACCTGACGCTCAGCAAAGACATTCCCGCCCATCTTGCCGATGGAAGCTGGCCATTGGCTCCTTCGCATTCTACCAAGTCGCGACCACTGGTGAATCTTTTTCTCGTGTAGTCGGTTTAGAAGAACACTGTAATCAACACCCTCCAGTTGGTGGCCGAGAATGACATCTGGATCGGCAACGTCTACTTGAGCCAAAAAGAAAGTCAAGATATCTGACTCTTGCTTCTTTAAGACTAGAAGACCTCGGTTCTTTCGTTGCCTTACAAGTTGGTCAAATCCCAAGGGGAAGCCTTGCCCGTGTGGTCGAATGACCGTGAAGCTTCGGGAAGGCAGCTTCTCCGCAGGAGTTGTATCGGTGAGCGATACCTTTTCGTATATTCTGGCACTAATGGCTAGAATCTCCTGCTTGTTATCCTTTGCGCTGAAAGCGGTTCGCAAGGCGACACTCATGAGAGTCAAAGGAGGAGCGTCGATGTTTTCGGAGTCGGGCAAGGTAGAGATCATGTTGGGGTGGTCAGCCAGCACCTCGAGCTTGCAATGGGATGCGTTTTTGATGCTGCCAAAGTCTGCATCCTGGATCTTGAGCCAGCAGGGGCCCATGATGTTTTTCCAGAGGACAAACTGCTCGAATAGGGCCGTGTTAGTACCAAAGACATGGGAATATGTCTCTCCAGGGGCGTCTGCATCGAGTTGTGGCTCTGAGAAATGGTTAGCGGAAATTGGAACAGGGAGGTGACGGTTCCTTGGGAACATACTCGTGTATGGATAGAGAAGCTTCATGTATTGCGCTTCCTTGGGGACACCTGGCAGTTCAAAGGCATACTTTCGCGTGCAGGCCTTGATTTTGTACATGCCCACCTTCATCTTGGTCATCATCTCGTCGATCTCATCGTAGACGTTCATCATCTCAACCTCTTCCCCCATGTCTTCGCCATGTCGCACTCGGTTCTGGCGTGGCAGGAAGAATAACTTCCTCAGGATGTTGTCGACCTTGACAAAGCAGCTGACATAGGACCTTGTTTTCTTGTTGAGGACCTTGCCGAACAAGCACAGGCTGCCGTTGATCTCTAGATAGTCGGTCCAGAAAAAGTTGAGGCTTCCGTCCTCCTCGACGGCGTCTGCATGGTCAATCTTGCCGATACCTCGGGTCTCTGTTGGCGAACTAGAGACAACGTTGAGCCTCTCAGTGAGTGCATTCCAAGAGGATGGGTCTACAGCAGCGCCGGGGGGCTTGACTGGGGAGGAGCTGGGGGGAGCGGGATCAATTTCCCTCTTGATGAGTCTCTTGATTGGCCGAGAGCTTGTCATGTTGACGCTGGCTGTGTTGATGGCACCGGCATGGGCTACCTCCATCATATCCTCATCCTCGTCGTCTTGGGGTTCTTGTTTTATTAGGCGTTTCCGTTGAGCAACCTTGGCGGCTGGGGAGGAGGGAGCCGGATCGCTCATAGGGACGTCGAGGGGCTCGTCATCGAGGGGGGGGATAAAGCCGTCATCGCTGTCCATGGTTGCTGGGAGAGGAGATGGCAATCGCGTATCGAGAAACTTCTTCTTCTTCGAAGTGGGCTCAGGAGCAGGCGATAGATCCCTGAACTTGCGACGCTCACCAGATCTCTCGATTTTTGATATGCGAGGGGCAGGGGCGGGGATGTTGGTGTCAACCTCACCGAGCAGGTCGGCAAGGAAGTCTTCGTCGGCTTTCGTCTTTACTACCTGCGGGAACGGATCAGTTGGAAGTTTGGGAGAGTCGGGCGGCGAGTTTGCTAACCTTGGGCTTGGACTGTGCCTTGCCAGCACCCTTGGTGAAGTACTCGCTGATATCTCTGTCGTTGGCATCTCGTTTCTCCTGGTCGTCCTGACGGTTCTTCTTGGCTGTGTCAAGTGTCAGTGGGGGTGGGAATCTGCGACTGCAAGATGAACTGACCGGCTTTGCTTGGTCGACCACGGACGACTCTGTCGTCTTCCTCACTGTCGTCTTCGTAGGTCTGGATGCGATCCCACTCCTCGCGGCCGTCGTCGGCGTAGCCCTCACCGTTGTCATCGACAACGAAGTCATCTTCTTCGAGTCGGTCACGAACAATCTTCTTGTAGCCGGCCTCGTCAACCTCGTCGTAGAGATTGGAGACCTCGTCGACCTGGTAGGTGTCAAAGGCCTTCTTGCCAGACTGGCGAAGAGCACGGAGCTCGGCAAGCCTGGCCCGGTGGTTGGGCTTCGACATGGCGGAGTTGAGTTAGCACGATACCATATCAAGCATGTATTGTCGTTGCGGGAGTTGGTCTCGTTTGTCTGGTGGTGTTGAATTGGTCGAGTTGAATCGAGTTGGCAAGTGAACGGGTGGTGGGTGGTGGGTGGTGGTAGCGACGAGAGCGGGAGGTACTTGATCCCCTGGTAGAAAAGTGGTCAAGCGGGACGCGTCTGTCGCGTCCTCAGTGTCGCGTCATCGTGTCGCGGGTGGGGTCCTCTAAAGTGCCCGTTGCGCCCCTGCCCTCAGAGCAAGAGAGCGATGTGGCGGTGCACGTGGGGTATTGGGGGAAGGTACTTTGGACCAGGAGTCCCTCCACAGTGAGCACAGTGGGAGAGACTTCTGTGGGTCCGTGGCTCTCACTGTGCCATCACTGTGCCATCAACGCGCGCGCACTTAACGCGAATCCATGGGGGAGTTCATCCACTGACAATGTCTCGATTTCCAAGTGTTGTTATGACCTCACATCTGACCCTTGTCCATATTCTAAGCGACGATAACACCAGGCAAGGTATTTCGTACACACAGCTACTTACAGCAAGCTACTCGGCCATGGCACCTGTTCCGTGGCGCCACTGCAGCACAGCAACCCACGGCTTTTACGCAGCCTCTGGACATGATCGATGCTTACGGTGACATCAACATAGGCATGGGATTGTGACTGCTGCCTCTCCAAATGGTCAAGTGAAAATACTCAGAATAGAGGTCATCTCTCGTACTCTCTCAATGAAACCAGAGAGATTTTGACATGATAGCTTCACTTCCGCATTCAGCCACGCGCTTGCCTCCGTGGGCATTACTATAACTGCATGTGCTCCCACCCACCTCTACCTAGGCACCTGCCGATTAGCACAGTAGGAGACTGCTCTCCGAGAGACTGCTCTCCGAGACCCAATGGTAATCGCAACCACCTTCGCTTTTCTGTTTGGCTCTTATTCCATCCTCACTTTTCCCCAACCAACTCCATCGCCTTCAAAGCTGGCTTGGTGTTTGGCGACATTCCCACGACACGCTCAGAGCCATCCCTCCCCATCATTGATATTCGTCCCCATTCTACGAACATGGCTACACAAATGCCGTCCAGCAATCCACTCACCGGCAAAAGTCAGAAATTCCCCAAGCAAAGATCTCGACTCGTTAGTTTGCCTCTGTCCAGGTAGCGTCTGTTGAGGCCACGGCGTCAAGAAGGTCTCTTTCATCCCGGCGAGGATAACAAAGGCGGTCGCTCTAGCTCTCTGGAGCATCAGTATCTAGACAAGAAAGATGCCCCGGATGTCTCGACCCGTCGGAGTTGGCTATCGTCTACTCGGAAACGGACGGCAACTTGCTCGTCTGCACGTCTGAGTCAACGAGCCATCGGGTTTGACATGACCGAGTCCACGTCGCAGTCACAGAAATCAGGCAAGTTATGGGTCCAATGCCGAACTCATCACCCTTCCAACTCCTAACACCTATCATTTCAGAGCATCTTCCGGTGGTCGCACGCCGCCGCAAAAGTCTAGGCGATGTCTTCCAAAGCGTCAGGATCATGAAATGGGTCCGTGATAGAACCATAGACTCCGACGAGCCAAAGCACCCAGTTGCATCTTTTATGTCAGAGGACGAAATGTCAAAGGACGGATTGTCAAAGGACAGACTGTCAGAGGATGGACAGTCAGAGGCGATAGAAGATGCGGAACCAGGACCATTCAACCCCGCCTCGAATATTCCACCTCAACTTGAGGTTCTATCCGAGTTGAATCAGGGGAACCTACAGAGATCTTCCACCTTTCGAACCTTTCTAGAGAAGGCCGCCACTGACATCAACGTCAAGTATGGTTTGGCCCAGTCTTTACCAGCATTCAAAGGTCGCAGTCGCTTGCCTTCGTGGCAGAAGATTCTACCAGCAAATATTCAAATCACACCAACCCGGACCACGAGCTCGTCTCAACCCGAACCTGGGCCCGGCACGGTTGCAGAAGCTTACTCGACGCCACCTGGCATGCTTTTGGCTGATAAGGCTACTATTCCTTCTTGCCAATCTTGTCACTCCCAGGCCTGTTGTCGCAGCAAAGAGAAGAGAGGGGTACCCATTCATCAAGTTGACAAAATCTTGGAACAATCGCTTCATCTCAGGGATCCCCCTCAGAAACCGCATTTGATGGAGCATTTCACACTACCGAGACCCAGGGGCAGCGGAAATCTCCCTGATACTGCATTGTCCCCCGTGTACATTTCGGACAATGGTCAGAAACTGGTCGAAGGCAGATGGCTCGATAACGAATCTACCCGGACGACCCGTATCTCATGTCCCGAGCACGAGGATCAAGATGACTCCGAATGCCACGTGTCTTGCCGAGAAAAACGCCCGGTCACCCCTGACATACCCCCTGTATCTCCCTCAGAATCAGTTACTACCCTGATGCTACCTTCAAGGGCCGTATCTAATTCTACGGATGCTCAATTTGGCAAAACAGAACCGTGTTCTCTGATTCATCTTAGGGCATGGATTAAAGAGTCCAAGATGAAAAGCACGCCTAATCATTTGGCCATCGAAACTGAGCCTTCTTCAGAGATTCCCTAATATCCCCTTTGCCCAAGAACTTGCATTACCTTTGTCAGAGCATCGGCTTAGAACACTGAGTTGGGACTAATCGCGTCTATTGTGACACGGAGCTTCAGATATGGAATTACTCAAGGGGTGGTAAACAAACTGGTTGGTTGAGGGCCGTCTATGGCAGCGGATTTTCCATTCATCATGGGTTGCTCCGTACCAGGTCCGAAGAGTAGTGTATTGAAGCCTGCATTTACTCCCTTTAATACCGTGCTAGGTTGTGTCCTTGAAATCAAAGGGCATCTCATGACTCGCCTGGAGCATCGTCCTTGCTTCATGGCTCATTACAGGGCGTAGCTTTGGGAATCGTTCGGAGATGAGTTTCCTAGGATTAGGGGAGCTAGTATCCTCTAAATCGCAACTTTTAAAAGTTGAGCACAATGGCCCTTCTAATGTTTGTTCGAGTTCATAAAATATGCACCACTTTCGGCCATGTATACTCTTATAGTGCGTACGAGAATTCTTTATGTGGCACGATCCTTTCGGTCGCTAATAAAAATGGCCCATCCATGTTTGCTCATGTCCCAAAGTCATCTTGCCCTGTAAGATAAATTTGAACAGTACTGCAACGTAAGAGCATGTAAACATCTTCTTGGATCCCTTCTTTAGACTTTGAAGGAGTGGTGGATTGGACATATCTCCATAAGCGACAGGTATGTGGTGCTGGTATGTCTTCTGCTTTGTCCAGGTAGCTGACGGCCGGCTTAACATCAAGATCATCTAACCTAATAAGAATATGCAGAATTAACAAAATATTCGAGAGGATGATTTCATGTTGTTACAGTTACAGTACTTTGAAAGATCTGTCTAGTCATATGTCATCCGTGAGAATCCAGCAGCCCTAAACTCCACGTCCGCTGACCAGCTATGCTTTTTCCTTCATATATATGTTACATATCGCCAAACCCAGACCTGTCAATCATCTCACAAGATATCAATACAGAGTATCATACAGACTCCGCTCACCATGGCAGGTTCGCCCGTCGCTGGTACGGTTCACGCACTCCGCGGAGCTCATCGGGTTGCTCATGATCTCGGCGCTCATGCCGTCGTCTCGAGCGAGGATCGTCATCGTTTATGCGGGAATCTCGTCGTTCATCGTTTCGTCTAGGCCTGGGCCTATCTTCACTCATACCAGACTCGCGTCGGCCATCGCTTCGTCTCGATCTAGGCCTCTCTTCACCCATTCGAGACTCTCTTTGCGCATCTCCCCACCTGGATCTGGGCTGGTCTTCACCCCTTCGAGAGTCTCGACGCTCATTCCCCCATCTTGACCTCGACTGGTCTTCACCCATACGTGATTCACGGCGCTCGCCACCGAATCTGGACCTGGGCCTGTCATCTCCCATACGACCATCTCGTCGCTCGGGTTTCGGCCGTCCGACCTGGGTGGTGTCCCACTCAAAGTCGCCGCCGAGAATCTCGTTATACTCAGACATATCTTCCTCAGCAGTGCCACGGCCCTTGGACTTGCGCAGGTTGGGCTCAAGCTCCTCGCGGTTGGCGAAGAAGGTGTGGATCTCACGGTTGATGCGGGCGCCGATGGGGCGGATCTCTTGCAAGTCGGCATCGGGGAGCATGCCCTGCTGAATGATTTTGTTGAAGGCGCCATACATGATTCGAGCGAGGGCGATGACCTCACGCTTATTGTTGTAGTTGATGCCCTCAGCCTTATCGTCCTTAGGCTTAACAACGTTGAAGTAGTGGTTGTGAAGCTTGCGGTACGGATCCCAGAGGCGGGCGAGGGCTTCAGTGATCTGCATGCCGTAGTCACGCTTGGCCCCGGCTACATCTCCCTTGTCGGATCGTGCCCGGAGTTGGTAGTGGCTAACGAGGGAGACACGGAGGTATAGGCGCATGGTATGAGGGTCTGGAACCCTGAGCCTCTTCACCATCGAGTTGAGCGCCTTGTTGGCGTTCTTGATGGCATTTTGGTTAATGTTGTCGCGCACGCACGTCTCCATGGCCATCTGGTAGTGCCTGGCATTAATGTACTCATCAGGGACAATGTCGAGGATCTCGCAAGCGTGAGCGCTGGCCTTGGCCAGCTTGAGCATGCCAAACATTCGCATCCAATTGTCCATGTCCGGTTGAATGCCGTGCTCTCGGACCAGGATGTTCCAGTACTTGATTCCACATGTGGTCAGCTTGGAGGATGAAAGTGTCGTGAGCACCAAAGCTAGAGTGTTGCGATCAGGAGCAACCCAGGCGACGCGTGACGCCATTTTGGAGGAACCCGCGCGAGCAAGGCCCTTTGTTTGAAAGTCTGCCGCAGAGACATTGTCCGGTTTGGACAAGTTAGGGATGTTCATCGTCTGCTCAATGAGGTCGAGAACTTCGCGCTTGTCAACACGGTCAGGCGCCATGATGAGCAGCCGACCCATCGCGCACACCATTTCCTCGTCAATGATCAACCGCCCCTGGCGCCACTTCGAAATAGCCTCCTCCCAAAGACCCTTGGCGCGGCCAATAGCCTTCATAATGTTGTCGTTCTTCTGCTCCTCTGGCAAATCCTTGATTTCACCCAAGACGTTGAACCGAAGAGCATTAATGATGGATGTGTAGGTGTAAGCGGTGGGGGCTCGAGTTGACTCGTTGACCGTGTCGACGATGGAGAACATGGAATCCAAGTCTCCAGCTTTGCCACAAACATTGAGAACGGCATTGAGGTGGGTCGAGTTTGGCTCCAGACGGCTATCCTTCAAAAGGATCTGATAATGCCTGATGGCCTCGGACACGGCTAATTTGGGGTGTTGTGACTTGGCGAGTCCGCGGAATATAATCGTGTAAGTTTGCATATTGGGCAGCTGAGCCCGCTTCTTCATCTGGATTGGGTGTCAGTATATCGTTGCTCACACCACGAATTGGTACAGTACTAGCACTAACCTCGTTGTATAACTTGATGGCCTTTCTTAGCTGTTGCTTCTCCAACTGGTAGTCGATGAGATGATTCCAGGATACCACAACTTGGTCCTTATTGCTAGCTTTCTGGGTCAGAAGCAGGGCCTCGTCGAATCGGTCTTTGGCGAGCGCATCAGTGACGTATTGCCCCAGCTTCCACGGATCGTCCAGGTATGGGAGGTTCTTTTTCACAGCCCGTTCCAGCTTCTCTCTGGCCTTCTTCGCAGATACTGAAGGTTCCTCTGGGTCTGCATCGAATGTTTGCGGCGCATCGGCCTTTATTGAAGCCGTCACCTGTGAAGGGGTGGGAGTCGGGGTGTTGGCGGAGGTGGTGGAGGTGTTGGGGGTGGTAGTCGCAGTAGAGGAGAATCGAGGGTGCGGTTGGAGGAAGGAACGGGTCTGGAGCAGTGCAGTCCTTTCGAGATAAATCCTCGGCTGATGCAGCTGCCGAATTGCCCTGCGCATGGATGCGCCGTACATGATACCCTCCACCATGGCGAGTTGTTGGGTTTGGCAGATTTGCGGGTGGAGGATTTGGTGATGGACCAAGAGTGACCGAGGCGTGAGACTTGCGCAGTCCAAAATTTCGAGGCGACCCGCCGTTATCTTATCAGCAGGACTGGAGTAACCAAAGTACCGATGTACCTGCTGAGGTACCGTCCACAGCTGGGCGCTTAAGGGGGCACGCGGTACGTAGGTACCTTTCAGCCCGTCAGCCGCGCGGGAGCGCCTGGCCTTACAGCCACCCCTCCCCCTGTTGCGAAGGTCCACGTCTCTCTAGTTAGATACGCGCTCGCGCCGTCGCATCTCCATTTCTTCTCACGTCCAGACAAAGGTCGAGACTCAAACAAGCATCTATTTCTCGCCCCAATCGTTCAAACCGCCAGGATATCATCGGGTTTCCTCTCCTTTCCTCCTGTCCCTCTCTTTCTCTCTCTTTCTCTCCCTGTCCCGCTTCACTTCTCCCTCTCGAATCACCCGCGACTCGACATTACATTGCCAACCATGGCCAAGGTCGCCACAGAATTCGACAAGATCATCCAAGACGGTAAGCGAACACCTCCTCCCGACCTACCACCCTCGATCTACGACATCTGACTGACCACGGCTCTTCGCTTCCTCAGGGCGCGAGCGGAAGAAGAATGAAGCCCTCGCGGACAGAATCTTCTCCAAGAACCGTCGTCAAAGCGCTCCCTCGAAGCTCAAGGCCACGCCGGGCCCGTCTCTCGCCAGCCGCGTCGGTGTAAAGAAGGTACAGCTACAGCCCACCTCCCGATCCCGCCGCCGTGTTTCAAAGGCCGGTTGTTAAAACTCGTCTTTTTTGCTCCTAGCAGCGCAACTCCATCAACCTCCGACCGAACCCGCCCCCTGGCAATGTCAATGGCGAATGGACTCACGACCTGCACCACGCCGTCAACACCAACGGCAGCAAGACCCGGGGAGGCTCCCTAAGCTCCCGAATCACCGCCCCCGGAAGCAAGAAGGCCAACCAGCGCGCCTCGCGCCTGTCCGCCGCAGTCGACCGCATGGACACCTCGTCGGATGCGCCCCAGCAAGTCAACATCATTAAGAAGCCCGGGAACCCCATGGGCCTTACTATTCGCGGCCTTGCTGGCCCCTACACCATCATGGCGCAGAACTTTGCTCCCGGAACCACCGCAGCTGACATCGAGAGCGCCATGACTCCCGTAGGCGGCGAGATGGTGAGCTGTAAAATCATCAAAACCAACCCCATCATCATTGTAGAGATGGCCTTTGCTTCGCGCGAGGGCGGCGAACGGGTGATTGAAACCTTCAATGACAAGACGGTGCGTTTCTTCTCCCCTCCATAAACACCCCTTACTAACGGAGACTCCCAGGCCGACGGTCGACTTATCAAGGTCTACCCCAAGCTCGGTGGCTACCAGGCCACCGAGAAGGCCAACCCTCCCGCCAACGCCCCTAGCGGTCCCCGAGGCTCTCGCGCTGGCAAGAATGCCACCAACAACAACGAAAGCGTCGTCGACGGCTCCATGGGCTTCCCTGACCTCATAAACACTTCAACTGCCAACACCAACGGCTCCTCTTCGCGGTCCGACCGGCTGTACAGCGACAGGCTCGTCAATGGCAGTCGAAGAGGCCGTGGAAACCAGAGGGGACGAGGTAGCAGATAATTCGGGACACCAGCGCTGTGCCGGAGACACTTTTACTTCGTCCCCATGGAAGCGTTCGGGGAGGTTTTAAATTCGACATTGTAGCATTAGAAAAGCCGGAACATGCTGGTGCGGAAGAGACAGGGTTTACGGTGCGGCGTTTAGGAGTGTGATATATCCTGCAATTTTTTTTTTTTCGGCACGGGATGACAGGCATCACTTGGGTAGCACCGAAGTAGGAAGATAGTCCAGGCAGTCGACGTGTAGCAGAGGAAGAATACCAGACCGTGAACAAAGGCCACGATGAAAAAGGGACCGAGACTTTAAAGCTTAGGCAACTTGTCATATTGTTGTTCCTTGACCCATCTCAGCACGCCCCGAGGGTGAAAACAAACAAGCCGATAGAACTACATGCGGGAGAGTCGCAACCCAAGAATCCTTTGCTATGCAAGCGCATCGCCCTCATACACCAAATCAAGACAAAAAGTAACATATCTACAGCCAAGCTACATCTGCGCTGGGCACATTTGCGCTGGGCATAAACCACCACCGTCGCCGTCTCCTATACCCCGTCGCCGTCCGGCTTCTCCGTGGTGGAGCCGGCTGGCCAGGTTCTGCGACAGGCCGGCACCGTGCAAGAGGAAATAAACCACCAGGGCGCATGTCGGTCAAGTTGACGACGCATCTTAGACATGCCTCCCTTCGCAACAAAGCAAGTAAAATCATCCGTGAACAGTTCCCCTTTTCTGTATGCAACATCCCCACCCTTCCGCTCAACCCACGTGCTAGTCGTGGATGTTTAGAGCCCCGAACGCCGTGGCTCGAGGTCCCTTTCGGTACATCCTCGTATTCAGAACACCTCCCCACCGCTGCAATTTCTTCAAAGCGCCTTGCCCATACCCCCTCTCTACCATCACGTTTGTCGGTCGAGGACTGGCCGAAAGGTGAACTCGGCATGCCCTGGGTATCCCGTCTTATCGCAGTCGTGAGGTGAAGAAAGGGGGAGGCTCCGGCTGCGACCCCAGCAAGACACTTCGGCCTTGCTCAATGTCAACCTCGAGCCAACGCTCGTCCCTGTCATGCCAATCTCGTGCAGGCACGGCCAACCCTTGGCTGGCGACTGAGAGTAATCACGGGTTGACATGGACGTCCAGTCCATCATATAGGGCAACTCAATGCCAAGCGTTCTGGTTGTTTCCCATAAAGCCTTCTTCGAGAGTACGCTCCTCCAGGTTGCGGATAAAGTCCCGGTTGCTACCTCGTCCGCCTTGCTGCACGCGACTTCCTCTTCTTGCTGATCGAGGTCCGTTATCACCACCGCCGCTCATGTCTCCAGAAGGCGGGTAGTACGCAGGGCTGGGCTGCAGGCGGATAGGTTGGCTGGGGTCAAGGTGGCTAGCCACTCGCTGGATAGCAGCCGGGATGCCACTTTGTTGCTGCTCCATGGTAGATGCCCGTTGTCGAGCTGGTCGCATTCCTCCTTGCTGATACATCTGCGGCTGGGGCATTTGGGCATACTGAACGCCCTGGGGAATCTGCTGAGGCGGTTGGGCCATGACCATAGGACCATACTGACCCGACTGTTGGCCATACGCAGCTGGCCCGTTTCCATGACTGCCGCCGCCGGGCGAGTACATGGCATTGTTGCCATACATCTGTGACTGCGCGTGTCCAGACTGTGGATACTGTCCAGTGGCCATAGAGGCGTACGCGCCTTGAGCCGCCGAGTTCGCCTGTGCCTGCGCCGCCTGCGCCCGTTGCTTGCTAAGTGCTTCAGCTTGCTGCTGTTGCTGAGTTCCGGGTGCTGGAGACCTGTTGAGCGAGCTCGACTTGAGGTTCATGGGTGGCACGAATGGCCCAGTGAATTTCTGCTGGGTAATGAAGGGGTGGAGCTTGGCCTGTTGAGGTGACCATCTCTCCAGAGGGTTGATCGTTAGGAGACCGCGAACGAAGTCGATAAAGGCTATCCGGTTGTTCATTTCTGGGGCTGTTAGCTTATTCTCAGCCAGGTGCATCAGTTTTGGGGTGCGCACCTCGGTCAATCTCGCTCTGCTTCATATTCTTGCGAGGCATGGGGTAGGACTTGATAATCTCGGGCAAGGTGCTGGCCTGGAAATACTTCTTGCTGGGCTGCTCCTTGGTTGAGTGCTCTCGCGCATATTGCTCCATGCTCTTGAGGTGATAGGTTCGTCGTCCAAACTCATCCTGCCTCTTCTCGAAGAACTCGCCTGCCTGCTTGCCCATCTCGATCATCCAGTTGGGCGGGTTTCCAAGCATCTCGACAATACGCGCCACTTGGTTATACTCCGACGAACCTGGGAACAAAGGCAGTCCCAGGAAAAGTTCGACCACAATACATCCAAGGGACCACATGTCGATGGCGGAGGAATATGGAAGGCCGAGTAGGACCTCGGGGGACCGGTAGAATCGGGACTGGATGTAAGTGTAGACGGTTTGCCGCTCATCACAGGCGGAACCAAAATCAATGATCTTGATGATGGGGCTCTCGAGGTTCTTGAGCAAAATGTTCTCGGGCTTCAGATCGCAGTGGATAAGGCGGGCCTTGTTGAGGAGCGCAAGGCCATTAAGAAGCTGCTGGGCGAAGACACGAACAAGAGTAGTGCTGAGTCCTCGGAACTGGTTCTGCTTGATGAGCTCGTACAAGTTAACGCTCAGGAGTTCAAACACCAAGCACAGATGCTGGCGGTGGATGAAGGTATCCTTGAGGCGCAGAAGGTGGTGGTCGTCGTTCTTGTCAAGCTTCGTGTTGAGCTGATTCCTGTGGTCAGTTTCTGGCCAGCAGCAAAGGGATAAAGGATGACGGCCGTACCAAATCGAGAACTGAGACCTCCATCATACTTTGGTTGAAGTAGGCAGTGCGGTTCTTGATGACCTTTACAGCCACCACTTCTTGGGTCTTTAGGTTCTGGCATTTAACGACCTGACCAAAGGTACCCTGACCGAGGACATCCAGGATGAGATACCGATTCCTAGGCAGGCAAGTTAGCGACTACAAATTTATGACAATAGCTCGGAGTGGTGCATACTTGTGGCCAGCTTCCTCGGAGCCAAGGATATCGTTGACGTATAGAATATAATCGCTATCCTCGTTGTCGTAGCCATCATTCTTGACACCCTTGCTAGGCTTGGTCAAGACTCGGCGAGGGTTTCGAGACGACTCGTATTTGAAGCTCGGGTTGCAGATGCGATACGTGGCGGGGAGATGAACTGTCAGGGCTTGGAGAGGCTATAAGAGCGCGTGAGTACAATCCAGCGGTACAATCCATCTGGAAATGATGGACACTTACGCTAATGAAGCCGCCTTCGGGGTTGGCGCGACGGAAGGGCGGCTGGGCGTTGACCTTGGGCCTGAGATCGGTAGGGGCCCTCAACTTTTTGAATTCGGGGACGGGGCCCCGAGTAACTGCCATGGTGGGCACAGGGCGACGAGGAGACTTGGGATCCAGGTTAAAAGCGCCATCAAGGTGGGCGACTGCGGACGAGGGATAACCGTCCTGACTGTTGGTAGACGCGTAGGGCGTGATGGGGGGAAGCTGCTGGCCTTGCTGGCGACCACCATAGTAGGGAGATTGAGAGTAGTCGGGCTGGCGGGTGGGCGACTGCCTCTGGGTTGGGCTGGCGAGCTGGCCAACGGGGCCCGGCTTGGAAGCATAGGGCGAGGTGGGGGACAGTGTCTCCATGGGAGAGTATCGCTGGGCGGCGGCGGAGGGCTCCTGAGGCGAGTGCAGGTTGACGGGACGGCCACCCGAGAGGTGAGACTGGTGATGAGGCCGCATGGGATACTTGATGCCGGCGTGGGCATCGTGGGCATCATGCATGGCGACGTCGCCGTTGCCGTCGCGCATGTGGGAGGGGGCAATGGAGGAGGCAATGGAGGAGACGGCGGGATTGTTGTTGACGGCGGCAGAGGGAGGAGCGGCACCCGCCTGGACGGGGACGCCGCCGTGGAACTGGTCGTATTTGTATCCAGCGGGCGGCGGGGGCTGGCCAGCGTAGTCCCGGGGCATCTGGCCGCTGCCGTTATGTCGCCTCGAGGCGCCGGGCGAGGCCGCGTCGGGATACGACTGCCACTGGGGATCCATGGCTGGCGCTGGTTGGGTGGGTTGCGGGCGGCAGCAGCGCAACAACGGCAACAGCAGCAGCAGCAGCAGCAGATGCTGGGGGGGATGCGGGCGGGAGCCAGAAGCTGGAGCTGGAGCTGGACCAGCGGCAGCAGCAGCGGCAGCGGCGGCGTCTAGGGCGGCGGCGTGGTCGCGGTGATTGACGTCGTCGTCGGCGTCGGCGTCGGCGTCGGGCGGCGGCGGCGATGTCGAGGTCGAGGTCGAGGTCGAGGTCGAGGTCGAGGTCGGCGTGGAGGAAGGATGGATGGCCAGGCTCGGGGGAGGAGGCTGACGGAACGGGATGCAATGCAGTCGAGGAGTTGGGTTGACGGACGGTCGCGTAGCGTCAAGGCGGAGCGGAGGGTAGCGCAGCAGTACGGTACGAATTGGAGATGGTGCGGCGGGATTGGGCAGTGGGCTCGTGGAGGCCCAAGGCCGGGGGGGGAGGAGGGGAGGTTTAGGTGGGAAAGATGCGAGATAGGCGTGGTTCCGTGGAAGCTATGTGCGTGTGCTCATGGTGAGGGACAGAAATGGGGGCGTCCCAGGGGCGCGATGAAGATCAATGATGAGGATGAAGACGGGCTGAGTCTGCGAGCAAACAGAGATTTGTGACTGTCGCAGTTGGAAGGGCAGCTGGATGGAACGGGCGCTGCTCACACTGGGCAGCTGGGCAGCGGGCGGGCAGCGAACGGCGGAGGGAGCGAGGGAGCCACCACGGGAGTGAACCAGCGGGTGAACCAGCGAGTGAACCAGCTGCCCGCTGCGAGGGAGCCCGCCCGTACTGTACGGTACTGGACACTGCTGGGAAGAGCCGTCCGGGTAGCGGTACTAACTCGTTGTGAGCCGTCCTGGGGAAGCTGGTACATCAATATGGCCGTATACCTACGCACTGGTGCAATCTCCAGCGCCATATCAGGTAGCGGGAATTAGCCCAGTACTCCCGTCCCTGGGTCTCCTCCGCCAGGTACGTGTCCTTGGCCCCAGTGACCCTGCGCTACAGCTCGTTGCTGGTTAACTGGAGGAGCACAGGAAAAGAAAAAAAAAAGGCCCAGGGACAACCCCCTGTCACAGTTCCAGTCGCCAAGTTCCAGACCCAGCCAGCACTGTCCCAGAGCGCCTACGCAGTAAAAGTGATCCCGAGGCGGGCCATTGATTCACCTGTTTTACCAGTGGCAGTGACTGCCAGCGCGTGCAATAGAAGTCCCTCAATCATCGTCGTCGTCCCTGTTTTTTTACGGCCTGGGCACTGAGAGCTGGGCACCGAGTACCAGCAGTCAGCCCACTGGAGCGCCCGTGCTCCGTAATCGAGGGACGTGCCTCTTACTGGCTTGTGGCATTGGCGCCTAATGAGAGTCGCAGAGGGTCAGAGAGTCAGTCAGAGAGAGAGTCAGTCAGAGAGTCAGAGAGTCAGATACAAACCAGGAGGATCGACCCCATCTCATCTCTCTCGGCTCTCGCTCAGGCCGGTACTGCACTGTGCTGTACTTCGCAGCAGCCCAGCAGTCCAGCAGCGCAGGTTCCAAGCTCGACAACCACTAGACCCGACTCCACGCCATGTCCATCCATCCATGCCAGTCCGCCCCTCTCTCACTAATTGAGCCAGGATCTAGCTTCGTTTGGACCTGCTACTGCGAATGCTGATGCTGAGGATGCTGACGCTGATACCTGAGCACGCGGAAAACAAATGAATTGGCTTTCTACACGTTGGTCTACCGGGGAAACCTTTAATTCATCGCTTGCCGCACTACCAAATCTCTCCGCTCTAACTTTTCCAGTGTTTCTCAGGCGAATGTGCTCAGTAGTACCACCCAGGTACAAATACACTTTTGTCATACAACGGGACTCCCTCCGTGCCCACATCTCGAATCCTCCCTCCATCCACTCGTCTTCACACACAAATGCTCCACTGAATCATCCTCTCCCAGTCTCAATATTCCATTGATTCAGATATATATATACCTACTCTGTCCAGTCCCTCCCATATCCCATTCATGTCACCTCACAACCTCTCTCACCTAGTTCACAATGCTCTTCCCTCCATAGCTCCCTCACCCAGATGACAGCCCATAACCACTCCAACCCCCGTTATCATGACCTCGTCATCCCCTATCTAACTTCCCAGACGTGCCAAACGGCCGTAGCCCAACGCCCTGACCGATCGCATCTCTCCCCAGAACAGTAAAAGCGGAGAACAGCTGCCCCCCCGGTCCGTCATGCCAAGTCGTCTCTGATGGCCTTGTCGACCAGCCTTTGAAACATGTCAAAAAACGACAGCGACTCGAACGACGACAAATTCCCTGGCTATCTTTTTGCCCCCATCGTTGTTGTTTTTTCACCTTGCCCCGGTCGGACAACGTCGCCTCCGCCATACAGAACCTGACATGTTCGACTAAAACGCCAAGGCATGCTGTTCCATGTACCAAGGAGCCGCCACGACATCCAAGTGGGGTGGATTTGGGTCGACCACGTCCCAATCGACCAAACCTGCCCATTCAAAGCTGAAAGATCCGCGTCTGCACTATGCAGCTTTCATCAATGCGTTCACTGTGCTGTGCCACCCGCCGAGTTCACGCTTGCTATTCGTAAAAACTCTGGGAAACGGGTACTGCCTACATGATCTACGATGGGGCTGATGGAGCCCACGACGCCTTCATTCTTGGCTCAATCCGCAATCCCCAAGCTCCGTCGTTGTCGGTCTATGTACTACTACCGTAATCCACTTTGGCATCAAAGGCTGCCAACAGTTCCGAAATAGGTATGGACCTACAAATGGGTATTGTTCGTATTGCTCGAGACAATGTTACCGGCATGCAGCCCAAGACGAGCAACAGCTTGCCGTCAAGTCTCTTTTCTCTCACTCCTCCCCACCTTTTCATCTTCCAACCTTCCGGTCTACAATGTGCTCATTGGCCGTTAATTTTCTTCCTCTCTCGTTCTCTCTCCTCGCTCACTCTGCAATATTTTCCTCGCTTATTCCCTGTGTCTTGTGCAAATGTCAAACAAAAAGAAATCGAGAAAATTTGCCGCTAGATACAGAGATTGCTCCATGAATTGCCGCCCCTCGCCAGTCATAAGGTGGACATGGAAATATCAACGCTCCATAAGAGAGACATGAAGGAACATTTCATAACCTCGTCATAGGATAGGGGAAAATTGAAACGGACAAAATACCAGACTAGCCCTGACCCGATGCTTTCAAAGGTATCCTGGGGATGGCGCTTGTAAATAAAAGAAACACATGGCGCTCCCGACTTTTTTGGGGTGACGAAGGAAAGAAATTATGCACACAGCATGACCGTAAGCAAGAGACCCCTCAAAGAGCAGCACACGGGAATCACTGGGTAGATGGCCCAAACAAAAGAGAAAGGGGAGAATAAGAAAGAAACTCCAAATACGCGAAAGAAAGAAAAGAAAAAACAGAGAAAGGGGGGTTGCACAGAAATATGGATATCTCAAATGACAACATGCTGATGCAACCCCGGCAATCATATCATCCTCCCTTCATTTCTTGACTCGCTTGGACTTTCCGTTTGCCTCCTACGGCTGATAACCGCCAAATCCGTTGTTGAAGTTCTGTCCGGGTCCGGGGCGAGGCTGAGCCCACTCGGCGTTGGGCGGTTGCTGGCCTCGTCCGTAGCCTCCGGCACTCTGGGGACCGGCATATCCCATGGGCGAGCCTCCGTACCCAGCGGGCGATCCCGTCTGGGGAGGGGCATAGTTGCCGGGTTGTGCGCCGTACTGAGCGGCTTCTTATGGTGTTAGCACATCTCTGCACATCAGACTTGTTATTCCTTAAACTTACCGCCATACTGAGGATAGTACGTGGGAGTTCCTGGGTAACCCCCTGGCGTCTGGGCGCTCTGCGGGCTGTACTGCTGCGAGGGGTCGAAGGCGCCACCCCCCTGGGGGTTCGGCGTCTTGTCCTTGCCCCACTGGAGACGTGTCAGCAATCGATGATCAATAGTGTGTGTATGGGGTCAAGGGGGGCTGGCTTACACTGCACTTGAGCGGGCGGCCGTTGACGTTGTAACCGTTCATTTGGCAGATGCCCATGGCGGCGTTCTCGTGTGTGTCCATCTTGATGAAGGCAAAGCCTCGGTCGGCCTGGAATCGCGACTCGACGACAAATCCAAAGTTCTGGAAAAGAGGCACAACATCGTTGGGGGTCGTGTAGGGGGTCAAGTTTCCAACATAGCACGTTGTCTGCCAGCTCGGGGTCTGGGTCAGAACGACTTCGTAGCTAGCAATGCCGTGCGAAGGGAACTGGTGGTGACCGTAGGGAGTGGTCGGGGTCATGCCCATGGCCGACATGGCCTGCTGCTGGGCCATGGAGGGTTGACCCTTCTGGTTTGCCCAGTTACACCGGATAGCCCGCGAACCGAGCCACTCTCCATCCATGGAGCTGAGAGCCTTCTCAGCCTCGGGTCGGTCCCGGAAGGCCACAAAGCCGTAGCCTCGCGACCGCCCTGTCTTCATATCCCACATGACACGAGCCTCAGAGACGGAGCCGAACGCAGAGAAGGCCTGCATCAGGACCTCATCGTTGACCTCATTGGACAAGTCACCCACAAAGATGTGGAAGTGGTTGGAGGTGTCCTCCTTGTTGGTGGTGTTTGACTGATAGGCCCAGTTGACTCGAATTTCCTGCTCCTGATGTCAGCTTCGGGGTCGTTGGCCAGTTTTGGCATTGTTGGCGTAATTTTACCGATTGGTGAACCCGTCGTCCGTTCAAGGTCTGCATGGCGCGCTCAGCTGCGCCAGGATCATCGTACTCGACAAAACCGTAGTTGTAGCCCTTTGCCTAGAAAATCGGTGTGTTAGCCTCAACGTGCCACTTCCAGCCAGTGCACCTCAACATGCAGAAAAGACACACATTCTTATCCGGAATAATCTTGACGTTCTGGACGTGACCAGTCGTCTCGAAGATCTGGCGCAGGACATCCTCGGTCACGCGCTGGTCCAGACCACCGACATACAGAGCGCGCTTGTTGGGCTCAGGGGCAGCACGACGGAAGCCGCCCGCGCTGGTCGGGGACATCATGCCGCCATTGTCGCCGCCGGACAAGGGCGAAGTTATGGCCGTCGGGATCGGGTTGTTGTTCTGCGGGATATGCAGGGGAGGCGGAGGGAGGTGGGATGGGTTGGCCTGGCCATTCTGGTTGCCATCGAAGCCAGGGGCGCCCGTGTTGGGCTGAGGGGGGGGAGGCAGCTGGCCCGGGTTGGAGGGAGCACCGGCGTCGGCCATTCTGGAGGATTGTTGGAGGTCGGATGGAAGGGTTGGAGGGGGAGGGACAGAAAGGCGATATGGGGATGGATGTAAGGCTACCTATGGTCGGACGGTCGAGGTGGAGCGCAGTCGGCGGTCGGCGACGTTGGGTGTACCTGACAGGACAGGGGTACGACGAGTTAAGGAAGCTAGCGACACGGGGCGCGGGAGCGGCAACTGGACGAGTGACGAGGGGAGACGAGACGAGGCGAGGCGAGACGGTGGCGACGGCGGGCAGCGGTGCGAATGTCGTGGTGCAGGACGAAGTCGACGAGCTGAGAGCTGGGCGAGAGACGAACGTTGTGCTGGAAAATGTCGAGGCCCGCGAGGACGCTGGACGTGTGGAGTTGGAGCCGGAGCTGGAGTTGGAGATGGAGATGGGATGGAGTCGTTGTTCAACAGGACACGGCGCTACCTCGTAACCTAACGTGACAATGGGGCCAACGCCGAGGCGGACGGGCGACGGAGGTCGAAGGCGGAAGGCGGACGGCGGAGACGGGAATACCTTAGGGAAAAGGGAAAATGGAAAGCAACCGGACGAGTAGGAAAGAGGCAGAAGGAAACGATAAAAGGAAACGGACACGAGGAGAGGAGAGGAACAGCAAAAAGGACGGAAATCGCAATCGCCGCTCTGATGGTGTCTCAAAAAACTTGTGTGCGATAGGCAAGGTAATAAGGTAGGCAAGGTCAGGTTCGGCACAGCAGAGTCAGGCAGGCAGGAGGAGAGAACACCAGCTCGTCGGCGTGATCACTGATGGGATGAGAGATGAGGGGGCGGGCTGATAACTCAGGTAATTACCTGGTACGTATCTGGCCTGTACTATGTATGGCCGTCGACCGGATTAACACGCAAAAAGCAGACGCACACAGGCAGCCAAGCCAGCACACTCTTTTCATTTGCAGCCAGCGCAGAGCCTTTCGCTGGGAGTCCAGCCCAAGCCCAGGCCTGTGTGATCTCAGGGTGATGGGCCACGCGCCATCACGGCGTTTGATTCGTGGACAAGGACCAGGGACAAAATCCAGTTGACAAGTGACGAGGGGTTGAACCGAATGGACAGAGAACGGCGGGCTGGAGCAATACGTCGTCCGCGACACCACGAGCGCGGCCGGTGTGAGAGAAGTCGGTGGGGTTGGTGGGGGTGGCCGTCGTCCTTTCATTGCATGGACGGACCGGCCTGATTTGGAGACTCGGTCGACCTGCTCACGGTCTGTCTGTGCATAGTATTTACCGGGAGACCGGGTTGATCGCCACAAGGACTGCTCGCCTCCAGTAAAGTACCTGCCGGATTAACCAACACCTGCCGTGCACTGCATTGTCCTGTATCTGGTTCCTCCGACGAGACACAGATCCAAGTCCGCCTGGACAAGTGCGAATGGCCCGCAAATGCCAAGTCCGCCTGATGTCGGTGAAGTGGCGACAGCAATCATGGCAAGGGAGGGTCGCCAGCACAGCACAGCACAAGTCCGAACCATTACCCTTGCATGGCCTGACGGCGACGTTTGGGCCCTCGACGAGAAATCAGCTCGCCATCCTCCATTCGCTGGCGAGAACCAGGGGTCTGGATGGACAGGCCCGCTTGGGGTTGGATCGAGCTGAGGGGGATCAAATTGCCATCACGGCGATAGAGATTACGCCTTATTCAACAATCCGGGGAACAAGGCGCTTCTCCGTGCCCCATTTCGTTGCCAGAAACTTGAATCCCCACTAGGTACCTAGTATCCAACTACATGTTTAACATCGTGAAGGGTCTGCATTTCTTCCTCTCCATTGTCGATGTGTGGCGGTGCATGTTAAGGTTCGACAAACCGCCACGCCACGGAAGAGGCTCTTAAACGCCACAAGTGGCTGACAGAGCACAATTGCAATTGCAATACTCAATTTTCATTTCGAGCAAAGATTCCGAGGTGTTCTCTCGTCTCATGTTCACGCCTATTACCCAGCAATGCATCACAGACAAGTAATCCATCAACATGAATAGGTACATGATACTCCCACTCGCGCTGCTCGGTCTAGATCGGAAAGCCATCGCATCTTCACGTGACCCTTTTTTCGGTCAGAGCGTTTGAAGGTGGCCAAAGCTTCGGGGTGCCAGTACCTGAGTTACCTTGGTGGCTCCCGACGTCGCTCCATCAACTTCACCCACCCCAATCTGCTACAGGCCATCGGTCAATTCTCAACCCTTGAAATCCCATGCAAATTCGTACATCGACGTACCCTATCGCTCTCTCTTCTCCGCTATAAACTGCTCCTATACATATCCCACGAGCACGTGTCGAGTCCCTAACGATGGCGTCTCAAAAGCCCCAAGACCCCTTGGATGTCCTTCAGCTCATGGTGAACGATGTGGTAAGGGCGGCCCTCATACACCCTTCGCTCCCCGATATTCTTTCTTACCAGTCATACACTAGCTCGTTCAAACCGGCAAAGCACTTCGTGCCTCTCGCAAAGATGGCCAGGGAAATGTAGCCCAGGTCCATGGCTCTCTTCAATCTAAGCTGCCAGACACCATCCGCACCTTTCATTCCGCCTTGGATGATCTTGAGCACGATATTGTAAGCGATTTCTCTCATTTCCTTTGCAGGTTTCTAACATTATTTTCTAGATTAGAGCCAAATCAGTTCTGCTCCGCGACATCACGCAAATACAGGAGCGGAAACAACAACAGCAGCAGCAGCAGCAACAGGCACAGCAGCAGCAACAAGAGCATCAGCATCAGCAAGAACAGTCACAGCACAAGCACAAATTTCAGGAGTCGCAAGTGCAACCGCCCCAACCACTACAACAGCCACAACCACAGCCCGTAGAGTCTCAGTCCAAGGAGCCAATGGTGATTGATTTAGACTCATCTCCACCCCCCAATAATCAACCCATGACAGAGACCAAGGCGACAAAGCCAGTTGCACCATTCCCAGATATGGGTATGGGACTTCCTGACATGAACGACACCGACCTGGTAATAAAGGACGAAGCCCCGCCTTCCATTCCAGCACCTGTCCCCGAGATGGCCAACATCAAACCCGAACCTACTATCTCCCCTGCCCCAATGGCGCCTATGCCCAACATGGACGAGAAGCCAGTGGACATCAACATGGATATTTCTAGCGGAGACATGGCCGACCCAGAACTGAACTTCACAAACATGGAGTTTACCCTCGCTCCAACGAATAACGACACTCAAAACCTGCCCACCTCCCAAGAACCATCATTCGACCTGACAACCTTCGCGCCCACTGACGGTGGTGACGATCTCCTGGGACTTGACAACCTCTTGCCACCCAATCCCAGTGAGCAGGCGAATGTCAACCCTGTTTCCCAAATCCCTGTTCCAGAAAATGCAATCAAGCCTGAAAACTCGGAGAATCTAGACGTTTCGACAAATACGATGAGCTTGACAAATACAGGGGTGCAAGAAAGCACAGGTGCCAAAAAAGAGGAAAACGCAGACTCGACGTTTGACGAACTGATGTTCATGGATACGGATAACAACTTTGGGGGTGGAGGTGGTGGGCTCGGCGAGGACACATTTGAGGATCTGATGGATAGTCGTGATGACACATCATTCGATCTGATGGAGCATGGTGATTTCGATGCCTCCTACTTTGGTCTTGATCTTGACGAGGCATGAACGATGAGCTAAAAGGACGGGGCTGCGACTCTCTCCGGCATCTCCAAAATACCACGACAAAAGAAATTATGATACCACGGTTGCGCACCTTTCAATGCAAAAATGGTGTTTGGGTATTTGCTTTTGGACTTTACAGATGGTTCTTTGCGCTGAGGGCGGATAACTACGATATCATGTTGACAGCACAAAGCATGAGCAAGGGAATCCAGGTAGTAGTCAGCGAGAGCTCCAATTTCACGGGCATAGTCCAGGATAGATCGTATATAGGACAACTTCACCCAAGTAACAACGCGTAAATCGAACCATCGCATGACTCTCTTAGTAGGACGGCCAAGAGAGCCGCTCACCCGGTTACTAATCCAACCGTGAAAATACATTTTCGTAGCGAACAAAGCAATAACTCAACGCCCACCAATCTTGGCCAGTGCCAAGCCTGGACTTGCCACGTCGCGTATAGAAAGCAGTCGGTGACATACTGGCAACCCCTCTATCTCTATCACGGCACTTCTTGGCTCATGCACCAGCAGGGGAATGAATTTAAAATGTTCAAGGGACGTACAGCTTAGCTTATGTAGGATCTTGGCGATTCTTCCCGGCTCGGCTCAAGTTGCTTGAGATTGGACACGGAGATGTGAGACATTGAACACTACACAATTCACAGAGGCACAGAGGCACAGAGGCACAGTTTCCACAGGTCTTCATATCCTAGGCCATGATCAGCCGTATGATATTGATTAAATACTTTGGGCTAGATACGCTACATATCATATAATACAAATGAACCATTTCTGCAAGCATGGGACAGCAGTCGCTCAGCAAACTCCAAGCAAAACTCCCTTGCTCAAGGTGCCCTTTCTTGTGACGAGCAGACCCTGAGGGGTGGGGTTTCGGAACGATGCGGGACAAGGAAAGCGTTAATCTTCGTAAGTCGTAACAGTGCTGTTCTCGCAGCACAAAGGGCGTGGTTGTTTCATCCTCTGAGCCTTGTTTTTCTTTCTTCTAAAAGCAACTCAATATTCCACACAAGGCACTCTCAAATCATGAGGCGGCGGCAGCCCGGGCTTCGAGCTCACGACGCTTAGCGAGCAAGCTCTTGAAGGCGCCCAGGCACTGAACAAGTGCCTCCTCGTCGTGGGCGCAGAAGCGGTAGGTCTTCTCCTCGGTGATGACCTGAAGGCAGTGGTTCTTAGTCTTGCCCAGCGGGTCAATGTCGACAACATTAACCACCACGGGAAGAGGAAGAATCCATTGGGCCTTGTACTCGGACTCATCCTTGTAGAGGATGAGGTTACGTGGGCGGAGAACGGCCCACCTGTCCTTCCACTGGCGGACACCACGGCGGGTGCGGAGGAACCACAGCTTACCCTGCCAAATGACGCGGTCCGGGTCCTGTTCCAAATTGGACACGCTCGTCTGGCTTGCGGATTGAATACCAAAGCCAGGCTGGCGCATTAATCCTGGTGTAGGGTTTTGCACTGCGAGGCTTTCGATGGAAGGGTCGTGCATTCGGGTAGCCTCGTTGTCGGAGAAGTCGGAATGGGAGGCCAGCTCCGCGCCAGAGAGGCCTGAAGACTCAAGAAAGGACGAGCGCCGTTTGTTTCCGGATGCAAATTTGGGAAGTGGCGTTGCAAAGGGCTCGGGAGAGCTAGAAAGGAATCGCTCGTGCTCTCCTAGGCGATCCATGGAACCGGCGAAAGGGATAGACTCGCGGCCGACTGACGGGCGCATCGGGCTGGCCATGAACATTTCATCCTCCTCCTCCTCGATACGGGCATCTTTGCGGATCAGGTCGAGCCACTCCTGGGCATCCTTGGCGGTGGGCGCTTGGAAGTGGTAGTTTTTGGAGGGCGAGAAGAGGCCAAAAACGTTCTGGCGTTTGTGCTTGGGATCCTTGAGGTCGGCAACAGCGGTCAGGTCGGAGAGGTAGATCTGGTGTCGTAGACGGTCCTCTTTTTCGGTCTTGTACATGGAAAGAGTGTTGGGACGTAGGACGATGTAGATGTTCTTCCATTTCTGTGTTGTTGATGTTAGTTAGAGGCAGACCACGAGGGGAAGCTGGGAAGGAGAAGGGTGACACGAACCTTTGTCTTTTGGGTGCGCTTCTGAACATAACCACTCTTGAGGACACGATCGAATTCGAAGCAGCCGTCGTTGTTGACGGGGGAAAAGGCGTCGAGGTTGGAATTGCTGCGGTTGCGGGCCGACACATCGAGCTTGGCGCTGGGGAGAAGCATAGCCCGGGGAGCGGCTCGTTCGGCGACGGGTTCGACCATGTTTAATCGAGAGGATATTGAAGACGAGAGTCGGGGTTGAGAAAGAGAGAGGCGCGGCACGGCGAGGCCGTGGACATGGGCGAGGCGGGAGACTTTGTATTGGGAGTCTCGGTAGCGGCAACGACAGCAGCAACTATAGCAGAGGTTGTCGATGATGCTGCGGATTGGGGCCGGAGGAGGTGGAGGTGAAGGGGATTAAGTGGGAGGAGTTGCGACAGTGCGTGGGTTGCGGCGAGAAGAAAGCTTGGCCCTCGAAGGAGACGGGGCTATGAGCAGGGATGAGGGTGCCGTGACGGAGCGGAGGATACAGGTACCGGGGGAGGAGACGCGTGGTGCGGGAATGGCCAACGATGGAGTAGAACAAGGCCGGAGGAGCAGCAGCTCGCATGAGCAGTGGTGGATCGAGTGTGTATCTGGTCGTCAGGGCGGTGGGCGGGTAATGTAGTACGTAGAGTGCGTCTGTATGTTTGTTTGGAGGAGGGTGGAATGCTTGGGTGGGTTCCGTCCGTATCTATGTAGGTTGCGACTCAGGGAAGAGAAGAGGGGTGTTGCGTATGCTTGCGTGTACTTTGTAGGTCTGTGTATTATCGCAGGTAGGGTTTAGATTTCGGAGTCTCGAGCGGTGGTGGACGTTCCTGGTGATGACGATGGTGGAGGTGGTGGTGATGACGGTTGCTGGCGGTGGTAAATGTTGTTGTTGTTTATTACGTATGTGGTTGAAGGAGAGACGGGGCGGGAAATACGCGAAGAAGAAGGAAAAGAAAGAAGCAAGGTTATATATGTGACTTGGAAGGAAGTATTAAAAAGGGTGCCTGGACAAGACACAAAGCAGTAGGCGCAGGCAGAGGAATATGACACACAAAGGGAGACGAGGCCCCTAACGCAGGCAAGTGTTTTGATCAGCGGAGATGGTAATGGCGGTTCGCAGGCTAACACTTTACGCACGACGTGCTACGTACCACGACTGGCTCACTGGCTGTGTCGAGAGAGAGGTACGTACCTAGGTACCCTCCGGGAACCTCCCAAGATGGCTGTCTACAGCTGCGGTACCTGGCAGTGCTGGCACACGTACGACCACAAGTGCCGTGTCCCGCGTCTTCGCCCGGATTCCGAGGTACCGAGACTAGCTGCGGCTGTATTCTGCGCGTACCCGGGCTTTGGATGCTGCAGATCTGTGACTTGGCTTTTCCTTAGCTTGCGGTCGCCCCAATTTCCATCAGACTAATGCTACCGGCTGTGGCCTCGACCTCGTTTCAGCGACGAGGCGTTCGTGGCGAATCACTGCGAGATGAATGCAGCAGGTTCATAAGGTTCATGAGGTTGACTTTTATTTATTTACAGCGTCAAACGGAGGCCATAGAGACGGGCTGTCCCCATCCGTGGTACTGCAACTGCGCTGAGTGTTGTAGGTAGTGAGAGTACAGGTTACAATGCAGTAGTTACACGCATAAAGAGGGATGGATGGATGCGGGAAAAGTGTTGAAAACATGCCACACCCCCGGCAGTCATGGGATGCACTGCGACGCTGGTTCAGCAACAAAACTGCAGAGCGACAGGAAAACGACACTTGGACGAGAAGAGCAAAGGGAGCCTCCAGAGGCAATGCACGCACGTATTCGTACTGATAGTGGGTTGGCGATTGGGATGCAACCGCGCCGAGCGCCCAGCACCAAGCAGAAGCACCAAGCACCATTACATCAGGTGGCGCAATTCCAGGCCCGCCACGGCCGTCGTCAAGAGATAGGTTCCTCGTGAAGCATAAGCACGTACGGATACAGTAAGACACAGAAGAGGCTGAGGAGCTGAGGAGCTGAGGAGCTGAGAGGCTGAGAAAGCGGCGACTGTCAGCCAGTGAATGAGATGGTGAGCGCGTGCTTAGCGACTCTATCCAGCGTCAGTGGCCACCATCAGTGACGGATTGGGCTACGCTGAATGGCTCACGTTGTCCCTTGTCTCGGCCCTGACCGACCTTGGCTCCAGCTTACTACGTACCTAGTATGCGGGCTCATTTGCGAATACTATGTACTATGTACCAACAAAATGTCCCTGATGAGTCTCGATTCTAGGCCCGCGTTCCAGGTCCGCGTTCCAGGTCCGCGTTCCAGATCCAGGATTCTCTGTTCCAGCACCTTGTCCCACGGGCCACTCGGCCCACGGGTCGCTCGCTTGGTCGCTCGCCGTTTGGTCGCCCATCGTGAGACCATGTCCAGCGCCTAATGGCCCCATTCGCCTGTCCCTCCTCCCGGTTCCCTTACCGCTCGGTCCCTTGGTTGGCGTTGGCGCATTGTCTCTATGTTCGAGCTGCTATTCTTGGAAAAAATTACTTCTCTTTTGTGCATTGTGGTGCTTTATTGTCCCTTGTTGTCCCTTGTTTGCCCCTGTGTCTCCGTCCTCGCGCTTCTTCTTCAACAATGGCGCATAATTATGGCTTTCGGCCAGCCTATCACCACCAGCCTGTCCATAATCGGAATCCCGCACTTCTACCAAACTCCGGTGGTGTCCAGCATTGACAGTGTGGGCGGGTAGCAATGATGATTCATCTAACTCGCTTCCTGAGGCGGGCCGTCTGAATGCCTCATCATCAGTCATCGTCAGTCTTGTCGTTGACTCACCTCGCGCTTTAGAACATCTCTTCTGCTTCTTCATCGTGTCATCTCAAATGTCGTACTTCGTATGCAGCCTTTGAGTCACCGGCGAGCAATTTAGCGGAATAAAAGTCTCTCCGCCTCTGCCGTGATTGGTCTTCACTGCACCACAACTTCTCTCCAGCTATGCCACGGTTAGCGACATTGACGGGAAAGACAAGAAGAATTCAGCGCTATATAGTCTTTTCAAAGTAATATATTATTGTGTCAAAGCAGATCACCATCGTCTCGTTGTTAATTAGCCTCCTCCCCAAGACAACAATTATCTATCACTCCCTCAGCTCCAGCCCGCTTCCCCTCCCCCGCATTGTAGAACGCCCCCACATCACCACCACCACCACCACACTTACAAGTCGCAATCACAATCATGGCGGACACTCAGACAGAGATCCAGGCCAAGGTAAAACGGGTCCTCCAGGGAACTCCATTCTCCCCAGAGTCTCTTAAGCAACTCAGTGGCGGCACCGCAAACTTCATCTACCACGCCGTCCTCGAGAAGCCGCTTCCCGAGTACCCTCATGGCGTAGTTGTTAAACAAGGCGAGGCCTATGTCGCGACCAACCCCAGCTTTCCACTAGCTACTTCTCGATGTGTAAGACTACTTCTCACTGTGCAATGTACACCACTTTTCGTCGAGCTGATGCTTCTCCCCAGGCCATTGAGCAGCAGTGTTTAGCACATCTCGCCGAGCTCCCTGCCGCTTCTACTGCATCCTCGTCCATCAGTACTCCCGCTGTCTACCACTTTAACCAAGAGAGCAACACCCAGGTTCAGGAGTACCTCGTCAATGCTGTGAGCCTTAAAGCGTTTGCTCTCGAGCACTATGCCGCCCCGACCCCGGTGTCCCTCAAGCCCCAGTGCCAGCAACTTGGCCACGGACTCGGCGCCTGGCTCCGCTCGTTCCACAGCTGGAGCGAACAGCCCGAGCAGGCAGATCTGCGCGAGAAGCTCGCAGGCAACAAGGAGATGCAATCTCTCAAGAACATGGTAAACTACAAGCAGCTCGTGCAGATGGCGGATCGCCACCCGACAATTCTCGGCGACGTTAAGTCTGACCTGCAGGACATTTGCAACATGACTGCCACCGAGTTGGTAGACGAGGCAGCCCTGTACGTCATCCACGGTGACTTCTGGACCGGCAAGTAAGTTGTCCCTCTTTCCCTTGTTCCCACGTGCGGATATGAATACCTGCTGACCGACAACCCATCAGTGTTTTGCTGCCTAACGAGGCGATCCAGGAGGGGGCGCAGACCCCTGTGAGGATCATCGACTGGGAGCTCGCTCAGCTGGGCGTGCGGCCATTGGACTTGGGCCAGATGATCGCCGAGCTCTGGCAGCTGAAGCTGTACAAGGATATCGACGCGGGGGACTGGCTCATCGAGGCCTTTGCGGGCGGCTACGGCAGTCTCAGTTCCGACGATGCCTTCCGTGCCATCATCCATGTCGGTGTCCACCTAATCTGCTTCGGGTCTCGGACTCCCGGCTGGGGTACTCCGGAGCAAGGCGTTGAGTTGGTTGAGACGGGCAAAGAGGTATTGCTCAAGGCTTGGGGGAAGGATCGGGAATGGTTCAAGGGACATGTCCTTGGCTCGCTTTTTAGTACTTCCCATTAGACTCATCCAAATCCGATACATTTTTCCGGATGCGGGATGGAAATGTTTAGCGGATGCCTTTGGGAAATAGAGATGCATTCAGTTGTAATGCCTGGTGAATGCTGTCTAGACGGGTATACATAGAGGCAACTAAATTAGCAACAAATGCACAGCAACATAATACACTATTCCCGCCAAGAAACTTCAAGTCCAATGGCGAGTGTTTCTGTATTATTCGTGTTTCTGCCATGAATAATTGTTCGCATTTGCTCTTGGGCACTACTTTGACTACCTTGTGTGGTGTGGACCGCTCTCACTATCATCGGGCTCTCAACCTGACTGATGTGGCAAAAATTTCAAACCATGACATCTTCCCTCCTTCACAGTCCCATAGCTTCCTAAACCACCCCTTTCGAGTTGCACTCACCACATAGACCCAAGGAAAAAGAGCAAAGGCATCACACCACCTAGTCACTCACGAAATCCTGCCTCCTTGCTCCTCTCCTCGTACCTGACTCCCCCGCGGTGGCCAAGCCTGACCCCTCCATCGCCTACCCTGTACACTCCGTGATCAAACCCCGGGCCTCCGAGCCTCCGTCTCCGACCCCGACACCAACGCCGATGCCCGGCTCCGAGACAAGTCGGCCTTGCAAACGATGCAAGACCGAGAATGCCCCGTTCCAACTGCGGACTGACCCGACATGTCGGTGAGTTGCCGTCCCTTCATCTCTCTCCTCATCTCACCCGAGGCACATCGTATCTCGTCGTAGTTCTCCTCTTTCACACCGGCCATGAAGACAACGTACTGATTCTTTCTCAGAGACTGCTACGTCCACTATGTCGCACTCAAGATGGGCAAGCGACTAGGCCAGCTACACAGGGATATCCGCGTATCCCGCCTGCCCACGGCTCGCCGCTACATCGCCGGCCTCTCCTTCGGGCCCTCCTCCAGCACTCTTGTCGAGCTCCTCGACGACACCGGCCGACGTCTCTCCCTCAAGAAGTCGTCGTCCCCATTCAACCCCCTTGTCGTCCACGTCGACACCGGTTTGTCAACGGACGAGGACTCGCCGGCCCGGAAGCTCATCGAGGAGTATCGGAGTCGCTTCTCGCACGTTGAGTTCGAGTGCGTACCCCTTTCTGATGTCCTCGCCGTGAGGAGCATTGACTGGTCCGCGCTGCCGCTTCCTGTTGAAGATGGCTCGGTGACTGGCCCAGCTGTTCGATTGCGACGGCTCTTTGATGCCCTACCGACTGTCACCTCGCGGGCCGATGTACTCCGCCAGTTCATTCGTCACCTCCTGTTGCACATTGCCCTCAAAAGCTCCTGCTCGGCGTTGCTACTTGGACATAGTACATCGGCGCTCGCGGCCCTGACACTCTCCGAGGTCGCCAACGGCCGTGGCTTTGCCGTGCCATGGCAGGTCAATGATGGATTGTGCACTATATGTACATATCCAGCCCCTGACACGAGCGCAACCGACTCTGACACCACAACTCCAGCACAGGGGACTGGCCGGACAGAATTCCCCATCTATTATCCCATGCGCGAAGTCTTCCGCAATGAGATCCTACAGTACATCGACCTTGTCCCGTCACTCTCCGGGCTAGTTCCCGCCGACCAGATGGCCATTGGTGGCAGCAGCAGCGTCGTTTCGCACAAGGACCTGAGCATCGAGGAGGTTATGGCGCGGTACTTTGACAGCGTCGAGGACTCGTACTCGGGCATCGTGGCCAACGTGGTGCGGACAACGGGCAAGCTTGAGCGAGTGGCCGGGGACGATTTCTGTGGGAGCTGCGGTATGACGGTCGACGACCAGGGCGACTCGAGGTGGGCCGGCGAGATTGGAGACGACCCGGTAGGGCTGGGGGGCTTGGGAGGGTTAGGACGTCTTTGTTATGGTTGCAAAAGGTCGATCCATGGATAGCACTTTATGAGAACCAAAAGAACTTCAAGAGAATCAAGAGAACAAGAAAACGGCATGCTCCGTCTTCCCATGTTGTTGGGTCTATGAGACTGAAAACTCCCCAAAAGATGCGCCGCCTTTTATTTGCCAATCCCGTGACCCAGGCGATGCCAAATGCTCCCGTCATCTAACCAAGATAGCAACTATGTGGATGAGAACCCAAACCCTCTCTCGTCATATACAGAAGAAACCTCTGTGTGTACAAAATCCGCCACCCCAGGTCCCTTTTTTACTCAGACAAATGAAACCGATGCACCCCTCAAGCCAAATCAGGCGTGGGAAGGATACGGTTTTCAAGCTTTCTCACCAGCTTGTTGGTCTGCTCCGCCAGACTGAGAGTCAAGATGGTGTGAGGTAGGATTCGGGCCAGATGGGGTAGGAAGCCCTTGTAAAGGGCGAAGAAGCCTTCGGAGCGGACCGTCTTGGAGAGACAGTCAAAGGCTCCCTTGTAGAGATTTCCGTTTTGGTTGTACATGCGAGACATGACGGTGTCTGAAACAAGCCTCAAGTTAGCAGACAGAACGTAGGGGGTGAAATGAACAGGGCGAAACTGACCAGGGGGATGCATAAAGCAGCAAACGACGAAGCCACTCATGGAACTACAGGCGAGGTGCAGAGCAGGACCCTCCTCCATGCCGAAATGTTGGACAAGACGTCGCTTGGCGAAAAAGTAGGTAGGAAGCTGGACAGAGCTGCCGAAGCCGGTGCGGATCATGGCGGCGCCGACACCACGGTAGAGGCCGCGGAAGCCCTCGGTGCCGTAGATCTGGTTGAGGCCATGCCAGGCGCCGCGGTACTGGTGCTGGGTACCGACGGGGCGGAAGGGCGAGAAGCTCTGGAGGCGTGTCTTGACAAGGAAGAAGGGACTGCCAGCCGCGGCGCCGATTACGCCCGAACCAGCACCGCAGAACATGTTGATGCCGAGGTTCTGCGTGGTGCCGTCCTTGAATATGAGGGTGGCGAGCCCATTGCGCATGGGTTCGTAAAATCCCAGACGGCAGCCGTTGAGGAGGATCTGGTACACATAGGCGGTGCCGAGACCACGGTAGATGGCGCGGATGCCCTCGTTGCGGACGATGACGCTGACGCCGTGGATCGGTCCCTTGTAGTGGTGAGGCTGGTGGCCCTTGGTCTGGAGTTCGCCCTGCAATTGCATGCTACGCGGCGCAAACAAGGTCAGCGGACTATAAAACGCAGAGGAGATGTCGCTGAAAAGCGGCGCGAGAGAGGGGAGCGTGGGCTCAGTATTTACCGAATCTTGACAGTCTCAAAGGGATGCGTCGCCGTGACGGCACCACAAGCAGCGATGCCACCGGCGATGAAGGCGCTATAGAGAGTGGTTAGCAATCAGTACCAAGGAAGAAGGAGCATAGCCTACGACGTATAAGGCACGATACACGGGCGTGAAGCAGAAATCGACGCTGGGACGCAAGGGGCGGGAGAGGACTTACCCGAGAGTCGTCGACATATTGCCCCGAGCTCTCCAGGCGCAATATGCGAATAGCGATTGGGGGAGGAGGCAGGCAAGAGTCCGGAGGGGATGGAGAGCTCGGGAGAGAGGGACGCAAGCCGACTTGACGCGCGCAGGGAAGTGACTCGACGACGGATAGTAGCGGAGAGGGAGGAGGGTTTTCGGCTTTGAGGTTGAGGTTGTCGAGGTTGTTGGCAGCGGATAAGAGCGGGAAGGAAAGTGTTCGCCGGCGACAGCGGCTTCGGACCCTATCGCAGCGCAAGAAAATGTCAGCGCTGGGCTAAGTTGTCGGTGGGAGCGCGCTACCGGTACTAACTACGTACGTAGTCAGCACCCTGTGGGTGGTACTACTGGCCGGGGATAGATGCACACGACAGCAGGCTTTGTAAGGGGGCAATCGAGCTTACGAGAGAGGAAAACATGCGAATTGATTACGGCGCTGCTGAGTGAGGCATCCTGGAGTTCTGGATCGCCCATTGGCCCATCCTGCTCCCTATTTTCGTCGTTGCTCTTGGGCGCCTTTCGTTTGGGCGTCGCTCGGTCGGAAAAGAGGTGCCGAGGTCGGCGCCTTATTTCGTGGGGGAAGCTCTCCCTCAGAGACTGGGTCTCCCTCCACACCCACCAAAAGCTACCACCTACAAGCCAATGTTCCTTTAGCAGCGCACCGGAATTGCCTAGGGCATGACTGTTCTTAGGGGACCAGTGTCAGTCGTGAGGAATCAGCGACGCTGAGCGCTAGGGCAAAGGGGAAGTAAAAATGGAAGTTTCATCACGCTGCAGACGGGAGTCAGATGCAGTGTCTCGCCTCTAATAGGTCGTTCTGGGGTAGCGGAGAGGCCAGGAGGGGATCATGGTCGGCGGAGCGGGACGGGCTCGTGTGCAGGTGCAGAGCAGGGGGCCTACACGGCGGTAATTATGTCGTATACGGAGTAGTAGGTTACTTACTAACTTAAGTTATGTCTCTAATGATTCCTGATTTAGCAACCGTGGTAAATTACACCTGGAGGCAACTGACGATGGCTAAACCAGGTACCAGGTTGTAAGCGCAGCGGGACGGTGATGTAAGTTACAGGCAGGGTCCATCAGTCCATTCCGCCCAGTGGTGACAGGCACGATGAAAAGGTACGTACTTGCTGCACCCCGCACCCACGCCAGCGCCTGTGGTCTGGCTTGGCCCTTGGCAGGTCGACGATCCACCGCAAGTTGATTTGCGCGTGAGCCCGGAGCTGGATGCGCGCGACAGCTTGATTTCTTGATCCAGCCACCAACAGTCTGCCACCTTGAGGATTGACTCACTTTCACCCATCCAGCCCGCCCGCCAGCTAGTAGCGACATCTTCAATGCATCGTCCTCTACCACCCGCCTGACATCTTCCCTCTTCACGGGCCCCGCGTCCTCGTCTCACCGCTCGCCCCCACGGGCTTTGGAGCTTGCCTCCGTCTAGCCCAGCCTCGTCTCGAACCCGTTCAGCCTTGCCTCACATCGCCCATCATGGCTTCAACCCCCATGGATATCGATCGCCCCGACCGCGGCGCCGCCCCCAATGGTGCCTCCCTCAATATCCAACGCACCCTCGGCGGCACCGCCTCCGTCTCGAACCTCTCCGATGTCATCTCTACCTTTCGTCCCACGAAGCTCTTCCGCCGCGATGACATCAAGGACGGCCGGCCGCCGCCTCATATCCTATCAATCGACTACGACGATGAGGGAGAGCTTGTCATGACCTCAGCCAACGATGAGACCATCCAGATCTACAACGTGAAAGAGGGCCGCCACGACAAGAGCCTGCTTAGCAAAAAGTACGGCGTCAAGCTTGCCAAATTCACCCACACCAACTCCAGCATCATCTATGCCAGCACCAAGCAGAATGGTATGCATACCGGCCAATTTCTACCCACCACACGGCAGAAACGACATACTGACCCTTCCTTTCTGCTCCAGATGCAATTCGCTACCTCGCCACCCATGACAACTCCTTCATCCGCTACTTCGAAGGCCATGAGGGTCATGTGACCAACCTTGCCGTCCACCCCGGCAGCGACAACTTCATATCCTGCTCTCAGGACAACACAGTCCGACTCTGGGACACTCAGACGAAACATTGCCAAGGGCAGCTGTTTCTCAAGTCCCCTTACCTCGTTGCCTATGACCCCTCTGGAACCGTCTTCGCAGTCGGCTGCCCCAGCAGCGGCACCATCCTCCTCTACGATGCGCGCAACTACGACAGGGCCCCTTTCGCGACGGTTGACATTGTGGAGCAGTGCAGGAGGGTCGATGCTCAGTGTCTTGTCAAGGGCTGGACGAAGCTCGAGTTCTCCAACGATGGCAAGTCGTTGCTCCTCGGCACTCGAGGGGATGGCCACTTCATACTCGACGCCTTCGAGGGTACCTTGAAGGCATACCTCCATAAGCCGAGCGGCGGCACACGACGGTTGGCCGTCGGCGAGAACTCGGGCGCCGGTACCGGTTCCTCGGACTCGAGCGGTGTTGAGAGTAGCGGAGATTGCTGCTTCGCACCCGACGGACGCTATGTCCTCAGCGGATCCAAGAAGGATGTGCTGGTTTGGGACACGTTGGCAACGCCCAGCGACAATAAGGTGTTGGAACCGTCATGGACGCTCCCCGATAAGAGAGAGGCAGCCGTGTTGGCGTTCAACCCCCGGTACAACTTCTTTGCTACGGCTGACCAGGAGCTGCTCTTCTGGGTACCTGACCCTCATGCATGAGATGCCTGGTGAAAAGATAGGAGCTGAGATTGGATGGCATGATCCCCTCGCAGGAAGTGCGATATATGATAAAGACCTTTTACGAGACGGAGGAAGAAAATGTAGATACCCTTGGACATGGGAGAGTCATCGGAATCGCGAGCACTGGATTTACAACGTAGACGGGCGGATTGTGTGAGGTAAGAGGGGAAGACTCGCTTGGTTATGTATTCTCTAGGATGCCTGCCAATATAGTCGCAGCTGGGAAGTGGCGATGATGCGACATGACAATAAAGCAACTTGGATTTGAAGCCCTAGTACACGAGAGCAGCTGTATAGTGAGTTGAGTTTATCTCTATAGGTCTCCATAGGGTAGCAAGCTGTCTATTGGCGGGTCACGCACTCCGTCTCCCATTCTGGCAAGTCCTTGGTGGTGTTGTGCCGCCTGCCCCCTCCTTCATCCCAAGCCCCACCAAAAATAATCCCACTTCCAGCCTCAAACCTCACCCACCCAGCGGGCACATCCACGCAATAACGACGAGCCGACGACCGCACAACCGACTGCCTGCACGCGCCCAGCGGGGGACTCACCACGATATCAACCACCGCCGAAGCTCCAGCTCTCTCTCGCACCCACATCTAACCCCCCGCTGCAGCCGCAGCCGCACGCGCATACGCCATAATGCCCTACTTCAAGACGAGCCAGGAGTGGCTCGACCAGTCGGTTGCCCTCCTTGAAGCCAGACCGGCCACGGTACGTCACCGCAACTCGCCATAGCGCTCACGCCGCGCGCAACTCCGCCGGTGCAATTGTTCAGCCTCCTACCTCGCCGAGCGCCCTTGCTAACATGGCCTCTCCCCCAGACGCACATCACCACCCGATACTCCCTCAGAGCCGCCTCCACGCGACCATCCGGTGACGACGCCGGCGATGCTACGGCCAAACCCCCGCGCGGCGCGCTCGTCATCAAGACCTACGACCCCGTGAGCGGCGTCTCCCTCAAGTACCGCACCACCAAGGCCGCCGAGGTCTCCCGTCTCATCGGCGCCTCCCTTGGCCGGCTCGGCCGCAGCATGGCCGCAGTCCCAGAGCCCGCCGAGGAGCCCATGCTCGATGCCCCCGCCGACGCCGACGACCAGAAAGCCGCCCCCGCCTCACAAACCCCACAGCAGCAGCAGCAACCTCAACAAGGAGGTGGTGGAGGCAAGAAGAAGAAGAAGGGCAAGAAATGAGACACGGGTATGAAGAGGCGGTCGAGGCTCTGGACAGATTCCCCAAAGGCGCAGGGCAGACTTTGGGATGGAGTTTATAAAAGGGACAGACATAGAGGGAATGAGCACAATTACGCCCAGCGTCACATTTCATGTTCACTGCTTATGGTCAAGAGGATCAGGCATGGTTGAGATTCTGATACAATCAATATCAATTCTCGCATAAGCTCTTCTGAGCACTACAGTAACATCGTCAATCCATCGCAGTATTATAAAACGTCAATGCTCTTTCCCTCCCTACCAAAATGCAATCCCTCAACGCCTTATGTGTTGGTGAAATCCAGTTCCCAAAACCCAATATGATCGTGATCATGGCGTCCAGCCTCCGTCGGCCTCAGCCACAGATCACTGCCCCGAGGCCCTCCGCATGTACAGTTACAAAAAAGGAAAAAAAAGGGTATATGTTGGTGTGTGAATGTAGCTGACCGTATGACTTCCCGTGATTGTGTATAGGTAGGCAGGGGCATCTAGTTTAGAAGTCGTCATCGAAGGTGAAGTCACCGCCGTTCTCGCCCTTGGGGGGCTCCTCATCGGTCTTCTTGGTGCTGTTGAGGACGCCGGCCTTCTGGTAGTCACCGACACGCTTCTCGAAGAAGTTGGTCTTGCCACCGAGGGAGATGTTCTCCATGAAGTCGAAGGGGTTGGTCGACTTGTAGACCTTCTCGTTGCCGAGAGCGACAAGAAGACGATCGGCAACGAACTCAATGTACTGCTTCATGAGGTCAGAGTTCATGCCGAGCAGGGCGCAGGGCAGAGCCTCGGTGAGGAACTCCTTCTCGATGGTGACGGCATCAGTGATGATGTCTTCGATGATCTTCTTGCTAGCACGACCCTTCAGATGAGAGTGGAGCAGGCAGGCGAAGTCAGTGTGAAGGCCCTCATCACGAGAAATCAGCTCGTTGGAGAAGGTCAGGCCAGGCATGAGGCCACGCTTCTTGAGCCAGAAGATGGAAGCAAAGGCACCGCTGAAGAAGATACCCTCAACAGCAGCAAAGGCAACCAGGCGCTGGGCAAAGGACGAGTCCTTGTCCTGGATCCACCGGATGGCCCAGTCAGCCTTCTTTCGGATGCAGGGAACTATGGTCGATTAGTTTGTGTGCATGCAGTTTTGTGGGACTGGGAAAACATACTGGTCTCAATGGCGTTGAAGAGGTAGGTGCGCTGAGAGGGCTCCTTGATGTAAGTGTCAATGAGTAGGGAGTAGGTCTCAGAGTGGATGTTCTCCATCATGATCTGGAAGCCGTAGAAGCAGCGAGCCTCAGGGATCTGGACCTCGCCGCTGAATCTTTCAACGAGGTTCTCGTTGACGATGCCATCAGATGCGGCGAAGAAGGCCAAGATGTGAGAGACGAAGAACTGTTCGTCGGCAGTCAGGCGGTTGTTCCAATCGTGAAGATCCTTCGACAGATCAATCTCCTCCGCAGTCCAGAAAGAGGCCTCGGCCTTCTTGTACATCTGCCAGATCTAGATGGCAGTTAGCAAGGATGTCCACTGCGGGAGAACCACTTTACGCGTAACCGACGCGTCACATACCTCGTGGTACTTGATGGGGAAGAGAACAAAGCGCTGGGGGTTCTCTTGAAGGAGGGGCTCGTCGATCTCCTCAGGCTTGATGGTGGAAGTAACAACCGCCTTCTCTTTGTTGGTCACATCGATGGGCTTCTGCTTGGTATCCATGCTGTCGGCCAGGGCAGCGATGGCGGACTCGTCGAGAGGCTGGTTCTCCTTGTCGGACGCGTTGAAGTTGAGTTTCTTTACGGGAGACTCCATCTTGAAGTTCTCAATCGCGGAAGCGGCCTGTGGAGGGTATGTTAGTACTCAATGGCATGGAGTTTGGAGAGGCGGTGACGGAAAGCCGCGCTTCAGACTGGGGATGGAAGGATGATGTAACTGACCTGCTTCGAAGGGGTGATTTGTGCAGCCATTGTGTGTGAGGTATTGGTTTGTGAGGATAATGGCAAGGCGAACAAAGCAAAGACAGAAGTTGGCTATGTTCTGAGGTGGATTGAGCGTGGAAAGTGAGTTGTGGACGCGGTGGTGATGGGACGGACGAGATGTGGTATGGGCTGAGGTGGATGGGCTTTTGTACAGGCAACGATGCGTGATCACGTGGCTCGGAACGCGTCGCAGCGTGCCCCCGGACTGGAACTCAGCCAATGGGATGGGCCAGAGGCTCGGCGAACAAGGGGTGGCCGGTACCTTTCGGTGTCTTTCGGGGCGGCGCCAGCGCCAGCGTCTCTAGGGGCATCCACCGGGCGACCAGCCACCGGGGTGGAAGCAGGTACAGCAGGTGCGAGACGCGTAAAGACGCGTTCAGCTCGCTTCGCTAGCTTTTTTTTCTCCCTCCATTGGGACGAGCGACGCATGGGGATGGTGGCACAAACATGATGCAGTCATGGCGCGGACATTGCATCGACATGGGTTCAGCTGCTTTGGTTGGGCCTGCTTAATCAGGCTTGGTCAGACCAGACGTCATGGACAGCATTTATCAATCAGCAATTAGAGACTTAATTGCCCACATTGCTCGCGTTGATGGGTTGCATATGGAGACATGTGGGCATGGCGGCTGCAGGCGGCTCTGCATTTCGGTGGGGTTTGGAGAGGGCATCGGAGCACCTCGGACATTTCAAAATTCCTTGCTGCTAGATGCCTTATTTCGCACTCTAGCCGTCCATGGCGGAACAAAGAGACGAGTCCTGGGGCTCGGGTGGCGCTGTGATCGGCCACGACCGAAATGACGATGCCGCCAGAGAGGCTGTTCCCCGGACGACTCCAAGGCGTAACGGATCGAGCACTGGGGCGCTGGGGCAAAAACCAGGATTGAGATGAGCTCAACTGAGCCTTTAGGCGGTCACTGGGTCGATCAATGCCAAGCAAAGTTATCAGATCTTTCTCTACTATGTATGTAGGCTGTTTCACGTGTCTTTTTCTTCGCACGTACATAGTAGCAGTTACCTAAAGGACATGACTTGGTACTTCGTACAAACATGTGGACATGATGCATTCCAGGCGCGTCTCGACGCCATGGGTCATTAGGAAATCAGTCGCTCGGGCCATCGTTGACTCACACAGGGCCCGCCCTGGCCATCAACATCTACCAGTAGTCCTCCATCCTCCGTCATGCGTTCTGCATGCGCTCTGTCTGCATACCTTGACCGTCCTCCTAAATCCGAATATCCGGCGGCTAACGCCGTTCCCTGCGAGACGATAATTTGGACTTGGGATGGGTCCTGGAGTCTGATCTGACCTCGCCCATTTCCACATCGCGCGGTCGGGCCTTGCTTCGGCCAAAGAATCCCCGGTCCTCGCGGACCCGAGCCGGAACCGGCTCGCTGGGCACTCGCTCGTCACGGCCGTCGCGGCTGCGCTGAGGCCGGTCCGACATGGTTTCGTGCCGAGACGGGGCCTGCGAGGTGTACTCTGGTGGAGTGTCTGTTTGCATTCGATCAAACTCGTCTGGATCGCTGGGATCTGTTGCTGGTAGAGGTTGTCCGCTCTGGCGCAAGTTTTTCTTTCCCTGCTCTCGCAGGTACGCTTCGAGGAGGGCCGCATTTCGGGTGTTTGCACGGAAGAGTGCATCGACGACGTCACCGACGAAGGGAACTAGGCCCACGATGAAGTCGACGATGATGTTGCCCATCATCCTTGCCTTCAGGGATGATGGGAGTCCACCTTCAATCTGGTTGCAGGTCTTCAAGACGATCAAGGCCATGAGAGCATCCAGGACATCACCAATACTGCAAGTTTGAGTTAGCTTCTGCACGGCTTGGCAGACGGTAGATGGGGAATGACTTACGCAGGGACTAGGCCGATGGCGCTGCCCCATCCGAATTGGATGCCACAGCAGTTGAAGAGGGAAAGGTCGAGGCGGTACGCCCGTCGCTTGACCTTGGTCAAGACCTTGGCATCATGCTCAGAGATGCCCGGGGGCAACGCCTTCTTGCGCTTCTTGAGCTTTCCGGATGGCTTTCCGTTGAGTCGGGTCGCGGGCACATGCTCAAAGTATGGATCCTGTAGGTGTCAGTAATACTTGGCAACATCGCGATGCATAATGTATGCACTACCCACCTCTGTTCCAAACTTGTTTGAGATCGTCTCACCCAAGATCTTTTGCGTAAAAAACTTTGCAATTGCTGAAGTCATGGTTGCCGAATGAGTACCTATTGAAGCGGGCTGGCAAATCCAAAGCAGGCGAGGTGCAATGTTTTTTTTTTATGTATCCGGCGTTGCGATGCGCGCCTTTAAAGAGTCGCAAGTCGGTAAGCTGGTTGGGTCAGAGCATGTGCTATCGCTCGTTTCAGGAGGCGTTGCAGACTTTATAGTAGAGCAAAGGCAGCCAGTCTAGCGGTAACGGAAGATCGAAGCAAAACAGGGAAACGGTAAAAAAATCTTTGAGGAAAGCGTACTTTATTGTTGTCCACAATCACGGCCGGGACTCGAGTGTTTCATAGATTCCGGTTTTCTGGATCATGTGCGGTGAGGGAGGCCGCTTTACATGACGTAAGACACCCAACGTCCAGGACCTTAGCTTTAGTTTTGGTGCATAAAAGTCGATAGTGGGAGGCCTGAGGTGGCGGTAACCGCCACAGCAACTTCCGGCAGGTCGCCTCAATGCCCGAAAGCCACTAAAAACCGACCGCTACTGCAGTATCGATGATCGCTGGCGCCGTTGTGCTTGCATACTACGTAGTGGCCAACCGTCATGGACGCTAGGAACTAGGAACCGGAAAGCTTGTTTGGGAGGGATGCTACGCGAGTGCCAGGGATAGAGGAAGCTTGTTTGAGTCAAGCGGGAACTTCTTGATGATTATTGCTATTTGTATATGCGTCTTGCTATTTGCACGCACAACACAAGTACGTCAATACGAAAGAGAATGATCGATAACGCGTTTGATACAGCACTTAGGTGCAGTAAAGATAGTAAGATGAGTTGTCTGCATATTTTATTTGTCTTTACTCTACTCCATCCTGACTTTATTTTAATTTATTTCATGGCCTCAACCGAAGCCTGTACTGTCAACACGCATGGGTTAAGTAAATAGATGAGTCGAACGATGCGTCCCCGTGAGCGAATGTCATGTCATGTGCAAGTGTGTGCGAATAGCAACACCTTCTTTGATTCTTGCTCAAGCGGTGCACCGCCACAGATGCACCGCCACGGTGGCTGGGCTGAAGGCCTCTTTTGGACTAGCCGAAAACGTGGTGAGTCGTTATTCACTGTCCGCACAGTGCGGGTATCTCCACTTCGGCCGCAAACGTTGGGCTTGGGCTTGAAGGAAGGCGCAGAGAGCAGCTAGCTGGCCTGTGATATTATCGTCAAACCTGACAACAACAACGCAGCCATTCTGTCCCCTTGACATCGCCCCCCCCTGCAACTTGCCCTCAGGAAGCCTCGCACCCCCGCACCCTCGCTCCCGCCTCTCCCGATCGCAGATCTCTTCCTCCGCTCGAGCAAAGTGACCTGCGACCCCGACGACGTCGCTCGTCTTTTTGCTTGTCGCAGTTACGCCTTGCGTCATATCAGGTGTTGCGCCTCAACCATGCCCAGCTCTTCCACGCAGCGACACTCTCAGTATTGCCTTGCGAAGTCGTGAAAGAAGACCAAACCAGGTGCCGAAATAGTCTGCTAGGGCATGGGCCGAAGAAATCATCAATCATGACCGGATCACAGATGCAGTTAGAAGATTGTATGTATTGACTGGTGTTGCGCAATAGCCGGTAGCTAGGTACTGATACGATGATGATAGGGCTGGACGACCTCTGCGTCCGCTTCATCATCAACCTTCCCCAGGAGGACCTTTCCTCTGTCGCCCGAATATGCTTCCAAGTCGAGGAAGCCCAGTGGTTCTACGAGGATTTTATCCGTCCGCTCGATCCCACCCTCCCGTCCATGTCGCTGCGCACGTTCTGTCTACGAATCTTCCAGCACTGCCCCCTCCTCGCCTCCTTCTCCGTTGAGAACCATACCAAGGCCTTCGAGGAGTTTCTCGAGTACAAGACTCGAATCCCTGTCCGCGGCGCCATTATGCTCAACGAGGCCATGGACTCGACGGTCTTGGTCAAGGGATGGAAGAAGGGCGCCAACTGGAGTTTCCCACGCGGCAAGATCAACAAGGATGAAGATGACCTGGACTGCGCCATTCGAGAGGTGTATGAGGAGACTGGTCTAGATCTAAGAGCCGCAGGCTTGGTGCCTACCGAAGGCAAACCCAAGTACATCGAGATTGCCATGAGGGAACAACACATGCGCCTCTACGTCTTCCGCGACGTTCCCATGGACACCGACTTTGAACCCAAGACCCGGAAGGAGATTAGTAAGATTGAGTGGTACAAGCTGTCAGACCTTCCTGCGTTTCGGAAGAAGGGACAAAACATCGACTCTGGCACTATCCCAAACGCGAACAAGTTCTACATGGTAGCCCCATTCTTGGTTCCTCTGAAGAAATGGGTTGTCTCCCAAAAGAAGATCGAAGCCCGACGAGCTGCCAGTGGGAACCACGCCCATACTCATCGACCGATTGACGAGGTTCACTTGGAGGATGAGTGGACGCAAACCGACACTGGTGCCGCAACCTCCACCCGAACACCAGCTATCGAGACGCTTGAAGGTGCCACACAAGAACTGCAGCGCCTGTTGAAGGTTCAACCTCCCACTCAGGGTATACAGCCAGCTCCTACCCAGCCAGATAAGGGAAGCGCCCTCCTTTCCATTCTCCAGGCGGGCCCCAGCTCGGCGACAGCACAACAGCGCGGTGCTCAACTCCCGCATACTCCCTATGACCTGACAATTGCGGGGGCGCCTCAGCCTCAGGCCCCCCACCATCATCACCAGGTACCTTCGATCAACACTCAACAACCCCCTCCATCATTCCCGTTCCCACCGAGCCAGGCTGGCTGGAACGCACTCCCGGTGCAACCAGGAAACGACCAACCCTTCAGCCAGCAATATCCTGTTTCTCTTCAACAACAGTATGGCAGTAACCAGGCTACTCTCGTCCATCCTCAACCTTTGCCACCGCAAGTGCAACGGGCAGTCTTCAATCGCAGCGTCTTCCAAGAAGGGTCGCAACCCACGTATCCGGGGGCTTTTGCAAACCCCCAACAAGCGCAGTATAGTGTCCCTGGCCAAATGCCTCCTGGTCAAATGCCTCCCGGCCAAATGCCTCCCGGTCAAATGCCCCCTGGTCAAATGTTACCTGGTCAAATGTTACCTGGTCAGATGCCGCCTCTTCAAGGCTCTATGCCCCGTGACAACTCAAGGCCAGCCCAGCTGAACGGGCAGTCCATGGCACTCCTCAATGCTTTCAAGGGCGGCAATGCTAGCTCGCAATTGAAGGAGAATGCCAGACAGCCCCAACAATATCCGCAAGTCCAGGCTCAGCCCCAGCTTACTGGGCAAGGAGCCGTGGGCCAGAACTTTGGCCAATTATACGGCCATCCCGGTGTGCCCCAAGTCCCGGCGCATATGGCGGGTAACCTGGCTAGCCAGGAGCGAACTCAACCGAGTCCGAAGGAGTTGGCAGGTTCTAGAGTTGGCCCGCCAGCAGATAACCATCGATCCGCACTCCTTGGGATGTTCCGGAAGGCAGAGCCCGAGGCCAGCCCAGCCCAGTCTCAACATCATAATTCTGGACATGCAAATGTTGGCCAGGGCGCCTCTGGCAATATGCTAAGTGAGGTGCTGCGTTCATCTGGTGGTGGTTCTTCCATGCGCGCCCAGGGTCCATCTCGAGGGAGTGCGGATACCAACCCGTCTCTTTCTCTGGATGCTCTGTCAATGCAGCCCAGAACCAGCCAGTCTGGAACCCCCGCTTCGCAGGGCAGGGGAGACTACGCGTCACAATATCCCCAGCCGACGGCCCAGCAGACCCAGCAGACCCAGCCACTCCGCATTCTTCAGCGCGGCCAGAACGATCAGTTCCTGGGAGTCAGCAGGCAAACCACTATATCTCCTCAAACCTCTCCGCGTGGGATGAGTAGTCATCCGCCACCCGGACACTTTGCAAGCCCAGCAGCTGCAGCAGCTTTTCCTGCTCAAGGCGTCCCCAGCCAACGACCTCCGTCTGGACCCGATCAGAAACGCCAGCTGTTGTCACTTTTCGGCAAGCAGTCACCAGGGCTGGAAGCGGGCAAAGGAAAGGAGGTTGTGGTGGATGTACCGAGGTCACGGGGCTCTGGGGCAGGCGAGATGTTGGCCCCTGGAAGCACCTCGGCATCTCGTCGTGGAAGCCAGACGCCCATACCGCCCATGACACCAGCGGATCGGAGCTTCTTGCTGGGTTACCTGGAGTCAGTGACCAACAATGCGTCTCGCTGAGAGTGGCAATGAATGGGAGCTTGTGGCTGTATATTACGGAGCATGGATGATTGGGAAGGACAATATCATTAGGAGTCCAGAGTCCAGATGTCTGCCAGCTGGCTATATGAGTCCAATAACAACATGATTAATCGCGTTGATGGTGTTTTTGTGACTTACTTGATGTGAATGCGACTACTGCTTTTGCTTAAGTTTAGGATTTAATCCGTGTATATCCGGCACTTGATTGTGGTGCAACCCCCCCGACTCTCCTAAGAGCCCCTAAGATGCCGGTCTTTAGGATTTCAGTCCTAGAGGTCCCAAACAATTCCTAGATGTTCCCCCGGGGAAGAGTCCCGTGGCATTGTTGATATTTGTCGAAGTGTTATTGACCAAACCCCGTATTTTCATACCGCCGCATTTCTGACTACTCTGCTTATTTTGCCCCTCGGCTCTCAATCGACGAGAACCTATCTCCCCCTATTACCCTGTCCTTTTCGTGGATACCCCTATTTCAATATTTCGACTGGCATCAACCAGGTTGCTCGAGGGTAGCCCTGGCAATTGATAGCTCCTCCGTGGTAGGCGTTGAAGTAACAAGCTGAAGGGTTGAACATGGGAGTGAAAGACATCGATATCACTTCTACAAATTTACTAGAATGCAGGCTCATATGACGCTGTGGGTTAGCTGCAAATATCTATATTACTATAGATGAATCACAAAGTCGGGTCATTTTCAACATATAGCGCCTTGATATGGCGACGTGGTGTAGAAAACATTAGTGGAGAGTGTCGTCGGAATCATCATCATCAGCGTCATCATCGCCACCGAAACGCTCGTCACCACCAAGCTCCAGCAGCTGAAAGCGATTGGCCATGCGGTTCGTTGGCGGCGTCTTCACAGATGGAGCACTGCTGCGTCTTGGGATCGGTGCCTGGGCCAGGGGTTGGGCACACTCATCAGCAGCCCACTGGATTCGAGAGCCTCGATACTTTCTAAAGCAACAAAAGTTAGTCGGCTGATCAGCCCATCCAGTTGTTATGTTGACTTACGCACGGCTCAGCATGCAGGTCCGTGCAAACATGGCGTTGTGGATCGAGCTTGTCCGGATGAAGCAGTCGGCCTTGATAAAGTCGACCTGGATCACCACAAGGTTGTGGATATGCTCGAGATCCTCGCGTATAGTCTCCTCGGTGTGGTTGGGATCACAGTTGCGGATGACGAGATTGCGGCTGGCTCCTCTGTCGATTTTGTGAGCGACATGGCCGGGTAGCGTGTACTGGCGGTCAGCCCATTTCAATTCAACCTTGCACCTCGTCAGTACGTTTATGAAGAGCCGCAGTAGAGGGTCTTACCCTCTTGTTCTTGATGTACAGGTCGTAATGGCGTGCACGGGCATAGAAGGCTTTAGCATCTTCCCCGTGCACGAACGAGACTGAAGCAAGGCGGTCTCTGTGTTTGATATAGACATCAAGGAGTTGACCCCCACGAATGGCGGCCGTAATATCGGCATGAGTGACACCTTCGGCAAGATTACAAAGATGGATCGTTCTCGTGGCCTGGCGGTCTATCTGAGGATTAGGGGGCGTGGTGCTGAAGACGGTGGAGCCAGCGACTGGGGCACCTCCAATTGACGAGTCAATGGACATAGACGCGTTCTCGGAGAAGGAGTCGACCTCGTCCCAATTACCTCCATTCCGATGTCCACGTGACGAGCTGGAGTCGCCCCGAGAGGCATGTCGTGGGCTGCTCGAGGACGGTGCTTTGGAACTCTGATTGCCTTGCCCGTTAGGGAGGCTAGCAATACCGTATTCCTGTGCAGCTGCTTGCCTTTCTTCTGCAGATGGCTCTTCGTTGCTCAAGATCTGTGGTCAAGTCAGGAGAGAGGACTTCCCAAGGGCAGCGGCCTCGACAGCATTGGTGCAGTTGGTCGCATTCCTTAGTAAGTTGGGCCACCACGGAGAAATGCAACGCGGCCATGTTCTGTGTTATGCACCCCACACAGAGACACGAGTTCCAGCCACCCGAGGATTGAAGTGCGAGAAGAGCAGAGGGAGAGGGTGGGAGACGTACGGCAATTGTGCCCTCATCAATGCCACCTCGGAGCAGGTTCTGGCTCAGTCGGGCTAGAGGATAGGCGCATGAGTTAGCCCGCCGAATCTAGGACGGTTGGGAGCGTAGCAAGCGGCAACAATCGTACCATATTGGCGGACAATCTTGACGAGGCTATCGTACTCAGCCTGAGAGATGCAGACGTCGGCGGGTCCATGGGCGTGAGCTCCAGGAAGCTGGGGCGAGGGGTCAAGGTTGGTTAGTTGAGAAGCGATTGGCGGGTCGAGGCCGTGTAACGATGATGTGACGGTTGGGACGTACAAATTGGGTCCTGTTGCGCGCCCAAAGTCAGACCAATTCCCGTCGGCAGATATGCCATACTACGTCAGGCGTATGACGCCTGGTGTATGGCGCCTGGCGTATGGCGCGGCGGCCAGGTTTGGGGGGAGACGACTCACTGAACTGAAGCCATTCCGGCACGGGTACGATTGTGATGCAATGAGGAGATTGGTGGCAGGATGATAAATGGCAACAGGCATGGAGCGGGAGAGACAGAGCAATCAGAGACACAGGTACGCAGGGCAGGTAAGGTAGGTACAGCTAGTAGCAGCCTCAGGGCCAACTCCAAACGGGCAGCCAACCAGCCGACGAGAGTAGGCACAGGCAGGTAGGTAGGTGACCAGCCAGAAGTGCGAAAACCAACCAGCCAGAGCAGCCTGATGCCGGCCAGCTGCCAGCCAGCTGCAACAGCCCGTTGCCATCTCGCTCACGTGCTGGGTAGCTAGGTGCATTCTACGTCTAGGTATCACCTGCCCGTCCTGACCCGTCGGCTTGTGGCAGGTACATTGCCTGGTGTCTCATCCTCCAAAAGGAAGGTTGGCAACGTACCTTACCAACGTAGGTAGGTAAGATAGTTGTTGCAAAGAACGAGATATCGCCAAGATAACTCGGCGAGTCTGGCTATAGGGTTGCCTGGCGAGACGTCCCGATGATGCTAGTGGAGGCCAGAGTAAGGGAAGAACAGGTCCAGTTGAAGACGTCGATATAGCATCGTCATGCCCAATTTGCTTTCCACGGTAGTCGTTGTGGTTTTGCAGTCTTCGGTGCGCATCCCTCCCGTCGACGACCAATTCGGACTGGTGGGATGCGATCTTTAAACAAAATAAGGTGACCCCGGACTCCTCAGGCACAGCCGCCGCTCATCTCGCGCTTGTTGCAAAAGGTAGCAAATGCCTCCTCTTTACTTATTCTTTCCCCAAACGGGTCGCCTTGGGGGGGTCAGCGTGCGTCCAAGTGACTAGCAGAGCCAAGCTGACATGGGTTGGACTCGGCAGAAGGATATGGGGTGGTGGGAATTGAGTTGGGTTTGTGTCGTATTGCAAGGAATCAATCTGGGAAAAACAAGGCAGTACGAATATCTAGAGATACGATGGCTTGATTTGATTCACTTGAATGCACGCATTAACTCCATCCATCAGGTCGCTCGCAGGCGACGCAACACGATTTGGTTTTTTCCAGCGGTCAGCTGGGGCAAGGTGTGCCAGGCGACTGGCCTTCAAGCAATGACGGGATATTTCGCACTGAGACATGGTCAGACACTTGTCTTGAGGCGTCTTGAGCAGCCGGCGGGGGAGAATAAAAAGGGGAAAGGAAACGCTGCGTGCATGCCGCGGCCTTGTATATACGAGACATCAGCCTACGGAGCGACAACAAACACGGACCCCGAGGACCACACGGTCCAGAATAATCTGGGGGACGTCATTTTTAGCATCCTCCATTGTGGGAAGGAAAAAATAGGCCAAGCCCCTTCCCTTGGGTAAAAAAAAATGCCATTCTATCAATGGAACTCCGTCGGCATCCGGCTGGGAGGGAATACCTGGCCTGCTGCTGATAGCGCATGATGGGCGAAAAATTGATGGGGCCGTGAACTATTTTTAGCAAAAGAAAGGAAAACACGAGAGTGATGGTAACCATCTCACTCCCACCACTGATGGTCACCTTAGCGACGGGCACTACGACATTTCGCCTCCTCTCAGTGGCCGAGGGACTATTCCGGGCCACACACCACCGACAGAGAGTCCAGAGAGACAGGGGGAGGGACCCTCACTGGCCTCAGCCCCCGACCGTATGCATGTGGTGTGCATGTGGTGTGCAATGGGGCGCGCTGAATAGCGGCTGCAGCGTTGATGGTAAGCCGGAGCGGGCTGAATGTTCTGGGCCTGGGGCGTGAGGCTTGGGGCTTGGAGCTTGGAGCTGCAATGTGTCGTGTCGCGCGCTGTGTTATGTGTGTTATTTGTGTTATTTGTGTTATTTGTGTCATGTTGTTGTTACTTGCTTCGTTCGTCGAGGGCACGGCACGCGTGGTCACTCGTAATAGTGCCACCACGGGCCGAGACAACGAGAGCCAGTCCAGTGGATTGGATGCCGGCTCGTCCTCCCTTTCCTCGTTGGCCTCGTGTCTCGTAGCGTGTTCCACCGACGGTACCTACCAAAGGTAATACTCTGTACTGGCTGCGACCACGCCTCGCCCACCCAGACGGCGTAGCGATTGCATTTAGAACCTGGCCTCATTTTTTACGAACTGACTGGAGCAAGCGAGTGGCCAACTCGCCTTCCCCTGGTCCCCTGGTCCCCTGGTCCCCTGGTCCAATGAGCAGAGAGCAGCCCGACGGCCAGCCCGTGTTGGGACCCGTTGCGATCCTGTTCCCGCTGATGTCTTGGGCCGGGGAGCGTGTAACAAGCAAAGACAGTGGGTATGGTATAGGGGGTACCTGTGCTTTGGTGGGGGCAGCCCGCGAATTTCGCTGTATCCGTGACACCCAAGTTAGTCGAGACTGTGGGATCTAACAAGTACCTACCTACCTCTAGGTACTAGGTAGGTAGATATCCTGTGGTGTGGGTGGCCCTCATCATTCATGATGATGGACGTGGGCCATGAATGGGTCCAGTGGCTTCCAGCGGGTGACTCCAGTGGACAGCCCCCTGTGGTCCTGCTGGTGGCTCTGCAAGCCCCTGTCCCCCCCTCCGATCCCGTCCAATTCTTGTTCCTTTCCCCCCGGGCCAAGTCTAGCCTTCTCCCCCCCCCCTGCTCCGCCAACACAACGCAACAGGCCAAGACGCTTTTTCAACTCTTCACTCGTTCGTTCGTTCGTCAACCTGGCTGCTCACTCTTCCTCGACCTCGTCTCCGTCACCGTCACCCAACCGACAGACAGACGCCATCGAGCCCCGTCCCTCGCTTTGGCCTTTGCTCTTTCTCAACACTCGCTAATCACTTTACGCCGCTCGCTTTTCCCTCCGTCGACCTGTCTGGCTTTGCTTCACTCACGCCGACACCACCGCGTCACTACTACTCTCGCTTGCTCTTCCTCGGCCTAGACTCGCACATCACCATCGAGTTTCATTCAAAGAGGCTAAACCGCCATCTCGACACGCCTCCCCTTGGCTGTCATCATCACCGACTTCGTCCGATTGCCACGACGACCACCTTTCTCTCCCGTCCCCAAAAAAGCCCTTCGTCGCCATTATGCGTCCCACCGGAACCCTCCTGCAACTCGCCGTCTGCCTCTCTTCTCTCACGCCACTGACGGCTGCATGGCCTGGATGGCTACCTCAGATGGATAGCGTCGTCGTCCTCCGTCGAGCTGATTCCTCTAGCAGTATGTTCAGACTTCCCGCTCGACACGTCCCTCCTAACTGACCCCGATGTAGCCGCTACCGATGCCTCCGAGACGACAAAGGGTTCTGGCAAGGGTGTAACGACGAGAAACCTCAACACCGCCAAGGTTGAGGAGACTGGCACGAATACCGACACCGCCACCGAGACCGGCACCGCAACCAAGAAGTCAAAGGCGACGGCCACCGGCAAGAAGGGCAAGACGACGCATGCCCCCACACATACCAGCTACAATGTCGTTGACCCTGCCGGTGGTGTTACCATGCTCACTCCCATCACCACCGCCCAGCCCACTCCCCTCTACATGATTGGCAACTACATCACCTTTGGCTGGAACTACACCTCGCTCCAGGGCACTCCGACTGCCGTTGATGTCCTCGTCAGTTGTTCTACTGCTACCGAAACCTGGACTCTGACCCAAAACATGACCTTTGAGACCAAGGCCGAGTTTGTCTGGGATACTGCTGCTGAGGCTACCGACGCTAACCAACCCCTGCTGGTTGAGTTGTATACCCTCATCATCAAGGACTCCGACGCCAGTATCACCGATACTGTCGACGCTGGGTACCTCGCTGCCTACAGTGGACTCAAGTTCGGCCTCTACACCGGCAAGCCTTACACTCCTCTGTCTGAGTGGTCGTGTGTCGGCTGCAATGCGGCCCCCCCTAGCATTGATCGCCATGGCGTGACCATGGCCCTGACTGTCAGCGTCATCACCATTGCCTCCTTTACCTGGTTCGTCACCGGCCTCGGCTTGCACTGATTGTCCAATCCGCACTTGTTTTGGGAGTTCATGTGTTTTCGATTTTATCTTATATATAACCGGGGTTGGTTGTCTTTGGGTGGGAAAGCATCGAGTGGGTAATTTCTATTTTTTGAGTAACTGCTATTTATTTTTTTGGTTTAGCCAGGACAAATTTTGCAAATCTTCACCTGGAGGCGTTAGCAGATGGGATGTTACAGGATGGTACCGCGAAGGCATGGGAAAACACTGCAGTTGGATGGCTCACGATCTGGTCGTCAGACAGTACAATCATGTAATGATTCTATATACATCTTAATCTCGTTGCTTTGTGGGCTCACGCGAGCCCCTGTCCTAAGCTATATCGCCTCGTTTTGATATGCAATCAACTAACGCCGTGTGTATCACCCATTGGATCGTCTACATACAATCTGTAAGCCAAGTTAAGTCTAGTAGTCGGGGTATATTTTCCGTAGATGCATGTAAGATCTTGTGCTCTCAACAATCATTTCAGACCATGCGCAGGGTGAATCCTGCTCCCCTCTCCTCCCTGTCCCGGTTTTGAAAGATGCCGCTCAAGTCGGCGTCCCCGAGTGAAGCGGCCTGGCCTCCTCGGGCAGGAGCATGGGGTTCATGCCGGCGCCGCCTCTCCTGGCCGGCCTTGCTAGGGAACGTCGGGAACATGCTCTCGGGTTTGGGCTTGGGGTCCTGGCGGAAGTACTCGTGCTGGAGCATGTCACGGGCCGTCGGCCGCCGCGAAGGATCCAGGGCGAGCAGATCGCTCAGCAGGCCGGAGCCGGCGGTCGTCAGGTTGGGGAAGCGGGCGCGGACGACGGAGCCCACGGAGGCGGCCGTCTTCGGGAGACGGAGGGATCGGGCGTTGGGCAGGCGGCGGAAGCCCGGCCACGATTCGTCCGAGGGCACGCCGCAGAGCTCGAAGATCTTGGAGAGCTGGTCGACCTCATTCTTGCCCTGCAGGAGGGGTTCGCGGGTGAGCAGCTCGCCGAAGATGCAGCCGACGCTCCACATGTCGACGGCGCCGTCGTACGTCTTTGCGCCGAGGAGCAGCTCCGGGCTGCGGTACCACAGCGTGACGACGAGTTGCGTCAGCTTGGGCGGCGGGTCGCCAACGTACCGGGCCATGCCAAAGTCGGCAATCTTGAGCTGGCCGCGGTTGTTGAGGAGCAGGTTGGATGTCTTGAGGTCGCGGTGGAGGATCCAGTTGTCGTGAAGGTAGGCGATGCCTGACGTCAGCTGGAGAAGCAGTCGCTTCACCTCGGAGGAGAGGAATGGCTCGGGCATATCCTCAAGGACGCTCCTGAGATCGTGTTCTACGAACTCGAGGACGAGGAAGAGAGAGCTGTGGTTGAATTGTCAGTTTGACTGGAGGTGTCATGAGCGAGAATCTGAGGACGACTCACTTGTCCGGTCGTGAAACGTCGTCCCCCACGACAACCTCCTCCATGGCCACGATATTCCGGTGCATACAGTCCTTGAGGATTTGAATCTCGCGGAGCCCAGTGACGGGCAACCCGCCACGGTCCGCGGGGTCCAGCTTCAGCCGCTTCAATGCGACGATGCGGCCGGTCGCTCGCTCCGTCGCGCGCGCCACCCAGCCGTAGGTGCCCTCCTCGATGTCGTTGAGCTTGTCGTAGTTCTCCACGCTCCTGGACTTGGCCCAGCTGCCGCCCTGGAACCGCAGTAGCTTCGCCGGCGGGGCGTCGTCGGGCTTGGATGTCGATGCGCCGGGTTCGGGCGTGAGCCTGCGTCGCTTCGAAGGCCGGCCATCGTCGTCGACGCCAAGGGAGTTGGCTTGGTTCTGCGCTGCGGCTTGCTCCTGAGACAGCTTCTCAGCCTCGAGCTTCTGGGCCTTCTCGGCCTTCTTGCGCCGCTTCTCTTCCTTCTCTCGTTTGAGTTTGGCGTCGATGCGGGCGTCTTCTTCGGTGTCTGCCCACCGCGACTTGCTGGACATGGTGGGCGCGGAGGTTGAAGGTGGACGGAGGACGGAGGACGGAGGACGAGTGTGATATAAGAGGCTCCTAATGGCGTTAGGGCGGCTTTGCAATGTCTTGGGCGGCGCAGGGGAACAATTGCGTGGACTGAAGTTGGGAACGACGTCGGATGTTGATGAATGCGAGCGAGGCTGGGATCTTTCTGACTGACAGCCCTGACAGCCTTGGACGGTGGGGTTACGTTAGTGGCTTCAGCACCCTGCACCCGCCGTGTCCAGGGGCCTTTTACACGGTTTACAGGGGCTCATCGCACTGCGCTGTGGGGATGTCGTACATGGTAGCTGAGAATTTAGGCCTGCTTATCTTATCAGAGCTCAAACCTCTTTTGGAAAATGGCCATTGAAGCTCAGCACCTTTCACGTGTGAGTGTAAAGAGGATCACCGACGACATTCCGTTTAGACCCGATGCAAACTGCCTCATTATAGAAGCGTAACAAATCTGCTATGATGAGGCCTTTCATCGCACGCTCAGTCTTAGGCCTCGCCGGTGGCCGCTGTGCCCACAGGTCCGGCCTCTTCACCTCGTGTTCGACCGCAAGGAGCTTCTCATCCACAGTATATCGACGTCAGACCGAGAGGACCTGGTCGACACCGCTGGCGAAGCAGCTCTTTGAGGCTATTTCGGTATGGAAGCCTCTATAATCAATAGTAACCGCTGTGATCGAGGCTAACTGTCCGTTCCTAGACCACTGGGCCTGTCCCCTTGGCTAGCTACATGCGCATGTGCTTGACCGGCGACCTGGGTGGCTACTATACCGGAGCAATTGCCGATGGGCGAGACCAATTTGGCGTCAAGGGTGACTTTGTCACGTCCCCCGAAATCTCCCAAGTCTTTGGCGAGCTGGTTGGTATCTGGTTCATTGCCGAATGGATCAACCAGGGACGCCCCAAGGCCGGCGTCCAGCTCATCGAGGTTGGACCGGGTCGTGGCACTCTCATGGACGACATGCTTCGGGTACGGCTCGACAGATGTCATGACTCTCAAGCTATGGCACTGACTAACGTTGTTCCGTAGACCATCCAGAGGTTCCCTGCCATGGCTGACAGCATAGACGCTGTCTACATGGTCGAGGCCAGTCGCGAGCTCCGTGAGGCCCAGAAGAAGCTCCTCTGTGGCCCGGACGCCACGTCTACTGAGTCCAAGGTCGGCTCTCACAGCGCCAGCAAGTACAACCACCGGCCCATTGTCTGGACCGACACTATCAAGTCCATCCCTTACGGTTTGTGGTCCAGTTCTGCGTCCCCGTCGCTGGCAAGCTGACCATTTTCGGCATAGAATCTAACAGGATGCCCTTCATCGTTGCTCACGAGTTCTTCGATGCTCTTCCCATACATAGTTTCCAATCTACCCAAGTTGAAGCCCCTCCACCGCCGCCACCTGGCTCTCCTGCAGCCGCCAAGACGTCTTCGCCATCTGAAAATGCCCAGCCGACAATGGAGTGGCGAGAGATGATGGTCTCGCCAACACCGCCCGGCGTCACCCACGCCGATCTGGGAACGCCCAAGTCTGAGCAGCATGAGCCACCGCCAGAGTTCCAGCTGATCCTCTCCTCCGGCACCACACGGCATTCGCGCTTCGTTCCCGAGTCTTCGCCGCGGTTCCGGAAGCTCAAGCAGACGCCAAACTCGCTCATTGAGGTCTGTCCGGATGCCTCTATCTTCGCCACCGACTTCGCAACCCGAATCGGCGGCTCCGCCCAGCACCCTAAACCGACCCCCAGCGGCGCCGCTCTCATCCTCGACTATGGTACTTCCGACACAATTCCCATCAATTCTCTCAGGGGCATCCGCCAGCACAAGCGAGTTAACCCCCTCTCTGCCCCGGGCCTGGTCGACCTTAGTGTCGACGTTGACTTCACTGCCATCGCAGAGGTTGCCATGCTCGCCAGTGACGGCGTCGAGGTCCACGGCCCCGTGCCCCAGGCCGACTTCTTGGAGCTGATGGGCATCCGGGAGCGGGCGGAGATGCTCACCAAGGCACCCGGTGTTGATACGGCCACCGCTGAAAACATCGACAAGGCCTGGAAACGCCTTGTTGACAAGGGTCCTGGTGGTATGGGTAAGGTGTATAAAGCCCTAGCCATCTTGCCCGAGAACGATGGCCGCCGCCGACCCGTTGGATTCGGGGGCGACGTTAACGCTTGATCCCAATCTCCTGGCACGTAAGGATAAGAAAAGCCAGTTTAGGAGAGTGAAAGAATCGGGAAGATTGTATCATCATGTAACTGTGTGATATTGCCGTTGCCACCCTGAGTCGGTGGCCCTGTACATAACCATTTGATTCCTACCTATCCCGATCATATCACGCACACCAACCCTCCTCCCAGGGACCCAATGTTATAACACAACATAATCCCCAATCCATTCATGAATGCTATATGAAAACCGTGACTATACAAAAAGTGCGCAGGCCAACGACCTAGCGCTTATCCCAGAAAGGCTGCTACCGTTTTATTTCTTTCGTACAAGCTTCGCGTCTTCTTCGTCGTCACTGTCATCGTCCGAGAACTTGTCGCCGTCCTCACCAACTGCAAAAATGGTCTCGCCGTCCAGAGACTCGCGAGGAAGAGGTCGGTTCGACCTCTGCTGGCCACCAGCTTGGGACGTTCCCGCAGCCGAGGGAGCGTTGAAAGGCGGGGGCTCATCCTGTCGCTTGCCAATCTGAGCCTCCTCATCGTCAGAGTCCTCGCCAGGGACTCCAATATCACCAATCTCGAAGTTGCCATCGTCATCTTGCGCAATCTCGTCACTCATAGCGAATCGGCGGTTGTTGGCTGTAGGGCGCCAGACATAGGCAACCCACGCGACGTCGGCGAAGTACACCAAGTTGAGCCAGCCGTCGAGAATGAACCATCTGGTCTTCCAGTGGAAGGGGACGAAGTCAGGGTCGTTGACCGACGCGAAGGTGAAGCTGTTGAAGAAGAAGAAGGCGAAGATGACGAGGATGCTGATGAGGATAGACCACCACAGTTTCTTATACATGGCCTCCTTGACATGCTGCTTTCGCTCCTTGAGATCCTTGAGGGTCAAGTTGAGCGAGTTTAGGGTCCACACGTAGAAGGCAGTCAAGGTACCGGCAAGGGGTAGCACGATGAGGAGAACGAAGGGACCTGAAGGCTTGTAAGCGAACCGAGCACGCTCCGAGACACAAAAGATGGCAACTTACCAGCAGTCTCGGGAGTAATAACGAGACTCGTAACAGAGTAGACGAGCCCAAAGAGGAAGTGGGCGGCAGCGAGCCACCGCACATAGATCATGGTCCGTCCCAGCGTGTGCTTGACCACACCGTAGCCCATGCAGACAATGAGCAGCAGGAAGAAGGAGAAGGAGTTTCTGGCAGCGTTGAGGATTCCTACAACGGTGAGGAAGACCTTGGCTCCGATGTTGGAGCCGTGGCGGTTCTGATAATCTTTGCCATGTTAATAAGGAATCGGCAACAGGAAACGAGGCAGACAAACCATAGAAACCCCAAGTCAGAACCATCTCAACCACCAAGAAGACCAAAATAGCCGTGATATAGTTTTGGACAGCCACTGTGTGACGATTAGCAACTGTGCGCTGACGACTTGATTGGACAATTTGGGTACTCACAGATATCGTGCCGATGCTGGTAGTAAAGGAAACCCCAGTAAACAGCGAGCAGGGCATACAAGATGGTGATGCCGCCGTAAAAGGGAAGCTTGGGGATCTGCGTAGCCTGAAGCTCGCCGTAGGCATTGCGGAACTCGACAACAGCGGAATATTCTTCGGTGTTGTAACCGTCCGTGACAACACAGTAGTATCCGGTCTTCTTGATAGCATATTTGACGGCGCCAGGCTCCTTCAAGTGGACAGCCTTGGTGGCAATGAGGTTCTTGGACTTCGTAGAGGCATCGGATGCCAGGACGAATTTGCCAACGTCAGTCTTGTTGCAGTTGCCGGCCTTGACGTAGTCGTCGCTGCAGATAGCAAGTCGCTGGATGCGCATCGAAGGTCAGTGAATGGACCCAACTCGGTAAATGGGGGATTCTCACGTTGTAGCCGAGCTCGGTATCCGGAATGCCGACCAGACTCCTGTCCTTCCATTCGAAAATGACCAAGCTGGTCATGGGATCTTTGCCCTTGGCGGTGGTGTTGAGGAACTTGACGAGGATGAAGGGGTCGACAGGGCCGCCCCAGTTGCTTCGGCTGTACATGCCTGCTGTCTGTTAGGCTGCGATACGGGGACACAGTCACGGTTTAGCAAACTGACCTGTGCAGTATTCTTGGTTGCCCTCTTTGTTATCCTGTAGCGGAGCATCGTTAGCATGCGGGTCGGCGAGTATCGTCTTCGAGATGAGGAGTCGTCAGCTGCGTACCAAGCCAATTTCCATGGCCTGGGCAGTCCAAAGGGACATGCCCAGCATGAGGAGTCCCCGGAGGAACCTCATCGTCGACGGCGAGGGGGCGGTGGTGTTGCGGGAGCTTCGGGTGGCGGGCGCAGGCAGCGAAGATATGGAGGGATGAGTAGGGGTCGCAGGGTCCGGCGGGAGCTTCGAGACGAATGTTGATGCGGCGTCGCAAGAGACCTAGGCCAGCATGACGGGTCGGGCGAGGCAGTCCTCTTGCAGAAAGAGGGAGGATTGGGCGGGACGAATGGGTGCGCGCACGAGGAAGACGGCGAAGAATCGAGGGCGGGCTGTGACTTGTTTCAAGATGTAAGAAGGAAGCTCTGGACAGCGATGGAGATGGGCTGCGGATGGTTGGTGGTACCTGCGCTACGCATACGTAATTGGCTGCCGGTGATGCCAGGTCAGCACGCTTCTGGAGGGAGTGATGAGTGGGTCTGTCTCCCGCTGTAGCGCCCCCTACGAGGTACTAGTACGAAGGCCTTCAGCGCCCGTCATCGCCCCGTGACGATCGCCCCAGACGCGGCCGATAGGCGATAAGCCGCCGGCCGTCTGTAAATACCCAGCAGCTTTTTAGGCCGGCGCATTCACTTCACTGCCTGCGAAACTCCATCAACACCTCCATCGTCAAGGTTGCGATCCCTCACTTCAACAACACAACCTCCTCCAATTCCCCAGCGCAACCATGGGAAAGGGAACGGATAAGCTCTATGTAAGCCATCGTGTCTGTCAGTCCCTTCCAATTGCCCGCTAACCCCCGTTCTCATCCTGCAGATTACGCACTCTGAGTGGTCGTCCTCCGATGCGTATTCCGCCAGCGTCGGCGTCGGCGCTTCCTCTCGCGCCCAGCACGCCGCCTCGTTCCGCCGCTTGCCCTTCAACTTCTGCGCCGCCAGCCTCCAGCCCTTCAAGAACCCCGTGTGCACCCCGGACGGCACCATCTTCGACGTCGAGGTCATTGGCGCCTGGCTCGAAAAGCACCCCAACCAGAACCCCGTCGACGGCGAGCCGCTGCAGAAGAAGGATTTAATCCGCCTCAACTTTGCGCGGAACTCCGAGTCCGACTCCCTCGGCGCCGGACTGAGCGATGGAAAGGGCGACCTGATCGACCCCGTCACGTACAAGGTCTTCACCGACAACACCCACATCGTCGCCATCCGCCATGGCACCTACGCCAACGTCTTCGCCTGGGACACGGTCGAGCGCATGAACATCAAGCCCAAGATGTGGCGCGACCTGGTCGACGACGAAGAGTTTACGCGCGCAGATATCATCACCCTTCAAGACCCCCAGAACGCAGCCAGCCGAAACCTCGAGCAGTTCAAGTACCTCAAGGACGGCCACGAGGCCCAGCTGACCAAGGAGCAGGAGGAGGAGCGCCAAGCGGGGAACATCAACACGAGTGTCCTGGGGAACATTGGTGACAAGGTCTTGCGCGCAAAGGCTGCCGTTGAGAAGGCCCGCAAGGCGCGAGAGCTGGGCGGCGATGTCAACCGCAGCTCGACCGCCCTCGCAAAGCCAGCCACCGCGACTGTGGTCCGGCAGTCCATGATCCAAGACAAGAAACTGGCGGCCAACTCGGCCGCATACACTACGGGCAAGGCCGCGGCTAGTTTCACCAGCACCGGCCTGACGCCGGAGACGAGCGGCGAGAGGGCCCTCCTGACAGATGAGGAGTTCATGCTCAAACCCAAGCGGGTCAAGGCCAAGGGCTATGCCAGGATGGAGACCAACCTAGGCGACCTAACTATAGAGCTACAGACCGAGACCGCGCCCAGGGCAGTCTGGAACTTCATCAAGCTTGCACAGAAGGGGTACTACAAGGGCGTAGCCTTCCACCGAAACATCCCCAACTTCATGATTCAAGGCGGTGATCCCTCCGGAACTGGTCGAGGTGGCGCAAGTATATGGGGCAAGTACTTTGACGATGAGTTTGATGGCCCCCTAACGCATAACGCCCGTGGCACTAGTAAGTGACACCCTTTCTCCATTGTCCAGCGGGCCGAAACTGACCATCCACAGTGTCTATGGCCAACAAGGGCAAGAACACCAACTCGAGCCAGTTCTTCTTCACATACAAGCCCACTCCCCACCTGGACCGTAAACACACCATTTTCGGTCGCGTCGCCTCAGGGCTCGAGGTCCTGTCCAAGATGGAGGATGTACCCACGGACGGCTCTAATCGGCCACTTAATAAGATCGTCATCAAAGACGTCGTCGTCTTCGTCGACCCCTTTGAAGAGTTTCAGACCCAACGGAAGGAGCAGGAGAAACACTCTCTAGAGAAGGAGGAGGTCAAGCGACGCGGTGGTACCGAGGATGACAAGACAACTTGGACCGGCAAGCGGATACGCAAGGACGGGACTATTGAGCCCGCCGACTCTAAAGAGAGTGTCGGCAAGTACCTCAAAGCACCGCGGACCACCTCGACAACGAATGAGGCGGATCTAGACGACGTTGACACATGGGAGGAACCAGCACGCAAGAAGTTCAAAGGGGGTTTTGGAAATTTTGACAATTGGTAGAAGGGGGCATCGCCCCGCTTCAAGAGTCCATTCAGGCGTCCACAAAATGTTAGTATACGCCCTCTCATGATTCCATCATTTCTTTTTGCCAGAGAGCCGTGCTAAGGAAGCCACCTTAGCTCCTCGGCCGCATCATATGGGTATCCAACCTCATAAACTCCATCGCTCCATATCCCAACGTGAAACCCTAAATAACAAGAATGCTGACAAGTCTACGCTTAGACTCCACGGTCAAAATCTAAACAACCTCGAGCAACCCCTCTGCTGGTAATAGTGAAATATTCTCAAGGAAAGCGGTGCTTTGTGTGCTGGGGTCCTCCTTGGAATGTAGCATCCCGGCGACAACCCGAGCCTGCTCGAGGCCAGTCTCGCGGTGTATGGCTTGTAGCATGTTTATAGCATACCGTTTCGTCTCGGCGGAGCATGACGAGGACATGCCCAGGATGTAGAGAGGCCAGATCATGGTATGGCTCGCGGACGCTAGGGTCATAAAGCACTCCGCACTGTCTTCTTGGCCGCCCAAGATGGTCGGGTTCAGGGGCATCAATCTGTCAGACCCGACCAGCGATTCGTGGTCATGCTCAGTTCGCAATTTGGGGCCTGCTGGTGGTGACAGGGGGCGATATCGTTCTTCTTGCGTAGGGTTCGACATTGCCTTGTCTCGACAGCTGACCACACCGAAATGCTGAGGAACGCTGGCCACGATGGCATCCCCTAGCAAGCCCAGAAGCCTTACGGTCTTTGCGAGTCGTTTTTGGTGACGATCTGGCAACGATGATAGGTCCGGGGCATTCGACCCCTGGCAAATTTGCTCAAGGATGGTCTCTAGAAGAAGCATCCGTACTGCCCGCACGCCGTTCCAAGCAGTGGCTTGTAACAGACCAGGATACACGTAACACCAGCGACCCAGGACTCGAGGGTCAGGTTTCGTAAGTTGGATACGCCGGTATTGCCACGGCTCTGGTAGCTCAGATAATATAAAAGCGAATTCGTCGTCAATGTGTGTTAGCTTTTCCACTATATCATCAATGTCGTGGAGCTCTCCTGACTTGATATCATAGCGAACCTGGAGCGCCCTATAGACAGGATCAACCAGGCGCCATGCTGGCCCATCTAGCTCAAGCGAAGGCTGAAGCTCCCTACGGAGGTTAACCATGGCCTGGGGCATCGGCAGGCCACTCTGGATGCAGCTGATGAGAACGGATTGGGAAAGCATGATAAACATGCGAGTACCAGCTTTAGTTCGGAACTGGGCAGGACCTCTCTCGCTGGCGATCTGGGCGGCTCCGTTGACGTGACCCTTCCAAGTTCGCATGGTCTGGGGGCTGCGTCCAGTAATAGACTCGTAGGTGCCAAGTATCAAGACGGCGAGCAATGTGGTGTCCTTGATGACCGCGATGGGGTCACTAAGGGCAGGATGAATAAGCCCGACTGCCAGAGTGTAGCTTTGGAGGGATCGATCCATCAACTTAGCACGATGGGCACGATGGGTACGCTGCTGAGAGAGCCCGGCGAGTCCCACAGCCGTCATGCTGTAGGTAACAGCGTCGGCTTGAGCGTGGTCCGGATCCGGGGGTTTCCAAACGTCATAGATAAAGGAGTAGTTCTGGTAACACCCGTTGTCGGCCGCGACGTAGCGGGCGAAGAAGAAGGCGGTACCTCTTTCCTGGAGAGATGCAGACAGATCCTCTCCAAGCAACGCCTGGTCTAGAGATGGGTCATCGGTGCAGCACTCACTCGCCTCAACATCGCCGTCATTGCTATCGGTGCTCTCTTGAGAAGGCGAACTGCTACTCCTCGGGTTGAAGACGGAGAAAACAGGACCCTTGAAACGATGACGGGTAGCCGGCGGCGTTGGAGTGGCGCTCGGGACGGGCCGAGGCGACGGAGAGGGACACGCCGGGCCGGGGGTCTGCGCCTTCTTCCGTGCGTGGGATCGGGAACGAGTCTTTGCGGCTTTGTTAATTACGTGGGAGCTCTCATCGCGGAACATTAGGTCGACCTGGTTGCGGTAACCTGGACAAGCCTGGTGACGCTTCTCGCACTGGCCACATGAGGGTTCTCTCTGGTCGCACTAAGATTGAGGTTTGTAAGTTAGTAGGGATTCGCACGGACGAGCTAGAGGAGGGCAGTGACGGCGGAGGCTTCGTCGCAGGGAGCAGTGTCGGCGGGTTGGGTAGGGGGACTTGCGCGTATCTTACGGTCGCGACAGGTGGAACAGCCCTTGGAGGGTTTGCCGCAGTAGACCATGATGGAAGCTGTCGTCGCGGGGGCGATGCTTCAATAGCTGAGAGTCGGGCCGAGGCTCAGAGAGTCGATGATGTTTAGGTTCGCTTGTTCTTGGTCAAGACCGAAACATGGTGGATCATGGGTGGTGGTGCCCAGTGACTGTTTCAAGTATTGACGACGGTCTAGTCCGCTCAGCGCCTTGAGATTGGGGGCGATGGCAGAGAGGAAAGGTTCGAGACAGACGCAAAGGGAGAGGCGACTTCCAGGCCGACTATCGGGTGGGTTTTGTCTGGTCTGGCCCGGAAATGGGCAGGATCACCAAGCTGGGCTGCGGAAATTGTGTTGCTTCGCTGTTGGGCTGACGTCGAGATTGATATTGACCATGTACGTAGATGCTCCGCGCGCTGAGTGGAGGGGCCAGCCAGTGCCCAGTGGGTACGGGAGATGTGATCAGGACGTGAATGCCGGGGCGGGTAGGAATGGAGTTAAAGCCGACGGGGTTTTAATCCGATGAAGAGGGTTAAAAGAGGAGATGGGTTTGATTATTGACGAGATCCGGACAAAACTGGATGGATGGAGTCATGGATTGGGGGGGCGAGAGGAGGGATGGAGAGTGGATGGTGGATGGTGGATGGATATGGGCAGGCGCGTCGCGGGGCGGTGCTACTCTCTGACTACCAGACCTGCATACCTCCTGCTTATAATCCGTATAACCGACTCTCCCCATCCTTTCCAGTGAAGTAAGCACTGTACAGTACATGAGGTAGGTAGGCCATCCATTCACCCACCACGCAGGCAAAGCCTCAGCCCTGCCATCTGCAACTGCAACTGCAGATTCCAGGCTGGCTGTGGCCAAAGTGGCAAGGATCCGTGTGAGCCGAGGGTCGCATTGGCAGTGGTAGGTATTTATTTCGGGCGGTGGCACACACGCAGACACACGCAGACACACGCAGACACACCCCTATTGCCTGCCTCAGCCAATCCACACTGCGGGGGGACACCCGTTGGCGGCCATTCTGCCGCAGCATGCATCAAGGTTGTGCTGCGCGAGGGACGGTACCAGATATATTGGATGACAGTTGCCGTCCAGCGCCGGCTTCTCCCTGTGGCTCCGGCCTTGTAGGGGTTTATGGTTTATTAGTGCGCAGGCTCAGCCATGCGGTCCAGCCATGCGGTCCAGCCATGCGGTCCAGCCCGCTCAGCCAACGACTCCAAGCCCCGGGGACATGATCTGAGTTAGTTGGTCAACCGATGACGAGTTTATAACGACTGTTCCCCCCTGTGTCTCAAGAACATCTACCAGGCGTACATGTCGTTCGCACAACAAACGACATTACATGTAGAGAGAGAGAGAGAGAGAGAGAGAGAGAGAGAGAGAGAGAGAGAGAGAGAGAGAGGGCTGTGTAAGAATGTAAGAATGTACTACATATAGCGCAACTGTGCTCGCCGTACGTATGCAGCCCAACCAACCCACCCACAAACCTGCGCCGCACCCGCCTTGACATCCGACCTTTATGCAGCAGCCACATATGCAAGTCTCGACGCATCTCCATGCACCAAGGGGAGGATGCAGGTGGACTTCGCCCCCATAACCCGCTACCGAGCGAGTTGTCCACGTCATGCGCGAGCTGAGGCTCTGCGCTTGAGAAGCCTTGGGGAAATTGGTCATTTGATGCTCGTACTTGGGCGGAGTTGGTTGAACGGATAATTCCATGATTTGATAAGAAAAAAAGATAGCAAGATTACAGTCGCCCATTCTATAAACATCATGTATAACAAACTCCCATCACACCACTTGTCAAGCTCTTTCATCCTTAAAGATGAGTCGGATTTCGAAACCCTCCAACCGTCACCGTCAAGACCTTTGGGTTTGAATCGTTGACGAACCCCGACTGATCGACCTTGTTGGTAACGTCGTCATACGGGAAGGTGTACCCGCGACTCTCATGCGACACGCGGTGGACCTTTTTCGAGTAGTAGTTGCATGGCTGGGTGCGGTAGTATGTGCCGACTTTCTCGCCGCTGGGCTGCTTGTTGTTGATCAGCAGCGTCACTCTATTAATCGCCGCAGCAATCCGGGCCCCGACGGCAAGTCTGGCCTTCTCCCGTTCGTCCACAGGTTGCCGGACCGCAAAAGGCCCAGTGTTGCAGGTAAGGACGTCTTGTGTTGTTGGCTTCTCGAAGTTGAACTCGAATCCCGGCTTATTCGGCTTCGTAAATCGAAGCAGTCCTCCTCGGACCCGACCCTTGAACACCCCCCAGTCTTCATGCTGAGTGTCGACCATCAGGTCCACCTTTTCATAGCGCTCCCAGCACTTATCAACATACTCGTCGAAGAAATTCCTGAACAGGTCGGGATACAATTCATACCCAGAGTTGAGGCTGAGGATGCGGATAATGGAGCCAGACGGAGATCTCACCACCAACTTTTTCCACGGATTGCCAAGCTTCTCCAGTCCCTCCGCTACCTTGGTGATGCCGCCCTTGGGTATGCCCTGGACTTCTGCGACACGGCCCGACTCGGTCGTCAGGCGCAGAGCAGTCGGGATGCTCAGGAAGTCGACATAGGAGACATTGGCGTACACCTCCCCCATGTTGAAGGTGAGCTCGGCAAACGTCCAATGGCCGCTGTAGTTGGCATCCGTCTTGTTCATCACTGAAGGCTCAACCAAAGCCGGTCCCTCGTTCACCAAGAACGTGAGCGGGCGGCCCTTGCTGAAATAGATGCGGCCGCCTTCCAGGCGAGGGATTCGGACGCGCTTCGTGTCTCCAGGCCGGCCCACGCGAATGCCGTGGTCGACGGCGAGCTTCGAGGCGTTCACCCCGTTCCAAGTCAGCATATGAGGCGTCTGTCCGTCTGCCTTCATTATCATCGGACCCAGAGGCTGGTTTGTTTCGTTATGCAGCCTGTTCCCCGTGATGTGTACATAGAGCATGGACGCATCTGTCCGGTTCACAAGGTCAATGTCGAGGTAGGCCTTCGTCATGATGATTGAATAGAGGAGTTGTCAATAGGGGCCTGGGTAATTCTTGATCAGGGGGGGGGATGTTGTGATGTGTGATAGGAAGCCCAGCGACTTCCCATCCACGTCTTCCTTATATACCTCTCATCTCTTCATGTCCTAATCTCATAGCCTCCTCCTCCTCTCGCCCCAGCCTCGGTACTTGCCTATTCCCCAAGCCTAGCTCATCAACTGTTTGCTTTTGTTTTACCGAGAGAGAATCTAGACGCTACCGCCCATCAGCGCAGGGCTGCATCGGATGACTGGGACGATCATCTGCCAAGGGCCTGGACTGCGTCCTAGCTATGCCGTGGCGTCCATCGGCCCTCAGCTGTGTCTCACCCGTTAGGCTCCCTGCCTCTCCCAGCTCTTTAAACTATTCAACTTTAATTTCGTCAGCTTGTATCGCTGCCGCCCTCCCTTTCCTTAATCTAGCCGATCCTGTTTTCCACATCTTGTGTCGGTTTCCCCTTTTAGTGCGTTTCTCAGTCCTGCAACTAACCTATTTTAACCATTTTTAACATTATTTCTAATTAGTCTCATATCCAACTTTCAATAGTCTCTTTTAGCCACCCACACATGTCACCCTAATCAACCGCCCATCATCAATCACATCCAGCTTGCCATACAAAGCCTGCTATTACTATTTACACTAAGCGAGAACAAAACAATCAATTCGGTTTAATTTACCTCCATGCTTGAAATCTAGGAGCTGTCCAGCTAAGTCCAAGGGCCATCCACGACTCTTTGGCGTTCCCAGAATTCTTCTTAGTCCATCTACCATGCACCATGCACCATGCAATATGACACATGCGAAACGCAGGGATGCCCATCATCACATCATACTAGTCCACCAACAACATGACCATCGCCGCCACCATCGCCACCGATAACCATGCTGCGCTGAAGTGGCACCCACCAATGCTCTCCTCGCTATCATCTGTTTCCGTTCCGGCCACGTTCCCCTCATCGCTCAAGAATGCCCCTCCCGTGCTCGCATTTGTTGCCATCACATCCGGAATCAAGCACACTGCCTCATTGGTCCCTGCCTTCTGGCAGCGGTGCGTTAAAGTCGCATGATGCTGCTCGTTCGACGAGTTAAAGTAGGCCTTGACATAGCTTATTCTCAACATGGCGTCCTTGGCGGGCGGACCCCCTGACCACTTAGGGTTGCCGTTGCTCCAGTGCTGGAGAATGAGATGGCCAGCGGCTGAAGGCATAGCACTACCCTCCATGACTGCAATCCGCTTGCTGTCCCCGTAAAATATGACCCGCCCAGGCGTATAGTCGAATCGGTATTCATGGAAGCCCGCTGTTGGGTCAAACCCTAGGTTGACTCGCTTGAACGTACCCGTCTTGCTGGCGTCATAGCCTGCCTCCCTCGACTGCTTCGACTGAACGACGAGGTTCACAGGGTACACGCCTTCAACCGGGTCGAACTCTCTCGAGAGAAACTCCATGTCGATTTCCTGTGTGTCATTGAAATACTAGTCCCAGTTGACGTCAGCTTCAATCTTTCTTCCTCAGGATGCAATGATGCTCGACAAACATACCCAGAAGAAAGCAGCGCATGTTCCATTCGTCGCAGTCAGTTCCATTCCAGCTCTGTAGGATCCCCAGTGAAGGTCGGATCGCGCCGTGTCAATCTCAGCTGCTGACACTGCATCCTCCCCAATGGCACTTCCAACTCGCAGTCCCAGGCCAGAGCCTCCGCTAGGTCGACCTCCGCCCTCTGTCGATAAGGAGATGATGTTGCTAGGCATGAATGACTTGCCGTATTCGCCACGCCCATTCTCCGCCGAGACATTGAACTGCTGCGGTATCCAGTCGCGATTCCATGAGAGGTCGTTGGCTCGAGTGAAGTCGGTTTCCAAGAGATCCATGAATATCATGTGCTCGTCGTTACCAGGAGCCGTAGCAGCGTAACCGCATTCACATCGGCTCGAAACAAGCCGCCCGCCAGAAATCAACAACAGGAAGAACCATTTCATGGTGGCAGATGGTACTTAGTGCGCTCAATGTGAGGTTTGTCGGACTCAAATCCTGATGTGTGACCAGCACAAACCATGTCGACGGAAACCCTGGCGGCAACAGCGTGTGAGGGCAAAGGGGGTCACGACTGCCTAAGCATCCCAAGGATGAGTGAAGGGGTGCAACTTAGGGCAAGACCAGACCGGTGCAAGCAAAATCGTTCAGGAAAGAACAAGCCAGTGCTATCTTGTCTGCCTTAGTGTAGGTGTGTGCAACAATGAGAACCAGATCAAGGTCATCGCTCTCAATCATTGCGAATTTCGACTCGTCTTTTCTCCTGCTCGGGCGCGGAAACTCCAACCCAGCCAACACGCAGTAGTGAGACAACAGAACCAAAGCACGTTGTTCAAGCCGAGGTTGACCATAGTATGCCCACTTGAATAGAATATCCTGAGCTACATCATGACGACCGGCTCACACCATATTTCACATGCAATAAACACGGCCAAGACCAACAGGTGACAGGACAAATGATTATTCAAGCAAATACTAATCATCTATACACGAGCGGACGGGCCAGCCTCCCTCGACGGTTCGCAGCGTCGGGTGGCTTAGTCCCTGAGGCATCCTGCCACATCCCGTGCATTCCACTTCCGTAATACATGGCCACAAACGAGCAATCTGTATATCGAACAAGGTATCTGAGAGAAGAAAGACGCAGCAGACCAAGATATAACAATGAGAAAGAAAATACCAAAGGAGAGAAGATCGAGCCATCGGAAAGCAAACCGGTGGGAGAGAGCTGCCAATATTAAAACAAATAGGTGCCGCATATTGAACAGAGAAAGCAGAAGGAAACACCATCATGGACCAGCCAATCATCCTGCCAATCGCAGTCATTAGCCTACGCTGTCTTTGCGCAAAGATCCAATTCCCTCTGCCCGGGGCGCAAGCCCATGCGAAAACCCCGTGTACCATTCCCTGCCCCTCCGATTAATGCCGGTGACCCCAAAAACCATGCCAAAGCAACAAGAGGGCGCGAGATGCCCACAGCAAGCCAAAGAAAACCAACAGTAAACGCAGACAGCACGACCGCCCGCCCTGCCTCGGGCATCGCGAAGGAGACAATGAAAGAAAAGTCCTAGGAAACACGATAAGGAGAACGAGATGAGTCCAACTCCCTCCAAAAGCCTTTTCGCGCCGGAAACCAAAACGACGAACAAGGAAAAAACCATCAAGCAGAGAGGTATATGCTAAGGAGACATGGAAAAGCCCAGCCCAGCCCAGAGGCGTACAAAGGAAATGTCGTTTCAATCATCGCCGATTAAATTAATACACGCTATCCTCGTCTGCCCCCTGCGAGGTCATCGAGGGGGTAGAGACATTCGAGGATGCTTCAGGGTCGTCGACATAGCCGACGAGGGCCTGAGAATGGAGCTTAAAAGACTCGCCCATGAGTCTCGTAATTCTATCAAAATTGTTAGCACAGAGAACACGATCAAGTGACGTCAGGGCTGGTGACTTACCCCCAAACTACAACTTCGTCGAGCATCGAACCCCACAGTCGGGCGACAACGGAGCTCAGCTGCGACATATAGTTCTCGTCCAGATCCTTGACGAATAGTTGGCGGACCTTGTTGTACATGGCCAGTTCCTCCTGGGTCGCAGGCTCCTCGTCATGTTCCAGACGATACAGCCACAACGACAGGACGATCATAAGATCCATCCCGCAGAGCGGATGCTCCACGCTCCAGTTGGTAGGCGATGTACGGGCGACCCAACGGACACCTTGCAAGACAGCAGTCTCAATGCAGTTGTAGCACTCTTCAATGACCTTGATCATTTCACTCGAGCGCTTTACGCGATCTCGAGCATTCGACATGGCAGCCGCAACCTCATACGGGTCATGGTAACGCATAGCCTCCTGCACTGCCTTCAGGTCCACCTCAAGGCGGGTACGGGCATTTCGGTACATGGCCTTGGCGTTGAAGAGAAGTGGGTGGCCCTTGTGAGGGGCACTGAGAGGAACCGCAACAGCCTCAGGCTCACAAAGTTCGAGAGATTTCTCCCACGTCTCCAATGCGAGTCGCAGCTTGTACTCGGTAACAACGTCTTGAAGGGCCTCAGGGCTGCGCTTGTGGTACCACACCTCAAGGAAGAGGGCGTTGATCATGACACGGGCCGCAAAAGCGCTGTATCGAAGAGTCTCGCCTTGGAAGAGATTGTCGTGGGCTTCCATGAATGTCACGGCGACGGAGCCCTTGAGTTGCTCGTGCCATGCTACATCGTCAGAGACTTGCAAGTTCCACAGTGCCTCGGTGGAGGGCAGCTGGAGATCCTCAAACTCGTTGAAGCTGATGGCCGGGGTGTGGTTGTACGTCATTGTTAGCAGACCAAAGAAGATGTAAACTGCGTAGTAAGTGCGTCGGCAACCTTCATCCTCAACCCACTCTGAGCGACTAGGCTTGGCAGTTCCACGAGCCTCCTGACGAAGCTTAAGTTCATACCGGTTACCAGCGACCATGTTGGCGAGCAGACTCTTAATCGAACACGCCCACTCCAGGCCCTTGGGGTCACCACTCCAGCTGGCAAAGATCATGTTAAGGAGGGAGCTCTGCATTGTCCAAAGAGGGCATTTGCGAGAGCTGAAGTTCTCCTTGTTCTGAAGGAACTGATTGACAAGAACCTTGGAGCCAATGTGGAGCATGTAGGCCTGGTCCTGGTCAAAGGCATAGAGAGCACCGATGCTCAGGACCGCCAGTAAAAGAGGAGGCGAGACCTTGGTGGCGTTGAATGAGGTTGGGTGCAGGAAAGGAAGGTGGTGGTGGAAGAGGCCAAAGTAGGTTGACAGGTATCGGTTGAGGGAGCCCAGACCTGGGAGACGGAAGCCCTCCGGGATGGCGTGCTCGCTGTCATTGCTGCGGATATGGTCCAGAATAGCGTTTCGCTCATCATCGCTAGAAACTTGGGGGGCCTTGAAGCCGGCTTGGGAAGACTCGGCATTCCAGGGGCTGGGCGGCATCGGTGTTCCAGCGGCAGAGTTGGGCAATGAGTTGATCATAGACTGGAGAGCAGGCACGAGGCCGTTACAGCTCTGTCCGCCGATAGGAGCAAGCTGGTTGGAATGGGGTTGTAAAGTGCTTCCACTAGCAAAGGACTGTTGGGACTCGAATGATCCTGAGGCGCTCGAGGTGATGGAGTGCGCCTTGGGCTCGGTCACGGACTGGGGCATGAAGCCCTCCCACTGAACCTGGGGCAAGGCGATGGCACCGGATGGGTACGTCACGGTTGATTCCATGATGCAGGAGCTATGAGGAGAGTATGCCATGGACGGGCTGCCCTCATAGGAGCTCTCGTCACCACGCATAGCGGCAGTGGCCTTGTGGTGAAGGTCGGCTACGAGCATGGCAGCAGCCTCGACATCGAAGATCCCATCGTTTCCGGCTTCCATCTGCTCCAGTGTTGAGGTGTCGATGGCGATGGATGACTTGGAAGGGGCGTTGATGGCACGGGTCTTGGGACCGGCCCGGCGCTTACCATCACTGTGGAGGGGGATGCCGCCATCCTTGGCGTGAACGGTACGGTCATGTCTGAGGAGAAGATCGCGACGCACAAAGGTACTTCTACACTTCATGCACTTGAAAGGTCGTTCCTTGGTGTCTGGGAGATGGTCAGCTGGTTCTTGAGGGAATAGAGTTCATGGAGGGGTCGTGGGGTGATGATCGGGTTGAGGGAAGGACGGGTGAGGGGGTGATGGGTATGATAGATGGCACGTACGTGATCTCTCGTGTCGACTTCGGTGTTCGCTTCTGCTAAAGGCCCTGTTGCAGAACTGGCATTTGTACTTGCGCTCTGGTGCCAGTGAGGCCTTTCGAGAGGACGATGTCGAGGCCGCGGGGGGCGGGAGGACTGCGACGCTTGCGCCAGGCATCTTGATGACCAGGTCGCGTTTCCGTGTGGCGGTTTGGCGACAGAGGCGACAGCAAGGTGATGCTGGGGAAACGGGTAATTCGGCTGGGGCCCGAAAGCACGATGGTTGAATATCGTGTGGCTCGAAGGCTCTTGCAATCTCTCTCGCTCTCGCTCTCGACTCCTAGCTCCTCGCTCGCGCGCGTCCCGTGGGATTTAAAGGGTGTCTGCGGTGGACTTGATCGTGTTTATGGTCATTGGAGATAGTTGTTTGCTGGTCATGGAAAGTTGGCTGGAAGGGTTGTGATGAGGACAGAGGCTCTTGGTGCAAGGCCTCAACGACAGAGTGTACCGGTGGGTGGGTGGGCTATTGGGTGTTGGGTAAGTGGTGAGGGGTGGGATGGTCGCGAAGTTGGGTTGACGGATGGATGGGGGGAGGGATGGAGGGAAATAAAGGCGAGGAGGAGACGTAGAAGAGTAGAGGGGCGGGAGGGGAGGGAAATCCGGAGGGGGGGAATGACCCGGGACTTTGGGGGGGCACTTTTTCGGGTGGGGAGGGGGAGGAGGGGAAACCGCAGAAGAGAGAAGGGAACGAGGGAGGAAGGAGCGAGGGAGGGAGAGCGAAAGAGGGAGGGAGGGGTGGCTGAGGGAGTCACTGGGGCTGGTATTCCGGGGGGGCGCAACTACGGACTTGGGTACGTACTGGGTCTTGGTCTCAAAAGTGGCCCTGTCTGGGCACTCGTGCCAGCGAAGCAGACGCGAGCTCCTCAGCGCACTGGGCACAGGGCACAGGGCGCTGGCACTGGCGCTGGCGCCGGAACGGGCAGGGAGGGGAGGGATGGCGGGCACACGCTGCACTGCGCATTGAGCACCGCACCGCACCGCACAGCACAGCACAACGCTATGCAGCAGCGCCGAAGCGGAACGCAACGCGGCGGGCAAATGTGCTGGCCACTGACACAACAGCGGGGCCCCCTTCAGTGGAGGGGCCCGAGGGGCACCTGAGGGGCGCACCAGTGCCGGAACCCCTCTAAAAATTCCCCTACGGCCTAGGCTGTTTACGGCGGTAACGACCAGCAACCGCAGGCGAGGCGGACGATGTCGACGAGGGTCGCGGGTGAAAATTCTGTCAGGAGAACCTGGCCCGCGCCGCTCACTAAAAGCAGCGCTGGGTGTTGACCAAGACACAACGGCTGGCCTGCCAGGTACTCATCGGCGCTGACTTGGGCGGCCGGCTACTTACTGCGCACAAATAGTGCAAAGCCCTGCCCAGCTTGGTTCCTGCAGCCCATGTCCACCATTTTTTGCTTCCTGGCGCACTCTCAGGTGGACGCGAGATGGGGGCCATGCCGCAATGGGGGGCGGTTTTGCTTGTTCTTGCAGGGCCTAAGGTACGGCCCCTGGACCGCCCCACGGCAAAACCATCGGTCAAGACAGCGTTCGTTTGTCGGTGATGGAGTCGGTGTCATCGAAATGTCGGAGTCAATGTCGGTGTCGAGAAGACTGAGAGAACGGTGAACGGGAAAATTGACTCGAGGTAACGATGCACTCCACTTACAATCCATCGAGGCTGTCTCGCTGGATAACGATCCGAGGCCCGTGGCCCACTAAGCCCACAGTCCACAGTCCAGTCCACGGGCTATGGAACGAGGGAACCGGGGCCGGCGAGAGTTCTTTTTTACCAAGTCCATTCAGGGAAACAGGGAGGTACTTGGATAAGGAGACAGGGGGAGGCAAACAGCGAGCAGCGAGCAGCGAGCAGGGGGGACGGGGATGAGGAACACAGGGACACGCAGACGAGACGACGAGTCACCATGGCCACAGTGGCGACGCGGCGAGGCAGAGGCATCGATTCGCTGCCAGCCCAGCCCAGCCTCGCGCCCGGCCAGCCCATGACAGCTGGCCGCCAACCGTATTAACGACCAGGAAACAAGATGAAATCATCATGGGTTGGGCCGGCGGGGAAGCTCAACAGCTCCCGTGGGAGCTGGGAGCTCTACCCTCACCAGCGCAGATCCGGCGTAGCGCCATCCTACCAGCGCCTGTCAAGAGATCCCGCTTCCAGCGCACCGGCGCAAGGCGATGGCCTCCGCGCCTTGCATCCCGCGGCCCACCCGAACCAAATCTCCCAAACCGAGAGAGGATGTTGGTGGCCAGCTGGAGCTCGTGTTGCCCTGCTTCCCCGGCACCGCCCCGCCACACTAATAGCGACTATCGCACTGTACGTGATTGCGCGCCGCGGCCGCCTTCGCGCACGGTGCGATCCACACCGCAGCACGGCTTGCTGCTTGGACAATTTCTGGGACAAGTAATCTCTCCTGTGGTCGGGACTTTAATTTCATCGAATTCCCTTTTTATATATTGGTGTGCCAGACGGGCGTGCAACCTCTCATCTGCCGTGAACGCCGGAGCTTGATTCTTATGTGCGAGTCCGTGGCATCCATGTCTCCGTTCTGGAACAGCGACTCCGTCAAGCCAAAGCAATCACGGGTAGGAGGTCGTGTCCGAAGATGAAGGACTATTCATCTCCATCCCCTGTAGCAGAGGACAGTTGTCCACAAGGGGACACCGATAGTGCTACCTAACTTATGTATGCACAGTGCATGCATGCATGTGTGCACCCTCAGGAGCAGTGACCTGGGAGTGAATGCGTTCGTCTCCTCAATGCATCATCAACCCGCTCTATTGCAGCCGAGATGGAATTGGCGATTCGCATGTGCTCCAAGGCAGGCCAGGCTGGTGGCCAGGCCTCGTGCATACGGGCCCGCACGGAAGAAGTGGACTCCTCATAATCCATCTATGATCGCAAGCCAATGCCCGCTGAAATTTGGGCCTGGAGATCGACAGGAGGGCCAGTGACAGGACATTCCAAGAGACACCTACCAAAGGAATAATTTCCTCGGTCACTTATCGGTGCCAATAATCTGGAATACACGAAATGAGGCCAGAGGTGATGGGAGGCGGGTTGAGGATTGTAGGATCCACGTTCGTATCCACACTGCTGGAGAAGAAGAAAATAGCATTGAGCATTCAAGCGACACCGACAGCGCCGTAAGCCATCAACAGGGTGTTTCCAGGGAGGGAACATTATGATTTATTAGGATGCGAGCTAGAAGGGTTCATCTGTCGTGGAAAGAATGGGAACCCACCAACTGAAGCCCCTCCGCCTCGTCCGGATCTACAACCTATTTGTCCTTTGCCCTGTAGGTACCCCGCAACGGTCGGACGGCACTGGCGCCCGAACGGATCCATCAGCCAAATCCACTCGGCGGGAGATGGAGGGGACGGGAAGGGAGAGGGGCGAGGGGACCAAGCTGTTGAGATAAATGGCCGAGGGCCGAGCTCGTGGAGAGCTGCAGTAAGCCACCGGGTCGAGTTGAACACATTACCCCAAATATCCGTCTTAAAGCTGTTTTTTTTCTGTGACAAATTCGACCAGTCCTGTGAGCCATACCAGAAAAAGGGGCATCTAAAACCTCTAAAAGCAGAGAACATGCCCAGAAGGGTCGGTGTGTGCTGTGTATCCGGTAGCGTGTAACTAAGCTCGCGTCGCTGTCTTAGGAGATCCACGCCGGCGGGCTAGTCCATCGTGATGGTATGGCGGGCGGGTCCGCGGCACAGTCCCGGTGTAGGGAGCCATGGTTTGGGACGAGCTCCACGTGGTGTCAAGACGATTGGTGGTGGAGTGCATGAGTGCGTGCGTGCCTCTCCAAAGCACTCAATCCGCTTGTCCTCTCCTCCGTCCGTACTTTGTTAAGTTCCTGGGTGCCTGGATGCCTGTGGGCTTCTTGACTCTCTTCTCTCGCCGCTTGCTCACCCTTGACCTTTGTGTCTGTTGCTATCACCCCTCCCGCCCTGGGTTGAGGTGGGAGGAAGCGGTGGGACCACATCAGAGATTCGCCTCGACACATGCCGGCCAGGCTGTTCTGTTTTCCCCGCCGGTTGTCAGCTGGCATGTTCCCCGTCCCTCCGATCCGATATGATGGTGGTCCAACTGGATCGCAGAATTCCCTAGCAGGCTACCAACAAGACCAGGCGACCAAGCCAAGCAGGAAGTGGGCAGATGTGTCGTCTAGGTAGCAGCTGAAGCTAGGTGAGGGGAAGCCGCGAGAGTGTCAGCGTGGGAGTGCCAGTGTGGGAGGTGGGAGACGACCAGAATTAGGGGAGGGGCTGCAGCGAGCCGGACAACTGCGTCGTGGCATCGTCCGGGGTTAACCGGCCCAGAATTATGTCGGATCAGGAAGGAGGGGCCCCTCGCTGATATTCCACCTGAGGCAGACACAAGCAACGAGACAAGACCAGGTCCAAGTTGTCCATCGTCCTGGGTGCACTAACTGACTCTTATGAGCTGGCCCCTCTTTTCCAGCGGTGTGGTTGACGCATGATTAAAGGGATAAGGTATCAACGCGGTAGCGGAGCGATAGCACATGGGCCGGCGGGACAAGCAACTGCGGACCAGGATACCCCTACGTAAAATTACGTGCCCTCTCCTTGGGACGTGCTCCTGGCTCTGAGAATGTTGCGCGCGTCACCTTCCTGGCTCGGGCTCCCGGACCAAACGGCCCTCCGGTTGGCTGGCCCTCGTGCGCCTGCTGACTCATCGCATGTAGTGGGAAACAGGAGATGGCTGGCGAAGTGTGTGAGATCCGTTCCGTGGATCGATCCATCGCGGGTGATTGATGTACCAAGCAGCAGCTGGAACCTGCCAATAGACGCACGCGTGCTCTCTGATTGAGGGCATTCGCTCAACCGCGCGCCTCGCACACAAGCACACAAGCAAAGCACCGCGCGTCCCACGGGCCTCTCAACCCCGATATCCTGCGAAGGGCCAGTGAGGGACCCTTGGAGAGGCCGTTTAGAGGGACCTGGACAAGCGCAACGGGCATGTTGCAACAGGATCCCCAGGCTTGGTCGCCCGCCCCTCCTGACCTCGTACCTAAGTAGCCAAGGGACCCTAGGGTAGGTAGCCTGCAAGTCTCGGGACCGCCCTGGCTGGGCGGAAATATTGCCATTATTTCCAGTTCCCGACAGTGAACCTTAACGCAAAACCCGCAATAATATTGCCGGCTTGATGGCATCGCGTCGCTGAGGTAGGATAGGCCAGGTACCCTCCCCAAGGCAAGCCCGGTGCTATTTGAGGTCAGCCAAAAAGAAGTTGTTGATGTTTAGCTGTCAGCGTTATTGCCAGGGGCCCCGAGCGCAGCCTTGTTGGTTTTAGTTTGTGTAGAGGCTGGCCTTCCAATCGAGTCAGGCCCATGTCAGTTGTTGACCAGGTCTGGTACTACTACGTACTATGTACGTACGTGCGTACTAAGTATGCTGATGCCAGTGGAGTGTTGAGTGTCAGTGTTGCTGCTCAACAGTGGGCGGTGGCCGTCCCCACCCATCCCGTCAATGGGTCGGGCGGTTGTCTACCTGAAGTCGGTGACAGTGTGGATGCAGATGCAGATGCGGCCAAGTTGGGTGCGAGTCAACCCCTCCCTCTGCTCATGTGGCCTCGTGGACTGTGTCCCTTTGACATATGTGTGCCTGTTCCCTTTGTTATCAATCACTACCACCTGAGTCATCGTCCTCCGCTGCCTGCGACTACAGCGCGCTTCAATTCCTTAGCAGTGAATCCGGAGTATTAAAGACTGGGAGTCGAGCCCGCCCATGCCTCACTGCTGGGTCCTGACCCCTCCCGGCCGCTCGCCAAAACGGTAGCATTCGCTCCATCAGCCCCCCTTCCCCTCCAAGCTCAGGCCTCTCCCAGGCCTGCCTCCTCCACTGCTTGGGTGCCATTCGACCTCGGCCGCCTGGCCTGACTGGGAACGTCTCAGCCAACCCGCCGTGCCGTCGCCGCCGCCGTCGCCGCAAGACCACAGGACTGACTGCAGCACGCATTGTGGCTGGCCTGTCGCAGCCAGTCGCCCCTCCCCCCCTGGAATCTCTGCATTCTGCTCCCGCTGCTACGAGCGAGCGAGCCCTGTGACTGCCAATCTGTGCGAGCCTCTAACCGTGTGTGACCGTGAACCCCCCGACTCGCGACGCCTGGCGCTGGCATGCTACTACTGCACAATCGCTACTGCACAATCGCTCCTGTTGAAGGCCGTCATTGTCAAGTCGGCATCGCATCATCCCCCAAGACTGCTCCACGCACACGTGTTGGATTTGACTTCAGCAATCTGGATACGGCTGCCGCATCCAACCATGTCCTAAGTCGAGCGTGGTCGCCGCAATATGCTTAGGATACAGACCGCCGCCGTGCCGCCAAGTATCCACTCTTCGCGCACCACCCACGACCCCTCCGCCGACCACCTATCCGCGCGCATCACGCCTGCCTCACTTCAAGCCTCCGACCCCCATCCCTCTTCATCTAGGGTCGATCCCGCCTGGGGCCTCATGAACGGCATTGTCGGTACCGCGCCTCCGGGCGCCATGTACGTGCGCGCCCTCTACGACTACGAGGCCGACGACCGCACCAGTCTCAGCTTCCACGAGGGCGATGTGATCCAGGTCATCACTCAGCTCGAGAGCGGCTGGTGGGATGGTGTCATCAACGGCGTCCGTGGATGGTTCCCCAGCAACTACTGCCAGACCATCACTAGTCCCGACGACCTGCCCGACCCGGGCCAGAACGGCCTTGTCGCCCAAGTTGACGACGACCCTGAAGACCCCGAGATTTACGACGATAATTATGACCTGGACGACGACTCCGAGGCCGATGGGCCCACTGCCTTGCCCATCGAGGGCACTGACGGTGGTGACAAGTCGCGAGCCGACTTCTGGATCCCCCAGGCCACTCCCGATGGCCGCCTCTTCTACTACAACATGATGACGGGCGATCATAGCATGGAACTACCCCTCGAGTCCCCCATTTCTGCAAACGAGACCGGTCCGCGGGACCGCATGAATGTCAACATACCCGATAAGACCAGGCCGCCGCCAGAGATGATGGCTCGAGGCTTGACCCAAGATGAGGACGACGAGTCACTAACATCCGCTTCCGAGGCTGAGGGGGATTCCTCAAGGCTGGCCACCAGGCGCTCAAAGGTATCACAAACATCTGCTCCGCCCAGTCGTCCGAATTTGCCTGATCTGGTTGCTAATTATGCCTACTCTAGCCCCGGAACCGCACTTCCTTCAGTGGTGCCTTATCACCGTCGACATCGATGGATTCTATTAATGGCGCTTCTCCAATCGGCCGCACAAGGAACGACGTCTCGCCCAACGGAAATCATCTGGTCCCTGGCCAGGTGCCAAACATTGCTTCAGCTACCTCCTTCACTAGTACCACCTATAACCTCCCGACCACAGCCACTGTCCCGCGAAGCTTCTTTGATGATGGATCCACACCCTCTCTTAGCTGGAGCTTGCTCGTCTCCAACATGAAGCGTGCTATTGATCGATACCGTGAGGCGGTGACAAACAACAGCCGCTCCGAATATGTCGCAAGGGCTGAAGATATATCTGATCATCTACGACTACTACTCGCCGCTGGCTCAGGCACCACGGACAACCACTCCGGCCAGCCATCCATCATCTCAACCAACAAGGCTCTATATCCTCACTTTCGAGACATGATGTCCAAGTTTTCGAAGCTAGTAATTTCGTCTCATATTGCTGCAGCGGATTGGCCCAATGCGGAGTCAATACAGAAGTGCCTACAGGAGGCCGATGGAGTTCTCTTGGGTGTTTTCAGTTATGTTGAAGTTGCCCGACAGCAACGTGGTGAAGAGATTCCTCGCCTCTTCCCCGGATTTGTTATTGGCAGTACCACCGGCGGAAGCTGGCAGAATAATGGATTGGGGCCTCGTGATCCAATCACGGCCAACTTTCTCGAAGATGAGGAAGGCGTGGTAGAGCCTACAGCCATTCTCGACAACAGATTATTAGAACGACTGGACGAACAGAAGCGGATTCTCGTGTCAAGCATTCGAGAGCTCGACAAGAACCTCGTCGCCCCAGACAAGATTGTCACACCATATCGACATGAAATGATTGGGAACAACGTTTGTTTTGCTGGAGGAAAGGTGCTGGAGACATTCAAGCCATGGATTGCTATGATCGAATCCATCGACCTATCCTCCCTGGGCAATAGCTTCCAAACTCCTCAGCTTGCGGACTTTGGCACAAATAAGCAGAGCCTCTACGACAATGTATCGGACTTGCTGTTAGGCTGTCAGGCCGTTGCGGGTCCCTTGGCCGATGAATGGGCCGAAGTTCGGGGCGAAGCCTTAGAGAACCGCCTCGACTATGTTCGCCAGTGCGCGAGGGCGCTCGAGACTAATTCTTCTCAGATCAACTTCTCCTTGCAGCTACTCTCGGAACAGGTCCAAATTAATTTGCAGCAGCATCAAGTGGAACAGCGACCCCGCGATGACCAGTTCACCAGAATTCAGTTACAGCGGGGAGAGACGATGCCTTTCGACCGACCACATCAGCGGACTGATTCAAGGACCACTCCCGCCGCAGTGCGACCTCCGTTGATTACAGCACAGTCGTTCAGTGAGGGAGACCCGCCACCAGGTAACTTCCGAAAGGGCGACTACTCCAAAGTCAAGAAGATTTTTGGCGAGGATCCCTCACCTCAGGCTGGCCTCCCACCTGTTGAGGATACACCCGAATTCTTGCGCCTCGACCATGAGACCGATGTGTCCTGGGATGCCAAGACCATTCAGCCCACCGTCAAGGGAGGCTCTCTCCTAGCTCTGGTAGAACAGCTCACTCGTCACGACAAGCTCGACTCAAATTTCAATAATACTTTCCTCCTGACATACCGATCATTCACGTCAGCCCGGGAGCTTTTCGAGCTCCTTGTCAAGCGGTTTGGAATCCAGCCCCCGGAAGGCCTCACCCAGTCAGACTTTGACGCCTGGAGAGACCGAAAGCAGAAGCTCATCCGTTTCCGAGTGGTTAATATTCTCAAGAATTGGTTTGATAATTTCTGGATGGAGGAGTACAGTGAGGAGTCGAAGCAGCTTATCCGCGATGTGTACACCTTTGCCCGAGACACCGTCAAGTCGACCGAGACCCCCGGATCAGCACCTCTAATGGCCGTCCTGGACCAGAGATTGAGCGGAAAGGAGGCGGGCGCCCGACGAATGATTCAGACAGTCAACCAAAACACCCCGACACCCATCATGCCCAAGAACATGAAGAAGCTCAAGTTCCTGGACATTGACGTAACCGAATTCGCCCGACAACTCACCATCATCGAGTCTCGTCTATACGGCAAGATCAAGGCTACGGAATGTTTGAACAAGACGTGGCAGAAGAAGATTGCAGAGGGGGATCCTGATCTTGCCCCTAACGTTAAGGCACTCATTCTGCATTCGAACCAAATGACCAATTGGGTTGCGGAGATGATCCTTGCGCAAATGGACGTGAAGAAACGGGTGGTTGTAATCAAGCACTTCGTTTCCGTGGCTGATGTAAGTTGGCCAAAATCGTCTGTATGTTTTGGGGAACAACTGCTAATATGGAAAAAGAGGTGTCGCGCTCTGAACAACTTCTCAACGCTAACCTCCATCATCTCGGCGCTGGGCACCGCACCAATTGCCCGACTGAAGCGAACATGGGACCAAGTACCGCAGCGCACACAGACCGTGTTAGAGTCGATGCGAAGGGTAATGGCCAGCACCAAAAACTTTGGCGAGTATCGAGAAGCCCTCCATGCCGCCAACCCGCCCTGTATCCCCTTCTTTGGTAAGGAACTGCAGTCTTCTATCCAGCGGTCTATGTGCTGACTACAGTCCAAGGTGTCTACCTCACCGACCTTACATTCATCGAGGATGGAATTCCCTCCATCATTAAGAAGACCAACCTCATCAACTTTGCCAAGCGAGCCAAGACGGCCGAAGTAATCCGTGACATCCAGCAGTATCAAAACGTGGGATACTCATTGCAACCCGTTCCCGAGTTGCAGGACTACATATTAAGCAATATGCAAGCTGCTGGTGATGTACACGAGATGTATGACAAGAGTTTGCAAATTGAGCCTCGTGAACGAGAGGACGAGAAGATTGTGAGGTATGTAAAACCCCGAAATCCATCCTCTTCATACGGGGGCTCGCTCTCCTGGCCTTGAGAACCCGTCTTCTCTATCACAAGAAAACGAAAAAGAAGCATGCTTACTCGTCATTGCAATGCGCAGGGTTCTGGCCGAATCAGGTTTCCTATAAGCAAGCACCTTGCCACTGTCGGAGACATTGATGCAGCCGCATGTATTCATGGGACGGATGTTTTGCATAGGGATGGTACTTAGCAGTTATTCTGCCATAGTCGTACGAATGACGGCTGCGATTGCCTGAAATGGTCGGGGTGCGATGCACACTGCGCACTACCCGGCAGAGACTTTGAGGAGGGTACTTTGTTCCAGCCAGCGATGTGAGGGAGGGGCGAAATGGGGCCCGGGGATTGCTGTGATCAACAAGGATGGTGAACGTGATGGGGTGCAAGCCCCAACCAGTGGGTTGGTGGAGCTGAAAACAGAACTGGAATAGGATGTCCTTGAACACTTCAAGGCCAGATCCAAGGGGCTGTGCGATGGGCAGGCGATTGGAAATGAATTCCGAAGCCCAAACGAAGATGATTCTCAAAACGGATTTTATCAGCGGGCAGCGTAACGCAGCGCATGATACACATCCCAGTGTGACTGCAGTTGTACGCCGAGAAGATGGCTCAGCTATGGAAGGGATGGGCACTGGATTGGATATACCTGAGAGGCCATAGACGGGCCGAGATATGGATACATGTACCCAGACACGAGATTTATGGGAGCAATGTGCGGTGGCTATCCATGACAATCGTCGAGTTTTGAACCATAGCAAGATGGCGCTTGGAGCCAATTTCGATGATTCGCCCATTTCAAACACTCATACTCCGTGTCCCCAATCCTGCGTCCATTCACCCTCGCTCCATGTCGCAGGCAGCTTGCTCTCAACCTCTATCCGGAAACCTTCCATCAGCTTACAACGGCCCGTTCGGTGTTAACTGGGGATGAATTCGGAGGGGTTCTGGCTGGGACTGATTAGGACGAAGGTTTCCCTAAATGCTTCGACAGACTCGTTCAGTTTGAGCCTAAAGGTTAGGACCCATGGGGATAATTGATCACATTGAGACACAGTTGCACGAAATTGATTTCGATCGTACAGAAAAATGAGGCAGCACATGCCTCGAGTGATATTACAAGTCCATGCAAAGACAGTTGGTGCTAACTTGGAATACAAATACAAGATGCCATACATGTAAGGAGTAGAGCAACATTTTCGTCCATCAGTGCTTGTGGAGTTTGGCCTTGATGCGCTCGCCCAAGCTGGGCTTGTCCTTGCCGTCGTGTCCAAACCCATCTTCACCGTGATGAATGCCCTTTTCTTCCAAGAGTCCTATCGAGGGGAAAGAAACGCAATTGTTAGCAGTGGCATAAAGGGTGATGCTGGGGCATCAAAAGATTTCAAGGGACATGTGTTACTTACGGTCAGCCTCCCGTCCAGCTCCTGGCTTGGTGGCATCAAAGTCTCCCCCATCGGCGGCGAACCCAGTCGTCCGGACATACTCCTGACCAGTGCCCTTGGATTCCTCGGACTCCGACTCATTCTTCTCGGTAGACGGCATAGAGGATGTAGACTCCAGAGGCTTCGACTCTAGAGGCTTTGACTCTAGGGGCTTTGAATCTAGAACCTTCGAACCCAAGGGCTCCGACTCTAATGGCTTTGAGCTCAGGGCCTTCGACTCCAGTGGGGTTGACTCTGTGATTTTGTCACGACTGGCGTCTCTGCCGTCGTTAATGGCAATGTTCTCGACGGGACGTGCGGCGAGTCCCTCGGCAGGCCTGGAGTCATAGCCTTCAAGGGCGGCACTAGGCTTGCTAGCTTGGGCGGGGGTGGTTGTGTCGACGTCATTCAGGTCGGAAGCTTTCTGGGGAATCCGTCCTGTGTCGCGTGTGTCGCTCTGGCGAAATGTGGTGTCTTCTTGGGGGTGCGGGATTGGTTCTGACTCAACATGGCGACCCTCCATGGATTTCTCAACCTGCTCCTGTCGAGCCGGCTCTGGAGAGGCGGTGTCAGTCAGGCTTGGTTGATATTGGTACGATATGAGATGTGAATGCTTACCCATATTACCGGCATCATAAGGCTCGCCCTTGGAAACGTCGCCCTGCACCCCGGATACTGGCTCCTGTTTGGTGGTATTCTCTCCCCAGACGGCCTTGGCCGCGGCGGTAGCAGCGTTGCTAATGCTCTCCATGGTGGGAAGTTACAGTCTGTGGTTGGGATATACGAGTGGTTGAGGGTTGAGGTGTAGTTCTGATTCTGTCTGGGTATGATGGTTGTAGTGTGTGCTTGAGAGTGAAAGAGCTTATGCAAAGAAATGCTGGGAAGACGGCAGTTTAAATGCAGCGCGACGACCAGTGACCTTTTCAACGTCACTGACGTCGTTGGTCCAATAGTTGGTGTGCCTAAACATTCGGAGTGCAACACATTCCATGATCTTTTCCAAGTGGTGACATGGCTCAAACCAAAAGTCCCCTCTGCGTATTAGACGGGAACACCATGGAGCACGGGGAACAACGATGACGACTACCCCGTCGATCGATCATCGAGAAGCCATCTTGCCGTCTTAGCCATGGTTTTCGGGATGGTTGGTTCCACCACTGCGAGTCGTCTTGGTTCCCAGTCACCGGTTGGATGTATGATGTAGGGTATGACGTTTTGTGCCAAGTTTTTGGTACCAGGATACCAGCCACACAGGTGTTTGTTTGCGGGTTGCAACTCTGACATTTGAGAAGGTGCAGGTACCCTGAAGAAAGAGCTGTACGCTCAATAGCGGGCGGGAGGTAGAATATCCTGAGGCTGGCGGGATTGGGAAGACGGATTCTACGACGTCATCGACGAGGGGTTGGGTCAGCGGCTTGCGGCATGCTGATCCCCCGCGAAACTCACCTTGCGACGTTTAAGAAACGAGCTATACATAGTACATTTCTCTTTTAAATTACATAACAATGTCCCCTTGTACTGCGCAACGCAAGAACGGAGTACATGGCGGAATAGGTAGAAGTAATTATGCCTGAGCCGGGAGGGGAATGGATGCGTGGTACTCCGTAAAACAATCTGTAGATAGCAACACATACATTGTGCATTTATTCGGTAATCATTGCCGGTTTGGGGAAATACATCGATTGCTAGGTTGGACGTCGTGGAAAATGTGCATTCCTGGGACCTGGTGTCATACTACGTAGTAATCGTGATTCCTGTCTCTCGTGTTTGTGAAAGCGCCATCGTTGTGATGATTCGTGGGCCTTTAGATAACGGCGCCAACGTTATGCCGAACCCCCCGTTCCAGGGGGTGGCCTCCATTTCTTAGTCTGCTGGGCTCGGCGTAGGAGGTTCCTTTGTTAATGTGACATTTTAGCCTTCATCTTTCCCCTTGCCCGTTTTGAAATATCAAAGTACGGACCCTTGATGATGGAATATGTGACACAAGCAACCTTAAATTGACGGGGTGGGCGGGCCTGCATGCGTGTTGCTTCGGCCGAGTGGCGGCTCTGGTTGCTATAATGAGAGGAGGGGGAGATTAATGATGAATTAATTGTTAGTTGTTAGAGGGGGCTCTAATGAGGACGAGGGTCGGATGCGCCGGGCCTTACATGGGTGGCTCTGCGGACCAGATGCCGAACCATTGTCACCCTCTTTTAGGACAATAACGTCTTATCTACTTTCCACGTAGCAGGTGCATCGCTCTTCTTGTCCCCGTTACCCCATTCCCCATCTGAAGGCATCTCCCGAGGAATGCGGCATCACGACGAGAAACGGACGAAACGGGATAAACTGGCATGAAGTGGGCTGAATGGGGCGAGAGAGACAATGGCTCTGCTGGGAAATACTGGGGAGCTGACGTGGGTTGAATCTGGAGTGGTTGCATACAATAATAGTTCAGGCAAGGGATGCAAAGCAAGTTGAATCACACTCTCCGTATTGGTAAATTAAGCAGGTTCCCGTGGAGATTAGGGTTTTTTCATTGTGATTATCGTTGTTATTATTATTACTCTTTTACTTATTAATAGAGACGGGAAGTGAGAGGGGATGAGAGGTAGCATCACGGAAGGGAAAAGCGCGGCAGACTAGCAGGGTGGGATGAGGTACAATATTCCCTTCGATTAGGCCCACGGGTGATCGTCCTGTGAATCGTCTGCCATCTACTAGCTACCTAGGTACCTTACAGATTAAAATCCTGCCCTGTGGTACGTAATTGATCCAGTCGAAAGCTCTCCTCCGGTCACCGGGTTAGAGGGAATCAGTGGGAACTCCGGGGGCATGCAGCCATGCAGCCATGCACCAAACAGGCCCTGTTCCTTGCTCCTTTGCTCCTTTGCTCCTTGCTCCTTGCTTCCTAGTCCTCCGCTCCCCGGTAGTCGACGTGATGAATGGATGACAATCCGTCTGGTCCTTGCTTGGGCTGAATGACTCTGCATCTTTGCCTCTCTCCATCTCTATGACTCGTCGCAATCTTCCTCTGGGCTCCCATCGCAGCCACCCACCTCCACCTCGACCCTCTCTACCTCGGTATGAGCTTGTACTTTGTCCTCTTCGCCCTGCCTGCCCTCGTCACTACATGGCCGTCTCCGTGTCCAGCGACCTGTGTGTCTGTTTGAGACCCCAGATAGGATCCTCTCCTCTCGTGTCCGTCTCCCCTCTTCTCCCAATAGTTTCCTGCTTGTCTGTGACCTGCGACCTGCGACTTGTGACCGGGCTGACCCTGCCATTCAGCCCGCCCTCTAATTCGCCCTAACCTACTTGCCTGCCCTCGTAGGCCAGAGTCACCCCCCCCTTCTGTACCCTCTGTGCGAATAGGAGCCCACCCATTGGGAGGGATCCGCAGATCCTACGTACTCTGTACCTGGCCCTGATGAGGTGCAAGTCTCCATAGCGTCAGGACCACCAGCGACAGCCGACCCACGCGCCGTGCAGGTTTGGCTGGAGATACCTCCTCAGCCGATGAGCGAGCACCAGTACCGTCCGGCTGGGTCTAGAGGAGGCTTCGTCATGCCCAGCCAGGGCCCACCACGCTGGGTAATTAGCAGTTTGCCTTAATTGATTGCCTCCCCAGCAACTCCTCCAAGCCTCCCCAAAGAGTGTCTTATTAAAGCAGGCGGGGGGAGGATGCGTGTGCGACACTGCGCTGTAGCTGCGACGGACGGGGTCCACTCGATGTCCGAGCGACTCCCATCTCCACCTAAATCCATCCCTGCAGACAGACCCATCCGTCCACATTCCACCACGACGCATCCACACATCCACACATTCGCATCCACATCCGCATCTCTGCTTGCGTCCATCCCAAAGCACCGACGGCGCCGACGGTACTGGCAGCATTGACAGCACTGACACGGCCTTTAACTGGGCTTTGGCTTTGACTCAACTATCCGCCCAACGCGTCTTGTACCCGAGTTTGTTCGAATATTGCTACTGCAGCTGCCGTATGACATTCAGGGCCGCCCTCCCACCCACTTCACCACCCTTGAACCCTTGACTGCCATCATCCATCCTCCGATTTGCGATTGCCCTATCCCCCCCCAAAAGCCGTTCTAGGCTTCTAGAGGCTCCAAGCGTCCCAAGCTCCCGGATAACCGGGCTCCCAGCGCTCTGGCAACATATCGCAGGGTTGCTTGTTTGAGCTCACATCGCCCCGCCGCACGGATAGGTGCAATACCACCGCCTCACGAGAACGATTCCACACGCGGTGCACAAACAGACACACTCACCTAGCACACTCACTCATCGCTCGTGTCCCGCACAATTAAACGGCTGTCTATCGAGTCTCGCTCGTTTTCTTTGCCCGGGACTCGGAGCTTTAGTGCCGGACCAACTCAAGCCGCCAGCCAGGCAGCTGACAGGCACGCGAGAGCTGGTCTTCAACCACAAACTTTCAACTCGTCCCCCAACAAGCACGGGAGAAGGAGACCGTGTTCTGCCCACAGTTAGACGTGCAACGGCCGCATCCACAGGGGAAAAAAAATCCGACGGAGGACCGGCAAGCCGAAAACGGGAGCGCCTTTGGTGGAATCGAGAGGCTTGTCGACCTCGCTTCAAGTCTTGCTTGGGCTGGAGACATAAATCACCAGAAAGAGCCTTTGTCCAGTGGTCGACCCAGGCGATAGTAGCCACAACAAACCACGACAAACCACATTCACCAGGACGGAGGCGCGCCCTCGCTCGCGTCTCTCCTCGTGATGGGCTCAGCTTTGCTGCATCGCTGCCTATCCTTCCGTCTACCTTTCTCGTCAATCTTCACGGCACCTCGGTGAGCCGAACGGCAAGCTAGCACGCCTCCCCCTCCCCCTCCCTCACATCCACACCGCGGTCTCGCCTCCACGACGAACCCAGCATCACAATCACCATTACCCCGACGGCCAGGCCTCGGTATCACACTCTCTGAACTTCTCGAGACAGGGGCTACCAAGCTGTAGATCTTGAGGAGTCTGCGACGGCGCAACTCTAGGAAAGACTCTAGCTTCCGACCGACGTCTCCCCATCTCCTAGGACTAGGACATCATCCTGCTCCCCTGCTCATCATGGTCTACTGTGGCAAAGCCTCCCAGGGCTGCCAAAATTGTCGCACCCGCCGTATCAAGGTACGCCCGCCCTTGCGATGGCCCCTAGACGCCTTGCTTCCCCCAAACCTCGTGCCGTCGCTTACCAACTTCGACACATGTAGTGCGACAAGGTGAGACCCGAATGCTCACAATGCATCCGAGTCGGTAAGAAATGCCCTGGCTACCGCGACCAGTTGTCACTCATGTTCCGTGACGAGAGCAGCAAGGTTATCCAGAAAGCTCATGCCCAATGGGGCGTCGGTGACGTCCCCCTTGACACCCCCCAGCCGCAGACTGGCTCCAAGTCCCTCGCGTCCTCATCAGCTTCCTCCTCATCGTCATCTACAGCATCTTGGTCGACCTCACCCTTGGCTGTAGACAGTCACCGGCCTTTGCCCCCGACTCCTCCATCCCCGGCGTCGTCCCAGCTGTCCTCGGAGCCCTCTTGGGCCATCGTGGTGCCTCCCGTCGCCTCATGGCCCCCGCGACTATCTACGCCCGTCGACCCTAGCATCGAGGAGCAGGGTGTTCAATTTTTTATCAATCGTTATCTCATCGGTCACCCCGATGAGCCAAAGACTGCTGGTGAATTAGCCTCTACCGAGTGGTTGTGGGATCCTTCATTGCAAGATGTCATGGCAGCCATTGGACTCGCCAGTCTATCTAATCTGAGGGAGGATAAAGGCCTAATGACAACTGCTCGCCAGAAGTATGGCCAGGCGCTTCGCCGGACTGGTCAAGCGATTCAAACATCTGTTGCACCTTCTTTTGAGGTTACAATGCGGGGAGTCACAATGCTTGCCATGTTCGAGGTGTGTGTGCGCTCCACCAGACTACCCCCTGAACTGTCATTCATTGCTAACAACTCGTTCAGTTAGTCAAAGGAACCCACCAAGGCATCGCCCATGTTCATGCACACGTCATGGGAGGCGTTGCCATATTGCGAAGGTGGTGCCCTATGCCCCAAGCGGCGTTTGGCGGCGTTCGTGCCATGGTGCAGATGTGTTTTTCCTTAGTACGCCTGTCCTATATTCCCAGGTTTCAATATTTGTGGCCTTGACTAATCAATACACGACAGTTTATTCCGGCGTATATATCAAATACCGATCTCCCCCCAACGCTTTACGAATGGATTGCGTTTAGCAGCTCTCTCCTGGATCCTATCGATCGCCCGGCCTCTGGTCTCGGACTCCTAGTTGGCCGTTCTATACAACTGTCGGCCTACATCCAAACTCGCATTCTCAGCGATGGCCGGCCCAACACGACCTCGACATTACAAAAGCTCATGGATCTTGATGCCGATTTCGTTGAGTGGGAACAGAATCTCGAGGGCCCTTGGCTGTATCGTACAGAGAAGGCGGACCACATCCCTCCCGAGGCCGTCTTTCAAGGTCATTACCATTGCTACTACGATATGTGGGCTGCTCGCATGTGGGGCCATTACCGTTGGGCTCGGATCATTGTCAATCAGGCCATCGTGGACTTTGTCAATAATTATCCCCTGTCTAGCCTACCTTTGGTTTCGGCAACCGAGCTCCAACGTCGGTTCGAAATCATTAGGATTCTGGTTCGAGACGTACTCGTCAGTACACCAAGTCACTGGCGGCATCCTCTTCTCGAAGACAAAGCTCCAGTGCCTGTGGATAAACTTGGTGGAGGAGGGTCCGGCTCAGCTGGTGTCCCAGTCGTACTGTTCCACCTCAAGTTGGCCGCTTGTGCGCCTGGGGTTCCTGTGGCATATTTCGACTGGGCCTATGGGGTCATGGAATGCATATGGAGCGACATGGGCATGTTGCATGCCAAATCCATGATGGAGGCCATGAAAGCACATAAGGACGCTCTTCATAGAGCAAAGGCGGATGGGATTCTTTCGCATGGCGGATAGACCAGGTTCAGGATTGGAAATATACGACGCGGCCGGGTATGGATCCGGGGTAAATGGCTGGGTGCGGCGCATTGCTTGGTTTACTTGGGTTCATTTGGCATTGAACGTCGACATTGAGTCAGGCGCGGTTTGGGGACAACGGGCCAGGGGTTGGCCACGTTTACATTACAAATATCCCGGGTTGTTTGGCGCCATTGGGAGTTGGGGGATCTTTCTTTACATGACGATACCATCCTTTTAGGGACTCTTGCGCTTGCATGGCAAGTCCGGTTGACATATGTGAGGCTATGCTGCTCTGGACGTAGGCATCCCATGTCTGTATTTGTTTGCATCGCGTGGCGAAACCAACGAAGCGATTAAATACCAGAGGAAGAGCAGGAATAAGAGCATAGAAATGAAGAACAATGTTGGGAAGCCTTATGTGAGAATCGACAATAATGAACCTGTTAAGTGGTTAACCCGCTTCACTTGTCCACCAAAGCCGCACGCGGGTGTGGGGCCCCGTTCCATGCCCAGCTTCGGAGAAATGTTGGCGTCAGCCGATAAGCTGGCACGTGCACCAACTGCAGCCGCATTCGCAAGGCTACGGCAACATCAACCACATCACCCCAAGCCTTATCGCAACTTCATCCGTTCGTTGCCCAACGATTATCATCATTATCATCATAACGACGATACGTACTCCACCGGGACACCGCATTCGATCTCTCGCATCTGGATCCCTGTCGCGGCTTACGCTGACACGATGGGTTCAGGCAAAGGTAACTCCGTCGCCACCAGGGTACATCGGGGGAACTGGACTAAACACATATCCAGCCGACGACCAGACAATCAAAGTCGCATCCAAGAAAGACGCCAAGAATGCCACGATTAAACTGAAGAAGCCCCCGCCCAAGCACAGCAAGCCTGGGAACTGGAGAGACGGCAGCGTCATTGAGGGTAACGTCGCATGTCGCGTCGCGGCGCGTGACCGTTATGCTGACGAAACCGGTAGATGACAAAAAGAAGAATGGCAATTCGCCAGCAACTTCGGCGGCTTCCCCAGGCCCCGTGGTGAACCAACTCGACGACACCGCCCGCGAAACGTTTGCAACCGGCCGACCCCTCGAAGACCCTCCCGATCTACAACAATGCAAGCACTGCAAGAAGAGCATCCTTAAGACCGCGGCGAAGGGGCATATCGCGCAATGCCTGCGGCTGAAGAAGGAAAAGGCGCAGCGCAAGAAGGAAGCTCGTGAGGCGAGAGAAAGGGCCAAGGAGGCTGCGAGGGAGGAAGAGGCCCGGAAGGCCGACGAGGAGAACGGCGACGGCAAGGATGAAGACAGCGACGACGAGGGAATCTCGGCCGAAAAGAAACCGACTGGGAGCAAGACGGCAAAGAAAGCAGCCGGGAAGAAGCCTGATGACGACAAGAAGGGTAAGAAACGGAAGGCGGATGGCGATCCAGACAAGGGACCTAAGACCAAGAAGAAGAAAGATGAACCCAAGGCCAAGGTCCCGAAGCCAAAAGGTAACGGAACCCCCAACTGGACGCATCCTCTGCGCATCCATTTACTAATCATGTTACGATAGGCCCCGTCGACGTCGAGCGACAGTGTGGTGTGATATTGCCAAACGGCCAGCCATGCGCGAGATCTTTGACTTGTAAAAGTCATTCGATGGGTGCCAAGCGAGCAGTAGCAGGGCGATCACTGCCATACGACATGTTACTCGCTGCATACCAGAAGAAGAACCAGGCAAAGCAGCAGAGTGAGTATCCCTTTGATCAAACTGCTTTTCCTTGGATCGTCACCACTGACCACCATTATCCTTCCAACAGAGGCCGCCTTGGATGCCAACGCCCCAGTGGAAGACGAAGATGAGGCCAACACTGGGCCGATCGATTCGGACGAGGAGACGACGGCCGTGATGGGGGCTCTTGCACAATGGAATCCTCAACCTCTCCTCCCCCAGCCCATCTTCACCCCAATCAAGCGCCAGTACCAGCTTTCGAGACTCCACGAACAGTTGCAGATGGCGACTAACGGCGGGCGGACAAACATCTTCCGAGTTGTGGGGTACGGGGCACAGAAGCTCCCAGAGGGCCATCCTGGATTGCTGGACAGTGAGGACGCGCCTGGGGAGCCGGACTTGGCTGTGGGATTCGGGAACTCAGGCCGGTCATCAACATTTGGGTTGCCAGCTCCGCAGAGGCAGGCATCAGTAGCGAGCAGGGCATAGAGGAGTTTTTAGGGACAATGGTGGGTTTACCTGGTCAAGGTCACGGAAAGCGATACAATTCTATATTTGATACACAGGTACTGGTGGCTTAATGATTACATGATGCTCTATCTATCCTCCACGGAGAAGGCGTATGCCCAACTTAGCGAGAAGAATGAGGCCATACAGCGGTCGGTCGGTCGGTCGGTCTCAGCCTGGGCGGCGCCATTCTGACGGCCACTACCACCAAACAGAGCTAAGGTATGCTGGTCGTCGCCTATACTAATGACCATGTTGGCCTACCGACGCTTAGTGAAGAAAAAGGTCGACATCTAAGAGTAAGACACTTGGTAAGATGCTCTTGCACTTGCACATGTTTAGATGCACAGCCGATGCTGAAGGCTGTCTGTCGCACGTACTACGAGGAGCTATCGAGAGTGGACGGAGAATATGTCGATTGGCGAGAGACGGTGTGAGACAGAATACATTCATATCCTATGACTGTAGATACACTCAGGGTGAGGTTTATGCACATCAGCCCAAGAGGTCCATCATCACATGCAACTAACATGGGCTGTCGCGGCGCCGCGGCGCCGCGGTCAAGCTAACCAACAACCCATGACGGAATCCCAATTTCCTAACTTGGGAGGTGAATGACGTCGTGAACTCGGCGCTACCGACCAGCCATTGGCCGTCCCCAGCTCTCCGCCAACTACACCGGCGACACTCACAACGCTGTTGCTGCTCGCTTCATACAGAAGCAGAAAACACGGGACGAAGACGCGGGAAGGATTGGGCCAGGATTGAGCAAGGAGAACCGCGTGGTCGTGGATGCCATGGCGTCAAACCAAGCTCTGAATGCCCTCGGCCACGCCGTCTCCGGCTCGGTAGGCACCGCCATCTCAACGGCGACGCTGTACCCGCTGGACCTTGTCACGACACGCCTCAAAGCCCAGGGGCAGCTAAAGGACTCGGGCGCCCGCTACGACGGAGTCATCGCTGCCTTCAAGGGAATCACTTCGCGCGAGGGTGGGATTGGGGCCTTGTACAGTGGACTCGGGGAGGACGTGGCCAAGTCTGTGGTGGACAGCTTTCTCTTCTTTGGTTTCTACAACTACTTGCGCCCGCGGCATCGCAGGCCTAAGATTATAGAGGAACTCGCCGTGGGCGCCGTCGCAGGCGCATGCGCCAGGGCACTCACCACGCCGATATCCAATGTGGTGACGCGGAAGCAGATGTCGTCTGGGCAGCAGACGCTCCTAGAGATGCTCGCTGCCATCCGCAAGCAGAGTGGCCTGCTCGGGCTGTGGTCTGGCTATTCGGCTACACTGGTCCTCACCCTCAACCCGAGCATAACCTTCTTTGTCAACCGCAGGCTCGCAGAGCGCATCATCCCGGCCTTGGAGGATGAGGATATCCCGGTGGCATGGGTTGCCTTCTTGATTGCCGCGTGGAGCAAAGCGACCGCCACCGCCATCACATACCCCTTTCAGAAAGGAAAGACGCGGTTGCAGATGGCGAGTATACCAACAGACAAGGAAAGGCCCGACGAAGAGAGCGGTGTTCAAGCTCAGAAGGAGTCTGTGTCACTGCGCAACAAGGTAGCCAAGTTCCTTGACCAGACCATATTTGGTGTTATCTTGCACATCATCAAGAAAGAAGGCCTACGAGCCCTATACGCCGGAGTCCAGGGCGAGCTGCTCAAGAGCTTCTTCAGCCATGGTCTGACGATGCTCAGTAAAGGCGTGGCTCATCGACTAGTCATTCGCTTATGGTTCTTGATGCTGCCTCACCTACCGCGACGAAGGATTCAGTCCAAATGACGAGGCATCGAGACTGAGAACGGGCAATGAAACCAGGCTAGCACTGAAAAGCGATGCCGGATCTCTCCACGGTGCTCGTTCCACGAGCTGAGAAGCCTGTTCCCTCTGACCGGAGCGCGATCAGTCCGGGAACCGAATCAGCTTTTGCGGTGTCACGCTTCTGGGGTTTCGAGGTTAAGGGCACATCACAGACGTAGCAAGTCACCGGCAGCTCGTCTTCTGGGGATGCCTTCTTACCAGATGGGATCATGAACTTCTTGACACAGCTGTGGCACAGGACGTGCCCGCACTGCTTGGCCATCATGGGGTTCGAAGAGTTATTGAGCGCCTTCAGACACGAGGGGCAAGTTCTGCGCTTGACATCGGAGCCCGAGACGTCCTCCTCGTTAAAGTTGATGGTGATGAGACTCTGCATGGAGATCGGGTGAGGGTCGTCTCGCGCAGATGCTGGGCAGATCGGGGATGCCTTTTCCTTCTTGGCCACAACGGCAAGTTTAGTTGTTTGCACGTCTGGCGTAAGCGACGGCGTCCAGAACGAAGGTAGCGTCGGTTTAGCAGCCTGTAGATGAATGCCATAGATTAATATGCGCCTTCTTTTGGGAAAATGTGCAGGTAAATTTGGAACAAACCTTTTCGTCGTCAATTGCCTTTCTCGCCTTGGCCTTGTCTTGCCGCGTGATGCGATCAAGCTCGTCTTCGTCAAGCTCAAACTTCCTCTTTGTTCCCACTGTAGCTGGCGTGTCTCCCTCGTCGCCAGCAGCTGTTGACCGTGCCGCAGCCCCATTCCTGGCTCGTTCCAGGCCAGCCTGCGTCATTTCAAAATCCTTGATGGCACGTTCCTGGTCTTCCTGGTCATCCACGGCTCTTGCCTTTGCGGCCTCGTTTTCAGCATGTTGCCTGCCCTTCTCGGCCCGCTTGATGTCCTTTTTCTGCGTCAGAAGGTTCGAGAGGGCGCATTCGCGGCAGAAGATGTCGCCGCGCTGGCAGGCGACGGGATCGCGAGAGATTCCGAGGCAGAGGCCACATGAGCTAAAGGGGAGAAAGGAGTCGCGGTTGAGGCGGGCCGAGTTGGAGCTCCAATTCAATTTGGCGATATCTCGTTCGTGGGAGGTGAAGACGGCCCGGGAGGTATTTCTTTTGCCTATTTGGATTGTCCATGGTTAGTCATTGCGGTCGCCAGGAGCTAAACACGGGTGTAGGTGATGATTGTGTGGTGTAGTGGTGACTGTAAGGGTAACGGACTGTGCGCCATGTTGCAACCAACGGGGAGCTCTGCGCGAGCACTGAAACAACTTCAGCAAAGGGTTCTGGTTGCTCCGGGGTCTTTCCACTCAAGTGACAAGCCCAATTGTATCGTTCCGGTTCTGGCGATTTCAGTCTCGTTGACAGGGTTGATTGTTAAGGAGAGAAGTGACCGCCAGCCAGCCGCCGCTCGACAGGTAGGTAGGTTGGAAGGCAGGCTCGCCGCCGCCACCAAAAAGCTGTTGGGTCCAGGGTAGGCGACTCGACAAGTCGGAACAAGTTTGGCGAAGTGGGTCTTGATAAACCCGGTCGCATGTCCTTCCGACGCGATCGCCGGCCTCGCATCGCCGTTCCGCCGCGCCCCAAAAAAAAAAGAAACCAAAAAAGTTTCACCGTCTGGCCTTTGTCGGGCGGTTGAGTGGATGGGCCAATTCTCTGCAGTTGTAGCTTGCGCGCGCACACCATGTCCGGGCCGCCCTCTCCCGCGCGGCCCAGCCTGCCCTGGCGGCTGGCGTCCATGGGCGTCATGGGCTCCGTCGGCGTCGCCTCACGAGCCTTCATATACGGCTTCAATGACGTCGAGGTCCGTGGCCTAGACCGTCTCCTCGGCGTGCTCGACCGCCGGAAGGCGCAAGGTCGTCAGCGGGGGCTTCTGACCGTCTGCAACCACGTTGCCGTGTATGGCTGCCCTGTCTGCTCTTATTGTGCGCCGCCGTGCTGACCGCGTCCGTCCAGACTCGATGATCCTCTCATCTGGGGAATACTACCTCTACGATACTGCTTCGATGTCGCAAATCTACGTTGGGGTTTGGGCGCCCATGATATTTGCTTCAAAAACAAGTGCGTCTCGAAATATCGCTACCCTAAGTTGTCATGACACAGACATTGATTCTGACTACCCTCAGGGCCTCGTCAACCTTCTTCAGCCTTGGCCAGGTCCTTCCAACCCATCGTCTGTGGCATTCATCTCACGGCGGCTTGTTCCAGCCAACAATAACAGAGGCTATCAAGCTGCTATCCGGCCCCTCGTACTCGCCGGCGCTCTCTCCTCCATCCTGGGTCCCAGCCTCAGTCCCGGCTGTGGCTCCGGGCACGCCTTCATCCTCACCATCATCTCTCGCAGAGTCCGATACACCATCATTCTCGACCAATGGGGTTGACAGCTTTACTTCACCGGCCGCCTACGCTTCTAACCGCAATGCCTGGCTCCACGTCTTTCCCGAGGCATGCTGCCACCAAAGTCCGGACAGTGGGCTTCGATACTTCAAATGGGGAGTGTCTCGGCTTATACTTGAGAGCGATCCGGCCCCTGAGTTCATTCCCATGTTTATTCACGGTACACAGAACATCATGCCCGAGAACAGAGGATGGCCCAAGTGGGCGCCGCGCATCGGAAACAAGGTGAGAGTCGTCATAGGCCAGCCAACCGATGTTGACCAGCTTTTTGGCACCCATCGTGCCGCCTGGCGAAAGCTGGCAGAAAAGGGCGACCCGGAACTCCTCAAACATAGCCCCGAGGCTGTTGAGCTCAGGATCGCGGTGGCCAAGAAAGTTAGAGACGAAGTAGAGAGATTGAGGGAAAGCATGGGCTTCCCTGCCGAAGAGGACCAGTCGGCTGCCCTGGCAGAGACGTGGATAAAGGAGCCTCACATAAAGAAGTTTAAGAGTCCCGTGGATGGCAGTCTTGTAAATAGACATTGAATGGCCCAAAAATAGAAAGGACGGAAAAAGAAATATACACGAATCACTGAGGTAAAAGACCCAACCCGCTTTCCGCTGCCTGTATTAGTTGCGACCGTGGTTCGGGTGATGCCAACGCAGGCAAAGAAGCCAACGCCAACGACAATAACACAACGTCCAGGCGGTGGCCTTTCATGATCCAACTACTTTCGCATCCCCGGTCTAACTGATGCTAACCCCCAAACTCCGTGATACTTCCGTCCTAGAAATACTCCCATCACAAGTCCCCGCCGGCATGGTGCACCCTTGATAGATCGTCTTGGACAAGACGTGGCTCATTCTATCGGTCGAGAGGCGCTTCCAGTTGATGTGACGAGCCCTAGTAGGTATCAAACCCCTGGCTTGGCACTGCCTGGTAGGCACGAGATTGGGCCTGCAGGTTTTGTTGTTGTTGCTGCTGTTGCTGCTGCTGCTGTTGTTGGTGCATGACCAGGTCATTGAACCAAGGATGCTGCAGAGCATCTTGTGCGCTGATTCGCAGCTCGGGGCGGAGCTGGAGCATACGCTGGAGCAGGTCGATACCGGTCGGGTCGATTGCAGGGAGGATGTTGCGGAGGTCCTGGGTAGCATACATTTGAAAGGTGGGCTTGTACTCGGGGAACTGGGTGATGCCGGGCCAGGTGCGCTCTGTTGGTGTTCCCATGATGCGAAATATCCTCACGATCTGATCTTCGTTGGTGGTTCCGGGGAAGAGGGGTCGCCCAGTAAACATCTCGGCCATGATGCAGCCGGCAGACCAAATATCAATGCTGGTGTTGTAGGTCCTGCTGCCGAGCAGAACGTCGGGGGCACGGTACCACAATGTGACCACCTCATTAGAGAAGGTGTTGACGGGGATGCCAAAGGCGCGCGCAAGACCAAAATCGCCGAGCTTCAGAAGACCCTTACTGTTGATAAGCAGGTTTTGTGGCTTGAGGTCGCGGTGCAGGACACGGTTCTGGTGACAAAAGTCGATTCCCTTGAGGAGCTGGTACATGAAGGACTTGATGGTGACGGGCTTGAGAGCACCCCGCTCGCCATTGGTATCCATGTATCTCTTCAGGTCGCCATCCATGAACTCAAATACGAGCATGAGCTTATTCTCGGTGTGGATAACGTCGTGTAGGGCGACAATGTTCTCGTGCTTGAGCTCCTTCATGAGCGAGATCTCGCGGATGGCTGTTGACGGTGTTCCCTCTTCCGAGTCGAGGTGGATCTCCTTGAGGGCGACGAGCTCTCCGGTCTGGCGGTTACGACCTTTGAAGACCTATGGTAGCACATGGACATGTCAGCGAGAGTGCTCCGACACAATACGCGACTGGGCTCTAGGCTAGGGAGGGAGGGCGAGGGCGAATGGGGGACGTTGGCGGCGGCCGAGTAATTGGGCAAGCAGTACGGCGGGCTTTGGGAATAGACTCACAGTAGCATATGTGCCCTCGCCCAGCTTCTCCAGCTGCTGGAACGAGCTGGGGTGTCGTTTGCCGTCCATGACGATAGCGCAAAGCTTGAACAGCAGCGGTTGCGGGTGCTTGTAGGAGGAAACGGGCAATTAATTATGGCGTGTCCCGGGTTGGAGGCGGGCTGTGGGAGAGAAGTTGCCTTGGGCTTGGGCCGTGGTGTTGTTCTGCGGCGCTTCTCTTTTCCCTTTTTCCAGTCGGTCCCTTGCTTGGCCTTGTGTCGGCGCCTGTTGGCCTTGCAGGTGCAGGCGTTCTGGGCCTTGACTCGCCCTGGAATTGCCCCTCCCTCACATTCCTTTCACTGGCCGACAGAGGCTCATGGGCGTGTTCAGTGGAGGGTGGGCAGGTACTTTAGGGGGGGCTGTGGGTACCCAGCGAGCCGTGGTGTACAGGTACCTCAACTTCAACTAGCCGCTGTAAATTAGTGCCCGCTCCGCAAATGTGTACCAGGGAGCATCTCGATCAGCAGTCGTTTGCCCACGGTCTACCTGTACCCGTCCTGCCCCCCCGAGGCTTGACCGCCCGCTAAACGAATGTTACGGGGGCATAATATCGCTCTAGGCGCTCCCTCTAGCCACTTAGGCCCCGCACCCCGCCTATGGCCATGGCTTATCGCCCCATACAGCATCATCAGCTGCCACGGAATCAAGCCATCGTCATAAGCTACGCGCCTATCGTTCCGTCTCGTCTCATCCCGTACTCAGACGCAATCCAAATCCATATCCAAACCTCACTTTCGACATCTCCAACTTGTCGCCACAGTGCTCGCTTGCTCTATTCATCACTCTCCCTGCTCGCTTGTAAAACACATCTCCACTGCATCACCTTCTCGCACCGTCCGTCTCCCTGCTCCAAGCCGCATCGGCCGGCCGCCCTTCCCCGCCATGAGACCCGTTCCTTCGGGGAACCGCCCCCTCAACATTCAACCACCAGGGCGTACAGATAGCCTCGCCTGCGGTCCCTCAGCTGCACCCGTGGCCTGCTTCATCACCAACGAAGCAAGTCTTGAAGCCGGTCGAAACCACTCTCCTCCGAGACTCCGACAGCAGGCCGACCCCCGTAAATTGCAACACAGCTCCCGCCACCCATCGCCACCCGTCCAGCAACCATCACCTGCTCCCGTGGCCGGAAGCGCCTCATCGCTATCTGGCGACGACCAATATCCCTTAGCCTATCCCTCGGATCCTGGTACTCCGTGTTTCCTTGGTCTCTCGGGCCCTGAATCGGCACTAAGCACCTCGTCGTCGAGGAGCTCACTTGCAGGTCCCTCTGTCGAATACCAGAACAATCCCGCCTTGCCAGAGCCTGCCATGTCAGATAACGAGGATAAGGATAATGGCAGCTCCGTGCCCCAACTCATCATGCCAAGTTTGATGGTACCCCACCGACGACCGTTCTCGCATGTAGGCAAATCTCTGGGGAAACTCAAGATCATGGTGGCAGGCCGACCAGGTATGCTGCGCCAGAACTAAATATAATTTCTCATCTTCTCTGTGAAAGAAAGGCTAACAGTGAAACCAGGAATCGGTAAAACTTCACTCATCAGGTCCTTGGCTCAACGATGTGAGCATATCGTGCATATGGATCAGATTGAACCGAATCAGACAAGAGATGTCGCCGAAACATATGCGAGTTCAAGGCCGCATCCTTGGTGGAAGACCGACTCACAGCTTCTTTTGACCGATACACAAAGACCATCTTCCCTGACGGGGGAAATGTTGGATCGAAACGTTTGCTTCGTTGAAGGCCCCGGACATATGAATGGCCCCTCTGTACAGTCTCCCTGCTCTCACTTTAACATGGCGTTGCTCACTAACAACCCACCCAGGGCCCTTGGCACGACCTACGATATGTAAAATCTCACGTAACCGCGCTCTTGGGCAAGCCCATGGACGATTCCGATCTCTTTTCTCTCCTGAACGCTGGGGGCGAACCAATTGTTGACGTGCTTTTATACTTGATACCCAACAAAGGTATGTCTACCGATAACCCTCGCCTTGGTGTTGCGACTAACATTCTCCAGGTCTTGAAGCCGATGATGTGGAATACATCAAGAATGCACAGGCCGTGACTAATGTCATTCCCGTGCTAGCACGGGTGGATGAACTTGGTGGCGATGAGGTTGAGATGGTCAGACAGAGAGTCCTACAGGGCTTGGCCCGCGAAGACCTAGACTGCTTTTCTTTTGCAGGCCCTCATCCATCCGCTGAGATGACTCACGTCTATACCGTATCCACCGAAACACGGCCCGACTATGACACTATGGACGCTAGTGTTCTCATGAATTCGGAGTATATCGCACCTCTCGTCCCAACCGACTTGGGCAGACTCGTGGATCAGGTCTTTTCACTGGATGGATGTACCCAACTGCGATACTCTGCGGCAGTCAAGTGTGTGCGGTGGCGTCGCGATCATGGCTATGGTGTGATGCAGAGCGCATTGCAGAGTCGGAGCATGATACCACGTTCCGCTCCTGGGAGGGCTCTAAGGTTGGGCCCCGCTAACCGGCCACAGTGTTGGGAACGACTGGAGTTGTACAATTGGGCGAATAACCTACGGCAGAGTCTCCATGCCGAGCGGTTACACAGCCTCCTCAGTGAGAGGTCGGACCACACATCATCGCCCCACTCTCAACTGGTACCGCTCGCTTTGCATGGGGACAAACAACTGTGTTTGGAGGTTCGGCGAGGGAGACGGCGCCGCCACCAGGACCCATTAGGGATCTTGGAGCTAGGTGGGCAGCTGAAGCGAAAGGGCATACTCGTTCTAGAGGTGGTGGGCAGCATCGGACTGGTTGGCTACCTGGTTTCTCAGTTGGTAAACCCTGATTGGGCCGAGGAAACTTGCTACGTGGCCTTGGCTGGGTCAAGGAGGATCGGAATGGAAATACCCGGGCTGGGGACACTGTTGTTTTGGTAGGGTGAGGCGGGGATATGCGTATGGCTTCCTTCTAACCCACGGGCCAGACGTCAGTGGGTGAGGGAGCCAGGCGTTGGGGCTTGAGGTGGCCAATTCCAACCAGGAGAAACAACGGAAGTGAAAATTTTAACTAGATGCAATCAAGAGATACCCTTTCAGGAGTCGTCCTATCATAGATCTAACGGTGCAATAATAATACAAGGGTTAACAGGGGAATGAAGAGAAGGGACCCTCTGGCCATGACCGGCAACGCGTGCAGATGGTGTGAGTTTCAGTGACCCATAGCTCTCGGCTTGGGGATGTTGGTAGCCCTTTGTTGTCCAAGGTATCCGGATGGCCATGACATGACTGCAAATCCCATCGTGGCTTATAAAGCTAAACGAAGCAACGGTCAACTTCAAATTTAGCACCACGGGGTCCTTTGAGGGCCATCTGGCGACATTGCGGTTGTTGACTATGCCTAAATTTGGCAAGACTAGAGAGCCCTGGGTCCCTATGTCGAACAACATGGATCTAGCAGGCGTATATCTTCGGCGGCCAGGTCAAGTACCGGATAGTGTGAGCTCTAGGTGACCCGATCATGGCGACGATGGCTGTGGGGTGAGAGATTCAACGGCCACCTTGAAGTCTGGCAAGTCATCTGCAGTGCGACCCACATGTACCCAGCGTATCATGCCACCTTGGTCTACAGCAAAGGCGCCACTCATCTGCCATCGCGAGCCGCTGGTGGTGTTGCGGTTCCAGATGTCCTCGTCCTTGGCAAGGCACAAGGCCGACCACAGGGTGGCTGGGTTGGCAACATGCCAGGTCGTGGAGATTCCGAGGCCCCATTGGGCATAGAGGTCACGCTCTTCATCGATGATGACGTCCACGAGCCACGAGCCGCCAATCTGGGGGAGCCAGGAATCAGTTGCGGCTGCAGATGAGTGGGACACGGCGACGCAGTGGACGTCTTTACGCTTGTCCGACAAGGCGGCCAGGTTCTTGAATGTCTTCTCAGCAACTAGTAGTGAGCAGTCATCTTTCAGCACGCATACTCTCAAGAACTGGGATAAGACTGCAAAACAAGGGAGGCCATACAGGGACAGCCAGCGTGGCGGAGGAAGACAACAATGGTTGGCCTGCCGTCCGGCAGTGAGAGCTGGGGGCTTGAAGGAGCGAAGAATCCAACCTTCAAGGCCGGGGCGACATCCTTGGGTTCGGGCGACTTCCACGTCTCGAATCCCTTGAAGAAGCCGCCACTGCTGGCCGAGTTCTTGGTGGTGTTGTCCTGAGACATTCTTTGTGTCTATCAGTGCCGTTTGTTTAGCCCGGTTGTCCCTGCTGTTCTATGATGCAGTGTTGGGCAGGCCACGGTGATGGGTTGGCTATAACGATGTCAGGGCGCCGTTGGAGGGAGGTTTCGAAGGGAGATATAATAAAAGGAAAACGAGGTCTCGGTCTGAGATTGTCGTGATATTTTTCGATAGGTGCACGTAGCACATAAAATAAAGACCACCCCGGCTAGCGAATGAGGTATGGCCCCGCGAAAGGGATACAGGTCCCTTAATTACAGCAAGTACTTGTACTAGATGACAAGAATACCCTTGCTTACCGTCAAAGGTCGCCAGCAACTACTCACATTTGATAATGCCACAATATGCCAATGCATCATTTGTCTCCCGTAATGTGGATGTGGCCAATTACATTAGCAAGCGTACGCAGCGCTCACTGAGGCCGTACTTGCTGTCCGTGGTTGAGAAGGTCCGATTAGATAAGCTGTGAAGACCTCACTCCACCAACCACATGCCAAAGTTATCTAGGGTAGGTAATTGGGCTTTGCAACATACCTACATATAGCATATTTTAACGTGACGCTGTCATTTTCCGCCTCGACGTGTCCCGGCTCACGTCTCATTTTTCTCATTATTTCCTTCCTCTCCCGGGAACCTCTTCTTCACGATGCGTGAAATCATTACGCTCCAGCTCGGGCAGCTGAGCAACTATACGGCCACTCACTTTTGGAACACACAGGTTGAACATCTACCCACCACCTCATCGCACTACAAAGAGTGTCCCTGACCAACTACAGGAATCGTACTTCACATACGCGGCAGACGAGCAGTCTCCTATCGACCACAATGTTCACTGGCGTGCTGGCATCGGCGCCGACGGCTCAGAGACGTTTCTGCCTCGGACGGTCATCTACGACCTCAAAGGCGGCTTTGGCTCCTTGCGCAAAATCAATGCCCTCTACGAACCCGAGTCTGAAGCGACCCCCGGAGCCCTGTGGTGAGTTTCTGAATGCCCTCTCAGCTGCTCACTTGGAGTTCTTACACATTGCCCTCAGGTCCGGACCATCTGTGGTCCATAAGCAACAACCCCTTGAGGCCAACGCTTACCAGCAGAGCCTGGATTCTGGCTCTCAACCCCCCCAGCTGACGACTTCGACGGTGCGTTACTGGTCCGACTTTTCTCGAGTCTACTTCCATCCCCGGTCCCTGGTCCAGCTCTACGACTTCGAGCTCAACTCCACCACCATGCCCTTTGAACGCTTCGCCATGGGATCGGAGCTCTTCAGCGTGCTGGACAGGGAACATGAACTTGTGGACCGCGACTGGCGTCCCTTTGCCGAAGAGGCCGACCAAATGCAGGGCATCCAGGTCTTCACCTCCATCGACGATGCCTGGGGTGGTTTCGCCTCGTCTTACATAGAGTCTCTGCGTGACGAGTACCCCAAGACGTGTATCTGGGTCTGGGGTCTCCAAAGTCCCATGCTGGATATACCCAGATCCAAGCGCCAGCTTCGTCTTGCCAACACTGCTCACAGCATCGACCAGCTCTGCGCCCAGGCTTCGACGCTTGTTCCGCTGGCACTGCCCGAGGCTGACCTCCCTTCAGGTATATCGATGGACAAACGCTCACAGTGGCACACATCTGCGGCCATGGCAACTGCTATCGAGACTGCTACACTGCAGTCACGCTTGACACAAGAAAGCGGTGGCCAACCAGTTTCGTTGGATTACATGGCTGAATGCCTAAACCCAGCCGGGAACCAGCCCCTCGCCAGCATGCAGATGTCCCTCGCATCAGATGCAGATGGTTCGGATGACAGCCGCATAGACGTTGACTTCTTCCAAATTGGCCGCGATGGCTTTAGTCGAAGGCAAGATCGCGATACTCGAATCTTTGGTCAGGTTCTATCCTGTCGTGCTCTGGACCCCAAAGGCGATGCGCAAGAAGACGCGCCGGGCAACCAAGGTCGCCCAGTTATAGGGAATCCCGTCGTCCGCAAGTAAGCTCACCCATTACACGCAGCCAAGATATCAGGTCTGCTGGACACCTTGTGCTAATTCGGGATAGATACGAGTCATCCCTCAGATTTCCACTACTCGATAGTTACCCAAGAATTTACTCTCGTGCTACTGACCAGCAAGATATCGCCGTCCTGACGACTTTGTCGAGCAACACCTCGATGGCACCACGCATCAAAGTCCTGCGCTCCGAAGCGACACGGCTTGTCGGGGTCGAAGAACGAGAGGGACTCAGTAACGGGTTGGCTGAACTTGCCGAAGCCTACAGGGAGGATTGGTCTAGCGGCAGCGACGACGACGACGACGATCTATGAATCGAGCCGAACGCGGAAGCATCGCACTGCCCTCGTATCACGGATGGTTGGATGTATGGACCCCAGTAGTACAGCTCCTTTGCCGCCCTCACCCCTTTGCACCTCCCGCCGTTGGACATCATGTGGTGGCAGTACGGGCAATCATGTTTGGCGAGGCTCATTTGCCCCTGAACTTGTTTTGTATTGATCTAGCAAAGCCAACTTCCTAATTACAAATACGAAATAGGGTTGTCGTAGATCTAGGAGATGCACCTAACGGCCGCCCTCGGCCAGTGCTGGCAATGGCGCCTGGAACATATTGCCCAGGACGCGGGGCCATATTGGAAAGCCAACCTTCTTTACACAGCCTATGTGCGTTTGCTGCAGTATTAAAATGTATTCAATGAGTCCACGATGTATGGCACGCTCATGACAGGGCCGATAGCTGCAAGTGCGGCTGCGTCTACCATGTCTCAAGCTCAACCGGCCGGCCAGAATGGAAAATCAACTTTTGTGCATGTCAGTCAGTAAAGATCAACCTGGGGATGTCCTCTATATCCGAGGCTTGCCCAAGCTGAAGAAATTGCTACGTGGCCCAACCAGAGATGAGCCAACATTTTGGGTCAACATCTTTCAAAGAGATGTTCTGGGAATGCGAGGTAGGAATACTCAGCCGGCGGCCGCGACCGAGGTCTGTTGTCTTTTTGCGGGTGGCGGGTTCTCCTGTTCATCCATCAGTTTGTCCAGTCTCCTCAATGCATACACTGGCGATGGCAGTGCATCGTAGTCGTGCGGGAAGGGACGCGGATATGAATCAAGTACCTCAGTAGGAGCCCGTTTCTTGCCGTTCGGTGCGCCCTTAGCGCCGCCAGATTTCTTCTGAGGCTTTTTCTCACCAGCATCAAACACGTCGTCTGGAAGATTGAAGCTTGCATATCGTTAGCTGGGCTGGGCGCTCTGGGGAATCGGGTGCTAGCGACTCACTTTCGAACGTGCTGGACCCCGATGGACACCAATTCCTTTAGGTCGTCTTGGTACTTTTGCCACTGAGTGCAGAGGGACTTGAACTCGTCTACCTGATATGACAGGTCGAGAGATTTGGCGTCTGTCAAATTAGCATTTGTCCAACACCCCAGATTCTCGAGTTAAATGTGCACATCACAATATTGCTGAGCCCCCTGCCAAGGGTTGGAACTTACTATTAGCGAGCTCTAGGCCAATGTAATGTGTGGTGGTGAAGACATCAGTTCCAGAAGGTGTCTCCGAGACTTTGGCATCTTCCTCGGTCTTCATCTTGACATCTTCCTCCACCTTGACATCTTCCTCCATTTTGATATTGTCCATCTTGACATTGTCATCATCCTCGACCTTGACCTTGACATTTTCGATCTTGGGGTCAATATCTGGTGCTTCTTCAGAGTTCTCGATGACAAGGAAATCGAGGCAGCCGTCTTGTACTTGTTCGATTTCGCTGTCGCTGTTGCATCGGTGTCGTCGGTCATATCCCTTGTTGAACGCATGCGCAAGAGCTATTGATTGATGCTGTTCCAGCTTCTGGACGAGCATTCGAACCTTGGACTCGACATATCCAGACCATATCTTATGGGCTTCCTTGGTCTTGCTCGCGGAGATGACAGAAATGTAGTATTTGTAGCCCTGGGTGAAGAAAGTGTGTTTGACGAAGAGATCGCTCCAGGGGCGCTTGCCTATCATTACGCTCTCTGATAGCTCAAGCCCTCGTTGGAGCTCTCGCTTGATGATGCTCATCGATGAACGAGTGATGTTGAATGTGGCACACATAGAAGGATAAGCTGGCGTGATGACGGGCATCAGGTGGAAAGAATCTCCCTTGTATACCTAGTGCAACCACATGAGCCAAACGCTCATCCATTCGCAATGACGACTTACCTTCGGATTCCACACGCGGACGGGGAGAGGTCCACTTTCAATGGGCTTCAAGAGAACAGGTTGTGGCCATCGCCACTGACTCATAACAAGAAAAAACTTGTTGACTATAACGGACGTTGCGGCCTTGGGGTAAAGCTGGCACACGCGAGCAACAAGCATAGCCCATGCAACACCACCGGGAAAGCCCATAATGTTGGCGTAGACAGCGCGGCGCTGCGCCCACAGCTTGATGGCTCGTAAAGCAAGCTTAAATGTACTCTGTTCCGGAACCAGGGCTAGAATTTCGTCGGTGACTCGGGTTCCATTCAGAGATCGCAGCTCGGCTTCGTCCAAGCCTCGGAGAAGGCCAGAGTCTTTCAGATCTTGGAAATCAGGGGATATCTGCTTCTGGATGATCCTAGAGAAAATCAAGTCAATGCTTATGCCGGAGTACTCAAACTTGATGATGGGCACGAAGGCATCTGTCACCACGGCTAGGTCTGTGATGGAACCTTTGGGGGCCATGTCAACCAACAGGCCGGGGAAGTGCTTGAAGTAGTCGTCTCGAGTAACATATTTCGGGGCGACAATGAGCGTGTCAATATCGGAGCCAGGCCCGAATACGCCCAAGCGGAAACTACCGTAAGTGAAGACCTTGCCTCGGGCATTTCGAATAAGCACTTCGTTGGCGGGTTCTTTCTCGAGGGCGACGCGACGAACAAACTCGTTGCAGATGATCTGGAGCGAATCGAGGACGGCATGCCTGAGAACGAAGGGGGTCAGTTTCAAGACGCGGGCTGCTGCGGGGACAACAAAACTTGCCTCTTGTCAGTGTCAGACGGGCTCTCAAAAGTCTTCTGGTTTCTCAACTCCTGGATGAGGGCATCGCTAGCACGTTTCTCCGACTCGGTGGGTAAAATGACGGAGATGGGCGGCGTGACGCCGAAGGCCTGATCGCCGGCCATGGTCTTGGTCCTACCAACTGTGAGAGCAGCTCAGTTGAGGTTGGTTGAGTCGGATACAGCGAATTCAGTCTGGCAGGCGATGATAGTCGATGCGGATAGGCACCGAGGGCAAGGAAAGGGGCTGGAACGATGCGGCGTCGGAGGCGTCGTTGGGGTTGGGGCACTTTGTTGCAGTCTGGGTGACCACTCGACCGACCACCTGGAAGGGTAGGAGATGCGCGAGGGAGACGAGGGATGGAGCACGGCGCGGGAGGTCTGGTATGAGTATGGAGGGTCTTGATGGCAGGTGCAAGGAGGCGAGGTATGGTTGAGAAAGGGCGTGTGGGTTCGGTCGTGGCGGGACTGTGAAACTTTGGCTGGGTTTGTCTTTGTCGTTGTCTCTGTGGTGTCTGGCGAGAGAGAGCTGGCGAAGCGAGAGGTTGGCTAGGCGCGTCGCAAAATGTCGGGCGTTAAGCCTGAGGCAGCTGGGTGTCAGCCCTCCCGGGACACCTGGGGTACAGATGTGTGTGGGCGTGTGCGCTGCCGTGTGTTTGATGCTGATGTGATTGTATTGTGATCGAAGTAGGATTTTGGTGTTGGTCTGGGGGACGCGACGAGGCGAGACGAGAGACGAATGATTGACAAGGCCAGTATGCCAGCGTCGCTGTTACTTACCTTGGGTAAGGAATTAACGGGGTACTTTAGGTACCTCAGGTAGTAGCGCTCCCTCCAGGACAGCCGGCACCTTACCGGAAACCAACTGGAACATGCAGCGCCTTAGCGCAGCCGTAGCCCGTTACCCCCTTACTGCACAGGACGGAGTACATCCCTCACAGCACCAAGTATAGCCGCCGCCGATGTCCCTGTCTCCCTGTTGTGTAGCCCTTGGCAGGCCGCGCGACAAGGGGGTAAATTCTTGCCATGTTCTGCTTGAGGTGGGTCAATGTCGCGGTTTCGGCATATGCACAAATCGGGGCTCCATACCCGTCCCACAACCAAGTACCAAGTGGCCCAGCCCCAGCCCACTGCCCTGCCTGCCACTTAAATGACACTAGGTCAAACGCGAACGCGGTACAAACCTTACCAGGGATTTGTTGGATAATCGCCTTTACTCGACTCGACTTAACCACCACAGTCGACGACACTTCCGCACGCACACCACAGCTTTCGACGACTGGCCTCGTTAACCTGTGCCTGGCCCGTTTGTGCAAGCATCTTCCTTCTCTATCCCACCCATCTCCACTCGCCGCTGCACGATGCCACCTTCAGCTAAACGAGCCTCAAGGGCCCGTCGCGATCCGCGCAAGGGTGTGACCACCGCGCCCGCCGACCTCGAAGACTCGTCCCCAAGTCGCCCTGCGAAGCGTCGCAAGAAGGTACGCGGCAAAACAACATGAATGGTAGTGACATGACCCATCCTGGCCTCGCTGACACCATCTCTGCTACAGATCCACGACGACGACTCGCCTCCTACCACCGACGACGACCAGCTAGTGTCGCAGATCACTCAGCAGTTGAGGAACCAGCCCGTTCAAGCCAGCAAAGACCACGCCAATGCCATCCATGAGGCCAACGGGGACGGCGTGAAGGCATACGCCAAGGTCGCTGCCCAGGACTGGACCTTCTACATCACCAAGCTTACTGTCAACATCGGCCGCGCACCCGAGATAACGCATGCTGGCGCTGGTGGCAGTGGCGACAACGAGGATGAGGATCAGGTCCATATCGACCTGGGCCCCAGCAAGATGGTGTCGCGTGAACACGCCACCATCAGCTTCGACTCCAAGGACGAGAAGTGGTTTCTTCGTGTCAAGGGCCGTAACGGCGCCAAGGTTGATGGCCAGCCCCTCAAGGTCGGCGTCGCACACCCCCTCACCAGCGGCGAGGTCATCGAGATTGGAAATGTCGAGATGATCTTTGTGCTTCCGTCAGAGATCAGCCCTTTGCATGTTCACTCGACCTTTCTGCAGCGGTGCGGACTCAGCGCCGACACGCCTCAGGCTCGATCCTCTCGTCGACAACCCCTCATCGCCCCGGCACCTCCCGAGTACAAGCGACCAGGCACGCCACCGTCTGCCCAGAGTCTGCGCACATCCCATACGAAATCACCGGCCGCCAGCACCCCAGCAGTCATGGTGGGCGCCAACGGTGCCGACCTGAGCCAGGACGAGAACCAGCACATTAAGCCGCAGTATAGCTACGCCCAGATGATCACACAGGCCATCTTGAATGCTCCTGATGGCAAGTTGAACTTGAACGGCATCTACACCTTCATTATGAGTAGTTATTCATACTACCGCCACCAGCAAGCTGCCGGCTGGCAGGTGAGTTCCTCAACACACCTGGGATTGATGTAGTATGTGTTAACACAAGCTAGAACTCCATTCGACACAACCTCTCACTCAATAAGGCTTTCGATAAGATTGCTAGATCAACCGATGAGCCAGGAAAGGGCATGAAATGGCAGATCGTCGCTGAGGCCCGCGAGGAGATGGTGCGGAACGCGTACCGCATCGGCCGTGGAGGCCACCGAGGATCATCCGCTCCATCATCACCAAGCCAGCTCAGTTATATCACACATGGACCTAGAGATATGGCATCTAGAGAGCCCACGTCCGCTCGTAAACGCCGAGGCTCGCCTCTGCAATCACCGCCTCCCAGGCCCTCTCTCCTCATCGCCCAGTCGACTCCAGACAGACCATCGGACCGATCACTGGGCAGAAGTGCGACACTTACCGCCGATGGCAGTCCGCTCCCCCGTCCCAGGAAGACCACAGCAGCGGATTCATCATTCTCAGGCTATCATCCTCAGTCGCCTACTCTCACATCTTCCTATCTCCAGGAGGATGGGACGTCCTTTGTGACGCCTGCACCCCCGAGGGTTCACCCAAAGCTCGCTCCCCCAAGCACAGCACAGCGGCCCAGCCAGCACATGCCGACGAGCTCCCCCGCGCCATTCTGGAAGTATGCCGATATTGGCAGCACTCCGTTGAAGCCCTTGGGCTTGGCCCCATACGAACTGAGCCCTTCTAAGCCTGGCGGTGGATTGCCGCCGCAGAGCAGCAGCCCTCCCCGAGGAAACAAATCCCCCCCTAGCAGTCCGTCACGACCGCAAAGATCCAGCCCGCAGCAAATTGCCGACCCTGGTGAAGCGGAAGAAGAGGAAGGGTTCGATTTAACCAAGTATGTTGAGACCTCCCCATTATACTCATTTACGTGGTGCTAACTTGATACCACCAGGGGATTCCAGAGTATCGGATCCTACCACGCTCCGGTAGGAAGGGGTGCTTCCATTGCAAGCGCACTGAAAAGTCGCACTTGATGCTGAGATAACGACAACATGATGACGACGATGACGACGAGAAGGTGTTTTGCTTGTATACTATAAGGTATACTACGTAGCCTTCGCGTTATGTATCAACAAGCTGGCTTCAATAAGTCACGTTCCCCTCTATAGACGAGGCGGAACAACGATGAATTCTGTTTTTGCAACCTTCGCCTGGACTTGGTGCTCAGTTCGTCGTGGCTGTGAGCCTTCGCTCGTGGTTGGCCTGTTTGCCAACTTTGCGACCATGTTTAATGGGTACTTGGCAGCCACTGACACGAGATTGTGCTTGCTGCAGCAGGATTGCTCAAAGTCAACCAATTTTGGTATTGGAGTGAAGATATTCCTCTTGTGGTTCTAGCCTTTTGTAGCTACCCGTACAATATGCAAACGCGCCTTATAGATGCAAATGTATGACCAATCCCCATCCGCCCACCGTTCCAAGACCTACGCCAGGGGCCGTCTCCATTCAGAATCATCCGCCGCATTATACATGTATAATTCCTACTTTTACACAGCAGTGTGCAAATACCGATCACACAACAGCATCATGAGGCCAAGGCGTGAGGCAGCGTGCGATGTACTTACATAGCCGCCTGGCCTCGCCTCTTGGGGTTTCCTCGACTAGGTCGCTTCTTGGACGACTTGGTCTTTTGGTCACCTCCCTCGATGAACTTGAGGAGCTCGTCGATGCTGCGGGAATCGATTTGTGACCCCTGGGCGTTGCCGCCTGGGGGGGCAACAGAGGCAGCCTGGGCTGGGGACGCAGTCGTGTTGAAGCGGATTCCAGATCGGATTCGTCGCGCCTGAACGTCCTTGGCATGTTTAGCGATGGAGACGGCATTTTGCGTCAGTTGCTCCAACCAGCTCTCCGCTTCCTTGGTGTTCTTGTCCTCGGGGCCAAGCTCAGCCAGGAAAACGTTATACGACTCACGCATGCGGTTGACGGCTCCCTTAGAATCGTGGTCCAAAGCAAGCGCCTGAGCAAGTTGGAACAGAAGAGTAGCTGAGTTGACTGATTGCTTGCCAAAGACAGACTCGCACACGCGCAGTGACTCCTCAAACCAGAGTCGAGACTCATGGTAGGCCTTGAGATGTTGTAGCATCACCGCGGCGTTGTTGATGGTTGTGATAGAGTCGGGGTGGCCAGGTCCAAAGATGATCTTCCACATCTCTAGGGCATGCTTGGAGTAGATCAGGGCACCCTTGCTATCGCCAATTTGATGCAGGAAAAGACTCAGGTTGAGGTAGTTGAGAAGGGTCTCAGATGAGTCCACACCAACGGTCCTTTCGGCGACGATGATGGCCTTCCTGGCGAGCTCTACGGCAGCCTCCTTGTCGTCAAGCTGGTAGTACAGCATCGAGAGGCTGTTGTAGACCCTGGCAACCTCCGGGTGTAGGATCCCGTAGATCTGTTCATGCAGGGATAGAGACTCTAGCAGGAGCTCCTGGCCCAGCTTCTTCTGGTTCTGCATGATAGAGATGCGACCGGCTTCGAGGGCCTCCTCAGCGAGTGAGCTCCTGGGGGAAGAGTCCTTGACTAGGGGCACCATGTCAATGATGTCGTCGGGACGGAACGTGTGGATGTTAATCGGGGCGGCGATGACTGGGGGAGGCGAGTCACGACCCTTCTTCTTCTTCTTCTTGGACTCGCCGTTCGCTTGACCGTTGGTGATGGGCTGGACAGGCTTGGCGGGAATCTTTGCAGCCGAGTCATCGGCCGAAAACAAGTAATCCCGGGCCTGGACTTGGATGCCAAGCCTTAAGCAGACTTCACGGAGAAGCTGGGTAGGCCGAACCTGCGAGAACCACTTCTGGTCCAGCTTATACCGGAAACGCTTGAGGGTGTGCGCCTCGATGCTCGCGCGCAAAATCTCGGGCGTGAGTTTCTCAAAGGACCAATCTGCATCAGTGTAGAGAGCGCGCAGTTCGGAATCAATCTCAGCAACTGGCTTCGAGTTGAATACGTGTCCAAGAAGACAGTTAAGCAGGTGCGAAACACAGGCGTGGATGGCAGGAACAGGCACATGGCGGAGGTATACTGCAGCCACATGCTTGAAGGACCGCGTAACCATGTCCTGAACACAAATGTCTCGTAGGCATTGAAGCCTTCCGTCAGTGCTGAGCTCGGCAACCTTGCCTAAGAAGCGCACGTTGATTCCGCGCTTGTGTAGAAGTCGGCTGAGCGACTGACCATCCATTGGAAAGCTGATGTCCGATTCAGAGAGCTCTCGCAACAAGCCAGGGATCACTTGCTCACGCAGATATGTGCCTGCCGCCCTGACTTCAGCCTCATCGGCCATGAGCTCGGCCTTCTCGGCGTCTGTTTGTGGGGTTTGGCCACTGAAGGCATCGGGGTTGAGGGCAAATCGGAAGTCAGAGAGGTCGGGCTGAGTCTTTTCGCCCTTGGCCGCCTTCTTGCTTGTCGCCTTGGCAGGCTTCTCCTTCTCCTTATCACTGTCCTCATCACTGTCTTCCTCGCTGGATTCGTCACTGTCTTCCTCGCTGTCTTCATCGCTGGAATCTCCTTCCGTAGGCTTCGCCGCTTCGCTCCGGCGGGCAAGTTCCTTGTCCACCCACTCCTTCATCCTGTATCGTCCAAAGGAGTCGACGAGTTCCGGTCGCAGGACAGTCATCCGGTGGGGATACTCGGCCGCATCCTTGTTATCCCCGGATTCATCTAGCCAGGCGATATCCAAGGGGGTGATTCTGTAGAGATCCAGGACGTACTTGCGTCCATCAGTTCCCATCAGCCCCTTAGTTTCAACGCTTGCCTCCAAGTCAAATCGTTTTCCATCCTTGTCCCAGACGGGGTGCTTCTTGACCTTGAGCGCCTTGGACAGCTGGGCGAACCCAGCGGCAAACCGTTCGTCGGCGGCCACGATGTCCTTTCCATCAACGGCACCGTAGTCGATCTGGTTCTCGCCAGGCTCACGCTGCTTGAAAATCCCAGGTACAATACTCTGACCAACAATACGCTTTCCGATATAATCAACGACGACGGTAGCAGGAGTGAATAGACCCTCGATGTCGAGCTGGTTTACCAACTTCACGCCAGCCACATCCTTGCCAGTGGCGACTCGAGCAGCCTCATCGCCACCCTCGGAAGTAAAAGTGCCAACACCATCAGCACCGAATGAGAAAAAGATGTTGTTGTAGACAAAAATCTGGGCATCTTTGCACTCGGTAGGGTTCAGAGGGACGATCTCGCCTCTAGCAACCATGACGGCACCCTTGATAGCTGCGTCATTGTAGTCGGCAAACAGCTTAGACACTAAACGCTCTCGGAAAACCCGGTCTTGAACAGTCTCTCGGGGAAGCTCCTTGGCTGACTGAAATTCTTCGTTCCAATCTCGCAGAGAATCTGTGTTGTCGAGCCCAGCGATCAGATAAGTCTCCTGGGATCGTGTGGCGTCAGGAAGATGTGTGCAAAGAGAAGAAGTAGGGGCAGGGACAGCCCAAGGTGCAGCAGGAACCGCGTTGGTGATCTGAAAAGTGGCCAGGGGGTCCCTTTGGTTGTTGTACTCCTGGAGCTGCGTGAAGGATTCGGCGAAAGAGGGAGAGATGGTGTCGATTAAGTTGAGCAGAGAGTGAGAAGATTGGCCCTTGGGCGCCGGCCTGGGGAAAGGATCGAACTTTGCGTTGGATGACTTATTGATAAAGAAGCCCGAGACGTGGGATGTGATTTGGTATTGCTCGCCCTCGGTCGTGGTGACGATGAGGTACAGAAGATGACCTCGCTGCCTCAGGTGGGGTGGCGGGGGGTTCCAGGGCGACAGGGCGATGGATTTCACCGTCTTGGGCGCGGGGTCGGTCTCCTTGGGAACGAGGCTGGTCAGAGAGGGAATGGCCTGGAAATCGTAGTCCTTGATGGGCAGCTCGGCGGCGGCAGCCTCGTCTTTGTTCGTCTGTGCTTCGTTGGCGACCGTCTCGAAGAGCGAGAGACCAGGGAGCACACCCTGGGAAATTTCGGAGCGGTTTCCCGCGGCGCCAATGAGCTCTCGGATGCGGACGAGATGGACGCGAGCCTCCCTCTCAGTGTAAGGGTCTTGGACGAGGTGAAACTCCGGATTGGGTCCCAATTCAGGGATCTCGGCGAGGGGGATGAAGTCATTGATCCGTTCGCCGTTGTACTCGAGGTGGAAGCACGTGTACTGGAAGGCGGCGGGCATGTCGATGACGGACTGGCGAACCTCATGAACCTGTTCCTGGGACGACACCTATACGATTGCGTGAGCATGAGGAACGCATACCGGGGCGAGGCGGAGGGGACTGACCACGATCTGTATATTTTCAGACTTTGCATCCGGTAGGACGATAGTGAGGTTGACCACGGCTAGGGATGGATTGTGTCAGAAGGTAGTCGAGCGAAGAAAGTGCCGGCAACAATTACCTTCGGAGCCCGCATCGACATCGGGAGCGGGCATGGTGTTCTCCAGCTCCTCGCTCGCGGCGGCTACTGCATCGGTCAGCTGCCGGTCGACGGCCTTGACGGGGGTCGTGGAAATGTGATGTGGGATGTGGGAAGCTCGGATTTACTATTACTTACCTGGCGCAGCAGCTGGAGGGACAGGGTCGGAAGCCATGATATTTTTTTTTTTGGAACAATTAGAATGGAGAAACTAAACGGAGAAGGAGACAGGGTGACACAGAAGAGGGGGAAAACCAGGCATGGGACATGCACTGGCGATGACAGGCAATCAATTGAAATGACTTGGTCTGTCAAATGTCAAGATGGAGAGCGGTGGGCGAGAGGAGAGGAAAAAAATTGCTACTTTTGCTCACGGCAATGCGGTACGTGGGTGGTAGGTAGGCAAGTAGCCGGCGGGGACCCTGGACAGCCGGGATACCTCCCGTAGCCTGCCAGGCTCGCCGGTGCGTTTGGTACACCCCGGGTATCCCCGTGAGCCGCATTCCCGCTGGACGGCCGGCTAACCCCAGGAATTAGAAAAGGCACTAGTCCCAAAGAGGTCGAAAGTCAACAGTGAACTTAGGTACCAGTCAAACAATGCAACCGGCCGTGAACGCATCATCCATCAGCACTTGACATTTCCTACAATCTACACCATACGCTCATGGCTGACTTCTATTGCTCAGTGTGCTAGAACTATCGAATAATTTACTCAGCATCTTCAATGATCGAGACAATATGTTCCTTCCCCTCGCCATCGGCGCACACGATGCGAGCCGACAAGGGCCGACTCAAGTCCAAGGACGAACTCCAGCCATGGACCGCCGCTCGATGCCACCGACTTCTCCGTCAATTGCAATGCCGCCTTGGGAGCTTGCGGAAATTAGTCCATGAGGCTCGACAGCCTGTAATCAGACGCACATCCAAGCGAGCCAGCCTCCAGGAGGAGCACACGAGACCACCGAAACGCACCCGCTACACATACGCACAACGCCGATCGACATCATCGAACCCCAAGACTTCGAATCCAGCCTTGTCGACGCCTCCACGGACGATCCGCACACTAGGTACGATGAACTTAGGACGTTGCTCGCCCGCCTCCGAACGGGTCGATTTTTCCACGCCTATGCTTCGTAGGGTTTGCATCCAGCCTGGTGCCTCCAACTGCTCGCCGAAGAGAGACGACACAGCAAATTCGATGCCTTTGTCCCTAGTCGCAGAATTGCACTCGCTCCGCCGCCTCGCCCCGGAGGGCCACTATCGCATATACGAAGCCATCTTTGGCTGGCTCAGTGGCCTACTACGCTCGAACGAGACCAAGTCGCCAACACCGCACCCGAAGAGTTTGTTGGGCATGTGCTTGCGCAGGGTTCCCGCAGCTTTGGCGGAAATCGAAACATGGGACCGCCAGATGGCGGAGGAGAACGGAACCAAGTCCGTATGGGACTCGTCCAACGCCTCTGTCGAGCTTTATGGACAGCTCGAGACGTTTGGAGCAGCCGGGATGGGATGGAAACCGTTACGACTGGTTGTCCGCGCACACGCATTATCGATCCTGGCCGAAGCCGTATCTGAGGGGCTGTTTGAGCCTGAATTCGTGCGCCTGCTAGCTGAGCTTTACCTGAGCTTTAAATGCGCCCAGAATGCTGCTACGATTGTGTCGCGTCTTCCGTCTCAACTGACAGGGCCAAAGAGCTCGTCGAGTACGTTTGATGAAACTAGGAAGCTCCAGCCGCTGGCGGTCATCGTGAAAAGCTTGCAAGGAGCGAATAGGCCTGGAGCTTCATTTGATTGCCTGACCAGCCTCATCAACAGCGGAAAGCTGCCGCTGACGTGGGCATATACGAAAGGGTTTAATGCGGTCTGGGCAACAACTCTAGAAGCTATGGCTACCAGCAAACCGGAACCCTCAGCTATTGTGTTCATATGTACGTTGATGGAGCAGCTTTCGACACACGGGGGAATGGATGATTCACCAAAAGAGAGCACGAAGAAACAGGCCCTGGTCAGCGTGGCTGCCGGATTGACTGCCATGGCACTGACGCTAGGAAACGGAAACACAATTGACATAGGCCCAGCCCGAAGGCCGGCCGCCAGGCGGATGATGCATGTTCTAGATCGCTGCGTGAGTCATTTGCAGTGTCAGCAGAAGGCTTATGGCGAGGATCTGTTCGTTCTCGCCATGGCACGATATATCGCCATGGCTGAGAGCAAATGTGTTGACTCGGCAGTACGGAGACAGGCAGAAGAGGAGTTCAGACAACTAGCGGTGGGAGACGACGATGCCTCATCGCAGACACAATATCACCAAGCGCTGTTCCTGGCGATATCCATTGCGCGGTATCGGGGGCGGGCATGCAGCATGGCGTGTCATGATGTTCTGTCGGAGATTTGCACCTTGCTCGATGGCCTAGGACTCCCTGATTGGTTTCGCAGGGGATTGAGGACGGATGGGGCTTTCCTTTTGGCACAGAAAACAAACGACCTTCGAGACCTTGCTTTTGCAGAAAACCTTCCTGTGACAGGGAGAGGATATGCCGAGGCCGGCACCATCTTCTCGGGGTGGCGGTGGGAGGAAGGCATTAGCGAGTGGGTGCTTCCAAGCCCAACGTCCATGGGCCGAGGAGACGGAGGCGGCTGCGGCGAAAGCTTAGAAAGCGGAAGGGTGAAGGGAACGGGAGGGAACCTGGCCCCAGATCGGGGGCGGGGCCGGGGCTGGGTCCGGGGGCCGGAGGGAGAGAGCCGGAAACGAGACGGACGGGGTATCAGCAAGGGAGGGAGAAACACAAACGGTCACGTTGACAGCGACGGCGATAGCGACGGGCATGGCGACGGCGAGGAAGACAGTGGAGATGAACTCAGCGGCGAGTGGGATGATGCAGCCGGCATTTGTGGGCTCGGGCTGGGGAATGCTGCCAGGACCAGCATTGCGGGCAGCAATTGGGACCCAAGAGGGCGGCATCCTGGGAGCAGGAGCAGTCTCAGCAACCACAGGATTGGGAACTCGAACGATATCATGGGCGAGGAGAGCCCTACTGGGAGGGGCACCAGAAACAGATCCTCGTCATCGGCGGCGTCCGCGGCGTCGTCATCAGGGAGGCAATCGCAGTCACAATCACGGTCGCGGTCGCAGGCGCGGTCGCGGGCGCTGGCGGGAGCTGAAGGACAGCCAACCAAGGGCAGCAAGCGCGCGGGCTCACGGACGATGATACGGACGCGGACAGGGACGGGGGCGGGGCGGTTCAGGGGCATGTCGCAACGGAGGGACAGCGCCAAGCAGGCCCTGGAGGATGATTGGGACGAGCTGGTGTAGTGCATGTAGGGCATACCTTGTAGGGCATACCTTGGGACGGCTAGGGCATGGCTAGGGCATGGCTCAAGCTGTCGGGGGAGCGTCAAGGGAGTGTCGAGAGTGTGTCTTTTTGTGCGAGGCCTTACGACAGCATCTGTCACTGTGGATCATCAGCCACTTGAAACCGCCGCCGCTGCGAGTGGTTCCGCGTGGCTCCGCGTGGCTTCGTGTGGCTGGCGAATCAATCGACTTCGTCTCTCAAGTTTTCACAAGTTTCCCCCAAGTGCCCAAGTGCCGGGGAGTGGCATGTTTCAGGGGCCCCGCCGGCGTTGGCTGGTTGGCTGGCGTTGGCTGGCCTCATGGACCCGTCTCTTTTCCACCAACAATCGATCGAAGGCCATCCCAGCCATCGCGGTGCAACATTCTGAATCTGGACCCCCGAAACACTCGCCTTGCCGGGGGAACGAAAATCTCAATTGGCTGCCCCTGTCGTCCCGGGGGGTCGCCGCTGTGATGGCCAGCACGGACTGCATCTGCATTGCTGGTCCTGGCGGGACGCGGCAGCTGTGCTACTGGATGTTGGAGTCGTGTCTTCCAAGACGGACGCCGAGTGTGGCCAATCCGCACCCAGGCGTAATTACTACGGACTTTTGCGTCCATCTCTTGGATATTTAATATATTGTGCCAATGCTCTCGGCGAATCCGTTCCTTTCCCAGCGGTGTTGTTACGGCTGCTAGATTGCACGCCCCTTTCCCTTCTCTCTTCCTCCCTTCTTCTACACTTCGTTTCTGGCTGTTTTGCCTCTTCATTCCTTGGGACTCCATTCCTCGTGGTTTCTATTCTTGTTTCTCTTCGCCTTTTTCTCTCTCTCCTTCTCTCTCGTCACTCTTATCCTCCTCTCTTCTATCCTCGTCCGTTTCTCTTCATCATTTACCGTCACCACAATGGGAGCAGGCTCCTTTCAGCGGCGGTATGAGCCCACTCCGGCAGAGATTGAGGCCGAAAAATGGGGCGAGCAAAACAATGAAGAGCTGTCCAACTACCTCTTCATCATCTGTGGTGCTGTCGCCGTCGCCGTCATCTTTTGGAAACTCGCCGACAAGGTCAACAAGACTGTCCGAAAAGTCGCCTGTCTCAACAACGACCGTCAACGATACTTCGCCATCCCGTCTTCGACCTTGGCCTCGGTCAAGCGCCACATTCTGTACGCCCCGGTCTTCCGCAAGAGACACAACCGCGAGATTCAACTGAGCAAGGCCGTCAACATCGGCACGCTACCCACCCGCTTTCAGCTTCTCTTCCTCACCTCGTACTTTGCCACCAATGTCCTCTTTTGCGTTTACAGAATTCCCTTCGCGGAGACGAACGCAATCGCCGCCGCGGGGTTGCGCAACCGTGCCGGTGTTCTGTCCGTACTCAACATGGTATGTCCACCTTTTTCCCGACATGTAAAACAATGTTTCTGTCCGTTTCTGTTGCTGACTTGACGCCCTATGATCTGCCGAGTAGATCCCGCTTTTCCTTCTCGCTGGGCGAAACAATCCTCTCATCCCCCTTCTGGGCATTTCTTTTGATACTTACAACTTGATCCATCGCTGGTTCGGCCGCATCGTCATCCTTGAGGCTCTTGTCCACACCCTCGCCCATTATCAAAAGGCGAACTGGGCAGCAGCGGCTTTGTCTAGCACATTCGCCAGCGCTTTTTTCCTCTGGGGCTTCATCGTCGGTCATCCCAATCTCGGGCTATTCCGCCTTCATCCTAACTGGACTCAAATCACTAATTCATACCCCAGGCAACCTGTGCCTTTGTCGCTCTTGGTCTTCAGGCTTTCAGCCCCGTTCGACACGCCTATTATGAGATTTTCAAGATTATCCACATCGCCCTCGCCATCCTCGCCATCTATGGGCTGTGGATTCACCTCGCCGCCTATGACCGACAGCTTGGATGGTTGAAGGCTGTAATAGGACTCTGGGCTGGGGACCGAGCGGCTCGTGTCCTCCGCATGCTCCGATCTCACCTCTTTGGTTCGCGGTCGAGGACTATTGTCGAGGCATTGCCAGGTAACGCCGTCCGGTTGACAACGACCCTTGCCCGGCCTTGGAGCGCCCGTCCGGGTCAGCACGCCTACCTGTACATGCCCAGCCTCAGCCTCTGGCAGTCCCATCCCTTCTCGATCGCTTGGGTCGATGGTGTTGAGGACCCAACCACCGAAAGGCTAGCAAGCACACGCCAGGACCTCATAGGCTCGCAACAGATGCGCGTGTCGTACGTCATTCGCGCCAGAACTGGATTCACCGATTCACTGTACAAGAAGGCCTTGGCGGCACCAGGGGGGAGGCTGGAGACGACGTGCTACTCCGAGGGCCCCTACGGCGGTACACACTCACTTGATTCCTACGGCACGGCTGTGCTCTTCGCCGGTGGTGTAGGCATCACCCATCAAGTCCCGTACGTGCAGAAGCTGGTCGCTGGATACAGTGAGGGTACTGTGGCAACTCGCAAGATCCTTCTAGTCTGGACTATCCAGAGCCCTGAGCACCTTGAGTGGATCCGCCCGTGGATGACTGAGATTTTGGCCATGGATAAGAGACGGGACGTGTTGCGAATCATGCTCTTCGTCAGCCAGCCTCGATCTACCAAGGAAATTCACAGCCCGTCCTCGACGGTACAAATGTTCCCCGGACGTCCCAACATTGATACTCTCCTGTCCATGGAGCAGGAGCACCAAGTCGGAACCATGGTTGTCTCCGTGTGTGGCCCAGGTGCTCTGGGCGACGAGGTGCGACGGGCAGTGCGAGCTCGCCAGGACCGCAGCAGCATTGACTTCATCGAGGAAGCATTCACATGGTAGTGCTGTGGCGACCCGTCACCGCAGCTACGTGCCTGGGCACTGCTGGAAAGATGAGCCCTTAACATGCCCGACAAATGACCATCTTGGTTCAATTACTTTGTATTTTAGATCTACCTGTACCTACGTTCTTTTCGCAGCCCCGGTGCCAACATACCAACCGAGATTCTCAGCAGCCACAGATAGTACATAAAGAGAGAGGCGTGACTGAATTTGATTATTCGCAACCCACGATTCGTGACGGGCCCGTCAGCCCCTTTCCTGTTTACATGACCTTGTCTTTTTGCGGCGAGGAACCCACTCCCTTGTCACAAACAAGTGAAGAGATGAAACCTGCGAAAAGTGTATATCGACTTGGCGAGCCACCGTTTCCATGTCTCCTCCCACAGCAGATAAGACCACTTTGGCTTCCGACGAACCCTAGGCACCTAGGTGACAGAACGACAGGCACGTGTCCCTGCAGCAGGGGTTGGCGTCGCTTATTACCGTGTTTGTCGTTTCTCGTAGCCGCCAGCCCCGAGATGGCCAGCAGGTGATCAAACAGCGGACTAATCTCAAGCCCGCGATCCCACGAGTCAGATGATTACAGGGAGCTTGGCAGCAAACAGGGGACGGGACGATTGCCTTCAAGACTTGCATAGCACTTATGTACTCAAAGGGGGGAACGAAAAATCCCAACGAGGGAAGATCTCCGTCCCCTCCAATTGCCAGCCCGGCAATTGAGCCGTATCTCAGAACAGGTCCGATTGATATCGAAAACGCGGGTCTTGTCTCTGTCCAGTCCAGCGACGGTTCTGTGCTGGCCTAATTCCATCCCGTGATCGGTGCTGACATCATCACTGCCCCGCAAATACTTGCCTTCCTTGACGGTATTTCAGTAACTGCTTATCTGCGTAGATGAGGCAAGCTAAGGCTCTCTATCGGGTTTCCCCATGCACGTAATGAATGGGGCGCACTGCCATCGGTCCAACGAGGTCGCGAGACACTCCCGTGACGTGCCTACCAGCCCCTCAGCCTCATCCTCGTACCCTTTGTCTCCGTAGATTTCATCTCTTCCCATCACTCCGCCTTGCCAGCACCATCGCCCACAGCGCTTGGTGTCATCTATCGCAATGGCGTCTCAAGGCCTTATTCCGTTTCTCGTAGCCATGATGCTACTGACAGGTGTTTGTAATACCCTGTTGACCAAGTACCAAGTATGACGACACCCGAACACGCCAAGTGACTTCCAATGACTGACCTCATCAGGACAACCAATGCGTCCGCAACTGTGGCCCCGATGACAAACCGAGCGACAGAGTCTTCTTCGAACAGCCCGTTCTTCAAACGGCACAGATGTTCATCGGCGAGATGGGTTGCTGGCTCGTCGTCGGCCTGATGGCTCTCTGGCGCCGAGTCTCAAGTTCTGGCACCCCGACCGAACAAGGTTACGAGGCTGTCAACACCAACGAAACGTCGGACCCGACGGCCGAGGAGGACAATGACAGAACGAAGCTACTGCGCTCGTCCAAAGGATCTCTTCTGAAGGGCTACCGAGTATTGCTTCTGGCGCTGCCTGCCATCTGTGATATTTGCGGCACCACCCTCATGAATGCCGGCCTTCTCATGGTTGCCGCCTCCATTTACCAGATGACTAGAGGCGCTCTGGTCCTTTTCGTCGGCCTGTTCAGTGTCATGTTCCTCGGCCGCCGCCTCTGGCTCTTCCAGTGGATCTCCCTGCTCGGTGTGGTCCTTGGTGTCGCCGTTGTAGGCTTAGCGGGTGTCATTTCGCCCGACAAGAAGCCAGAGTCGCCACACCAAGATGAGTCAGAAACTGAGGCTGGCCTCTCGGATGCCGTGAGGGCTATTGTCGGCGTCCTCCTCATCGCAGGTGCTCAAATATTTACCGCTACACAGTTCGTTCTCGAAGAATGGATCCTGGAGAATTCTCCCATCGAACCCATCAGAGTAGTTGGTTGGGAGGGTATCTTTGGATTTACTGTCACCCTCCTCGCTATGGTGGTTCTACACTTGTCGATTGGGATCACGGATGCAGGAAGATATGGCACTTTTGACATTGTTGAGGGATGGCGTCAGGTTACGGAAAATAAGCAGGTATTGATGTCGAGCATTCTCATCATGATCAGCATCGGGTACGAACCACTCCCTGCCTTGTTGCTCGCATGTTAGCTAATCATGACTTTCGCAGTGGTTTCAACTTCTTTGGACTATCAGTGACCCGGAGTGTCAGCGCTACCTCGAGGTCTACTATTGACACCTGCAGAACTCTCTTCATCTGGATTGTGTCGCTCGGTTTGGGTTGGGAGTCGTTCAAATGGCTCCAGATTCTCGGCTTCGCCCTGCTGGTTTACTTTACCTTTGTTTTCAATGGCATCGTTCAACCCCCTCTTAAGAGCCTGCGGGTTGACGAGGAAATTGAGGAACTTTTGCCCGAGGAGCCTATCGAGCATCGGTGATACACAGAGGCTCGCATGGATGGACATAGGGATGGAGTTGTCTGGCGATGGACGGTTGGTTACTTCACTGGAGAGGCGCACTGGGAGTTTGGCACTGTTTTTATGTAGATTGTGACTGTTAGGAAATCTAGCCTAGAAATTGAAGTGCTGCAACATCGACTATGAAAGTAAACCAATAAACACTCCATTCGCCGTAAACAATGCTCGCAACCAAGCCGAGAACACAAGATAAACCGACCGTCCAATGAACGCCAGAACAGAATGTCAAGCTCAGACTTGCGGTCCTCCCTCACAAGCCCCGCCCACCAAATGTACTTTGTAGGAGCCTTGGTATTCAGGTGACGTTGCACAAAAGCTCGGCCTCGAGAATGAACTTGCCCTCCTTGTATTTCTCAGAGGGCTCGTACGCCTTGTCATACTTCCAGCCCACCGTCTCCTTGCACTGGCGGCAGGCAATGTCGCGAACCACGTGACGGCCGGTCGTCATGTTTCGCTCGTTGGGGGCACCCGTGTCGATGTTGACGACGCTGTGGAAGAGATAGGCCTTACCATGCTGACCACGGAAGTTCTAGGAGGTTCATCAGCGCTCCAGTTCTAGTCATGGTGGCCCGGAAGCCAAAGGTGGAGTGGAGGTGCACGTAGAAGGGGATGGAGAAGGAAACGGAGAGGGGAATCGCGAGAGCAGAAGAATGCGTACGCGGCTGATGATGTCCTCATGGTTTGCGAGGTGAGCCTTGCACGACTTGCAGCCGTAGATCTTGCTGCTGTTCAGATAGGTGTTGTATGCCAGCCCCATGATGCCGGGGCTGCGGTCGGGGTTGTGGGGTTTTAGCAGCGGTACGGAACGTATAGGGCTATTAGGAGCGACGAGGGCGGCGGAGGTGGAGTTGAGAGACGAGTGATGCGAGTTGGGAGGTGTGAGGTTCGGGGCGGCGCTGTCGAGACCGGTCGGTTGAGGATGAATGTGGATGACTGCCGGGGCAGGTCGTCATGAGGTCGGAGGACGTCAGGCGGAGGCGGAGCGGGCGGGGGCCTTAGTGGGGGGATGGGGTTTGCCTCTGTAGGTACCTACCTGTACCTACCAACGGACAAGGCAGCTGAAAGCAGACGGGACCTGTGTAACAGAACCAACCCACCCAGATAGGTGCCTACCAACTAACCTACAAACAATGGTACACCAAGTCCTAGGCTATCGCCTGCTTGGCACCCAAATACCTCTCTGGGCGGCGTTGGTCTATACCTAACCACAGTTCTTCATTGTAAGGCAACCTCAGATAAGGCACCTTGTCAGGTGGTCCACGAAGGTGGATGGATGTCCTTGCTCAGAGCCGCCGCATGATGTCTTGCCTACCTGCATAAAGGAGATATTCCTTTACTGCAACAGCTGTGCCCTCAGCTCAACCGACGCATTCATGTGGATGTATTTCCCGGATAGGACGACTGGTACATGCTTCGCCTAGGAGGTCCAGACCAGATGCTTTCCAAATTTGGATGCTCAGACAGTTGAGGAAACAGTTGAGAAGCATGCTCTAGCCTGTGGCGCATGCATGTAATAAGCCAGGCACTTACTGGGTTGCACGTAACATGTTATTAGCTTACTTACTACATAAGAATGTAGCCTCCCAGACAATCTCGTACGCCAAAACCCGAAATAACCAAGGTTTGCCTCCCTAGTTCCCGACCGACGCCTCACTTTTTGGCCTTCTCCTTGGGTTCCTTGTCCTTGAGGTTGTTATAATGCCAAATACCTTGTTCCCTGTCCGTCTGCAGCTGCTGCAAATCTTCGGGGCTCACGGGCACACCTTCGATTCCCTTGACCTTCTTTCCTTCAATAACCATCATGATTCCCCCAACTGCGGCTACAACGCAGGCGAGCGCGACAAATAGGCCTGTTGACCAACTAGGCCGGTCATATCGGTTCATCCCCCACATGAATCCGGCGAGGCAGCATTGCAAAAAGGTGTTCCAAACCATGAGCCAAATAACCGCATCCATTTTCCAGAGTTTGGTTTCCGGTGCCCGTTGCCCGGTGAGAGGAGCCTCGGGAATCTTGGTCTCGGGGTAAGGTATCGCGCTGGGCGGAGCCGAACCCAACGAAGCCGCCACATTCTGCGGTCCTAAGTCGATGGGCAGCTCAGCCGACCCGGACAGTCGAAACCACCCACGATGGATGCCAGCTAGGCGCCTGAGGGCGACGACATCGCCCTTCACGCGGTACTGCAGCAGGAAATAGAGGTCTCGGAAACGCCAGGGGGCCAACCCGAATCCCGTGACGCAGAAAAGGGCGTTCAAGATCTGGGAATCCCACTCGATCCATTTCCGTCTTGGAGAGTCGATGTGGTTGCATGTCGGGTGGCACATTGCAGGGGACGCATTACTACTGGATGTCAGCATAGCTCCAAGTCAATCGGTTTGTAAGATATGCTCACCAAAGCAGTAAGAAAAGCATTCCACCCCAGGCTACGACATTGAGTCCGTAGAGGATGACGCAGAAACCCACGGGAGTCAAGAAGTATCGCCAGGATGCGCGGAGGCCTCGCGACGTAGACTTGCCAAACGAATGGCTCGGGGGGAAGTGATATCCATTGGGAAATGGCGCGGCGGCGGCTGGTTCGCCGGTCGGGTTCTTGTTCATTTCAGACGTCGGGGTCGTGTTGTGCGTCTCGATGGATGCCGGTTCCTCGATGACGTCCGGTACCGTGTTGCGCCTCAAGATGTCGTCGGTCACTCCGGAAGGCTAGGTTGACGATAAATCCGACGAATGGGATCTAGAGCGAGGCGCAGTTGGGCGTGTAAGGATCGATGGATGAAGCGAACGTTCCGGTTGCAGCGACGAATCCCGTGGGCAGATCAGATTGCTCGAAGCTCTGGGAAACACGGCGGAGACGACCACTCAGCGACGAGGAGGCGGCCGGGCGGTTTGTGATAGGAGAGGGAGGATCGGAACTGTCTGAACGAGGCTCAGACTTGACGGCCGAGGAGGAGGGTTCGATGGGAGGGTATGGCTCTGTGTCGCTGTTGGAAGGTTGTATCATCTAGACAGACAATTTCGTTTGAGGGGAGAGGCAGGTGGTCTTATGGACTGGCCGTCCAATGCGATCCGAAGTGGGAGCTGCTGGGGAACATGGTTTGGCAAGCGTTAAGCGCGAGGGCGCATTTAAAACCAGGTCCGTGACAGCGCATCCAGATGCCTGTTAACCCAAATATCCTCGCAAAGCCGGCAGGAGAGAGTGGCGAGCGGAGACGCCAAGGCAGTGGCAACATCAGGGGTACATAGTACCGAGTATTTTTCATGTGCGGCTGCCCTTGACTGGTACCGAGGCCAAAGGTTCTTCGTATCCCCCAATCTTTAGCGCCGGATTCAAGCGAGACGACGCCTCTCCGATTAGGTATAAGCGAGTTACTAGCTCTCCAATTTGCTCGAAGCATTTTCTCGTCATTCCATGAAAATCAACCCATCCGATGCCTTTTCCGCGTATTTGACACAGCCCAAAGTACGCGCTTGCGTATTGCCTCCACTTCATACTGCGGCTCCTTGAACTTCAGTTTCTTTTTCCTCTTCCCACCTACAACCCCACGCGTACATCGTAGCTTGAGCGCCTTGGCAATGGTGCAAGAATCAGGCAGTCCCTTGCGCAGCATGGGTCTTCGACCCAGCCCAGTTGCCGACGTTACTTCGACTGTCCTTCGCAACCTCCAGGACCAGCATGATTGGAGTTCGCTCCACGTCAATTCCTCCGCCGGCCGTCGGCCATTGATCAGGGGCCTACCTCCTCGACGGCTGTACATGCACCCTGACGACCAGATTGCCGCTCTCGCCCGCGAGCAGGCAACCGGCGAACCAGTGCCCAGTGATCCCGAATACGAATGGGTGTTGGCGGTGCATCCCGAGGAGAAGTGGACGCTTAGCGGTTTTGCTAGTGTCTTTGATTCTATCCATCATTCTGGCCCGAGGGCCAAGAGAATTCTTCTGGCCACTGTCCACAACGATTCCACGGTTGTCTACTATCTTATGCATGAGGGCATGGTTAAACCCCGACAGAACTAAGGCATCCCACAACGCCCATTTCGCATCTCATCGCCATATCATCGCCATGTCATCAAGGCTTGAAAACGACCTTCTGCGTCTTTCTCTGCTCGAAAAGGGCATAGCCCTCTGCCGCCTCGGAGAGCGGCATTACCTGGTCAAACATGAACCTTCAGCTAGTGTCAGCGCTGGAAACATGTAGCCAACACCTAGGCGGTGGTGTGTTTACGAACCCGACAAGGTGTTGCTTGAGCTCAAGCAATTCGAGGGCCTCTTGAAAGACGCTTCGGACAGGGCATCGACCCATCTGCAGTCGCAGGTTTTTCCTGTACATCCTCGAGTCAGAATCGTCCGGCTCATTGTCCGCAATACTTCCTGGCCGACTTACGTGTACATGTCGTCTCCCGTCCATGGAATCTGTATAATCAGCCCCGAACGCATATTATAAAATGGAAAACCATTGGCATACCTCAGTGCTGTGAACCCCTATGCTGCTGATAGCTCCAAAGTTTCGCACCAGGTCAAATGCTGTCTTCAGCGCCGGTGCCTGGCCGACCACCTCCACGACCATGTCCGCGCCCCGGCCCTCCGTCACTTCCTTGATGCGTGCTACCATTCTCTCCTTGTCAGTTTGAAAGTTGAGCGGCTCAGCGCCGAGTTGCCGGGCCAGCTCCAAGCGACTGTCGACACTGTCAATGGCAAAAAGATGGCGAGGTTGGCGATGGGCAGCAGCCAAGATAGCACAGAGACCGACTGGCCCACATCCGACGACGACCAAGGTGGATTGACGGATGTCCTGAGAAGGGCACATCTCGATTGCGCTCTTGACACCAAAGTAACCGGTAGGGAAGATGTCAGCCATGAGAAGGAGAGCTTGATCGGAAATAGTGTCTGGGGCCTTGACCACAGTTCCATCTGCCAATGGGACTCTCACATACTCGGCCTGTCCGCCATCAAGATCTTCGCAACCAAATAGCTGGGTCTCAACACAGCGAGCGGTGGCACCATTAAGGCAGTAGAAGCAAACACCACTAGCGGCGTCAACAAATCTTGCAAGCAAGCAAAGGAGGGCAATGGGCGACGTACCAGGATGCTGTGAAAGGGGCCACGACCTTATCGCCAACCTGAACGGACTTGACAGCAGAACCAACTTGGACAACGGTGCCGGTGAACTCGTGGCCCATAATGAAGCCAGTGCCTGAAGTCTGGTGTCCGCGGTAGATGTGCAATTCACTGCACAGCTGGTCAGATCACTGATGGTGAGTGGGGAGCAAGGAGAAGCACTGACGATCCACACAAGCCGGCGGCATGAACTTTCAGGATTACATCCCGGTCATCACACACTGCACATCGTCATTGTTTTTGTTAGTGTTGGTGCCAGGGCTAAAGCAGATGCCCGTGTCTGCATCAGACTTCAAGGGGAAGTGCAGGTGGAGACGGCGTACGTTGAGGGACTGGCCGGTCCTGCACGGACACCTTGTATAGGCCATCAAAGACGACAGCCTTCATAGTTTCGGGTAAAGCCATGGTGGTACGCGACGCTTAGAAGTAGTCGAAATGTGCGAGTCGAGCTGGTGTATGAGCGTTGTGGGCTGCTGGAGGGAGTGTGCTGTGCGAGGCAAGAAAGCGAGGGAGCTTTAGAATACAGGCGGCTGCAATGATTGGTGTGCATACATGCAGATATGCTCATATATGTACAATGGTCAAACCACGTAGGTGTGGCCCGCTGGCGTTGTATGCGGAGGTGCAGCGAGGGAAGAAAGAGCGCGATGTGCGAATTCAACGACTTGTGTGGACTGGTGCTATTAACGGCCGCCATCGGCATGTGCGAGGGTTCTCTCGGCATTGCTTGTGGGGGGACGACTGAGCAGCGTGGATACTACGAAACCCTTGGCTAGTCCAAGTTGATGGAGCCGGAGGACCGACAAAAGGAGATGGCCGTTTGAAATGCTCCTTCTAGCTCTTCTCAATTGTCCCTATTCCGGAGAGAAGAAAGTCATCGGCCTCAGTGGTAAGCCCTGCGTAGCTAATCCCAAAGCTATCATGCCGAGAGGTCAAGTCCATACCTATCTAGTAAGTACCTAGGTACCTAAGTAATGCCCTGACTTAAGTAGAGACCTGCCAAACTTGCATTCTTGGGGCGAAGTAGACGGGTAGGTAGGCAGGGGTGTTCGGGGCGTGGAGACGTTGGTCAAGCTCCCCCATCCCAAAAATAATGACAGTGCAGTTCCTGGCAGTAATGTGAGAGCTGAAAATGTCTCTGATAAGGCGAGAAGAGTTGGCGTCAACCAACTATATGTGTGGTGTCATAGACTCCTCAGGTGGGCCGGTCGCGGCATTAGTAATATGTACTGCCAAATCACGCGCAAGGCACGAAGTTCTCCTGGAACCGATGCGATTCCTCGGTGAGCAGGCACTTTGATTTCCACATCAACTCGGCGGCTTCAGAGGTCGTCGCGAGGTCGTCAGACGTCGTCTCATCAAGAACCCGGTAGGATTGTAATCTGCAATACGTACCAACCTGCCCAGGGAGCCATCGGCAGGAGACCACCTGAGCAACGCAATGCCGCCGGCGCTGGCGCTGGCGCCCATATGACCTAGCCCAGTCTGGGGTTTAGCGGGAGGGGCCTGGGGTCTAGCGGGAGGGGCTGCGGCTTACCAGGGCCTACCCAATAGGTGGTTGCGTGGTAGGTAGTTGGCGCCGCGGCAAAGCAGCGCATGCTGGCCTGTCTCGGGAAGGGAAGGGAGGGGATAATGGTGTGAAATGGCAGAGATGCCCAAGCCCCAGAACCCATCCATGGAAGCGAGCAGCCGAATTTGGCCTAATTGCGCTTAATCCCCTCCATACATCCCCTCCAAACTCTGTGCCGGCAATACGTACTGGACATGCGATGTAGGTACGGAAGATACTGTATTGGAGGTGCATGGTTGAGGCGCAAGGACCCGGGACTCTACACGTCCATGCGGTACTTTGCGGATTCTCGTGGGGTGGGATGATCGCCCCCGGACTGTGGTGCCGGCAGCAAACAGTGCCTAGGTAGGTAGACGGTGGGCAGTGGACGGTGGGTAGTGGGCAGTGGGCAGTGGGCAGCAGACAACAAACGGGTAATTCACGGGCAGGCAACGGGCGGGGGTTCCGGGGTCCCGACATGAGAACAGATACTAGCATGCTGCCTTCTGCCCTTTTCATGGCGGGCACACAAGTGAACATGGCCAGCATGGGACTCGGAGGGCCTCGGTTTGGGGCCGCCGTGTTTAGCCAAGGGCGGGAAACATGCAAAATACCTACGAGGAAGGAGCAGAGCAGACCCCACTGCCCACTACGTCCGTAGCTTTGTCGGGAGTGGAAGTCCCTGTTCCCGTTGTTAAGTGGTACTAGGTACCTAGGAAGCAGCAGCAGTACCCACTTCCCCTCGTCCAGCAACCCTCCCGACCCACATTGCGGCTGGAGGACATGGCAAATGGTGGAGACGGTCACTGTCTTGGGTGTCCTTGGGTCCCGGCCCCTCCTCTGGATGAGGACTGGCGGTGCACCCGCCCAGGTCGGGGAGAAACTGGGCAGCGACTTGGGAAAATTGCGGTACGGTCGGGACGCAGCAATCGCCATGGAGGCGGGGTCCGGGAACGATGGCGAAGAGGAGGCGCGAGGACATGAGCAGGTGCGAAGCGGTGCGAAAGAGAGAGGTGCGACAACGACGACGGTATAACGAGGTCGCCGAGAAGAGGATCACGCCCCACGGAGGACCCCAGAAAATACAAGGTCAGTGATGCGTTGTTGAAGAGGGGGCGGCCCCGAGCACGCACGGTACAGCATTTCGCCGTTTACAAAACATCCGCCATCAGACGCACTTGCATCACACAAACACACGGCAGTGGACGCTGAGGCTTAGACGACGAGCGCAAGTGGGGGAGATTGGGCGGGAGGCACTGTCGCTGTCATGCATCCATTGCTCCATGCTCAATGGTTCAATGGCTCGATAACTCAATGGCTCCATGGCTTGATGGCTCCATTGCTCCATTGCTCCAGTACTTCCTCCACACATCATCATCCACTCACCCATCCAAGAGTCCACCCCGTAGATACCCACACCCACACAATTCCCACACGTCCACCCGTCATCCCCTCGCGCGAGACATATCTAGAATCGCCCTTAACTTGCGCGAGATGAGGCAGCTAGATCGGGGTGCCTGCCAACTTACAGCTCTTCACACTTGAACCGGCCTTCCTGCCTCGTCGTTGGGTACCTACCTACCACCTTACCAGACCGAGTCTTGACGTTAGGAAACCGAGGCTACCTTGGGTTAGTTCTCCGCTAAGACGCTACTAAAAGTCGAGGTAAAAAAAAAAAAACGGCAAAGCCAGGCACGGTACCTACTTACCTACTTCGTCCAAGCTGGAGACTGGAGTCTGAAGTACGACCCCGTCGCATGTACCGAGCTCGGCGCTCCTTCCTTCCCCAGTAGCAGAGCCCCATCCCCCATACTAATTATCATGCCCCATCCCCATCCCCATCCCCATCCCCATCTTAGCCCCCAGCCCCCGGCCCAGCCCCGGCCCAGTCCCAAGCCGCTTTTCCAACTTCCCAACCCCAGCCCAGCCCAGCCGGCCAGTCTGAGCCTCCCCTCACTCGACTCTCCGTATCAAACGCCGCCTCGTCTCCACCCTGCCCTCAGGTCCTGGGGCTCTGAGGCTGCTGCGGAACGGGTAGGGACCAGGCACTTGGGGGTAGCAGGTACTACCCACCCAAGGTACCGCCTACTTACCCTGCCTTCCCGTTATACCTTCCCGCATTACCTGATCTTACCTTCATCCTCCACCGTCAAGCCTCAAGATCCCCCCCTCCTCTCCTCTCTCCTCCACACACACCCACGCCAGCAAATAACAACAACAGCCGCCACTTCTACGACAACCACAACAGTACAACACCACTGCCCAAGCTTACACTCCGTCGGCCCAGCTTTCCTCGAAGTCTCTCCCACAATCGCCCTACACCGCAATCCAGTCTACTACTTGTTCGCCGCCTGGCCTCGCATCGTCGCGCCTCACATCGCCGCACCTCGCCCACCTCCTCACGCCAGAGCGCCCGAAAACTACCAGCATCTCTAAACTGACAACAGACTACTGTGCACTCCGATCCGCGCTTCCCCCGCCCCCTCCAACCCTTGTCTTGTCTTGCGTTGTCTTGTCTAGTCGCGCGCACATCGCTCTCTACCACCTCGCATCTCGAGGCCTCCCCTGCGCCAACCGATTTCCACCTCCGTCGCTCTTGTTGCCTCCCGAATTCGCCTATCGTGAGAAGGCCTGGCTCGCAACCTGACGGCCAACACGAATCCGAGTCGGGCGCCCCCCTCCGAGGGCCATGGCGAGTTGAGCAATAGACGTTGACGCGACAACTATGACAACGGCCGCTCAACACCAGCAATCTCAACAATCGCACTCGCAGCTCGGCTTCGTCGTCGCCGACACCTACGATCCGGATGAGGTGGTCCCTCGCGACAGCCCCCTCATGACTCCGCTCCGTCCTCGGCTCGCACCATCTCCGAGTCCCCCCCCAGATATTCCTCCAGCCCAAGTCAGTCCTGCCTTTCTCGACGATCGCGACAAGTCTAATCGCCACAAGGTCCGTCCTAATTCGGGGGATGCCATCCTGGTCGCCTATCTCGACAACGGACGCGACCCCGAGATCGCCCGTGTCGCCGCTCGTCAGGTCCTACCCTGCGACGAGGACTCCCCGGACGACGAGTCCAGTCTTGATGGCCCCACCGACGAAGTTGTCATGACCGTTCCCTCGCTTCAGCACCTAGCCGCCGATGCACTGCAAGCTTTCGCCACGGGTCCGGCTCCCCTCCCGAGTCCGGCCTCCATCATAGCTCTTAAAGCTACCCCCGACATATCGGTCTCAACCCGTCAACTCTCTATCCGCGATGACTTTCCCGCAGTTACAGTCCCTGCTGTTCCGTATCCATTCTCCGGGTCCAATAACAAGCCTGTTGCCAAGTCTCCCCCGATAGCTGTCCTCACAACTGCCAGTGGAGAGCTCCCCCCGATTCAGATGGACTCTCCTCGTTCCGATTCGAATGGCCAAATGCTTCCCTCAATCCGCTCAACCCTTGGCGATTTCAACCGCTTGCCTCCCGAATCAATGGCTCCGGTAGAGAAGGAGCTTGTTTCCCGCCACGGGCCTGGACCAGGTTTTCCCGGCTCTCCATCGGGTGGAATCCCCCGGTTTACCCCCATCGCTAACCCCCATGCCTCACCTCCCATTTCACCAAACGAAGTCTACTCGCGAAATCTCCCGTCTCCACGTTCGTTATCAGCTTCGAGCCCCTATTACTATAACACCAATGGCATCCACCAGCGCTCCAATGCCGAGTACAGTAGTAGTGCCACGGGAGAAACTCCCAGCACCGATCACTCCGCCTCCACGCCGGCCACGTCGACCTCTGTTGCTGATCGAATGAGCATTGATGGCATCACCAATCCTCAAGTTGGCGCATATGTTTGTACTTTTACTGGGTGTACCGCTCCTGCATTTCAAACCCAATATCTACTCAACTCTCATGCCAATGTGCATTCGTCAGCTCGTCCACACTACTGCTCCGTTCAAGGCTGTCCTCGAAGCGAAGGTGGAAAGGGCTTCAAGCGCAAGAATGAGATGATCAGGCATGGCCTCGTCCATGACTCTCCGGGATACGTTTGTCCATTCTGCCCTGACAGGGAGCACAAGTATCCCCGTCCGGACAATCTACAGAGGTACGATATTCACCACCAGGTCCAGTACATTTCTTGCCTTCCAACCCATGGCCCAGGTCCACATTGTAGTCTACAGGAACTAACAAGACACCCCTTAACAGACACGTTCGTGTGCATCATGTGGACAAGGACAAGGACGACCCGGCCCTACGGGATGTTCTCTCTCAGCGGCCCGACGGGCCCAATCGCGGTCGTCGAAGGCGGGGTCCGCCATCATAATCGGCGAAGGGGCTATGCTCGTCTTGCCTCTGCTTCAGGACTCGCTCTGACGTGTTACCATTCCATTTCGCTTCTCCAGCCAGCCGACATATGGGTGAATCCGTGGTAGACTTGTGCGTTTTGAGACGCTTGGTCTTCTCTGTTTTATTTTTCTGATCGGGCTTGCGTGTATGACTAGTTGCCCACCATGTTGATTTCGCATGGTTTAGCTTTGGCGCATTTATTACAAGTTCTCGAGGTGCTGCCTGTCGAATTTGCATTGATGGATTACAGAATTTCTTTTTGGCGTTGGGGCGCTTATATACCAGGTTGGCTCAGCTTCCTATCTTTGATGTGGGAATATTAGGCGGGCGTTGTATTAGGGGCGTTGGAGGCTGAGCGTGCATTTAGATCCAGCATGTAAGGAATTGGTATCCGTACAGTAACTTGCTTTTTGACTATTCGAGTGAATATGGCCTGCGCTTCCATCCGATCACATTAGTTCCCAAGCCCCAACATGGACTGGGGCGTCACTATGAAGCCCGACCTCAATGTTCTCAGTGATGTTGTGTGTTCCCATGCTTTCCACAATTAACCACATTCCTTCGCGGAGAATACGCCCGGGTTCCATATCAAATTCCAGTGTTCGAACGCTGGTCTTGGGTTCCTGGAACTCGCCGTCGCCGGATATGGCGACAACAGTCCGCTCAGGAGCCCAGCCATGAACAACGGAGAGACGGATTACCAACGTCGAAGATGGCCGGCTGCCAGGCTGCAAACCTGGTTGGGTCACACTCTTTGCTGTTACGCTCATCCGTGTGAGCCAAGACACGGACAGGGGCGCACGTCGTACCTCCTCGCCCTCGGACAGCCTAAAGGGGGGCAATATTGTTTGTAGTCGCCCAGCAGCATCCGCGGGGATAGTCTCCAGCGTCACAGGCGTCATTGACCCAACCCTGAGGACGAATTCAGCCAGCTGGCTTGCTTCAAACGTCGAGCAGACGACAGTGTAGACACCAGGATCGACTTGAGGTATGTTTGCAACGCTACATCCCCGTCGATATTCACCAGATGATCCCACCAAGTCTCGGGCCTTGAGTGCAGCAACTCGTTTCCCCTGAGCCCAGACGAGATCAACATGGACGTGGATGTCTTGGTTATCTGCAGAAAGCAGGAGAGATAGCGGGCTCGCGTATGAAAGAGTTAACTTAAATTGCGGGTTCAGCAAGTATGTCGGACAGGCAGCGTTGCCACCAGCAGTACGCCTGTTCCAGGTGCCCGCCATCTCCTTGCAGTGTAGCATCGCATCCTCAGCCTCCTTCACTTTGAGGGGCTCTTGGGAGAAGAGCGAAAGCGTTAGTGTATAATCAGGAAGCGGAAATTCATGCTGATCCAGGACAATCGTGTACCGTTTCGTTGGGCTTGTATCGAGACGTGCAAGTGTCTGAGGTGAGTCCACGTATGGACCACGATAAACCTCGCCGTCACTCACCTGAACTTTGTGGCCTCCATTATCAAACACGAGGATACTCATGAATCCAAGCTGTCCTGACACTGCAGCCATGGAGTCGGTTCTTGTGCGGGCTATCTCAAGTTCGGCATCCATGAAGTGCCGACTCACGAGGATCCACACCGTTCCACCGCTTGGACATTCGAATGAGTACTGCGGGTTGCGCACCAGTGACGACGCCAGCGAGGCAGGAGGTATTTTCCAGGTAAAATGGTGATCCTGGCGATGGGCAAATCTTGCAGGGTTCCAGTTGAGGTACATGGATTCGAAGTGTTGCACCACATCTTCGAGTGGCATCCAAAAAGAGCCAGCAGACGGCTGGCCACGGCGCGACGTCTTGCCGGATTCAGATGATTCGAGGTCTCCTTCCATCTGCAGCATTGGCAGAGTCGTTGCGATAGACCCCTTCCAAACTGGCCCGTTACACCATGGATTCTTGACCAAAAGTCTTCGAGTGTTTCCAACCACATCGAGAGCCATGACCGCGTAGTCATGTTCGCCAATCAGGCCCAATACGTCCTCTTCCTCGGCTGATATGCGCCCTGTACCCAAGGTAACAACAACATCTTCCAAGTCATGGGCCTTCTTGATCCTTTTCCAGACAGCCTCAATGTCAAGATCCTCCCTATTAACGAATGCATTAGTAGCAAGGACATGAAACGTGGAGATAGGGCGGCCAAGCAGTCCTTAGGTGAGGCTAGACACATGATAGTGAAGAGAAGTACCTCTGAAGGAAAAGTTGCTCAGGAATCCATCCAGTGAGAACCCATAGGTCAGTCCCCGAGTTGCTTCCAGGAAAATCATATCCGCCTCGCACTTTGAGGTAAGCCTTTTCGAGAAGTGCAGGCCAGATAAGACGGGGGTTTTTGCGGTCGACAACGTAAAGAGTTCTATCATTCAAAGAGGCAGGGAGCCGCTCATCAATGACAACACGTCGAAAGCAGCCATTGAAGTGCAAACGTAGGATATACTTGCCCGAGGCGGAGAACCTAGGCATGCCCCTAGCACGGTCGAAAGGGTACAAAATCGAAGCCAGAACCTAGTGAGCTCAAAGTTACAATTTGTTCAATAAGCCAGCCAAGGATAAAGAGGCCCAGGTGGCGCGGTGGGCTATCCGTAGTCACCTACCGAGTTTCGGCCAGTTAATATTCGCATGGCCGCACAAAGACTGGCCACGACAGAGCAATCCGTAGTCAAATCCTGCACTAGATCACACCCATCACCGGAGTTCATAAAGGCCTCCATATCAGCCTCTCCCTCACTCGAATGAAGCTCCATCGGCCTCTTCCAGCCGTCAAAAGTTGCTGCTTGCCGAGGCGAGAGCTTAAGGGCAGCATCATCGCTGTCCATCATCAGTGGCGAAGCTCGTCCGGCGTAGGGATGGAAACAACCTACACGAAGGGCATCTCACCCGAGGCAAGGCGGAAATCGGAATCAACGGGGACGGTTGTCCACTGAGGGAAGTAATTGCCGTGAAGGCGAGAAGTCTGTTGCAACAGGCTCGGCTGCTGCACAGACGCAGCGCCTGTCCGCGAGGCTTTAAGTCGCTCAGCCAGAGTGATGAGCTGCCGGCATTTCTGTCGCAGGCGAGTGGCCTCTGGCTTACTCACAGCTTCAGAAGCCGCACGCATGTACAGGTCGGCGGCCTGGATAGCATGATCGAGGGCCGCTTGGCCGCTCGATCTCGCAACAAGAGACTCGGCGGCCTACCGAGTCAGGGTGGTCAGTATTCATTGTTAATGCATTCTTGGTGACCTTTCTGGCCACGACCAGCCTGTATGGGTGGGCGGCCGCTGGGTAGTCACTCACCTGAGCTCTCCTCTCCATGGCCTTTACTGAATCATGCCGCCAGATTCCCACTTTGCACGGCGTCCATTCGAGGTTGACCTCCCCGCGGTGGGGCGTTTTGCTCGGAGATCAGATAACCCTTCTCCCCCCACTCTAACCACTTTTACCACGTACCTTACGTACTAATTACCCGCCTATCCGTGCAGACATGCCGCGCTACAGAGCCGCCAGTGGACCTATAGCCTAATTACACAGTGTAGACACCCCTGGTAATGAATGGCAGAAAAGCGCATTATGCAATGTACGTCGAGACTCATGTGCTATTTGCATATCGTGCGTTTACTACATGCACTCTGCGTCGGCTGTATGCAGACAGATCACATTGTCCGCTGCGCCGACTTGACATGCCTCCATGGATTAAACCGTTCAGTATCTAGTCCATCGCATTTCTCCATTCCACCATTCCACCAAAGTGACGAGACCAGCCGCCCCTTGGCCCTCTTCCCCTTGACTCAGCTCATGCAACCAACCGGCTAAGCTTAGGTGCTCGCCATCCCGCCTCTCTAAGTCACTAACCGAGGTCAGAAAAGCGGGTCGGACACGGGCGGGGCGTTCCCTCCCATATGCCGAGACCGGTCCAGGGCCGAGGTTCAGATGACCCACGGCAGCGGACCGCTATCCGACCTTGGTTCCAGATCAATATGATGATGCCAGGGCCCGGACTTTTGTCTGGCTTCACGACCTAGCTGGAGCCAACTGTGCCTCTTCGCTGTCAAACGCGTCCTCTTGTGTTGCGATATCCTTGACTCGTCCGACCACCGTCTAACAATCATGGCCGCGCAATCCAAGCCTACGATCTCGCCCTGGGGTCGCGCCGTAGCCGGAGCATCAGGTGCAGTTCTCGCGAATGCTCTGGTCTATCCTCTTGACATGTAAGTCAGTCTCGGATTAGCATCCCCTTCCTCCCATTGACCCTTTTACCTTGCAGCGTCAAGACGCGACTTCAAGTCCAGGTCCGGCCCAATGCAACCGATGGCCCCCGTGCCCCCGACGACGAACCTCATTACACTTCCACATGGGATGCGCTGTCGCGAATCGTATCCGATGACGGCGTCCAAGGACTCTACGCGGGCATCAACGGCTCTTTAATTGGTGTCGCCTCAACTAACTTTGCCTACTTCTACTGGTATAGCGTGGTCCGGACGCTCTATATCAAGTCAGCCAAAGGAAATGCGGCACCGTCCACTGTCGTTGAGCTGGCCTTGGGCGCCGTCGCTGGCGCCGTAGCCCAGCTGTGCACCATACCCGTTGCCGTTGTAACAACCCGTCAGCAAACTGCCAAGAAGGACGAGCGCAAGGGCATATTCGCGACCGCACGCGAGGTCGTTGACGGACCGGATGGTGTCTCTGGCTTGTGGAGGGGCCTGAAGGCCAGTCTTGTGCTTGTTGTCAACCCGGCAATCACGTACGGGGCGTATGAGCGATTAAAAGATGTCTTCTTTCCAGGAAAGGCCAGCCTGAAGCCATGGGAAGCATTTCGTGAGTGCGCCAGAAATGGACTTAGTTACCTCGGCCTGCTAATCTCGTGCTAGTCCTCGGAGCAATGTCCAAGACCCTAGCAACCATTGCTACTCAGCCGCTTATTGTGGCTAAGGTTGGACTGCAGTCCAGACCCCCGCCTATCAGGAATGGCAAACCATTTGGTAGCTTCATTGAAGTGATGAAGTTCATTATTGAGCATGAAGGCTTACTAGGCCTCTTCAAGGGCATCGGCCCCCAGATCTTCAAAGGCCTTCTTGTCCAGGGTATCTTGATGATGACGAAAGAAAGGTACGCGAACCCAGTCTCTTGTTGGCTCATTAACTAACCGCCCGGTAGGGTTGAGCTCCTCTTCGTCCTTTTCTTACGATATCTCAAAACCGTTCGCCTCCAGCAACTTCGCTCCGCCGCCCAGCTTACAGCTTCTACGACGGCTAAGAGTATGCACAGCGTGGCGGCCAAGCCTGCCACGACGTCAGGATGAAGGTGTCTAAGGGAACTGTACCGGTGTTTTGGTGATTTGGTCATAGATGGATATGGAAGCCTTTTGCACTTGCTCCGTTTCGAACAGAACAAATGATGGATATCGAAAGAATGCTCGGACCGTGCCCAAACCTATTGCGACGGTTCTGCCTCTGCACACATAGATCCAGTAAATACAATCGCGTCTGCTAAACCCCCACAGTGTATATCACTACTGCGAATTCATTTGTGAAAGCTTAGATTGAACTATTCTACCTTCCGCAAGAGCCTTCCGCAAAAGCCAGACGAATTCTGGCTGCAGACATGTGAGCACGATTGAGCCACCCGAGACACGCATGAAACAGAGTGACTGTGGCTGGTGCTCCTCCACGCCACACTGCTTCCTGTACCTAGGTAGGTACCAGGCCGGCATCTAGGGCACCACCAGCAAAACCCGCATGGTTATGTCAGCATCGCCCCACTCCTTTAATCGGCTAGGGCTTGTTGTCGAGAGCGCACACAATTTTGGCATCTTCTCTGCAACTTCGTGATCCTTCTCCGTCGACACAGAGAATCAAACCGCAGCAATGGCGAGTATGTGGCCATTCACCCAGATGTTCACATCAATAAATCGTTACTGACGTTCTTCAGAGTCAAAAAACTCCTCTCAGCACAACCAGTCGCGCAAGGCGCACCGAAACGGGTATGCTACATTCACCAGATCTCTAGGAATCCGGGGATGCTTACTCTTTTTACAGCATCAAGAAGCCCAAGACTTCTCGATACCCTTCGCTGAACGGCACCGACCCTAAGTTCCGACGCAACCACCGACATGCCCTCCACGGCAACATGAAGGCCCTTGTACGCGCCCCCCCCCCCCTGCCCCCGATCGAGGACATAGACTTCGAACCGTTCCATACAAAGTGCTAACAAATTGAACAGAAGGAACTCAAGGAAGGCAAGCGTGAGTCCGCTTGAGGCGTCTGGAAGGAAAGGCAAGGGATGAAAACTGGAGCAAGCTCTCTGCCTGGCCAAAGGACCAACTCAGTAGAGCCCGCAGAAATAGAAGACAGAAATGCCATGCGGTTCGCCTACTGAGGACGGTAGTTGTTCGAAACCGCGCTGGTGCCTCAGCATTGTGACCGTTCTGAGTCGACATGTTGCGCATACCTTCGAGGCTCGAGGAACAGAAAGCTGCCACTTCCCATATCCGATCCACCACCGACATGAATACGTGTGACGCCCTGTGATGTTCTCAGCCCCAGACAAGTGAATGAAGAACTGCAGGATTTAACAGTCGCGTAGTTACGGCCAGCTTTCCCTAACAATCCAGTGCCAGCCAGGTTCATGGGCCTGACAAGGGCCGGGCGACGGACAATTGACTCCGTCGATCATTTCCAACCTCAAACACGTGTCGTTATTTAAGGATCGTTATTTCAGCACGGAGTGACCGACATTATGGGCCTTGTGTCATCATCCTTTCTTGGTACACAGGGTACCTCGTGACCTAGTGTGTGTCCAAGTGTGCGCCTTGTGCCAGGAACCTTCAGCAATCCTTGCCTAGGTGCTCTGTAGGGACTGAATAACTACCAGAACGCCAAACACATTGCACCGTAACTACCTACCCAAGGTATCCAGGGCAGGTAGTAGTTAGTCGCGGAACAATTGGGAGTCACCGGATTCCCAAACCATCCCCACCAAACAGAGAGCAGGGGAGCAGTTGACGGCTGCTGCCTCAGGCATTAGCGGCCTCTGGCGGAGCATAAATCGGGCGCCTCTCTTATGTAAGCACAGGGGCTGTGGCCTTGGGTTAGACAAGAGCGCCAACAACCTCTGCTTCTCAAACCTCCCATTACCCACGACTCAGAGCATCGCTAGAGGACGCTGGTCCGCAGTTGCAGCGGCGGGATCTAATCGATAAATTCTGTGGCCTGCCTGGAAGCAGACATCGTCCCTTCATTGCCCTCCTGTATCTTTTTGCGCGGTATGGACTTCCAGCTCCTCCCCTGTCCTTCCCGGCCACCTGTTCTAAGTCGTACCAGATGGGGCTTTCCAACAGGTGGCCCTCCGTGGAGCTCTCTGCTAACCCGTCCCCAGTGCCATCATTCTTCGTTAGGCTGAGGATGCCATAGTTTTCCTCACCTGCTTCTTGTCCAAACTCCTTTGAGGTCAGCCGGTCACTGCAGGAGTCGAGACGATTCTTGTGCCATCCTTCCTACATTACCGCCGTCCAAGCCACGCTTGCGTGCAACATCAACATCTCCCAAAGCCTCATCTCCGAATCATTTTTGCCCACCAAATCCACCACCTCCTCATAATGCTCAACATGTCTGGAAACCACGTCATTGGAAACCGTAACAGCACGCCGGAAGCCAACACAACGTCGACCTTGCGACCCCCCTCCTCCAGGGCTATCGGGTCTGGCCATTCTCTCCGTGCGTCGGCCGACATGGCTGCTCTTTCAGGACCTTCGCCGTCCAGCCGCATCCGGCCCTCGTCGGATTTCTATGGTCAGACCCAACAGAACCTTGGTCCTGGCGGCTCGGAGGCAGACTCTCAAGATAAGATCGCCCAACAATGGATTGCCGACATCGACCAATACGAGACGACGCTTGAAGAAATGGCGGCCGCGACGCTAGATCAGGATTTCAAGGATGAACTCAGTGCTATTGAGCAATGGTTCCGAGTCCTGAGCGAAGCCGAGCGCACTGCTGCCTTGTACGCTCTTCTGCAGCAAACAACACAGGTCCAGATTCGCTTCTTCATCCAAGTGCTCCAGCAGATGGGCAAGAATCACCCCATGTCAGGCGTCTTGTCTCCTGCCAGCTTCGATAAAGGTATGTTGTGCATGTATCAAAGCATGGGATGTCTTCACAGTATTTTAACACGTCGGCAGATCCAATGTCCAACCGCCTCAGCGATGCGATGAACAAGCTCAACGTGGAATCTGCTCGAAACTCAATTTCCAGGAACTCTGCCATATCATCATCGAAGCGTCACTCGGGGCTTGATCCATCTACCATAAATGCCATGTTCCCAGACGCCGCCGCTGCCATTGCTACCGAGAAGGCAAAGTTCACTCAGCAGACGGGCAATCCACCTGCGTCGAATCGCAACAGTACCGCCATGGATCCACGTACTTCCATGACTGCGCCGGCCCTCACCGCTTCACAAGACTCTCGGGATGTTGTGTCTGCCAATCCTTCTTCGCCCTGGGCCAGTGGCTCAGGGGACCAATCCGGCACAAAAGGCACCAATTCGCAACCGCCGATGGGCCAGTTTGTGCAGCCAACCCCAGCAAGCGGGCTCCGGTCTCCACGCCCCCAGTTGTCTAACAACTCTGCTATACAGAGCACAACTCTCAATGCACCAGACAAAAATCCAGCAGATCTACCTCTCCTTTCTCCCTACAATGCTGGCAGCGGGAATTGGGCATCCATGGTAAACACTCCCATGGCTGCCAGTTTTAATGCCGCCAATGCCGCTGGTACTCAAGCCGATATGGTTGCCAATGCTACCGCCATGAAGCTCGCAGCACTCTCGACCGTGAACAACCGATTCGCCTTGGACGATGTTCGGAAGTACCGCCGGGCAAGGTCCAACGACGGCTCAGGAAATGGACAACCACCCCTCTCCCCTGGACCTCAAGGGATCAATCTTACTGGTACCAACGTGGTAATGATCAATGAGCATGGGCAGGTCCTCAGTCGTGAACAGCTCATGGCAATCCAAGCCCAGCAAAGCTTGGGCCTTGGCGGCCAGCGCTCGCGCCCCAGTTCTCCGGGGCTTGCCATGCAGCCTGGGATCGCCCACATGGCCCCATTCGCGTCGCCGCAAAACAACGGGTTCCTCAGTGCTTATGACGGAACTTCGCCACTGATGGGAGGCGGCATTCCCTCTGTAAACCTGGGTCAAATGGGGATGGGTGGACACGAAGGCTACCTATCGGACCACTCGGACATGGTGCGTGGTCGGTCGCCTCGGGGACGAAGGGGCAGCTCAAAGCCTCCAGAGGACCCGACCGACCCCACACTCCTCCAGGACATTCCCAGCTGGCTCCGCAGTCTTCGACTTCACAAGTACACTGACAATTTGAAGGACATGAAGTGGACAGAATTGATCGAATTGGATGATAAGGCGCTTGAGGACCGCGGCGTGAACGCTCTAGGAGCGCGTAGGAAAATGCTCAAGGTCTTTGAACAGGTAAAAGGTAGGTGTTGCCTCCCTTACAACGTCTCATGAAGCTCACACTCTGTACAGATGCCAAAGCCGACGGGAAACTCACCTAGCACTGCTCGTTCAGCTTGGAGAGGACCGGACTAGGCACCAGGAGTCTTCCTTCGCCACATTCCTTAGATAGCGGGTGGCCGTACGAATTTCGTAGTTATATAGGCGAACTACGGTACTACGTTCAGCCAGTGCACCACCTGCGCACTTTGTATTGGATTCCATTAATTATAAACTACTGAACATGACATTGAGAAAGGGGTGATAAAAATTTTTATAGTGTGGACTTGAATGGCAGTGCACGTGCCCACCCAACCTACTTGATGCCTTAATTCCTGAGTGCTCTCAAGGTGCACATACCCCAACCACGGAACCTCTTACTCTCACGTTCAATCGCCCACGCTCATTCTTGCGCTGTGCCCATGCCCACACTCATATGCTGACATATTATTCTTCATGGATTCGTTGAGAAGCGTCGAAGTTATTGACAGGTAACCGTGCTGGTCTCGCTTTGAGTGAACTGAATTGACCGGGAGGAAAAATAGGCACGATGGCGAGGCATCAGACGCAGACTCCGATTTGGAGGAGCTGGAGGGCGACATCGCTAAGTTTGATGAATCTGTGCGGGAGTTTCTAGCCTCGCAGCGAGATGAGACTGGCCAATCCCGCGAAGCCCGCAGCGCTCCTCGTGGACGGGGAACGCGCGGACCTCGTAAAGCAGCCAAGCCTCGAGGTGATATCACGGCCCGCCTGTCCAAGGTGAACCAGGCCTTTCTTGGCGGGGATTATCCACTAGCTTTGGACCTGGTGTTCGAGGTTATCAGGATCAACGCCGAAACACATCAAGCCTGGACGACCTTGTCTTCCATCTTCCGAGAGCAGGGTGATTTGAGTAAGGCGTTGTCCGCGATGGTGTACGCTGCGCATCTCCGCCCTAAAGATGTCAGCGGGTGGCTTCAATGTGCGTCTTTTGCCCTCGACACGATGGAGAGCGATGAGGCCGAATACCTCCACACGGCCAGACTATGTTATTCAGCTGCCTTGCGGGCTGATCACACCAATCTCGATGCCAGGCTCGGCAAGGCCATGGTATGCCACAAACAAGGCCACCTTTCTGCCGCAATTGCCGAATACAAGATCGTTTTGAAGCATCGGCCTTTTGACCTCGAAATTGTTCGGAAACTAGCCGAGGCCTGTGTTGACAACAAGCATGCCGAGGCAGCTGTCCCCGCCGCTGTTGCAGCCTATGAGCGATTCTTCGAGCACGAGAGAGTGATCGTTGCCCGCGACTTGAACAACGCCCCGTGGCATGATGTCGGGATCTACGTGGAACTCTTTGCCTCTACTGGCCGCTACCTAGATGCTATTGGACAGTTGAAGTCGCTGTCGCGCTGGTTCCTGGGGCGTGGGGCCGAGGGCTTCTGGGACAGCTGGCAAACAGACGACCGTGAGTGGGATGGAGACGATGAGAGGCGTGCAGTCGTTTCAGAGTTTGAGGTTGGGTCCTACGACTCTTGCCTTTACGGCCAAGGACTGCCACACGACTTACGAGCCCGACTAGCCATTTACAGATTTCGGGTCGGAGATGACCTTGAGGCAATGGTCAGTTGTACAACCCCGCTACCGCTTCCAACGAAAACATGCTCATGCTTTGCTACAGAGACACCTGTGGTGGTTTGACCCGTCAGCGGAACCCACAAGGGACTTCGCCGCTGATTTCCCATTTCTTGCATTCGATGTCGCAGAAGAGCTAGGTCATCGTGGTCAAACTTCCTTAGCCATCAAGTATTACGAAATTCTGCGGGATCTCCCCGGAGATGTGGATGCTATGGTGTTGTTGCAGTTGGGGCGATGCCATTTCGCCAACGGAGAACACGCGACCGCTGAAGAATACTTTTTGGCGGCGATTGACGCCGATGAGGACAGTATAGATGCCCGCATTGAGCTTGCCAATATGTACGAAAAGGCTCGGGAAGAGGAGGAGGCTCTGATTCTAGCAGCTGAGGCGATGGCTCTACGAGAGGCTCGCGATCAGGATCATGAGCAGGGCCAAAATTTGGGTGGTCAATCCATTCCCTACTCTTTTGCCCAAGCAGAGAACCGAGTTCCGCGCCGCAGAGGAATTGGCACACGGGGCTCAGACCAACCTTCAGGCAAGAGAGTTCTCCTGCGGCGATACAGACCAAAACGACTAGCAGGTCCAGATAAACGTCGGCAAGACGAGCAGACCCGCGCTGTAAAGTTGTCTCAGCAGTACGAAATTGTTCGGAATCTTCGGCAACAGATCAAGGCTGGTCGGAATGATCTCATTTCCGAATGGATGGAATCCTCGAAGGAGTTGGTTGATGATTTTCGATCGTTGAAGAAGTTCTATACGTGGGAGAAGTATCTGAACTTTCTTGGGCCGAAGAGCTCGCTGGAAGATCCTAAACCTCGTCACGCAAAGACCGAACTTTCGCAAATGTATGAGAGGCTAGCACGAAGTGAGTCCTAACATTGCCTTTCCTAGACCACCGATTGGGCTAACATGTTTCGATATAGCCATCGCCCCCCCTACTGGGCCCGATGGTCCAGAACCGGGGGCATCCGAGCTGGATAATCACCAAGGAATCTCGTTTGACAACTGGTTGGACTTGTTCCTAGATTATGCCATCGGGTTGGCCACGACCCACCGCCGAGATGAAGCGTATCAAGTCTGTGAGGCAGCCAGGGACTCAACTGCGTTTCAGGCACCAGAACACGGCTTCATCATTCATGTTGCCTGGACGGGTAAGACATTCTCCCCCCGCTGTCGGATTTTTAATTACTCACGATGTCAGTATGTGCCATCTACATGAATGATGAAGAGAAGTGTGTGGCTACCGCTCGACAATTGATGAGAGATGGGGGAATGTCGGATTCGTACAGAATGTTCGCTTTGCTTTCGAGTCTCTGCCAGTCTCCAGTCTCATGGTACACGTCAGGTCCGGCCCAGAAGTACATTCTTCGCCAGATAAAGGCCATGGATGATTCCCACGAAGCAAACAGAGCCAGTGGGGGAACGAGCGAGCCCAGTAGCACTTCAAGTGGACCGAC